CTCGATTTCGGTCCTGGTGGTATCTCCGGCCTTGGTGTTCTCACCAACCGCAACAAGGATGGTACTGGTGTCCGCGTTATTCTTGCTGGCACTATGGATGGCACCAATGCCGAAGTTGGCTACAAGCCCGAGATCTTCGACCGCGATGCCGAACACGCTGTCAAGTATGCTGTCGACTGGGTCAAGGAGCATGGTCCCAAGCTTGCCCGTACTTCAGCTGGCAAGACCTTTGTTGACACCAAGATGAGTCGTATGCTTGGTCTTCCCCCAGTCATGGTTGCTGGTATGACCCCTTGCACTGTCCCTGCTGAGTTCGTTGCTGCCACCATGAACGCTGGTTACGAGATCGAACTTGCCGGTGGTGGTTACTTCACCGACGCAAAGATGACTGCAGCCATTGCTGAGATCGAGAAGTCTATCCCAGCTGGCCGCGGTATCACTATCAACCTGATCTACGTTGCTCCTCACGCCATGGCATGGCAGATCCCCATGATCGCCAGACTTCGCGCTGATGGTGTTCCGATTGATGCTCTTACTATTGGTGCTGGTGTTCCTTCCGTCGAGGTTGCCAACGAGTACATCAGAACCTTGGGCATCAAGCGCATCTCGTTCAAGCCTGGTTCAGTTGAGGCCATCCAGTCTTGTATCAACATTGCCAAGGCTAACCCTGGCTTCCCTGTCATCATGCAGTGGACCGGTGGTCGTGGTGGTGGTCACCACTCTTTCGAGGACTTCCACCAGCCTATGTTCCAAATGTACGGCAGAATCCGCAAGTGCCCCAACCTTGTCCTCGTCGCTGGAAGTGGTTTCGGTGCCGCCGAGGACACCTACCCTTACCTCACCGGGCAATGGGCAAGCAAGTTCGGCTACCCTCCTATGCCCTTCGATGGTGTTCTGTTCGGTAGTCGTGTCATGGTCGCCAAGGAGGCCAAAACCGCCCCTGCTGCCAAGCAGGCTATCGTTGACGCCCCTGGTCTTGACGATGCCGACTGGGAGAAGACCTACAAGGGACCTGCTGGTGGTGTCATCACCGTGCGCTCCGAGATGGGTGAGCCCATCCACAAGCTTGCCACTCGTGGTGTCTTATTCTGGGCCGAGATGGACCAGAAGATCTTCTCGCTTGATAAGGCCAAGCGTATTCCCGAGCTCAAGAAGAACCGTGACCACATCATCAAGAAGCTCAACGACGACTTCCAGAAGGTGTGGTTTGGTCGCAACTCTGCCGGTGTCTCTGTCGATCTTGAAGACATGACCTACGGTGAAGTTGTGCGCCGCATGGTCGAGTTGATGTACGTGAAGAAGGAGAAGCGCTGGATTGATTTCACTCTTGCCAAACTCACTGTCGACTTCATCCGTCGCGTTGAGGAGCGTTTCACCACCACTGCCAACAAGAGCTCGCTCGTCCAGAACTACTCTGAGATGAACGAGCCTTTCGCTGTTGTTGAGAAGTTCCTTGCCGCTTACCCTGAAGCTGACAAGCAGCTCATCAACGCCCAGGATGTTCAGCACTTCATCCAGCTCTGCCAGCGCCGTGGCCAGAAGCCTGTGCCATTCGTGCCTGCCCTCGATGGCAGCTTCGAGTTCTTCTTCAAGAAGGATTCGCTCTGGCAGTCCGAAGACCTTGCCGCTGTTGTCGGCGAGGACGTTGGCAGAACCTGTATTCTCCAGGGTCCTATGGCTGTCAAGTACTCTACCAAGGTCGACGAGCCTATCAAGGAGATTCTCGATGGTGTGCACGAGGGCCACATCAAGTACCTGCTTCAAGACTTCTACGGCGGTGATGAGTCCAAGATTCCTGTCGTTGAGTACTTCGGTGGAAAGCTCCTCGAGGCCAGCGATGAGATCGATGTTGAGGGTTTGACCGTGTCGGAGCTCAACAACAAGACCATCTACCGTCTTTCTGCATCCCCTAGCGCAGCACTTCCTAAGGCTGACTCGTGGATGTCTCTGCTCGCCGGTAAGAGCTACTCTTGGAGACACGCCTTCTTCACTGCAGACGTATTTGTCCAAGGCCAGAGATTCTACACCAACCCTATGCACCGTATCTTTGACCCAGCTCCTGGTATGATGGTCGAGGTCAACTACCCCAACGACCCCTCCAAGACCGTCATCATCGTCAAGGAGCCCACCTCAAGCGGCAAGTTCGTACAGACCATTGAGGTTGGACCTATCGTCAACAACGAGATCACCGTTCAGCTCATTGAGGATCGTTCTGCCACTGGCTCAGCTGTTGCCCTTCCTTTGAAGTTCACCTACCACCCTGAGACTGGTTACGCTCCTATCAGAGAGGTCATGGACGCCCGCAACGACCGCATCAAGGAGTTCTACTACAAGATCTGGTTCGGCGATGCTGACGTTCCCTTCGACACCCCTGTCACCTCGCGCTTCGATGGTGGCAGAGCCACTGTCACTAGCGAGGCCATCAACGACTTCGTTCACGCAGTGGGCAACACTGGCGAAGCCTTCGTCGACCGTCCTGGCAAGGAGGTCTTTGCTCCTATGGACTTCGCCATCGTTGTTGGATGGAAGGCTATCACCAAGCCTATCTTCCCTCGCAAGATTGACGGTGATCTTCTCAAGCTCGTTCACCTTTCTAACGGGTTCCGCATGATTCCTGGCGCTGCTCCCTTGAAGAAGGGTGACGTTCTCGACACCACTGCTGAGGTCAACGCCGTCATCAACCAGGCCTCTGGTAAGATGGTTGAGGTTTGCGGTACCATCACTCGTGATGGCAAGCCTGTCATGGAGGTTACCAGTCAGTTCCTGTACCGCGGTGCATACACCGACTTTGAGAACACTTTCCAAAGAAAGACCGAGAAGCCCATGCAAATCACCCTCGCCACAAGCAAGGACGTTGCAGTTCTCCAGTCGAAGGAGTGGTTCCGCCTTGAGGATACCGAGATTGATCTTCTTGGTCAGACCCTTACCTTCCGTCTGCAGAGTCTGGTTCGTTACAAGAACGAGAGCGTCTTCAGCACCGTCGAGACAGTCGGCCAGGTCGAGATTGAGCTGCCCAGCAAGGAGATCATCCAGCTCGCCTCAGTTGAGTACGAGGCTGGTGTCTCTCACGGCAACCCCGTCATCGACTACCTTGAGCGTAACGGCTCTGCCATTGACCAGCCTGTCAACTTCGAGAATCCTATCCCTCTCAACGGCAAGACTCCTCTTGAGCTCAAGGCACCTGCATCCAACGAGACCTATGCCAAGGTTTCCGGCGACTACAACCCTATCCACGTTTCCCGTGTCTTCTCCAAGTACGCCAACCTTCCCGGCACCATCACTCACGGCATGTACTCCAGTGCTGCTGTCAGAAGCTTGGTCGAGACTTGGGCTGCTGAGAACAACGTTGGCCGCGTTCGTAGCTTCCACGTTAACCTTGTTGGCATGGTTCTTCCCAACGACACTATCCAGGTCAGCTTGCAACACATCGGTATGGTCTCTGGTCGCAAGATCATTACCGTTGAGGCCCGCAACAAGGAGACCGAGGACAAGGTTCTCATCGGTGAGGCAGAAGTTGAGCAGCCTGTTTCTGCCTACGTCTTCACTGGTCAAGGATCTCAGGAACAGGGTATGGGTATGGAGCTGTACGCAAGCAGCCCTGTCGCCAAGGAGGTCTGGGACAGAGCCGACAAGCACTTCCTTGACAACTATGGTTTCGCCATCACCAACATTGTCAAGAACAATCCTAACGAGATGACTGTTCACTTCGGTGGACCTCGTGGTAAGGCCATTCGCCAGAATTACATGTCGATGACTTTCGAGACCGTCAGTGCCGACGGTTCTATCAAGTCAGAAAAGATCTTCAAGGAGATCAACGAGTCAACCACATCATACACCTACCGCTCACCGACCGGTCTGCTGTCAGCGACCCAATTCACCCAACCTGCACTTACACTCATGGAGAAGGCTTCCTTCGAGGACATGCGCGCCAAGGGTCTTGTGCAGCGTGACAGCAGTTTCGCTGGTCACTCTCTTGGAGAGTACTCTGCTCTTGCCGCCATGGCTGAGGTCATGCCCATTGAGAGTTTGGTGTCGGTTGTGTTCTACCGTGGTCTGACCATGCAGGTTGCTGTCGAGCGTGACGAGGCTGGCCGTTCCAACTACTCCATGTGCGCTGTCAACCCTTCGCGTATCGGCAAGACTTTCACGGAACAGGCTCTGCAATACGTTGTTGAGAACATCGCAGAGACCACTTCATGGCTCCTGGAAATTGTCAACTACAACATCGCCAACATGCAGTACGTTGCTGCTGGTGACCTCCGTGCGCTTGACTGCCTTGCCAATGTCCTCAATTACCTCAAGGTACAAAAGATCGACATCCAAGCATTGATGCAGACCATGTCCCTCGAGGATGTCAAGGGCCACCTTGTCGAGATCATCAAGGGATGCGCAGAGCAGACCGAAGCCAAGCCTAAGCCTCTCGACCTGCAGCGTGGTTTCGCCACAATTCCCCTCAAGGGTATTGATGTGCCATTCCACAGTACCTTCCTGCGCTCAGGTGTCAAGCCTTTCCGCTCATTCTTGCTCAAGAAGATCAACAAGACAAGTATCGATCCCAGCAAGCTCGTTGGCAAATACATTCCCAACGTCACTGCCAGGCCATTCGAGCTCACCAAGGAGTACTTCGAGGACGTGTACCGCCTGACCAACTCACCCAAGATCGGCAACATTCTGGCCAACTGGGAGAGTTACGTTAACGATGATGGCACCAAGCCCGAGTCTACGGAATAGATGAGAACCACTCAAGAAGGGGTTTGTGTAAACTTGTAGAGGAACGACATATCAAGGGTTGCTTTGTTTTTTCTTTCGGTGTATTCGGGGGACTACGCTTAGAGAAGGATATATCCCTTGGGACGTTTTGGTTGTTGTTATTAAAACCCATATTGAATTTTAAGTGGGAGGTGTATATACTGTAATTGTGGTTCTAAATTTCATCGCTGTACTTCAGCTTTTTCAAAAGATTTTCTTCCAAGGTCTCTAGTAAAAGTGACTATTCTAAATCAACCTTGATACTTATGCGTTGTATGCACCAAGCGACCCTTAATCCATACAGCAGCTGTGTTTCTGTCATCACCTCCATAGAACCATTTGTTGAGTCTATCTGGCCAGCTCTCCCACATGAAGACATCGACGGGTCCTGTTGTGTCGGTATCCTCCATTTCTCCATCATCGCTCACAACATCCAGGCTGATCATCTGTGCATCCCAATCCATGCCAATCTCGAATCCACCAACACGATTTTCGAGACCGACGACCTTTGCGCCGCCACGGGTGGCCAGCCACAGTGCTTCTTCTGTGCTCAGCTTTGAAGCATCGCCATCTACCATGGCGACATGTCTGCTGACCAGAACGGCTTGACGGGCTTCCTCCAAGATGCTGGGGCTGTAACCTCCACTAACGTCCGTTCCTAGGCCTACTGTAAGACCTTCGTCGAGCAAAGTCCTTACAGGTGCTGCTCCGGAGGTTAGTGCTGTGTTGGAGGCTGGACAGTGACTGATCTTTGCATCACGAGAACGGATGGTTGCGCGCTCTTCTGGGGATAGATGGATTGCATGTGCGAGAATGGTCTTTGAGGTGAGTAATCCTGCTTTATCGTAGACATCGGTATAGGAGCTGTTGTTAGGGAATAACTCGGCCACCAGTTTGATCTCGGACTTGTTTTCTGAGATGTGCGTTTGCACGGGAAGACCGGTTTTGTGTGCGAGCTTGCCTAGAGCGCTTAGACATCCTTCGCTGCAGCTGGGTGCGAAGCGAGGGGTGATGATGGGAGTGATGAAGTGGTGTTTGGGATCGATCTTGGCCACATGTGCGATGCAAGCTTCTGTGGCTTCGATGGCGGATTCGGCACTCTCGTCACGGTAGTAGTCTGGACTTAATTGATCCATGCAGACGCGGCCGACAAATGCACGTTGGCCTTTCGACAAGCAAATGTCAGAGAGCAGGTTAGTAGCCTCGACATGGACGGTTGCATAGTAGCAAGCTGTTGTTGTGCCATGGGAGAGGGTGCGGTTGACTACCCTAGCATAAATACGACGGGCTTTTTCCAGATCCGTAAAGGACGATTCCAGCGGGAAAGTATAGGTGTTGAGCCAGTCAAGTAACGTCGACTTGCCGAAAATGCCCGAGTTTGGATATTGCGAGGCGTGGATGTGTGTGTCTGGGAAGCCACGTTGGTCAGGGGAAACACTTTCCTCTTGAATTCAATTAGCAACATACCTATGAAGCCCGGAAAGAAGAATCCTTGGTCTTGTATTTGTACGATCTTTGCCTTCTCCCACCCGTCTTTTCGTTCTCGAAGTTTGTATGCTGGAATGTCTCCGATGTCTCTCTCGATGAATGCAATCTTGCCGTCTGAATCCACGCCAATGGCTCCAGCCTCACAGATGTCGACTTCTTGTAGAGAGGTGCAATGGGCAAATGCACCTAAGTATATCGTCTTCTCCGATACATTGCCATTAGTAGTTGACATGATCATGATGTTGCAAAGATAAGGTAGTAGAAAGGACAACAACAGAAGCGAAATCAGATCAAACAGAAGACGCAGTCACCAGCAGAGGGCCCGAGGTATATATACACCGCAAAGGGAGGAGACAGGATCTCCGAAGTAGGAGAGTCGACAGCAACAAGTAAAGTTGACCATTCCAACGACTTATCTCCAAACTCTCAAGGAGTTCGGAGGGTGGAGTGGACGATGGCAGTTGCTGATTGGCGGGCTGGTCTCGCTCAGCCGCGGTTCACGGCGTGCTCCGATATGGGAATGCTATGCTACTTGTTGGAGGGATTCAGTTCTCATTATGAATAGGCAAAGAGACGGTGCTCAGCGACAAGAGAATCAAACGCCGCTATGGACTTATGATATGGTCACGATGGTGTGTGTATGTGTAATGACAACTTGACCCCACGACAAGCCTTGAACCTGGCTGTCGGGTTGACCTCAAGACTACATAACCATGTCACATGAAATGGACTGAAACTTTGCAAATCCCAGCATGGCGACTTTGCAATGGTCTTGTGCTGTGATAAAAAGTACGATCGGACCGTGATGATGGGTTGAGTCTTAAGAAGACTCGGAGGAGACCTGCGGCGAAGCTCTTGAAACGACAGTCGCTCTGACGTGGGGGAAGGTGCTTGGACCCCGTCTCGATGCGGACCCAAGCAACAACCAAACAAGACCTGTAGCTATACACTTTCTCACATACAATCATGGCAGATCAATTCGACAGTGCGCTGTAAGCCTCAATTTCTCGACCAAACCTTCAAACAATTCTAACCTCGAGATCCAACCAGCGACCTGCTTCGACGCCTAAACCCAAAGAACACTGCCATCAACCTCTCGGCCATCTGCAGTCTGGTCCCTGAACATGAGGAAGAACTGCTCGCTTCCGTAGATCAGCCCCTCGCAGTCCGTCGTTGCAGAAAGACCGGCCGCGATTACTTGCTCTGCGACTACAACCGCGATGGCGACAGCTACCGCAGCCCCTGGAGCAACGAGTTCGACCCTCCCGTCGACGATGCTGAGATGAGTTCCGAGCGCGTCCGCCGCCTCGAAGTCCGCGCAAACGAGGCCTTTGATGTCTATCGCGAGCTGTGAGTTGGGGGAACCAGAAAGAGAAGCATAAAAGATACGTCTACTGAGACAGATGAAACACAGATACTACGAAGGCGGCACTTCATCCGTCTACCTGTGGAACCTAGACGATGGCTTTGCAGGTGTCGTGCTGCTCAAGAAATCTTCCTCTCAGACTGCTGCTCTGGGCGCTTGGGACAGCATTCACGTTCTTGAAGTCGCCGAGCGTGGCCGCACAGCAAAGTACAAGCTCACATCTACCGTCATCTTGAACCTCGGCACCAAGGGCGATGCTCTGGGTAGTCTCGACCTCGCCGGCAACATGACCAGACAGGTGGAAGCAGACATGCCCGTCGATGCTGACGAGACCCATGTCGCCAACATTGGCAAGCTTGTCGAAGACATGGAGCTGAAGATGCGTAACTTGCTGCGTAAGTGCTTACGTCCATTCTTGTACTGTTCCAACCACGCAATGCTGATATCTGACACCCAACAGAGGAGGTTTACTTCGGCAAGGCAAAGGATGTCGTTGGCGACCTAAGAAGCATACCGCCGCTCTCCGAGGCCAACCGCGACAGAGCAGCTCAACGCGAAATGATCAGCAGCATGGGCCGATAGACTCGTCCCCAAGACACTGCTAATAACTTTTATACAAACTGAACCCCCAAATCATATCACGAATTACCAGCATCACATATCCAAGCCCTTGTCACACTCTAGCGAAATTATGAAGAAAAGTACTTTTCGTTTTGATTTCGTCAATTCGTGTCTATGTACAAGAAATTATAGTATGGCTAGTATATCGCCAAAGAATGCTATGATCGTGCTCTGACTCCCGAGATCAAGTGCTTATTTGTTGAGTGCAAGAATGAGCTCTGCAACACGCTCACCAACAATGGTAATGGCGGCCTGGGGGTTCGAGGTCGTCTGACCAGGGAAGATTGAACCATCGGCAATGAAAAGGTTGTCGGTACCGTAGACCTTGGAGTCTGCATCAACGACCGAAGTACCGTTCTCAGTACGACCGTCATCGTTGCCCATCTTGCAGCTGCCCAACCAGTGGTTGACGTACAAGTGAGTAGTCGACTTGACGTAGTCCAAAGCAGACATGCCAGAGGGAGGCGAGAGGATCTCAAGACCGGGCACGTTCTTGAGCACGTTGACCATATCTTCGATACCCTGAGCAATGGCAACCTGGTCGGATTCGTGTTCCATGACGGACACACCGGTCGAGACGTTCATCTTGAGGTCAGAAGTGATGGTGGTGCGACCTCTGGCAGCCTGGCCAATAGTGATGTACTGAGCGAGAACCATGTTGTGCTTGGCGTCGTTGTTGATGTCGAGGGAAGTGTCCACACGAGCAGTCCACTGCAAGCCCTGAAGACCATTGGTGCCATTCAGCATCTCCCAGATCATGGGATTGAGGTTGGAAGATGACTGTGTGAGCATTCCAGTGCGACCATTGAGGTAAGCATCCACGTCACCTTGGTTAGGATTGTTCCAGAGACCAGGGAAATCGTAGTAAACAACGTCGGGGTGCGAGATGACGATATCGGTGTTGATGTTGTCCATCAGGTTATAGCCGACAGGCAAGTCAATCCACTGGTCCTCGCTGATCATCTTCGAGCCTTCGGCGTTGCGAACAGTCTCGAGTTGATCTCTTGGGCCAATACCACTTCTCATCAGAACCTTGGGAGTACCGAATGCACCACCAGAAAGAACAACGGCCTTGTTTGCCTTGACGGTGCCTCTGAAGCCATCGGGGGATGTGTTCGAGACTTCGACTCCGGTAATCTTTGAGCCTTCTCTGATGACTCTGTCGACAATGGCGTTTGTGTAAAGTGAGAAGTTGGGACGAGCGTAGGCAGAACCAAGGTACACAGACATGGGTCCGCTGCGTTCACCGTTCTGGTACATGAAAGTGGTGTTGGAGTAGACTCTGTCCTTCTGATCGGGGGCGCAGTTGGCACTGACTTCGGTCCAGTTGGCGGCACTCAAGGCACCCTCGATGATATCAGCACCCTGTTGATAATAAAGCTTTCCGTCTTGCGAGGGAACCTCAGTGCCAGGCAGGCGCGAGAAGACGCGATCAGTAACGTTGGCCATGTTGGCGCTGCTCCACTTCGCAGGGAACAAGGTGTCCCAATCCCAGGATGAAGGCTTCCACCAGAGACCAGCGTTGATTGCACCACTTCCACCAAGAACACAGCCCGAGATACCGCCAACAATGTCGTTACAGAAGATGTCATCAGTGAAATCTCCTCCCTTGGTCCAGATCATGTTGTCGAGAGCAGGAACATCGTAAAAGGTCAAGCCTGTGTTGTCAAGCCATTGAGGTCTGTTGTTGCCATTCCATTGACCTGTCGTTGCCTGACCCTTCTCAATCAACAGTACTGATGCACCGCTTTCTGAAAGCTTGTCGGCGACTGTGACACCTCCAGGACCTGATCCAACGACAATGTAGTCGAATGCCGAATCGCCGGCTGCTCTACGTTGGATAGGCTTAGCCGATACTTGTGTGGATGCTGATAGAAAGTTAGCAGGAACGTCTTTGCATACATGCTGTAGCGGTGCGAGATGTACCCAGTGACAGTGCCACGACGGCTATCGATAGTTGTCTGAACATCTTCGTAAAGATTATATGTGAAGGCGAAAGGAAGATAGGATGTAATGTGTTCCGGTACAGACAAGAGTGACCAAGAACAATTGCAGTCGGCTCCTTCGAGTACTTATATCATCAGGCGATCCAGCAGAGTTTTTCAATCTGCCTTTGCTATTCCTGTACCCATGATGGGGCCTGTTTCTTGGCTCGGATGCCATCTGACCGCAGGTATTGTAACGCTGCCATCGCTGCTCTATGCGAATGCGTCGGAGGCGCCGATATGATGTCAAGGCCCGTTGGCGGACCGTCCATTTTCGTGTTTGTAAAGGTTAAATTTGCTTAATTTGAACACGGATAACTTTTTAGAAGGCCAAGGCCTCGTGCCTTTCCTCGAACCTTGGAGGAAAGGAGAAAGGTGTGGTGGACGAGTAAGTTTTGGTTAAAAATAGACAGACAGATGCAGTGAGATCTGCTCTGCATGGCAGCGCATGGCTTGCATTCGTCCCATAGCTTTGACCGAATTAGGGAACTCCGCTTCTCACTCTTGCTTTTCGCCTTCGTTTCTGCTCGCTATTGTTGCTTGGCTATGTTGTATCCACCATCAAAGAATGGATGCAGAAAGGTCGTTTTCTTCGTATGCACCGACGGCGAAAAAGTTGCAGTCACCGTCATTCTCGAATTCAGGCTTCAGGCGACCGACGGACACATTGCTCAAGTCCGGCAATTTCAGGGCCCTTGTTCATGTGGTCAGAAATGTTTCGCTTTCATGTTCATCATTTTCCTATATCATTGTCTCATGTCAGATTCGAGTCAGCGCAATCTCCATGCCACAATTCCCGACTTTTGCGGCTTACTTGCATGGTTTCCGTGACATTCTTCGTTCTGCAGATATACTACTGCAATATATCTATACGAAGCATGCCCTCGTCGTAACATCGTCGAACCTTTTGCCAAATACAGTGTCAGGTCAAGTAATGGTTCATGCCTTCAGCTGGCGTCTTCTCGAGTTCTGCCAACTCCCAATGTCAATTCTATTCATAATATACGTAAAGCAGTGCTCTATGCGATTATTTGGGGATCCATGGTAGACCCAGCTTATGCATTTCAACTGCGAGCTGGAAGATGTAGTCGAGACTGTGTTGTCACATTAGCCTCTTTTATAGGAGTTTTCAGCTGTGAGATGACTCACCTCTCACACTGAGTCTTCGCTTGAGCAACATCCTTGCCCCAAACGTAACTGGTAGCCCATTAGCACCTTCGTCGCAATCTGCAGACCACTGACGAAACACATACATTCCATGTCTCTTGACCAAAACAGCATGGGTGTCAGGCCACTGCTTGATGGCGCCTTCAAGTGTATCTTTCAAGTCCTCCTCGTGTGCAGTGTTGTCGATGATAGGGATGCGAAGACGGTCGTGGTAACCAAGGTTTCCCTTCTTTTCCTCGCCGTAGCCTTTGGGGATACCCTTGATTTGCTCGAGCTTCTGGATCTCGAAGACGTCGGTGCCAGCAGCTTCGCAGAGCAGTGTGACGAGCACTGCGTCCTTGCTATGTGTGTGGATGCAGCAGCCTGCGCCGCGCAGCGTGAAGGCGGCCATGAACAGAGGCGTACATGCCGATGGTTTGAGCACCTATATTTCCCAGCCTACTCAGTCCTCATGTTCCTTCAATACATCTGATTGTTGCCTACCGGAGGCCTGCGCAAGTATTCTCTGGTCGCATAGTCCATGACGAACAAGTCTTGCGGCTTCATGAGCTCTTTCTGAACGCCCGAGGGGGCAATGTAGATGCGTTCGCCATCGCGGATTGAGGTGCCACCGCCTGTTCCAGTGACCTGAACAGGGTGTAAGTGCTGGTCTTGTCGAAAACAGTCATTGCTAGTCGCTAGATCGGCATACCCATCCAAGAGTGTAGAACTTCTTGCAAAGCTCGCAGATGAGGTTTGCCGGGTGGTGGGGGTCGTGCGAGGTGATCAAGGCCTCTGCCTCGTGTGTAGTCGCCATCTTGCTCGTGTTGTGTCTTTCAGTGCACTGTCAACGATGTCGCTCGCCAACATTTTTTGTTGACAGGTGCGGGGATCGCGGGGTGCAAAGCGTCACAAACATGATGCAACGCAAAGCAATCAACCACTACTAAGAGCCAATCTACATGAGTACTACGAGACATCGTCAAGGAGCTTGAAGATTCGAAGTTGAAAAATTGAAAATTGAAAGTTCATCGCTATTTTTTCCATAGCAATAGACGCTATCGCTTGTACGACGCAGCCTCCATATCAAAGCAAAATGCATGCAAGCAATGTGAGCCGACCTTTTACGGCTGTCCAACGACAACCTGCTTTCTTTCCTCTGGGTAGCAGATCTTTTGAGTTGGCATCTTTCGACGATGACGTCGACGCCTACTCGGCGGCTGCAGTCTCGCTTTGTGCAGCAGGTGCGGCGGGAGCGGCCTCCTCAGCTTTGTCCTCCTTCACGTCAGTCATAGGAACATCCTTGTTCTCAGCAGCCTCAGTGGTGCTGGGAGCCTCAGTGGGCTCCTTAGACTCAGCCTTCTCAACAACCTCCTCGGGCTTCTCTGCCTTTTCGCCATTGTCCTTGTCCTCGGCCTTGTCTTCCTCCTTCTCATCACCCTTGGAGCCGAGTGCTTCGTGCCACGAGGCAAGAAGGTCGTTTGATCTCTTCTTGAACTGGAATTCCTCCTCCTTGGGGATTGACGAGAGCTTAATGATACCACGGAGCACCTTGTAGATCTTTGTGCCACGGATGATGGCAGGCTCGAGGTTTGTGTAGCCCTCGAGTTGGTTGAAGAAGTCGTTCATGGTGGACATCTCATCTTCCTTGGGTGTCTGATCGCGCATCAAGAAGCCCTTCTGCAGTCTGTGGCGGAGGTAGAGGACGGCCTTCTCGCGACGTTCCAGCTTCTCGGCTTCGGTAGCAGGTTCCTCATCAGCAGGCTTTTGCACAACCTTCTTGGGCTTGGCTGCCTTCTTAGCCGATTCGCCGTTAGTCTTGGTGGCGGCAACCTTTGTGGCCTTGGGTGTCTTCTTGGGCTACCTCTTTGTCAGCTTTGAGTGTGAACAACACAAATGAGATCTTCATACCTTGGGACCCTCGCCTTCGCTGTCGGCATCCTTCTTTCTCTTCTTGGTGGGCTTGGCCTCTGCATTCTCAGGAACGTCAAGGTCCATGTCGTCCGCATCCGAAACAGTCTCCTTGCTCTTGCTCTTTCTGCGGTCCTTCTTCTCCTTGGTCTTGTCTGCAGCAGCCTTCTCGGCCTTCTTAGCAGCCTTGGCCTCCTTCTCAGCTTGCTTGGCAGCCTCTTCTTCCTGAGCCTGCTTCTGTTGCTGCATGAATTCATCGAGCATGTTCTTGAAGTAATCAAGGTCGTGGCGTTCTTCAGCAATGTCATAAGCCTCCTTCAAAGCCTTGGACATTTTGCCGGTCTGCTTGTCGGGGGTACAGTCGCCAGGCTCCAGCTTGGTGAGAGAGGTGTTGACCATCCAAGAGCTAGCAGATGGATTAGAACAGGGCACCCACAGCACAGGACGAATATGACTTACAACTCATTGGTTCCCAGGAACATGACAGGGTAGGTTCTGTCTTTAGCGTTCTTGCCATCATCTTCGTAGTCCTCGCGGTAGGATCCATCAGCACGCTTGGCACTGACAGGTCTGTTGCCCAGGAGAATCTCAGGAAGCATATCCTCGTCGCAGACGATTGAAGGCCATGGAGAATAGCCCTTCAGTCTGGCCCAGTAATAGTCGCCCGGCTTGATGTCTAGATTCAGCTGTGCTACCGACTTCTTCTTGTTCAGCTTCTTGCTCTTGTGCTCCGGAACACCCGAAGTGGACTTTCTCTTTCCGTTCTTGTTGCCTGAAGGAGTTGCGGCATCTACGACATCAGAAGGGAGGACGTCTGCCTCTGTCTTTCCTTCGCCGTCTGGTGCGGTAACTTCAGTGGTTGCTTGTGCGCCAGCAAGTGCTGCATCGTTCTCCTTAGCCTCAGTTTTGTCGGCGGATGTGTCCATGGGTTCGCTGGTGGCAGGTGCTGAGATCGTGTCAGTTTCAAATAACGCGGCAGATGTCGCTGATCTGTTTACCTTCAGTGCTCTCAGTGGTAGCTGCAGGGCCTTCAGTTGTAGGCTCAGTCATAGCGGTCTACAGGCGGTCAGTGAGTGACGATCTCTGACGCGTTCAAGGTTGTGATCATACGTTCTGTGCCTCCTGTGACTGGACAGGAGCAGTCTTGGGTTCTTCTTCAGCCATTGTGATGTTGGAAGGTGTGCGACCGCAGCGCAGTGACGTAGTATATGGACGCGTTCGAGGCGCGACTGACGCGCTAGAGGGTGGTGGAGGATGCGGAAAGGGTTATCGGACGGACGATGATGTCGACTCGGTGTTTGTCGATGATGTGTGCGAGGATTGATGGAATAGTGGTGGTGCAAGAGTTGTGTTGAGGAGAAGATGGACGCGAAGCTCGAGCTTTCTGAACTTCGGCTTCCAAGGCCCTTCTGCTCAGCACGTGACCTGACAGCGATCGTTTCCTCACCAGCGGTAACCACTTCTAATCTCCTGATACCTACGTTGAAGGTGAAGGATGTTCTCTTACCTTCCTCGTCAAGTTTTCTTGTGAATCGAGGCCTCGGTTGAGTGATTATGAGGGTGGCAGGGTGTATTCCTTCATCAGCCAGCGCAACACCAACGCCAATTCTTGGGAAGCCGCGAGTCGCGACGCGCCAGAGATCCGTGCTCCTTGCTGGCCAAGCAACGCGGAAAAGTCATCAGTATGTCTTTCTCTCAAGTTTGGTAGAAGGTTTTGACTTATGAAGCCAGCCAGCTCCAGGCTTCGAGGACTCTGGTCAACAGCGCGCCAAGTTTGTTCGCACTTTTACCTTTTATAGCCATGTCGCAATCACAATATCCGCAACACCACTCATGCTGGCTGGACTGGGTGTAGTCATGCAATCGACTGAGGAGTAGAACTGCGATCGCCCGGCTGCTGGCTTATTGAGGGAGTGGCTGATCAGGAATCTCCTTGCGCCCTCGAGACATGCTGCATTGTCAGATCGAGTCGCTTGCAGGGCTTTCAGGGCTCGTTTCAACGTGATCTTGTGACGTATAAGGCGATCATAGGCATTTTAATGTGTGTTGAGACAGCGGAAATGGAAGGGAAATACAAGAAAACGGGCTCGGAGGGGCTCAAGTGTGCAGCTTGTTCAAACAAGGAATGTTTTCTTCTTTCGTGGATAGAGTGAGTTTTGATATTTTGCAGTACAAGCACCTACAGATAGGAGATACATATACGTCCAGTGTTATGTCCTCACACTCTTGTTGTATTAGGCCAGCCACTGATCAAGGCTGATCCGATCCGTGGAGCTTGGGCAGCATTGTGTTATGCGCCTCTTATCGGAGGCGTGGCCCAAGAGGTCGCTTCGGAAATGATAGTATATAGGCTTTTGTCCGACGGTTAAGACGTTGGCACAGAAATGCTGGATAGACCTTGTTGAGCGTAGGTTTCGAGACGCTGGTTGCCAGGAGAAGACTTGTGGGCGCGAATGGGTGTTCGTAAAAACCGGCATCATAAGCATAACTCTGTCAGCTCTCCATAATCGACATGATCTCGTCGGCAGGGCTATGCCGTGGTAGCGGTTAGGGGCGGAAGTCCGACAAACAACACGGCGTGCAACACGCTCTGCTGCTCAGGCTGATCGGAACAGCCAGCATGGAGCTGTTTTCAGGACCAGGTGCGGTCTAGGACTCCAACTGACAGGCGACATGGAGCAATCATTCGTAAGCCGACGACTCTGAGTTATGGTGCAAGGAGTTGTGATGCTCAGGCTTGACGTGCATCGGAGGTTCAAGGTGCGCGCGAATGGATGGCTTCGCTTCACCAGCTGCAGACACACGTGACCCGACTTTCCATCAACACAGAGAAACGCATTTCTGATCTTCAATGTTCCTAGCACCAAGAATAGTCATTCTAAACAACAAAGATTGCACAGAAAACCAAGTTGGCGCAAATGATCTTTGAGCTCAAAAATCCTCTCAGAAAGTATGATCTTCGTATCAAGGTGAGAGCACGGCCGAGAGTCCTCGGGTAATTATGTACAGAAACCCTGCTCCCATTTCCTGGGAGCGATCTTATTCACAGGTGACCAGCCCATGCTTCGTCGAGTGGCTGTTGTCGAACCTCCCATGCCCATTGATGACAAGTTTGGTGCATGACGGGCGAAACCTCTTCCTCGTCTACCCCTTCATCCGCAACCGTCTTTACTCCAGCTTGCAAATACTTTTTCAAGAGCATTCTTCGCCAACGCCCTCTCTCACCAACGCAGCGCTCCCATCTGCCGATTTGCCTGTCATCGTCATCGCATCGACGGCCCAGCCAGAATCGGGTGTACCACTGGAACCAGCCTCGTACATCGTAGGCATGATTTATCCAGCCTGCCGCTTCCCACTCTTCTATGCTTTGTCCGCACTTGACCCTGAACTTATTGATCTCAGGATCATAATTTGGGCTGGTGAGGTGTTTTTCAACGCTCAAATCCTGTAGCCATTCAGCAGGAAGTTCTTTCCAGTCGTCTTCTATTGTAGTGCGTAGGCTCTTGGAGTACAGCGGCCGATAGTAGGAGCCTCCGAAGGCACCCTCTGCGAGCATCTCAGCTGGTGACTTGTTCGGGAGGAAGGTTGGGTGCCCCTCGAAGTGAAAAGTGCCATCCTCATCCCGTGTCGGTGGGGGCGCAACTGATTCCCAGGACGACCATCCTTTTCGTATGTCTTCGAGATCTGGTGGAGGAGACTGGGCTTTGACCTTGACAGCATCCGCTACTACGCTCTGAACTTTCTTTGCTCCACCTCTTCGTGCCGACTTAGATGTGTCGTTGATGATCGAGGGTTCATCGTTGTAGATGGGACGGTCTGTAGAAGCTATACGCGCCGAGACGCGTGTTGGTCGTGCGGCCGAAGGTGAGAGCTTGCGCTTCTTTGGCGGAGGTCTCTTGCTTGTCGAGGTCTCCTGCTTGACATTGTTGATCCCAAGCTGTTTGATCAAGGCTTGGTTACGCTTGATATTCTCTAATCGACGCGTCTCGTAGTCCGTCATGGTCTGCAATAATGATCAACTTGGAAACGATGAATTGTGTTGTCACTCAGTCGTGTGATGATGCCTATGACGTAGTGCAAAACGTAGCTTGCGAGTCCTATTGATCTCATACCCTCCCTTTGTTCCAAGGACTCCTAGGGGTATATAAACTTCATTTGAGTCATCCAGACTGCTCCTCATCACTTCATCATATCCATTATTCTCACGATCAAACGCCTATCACCACATCCACCATGTCTGCAAACAACTTCTCCGGTACCAATCCCGCGGGATCCAACCACCCCACAAGCACACAACCCACTGCCACCTCCACTAGTGGCAACAAGGGCACTGAGGCTGGAGAAGGCTTGAAGGGCCTCTTCGCCAAGGGTCACGTAAGTCTTGTGTTTACTTAGCTTCATTTTCTCGTCTAATGAATCATGTAGGGCATTGGCGAGTCCATTCGCGGCAACATCAACTCAGCGATTGACGGCTTCACCGGAGACGACGCATCTCTGGCAAAGAATGAGCAGGTTGCTCGTGGTGGTGAGCAGGAGTTCCAGACTGGAAAATTCGGGTAAGTCAAGCAGAAGACACAAACACCAAGACTAGTGGTGGCACTCAGTCTCCGTGCAAGGCTCTCAAGGTGTATTGAAACACCGTCCGGGACGGCGTCTCGCTGAGCTGAGCACACTTGTCTAGCAAAGTCGTGGTGTTTATTCACATCCAGTTTTGTGAAGTCATGCTAATTGTACTTCGCTCTAGAAAGCAAGGAACCACTGACAAGGCCCTTTAAATGGGCATGTTCTGTTCCTGCCTCGTTGTCTCTGCCATTACCATATGATACCCAAACCTCATCACATATAATCAAAATTTCAGTTCATACAAACTCTTCCCAAATTAACCTCAAAAGATACATTTCGAATGTCAAATTCATGATCATAACGCTATGCCGTAAGCGTGAATATCGTGCACTAGTTGTAGAGTAGCTCACTACGCTTGCACGGAGTTGACGGTGATGGGACCTTCGCTAGATGCATGTCTGATTTGAGTAGAACTATGTTCTGATAGCTTATATGTTGGGTTATCAGTAAGGAATGGACATACAAGAGGGTAAAGATATGACAATGGATGGAGATTGGGCTATAACGTTACAAGGACGTTAAGTCGCGATGCCGCGGTCTTGCCCGACCCGACTCGGCCCTATCCAACCAAGTCCACGTCATGCCTGAGTCGAGCTTCCTGTGACCTTGAATAGAGAAGGCATTACAACATTCAATCCACAAATGTTTCCGAGCGATTCCACACAAGAAGAATTGAAATAGTGCCCAATGTCCTCTAAACTGTTGAGGTCCTGTCAATCCATCCGTAATACAGCTATCAAGCAGTTTACCTCTACTCGAGCATTCAGCAAAACAACAATAATGGCTGGCAATAAGTCAACCGATTTTAGCCATCTCCCTCTAGCTACCAACAAAGCTATGGAATGCGCCTTGACAGTGAGTAGCTTTGAACAGGATTCTCTGGCGCTATAGGAACACCGCTGACAGGATACTTTATAGGGCTCTGAGCTATTGTCGTGCACCTATCTGAACAAAGGCAGTGCCTTTACCGAAGAGGAGCGCGATGAGTTTGATCTCGTTGGACTACTGCCATCTAATGTCCAGACTCTTGATGAGCAAGTCAAGAGGGCGTATGCCCAGTTCAGTACCAGACCAGACAACCTCGCAAAGAACACCTTCATGACTAGTCTGAAGGAGCAGAACGAGGTACTTTATTACAGGCTGATCCAGGATCACTTGAAGGAGATGTTCCCTATCATCTACACACCCACCGAAGGTGAGGCTATCAGCAAGTACTCATCTCTTTTCCGTCGTCCTGAGGGTTGCTTCCTCAACGTCAACGAGCCCGAGAAGGTCGAGCAAAGCATGTCACAGTGGGGTGGACCCGATGACATCGATCTCATCGTTGTCAGTGATGGTGAGCAGATTCTGGGAATTGGTGATCAAGGCGTGGGAGGTATTCTGATCTCTATCGCAAAACTGGCTATCTACACGCTCTGTGCTGGAATCCACCCTCACCGCACGCTCCCTGTGGTTCTTGACACTGGTACCAACAACGAGGACTTCCTCAACGACGAAATCTACCTTGGTCTCCATCAGGAGAGAGTCAGGGGAGAAAAGTATGACAAGCTCGTCGACACCTTTGTCAAGACGGCAAGAAAGCAGTATCCTAACGCATACATTCACTTCGAAGACTTTGGTCTACCCAATGCTCGTCGCATCTTGGACGAGTACACTCCTAAGATTGCTTGCTTCAACGACGATGTACAAGGCACAGGATGCGTCACTTTGGCCGCAATTTACGCTGCTCTCAAGGTCGCAAAGCTTGAGATGAAGGACATCCGTATCGTGATGTACGGTGCGGGAACCGCTGGAACTGGAATTGCAGATCAAGTCGCCGACGCAATTGCTGTCGAGTCTGACAAGTCTAGGGAGGAAGCTTTAAAACAGATCTGGTGAGTTTGCAAGTTTTTGCTCAATCTGTCCTGTTATTGACAGTCAATACTAGGTGTGTTGACAAGCCCGGTCTACTCCTGCAATCGATGAAGGATGATCTCACGCCAGCCCAGCATCCGTACGCTCGCGAGGACGAGGAGTGGAAGGGCAAGAAGCACGACAATCTACTGGAAATCGTAAAGGAGGTCAAGCCCCACATTCTGATCGGCACTTCTACCAAGCCCAAGGCCTTCACGGAGGAGGTGGTAAAGGAGATGGCTAAACACACTGAGCGACCTATCATCTTCCCCCTGTCAAACCCCACCAAGCTGCACGAAGCAGATCCCAAGGATCTGTTCAAGTGGACGGAAGGCAAAGCTCTGATGGCAACTGGATCACCCTTTGATCCAGTCGAGTACAACGGCACCAAGTACGTTGTTGCGGAATGCAACAACAGCACGACATTCCCTGGTATTGGATTGGGAGCAGTCTTATCTCGAACTAAGCTCATGTCGCCACCATTGTTGGTTGCAGCAACCAAGGCACTCGCAGAGCAAGCACCAGCTCTCAAGGATCCAAATGATGGACTGTTGCCAGACGTGACCAACGTTCGCGAGATTAGTGTCAAAATTGCAGCAGCTGTGATCAAGAAGGCAAAGGAGGAGAAGCTGACTCAACAAGAAGGCATTCCCGACAACGATGAGGATTTGGAGAAATGGATCAGGGCTCAAATGTGGGATGCTGAGTACAGGCCTCTGAAGAAGGTCGAACACACACGGGCATCGCGTGCAGCCAAGGGCGAGGCTGGCTCCAAGGGAAAGAGATCGAAGAAGACGAACTAGATCATTGTGTATCTAAATTGTATTATGGATAGTAATGGATAATAGCACACATTCGACTGATTCGGTTGGTAATCTTCATCTGAATTATAGAAGATGTTGAGAACGTGATGAGCACAATCTGGCGATGACTTGGCGTCGCAAAAGTCCGAAAGTCCGAGCGGATTGACAAAAGTTCTCGAATGATTTCTTTTAAAAGTTCAGCAAACACGCATATAACAACCACAATCACATTCACAATGAAGCGCAAGTTGAACGACCAGGATGTACCCGAGGTGGCAGAGACCGTAACAGAAATTGAGGAAAAGATGGAAAAGACAACGCCGACCGCAAAGACATTCGCCGAACTGGGACTGGATGCTCGTCTTTTGCAGGCCATCAACAAGGAGAAGTTTGCCGCTCCGACTCCTGTACAAGCCCATGCCATTCCTCTGGCTCTGTCGGGCAAGGACATCCTTGGTTAGTCCTTTGGTTCCCATACCGTCCAGTTGTGCGACTAACAAGAAACAGCGCGAGCACGAACCGGTTCCGGCAAGACAGCAGCATATCTCCTACCCATTCTTCAGTCTATCCTACACCGCAAATCCGCACAGCCCTCGTCAACGAAATCTACTTCGGCACTCGTTTTGGTCCCTACCCGCGAACTTGCTGGCCAGGTCGCAAAGGTCGCCTTATCATTTGCTGCCTTCTGCGGCCAAGAGGTGCGCATCGAGAACTTGACCCGCAAGGAAGACGACAAGGTCGCCCACGCCCGTCTGATCGAAGCCCCCGATGTCGTTATCGCTACACCCTCGAGAGCGACCACCCTTGTCAATGCCTCTCTTTTGCAACTACAAAACCTCACACATCTCGTAATTGACGAAGCCGACCTTGTCCTTTCGTACGGCCACGACGAAGACCTACAAAATCTGTCCAAGGTCATTCCTCAAGCCGTTCAAACCGTCCTGATGAGCGCCACGCTACGAACAGAAGTCGACACACTCAAGGGCATGTTCTGCAAGAACCCCGTTCTCCTCGAACTCGACCAGGAAGAGAAGGAACAATCAGCTCTCACACAATATGTCGTCAAGTGTGGAGAAGACGAAAAGTTCCTGCTCATCTACGCCATCTTCATGCTCAAACTCATCAAGGGCAAGTGCATTGTCTTTGTCAGCGACATCGACCGCTGCTACCGTCTCAAATTGTTCCTCGAGCAGTTCGGCATCAAGAGCTGTATCTTGAACTCGGAACTGCCTGTCAACTCGAGACTGCACGTTGTGGATGAATTCAACCGTGGCGTCTACGATATTATCATTGCCAGTGACGACAGCGAAATTGTTGGAAACGAGGAAAAGTCGAGTCGCAAGAGGAGGAAGATTGAGGCTGCAGACGACGATGCTGAAGCTGCTGCTGCTGAGGATGGAGAAGAAGCAGCTACCGAAGAGGCGGCTGCCGAAAATGACGAGGAAGAGAAGGAAGAAAAGACATCGGAGGAAAAGCCCAAGAAGAAACAGAAGCGCTCAAAGCTCGACAAAGAATTCGGTGTCTCTCGTGGTATCGACTTCAAGAACGTCGCCTGCGTACTCAACTTCGACCTGCCCACCTCATCCCGCAGCTACACCCACCGCATCGGCCGTACCGCTCGCGCTGGCAAGTCCGGCATGGCACTGTCCTTTGTCGTACCCAAAACCCTCTACCGCAAGCACAAACCCACCACCATCCCCTCGGCCGAACTCGACGAAGAAGTCCTCGCCAAGATTACTCGCCAGCAAGAGAAGCGAGGCCAGCAAGTTCTGCCATACCACTTCGATATGAAGCGCCTGGATGGCTTCAGATACCGTATGACAGATGCCCTCCGCTCAGTAACACGTATCGCCATTCGCGAAGCTCGTATCCGTGAGATTCGCTCCGAGCTGCTGAAGTCAGAGAAGCTGAAACGCCATTTCGAGGAGAACCCTACGGATTTGCAACACTTGAGGCACGATCAAGAAAGTCATGCTGTTCGCGTGCAGCCACATCTAAAACACGTGCCCGAGTATCTCTTGCCTGGTAACTCGGCGGTGGCACAAGGTGCTGGTGACGGAGGCTTCGTTGGCTTCGGCAAGACTGGAGAAAACAGAATCAGAAAGGCAAGAATGCAAAATAGAATGAAGGGTAAAGGCAAGGGAAGGAAAAAGTCGGACCCGCTAAAGTCGTTGAGTGCGAAGAGGAAGTAAGAAGATGGTCCTTGTTTGATAGGGGTTTCAATATCATAATCATTGCTCTTCTCGCATTTCGAATTCTGGATTCGTTGATGTCTATTCTAAGGATGGCTTTTGAGCATCACTTCTATGCTATTTCAGAGACCATGCCGTGGATGGCCTTTCTCTCCTCCTCATCTAATGGGATGCCAAACTCTTCTTCAATGACTTTGATTCTCTCATCCTCCGACGTCAACTCCCTACTGATCAATGCCTCTTCGCCGATGCGTTTCTTGAAGTCGGTCTTGAGAACATGCATATGGCCTACGATACTATCCCCACTCTCGTCCAGGAGCATCTTGAGACAAACAGGCATCTTCGTAAACCACGAATCCTTGCTTGTGCTAGTACAGTAATTCATAACCTTAAAGTCAGACTCGAGAAACTCCATCTCGGGGAAACAGTAGCAAGGAGACCAATTCTGATCGCCATTGCGCTTTTCATAGACCCAGAACTTTTGGTCAGAGGCGGTGCCTGGGATGGTTGAGTGGATGAGTCTGGTCCATTGGTTTGGCGCAATGTTTAGCTTGCCTTCTTCGTCGTGTTTGAGAGGAACAGGAAAAGTAGGCCCGCCAGAACCAAATCCAACGTCCACGTGATATTTTAGGTCGGGGTTGTCTGGGAAAGAGACGAGATTGACCATGTGGCTGTAGCCTGAGAACGTGACCTCATCGAGAGGGATATCCTTTGCTGCGCTCACGGAGCTGCTGATTCGACCACCGTGGCTGGTAACGTAGAATCCGAGTCCACGAAGGACGTTGGCGAATAGAGCATTGTTGACCATACAGTATCCACCTCGTCCCTTCTTTCTTCCTCCTCCAACGATCTTGTCGAATATCCCTTGAGCATCAATGCTGATACTATGGTGAGAGCTGTAATGCAGGTCTAGATTCTCGAATGGGATATTGGCGAGGTTGTAACGTTGTAAGGCACTCAGGAACTCGAGACCAGTGGTGGTCTGGGAAGCGATCTTTGTGCTGGCATGGCCTGGTTCATGGCGGTACTTTTGTGGAAGACTGATGCGATCGTAGTATTGGTGAATTTGGGCTGGAGTGTAGCCCGAACGTGACTTGGTGCTCATGGCGAAGATGGCAATCCATGGTTAACAATGCGAGTGGACGAGAATAGCACCGTGCAGTGACGTTTCATCGTCATTGTCGACATGTGGGGACCGAGCCAAGATGTGGATGGCATCCTTTCACCTCAACTCTCTCGCTCTCTTAATACTACACCAACGATCAAATGCACAATAGCTTTTGAGAAGCTGAGTAGTAGCAGCAGAGAAGGGACGCTGATTAGCTCTCCTAGGCTGTATCTTGAGTGTAGAAAAACATTCACCCATTGACCACCGGACTCAACGGTCTGGGCTTGAGCCAGTGTGGAGGACGACAAAAAGTGCCCAAGTTTCATCTTGATATTAACGGACTGAGCACACATCCTAGCAAGGTATGGATTCTCAGAGTGACACCCGGTAGCGCCTTCCTCGCTGCTTCATGGGAAAAACCCAGTGGCACACTTTTCGCGCGATTGAGTCTACAAGACTTTTCCCGCCGTTACAGCCATAGTCGCGCTTCCCCCTTTACTTTCCTGGCGATGGGGCTTAGTGTCAATATCAAAACAGAAGGCAGGTTCTAATAGTCATGCCTTCCTTTCCTCTTTGCTTTGCAATCTTTTTCATCTAGTCGAACTCTTGAGACTTTGTGTCTTCCTCCACCAACTACACTTATTCGCCTGCATCGGATACCACATTTTCTTAGCATACATTTCGACTCGCGTCACGAAGCGATTCAAATATATCATGAGGCTCTCCAGTGTAGCTGCTGCCTTGCTTGCTGCAGTGCCTCTTACACAAGCATACTGGAAGGGCTTTAATGTTGCCGCCGAAAATCCTGATGGATCATGCAAAACACAAGCCCAATGGGTTTCTACTTTCCAACGCTTGTCTTCGCTGCCTGGTCACTTCACATCTGTCAGATTATATGCTTCCTCGGACTGTAATACATTGGCTCTTGCCGTTCCTGCCGCCATCTCAACAGGAACTCAGTTGCTCGTTGGTGTCTGGACTGAAGACGATGGTCACTTCCAGAGGGAGAAGGATGCTCTCGAGAGTGCCATCAAACAACACGGTCAGGACTGGATCATCGCCATTAGTGTTGGCAGTGAAGACTTGTACCGCAAAGATATTAGTGCCTCGTCTCTTGCACAGAAAATTTATGACGTTCGCGGCATGGTTCGCGCCATGGGCGTCAAGAAGGACGTTGGACACGTCGACACCTGGACAGCTTGGGTTGATAGTGCAAACACTGCAGTGATCACAGCCTCCGACTTCATCGGTCTTGGTGGGTCAAATTCTGTATTTATAACAGCCAATGAGCCGTGTACTAATATCTTCTTAGACGCATATCCCTACTTCGAAGGCAGCAGTATCGACCAAGCAAGCAACACATTCTGGAGCGCCATCAACAGGGTTCGTGGAGTCGTTGACAGGGTTTCTCCTGGCAAATGGGTGTGGGTGACTGAGACTGGTTGGCCTGTCAGTGGACCCAACTACGGCAATGGAGTTGCCAGCGTCAAGAACGCTCAAACATACTGGAAGCAAGTTGCTTGTGCTGCCTTTAAGCAAGTGCACATTTTCTGGTATGTTCACCAGGATTACCAAGCATCTCCCAGTTTTGGTGTCATTGACCGCAATGGACACGCCATCTACGACCAACAGAGTTGTTGATAGGACGCATGGTAGTGCTGGAACGTGTTCTTCCACTCTTGGGGTGTATTGTACTTCGACAGATTCTGCAATGAACCTTTACTTAATGTTTATACCAAGATTGTATAAAGAACTCATCGAGTTACAAGAAGATGCAGTAGCGCTGTCATATGCATACAGAACTAGCATTGAATTGTGTCATTATTGATGTGTATGGTTTACAGGTTACAATAACTAGTAACATCGTCTTGTTTGATTGTGGTCTCATGATTATCGAGCATTTGAATATTTTGGACAGGGTGTGCCCACCAGAAACCTGCCTCGATCCTTCCCACATTGATGGCCGCGTCAACGTCATCAGCGAGATCGGATGGAAAATGATGACCACATCGAGAATCAGTCCACATCTTGATCCAATCACAAAAGAATAGCATCATCTCATCTGCTTCCTTGAGCTTTGCACATCTTCTCCAAACCAAATGTTTCCCACTCGTCTCGCAACAAGAACAACAACACTTCTCCGTTCTACAAAACCAAGAAGCTTGCCTGCTTTATCTACACGCACATTAACTACTACCTCTCCTCTACTCGCTAAAGACGACAAGATGTCTACCCAACCTCCCAAGCATGAGATGGTCTACTTTGACGGCCTGACCTCTAAGGTCCGCTCCTTTGGCCAATTCAGAAAGGTCATTCACACGGGTCTGTACTCGCAGCTGGTCACCATGGAGATCCCAGTGGGAGGAGATATCGGCAATGAAGTACACTTGGTAGATCAAGTCTTGATCTTCACCAGCGGCACTGGAAAGGCCGTTGTAGCTGGAAAGGAACAGGTACGATACCATCTCCCCCTCTACGCTCTCGAGATGAGAAAGACAGAAACACTGACACATTTGTGCAGGACATCAAAGCCAGCGACGTCGTAGTAGTCCCAGCGGGAACAGAGCACCAGTTCTACAACACAAGCAAGGACAAGCCATTGGAATTGGTTACTGTGTACAGCCCTGCCGAGCACGATAGCAGAACAGTGCACAAGACAAAGGAGGAAGGTGATGAAGAAGAGGACGCAGGCAGAGACGAAGCCCCAGAGTGGAGCAGACAGAGCAAGGAAACCAATGAGAAGAAGGGTCTTGTCAAGGAGGAGGGCGGTCCTTACGAGAACGGTGATGATGGAAGACATGGTCGCAAGGTCGAGTAAGCCAACCTGCTTGATTTATCTGACTTGCATACTCAAGTCAGTAATGTATTATGAATACTATATATTTGATCCACGTCCGCCATAGCTCCAACTTGACACGACAAGCAGTGCTCCTTGGATCATGCTCATGAACGTCCAGATGAACACATCGAGACGACCTTGAGAGAAGTACGATGATGATTGAAAAACATGCGAGAGTCGTTCCATCATTCTAGCAAGATACTGCCTCTAAGTTACTATGTACAACATGTTTCCGCGTAACTCTGCTTTCTCTTACTAACGACCGATTCTCCAAGCAAGGTAAATCATGTTGCTTCCTTCTCTTGCTGAAAGTCACATCCAGCCAATCCAAAAAACAAAGTGGTATCTCCCATGGTCCCATGTCTGTAGTCCGGCTACACCCTGTCCCTTTTTGAGCCTCAAGATCTCTCATAAACGCCAGTGGTAAAAACAAATAGTGCTCATCAGTATCCTCACTCGTCGGTGTGACCCGACCCTCCTGTTTTGACTCTATGCAAAAAGCCATTGAGTCCGGCCGAACTTGCCTTTTTCTTTGGTCGAAGTATGCTACCCATAAGGCCACTGCCAAGCGGCTTTTCCTTCTCCTCCGTTGACTCAGGGCGCTCTTCGCCTTTGCCGCGTGCTTCAATTGCCTGACTGCGGCGCCAGAAACTCATCACAGTGCATCGATCGCTTGTGTCTACACGGTCGAGTTGACCTTCCAGGTATTGCTGTATCTCAAGTACATGTTGAAGGCGATAGGGCACTTGATAACGCTGCAGATGACCCACGACTCGTGCGGAGCGCATGTGTTTGTCGAAATTGATCACCATCTTGGACTTGGTACCGTCTCCATCGTCAGTGGGCAGCGGTCGGGTGTTCGAGTTGCCAGCATCTACGAAGGTGAGATCGGTAAGATACATGCCTACAAATGGTAGGCATGGCGCCTTCGGTGTTTGCAGACGTTGTCGGAGTGTGGCGTAGTTACGTGATATATCAACTATCTCCTTGATTTCCTTGAAGATGGCAAGCGTCTTGGGCGGCAGCTGGTCCCATGTTTGGTGCAGCCTCGCAATTGCCGAACTGGTGAGCGAACAAGATATCGCCATTAGAGCCGAGTAGTTGTCGATATCCAGACACAGCTTCGCAATCTTGATCCAGTGCTTCAGAATAGCGACACGTCTCTTGATCTGTTCAGTCTCAAGTATACTATCGGCAACGAGGTTTGTGAGATTTGTCGAGAACTTTGACATGGCTCGAACGTTTTGTCCGCGTCCATCCTTTTTCGTCCATTCGAGACCAAGTAGCTCATGAGGCTGTATAGCGCAAAACCTCTTCGACTCTATAATGGTGAGCTGTCTAGCGATCTCGACAGCATCCAGGTCCAATAAAGTAAGTCTTTTGGTTGGAAAAGCGCCCGTGAGAAGGTATAATTGCTCCTTGTTGATGCTGGCGTGAGGTATGATAGTCTTTTCGTAGTCACTGCCCAACGAAACACAGGTTTTGCCAATAGAAGAGACTAAATGATTCGTCGCGCTGGTCGTCTGGATCTGGGACGCGATCTTGGTCAATTCAGCCAGACGTTGGCCTGGTCCGGCAAATTGAAGGCTCAGCTGTTGGACCGCAAATCTGTGTATGAGATCTAGAGCGGGCGCATCGCTCTCGACTAGATAATGTGATTCCAGCCAGGTCTTGAAGAAGTTGTAAACCCTAAGACGTGCAGGTGAACTGTCTGTATTGCAGTCTCCAGCGTACTCGTATCGAGTAATCAGTGCTTGTGTCAACTCCACGGCATTTGTAAAGAGACGAAATGTGAGTATAAAAGCCGCATTGTATTCAGGATCCGGTGGACCATGCTGACTTGTGAGCTTCTCGACAAGAGCTGCTAATGTTCCACCAACGACCTGCCCGTCCTTGTTGTACAGCAGCTCATGCGCATACGACCTCATCAGGACTTCAGCATCGTGATCACTGCCATCGGCAGTCGTTGCAACACTCAGTACACTGCCATGGGTGCAAAGGCTTGGATTGGCCCGGATATGTCGCTGGTGCCGATCAGGTGTCGTGGCCCTAGTCGATGTTGGCGAGATTATACTGCCAAGTGAATTCCTCAAGCTGTCTTGGTAGGCACTCGAGCTTGTTGTTGTCGACATTCCTAGACTTCCCTTTCTGTCAGGTGTGGTCCAGTGCTCCTTGTGGTCCTGCTGATATTGTTCGAGTGACTCATCTGCAGGGGATGGTGGTGATTGTAATGGTGGTTCGGATGCTGTGGGTGAAGTCGGAGACATAGGCGAATCACATGTTATCAATTGTGGAGAAGACTCCGGTCTTCTCATGTTTCCATCCGGAAGAACCGTCGAGAGGGTAAAATTGTTGGTATCATCGGTGGTTGAGCGCGATAGATATGAGGGTCTCTGTCGTGATTCTCGTATAGGAAGGTTGGTCTCGGCTGTTTTGTGGTCTTGCGGGTTAGCGGCGCCGGCAGCAGCTTCCGACCAATTACCAGCGGCAATCACCCCAGGTGTTCTGATTAGATGAACTGTTCCGAACTTTTTATCCTGCCCTCGAGTGGTAGACGAAAGCCTCGAAAGGTAAAAGCCACCGCTCGCACAATCGAGAAATTTTCGCGTTCTTGCGGTGCAATCACCTGCCGCGCGGACGCAGGCAGTCGCTGCAGCCACAAGTCCTTGACCATCTTCTGGACCCACAACCTCCACCACCTCTGGGTCATTCGAGTCTGCAGAATCCTTGCACAAGCGACTTGCAGTCTCTGCAAGAGTCTGGATTTTTGCCCTCAGATTCTCTGATGCTACCGAGATGCCTTGACATCGACTGGGATCCCGCTCTGAGATGTCACTGACAACTACCAGTAAATCCTCAGCTGCTTTGACGGAAAGTGTCGTTGTCCTTGCCAGGTCTAGAGACGTTCTGGATTGTAGGTGAAAACCGATGAAGGCACCGATATCGCCCAAGAACTGTTCATGCGCGGCCGTGAGACGTTCGGATGCCAGATCGGACACATCTTCGGACAGACCATATGAGCCCACTGGCTTTGAGCTCAAAGCGATGGACGACGGCTGCGCTGGGGACGACGTATCATAGGAGAACATATGACGAAGTTCCTCCGAGATTATCTCTGGACCAAACTGCTCGTCAACAACTTTCGTACTCTGTGAGGACTCGTCGTATTCGAGAACCCTGAAATGGAACCTTGGAATCTCTTTGAAACAGTCAGGAGAAGACGATCGGACCGAGTTCTCATCAACGTGCGATAATGGACAAGATGAAAGACCTGCATGTAATGAGGCTCTGACTGTTCGAGGGTTCTGAACAGCTTCATCGTAACGCGAACTTGATTGTCTTTGCCTTGGAGAGGTGCTTTGAGCCCAAATATCGAGGAAGCGAGCCCCTCTGCAAGCTACTTTGAAAGCATTGGTCAAGTATTTCTCAAGTGTGGACCAGACCACGGCATCCGAACAGTCAGAAAAAGTGTTGAGTATGTTCTCACGGTCTTTCAAGAGAGTAGACAGATCTGCTAAGAGACTTTTTCGAGTTCGTCTCAAGGCAATATGCCTTTTGATCATGGGGTCATCCCTGTGCAGACAGTCACAGTGCTCCAACAAGCGACGAACGCCAGCCACGAGACCTTGAACATAATCCTGCCTGTCCTCGGACAAAGCTTCGTCGTTTGCGCCTAGGCTCAGATAATCCCAAATCCGAGTCAATGCATGGAGGAGAGATCGCATAGGTTGAGGGTCGTAGATCTGACAGTAGTTGGTGGGTATCCAGCCTCGAGTTCCGGTGGAGAGTATAGTCCCATCGGCCCAGCCGTTCGGGTGAAGAAGATGTATGAGGACGATGTCGCCCTCTCGTAGAGGAGCGGTGATAGAGATGCCACCGGAGGAGCCGGAGATGGTAGTTTGCTCGGGCTGGTAGTCATGGCTAGCACGGAGGTATATGCGGTCGAGAGGAGACACTTCGTATTGGCGCTCTAATGCAAGATCTGTCTCCTCGGATGAGTAGGTTATATCCTTAAGGCCGCTCATGATTTAGAAGATGATGCAGTCACGCATCTATTGATGGCGTAGATGGTCAAAGGGTCGGTCGAGTTTGTACTGGCTCTTTCGTTTCGTGGTTGTGGGGACACAGGAGAGACTTGCGGGCATGCTGCCTGGACGTGCGCAAGTGGATGGCGTGTATCAAGAGATGCTACTCGTGCGTCTGGCGTGAATGCACAGCCATTGCTGTGGGTGCAATAGGTTGATGTCGTCGCGATGAGGGCAAACAAGACCTGCAGATGTGTTGTTGCAGCCAGAGTCGTGGAATGCGAGTCAGGGAAATGGCGTTGGACAGTGTCGAGGTCGAGGTCGTTGCCAAAGTGCAACAACGAATGACGACTGACTGCCAGTGAGCCGAGGGGTTAAGGCGGGACGCAAGGAGAGAGCGACAGCCCCGCAGACGTCGAGAAGGTGCAGAATGTCTTTTTCTGACAGCGACTCGCAAGCCTTTTGTCTTTGGTGACATGCATGCCGGCATTACCACTATCCATTGTAAGATCAACCATGCACGAGTGGTTCACCATCCTCGGTAACCTAAATTCTTAATCCAACGGCGGCCCGTGATCCTAACCATTTGCATCCGAGCAGACTGGAAAGCTTGACAAGAATCTACTCTGTCTGCGACGTTTCGAAACTGCCTATGTCAAAGCATTCACCATATGCTGACTGTATGCACCGAACTGAGACCATTTCGTTTAACAAGGACAAAATCGATCAAAGACAAACCATCGATCGACACCAAACTCTATTTAATGGACCCTGAGCACGCCCACTGCCACGCACTCGGGGACCGCACGACCAAGATGTGATCTTGGCTCTGAGATGGGCTGGTTTCTGGTTTTGGAATCTTGGGTAAGAGCTGAGCACCCCCGAGTAATGGAGCATGCGATCGCACGGCAGTGCTTGGTTGACAGCATCATCTATTGAGATCGACACAGAGCAATTCTTTCTTCGCTTAACAAGGACTGCCGACTCGATTCGCTTTGCTCGCGAGAATTCTTCGGTTGTCTGAAAAGGTCGTGACAGGTCCTAATGTGCTCTTACCCTTGCCAGTCTTGATCATCAAGTACATTTAGTAGCGTAAGTAGCAAGAAGGACCACTTGAAGTTCGTTTCATGAGGAGAGCCAGCATAGACTGCACAAACGTCAAGAGGAACAGCTTGTGCATCCGTCAAATAACGCATGAGTAACAACAGCCCATATGCTTGACTCGCCATGCCGACTCGCATGGCACAACGGAGCACCTGTTTGATTCGGGAAGGTTGATGCCAATGATGGTCATAGTTGGTTGTCAACCACATTTTCCTTGTAGATGATGGACGAGTTGGTACATTTTGTGATCCTCATCAAGTCGACCAAGTACTGAGCACAGTGTTGAGAGAAGGATTCTAGTCCAAGCTCCAGCATGCCCTAAGTGTCAAAGAGTTGACAGGAAGTGTGTGTGCTCAATGACAGTCTCGAATGTTGAGTAGGCGATAAGAAAGATAAGACTGTGACACGGGCCGCCTCTACGCAAAGGTCAGATCCATCCCGCAAACCCAATGAATGGCTGTTGAAACTTGAAATTCCAGCGCTACACTGACAACCACCATCCTCGCTGGGCTCATTGACAACCGCGGGCACAATGTTTGAACATGTGTCTTTGACTGTCCACGAGGCCTTTTCTGGCATCGCCGGGAGCATTTCGCTGGCTTGCTGGATCTTCCTGCTGGTAAAAAATCCCTTCGCTGCTCCTGTCGCATACACTCGTGACTGACTCAATCTTGTCAGGTGCCTCAACTGATTGAGAACTACCGTCAATCTTCTGCAGACGGCATCTCCATCACTTTCCTGCTAGTATGGATGGCCGGCGACATCACCAACCTTGCCGGCGCTCTTTGGGCTGATCTCGTGCCCACCGTCATCGCTCTCGCTATTTATTTCTGTTTCGCAGACGCCGTCCTGTTGTCGCAATGCTTCTACTACAACACCTTGAACGCCCGTCGCGAACGCAAACGCTCTATCGCCGCCGCCGAGAACCATGTCGTTGACGAGAGTGCCCCTTTGCTCGCTGAGCAACAAGATAACCTTGGTCTGCCTGGTAGTAGAAGACGCAGCAGTGCTGCCAGTCGCAGACGCACTAGAAGCAGTGCTGAGCGAAGCAATAGCCTTGCCAACATTCTGGAGGAGGGACAAGGATCCACTGCTTGGCTGAAGAACACTCTCAGTGTTGCAATAATTCTCATTGCTGGAGCCGCAGGATGGGCTATTGCTTGGAGGGCTGGCGCATGGAAGCCAACCCCTGAGAATGCCTCTGATGGTGGCAGACACATGCCCGTCGGTGCTGAGGTCCTTGGCTACGCGAGCGCCGTATGCTACTTGGGGTATGTTTTTCTTCGTGTCCTCAACACACGCCACGTATCTCTGTGCTGACATGTCCCAAGTGCTCGCATCCCTCAGATTATCAAGAATCATCGCGAGAAATCTTGCGAAGGCTTGTCGTTGTTGTTCTTTTTGCTCTCGCTGATGGGAAATCTCACTTACGGTGCAGGGGTAAGTTCTCTAGCCATTTTCTTTCTCGTTACCGTCACTTACACGCTCAGATCCTGCTGCATTCTGTTGAGAAACAGTACTTCCTCAAGAACCTGCCTTGGCTTATTGGGTCTCTCGGAACCATTTTCGAAGATGCCGTCATCTTCATGCAATTTCACATGTACGGCGAGAAAACATCGGCTATCGAGTGATCAGGTCGACTCGTCTTTATGTCTGTTCATACATTTTCTCGCCATAGATGTCAACATGAGTATGGTATCCACATCGTATAATCCGCACAGAAACCTTACGCCTAGCTATTGTATGAATAACGAGTTCACACGACTTTGCAATCTTTCTGATCACTGGAGAGCCTGCCGATGTCGGATTGAAAGCAGGTACAAACTCACATGTGACGTGCCACAACTTGGAAGCTCGCACGATCGACCCCGGCTCGGGCAGAGACTGAGGGGAAGCTGAACCTTGATGTTTCTGACCCCGACCTTCTGCGATGGGAAACCAGCACCTTGATATATATTGCATGTCTTCATGTCCCGAGTTATTCATTGCGACTCGAGTGCTCGGGTGCCAAACCAGAAAATCCAAAATGTGAACAAAGGTTCTGTGCTTGGTGTGAAGACAACCATGTCGAGCGATACAGGCGGAGCAAAAGTATCAGGCCAAGCATGGCCGTTTTTGGCAATTGGTATCGCGATAATGACGAAAGGTAGGAAAAGCAAAAGTCAACGATTGGCCAGAGTTCATCCCGCGGTCGTGTGCCTTCCTTTAGCCGGTACAGAGACATGTGGTGCAGTAGAAGGTTGCTGGCAGACTCTGCGTGAGTTGTCTTTGAGTGCATGATCTTGTGTTTCTCATCATTTCCAGTCCATCGACTCGAACTTGGTCACAATATTGAGATACATGATTGCTGAGCGTTGTTCGACTGTCTATTGCTCCTTAAACCTTGACTCTTTTGGGACAGCATGAGTAGACCTGTCTCGCCGGTCCACGGATCACTATCAGAGACAACGAAGACCAATGAAGGTATTCAAGTCGTCGTCGACAAGGCTTTTCCAGAACAAACCTACGATGAAACCAAGCAGACCGAGTCCCGATTTCTCGAGCCTCCGCAGTACAGGACACCTCATAGACCTTTATCTCCCGACACTTTGTCCAATCTCTCTGCAGATGAGTTCGATCAACTTGGTCCACGGAATGATGAGCCGTCGGTCTGGCTAGATGGTGGACACCACATGGGGCTTAGACCATCCTGGTCGGCCAAATGGCAGGCAAGGCTCCATGCTACCTGGGTACGCAATGCTGGGCTTTTCTACATGTTGCTTGCTCAAGTGTTTGGTGTTATGATGAATGTCACTACCCGATTACTGGAGATAGAAGGAAACAAGGGTAAAGGACTGCATCCATTTCAAGTATGTATTCTGGTCATCAAATCTCATGTACATCATGTTCTGACCAGCAAAAGATCTTGTTCGCTCGCATGTCTATCACTGTGGTACTCTCATCTCTTTACATGTATTACACCAAGACACCACACTTCCCACTGGGACATCGAGAGGTCAGATGGCTCTTGGTAGCAAGAGGGCTAGGGGGCTTTTGGGGAGTATTTGGAATGTACTACTCGCTCATATATCTGCCTCTCGCAGATGCCACAGTCATTACTTTCCTAGCTCCCAGTCTGACATGCTGGGTTTGCTCGATATTGCTCAAAGAACCTTTCACTAAGATTGACAAGATAGGAAGTCTTGTGTCTTTGGTGGGTGTGGTCTTCATTGCAAGACCAACATCACTATTCTTTTCTTCCTCAGAGGCGCCTCCGGCCAGTGGAGGCACTGAGGTAATCGGATCTAATAGCACAGTGACGACTCCAGATGCATCCAACTACGACAATGTCACACCGGCTGAGCGATTGGCAGCTGTTGGTATTGCGCTGGTCGGCGTAGGCGGTTCAGTGATTGCGTATACGACAATCCGCTGGATCGGAAAAAGAGCACATCCGCTCATCAGTGTCAATTACTTCGCTACCTGGTGCACAATCGTCAGCATTGTAGCCCAACTCACGCTTCCTGGTATCGGCTTCCTGCTCCCTGCCGATGCAAAGGAGTGGGGATATTTGGTCTTCCTCGGGTGAGTACAAGATGTGAACCTTACGGAGTCTGTGACTAACGACAGACAGGGCATGTGGATTTATTATGGTATGGATAGAAAATGAAGGCTTGTTCGCAAAGACTGACATCGAGACAGCAATTCCTTTTGGCAGCAGGACTGAGTTATGAAAAGTCGTCGCGAGCAACCAACATGGCATACACATCAATGCTTTTCGCGTTGGGATTCGACAGATTTATCTTCGGACAGACACCAGGACTCACGTCTATAATTGGGTCGACATTGATTCTTGGGTCAGCAATATACATGGCAATGCAGAAAGATAAAGGCGACGGTCGCAAAACTGAGACAACAGGGGGACTAGCGCAAAATAGAGATGAAGAGGAAGGTTTGATGAGAGGAGTACAAGAAGGAGATGAGGAAATCTTTGACCAAGCACAGCAAAGCAGCATTGAGATGGGTCAAATGGAAACCAGACGGGAATGAGGTTAGGTACTTAGGTAATCATGGATACAGGCATACAAGGGGCCAAAAATAGATCTATGTCAAGATAATTTGCAATCAATAAGTTGAGTAATTATGAACGTGTCAAGACATGGGCGCAAAAAAGTAAGAGTCGTCTCGAGGAGGAAAAAAAAGGAGCGAAAAAGAAGGGAAAATTGGCTGGGGACGCGGCTCGAGTGAGTGGGAATGACGAAGTCGAAGTTTGGAGAGTCGAGAGCGTCCGTCTACGTCCGTCAGCACTTCCCAACCAACAACGTCAGGAACGAGGCATTCCGGCGCCATCCTTTTGCACACGCGGCGGCTCTATATATCTTTCACGACAGCATCCAGCCAGGAATATCAGAGGCCCGTGACAAGCGTGCCAGCTTCCTACCTCCAAATACTCGAGGTGGAGCACAGCCACTTGGTGGTAGCCTCATCCTGATCCTGATTCATCCTCGCCCGCAGTCAATCCTCTCGGTCGAGGCACGTGCAGGCACAGCCAGACAGGCAGACGGTGCTCAGTATCCACGTCTAGAGTCCTGTATAGTTTCCCATAGCGGGTGGTGCATGGGCTTTGACGTCTTGTCGACAAGAGAAGCAACCCCACGACGTCCATCTCGAGCGACTGAACCGCCCGAAACACCATGGCCGACCTTCCGGCGCAGCCCAACCTGCGCGTCACCAGTGCGCGCTCCAAATCTATCCGTTCTCTATTGCAATACTGACTATCTGCCCGCAGTCATCGCCGCCGATGGCCTCTACAAGCGCGACGTCTTCCGTGAGTTCCCCTCCATTGCCCGCTCGTGCTGCGAAGCGTCAACTGACGCTGCCCTGCAGGTTTCCCCGACCCTTTCGCCGTAGCCACCATCAATGGCGAACAAACAAAGACGACAGGCGTCATCAAGAAGACGCTCAATCCATACTGGAACGAGAGCTTTGACATGTACGATCAAGCCCCTCAACCTCGACCCTACCCTACATTCCCGGACTGACGGATCCCGCAGGAAAGCAAATGAAGAGAGCATTCTCGCTGTGCAAATATTTGACCAGAAGAAGTTCAAGAAGAAGGACCAAGGTTTCCTTGGTGTTGTCAACGTCCGTGTTGGCAGTGTCATCGATCTGGACGCTGGTGGTGACGGTATGCCCGCATGTGCTTTCACTACACACCCTCGTGCTAACAAGCTGTCATTGTAGAAATGCTTACACGCGATCTTCGCAAGAGCAATGATAATCTCGTCGTAAACGGCAAGTTGATCCTCAATCTGTCGACCAACCTACGTCCGGCCGCGACTCCTGCCGCCGCTGCAACCCCCGCTCGACCTAACGGTGCCGCCTCAACAACGACACTGGACAACCCTCCTCCGGCCAGCGCTTCGCGCCAGGCCAGCACTTCGGGCGACGCATCCGCTCCACGCACCGCTGGCTTCAGTGCCTTCGAAGACTCCCAAGGCCGTTTACCTCCAGGATGGGAGCGCAGAGAAGACAACCTCGGACGTACATACTACGTCGACCACAATTCCAGGCAAACCACATGGGTCCGCCCGACGGCCAACTTCAATGCTGGCGAACAGCGCCAGGCCAACGAAGCAGAGACGCAAGCGCAGCGTGCGCGACACCAGAACCGCATGTTGCCTGACGATCGCACAGGTGCTAGCTCACCAACCTTGTCGGGCGGCCAGAACTCGCCTCCTAATGGTCCTGCCGCAACTTCCAACCCTCAGGCAATGTCGATGATGGCTACTGGCACTACCACTGCTGGTACTGGCGAGTTGCCTGCTGGTTGGGAACAACGCCATACACCAGAAGGCCGTGCTTACTTCGTCGACCACAACACACGCACTACTACATGGGTCGACCCCAGGAGGCAGCAATACATTCGCATGTACGGTCAAAACGCCGCACAAGGCACCATCCAGCAGCAGCCTGTTTCACAGCTTGGTCCTCTGCCCAGTGGATGGGAAATGCGTCTCACCAACACCGCCCGCGTCTACTTTGTCGACCATAACACCAAGACTACCACCTGGGACGATCCTCGCTTGCCTTCTTCGCTCGACCAGAATGTACCGCAGTACAAGCGTGACTTTAGAAGGAAGCTTATTTACTTCCGCTCTCAACCAGCGCTCCGCATTCTGTCAGGACAATGTCACGTTAAGGTTCGACGTTCTCATATCTTCGAGGACTCATATGCCGAGATTATGCGCCAAAGTCCTAGTGATTTGAAGAAACGATTGATGATCAAGTTCGATGGTGAGGATGGTCTCGACTATGGTGGTCTCTCAAGAGAGTTCTTCTTCCTTCTATCTCACGAGATGTTCAACCCCTTCTACTGTTTGTTCGAGTACTCGGCCATCGACAACTACACGCTACAGATCAACCCCCACTCTGGTATCAACCCAGAGCATCTTGGCTACTTCAAGTTCATTGGACGTGTGGTCGGTCTTGCCATTTTCCACAGACGCTTCTTGGACGCCTTCTTCATTGGAGCCTTCTACAAGATGATTCTTCGCAAGAAGGTTAGTCTTGCTGATATGGAGGGTGTCGATGCCGACTTCTACCGTACTTTGAGTTGGACTCTGGACAACTCTGTCGAGAACGTCATTTTCGAGCACTTCTGTGTCGAGGATGAAGTTTTCGGCGAAAAGGTAACTATTGACCTCAAGCCTGGCGGCAGAGACATCGAAGTGACCGACGAAAACAAGAGAGAATATGTCGAGTAAGTTATCCTTGATATTATACTATCTGAGAATGATCGTATCTAACGTATGTTCGCAGGCTTGTCACAGAATGGAGAATCCAGAAACGTGTCGAGGAGCAATTCAACGCCTTTATTCAAGGATTCCACGAGCTCATTCCATCAGACCTTGTCAACGTCTTTGACGAGCGTGAGCTCGAGCTTCTGATCGGTGGTATCTCTGAAATCGATGTAGATGACTGGGCCAAGAACACCGACTACCGTGGCTACGACGAGAAGGATCCCGTCATCCAAAACTTCTGGAAGGTGAGATTTACCGACTCGACATCGTCAATCGTTCCACACATGCTAATCTCCTCTTACAGTGTATTCGCACATGGGACTCTGAGCAAAAATCTCGTCTACTGCAATTCGCAACCGGTACCTCCCGTATTCCTGTCAACGGTTTCAAGGATTTGCAAGGAAGTGACGGACCTCGTCGCTTCACGATCGAAAAATCAGGCGAGGAGGGTCAATTGCCCAAGTCGCATACTTGTTTCAACCGTCTTGACTTGCCGCCGTACAAGACATACGAAGCGCTCAACGCCAAGCTTCTATGGGCTGTTGAGGAGACAGTCGGATTTGGGCAGGAGTAGAAGGAAAGTTTGGAGGAAAGGAAATATTCAACTTTATCATTTGCGGATCATCAGAGGGAGGTATCAGTGTGGTTTTGGAGGGGACATGGTAGATCAGAGCAGCGAGAAAGAAATAGGGAGAAATTTCTTTCTGTGCTCCCACTTGTTGAGTTTGAGTCCTTTTTTTTTTTGGTTCTTGTGGATTGTTCTTGTTTATTCACGATGCTGCTCAAAGAAGAAGAAGAAGAATATTGCGAAATGTGCATTACTGTCCAATACGTTCTTTCCCTTTTGAGTCTTTTCGATTCGTTCTTTCCTGTAGTGACTTTTGACTTCTTGCCAAACATGTTTCTTCCTGATATATCTGTAGAAGCCTCTTTCGTTTTCAGAGATCCTTTCTTGACTATTATATATAGCGCGATACATATAGGTAGACGCTACTTTTAATTCATTCCAGAACGTATCTTGCAGTTTTTAAATGACTTCGTAGGCTTCAAAAGGGGGGTTCGTAGTTCTTCAACTGAGCAAAGGTTCTCGTTCTGTTCTCGGGGAGGAAAAAAAAGCATCAGCCAGAGTTCTTTCTCTTAAGCACCTTTTGTACTCTCAATGTGGATGGCAGAGAAATCCGATTTGATACCCTCTTCTTCGTCTTGCACGTTTGTGGCATTCTGCAACGACTTTGCACGCGAGTAGGCTGGGATCGTGTCGTAGGTTGCTCCTTTGATGATGTTGCCTTCGAATAGCAGGGACATCGATTCGAGGGGTACGCCTTTGGTCTCGGGGATACTGTTGTGGAAGCGTCAGTCTTGTAATGGCTCTTGAAGTTGATGTGAACATAGGAAATGTTTTGGATCTTACCAGAAGATTGTGTAGATGGCCATTATGATGCAACAACAACCGAAGAGGAGGAAAGTGCCGTAGGTAATGCTGTTGAGCATGACGGGAGTGATTCTGGCTATCACGCAGTTGAAGGCCCATTGGCACATCAATGCTGATGCCATGACCAATGAGCGAACGTGATTGGGCTGTAATTTTGTATCAGCAACATTACAGGCTTCAAAAAGACATGGCTGCGGCTATACATACACTTGTCTCGGAAGCAAGGATGAATGGAATTGGACCCCATCCTACGCTGTAGAAGACGACAAACAGGTACACTGATATGATGGCGAAGATGCTGTTGCCGTTCAAAGGTGCGCCTTCGACTACTGGATTCACGGCTTGGTTGATGCCGATATAAAACATGGCAAAGGCTTGCCCACAGGCACCAATTATCAAGCTCCATTTTCTGCCGAGTCTGCAAGGGCACTAGGTTAGATCAATAAGAAACATGTGGCTTCAGCTGACTTACTGCTCTGTCATGAGTGCCAAAGCCAAAGCGGTAATGACAACTTTGACCACACCATAGATTCCGGTAGCAAAGAGACCAGCAGACGAACCCAATCCGATGGACTTGAAGATTTGTGGGCTATAGTAGTTGATCGAATTTGTCCCTGTCCATTGCTGAAACATCATTAGAATGATAGCCATCGTGTATCTGTAAAAGTACTTTCGGTCAGAGCAGACTGTTTTGAGTTGTCCCAACAACGAGATCCTCTCGTGACTTTGAAAGTCGGCTATGATCTCTTCTAGCTCTTTAACCACGATAGGATCATCCTGGGAGCGGCCGCGTACATGGGCAAGTGCTCGAGCGGCGTCTTCGTGGCGGTCTTTCTCGACTAGCCATCTTGGACTTTCGTTTTGAAAGACGATTCCGATGAGGAGAAGTGCACCGGGTAGCATCTGAAGAGCAAATGGGACTCGCCATTGAGCATCGTCGTGTTCTGAAATAGATCGAGTCACGCCGTAGTTGACAAAGTACGAGAGCATGATACCCGTCACACTGTCTGCGGTTAGCGATGATGCAAACGATCAGGGAAGTTATACTGACTTGAAGAGTTGCATGGTTCCTATGCAGCGACCTCTGATCTCCTTGTTCACATTCTCACCTGAATAATTATGGGTTAGAAGCAGTTCCATCTAGGACGAGACCAAACTTACCAATATATGTCGGAACAACAGCACTGATCAAGCCCACACCAATGCCACCAATGACTCTGCCCACATACAATATAGCAAGTGAGTGATTGCCGATAGCACTGCAAGTCTGAAGCAAGCTGCCAATGATGAAAATGATGTCAGCATAGAGCAAGGCAGACTTGCGACCAAAAGTGTCAGAGACCCAGAAGCTAGCAGCAGCTCCAAGAAAGCATCCAGCTTGAAGGACGGACACAATATTGCCTGACAAGTTGGCATATGCAGTGTGATCGCCATTGAGAGCGAATGAGTCTTTGAATGACTGCATGGTCAAGACGCCACCAATTAGACCCTGTCAAGATGATTAGCTTTATACCATCGATGGCCAAGCTCGACTGGACTGATCCATACCGTATCCCAACCGAAGAGCATGCCTCCAAAACTAGCAACAGCAGTGAGGGTATATGCTCTTCGGTATTGTTTGATATCGGCCCAAACACCCATTGACTTGGTGTCGGACGCCATCATGGTCTGATCAGGCTGGGTACTGCTCATGGTGACAAATTCAGACAAGTGACGCAACCAGAGAAAGGAATGTTTGAAAGAAGATTTGATCAAGTTGGTGGAGAAATCGAGTTGATATAGCAGGACTTCGGCCACGAAGGATCGACATTGCCCCGTGGGGTGAGAATCACCCATCGGCTATTGAGGAGGATCACTCAAGAAACGACCTGGAATGCATTGATATTGTGCATATCGTTAACGGTATCGTTTGCCGACAACTGCACTGGTACGGTCGACACTTGAGAGGATAATTGTAAGTCATGAGCGATCATCCGATTCGTTGATACTATCTACATCAAAGGAGCAAGCTTCTCGAGTGAGCATCTACTTAGACTGCTCGGGTATCAATGTTACCAGCTCGCCCTTCTCGACAGCCGACCTCAAGTTCTCCAGTACTAATAGCTCCATATCCTTCTGCGTCTCCCAAGTTGCGGTGCCAATGTGAGGCAGCAAGACAACACGATCATCGCTAATAAGTTCGGGATGAATCTTGGGTTCCTCCTCAAAGACATCGAGGCCAGCAGAGAAGACCTTCTCGCTCTGAATGGCCTTGACGAGCGCAGCTTCGTCAATGATTGGTCCTCTGGCTGTGTTGATAATAATAACACCGTCCTTCATCATCTCGAACTGTTTGGTGGAAATGATGTGCTTCGTCGAGGGGTTGAGAGCGAGGTTGAGACTCAGAACATCCGAAGTCTTCATCAAGTCATCAAACGAGACATATTTGGCATTTCCTGCCTTGTCGGCGGGCAGTGGGTTGCGGTTGTGGTATTGAATCTTCATGCCGAAAGCAGCAGCCCTGTCGGCCACAGCCTTTCCAATACCTCCCATACCGAGAATACCCAAGACTTTGTTCTTGGGGTCATGGCCCAGGCCGAAAGCCTTGCCTCGCCATTCGCCCTTGCGCACGGCATTGAAGGGAACAGTGATGCGTCTCAAGGCTCCCAACATGAGGAAAATGGCAACATCGGCAGTAGCATCGTTGACAGCAATAGGCGTACTCGAGATCTGAATACCACGAGCAGTACAGGCCTTGACATCAATGTTGTCATAACCAGCACCATTGTGTGTAATATATTTGACGCTCTCAGGCAGCAAATCAACCAACTCTTTGTCAAAGGGTCCTGTTACGCCCGTCGACTCGTTACTGCGGTATACGACAAAGGTGTCGGCAAATTCTCCAGACTTCAGCTTGGAGAGGAAGTCATCTCTTGAGCCGGTCTTGTACTCCTGTATTTGGCAGTCAGCGGTTGTTCATACGGCTGATGACGCTGTGTCCACCAACCTTCAAATCGATCAGAGAACCAAGTTCCTCCCACTCCTTGCGAGCATGTGTGATGTTGCCAATGAGCAGAGCTGAACGACCCATTTTGAGCGTATGTATGGAGCAAAACTTCGAATTATTGAGAAGCAGGGAGAAGAGCTCCAAAAAGATAGAAGAACCGAAGGTAAATGACGGATCAATGACTGTTTGTATAGCCGACGAGCCCCTCAATTTCTCCTCCATCCCGCCTTTATCGGCATTTGCTTGCCTAGGTAGCTATCTCATATGCCTATCTGTTGGCAACGTGAAGCTGTCTGATGCCTTCGAAGCTTCGAAGACCCTCGGTGACATTTTTACCCTCGGTGGGCGGTGCTCTGCTTTGCAGTATCATCATGCCTTTCTATAGGTCACTATACGGTCTGCATCAGCACGAGAGAGAGGAGCTAGGGCATTGGTGTGCGTTGACCTCGTTGCTTTCCCACAACATATATTTCAAGTACACAAGAACTACAGCATAAAGCTCCAATTGTCCATCGATCCCAATCCGCTCATGGGACCCAAAGGACCGCTGTCCGTCGGAAGGAACCCAGTCCACCACTCGGCATCTGTTGACATGCCTTCATTTCCATTGACAGCAAAGTTTCCTATGGCGTCCAAGTCCGTCCAGCTAAAGTCGCCCATCTGATCTGCCACCGCTGGCGACTCTAATGAGGCTGAGGCGGCAGAATTTGAGGCCGGCGTGGTAGCGCTGACAGGTCTGTATGGATTCTCAAGCGTGGCAAGCGACCGCGTAGACCGAGATTCCCTGTGTGACTTTCTGTCCACCTTGTCCCAGAGCAATTTCAGCAGCTGCGAATACCGGCTGCCAGGGTGACCCTCTCCAACGCCTGATCTTTGAAGCACAGTCACTGTCTGCTGAATCATCCTTCTGACCGAAGCTTCTTCTTCAGGTGCCATCACGCCAACAGTGCGGGCATGATACAGAAATACGCCTGCATAGACTGTGAAAAGATAGAACCTCAACGGCATATATCGTAACATTCTAAGAGAGCCAGAGTCAGTAAGCAATACCCAATGCAATCAAAGATGTATTTATAGTACCTTTCCGCATCAACAAAGTTGTTCATGGTTGTCAAAAGACTTTTTGCAGCATCGAGGCCTTCATAGATAAATCTTGCATCTCCAACAGCTCCAACATTGTTGTAGAACACTCGACTGAAGGAAGGTTTTCCGTTCTCTCCTTCGGGTAATGCGCGACGAATTGTGGCATGAAATGCAAAAGCGTTGGTATACAACCGTAAGTAATCATAGGACATTAGCAGCATCGCTTTCAGATTCGGTGAGCCTAGATATTCATCAACATCAGATAACAGCATGACGGGAGGAATGCAAACGTACATGTCATTGTGCCGTATACAGCGTTCCATCCATAGTAAGCGCTGCGGAAATCCTGAATCGTAGTCAGCACCAAAATCTGCAGAGATGGGACTCTGGTATGACTTGCATCAACGATTTTGATATAGTAACCGCCAGTCAAATGATTTCTCAGACTGTTTCCGGGGCTACTATATAGCACATCATGCACATTACTGAATAGTAGCGTCAACTCCAATGTAGCCTGGAACAACCTTGGGAAGTCTTCGTCGCCAGGAGTCTGGGGTTGGTAAGGATAGTCTTCCTTCCGAATAGCTAATCCAGGGCCCGGGCCTCGACTCCAGAAAGCACGACCAATACGAATAGAGATTTGTCTGTCCGATATGTAGCAGCAAGTCCAGACTAGACGCTTGCGCTTCCACTGAGGGTCTTTGATGTCTCCTGCCACAGGGAACGAATACTTGTCCAGTCCGAGATAATAGCCAATACGCAAAGCAGTACCGACGTGCATCCAGGCTTCGCGATCTTCTTCTCCACGTCCGACGTTTCCTGCACGGCTTCTTGATGTATACGGTGTCCATTCGGCTAGTATAAGCAGACTTTCGACTGCTTCGACTCCTCCGGGACCACCGGCGACCAATGCAGAAACCAATGACTGCATATATGCTGAGCACGCCGTAAAGATTTGTGGTTCCTCCGTCAGGTCTTTTGAAGCAATGACTAGCATGGCTGTCAACAGATGAGGTTCGTCCTTGGCTGTGTTTACTAGATTGTTTGTGTCCAGGGTACTTGGAGGCGCAAGTGAAAAGTAAGGGTGATAATGTTGACGATAGCGTTCGACCAATTGGGATATCTTGGTAGACGACAGAGCGCCTGACCGCACAAGATGATAATCCAGGCCATCATTGTTCCAATTGTTCGAGTATAGAGAATTCGTACGAAGGCTATGATTCTGTTGCCTCTCTTGCCAAGCGGTCTGCTGAGACGGATTGTTGTTATTGTTGTCATTGCTTGCAATTTGAGCCAAGATGTCCAAAGCATCAGAAGGATTCTGCAAGTCGTTGAAAGGTATATTATCAGAGCTCGATGAACGGCCGGACTCCTCATTGTTCTGCTCGTGTGGTCTCATATCGTTCGCTGGTGCTGTTCCGACAGTAGAATCGATATCCATAGCCAGACTCTGCGAATCGAAGAGTTGCCGCTGGGTGGCAAAATCTAGACTGCTGACGCCTGTGTTCGCCGATAGAGGGGTCGCACCAGTGATATTGTGATGTGAAGAGGCAGAGTACGGGTCAGTGGGTATTGCACTCGGATTCCTAGGCAACGAACACATTCAGCCTGGTACATTATGGCTTCTTATGTCCCTCGGAGATGAATTCTCGTTGTATACCAAGGGCACAGACGAATGTAGTGTGCACTTGTATAGCTTTCTAAGGGCAAGCTTTAAGACTTACCAGGATGTTGCTTGTGCGGATTCATCGTTTACTGGCGTCTTCTGAGTCTGCTGATCGGTTCGAGGTTGAGGTTGGTTGCTCGCCTGGGTTTGGGCTCGAGCTTGACCTTGTGCTTGTTGTGAGGCTATGGTGGACCTTCTAACCCTTCTGCCTCCACGATTGCTGCTGCCAATGACACATTGCTTGTTCTCTTTACGGCATCGCAGGCATGGAGGCTGAGGTTCTCCGTCTGTTGTGTCTCTAGAGAAGGCGGTCAGACAAAATCCTCATGTCGCAGCATGCAAATCCTCTGGGTAGTGTCTGAAGAGAATTGGACTGAATCCGGGATTGGGGACGGGTATTGATGACTGACAGCGTGCATTTGCTCTTCCTTGCACGGCAAACTAAGCCTGAGAATGGTCAGTCAGACGTATGTTGAATAAGCAATTGTGCGAAATAATGATTTTTCTGGAGGCAGCTCCATATTTCTGTGAGGTTCATGGGCCGGTGATACATCGCTTGTCGGGTATTCATAACGACCCGACTCAATATGGCTCGCGTTCACAAGGATGAACTGTTACATACAGGCTTTGCTTGTTCGTTTCCCATGTTTGCCTGGCTCAGGTGATCCTTGCGATCGAGTGTCTGCGTTCAAGTCGGCCATATTTTTGTCTCCCAAGAAACTTGTAGAGCAAACTTCCTGGGAGGACGTTAAACACATCAAGAAGAGCCAGATGCCGACGAGAAATGGGGAAGGCGCGACTCGGCTGTTGAAAGTTGTGCGACGGACGGAAGGAAAAAGGAAGGTGATGGTTGTCAACAAAACCGTAAACTGATCAAAATGTGGAGACGTTCGCTCCTTCCAACAGCTACATCAACATCCCTATGATCACGCCTTTGTCTGAGTATCAATTGTGCATTTTTATAGCTCAAAAATTTCTATATTTGACGTGAGAAATAGGTTGTTCACAAGGTCGTCAAAGAATCCCCCAAGTCAATTTGCAGTGGCTGGTCGATGCTTAAACGTCTAACATCTGGGCGAGGAGAATTGTTAGCTGTCCAAATGCACAATACTTTCTGGATTTATATACGATCCAGAGAAACTGCCGCGTGTAGCCCGAGAAACGTGCAATACTATCAAGTCTACCAAGAGCAACTTTGATAACATCCGTCATTTCTGTCGAACAACTACAATACAGAATGGGTATGTAGCCGGTCCTCAAGGTGAGAGGCTGCTACTTGCATTACGCTCTGACCATCTGCGTTTGCCTGTTCGGACCTCAAAATGCGAGGCGAAACACGGGTCGGTCTGACCAGAGGCCATTATCGCACTCCACGTCTTGTCTCGATAAGCATCAACTAAACCACGGTCAGTTATCAAGCCTGCACGAAGTTCGGGGTTGACTTACGCGACTTTTGCATAAACATCGTCCTTTCGTTAAAAGTTTTCGCTTGCCTCCAACTCATACGATAGCCCAATTCATTCAGCGCACATTCTTTCGCTTGAAGATCTTTTGGAATCTCAGGAACAGAAAGTTGTACCTCCGATCCATCGGACAGGGGCACATCAGCCAAGCTTTCACCTTCCGAGGTCATGCTTTCATCTTCCCTTCTGCTTCCAGGGCCATGTTTCTCCAGATTCTGATCTGGCGAAGGCGCGTGCATCTGACGGGGGTAAAATTGCCGTGGATAAACGCTGTTCTTCTGCAGATGGAAATCGGGCATCTCTTCCAATTTTATTTTATCGAGCTCCACATGGACACGCACCCGAGTCCCGCGTGCAAAATCGTCGACAAGGATGAACTTGCGTTTCTTTCCCTCCAGAGCAGAGAGTGAGGGATTCTTTTCTTCTTCCTCTGCCTTTATGAAGTCCTTACTATTTGTGAAAGATGATTCGAATCCGGTTGAAAAAGACGTTGACAGTGTGGGACAATGACTGTCTCGACGATGAGACTCGAGTGGTGAATCAAGAGCGAGGCTGGTCGAAGGACTTTGATGGTTCAAGAACGGATGTGCTTCATTGCTAACTATTGAAGAGAAAAGCCAATTAGCCTAGAGAAAATCGTAAAAAGTGGGTATTTGTATGAACAAGAAACCAAAGCGAGGAACCCCGACGCCTGTAAACCACCCATAGCATGATACATGTGATCCAAATTCATATAGAAGCCACCATTACAAAGCAGTAGCAACATTATGGCGTATAGCAATCAGAGGTGGAACATACCGCTCTCGCCTCCGCTAGCATCTGATGTCGAGTGATGATGATGTAGCTGTCCACCGTTCAGGCTGAGTGACGTTGTCGGTCTTGCTGGGTCCATAGACATGGCTGGCGGTACCCGCGAAGCAAGGACATCGGTGGGGGATAGTGGGACCGCTCCATCGGATTGACGTAGTTGTGCCTTTCGATTGTTGATCTTGGCTTGTCTGCGTACTCGCCGGCTTCGCAAACGAGGATCCTGGTTACTGTTACGCCAGCTGTCCACAGCACGCTGGATAAGGCCGCGTTTCTCTCTTAATGCTGGGTTGAGATGTGCCAACGCCCAACCGACAGCATTACATTCACTTTCATAGTGAAGTCTGTTGCCCTTGTAGCCTTCTTTGCCGCTGTATGCTCCTGGGTACACACAGTTTGCCGTTTTAAACTCAGGAGTTAGATCATCAATCACCACAGATTCGACATCGCAACGGATCTGATATTCCATCTTCACCCTATCTCGCGAGTATTCGAACGCGATCCACTGCACACCATTTTGATCTTGACGTACGACCAAAGGTGTTGTGGCGGGGATTGGACCTGGTGCTGCTGTGTTTGTCCCGGTCCCAGATGGAGGTGATGAAGTCGCAGCTGCGACAGAGGGAGCCGCTCCAATGCTTGACATTGGCCTCTGCATGTAATTTGATTCGGGTTTCATAAGCGGATATTCAAGTTTCAGGTGCGATGGCTCGGTCTTCGTTCGAGGACTTGCAGTAATGACTTGAGAGGGCGAGGAGTGTATAGCGGAAGTTGTCGGTTGAGACATCAGAATGGCCGAGCCTGGAGGTGACACAGGCGGGTAGGAATGCGGTGAAGGCTGAGTGGCGTATGCTGGGTGCGTGTGCAGAGCATATTGAGGATAGGCGAACATCTGCTGAGGAAACCCAAAGCCCTGACCGTACATACCGCGAGTCTGGAGGTCTTGATGCGACGGATGCATCGATGTTGACGATGCTGCCTGCGACGGGTGGTAAGCCCCAATGGAGGGATACATCTGTCGATTCACTACGGGATGAACTGCCATTGCTTCTGGATCTGTACTCTGAATCAGCATTACACACTTTCCATTGCTGTGATCCTGAAATTTACCGTTGAAACTTGGATTTCTGGAATTATAAGCAACAGGATAATAGGATTGTTGGTTGGTGTAGACTTGAGGAACAGAAGGCGTTTGGCTGGAACTAAAAGCAGCTCCGACAGATTGGTTAGGGAGAACGGGGCCTCCTGATGATGATGTAAGGTAGACCGGTGGAGGCAGTGATGATGCTGACTGTCTTGGAGAATCTACACGGCTGTGTTGAGGTGTTTCTCTGTAATCGTACGGTGCTGCCGCGTGCAGAATGCCTGACGGATTTTGTTGTGTGTAAGGCTGTAGTCGATGGTGTTAGAAATCGTTTGAGCAGAGAGTAAAATCGTGCAAAGATGAAGGTGTATGGACAGATTGATGAGATAAAGAGGTGTATCAGAGAATATATCGGTAGAAGCGGACCAATGTAGTCGAGGGCCCTTAATGGTACTTGAAGTCCGAATGGATATTGGAAGTGGATTGGTGTTGAGATGGAGTACAAGTACAAGATTATGTTGAGAAGGCATGATCTCAAGCAGATGTGGGTTTCGGGCAGAGCTAGGAGGGCGGGGAGCGGGCGGCCAAGCCAGCCGAAGAGCTCCTGTGTACTGTAGGTGGCTGACGAAAAGAGAGGAGTGCAGAGGATGTGAATGGAAGTATAGCCGAGATCTCTGGATGACCAGAGTGACAAGGCAAGTACAAGGATGAAGTGATTTGAACATGATGTTGAGGGGTAACGAAAGGCTGGGGCCTCACCATGTAGCGTGCAAAGGTGCTTGGGATTGCCGGGGACAGACAGCTTGTTTGATCCTGACCTGACACCTGCAGGAGATCCGGACCTCAACGGACGTGCAGCAGAAGATACAAGAGGACAGTCGTTGTGCTGCTAGGATGAGCACTATCAAGACGACCAGCGACAACAATAGCAAAATAGTAGTCCAGACAGAATTGGAGCGAGCGAAGGAGTTGGTTATTGAATTGACAAGGGTGGAAAAGCAGCAGCAACAAGAGAAGAATGAAACGGGCACTACTCACACGATCGCCCGCCACGACAGGAGCCGGCTCGACCTTATACGCCTCCCCACCGAGCAACAGAATTGTACATATGAGGAAGCATCATAAGGAAGAGACATGGCAAAGTCCGTGCGAAATGCAATGCACGTTGTAATCAATGCAGAGTGGTTCGTAATGATACCCGAACTAAGTGGCATCTTGATATAATGATGCGAGCTTCTCCCACAATCAGGCGGGTCCAAAGGACGACGAGTCGACGAATCAACAGGCGAGGTCGTCTGCGAGAAAAACAGTGGAAGCTTTTTCTTCGGCAACCCCACGTGCAAACTGGCTAAGGCAAGGCATGGCAAGGCACACGAGAGGATGAAACGCGCCACTAAACGCAAGCGATATTGCAAGCTTGATGAACGGCCGCAGTGACCCTCCGATTTCTGGAGTCCATCATCATCGTCCACAACAACATCCGCTTTGACCGGTGGCCTATGCGGCTCTTGCTCCGAGTCGTTCAACCGCCTGCTTAAGGTTGGCTTCCTTCTGCAGCTACCAAAAGCCTCTGACTCGATCTTTTGCCGTCGCTTTCGTGTTTGTAAAAGTAGTGATGGGCCAGAGGATCCATCAGCCAAGAATAGGATAACCTTTCCCCTTGTAGACAAGTGCTGTTGCACGACTGAATCTCTGTGTCCCTTCGCTCTTGTTCCTTCAAGGGATCAAGGGACGCGTGGACGGCTGTCTCCTTGGAGGCTGACGTTCAATCCCTCCCACCAAACGCCTGCCAATTGCGCCAGCGGAGCGCGTCAACCGCCAACCTTCTTTTTCCAAACCATCTGCTAGTCTCAACGTTTCACCTTGACTGACTAACGTTGTTGGTCCTGGCTTCCAACGTCCGGCTCCCACGCGTTCGGACCTCAATTCATTTTCTCACGAGGGCTGATCAGGCCGTGTGTCAATGTGACAGGGCAAGTTTCTTCGTCACTGGCTGTGGGAGCACTGCAATTTGCTTAGTTAGTCCTCTCGGCTGATTGATAAGACCCGAATCATAGCGGCAACCAAACTTCTCCCTCTCATCAGTCCGCAAGAGACTGATCAGTCTCTGAATTGTCGGCACTTGTGCAACATACTACCGAGATAGACGTCGCAGCTCTGTGGTTCGTTTTCGCTTGTTGATCTGATCGCTAGCTCGAGCAGTGTCCCAGGGTCGGAGTTGTGCACCGGGTTTGGCTACCTGTCAGCCTCTCAGTCGACCTCGCCCGGCTCTTGGGAGCGCACGCCAACACTAGGCTTTCAAGCCACTGCTCCCGAGTACATTAGCGGGCGCCAAGTCTCCAGCTGACATCTGGGGACTTTGCGATTGACATCCGCCCAAATCGATGAGATCGAAATAATGTTGGGAACCAAGACAATCGAAACATGCGATGAAAGGCACACGTCTTTGCGATCTTGTGTTCAGGAATATAAGTCGAAGAATGGCATGCGTATCGAGCTATCTCGCAAATCAGCTGTACACAGCCCAGAACTCAAAGCGAATACGGACCCAGACGAGGCTATGCTCGACTATTGTTGTATTTCTTCACATGTTAGCAACCGCTGCCGACTCCGGCGCAGAAGGTTGTTCGTCTCTGTTTTCCAATCCCGTCGCTTTGCAGGTTCAAATGCGAAGTCTCCATGCTTTGCTGAACTCTCCCTGAGAACATGTCTTGAACCTTAGCACCACGCATGTCAATATGAAACATCCAGCATTGTGTCTTGTAGAGCTTCGGCCTACTCTGTCGTCCCTCCTCGAAAATTATCACTTTGCTGTGTCAGAGACGCCGGCTCAGCTTAGTCAAGATACCGCATGGCTGACTTTAGGCGCTCTTTCGGCTATACTTTCTAGCGTCATCAGCTCACGGCTCGCGGTCAAACCTGCTAGACTAGGTTCCGAGTCGGTCTCGCAACGCCCATGCGAGTCAAGACACGCTGAGCCCTTCCGCCAGTCAAAATCAATGTTTGGGTTGCCTGAAACCTGTTCAGAAGACGGGACCTGGAGCATGATGTTCCCAACAATTCTCAAGCCTGCAGATACACGCAAGAACGAGAACCATCGCATCATGCATGTCTCTCTGAAATCTGGCGCTGATCATAATCGTGGTTATGATGGCTATGATGGGCGAGTTCGGCGCAGCAGGTCGCAGCAGCTGGAGATCCGCTTGCCAGATTCCAGATTGATTGGCGTCGTGATGTTCGCGTCTGAGGCAGCGGAGTAGTGATCGGATACTTACGGCTCACCGGCCAATGCTCGAAGCCTGTAAGAACAATCATGCATTTGTCGTGCTTAGAGAGCATGTCTATCCGCAGTAAGTCAAGCATCGAGACTCTTGATCTCTGTGCATCGACACATGAGAGTTTCTGATCTATCATTGCACTTCACACCCTTGTCACGTCCCACAAGGAAATCTTGGGGTTTATCAAACGCACGTGGTTGAGAGGGGTGTGCGCATCGGCACTTGTCTCCCGCGATCAACGCTCGGTGTTCGCCGAATGGATGATATTGTAATGATTTGCATCGCGAAGAAGCCCGATATCATCAATTTGCTTTCATACTCGCACTTATCAAATCAAAGATCCTCTGGTCACAAAGGCACAACGCTGTACGAAAGAGTAGCTTTCGTGAAAATTTGGAGGAGGGTTTGCAGGTCTGCAGGTCCGCGATCACACGACTGATGGTGCTAACTGCCACATGGCTTGCAGGAGTTAAGGGCCACGAGGAGCCCGATTCTGACTCGAGCGTGGCATCATATAAAAGCGACTAGGTGCAGACTCTGTCTGGCGATGCAGGGAAGAAAGCGTCTGATGTGACAGCGTCTAAGGCCCTCAACGGTGTCCTCCTTATCAACGCGTCGTATGTAGACACAAACAATAATACGACGTCTGTCGCGATCAGCGTGCAATAGCTTACTGTACATGTACTAGAGGTACCTCTGACAATCTGGACCATTCGGATACCTGTCCGAACCAGGCCCTCTACCCGGTCTCACACCACAAAGTACAGTATGCTTAGCCAGCATGTACATCAATCGGGTCGTAAAGAATCCCATGTGAGCTTGATCATCCAACAGCCGATTGAGAGTGGATAACAGCGAGCATCTGCTCTCGCTGATTGGAGTGGAGAAAGCCTAGACAGCCTTCTAGGTGGCACCACTAATCGCCCCGACCAATCGTCCTTCATTGCACCCATTGAGCAGTCGATATGGTCTTGTAAGTGTGTATTGATCGACCACACTCTGGCGAACTCCGAGTTTCGGAGCTATATAGTCACTTTTTTCTGGCCGAGGCGATGAGATTAATGTCTGCTACCATGCCACCATCCAAGCCGCTATACCTCCAGTCCACAAGTGCAGCTTGCTCTAGCGCATTTCTGGAGTAGTAAGGATGTAGTCTGTGCATGATTCGCGGATGTGGTATATGGTGGCCTGTTGCCAGGTACGAATCCTGAAGCGCCCAGGGCGTTCAATTGGATGCGACGACAGCAGGAGAAAGTCTGAAGTCTGTAGTAGATGAAATCTTAGAGACCAGGAATTTCTGTGAGCGCGACACCTATAGCGGCACAAGGAATAGAGGCAGCTCTTGACAACTTTGTCAAACAAGCTTGATCTGGTGAGGACGATGTTGAAGAGGGTACAGATGACAATCCAGTCAGACGGATGGTGTTGCGGATTGATCAGTCCTGTTTTATGGTGAATTACGGTTTGTGGTTGGTCACAAAAGAGCGGTCTCTATCATGAACAGTCGAGGCTTGCCAATGAGGATTCGTAACACAGACCAGGACGAACGATTGACCGTGGTGGCGAGATGTCAGAGCGGGTTTGCTGGACCGACGCCACAGTATATACAACAAACCACATGTGAGAAGCGGTGAAGGAAAGGGACGAACAAGGAAGGCATGATGGATGAAAATACAGAAGGACAGGGTGAGCTTGACACTCACATCGCTGCTGGTATATGACCTCGAACAGACACTCAATCGCTTGAGGCGAGAGGACACTGCAGTTGTGGTACTGGTTTATGTGGATTCTCTACCAGAAGTCACGCACACTCCGATGCTGCATGTTGAAATACTTGCGATCAAGAAGTCGTTGCTTCGAATTCGGGCATTGCACGCAAGTTCGGCAGTCGGCAATGGCTGTATGAAAGGGGCTGACGGACGGCATATTCGTTGCCTTCTTGACGCCTTGGTCCCACGCGGTGATAGTATGGTAATTAGACGGAAGTGTGGCCGAAGTGCGCGCTGTTTTCTAGGTATTGTAGCACAGACGATCTGACCCCTCATCGATCTTTGGCTTGTTTCGAAGCACGCAAAGAAGCATGGGCCTTCCTCCTCAATGGTCCACATGTGCCTCGCCGAAGCAGCGAAAATTGTAGGTAGTCTGTGGGTATGTTGTTGGGTCATCTTGGCCTTGAAGGCAGTGACATGCTTGGATTGCGCCTTCCTCTCCAGGTTTTGGTCTTGGTTGGAGGCTTTTGCAGACATCCCGTGGACGAAACTTTGCTCTCTTTGGGCGTGAAAACCTTTGACCTGATGTTCAGCAGCCGTCAAACCTCGTCGATTTTCCCATCGCGCACTGGTGGTTAGTAGGTGCTCTCATCGTGCTGCTCCGGCACGTCCAGCCTCTAACAAGAGCCTCTTCGAATCCACAACTTCGGGTGGCTCCGGCAATGTTCGTTTCTGCATCATGAATCGTACGCAACTTCTTTCGTCTGCCATGCGCGAATCCGTGAGCCGCGCTGTCGTGTAACGATTTGTCCTGTTCGAAGACTTCTGGACCAGATTCCGTGTCATTTGGGTTGTCGCATCACGTCGTCTCAAGCAGGAACCCGTGAAACACCAATCTCTCGACTGTCGGACGACGAGTTCCCGAGAAAGGTGATCCCGAACGTGACACCGTCGCTGTGTTGACGCGACCATCCACCCTCTGGCTAGTTATTGTGTGATGAAGCATCGGACGATGACAGCTCAGCTCCTGCCGTCTTTGTCAGTAGCAGAGTTTTTCGCGCTCCGCACCTCTGAGACGCGCCTGCGGCTTGATTTGGTGACTTACAGTAAATCCTGTCTGCTCCTACAAGCTTGGTCTCGACCTCTTGGTGGCTGACAACTGTTAGATGCGTCCGCTGAGCTTCAGTCTATACTATACGTAGCCCTGATAAGCGTCTAGAAATTGAATGCCCTGGAAAACATGTTACTGTACTGACGACGATCAGCCACCGAAGCGTAAACACAAAATGGCCTGGTCGAACCGAAACCTAAACCAACCCCATATTGCTCTCCCCCAAACGACCCAGCAGACAAGGTTCACGTTCGACGCTATCAGCGTAGGGCTAAGTACAGATCAGCTTGTGTGCACAGAAACCTCAAGCATCTCGATCATGACAGTTCCCTGAGCGTACATCTCCACACCGCTTGGATCGACCGGGAACTGTCAACTCGAACATCTCGTGTCGTCACAAGGATCAAGAATGGCATCAGATCGGTACGACATCGAAGAGATCTCCACTGTTAGGTGCACGCCTACGTCTTCAGGTTCCCTCGACCCACCGCACGACAGCAGATACGACGAGTGTTCATGCATCAACAACGCCAAAAAGCAACAACTATCGAGTTCCATCCTTCGTGCGAAGGATTCATCTGCACCTCAGTAGCGTTCCAAACAACCAAACAAACCTTTCAACATCCGCTATCGACAGCTTCAACGAGCACCTGTAATGCCGTTGCAAAGCGTCGGGAGGCCCGGAGCTGGGTCCGCCAGGACAAACCGGGTCCTCGGGGATGCATGCCTACAACGAGCTCAAGTGATGGGACTTCAGAAGAGCGACCAATATTGTCTGCAGTTAAGGCCGTTGCATCTTCTTCAGTTCTCGCGGAAGCCCGACATCCCAACCACCGTTTGAAACTTATTGCTACTTAACTGTACAGTTGGTTCAGATCACGAATGTGGATAATATACTGGACATTTCGCGTCTGCGAAGGTCTTGTTTGTTTACACAGCACCTCGATAAGGAAATCAATCTTCAGAAAATGTGTGTGGTAATTGCTCCCAGTGATATCGGCCGGATGATCGAAAGTATGCAGTTGGTTAGAGTCCCTACGAATGCTTCCGCGGACTCTGAAGGAGAGTAGGAGTGTCACGACAGACACTTACTCTGTGGACATGGGATCAGGATGCATCCGAAAGCACCAGGATCTAGTGTCTGGAAACTTGTGTCTCCATCTGTTGTAAAGAATGATGTATCATTACAAGTCCGTGTCCTTGCATCTAGATACTAAGCTTGCCAATGAAGTTGTGCGAGTTCCCACGATTTTTAAACTCACTCGACAGGAGGCAAGAACAGAAAACACTGTCGCAATTGGCCTATCATACATGGCTCACTTTCCTTACCCTATTCTAATATTCCACAACGCCTCACCCACATAGTTGAGGCAGTTTCAGCGCTGCCAGGCCCCATCGAGGTACGTGATTTGTCCACATCTCCTTTGTAAACATGGCGTTGACATGTTTCTGCGGCAGTGGGTACAAGATCGGGCGTTCTTGTGTCAGATGGATTGGCAAATCTGGCAAAACATACACTTTGACATCTGGCTTCGTGCCACGACCCGCATCCCATCTACCCAGGGTGAACAAGCCGAAAGGACATAACGTGCTCTGTAAGTTTCTCACGTAGTGGCTCATTGGTGTTCTTCAAATGAACGAGGCATACAGATTCTCACCGAGAACATGTTTGACCAGCGAGTATCCCATCTCGTTGTTGCGATTGCCCGCCAACCAAGGCTCCTTGTAGTCCTCGCGACCCGCAAAGAGCTAATATGGACCGTTGTAATAGGAACCGCTGAAAGCATGTGCAAACTCATGAATCAAGGTGTTGGCCAGCAGGAGATACGTACGCATAATGGCTGAATTAATTCAAATCGAAGTCTCCAAACTTGTGGCTTTCAGGGACGCCGGCGAGGTCCAGAGTATCTTCAAGCATCTTCTCGTATTCTTGACTACCATTAGAAACGTGTGGTCGAACAGACTCAGGAGCTCAAGAGAGAACTTACTCAATTAGATCCGCATTAGTCTCCTTCTACAACATTGATCTATAGTCACCTACAGTCCCGAGGGAGGGATAGTGTTGCCGTTGACATCCACGATCGTTCCTGTGCGCGCAAGTGCCCCTTGGTCGGCCAACTCAGCAGCGTCTATACAAGCCAGGCGCTTGCAAGAAGTATGGACGGGAGCATGAGCTTGTAGCCAGCGTCTGTGATGTTTCGAAACATGTCTTTTCTGAAGACCGGATGGATCCTCTCAGCTTCTAGGTTGTCTGGATTTCTGATCTTAGCCCATCTGCCTACTGGATCCACATACGCATCGGCATCGTTTTGTTCGTGATTGATAAGACCGGCTGCATCTAGAAGCTGCAGACAGACTCCCAAGCCTGGATCAGGGAGCTTGTTCCTATGGATCTGGTCGGTAGGCCCAGATGGTAGGGCCATTCATCGGCATCTTGAATGTCCTCATCTTCAACGTCATCGTCTTCATCATCGCCGTCACCATCGTTATTGTCCTCCTCTTCCTTCTCCTCCTCATCTTCATCATCTCCATCTCCATCTCCATCTTGATCTCCCGTAGGATCCGCGCCATTCTCTTGACGAACTTCAAAGCCAGTAGAGTCTTTATTGTGCTTTGCGACATAATGAAGGACGTGCTCAGGCCACACCCGTAGAACGAACAACACCTTGATCGTCTTGAAAAAGCGCAGGTAATTGTGGAAGGTCCGGGATGGAACTGTAAGGAGGTCTGGTAGATTCGGATTCCGCGTCACTCATGCTGACGTTTGAATCACTCATGATCAAATCTTCCGAGTCGCTCGTTGCGTTGCCTGCTTGTATTGCGAGCATATGGACCATGCGATTGTATTACAAGCGAAATGGGAACAAGTTGCTAATTACCTGTGTGCCATATCCGGTTGCGGACAGCTAAATAGCACAAAGGAATTTGGCATGAACTCGGCGTCCGATATTTTGAGGGCAGCCTTCCTCGGAAGGAACACAGACAGAACGAAAACTGATGCAAAAACTTGTTTTCTTTCTTCTCCTTCCGAATCCAGAAGGCGTCGCTACAATGCTCTGATGCTTCTAACCAAAGTGCTCATAACCCAAATATGCAAGACGCTATGCCCCTCCAGAAGCACATACTCTATCGCTTCCACCACAAAAAAGAAAAGAAATACGCTTTTCAAGAAGCGCGGGTTTCATTGCATCGGTTGGTCATCAATAAAATGTCTAGATCCCACGAGAAGCATAAGCGGGTTCCTGCTCGCGCTCTCTACGTCGTTCCCGGTCACGCACAAAGTCTGCCGTAGGTTCCTGCCCTTCGGCTGGAGCTTCAAGCATGCGCGGTGCTCGAGGAGCATATTCATCTTCGCTATCATCATCTTCGTATTCGTCTCGTTCACGTTCGCGACGGCGGTGCTCACGCCGCTCACGGCGTTCACGATCTTCATCGTCATATGGGCGGGCTTCTTAGACACGTCAGCTGGGTCAATCTAGATACTATGTTGTGATGTGCATACCTCTGATCTCCAATGTTCTATCGGCCAGCTTTTGTATCTCGTCTTTGGTCAAGACTCGAAGTACAATTACACAATCCAAACGCTCTTCGAAACGTTCCTGCGCTTCTTCAAGAGCTTGTGGGTTGACAAGGCGGCGATCGATTTTTGTCCAGCGGGCGTTTGCAGGGATCCCTTCTTTGGTAGGCTGTAGGTGTAAATGTTAGAAAGCTGTGTTTGTTGCTTTGTTGGGTTGACGTACCTGGTTCAGTGGTTTGACACCTTCACGCACCGGGTTTGGATCCTCGGGAAATTTTTGCGTGGGTCTTTTGAGAATCCCCTTAATCGGCTGAGAGTCTTCCCTGTCCGATGGAGGTTCGACGATGCGTACCCGGTTCTCTCTACTTGTGCCCTCGGGATGGTCAAGAGCAGTTGTTGTAGTAGGGGGAGCGACTCTGCTGGCACCAAGCTCTGGTTCGTTCATGTGTCTATCTCTGTCTGAGTCTGCATGATCATGCGAGCCCTGCAGGTCTCTTTGTGCTTGCTCAATACGGCGACGATAATCTTCGTCAGCGTCAACCTCTGCTGGCTTGGCAGGAGCAGAGCGTTCGCGTTCAGGAACGCGTTGAAGATCGTCGGGCGGGTATCCGTGGTCAGACTCGGGAGCGCGTTGTCGTTCATCAGCCCCATGTCTAATATCTTTCTCTTGCGGAGGAGATCCATCAGCTCCAAGTGTGCGGTGTCGTCTTGAGCTTCGGTGCTTATCTTGACCGCTTTCAGACGACGAAGAATGCCTGAGTCTGTCCCGGTCCCTGTCTCTGGGCCTTTCACGGGTCCGTGTCTCGCGGTCTTCATTCCTCTCTCGTTCTTTCTCGCCTTCTCTTTCGACTTCTCGGTCACGTTCCCTCTCATACTCACGCCTGTCGCGCTCTCGGTCTCGGAAGTCCCTCTCGCGCTCGCGCTGTTTTCGCTCGTACTGTTGCTCACGTTCGCGCTGTTCGCGTTCTCTGTCCCTTTCTCGCTCCCTATCTCTCTCGCGGTCTCGTTCTTCGTAATCGCGATCTCGACTCTTAGCGGCGGTGTCCGATCCGTAAGCAGCAGCAGCCATAGCACCAAGACTACCGATGGCAGCAGTAGCGGCAGCGGGTAAGATCGTGTTTGTGAGACTGTCACCACTACCTCTCGGTGTGACGTCTCTATCACGGTCTCTGCGATTGTGATCTCTCCGTTCTCTTTCGTGATGTCGATCTCTCTCTGAAGCATAGCCATCGTCTCGCAATCGATCCTTGTCTCTTTGACGGTACTCTCGTTCGCGATCAGATTCTCTTGAATAATCGTAAGCACGGGGATCGCTGCGAGGAGGGGCGAGGTCACGGTCGCGGTCCGAGTAGTAAGCATCGAAGCTTTCACTGCTGCCTCTGTTCATGTTGTGGTTGTATCTGTCCTGACTGCCACTGCGAATTCCAAAACCGCGGCGCTCAACACTGCGATCTTCGTAACGATGCATCGGGCGAGCGCGCTCAGCTTCTCTTGAATAGGCATCGCGAGAACGATCTTGATGCACAGCAGTGGTGTGACGACCGGAGGACGAAGTATAACCGTCGTTGTACTGTGGTTCTTGGTAAGACAGCCTGTTGGAAGATCGTGGAGGTTCTCGTGTGCTGTTGATGCGACCAGCGCCGTCGTTGAACTTGTCGAGGGCTCGTGATGTAGGCGGACCAAGGTCTCTGGCCGACGAGCGAGCAGGGTATTGTTCGATTAGTGCACTGGTCGGTCTAGGCCGAGTTGCTTCGACGCTACCAGCACGGTGTCGCCAGCGGGGCTCGGTGTCCCTATACATGGCAGCGGGGTCCGTGTATGAAAAGCCTTGGTCATTCTCGGTCTTTCTGGTCGAGGAGCCGCTCAGATGATAACCCTTGTGTCGGTGGTGTGACGAAGAATGGCGGTCGGAGTTGCGATCAACACTGTGACGCCTGTGGGAGCTGCCATGACTCGTGTTGATGTCTATGTCGGCAACGAGACGTGACTTGCCGCCGCCATCGATACTATACACCTTCTTGTGCGAGTGATCTCTATGCGAGGTAGCAGGGACGGCATAATAGTCAGGAGTGCGAGTGGATGTAGAATAGCCATGCGAGGTCGAGGGACTATGGGGACGATCGTGCGATGATTGAATGACAGCAGGGCGGCTGCGTGAGTGGATGGGGAGAGTGGTATTGGCGGTCGAGGAAGTTGTAATAGGGCGTGAGGGGTCGGTCAGGGTGGAGCGACGGGGTCTGCCCGAGTAGACGTCGCGTGTAACGAAAGTGGTTGTCGAGATGGGCACAACTCGCTCACCACTGGACCTAGGCGAAGCGTAGGCGGCAGAGGTGGGAGGAGGATAGTAGCCGTCGGACAGGCGTGCTGGGTGAGCCAGACGACGACTCCCAGGTGACGAGGCTCGGTGGTAAGACATAGCCGTCTAAACTGGCGCCGACGCCGTTAGAGCAACCGAGAGTGTAGTATGGCCAAGTGAATGATCTCAGAATGCCTGTGCGATGCGTCGCGAGAGGCTATGGAAGAAGCAACAATCGAGTCCTGGTGGGTCTGGGATATGTGTGTATTCCAAGCTGCCGGTTCGTCTGTCAATTGTTGGCTGCTGACATTTGGCGTCACGCACACAACGGAAAGCACGATGGCGTAGCTCGCTCGGTACCCTGCGATGGTACAAACCCCTGCGGCCCGTTCCCTGAGTGAACTATCCTGAATCGTTGTTGGTCTGCGATGCTTGACTCTGTTACAGCTGGGTTTTGTGTTTGTCCAAGTCTAGGTGCTCAGGGATTGACGACCACAACGAGTCCACACTGCAACGGGAGTTTATGTCGTTGGCAAAGCTCAAAAATTCCATCAAGTTGGGCATCAGAGAGCCCGAAGCGGGGCTTCTTGTTCTCGAAACGCTGATCCCACGGACCAGGTTTGACCAAACTCCTGAAACGCCTACTCGACTGACAGAAACTCTACTGCTTCCCGTCTCCTGGCTTGCTGCATCAACAGTCTCCGCAAACACCGCCGACATTGCTTTGTCTCCCACACACACTAGCTCTGCCTGCAGTCCCAACAGCATAGCAAAAAGGGTATTCGTGAAAAACGTTGCTGCATCATTTTCTAGCTCGTCTGCTTCAACAAATCATAAAACTTTGGTTGTCAAGGCTTGGGCTGCCACGAAATACAACAGAAATTTGCATTCTCCACTACTGCTGCCCCACTGTCTCCTTTTCATTCTCTCTTACGAAGTCAACTATTTCCCTCATCATTTACATGATCAAGCCGCCTCCGTTGGTACTGATCATGCTTCCTGTCAAGTTCTTGTCCTTCATTGAGTACAGGAATGCTTCGGCCACGTCCTCAACTTGACCAATCTTGCCGGTGGCCATCTTGTCTCCAAATGCTTTGAACATCTCTTGTCGTTTATCCTCCGGGATGCCGTCCCACAGTGATGTTTCTACGGCTCCAGGTGATACCAAGTTGACACGGATGGGCTTGAGATCCAGTGCTAGACCTCTTGTAGTGCCTTGAAGAGCAGTGGCGAAGCCGACAATGACACTCCAGTTGGGAATAGGCTTCTCGCTGACACTGCCGGTAGTCAAGGTAATAGATGAGGTTGGGCTCTTATCAAGGACCTTTGCAGCCTGCTTGGCGACCATGAGAGGGGCAAAGTATCTGACCATACCTGCCTGGATAGTCTTTTCGAGGGTAGCTTCCTCGAGCGGCATCATTGCCAGAGAGTCTCCAGCTGTGAAGACGACATGGTTAAGCTTGCCAGCTTTCTGGAAGAGCTGCTCGACGTTCGACTCAAGGCTTGCTTGATCACCCATGTTGGCTGCGTAGCCCTCGACGCGTTTAGCGGCCGATGGGTATGTCTTCTGCAGCTTCGAGACTGCTTCCTGAACTCTCGACTCGCTCGAAGAAGAGATGATGACATGAGCTCCATTCTCCAATGATGCTTCGGCAACTCCATAACCAATGCCTGCAATTCGTTAGATCAGCGAAAGTTTGTCTATCTGGTTCAGGTACTCGCCTCCGCTGCCTCCGATGATGAGCACACGGTGGCCCTGGAGCTTGTTGTTGTACTTGTTCTGGTCACTCATTGTCGCTTGTATGTGTGATACAGAGTGATTCTCTCGAGTTGCAACGATGATGACGAGGACTAGATAAATATCATGGATTTAACGGATTTAGGAATTTATCAGCCGCGACTGCAGCGTCATCTATCTCGGAGGCTCGGTTTGCACATCCGCCGACAGGAAGGTATAACAAAACGTTACTCTTCTCTTGGATCCGTTTTGATGGCGAGATGGTTAGTCAGCACGATAATTGAAGCCCTCGCAAGTCAGACTTGGGGCTGAATACCAAGGAATGCCGCCCACTGCCTCGCCCTCCGAATACGTGCCGCATCGAGTAGCAATTGTCATCGTTGAATGTATCACCCACAGCTTTGCGATAGCCCACATATGTGATATAATAGTCGTCACGAATCTCTTATCAATCACAGAATGAAGCAGTATGGTAGGAACATAATATACAATGGAAAAATCATCTATGTGCTCTAGTACCCAGTTCTACAGGAACTGCCATCTTGTGTTGATTTGCTTACGTTTCACCTAAGCACCAGGTCAGCATAACGGTCAATACAGATGCCAGCGATCAACTTACTAGAGGTGCGACAGCGACAGTGGCCACAGCAAGTGCCGCTACTGTTGCCAGCATTTGGAGCTTGTTAAAGTCCTTGCCGAGAACATCGAATGAGAAACTCGGGCTAATTCTAGTGCTGAACACGTCAAGGCCGTAGGCAAAGACCAAGCTGGTGCTTTCAAGAACAGCCGGGCTGGTCGTTACGGTCTCGACTCCGTAAACCTCACGTTGATGGTTGAGATACCATTTGGGGTCAAACTCAAGGACTGGTGTGTACTTCATCAGACCCTCCATCATCTCATCCTTGGTGGCATCTCTTCCAACAGGTCTACGAGGGTCAATGACCTGGCGGGGAATGCCAACTATCGCGTTAGATTCGGGCAGCACAGCCAACAATGCTCTCGACGTGATTCCTTGTCTGGTCTGCGTGACCGCCAACTTTGAGATCGGCTCGCGAATGCGGTAAGACTGGGAGACGACATGAGGCTGATAACTGTAGTCAACCTCTGATGAGTTCTTGGTAGCTGTTTGGGGGCCTCTGTCGTTTGAGAATGGCGATTCAAACATCTCGCCAATGACCAGTTGATAACCCTTGACGCCGTCTGCTGTTGGCTGCGAAGCGAATGAGTAAGCGAACCAGTTTTCAGACATGGTCGAGGCGATGGGCATATTTGCATCAACGCCTTGATGCGAAGCAACATAAAGCACGGATCCCGACAACGCGTCAAGCACACTGATGGTGGCCGACAATGTGGCCTTGGAGGTAGTGATGACAAGAAGAGTGTTGGGGTTAAGGTATTTGTAGAGAACCTTGCGGTCTCCAAGAACTTTTCCGATGGAAGCAACCGGGTCTTCGAGTGGACGAGGAGTCAGGCTGTAGACCGTCTCACCATTACCAGGCGAGAATTTCCACGAAGCAGCCTCGGCAATGGGACCACCAATGACTTTGCCATCCTCTATGCCATAAGCAAACTTGGCATCATGATTAAGGCCTGAAGAGAGTGCGAGTTCAGTGTAGGGAATCTCAACGCCAGTGGATGCGTTAAAGAGTTTGTGCTGACTTCCATCAATGCTGCTTGCGACAATTGTGCCATCAGGACGTGCGACAAGCTTGGGCGATTGCCAAGGTGAGGGAGCTGCATTGTTGTCGATTTTGACGTCCCAAACCGCGCTTCCCTTACCACCTGCGTCCAGTGCAATCAAGCGACCACTTTCAGTAGCACAAACAATTCTCTTGTGGAAGCCAAAGATGTTCGTCGAATCCACATCAGCATCAGACGATCCGAAGCCAATGCTGCTAGCGATGCGACCGGGCAAGGCTGTCAGGTATGCTGGGAGAGTCTCCAAGGCTGCAACGTGTCTTTTGACTCTGTGGATATAAGCCTGGACAGGGTTTGAGTGGCCTTCGATCTCGAGCTCGTGCACAAGGCCTTCAGGAGCAGGAAGATATGCCCAGACAGCAGACTTGATACTGCTCAGAGCTTCTGGTCTTTCCCATACAGGAATGCCGTCACGGATCATAACCCACTCGCCAGACGCCAGATAGACTGCGGAGCGCACAGCAGAAACAGTGTCAGCCTTGACAGACACTTCAGACACTGCATGAACAGGAGCATGGTCGCCTTGCAGAGTGATACCTACAGCGCCCTTCAAAGGCCATCTGGCAAGAATACCGTGCGAAGCGGACGAGACGATCGTCACTTCAGATTCAGAGATACGCGTAAAATACACGTTTGCTTCAGAGGTACTGGCAGAGAAGGCGGCGCTGCCTGCCAACTTAGGAAGGGAATAAGCCTTGGACACGGTAGACTTGACGAGATCGACATGGTAGACCTCGGCCCAGTTCTGCGAGCGCGTTTGGTAGTGAACAAGGAAATGAGGGCGTGCATTGACGTGGTAGGGAGCATGCAACGAGAGACTCAGCACGTCCTTACCAGCTTCGACATCGAAGGTAGAAACGGCCTTGGAACCAATGACGTTGACCTTGAGAGTAGAACGAGCCTTGTCGGTCCATGCGATGATGGGCGAGGCAGAATTTGCGCCAACGGACAAGATATCGGCAGTTGAAGCAAGGTCACCTTCGGTAGCCAATGTGTACTGATCAATCTTGTGTCCGGTAACAGGGTCCAAGGAAGCAACCTTGATCTTAAGACCTCCCAGCATCGAAGTGTGTAGGGAAATGTAGAAGATGTGGGTGGACGAGACGGAGAGCTGGAAGGGAACATCTCCGCTCTCATCTTTGTATAGCCACTTTCGGGCACCGTCCTGGCGGCCAAGTCTCTGGACGGTAGGCAGAGGAGCTCCGGTCAAGACGATGGCGTCCTTGCTTCCACCCTGCTCGTTGGCCTCAGGGATTTCGACAATCTCCAAGTCTTTCACTGTGGCGTCTTCCAGATCAACAGACCATGCTTGACGACCGTCGGCAGCGTTCCATGCAGCGACCTGACCGTCGACGGCGCTGATTACGAGGTGGTGGTCCTGGGCGGGTCGGAGGAAGATCGACGTCGAATTGGCAGCGGGCGATAATTGCTGGCGCCATCTGAGCGAGCCATCCTTGGGGTTGATGGCTCCGAGAATTGTCTTGTCCGAGAGAGTGTAGAGCAAAGATGCTTTGGATGCGACAACGGGCTGGTGGAAGAAGGTCGTGTGTTCGTGGGGTGCGCCGACGAGGGCAAGGTGCCAGTCTACCTTCCACGCATCATCGACAAAGACAGCCTGGCATGCTGGCAGCACCAAGCTCACTGCTGCGACAAGCACAGATGGGATTCGCATTTCAAGTGTCGAATTGGCTTCGACTCGCTATGGACAGACAGCAACCAACAACTCCAGAGCTCCTTCCCCAGAGCTTGCGCCTGCCCTCCGAAGATCTCCCATCTGAGCAACTCGACCACCAAAACCTTCTTCTTTGAGATCAGCAAGAGCTGCCCTGACCTGCCATCTCAATCCATCCAAGAGTCGACTATCTCTTTCGAACCATTCGCATTCGCGTTCGCTTCTCTCAAACCTTCGTGCGAACCTCTTGAACAAGCGAGCTGTTGACGTCGCTTGCAAGCTTTCCTAATCCCTGGTGACGTTGATGACGCTGCGCCGGCTGCATATTGCCGTGTGAATTGGCGAGCTGAAGCTCCTCCTTGTGGCTTGCAGCAAATCCGTAATCTCTTGTGCCTTCACACACCATCTATATCCAACTATATGAGGCAACATGGCATGTTATACACTTGTACATCTGCATCAATTCGATACTTGCAATCTCGCGTGCGTTATCCCGTTCAGTCCGGGACGTCTCATTCACGTCTGAAATCTCTGTTGTGCATTCAAGTGAGCAAAAGCAGGTGCCGAATCTTCCGTCGCAAATAGAGATGGCGTCTGTCAAGAATGGCTGGATACATGAAAAAGCCGGCCAGGTTGAGACATGTCGTGTTAAAGGTCGTCTCAGAGTGCTTTGAAGCCGAGGCGCGGCGGCACGATCCATGACTCGGATGTGCCGAAATTATCATCCCAGAAAGCTGCACACTTCTGATATCAGAGGCCAGCTCTCGCACGCGCGCTACATGTCATTGCATCCTCAACGCGTCTTCTCATCTCTCCAATCTTATCTGTATCCCACAATTTCTTCGTGCCCTTTTTTTTTCTTCTTCTACTGTGTGTATATGCATGTCAATCTCTTGCAATCTCTCTGACCGCCGATCTGCCCCGTTTGTACTGTGCTCTTGAGTAGCCTGGGCGCTTTCTTGACCGCATTTCAAACAACACTTTCAATCAACAAACGCCAAGCTGTGAGTTTGCAACCATATACCGTTCCTCGCATTGTCTTCTTGCTGTTGTACGCCCGTAGAACTTGTCCCAATTGACACGATCTAAACTAGCACGTTACGATCTAACGACCGATCTGCACCTACTCTTGCTGGTCAGGAGCTCTGCAGTAGTCTTTAGAGCGGAGAGCGGGTCCGTCTTGCCGATATCCTCCTTCGCCCCGTGGTTTCTGATTTACTCGGTCCTCTGGTTGCAATCTCGAGCTTCCCTATACTGTTCTTGGCTGGAATATCGCCTGTCTACGCGTGGTTGACCTAAAGCTCTCCTGAAATCTATCTGACAAGATGTCGCGGGCCACGAATCATAGGTGAGTTCATGCCTTCTAGTGTCGATCGTTCTCAGAGCTAAACGTGAATTGTTAGGGAATACCACATCGTCGTTCTTGGCTCAGGTGAGTACACTCTATCTGGCGTCCTACAACTTCATGTGCTGACTTTTCTCCAGGCGGTGTTGGCAAAAGTTGCTTGACAGGTATCCTGCGATCATTCAGTCTCGATCCCTGGAACATGACTAACAATTGCAAAGCACAATTTGTGCAGGGTATCTGGATCGAGAGATACGACCCAACTATTGAAGATTCCTACCGCAAGCAATGTGATGTTGATGTACGCATAACCATCAGAGTCCTGTCTTGTGTTCATTTCCCTAATTGCGAATTCTAGGGTCGGCAAGTAATTCTCGAGATTCTGGATACGGCTGGAACAGAACAATTCAGTAAGTCCAAAGTCACCTTACCGTCCAAATCTATGAACATTTTCCACTAACACAAACTCCAGCTGCTATGCGGTAAACCACCACACAAATCTTTGAGAGTCAAAGATCATAGGAACTAATCCAACATCTAGGGAACTCTACATGAAATCCGGCCAAGGCTTCCTCCTCGTCTTCAGCATAACCTCTTCCTCCTCACTAAAAGAACTCTCCGAACTCCGCGACCAACTCGTAAATCTCAAAGACGATCCACACGTACCCATCGTGCTCGTCGGCAACAAATCGGATCTGGAAGAAGATCGCGCGGTGTCTCGAGCAGCTGCCTTTGCCGTCTCTTCTGGTTGGGGAAATGTTCCTTATTATGAGGCTTCGGCGAGGACACGGCAGAACGTCACAGAAGTGTTTGTGGATGTGTGTAGGCAGATTATGCACAAGGATCTGCAGAATGGAAGGACTGGGACTAGTCATGGAGGAGAGGAGAGGAGTAGGCGGAGGAGGGATGAGGATGGTGTGGAGGGAGATAGGAAGAAGGGCCGCAGGCGTAATAAGTGTATCATATTGTGAGGTCTGCCCTTTCCTTTCTGTTTCACTTCATGTGTGGCTTCTATATGTGTCTTTTCTTCTCTCTTGGTTCGTTATGGCAGGACGAAAAGTTTTCTTGATCAGATTGTCTATTGCTGTACATCTTCTACGTTCACAAAGCCATAGTCTGGAGTACACGATGGCACTAGCTTCGATGAATTTGCATACCGCAGCACGAGTCAACTGGAGTGTGGTGCTCTCGTACCTGATGACTCCAACCGAAATCCCTGGATCTGGGACGCGAATCAGACCGCATCGCATGACACGACGTGACGTGTTTACGCACTACGAGTACTACACCACCCTCAAGCAATACACAGATTGGTCAGATGGCCGAGTGGTTATGGCGCTAGTTTCAGGCTCACCTGAAATGAGTTTACTAGTGAGAAATCGCGTGGGTTCGAATCCCACTCTGATCATCATCTCTTTGCTTTTGCATCAATCCCAGGTCGAATGTTTTGCAAGTCTCACGGTGTCAATGTAGTTTTTCTTGGTCGTGTGTGGTTGAGTGTGGTTAGAACAAGTGAAGCTTAGGAGCCCGGGTCAAAGCATGACTTGCTGTTCCGAATTCGCAGCTCTCTTGAAGAGAGCAGAGCGAAGGGTCACTCATTATAAAAGAACAGCCAGGGAATTGACACAAGGCGAGGTAGAAGTAACCACGTTTGGAGTGGAGGAGTAGATGGAAGACGAGAAGAGGTTGGATCGAAGAGAAGCACACGTGTATCACGTTAGATTATATTATGGATGCTCCTGCACCAACTCTACCACTCATCAATCAACTCGTTGATCCTCCGACTACTCCCTCTAACAGCCGCTCTCGCACTCTCAGCACCAATAACCGGCAACTTCTCAACTCCCTTCTCTTTGAACTTGTCCGGAACCAGCTTCGGATCAAGCAATCCCACTTGCATCAACACACTAGCCTGATCCCAGTATACCTTTTCACTGGCCAGTTTCCCTGCTTTGATGCATACGATACTGACAATCACCACTTCGATCCTGCGGTTTGTGGCGGGGATACCAGGGAGTAGCCATGGTATTACTTTGTTGTGGTTGAAAGAGAGGGACAACTCGTCGACTACACGGTCGGTGCCCACAGTGCGAGAGAGAAGTCTGCAATTAAGAGATGTGGGTGATGGTTGGAAGAACTCGGTGTAAAAGTCTGCTAGGTCCTCCTCGTGGAATGCACCGGTTAGGGTGGGTACGTGGAGAACTGCTGGTTTAGCGGTGGTGATGGAAAGGGCTTTCTGGACATTGCCATTTCGCGCGTCTACGTTGGTAGTTGTGTCAGCCATAACATGTTCCATAGTTCTCGTTTGTAGTTGCAGTAACATACAGTCCAATTGGTTGTCTCGTACTCTCTCGATATCAGAGGCTATTCGTAAAGCCTTTCTTACAACACCCAAGCTCCTGCTCCACGCCAGACCAGCGGCAGCAGCATCGTATTCATCCAAGTCACTCTCCGCGAAACCAGATTCGACGCCAGGATACTTGTATGCCTGGAAGCTCAATTTGAGCTCTCCACCTAGACCAGCTCCATCCCCTATCCTCTTTGTGATAATCTTTTTCTTGCCTTGTATGCCGAGTACTTCTGGCGTGCGGGAGACTTTGATCTCATTGCCTACGAGGTGAACTAGGACAGTCGTGTGCATGGGGTACCGTGTTTGTTGCGGATCAGGGATTCTATCGGGATAGTATGCGATCAAGGCGGCTAGACGGGGTGTAGACTTGACATAGGCCTCGAGGCATACGCTCGCTGCATCACCGAATGCTGTAATACATCAGTCACTTCTACCGCGCAGGATAAGGGAGGAAAGAACGAACCTACTATGGCGTACTGATCATTCAATCCCACTGCCTGATCAGGAGCCGCATGCATCCTGTTCATATAATCTCTTCCTCCATCGCCATAAGGTACATACGTCGTAACGAAGCCTTCTTCCTGCCATGCAGCAATGATTTCTTCATCAAAGTCGTCCGTCTCTGCCGTGAGGAAAACATATGGTGTCTTGCTGACATTCAGATGTTGGAGAAAGGGTTCGCCTGCATCTACTCTCGCCGTCATTGTCGCTAGATTAGTCCGGTGGTTATGGAAAGGATTGATTGAAGAAAGAACGAAGGTGACAAGGGTTCACGTAAGTTGACTTGACGCGACTTCCTCGAGCCCTGCCTTGTTTTTTTACAGCCCAGCATGAGCTTCAATGCGAGTGCTCTTTCTCGGTCTCGCAATTGCAGCTTTCATGTCGAAAAGATCAGTGTCAAAGAATGCACCTACCTCTGCGCAGTCTCGCACTCCTAACCGCTCGAGATGATACCTACTTTGTAAACGATCATAGTATCACAAGAATCATGGAGGCAGAAAGTGGCAGGTTAGTGACGTCGTGATGCAGATCTTCATGGGTTGCAAAAGACCGTTTATCTCCGAGCATGCTAGTTGAACTCAGCACCCTGACCAAGGTATATACGATTGACGATGATGACAAAGGTGATGGCAATAGGAGGCATGGGCTAAATAGTACATTGGATTAGCTTATTCGGCTTCTGCACCGGTAGTACATAGGTCAGTTGCGAAGAGAGAAGATTTGCTAGGACCATTATCAATACACAGGAATTACTATGAGACGGGGCCACACTACCGCTAGTTCAGTTCTAAGTTCTAACCACAATCATTAGACTGGTCCCACACAACTGAAAGCCGTTGACGAACCCGAAGCGTAGGCATCAATCATGGACTTGATCGAAGAGTATGTTCCCAAGACACAAGTAACAAAAGCCCCCAGGAAGAAGATGACATTCCAAAGCTTGATGTACCATCTGCGAGCAAAGAAGCCGCGGATCCATCTTTTCATGCCATGGTCATGTCTAATAGTCTCCCCAGTAGCTGGATTGAAGCCTTCGCCTTGATCAGGGCGAATTGCATCATACTGTACTTGCACACCTAGCATGAGCAGAGGTGGGAAGGTGTACGTGAACTGGAGGATGCAAAGGGCAGCCACAAGACCAGAAAGTGCGCTTAGTGTCGCATTAGATAGAGGCCTGAGACACGATAGCAAGGTAACTCACCTGAATTGAGGAATTGCGGCAGCAAGAACGAAGGCAATTCCCCAGTAAATTGGAACGATGCCAATCCAGAGGAGCTTTCCCGCTCTTGTGGTAAGCTGTGGTAATCCAAGCAGTTCTTGGAATATGTTCTGATACATAACCTTGATACCAATGTTTCCATACAGTCCGGCGGCAATAAGGGCCGTCAAAAATGCGAGGATATTGCCCGCAGTCAAGGCCGCATGAGGAAACATGCCCTAGTTTTGAGTGTCAGTCCTATCGCCATTGTCTACCAAGGTGATGAAGAAATACCTGTTGGGCAGGGTTGATGGTGTATTGACCCTGAAATGAGTAGACGTATATGCCAAAGAACAGATAGACGACATAGATGAAAGTCTCTGCAATAATCAACGCTTTCCAGAAGTCCCAAGGCTTTCGCATCTCGCTCATGAACTCGCAGTAAAGCATGGCACCGCCATATGAGTAGACAGCCTGCATCAATCCCACGAGTTGTCCGCTGAATTCGACTCCAGCTGGTGGACCCGCAGTGGTCATGACTGGAGGTGCAGGAGGGCCAATATCGGCACCATTGGATTTGGCAGCGGCCTCGTAATTGGGATGACTGTGAGTCACCTAAGGCACTGTCAGTCGAACAAGCTCGATAGACAAACTATAGAGATCAGACGTACGACAGCCATTGTAAGGATCATGACAACAATGTTAAGCCAGACAGCGAGGTTGGCGATCCAGCCGTACTTCTGCAACGTACGTACTTGACCAATGACGAAACCACACACTAAGAATGTCAGCACGCATATCGAGTGCTCTCAAGCAATGAGACTCACCTGTCCAGATGACGCAGCACTTAGAAGAGTATTGTCAGCTTATTTTTTCTTGTTCGTTGATCATCGTGCGCTGGTGCAGGGACGAGGAACATCTTTTATCTTGGAATGCATGAAACCAGATTGTACTCACCACGATATAACAAATGTTCGAATTGATCTGGTAAAGGCCTTGACCATTTTGGATGATGATGACTCCCACGTTGAAGATGAGTTGAATTGCTTGCAGGATGTTCACCAGATGGCGCGCGACCCGGCCATATGCTCTCAATGCGATATCGCCAAAGGTCTTCATAGGGTAGTGGTCGGAGTCAAGTTTGAGGAACATTTGCCAGATCTGCCAGCCCGTATAGCCTGCCAGAGCTCCAAAGATGGTGTACAGAACAATGCCTGGACCATACCCCATCTGTGCCAAAGCCCATCTACCATATTATTAGCCGAAAGAGCTCAACAGCTGAGCGTGAATAGTTTGACGTACGGCACAGAGTAAGGACCAAGAATGTCTGTGGTAATGAGATAGAAGACAGATCCCCAAGTCGCTGTTCTTGCAGCTCTGGAAGCCTGTAACCACTCGTCCTCTGTCACAATAACTGGTCGAGCAGTCGCAGGAGCTTCAGATTCGCCAATCTTCTCGTCTGTCTCTGTACCTAATGGGTTCTCCGAGGTCTCAGGTTTGGTGGGATCGCTTCCAGTGATGGTAGAAGAGGCTGCATCGTGTTTAGCAAAGCTCAAAAGCTTCCTGGCCGGTGTTTTGACTGTTGAAATGTTTCTCTGCTCTTCACGAGTGATCTTGGCATAATAGAAGTATTCTTCGATCGTCACCATAGGGTCATGCAGGTTTCTGAGTGCTGGTGTTGAAAGTTGTGTTATGCCAGGACCAGAAGCATTCATTCGTGGGTCGCCTTCGAGACTCAAAGCTGCAGATTGTGCCATTGCTGCTGACGAACGACAAGATGATTAAAGCAGATGTGGTGCGACTGTGATGCAGGTGGGCAATGCGATGGATTTATGGAATGTACCAGGATGCGCTCACGAGACTCCCATGGTCGCAGGATGTAATTTATATTGACCTGTATCCTGATTGGATAGGACGCGTGAAGAGATAGCGGTAGTCCGAATACCAGAGATTAAACCCAGCGAATGTATGCTGCTGCGTTGGCCAATGATAGAACTCTGCAAAACGTCAAAACTGACCACGCGCAACAGTAAGTGGGAAGCTAGAATGGACCGTCGGCCAATGCGGCCACTCCGCACTTTCAACAAATTCTAATCTTTAGCACTTTAGCTTTAGTAACTTTAGCTATAGCACTAATATTAGCATAAGTATTAGCAATAATAAGGCCAGATTTACTATACAATTAATAGTATTATCTACTACGAAGTAGTAGTAGTAGGAGTAGCAGTCTTAAGCGTAATAACGCGCTATAGAAGGTCTTATCTAAGGGTAGCCTCGTTAGCTAGTCTCTAGTAGAGGCGAGTAACTTTAGCCTCGAGCTCTTTAACTTACTCTTTAAGAGTAGTAGTAGCGGCGGTAGGAGTCTATAATTTCGGTTAGTAGTATATATAGTAGTGCCTATAGTAAAACTTACCTCTTCTTCCTTATTAAAGGGCATAGTATTATAGCGAGGCTTACCCTTTAGTCTATAGAAGGCATAAGCTTTACTCTAACCTTCCTTCTTCTTAGTAAACATATAGTAGTCCTTCTTTACCTCTCCCTTCTTCTTATCCTAGTAGTGCTAGTAAGGACTAGTAAGAGCATCCTTACTAACGTTAGAGAGTATAATAGCATTAGCGTTATAGTACTTACGTAGAGTAGTAAGAGTAGTAGTAGTAGTAGTCTTATCGTCGCTAGTAGCTTAGGCGACTAACTCTACCTAGCGAGTAGTAGTAATAGACTACTATTATTACTTAATAGTAGGTCTACGAAGACCCCTAAGAGCTAGAGGGAGAAGGCTAGAAGTAGGTAGAGAAGCGGTAGCGGCCTTAGCCTTACCCTTACCCTTTACCTTAGTCTTAAGGGTAGTAGGAGTACTATCTATATAGTTAGAAGGTTAATATAGTAGGTATAGTAAGTAGTATTACGGTTCTTCTTTATCGTCGTTATCTAAGACGTAGATAGACTTTAATAGCTTCTTAATAAGGGATATTTCCTTATCGTTACTATTAGTATCGGCGTAAACTAACTACGTAAGCTATATAGCTACCTTATTAGAGGTAACTAGTAAGGCCTATTAAGAGGCCTTATTCTTGCCATGTTAAGAGCGCCTAACGCCCTCTATAAAAGAGGCTAACTAAGTAGCTAAAGGCTTAATAACACTATAAGAGTAGCGAGAAGTAAGGATTTAACTAGTTCTAGCGCTAGCGTAAGAGTCTCTACTAGTAGAGGCCTCGAGGGACTTACGAGAGCGAGCTATTATTAATACTAATGTTAGTGCTAATGTTATTACTACTACTATAGTAGTAGTAGTTATAAGGAAGGAATACGCGTAGTAAGAAATAAATTTTAAAAGCTAAGAAGTAAAGTAAAGTAAATAAACCATAATATTAATATGTGATAATTTAAGAAGTTAGAGCTTTATTACTATTACTACTATAGGCACTATAATAAGGAATAGTATAACTTTTATTAATACTTAGATAAATAAAAAGTAAAACAATAAAAGTAAAAAGCAAAAAGATAGTTTAGGAGGAAATTAAACCTCTAACCTCTTATAATATATTTACTAAGTATAACTTATAAGTTTTAAACCTTATAAGGGGTAGCGCCTATACTCTTATAATAGGAAGTAAGCGCGCTACTACTAAGCTACTAAACCGCTAATTAATATTAGTATAGAACTAAGCAAGAATATAGAGATATAACCTTACTAATAATACTATATCTAAGGGATTAATACTAAGGAAAGTTAAAACCGGAAATATTACAATAGTAGTAGTAGTAGTAATATAGTAGTAGATTAACTATATTTACTATCTCTTTTAAGCTTATTAACAAGTAACTACTTATAGAGGTACTAATAGCTTATACCTACGTCTTTAAGGTCTCTACTACTCTTACTAAGAAGGTTGCTCTTACTAAGAGGACTATAGTTAAGAAGACTATAGTTAAGAAGACTATAGCTAAGACGAGTGCTACTAAGAAACATCTAGCTTATTAGTATGCTCTATCTATTATATAAATAAGGTATCTTCGTCTACAAAAGAGAGCTCTTTAAGTAGTAGAGGCTCGTAGCTTAGTGTAATAGCTAGTTTAAAGACGAAAGATTACTTATATATAGGAGGTAGATTAAGCTTATATAACTACTTAGAGGCATAGCGAATTCCTTTTACTAGACGATACTCGATATTCTAAGTAGCTTATAGCGACATAGGGGCTATTAGCGAATGTAATTAAGAGGGTAGAGACGACTAAAGAGTAGAAGATAAGTTAATATTAATAGGTTCTTAGTCTTAAAGTTAAGTAAGTTAAGCTTTATGTTTATTAATATTTACTAATCTCTATTATAATTATTAGTATTTTACTACTTACGCTACTACTCTACTATAAATAAGAAATATACTAATATAAAGTTATCTAGCAAAGGCAGTTCCTACTTAGGAGACTATCTCTAGCTTCGTAAGAGAAAGACCTTATAGCATAGCTTAACGATAGTAAGCTTATTACTATTTTTAGTAAAGGGAGATAGCATAGTAGTAATAGATTCGTACTAAGAAGCCTATAGATAGACTATTATTAGCTAGTTAGTAGCAGGCTAATTACCGCGACCTTTAGTAGTAAAATTAGTTACTAAGAAGAGGTCCTTAAGTACGATATTAGTATAAGGATAGACTTCGAAAGCCTATATAAGAAGGAAGCCTTAGCGACGGTAAGCTAGTATAGCTAGTATCTTCTTATTAAGCTTTACCTCGTTATAGGCCTATTCCTACTAAGTTAGTAGATCTAGGGGTGCCTAGAGCTTTAATCTACGCTCGTCGCGTATAGTCGATATATTGTATACTTTAAAGGCTATACGCGTCTAATCCTTAATAGCTCTAAGCTTTAGAGTAGTAGCGATAGATAGTATAGAGCGTAAGGGCCTAGTAATGGCTTAAGGTACTAATCTAGTATAAGAACTACGGCTAGCGTTAACTCGAGCAATACTAATAGCTAACTATCTAGCTTACTCTATACTAACTATTACCCTTCTTAGAAAGACATATTAACCGTTAGATCGACTATAAGTAATAAGAGGGCAGCGAGTAGTAGTAGAAATAGCTATTAGCTTAGAAGCTAGTATAGAAGCTACTATTCTAACGGTTATTACTTACGTACTTTATAGTACTTACGACGACAAACTAGAGGTATTCTTATCGACGAGAGAGGGGGCTAGATTAATAAGACTATAGACTAGATAGTGCTACTTATCTTAGTACTTTAAGTGTAGTTAACCGTCCTTAGGATAGAAGCGGCTCTAATATAATACTATATTAATAGATTAATAGATAAAGAAGTAATAGAAGTTAGCTAGAGAGAGTAGTCCTTAAGTAGCTTAATAATATTAAGCAATCTTTATTATTTTCTAATATCTATTACCTATAGTATTAGTATATTCTACTATAGTAGTACTATAAGCATTACGGCGCGTAAATTGCGTAAATCTAACCTCTTAAATTCCTATTAAAATTATTAAAGAAACTTAATACTTTTGTTAATCGTAGTAGAGTAGTAGAGTGTATAGTAAATTACTTATAGATTAGATAATTCTATTAAAGAATATTTAATAGATTATAGAAATAGTCGCTAATATAGTTAGGTAAGATATTATATATGCCTTAAAGCGCTTTAGTAAGCCCTATATACTATAGCTACTAGTTAGTAGTACTAAGTAGTCGATTAGACTTATAGAGCGTTAGATTAATATTACTAGCATGCTTATAGTTAAAAATGGCCTAACGAAGATAGAGGTATGCTTATTTATATAGCCGGTAAGACTCTCTATTAATGATAATAATTTAATTAATATTATTAGCCTTAATAATACTCTTAGTACTAGGAAATTAATAAGCTAGTTTAATGCGGCACCACTTAACTATATAAGGTAGTAGGTACTCGTTACTATCGAATTCCTTAAGATATTAGTTCTATAGCTTAAGCTCTTAAACATTAAACTCTAGTCCTTATTTAACTCCTTAAAATAGCTCTAGCTAGCGATATAGTGCTTCTAGAGAGCTAGGAATTATATAAGGACAGTTACTTTAAGATCGAATTAAGTAACAGTTCTAGAGAGTAGAGAATATTAAGCTAGCTCGTCGTATAATTAGTATATAGATAGTAAGGAAAGTAATCCTATTAAAAAGATAGCGACTATTATATAGGATAGTGTTAAAGAAGGTAGTCTATGCGCTAATACTACTTATTATTATCTAAAACTACTAGGCTTCTATACGCTAATTCTACTTGCTAGTTCTATACTTAAAGTAGTTAGTAAATAATAGCTACTAGCCGCTAGCTTAAAGCTCTCGATAGCTATAGTAAGTATTAGCTATTATTATAGTCTCTATACTATAGTCGGTGCAAATAAATTAAGGCATATAACTAAGCTCGTTAATAGTCTTAACGTATTAATTAAGGACTAATACTACTAAGCGAGTAGAGATACTAGTATAGAACTATATAACTAACTATAAGAAGTAGTTAATAGTAGCATATATTTAAATACCCTAACGCTCGAGCTTATAGTACGTATCTATTAACTAAAGGTAGTTTAGGCCTAGTAAATTAGCCTTACTATAGCGGCTCTTAATCTTCCTTTAACGTCGAGAGAGGCCTTCGCTATAGCCTTCGAAGTTAAGAGAATAAGCGATTTAATAGAGATAATCTCTATTATTAAATACTATTAGCTTTACTATAAAAGCTACTATAGTAGCTACGACAAAGAAGTAAAGAAGTATATACCTACCTATAATATAATACTTTTTACGTATATAAGTATAGAGCATCTCCTTTCTAAGATTGTCGATGTCTTCTTAGTAGTACTTATTAATAAGAGCTTATCGTATAGCTAACTTAAGCTACTCTTAATGCTCTATTAATATCCTCTAAGGAAGGCTAAGCTCTATTTATATACAACGGATAGTACGTATATAGATAGAACTAAAGCCTTTAAGCTTAAGGATAGTAGTAATAGTACTATTATTAAACTAGAACTTCTAGAATAACTCTTTAATACGTGCGCTAATAATAGTATAGTTAATATAAGTTAAAGACATCCCCTACTACTAAAGCCTACCTTCTAGCATTCGCTTCTTAATTAAGACATGCTATTTAGCTAGCTTCGTAACTACTATATTAACTATTACTCCCTTTTCTTAAATCTAGCTCTTAATATAGTCCTTTTATAGCTTAAGGTCGATTACTTTACGTAGCATAATAGAGAGGTAGCGACGGCGGTAGTAATAGTAGTAGCGATAGTAGTAGCGACGGCGAGGTAGATAGCGAGGTACTAGCGATAGCGATGGCGATAGTAGCGACGATAAGATAGAAGGAGGGCTTCGACGCGTTAATATTATAATAAAAGGTAAACAAAGCCATGGCTTTCGGATTTGTATGGCAGCTACTAGTAAATTAGAAAGCTCTAGCTAGCTAACCTTAAAGATCAGAATACGACATGCTAAAGATTAGAATTCGTGGATAAATGCGGAGTGGCCGCATCGGCCGACGGTCGAATGCGAGGCAGTTATGACCCGATGGCAGCGCATGATATTTGCTGCATCGAACTTAGTGGAGGAGTGATCGACTCACTAGCTCATTGAGGAAGTCGATGAAGTGCTCTCCGGAGGGGTCTCTACAGCAAGTACCGCTTCGATTGGGAAGTTGAGACTCTGAAGGATTTCAGGCGACGACTTTCTTCCTCCATCGCGTGAAAAGCGATTATGCAAGTTTAGCGAGTCCTGCAGTCAATCATCCCAAATCCTGCACGAAGCCTTTCGTCAGGTGTCGTTGCATGAAGCGCTGCTGTCTCTCTTTGCATGAAGCGAGACCTAGAGACACCGAAGAGAATAGAACATCAATAGTAGCCCAAAGCTTTTAAGAGCCAAGTTCGAAGAAGCAATGCTATTACAAGGCTTGTGTCTTGGAAGGCTGATGAATACGAGGATGCGCGAGTTGTGAACGTGCTTGTGGTCATTTCGGTATGCGACCGAAGGCACAGATGAGCGACAGGGATGACCAATCGATTAATTAAGGCATTCGTATTGGCAGATCTAAAATCAAGCCATCAAACCATCGCAGTTGTGTTTGGAGGAGACAGAATTGGATTGGGGTGTTAAACGGGACCAAAGATTTCTGCAAAGTCGCTGATGCTGTGGAGCAAATCAATTTTTGTGACATCTCGTACAACAAACAGCTGAGAGTATGTTTATATACATCTAGATTTACAAGAGAAGACAACTCGTTACCACCAACTCCATGCCTGAGAACGCCCTCAAGAATATCTACAGAGTTAGTGAATGTTAAAAATGCATGAAAGCGACGAATAATCATCGTCCATCTTATACGCCCGAGTAGATAGCGGTACAGTCCCTACCACATTCTACACGCTGTTCTATGCTGACCTTCCTGCCATCGGCGAGACGCACAGTACTTCTTGGTGTAATTTGGAATCTGTGCTCCTCTTTGCCTCTGACCTTACGCTCTGCAGCTTGGTCGAGAGGCTGAATGTACGTAGGGGCGTTGACATTGTTTCTCTTACCAGTTCCCAGCTGATAATGCTCGTTACCCCCCCAGAAGACGATGTCTCTTCCCCACCATGTTTCTCCATCCGTGTTCAAGGCTCCTGTGTGGGCAACATTGTTCATGACAGCCGCGACGTGCTTGTTGCCAGCACTAATACTAGCCAATCTAATGGGAACGACTGAGTTGGTTGTTTCGTCGTATTCGAATAACGATGATAATGAGGGAATCTTGGTGGGAGTTCCCTGAACGTGAGTCCAGCGGTTGTTTCCGAGCGTACCGTAGATACCAGCACCGCATGCGAAAGTATCAGCAGTGACTCTGCCAACACCTCTGCCGTCAGAGTTACGTGATGCCACCTTGGTAGCATCTACGGTCAAGAAAGAGTTGGCACCGCCAGCGGCTATGGATGTGACCACGGGAGTCTGAGACGATCCGGCATACAGCTTCTGGAGTGGTAACAATGCCGGCGTATCAACAACAGCAGACTCGGTGTTGTAGTCGAAACCCAATTGCCCAGAAGTGTTGTTGCCAAAGGCAAAGACACGACCATCGGCGTCAGCTACGATACTATGATAATCACCGCATGCAATCTTGTTAATGTTAAAACCTCTCAGGGTAGTCAACTCGTGAGGTTGATAGTAGGGACCAGCAGGCTTGTTGTCCCAAGACAAGCCTGGAACGCCGAGCTGACCTCTAGTAGGGTAAGCGTCAGTTGCGGATGCCATGGAGAAGAGACGTCCTTTGGATGTGAGCAGCAAGGCGTGTTCCAGACCACTGTCAATGGTTGAGACCTTCTCGCTGTAGCTCATATCTGAAGGGACAATGGTGCGGTAGCTGATGGGAGAAGTGGAAGACCAGAAAGGAATCCAAGAGCTCTCGCTAGGCTTAGCGCCGGATGCCTGGTCGGCAGCGGAGACTGGCAGAGAGTAGACGCTTCCAGAAGATGACAGGCCCAGGATACGGTCTTTGGAAATGGCCAAGGAGACCAGATTCTTGCCCTTGAGTGTCACAGTGGGTTGGGTGGTGTCCTTGGAGTAGTCAACGCCCCACTGCAGTAGGTTGCCCTGCTCGTCAATGGCAGCGCCAAAATTCTTGTCTAATTTGATGTCGCGAAGCAGTTTACCATCGAAAAACTTGATGCGACGAGGGGTCTTGATGTAGGAGGCATCCGAGTCGGGGGCGACGACCTTGCCAGCATTGGAGCCGCATGCGTAGACGCCAGGGTTCTCCCATGACTTTCTGACCTGGAGATGCTGGGAGCTTGCAATATCTCTATCCTCCTCTTTGTTGGCACCGCGTCTGCGAGTCTTTTCTATTTGAAGCTCTGGTTGGTCGGCGGCAGGTGGGGCTTCGGCATAAGCTGTATTGAGGAGGCGACCATCATTGAGATAGTATTGTGAAACAGTGGCGACACCAGCAGCTGCAGTGATGACGACCAGGGATCTCAGGAAATGCTGCTGTCGTCTGGCAGCATAGGCGGGGGCGGAAGCGACTCTCGCATGACTTCGTGCTTGGATCGAAGCTCGGGTCGAAGCTGCTCGAGCTGTCGGCAGGGCACCCAATTTGGGGACACTGGTCTTGGGTAGCATGTTGATAGGGCGATTGAACAAGAGATGACGGACTTGAGCAAGACTCAGGTCATTGCAGGGCGGAAGACAAGAAGCCTTAGAGGAGTGTCAGCCAGTGGACGGCGATTGGCCAGACGAGTCTCTACCGTCATCATTTTCGGTCTCGGCACGGGCCACCAAACACGCGATTGCGGGCAAGTTTCACGAGACCCTTCGACCTTCGGCCAGATCGGCCCGAGCCATGTGCAGATGCGCCGCTATCGACACCAGCCAAGCCCGTCTCCGTCGACTGCCAGCCGACGGGCCATCAACAGCCCGTTACCTTGGATGTTGTCAATTGTCAACACCCTCGACCTCCCCCGCCCACCATGATGGACAGCGACTGGTACTCGTCGTTTGTGCCCTCCGCCCCGGCCTCGTCTGAGAAGACGCCGGGCCATCGGCGGCGAGCTTCCCTCTTGCAACAGCCCCATGTAAGCTGCTCATCGACCATGCCATGGTACGTTGGCCGAGTCGAGCACACGTCTGATGCTGCCACAGGAAGCGACCCAGGCTGATGATCCTTCAGACCAACTGCCCATTCTCTCCGAAGAAGACGACAATCCCTTGATCAAGGGTCCCCCACAAGCGACACTTGTCAAAAGAGCTCTCTCGTATACCCACCTCCGCCCTGCTGATCGACTCTCGCATACTACCCCTCCCTCTACGCCGACGCGCAAGAACAGCCTGTCTTCAGCCCCCAAGCCCAATCATGTCTTGCGGTCCAACCTCGACTTCGCGACTTGGTACGATGCTCTCGAGGACGACCTCCTGGATGCCAGCCACAGTGACTACGAGCTATACTACCATCAGCTGAACATGTCACAACATCACCTCGACTCGCTAGCTCAGAGTACCAATGACGCGCTGGCCATCTTATCCTCTCTATCCGACTCCTTCAAGGCTGTGGACGAGCAAACGACTGCCTTCCACGCTCAATGCGAGTCCCTCATAACTGAGCAACGTCGCATTACTGACCTGGCCGACAACATGAATCACAACCTCCAATACTACGCCTATCTCGAGCCCATGACCCGCAGGCTTAATGCTCCTGGTGCTGCCAACCTCGTCCGTGCAGATGAATTTCCCGACATGCTCAAGAACCTTGACCAATGCCTGGACTACACGCAAGCTCATGTATGTCTCTCCTTCTAGACTACCTGCCATTTTACTGATGCTTCCAGCCTACCCACCGCGAAGCCCCTACTTACCGTTCACGCTACCGTCTCTTGCTGACCCGAGCCCTGACACTTATCCGAGTACATTTCACAAATTCTCTACGAGCACTGGCCGCAGATGCATCACAACGAATTGCTGACCGCCAGCTCAACGATACTACCCAAACTGCTCTACTCTACGCAAAGTTTCGTGTCAGTGCTCCTGAACTAAAACAACTCGGCCTAGAGATACAAAAGCGTGCTGTGCTGCCTTCAGGTGCCGACCAAGGAGGTGAGGCTGAGTATCAAAGTCTGATGAACGAGTTATATCAGAGTTACTCAGCCACCCGGGGCCGCCTAATGTTCCCTATCATATCTCGCAAGCTCACCGAGATGGCTGCAGTCGATAATGCGGTTGGCGATACAGTCAACTTCGCCAAAACCGCCATCGGCTTCGTAAGAGGTATATGTCTTGATGAGTACGATCTCTGGGGTGACTGGTTTTCTGGAGATGGAGGCGTATACGAGTTCTTGGAGGCCATGTGTGAGCCTTTATACGATCATCTCCGCCCCAGAATCATTCGCGAGACTCGCATCCCAAAGTTGTGCGAACTCTGTACTTTCATCCAAACTCGTTACATGGTCGATGAAGAAGATGACGACATGGAGTACCAAGATGTAGCTAGTACAAAGAGAAGCCTGGATTTCGCTGCTTTGGTCAAGCCTGCGCTGGAAGACGCTCAAAGCCGACTCGTCTTCCTCGCATTGACTGTTCTCAGGGACGACATTGAGAACTACAGACCGAAGCCTGAAGATCTTGATTACCCATCAAAAGCACGGGGCCCTTCAACAATGACTGCTGATGGTAAAAGAGTGGCTCTGTCTGGCCGCAAAAACTCGACCAATACTACCCAGGTCAAATCACCTGGTGAAGAAGACGATGGAGTTGACATGTTCGAAACATCTTGGCCCAACAATGAGAAACAGGCCATGGTTTGGTATCCTACACTGCGTAAGGCAATTTGGCTTTTGAGCCGTATCTACCGATTGGTCAACGTGAGTTGCGCCAGACATATAAACTGATTATAATCACTAACTCGGGCCATAGTCCACCGTATTCGACGATTTGGCGCACAACATCGTTCACAGCACTACTGTGTCTCTAGCATGGGCCGCATCTCAGATATCAACAAAGTCATCGCCTGCCGATGCCAACCTGTTCCTGATAGCTCATTTGTTGCGACTCAAGCAACAGATTGTAGCGTTCGACATTGAGTTTATTACCCCCGAAGTCACGTTTGACTTCTCGTCTGTTACCAACACATTTTATGAGCTTCGCGAGCGAGGAGGGCTGTGGAATCCAGCTAGTTGGGTAAAGCTCGCTGCCGGAGGGTTGATGCCACGAGTAGTGGAAAACATGCTCGACGCCAAAGCAGAACTTGACGGACGACTACGAGCAGTGATAAACGATTTTGTTAACAGCTTTGTGAGCCCGATCACAACATCACTAACATCCCCTAAGAAGGATGCAGGATCAGAAGCGAGTCATGTCACAGCTGAAATTCGAACCATCGCGCAAAAGGAGGTAGTATCGCTGCGACAGAAACTGGATGAGTATATCCAGGATATAAGGACGAGAGAAACACTTGTGGCCGCAGTGAGGGACCAAGTTATCCTAGCTTACGAGGATTGGATGGACAAGTTGAGTGAAGGCAAAGGCACATCCAAAATCGGCAAGGTCAGCAAGAAAGGAAAGGGTCGAGAAGATGAGGTTTGGTCCACCGAGGTATTTGCCGAGTGGTGCGAGCGAGTGTTCGCAGTGGGGGTCACGAGTGACGAAGACTCGACGGAAACGTGATGAATGTGCTGTGAAGTTCTGATTCGAGAGACCAAAGCACAATCAAAAGCATGTCTTACCGAAGGATCGGATATGTTGGGGAAAATTCAAGCCCTGAAAGCCAAAAAGAGGTGTCGGAAGCCGAAAATTAGATCTATACGATAGACGATGGAATTTCATAGGCCGTGCAGCGATGCGCCATCAAGATCATTGTCCTAAGTGAGGTTAGGCTTGATGAGTAGTTCTTGGTCGGAGACGTTTTCCAGGGCCACAGGGCTTGCACGACCATGTGGCCCGGTGTCGGGGCGGCCGAGAGACAGCGGAACGGGCCAACAGAACAGTTTGAGCAGAGTGAGCACACGTCAAGATGCGTATAGGGTTGAGAGATGATGTGTGGCTTGCAGAAAGACCTTGGTAGAGGAGGGGCTCTGGCTGAAATGAGAAGCTCGTTCTGAATGGAGATGTTGATAAGGCTGGATCGACAAGGGGAAAAACAGATCCTTGCAGAGCACAAGGCGCGGATGGCTGCGGGGAAAACAAGATGGATCTTCTGCCAGTGAGAGAGAGAGACGGGTTCTGAGCGAGCACAAGGCCGTTGGTGGCTTTGTCTTGAGCAAAGCGCCACATCATCTCCTCCCCAGTCGTGCAGTCAGTCAGCGTTTTCTAGAAGCGGGCTGTGAGGACCAGCTGCCGAAAAGATAAGACGGCTGCTTGCTCGCACGTCTTGGGCCACCGATACTATCATTCACTTTGTTCGCAGCATCAAAGTAGTGTACCTAGGCAATTGACCCAAGTGCCAAGTTCTTGATCGGATCACCAAAGTCAAACGCGTCAGCGGCCTCAGGATCCAGGAACCCCGCGTGATTGCACAGCTGCCTCTCTTTTCGACATTTGCGCTCTGCATTGCCATCGCATCCTAAAATCCAACACTGCCCTACGCAAATGTCGTACTATCCCGGTCAAGGCTACCATAACCAGGGAGGCTACAATCAAGGGCCTCCCCCGCAGCAGTACGGAGGCTATCCTCCTCAGCAATATCCGTCAGTACCTATCTAGCTTGCGCCCAGCACACCAGCTGCATCGAGCGACTGACGCAGAACAGCCCACCTCAGCAAGGATACGGCGGTTACTCCAACTCTCCTCAGCCTCAGTACGGAAACTACGGTGGTCCTCCGCCGCAACCACAGTACGGCGGTTCATACCAGCAGCCTCCTCCTCCACAGCAGCCACAATATGGCGGCTACTCGCAACCTCCTCCTCAGCACTATGCTCCTCAATCACGTACTGTGCCCTCAGACTCCCATGTACCGCCAGTGACTGACTGTACCTCTCAGACCTACCCAGCGGCCAGAATGTCTACCAACAGCACAACATTCGTCAAGGTGCCCCTCCACCTCCGCCCTCGGGCATGCAAACTTTTGGCAACGGCGCCCCAAATGGCTACTCATTCCAATACTCCAACTGTACCGGCAAACGCAAGGCTCTCCTGATCGGAATCAATTACTTTGGCCAGAAGGGCCAGCTCCGGGGTTGCATCAACGATGTTAAGAACATGTCCAACTACCTCATGGAGGCCTTTGGTTATAAGCGCGAAGACATGGTCACCTTGACCGATGATCAGCAGAACCCAATGAGCCAGCCTACCAAACAAAACATCTTGCGCGCTATGCACTGGTTGGTCAAGGACGCCCAGCCCAATGACTCGCTCTTCTTCCACTACTCTGGTATGTTCACCATTCTGGTCATCTCACCATTTCGTTTTGCTAACGATCGCAAGGTCATGGTGGTCAGACTGAAGATCTCGATGGCGATGAAGAAGACGGCTACGACGAAGTCATCTACCCTGTCGACTTCCGCCAAGCAGGTCACATTGTTGACGACGAGATGCATTTCATCATGGTCAAGAATCTCGCCGCCGGTGTGCGACTAACTGCCATCTTCGACTCGTGCCACTCAGGCTCCGCTCTGGATCTACCATACATCTATTCCACCCAAGGCGTGCTCAAGGAGCCTAACCTTGCCAAAGAAGCTGGCCAGGGCCTGCTGGGCATCGTCAGCAGCTACGCTCGTGGCGACATTGGCGGCATGGCAAGCACTGCTATGGGCTTGTTCAAGAAGGTCACCAGGGGCAATGACAGCTATGAACAAAACAAGCGCACAAAGACTTCTCCGGGAGATGTTATCATGTGGAGTGGCAGTAAAGACGATCAGACTTCAGCTGATGCCTCCATTGCTGGTCAAGCGACTGGTGCAATGTCTTGGGCCTTCATTGGCGCTCTGAGGAAGAACCCTCAGCAAAGTTACGTTCAATTGCTGAACAGCATTCGTGACGAGCTCCAAGGACAATACAGCCAGAAACCTCAATTGAGTGCCAGTCATCCAATCGGTAAGTTCTTGATCCCTGTTGCTAAAACCTGCGTACCACATACTAACTTCACTGTGCAGACACAAACCTTCTTTATGTCATGTAAAATATGATATACTGCTCCTTTCATGAAACCTGGATGATGTCTTTTTTTGAGTGCTGGTAGCACCTTCTTCTCACTGTACATAGAGGGCCTGTCTTCTTACCGTCATGTTTTACGATCACTTTTCAGAATAAAATTACTCGATTTGGTATAGACCCTGCCAAGCATTGTTCACTGCCCTATCTCCAACCCTGTCTTGTCTCATCGCACCTCATCATTTGAAGTCACCTAGCCCTCGAGCCATCACTTGCGCTTCTGTACTCCAGCCTCTTTTCCACATTCGCACTTGTGTCGAGATGGTTCATGTGACGAGGTAAAATGTCGGAATCTGTTCGACACGAAAGCGAAGCCTTGCGAAACGTTGAGCAGTCCTGCGATAAAGATGTCGATGAGCGAGAAGCAACAGAACTTGAACCCGTGCAACATGTGCACCGGGACATAACCGAAGGATCGTCCTCAATCAATGCGACAAACACATCTGATGCTGGTGGAGGAACTCCATATCTCAATGGCTTAAGAAAATGGTGGAAGCATTATGTTCAATTACATGTGCCTCACGCAGATTGTAGAGATCACCTTGGTATGCAACTTTCTAGCCCCGTCACGTTTAGTGTGAATCACACTTGCCCATCATAACAGACCGCCTGGAAGCCGAACAGCAGGATTGACAATTTGGACCTTCTAGCCAATGAACGAACGTTTCTTGCCTACCAACGCACCTCGCTCGCCCTTTCGATGCTGGGTATTGTCACCGCCCAACTCTTCAGTCTACAACGCTCACCAGATCCCGAAAACGATCCTGTATTTGGCTACCACACTCTTGGAAAGCCTCTAGCAGGTCTCTTTCAGAGCGCTGCCATTGTTGTGATTCTTATTGGCGGCCATCGATTTTGGCGTCAACAGATGAATATCGCTAGAGGCAAGGTCTGGGCTGGTGGTTGGGAGATATGGACTATTATGGGATTTATGTTGCTTGTCAGTTGTTCCCTTCTCTTCGTCTTTCTTGAGATTGTGTTTCCTGTTTCTATTTGGTTCTGTGGGACTGACATCATTTTTCTATCTGCAGCTTCTCGTGTGTGTGTTTGGTCTGTTGATTGCCTGCGATGCAACAGCGTAACGACTTCTAGAGTCATCGTTCTATCTCTGCCTTCGTATCCAAGGTAGCAGATTCCGAAGCCTGTCGCACACGACTCGAAAGGACGAAAGCTCGTTTTCGATAGATGTTAAACGACCGATGATCTTGGAAGTCGGGTTGGCATCTTTAATTCTTACCTCGATGTTGGTCGCTCGTATTTGTGCCATATCTCTCCACTTGCGCCTTCCCCACCGGGACCAACATTTCATGTATTCGCGGCAAAGAGTGTGCAATCGCGACTAGTTTAGTGACAACGATAGACTTCAATTCCGCCATAATGCTTGTGTCGAAATCTGACAGGCACTAGGGAGTGTCATCCTCGTTTAGACACGTGGGCTGAAGGATCCAACTCATTAACGATGCCAATGTTGGTGGACCTTTTGCGCCGTGATTGCGGACCCGCGCTTATATACTGCTACCCAATGACAAAAGAGACCTTGAAGGAATAAACGCAATTGGTCGCGTGTCCTATTTCGCGGCACACACCGAAGGAGCTCCGTCTGAAATGGTCTCGATCTCTCCGTAAACAAGACCCAGTTTTGGCATTGAGGAGTCATGCTCACGATGTCGCCATTATTTCGTGAAATCCTGCCTCGGCGTGCGGAGTGCAAGTGTGGCACGCACATATATTATTGGCAGAGACATGCATGGCCCACGTCGGGTGTTTCGGGTGCATGCTCGAGCGAATGTAAAGAGCAAAGGCTCATGCATGCAGTAAGAAGTTCTCTTCTAAGTTTGCCCTGCAAAACTCCAAGTCATAGGAATTTATCTCACACCGACAACACGATGTTCAGGGCCTGTAGCTTTGTGTCATTCATTTTGTGACGGGAAGTTATTCTTGGGGCATGGAGTGAACCCGTTCGTCGCTTCCTTTTGCCGAGCCGAAAGACAAAGTCGCGGATCCTCCAGGGGATTTTTTTAATTTCTTCCACATCACTTTTGCTCTCGCTCTCGTGGGTGGGGCGGCTAGACAGCGTAGGCCTTCGCCTGTTCCAGCCGCGCCAATGTACCATGACCACTGGGCAGTACAGGCGGACGCCCTAAAGAGCAGAATGTGCTTTGACGCGTCCGAGTGGCCGCCTTCAAACTCGGCCACTAACGCGGCAGCCCGTGCAACCCTAGACTATAACGTACATCGTGAACGCTGAAAGGGCGAAGGGAAGGGTACTGACCATGTTGTACTTCGTCCTAACCAGAAGCTTGTCGTCGCGCAACGAAGATCCTTGTGCCTCTTGCAGCTGCTGCACAAGGCTTCGGTAGAAGAGCAAAGCTAATTCAGTTGGCTGAGGCGAGCACTGTGGTGACCAAGACGAGGCCATCTCCGAGGTAGGTATTGGGTGGCCACCTTTTTGCAGGGTTTCCAATGGATCTGCAACTTGACAAGGCGACCACTCTCTTGGTACCGCCATTGCGGTTGCCCACAAGCATCTCCACAGATCTTTCTTCATCAATCCTCATCAATCCTCCTCTTTCTCCAAAGTGTCATACTCTCGGCCAAATCTAGCTCCACAAGACTTGTGTTGCTCATTTCTGCCATTTCTCGTCTCTTTCTGGCCTGCCAACCTGGTCTTAACATCACCTTCAAAATTGGCTGACAGCAACCGTGACCGCGCTCCTGCCCATTGAACCCGCTTATATTGGACGCTACCCAACATATTTCACATCCCCCGCCATTCTTGACCGATTGTCTTTGGACTTTCAATTTCTATATATGCTTGCGCTTGCCACAATACGGAACACATCCAGATTGACTTGAACGTTTCTCCCATACTGAGTCACCATTTGACGTGTGGCCCTCGTGCCAGCATCACGCCGCTACGATGTTTCTCAACTCCTCGCTGCACGGAGATTGTATAGCTCCATTCTACGATGCGTCTCTGTTTCCTTCCGAAGGCGGATGTATGTTTCTTGGATGGTCTACTGCCATTACAGAAGAAGCACTGACAAGCGTCAGATATCGGTGGCCGCCTTTGTTCGCAACAGAGTCAAGACCCGACTTCTCCATTATGTTGTCTACCATGTCCGGCATCGTATTGGGCTTACTCGGACAGTTAGTGATCTTGACAAGAGCAAGTAACATCGCGTAACTTGCTAACTCACGACTCCAGATTTTGTGACTCTTGGGACTGTCGCGGGGTGGCTCAATGTTGTCGGGCTACTGCTACAAGCCTTCATGCTCATCTCGAATACTTTTCTCCCAGCGGCGAGGACTCGGAGTCACTACCTCACACAGTGTCTAATCGTTGCTGTCATATTCATTAACGTAAGTACATTGTAGCGATGAGACAACCACCTACTAACATATCGCAGCTCGCCTTCGTCATCCCACTAGGAGCGGAGCCTGAACAGTGCTATGATGGGATCACACCAAACGACATGTACACTTCCATGACATGTGCCTGGTCTGGAGCATTCCTGCTAGCCGGAGCACTCGCAGGATCCATGTGGAGTAAGTGTATCTGCCACATGCACCACATCAGATGCTGACTATCAGACAGTCTTCATCCGATCGTTATCCATGCACCTCACTGTCGTCTGGGATAACGTTCCCGGTACGAGATTCTTCTATATCTCGCAAGCTGTGGGCTGGGGAGTACCAGCTGCACTGTTCACATCTGCAATCAGTATATCAGGGGTCTCGTTTCGATTTGGCAGTACCTGTCATATCAACCATGACGACTCAATGGCAACCTTCTGGGGATGGCTTCTTGCTGTGGCAGGCGCGGCTTTGATTGTTCAAATCACCACGTAAGTTATCTGTCGTGGAGAAAGCACAAATGCATAGTTTTGACACATAACGTTCTAGTTTCGCGTACTGCCTTCGTGTCTTCTTCAACAGTCTTTGGGAAGACAGCGCAAGACCAGTGTCCCAAGGCTCAGCGAAGAGTCTACCCATGTCCGTCATGAGCGCAAAATCACAGCGAGCGCGCGTCATCTACCGCCGACTCAAGAGCGTGCTATACCTACAATGGCGCGGCATGCTAATCGTCACCATCGTCCTCGTCGACGTCATATTCTTCGCCGTCGTATTCGTCTCTCTCGACAAGATCGAAGTGTCTATGCTGCATGACTACACACGAGTACTACCCTGGGTGATATGTCTAATCGAGAACGGAGGCAATCGGGATCAATGCTTCAGATTCAGCCACAAATGGCTGATCAGTGAACCCACCATCGGAGCCATGCTAATCATGATTTCACTGCTCGGAATCGAACTCTTCGTCCTACTCTTCCGCTGGTCACTAATCACAGGCTGGAAAGAGCGATGGGCAGCGATGACAAAAGGCAAACCCCAAGAATTCGTCTCCCTGGACGCACGAAAAGCCCAGTTCGACGCTAACACACCAACCTACGAGTTACGCAAGTTGGGAGGCCGCTTGCAGATCGACTATTCGGATCGTAAGAGCTGGGATCCGCATACTATGCGTCCGACATCTCCTAACAATCTCCTAGACGATAATGCTACAACGCCGAATAGTCCTGCCCCAATATACTCGCCTCCACGGCGGAGAGAGCAACAAGAAGATGATGTAACGTCCATTACACCGCTGGACTCCCAAACAAGAAGATATACACCTCCAATACCTGCGAGAAACTTTTCGAGTCCGAGGATACGCAATGTGCAGAGTGACAGGACGATGGCTTGGGACCCTGCGACCTCGTTTGCGAGTAGTGATCCTGCGATTGTGTTTGTGAGAGGCGGAGCCAGACATAGAACTACGCCGTCACTACCGCCGCCGACTGAATTCGAGGGAAGGCCGTTGTCACCGCCTGGTCAGGCATTATAAGGATCTCGTTCTTTGTTGCATATTCGTCGTGTATACGGGCTGGCCCTCGTCTTGTTTCTCTGACAATCTAATGTCAATAGGGGATATAATGATATATAGTCTGCATTGAAGTACCAGGGAGCAATTCCATCTACTTCTCACGTATATTGTTAGGAACAATATTTTTTTTTAAGAGCACACACGAAGTTCAAAAGCTAGGTGATGCTTTTAGAAACAACAACTGTTCTACCACATAATCTTCCTCCCCCGTCCAACATATCCTTAACATTGCTAACACAGAACAACAACGCGCGACCAAAGAATGTTCCACGCCTGTAATTACACCAGGATCCATAAAGCCATTCGTCGTATGTCTCATGAAAGTCTTTTGATCCTTCCTGCCGTCATTCATCACTGCCCTCGCCGTAAAGCATTCGTAACATCACCTCCGTCTCGTCCAACCTTGCGCATTAGGACATTCAACGTCAATAGTCCTTGTTGATCCCCTCAACAGGACCGGCATAGTCGTACCTGCCCTTGAACCTGTAGTAGATGACGGCAGCAATCCAGGTAACGCCATAGATGAGAATAGTCCAGTTCATGTTCTGCGCACTGGGGTGGGGTCTGGAAGGGAAGAAAAGCAAGACCCAACAGAAAGACAAGAAGATGATGGCTGTCATATTGATAGCAAGACCCCAGCGGCCCAGATTGAAGCGACTGGGTAGAAGAACTTCTTTCATGATTCGCTTTCTGGCCATGCATCCGATGCAGATGATGTACGAGGTAAGAAGGCCAACGCTGGACAGACTGGTGATTACGTTGAAAGCCGTGTTGGAGCCGATGACAATGAGCGAGATGAGGACCGTAATCACCACGGTCACAGTACATGCGTTGAGGGGAATGTCCATGCCAGGTCGAACCTAGAAGAGTCAGTCTGGAGGTTGAAAAAGATATATGTCCATATGACTTACTCTACCGAGGAATGAGGAGAACGGCAGACCGCCATCTCTCGCGAAGGCAAAGAGTTGTCTTGATGTCGTTGTGACTTGGTTGATGGCAGTGAAGAACAGTAGAATGCAAACGATTGCTGTGAGGCCTGATGCTCCAGCTTTTGACTGAACAGCATTGTAGAAAACCTACGGATCTTGTCAGCTCCGCTCCAAACAGCAGACGAAAGCTTTATATGATGAACTTACCTGAATGTATCCCTGACCGAATTTTGTGTCGAGAACAGACTGCACGGAACCTCCCAGAGTGAACATGAGTGTGATGACAGTCACGAAGCCCAGAGCGTAATTGACCACGGCGGTAGCAGCCATAGATCTTGGAAGGACCCAAGATGCGTCTTTGAGCTCTTCAGACAAGTGGCAAGCTGAGTCGGACCCAAGAAGAGTGGTGAATGGAGACAAGATACCGATGAGGGTGGACAGGCCTACGTTTCCCCAGCCCATATTGTCACTAAATTCAGTAAACACTTTCTTCGCAGGTGTTCTCTCAGCCATAACCCAAAGAACCACGACGATGGTGAAGAAGCTGAAAAAGAAGAACAGCAACATGAAACCCTCAAGCAAGGGTAGTTTCTTGATGGCGACGGTATTGATGAGAATGCAGATGATGACGATGCCAATGGTCATAAGGGCAGCATGCCATCCCGGAAGCGTGTAGCCTTCGACGTTGAGTGCAATTAGACCTTGGATGTTGAGTGCTGGGGTGTAGGCACTGGCACACATAGCGGCCTGCCATCCCAGGACACACATCCATCCTGTAGATGATGTGTTAGTGACAATAGCGGACCTTGAGCATAAGACTCTACTTACCAACCATGTACGAAAGGAACCGTTGATACTTTGGTGGAGCAAACTCACTGACCCCTGTTCGTTGCATCAGTCTTTGAGCTCTATTTACGATAGATGGAATGATCTTACAATGGTATTGGCCACCTGCTGTAGGTGCCCTTCTCATATGTTAGCTGTTCAAGGATTCATGTACGATATCTTTAGATTACGCGAGACCCACATTGATGCCATTTCGGCCATGGAAAGCATGCAGAAAAACATTCCTACAGCGACGATGAGGAACATCCACACTCCACCGGCCATACCACCGTTGGCAAGAGTGATATTGCTGGAACTGATGATATGGTCAGTATCTGCAGTGCGTCCGTTGACAGAAAATGACAAACATCAGAGCGACCACCCAAGCATTGCCCAATAGTAGACTGAAACCCCAGATGGAGACGAAACGGAAGTTACGCTATGGTTTGTGAGCATGCCAGTCACCACTCGAAATTTTCAGCACTAACTCTCAGCTCCTGGAGCTTTCCCATACGACGCATGTCATAATCATCGTCCTTGGTACCGCCCTTAGTTGCTTCGGTGGCCGCTGCATCATCAACATCCTCGATCTGGTGCTCGAACGAACTGGCGGTCTGGACGGACGAAGAGTTCTTGATGCTGTCCATTTCGATGGCGGTGGAGGACATGTCGGTAGAAAGGAGATGTTCGCGCGAGCAATCGCCCAAAGAAAACGCAGTATTGGACAGAGGTCTTGTTGGAGTTACACACCAAGTTTGTACTCGGAAGAAGACAGGACGCATGCAAGGATAAATAAGTCAACTCCCTCGGAGCGACACTTCTTCAGTAAACTGTGTTTCGGCGGCAATTCTGGTAGGAAGGAGCTACCGGACGGCAAATCTGCGCCGAGTGAGTCTAGCAAGATGGCCCTAGATGGAAGGCGCAAGGGTTGCTGCAACTGCCCACCTTGCATCTCACCAAACCATCGAGTCGCGGTGTTACCAAAGACGCAAACTAAAGTCACCTCGCACCGGCCTCAGCGGAAAGAGCTGTTGCACATATTTTGGGCGAAAGTCAACTGATTGCTTTTACACCGCAGTGCCGCCTTGAATCTGCAGTTCATACTACCAGCAGGCAATCGCTCTGCGAGATACATTTTTCTGCATATTGTTCTGTTGCGCTCTGCGTGAATGCAAGGAATTGCACCTGAGGCAACATATATGGCTTCCGTTTGCTCGGGAAAGACCAATTGTCAATTACGGCACTGTAGCAGTTTGTGTCGATGGTCCTCTAAACACCTTGCAGATGATGCTGCTTCAGCGAACCCTTTCGCTTGCAGGGGTTGCAGATCTGACAACGCCAAGCTGTGGCCGACGTCTTTCCGAGGGTACACAACAGCGTCCTGCTTGCCTTCCTGCAGCACACAACCGGGATGTCGTTTCTCTTTTACGCGATCATTCTCGAGAGATCTCATCAAAGCGCCTATACATCATAAAGCCACGATGGTGCAACACGTCGGGTCTGGCTCAGAAAATATCAGTACATCTGACTGACATGGCAATAAAAGAGCACCACATCTTCATCCTGGAGCATAAAATATAGAACCTCAACCTCTTGCTGACTTTCTGTCCGACTCTCAATCCTGCTGAGAAGATGTTGTGGCTTCTTCTTCTACGCAATCTCACATCATGAGGTGACCGGTTCCAAATTGTGTCGTTGGCCATTCTTTTTCCTTGGATAAACGCCTGTAATACCCGACTCCTCGTTTCTCACCTTGCAGGGCGAGCGCATAACCCTGAGTTGCACAAACAGCCGCTTGTTCACCCATCCTCAGCCCTCGCCTGACACACCGAGAGCACCCTGTGATATATGGTCTAGGCATTGTCGTAGCATTGGATGTGCCCCTTTCTCGGACTTTGCTTTTTTGAACTTGCTAAGATTGGATCGAAGGCTTGCTTCTGGTTGCCAGTATCTCAATCGGGCGCACCTCGAACACAAACATTCCTCAATTATGGCGCGTTTCGCTCAAGGGCCGCCTGCTCACCTTTGGATCGCAGTCTTGCTCTCATTGACTTACTCATGCTTCACCTGGTTTCTTCGAATTTATGCAAGAGTGGGTTACTATGGGATAGATGATGTCGCTATCACTGTCGCGCATGTAAGTGTTTTCTATCTGAAGTTAGTATTTCATGCGAAATCCTTAGACCGACCCACCGTCCCCTTCTGGCACGAATTGCCTTCCAGACGAAATTTTTCATCCAAGTCTGGGAGTACATAAAGATATGTGTCTGTTGACACCACTATAGGTCACGGCGCTCGCACAGTGGGCCTCCTTGATTGTAGCACTCAACAAAAATTTAGGAGAGTCAGAGGAAGTTATTGGGACCGAGCACCTGACGAGTATGTCTCGCGTGAGTCTCTAGATTGATCTTACCGAACATGAACCCTCTCACACAAGTAGGCGGTCGTTACCAGTCAAATATTCTTTCTTCTCACGATGGGACTCACGAGTCTTTCCCTAGCCCTGCTGATGAGGAGGATATTTTCGACAAACACGAAACACAAAGTTGGGTCTTACATTCTGCTGGGCGTCATTTCAGCATGGCTTGTCCTGGCAGTTGCTGCTGTCAAGTCAAATTGTCCATCAACGCATATACTCGACGGGCAGCAATACACATGCCCCAACGATGTAAGCGTACTCGTCAGTATCAAGCCGGCTCTGCTAATGAGCGCAGATATATCGGTGGAGAGCTGTTCTTGCCATTGCGATCTGCATCGAGGCGGCCGTGATGGGCTTCCCAATCTATCTTGTCAGCCATCTCCGGATCAAAGTGAGCAAGAAAATGCTCGTTGTCTCTGCTTTTGCATACCGAATACCGTATGTGGGTGTCTTCCTCTACCATCTATACTCATTGCTAACACGAATTCAAAGTATGATCGCTTTTTCTCTGCTCTACTTGAGAGTTTACAGCGAGGCAGCACGCTCGGAACAGAGAGCACACGATTTCACGAAAGTCATTATCTGGCAACAAGCCTTGGTCTGCTACAGCCTTTTATCAGCGACTCTGCCTTTCGTTCAAGCTTTCATGCGCAGCTTCACAACTGGTGGTACGGCTTTTGGAAGCATCATATACGGTTCTCGTAACAGTCGCTCCGACGGCTCTGGCGACACTTCGAGAAGCAGATCGCGAAACGAATCCTTTACGCCGCAGTTTTTGGGTCGAACGAAGACGGTCTGTCGTGGAGCAGGCAAGCAGGTCAACAACGAAGCCCATCGTGCATCTGGTGGATCGCAAGAATTGATAGTTCGGCGCGAGGTCACGGTCGCAGTCACTCAGGGTTGAGCATCTTTATCTGCGTTGTTCGCTTCTCTGCAACATCTCTCGGACATATTGGGACCATGTATTTAAGCATACATAATAAAATGTCGAATGTTCTCACCTAACTTTTTTGGTGGCCGAACAGCATAGAATGCATGAAAGAGAACGAATCCCTTCAAGCGTCTCTACCAAACAATATGCAGGTTCGAGATAGCAATAGAGCCATACAACACAGAGAATAGACGCCCTCGCGAAGAATAGCCTGAACAGTGCAAAGCAAGGGCTGGTTTCATGCAGACTAATCAGACCGGGTGGGCGGTTCCAAGACGAGCACCCTGCATGAAGGCGGCTTGCATTGCCACGTGCGAGTAGTGCGTCGAAAGGTACAACGTAAACATCACCACATCGAAAAAGTTCCCGTGGTTCTTTCCTGCTCTTCAACTCACCCTTGCCTTACAACTTCACAGTGTTCGGTCGCGGGTATGCTGTGCTCACTTGCCACGCACTCCTGCCATGTCATAGCCAAGGGTTCAGATATGTGTGTGCTTCTACGCCAAAGCCACTCCATGCACCAGACTGTTCTGGGTTGCAAGGCGTAAGAGTGGAAGCTTTACGGCTACAATATCGGCGTTGCATTCGGATTCGCAGTCATGATCCAAGGTACAATCAGCACACCCAGCAGCATGTGGGCGTTTGTGTATCACAGTCCTTGTGTGCTCCTACCTCGCTTCCAGACGTCCGACTTCATGTGCTCTAGATCTGCCTCTTGCTTTTAGCCACCAAGCCGTTTGTCCTACACGTACGCCCTTGTTGATCTTATGTGTTCAAACGTGGCCACTGCAGTCGCATCTGATCGTCATCCTTGCTTTCGAACCTCGTTTTTCTGCTGTATCTAATCAGATGGCGCCGTCTAAATGACCAGAAGAATCTGTTGTGGCCACTGGATCTTAGGGTCGTACTTGAAGTACATTTAATATATCCATAGTCCTGCAAACATTCGGACTCCGATGTTACATATCGACTCTCCTTCTGAATATACATATCTTCGAATGCTAGCCTTACGTGAGAGATCTTCACAGGCATATCATGGGTCCACAACGAACGTCAAGTTAAATTCTCATGTCATTAGGATACTCATGAGACGACTACTACGCCACAGCATTCAGTGACAGCCGTCTCTCAGATCGGCGTCAAGCCTTAAAGAGCAGGGGTGTCTGCGAACAAGGCCTTGGAGAAAGCCTCCGGGTATCTGCTACCAGCAACTTCCGCCTCTTCGCAAGCCTTGCGGATCTCATTCTTCTCCTCTTCAGTAAGCTTGACCTTCAGAGCTCCGAGGTTCTCATCGACACGGCTGAGATTGGTGGTTCCGGGGATGGGGAAGATGTCGTCACCCTGAGCCATCAACCAGGCCAGGGTAATTTGAGAAGCAGTGAGACCCTTCTTCTTAGCAATCTCGGTGATCTGGTCGACGAGCTTGAGATTCTTGGGGAAGTTCTCGGCGCTGAAACGAGGGGCGAAACGACGGAAGTCGCCCTCCTCAAAGTCATCGGGAGATCTGATGCTGCCACCGAGCATTCCACGGCCGATGGGGGAGTATGCAACAACAGCAACGCCCAGCTCGCGGCATGTCTTGAGGAGGCCAATCTGCTCGCTCTCAATGTCGAGAGAGAAGGGAGAGTACTCGATCTGGACCGCGGTGATAGGGTGGACGGCGTAGGCACGGCGCAAACTCTCACTGCTGACTTCTGAGAGACCGAGGTACTTGATCTTGCCAGCCTCCTTGAGCTCCTTCATTGCCTGAACGGTCTTCTCTACTGGTGTCTTGCCATCAAGGCGATGCGCGTAGTAGAGATCGATGTTCTTGACTCCGAGACGAGAGAGAGACTTGTCGCAGGCCTTCTTGCAGTATTCAGGCGATGAGTCAACGATGGGGTTACCCTGCTCGTCACGCAGGTTGGCAAACTTGGTTGCAAGGAAGATCTGCTCGCGCTTGCCAGGGTTGTTCTTGAACCAGTTTCCGATCAGGTCCTCGTTGTCCATATACATGTCTTGTCATTGTTAGCTGGCATTCGGCATCAATACGCTTGAGCAGATTCACCTGCTGTGTCCCAGAAGAGCTCTCCCTCTTCGTACAGCTTGTCCAGGACTGCGAATCGCTCCTCATCAGGCTTGGGCTTGCCGTAGAAGGCCGACAAACCCATAGCTCCGTAACCCATTCTAGTGACAAAGGGTCCGTTCTTGCCCAACTGGCCTGTTGGCAGTTTGGTGGCACCAATGGCCGACTTGACAGAATCAATTACTTGCTGCATCTTGGATTTTTCGGTTTTTTTCAATAGCTGCGTTGTGTTTCAGGTGATGGTCTGGTAAATGTCACGCATGGGTATATGTATGTTTGACCCCTCCGAGAGCTGCCATTTGATGACGTTTGAACCCGGAGATAAGGAAGGTGCTTCTCCGTTTACTCCTTCACCACGTCGACTGCTCCACCCAGCATTTGTCATCGCCTGAATGCTTAATCTGATGAGCTTGTACGGAGCTTGTGGATGTGATGATGCTGTTGGAGTTTAGTACACCTCGAGTCCGTTGTTGGAACAGAAGTCGTTTTGATCAATAATTGTGGTATATTTACATGTCGTATGCAGGCTATTTACAATGGCTTTTATAGCAAAATATGCCCTTCAATCAACAAGCAGTGAGATAAATCGAGTCTCGTCGCCACACCAGTGAACGCCGATGCTAGAAAAACAACAAACAACAGAGGTCCAGCCCGTCGCTCCAATATGGGTATCTCAATCATGAATCTAGAAGGAAACAGTAAAACAAAAAAGTGAAATGGTCGTAAAACATTCGTCATGATGATGGATATGCACCAGGAGAAGCAGAGCTGTCGGCAGACGCTTGACGTTCGTGCCATTCGGTCTTCATCTCACCTGCACTCTTTTTGCGGATGCTGAAGAAGCTAAGCGCTCGACTAGCAACGCTGCTATTGGAACTACCAGGCAGGGATTCGTCGCTCATCTCGCTAGGGTCCTTCAGAGGATCACAAAGAGTACGAGCAAGCGGGCTGTAGTTGAGGTAGAAAGGTAGCAAGGTGGCACCTGCAAAGCCTGCGACAGCAACGCACATTGCGTACTGTGAGTTGTGCGTTTCTTTAGCCACGTAGGACAAGCCTGGGAAAACACCACCACCAGAGACTGCAGCGATCAAAATGACACTGCCTTCTTTTGTAAACTTGCCCATGCCGCGGATGCTTTGAGCGAAGATGAGACTGAAAAGTGGGCCTTCGAAGAAGAACACCATAAGCATCATAGCTGTGGCAGTCGAGCCAGTAAAATTCATCGCGAGAGCTGCGAACACAAGGGTGCCTGTGAGGAAGAAAACAAGCAGGAGTCGTGGCTTGATAACGAAGCCTGCGCCTGCCGCCACAAACCGAGATACAGCAAACAAAGCATGTCCAATAGCCATGTAGTTGGTCTCGTTGAAGGATGGAGCGACTAGTGCCAGATAGCCGTCGAAGGTTGTTGCGAGAACTTCCTGAGCACCAACGTAACAGAACATAGCAAAGGCGCCAACGGCGAGTGTGTACCAGATGACCCTAAACTTGCCAACAGTAGCGTGGTTGGCATTGTCCATACGCTCACAGGCATCCTCAAGCTCTTTGTCGGTAGCCTCTGGCAGTGGGACGTAAAAGAATGCGACCGCCAGTGCAACAGTGAACAGTGCAATCCCAAGGTAGGCCCATTGTGTGTTGATCAGAGAAGGCGCGTCATGGGACTGTCCAAAGAGGGCTTTCTGGGCGATGAGAGGAGCAACGACAGTTCCGATGGCTTGAAACCCTTGGCTCAGATTAAGGCGAACTTCGACGTACTGCATGGGACCGCAAAGTGAGATAAATGGGTTTGCCGATATCTCGAGTGTTGATAATCCAAGACCAACGATGAAGTTGACAATAACAAAGGCCGGGAAAGAGGTCAGAACAGCAGCAGGCCAGAATATCAGAATGCCGCATGCGTATATGCTGAGACCAATGATATAACACGCTTTGAAGCCATAGTGTTTCAAGGCCAAGCGACCAAATGTCAGCGGTCCGAAGAAGTAACCAGCGTAGTAAGCACTGTGGATGCCAACGGACTGTGCCGAAGACATGTGAGCAACTCGCTGGAACTGCCTGTTGAGGACATCAAGAAGGCCGTATTCGAAACCCCAGATGAAGAAGAGCACAGTGACCATGATGACTGGGAACAAAGACTCTCTTACAGTCATTTGAACAAAACTTTTTCGGTTCTTGAGGTTGACGAAATCAAAGAAGGTTGGTGTATCTGCGCTGGTGTTTCTGGTAGAATTTGTCAACATGGTTTGTGAGCGCTCTAGCGAATTTTGCATGTCAGGAGTGGTGAGGAAGTCCATCATGTCCATGTTAGAATCTTCGACAGGCTCGCGAGATGGTTGTGTAGTGAGATAGGCTGGATCCTGCATTGATGGAACTCGTTGAGCCGTGGCCATCTCGAAGGTAGGCTGGCGATCAACCGAAGAATGCTTTTCCGTCACGTCCCCTTCATCACGAAGAAGGTGTGGCATAAAACGAGAGACCAGAGGCTTCAAAGCTGGAACGCAGGCGCACATGATACCGACATTGACCTCGATGGCAGACCACATGAAAGAGTATGAGGCGTACCATGAGAAATCGGTCACGTCGACATCACGTCCTGAGCTGTTGTCCTGCTGAAAGTTGAGAATCTGATTGAGACGATATGTTGAGGCAGATTGCAGATATGCGATGCGGACGATATCGACAACGGCGACGAAGAGACCAAAGCCAAAAGTGATGACCAGGATAGTTTTTTGCTTGCGAGGTAGTCGCATCGAGGTTAGAATGGGCATAGGTAAAAACAAGATGGCGAGGTCGGTGATGATGTTGACAGGAGCCGATGAGAGGTATATGGTGATAATATCGGTGCAGTGATGGGTCGCTGGCACCGGGTACCTGAAGGCGGCGCCGACAGGGTTGCATTGAAACAAGGTGACGAGAGTCAAAGCAAGTCCAGCGGCATTGACGACAAACAAAGTTGCTATGGTGGCCCAGCGGAAGGTCATGTTCGTCTTTGATAGAGTTAGATAAAAGACAAGGATGGATGTCTTCTCGGCCATCAATGCAGGGTTGTATAGAACCGAGAAGGCATACTGTGATCGTCGTAATGCACCCTGCCATGAATCTGGTACATCATCTTCATGGCGGCCGAGACCGACAAAGGAACCGTAGCATATAGAGAAGGACAAGCCAAAGGCGAGTAGCTTTGAGCGTCTTGGTTAGCAAGCGAGACCAGTAAGCCCAAGGGGGTTTCCAAACGTACCCAAGCAACAAGGATGAAGTAATCATCCAGAAGGACTTTCTTGACGATTCCGGCGCGAGAAGCTATGCGGGAAAAAACAAAAACGGTCGAGCAGGTGATCATGGCGACCGTGACGGAGAAGACAACACTGCTGCGCGAATCAAAGCCGCCACCACTCATGGACATGGCCTGGTCCTGACTTGTATTTGACATGATCGAAGACGAGTCTGCGTGAAGCGAGCGGTAGCGTGATATATCAACCCATTCTCCAGAGTGGCGGCCAACGCTTGCAATCACTGTCGAGTCCGTGATCCCGGTGTGGTAGTAGGTGTAGGTATGTGTCTATGACAGAGCCTCCTCTTGCGGCAACCCTTTCCTTCCCCACGAGTCGTCGGCGTGGTAAGCAGCGGTCGAGTCGAGTACTCCAGATGCGTCTTGAGATCGGGGAGGGTTCGAGTGCAGGCGCCAGAGCGGGGCGACACGTGTATTTGATCGAGGTCGAAGGGTTTAACTTGGGGAAAAGCCAAAGGGAACAAGAACAAGATCGAGGCCACTGACTCTCCTTGTCCTCGTCACCCGCCCTTTCCGACCCAGCGCTGCCACTTTTCCCCAGATGATTAGATTTTGAGATGTGGAGACTTGGGCCGGCGAGCGCCCACCGGCTTGCTAGCTCCCTCGTCAGACTTTTGACGTGCATGACTGCAGCCACACAACACGTACTCTATGACCGTATCCCATTCAAACTTGCGGTGAATATCTAGTCCACTATCAAGTCCACGATGCGCCAATAATCCTTCAACATCAGATGCTGGCTCCAGACAGATCACGCTGCTGCCCTCGGTGATATTGCTTCCGAAAAGCTCCTTCCGAGTCTTGACCGCATCGCGAGGCCGACTATGTCCGCGTCCGCCGTTGACGTCTTGATCGCTCTTTTGTGATGATCCTCGCCCAATTACACGGTGCCCTAAGCGAGCTTTGACCCAGCCCCGCGCGCCTGTTCAATCTTCAGCCGACCTCTACTCGGTCACTGTCCGACTGACAGGTCAACAACATCTTGCACTTTTCTGTCGAGAAAGACTGCTCTTTGCGGCTGTCATCTGCTCACTAATACTGCTTGATAGGTGCGTTGTGCCCGCTGCTTCATGGCTGTAACGGCACAACGTGGTATTCAAGACAAAAAGGCGCGGCTGTGCCCGCCCTGGGACAATAACGGCCGTCAACTCTCGTGTTCCTGCCCTTCTGTCTGTAATTGTGGCTGATCACGCGTGCTCTGTCTACGAGTCACGCCCAGCCAAAGGCAGTAGCAATCTTGTGATGATATGGCAATGCAATTGCTCGCTATGCCTCTTGGACACTCAGCAACATAGTCAGATCTTCGAAATTCTCGAGTTGCATTCATGAGTGCGGCTCTAAGCTCTGCCAGTCTTGCCTACCCCTCACGTTTTTGGTATCGATATGACCTGATTGAGTTTTCAGCTCCGCGCTGAACGCGAGTTGGAGACTGATCAAAACGAAGGATTTTGTCAAGGGTCGGCAACACGGCGCATCCATGCCTTCCTAAATCCCTTAGCCGGACAGGGGTCTGTGAGGCAATGAGATATCCTTTGGTCCAGAGACCATTCGCAAGAGAATCATGAGTATGTTTCCCTCTTCCAGTCATTCTTGTGTGCTATGACCACTCGTCACGGATGTACTCTTCGTCGTCTTCGACCAGCTCACGTACATCAGACGATGAATATTTGATGGTTGCTTTCAGCCCCTTCGCAGAAAATGTCCTGTGCACTCCTTTACATCTGTCATCGCGATACACGTGGTGCTGGGATTTAGTACCAGGTTGGGGCGAAGCCAAAGGAGCCGATCCGTCTGGCAAAAACTTTAATGGATAAAGGAGGCGTTTCAAAGAAAAACCCTCCTTGTAATTGCAAGGCAACCAAGCGCATGCGACCAATAATGTGAGCTGTACGGGGATAAAGCTGGCGACCCTTGACGAGTCAACGTCACTGCTTGCTTGAGGTCGTCTTCTCATCATCACATTAACAACCCTCGAAGGAATCGTGTCTCTTTGGGAATCTTCAGGCTAATTGCATCGATGGTTAAGTTAGTGTAAGGTGTTACCATGACTTACAATGGCTATCTTGTTAGCCCTAGTAACAAGCTGCTTCAACGCAGGGGTGTACACGGTTTCACAAGGCTTGTAGTGCAAACAGTGACGATGCGAAGAAAGGTAGGCAAAATTGAGAGAAAAAACACCGAACGCATTACTCCACGCTACGTAACTGCCAGGAAGCATTACCATCAGAGAAAAGCAAAGAAAACTCGAAACATTGGGACCCATAAGCCATCAGTCAGAAGCATCGAAGATGAAAGTCGTCTTTCCCAGCTCTTACAGGAGAGCAGCAGCTCCGAGAACCATGCCAAGGACACCGGCAGCAGGTACACCCATGTTGGCAGCGGCCCCAGTGTGAGTGGCGGCAGCGGAAGCGGAAGAGGCAGCAGAGGATGCGCTACGAGAGGCCGATGAAGCAGCAGAAGACTCGCTGCGAGAAGCCGACGAGGCAGCAGAAGCAGCCGATGAGGAAGCAGCAGAAGCGGACGAAGATGCGCTCGAGAGGGCTGATGAGAGGGAGCCCGAGACCGATGCGGTAGCCGATTGAGTCTTCTTGGCCATGGCAGATGACCCATACCTAGGACGATGGTCAGTGAAACGGTTTCTCCTTTCGTGGCCCAAGGGCCAGGGGATTCGGCTTACTGGGAAGCAGCCTGGCAGTATTGAACTTTGTACTGAGAAGCGGAGAATGCGTTGGGGTCGTTAGGGCATTGGTTGTAGCACACAACGAGGTTGGAATAGCCAGTGCAGAGACAGTCGTAGTCATTGGCAGCGCATTGAGAGTTGCGTGCCGACTGTTGCGAGACGCAGAGGTCGAGGACGCTGTAGGTCGCAAAGTCTCAGCATTTGTTTCTAAGAAGAGAGCCGCACGAGAGGGTCGAGTCTTACGTTTGAGCAGCGCATGAAGAGGTGGTGGCGGCAGCAGAAGTAGTGCTGGTCTGAGCAGCAGCGATGCCAAAGGCGGCGGCCAGAATGGCGAGAGAACTGAACTGCATGGTTGATGTTGTGTTTGGTGCTTAGATGACTTGCGTCTTCGTAATGCTCCTGAGAGTACAGATGTTTTGATGGAGCAAGTGAAGAGGACAAACACAGAGTGAGTGAACGAAAGAAATTCAGAGATGAATTGAGGAAACGACAAAAGGCCTCGTCGACGGCGGGGTCCCTCATATACAAGTGCGACCTACCTACCTTGTGCCGCAATCATGCTCACTCTGCGCGCAAACCTGCTTGAAGTCCCGGCCATCTCTACTAACCCGTGGCCACTGGCGGCGGGGAGGTGCGTGTAACATGAAGCTATCCTGACTTTGGGGGGCCGGTATAGTAGCCAGATCTACGCCATCTACCATCTCACGACTTCTGATTGGACGCGCCGGCATCTCTTCGAGATACCGTTGCTCAGAGACCGAGCTTGGCTTGCGGCTCTGGGACCATACCATCCTATTCTCGAAAGCACGAGGTGGCATGACCCCTCTTGTTGCAAAGAAACACAGCAGCTTGATACTTTTGGAGGCTAGAGCGCGTTTTCGGACGACCGCTTTGGGTGGTAATACTTTCCGACTCCGCTTTATTGCTGGTTGCACGAGACTGCTGGAGAATGTTACGACTTCACTTTTCGAGGCTCTTTTATGAAGCCATCGAAGCCTTCTCCAGCTACACAACAACGACATCCCTCATCCCGTGGATCGTAGGACCTGGCAGTCTGGTCGACCCTTCTATCTTCTCAATTGTGATCGCCTGGGAGGCTCCGTGGCCTATTGTAAGTAGCAGTCCGTGCACATTTATCAGAAAGTTTGGCCAGACAGAACGTTTCTAAAAACGGCAACACAGCGGGTTGCGGCACTTTTGATCAAGACCTATGACCGGCAGACCACTACGAAGAAGAAGAAAAGAGTTTTGAGTGAAAGCATAGGACAATTTTCGGTATGCAGATGAGGATAGGCGCTGGTGTCTCGGGTAGAGCAATCGCCGAGTCTCGTCATAGAGATATGATTGAGATTGTCGAAATTTGCATCAACGACAGTCGCAGTGGTTTAGTGGTAAAATTCGTGCTTGCCATGCACGAGCCCCGTGTTCGATTCACGGCTGCGACATCTATTTTGTCCCCAGTCTTTTGCTCTCGTGTTGTACGTCAATGGCAGAGGCTCGATTCCCGCTGCGAGTCAAATTAGGCATAGTAGTCTTTTTGGTAACGAAGCTGTTAGATGACAGTGTGTGTAGGGTAACATTGAGAATGGACTAATTGAGGGGATAGCGCCTTCGTCGTTCATGAGATTGTGTTTGTACATCTTAACAAATGGTCATTCTTATGTATATACACCGGAAATCACCCTAGGTGCGAAGGTATCCATAGTCTGCTTGCAAAGCATTGAAACTAGCACTTCGGTATGTATCAGGAAGCAGAGTATTCCCCACCGCTTGAAGGTTCAGCAATGTAGGCGTTGTAGTGTTGTACTGAGGCCACTCGATAAGCGGAGCTGCAGAACCCAGGGCGTTGGGGTCGAGGAAGTTGATGAACGAGGTGTAGTAGTCAAGGTATGTTTTCTGAGTAGTGATACCTCCAACACTGTCGAAACTGCTCAGTACGTCGCTAGCGTGGAAGGTTCCTAGTACTGCTGTGCCGTAAAGATGGCTGTCGAGGTAACTCCACGAAGGGATCGTGGAAGAGACGGCGTACAAAACTTGTCGACGACGCAAATTGAAAACCAGATCACCAAGAATGGCAGCCAGACGCTTGTACTGTGGGTAGATGTTGTTGAGCAGGCCTGTCCTGAATGGCGATCCAGCAGAAGGATCGTTGGGATATGTTGCAACTAAAGTAGCCACCACAGACTTGGGAGTGTCTGGATAAGAGCTGGCAACATAGTCGATGACTTGTGCATCAGTCGTGATGTTGTTCTGTACCAGACTGAACAGCGTGCCTTCATCTTCTTGATCCCCAGAGATTAGTGGTACCTTTGCGTAATTCCCTTTTGCAACTGCGACCTCAGGGCTGACGGGGAAAAAACCATCGGATGGATCAGGACGAGGTAGATAGGCCAGATTGACAGAAGAATAGCTGAAAATTCCAGGCAGGGACTACGCGTGTCAGCTCATGTCAATACGGAAAGATGTCTTACTACTCACGTTGACAGCTGAGTCGAACGTTTCGTAATCCAGGCTTCTCAAGCACGCGAGCGTGTCACTGCTACCGGAACAACCAGCTGCGTTGACTACAGTATCGTAGACAGCCTGTGCTTTAGGGTGATCGACATCCACAGCAGGGACGATCGAGCCAGAGTCGCTGATTGCACCTCTGAACAAGGGCTTTCCATTGTAAGTGTTGTCGCCGCTGTTGATGATCATATGATCGAAAACCGAGATTGCGCCAGCCGACTCACCCCAGATAGTAACCTTCTCAGGGTCACCGCCGAAGGCTGCAATGTTCTCAGCAACCCACTGGAGGCCTTTTCGCTGATCTTTGAGTCCAAGGTTGGTGGACCCCTCTGCTTGCAGCTCTTTTCCAGCCAACCAGCCGAACCCTGAAAGGCGGTAGTTGACCGCCACAAAGATCACGCCATGACCCAGGGTGACAGACTCTGTTACCAGAGGAGTGCCATCATACTGTTGAGTGGATCCAAACTCGAAACCTGAGTTTCATCAGCTTTGATGTCTATTACGAGTGATACCAGTATTTACCGCCTCCATAAATCCAGAACACGACAGGCAGTTTCGAAGACGATGTAGTACCAGCCGGGCGTTGGACATTCAGAGTCAAACAGTCCTCTCCAGTATCCGTGACATCCTGTACTAGAGGTGATATGAGAAGTTCTCCGACGACATCGGATGGTAAGTTGGAAGTATCCACTTGGCTAAAGAACTGAGGACATGCTTTGGGGACGCCAGTGGCTGCAAAAGTGCCCGATGGGTATGATGCTGTGATTGATTGGGGAGGCTTCAGTCGCAGACTACCAGTAGGAGGGAGAGCAAACGGAATGCCCTTGAAAGACTCTACAATGCCAGTAGAGCTTCCGATAATCGTTCCGTTCTTGACAATCGCAGAGGGAACAGTTGCACGCTTCTCCTCCACGGGAGCTGCGAAGACAGTGGTGAGTGCCGTAAAGGCAACAAGAAGGGACCGCATAAGGACAGATAGTATGGCAAGACTGTTGGGCAATCTGACAGATCAACAGGAGCAGCACGAGGGCTACTTATATCTATTCCATGAGTCTCATCGTTGATCTACAAACCGCATTTCAAATCGATCCAGCGAATCTTAAACACTTGAACGGCCGTAAAAACGGTATATTCTCCACGATGTCGCCATCCATGCCGAGGTGGAAGTAAGCAATGAGCATCACGCGGACAAGCTCATACTCAACGGTAGACGGGTGGACGCGAGCAGACATGCCATAGGTCGCGGTTCGTTCTGTCAAAGTCGTGATGAATTATGGTTAACCTTATTCTTTACCCTAGGCCGAAGCTGGATCAATGTGCGTCTGGTCTTCTCGAGTGTCAATGTTCGCAACTTGTGTTGCTGTAGAACGACCTGGTGGCTTCGAGTGATAGAGCAGATTTCATCTGCTCTCTCTGCGCACATCGCCAGTCAATGTACAACTCTGCATTGAGTCAGCCTTCATTCTCGACACATTGCCGTGTTACGAAGTTGATGATCGAGGGTGTGTCTTGTGCCAAGGCAGCCGATGAGGAACGGTTCAGAAGGCGGGGACACCAAAGTCAAACCACCTAGCCCTCTGCAGATCTCTCCGAAAGAGACTGGCAGTTGGTATATCAACCCCGCAATCGCGCTGCCATGCGTTCTCAAGCGAGCCTCGGTACGGAATTGCAGGTTCGTGTTTGCGATCATCTTCCATTACTCCCATTGATCCCGAAAAGCATTGGTCACGGAAATCATTCTTGACAAGCGAGAGTATGAGGCCAAAATGGTTTCGGAAGTCTAAAGCGTGAAGAGTGTTTTGGTGTTACGAACGAGCGGGGTCTTGGGGGCTAGGTAGGCATTAGAAGACCACAAGGACTACAGTAGACTAGTCTAGGGCCAAGCGAAGCGTCGTGGATGTGTTGAAACAAGCAATGGTTGGCCGTTCATATATTGTAGGAACATCGATGTCACATCCTTTGCAAAGGAAGTCGTATTTAAATTACCTATTCGGCTGGGTGCATCTAGTCGAGTAATCAAGTTTGTTCATTTACTGCTCCGATCTCAGGCCACAGAGCAACTTGATCAATAGAACCTGACAACTACATACCAGCGAGTGTGAGTGCCGTGAAAACGATCATTGCCTGATGGCCTCGAGCAAAAGCGCCTGACTGCAAGTCTCATAGCTAGCCATGAAAGAGCACAATACTCGTAGCGAACGCTTGTGATCCCCATCTGCACGTCACAGCCAGATCAGCCGAGGACTTGCGAGCGTCCCATTTTGTCAATAATGGTCGTCCTCATAATCATAATCATAATCTTCGTTGTCAAGTAGTCCGTTTCGTCGCTGCGCACGAACCCAGTAGTCCTAGACGGAGCTATTAGCATCTGAGTCCGCAATCCTTTCCGTATGCTGGAGACTGTCAAGTTGCATCTATAGAGATGAACAACATCTTCCGTAGTATCACATAGTCGCGCGCGAGATCACGACAATCTTTAGCACACAAGAACATTATGCTCTTACTCACATGATAGGTAGAATAGTCTCGTCTGCTAGACATGCCGACTTGTTCCGCCACGTTGACATATCCGTCCCGGTTCTTGGGGCCAGTTTTGGCCAAACCCTTGAGAGCGCTGCCGTCAATGTCGCTTTGCCACTGAGTCCGGCAGTAAGGGCAAGTCACTTGGCCGTGACCTTTTGTTGCAGCCCATTGATCGAAGCAAGTTTTGTGGAGGTTATTGCCGCAGGCTGCTTGACACCACACGATGGTTTCTTTCTCCTGAGAGAGCTCCTCGCAACAAATCGGACAGTCTCCTTCGATCGGCTTACGCTTTCCGTCTTTATCTTCGATGTGTACTGTCTCCGCAGGTAGAGGTCCAGCGTGGTCAAAGATTTCTTGCAGCTCCGAGGTCAAGAATGCTGCTTGGAAGTTCAATGGCTCTGACACTTTCAGAACCTTCAACAAGACGTAAATTATGTGCTTGCACTGCGGGTTGTTGTTGACACGGAAGTCTGGACAGGTACACTCGGGCACATGTGTGATCTTGACTGTATAGATGTTGCCCGTGCTGCCGGCGAGATCAACCTCTTCCATAGGACAATGTGGAGTTTGGTGTGGACAGTCGTCGTTGTCTATACGTCGCCGATCAATCACTACCATACGTTGAGTTGTAGCGCGATGGGCGACAGTTGTGTACTTCTGTGGCGCGTGCGAGCGCTCTCTGTGGAGGGTGAGCTGTCTGGATGCTGTCTTTCGGTGAGAAATAGACTTACCTCTTGAGGCGTTTTTCCTCGCCTTTGCCAGCTCGGGGCTTCTTTTGCTTCTTCGACGATGTCGCAGCATCATCATCACCAGTGAGATCGACGACATTTCCTACATTCTTGGATGAGGATTCGAGACGCGATTTGGATGTTGGCTTGGCGCTCGCATTGGCAGACTGAGTGGGTTTGTTGCTTGCCACACATTTGCTTGATGCTTTGGACTTGCTTGTCGTGGCTGCATTTCGCGCATGTGTCTTCGGTGCATGCTGTAGATTCTTGTTGTCGCTGTCGATAGCGCTTGCTCTTTTTCTTTTAAGAGAGCTCTTGGGCTGTGCTTTGAGCTCATCGCGTTGTGTGGTACTTCTCTCACGACCACTCCGTCTTAGATCAACAACAGCGTTTTCTTGAGCAGAAGATGCCGAGGTCGCGGGAATGTCTGATGTCGATTCTTCCATGCCGATGTTTGAGAAATGTGACAACCTACCTTGAGTGAAGCAAAGGTGATTGTGATGAACAGGGTGGCGAGCGCAGCATGGATAGCTATGTGCTCACGTGATCGAGAAAGCACAGCTCCAGATACGTAACTTTAACCGAGAGGATAGTGATGACAGAGGCATAGACCAGTAGCCCAAGCGACGTGGATCCAGCTCAAGCCCATCGATTCACTCTTCAGCATCCCCGCGTGCTAAAGGCAGTCACAGTGTAGCTATGGAAATGCACAATACTTTCGTAAAGAATGTGGTTTCCACAGAGAGGGCCCGACTGAAGACTAGCTCAATGGCTAGCATTATATTCAGATTACCACTGTGCATTTTGATAGCTACACTGTGACTGTCTTTAGCACGCGGGGAGGAAGGCTCAGTTATGCTCTGTCCACTATCGTGTCTGGACTTCAATACTTTATCAGTCTGCTTTCTTGAGCTTCTGTTGACTCGAAATCAGCGTCATTTCCCTGACAATGCAAGTGTCCTATTTATAGGCCTGCATACGACTGCCGCGTGTCCCTGCATACGCTTAACGCGCCTCATGCAGTGCATATGCATCCAGAGTGGCTCAGAACGGTCGTGCTGTGATAGGTTGATATTGGTTTCATTAATACTCATCGCTCATGTCTAATCCTGTATCGCCGACAGTGCCAAACGCCGTTTTTTGATCCCTCACAACACCATCTACTATGCACAAAACAAAGCTCATTAACCAACAATCTTACATGCTCATGACAAGAGCCGCAGCAAGGGCAACAAGCAATGCTACAGCAGATCCCTTGACATTGGCAGCTGCTGAGGTGGAAGTAGCACCACAGCAGGGTCTGTCGTAGGTGACACCATTAGCCTTGGCGGCAACCTCGAAAACAGAGCCCTTTCCGACATCGTAATAATCGACCAACAACCAAGTAGGAGGACGGTTCCACATAGCTGGAAACAAGTTAGCGAATGCGAGACAGAAAAAGTAGTTTAACATCACTTACCAGTACAGTTTTGGTTGGCTAGTCCGAGAGAGCCGTATTCGATGGTAGCTGCGTTGGTGACGTTCAACTCTGCAGAGTTGGGGATCAGGATGTTTTGGCCGAACAGGGAAACGTCTGTGTTGAGGTTGTGATTGGCGAGGTACATCAACTGGTTTCTGGCGGTTTCCTGGTTGAGATTGGGAGGGCGCTGAGTGTCGCAAGGGAAGGCACGATCAGTAGGAGAGAAAGGAGTTTCCCAAATGTGAGTAAACTCGTCAAGAATGTAGGGGTATTTGGTCTGGTCTGCGTTGTAGTCCATGAAGACAATTACGCGCTTCTGAGACAGAATGAGTTCGGACAGAGTTGGCCACTGGTCGAGACGCATGGGGATGTATGGAGGCTCGTAGAGGTAGTCCTTCAGGTTGGACTGCTGAAGAACCTCGCTGTAGTTTCCGGGCTCAATGAAATCGCTGTTGACAATGAGGATGGTCACGACATCATATGGGTGATCACGGACCCAATCGCCAACTGTGTTGAGTTCGTCGAGGTAAGGTCCGGCGTTCAAAAGGTCGCAAGACGTGTGACAACTCCAGATGGAGCCATTGACGTAGTGCGTCTCGCCCTGAATCATGCGGATACCATCGTTGAGCTGGACAGTGATGGTGCGGTCTTGGTTGGATGCAAGGTTGCCAGGTTTGTCAAAAGCGGAGTTGTGGGCACAAACCTCGGTGATGTTGCCATACTGGCGGTCGCAGAACTCGGGGTAATTGTTGCAGGGTGTGGTGTTTGTGGGTTTAGCACTGCTGCTAGTACCAGTGCCGGCGGCAGATGAAGTGCGAGTCGAGTTGAGGTGCGAGCTCAAAGTAACAGTTCCGTTGATGATGCTTTGAGTGACAATGCCTCCTCCACCGACCAGCAGAGTTGCAATACTTGTAGAGCCTTTGGAGGCCGAAGTGGTTGTGGCAGTGTCGGTGCCGGTCGATGATCCAGTTCTTGATGTAGAGGAGGACGTGGAGGACTTGTCGGCGTACAGTGTTGATGCTGTGATCTGCTGGGTACCAACTGAGGCGTACGAGAATTTGCCTCCAGTGAAGACTGCGGACGAAGTCTCGCTGCCAGTCAGTGTGACTACAGCAGGGCTGCTGGAGCCACTGCCGCTTTGAGTGGCAGTGGTCGAGGCTGAAGACGCGTCCGAGGTTGCGGCAGTGCTGTCAGAAGACTGTGCATTGGTGCCCAAGGCCAGTAGGGTTGCGAGCCAAAGACTGCGAGCCAACATATTGACGCTAATGGGTCGATAACAATAGAGATGGGATGCTGCCAGGCGACAGCGAATGTCAAGGGCGAAGACGGAGAAGATGAAGCACAACAAATCAAGTCCGGCTACTCCTGCAAGATGAAAAAAAGGACGGTTGACGATGGCGTGTGCTCGAATAGCTGAGTGACGTCTGTGGAGAGCAGCGGTCGGAGAGCTGGAGAAAAAATGGGCTGTGTACCTGGTACAATATGATAAATAACGATGATGAGGCTAGCCGGGAGTGCCGCGTAAGTTTACTGGCTGTTGGGCCGCAGTTTGATCCGGAATAGACTGACGCCAGGCCGTGCGAAGAAGAAAAGGAGAAAAACATCAACAGATCACCCTGGAGATCTCGACTCGTGCTCCGTGCAAACCATGCAGATGTCAAGCGATCTTCACAATCAATTCCAAGGCTTGCATCATCGCTTTGCAAGCTTGCGACCACCCTAGGCAGCACATTTTTGCTGCTCAACCAAAGCGACGTTGGTTTTGTCTTGTCCGAGGACTAGATGTGGCTGTCCGCGGCGTGCGCTAGATGGACTGCCGCAAGGTTCCGAAGTCGAGCAGTGATGTAATTTCAAGGGTTTCACCTAACCTTAAGCAAACACAACCGTACAGGCACGCGTGGGCTCAGGGAGAGAAGAGACGCTGATGCAGCCATTTGCAATGTCGTAAGCTTGGACGCACGCTAATATCTTGCTTGGTGGCCCAGATCCAAGCAAGACTACGCGGTCATCTCTGAGCCTTCTCCAAGCACATCAACGAAACCTGGGCCGTTTTTTTAGCCCTTTCGTCATCGTACGCCTGCTGCTGTGCTTTGAGACGTTTTCCTCTCGGTCTTTCTATTCCATCGTCCACAAACTTTTCGTTCCCTATCTTCATAACAGGCCGCTGTCGACTCTCGTTCGCTCAAACACTTCTCGCCTCCCCACACATCGCTCTCCACCATGTTCGGTCGCAAGAAGCGCGACGTTTCTCCTGAGGACAGGGTCCCATCAGAGGAGACGGATCGTACTTTGACTCCCGGCATCGATGGCCCTACCAAAGCCCAACTCAAGAGAGCAACCCGTACTCGTATGATCTGGGCTCTGATCTCATCATTCTTCCTCCTTCTGACAGTCATCTTTATGATTCTTGTCGAGGTCGGCTGCACCGGCACTGGAAGCGTCAAATCCAGTATCTACTTCATCAACATCAACCTAACCAACGTCTTCCCGGAGTCTGTTCCTGACTCTGCTATCATCAACTCTATTGCTCAGACTATCGGTCTGCACGATTTCTACCACGTTGGTCTCTGGGGCTTCTGCGAAGGCTACAATGGCCAAGGCATCACCGACTGTTCCTCACCTCAGACTCTGTATTGGTTCAACCCTGTGCAAATCATCCTCAACCAGCTGCTCGCTGGTGCAACCAGTATGTCTTCGCTTGCTTCACAGTTGCTGTTCAGGGCTGACTAACACATTCTCTAGTCGCACTACCTACCGACCTTACCGATATCCTCGGTCTGATCAAAACCGTTTCTCACTGGATGTTTGGACTCTTCCTTGCAGGTGCCTGCTTGTCCTTTGTTATGATCTTCCTGAACCCTCTCGCCGTCTTCTCTCGCTGGCTTACCATGTTCACTGGCATCTTCACCTTCTTGGCCGCCCTTCTCATCACTGCCGCCACCGTCATTGCAACCGTCATGTTCATCATTATGCAGAACGCATTCACCTCGGTCTCGGAGCTCAACATTGGAGCAAACCTTGGTGGCAAGATGTTTGCATTCATGTGGATTGCATCCGCATTCTCAATTCTTGCTTGGTTGATCCAGACCAGTCTTTGCTGCTGCTGTGCCAGCAGAAGAGATGTCAAGACTGGAAAGAAGATCGGAAACAAGAAGGCCTGGATGACAGAGACACCTGGGGTCTCTGAGAAGGGATCAAAGCGCGGAATCTTTGGCCGCAAATAGAGTTTGCAGGCACCAAAAAGTTCGAACCCCTGACATAGAATAGTGAGAAGGTCTGTCGATAACGGAAATCCGGACATGGCCACGGCGTTTATGGGTGTGCATAAGGCAGAGCGTTTGGATTGGAATAAGCAATGTATCTATAATAGCGATATCAAGTTAACGTGTAATGTACGATGTTATGAACTATGAGGATATGGCTGTCCTGAGGTGATAGCAACACCAGACGAGTTGTCTGTCAAAGTGATCATTGGATTTGGACCTGATACTATACTGAGCCTCTAAGATGCAGCTGGCATGCTATCTTTGGGCCAGGTCAGGGTCGCTATCAGATTTGGTCGCGGCTGAATTCAGTAGAGATATTGGTAGAGATATTGTAGGGCTGCAGTGGTATCTACCTTGTGTGAGCATGAATATAGCAATCAATATAACGGTTGAGGACTATCAAGCAGCAGCTAGTTGTGACAGATCCACAACAAGCATTTGGCAGCCGCGGGCTTTAAAATTGCTTGATGCACTCATCCAACTGAGTTCCGGCGCTACCGGGCTCTATAGACTTTATACAGCACACGTCCACACAAGATTGACTCGCTTTTCAATCAGGACCTCAACAACAACGCAGAGACTACTGGCGTCATGGACGTGGACAACATCTTCCCGTTGACGTAGCCATAGATTGTGAAACTTCAGGCCTCAGTATCGTCCATGATGCGACCAGGAAGATGTTAGAGTCATTTCTGATCGTCTCTAGAAGCAGCAAACCTTGTAACACAATCCACCGACCTAGAGCAGATCTCCGAACTGTGAGCGATATTGTATTTTCTGACTGAGGGGCAAATTGTTGCATCTGGTTCGGATCCCGGAGAAAGTGAGATTAGATAGAGGTGGCTGTGTCGACAATTGATTTCTTTAGACTCTGCACATACCATGTCGTGATAAGGAAGGAAGCGACTCGACCACTTCGAAGCCTTAACACGCGGGTGGCCTTCGAGTCGAACAGGACAGAGCCGGGTGTTTCAGCATATTTTTCACAAGCGTCAGATACATAGGGCAGTAAAGGCGGGTCAATGAGTAGGTGAGATTAGGATCAATGCCTTGGCCGCATATGGAGACACACAGGCGGAAGGAAGCTCGGCTGTGTTTCCAAATGATGAACTTGCCGTGCGCAATATAGCACGCCCACAACAGTCGCACACACAGCGTGTGAGAAGACGGGCGGCACGTTCCACTGGTCATTCTCGTTAAGGCCCCAATCTCCTTGGTAATGAGATAGATACAGCATGGAACCGGCGTTCGGCAGCGGAGTGACATCAAACCGTCTTCTTGGACAACAACAAAACAACACGACGAGTGGGTTAGTTGTGGATAAGCGAAAGCTTGGGAGCGGGAGCTTTGACTAGTTTCTCAGGAACAGGCAATTCACCTTGCCGTATTGGGGGAACAGATGCGCGTACCTGCATTCGCGACACGAGTTAGAGTTTAGTCGTGAGACGACAAAAGAAGGGGGTAGAGTTTTTGAAGGTTGCTCCTGAGGGGTTGAAAAGTCGCAATCAGAACGAGATAGCGGGACTCCAGCAAAGACGTCGGTTGTTATGGCTTGCAAGCCAGGCCATGCAAGAACGATAGAGTAGAGAGCTTGATTTGCGAAGTCACCAATGTGAGACGGCGCGTGGAAGATCATTGGAAGGGAGACAGTTGAGAGTGTGGGTCGGGTAAGATTGCTGACGGCCGTGACCCCTTAGTGGCAGGGCGGATCGAGGGAGACGGTTGTGGTCTCGCCAAGGTATCTCCATTCCTTGGTCGTTTCTCGACTCGGCTTCGACTCTCTGATGTTCTTGTGTTTGTTCGCTCTTGCTTCTTTGCTGTGCTTCCTCCGACGCTCTTTCAATCCGTATACCGTTCACCCCAGTCACTCCTTGTAAATACACTCGCCAAGTCATTCATTGCAACTCCCCGTTCTATAATTCCGTCTATCCTTAATCGCCCATAATATTGCCTGGATGTACTACTACTGCCAATAACCGCTCGAACCTCCTTGATAACAATCGCCGACACACGACGGCAAACAACAACATCAGCACAATGCCAGTCACTCTTAGCTCGCACCACAGATGGCAAGCGCCTCATCAGCACATTCCGAACATCCTGTCTTTCGCAGATGCCACAGTCAACAGTGGACCAACGTTGGTGCAGCGCTCAGCTGAGTCCTCGGCGACGTCGACCTGCAAGGCTGGAGACAACTCAGGAACATGTCAGAAGCCGACAACTGCTGGCAACACAACCAGTATCATCATTGGTGTCGCCGTAGCGTAAGTCCAAGCATTTCCCGTGCTGTTTGGTTTGTGCGCCCTTCTGACACGTCTCTAACCAGTGTGCCTGTGGTTGTTGCCGCTCTCGTTCTCTTCCTCCTGCACAGACGTGTCAAGCGAAAGCATGCACAAGAAGACCGCGATGACAAGTACAAGTCCCTCGATTTCGGCTTGGACAATGTCTCTTCGGGCAGAGGGCACAAGGTGCCTGAAATGACCATCACCGACATGGAGACGTCGACCAAGAACATCATGCACAACAAGGGACTTTCGCTCGACATGAACACTCCATACCTGCTGCCTGCTGCTGTCAACAGCTCATCGTCATCGCTCCGCTCAATGTCTCGCTCAATCTCAGACGGCGAGGACCCTTACCGCCCTGTGACAATGACTAGAACCATCTCCAACGACATCCCCGACCGCTCCTCTTCGCGCCCCAAGCCTGGCAATGCTTCCGTCTACACTGATTACAGCGAACCCTCGGAGAATCTCGATGCCGGACTTCTATCCAACGCACAACGCATGTCCCGCTCTAACCCCTTCGAGGACCACTCTCCTGATAGCATCCACTCGCCAGACTACCCGGCTGCTGCCCCTGCTCCTCCGCCGCCGGCCCATGTGAACAACTCTTTTGCTGCATCTGCTGCTCCTCGCAGCAAGCCTGCTCCCCCAAAGCTCACCATGCCCGACCCTGACGTCTTCCACGTCACTCCACCTTCGCCACCGGAACACACACACGCTCCCGCACCCCCTGCTCATGTTACTCCTCCCGCTCCTCCAGCTCACCAACAGGATCTCGCTGCTGCTCGTTATCCTGCTGATGATCATGCTCAAGACGCTTTGTACGCTGCCGCTCCTGATGCACGCCGTGTATCTGTCATGGGTCTTCGTCCTCTTCCTCCGGATCATCCTGATGACAACCCTGAACAGCGCGCCAACCGTATCCGTTCTTTCTACAAGGAATACTTTGACGAGAGCAAGCCCAATCCCCAAGGACAGTACCAAAATGAGTACGAAGCCGACATCTACGCCGACTACTCAGCCTACATGTATGAAGCTCCCCAGGCTCCTTTCGCCCAGCCTATGGCTCGCCGTGCTATGACTCCTCCTCCCCGTGTGGGTGGTGGCCGTGTCCGCAGCAATACCTCTTTCGGCTCAACTGGTCACATCGCCAACCCTGCTTTCCGCCGTCCTCCTCAACAACCCAAGAAGCAGCTGCCTCCACCTATCGCTCTGCACAACCTGCCCACTCCTTCTGCTCTGACTGACGATATGACTTTCACGCCCACCCTCTTTGCCCCTCCTGTCACCTACCGCGATCGTCAAGCCGGTCGCACCCCCGACAGCCCATCAAGACCTTACAGTCCTGCAGTTCGTGCCTTTACTCCTCTTGCAACGAGCTTTGACGATCTCGCAGTCATCCCCAGCGCGTAAGTACATTTTGATTCATCCACTCGATTTTATCTTGCTGATTAGTCTTTCTCCAGACACGCTCTTCGCAAGTCTTCAACTTTCACCGCTCTGGACTTCGCACCCCCGCCTCGCTTCCGCAACGAAGGTACCGCAAGTGACTCTGGCAGTATCCGCAGCAATCGTAGTGGCATCTCCAACGTCCAGCAAAATGCCATCCGTGCTGGTGCTTACCGCGTCAGCCGTCTGCCCGGTGACATGGTTGGCACACAAAGCGACCTCAACGCAGCGCTCAAGCCCGCCTGGGACATGAACCGCTAAGGGGGAATCCCCTTTTTGTACACACTTACAATCTTTGTCTGCTATGTGCATTGCGCCAGCCAACCATGATGTTGTTTATTCTTCGAGCCCGGCGTTGGGCATGTATACGCCCCCTTTCTTGGATTTTCACTTTCTTGACGTTTAACAGGGGCAAGGCGTATGGGGTCGAGACCTGTTGTCTCCAGGTTCTTTCGGATGTTGATTTTAAAACTCTACACGGCGCAAAACATCAAATCTCGAATTATCATCTTCTTCAGCGGCGGCTAATGTCTTTGATGGTTCACTGCTTGACTCGCATCTGTTTCGCTGTCAACAGCGGCATCTGCGTCCGTCTCTTTTTGACCTTTTGCGTCTGTGTCTTCACTATCTTCGAGTACATACTTCTCTATTATGCGGAAAAGTCATTTTTCTTTTCGACCAATCCTCATATCTCGCTGTTCCGATTTGCAATCATGTGCTTTTGTTCTTTGTCTCATACGCAAAAGAGAAATCTTTCAAAGTATGCTCAGCTAACCACAATACTATACAGCCTCCCCCGTATGTGTTGCAGGTCAGGGTACCGTGGTAACTTAAAGAAACTTGCTGGGCATAGATCATACGAAGGCTCTATACAAAGAGACCAAGGCTATCGAGTCATCAGTCTCAGCTCCGGAGCTCAAGAGCCGGCACCGCAGCTAAATCTAAGCTGCCAATCACCCCCTACCAATCCTTCGACCTCGATATCTCCAGTCTGGTTCGCAGCAGCTTGGATGTCGAAAATTACATCCTTGCATCTACCTTGTACTTCGTGCAATCTCATGATTCCAGCACATGAGGGATAAGCTATGGCCACACCACCTGTAGTTCCCACTGGAGTCGAAAAGTCCATGGATATGCTGCCGTTTGAGGTGACGTTGGTGAATACTTCAAATGAGCCTACTGGAGTCGAGAAGCCTGCATGTGCTGTACTCAGATTGCCGAGTTTAGGTGCCATCTTCCAGGTTCTCCCGCCTGCGGTGACAAGTTGAATGCCAGCAATGTATTGGGACAAGAATGCTGTGGGACCAGTAGACCAGCCATGGGCATGCGAGATGCGAGGATCATTTGTGTAAGGTGCGTAATGAGTTGCTCCGTCAAACGCATAGCCTTCAATGAATGTGCTGTTGGTCATGCGCGGGTCGTCCAGCATGAAGCCCCACTCCAAACGCATGAGCTCAAGAGCAGCAGTTGCATTGTTGGCGCGCAAATGGGCCTCGAGCTCGAAGGCACCGATGAAAGGAGACACGGCATCGGCCGCTTCAACGGCAGGTGCACCATAGGGCCCCCAGCGTGCTCTGAGAGCATTGCTGATGGCAGATGCTTGAGTGGCATTGTTTGTGAGATTTGCGAGCACCGCAAAGCTGTTTCCGTCCTGAGGCATAAGTGTCGTAGTCTCGTTGTCATGGTAGAGGCCTGCTGTTGCGTTCCAGAGTAGTTTGTTGGCTGACTCTTTGATGCCGGACGCATAAGCTTCCCACGACGATTTCACGCTGCTGTCATTGAGGGCAGCGGCCAGAGTAAGACCCTCGTTGATGGTAAAGTACAGAATTGCATTTGCCTCGATGTTGTGACCTCCTTGTCCGAAGCGAAGCCAATCATCAGGGCTTGTGACGTTCATCAGACCGGTTTCATCGATGAAGCCGAGCGAGAAGTTGAGCCCAAGTTTCCAGGCGTTCCACTTATTCCGGACATACTCGAGGTCGTCTGTATACTTGTAGTAGTCGGAAACACCAATGAGGTTGTAAAGGTGGTAGGTTGCGGAATATGTATCCTGCTTGAACGGATAACCTGCATAAGGAAGTTTACCCGACGCATTCTGCAGAGAGAACAAGTTGTCGATAGAGTTTGTGATAGCTGCATCGTCGCTGGTTGAAACAAAGAGCGAAGGGGTGATAACATGCATATCTCCAGGCCAAATCAGACGGTCGCGTTTTGCGCCATCAACGAGAACAACGCTCGAGTTGGCTATAGTAGTGTTGGCGTACCACGACCAAGGAGCCACTGTGTCACCGGGCACGCTAGAGTTGATCTGGTTTGAGTGGATGAGAGCATCACCGTGCGTTGGGTCGATCGCCACCATCTATTCTTCGTCAGTGAGACGATTCCAGCCAGCAAACTGCGATACGTACCTGAATGGTATATGCTCCTGCATACCAGATGCGGTTCAATAACTCGTCTAGAAGCAAGGTCAACTAATCATCCTGCAGACAGTACTGAGATGCCTTACCATCGGAGTGGAAGAAACCAGTGTAATTCCTCAGATCCTCGGTAGTTGGCGAAGGCGTAAACTCGACCGTCACCTGAGTGATCTCAATGTCACCAGTGGTATTATGAATCAAACTCAGATATCTGAAGCCGCCTCTTTCATGCTGTCGATCCACAGACACAACACCCGGGCCCGAAGGGTAAAACCACAACGCTTCGTCCATGCCAGAGTCTTGGGTAGCATCACAGGCAATACCGGAGATCCATTGCGAGCTTTCGGAGTAGGTGATGGCGATAGACTGATTCGCGTCTGTTTTGTTACCAATGGTTAAGCTGACCAGGCCACCAATGTTGACGCCAAAATCGTATGTGACGGCTGAGATGCCTTTGAAGATGGCTGAGCCTGTTGAGTCGCTTGCAAGACTAGAAGCCCCAGTGATAGTTCCATTGATTTTGTCCTGGTAGACAGCAACTGGATGGAGAGTACGCGACTTTGGAGCCAGGATGTACTCGTCGTACTTAGAAACCGCTGATACTATCCCGGCGAGGGCAAGTAACACCGTACAAGTAAATTTCATGATGGAGTTCAATCCTTGATATGGAAGCAACGATTGGCGTGGGCGATCAAGCAATACTTATATGTCCCCATCATCCTGGCGTGTATGCCGAGAGAGCAACCCTTGATCATGATTGACCCATGCATCTTCGAGAAAGTTAATTGGTATGGATTGACATGGACGCAGAGTGGTTCAAGCATCATATGATGACGATGTGAGGGTTCTGAGATGGAGGCAGTAGAAAGAAAGTGGGGTCTTCTCAATGACTGTCACTCGCTTTCTCGGTCAAGCTTACCCCGAGTGCAACATCAACTTGTAAGATCGCTCTATTCAATTTCCATTTCTGTAAGACGACATGGGGCTTTGATGATTGTGCCCTAATGACAAACACGAGAAGTGTGCAATGCCAGTCAAACCAGCACTTACAGGCAGGCAGGACGTGCAAATGCTGCAAAATCGAGTTTGCCGATGGCAATAATGCTGAAGATCTCATGAAATATCGTAGTCCTCTGTGGACTTTGCATACTAATACAATAATATTATGAGAAGCTTTGAACGCGTGAACGCCGAAGTAGGCAGAATGTTAACCTGTCATTTATTCCAAGACAAGATGAATTTAGTCAAGGTCGGCACTGCTAGCAGATGGATAGAAATTCATCTTGCCGTCATGACCAATGATGCCGATGCGGTCGTACAATGTTCTTGCACGAACATAAGGGTCGAGCTGCCAGTAGTTTTGCAGCAGCTCCTGTCTGAGCGCTGACCTTTGCTCTCCCTTGTTCTCGCCCTTAGCCCACTGTACCGTTTCGGCCTGGTATTTTTGTACCAGTTCCTTGCGTTCAGCTTCAATCTTGTCCCTTGTTGCTGTGTCCTTCATCTTGTCATTTTCACCGGCTCTGGGCTCGACATAGTGGTACTCCCAGTCCTCGTCACCACCAAGCTCTTTCAAGATCTGACTCTTTGGAATGAAAGCGGAGAGCTCTTCGACGTTTGAGCAGAAGTTGATCTTGGAAGCAACAACAGGGTCGAGCCAACCACGAATGATCTTCCAAATGCCTTGAAAGACCCAAGGAGCCTTGTAGACGAGGACACTACCCAGCGATTCAGGGTAGTTGGCTTCGAAACACTTGATCATGAATTTGACAGGGGTGTAGTCCATGTTGGACATGGAGAAACCCGTCATGTCAAAGATAATAGTCTTGGAGCGAGTGTCAGCGGTCGTATCCTTGTCAGTATACCATTAAACTTACGGCAGTATCAATTGGAGGTCTGAGCATCATGCGAGCAGTGTCGATAGTATAGACGGTATATCTCTCAAGACTCTTCTCCGTTTGCTCACCACCGTGATGCAGTCTGGCTCTGACAATGCAAACAGGTCTTTCCTCAGCATCAACACCATGCAAGAAACTCTTGCCCATACGCAGTTGCGCAAGGAAATCCTCGGCGTCTTTCTTTGAGGTTGCGTCCGGGGCAGATTTAGCGTCAATCAAAGCGCCTTCTTCGCCCTTGTAAACAATGTCATCATCAACGTGCATTTCCTGAGAGCGCCAATGGAGAGTCGAAATCATCATGATGAGGGCAGCTTGGACATCCCATTTACGAGCACGTAGGAATCGCAAGAGCAAAGCGTCAGGGTCATCGTGCTTGACCATACCCCAAAAGGCAGTGCGCAGTGACTCGGGACTCTGGTTCTGAAGGGCCTGACGGAACTCCTTGGCCGGGCCGTGCTTGTCGTTCTCGTCGTCGGTATTTTCAGCAGAATTGTCGGCGTCCTTGTGCTTGCGAGAGAACATGGACAGCTTTGACTTCTTCTTATGGTCGGCAGGAGCAGGGGTGGAAGCGGCGGAAGCAGTGTCGACACTCGGACGGGCACCGCTCACAACGCCAAAGACATCAAAGGTCTGCATCCAGAGCTCGCGCAGCTTCTCCTCTTGATCCGGAGTGAGGTTACCGGGGCGTCCCGGTTGAGTGGTAGGTGCCATGTCTGGTTCCGAGAGTGGTTCTGGAGGGGTAGAAGGGGCGGACGTGTCAGGGAGCGAAGGCTTGGCTGCTTCTGGAGTGTAGTAGTATGTGTCTAGGATGTAGGCAGCGGCGAAGCCTGTAGAGATGGCGAGCAGGAGGGTGACAGGATCCAAGAGACTTTGTTTCTGGTGGAAAGTCGGGCGCGTGGGGAGGAGATTGCGGGCAGAGGGCGAGCGACGGTAAGCACGAGTGGCTTGACGTGACAGACGCGACGAAGATGACGAGAGAGTAGACGAGGGGCGGGCGAGGTTGAGGATGCGAAAGGGACGCATCTGTTGTGGGTGGAATTAGGATCAGAGAGGCTCAGCAGACATGCCGAGATTGAAACTCCCTAGGCCCGCTCAAGATGCTCCGCTCCGCATCGTCTTTGCGCATGACGTCGCATATGTCATGTCTGTCTGTTTGACTTTTATCCTTTTCAAGCACGACTCGTGGTCATGCTTCATCGTCCGAGTCTAATAATGGATGCAAACATGCAGTAGGTATACAGGACAGCTTGTGCGACAAGGTAGGTAGTATGCAGAGGTTGGTTTGCAATGAAAAGAAAATAATAATAACTTGATCTGGGCTCCAGCATTTGCCTCGTGCTTGACGGCGGGGCACGCTTCCGCTCTCTCTCTCTCTCTTGGCGTCATGCTAATCAAAACAATTCAGTTCGTACACACGGACAAACATACAGTCCACACCAACAAACAGTTTTCACCACAATGGCCTCGACAACACCTACCTCAGCACCGCCATCGCGCGCTCGTTCAGCCTCTCGCACCCGCAACAACATCCCCTCTCGACCAACCACTCCTTTGCGACCACACTCTCGCACCAGTCTCCGAGCCTCAATCACAACTCCCACAAGCGCAACCCAATTCTCCGACCAAGCCGTCCCTCTCGAAGCCCTGGAACCCGCATTCGGTGAACTCGCAGATGGTATGGCCGATCTGGAGGCCAACATGATGCACCTGCAACTGCTGCACGAGAGTCTGAACCGCTTCAACGAATGCTTCGGCGCTTTCCTCTACGGCATGAACATGAGTGCTTTCTGCGTCGACTTTCCCGAAGCTCCTGGCATTGAGAGCTTCAAGCGTGCTGCTGAGGCTGCCAAGAATCAGGCTCAACAGGACAGCGCCATGTCTGCTGACGTCCACCACCGTGAGAGAGATGTGGACGCTACTTTTCTGTGAGTTTCTCAAGCCTGTCGCATCCTAGTCAGCTTGCTGATCAGGACTTTGTAGTACCACCGACACCAGCTTCGTCGAGAATCCTCCAACTCCCAAGACAACCCGCACGAACAGATCCACCATGGCTCCTCCCTCTACTACCTCGTCTAGGACCACTCGCGGTGCCAGCTCCATATCTAGAGGAAGGGGCATACCGGCTGTCCGTGGCACAAGAGCTGGTGGCTCAGTAGGTTCCACCAGAGGCTCGGCCATTGGAAGAGGAAGAGGTAGAGGCATCATCAGATGATCGCCATCTGCTTCAACCCAAATCACATTGCACTTGCCAAAGAGGAGACTTCAAGCTGACTCTGACCGGCTTCACATTCTACGACCAGCTAAAAAAAAAAGAGTCAGAAGGCAATAGTAGACATTAAGTTTGCTATGAACGACAGAAACTGCGCCGAAAGGTCTATCTCCTGGTAGACATAACCAACGGCCTTCCCCTACAATGCCGCTTGAATGTTCAGAGGGGTATAACGAGCAGAAAACAAAAAAAAAACAATTCGCGTGTTGATCGCGCCGCGATCGAAGATAATGTCGACATCTAGCCGGCACCAAACACCCGCATGCGTGTCGTGTCCTCGTTGCGGCTCCTAAAAGAGCCATCGTATAGTCAGTTGGCTGGTCGTCTGATTCAGATGGGACGAGGTGGTGAATTGAGTCGGGGAGCATGAGTTCCTGCGTCTTTACACAGTCTTTTCTTTTCTCACAGCCCATCCCTTGAGAGCAAAGCAAACGGAGGCCCAGGACATCACTAGGGCGGTCATGCCCATAGCGACGGTGAAGAGGAACATGGCATCCAGGCCATTGCCTTCGATCGTGCTCACGGCATCTGTAGAGCTGCCCATGAAAATCATGCCCCCGCTGATCAGGCAGAAACTGGCTACCAGCTCGGTAGGAGGGCGGCTAGGGAAGAATGACTTTGGTGGTGCTAGGTAAAGCAAAACATAGGTCGCTGCTCTAGCCATTGCAAAGCCCATGAATAGAGTGCCCCATTGTTGATGCAGCATTGTCGATACCATGCTGTGTTGGTGGTGTCCTGACATGGACATTCCCAAAAGCATGATGACAAGACCAGGCATCGGGTTGAGGCTTGTCTTGTATGTCTTTGGTACTTCCCACTCTTGACGTTGCTTCTCGAGCGCATCACCAAAGAGGGTGGCCTCTTCCTGCCAGGTCGAGACAGAGGTGTTGAAGAGGTTCCTAATTCTCTTGCTTTCGATGAGCATACCCATCAAACCACCACCAAAGAACATGATGGTGATGCTGATGTGCTCAAGATCCTGGGCGGACCATGCTTTGCCCCACGCATTGAGGTGTTCGAGGAAGACATTGCTTGCGCCGTACAAGAAGATGACAAAGGATTCGACGAACTCGGCCGAGGGAAGTCCGGCCGCGAAGCGAGACACCATGGGATGTTCAGGCTTGACGTTCCACGCCCAGCCAAAGTCCGAGAACGCACCCATCCATCTTCCAAGAGTCAGGATGCCGTACCAGAAGAAGATGCCGCCCTTGACTGCATGCGCCATTCCGGAGAAAATGAGACGTTGACGCTGTTGTCCTTGTTAGCATGGTCATGTATGTCCGACACTGTCATTGCTTACGTAGAGTCCACCGAATACGACACCACCGCTCAACAGACTCACAAATCCAAGGACTGGCATACAACGTTCGGTCAAAGTGAAAACGACCTTGAAGGCTGTGAGTGTTCGACCGGATGAGATGCGGGGGACCTTTCGTGAGAGGAAGCGATCAACCGAGTTACTCTGGATGAATGCTTGCTCTTCGGATCCATCCTCTTCCTCAAAGTCTTCTGGACTTGCAAGCTTGTGCGCCGGGATTGAGTCTGAGCTAGGCGAGCGAGAGCCAGAGCAGAGCGTCGCTGAATCATGACTCGAATCTCTTGACCACCTATGGTTCTGGAGGCGATCGTACTGTGCAATATTGTCGGCCGTCATTGCATGCCTCTCCTTGGCCTTCTCGGATCGCGCCATGTAAAGGTTCACGAAGGTCATGAGGAACCATACTGCGGCGATCCAAGTCACAGCCCATCCCATCTTGTGGTGCGCATTGTTCGGGTAGAGGTCTGGTGTCTTTGCATCGTAGATGATGCTGGTGAAAAGACCGAGCCCGTTGACGGCTAAGAATGCGACTTGCGCCGGGATTGTGAAGCGCGAACGAGCTACGCTGAAAACGACAGCTGCATTTCGGTTAGTCTCAACTCTTCTGGAATCACGACTATTTAGGTGTTGTGCATCCTCCCAGCCGCAATACGACAGACATCAGCAAATAAGATGGGAACAAATGCTTACCGACAGGAAGAACGATTGCCCATGCGATTGTCATCAGAGCAATATGCGCATACATCCAGCCTGCAAATTCTGGATACCGGAAATAGTTGCTTGGAGCAGCCGAAGGTGCTGCGACTGTCGCGACGGCTGTCATGTTGACGTGTGTATTCCCCATGTCCATCGCCATTCCGGAATGCTCATGCTCGTCGCCGTGAGCCAAAACCAGAGGGAGCGCAGCGAGCAGAAGCAACGCCGGGTTGACTGAAGATATGCGATCAAGCAGCATGAAGTGGGCCAGTTGCGGCAGAAGTCGATATGTAAGTGTGTTGTTGAGGAATGAGTTGGGCGCGCAGATCGCGAGAAATGCAAAGAGCAAGATAAATTAGGGAGGCTGGTTAGTAGATGCTTCGCGGGTAGTCGCACAGCACTAAGACACAGTATGCAGATGATGAGGTCGCAGGAAGATGGATTCAGGTGATGCGAGAGTACTTATGGGGTCGGTAAGAGGTATGTGATTAGAAAGATCAGAAGGAAAGATCGAGTTTATGACGGCGCGGTGAGCTACCCTTTTGCTTTATAACACCGACACCGCCAACACCGAAGACGTCAAATCATGAGATGTCGCGAGCCAGCGGAAGACTTTTCCTTGCTGCCGATTCCGAGCCATACCGACGGATGGATCCATCATGGTATGGTAATCATGGTGTGTATGCCATGACATAAATTTGTAGATGACTTTCTTCGGTATGACGCTACCTAAACAAACGGTACCCTTGCCGGACGATCCCTTCGATTCCGCCGCCTTCCGTCGTTAAAACCTCCACCTGCCCAGCTTCTACAGCACCGAACCCTCCTATTCAGTCCTCCGAGTAAGTTCAGAGGTGAATGGACATGATGCGAGGATGTCGCGCTTGCATCTCGGCTTTAGATTTCAAATTTTGAATCTTCGTTCGCAAGTCAAGATCTCACTCTCTACGTGACTCCAAGAACCTATGTATCATCAATCCATCCTTGCGACTTCTTTGCCATGCTTCCATGTTTTCCATTAGTCGGTGAATCAGAATTCCGGATCCGAGCCATTCATATACAGCAACTAGAGCTTGATTGAACCACATGGCGCCTTGGCGAGATGCTCACGCGCAACGCATATCCATGCTAATCGTCGAATCGAGCGTTTCCAATGTCTTGACAATTCGGTCTTGCCTCGCGCAAACGTGCCCTACTTTACATGACAGGTAGTCAGACATGCATCTCGGCAACAGTCTTGTAGAGAACTCTGTCATATACGACCGAGGGACCGACTTGGCAGTGGCTGCTGACATATCGCACCCATATCTTTCTTCATGTGCTGGTCTGACTGGCATTTACCTGTTCTTGACTGGCGGGGTAAACATTCCTCACACCGTGAACGGCGACTGACAGGGTTCCACCGCACCCGAAACCTGCATATAAGCACTTTAATCCAAGCTGCAGAATGACTTGTCCACTTCGCAAACGATAATAAGGCAGCACTAGTATCTCGAAAAGGTTTCTGCATTGCTGTTGCCTGTCGCTCGCTCACATGATCGTTTTGCATGCCTTACTTCCGATCCCGATTCATCCGTGCCCATACCATAAATCTTTCTTGGCTTTGCCCACTTTCGTAGGTGAAAGTTCCAAAGGTCAGGTAGAGAGAATCGCCGACTGTCGTCTAGGGCTCGTGCCGTTTTCCGAGTCATGCTTTTGCTTTTCTCATTCATTCAAAGTCGTTTCTTTTCGTCCAATTTCTCATCTTTCTAGAAGAATGATACCTCTCGCGCATCCCCAAAATTTTGCGCCTCATCGATTCAAAGCATTGTCCACTCTGAACGTTTTCGCCTCTTGAAGGCGTTGTCCTCGGAATCTGGAGGACCTGTGCAATTGAATCCTACTGTTTGCTTGACACTATCGCATTGATATTGTCTTGGCGTTGTGTTGTTCAAGCTGTTTTGCACGACCACGTTCGACAACTGAATGTCTCGGCAAGGTGCTGCTGCACTGCACTGCATTGTTGTGACAACGTCTCCACGGATGGTGCCTGAGAAATTACTCAAGAACACATCGCGGATGTTGAACTTTGATGTATCACAATCGCCTAAAATCGTCAGCCCAGATCTCACGATGAGGCCCACACATGACTTACCCTGATTGCCCTCGAAGTTTGTGCACTGGGTGACTTTGAGATGGTCAGTCTGAGTTTTTTGATCCGAAGTGTAAGCTGATACTCACTCGTGAATGCCTTCTGGACGTTGAACAGGGTGAAGTTCTCAAAGGTGAGGTTCTGCGCATAACCCAAGCCACCACCACCTCCGTTTGGAGGAAGACCTTTGGCAACTCCGGTCCATCTGTGAAAATGTCAGTAAGGTTCGAATGAGGCGGCCACAAGCTACTGACGTCTTGATGTAGGCACCATTCTTCGTATTGTGAGACGTGATATTGCGACAAGTCACGTTTTCTATCGTTTCGAACTGGCCATCCATCTGACCAATGCTTCCAAGAGCGATACCAGACCCTCTGTAGAACTGGCTGTCTTCGATCAGGATGTTGGTTGAGTTTGCTTTTGGTGAGATCGCATCGTCGCCATTGTCTACAGTCCACCTGCGGAAGGTGATGTTGTTGGCGTAAATAGTGTCACAACCATCAGTATTCACAGTTGGTGCCTGGAAGCTATGTCAATATCACAGTGTTACGTGGTGAGAATGTATGACTTACGCCAGTCTTGGAAGTGTTGTTGACATAAATGTCCTGCAGGAGAACGTCCGCCGAGTGGATCACTGTCATCGTCCACATCTGACTCTGGAGGAATAGCAAGCCTTCAAAGGTCGAATTCGTGGTCTCGGTGATGGTCAATTGGTGCGGCCGCCTAGGGTAATTCGACCTTCCATTGACGAATCGATACCAGACATCACCATTGCCATTGAAGGTACCAGAGCCATATCCTTGGAATGTGATACTATCTCCGCCGAGTCTCCAAGCAGTGCTTTGGTTCTGGTAACCAACAGGCAACGAGTTGTTCAGCCAGTAACTGATATTCGAGTTGTCCCAGGAGAGTGTTCCATGCAACTCGATGTCGACATTCTTCAAGCCAGTCGTTTCCAATACGCTACCAATGGTGTATGTGGTGTTCTGAAACACGATGCGGTTGCGAAGTCCGGCTTTGGCCTGTCCACAACTCTCGAAAGCCTTCAGGATATTTGCTGAGGAATCCTTTCCACTCGATGCTGGTTTGACAACGCACGTGACACCCTGAGTAGACGCAGGTGATGCGTAAGCAGACGTTGTCGGTGCATGAGTATGTGTCGATGATGCAGATGTCGGCTTTGCATGTGCCCTCAGACCCAAGATGGTCGCCAAAAGAATAAGTACCAACAACATGGTAGTGAATGCCGCAGCGTATAACCAAAAGATAATTTTTCCACGACGACCCTTCGAAGAATACCACCGTTGTAGAAGGCCTGGAGATACGGGCGGTTGCAGCGTTGCGGACTCGTCGACTTTTTGAATTTCTTCTACCACCACCGAGGACATCTTCTTCGCTTCGTCTCCATCGCTAAGCTCCGCATTCCTCATGCTTTCAGCCATTGGGCAAAAAGTTTATACGAGCCTCTAGCACCTGACTTTCCGCGTCGCGCCAAAAGAAATGCTAAGGCTAGTGGGTGTGGCAGAGAGGATCTTTCGGCAGCATGACATCTGTGGTGTAAAGAGAATAGGTATGATTATGTACGGAGGAGGGGGTTACCGTCCGGTAATCACCAAAAAGAGGAATCGCGTGTCCGCGGGGTCCTGATCGTGATTGCCCGTTAGTAGCAAATGATCAGCGGATCAGCTCCTATTTTCTGGCTGTAGAGTTATGCTTAATCCGTGCTTGGGGTTGTCAAAGCCTGCTCTAGAACGGCCCCAGCCTTTTCGCGAGACGTCTCCGACCTCTAGGACAAACACGTGCCCTTGACTTATTTTATGTTTCAAAGATTCCAAAAATCGCTGAGTGGTAGCGCAATCGCGCAACTGCGAGCCCTTAACACGTGCTGCTCTAGATGATGTTATGGCAGTGTTAGACAACTGACGTGGGATCGAGGCAAACCATGCTCCACGTTGAACCTTTCGATCGTTCTCCGTTGTGTGTAAGTTGGCGTCTGCTCGTACCGGATGCATCCTGCCCCTCTTCCTCTGGATCTTTCCTTCGTCCAATGGAGGAAGAAAAGGGGTCACGCGTCTTTGAAGGCACGGCGATTACCTTGGCCTTCAGCCAAACGTCCTTTCTGGATTTGCAGTGGCGCTTTCCATGGGACTAGGCCAGCAGAGCTGAACATAGCAACAAACCCGCAAGCCACACTTGTATGAATGTCACCGTTGCAGCTGCTTATATCACAATCGCTTGTTGTTGCGCAGAGATTTGCAAGGCCAATGCAAGGACGGTCAACGCCCCGCACATATGCTGCGATATGAATATTCTACGGTTTTGAGTAGACGATGACTATATGCATAAATAGTATTGGCCAGAGAACATCACCAGACCGTGCGCCCAAAGGCGATCCTTACTGCGGGGTACATCCCTTCGGTCTATGTCGTGCTTTTGAACGAATCTCACGATATCTTCAATATCTGTAATCCGCCTAAGAGACCAGCGAACAGTCCACGTGCATAGTGACACCGGACTCGTGGAGAATTTTCAGTCCGCCGACGTCTTTGTAACACATAGGGTTTGTTCAAAAGCAAGCCGGATATCGGCTACACGAATGTCCATTGGTCTGGTAGCGGTATACAATTATAGCTGCCGAGACATGTTCGCACATCACGAGCATTATGATAGACATGTCTCAGACATGTGGTAGTGACAAATCAGAAGAGGTTATTCGTCTGATGACAGGAATGACATTGCAAATAGCTGACCACAGATTGTTCCAGTCGTCTTCTCTGTGATGAGGACCCTAGATATGCTTCTCCGAAGCGGAGTGCAGCAATTGTGAGAGCCGAGGAAATGCACGACCGTATGAAAGCCCGAAACGAGTCCGACGAGAGCTGATAGACACGTCTTTCCTCGGACGTTTATCTTTGCTTGAAAAACGGTCCATTGACACAATTAGCATGTGACAAGACCCTAGTACGCTGGGAGCATGATGAGGTTGACTATAATATTACATTCATTTGTACGCTTACATACGCACCACCGGGTATCTACTCTATTCTATCATGAAAAACAAACAAACAAACAGAGATAAATGCTGTCTATCATACTTTAAGCAGGCAGGTTGTCGGCGTAACTGAGACGTCTGACTCCCTCCTTCTTGCGATCCTCAGCCAAGGTCTTTGCGAACTTCGATCTGTCGCGGATAAGAGGTCCCTTCCAGTAGAAGATGTAGATAGGGATGACTACAAGCACGGACGCACCAGCAAGGATCGTACTGGCATAAGCCTGAGGGTGTCCTCCGATGTTCTTGTAGAGAGGTGTAGCGTACATGGCCGAAATTCCAGCAAGGAAGTCACGAGCAAAGGCATTGCCACCACAAGCAGAGGCAGAGTAAACACCGTAAGCAGCAATCATGTAGTCTACTGACGAGAAGTAGATGGCGTAGTTGGCGATACCGACACAAGCGGAGAAGATCATGGGTGCGATCCAGTGAACGTGGTAGCTAGGACCAAGCGAACACCAAGCGAATCCAATCAGACCAATGGGTTCCAAAGGAGCAAGCCATAGCAGCACCTTGAGACGACGCTCTGGCAAGAAGCAATCATCTCCCTTCTTTCTGCGGATATAGTTGTCGCGCATGAAGCATGGGAGGTACATGAAGTAGGCGAGGAAGTAAGCGAGGTTGATGGGGATGAAGGCCCATGCCTGGGCGAGAATACCAAAGTTCCACTTCGTGTATACATAGGGGAAACTTTCCAAGAAGGTAAAGATAAGGGCGTCAGAGAAACCGGAGAGAAGCGATAGACAAAGTACGATGGGTTCGCGCAGGAACATTTCGAAGGGACGGATCCAGACTTTGCCAGCTTCCTTGAGCGAGATACGTGGTTTCTTGAGCTCGTTAGGTCCATAGATATTGGGATCCTCGCCAGTCTTGCGACGACGTTTAGCTTCTCTGTCCAGGAGGATAGTCGAACGACTTTCGGGCATGAAGAAATGGATGATTTGGACAACACCACCGAAGATGAGCATGATCCAGAAGAACCATTGCCACTTGAGGAAGCGCTGGATAGGTCCACCAATAACACCTCCAATACTGGTACCGATACAAGAAGACAGGACGATGAAAGCCAGAGGGTACTGCTGCTCGTCGGGCTGGTACAGATCGGCGATGAGACCAAGAGTGACACTACCGCCAGCAGTAGAGAGACCACCCTGTACTCCAGTTAGTACGTGTATTGATAAGAGCTTTGCGCGGTTGAGCGATATGTAAACTATAACAAGGCACATATGCTCTCGGGTCGGAGATGTTTCTAAGAAGAGTCGATCACATGTCGCCTCTCCTTGGACAACAATCTGTCTCTCGGGCATTTGTGCCTCTTTACAGGCACATGTGTGAATGCTTCACCACACAAGAAGGAAAAGTATGCTTACCAAAGCACGGCAGACAAGAATCGTTCCCCAGTTAGGAGCTAAGGCGCAAGGAATCTGCCAGATGTTGATGAGGAACATGGAAAGCTGGAGGATGGGCCAACGACCAAACTCCTCAGACCAGGGCGCCCACAGCTCGCAACCGAATGAGTACAGAACCAGGTAGATCATCTGACCAGTTCTTGCTTCTTGTTCACCAATGTGGAAAGCCTCCGACAGAGGTGTGACGGCATTGGGAAAGACCGAAGTGTTGTAGTTCATGGAGATCTGGATGCCTGCGATGCCAGCCAGATACATCCATTTCTTCCATGTCGGCCAGGCGTATGCCAAAATCTCGGGGCAATCAGTCTCTTTTAGTTCCCTTCGTCCTTGAGCATCGACAGGAGCCTTCTCATTCTGTTCGCCGACAGGGCTGGGGCTGCGTGTTGTTTCATCATCCTTTTCTGAGTTGTTTCCACTAGACTCGTGACTCGGGATGTTTCTTTGCTCAGGCCGTACGTCCGTCATGCTTGAAGCTTGTCAAATAATGAGAGTTCTACAAGAAAATAGGATACATGGCTATTGCTATGTTTATGTACGGGTCCTCAGTAATGGACAAACGAGCCCCGGGTTCCACAGCCATGACGTGCGGCGAAAAAATTGTTGGAGAAAAGATCCACTCGATAGGTTGGGATGTCAACGATGAGGAGAGGGCCGCTCGGAAGGGTCTATGCGGTGTACCTTTGTGATTCGCAACCTCTGGTATATGGAAGTGATGTCACTTTCCACAGGGCTCTCGGGACAGGTCTGGGCAATGATATCAAACTTTTCGAAATGCTGTTCTAATGGGTTTAGTTTTTACTGTGTTGAGTAAGGTAGCGACAAATAGAGCCACGAAGATCAGCCTCTCGGATAGTGCCCTGGATTGATGTCAGGCGAAAATAGTCAACCGTCGCTACTCAGAAAAGGATTTTGGGTGCAACGATCGAGGCATCGATTCTGAGATCGGGAGAAAGATTGAACCCGGAGCACGCATCCGAAGACCTCAATCCCTGTGATTTCCTACGTGGCAATGAAGAGGACTTTTTGCAGTGTTTTCTTAGAGTCTGTCAACGAATATTTGCGACGCGTCTTGCCTTTGCGATTTGTGTTCGTGAATCGTGAGAAACGATGTTGGTCTCAACACCCCGGATGTCGCTGCCATTTCCAAAACCACTGACGTCTTTTCACCGAGCTGATGCCGACTACAGGCCCACCCACATCCTTTGAAGAGAATTATGGGCCCTGATACGGGGATTCTCCCACTATTCCTCTTCATCGAACCCCGACTCTGGATCTCCAGAAATCCGCGGAGCCATTTGATCTTCTGCTTGAACAAGGAGTTAAAAGGTGTTCTCCTGTGCGGAGCTCCAGAAATAGCTCCAGTCGCTGCTGCAGGAACCCCAGAATCCAAACAGGTCATGAGATGTTACACCGTGCAAAGGACGAGAAGATATGGAGCAAGCCGGAGACATCATCCTGGCATGGTATTCAGCCTATTGATACCTGGTCGACGTGCATGGAGCTGGAGATAGTCGCTTAGAGCACAAGCGATCATCGCAAGTAAAGAGCAGCAAAGCAAGCAGCACAAGACGAATGACGAACGTGGTCATTCTGTTCGGATGCCCGGAACTAGGTGATTGTCAGCTCTGTTGATCAGCTTTACATTCTTCCCATGTCCCGAACACTGTCACAAACCCGCAAGCGACAAACGAAAATGGTGTAAGCGACGGAAATGCAATCATTCATGATCAAGGATGTGGCCATAAGAAGTAACCGTGAGTGAATTTTTAAGGACGACATTCTTTATCGGAATATATCCTCTCAGAGGTTATGATGTTACAGTCTTTGGCACACGAAAAGGATAAAAGAGCCGCATACAAGAGCCGCAAAGCTAAAAGTTCTGCCCGATGCTGCCTGCACTGCCATGGTGCACATAACTGCAATCCTACTTTCCTTCTCTCGCAGCCTTGACAAGGCCATCTAGCCAGTCCTGATGTCCATTCAACATAGGGTTGGGCTTCTTGGTCGACAACTCAGCAGCCGGCTTGCCAATCTGCGACTCTTGCGTCAGGATCCTGACACGGTCATGATCGAGGTCCTCAATGACCCAAGCATGGTAGACATCAACAGCCTTGTCCTCATCGCCGTCTCCATCAGAGATGGCTCGCCAAGCAATACGGCCAACCTCCGTCTTTGAAGGCTTGACTGATTCATAGACCTCGGAAGGCAACGGCGGGAACCCAAAAGTTGAGAAGCTGAACTTGTCGCCTTTCTCCAAGAATGGTCCAGATTCTGGAGGTGTGATTTCAGAGCAGTTCCAGTAGTATGACTCCCACTTGGTGATGTCGGCGAGGTACTTCCAGATGTCTGCTGCGGAGAGCCCTTTCACAATTGTCTCATTGCTAACAAAGTTGTCCGTCGTGCCAGGAAGGAACTTCTCTGGCCAGATAATAGTGGGTGAGGTAGGTGCAGATGTCATGATGGTTCTGAAAGGTTTGATGCGACAGAACTGTCAATGTGATCTTATCGCTTGGGTGTTATGGATGAAGGAGGAGAAAGACGATGACGACATGTAAAGAAGCCGGACAGCTGCGGCAGCACCCAAACTATATACCTTGTCACACGGCCACAATCTTGCTGCATCATGCAGTATATTCTGCTTCTTCATCTAGAGTTCCTCGAGAGTTTGTAAGCTCAACATTCGAGGAGGTTGGATTCTTTGGTCAGATTGACTCTACACGCCTCAGATCGATTTCTTGGTAAGCAGCATTTCAAGATGATCGACAAAACGACACACATCCATCAGCCTTTTTATCGATCCGTTACAAAGCTTGGAATCAAGTAGAAAGCAGAAGCAAGATCCAAGCAGCAGTACCGAGTTTCAGCGAGACCCTGAGGTGCTATACAAGCTGGTGCTCTTGGATGAGCTTGCTGGCAGTACCACCCTGTCACAGGACATGCTTCATTCTCAATTTTGAACAAGGAGTTCGCAAACACTAGAAGTTGATTGTGTCATTAGGACTCGCTAACACGATGAGCTCTTGTCCCCTTTCGCGCGCAACCACCCATGCTAGGAAAAAGACAAAGAGTATAGAAGAAAAGAAACAAGAAGGGAAAATGCTACGCATTTCGTATCCTGAGAATGAAAACAAGACCAACGCCAAGCTCTTATGAGAAAAGGAAGTAGCGGAAAATAAAAATATACAGAAAGAAGAGAAGAAAAAGAAAGAAGCACACAGGATCACATATCCATGCCTTCGCTATCGTCCGCAGGCTTCTGCTTCTTGTCCTGCTCGATAGAGATGCCGGAATTGTTGTTATCAGCATCGGATACGGCAACTCTGACCCAGCCCTTGACGGTCTCTTCCCCAGTACTACTGGGTTTTAAGATTGTCTCCTCCTTTTCGCCTTCAAGGTTCTTCTCACCGACATCAGCAACCTCAATGTTCATGTCCCTGAGAACTTGCAGCATAGCACGCGTGTTCAATAACAATAATCTTTCTGGGTTCTCGGTCTTCAGCAACTTGCTGGTAAGGAAAGGGAACAGAACGCCAAAATCGGATTGGGAGAAGTGCTGGCTCGTGGCTGGATAGAAGAGGTGCGGGTTAGGTCCAGAGAAGTTCTTGGGTGGTGCGATAGCTCGGCGGACATCGTTGAAGTTGCCAGTCCACTTGAAGAAAGCTTGTGACATGACACTAAGGATATTCTTGCCACCGATCGAAGGATCGGTATATGACGGCAGAGAGCGTTCTCGGAGCCAGGTCTGGTTTGGACTGCGAAGCGGTAGGGTCCAGAGATCAAGTAATAGTACGGGAGAAGCGGGAGTAACCTGGCGAGTCAAGGCAGAGTCTGTCGGAACGATAAGAGGAGAGTGCGCATTTGAAGGACGTTCTTTGGCGTAGAAGACAGACTTGAGGAACTGGACAGTCGTACAGGCGCCAAAACTATGGCCGGCAAACGCAATCTTGCCAGGCGTATGCACATCGAGTTGTCCTGCAAATCTCGACAAGACGTCAACCCGCTCCTTTTTGGTTTGTGCAATGTTGTCATCCAAGTTGTTGACTTTTTCGCCCTGATCGATTTTGAGCAGTGCTGCGTGAATCAAAGAGATTTCATGGCATCGAATGCGCAACTGCTTGTCTCTTGCAGCGTAGACTTCAGGAGAGGGAGTGTGCGAGATTTTGATTTCGTCGACAATTTTGCTAGGAGTGTCCGAGGTTGCACGAATGTATTGAACGGGCGAACTGCCGTCTCTGTGGTCCATGGCGATGACAACAAGACCGTAAGAAGCCATTGATCCGCAAACATGCGAATACAAATTGCGGTTACCTGCAAGACCGTGGGAGAAGATCATGACGGGCCATCTCTTGTTGGTGGTGGGTGGAGCGAGAAGCGGAGCATTGCGCTGGGCTGGTATAGTGATGTAGTAGAGAATCGAGGGGAAATAGGAGAAGAAGTCCGAGGCACGTGAGTTTGCACCCAGAAGACGAGCGAAGGCAGAAAGATTGGGTCGCTGTGGCGAGGGGATCCATCTCACAGGCCTCGCGGTCTCTTTCTGGTCATGGCATGGGTAGAATATGCGAAAAGATACGGTAGGAGCGGCGTCGGCGGGGGTTGCGGCGGTGGAAGGCAGTTCAGCGGCTGGAATCTCGACATCGACAGTGCCGACGGTATGAGGCCCAGGGTATTCTGGGAAGGCCGGTGTTGGATTGAGGCGTGAGAGGAAGGCCACCATGACGGCGGTGGCAGTCGTGCAGTAGTAGAATAGGAATAGCAGAAACGAGGAACAGTAGGTGGACAAGAAAATTGCAGTAAACAGGACTGGGAGAGAGAAACGAAGTGAAGCGAAAAAGCAGGATGGGCTTTTCTCGAAAGGCATGTGAAAGGACGACTTAGCGCACACGACCACTTACCCGATCGAAAATGACTTCATCGAAAATGCCGGCTTGGCATGGAAAGTGTACTTGCAAAGAGATGATGATGTCGAGATGTCGACGACACAGTCATGTAGCATGCTTCTGCCATGTCCAGTACGTCGTAGGCCTCAGATGACCCGGGCCATGCGGCCAACCACCGTCGAGTTGCTTCTTTGAACATGTCGACTTTGTGCATTGCTTGTTCGAGCAGTGGGCATGCGACAGCTCATGGCCGAGGCACCTTGCAGGTCGTATGTCCAGAACGATAGCAGGTCGATGAAGCGAAAGAGCCACACAACAGAACAGACATGCTGCTAGAAGGCATGTGAGTCTGTTGTAGGCAGCAAGGAAGAGAAAAAGACCAGAGAGGTCGAAAGAAGCTGGAGCTCATTCTTCTTGGTAGGAAACGGCGATATCCGAAAGGGCTTTCTTTTGGTGCCGACAGAAGGGCGGACGCTGCTTTCAACAGAAAGTCTGGGGACGATTGTAGCAGAGCAGCACCAGGCTGAAACAGGCCACTCGAGTGCAATTTGGTTATCTTCATCTCATTAATCACACCCTTTTGTTTGCGCATTTCGCGACATATCATCAACTCCTCTCCACCATACTTATCCGCCTAATCTTTCGACACCCATCAAACATCAATGGTCCGACTTCCAACCTTCACGTGAAACGCGACATATCCATCGGCCAACAATCCACTTATCTCCGAGTCCACAGAGGTCACTCCAAACACGACCGACCTTCCATACACATAACATACACCCAACCACAACCATGGCGCGACAACGACGACTCTCGTCAGCCTCGACCACAGGCCCTGACAACGCCCTCCCGCCAGAGTCTGAACTCGGCTCCATGTACGACTATCTCGCCAAGATCATCCTCCTGGGTCCTTCGTCCGCTGGCAAGTCCTGCCTCCTCCACCGCTTCGTCAACTCGTCCTGGCGTATTCTCTCCTCTCAAACAATCGGTGTAGAGTTCGCTACCAAAATCGTAAAAGTCGGCGACGGCAACCGTAGAAAAAGAATAAAGCTGCAACTCTGGGATACCGCCGGCACCGAACGCTTTAGGAGCGTGAGCAGGAGTTATTACCGCGGCGCCGCTGGTGCAATTTTGGTCTACGACATTACGAGTAGGGATAGCTTTGCACAGCTGGGTACCTTCTTGAATGATGCGCGCGCCCTGGCGAGTCCGCATTTGACGCTGCTGTTGGCCGGTAACAAATCAGACCTTGCCGATCCCGTCGACAGCGATGCAGAGAGCGACGATGACATCGACGATATCGGTACTTTTTCACCGCAATCTGGCCAGACGCCATCGAGCTATGACTCGCGCAGGTTCGACAGTATCGCTTCAAGAGGCACTATACCGCGAGGGGGCAATGGTACGCGCGCTACTTTTGCGCCCGATGGTCGCCAAGTTTCTGCACTTCAAGCAACACAATGGGCAACTTCACAAACCATTCCCCTCGCTGTTGAGGTATCGGCTTTCAACGGAGACGGTGTGGACGAACTATTCAATCGTCTCGCTCGTATGATTCTTGCAAAAATCGAGCTAGGAGAGATTGACCCTGACGATCCGCTTTCTGGTATCCAGTATGGCGACAGCTTGTCTTGGGCTGTTGATGATGGAGGGAGCAGTATAAAGAGTGGCGTGGACGGCCCCAGGCGACGGAGAAGAAGAGCCGGTACAGGGCAGTGGGCTTCTGGCTTGCGCGAATGGGAAGAAGTCTTCAGACTTGATGGTCCCAGGCGGAAAGGCTGCTGTTAGTCACACTGTCTGAGGGCAGATTTCCTTTGTCATACTTCATCGGACTGGATCCAGACATAAAGACATAGAGAGACAGGGTGGGCGCAACATATCGCGTTTGACACGCAGATATAGCAGGACAGACACATTTGAGACCTTCCATAATATTAATCCTAATCTTGTCGCGTATAGCGACATGTTCTTCAAGACGATGATCACCAGCGCTCTAAAATGTTTCTCTCGGATGTCCCAATTTTCGATGAAGCTGACGATGTTCAAGAAGCTTCGTGAGAAGACCGGTAATGGAGCGGCGCCTGCCCACAAACATGCAAGCCCGACATGGATGGAATGCTAGGACATCATCTCAACTCCGGCTCCATCATGAAAGACGCCTTCTTGAGCCTAGGCAAGCCCTCTGAGCGTTTACGCTTTTCCTTGGAGCGGACAGGTATGTCCATTCTATCGACACGCGCACCCTTGTTGGTTCCAGCATCGTCCTCCATCAAGCCAATATTCTCCTCGGCCCTATCATCGCGAGCAAAAATTTGCAAACCGCGAAGATGGGTGTCCTTGCCGTTTTGATGGTTTTCGAGGATGCGAACCTGGAGGATGAAGCAGCGAAGCAGAGGCCTCTTGCTCCAGTCGATAGAATCGGGATCCTCGCTGTCCTCTTCTTCGATAGGTCCGACCTGCGAGAAATCGACAGAAATCCAACCGCGAGGCTGCTCGAACTGCATATCGGCAAACTCGATGAGATCGTGGAGGCCAGTGCCTGCCCAAAATTGCATACGAGTTGGTGTGTAACTCTCGTCGTTCTCAAAGTCGAGGTAGATGCGGATGTGAGCGACGGCGACTTGCTTGAAGAAGTGCACGGTGAGTAGATGGGGCTGTGGACCATCGCTTTGCCAGAAGAGCGAGGACGATGGGTGGCGTAGGGCAGCGACACCGCAGCCAGGCTTGCTCGTGCTGACAGTCCAGGATGCGAGGGACGATATCTCCTTCAGTCCGCGTGGAGGCAGCGGATCACCGGATGTGGACGGTGCACCATCTAAAACATTTGTTAGAGCTCCATGTGAGTTGAGTTGACGTGAGTGTGCATTTGGCATAGCTTGGATCTTGTGGGAAATTGGATCGTTGATGAAAGGGTAAACGAACGGTACGACAGAACAGAGGAGTCAAAATCAGATATTCCTGATGGGTCTGATGACATGGTGAAATGTTTGGCTTGTCGTGGCTGATGTTATGTTTCTCGCGCCTGCACGCTCAGTAGCGAGTTCGTGGTATGATTACGCGCCTTCTTTAAAACAAAGAATCAAGTGCAGAGCGAAAACAAACCGACATCACGCTTGCTGAAGCTTGGGGTGTATGAATAGGTATCAATACGCCAGATTTTTCTACAGCCAAGCCAGTGTATGAGGCAGACTCCGAGAGTCACTCTTGTAGACAACCCGCTGATGTAGGTCAAGGATGACTTCGTTCATACTCGTGGATTACGCCAGGGAAACAGCGGGTTCTGGTTGTACCTTCTAGGAATGCAACCAACAGGAAGAAAGCACAAGTACGCGTGCCAACAGAAAGAAGAGAGTCATTCTTACCTGGATCTACCTCCTCAGGATCTATATCCACATCTCCATCGTCTTCATCTTCATCGTCCAGATGATCTGTCTGCTGAGCGCGTCTGAGCTCTGCAATATTGCCAGGTCTTACGACATCATCTATGCTGTAATCAACGATCAAGCCCGATGGAAGTTCTGAGCTGTCGATGGAGAAGCCAGTATTATCCAGTGAATGCCTTGCTCTAGCATTTCGATTTTGACGCGTTTGCTGAGCACCAGCTGCAGTAATGTGAGCTCGTGATGGTGGAGGCATTTCACTTGCTCATCCTGCTTAGTATGAACATCCCAATGAAAGATGATTGTTGTTATCTGACATTAACAGCGAGGATCGTCCCGGGGTCTTGCGGAGATTTCGAGCGGCACTCGGACGCCAAGGACAGGGTCACGATTTGGCTCCTGCGAAATTCTTCCGGAAGCTCTGCCTTCCGCTTCCTGTGGAAGTTTCTCTCCTTCGACGTTGAGCAAACGTGCAGACTAAGGGAATCTGCAGGTCGGTACCGCATTTTTCTGAACGGCAGCTTGAACCCAAGGATCTCAAATTTGCAACAAGCACAAGTCCTCGACCAAAGTCGTCATTTTCGATGTTACCGTTTGTGAACATTCTACGAGTACGACCACGACCCAATCCTCAAACCTGTCTATACCAAAATTTTCATGATGACGTGAAGTCAATCGCTTTTCACATCGATCAATGGTGGATGGACGGAAGAAGGCCGGCCAGCCAACTCGTCTAAGATTGCTGGCTTGTAGATCTCCACATGGAAATGCCACATGCGTACTAATTAGTCGTATCTGAGCGGCTCAAAGAAGCCCATCTTTCCGATAACCTGGACCTTGATCCTCTGTATATCTGTATAAGGGTCGTGTTACCGAAGAGAGCGGGAGCGCTTCGCTTGACGTGCCGTCAATAAGAAGCAGATCTAGGGCTGGCTATGGAGATTGAACTGTTTGCTCTGTGGTCCCTCCAACTCGCTAATACCTACTATGGGTCTTCATCCATCATGCCCTTGTATCATATTCTTCTGACTTGCAGTCAGTCACCGCTGTGGTTGGGGCCACTTTCTCACAACACTCCAGTAAGCATGATGGAGGCTCTCATGGTCGAAATTCGTTAAGCGAAGCTCGTGAATTCAGCAAGCCACGGCCGTTGAAGGCAAGAACAACAACCGAGATTTTCCAGCAAGAATCTCTTCAGTGGCCTCCAGCGTCGGCTTAGCATGCCTAGGCTGAACTCGGTGTAGAAAGAGTTCCGCTGGCATGCTGAAATGTTTCAGGTTGCCGAGCGGTTCCTCCCTCAATAACCTCAGGTGGATCGTGATACACGTGGCATTACACATGTCTTCCCACGAGCAACGGCTAGGCTACGCCGCTATCTAACCTTATGATCGGGGCACTTCTCTTTCCAGCACTGAAGTCACAAGCCATTGATATACATAGGATCTTGCGCTGTCCTGTCAAATTCCTTGCTTCTTCGCGGCTTGTGCTTTCTTTATTGTCACGCTCCTTTTATCGTCTGTCATTATAATCGCTTGGGCTCTATTTCTCAACTCTTTCTATTACATCGTTACAGGAAACAACTTCCGAGCGTTCTGCCCTGTGGCTGATCCATTCGCCTGGTATTGATCCTGCCAGAGGGTAGCAGCGGATCCGATAATTGCACACGATATCCAGCCATGGACTCACATGTGGTGTGGACAGCAGATGCATGGAGCCCCAATGCGAGTCACGAAGTCCCATCACTCCACTCTGAAGCCTTGACTGCCATTGCTGCTGCTTTCCTCGTACTCACGATCACGTTCACCAGTCTGCGTTTCCTCGTCAGAGGATACATGATTCGTGCTTTGGGTTGGGACGATTGGTTGATACTGCTTGCACTCAACAGCTTCATCTGTCAAGCTGCCTTCCTTGTGCATATTGCATGGATGGAGCAAAACAAAGACTTGAGTCTGGAGAAACCCCTGTCTGATGCTCTGGAGGTTAGTGGAGATTCTATATATCTGATGGCCTGTACTGACAATGCCTAGTATGTTGTCCTTGAGTTTGCCTTCTACATTTTCACCACCTTCGCGCTGAAGCTGTCGCTGGCCGTGTTCTTTCTACGAATTGTAAGCTCTTCCGACCCACCCTTTGCTCCCATATCTGACTCAAAAAAACCAGGTTCTGGAAAAGTGGCAGCGCCAAGTCATCATCATCAGCACCGTCGTCTTCTCATTATATACATTCAGCTTCTTCCTTGTCGCTGTGTTCCAGTGTGGTTCTCCGGCCCAATACCTTCTGCACAAAGTCCAAGGAAAATGTGTATCCTGGAGCGTTCTTGGCCCCATGAATTATACCCATGGAGTCCTGAACGCCTTGACTGATTGGATCTTTGTGTCTTTCCCGATCTTGGTCGTTCGCAGAGCCAACATGAGTAGCAGAGATAAGTGGTCAGTGGTCTTTGTCCTCGTCATTGGTGTCCTCGGCAGTGTGGCATCAGTGGTCCGCCTCTTCTATATCAATGATCTCAACTCTGGCGACAAGAATGCCATAGCCTTCTTTGCGCAAGCACCAAGTATTGCGATCTTGAGCACGATCGAGCCTGGCATGGGTATTACAGCAGCATGTATGGCGACTTTGAAGCCTCTGTTCAAAGCTGTCCTGGATCACACCCGCTTCCACGTCCCAAGCAGCTCTGACAAGAACAAGCTTTCGAGTGCAGAGCGCGGTATCCATACTCCTAGTGGAGTCATGTCACCACCACAGTCTCCACGACGCGGCGAATTTGCGAAGTATGGTTTTGCTTCGGAGGGCAAATCTCGCGCGAAAAGCGAACCGCAAATCGAGATGTTTGTTCTCTCCACGAAAACATCAGTGATCAGCTCAGACGAAGTCACGATTCAACAATTCAGCACTTCACAATCTGAGAGACGCGATTCGCAGAGTGAGCTTCTGGCTGAGCTACAACAAGCAAGACAAGCTTACAGTGCACGCATTTGGAGCGGCGATGACGACAAGGAAGTACCACAGCTCAACTTGGTGCTTCCTGACGTTTGAAAGAGTTCGAGAGATATGGCACACGGTACGGGAAAGTCATGATACCACGAGTTTCTTTTGTCATCTTCTTGCAATGTCTTTACTCAACTCTTGCATGTTTTTTTCGAAAGCGGGCGGCGATGATGCCTTCAATTTTTGATATGCTTGAACAAACGATTTTGCTTCCAGGAATGTTCCCATACTTCGATATGAGATGGAATAAATGGTTTTCAGACAACAATATCACAAAATAAAACGACATCTTCAAGTAGAGTTTAACGAGCGATAGCACCGTTTTCCAATTGAAGAGTACGTCAATTGAGGAAGGAGCATTCATTGTGTCTGGAAAGCATGTCATGGTTGAGTTGCCCTGGCAACACAGCTGGGACATTGTCGCACAACAACGTTTCTCTCCACCCCCAGCTCCGTGACTGGCGAACAGATCCCTTGGTTTTCCCTGCGAGAAAGAAAGTTTGTGTATCTCTACCGTTGATAGGTCTGGAATGCCAGTGAGTGTCTATGGCAGGCTCATCTGGAAGTAGGGCCGACAGCCCAATCTTTACCACCATTGAAGTCGACAACTACGATGAATACAACGACAAGAACGATTTCAAACGCCGCATCTCAAACATAACGACGACTTCTGTATCTTCATTTCCTGATTCGGCTTGGCCTTCTGACTCTGACGTTCATCCAACTGCAAAACCTCGACCAGCTTATCGTGTTGGAAGTATCCGCCGCTCACATTTGCCTGAACGCCTGTCGCCATCTTCTTTGCGACCTTCAAGACATTCGCCTCATCGCCCAAGAAGTAGAGGCGAAGGTGGTCGTCCTAGAAGTAAGGGAGAAGATATTACCCGCCGGGACGAACCGTCAGAAACACCAGCTCCTCTGGTCTTACTGCATGTCACTGTTCTACCTCCGCGTCTGCCATGGAATCGCACAGTCCTCGATGCAACACTGCCTATAGAGCTCAAGAGGCAGTTTGGAGTGCTGCGGGCAGCAACATCAGGACTAGTGGCACAAAGAGGCATCCTCATTGCTCATCCACGAGAAGAGTTCGAGTTGTTGGAAGAAAGTGTGCTTGAGGCTTTGGATCTGCTTCCTGAGCGCATTGGTTATGATGGACAGTACAGACCTCGTACACCAAGCACTGTAGTAGAAGGCGACGCAGATGACGAAGAGGAGACAGATGTCCAGCCCTGCGACACATGCCAGCGCGTTCATGTCGGCGATGCTTGGTCCGTCAGAGTCTACGCTGCTAATGGTCTCATGCGCGCTGGCGCTTGGGCTGCTTGTTGGTCTGAGATGGAGAGAGTTGATTGCGAAGTTCGACCATGCATCTCAGAACGAATCAGCAGAAGTCTTGATGAGATGCAACTGGCGGAGGACATCGCCAATGAACGAGGAACCCATGTTGCTGCTGCCCAGTCGATACATGAACGACAGACCATCGAGATGCCGAAGCATCAGGCCCTATCTGAGCCGATAGCGTCAGCCCATGAACCAGCAGTTGTGGCAATGAACAAGCAGCGCAGCCCAGAGACCCAACATACGTCGCCTACTACTTCCAGACCTACTTCCACTCTTCAGAATGACCTTCCACCCATTTACCGTCCCAAGGATGTTCCCTTGGGTCTTCTGTTGCGCAACTACCTTTACCTCGTTTTGCGCGACCGCCGAAACATTGCCATTTGCATCCTCGGCTTGACCTTACTGGCGTCTACCTTTCATGGTGTATTTGCTATGCAAGCGTCTGATACAAGCAACACTGGTCTGGTAGCAAGTAATGTTGAAGCAGTCAGCGAACTTCCAATCTTACCAGTCGCATCGCCCCGGACTGATGTGGGCCATGGAAAGAGACATCCTATGTGGACGACAAGCCAAGGGGAGTCACGGAAGGATGTCGAATCTCAAAGGTTCTCTCCTGCTGATGAGAAATCCGAATTTGATCAAACAACTGGACCTGTATCCAGAAGCGTCACTGAAGACCAAGCAATCCAACCCACAGTTGCTGCCGCCACGAGCTTGGTCGCCACAAACCTCGACATCTCCGCAGAGACCTCTTCCACCCGTTCGCCAAATCCAGCTTTCTTGCCATTCCTCCAAGGACGCAATCAGTGCAGCACAAACGACCAGCAGCCCTAGAAACAGTTTCCTCTTTCCAACTTCTGACAGCGCAACTAGCGAGCGAGCGATTTTGACAGTTTTATTTTTCTTTCTTTGTTTCCTTTAGCGACGCATGATAACGAGATGAGAATGAAGACGAGGACAAAAGAACGACAGAGATGTATGTGCCGAGTTCAAGACGTGATGCCTGTATATAGTAATAATAGACGAGAACAATCAATGACGAAAACCTGCAAAAAAAACAACAAGGAATGGATACTCACAGAATCGAACACACTCAGTTTGTGACAGCAAATACCTACCTTTAAAACTGGCCAGGATGGAATTCTTTCTCACGAAAGCAGCGGTGGCCCAACGGTAGGGCGCCTCACCATTGAATGACCTTGCAAACACAAGCATTGTCGCCAAAGATCTTTCTTGGTTACGGATTCCTCGAGCGAGGTTCTGTGATCGAGAGACGAAATCTCATGCTTGCAAACACAAGCGTTGAGCTCGTGAGTAAGTCCAGTAACCCTCGCTGACTGGCATGAGATCTTCGGATGGATATGAGGAAGTGTAGGTTCGACTCCTACTCGCTGCATTCACATTTCTTTTTTGTTACTCGTTCAAAGTGATGCTATTTCATGCTGAAACACTGTTTATTCATCATCCGTTTCCGAATCTTCCTTTGCAGCTTCCCCATCGACCTCGGGTACGATGCGGAAATCCACAAACGCAATACCCTCCTTGCCTGGTTCTGCCTGTGCTGTTGGATCCACCTCAATCAAGAATTGCAGACTCAAAACACCTTGTTCGTCCGCGCGGACGCTGACTTTGGTCGCAGAGACCATGGCACGGTATACAGCCTTGATGTGTCGGAAATTGTACGTTGTGCGAAAGCGAGCCGGACACTGGAATGTCTCAAGCAGCAAAGGATCTTGATCTTTGTTGAAGTCGACAGTGGCTGAACCAAGTGGCCCGGTGGCTGAGAGTGACATGTAGGGCGCTGTGGGCGAGGCAGTCAATGAGAGACTAGTAGGATTCGTGGAACCGAGTTCTGATATGGCATCAGCCAAATGCGCTGAGCGCATGATGGTCTTCAGTGCCAAGCTTTCTCGATCAAATGGAATGTCTTCTGTTGTTTCTGCTTCGTAGGTGGTCAGATCACAATTGGTTGTGACGTCTGATTCGGATAACTGAATTGATAGAGGACAACCACGAGTCTCATATGCTATGCGGCAGAGACCAGAAGATCCTAGTGCTGAGGCGGAGAAAGGATTGTTCGCATTGCGATTCTGTCTGAAAGCAGTAAACGTGTCGTAAGGATCTTGTTGCTGTTTAAAAGCGGTGCTGTCACCAAGAGAGAAGATTTGTAGAGTTTCGAGTAAAGCAGGAAGAGATATTTGAAAAGTGGGAGGTGGAAGGGCGTCTTCGTCTGACTCGTCTTCGCGAGCTTCAGGATCCTGATAGCTCCAAGTTGTGAACAGAGACCTCGAGAGAAACACGAATGCTAGAGACAGTCAGAACGATGTGGCCAAGTAATTTCTGAAAGCGCTTGCCTTCCATCACACTAGTTTCTTGAGCACTGAAACGTAGTCCTTCGGGCGACAAGCGAACTTGAGTCTTGGAAGCAAATGCAATGCATCTTAAGAGAAGCGTCAAATCGCGAGCTGCTGGAGAGACGGCACTGAAAAGACATGAATTTGATGATGCCATGTTGCTAGTCTATAGCAGTGGCGGAAGATTCAGCTAATGGGAAGGACGTGATATATGGAAAATCTTCGAGAGCGCGAGTCTTATTGTTTTATTCGAACGACTTCACAAGGTTTGAGGTCGGAACAAGTTTTGTGGTGATTTGATGTATAGTGTACGACAATGACGCGAGATGGATGGTCCGACGATGGAAGTTGGAGGTGCCAAGCTTAGTCAGCCTTATGTAGGCAACTGCGATGGCTTCGTGCCTCGTGCTTTCGCGATTTTGGAAGTCGCAAGGCTGCATCCTTTTGTATCGACCTGTCCCTTCTCTTGTCTAGCTTTTGACGACTTCTATCGTGTCCCCTGTCATGATTCCTGTTTGTTCGGAGCCGGATCACGGCTCAAACACGACTATCTCTGGATGACTGGCATGCATATTGTAGGTTGTAGAAGGAGGCTAGTTTGGTTTGGTATGGGTATCTCGAGTAGCGAACATAGAAGGAGGTGGAGGGAAGAAGAGCAAGAGCTCAAACGTAGACGCCAACAGCGCAGATCATATAGACAGCTCCGAAACTGGATAATATCAGCGAGGGCTCATATTGTGCAGAGACAAAGGCAGCAGTACCCAGCAGCGAGCGAAGCAGGAAGGCCGATCAGAGGAAGGTTCTTGAGCGAGGGGTCTATTAAGGTGTTAGTCGGGTACAAGTGTTGGGTTCGGAATCGAGACGTACTCAGGCCGAAGTAGCCAGACAGAATAAGAGCTGCACATATCAGTAATCTCTTCTCAGACGAGCAAACAAAGATACATGGATGATATGTACCAGTAAACAGCAAAGTGATGCCAACAACGAAGTGCGAGTTCTTGCCAATGCTGGGCTCATACGGCTGACCTGCAGCAGCTTCCCAGAGGTCATTCAAGGGTTGCACAGACATGGCGACAGGTTGAATTGAACAGACTACTACGACAGGAACAGCAACGACAAGGGCAAGAACAAGTACAAGAGGTATCGAATTCGCTATGCTCGAGGCCAGATGGCAGCAGTCGGCGCGGGCAGCCAATCACGTTACGCATGCCAAGACGCGGATTGCACATTCAGCCCTGTTGACATGGAGCAGCAGCGACAGCGTCAAGCGTCGACGCTGGAGAGCAGCAACCACATCTCGACTCACTCTTGCGCCCGAGAGAGCAACCACCTGCTCGCCGTCCGCCATCACTCCGCCCTTCTTCACGCCCTCTTGCATCTCATCTAGCGCCGCTTCACTGCGTCGTTACATCGCTCTCGCCGCGAACCCATCGCCACAGAGCGCGCGCGCTCTTTCATCTTTCTCCTAAGCGCGTCCATCCGACTCCCTTCCATCTCCGACTCATCACATCTTCCACTCCAATATGGCCGACGTTTGGGGCAATGGCGTGGGAAGCCCCTCCCAGGACGACTACGATGAGGACGACATCATCACAAGTGAGGACTGCTGGACCGTCATCCAGTCCTTCTTCGACTCAAAGGGTCTGGTCTCACAACAGCTCGACTCGTTCGACGAGTTCGCCGGTACCTCCATGCAGGACATTGTCACCGAACAGGGCCGTATCGTCATCGACCAGAATGCGCCGCAAGACGACAACGAAGTCGACCCCATCGTCAAGCGCCGCTACGAGATCGAATTCGGCAACATCACCATTTCCCAGGCTGCCATCACCGAAGGCGACGGTTCCACTCGACCTCTCTACCCCAATGAGGCCCGTCTGCGCAACCTGACCTATTCAAGTCCCATCTACCTGGGCATGACGAGTCGCGTTCTGGTCGCCCGCGAAAGACGCATCGGCGCAGCACATCACGACGACGAAGATCCGGATCATGCAGCGAACGAAGATGAGGAGACCGAGTTGGTTTGGGAAAAGGAGGATCCTGATGCTATCGAGAAGGAGGAGCGTGTCTTTATCGGAAAGCTGCCCGTCATGATCAAGTCCAAGATCTGTACTCTGCGCAATCGCTCAGAACAGGAACTCTACGCCTTCCAAGAATGTCCATACGACCAGGGCGGTTACTTCATCATCAACGGTTCCGAAAAGGTTCTGATCGCTCAAGAACGCAGTGCTGCCAACATCGTTCAGGTTTTCAGAAAGAAGGGCAGTCCCACTCCGATCGTTGCTGAGATCAGAAGTGCTATCGAGAAGGGCACTCGGTTGCTTTCGTCAATGCAGCTGAAGTGGTATCAGAAGGGTGATCAGTCCAAGACCGGAAGCGTGGGTGGTGTCATCAAGGCTACCTTGCCCTACATCAAGGCCGATATCCCTATCGCCATCGTCTTCCGTGCGCTTGGTATCGTATCAGATATGCAGATCCTCGACTGCATTTGCTACGATGCCAACGATACACAGCTGCGCGAGATGATCAAGCCGTGTTTGGAAGAAGCTTTCGTCGTCCAAGACCGCGAATTTGCTCTCGATTACATTGGCAGACGTGGTCAGCAGTCTGGTACCAAGGAAAAGCGTATCCGTTATGCCCGCGACATCTTGCAGAAGGAGTTCTTGCCTCACATCTCCCAACGAGAGGGAAGTGAAACGAGAAAAGCCTTCTTCCTTGGCTACATGATCAACCGCATGTGTCAAGTCGCCCTCGGAAGATGCGATGAAGATGACAGAGATCACTTTGGTAAGAAGCGTCTCGATCTGGCCGGTCCACTGATGGCCCAGGTTTTCCGTCTCAAGTTTACTCAACTTGTGCGTGACATGCGCGTCTACCTCTCCCGCTGCATTGAGCAAGGTAGAGACTTCAATCTTACCCTTGCTGTGAAGTCGAACATCCTCACATCAGGTCTGCGTTATTGTTTGGCCACTGGTAACTGGGGTGATCAGAAGAAGGCCGCCTCAGCAAAAGCAGGTGTCTCTCAGGTCTTGAACAGATACACATACGCTTCCACACTATCACATTTGCGACGAACAAACACTCCTATCGGTCGTGATGGCAAGATCGCCAAGCCTCGTCAACTGCACAACACTCACTGGGGTCTTGTCTGCCCTGCTGAGACCCCTGAAGGACAGGCTTGTGGTCTCGTCAAGAACTTGTCTCTTATGTGTTACGTCAGTGTTGGTACTCCTGCTGAGCCCATCGTTGAGTTCATGAACCAACGAAATATGGAGTTGCTTGAGGAGTATGAGCCCAAGAACAACCCGGATGCCACCAAGGTCTTCGTGAACGGCGTGTGGGTCGGTGTCCACAGAGATCCCTCTCAGCTTGTCAAGGTTGTGCAGGGTCTTCGTCGTAACGGCACCATCTCCTTTGAAATCTCGCTCATCAGAGATGTCCGTGAGCGCGAATTCAAGATTTTCACTGATGCTGGTCGTGTCATGAGACCATTGTTTGTCGTTAATAATGACCCTGCAAGCCCAACAAAGGGCCAACTCGTTCTCAGCAGACAGCACATTAACAACCTGCTCAACGCACGAGAGACCGAGACTATTGGTTTGAGCGAAGAGGAGCGTGATAGTGCAATCTATGGTTGGAAGGACTTGATCAACGAAGGTGTCATCGAGTACTTGGATGCTGAGGAAGAAGAAGCTGCCATGATGGTCATGTCTCCAGAAGATCTCGATGAGCATCGCCAGATGAGAGCCGGTTTGGTCTACGATGAGCCAGTGACTGACCCTCACCGAAGAATCAAGAGCAAGCCCAACCCGAACGTCAGGATCTGGACTCACTGCGAAATTCACCCTGCCATGATTCTCGGTATTTGCGCCTCGATTATTCCCTTCCCCGATCACAACCAGTCGCCTCGTAACACTTACCAATCTGCTATGGGTAAGCAAGCCATGGGTATCACCCTTACCAACTACAACGTGCGCATGGATACCATGGCCAACGTCCTCTACTATCCTCAAAAGCCTCTTGGTACCACACGATCTATGGAATACCTTAAGTTCAGAGAATTGCCTGCCGGACAAAACGCCATTGTCGCTATCGCTTGTTACAGTGGTTACAACCAAGAAGATTCCGTCATCATGAACCAGTCGTCGATTGATCGTGGTCTCTTCCGCTCGCTGTTCTACCGTGCTTACATGGACCAAGAGAAGCGTGTTGGCATGTCCGTTGTGGAGCAGTTCGAGAAGCCTACTCGTGGAGATACCATGAGGATGAAGCACGGAACGTACGACAAGCTGGACGATGATGGTATCATTGCACCAGGCACTCGTGTCTCTGGTGAGGATATCATCATTGGTAAGACTGCACCCATGGCTCCTGATGCAGAGGAGCTTGGTCAGCGCACTAAGTTCCACGTCAAGCGCGATGTGTCAACTCCTCTGCGTTCCACCGAGAGTGGTCTCATCGATCAGGTGCTTCTTACAACCAACGTCGAGGGTCTCAAGTTCGTCAAGGTTCGTACGCGCACAACGAAGATTCCTCAGATTGGTGACAAGTTTGCCTCTCGTCACGGTCAAAAGGGTACCATCGGTATTACCTACCGTCAAGAGGATATGCCCTTCACCGCCGATGGACTTGTTCCTGACATCATCATCAACCCTCACGCCATTCCTTCTCGTATGACCATTGCCCATTTGATTGAGTGTTTGCTTTCAAAGGTTGGTTCCCTTCGTGGTCAAGAAGGTGATGCCACTCCCTTCACTGATGTCACTGTTACTCAAATCTCCGACTTGCTTCGTCAGCACGGCTTCCAACAGCGTGGATTCGAGGTCATGTACAACGGCCACACTGGTAAGAAGCAGTCTGCACAGGTCTTCCTGGGACCTACATACTACCAGCGTCTACGTCACATGGTCGACGACAAGATTCACGCTCGTGCCCGTGGTCCTACCCAGATCTTGACTCGTCAACCTGTCGAAGGTAGAGCACGTGACGGTGGTCTCCGTTTCGGAGAGATGGAGCGCGATTGTATGATCGCTCACGGTGCCTCTGCTTTCTTGAAGGAGAGATTGCTTGATGTTTCGGATGCTTTCCGTGTTCACGTCTGCGAGATCTGTGGTCTGATGACTCCTATTGCGTAAGTCTCTTTGCTCCCTCACCATCCCCTGATTTTACATGTTCGCTAACGCATTTACAGCTCGCTCAAGAAGAACCAATTCGAGTGCAGACCTTGCAAGAACAAGACCGAGATCGCACAGATCATCATCCCCTATGCCGCCAAGCTCATGTTCCAGGAGCTCGCAGCCATGAATGTGGCCACCCGCATGTACACCAAGCGCAGCGGTGTCAGCATTAGATGAGGACATTGACAGCATGTTCCAGTTCGACGAAACAGAAGACAGTACATTTGATAGAAGAGCATCAATTGCTCTCATGAGTCCGTTCAAGGACGACAAAAGCATCGCGCCACGAGAAATGACGCAGAAGCAGTGCAGGAAAAGCGAAAGAAGTATTTCACACGCATAACACGGGAGTTCTTTCCTTTCGATGGTTGGGGTTTTACGAGATCAAATTGGTTTCTTTATGCAGTATTACAATTGGTTCATCTTCTCTAGAAAGTACCCTAACCCAACCACTTTTATGTAACTTTAGCAAAATGAAGTTCTTCAGATGAAATCATGTTCTGTTTTTCGGTCCCCTTGATGCATTTGGGTATGTGTTTGCTTCCCAGCTCATAGAGAATCAGCATTTGGGTCGCATTGTCAAAGGAGATGGTATAGTCATAGTATTCAATAACGTGCAGCTGTATCAACCATACGGCATAAATCACGTTGATCTATAAGTCAGCTACAAGACCAAACCTTCAAAGATACTATTTACCAAGTTCCCGAGCTATTCAACGAGCCATAGTCGGTACAGCACAAAGATGCCCATGTCTAAAGAGTCAAGCCAGGGTCAACCCTGAAGCATATGATCCGATAACACCCGAAATCAGTAGCCGAGAGCAACCTCTTTAGAGAAATACACGAGTAGATATAATCAGTCTTTCTATCCCATCGTACCGGCATCAAACGTCTCGCCTGTCCTCTGTCTTACCTTCTTCCTGTCGTACTCTAAAACAATCGCCAAGAACTGCTGCAGAATACATCTTGCAATCCTAGAGGCTTATCGAGGAAAAAGTCAAGAAAACAATGACAGTACCACCACCATCACAACCGACCATCTCAACAGCAACACTAAAATCCCACTCTCCAACTCTCACGAAACTGTTAAAAGCTCGTCCGGCGCCAGTGCGAGAGAGTGCTCTCCTTGCTGCGGCAACATCCCCCACAAAGCCGGTCAAGCCACCAGCGGGAGATTGTTGTGGCAGTAGCTGTGATCCTTGCGTTATGGATCTATATGCGCAGGAGCTGAAGGTGTGGAAAGAGTGTGCAGGGTTGAGAGTCGTGACTGAGGACACCAGTGAAAATGGAGAAGAGCCTGACAGCAAGGGTGAGGATTTGGAAAGGTGTAAAGTCCCTGGTGCTTTCGAGTGGTGATGGCAAGATGAACCATCACCGCTGTTTCAACCAAGCTCAACACTCAAGATGGTATTACTTCAGATTTTACAAGCTGCATTCTGGGACGGCTTCAAGACTTGATTGTCCGACTCAAGGGACACTGGAGCATCACTGGACGTCGACACCCGACAACACAGATGTTATCAACACGGGCACAACATTATCAAGATCACATCTGAAACAAGGTGTATGGTCAAGGATTTATGCAATACGATTATTTCTACCAGCAATGTATGGAGAAAATAGACCACAAGAAGGGTATTGAGGCATGCTTAAACGAGCAAGGAAGAAGAAAGAAGCGAGGGAAGACAACAATACGAAACAGGCAACCATACACCATGTCGTCTCGCTCCTGCGCTTGTATGCATATGTTTTGGGATGGTATACATCCTTTGTTCTGAGCGGTCATACACAGATCCAGTGTTTCTGAACGACGCAGTCGTTTCATGAAGAGCAGATCTGGCTGAATTTTCTGCTGGTCAGAGGTTGAGGGAAGACGCCAGCGTCGATCAGACGGAATGCATCCCACTCGGGCGATGCCTCGGTCTTGAAGTTCCAGAAGATCCAGCCAATGGTGTTGGCCTCGAATGCTTCCATTTGGGCCTCGATGTATCCGCGGGTATCATCCTTCAGAGTCTGGGACCACTGATCGATGTAGTTGATGCTGGCACAAGAACCAACGTAGCTGCTGCCGGGGTATGTACCGTCGTAGCGAGCACCGATGCCGTAGCCATTGAGAGCAGCGGCACAATCAGTCATAGCTGCCGACCACTCGCCAACGAAAGTCCACTTGTCGGCACCTGAGTATTGCTTGGCGTTGTTACAGACATATTGACGGTGCTGCCAAGGCTGCATGGCGACAAGTTCGTCGGTGAAGACCTGATATTCATGGTGGTCAAGAGCGACGTTCTGAGAGTTGTCGTCACTGGGAGTCAACCAGCCGTTGTAAGAGCTAGGAGGTTGGAATCCATCCTGGATAACAACCACGCGAGACTTAGAGACGGTGCGCTGCTGACCGAAACCATTGCGCTCGAATTGCTTGAGGTCGTCCAGATTCATGACCGAGGACAGAGGCTCGTTGAGAAGCTCGATACCAGCGACAACGTCATCGTAGGAGGAATCGGCGTACTTGTTCTGGATAGTCTGGAGGACGGCCAGAGTACGCTGCACGTTGTCTCCTTGCTGGAAGTCGATGTTGTTTGTACGGTGACCAGAGTTGTCGAAGCCATTCTGAGAGCCAGGAGCACCGTGCAAATCAACAATGACCTTCAGTCCAGTCTGTCTTGCCCACTCAATGGCTTGATCCATGTAGGGAGCTGCTCCGGAAACGTAAGGGCTGTTGGCGTTGTCGTATGCCCAGTAACCAATAGGAATACGCACGACGTTGAAACCCGAGTTTGCGATCTTCTGGAAATCGGCAAGTTGCACCCAGGAATCCCAGTGAGGCTTCAAGACATTGTATGCAGCATCTTGGCCGAGGCTCTGGCCAAGGGTGTATTCATCGACGATGCCTTGCGACATGGGATAGGCCTGAAAGATTGAGGGAGTGATCCACCTACACATATTAGAACGATGCTATGAGGCTTTGACTAAGCTCGACTTACGGCTCGAGGACCAGCCATCCACCGATATTCACTCCACGCATGACCTCGTGGCCCCAGTTGAAGCCATTGGCACGCTTGCTGCTACAATCATGTGATCAGCTCAAATCCATATCGTTTCATTTCGAGTCTTCTTACTGAGGTGCAGCGAGTGCAGTGGCTACCGCACTCAAGACGGCAACTGTGTGTTTGAAGAACATGATGTGCTAGGTATGTCGAGATAATGTTCCGGTACCGGATTTGATGGCCGCCAATGACCAGAGAACACCTTGGGAGTATTCACAGGATAGCTATATGGAAAGCTGTTTGATTGGCAATGCTAGGTTCGGATGTTGTTGCTAGGTAAATCGAATGGAATGTTGACTGAAAACGGAATGCTCAGAGAGATGAAGGTACTTGTCCAGCAGAGGAATGTTGGTAGAGAAGCTTTAATTGCACAGCAATACGAGACCAGAGCTCGGCGTGTATCTGACCAGCGAGAGATGTAAAAGAGGTTGGATTGAGTTGTAAGACGGAAGAGAAGCAGTCTTAGCAGGAGCAAGGACAAGATAAAACTCTTTGGTCAATGGCCAAGGCTCAGACAGACACAGGGGTTACCTAGTAACTTATGTCAAGTCGGCCGGTTTTCTTGAGGCAGGAGCGTTGCAGCGTCTGCCGAGGCGATTGGCGCCAGAACCATCACCGTCTTCGCTGCACCTGCCCGTGCTGTGCATGTGGCAGGGCGTGCGTGTGTCAGCATCATGAAAAATAAACCATGTCTGACGACACGGCAGCCTTTCTCCTGTACTTGCGACGTCCTGTTTGGCTCCATCACAGATGCCCGTTCCAATCAGTTCCAGGGGAATTAAAGGCTTGTTTCCTTAGCGTGCCAGGAACAGGCAAGTCTCAGAGCACAGACATCACGGGGCGAGTCCCCAGCGAAGATCAAGACGATCTTCTGGCCACCTGATAGCTATCATGTGAATACCATGACAAGCACACCGACCAGTATTACAATTACTGCAACGGCTATCGTGAGATTCAGTTTCCCTTCGTCCTTGTTGACCGCAAGTATAAAGCATTTCACTTTGCATTCAAGGCCACCTGTCGTCATAAAAAAGCCTTTAAAGGGTCACACGGTTGTCAAGTCTGGCTCATGCAAGTCTGCGGCGTCCGTTCGTTTTGTCCCTTGCGCCGCAACCGTGGCCATTGCTCAAACTCTCTAGTCGGCACATTATTCACCCTCTCCTTAATCCTCCTAGATCCAGAACCGCACATCCGATCCTACAGGCTACAACACTTTATGAGTGGGGTCCGCTTACAAAAAGTAGGCACCGTTCAAGAGCGGCCGACTTGCGATGGTTTCTTTTGTCCTTTGTTTTGTTGTCTGCCGGGGAACGCGTGTGCTCAGCCACTTACATATTTCCGCTTCTGCATCACCAACTGGAGTCCTCCCCCTTTGTATGACGATCGCTGGTGGATACTTCTGCCGCTTTGCACAACGGGTGCTGTGCTCCGCGCACGATATAGTGATGGGTCTAGTTCGGGGAAGCCTCCTACCGTTTGAACGCGTAGCTGTCATCTTTACCATGAGTTCTCAACGAGTCGCACTCACTGGCCTCACCTATGTTCGAGCGGGTGGCAAAGCGATGTAGAGCAAACAATAGTCTGTGGCTCAGTAATTCCGTTGTATGCAACAATCTTTTTAAAAATAGATGATGCAGGACAGTTGGATTATACATTGCAGGATCGCCATGGAAATGGGAAGTACACGTCTTTGTATCATATTTTGGTGTTGGATCGTGCGCATGAACCACTTGCGCCAAGTTGAGGCTCAATGTCAGCAATAAGCAATATTTGCTGACACTAACATCATCAAGACTGTGATACAACGACGGATTTCGACCTGAAGATTAAGTATCAGTGTTCTTTTCTACTCTCAAATGGGGCACTGAGTATTCATCTTGATGACTCAGAATCAATACGTACACACCGTAGGAAAGATCGACTAGCACCAGGGACCTCCTTCAAGGACAGCTACTGGAAATGGTTTGACTATCGGATGCCGCAGTATGCGAAAATTTTTGTAGTGATTGTTGATGGACACCTTGCACGAAGGTCACCCTCCATCGACATCACGATTATGATTGCCAGGTGCAGAAGAAATGACAGCCACGCAAAAAAGGTCTTCACTTGAGCAGCTGACTGCATAGACCTAAATCTCTGTTCACCGGCTATGTTCCATCCTGCCTGTTTTTCAATTCACACCACTATGGCGATACTAATACCATGTTCTCCGTCAAAGCCAAAATCCATCGTCCTCACGCACGCTTTCAACGGCCTTGCACAAAGAGACATTGACATCGAGACGATGTCTGAAATTGGTCTCGTGTATCAGCAAGCTGCTGAGACTCTCATCACACAATGAAGCGCCGGTTGCGGAAATGCAAAGTGATAGTTTTTGCTATTGTCGTCAAAAGAATACTATGTCGCCGGATCCGGTATCGACATGATCAATTTCACAAAAGGGCAATAACTTGCAATTCTTATTGTCCTGACAAGGTAGATGCACAGGTAACCAAAGCTCTGTCTCTTCAACTCTCTGTCCACGCCCATCTGTTCCAGTTTAACACTCTGCACCCCTTTCCTGCTTACATTACACACACCTCTATCCATTACCAGTAACCTCTCAACAATGCCTCCCAAGCAGGTCAAGAAGGTCGACAAGGACGGCAAAGCACCACCTAAGCCTGTATCTCCTGCTAAGGATGGCAGTAAGAAGACTGCAACCGAACCAGCCAAATCTCCCAGTCCTGCTAAACCAGCTACTTCACCAACCGGCGACAAAAGAAAGCGTGGTGATGGAGAAGATGACGACGATGAAGAAGAAGACAGCCGCTCTCCACCAAGATCCAGAAGACCCAAGAAACCAAAACTCTCGCCCAAGACTGGGAGGAAAGTAAAGATGGAGGCGTACCTCAGAGACCGTATCAAAGACCTGCGCTTCAACGTCGAGCCCGTCGAGGGCCATGAGCCCGACGATGAAGACGAAGACGAGCCCAATGAGGACTGGGCTTCCATGACCCGTCTGCGTCAACGCTGCGATGACCGCCTTGACGAGATAGAAGAGGCTATTCGTACACTCGGCAACGAAAAACTCATCAAGTATACAAAACGCAAACCGCCCATTCCGCTGCTTGATATCCCAGAGCACAAGAGCGAGCAGACACGTCATGAAAAGCGACAGAAGAACAAGGAAATCAAAGACAATGAGGAGATTGATCCGATCGCAGAAAAGAACCATGTGAAGGTATGTGTCTCCGTTCATTGCAGGTGAACTTCTGCATCATGACAGCTGCAGAGTCTATGCCCTAGCCTCCAACAGAGTGCCATCGTTACAAACGGGAATGTTGCTGACTTGCGCGAACGTAGAAATCCAAAAAGTTCCCAGGTGGTATAAAATACGCATCAGCAAAGCTACTCGGAGATATTGTAAAGATACTGGAGAGGGAGTTTGGAGAGGAACTGGCCAGAAGAAGAGTTCAGCACCCTCATGACGTGAGTCTTGCAAAACATCCATCCAAACGCGTCAGAAAGGCAAAAGCGGCAGCAGAAGCCAGAGGAGAATCCCCCAAGTTGACCAGAAGTCTTGAAAAACAGTGGACCAATCACGGGCTCAACCTTCGGGAGCTGATGGACCTTTACAATCGTCATGGTTCGGTTGCCCCTGCACCTGCTCGGGATGACCTCGTTCAGAAATGCCAACAGTACGGCCTCAGCACTTCAGGAGATCTCTGGAATCTGGAAAGGTCTATACTCATGTACGAGTTGTCAGGCAAACAACGCATGTATGGACTGCCGCAGGAAGCCATCAAGGATATCATTTCTGCTCTTGGCGACATCAAGGCCCCAGGCGATACTGAGGCAGCCAAGGACGACGGTGGTGACGATAGTGACGATGCTACCGGTCCGTTTGATGACCTCAAGGCTGATGGAAAAGGCAAAGACATGTCAAAGGATGGCAAGAGCGGCAGCAAAGACGCCACTGCCTCTTCCAAGGATGGCAAGAAGAGTGGTAAAGAAACTGGAACATCACCGACCAAAGATGGATCGAAGGACGGCAAAAAGGACGACAAGAAGGCTGGCAAGAAAGGTGGCAAGAAGGATGACAAGCAAGACGGCAAAAAGGACGACAAGAACTTGCGAATGAAGAAAACAAGATCGAACAAAACAATCGATCTGTTCGGTGAAGATACCAGGCTCAAGGTCCAGAAGGAGATCACAATCACAGATGGTGGTCAAGCCCAAAGATTCACCCAGGTGAACGTCTCTGGAACTGCAGATCGTTGCATGTGGAACGCCGTTCAACTCAACTGGATCGGAAGAGAAAGAGCACCAGGTAGACGTGTCGCAGATCAATATCCCGTCAACGACCGAGTGCGCGATCTCTGGAACGCAGTTATGCATCCTTCGGAGGGCACCACAAATCCGGCACGCCAGTCAAGACTCAGACTTTACACGCTCTTGCAGGCTGGAAGCCTCGACCGTGATGATACAAGACTAGAGCACCGTATCAACAACCGGCGAATGGGTACGTTTCTGAACAAGCCGTATGATTATGTTCGCACTGACACTGAGTACAGGTGATTCTGATATGGCCCAAGTGATCGCCGACGCATTGGACATCGAGATCTTCATGTACGCTCCTCTGCACAGTTCTGATGGTATCACATGGGAAAGAACTGTGAGAGGTCAGCCACAGAACGATAGCGCACGCCAGATTCATATTGCAAACTACACACATGCAGTACATTGGACGGCATTGACACCAATTGGACCCGGGCCCGTCACTTTGCCCGCTCTGGGAGAAATGCATAGGCACCCGATTCCGGGCAGTGATGTACCTATCCCAGCACTCACGCGTCTTCAGCCGGGAGACGAGGATAACACTGATCTCCGAGATGAGGATCTGCACGACAGCCCTGAGGATGGACATATCGCAGACACAACTGAGACTGCAGAAGAGGAGGAAGAAAAAGATGATGATGATGATGACGATGCAGAGGATGAAGACATGGACGAGGAAGAAGATGCCGATCGCGACGGCGGTGTACTTCCACCTCCAGCTGCAGGAGCCGCTACCACCACTGCTTCAAGTTCTGCTGCCAGAAGACTATCACCATCAGCATCGCACTCCTCTCGCGGCTCGTCCGCACCAGCAGCTACAGGTCGTGGTTCTCACAGCACGTCAGCGTCCCAGAAGCGAGCAAGAAGGCGAGCTCGATCGAGGTCAAAGAGCAAATCACGCAGCACGTCTCAGCCCAGAGGTGTGCAGAAGAACGTTCAAAAGATCCAGCCATTGAGCAAGAAAGCACTCAAGAACAAGAAAAAGGCGCTTCTCAAGACTTTCCAGAACTTCTATGTCGCAATGCCTAGTCCTCAGAACATGGCAGGTGCCATTCGCTCTCCATACCTACATTTAGTCGTGGCTTCCGTTTAGACACATGAAGGGTTACCTTGGAGAATAATGGGGTTTTTATTATCAGAGAAGGTGTTCTTTCCTTCAAAGACTACTGATTCCTTGTACTTTCCTTTTCCTGTTGGCAGATTTAGAATTTGCGGATTGTGGCAGATTTGGAAAATGGCTTCTGAATAGATTTCTTATACCATTCATCAGTTTTACTTGCCAATATAAGACTTTCTCTTACATCGAAGAATAGTGCTCTTACTGTAGGCAGCTATGGCTGATGGTCGGGTTGCTGTCTTTTGAATCTTGCGAGCGCATCGCGCCTGGAAGTCAATAGGAGGAACATAATGCCGCTAATGCTACAGTTTGGAACAAATATGCCAGATTCTTCTTGTGTAGAAAAGTACTAAGAGTTGTTGTATTGATGTCGGGGTTTTGTAGGAGGTCGTTGAGTCAGAATAATTCAGGCTTTTTTTCGGAGTTGGATATATACCAAGCAATGGGACTCAAACTCCCGGTCTATAAATCTATAATTAAAATCAAGTAACTAAAGAACACCTCAGTCCTCGTGTACTGGAGCGAACTTTGACATCTTCCTAAGCTTCAATCCATACTTCATGAAGATAAAAGGCACAGGCAACGCTAATGCGGCGACTCCACCAAGGATGCTCATCGCTGGTCCAACCCCCAGATTGTTGAACATCGGCCTAGCAGCGAGTGGAAGGCCTCCTGCGATAATGCTGCGCAGGAATGTGTTGGCCGAGACTGCCGACGCCGCGTAAAGCAAATACGTATCCACAAGGAAGTTGATGCATTGCTGGAAAATGATGTTGAAGCCTGCTCCTATGAAAGCCGCTGCAACGACGCAAGAGGGCCACGGGATTGATGGATCAGAAGTCCAGCCGAACCAGAATAAGCCGATGGTAAATAGAACACCGCCTATGCTCATCGGCAGCAGCCGGGCCTCTGGTACCTGTGATGGGATGTAATTAGCATATTGTTCTAATGAGCATGTTATAAGTAGCGTAGCCGGAGAAATGAATAGACAATAAGGCAAATTTCAACTTACAGGTCTGCCCCCATTGGCGTCAACGGCACGAGCGTACCTCGGCTGGTTGGCCAGATTGATCAGAACAGCGAAAAGCACACCCACGAAAAGGGAGAGGAACGGCAGTGTGCTTGTGATCAAAGGCCACCCTCTGTTCTGCTCGAACACGATAGGAAATACCTCGAGGGTCATGTACAGAATTCCATACACGAACGACGCATAGAAGGCAATACAGGTGACCATCGGTTCCGTCGTGAGCATGATAATAGGTCTTGCCAGGTGCTTCGTAACCACTGATTTGACATCCAGCTTGACATCCTCGTGAGGATGGTGCCATCGTGAATCGCCAGTCTCCTTTCGTAGACGCTGCGCCTTTTTCTTCAAAAGGACGGGAGAGTATGTCTCTGGTAGGCAGAAGAAGCCGAGCACGGTGACGGCGAAAACCCAGATGGCGAGAATATACGACGGCCATCTGAAACCAATGGTGACAGTAAGTGCACTACCAATAATTGGTCCGACTGTAGGACCGCCGACCACAGCTACAGCGTAGAAAGTTACAGCCGTGCCGCGTGGTTTGGCAGAATACATGTCGCCGAGGGCGGCGCTGACGTTCGAAACGGGAGCGGATCCAAACACGCCCGAGAAGAAACGACAGATCATAATAGTCTGAGCGTTCTTGCCAACAGCGGTGCCTATGCTGAAGAGACCGAGTGCGACCATTGCGGGCAACATACTGATTCTACGACCCCAGACTTCTGACGTGGGGGCCCAGATGAGAGGGCCTACAGCAAAACCGATGATGTAAAGGGAAATGACCAAGACTGCGACCTCTCCAGAAATGCCAGTGTATTCTGCAATTTGTTCTTCGGCGGGTGAAATGATAGATGAACCAAGACTGGCGGCCAAGGCGAGCATGCCGAGGACGAAAGTAATGAAGGCCTTGTATCCAGATGACCAGTTCATTGGATAATTCTCCTCGCCTGGATCCCATCCTACAAGAAAAGGATCACCTTCTGCCTTTTCTTTGGCTATCTCTGCGGCTTCCACATCTCGTGGTGGTTGTTGGTGTTGTTGTGGGGATGATGTTGACGCGATGTCGTCACTCGATTTTTCCTTTGGCAGAGAGTTCGACGACGACGGTGATAATGATCGTGTCATTCTGTCAATGTGGACAGAGTCTTGTGTAGCAGTATATCTAGAGGCGATAGAATCAAGAAAGCATGTTGGATGTCGCTATTAAAGAAGTTTTGTCTTCAACAGTGGATGAATCGGCTCACACGGCAAGATTCTGCATTGCCGTCCTTCTTTGCCTGCCAGATAATATCTCGGACATAACGGAAAGCCGAACTGCAATTGACCAACGATGGACGAGTACAAATCGATTTTTCCATCAGTGACGCTTGATGAGATAGAAATGACTTCTCTGAAATATCTTCGAGCCCAGCAAGAGAAGGCGCAAGACGAAGTGTGCCGTTTCCCCATCCTTGCACTTGTGGCATGGCGCCTCACGCGAGTCGCTTTCGGACCATGACTCCACTCCAAATGCTTGACACTCTTGGCGTTCGCAAACGATGACGATGATATCCATCAAAGTATTTGTAGCTTCAAATCCACCATCTTTTCTGTTTATATGCATACCACACTTGTTTATCTTCTGTGTCTTGCAACTCTATTCACAGCCATATTTGGTTCTACTCACAATCAACACCATACACGAAAAATGTCGCGATCATTGAATGGTAGGTCAAACTACACTAACAGTTTTCACTATACAAGCACTCACTAGTCCCAGTCCTGTCGAAGCCTTTGGCTATCCACTCGACCAGTCCCATGACCGGCTATTTGAGGAACGGGTACTGTGAGGTGCCCGCCTCGGATGCCGGCAACCATTCTGTTGCCGCAGAGGTGTCGGATGAGTTCTTAAAGTTCTCGGCCGATCGCGGAAACGATCTCCGCCAGATTGGACTCAAGGGAGGCTGCAAATGGTGTCTTTGCGTATCTCGCTGGAAGGAGGCATTTGATGCCAGAGGCAAGGAGGGTGACAAGATTGTTCCCAAGTATTTTGAGACCAATCTGGCTCATGACTATATTGCTGACTGCAAGCAGGATCTTCCTCAATGCCACGAACGAGAAAGCACTGGACAAGGTAACGCTAGACGACCTCAAGAAGTTTGCCGTCGACAAGGAGTAAGCGGACGACAGGGCTGGTGCCATGAATTGATGATGAATGAGAATTGTTCTCCTTGCCTACAGCGCGTCTCTATTCCTCTTTGTGCTAAAGTCTGCAACTTGTATCCTTAGAGCCGATACTCATATGGCCTCCTCCTAAATACTAGTTCGTTTCTCGAGATCGTTGTGTACTTTCATGGCTACAGGCGCACGAGACATCAGTCATGGCGAGCCTCGGTCGGTCGATCTGCTGAGCGTAACAAGGATTATAGTTCCAGGTGGTTTCGCAAAGGTCCGAGTCTTGTTGGCGAACAGACATTTCATGTATCTCATAGTGCGTCAACCGAAGGAGGCGACCAAGCTCTTGGAGTTTTGGTCCGGTCATAGATATTTTTCTGCATGCGCAAGTTTCCTAAATGTGGCAGCCGGTAGGTGATACCGAGATTGAGGGCGAGGCTCAATGCTATGGCATATGTATGGCAGCAGGAGTGCGGTTGGAGTGGAGAGAGTGAGTTGGCAGCGAGACAGGCGGGATTATTCGGTATTGCGGCCGTCGGAGACGGTTTGAAGCTTGCGGTATTCCTTTTCCAGTTGAGCTTGCATGTCGAAGTCGAGTTGGCGCTCCCTCTTTATTCTTTGCTGTTCCATGTCGCGAAGGACGCCTGCGTGCATTGCCTGAATTGAGTCAGAAAAGAAAACCAAAGTAAGGGTGGGAAGAGGGAGTGACTGACAGCTTTCTCAACCTTCTGGCCGTGGTGGACGAAGACGATGATGCCGATAGCACCGAGCGACGTGGCAGCCAGAGTCAGCTTTGCTTTTGTCGACATGGTGAGGTCGATCCAGGATTGACGAAGGCGAGCCAAGTTTTGGGCTTTGCAGGAGGAAAGAGCGAATCTCAGTCGCATACTCTCGAATGGAAGCTGCGCTTGGGCCCCACGACTTGGCGGCTATCATCAACATCCACCTGTCGGCCAGCAACCACTGCATCTCCAGAAGTTGTCGTCACATAACCTACAATTCACCATGGTACGTCGCCTTGATCAAAAGCTGCTTGAAAGCGTCAATTCACATGCTAACGTCTGTCCCAGTCTGCACAAAACTCGGCTGGTATCCAAACGCTGCTCGACGTACGCTGAATCCGTCAACCACCTCTACCAATACCCCTACTTACTTACACCCACAGGCTGAGCGCGAGGCCCAGAAGATTGTCCAGCAAGGCAAGCTCTGTCACTTTCTCTGATTTTTGTCTATATACTAACCATTTCGCAGCTAGAGAGTGTAATTAGCCCACCCATGTCCTGTAGCCACCCTCCCATCTGACCACTTCCTGCAATAGACCGCACCAAGCGTGTAAAGGACGCTCGCTCCGAGGCTCAGAAGGAAATCGACGAGTACCGCAACAAGAAGGAGGAAGAGTTCAAGCAATTCTCAACACAGGTCCGTCCCGAACACGCCTTCGTATCATCTGCGCAATCTGACCCCTCGCCTATAGCACACCAGCGGCAACGAGCAGGCCGAGAAGGACGCCACCAAGGACACAGACGAGAAGCTGCAGGAGATCAAGAGCATTGGCGACAAGGAGGGCCCCACCGTCATCGAGAACCTGCTACGCGCCGTCACCGATGTCAAGCCCCAGGTTCCTGACAGAACCGAGCAGCCCGTCGCATGATCTGCCTGATCTCTGTTGTCCCCGCCTATAATCACATCTTCTGCCTCCTCCTGTCTTTTGCATTTCCTCGCTGTAGATATCCTCTTTCGAATTATAGATTGACCTTCATCTGACGAGCCTCTTCACACCACTCTACCCACCATCTGCACATTAAACACCTGCCAGTCACATCAGAGTCCTTTCTCACCGCTTGACTTCTGCTTGATCGCCGAATGGTCTCCAAAGCACTTTTGTCAAGCGCACCAAGTCATGCTCGACCAAGATGCTCGTGATTGATTCTGACGTCATATGATTTCTGGGGTTACACTTTCCTATCACATCTGTTTACCTTTTCCATCCACCAAACTGATCAGTTGTGCAATGAGCCTCCGGCTGTCAACCAGGCAGCTTTGTCGTCCAACCTATCGACCTGTGTTTTCCTCAGCAAGTAGTAGACTTGCGCAGTTCAGTCATGCTTCGGTGATACGACAGGAAAAGGCTGAAGATCCTCGCCTCAAGGAGGAAGCCGGTGACTTGGTCATAGAAGATCAATATGCAATCCTTCGTGACAAGTATGGTATGTTACAAGTGCTTCAGCATGTGATTCTTTAGTCCTGACGAAGGAGAAAGACACACCCAAGAATCCAATCATTCTAGCTCATGGACTCCTTGGATTCGAAGAACTCAACATTGTGCCCAAAGCAGTTGCGCCTGGCATACAGTACTGGAGAGGTATCCGTGAGGCACTAGCTGCGAAAGGCATCGAAGTCATTACCGCAACTGTACCGCCATCTGGATCCATCGAAGCACGTGCTCAGAAGTTGAGTGAGGATATACATGCCAAAGCGAAAGGAAAGAGTGTGAATATCATTGCACACAGCATGGTCAGATTGAGATGTAGCTTTAACATGATTCTCTGCTGACTCATTGCTAGGGGTAAATTACAACATGACCAGATCGTTGATTAAGACTGACAAGACATACTCCTTAGCGGCCTGGACTCTCGATACATGATCAGTCAACTAAAACCGCCAAACGTCAAGGTGCTCTCATTGACGACAATTGCAACACCCCATCGAGGTACAATCGACTCGTACATTTGATGGCTACGCATCATATGCTAATCTGTCTTGTGAAGGCTCCTCATTCGCAGATGTCATGTTCTCCTGGATCGGACGTACGTTCCTCTCACCTCCCAAGTTGCATTTGATTCGCTGACAAATGCATCCTGCACACAGCAACCAATATCCCCAAACTCTACAAAATGCTCGAATTCTTCGGCTTCGAGACCGGTGCCTTCAGCCAACTAACCCAAAAATACATGCAAGAGAACTTTAACCCCAAAACACCCGATCGTGAGGGTATTGCCTATTACTCGTACGGTGCCACGGTAAACCCAAGATTCTGGAGCATGTTTCGCCAGAGCCACAGGATCATACAGAAGCTAGAGGGTGATAATGATGGGCTTGTGAGTGTGTCAAGTTCCAAGTGGGGAACTTATAAAGGCACGTTGAAGGATGTTAGTCATTTGGACATGATCAACTGGACGAATAGGCTAAGATGGTTTCTGTGGGAGCTGACTGGAAATAAAAGAAAGTATGTTCTCTCGTTCATCTTGGAGTATCTGGAAAACTAACACTTCTGATCACAGTTTCAACGCCATTGCCTTCTACTTGGACATTGCTGGTTAGTATTCCTCAAGATGTCAAACACTTGGTAGATCTGAACATACTGACTTTGGACAGATATGTTGGCGAAAGAAGGATTGTAACTTGGTACCCGTAGCTCATGAATTGCCATACATACAACCTCCATATACGCAACTCTCCATTCGTATGCTTATGAGTCCTCAAAATTGGAGAGACACTCGAAACGTGCAAAGAAGCAGAGCGTTTTGTAATACAAGAGTATCAATCAGCGGGAAAGACTCTACAGATCTGCAAATATAGACAATACATCCTTTTTCCTCCTTCCTTTTCCTGACCCAAGAACAAGTAAACAATATATACACTTAACACTACAGTAATGATTTCTTGCGTGCGTTTGTCAATCAAGCAACATTTTCTCCTGCACTCTGTTCGTGCAATCCCTTCTTTTCAGAAGGCATGAACCAGCCATACCTTCGCTATCTGCTTTGCGATCACTCATACTGAGCAGCCCAACTGGCCCAGAGTTTTGTCGGACTCTCGGCGCCGAAGAGGGGGCTGGTCTCAGGGGAGTCGGCGGAATATCCGTTGCTTCTGGATGCGCCGTTGCCGGTGTCAATCTGCAGGCTTCTCATGCTTTGTGTATCTGACACAACGGGGGCGGGTACGAGATATTCACTGGCAGGGCCAATGGTGATGTTTTTGGTAGCGGGAGAGGAAGTCAGCGAGGACAGGAAAGCGGCGCGGGATGTGGTTGCGAATGTTGAGAGGTGGGTGGAAGTGTCGAGGTAGATGAAAGGCAAGGTCGAGGGGTGTGATGGGGTCTCTGTGGTGGTGTTGGAGAAGAGAGGGAGAAGGTTGCGGAGCAGAGCGTGTAACGGGAGCACGGATGCCTAGTTCCGCATGTTAGCTGGGGTGTCAATTGCACGGTGATCGAGAACAAATTCACCTTCCAGATGGCCTCGATCTCGTCTGTGTCAATGGTCAAGACATCTTTCTCCTTCTCTTGCTCTTCCTCTTCTGGCACTTCATCCCATTCGCAGACCAGAGCACCCAACACCTTCTGCCTCCTGGCACCTATATCTCTGACTGCCGTCTCCAAGCTTTTTGCACCTTCTGTCAAGGACATTGAAACTTGGACATCACTCCTCATTCTTCCAGCCAGGGTATAGATTTCGGTGCGCAGGTTCTTGAGTACAACATCACGACGACCAATCAAGTGTACGGCAGCAATGCGATGAGTAGAGAGAAGAATCGAGAGGTGTTGGGATAGCGCGGGCGATGCGACATTGGGTACGTAAAGGATGATGCTGTTGCCAGAGGGGTTGGTAGGAATGTTCGAATTGGCTGAAGACAACCTGTTAAGCATTGGGGCCGAGGTCGACGAGGCAGGGCTGCCAGTGCGGATGCCCGAAGGCACGCCCGTCGTGTTTGACGCTCCGCGGTAGTTGAGATATGTAGGTTTCGTCGAGGTCGGATTCATGGCTGCAATATGGCTGTCGTTACAAAAGTATCATACAAGCGGAAAGTGCAATGGGCAACAAGAACAAAACAAAGGCCCGGAAGAGAGAAACGAATGTAGACGCGACGGATGCCACTATATGTACAAGAAATTGAAGGAGGAGAATTAAATGCGAGACACTCCACTCCGCTTGTTCGCGTGTCACCAGCCCGTCGCCGTCGCCGCCGCCGTCGCCGCTTCGAGACCCTCGTTTGTGGGGTCGACAACCAAATCCTCCGAATGTCACCCTGAAACTCTACTTGTATCATCAACTCACTCGTCTTCTGGCTGCAACTTTTCTGCATTGCTACTGTCTATCTTCCAGTCCACGACAAGAGCTGCAGCCTTGAGCTCTTCCAGGCTTACTTGCTGCATTATAGCTTCCACTCTCTCGTCTCTGCTTGGCCGCCAATCTGTTCAGCATGACCATTTCGTGCTCGCTTTCATCTCTCCTCTTTCCTCTGCCTTCTCTGCTCTAGCCTGCCCTGCCCTTGTCATTACGCGCCCCAACCTAGTAACCAGCTCTTCCAGACCCTCTGTGAGCTGCATCTAACATGAATCAAATGAAATTTCGTCTCTCCTTTCGTGTCGTTCTGGTGATATGTAAAAAGCCGAATTTTACCACATTGGCAATGGCGCACTTTGTCGAGCCACTGGATCCCCGCTGCCTGTCAATTTCGTGAGTGCACTGCCTTCTACCACTCAAACTCTCCTTGAGCCTTGTGGAAGAGGTACCTGCAACACCTTGTCAGTAATTGTTCAAACACGCTTGTGCCATCATAATATCTTACTCCTTGCCGTTGGCCGACATGATACCATCCTTGAGGGTGCACTTCCACTTGTTCTTGACACGCTGCACCTTGTCGTACGTGCAAAGGACATGATCAATCTCCTCGTCCTCCTCGTCAGCGTTGTTGCCAGCTTCATCGCTCGACGAGTCAAGATCTGAATTGATGGCATCCTCGTCCTCTTCGTCCACATCGCCGTCCAGTTGGGGGATGCTGGCCAAGCGCGAGACATTGTTTGTGCGGCCTCTACGTGCAGATACATGCTTTGTGTGACGGCGGTGTTCTTTTTGGTCGTCCAGAGGAAGCAACAATCCGTTTTCAAGCTTGTGCTGCAGGTCTTCGATTTGACGTCTCATCATACGATCGTTCTCATGCTCTTGAGCCGAGCTGACTCTGCGTCTCTCGGTTATGTATCTCTTCCACTCGTCAAGTGCAGCTTCGTCTGAGCCATCTGTCTGCGAGTAGTTGACGCCAGGTTGCTGAGGATATTGGCCATTGCCTTCGACCTTGACTTGGGGCTGCTGGTGAGCAGTCTGTTGGCGCATTTGCTGAGCATACTGAGCTTGCATCTGGCGTTGCTGTTGGGCCTGTGCTGGCTGCGCGGTAGTCTGTCCAGCTTGTGCGGGCAACTGCAAGCCCTGCGGTCTCTGTTGCTGCTGCTGCTGCTGCTGTTGTTGTGACTGTTGTTGGGGTGGAGCGTTCTGAATACCTCCGGGAAGAGCGATGCCCCTCTGTTGCATGGCGTTGAGTGACGCGTTGGCTTGTTGACCGAACTGCTGCTGGAGCAAGGATGCAGCACGTTGCTGTGCCATCATCTGGTTGTTGACCTGTTGAGGGTATGCTTGCTGAGCAGGAGGATAGTTGTGCATAGGCTGAGCATTCGAGCCCGATTCAGCTTTGGGCTGCGCATGTCCATTCTGAGGGGCTTGGTGCTGGACAGGAGCTCCGTTCTGCACAGGCAATGGTGTAGGGGTAGGTTGTTGTGCTTGCTGCTGTTGAGCGGGTTGTTGAGGCGGAGGTGGAGCCGGCTTAGGATCCCAAGGCATCTGCGCAACATCGCGCTGCGACATCTTGTGCTGCCATGACTATTGGGCATGTATTAGTACAAGCATGTAGAAAAATAAGACCATATCAGCTGATTAGAGATATGGTCCGGCGAAGCTTCGGAACTCTGAACGCTCAGACCAAGCAGTATAAAACTGGGGTCAGAGAAAGCACGTCTCTGAGCCTTAAGCCCCGCTTCCGCCGCTCCTTTGTTTGTCGCCTGCGCTTCAGCTTCGCAGGCAGCAGCCAGTCGAGTAATACGACTGAACAGACTTGCTAACAAAACAACAAAACAATGTTGAGTGCGATCGAGTGACACGACAAGATAAAATCAAAGGGATGAAGAAAGGTATGAGAGTGTAAGGGAAAAAGACATGACCAACCTGTTGCAGTTCTACCAAGGTCTGCTGCTGAACACCATTCTCTTCGAAGTCGTTCTGCGAAGCGTTGATGACTTCTTGAATGATCTTCTCGTAGATCTCGCCCTGCAAACGTGTCAGTACAGTTCTTTGGCATCGCCGCCGCTGCCGACGTGCAAGTTGCCGCCGAACGAGGGGTTCACAAACAGTGATGATATTCGACATGACAACGATCACTTCCGAGACTGCCTCTTGTCGTCTTTGCACTTGAGAACTTGTGCCCGCGATGCTGCAATGCTGAGGAGTGGATGCGCAGTGAGGGGCGATGGGTTGTGGTCGTGCGACACTGATTGAGGAAATGCGCGGGCGAATGTAGGTCACCCCTGGATGCGCACTCTTTACTACTTTTGTTGGTGTGCGTCCAAATGCGGTGACTTCTGGACACTTCCTGAATGCGATCCGGCACGATGAGAGGTTTGTTGACTATTGCTCGGTGATGGCCGTATTGCGTGGTCAGCAGGCAAGTTGGATGTCGCCGCACGAAGTTCAACCCCTTCGATGCGGCTAAAGTCCGTGCTTGCCGACGTTCAACCGCCACTCTCTTTTGTTCTGTCTTGACTTCAAAGCGTCTCCTCACCTCAAGTGACACTGTGGAAAGTCAAGAGGCGTATATGAATGGATACTTAAAAGGCGTTATTGTAAAAGTTTGTGCGAAATTGCTTAGGACGTGCCCGTGCTATTGTCCTAAAGTGACTGACTGCACCTGACAGTCGCGACTTCTGCAATGGTTCTTATTGAGAGCTTTCGGTGAAGCTGTCTCCATTTGTCACAACTCACCATCACCAATTCCCTTCTGATTCATTATTTCTCTTTTTATTGTTCCCTTCTCTTTGCTACATTCTCGTGCGACAACCGCTGTGCACCTTGGGACTCTGCTGGCAACTTCTCTGCGGGCCGCCTCGAGAGCCTCACTCTGCCTCTCACTTTATCACGTCAATATATTTATACAAACACACGGATAATTAACACGCTACCACGATCTCGCCCCTCTCACCTACCAACCAGCACACATAGGAAGCAATCAGCATGTCAGATGAATTGACTCTCGCAGGCGTTCCAGCCCGTGAAGATTGTCCAAGCTGCCCGGAAAACGGAGAGCGTTGCGCTCTACATAAGAGCATGTATCTTCGTGCCTTGGAAAGACAACAGGAGTCAATCACCGTGGATCAGGTTCAACAAGCATATCACCTCAGGCCTGATGGACATAACGAACAGCAGGTCAGCGAGCAGACCAAAACGTCAAAGACTCAGGCTCAGGAGGAGAATCGGTTAAAGACTCAGGAGGGTCAGATGATCAAGGTAAGTCCTCACGGATTCTCCTCTTTCTCTCCACGGCCGTCATCCTCACGTGTTGAACATTTGTTCAATCGATACTTACTGTTCGCAGGCTTTAAAGAGGATGAACTTTGAGGAAAGTAGAAGACATCACGATCTTACTCAAAAGCAGAAGAAGCGCGCCAGAAGACGTGAAAAGGCTGCTCTGCAAATTTCTGACCCGATCAAGATTGCCGAAAAACAAGAAAAAGCTGCCCGACGTGCTGCCAACCCAGAGAGGATTGCAAAGCTGGAAGCTCACAAACAGAAAGTAGCCGAGAACAAGGCTCGGACTCAAGCTAGACGCGTCCGCCAAATGGAACAGCACAAACAGCACGGCAAAAGCAGCGTTCTCATGGACGACATTGCCGAAGCAAATGAGGCCTTGGAGCATGCAACGACCTACGTTAGAGAAAATGACTATGTTTCAAGTGGCCCGGTTATCAGAACCAGGGGTCAAATCGCCGCTCGCGAATGTCATGAGAAGATCCAAAGCCTTGTCTTGATGCATAGCATGCCTGAGGAGACCGGCACAGACGCCTTCTTAACCCGCGCAGACTCTCTGATTGACCAGACGCTTGCATCGTCCAGCTCCGCCCTATCGCCAACCGATCGAAAGAATCTCGAAGAAGCACTGAGCCTCGTCCGCACTGTACAGTTGCTTTCGAGCAAAGACTACCGCCCTCAGCGAATCAGTACCGGCGATGAATGGGCCGATCGTGCCATCCGTGGTATGCCGATCAAACAGGAACACACATCTGAAAGCAGTCTCAACGCCCAAGAGAATGGTCTAGGATTCAACGGTCGTCTTAGGGGTGGAGCTAGCCCTGCAAGGGGTCTCTCGCAGAGTGGTGAGACTGAGCGAGATACCATGATGGATTAGAGAAACTGTCGTACCCCCCGGTGCAGAATATGCGGTGCGATCATGGAGTTACAAAGACTTTTGAGCTCGGAGGCCTAGGATGCCACATAGCCATCGGTGATCCCAAGAGCACAGAGAGAGCAAGACAGGTACGATGAACAATTCCCTCCCCTTTCCGGACGAAAGGCATAGGGGTGGTTGTGGCAGAGGTCACGGACAGGCGAGCAGATCCATCAATAAGTATACAGTCTTTTCAACTCAAGAATATCAGCTTTCGGTCAAAATGTAAACATAACTCCTTCGAGACATGACTATTATTAAGTATTACTGATCTTTTGTAATGCGATGAATGTCGGCTGTGACTACAGCTTCTGCGTCCCTCTCCCCTTTATCATTATTGTGTCTAATGCCAACCACTTTTCTCGCCTCTGCCAGAGTTCAACAAGGGATCTTCGGCCACGACAGGTGGCGCATACTCGGCTCTTTGAATGCCGCTTACGGGTTGCATATCCATAGCCATCGCGTCTTCGTAGCTAGGCGGCGCGTCACCATAAGGTGGCTCTTCGCCCGAATGTTCCACATGCTGCACAACCTGGACTGAGGGCGGCGGAGCCTGTGCTGTTGCTGTAGAAGCAACTGGTTTGCGGGCAGGAAGTGGTGGTGCTCCGGATGCAGTCTTTGTGTCTGCCGGATAGTTGGGTCGAGGTGGCATTGGTGGTGCAGAAGAAGGACCTCCACTTGTACCCTGAGCTTGAGCCCTTGCCATTGCTTCGAGAAGCTCAGGAGGCGGTGCGATGCCCGAGAATATCTGAACGGGCAGACGAAGGTCTATAGTGGTTGTTTGAGGCTTTATGAAAGTCAGCTTTATGCGTCTTGGGATACTCATACGCCGAGAAGCTCCGTAGACTTACCATTGACGCAGTGCCATCATAGCGAATGCCGACGCGTGCAAAGACCTCGTATGCGCGAGTGATGTTGCATGTCTCAAAACTGGGTGGCACGATATTCGGCAAAGGTGTATCGCTCCAGTATCGAGAGTCAACCTCAGCCTCTGTTTCGATCTCTCCGCCATTGGGTGCGATTGCATCTCTGGCTGCGCTGTCGCCGAACTGAAGTGGGACAGCCATACCGCTACGAGAGAAAAGTACCGTGCTGCTGCGCTCAACTCTGCCAACATCTTGCGCCCGAATTTTTGTGATAGCCACGACCTCGAGCTGCAATGATAGAAGTGTCAAACCAGCGGTTTTGCCGTTCAAGCTTGTGACTACGATACGCGCAGGTACCGGTTTGGCACAAGTCAGAATTGCAGGCTCTGGTAAACGTAGATCGATGGCTATGAACGGGGCTGTGGGTGTTGTGCTTCCCGACGTAGATTCACTGTTTTTCTTCGAACCGCCGAAGAAAGAAGCCATCTTGGACTTGCTAGGAAGTGCCGTGGGTGCGGAAGACATGTTGATGTTGAACTGGTGTCGGCGTCGTGCATAACCCAACGCATCTGATGGTGGTGGACGTGGCGGCTCGATAGGACAGAAGTTGAATGGCACGTAGGCCCGAGCATTCTCTTTGAAGAGACTAGGCCGGTTCACAGTCGCCTTGACATAATAGCGGATCTCAGCTTCTCCAGGGAATCCTACTAGTGTTGGTGGTAATGTTTTCTTCACATGGCTGTGCGGCGATTTGTACACCTCTACATTGAGCCCACCGAACAAACTTATAGTAGGGTTAGAGTTGGATGATGGGTTACACGCATTGTTGAAGGGAAACTGGCGACTGATCAGCCGTGAGGACATCGAATCTTGTGAAACATTTGTACCTTGAATCTGAAAGGGTATTCATGCTGCCCTGCTGCCAGCGTATATGCTGTTTTGCCAGATGTTGATGCTGAGCCACTTTGCCCTGCAAGTTCTGGAGGAGGGAATACTGCTAAGGTCTTATAGAGAATCTAGAATACTTATCAGCACATGCTTACGGGACCACTAGCAATGAGCATATGTAGTCAGACGCTGTGACCAAACGGCGTGGATGTCGGTTGTCGTGCTCAGATCCATGGCAGGATAAGATAAGAAAAAAACTCCACAAACCTTATGAAATTCTAACTGAGGTTTCTGCCTATCGTTTGAGGGGTTCGGTGGTGCCTATTTCATAATATGTCAGTCCAAGGCATGTCGTGATGGAGGAGCACATCCGTGGTGTTGAAGGACAGACCAGCAATCTTGTTCTGGACTCCCCCTCAAGCTTTACTACAATACTAGAAACTGTCGTCGCAGTCTGCGTGCGTACGAATACTCTTCCAGATATGTAGTCCAAATTCGTGTAATGCGGGAATGACTGATCCAGTATGATGCTAGCCAGCATGTTGGATTTCGTGACGCAGCAGCTTGCGATCGACTTTGCAGATGCTTCAAATTTCCTTGTAATCCGAGTGTTGTGCGATGCGCCGAACAGTGTCTAAAAGTGAGCAAAGAGAGATAATCAACTCTTACAAGACAGCTCCTCGTTTCTCCATAAAGGATGGTTTGCTCGTCGTCACCCGACGAGATGGGGCCAAGACTTTATTGCTCGTCGTTTCCATCGGCGTGCACGGATGTCCCGGCTCTCGTGTGCTGCGCATGTGGCTGAGTCCATCTTTCCTGGTCACTGGGATGACCCTGCTCGCTGTCATTTCGAGACCCAGTTCTCAACATCTCGATATTAGCGCAAGGATCTGTTCCTTGTCTTTGACAGTGGCTGTAGGTTGTCTGAGGAGGTTTGCTGATATACAGGATGGTGCCTTGATACACTCTCTTACCAATCACGAAACACATCGAGCGTCATATCGAATCAAACATTAGATTATTGAAAACAAAATAACATTTTATTTGTGCTCGTCTTTCGAAACTCTCGTGCTGTATCTGTCGTGTGACCTATGTATGTAAATTGAAGACCCCTTTTGATTGAAAAACAAGTCAATGCTTCGCTCCCCCAATCCAATAGTCATGATCCCCCTAACTCCAATTCCAGTATCAATGCAAATGCAGATGTAGATGTGTGATTCTCTCCTCCTAGTCTCCACCCTTGTCACCATTACGACAGGCGACCTCAATACGATGCTTGATAGCCTCAAGACGATTGTGCAACTGCCACAAGCGCACAGTATCTTCCTTCGCGACCTTGTCACTGGGTGTCTGCTCAATGCGACGGTACAGCTTGAGATACTCTGGGTATAGCTTGCTCCTGAACGTCTCGGCAGCAGCACGAGTCTGTTCCCACGTGAGCGAACCGCCTTCGTAATCGTCATTCAAAATGCCAGCGAGATTGTCGTCCGAAAATTCTGAGCCTGCAGGGGACGAGTGGGGTGAGACGGTAGGAGCAGTTGTAAGGGATGCTCCAGATGAACTTGTCGCTGTGTGCGAGTGTGTGCTTCCTGAATCGGTCTTGCGGTGCTTGGATGATGGAGGAGCGGCATGATCATGTAAGCCAGAAGAGAGGTCGTTGGCTTTGCGTTTCAGAGATCTATCCGAGGCAGCGGAAGATGCAGGTGGAGCTTTGGCCACTGCTTCTTTGCCAGTACCATTCACCGAGGAGGCCTTGGCTAGTGTACTGGTTGGAGCCTTTGCTGGGGTGGATGCGGTCGATTTGACTGCCTTCCTTGCCGGTTCAACACTCTCCGTGTCAGACTCAAGAGGGCGTTTTTTGGTGACAATTTTTGATTGTGAATTGGTCTTGACACCACCGAAGAAACTTAGAGGTTCGGATGCTTTGGATGTGGGCGCAGGCTTGACTGCTTTGGCAGCATTCGCAGTTGCTGATGGCTTGGGCATTTGCTTGTTTATCTTTTCAGCATTGTCAGATGCATTTCTCGGAGGACTTGTGCCCAGAGGTGAGGGCACTTTCGGTTTCGTGTCTGTCAGTCTTCGTGGGCTTATGTTGGATCTTTGTGTCGTCGAGGTAGTCTTGACCGGCTTCTGTGCTGGGCTCTCTTTCGATTTCGTGGCGGCGTTTGCTGCTGTTGAATCTTCAGGTTTCTTCGGGAGGACAGCGGCTCTAGAGAGCACTGGAGCCTCTGGTTTGACCTTGGAAATTGCGCTGTCTTTTCTCGAGGCAGCGTTGGCGACAGACTTGTCAGAAGTCAAAGGCTTTGACCTTATCTTGCTGTCCTTGGATAGCCCGGGCGCTTCACTGGCCGAGGAATCGCGCCTCTCTGTTGCTTCAGGTCGTACCCTAGGAGCCGCTTTGGGAGGATCCTTTCTGGTTGTGGTGCTCTTCTTCAAAGAAGAATCCTCTTTGACCTCACCTTCTTCCTCATCATCTGAGCTGTGAACGACCTCGTCAGATTTGACCTTAGAAGCGACCTTCTTGGGAGGTATTAGTCTTTTGGCGGTCACGTTTCTTGGTTTGCTCTCGCGATCACTTGCAGCAGCAGCGGCCTCCTTTGCCTCTTTCTCTTGCTTCTTCTTCTCCATGGCACCTTTCTTTTTCGCCTCCTTTAATCGCTTTTCAATAGAGATACCAGCAGCGGATCTTCCAGTCGCAGTAGCTCCGCTTCCGCTACGAGGTGTACCAATACTTCCTAGCTTTGGGGTGGCAGCTGCACTTGTGTGAATAGGAGTAGAGGCAAGTCCAGGTGTTCCAGCTAAGTCGGCTCTTTCGGCAGTCAGGTGAAGACGCGAGAGGATCTTGCCTTTGTTGCGTTCTTCTTTGGGTAACAGAATCTGCCAGACCTTGTCGTCCTTTGGTATTCTAGCTCTGTCAAAAGCTCTAATTGCGTTATCTATTGCCAAAGTCCGTTGATCCGAAGTGTATTTGAACGACCAAGGATCAAGCTCTTTGTACGGCTTGTTTGAAAGTTCCCAGGTGAGTCCTTGCTTGTCGGCAATCCTGGGGAGGAGTGACGATAATTGGGCTTTAGGGATGTGAGTTTTCTGGTGAATGTCTTGTTCGGACAAGGGTCTGACGGCAAGCAAGTGAATAAGAGCAAATCGCATGCCCTTCTCTCTTGCTTGAGCGTGGGGATCGGACGGAGCAGAGGTAGGTGCGGTAGGACGAGGAGTAGATGACGAGGAGGCGGAGCGCTGAGCGAGGGAAGTTGGTCGAGAAGAGGGTTGAAGGTATCTGGAGTTTTTACCACCAGCTGTTACTGAGCTACTTATTGTCGTCCTATTGTCACACGTCAACAATAGTTAGGAAGGGCACATCTTGCTCACACTCACTTTCGTTCCTCCTTCTGCTTGGCCATAGACGCCAGCGACTGCTTCAATGTCTCCAGGGCGGCCTCAGCACCGGCACTGTCTTCTTGCGCCTTCTTCTCGACGGGTACTCTGAGCTCTGCATGGTGCGACACAAAAGCGGTAAAATCAAGGTGATTGTTGTTGTCGTTTGTCGAGTAGATTTCGTGACGAAATGTCTCGGGCCTTACATTCAACTCCAATAGCTTTGCACCGTATCGAATTTTCTGCACTCGTCAGAGAGGGTCCCCGTCGAAGCTCTTGAACAGGTCCAAGGGCATACCGGTGTCTTTCCGCCCAGCAATTGCACCGCCTTGCCCCCATGGGCACATTGTTGCAAGTCACGTATGACCTGATCGTTCAACCTAACCAAGATACCCGTCCTTAGAGAGTTTGAATTGTTTCGTTCGCGGTCTGTCTTGTTCGGGGCTCCCTGGAGCGAAAGTGTCGATCCGGAGATCTGGGTCGAAGCCATGGTGGTGATCAACAGCAGCGAGGGGCTTTTGGAAAATACCCAGGTCTTAATAACGATATCGAAGAACAAATAATGGTCGGAGGGGCTTGCTGCATCACATGTGCTACGAACACACAGCTCATCTGTGATATAGGCTCGTTGTCAGCGTATTGTTGGCAAATGTAACCAGTCAGGCCTCCCCGGCGAGATGACGTCCGTGGACTGACAGCGAGCCTGCGTCGTGTTGGACAATCGCTCGTGTGGCAAGAACTCACCTAATGCCAGAACACGCCCTGCATCACGACTGATAATACAGAAAAGTATGTATCAGAAGTGTATCAATGAAGCAGGAACAAGATGTCGAAGACAACGGAATGAAACGGCGAGACAAAGGATGGGGTGAGGCAGACTCGCAAAGGGCACAAAGCACAAGCCAGCCCAAGAGTGCAAGGCTAAAGTTGACCGGCCGGCCCGCAGATGCAGTTCGTCTCCATGTATACTTTGCACACCACGTTGACCGACACATATAGAAACCTTGCTGTTTTTGGCCAAGTTCGCCTGTGACTAACCTCGCATTCGTCTCTGCTAACTTTCTGAATTCACACCCGCGAGACTCGAAGAGACATGCTATCCTGAGCTCTTAGCAGGTAGCCGTCAAAGACGTTCCCAGACAAAGGGAGTTATTCGGCTGGCTGCAGCTTGCGTCGTGCAAGACGAATGATGTGCGCACCCAAGTCTGTGGCTCTTACAACTTGGGGATTGGGCTAAAAAACGGTCGAGGTTTGTTACGCAACGCCGCGCATCACTAGCCTCGATCCAGAAGTACAATAGCCTTAGGGCGGGGCCCTTGCGGCTGTACTGTAATAGGGGATTCATTGTGCAAGGTACAGACCGACCTTGATGGCTTCCAGCGTCGAGATGTTTGTGTGCTGAGGCTTCGTTCCTCAGGTCTGTTGTGAATCAAATGATCGATAATATCTCTAGAGGACCAAGCCTCTTCCGCAGTGCCGAGTGTCTGGCGACCCCCTCGTGACGGTCCATGTCAACACCCTAAAATGGAATACGGCTACGCTCCGGCACGCGTCGTAGGAGTGGCGTAGGGGACCGTTGCTGGGCTTGAAATCCAACGTGTAGATAAAGTCTCAACGCCAACCAGAAACGCTCGTAGAGCTGGGTGCTGACGCTGAACGGAAATGCTGTGATAAAGTACATGGCTGAATGCCTGAGGTATGGAATGAGCATCACCAGCCAGTTGGTCTGGACTCTCCTGGTCAAGTCAGTCCAGCTGGACAGTGCCTCGGACAGTGCTTCGAACTAAGCGTCAGTGTCCGGACATTAATCGACGGCAGGGGCACTGCTTGGGCGCACAAGCGCAGCTGAACAGAATCGCTTGCATATTATTATTGCGGGTGCACCTGCTTTCCGCGTCACATAATCTGCGTGGCTTGTCGGGGTACATCAACTGGACACGGAAATCGGGACAAATGCCCGAGCTGAGAGCCTGTCGCTGACGTGCCAGAGGGCCATGCATGTCTTACCCAAATTTGTTCATACTTTCGGAGCATTGGCGCGCTTCTTTGTATCCTTTTGAGATGCCAAACACCGCATCATACCTTCGATCTAACAGACAGGTTGGACTGCTGAGTCTGCTGTTTCTCCATGCGCGCTCTTTCCTCTTCTTAGCAATTGGCAGCATTGGATGTCAGAGTATGATCAAAGGTATCCGTTGGGCATGTTCGTATTTTGGGGCGTACAATGAGACCACATGATGCCACCCTACACTCCAAATTGTATCTAAGCGATGACTGCTCTCACTTGGGCTCACGAGATGCCGCCGTTCACCTGTCCGCATGTCTTCATCCCCTCGCCTCGGAACCGACTAGGGATGCAGCATGCAAATCGTCACTCTGAGTGTTTCTGTTATTCTGCTGGCATGCTCTCAATACCTCTAAAGTATTCTTGCAATAATGCATGGATCCTCGCGAATTACAGGCCGCCATATCTTCATGATGAACGTATATGATAGGTGAGCGTTCAGTTATACGAGTAGTTGCAAAAGGTCGATTGGAAAGAATTGAAGAAAGATTCAAGTAAATACATGAGGATTCCATGCCGTGGTATAGTACAAAACTCCGAAATGCCTTCTGGTATCAAGTCAATAAATCTTTACACTGAAGAATAGTAAAGGCTGGTGAATCGTAAGCTCCTATGCCTGTCAAACGCCATTGCCCACCTATAAAGATCCGATAACCAAGTGTCGCGATTATTGTCATCAATTGCTTCCGCTGCTGTCCTTTTGCAGTAGAGACGGCACACCTCCAGGGGTCATACCAGCATTCGAATTCGTACCGCTATCACCGACCGCTTTCTTCTTCTCCTTCTTGGCCCATCGTAAACCACACGCGTTGCATAACGTCTTGGGCCCTTTAGGTCCTTTGCGCCATTCGGGACTGTCCAGGGTTCCGCAATCCGCGCAGACATATTCTTCAGCGACTTTGAGTTTCTTTTTCTTCTCCTTAGTGCCATCACGGTCTCTGTCAAGCAAAATCGCGATGCCGGCATCGCCTCTAATAAGGGCAGGCGATGTATCACCGGTTGAAATACCGTGACTTCGTTCGCCGTCGCGATAACGCAAACCAGTGAGCATTTCGATAGTCTCAAGATGATTCGAGCCTTCATAACGGGACATTTTGTCTGCTATACTGTCAGGCTGTTGGGCTGACAAAGCACTGTCGAGATTTTGGCGCGTGAGGGCAGTGTTTGATATCGGGGGCTTGGCAGGCGGCGGCATGCCTTGGTAGTTTGGTGTTTTGCTATGCTCACTAGAGCCATCCATGCGGCCAGCTTCAGACGGATCACGCCTAGACTGTTCTTGCCACTGTCTTTCTTGGACCTGATTCTCCTCGACTTCCTCTCGTTTTAGTTCCTCGATCCTTTTCTTTAAGCGCTCGTTCTCAATCTTGTGCTCCAGGAACGAATCGAGCAAGGCGGCATTCTTGGTCGGATACGGGCGAGCCATCATGAAAAATCCTCGGCAAAGGCCTGAGGCGCTCATGGCGCCTTGACCCGAGCCACTCATGTGTCCGTATGCTCCTTGGTCGGACGAGATGTGTGGATGACCGTCGCATTCGAAGATGATGTATGTGCCGTCCTCTCTTTTGAAGCGGTAAAAGAAGCGTAAGGGGTTTCCCGAAGCTATGGACTCGTTGAATTCGCGCATGAAGATGCCGCTGTCCTCGGGGTGCACAAACTCGCCGATGAACTTGCCGACTAAGTATCGTGGTTCGTAGCCGGTGAGCGTTTTTGCAGAGGGCGAGACGTAGAGGATGCGACCGTCAGGAGTAAGGATGTGGAGGAAGTCTCTGAGCTCTTCGATGACACGCTGCGACCAGTTCCTGCGCTTGGTGAACTCGGTCAAAGTATTGCCGCCATTTGAGGGAGGACCCATGCCGAAACCAGTGGGCAGAGGGCCAGCACCGATGCCCGACATGTTGGACTGGGACTGGCCGTCGTCATGGTGGTGCTGGGATTGCGCGGCGAAGGACATGGAGTTGAGGTTGTTACCGAAGGCGCTGGGGTCGGCAAAGGGAACGGTGCTCAGCGAGACATCGAGGTTGGGGTCGTTGAGATCGAGGTCCATGGGCAGCATATTGATCTGGTCCTGCAAATCAGACATGAGGTTGGCGCTTGGGTCCAGCAAATGCTCAGGTGCGGAAACAGCCCCGGCCATCTAGTGCATCAAACCAATGATCAGTAGGCGTTCGCAAGTCGCGGACTCTGCGGTCCTGAGCACTTACGTTTTGGGCGAGCGAGCCATCGACCGACGACAGGTAGGACATCGGTATCCTGCCTATGCCCAGTCAACAAGTAACAGTACAGAGACGTGCCTGATTCCGGGGGTCCCACCAGGCAATTTCACGATGCAGGAAGACTTGCTCGATCCGCAGGCGCTGCTTGCGACCGAAGTCTGACGTCTGCGCGCTTGCCCTGGCCAACGATTTGGTCCAGCGAAACGATCGTTGATCTCGGATTTCGATTGCACGAATGCGTGTTTGCAGACAAGCCCCGTCGCTGATCCTGTTGCAAAGATCAGGGACTATCTAGAGAGACATAACTACTGCTCAGTATAACGATCATATGTCTACAAGGGATCAAGTGTTGTGTTTCTAACATCTGCTGCGTAGTCCCAAATAGGCTGGGACATAAGTCTGGGCAGACCCTTCGGCTTCCACGAGGGCGGGCCTTGCAACTCACACGCGTCTGCCTGCCGACACATAAAGAAAGTGTTCAAAAGCTCAACTCTTGGGCGCGACACTTTGTTTGATGCAACACCTCCAGCTTCCAATACATAAACACATCTCCTGCTCACTCGCTCAATTTTCTTCAATCAACTTCTGCTCGCTCCTCGCATTGCATCCTCCCGCTTCTTCCTCCCCGGAGTCTGCTCCGAGCTTCATCCGCCATGTAAGTTCATCACAATCCACTTTGGTCAACAATCGCCAAGCTAATTCCTTCCAACAGGTGTATGTCAACCGGCCTGTTCCTGAGGATCGATTTCAGTCACTGATGTTCCTATTCTAGCCAAAATTGACAAACTCTCTATCCTGGGGTATGCATAGATTAACACACGCCACTTGCACTAGAACACTTACTGATGTTTTGCCCCAGAGTTCGTTCCTTTGACAATGGTCGCAGTGAAACTATTCAGTTCTTCGCTCCTCTTACCTTGATCGTTGGTCACAATGGCTCTGGAAAGACTGTAAGTTCTTGCTCCTACATCACAAGCAATAACCACACTAATCACCATACATTAGACCATCATTGAGTGTCTCAAATATGCTACAACTGGTGATCAGCCTCCAAACAGCAAGGGTGGTGCCTTTATCCATGATCCTAAGGTACGTTTTGCGGAAGACTCCACGCTACCTCGACTGACACGTATAGCTATGCGGCGAAAAAGAGGTCCTCGCCCAGGTCAAGATGTCCTTCCTAGCCACTACTGGAGCGAAAATGGTGTCCACTCGCAGCCTGCAGCTCACTGTCAAGAAAGCATCGCGCTCGGTCAAATCTCTTGAAGGCCAACTTCTCATGATCAAAGAGGGCGAGCGCACATCTATCTCCTCGCGTGTTGCCGAACTTGATCAACTCATGCCTCAGTACCTTGGTGTGAGCAAGGCTGTCTTGGACTCTGTCATCTTCTGTCATCAGGATGAGAGCTTGTGGCCGCTCAGCGAGCCGAGCAAGCTCAAAGACCGCTTCGATGCCATCTTTGAGGCCATGAAATACACCAAGGCCATCGACAACATCAAAATTATGAAGAAAAAGCAGACGGAAGAGCTTGCAAAGTACAAAATCATCGAGCAACACGCCAAAGAAGACAAGGACAAGGGTGAAAAGGCTGAGAAACGATCCCACGAGCTCTACGAGGAGATTGAAACATTGCGCCTCAAAGGCGAAGATATGGGCACCAAGATTGCCGAGGCTAAGCAAAACTACAATGCTGCCTGGGAGAAGATCAAGTTTCTTAGTGAAATCGTCGGCCAACTTTCCGGCAAGCGCATCGAGCAACGTGCTAAGCAGGAAAGTGTTCAAAAACTCAGACGCAATCTTCGTGAAATGACCGATTCGGACCAAGAGCTCCAGACTCTTCTACAGAAATATGAAGAGCGAGTCCAACAGCTGCACGACCAAGCCAATGAGGAGAAGCGCCGGTATCAGCAACTTAGTCGAGAGTTGATCGGCAACCGCGAAAAACTCAGCATGAAGGAGCGCCAGGTCGGCTCTTTGGAGTCCGACCAACAGAATTACGACCGTCAACTTGAGAACAGAGCACAGCTGGTCAAGCAAACTGCTCGCAGGCACAATCTTCGTGGTTACGATTTCGAAGTTGATGATGAAAAGGCTCGAGAGTTCGTTGACCGCATCAGCCGCATGGCGAAGGAGCAAAACGCCACATTTGAACGCACCAGACGTGAGACACAGCAAGAGTTGCAACGCGCCCAGGACGTTCTCAACCGCATCAATGAGCAAAAGTCTACCCTGAGTCAAAAGAAAGAAAGCGCCAAGGCCTCTCATGCCGCAAACCAGCGCCGCATTGCTGGATTTCAGACTGACCTGAATAATGTAGAGGTTGATGAGGGTTCCAAGACTATGCTTGAATCCTCCGTCGAAGATACTGAAAGCAAATTGCAAGCAGCCAAGTCTGATTTCGATACCAAGGACTGGGATAAACAAGTCGAAGAGACCGATGCCGTTCTACGCCGTCTGGACGACCAGAAGGAGAGGCTAGATATGGAGCTTGTTCAGGCTACCAAGCAAGCAGGAGATTCGGCACGTCTAGACTTCTTACGGAAGGAAGTCAAGGACCGTCAACGCAGTCTCGACACCATGACGAAAACCCATGGATCCAAGATAGACAGCATCGTTGGTGGAGGTTGGCAGGCAACATCACTTGACAGTGATTTCCAGAGTGCTCTGAGCAGCAGCAACAAATTTGTAGCAGAGGCCGAGCGCCAGCGAGACGGTCAGGCTCGTGAACTTGAGCAGCTCGAGTATCGTCTCAAGCAAACCAAGAACGATCTTGTTTCACGGAGACGAGACTTGGACGCCAGCCACAAGACTATTGAGAATGTCATCGAAACAGATCCGTCCGAATACCAGAGGATCCTCGAGGAAACCGAAGCCGAGCGTGATGATCGCAAGAGCTCAAGCGAGTATGCTGGTCACCTCAAAAAGTACTACGAGAGTGCGGCTAGAGCTGCCCGGGAGAACAAGTGTTGCCTCATGTGCCGCCGTGGCTACGAAAAGGATCGTCAAGGACTTGAAAAGTTGATCAACCTCCTTGGAATGGAAATCAACAAAGCTGAGGCTGGTCGTGCCGTTGAAGAGCTTCGAGAGACCGAGAATTATCTGCAAGAAGTCAGAGCAATCAGCTCGACTTACGACAACTGGGATCGTCTGAAGAGTAAGGACATTCCTAATCTTGAGCAGGAAGAGGAGCGTCTGAAGGCTCGGGTGTTCTCCCTCACCGCCGAAGTGGAGGAACAAGACCGTGTTGTCAGCGAGCGCAAATCGGCTAAGCAGGAAGTCGAAAGTCTTTCTAAGACCGTTCAGAATATTGTCAAATATGCCCAAGAAATCGTCAACTTCGAGACGCAGATCGAAGAGCTGGCTGCCAAACAGAAGAGCCAGGGTCTTTCTCGTGGTTTGGAAACAATTCAGGACGACCTCAAGACAATCAACGAACAGTCTCGCGGAACTAAAGTCTCGTTGACCAAGATCATTGGTGAGCGTGACGGTGCTCGCAGCACCATAAATGCGCTTGAGCTCGAGCTTCGTGATGTCAAGTCTAAACTCAGCACTGTCATCCACCATCTCAAGGAGAAATCATCTATTGAGAAACAAATCAGCGATCTCAAGGCACAGAACAATGAGCTCATTGATTCTCAGCGGTCTTTTGAGCAACAGCTTGCTGATCTGGTCCCGGAAATGTCCCAAGCCCAATCGAAATATGATGACATTTCGCGTCGTGGCGCGGAGAAAGACAGACAGCTTCGTGATGAAACAGCCGCTATAAACGACAGTGTGAACAAGCTGCAATTGGTTGAGCGCGAGATCAGCGGCTACATCCAGAGAGATGGCCCTGCTCAGCTGGCGCAAGCCAAGAGTGCTATTGAGGACATGAAAGAAGACATTGAACGTTTGGAGAAGGACATGCAGACCATTACCAAGCAGGTCAAGGACGTCGAGAACAACCTTCAAAACGTCGAGGAGACGAAGCGTCAGATCGCAGACAACCAAGAATACCGTCGTGATCGTGCTGCTGTAGACGCGATAGGTGCTGAGATACGGGAGCTTGAAACACACAATGCCGAAGAGGAGAAGGCTGCTCACGAACGTGAGGGCAACCGCTGGGAGATGACACGAAACAAGCTTACGGCTGAGCAAGCATCAATCATGGGCCAGCTGAAGAGCAAAGACGACCAGCTTCAGCAACTTCTCCAGGACTGGGAGCAGGACTACAAGGATGCTGCATACAAATACAAGGAGGCTCACGTCAAGGTCGAGACAACTAAAGCCGCTGTTGAGGACCTCGGTCGCTACGGCGGTGCACTCGACAAGGCCATCATGAGATACCACGCGCTGAAGATGGAGGAAATCAACCGCATCATCGAGGAACTTTGGAAGAAGACGTACCGTGGCACAGATGTCGATTCGATCCTAATTCGGTCAGATAACGACGCACAGAAGGGCAACAAGAGCTACAACTACCGCGTCGTCATGTGCAAGCAGGACGCTGAGATGGATATGCGTGGTCGCTGCTCTGCAGGTCAAAAGGTTCTTGCGTCCATCATCATTCGTCTGGCTCTGGCAGAATGTTTTGGAGTGAACTGTGGTCTGATCGCACTCGACGAACCTACAACCAACCTTGACCGCGACAATATTCGCTCGCTGGCAGAGTCTCTATCCGAGATCATTCGGATCAGAAGACAACAATCGAACTTCCAGCTGATTGTCATCACTCACGACGAGGAATTCCTGAGATACATGAACTGTGCCGACTATACAGACTACTACTACCGCGTCAGCCGCAACGAGAGACAGAAGAGTATTATCGTGCGCCAGAATATCGCAGATGTAAGTGTCTGACATGGAAAATGTTGAAGAGGCTCTTCTGACCATTGAACAGGTTCTCTAAGCAGCAAGGATGTCTCGGTGAAAGAAGTTGGTTGCAAGGACCAAGACGGATGCGATTGCTTCTACTGACAAAAGCATGTATTTTATGAAGATTACGACTTTGAAGGCTGGGTATTGATGGAAACCATGGCTTATTCTCAATGGCTTAGCTACGCATGGCACGAATAAAAACAAATACATCATATTCAAACAAAAGCTGTGACGAGGATAGAGTGAAATTGAGTGACGCGTGCAGGCGCGACACGAGGTGGACGCGAGTGTGGAGTGTGTCGATCAGAACCCCGGCAACGCCTTGTTGTTTACACGGAATTCCTTTGTGCATTGTTGAATAGTCGCTGCGGTCGATGATAACATTATACAGCCTGCTTGACTTTTCTCAACCCGTAGCCAAATCTCATCCCATCCTTCTCTATCACAACCTCTCTTCTCGCATCTCTACTTTTGCGTCCCAGCCGCTCCACTTGCGCCGCCTTCTCTTACTCGCATTTCTCCCGCCAACACAGTCAACATGGCCGCTGTCGCCGCACCTTCGAACGCACCCGCCAGCCCCTCCAAGTCCAAGGACAATGGCAATGTCATCAAGCGGTTCGTCGCTTTCGCCGAGTCCTGGTACCAAGAAGGAGCACTGTTTGACTGACAAGACACGCAGACTGCAAGGCGAGCTCATGACCTTGATGACATCGCCCACGCCTGGTGTCAGTGCCTTTCCGCATAACGGCGACCTCACTGTCTGGGACGGCACCATCGTTGGCCCCGCCGACACTCCTTACTCTGGTCTCACACTCAAGCTGCGCTTCAACTTCCCTGCACGCTACCCCTATGTGCCTCCGGAGGTTCGCTTCACCACTCCCATCTACCACCCCAATGTCGACATGAAGGGCCGCATCTGTCTGGACATTCTCAAGGACAAGTGGAGCGCTGTCTTGAACGTCGGTTCTGTGCTTCTGTCTCTGCAGAGCTTGCTCGGAGAGCCCAACAAGTACGTCTACTCCACAATCATAATAACGACACTCACTAACTCCTCCCCAGTGCCTCGCCCCTCAACGGTCAAGCAGCCGAGCTCTGGGACACCAACATGGAAGAGTTCAAGCGCAACGTCCTTGCCCGCCACCAGGATCTTACTGATGAAGAGATGGAGTAACCTGCCCATGACCTTTTCGTATTCTCGCTTTCCATTTCTCTTTCAGCGAAGCATCACTCTGGCGTTCTGCTTTTTGGGTCTGCGTTCCACGCTCGGTCTTTTTATCTCCTCAGCCTCTACATTACTCAACTTTGGGTCTTCACGGGTCTCCAATCTGCCATCGATATGTCATCTTACACTCATTGAGGCATCGCGTTGTGACAGGACATGCATGCACGAGTAGGGGCCAAATCTCGCCTCACTATCATTTGGACAGTGGAAGAGCAATGGCTTGAATACTTGTCTTACCTTCTATCTCGATCCCTTTCTCTAGTGCCATCACTCCTGATCCTCGTTCCTATAATCTGAGCAAACGACCATTCAGTATCCTGAGAATAAACACATGTCCTCATGTCCTCATGTCCAAATGTCTGTTTTGTGATCTTGATGGGTCTCCACCACTTCTATTCATCTGCAAACTTGGTTCAATGTCGCTTCCAGATTAGCCTTTCGGGCTTTTGGCTTTTTTTCTTCTCGTCCCGTCTCCTTCTGCCAATCTTCTCACCTCGGAATTGCTCACTCCTCCGTTCAAGATGGTGTCTGTATAGATGAACGGTTTGTTTCCACCAGGATAAACACCGCGTCGCACCCTGTGCCTTCGCGAGAAGAAGACGCAACTAACGTAAAAGCCGTGAATGTGGGAAGGCAACACACCGCAGACGAAGAGAATGCTATTGACGAGGCAATCTGTGCTGAAGTTGTCGAGAAATCCCACGGCAAGAGGTGGGAAGAAGATGTTGAGGAGAGTTATGCTGATGCGGTAGCAGAGTGTGCGAAGCATTATTGCTGACTCTTGGTCGGTGTAGTGCTAGACGACACGATGTTAGGACTGGACTGATAACCAAGAGAGAGGTCCAATGACTGTGTACTCACTGATGCCAGGCTTCTCTTTAGTTCAAACCGCTCAAGATTCCCAGTAAAATATATCAAGTTGTGTTAGCACGAGATCGAGTCAGGAATCTGTAGACTACATTTTGTGAAAATGAGAGTAAGACGACAGACGGAAGCATGATATACTGCAGCCACCGAGGATACCTGTTTACCGCCATATTCATGTATACACATCTTTTAATTTATTCTATCGCTTGCAGAAACACGAGTGGCCAGTTCGTGCAGGAAACATGGAAATCGCAGGCTGGTCGAATCCTGCAAGACGTCATCGCGCAGCGAGCGAGGTGTGTCAACAAACCACTTTATGAGCTGTTCTAACTGCAAATCGAACTTCAACCTGAATGTAAAATATTTCGATATCAGGTGCCAAGGATTCTAAGCTGGCAAAAAGAGTGGATGAAGCATCAAACTAATTCGCGAATCAGCTTAAGAAGAAGTCCCTCGGAGGAGGACAAATAGGTAATATGTACATCATGATGATCACTGAAGAACAACTGCCGAGAGTGGTCTCAACTACTAAAAAAGACCAATTGGCGCACATCCAAGAAGCTCTGTAATTTCTGAACACATACCACAAATCATCTATTTGTCCCATCATGCCTGAAGACAAGAGCAAGAACCCTAACGACCCATACCACACAGAGCAACCTTCGCTCAGCACATACCCAAAAGATGCTATCCGTAACAACGCCAAAGGAAATGACTTGGACAAGGAAGTGATTGAGCGAATGAAGGTTCGCGAGATCTGTGAGGGCTGGGGAGTTTACAGAGATGCAGCAGAGTAAGGCATCCTAACCCCCAACATCACCAAGTCCGATGCTCATATGATATCGCAGATGGGAGAACTATCGCTCAATGTTCTTCGACGACGCCTACATCGCAACAAGTTGGAAGCAAGGCAATATCGACGAATTCATCGAAGCCTCCAAAGCTGGTTTCGAGAAAGGCTCCAAGTTCATGTATATTCTCCATCGCATCATCGGCTCCCAAGTCGACATGAATCCCAACCTCACTCGTGCTGTGTGCAAGATGAAGATCACCATCACCTGCCGCTTCACGTTTGACGAAATCGAGATGGACAATGACGCCGACTGTCGCTTTTTCTTCTTTCTCGAAAAGAGAGGAAACAGATGGGGTGTCGTGTTTTATACGCTTCTCTTCGACAAGGACAAGTTCACTCCAGTGAATCCCGAGAAGATTTACAGTATCCCTGAGGACGAGGTTAAACAGTATCCAAGTGGTTACAAGTATCTGGCTTGGGCAGAGAACAAGATCAGTCAGCCGCCAAAGATGAATCTCAATGCTCATGGACCTGAGAGGGATATTTTGTATGGCAGGATGAAGACTTGGTTGGAGGGTGGTCAAATTAGACCTGATTTGACTGGTGAGGATGATCCTAACTGGAAGCCTTGATCAACAATGGCTAGTTCTGGGGAGAGGACTTTTCCCCTTTCCTCCAAATCATTGATATGACCTGCACATGCACATTTTCCTTCGAACTCCCCGCGGCGACGTATAGTGATATTATAGGCTATGAAGATGCACAATATTTTCTAAGAGAGGACGCTGTCCACAGAAAGACCGTTCTCTCAAGGTGTCTCAATGGCCATGCTATGGATCTGAAAAGTATCGTGCATTCCAGCAACTACGCAGTGACAGTTTTGCAAATGGGAAGGAGATGCACCCCAATCAGAGATCAGTCCTTCTCAGGGTCTGTCTGTACCGAGAGATTGCTCAGGCAACAAACCCCATTCTACGTCCTCGAGCACTCCACATCTCAGTCTCCTGAGCCTTATCCTGAGGCATCAGACAAGTATGATAGACCCTTTCATGATATAACAAGCAGACAGTCTTCCTCAAGTCCTAGTGGTAGACTAGAAACTCAATGAAAACAAAGGAAAAACAAAGGAAATAAAAAAACGCGAAATAACAACACAAATCAAACTCTACAGAAAAGAAATACATAGTGTATGACAAGAACAAAAACAAAAAAAAAAGAGAAAATGGAAAAACAGAACAGAACAGAATAACAAAACCAAAAATAGAACAAAAGGCAAACGCATAGTGGCCGACCTAAGTCTTGAACATACCACTCACGAACAAAGGAAACAAGAGAAACAAAAACAAAACAGTAATAAGAAATGGGCCTGAAACCCGAGACCTCCATTTTTTGCCTTCGCGGTTAGCACCTTTTCAAGTTTTTTTGACTGTGAAACGGCACCACTGAGACTGCCCGCCAGCAGCCTACTCGGCACCGCAACACTTTAATTTTTTCTGTGGAAGGGAAGGGGAAGTGACGATACGGGACAGAAGAGAGAGCTCAACTGTCTTCGAGGAAGGAGGGGTGACGAGAGAGGAAAGAGGAATGGACAGGGGAGAAAAGGAAATCAGAGCCCTCACCAATGACAGGATCAACCAAGTTCATCTGCCCGAGAGCAGAGACGAGGTCATCCTCAATGTTAGTAGCCAACGAGTGTGAAAGGGGAACGACAGGAAGGTTAGAGTGTGAAGGGGAGGGAACGACAGGAAGGTTAGTATCAACGAAGGGACTAACCTCGACGAACGACAGCTCCTCGAGAGCAGCCATCGAAACGTCTTCTTCCTCCAGCTCGGATGCGTCGAAGTCGGCGAAGTGAGGGTACGCGGAGGAAGCGATGCGGTGGTGAATGACGGTGTCGTCGTTGAAGAAGACACGGTCGTCGTCGTCGGTGACGTCGTTGTTGAAGGCGTCGTCACTGAAGTCGTCGAGGATGCGGGCAAGTCCAGGTTCGCTCGGCGAGTAAAACGAAAGGTCGAAGTCGGAATCGGAGTCGAAACTACGCACCACCATGTTAGTTTTATCAAAGATAGTAACCTCACTCTCATCATCAGTCTCGCACAGCAGATCCTCATCCCAATCAGACTCCTAGTCCTCATGGTCGGGCTGTGCAACCTGTAACTCTGTTAGCAGGCTTGAGTCAAAAGAGAACGAACCGAAAAGCACTTTGTGCTCGCAAGTACGACGGATTTCTCCGCAGTATTCCTCACGAACACGTGCAAAATCCTCCTCGATGGCCGGGATGAGCTTGTTAATACGAATGCGGTCGGCAGCGGTGAGGGTGGACACGACAGGACGGCGAGGGGCAGGGGCGGCGGAAACGATGGGACGACGAGGAGCAGGGATAGCGGGAACGACAGGAGGGCGAGGAACGGCGGCGGCGACGGTAGGCTTGGGGGTGGCGACAACCCTTTGGCGTGCGGAGAAGGTGGTCTGGGTGGCGGCAGACGGGAGGCTGGGCGAAGGACGAGAGACGGGTTTGGCGGGACGTGAGACCTGTCGGGGCACCTTAGTAGAACGGGCGACGACAGCATGGGTGGCGGCCCTAGCTGAAGCCTGTGATGAGATGGTTGGGAGCATGTAGTGAGGCAGGGTAGTGGAAGGCATGATGATGGAGATGGGTATGGATGTGGAATTGGATAGATGTTATATAAGAACCTGATTTGCTAAGCTAATCTGAAGTGGAGGAAAGGAAGTTTGGAGATCAGGAGAAGAAAAGAGTTCTTATATAGCTGCGATCTTATGTCAGCAACGCGATGGTCAATGCAAATAGGCACCAATGGGGGCGTGATTAGAGGAGTGGTATAGAGAGGGGGCGTGGTGGATGATGGGTTGGGTACCTAGGTAGATACGATAGGGGAGAAGGAGGGGGTGAGCGAGATGTGGGAGGAGTGTAGGGGAGGAGTGAGTGAGGGGTGAGGAGTTGAGGGATGGATATATACCTGTATATAGTCGTGGGTTCTGTCTAGGGGGTGTAGTAAAGATGATTCTGACCAGAGTCATGGTTTGGATATAGCATTGATCCCTTCGTTGAAGCACCATGTCGACCGTGAGCGTTACTGGCCCTACATACCTCATCGTTGATGGTCTGAAATGCCCACAGTGAAGATAGAGATCCATGGAGGTTGCTAAGCCTTCATATAGCTGCCATCGCAGGTCGGATTGACCACATCAACCAGGTACCGCGTGATTATCACAGATACCTATCGAGAGTGGTATAGATTCCTGATGGGCTCCCTGTAGTGTCGAAGAGTGTGTCTGGATTGAAGGTAGGTGCGACTGAGTCTCGGCATGGGAACCTGAGGAATTGGAAGGAGCTGTACCAACAGTATACCAAACCAAACTGTGCTTACCTGCAGCCTTAGCTATCCTGATGTGGACTGCACAGGAGACAGCGACCGGGTTGGATTTTTCAGGGGTTCTTCCTCGCTATGTGCTGAAAGCAGTCACTGCGCAAGCGGCTCCTTCTCCATACCGATGTCAAGCGTTATAGTAAGCCATCGAAATGCACAATTGCGAATCATATATGCGTCTCGCCATTGAGAGATCCTTCAACGAGGTTCTCTCTGTGGAGGCGATACTCTCATCGGAAGTATTGTGCATTTCTACAACTTACTGTGACAGTCTTTAGCAAATTGGAAGGTTATGCCGAAAATTAATAATTGATGATTGTATTGTGGATAAGCCGAGAGCAGAACGAGAAGCAAGTCGAGAGCAGTGCAAGTGTTACGAGAACTCTGCGAGAATTGTAGCCCGGAATGGTTAGTAGATTTGTCGTGGCTCACAGCCAAAAAAGCTGGAAGTTGAATAGCGCGAGAGATATCAAAAATCCAGTGCACCAGGCGACGTTCAGAGATGTGCGGATCAGGGCAATTTAAGGTTCGTGGAGAAGACGGGTGTGGCGCACGCTAAAGAGCATGTGGGGGAAATTTTGCTGCGCGACTGGGGCAAGAGAAGCAGGTACTCGATCAATCGTCGAGTCGCTCATGTTCAAGACTGGTCTGCTTCGGCTAGCAGCACTGCGCAACCAACCTCCGTCTATTACACACAAGACAAAGACACAGCTTTCGAGGATGAGCCAGTCGACCAAGGCGCCAAAGCTGCATGGGCGGGCTTTCTACGAGAGCATCGGCTGTCCGAAGCTGATCCTGGCGCCCATGGTCGAGCAGAGCGAGTTCGTACGTCTGGGTTGTCTATAGCCACCTACAGAGGATGAGGCTGACAGAGCAAATAGGCGTGGCGCTTATTGACGCGCTCGTTCCTTCCAGCCGACCAGAACAAGCAACTGCTTGCCTATACGCCCATGTTCCACGCCCGCTTGTTCCATGAGAATGCAAAATATCGCGAGACACACTTCCAGCCCTTGAAGGCATCAATGCCCGAATCGCCTCTCCCTTTTGAAGACGCCCGCTTCAACCAATCTGACCTCCATCTCGACGGCAACCACCAGACCGACCGTCCTCTGTTCGTCCAGTTCTGCGCCAACGACCCCGACGACCTGCTCGCTGCTGCTCGTCATGTCCAACCCTTCTGCGATGCTGTCGACCTCAACCTCGGTTGTCCCCAGGGTATCGCTCGCAAGGGCCACTACGGTTCCTTCTTACAGGAAGAACCCGATCTGATCTACAAGCTCATCAATAACCTTCACCTCAATCTTGACATCCCTGTCACCGCAAAGATGCGCATCCTCGACACGCCCGAAAAGACTCTGGACTACGCAAAAATGATCTTATCCGCCGGTGCCAGCATTATCACCGTTCATGGCCGTCAACGTCATCAAAAGGGTCACAACACTGGCTTGGCCGATTGGTCAGTCATCCGCTACCTTAGGGACAATCTTCCTCCAGACACTGTCATCTTTGCCAACGGAAATATCTTGCGCTACGAAGATATCCCCGCCTGCCTCGAGGCTACTGGTGCTGACGGTGTTATGAGTGCCGAGGGAAATCTCTACGACCCCTCCGTTTTTGCTCACCCTCCCCCCGCTGGTCAGGAAAGCAGAGAGTACTGGAGAGGAAAAGATGGCAGAGGTGGCTACCGCATGGATGCTGTGCTCAGGCGATATATGGACATTATTCACAGATACGTGCTTGGACAGGAGCCGCCAACGCGGAAACCTTTATTCATGCCTGGCCATGACAATACGTTAATCGACACAGCTGTCGTCGAGCCAGTTACCGAAAGCCTCCCCAGCCAGAAGCGACCCGCTGAGGACGAGGTCGTGGACGGCGAGGCAGCAGAAGAACCAAATGGCCAACCCGCATCCAAGAAGCAAAAACAGAACAAGGGCGAAAATCGCAAGAAGAACGAGAAATGTCAGAATCCTAATCTCACCCCAATGCAGGCTCACCTGTTCCACATGCTCCGGCCGTTGGTTTCTAAGCACACCAACGTCCGAGATGCTCTTGCTCGCTGCCGTGCTGGCGACATTGCAGCATACGAAAATGTTCTTTCCATGGTCGAGGCTGCAGTTAAGGAAGGTCTGCTTGAGTACGAAAACTCTCCGCCAGAAGAAGCCGCAACCGAGCCTCAGATCAGACCTGAAGTAGATGCGACAAAGGATGGGAGCTCTTTGGCGGCTGTTGCATGGTGTAAAAGACCGTGGTTCATCTGCCAGCCGTATGTACGACCACTGCCCAAGGAAGCCATTGAGAAGGGATCAATGCAACTTACCAAGAAGGAAAAGGAACGGCTGGAGCGTGAAAAGGAGGAGAACAAACAGGCTGGCTTAGTACCAGAAGGAAGAGTTGAGGAACAGGAGAGCAATGGCGAAAAGGTAGAAGTGCCAAAAGAGGGCATGGTTTGTGGATAATATTGCATAGATGAGCAAGTTGAGATACAAGCTAGATTGACATAATAGACAAGTCGATACACATGCTACCTAATTTGTTATACTGCTGGAAAGTTGTATATTGAGTGTCAGTTGTGAGAAAGTAGCACCACACGCTTGGCAGGGCACGTCATGTCCCCAGGCGCGCGCAGACAAATGTCAAGATAGATGATTGGCAAAAAACATTCTTCGCACGCCACCTTCGAAGCAATGTTCTGGCCTTATCCATAAAGACAGTGTCTCTGAACGGCTCCCGGCCATGTCAACTCCCACGAAGAAAGCAAAAGCTGCCAAACGCGATCCGCAAGAGAACAAGACTGCCGATAGCTTGGAAGAAACGCCGTCTGGGATCACCGTCATCTCGACAGCAGGAGACGTCGTACTGCTCATCCAACGAGACACTCCTACACAAGAGACATGCAAATATCGTGTCGACTCGGCCAGGCTGAGAGAAGCCTCGACCTACTTCAGTCGACTGTTCTCAGACGACTACAAGGAAGGCACTACTGTCGCTCTTGCTCATGCACACCTCAGGACCAAATACACAACCCTGGACGCATCCGTACCTGCTGATGAGCTCCCCGAAGTCAAGATTGTGGATGTTGGCCGCATATCGCCTACGGTGAAGACCATCAAACCTCTCATGGCCGACTTTCTATGCGCCTTGCACGCTCGCGACTTGACTACCCTCGCTCCACCTCTGGCAAATGTAGCCAACCTCTGCATCGTAGCCGATCGCTTTGACTGTCTTGTACCGTGGCGAACCTACTGCAAGAGTCACAAGATAATCGCCGCCTTGGACGGCAGATCCAACACCAAGGTTGCTACTACATGGACAGAAGAGCGCACGCGCCAACGTTTGCTGGTCGGTATTTTCTTGGACAACGCAAGTTGGGTGTACCAAGCATCTCTGCGGCTCATACACCGAGGCTGGGTTGGTCGTGAACCTGAAGAAGATGCTGCTTTGTGGTGGGATCTTCCTATGGGCATGGAAGACGAGTTGCTGTTCCGTCGGGATTGCATACTTCAAACCGCCCAGTCGATACAGACACACTTCCTCACTCTATACACATCTCGCGAGAGGCAATGCAAATTGGGTTACGACTCGAGCGCTGAGTGTGATCTGTTTCAGCTTGGTCAAACAATCAAGTTCTTCAAACGTATCAACACCCTCTCATTGGAAGGCACCATATTCGCAACCACCGACGCCCCTGAGCCTTACGAAGGCGACATCTTGGATCTAGTCGACAGCTTCAAGCAAGCCCCTGAGTACCAGGTAGACAAGAATCATCACCACTGTGGCATCCGCACTCGCATCATGCCTCTGCTAGATCTTTTGGTGCTTGCTCTAGGCGAAGTTGGCGTATGCTGGTGGTGTTGGCAGGACTGCAGGCATGATTACGCCTGGTCCAAAGTCAAAAGACCGCTTATCTGGAAGAAAGACTCTGCTGGCGCTAGCATGCATCAACACTACAAGAACCGACAGGCTCAGAGTCATTTGTTCAAGCATCTCGATACTAGAGATCTCTTCATGGCCAATGAGAGGCTCTGGACGTGATAAACATTCGTCTTCTATCTAACTTTACACATGAATAAGCACTACTTCCATCCTTGTATCCAGCCCTGTCTTTCTTTTGTCAAGGTCGGACCGAGGCCTCGCGATTCCCTCGGCCATTCTCGCATATGCTGGACTTGATCTAGATAGATGCAACTGAGACGCTCATCTTGATGTCATTCAAGCAGATAAGAACCCTCAAGCATAACTTACACATCAAAGACCAGATTCCGCTGCCGAAAATTGTGCGATCTTTTGCCGTGGATTGGCAGGTATCACCATGTCACACAGTGGACCCTCTGTATACAACCCAACCCGCAGCTCAGGGGTCATACGCTGATCATTCAAATCATGTGCCGCGTGAACCGGCATTGGCACCAAAAGCCACCTTGTGGGATTGGAAAGCCTGGGACCAAACAGAAGGAAATAACGGACGACTTCAGAGAGCCGCTCTACACTTTTTGTATACCTGCTCGCAATATGTAGAAGTTCTCCAAACATGAGATCCGATCTGAAGTTTCCAGTCTGTCCTCCCCAATCCCAGTAGTTTCATTTTTGTTTCCTGTTGGTGCCCGACCAAGAAGAACCTGCTCTTTCTCTTGCACAGAAGAGTCCCCTCATCGTTGTATATGTTGGTATATTGTTCACCTGCTGGCTTTTGTTGCGGAAGAGCCGATTCTCTCTTCGTATGCCTTCCATGCTCTGACTCTGTATTCCTCGGCCTTTGCCCTCTTGTCTTGTGCACCATAGACACCACGGCCGACGATGATGATGTCGGTACCAGCCTCGCCGATGACTTTCTCCGGGGTGTTGTATTGCTGACCGAGACCGTCTCCAGTTGCTCCGATCTGCACGCCAGGGGTCATGGTGATGAAGTTGTCACCAGGCTTCTCGTTCAGCGAGCGTTGTGCAATGAAGCCCATGACAAATTCCGGGTTTTTGCGTGCTTCAACCACACATTGCTCCGTGTATGCACCAGTCATCAAGTTACCCGCGCTGCTCATCTCTGCAAGAATGAGCAAGCTTCGGAGGAGAGGAGGTTCGCCGAGGCGGGCCAAAGCGGAGGATTCTTGACTAGCCGAGCCTGCACTGACAGCCGAGATGGAGTCGGAAGGACCACCAAGGTGGTTTGGTGTGGGTTGAGGTGAGATGCTTTCTGTCTTTGTGCTGATTGTGGTAGAGACCGAGACGACACTGGGCTTGCGACCGGTAGGGTCGTTGTATGTAGACAACTGGTTGGTGTCCTCATCGCTGGAGAGCCTGTCAATGTCATCTGAATCGTCGTGGTGGGACAATGCAGGAGAGTCGACCTCGTCACTGTCATCCATGTACGAAGGAACGGGTGAGGCTGAGATGGAAGTGGTCACGGCGGTGTTGAGCGAAGTAACGGCGTCGTGGGCAGCTTGCGAGAGAGCGGTGATAATGGCAGGGCCAGGGAAGATGTGAGCATTGATAATGTTGGCCCAGCGTACGATTTGCAGAGGACCAGCAGTGAATTGCTTCTGCACCGTGCCTGCGAGCAGCTGTCAGTGTCTAACAGGAGCAAGAGAATAGTCGAGTATGAACATACTGCCAATGTCGCCAAACTTGCGGTCTTCGAAGACGAGGAAGTGCTTTTTGGCGGCAATCTCTTTGAGACCCTGAATGGTGCGAGGGCCAAAGTCATTGATAATGTCTGCATGTGTCTTGAGCATGCATATTGAGTCGCCGACCTCTTCGGCGAGCTGCAAGAGTTCTCTTGTGGTGGATACATCTGCCGACACACAGAGGTTCGTCTGCTTTGCGGCGATCAATTGCAAGAGATAAGCAGCCACGGGCGATGTCTTGGGGAGCGAGGCGCGCTCTTGGTATGACTGGGTGATTGTTGCGTGACGAGACATTTTGAGCGCCTAAGATGCGATAGAGGCTCGATGGATGGGAGGAGCGAGGCAGGGCGGAGAAGTCCACAATGGGGTGGTCAGGCAGCTGTCAAGTGCTATAGAGGAACCAAGGTGAAACGATGCGCGCACACAGGAGTACCAGATTGGAAGTTGCAAGGTAAAAGCAAAATATTAAATGACGACCGAAGGGCACCAGCCCAGACCGCTGAGACCAGTCGAGATTTGCGCCGAGCAAGTCAAAGCGAGAGCACACGGCCACCAGTGTGATGTACACAAAAACAAGTCAACAACAAAGGCACGACTCGAGAGACGGTCAGGCTGAGCAAATTTCTGACAGTCGGGCAGAGGAAGGAGTGAGGGATGCTCAAAGTCATACCGACTCGTCTTTATGCTTCTTTTTGACAACTGCGTGCGTGCAGGAGCCAGATTTGCTCTTCCGGATCCTCCTGCCACCAGCCAGCTCAAAAGCATCTGAAAGTGGGGTGCAACCCGAGGGTTTTTGGATGCTGTCTCAAAACCTGCCGCTGTCCACCAAAGCACAAGAGTCTGCTTGACCACAGTCACACGCCAATGCAGGGACGAGGCTATTGACAGATTTTTTCTACTCCTGCGGCGCCTGCACTCTTCCACCCGCTTGTCACCGCCTCTCTTGGCTTGACTCTGCACTGCTTAACGCTTCCAATGTCCGAGTCTTGCAAATTGCGGCCTACTCGCAGCTCAAGCCAAGCCCATCTACGGCCTTTCGACTTTCCAGGCCCACCACTTTGGACCGCAGCTGCTTCCGATCTGCAAGACGTGCATCAACTCTCTCGCCAATTCCTGCCAAACTCTGTTATTGAACTTGTCCCTCCTGAATCCCTCTCTCCACAGTTGTCTATCTATCCCTGTCTTTCCGCATTCCGCTCATGTCTCGAATCGCTGGTACATGAGCGTCCAATTGACTCTGTTATGAATGTCACACCAGGCCGTCAGGATTGGTCCTAGGGGTACAACATTAGAAACACATCCTTCCGCGGACTATTGTGCATGCGCTGTTCGAACACTCTGGGCTCACTGCACAAACATTGAATAGCTGCAGATCTGCAGCAATAGACGCGTTAGTTTGGGTCAGCTTGTCAACGGCTGACCTTTTGACCGTCCATCGTACTCCGTATACTGATAGCGCTCCGAGTTCCGACATGTACATATCCTAGTCACTCGCAGCTGATACGAAAGAGTTCGTCTTTGTTCATTTATCTCCCCGTGTCTAGAAGTATGTAACGCGTATAGCTATATAGATGCATGTTACTATCAGGGTGCTGGACAATTCCCGCTAAGAAGCAACTAGATATGGAGTCCTTCTGGACGACATTTGTCTCCGAGTGAGAATCTGCCTTCCCATAGCTTTTGCCTTATCCTGTGTTGTGGTCGGAGTATGAGGGAAGTTACATACTTCTGAACAAGGGGAGGTAGCACTTCTCACGAAGACCGCGACCTGTGGGGAAAAAAGTAACACATCGATAAATCTTGCTCGGCATGTTGACAGTCCACAATGATGGTTCGGTAGGCTTCGGCATCAAGTCCTAAATGAAGGACTGCAATTCCTTGTGACAGTGTGTTGTGGTCGGCTCACACCGCTACAAGAAGTATTCATCATGTCCCAGGGGGACTCGGACGATAATGGTCTTTATCAAAGATGGCATTCTCGAGATATGCGAGCTTCTTGAATCAAACACAGCGACAAGTAAACAATTTTTGAATTAACGGATTTGCAAATACTCATTGCCTCTTGGCTGTCATCTGCGTTGTATGGGAGCTCTTGCTGGTACACCAATGACTCGTCCTGAGTGCGCTACTACATCTCAACAAGTGTGACGATGCATCTGTCCATGTCCACTACTCATCGACTTTGCCGACGCTTGATACTACAACTCTTTCTTGCTCACTCGCATTCAGTGGTGCCATTCCGTACCTGTATCATGCTTGCGTCAGCCACTGCTACACACATCGCGATCTTGTGAAACGTGATCTCTGATGACTTACCAAGTGATTGCTGCCAAACCTACAAATGCTGCGATACAGCTGAAAACCAGAGCCACAATGCCCCTGGCTGTGAAGCCTGCAGGAAGCGGACGGGCCGGTGTGTTCTGGCCGCTAAGGTCTAGGATATCCTTTGTGTTGGCAGCCGCATTTCCTGCGTAGGGTACACCAGCGGCTTTACAGGCGGCATAGTGGTCGTCTGGTACACTAAGGGTCTTCTGCATCTCAAGAGGTGCCTCAATGAAAGTAGCGGCCAGACCTTGCTGCATGTGCCAGTCAATGTGACCTGGTGTGGGAGTTAGCTTTGCTCCTGTGTGTTTCATACACTGTTCTAGGATACGCACAGTGGAAAGCCCACACTCCAGGGTTGTTCGCAACGAAGCGAATGACAAGATTTCCCATCGGCGGCAGAACAACAGTGTCTCTGCGCATGGGATACTCGGGGAAAGCAGTGTGGTTGTTGGGGTCGAAAGCTAAGGGATTGACGTTGTCCTTCAGCGAGTAAAAGTCCTCGCCATACGACGGAGATCGGCTGATAACCTGGAAGTTATGCCCGTGATAATGGAATGGATGGCCTGGAAACATCATCGAATCAGCCCACAAAATTCAAGGTCGAGTAGAGTAGTAGAGGGAGACACGGAGAGATAAAACATACTGCCTCCGTCGTTGTTGGTCAGGACTACTTCGATAACGTCGAGGTGGTTAAGAACAAAGGCATTGGTATACTCTCCATAAACAGCCTCATTGGCAGCCTCTTCACCAGCGGTCAGGGCAGTGTAGAGACTGGGGACCTTGGGGCGGGTGTAAGTCTGATCATTGAAAAAGGCATACGGCTTGCCATTGTCGAGAATGCCCATCGAGACTGTCAAGTTGATGACCTTGCTAGGGTTCTCGAACAGAGGCTCCTTGTCGTATGGCACAAGAGAGTAATCGTCGAAAGCAGGGTTCTCATCAACAATGTTGAGAGTTACGTTCACTGGGTCGAAATCAGCTGAGGGGTTGTATTGGAGCCAGTTAGTTTGGTTGAGACGCAGGTCATCGGGAATTGTGTCTAGCAACACCTGATCCGCGATAGTGACAAGACCATAGTTGCGAGCAGTGGAGGCTTTCGTGGTGAACAGAACAGAGTAGCGTTGAGCCACTGCGACGTAAAGCAATGATGCCTCCTTAGGCTCGGTAAACACGCCATCGACCTCAACTATAGTGAAGTTGTGATCCTCGATGTAGAAATACTGAGCAGCAAATGCACCAGTATTGACGATTCTCAGCAAGTAGGTGGTATTTGGCTCAACCGAGATTTTCGTGTCCATGACAGAGTTGTTGAATAAAAAGGCATCGGGAATGGGCTCAGCACCAGTCGGGCTAAGATCTTTTAGCATGGTTTCGAAGGACAAATGGCTGATACGCTATTTGACATGTTTTACTTACTTGGAGAGGGCGATGAAAGTGATATCTTCAACCATTTCATGATACCAATCGCTTACGGAGACCGCGAACTCTTCCTTGTACTGGTCTGCAAACCAAGCATCGGTATCGTGTACAAGGAGCATTTGACGGTAGCCATCAGGGTAGCAAAGGTCGGTATGACAGTGATACCAATAGGTGCCACTCTGTTCGACGGTAAAGTCATAAGTAAAAGACGCTCCCGGAACGATTGGGCATTGAGTCTGCATAGATGGTCCATCCATTTCGTTTGTAGTGTTCTGGAACAAGCCGTGCCAGTGAATACTCGTCGACTTGTCTCCGAGACCGTTATAGACGTGGACGATAAGTCGATCGCCCTTGTTGACCTCCAGAACAGGTAGAGGCCATGTGTTGTTGACGCCAATCACTTTTCTTTCCTGAAGACCGTCGGGATTGGCCATTACCCATGTCATGTTGAAATACTTCTCTATGACCGCAGCTCGACATGTTGTGAGCAGTAGCGTGAGGCCAAATAGAAGTTGAATGATGCGACCTGCCATGGTGCTGTGTTGTGAGCGCTCCAGGGAATCGCCTGGAACGATCTGATAAGAATTGATCTAGTACGAAAAATCAGATGAATGTGGGAAGAACAAAGAGCGGGCAGATGATATGATTGATAAGATGCCCGAGGTCATCTAGGTACATTTGGGAAGATTTTACGATCTGCGGCACCGGTGGACCTGATGATGGCTAGAGCGCCACAAGTCGCACGCTCACGTCGCCAAAGTTACCTGAGGTATGCCGGTAATAGGGCAATTCCGTGTTCCTCCGGCCTGCTCTGTGCAAAGACGGTGCACTTTGTCGTTCTAATGCAGAGACACGCTTGATATACGCCTGACCCAAGCACAGTGCCAGTCGAGAGCAGCCATAGCCCTGATTCGAGACAAGGACTCTCCTGTAGAATAGGTTGAAGGATGCTACCTCACAGACCAACAAAACAAGTACCGCCGTGTCAATCAATGGGTACGAGAGAGCCGGTGGAAACCTGATATGATCCAGACGCGCCGCCCCACCCCGCGCGCATCGCTTATCTGATCCGTCGTGTGTAGCGTCGGCTCAAGCCTTCTCAAGCTGCCTACCAAGGACTCTTGGCAGCTGATCAAGACAGAGTTCCACAATATCTTTGGTCTAGAATTCCTTTGAATCGTGTCGTCGTCTATGAAGCCAGCTCGTCGTGAACTGTCTTTTCGCAGAATTTGGAGGTCATGGTGAGAACTTTCAATATACGAGTCATCGCTACGTCTCACCTGTTCCACTGCCGGCAAATTTTTGAACGATCCTGGAACGAAGGGAACCAGTAACGCCACAATAGGCTAGCTGAACCATGAAGCGCCAGTGGCACCACTCTCAACACGTACCCTAGGGAACTCGGATGATTTTGAGGGAAAAAAAGCAAAGTGGTGGTGGCCGAGGTCGCAAGTGTCCCCGTTATCAGATCAGTGTTCCCATCTCCTCTGATTTTCGATCAAATCAATCTTGATCATATCTATCTGATCCCGATTTTTTGCTCGACACCACCACCGCCATGGGTGTCAACGTTTTTGCTGTGCCTAGTATGTCAATTGATGGCTTGAATATACTTGGATATATACTGATCCTGCTACAGTCTTCTTTATTTGCTTCAGAGAATGTCTTGAATGTAGCATTATCGTTTCCGTCTTGCTGTCTTTCCTGAAGCAAACTCTTGGTCCTGAACATGACCCAGTCGTCTACAAGAAGCTGAGAGCTCAAATTTGGTGGGGAATTGGGCTGGGCCTCTTGGTCTGTTTGATCATTGGCGGTGCATTCATTGGTGCATTTTACGGACTTGGTAAGCTTGTCTGTAGCATGAGTTCTACCAACATGACTAACATTCCCTTAAGGCAAAGACCATTTCGCTTCGACCGAAGACATCTGGGAAGGTGTCTTTGGCTTGATTGCAGCAATCATCATCTCGATCATGGGTGCCGCCCTCCTTCGAGTATCAAAACTGCAAACTAAATGGAGAGTCAAGCTGGCCAAGGCTCTGGAAGAAAAGGATCAGAACAAGGGCAAGGCGACAACTCGTTTCAAGCGCTTTGCTGAGAAGTACGCCATGTTCATGCTTCCTTTCATCACTGTCATGAGAGAAGGTCTTGAAGCCGTCGTCTTCATCGGAGGCGTATCTCTTGGACTTCCGGCTACATCGTTTCCTCTTGCGGTTATCACTGGTCTCGCAGCTGGCTGTTTGATCGGATACCTCATCTACCGTGGTGGCAACATGGCATCTCTGCAAATTTTCCTCATCGTCTCGACCTGTGTCCTGTATCTCGTTGCTGCCGGTCTCTTTTCCAAGGCCGTTTGGTTCTTCGAGAACCACGCTTGGGGTAAGCTCGTCGGTAGTGACGTTTCCGAGGTTGGAAGTGGCCCAGGATCTTACGATATCACCAAGTCAGTCTGGCATGTCAATTGTTGTAACCCAGAGATCAACTCCTCAGGCTGGGGCATTTTTAATGCCATTCTCGGTTGGCAGAACTCTGCAACCTATGGTTCAGTTCTCTCATACAACTTTTACTGGATTGCAGTCATTATCGCCTTCATTTCGATGCGGTACAAGGAGCAACATGGCCACTGGCCTATGATGAGGGCCAGATCGAAGCAGGTAGACAGCGAGAGCTCTAGTCAAGTCGATGTAACAGAGACGGTGGAGAAGAAGGCATCTGATGAACCTGCAACGGTGACAGCAATCAGAGAAATTGAGTGATGATGCACTTTCCTAATTAGGCAGTTTCCTAATCCGTACAAGTTGGGATCTAGCCAACACGAGAAATGAAAACTTATCGTCGTTTAGCACAATTCTGTTCTCCCCGTATGCTGATTACTGTCACGATGTACCTAGAAAAATGCATGAATGCTTTCGCAAAGAGCGTGGACTCCACAGAGACGATCTCTTCAAGGCTCTCTCTCTCTCTCTCTCTCTCTCTCTCTGGCCACACTCATGATCAGAACACTACTGTGCATTTCGATAGCTTCTAACACACTAAGTCTTGGAATGAGAAAGGGGGTGACGGTCTTTGGCACAAGAAAGGTTGCGCTGGTTCATAACCATGTCGAGTTTGTGTATACAACTTTACTTCAGAATCATGCCTGGTTCTCTCCTTCGTCTTCATCCTCGTCATCTTCTTCTACTAACTTTTCAACCATCAGATTTGCGCTTCTCCCAACGCGAGACTTTAAAGTCCCACCCTGTTCAAGGTTGTACACTTCTCGAGGCATGGGCGATACTAGCTGGAACTCGTACTCGTGGCTGTAGCCGCTTGGTTCAGAGACGTCCTTCTCTGATGCCGCTTCATCGCTCTGCATAATGTCGTAGCATTCGACAAATGCATATAGCTCTTCGAGCGGCGCGTCGGCACCAAACTTACGTATCACTCTTTCGCCAGACGGCATCCTGACGCTGATACGCACTACATCGCTGACAGTCGAAGCAGGTTCTTGGGGCAATGATTGTGCACGCCATTTTCTCCACTGCGAGATGTTTTGAGCCTTTCGTGCTTTCGCTTCTGCTCGTTCTCTTTCTTCGTTCTCTGCTTTTTGGCGAGCAGCTTCAGCTTCTTTTCTTTGACGAGCTCTTTCCCTATCTTGAGCCAACGATCGCTCATATGCGCTGTTCTGCTCTTCTCTAAGAGTTCTTGAAGCCTGTTGTTCGGAGCGCTGTCTCCTTGCACCTTCCAATTCTTGATCACGTTTTTGCATGGCATCTTGCATCTTGGCAAGGAATTCCGAGGGGGAGACAGGACCAGCGACACGAGCGATCAGTGACATGGAGGTAGAGGAAACAGAGGGAGTATGTACGATCAAGCCAGTAAAGGGGAACTTGGTGACATTGAGGGCGTTAGCAACCTGGTATGCTTCCGAGTCTTGAACGCTTCCAGCCCAGACGATCATATTCGAGGCGTGTGTTTGCATAAATTCTTTGATCTGGGGCGAGAGTAGGGTGTCGCGGACGAATGGGGCAGTATCGTCATGCTCGGGAGACAGCAGAATGACCAGTATGTACTTGAGATCGCGTTTGGCCAGGTCAAAAGCTTGGGCATAGCCATTCTCAAAGAAGGGGATGGTATTTGATTCGACGTTGTACTCTTCCTCGAAATCACGGATGAAGCGGGAAGCTGTGTCGCGAGGGTTTAGTGGGCGTCTATCGGAATTGTTGGATCGAGCTGATTGTAGCGGGAAGAGACGGTGTAGAAGGCGAGGTATGATGGGGAAGAAATAGCCTAAGGCGCCAAAGACACGGCTGAAGATGGAGTAGGTCAGGTTGAAGGGCAGGAAGAGCAGTTGCAAGACGAAGGGTGCGGGCTGGGTCAGCTGGCTTTCTGGCGTAGGCACAACGCGCGGAGCTTGTTGCAAGCCATGCTGGGTAGGTCTGCTTCTGGCGAAAGCGGCGGCATCGAGACTGGCAGCCAGGTTCTCGGATCGGCGTGAGTCTTGCGGCGGAGGCACATCGACGTCGACAACATCAGCGTCGCCATCGAAGAAGCGTGTGATGGCGATCTGGACAAGGCATCAGTCGTGGTCTTGCGCTCAAGAAGCAGGGCCGTGTGTACCTGAGCATTCCATTGACAGCGTTGTAGCAAGGCCAAAGCTGTATCAAGATCCTGGTCTGTCACGGACGTAACTTGTTGTAGTGCCAGTTGCTGCTCTTCCGAGAGCTGGGATATGTCTGTCGAAGGTGCCGACATATCGTCGCACCATAAACGAGTTGTCGCTCTGCTTCTGCCACAATGTCAATGTGGGAAGCTACAGTACCTAGACTCTGGAGACCGAGAACACCAAGGTTGCCTATGTCATGCTTGGCACCCTGTCTCAGCCCTATCCATGACTCGTCGTGGCCGCAGAGGAAGGCTGCATCTATCGCGTGGACTCACCGTCCAATCACCTGGAAGTCTATATCTGTGCCACTATCTTGAAATTGAGACTTCTTTCAATCTCAACCCGACCACACATTCTACCAAAGATTTCATCGACTCAAATATCTTGTGTGGGCAAGGACTAACCCATTGGCGATTTTGCTGTCTCGGGTTGTCGTTGGGAACTGTCCGGCGAATACCGACACTTCCCTGAATCAACGACTGGCTTCACTCTCACCGTCTGTTGCTCGTGCATTCCCAGCCATATCGGATCGGGGCCTTGCTTGTGCTCTGTATCAAGCACATAGAATTGTTGTTTTTTTCATAATGTTTTTCGTGGCTTCCCTCGATTAGGTATGTGCAAATCAAGCGCCTGAGGCTGTATCTTGTCCCTTGTCCATCCGTCTCCCCAATCATCGGGCTCGTCATACCTGCTACCTCCCTGTCCCTCCCTTGGACTTGCTCTTCACTTTGCCATGATTCTCAAACTCATCCGACTCGCTCCGCTGTCTAACTCTTGCCCGTGCAGACATTGCATCTTGGTCTCCGAACTCTTGTTAGCCAAGGGGCTGCTGTGTCACTCACACCAATTCTATCCTTCCAACATCAACAATATTTTTTCGGCTGTACATTGCTTTGTTGCCTCATCTTCCATTTCTGTCGACGGGCCACTTTCCTGACGTTGGTTTCTACCTCGAAAAGAATTGTCTTTTTGAGTTACACATTCTTTGAAGAACCAGCAGAAACCGACGCGTCTGTCAGCTCACACTGGTTCCACGAATGCTCCCAGGATATTTCAGTCCAAACTTGAATCACTTGTACTTGCGAGATCTTCGTGGGCGCCATGGCAGCATCAGGAGCTAGCAGTCCGGGAGATATGCGTAGGAGGCATCAGTCTCCGAGACCTAAAGGCCGCGGTATGTACTGTATACTGCCTTCGACGCCTTTGCTGTAGTTTATATCTGACACGAGCACAGAAAACACAAAAAACGTCCTTTGCAGGAACATCACCATTTATGGCAGTTGCAGGGCTCAGAACAACGGTAGGTCCCCATGTCACTTTGCTGGGAACAGTCTTTCTGATACACAACAGGTTGCCCTTACAACCATGAACTGCCTCCAAAGCCTACCCAACAGACAGAAAGGTGCGTGATGCATGAATGGTCACTTTTGCATAAACTTATGCCTATCCAGCGCCAAACGCTTCCTGAACGTTGACTCCCCATCTTTCAAACCTCTGTCCCCTGTCACAAACAGCGTCCAGCCTGTGAAGAATCTCGGTATCTCGCCAAAAGCGGCTTCAGCAGCCGTGTTTACCCCGAAAGCAACCGGTAATGTCGAGCGAAGTGTAACCAAGGTTTGAGAGACTGACACAAAGCAGCAGCAGTACCTGCTGCGTCAACCAAACAACCATCAACAGAATGGTCTCAACGCGGTATACAAGAGTTCGTCCCTCAGAACTTTGTGCCTCAGTCGGTAAGTACTTGTCTTGTGACACTTGCTTGGTGTTCATTCCACTATCCACAGGCTCGACGATTGGTGACATGTGCTAATAGAGCCACTTATAGGCTGAGAGTGGTTCTTCTACCAATAATATTGCATCATTCGACCCGTTCACCATGCAAACGAACGCTGGTCAGATGTCCGATGCTTCCCACACTCCGCAGATCAATCCGTATGCTCAGGATGCTTCCGCCCTAGCTGCGACTTCGATGTTCTCAGCTGCTGCTGCTTTTGCTCATCCAGTATGCCAACAATCTTTCTCTTGTAAGCATCCGCTGACCGAGTTCCAGCTTAGTTATCATCTGTATGCGCCCTTGGGTCCCCATCGAGAAAACCTTATGGCATACCAACGAACAACACATGACTTCTTTATCCCCGATCATTTGCGTGAGGAGATGCAACGTAAATCCGAGGCATCTCTCCAGACTTTCTCAAGTGAGTTGTGGCTTGCGCATATCGATAGGAGGAAACTAACGCACTACAGATACAGCACTTCCCCAACAAATAGAACACTTCCACTCTCTGGTGGCCCTCGATACAAATGCCCAGAAGTCTGCATCAGCATACGGCTACCCAAGTTGGATATACAAGGCTACTTCGAGCAAAGATGGCTACAACTATGCTCTGAGACGTCTAGAGGGTAAGAACCGCGCCTTCTACTTACAGGATATTTGAGAACTCATATCAATTTTACAGGCTTTCGATTGACCGATGAAAACGCGATACGTACCATACAGACATGGAAACGCATCAGCAACGGCAATGTTGTCACTGTCCACGACGCTTTTACAACCAGAGCGTTTGGAGACAGTTCCCTGATAGTCGTTACTGACTACCATCCTCTCTCGCAGACGCTAGCCGACAAGATTTTTACTCCAAACACCAGAAATCCAGGAGGCACTCTTTCACGGTCCCCAGGAAGCTACGTGACTGATCATGAACTCTGGGGTTATATCGTCCAGCTGGCGTCTGCTCTTAAAGCTATTCACTCAATCGGCCTTGCTGCTCGCCTAATGACCCCACAGAAGATTCTCATCACGTCCAAGAGCCGGCTTCGACTGAACTCTTGTGGCATCCTTGATATTACTCAATATGAACAGGGGCGCAGCATCTCGGAGCTCCAACAGGACGATATATTGCAGATGGGTCGCTTGATACTCTGTATAGCTAACAAGAATCCCACGGCTCATCATAATACTCAAAAGTCACTTGAGCACGTCGGTCGAGCATACAGCGAAAAGATGCGCGAGGTGGTTACTTGGTTACTCACCCCTGCTGCGCCAATGACACCGACTCAAGCACCAACAAGCTCACCCGCTCCTGCAGCAGCTACTACGTCTTCGGACCACGATATCGATAGCTTCCTTTCGCTGATCTCGTCCCAAATAACATTAACCTTTGACGCGAGTCTGCACGAGGCTGACTCACTGACAAGCAATCTGTCTCGCGAGCTCGAGAACGCACGCCTCGTACGCCTGCTCACCAAGCTCAACATGGTCCTCGAGCGGCCCGAAACGACTCTGGCATCTAATGCTGCGAACCCAAACCAGCCTGCTGCTCCGCACTCTCTCAACCACACGTCATCTGCTTGGTCTGAGACTGGAGAACGCTACTATCTCAAACTGTTCCGTGATTATGTGTTCCATCAGGTTGACGCAGATGGTCGACCTGTCCTCGATTTCGGACACATCCTGACATGTCTGAACAAACTGGATGCTGGCATTGAGGAGAAGATCATGTTGGTCAGCAGAGACGAGCAGAATTGTTTTGTTGTCAGTTACAGAGAGGTTAAGAGAGGGTTTGAGAGCGCTTGGACAGAGTTGATGAAGGCCAGTCAAGGTGGAAGAAGATAACATGACAAATGTATAGACCACCAAAAAAAATGAGAAAAGGTTTATTCACATTTTACAGACCCAGCATAGGAATGGCCATGCTCATCTGTCGAGCCTATCACCCTGTCTTAGTTTCTCATCACGATCTCACGTCTGAAGATTCTCGATACCCATGATTCGACATGTTACAGTGTGACCATGTGCGTTGCGAATTCAGCTTGTCCATGTCTGCATATGGGGGAGTCCCACCTGCCGCCGTGGGAGCATCGTGATTGTGATAATGCTCGGTTGATCTCATTCGTGAGGCTTCCGTCATCGGCTGGCGTCACAATTATAGGTCAAGTCGGGCAAGGTAGATTGCGAATGACAATGCCGTTGCCGATGAGTCTGCTACTCATAACTGGAACTGCCAACAGAGACAGGAAGAGCTACGAGCCTCAGGGATTTGCAGTGGACAACAAGATGTGCATGATGTTCGGTGTGATCGACCCCCTCAACCCCACTTCCAAAAGAAGTAAGGCTCACAACCAAGAAAAACAAGCATGTGATGTGACGCTCCAGACCCGAAGCCAGCAGAGGAGAAAGGACCCTTGGAAAGCACACGAAAAAGACCAACAAAGTCGAAACACACACTGGTCTTCCCCCCTTCTTTGAAACAACAAGGCAGCCACAACAACCAACAGGCTTTCTTTTAACAAGTTTCTATTCGAAAGTCACTCCTTTTCTTTAAGAAACATTACATCAGTCATATCGCAGACATGTCGGGGCACCAGAGAAGACCTAGCATGGTATGTCATAGGAGGGCGACCGCAGCCAAACCGCAAACAGGCAGCAGCCCACTTCAACACGCGGCCATTTCAAGCAGCAGAACCAGCTAACAGTCAACTTCTACACAGGCAGAGAATTTGACACCAGAGCAAATCAAAGAGCTCAAGGAAGTCTTCAACGTCTTCGTAAGTCCTTTCCAATGACGAAACTGCCTGGGACCAGAAAATTGACGTCAAATCTTCTGAATGTGTAGGACAAGGATGGAAACGGCAATATCACAGTCGATGAACTGGGCGAAGTCATGCGCTCTCTCGGCCAGGAACCTTCTCAAACCGAACTCGAGGACATTCTCAATGAAATCGACAAGGACGGCTCTGGCTCAATTGAGTTCGACGAGTTTCTCTCGATGATGGGTCGCAAGGTCCAGCAAGCAGACAGCGAGTCCGAGTTGAGAGCAGCTTTCGCAGTCTTCGACAGAGATGGCAGTGGTACCATCTCCGCCGAGGAATTGAGAAACGTCATGAAGAGCATTGGCGAAAACCTGTCTGACGCCGAGATTGATGAGATGATCAAGGAAGCAGATGCCAATGGAGATGGTAACATTGATTGTAAGTTGCTTGAATCAACACACGAGAAAGCCGAAACTAATATGCTTATAGACGACGAGTTCGTAAAGATCATGAGTGCTTAAGATGCGCAAGGTTCACGAAAGAATATGCTTTGTTCGTCCTCTCAGAGGCCAATTTGTGCAGGTTGCATCTTAGCCTAGGAGCTCAAGGATACAGGAAAATTACGGAAATCACGGAAATCAGGCAGGGTGGAATTTGGATACGATCTCCACGACACAAGGCTCAGGTTATTACCAAACAGAGTAGAATTTTCACGTACAATGCATCAAGACATTAAATTCCGATGTCGTGTGACATGAGATCACAAAAATACGAATGAGACAAGAATTCAGGGCGAAGATATAGAATTGCAGAAAATCATTCTGCTTAGCTATCGTATACAATAAGTCTCCCTTGGCCTGGTGCCTATGATACTTTTCTTTTGACATGTGTTTTAGCTCCTGAGTGCTAAACGAGTCGAGCTGATGATGCTCAGAGTGTTGGGATTTGAAGCGAAAGATTTATCGGTCCTTCTTGGGAGTGCTGTCAGAGTTGCCAGCGACCTGGTCACCAAGACGGTTGTACTCGGTAGAGAGACCCTGAGCCTGCTTCTTGAGGGTCTCGATGTCGCGGTCCTTGGCAGCAAGCTCCTTCTTCAGGCGGCCGACCTCGCCAATGTTCTCGGCCTCGTTGAGCTTGGCGTCTTTGGGTCTGTCGGTGCCCTTCAACTGTCTGTTCTCAAGCTCGAGACGGAGGACGTCAAGGATCATGCCGTAGGTACGGTTGAGGATCAGAGAGAGGAAGAGGGTGAAGCCACAGAGGTACATGTTGCGTTGCGAGTAGAACTTGCGAGCCTGGATCTCCATGCGTTCGATACCGCCAACGGCAGCAGCACTGATTGAATATGTCAGTGGGGTGTAGACAAGCTAAGGACAAAGGAGGTTCAAGCTTACCCAGCGCCGTTGTTGGAGTTGTTGGCCTGAGCAAGCTCAAGCTGGACGCGGTAGACGCGGTTGACGCTGTCGACGAACAGGATCAGGATAAAGACAAAGGTGATCTGGGGGCGAAGTCAGCAGGGAAGCTGGAGACGAGATACAGAAGCTGGGCCATGCATACCTTGATCCAATACTGCAGCTTTGCTATGATGGGACTCTCGGAGATGAAGGTCAGGAGCTTGCGCTTCCAGGTGAAGGGCATGGGGACGATGAGCGACATGAAGACGACCATCTCGAAGACGAGAAGGGCGAAGACAAGACTGTAGTAGAGCGTCATGATGGGCAATCAATTGGTCGAGTGTGGTTGATGGGAGAGTGGGAAGAGAGGAAGGGGAATTGGAGATGGACGTCTCTCTTGTACGTCGTCAGCACAAAACCGGCCGGAGCCTGCGAAGCCAAAGCCAACACGTACCTGCCAAACAAACCTGCTACGTCACCTTCCGTCACTCTTAGAGCTGAGGCCATCGCAGCTTGCATCTCTTGAGCCGAAAAGAGCCCGGCCGGGGTCGAAGCGCGATAAGCTTTCTTATCGTCTCTGCGCTCGAAAAAGTGTCGCCGCTGTGTGAACAGAAAGAGAGTCTTTCAGCATCTGTTCACGCGACCATGGCAGACAACACAGACAAATCGCTCAATGGTGCAGGAACTACCGCTCCTGCCCAGCCCACCACCAACCCGCTGAACCCTTCCGAGCCCTTGAAGCGCCCAGCTCCCGGCGACTCGACCGAGCCCGCCAATCCACAGAGTGAAATTCTTCCTTTCGACTCGGCCCTTACACGCGCCGAGAAAGTAGAGCGCCATGGCGACGAGCAACCCTCTAAGCGAGTCAAGCTGGAACAAGACCCTGTCCTGACCGCCGTGGAACCCAAGCCCAGAGTCAAGGGCGTCGCCCCCATCAAGAAGGAATACTTGATCCACAACTCTGATTCCGCTGCACGACCCGACCAAGTCTCGGAAGAGAACCCTGACGATGTCGCCGAAGGAAGTAAGCACGAGTCGCAACAGCAGTCCAAGGACAAGAAGCAGAAGAACCGTGGCCAGAACAAGGCTAGAACTTTTGGTAGCTCGCGCGATGCTCTTCAATTGTGCAAGACCCGTGTCCACAACAACGAGTTTTCACCCAATGAGTGCCCCTTCGGCGACAAGTGCAGAATGGAACACGACCTCCGCAAATACCTGGCTGAGGGCAAACGCGAGGACTTGACTACCTTCAACGCCAAGTGCCCCATCTTTGAGGTCAAGGGCAAGTGTAATGCTGGTTGGAAATGCCGCTTCGCTGGCTCCCACTCTACTGAGAGAGAAACTCCCGATGGTCGCAAGGAGCTCGTCCTCCTGGACAATGACAAAGCTTTGGGTGACAGTGCCCAAGCAGAAGAGGAGGAGGGTGTAGGTGTGGTCAATGTTGTCTCAATGGGCGCCAAAATCGAACTCAGAAAGAAAAAGACAGCCATGCCCAAGTCTGAGGCCTACGTGGCTTGGCTAGACAAGCGTCAGGCTGAGATGAACAAGTACTATGGAGCAAACAAACCAGAAGAAGGACAAGAAGCAGAAGCCGAAAAGATGTCACTCGAGGAGCGTCGCGCCCAGTTCACAGAAGCCCCTGTTCGTGCTTCGGAAAAGCGCAGAATCTACTACGGTCCTGAGACCCCGGTTCTAGCTCCCTTGACCACACAAGGAAACCTTCCATTCAGACGTTTGTGCGTCAGCCTCGGTGCTCAAGTTACGTGGTCCGAAATGGCCATGGGTCTACCGCTCATCCAAGGTGAGAAGGGCGAATGGGCTCTGGCCAAGGCCCACGAGTCTGAGATTACTCCTCCCAAGTACACCCCCAAGTCTGTCGTTGCTGGCTACGACAACTCAAAGGATCTCAAGTTCGGTGTTCAGATTGCAGGAAACAAGCCATGGAACGTTCTTAAGACCACCGAAATTCTCACCGCACTCTGCCCGAGCATTCGCGCAATCGACTTGAATTGCGGCTGCCCTATTGATCTTGTCTACCGTCAAGGCGCTGGTTCCGCCCTTATGGATTCGCCTGGCAAGCTCGAAAAGATCCTGCGCGGTATGAATGCCGTATCTGGAGAAGTCCCTATCACCGTCAAAATTCGCATGGGCACCAAGGACAACCATCCCACTGCCGATAGACTCGTACAACGTCTTGTTCTTGGAGGCGAAGAAGCTGTCGCCACTGGTGACGGCCCATGTGGTGTCGCTGCCATTACCCTCCACGGCCGTAGCCGTCAACAGAGATACACTCGCCAAGCCAACTGGGAGTACATTGCCGAATGCTCGGCCTTGGTCAACAGACTCAAGCAAAAGCAAGCAGAGGTAACAGATACCATCCGCGAAGCAGATGCACGTGACATGACTGCCTCGAACAATGGTATGCCTTACTTCTGTGGAAACGGTGATGTCTACTCTCACGTCGACTACTTTGACGCCGTCAACAACGCCAACGTCGATTCAGCCATGATTGGTCGTGGTGCATTGATCAAGCCCTGGATCTTCGAGGAGATTCAGACTGGTCAGTACCTCGACAAGAGTGCATCAGAGAGACTGCAGTACATTGAGCAGTTCACACGTTTCGGTCTGGAGAACTGGGGATCTGACGAGATTGGCGTTGGAGTCACACGTCGTTTCTTGCTCGAGTGGTTGAGCTTCAGCTGCAGATACGTGCCCCTTGGTCTGCTTGAACACTTACCTCCACACCTCAATGACAGACCTCCTGCCTTCCGTGGCAGAAATGAGCTCGAGACATTGCTTAGCAGCCCCAACTACAAAGACTGGATCAAGATCAGGCAAGTGCTTTGTGTAAGCAATTCAGAGGCAAGATTAGCTAACAAGGTTATAGTGAAATGTTTTTGGGACCGGCACACAAGGACTTCCAGTTCCAGCCCAAACACAAGAGCAACAGTTACGAGATTGAAGCCGAGGGTTAGATACACTAATCAAGGACGTCGTCGAGGACATGTGTCTCTATCTTACCGTGTCGATCGTGAAAAATGTGCCAGATAGATATTTGCTGCGGATGAGGAAATCCTAGCTCCAAAATATATGCACCAATAGAAGTGCTTCGCTTGGCCACAGTATGTAACACTTTTGATAGTTCATGCTCGTAGCATGAATCTTGAATCGATATTCAATTCGAACACGTCTATTCAACATCTAACAACCGAGAGCAATACTGTCCCTTCGAACACTCTTGCATTGATCAGAATCTGGGTTTGCTCGAAAGCGGGATTGGCGGAGCATCAGCCTGTAGCTCCTTTTTCTTTGGTGGTGGCGGAGGAGGTTTCTTGCCAGCAGCAGCATTTGGAGCAAAAGATGAAGCAGCCGAAGCAACAGTGCCAGCGTGCTGAGTGGCAAGATTCATAGCTGTAGGTGAAGCAGCAGCCCGTGAGAAGCCTGACTGTAGAGCTTGTGCCTGCTGTGGAGAAGCGCCAGATGCAGAAGCAAAGGTACCAGCGTGTTGAACTGCTTGTTTCTGGACGGCTGGAGAAGAGGCAATGTTTGCTGCGTGGTTTCGGACGGTAGGTGAAGAAGCAAGGCCGGCAAGACGGGATTGAACCTGCGGATTGCTTGCTTGTTGAGATACCATATTCCCGAAACGTGATGAGACACCATTTGATGATTGTGATTGTGGTTGTTGGGTTTGTGACGAGTCAGAGGAAGACATTCTGGAGAAGCGCGATTGCAGCTCATTCATGTGGGATGGCTGAGGTGGTGTGGGTGCAGGCGAGGAGGGTTTGGCACCGATATCAAAGCCAGGAACACTCACGCCTGCACGACCGAGTCGATTGACGGAGCCTTGATCCGGGGCAGGTATGTGTTGGGGTGCCTGGATGGCTTCAGAATAGACAGGTGGAGGTGGAGGAGAGTTCAGATCAGGGTGGGAGTTCTGTCGTGGAGGCAATCGAGGTGGTAGAGCGGGCTGTTGTCTGGGAGCGGCAGAAGGAGGAGTAGGAGTGGAACGAGGAGGAGGAAGCGGAGCGCGAGCAGCAGCAGCAGGAGAAGGAGCGATTTGGCGTGGAGGAGGTCTCGGCGTGGAAGAGACGGATGAAGGAGAGGCAGCGTCGTTTCGTCGCACAGGGGGCTTGGGCAGATTGGCAGTGGATAGACCAGTTGTGTCGACGCGGTAAGGGCCCGGGGGTGGACGAGAGGCCTCTTCTTCTTCCTGCTGGGCTTGGGCTTGAGCGTATTGCTGGTGCTGGATCATCTCTTTGGGCAGCGGAGCCCCCAGTCCACGTGTAGCGGCAGTGTTTGCGGGCGTGCTGACATGGCTGGATGTGAGAGCACTTGAAGAGCTGCTGGGTGATGCCGCTGCTGCTTGGCCATGATAGTGGATGTGTTTTGGTGGAGGTGCAAAAGAGGCAGCTGCAGGGGAGGCCGTGGTTAGCACAAAGCTGGCAGGGATGCTCTGTCTACTCATAAGTGCACTCACGATCTTTGAGCGACGACAGCGGCTGCGAGACGTGGTTCGCGCGCGCCTCTATGCGCTCTCTCTCCGACTTGCTTGTGCTTCCGGGAATGCGGTCGTTGATCTTTGCCCGCCAGCCACTTCCTCCTCCGCTGCTGCTGCTACTGCTGTCTTTGCTGCCGCCAGGGTGCCATCCTCCTTTTGCGATGCCTCGTAGTCCAGACATGGTGTCTTGTATCAATTGTCGCACGTCAAGTTTGGTTCAAGTCTTGTCGAATCCATCTCTTCCATCCATGCCCCGCTTACGTCAGCTCTGAATCTCTCTCACATGTTCACTATGCTTGCGTACAACTTGTCTGTCAAACACCAGATATCCCGAAACAAACCAAAGACTTCCAATCAAGCTTGTCGTATGCAATTCGTCAGTAGGGGATATCTCTAATCGACAATGCCAAATGCCAACTCCAGGACGCCGCTGAACCTTGCTGCTTTCTTTGCTCTGACCCACCACGCTCCTCGTGCTTATTGTCGCGGATCTTGCAGCTCCACACGCTTCCACATACCCACATGCATGATGTTTTCTTCTTCCCAAGTGCCCATGCTCTCGTCTCTGACAAAGCCAAACAGTGCCCAGTACTTTTCCAAATGTGCCTGTGCATGTACCAGCACAAGCCCTCTCCACACGTCTTCGACCTCAACTCCGCCTCCAAGCTCGAGCTTGCGCTGCTCAGCTGCTGCAGGAGACATGGGTGGGAGGATCTTGTCGGCGTTGTTGGATGCCCAGCTGAGGGCAGCATCGATCAGAAGACGAGCGAGTCCGAGTCCTTGAAGCAGTAATGTCAGCATGGCTAGACTAGACGAGTGCATTAAATATCGTACCTCTGAAAGGTTGAAGAACAGACAAGCGACCGAGCTTAATGTATGCCTCCTTGCCATCATGCATCTCGGTCTTGCTTAGACCACTTTGCATGTCCTGCGGCAAGCCCTCGTGGTTGTCGATTTTGTGACTTGAGCCCGGCTGAGGATGAGGAGGGTGAGGAGGTGGGACCAGTCTGATTGTGCCGACGGGCAGTCTCATGGCGGTACTGCCCTTGCGACCAGTATTCTCGGCAGTGGTTGCAGAGTCTTTGGTTACGCCCTCCATGGCAGCATTGCCGTCGGTGCTGGATGTGCCGACCGAGGCGTAAGCAACCCAGTGGAAGCTGCGAGCGTCGTCCATGTCGACCTCGTTCTCCAGTGCAATGTTTTGCTCTTTGACAAAGACATCTTCGCGCACGCTCATGGCGTCGCGGAAGATTTCTGGCACGTCTTGCGGCTGTGTTGTGTGCAGTGCAGCCGAATCATAGTTGGCTAGAGCGAGACCAGGAGGCGGTAGGAACGAGATGAATTCTGACATGGTCGATTCGGAATTCGGCGACCATCCAGAGGAAAAAGTTGGATCGATCGTGTCAAGCGTGTCTGTCCCAGGGTAGTCGGATGGCAGTAGGTACACTCGCGCTGGACGTGGTTGGGGGCCTTTGTTGTGCTCGTAGAGTCTTGTTGGTCGTAGTGTGTCGAGTGTGCTAAGACGCAAGAAGCGAGTAAAATGAGCACCTCAAGTGGACCTTCTTCTCATTCTCAGATTCATTTGCCAAGCTGACCATGTCAACATCAACCTTGTAACGATCACAAAGCCACGCCGCCGCTGCTTTCTCCGCCGGCCTGCAACTCCTAGCTTGCCATATGACGCGTGCTTGCATGACCGTCCGTGCACGAGCTTCCATCCTGACTCTTGAGCCTCAAGCTTCAGCCTGCCAATTCTTCAAACAGCCCGCCCACCACGAACAACAGCCATCCTTCTCCCTGCTCTTGCATGTTACGACAGCTTCAAAGCCTACACCTGCTGTCTTGTATAGATTCAAGTCCTGCATGTCCACCGGGACAAATCCATCAAATTCCCATGGACCATCACATGTAGGCTGATCATTACTCTATTAAATGTCTTTCTATCTAGAAAATGCTTGTCGTCAATCAAACATCATCCTCTAGTCCTCGCACTCCCACTCGTCGCCATCGCCTTCGCCTGCAGTGCCGTTGTACGGCGCAGCGAATCCAAGCGTGGCCTGCCCTCCAACCTCGGAGAAGACCATGAACTGTGATTTTAAGAAAATGTCTCCCAGAATGCTGAAACTAAGTCCTGTGTTCTGCTGCAATCCACCGAAGCACGTCGTGTATGAGATCTGAGCGTAGTTCATATAACTGCCGGGCTAATGTTCTTGTTAGTGCATTTTCTAGACCCCTGAACACATGTTATACATACCACAGTGAACTTGTTACCTCCGACAATCACATTGAAATCAGGTAGTGCAGAACTGCATGGGAATGTGTAGCCACCTTGGTTGCTATCGTATCCAGATCCTGTGACCTGAGCCCAGTATGCAGTAACACTGCTGGAAGGCAGGTACATGAGTGAGGTACCAGTGTCGGCAATGGCAGTAAAAGAAGAGCTGACTGATGACGAAGACCCGACTTGATATCCATCAGCGGTGAACTGCCAGAACCCGCTGGCACTGTTCACACTGACGTAAGTAATCTTGCCCGAATACTTCGAAGAGTCAATGTATCCAAAATCGTAGGAACCAGGGGCTCCCTTCTTCAGGTTGGCTGTCCAAAGAGGCAATGCGAGCGAGCTCCTGACTGTGTCGAAGAAAGTCTTCTGTTGATTGGGTGAAACGGTGTTGATGTTGCTGAACGACAGACCAACAAGACCATCGTTGTTAACGTCGGCTAGGAATGAACTCGATACTGACGTGGCCGCTTCCACAGCCTGTGATGTCGCCGTCACGCTTCCAACGACAACCTTGTCTGCATAGACCTTGCCACTTGCTGTTGAGCCGTCACCGTACTTGATCGACCAGGTGTTTCCGACCAGGAGCTGTGAATTCGAACTCTTGCTTGGATCGTACACCGAGTGTCCACTTTGCTGTGAACTAGGCTGTAATGTGGAATATACCCAAAGGTCTGCGCTGCCGCTGTCGAAATTCAAGTTCAGCGTCTGCCCGCCAACAGATACTGGACACAGGTAGGACATGTCATACTGGACGCCACGGTCAGCTACTATACTGGAACAAAGACCAAATCTTGCCTACATTCTCTGGGGTTGCTTGTACAGTTCCTGCTTGAATGGCTGCGGCAGCAGCTTTGAGCTGAGTAGGAGGCGTGGCAGAGAATTTGGCATATGTCTTCAACATCGATAACGCAGGAGCTTGCATCTGTTGCTTCTTCGCCAGGACCTGCTGGATGGTGAAAGTCTTCTTGCCCTTGATGTCTGCAATCGACACAGCCTTCTTGCTGCTGACATCGACCGGCGATGCCAAAGCTGAGCTGATGAGAGATGCCGCCAGGGCAATGTGCGAATTAAAATGCATCTTGTGGGGAGGGGTTCGACACGGGCGAGGAGAGGGTGCTCTTTGCTCGTAGACGAGAAGTTGCTTGCTTGCAGCGACCGAGCGCCCGGAGGGACAGATGCTTTATACAACCCTTTGGGGCGAGTTGGGTGTTGCATGGCTTGCGTTGCCAGTGCCTGGCTGGCCAACGGGCACAACCCAACCGCTGTTGCCAATCGATTTTGACTGACCGTTGTATTACTCGTGGTGTATCATATCAGTCGGGAAGTCCCCTTCGGTTCTTCTACAGCCAGATACCCAATCTGGACCGCCGGAAGTCTCTGATACAATCCCAAGACGACCCAGTTGGATCATAATCGATCAAATCAGCCAAAAGTCTAGGCATTGATTCACAATCCATGTGGTTGTCCCAGAAGTCATGTTCACGTTGAGCTATTGCCCATGCCGTTGCAGTTGCCGACCGTTCAGAACGGTTGCCCCCCTCGAATTCGAAATTTCTTCTCCTCTCTGGGGTTTGTGATGAAGAGTATTGCGTAGCATAGTTTATTGGACTGCAAAGAGTTACGAGTGAGTATTTCCCAAGCAACAAAAAGACAACTCGCACCGAGGGGTTGGGGCCTCGGCAGACCGGCTTCTTCTTGAGGTGTCGAGTCTTGGACGTCAACTGCAAGACAACCATCAAAATCAAGCGACGCTATGCCAGATGCTCCAAAGATACAAAACCTCAGTGATCGCAGATCGTGGTGATGATAGTCTTCACAAATTTGCCCTCAAGTAGCTATGTCTTTCGGTCCAAGATTCCAGAGCGCTCAAGTATTTGCATTCGCCCCATATGCGACTGCGAGCCAGGTACAGTACAATGGTCAATAGAAGTGCGACTTCTGATCTTAGGGAATGTCTTCCTGAGACACACCAAGCATCCAGCCTTCGGCAGTGGCGTCGCGCAGAGCTGACAATGAGCAATGCCAAGTTGCCATCATCGCTACCCTTGGGGTTTGGCCGAATGCTGTACGTATAGACCAAGGAGATGTTCTGAGAGACACCCAATATTCAAACATAGCGAAAAACACTATACCAATGCTAGATACACTCGTCCTTTAATCTCCCCCTGCTAAGCAATACCTTGGCGGTGGCTCATGCTCGAGTACGAGGTCCGCCACCTATTCTGGGCACTCTAGAGTCTGAGATATAATGTTCAATATTTGAGCTGCTCGCTTGCGAATGGCGATGGCTTGTCTGAGCTGCTACGCGGTCGACTGGGAGTTTTGCACGCAGAACGCCTTTGGTTGTATGTAAGGTGGATTCGATCGACACGTGCTGCCTGCAAATCGTTCGGCACGTGCGAGTGAAACAGATAGAAATAACGGTCACTAGAACATGGCGGAAAAGCGCATGGGCATGTCGGTTTTTGATATACTCTATCCATCCAAGAAACTAGATAGTGCTCATAATCATAAATTCATTGCTGTCTTGTGCAGAGCTTTCACCAAACTCAATCGTCGAATCCGTCAAATCCGTCGAATCGTCAAAACTGTTAAGGAATACCAATAAGCCCATCCAACACGAGTAGCTGCTGGAACTCGTGAACCATGGAGCAGTCTGCAACGATCACAGTTCCTTCTTCAAAAAATGCTCTGCTCTGTGTTCTGTCTCGTAGTCGCTGTGCACATAGGCTCTTTCGACATCGGGTAGACCTTCAAGCTTGTTTTGCAGATCTTCTGCAATATCGTGGGTTTCTTTCAGAGTCATGTCAGGGTGAAGGACAATGTCCACTTCGACTGTGATACGAGGGCCACTATACCAGGCCCTTACAGTATCCAGACTGACTATAGCCGGGTTGTGTGTCATGGCGATGTACGTGATCCACTGCAGCATGTGAGTAGGAGCGGTGACTCCAATCAGAAGCTGAAATTCAGAGTAGGCAGTACGTAGCCACAGGAAAGCAACGAGACACGAAAGGGCAATTGCTCCTGAAGGGTCGATTTGCCAAGCGAGCTTGCTGCCTCCGACAGAAGTCAAGACACCGAATCCGTTGATGAACAAATCATTTCTGTGGTCTTCCCAGAGGATGCGTACAGAGGAGTACTTGTTCCTCAAAGACCAACAGTAAATGAACAGTACGAGCTTTGTAGCGAATGCAACACATACAGCAATCACAGAAGGTGGATGGAAGGTCTTTGTCTCGGAATCGGATCCTCTGACGAGCTCCTCGATCGAAAGAACTATGAGGATGAATGATACACTGCACATTAAGCAGCAGAAAGCGATGTTGCCTGCTGTTTCGATACGGGCCTTTCCGGCAGGGAACTTGCGAGCGTCGACACGGTTGACAGCGCGGTTACACAGAAGCAAGGTAGCATTGGCTAACGGGTCAAAGACTGCATCGGCGGTAGTGGTGAAGAGTGACAAAGAGCCAGAAGAGACGGCTCCATACATTTGAAGACCAGCGAGAATCACATTTGCGGCAAAAGATCCGTAGACAGCAATCTTGTACTGTAGATTGTCGGCGCCGGCTTCTTCTTTAGCTTCCCTTCTGTGGTCGTCGACTGGCTTCAACATCCTCTCGATGGCTTCATTCTGACCCTCGTAGAAGCCTCGGACTTTGCGCGACTGGAAAGCATCTTTGGTCTGAGCGATAGGGGCACAAAAGCGGTCCTTAGCACCTTGACGTCTCCTAGACGTGTTCGCTTGCATGGCATCTAGCTGTGTCGTGCTCTTGATGCGGCTTGATAGATCTAGAGGATCATTCTCCGAGGTATAGCTTGGAAGAGCTTGGCCTTCTACGTCTTCGGCTTCACTGATGTTACGAGCATAAGCGGGGCGTGACACGGGGTCATGAGACTCGTTGACCTCGTATGAGGTAGAAGCACCAGTCTTGTCCTGTGGCAGGGGGAGAACGGGAAGCACTCCTGCAGGATGTTGAGTTAGACGAGTCGTAGGTTCAGGATGTGCATGGAATGGACTCGGGCGCAGAGAGATGGCTCGGTGGAGGTCAGGATCTGAACCGTGATGTGACATGATCAATATAGTGCTCGATCTCTACACGAGAGAAGTGGTATGCTTCTGAAACGGAAAGGCAGTTAAGCGAAAGCAATTGGCGGCGGCGTTAGAAGCGAGCAGAGGAGCGCCAGAAACAGATAGAGAATCAGACGGCAGTTTTACAGACGGTGGATAAGATATGGTTGCTAGTGAAGCAAAGGGAGTCGAAAGCTACAGCACACCTACGTAGGCAGCGTTACTATCAAGCTTGTCGCGTTGCACTGCCACATCAGGGTGCAGCACAGCATCATGTGCTTGGATGGATGTTTTGCCGAGTGCCAAGATCTTGATTCAACGTCAAAATTGCGAGATGCACGTCTCCACTTGCACATCCTGTGCTAATATAGGAGAGCTTCTAGGTTTGTTGTTGCAGCATCAGCGCCTTGACTCTCGAGATCGGGCTCTTTTCAGAGGCAAAGAACCGTGCAGAATTATGAGTGCCAATCTGTGTTTATCATGTTCATCATCTCCTTTTCGAGAGTCCTATGTGCGTTGAAATAAACAGCAACTGACATGGCGTGAGGACGGTCAGCGCCTCCTGCTTCTTCTTGGCTCTAATTTGAGTGACGCACATGTTGGACGGCAAAGGGCCGCGAGACCGATTTGTGCGACCGAGCGGCCAGCGACTGTGTCTCGTGTTGCGAGGGTCACGATATAACACGCTGCCCAGGAACTAGGTATATCGCGGCAAGCTTTTTTGTTGCAGCGCATCGGAAAACATAAGCGAGGGCTGATGGTTCACTCGTCTTGATGTACGAGATATACTGCCGGCGAGCTCCAGAAGACCATCGGTAGGCGCTTTTAAGGACAGGTGAAACACGTCTGCAGGAACAGTGGCTTGGTGCCAATCAGGCCCAATAACCGTTAGCCGCCTAGTGCCAAAAGCGTCCCCAATTGCGGAGCCACAGGGAGGCCAATCTGGATTTGGTGTTTACCTTATGTAGGCGGACCTCGATCATTTTCTTCCGCGACAACCATTGCTGTCTTTTATTGTTTCAATCGCCAGAATCCCGTTCGTTGTGGCTTCCTTCCATTCACTCACTCACACTCACACTCTTTTCTTGCTTGGAACTCCCTGCCAACGCGACGCTCGCTTGTTCCCCTAAAGTACTCAAAAGCCTGCTGCATTCCAGAACCCCCTGTTATCCCGTGGACATACAGCACGACCATCCTTTGCAAAAACATCAATTGCGCTCTGCCCGTTCGGATTCCCGACAACAAGGCGACCACGTTCACTGTTCTTGTCTCCTTTGTGCTTCCCACTAAGGCATGTCACAATAGTTATTGTTGGCCTATTGTTCGGCCTCGCATTACTCAAAGACGACCACCAATCTCCTTGACATCTGCGAGTGACTAATAACCACTTGGATCTCTTCTCTGGCTCTGCCGTCAATCTCGTCAACTACTGCCACATTGATTCAAACATTTGAGTTTCAAGAAAGCCACACACGCCCACTTATCACCACAAAGCCGGTTCTTTGTATCTGGTCTCCGGATTTGATCTCAACGGCACCATCGATTACTTCTTTGTCTTTCAATACAGGCTTGTTCCTGCTCTGCGCCGGTCGCCATGCATTCTCACCACTCACACTCACATCTGCCCTCTACTCTAGGTCGCGTCGCGGACATGGTTGTCGCCCCAAGAGGGCTCACTAGTGAGCTCAACGCACTCGCTAATGCTACCGTATCAGAACTATCACCGTATGCCCATGGACTGTCGGGCGTGGATCAGACCGCAAACTACCTTTTCGCTGCAGTCCTTTGCATTTCTCTTGGTGGACTCTGTGTGTTGACATTGTTGTTCCGATGGGCCACCATGGGAAATGCGCATATTCGACACCTCCTCACCATGAGTAATCCGGATAGACAAGTTTACTGGGCTCAGAACCATACCTCGATTTGGCCAAAGATCAAGAAACATCTACTGTATGCTCCACTGGGCCGCAACCGCCACAACAAAGAGATTCAGCTTTCCTCGGCAATCAGCATTGGAACCCTTCCGTCGCGCTTCCACACCTTGCTACTCACTGTCTACCTCTTCTCCAATATCGCCTACTGTCTAGTTTTGCATTGGGGTACAGAAAGTCGTGCTGCCGTTATTGCCGAACTTCGTGGTCGCAGCGGCGAGCTCGCCGCACTTAACATCATCCCTACCATGCTCTTCGCTATGCGCAACAACCCTCTCATTCCTCTGCTCAGAGTTTCCTACGACACGTTCAATCTGCTTCATAGATGGTGTGCCAGAGTTTGCGCTATCGAGGCCATCGTCCACACCATCTGCTACTTGGTCAACGTAGCCGACTCTGTTGGCCTCGATGGACTCAAAGACAATCTGACCGTCCCAAGTTATGCATGGGGTATGGTTGGAACTTGCGCCTTCACCGCAATTATGATTCAAGCATTTTCACCCCTGCGCCATGCCTTCTACGAAACATTCCTGAATCTCCACCGCTTTCTGGTCATGGTTAGTCTGATTGGTGTCTATGTGCATCTTGACAAGCACCACCTTCCGCAAACACCTTACATCAAGTTCGTCATCATTCTGTGGGGACTTGAATGGCTCTCGCGCTTTGTGCGTATGGCCTATTTCAACTTCAGTCTAAAGTCCGGAATGTCGAGAGCCCACATTGAAGCGCTCCCTGGCGAGGCTTGCCGTGTCACCTTTGAGCTTGCCCGGTCGTGGAACTACGTTCCTGGCTCGCATGTTCATGTCTACTTTCCTACCGTTGGTCTGTGGTCATCCCACCCCTTCTCTGTCGCTTGGGCAGAAACAAAACCTAGGAGCGCACCTCTCGAGATTGAGATGGAAAAATTGCCATCCTGGAACATGCCCAAACACCAATCCGTCGTTTCACACTACAAGACGCAGATAGCCGACAGCGATGGTCCAGAAGTCACGCACGTGAGTCTCATCATTCGCGCCAGATCAGGAATGACACGCCAGCTGTACGAAAGGGCATGTGCGTCGTCAAACGGAATGATCACATTACCCGGTGTTATGGAAGGACCATACGGTGGCCACGAGAAGCTGGCATCCTACGGCACCGCAGTCTTGTTTGCTGGTGGTGTTGGCATAACGCACTGTGTGGGTTATGTGCACCGCCTTTTGACACAATATTCACAAGGGACGTGCTCGACACGTCGTATTCTCCTCGTTTGGTCGGTGCCCACAACCGAAGCGCTCGAATGGGCACGGCCATGGATGGATCAGATTCTCAAGATGGAGGGTCGCAAGGAAGTGCTTCGCGTGCAGCTCTTTGTCACTAAGCCTCGAAACCAGAATGAAGTCAACAGCCGAACAGGGACAGTACAAATGTTCCCCGGACGCTGCAATCCGTCGACAGTATTGGAGAAGGAGGTGGCGGAGCAAGTTGGAGCAATGGGAGTTGTGGTCTGCGGGCCTGGCGCATTCGCAGACAGCGTCCGGGCAGCAGTGCGCAAGAAGGTCGACGTTGGCAATATCACGTTTCATGAGGAGGCTTTCACGTACTAAAGCGACGGTTGCACAGAGTTTTGATTTCACTGTTCGATACCTTTTCTTCTTAGCGCGTTCATGATGAGCATTTGTGGAGTGCTTCTTTTGGTACATAGACGTGCAATATAGCACAGATTCATAATTGGTAATCCAAGCCACTTTTGACTATCCGCGATGGTGTAATATTAGCAGGTGATGTGTGTGACGATGCGACGGTTCGTTGAGTGACTTGATGACAGGTACAGGAACGTAAGCCCATAGCCTCATAGTTTCCATAGTAGATGACCAAGCTTCTCGTCGTCGATGGGATACATGCAGCAGGCACAAGACGTACCCAAGCAGGCAAGTGCTCCTGACGTCGGTAGTTGGTCGAAACCAGGATGGCCAGGATGTCCACGGTTCCTGCCAAGCAAAAGGCGGCAGAGCACATGGCCATCATCCACATGTTTCATCATGCGTCTGGGGCCACCAGCACAAGGAATACCCGCCGTGCCCGTGACAACATCTGCACGCCCAACATCCTCAACCAGGAGTCATTAGTTCTTGTTCAAGTGCATTGCTACACCTCCAGCATCACCTAGGATTCTGGCAACCTGGCGACGCTCGAGTAAATCAAGCAATTGACTCCACCCCATGCCGCCGCCATGGCCGAGGAAGAGCTGCAGGCCAAATTGCGCGAGCTGGACCACGAGCTAGAGGAAGGTGACATCACAAAGAAAGGGTGCGAATGCTGTCTGCACCAGCTCAGTCGAGCTTCGAGAGACTGACATGCGACAGATACGAAAAGCGCCGGACGCTTCTGCTATCGCAATTCCATGGCCATGGCGAGTTGGACGCTTTATCCTCGCCCGACCGCTCGCGTACTGCTTCGCTGGCAAACATCTCTGCTGGTCCTTACGCCGCCGATGACAGCTTCAGCAGTGCCCCGACTGCTGTCGAACGCACTGCCTCGGCAGTCCAAGGCCACTCGACGCCTGCTAGCATGTACGGTTCCGACTATGCCTTCAACCCAGAGCCGCAGTACAATCACCTGCTCGCCCGCCAATCCCACCAACAACCTTCGCCTGATGTTCAAAGCCGCCTGAGCACCATGTTGGACTCACAACAGGGCTTCTTCGACGACTTTGCTGGTCAGCAGATGCAGGACCCGTCCCGCGAAGAGAGCTATGGTGGTCCACAGCGCTATTCTATGGGCGAAGCCTTTTCACCCACCGCCAACATCCCTCCTCCCTTGATGTCTTCGAACGACATGGAATCAACCGCTCCCATACATCAGCTTCCTCTCGAGCCAAGAGAAGTGCCATTTGCCGTTTACGATCCTCACAACAAGTCGGTTCCCATGTCCAACTTTGACAATATTGGCGCTGTTCTGCGTCATCGCGCTAGATCTAATGGCCGTCAACCAGCATATTGGGTTCTCGATTCCAAGGGCAAAGAAACTGCTTCCATCACTTGGGAAAAGCTAGCCAGCAGGGCCGAAAAGGTCGCTCAAGTCATCCGTGACAAGAGCAATCTGTACCGTGGAGATCGTGTTGCTCTGGTCTATCGTGATACTGAGGTTATAGATTTCGCTGTTGCTCTCATGGGTTGTTTTATCGCTGGCGTTGTCGCTGTGCCCATCAACAACGTCGATGACTACCAAAAACTTGGCCTTCTCCTCACTACAACTCAGGCGCATCTCGCTTTGACTACGGATAACAACCTCAAAGCTTTTCATCGCGACATCAGTCAACAGCGTTTGAAGTGGCCATCAGGGGTTGAATGGTGGAAGACAAACGAATTCGGCAGCTATCACCCAAAGAAGAAGGATGATACACCACCGCTTCAGGTTCCGGATCTGGCCTACATAGAATTTTCCCGAGCTCCCACAGGTGACTTGCGTGGTGTTGTCCTAAGTCATCGCACGATTATGCACCAGATGGCTTGTGTCAGTGCCATTGTGTCTACCATTCCTACCAGTGACCCCGATTCTGGATTCAGAGCTCCTCCTGGAGCAAAAGCAGAGACCATTCTGTCGTATCTCGACCCGAGAGAAGGTGTCGGCTTGATCCTCGGTGTACTCTTTGGTGTCTATGGTGGTCATACAACCGTCTGGCTCGAGGCCAAGACCGTTGACACACCCGGAATGTATGCGCATCTTATCACCAAGTATAGGACTACTATTATGGTTGCCGATTATCCAGGCTTGAAACGGACTGCGTACAATTACCAGCAGGACCCAATGGCCACGAGAAACTTCAAAAAGAATGCCGAGCCCAACTTTTCGACAGTCAAGATCTGTCTGATTGACACAATCACCGTGGACAGCGAGTTCCATGAGATTCTAGCGGATCGATGGTTCAGACCCATGCGCAACCCTCGTGCTAGAGAGTTGGTCGCTCCAATGCTTTGCTTGCCCGAACACGGAGGCATGATTGTATCTGTCAGAGACTGGCTCGGTGGCGAAGAAAGGATGGGATGTCCCTTGAGTATCGACGACACTGAGCATGACAAGGACGACGGGTCTGCAAACCAAGGAAATTCAAACAACTATTCTAGTCTGCTAGGTAGTGTCGGAGGTACTACGGCAAAGAAAGGACAGAAAAACAGCCGGAATGAGTTGAGCGAGGTGTTGCTGGACAAAGAGGCATTGAAGACCAATGAGATCGTCGTCTTGGCTATGGGCGAAGATGCTCGAAAAAGGGCTAACGAACCAGGAACTGTAAGAGCAGGTGCCTTTGGATACCCCATTCCGGATGCAACTCTTGCTCTAGTCGACCCTGAGACTGGACTACTTTGTTCGCCTTTCACAATTGGTGAAATTTGGGTGGACTCCCCATCTCTCTCTGGAGGTTTCTGGGCCTTGCCCAGACACACCGAAAGTATCTTCCACGCCAGGCCTTATCGTTTCGTCGAGGGAAGTCCTACGCCAGTCCTGGTTGAACCCGAATTCTTGCGTACCGGTCTTCTTGGATGTGTTATCGAAGGCAAGGTGTATGTGCTTGGACTCTACGAGGACCGCATCAGACAACGAGTAGAGTGGGTCGAAAACGGCGTTCAAGAGCATGAGCATCGATACTTCTTCGTCCAACACCTGGTTACGAGCATTATGAAGACTGTACCGAAAATCTTCGATTGTTCTGCATTCGATGCACATGTCAATGGCGAATATCTCCCATTTGTGCTCCTGGAATCTCAAGCTGCCTCTACGGCTCCCACTACCGCTGGTGGACCACCGAGGCAACTAGACATCCCTTTTCTGGATTCACTTACTGAGCGTGTCATGGAAGTTCTTTACCAGGAGCATCATCTACGAGTTTACTGTGTCATGTTGACGGCCCCAAACACACTACCACGTGTTGTCAAGAACGGCAGACGAGACATCGGAAACATGTTATGCCGAAAGGACTTTGATAATGGAGCTCTGCAGTGTGTGTACGTCAAGTTTGGTGTCGAGAGAGCTGTCCAAAACTTACCATTGGGCGATGACCCTGCTGGTGGCATCTGGTCACCTCTGGCCTCGCAAGCACGACAAGACCTCTTGATGCTGCAAGACAAGCAATACGCCGGCGTAGATCACCGAGAAGTAGTCATTGACGATAGAACATCGACTCCTCTGAACCAGTTTTCTAACATTCATGATTTGATGCAGTGGCGCGTTTCTCGACAGGCCGAAGAACTGGCTTACTGCACCATTGACGGTCGTGGCCGCGAAGGCAAGGGCGTCAACTGGAAGAAATTCGATCTCAAGGTCGCAGGTGTCGCCACCTACCTGAAAAACAAGGTCAAGGTCCAGCCTGGTGACCATTTACTACTCATGTATACTCACTCAGAGGATTTCGTTTATGCCGTACACGCCTGTTTCTGTCTGGGAGTAGTGGCTGTACCGATGGCCCCCATTGACTCTAACAGACTCCATGAGGATGCGCCAGCACTACTCCACGTCATAGCCGATTTCCGCATCAAAGCTCTCATCGTTAATGCCGATGTCGATTCACTCTTGAGGCAGAAGGCTGTCTCGCAGCACTTGAAGCAGTCGGCATTGATATTGAAGGTCAACCTCCCTAACATTTACAACACCTCAAAGCCACCTAAACAGTCCCATGGCTGTCGTGATCTAGGATATACCATGCGACCAGCATGGGTAGCTCAAGGATTCCCCGCTCTCATCTGGACTTACTGGACACCGGACCAGCGTAGAATTGCTGTTCAGCTCGGCCACGACACTATTATGGCATTATGCAAGGTGCAAAAGGAGACCTGTCAGATGACGTCCACACGCCCGGTCTTGGGTTGTGTGAGATCTACCATGGGCATCGGTTTCTTGCATACATGTTTGATGGGCATCTTCTTGGCCGCTCCTACATACTTGGTCTCGCCCGTCGACTTTGCCGCAAATCCAAATATCTTATTCCAGATATTGTCACGCTACAAGATAAAGGATACATACGCGACGTCGCAGATGCTGGATCATGCCATGGCTCTCAATGCCGGGAAGTCGACCTCTCTCCTCGAGCTGAAAAATCTCATGATTGCCACGGATCAAAGACCACGCGCTGACGTCTACTCAAAAGTGCGTGTGGCATTTTCTCAGTCAGCGCTTGATAGAACTGCTATCAACACCATATACAGTCATGTGCTGAACCCTATGGTTGCGAGTCGTAGCTACATGTGCATAGAACCCATTGAGCTTTATCTCGACACTAATGCGCTTCGCCGAGGGTTAGTGGTTCCTGTTGACCCTGATACAGAGCCATTTGCGCTCCTGGTTCAGGACTCGGGCATGGTACCTGTCAGTACGCAGATCAGCATCGTCAATCCAGAGACCAATCGGCTGTGTCTAGCAGGCGAATACGGCGAGATCTGGGTGCAAAGTGAAGCCTCTGCCCACTCCTTCTACGGCTCCAAAGATGCATTCGATGCTGAACGCTTCAACGGTCGCACCGTCGATGGCGATCCTGGTGTGAGATACATGCGGACTGGAGACCTTGGTTTCCTGCACAGCGTCAGCAGGCCTATTGGACCTGGTGGCAATATGGTTGAAATGCAGGTTCTCTTCGTCCTCGGTGGAATTGGCGAGACTTTTGAGGTTAATGGTCTTCAACACTTCCCTATGGATGTCGAAGCCAGCGTAGAGAGGTGTCACCGCGCTCTGGTCCCGGGTGGATGGTAAGTGGTATGGTCATTTGTCTCACAAGAAAGGTACTGACGCTCAACAGTGCGATTTTCCAAGCCGGCTCGCTTCTAGTCCTGATTGCCGAGTCTCGGACTCGTGCTTTCCTTGCATCGATCGTACCGATGATTGTAAACACAGTGCTCAACGAACATCAGCTTGTCCTTGATATCGTTGCTTTTGTGCAAAAGGGCGACTTCCCACGATCACGTCTTGGCGAGAAGCAACGAGGCAAGATCTTGGCCAGTTGGGTCTCTCGCAAAATGCGCACAATAGCTCAGTTCAGCATTCGCGACCCTGATGCAGAGGGAAGTGTAGGCACAGCGGTGCCAAATGAGGTTGCAGCTGGTAGGCGCAGCAGCGTACAGTCGGGTACTGCAGGCGCTGGCGCCTTCAGAGGAGGACCTGGCAGCATCAATCGCGCTCCCGGTACAGCAGGCAGCTCTTTGCGTCACGTGGAAAGTATTTCACAGTTGCCATTGGCCGAAGAGCCGCATGCGTACGACATGGCTTCCATGCCACAGCCTCTCTACACGGATGAGCTGCCGCGACCGTCGGCCGAATTCTTACACAATGATGATAACACACCCACCAACGAGCGGCCACGCAACCTTACATTGAACACAACACTCGACTACTCTCCTGTAGAAGGTAACATGATTTACGGCTTCTCAGACGAGCAGGATGTTGCAGGTGTGGCACCTGAGCAGCATCAACCACCACCTCGATCAGACTTTAGAGGGAGCTACGGTGGTGCACCTGACTCGCCTGAAGAAATGCCAATGCAAACAGGCGGATTGCGAGTGGCCAACCGCACCAGTCTTGATAGTGATGATGATTGGTCGCAGGACGCATTGAGGCATTTGAATCTGAATGCAAGATAAACGAACAGGGTAAACCAGCATCCTGTCTCTTGTTAGCTAGTTTCTGTGTCAGCCTCGAGGTTGTGATTTGGATACAAAAGGATTCATCGACGCTTTGGGGTGAGGGGTGAGAGATATGTAGAGAAGCAGCCTCAAGTCAGCATACGCCTTGAAGCAGGAAAGCAGGACACGACCGGAATGCATGACGCAGAAGCAGTGTGCATAACATATAGATACCAATCATATCATTTGCATTGTTCATCGAGTCTTGGAGTTGTGACGACTCCCTCTTGTTTGTGCTTGTTTGACACACTGCTTCATCCATTCAAACATGACCTCTGGTTCACAAACGCCAGACGAAGACAAATCGGAGGTAACATTGTTATTTGACAATGATCGGTATCCAAGTATGATTGAAAGAGTGACAATTTGTAGAAATGATGCAACTTTTCCATTGAATTTCGTTGATGACCAAATGAACAACCTGGGATATTTTGGGGTGGACAAATTGAAAAAAGAAAAAGAAAGACAGGACATGACACGTATAAAGATGATCCGACGCCCAAGAATGATGCGTCTGATGCCTATTGGGCATTTCCTTTCTCGGCCTTTGCTTCCAAGTTTGCAACGACGTGGCTCGTGGAGTCTGGGCCACTGGAAGGCGCATCGTTGGGCTTCAACGAATCAAGCTTGGGTGTGTTCAAGGGGATTGGTGTGCCAGGTCTGCTTGACAAGAACTGCCCGGGAAACGCATCAGACTTGGAAAGGATCAAGACAAGGTAGCACTTCTATTGACTCACCGAAGATGCGGCAGATAAGAGGGCAATGAGAGAAGCTTGAACGACATCCTGGTGGATACCGACACCCCAGACCTTATGCGAGCCAGTCGAACACTCAATGTATGTGGCAGCCTTGACGTCGCTACCACGACCGATAGCGTGCTCCTTGTAGTCGTCTACGTCAAGGTGAATGTTGAGGCTCTTGAGAGCATTGGCAAGAGATGAAAGGGCACCGTTTCCAACACCGCTAATGCGATGCTCCTTGCCGTCGACCTCGATGACACCGTCGAAACGACGCTTGAGATTCTTGTTGGAGGCGGTCTTGCCATCGGTAGGGACTGCGGGCGAGATAGAGCGATCGGTGGTAATATCGTAGTCGATGAGATGGAAACGCGGGTTCTTCTCGAGATGGTAAGCGTTGACGAAGAGGTTCTTGATCTCGGTAGGCTGCAACTCGCGACCAAGGGCGTCCGTCTCCTTTTGTACGACCTTGCTGAAGGCGACTTGAAGGCCACGGGGCATGTCGAGCTCGAGGGTGCGCTGAATGATCCAGGCAACACCACCCTTGCCCGACTGGCTGTTGACACGAATGATGGCCTCGTAAGTGCGGCCAATATCTTGAGGGTCGAGGGGAAGGTAGGGAATCTGCCAGCGTTGGTCGTCGTTGTTGCCCGTTTGCTTGCGCAAGTGGAAGCCCTTCTTGATGGCGTCTTGGTGACTGCCTGAGAAGGCGCAGACAACAAGCTGGCCTCCATAGGGGGCTCTGGGGTGGACGGGGATCTTGTTGCTCTTTTCGACAATGTCGATGACCGAGTTGATGTCGCTGAAATCAATGTTTGGCGGCACGCCCTGTGTGTAAAGGTTCAGGGCCAAAGTGACGAGATCGACGTTACCGGTTCTTTCACCGTTGCCGAACAGAGTGCCCTCGACACGGTCGGCGCCTGCCATCTGGGCAAGCTCGGCAGCGGCGACGGCGCAGCCTCTGTCGTTGTGCGGGTGGAGAGAGACGCAGATTTTCTCGCGCTCTGAGATGTTGCGGCAGAAGTACTCGATCTGGTCGGCGTAGACGTTTGGGGTTGACATTTCGACAGTAGCAGGCAAATTGAAGATGATGGGCTTCTCCTCGGTCGGCTCCCAAGCAGCCTTGACGGCCTCACAGACCTCGAGGACAAAGTCTGGGTCCGAGTCCGAGAAGGTCTCGGGGGAGAACTCATAAGACCAATCAGTATCTTTCTGCTCGGGATCGTCCTTGGTGATGCTGCGGGCGTATTTTGTGCACTCTACGGCGAGAGCCTTGGACTGTTGGTTGTTCATGTTGAAGACGATTTGCTGGAAGCAGGGGCTGGTGGCCAAGTACAGGTGGAGAATGGCCTTTTTGGCGCCCTTGAGCGAGTCGACGGTGCGGCGGATGAGCTCCTTGCGGCATGGCGAGAGGACCTGGAGGGCGACGTCGTCGGGCACGACACCAGGAGTGGTGACAAGACGACGTGTGAAGTCGAAGTCGGTGTCTGAGGCCGAGGGAAACGAGACCTCAATCTCCTTGTAGCCAAGCTTGACGAGCATCTGGAAGTAGCGCCATTTCTGGTCGCCGTCCATGGGGTCTACCAGGCTCTGGTTGCCGTCACGGAGATCGGTCGAGAGCCATCGCGGAGCCTTGTCGATTGTCTTGGAGGGCCATTGGCGGTTGGGCAAGTCAAGAGGTTGGAACTTGGGGTACTTCTTCCATGGTTCTTTGAGCCTGTGCATGTGGTCAATCTAAAAAGTGCCATGTGCAGGTTGGGGGCCATGCGTGTCGTACATGGGCATGATGGGCAGAGTGTGGGCGGAGACGACAGGGAAACAGGTCTATGGCAGAGTCGAGGGCCGGCGTCGGGTCGTGTATAATATATTGTTGCAACTAGGGAACAAGCAGATGACCGCAATTGTGCTGTGACAGCATTGGCGCCGACATCGTGACTCTTGCTCTGTGAAAAAATGGCCCTGCGGGGGTGTGACGCCGCCGAAAACCGCTGCTACCCCGCCAAATCTACCAACCACTACCACGCCCTGCCATCATGCCCCTGCCCAATACCACGCCCTAATCCTGATTTCTGATAACAACCACGCCCTAACACGCCTTTGACTCATACCCATCCATGCCCTCTCCTCACAGTTTGCTAGACACGACCTTTGCCGTGCTGCTCTCCTTTAATCGGACCACGCCCTGCATGCACCTGTCAGCTTCTCTCTCGCTCTCCAATGCTTTGCTGCTTTTTGCTTGTCACGTACCTCTTGCACACATGTTGCAACCAGCTCGCCGTCCTTTGTGAACATCCTGTGCCTTGTTAGCTTTTGCTTGCTGCATCTCCTCTCTGTCCAACCCCTTACCTCTGCAGCACCAGCCCTCTGCCATCTCCTGCCCATGGACTCTCCATTTCCGTGAACATCCATTCGTCTGCACGGAAATTGCGCGGCGAGTGGAAGTAGATGGTATGATCCAGACTCACCATCATGCCCACTTCCGGTCGTCTTTGTTCTGGGCTGTTGATGTCCCTCATGCTTCTCAATGTTTCGATGACATCTTCGTCCATTCCCTGCATTCTCCGCAGCGTCTCATCATCCATGTTGCGAAGCTTCTCGAGTACAGAGTTGTCCATTGCCGGCTTGCCGTCCTTGTCCGCTGTCGAGAATCTCCACAGCCGGTGCACCCGTGATACTGTGCCTATGAACCAGCTATCGCTCATGTATGCAAGAGCCGATAAGTGTGCCTGGTGTCCTCCACTCGGACTGATCTTGCCTCGCGCCTTGATCCACTGTCTTGTCTTCTTGTCTTGCGGCCGATCTGATTCGTGGTTTAGGATATGGATGCGTTGGCTCTCGAAAGGGCTGTTGTCCAGTCCTAGTATATTCGACTTTTCCGATGGCTCAGGTACTGCCGGCATGTCGACTGCATGTTCGACCTGCTCAGAACCTCCGCTGTTTTCTCGTACAAACGACATGGTTGTTGTAAAGATGGGGCGTCCGCGCTGCCGTGCTTGTACCGTACGTGTAGCGAAGCTTCGGCCGTCTCGAACTTTTTCGACGTGATACATGATGGGAATATCTGCATTGCCGGCCAGCACGAAATAGCAGTGCATGCTGTGGACGGTGAAGTCATCGCGGACTGTTCGTTGCGCTGCCGACAGACACTGGGCGATCACGGCACCTGTGGCTCATGAGAAAGTGCTGACAGCATCCGGCATATAGAGATTGCATACCTCCGTAGATACCTCGAGCACCTGGAGGGTGCCATAGTGGTCGTGCATTGGTGAAGATATTAGGATCAATGTCGGTTAACTGCTTGAGCTCAAGTACGCTTTCAATTGCAGACTTGCTGGGGTCAGCTGGCGGAGGTCTGATAAGTGTCGACATGGTGTCTGGTTAATCAGGAATGGAATGGCTGTTGTTGATGGACAGGCCCCAATCTTGTTAGATAATAATTCAGGTTCCATGCTATCATGCCTCGGCTGTCCTGAGGCCTCGGCCCCGCTCCGGTACTTTACCCTCTCCTATCCATGTGAATTATTCTGTCATCTGCTGAGCCCTATCTGCTCAGTTGAAGACACAGGGTTCAAAGAAAGCCTACACAGCAAGCAGACCGAGAACCAGGAAGACATATGCATGCTTCATGGAGTCTGAACGATCATTCAGGGCGAGCGCGTCATACCCAAGGCGTCGCACTTGCTTTGAAAGCATCGAACTTCACCTTCTTTCAGTTCCGTCTGACTGCACTGCTTCCTTCTCAGCTTCGATTGTCCGTTCAGTGTTCTGTTTGACTTCAGCTGACCTCCTAGGCTCCAGTCATGCATGATGCATGCTATGCATAGCTGGGCTACTTCGTTGAGAGAGACTGAGACCGCGTCGAAGCTTTCAGTAGGCGGGCGCGTAGCTATGCTCTCAATGTTCTTCCGGTATAAATCAGTCCTTTGTGTACAGCACAGAGAACCTTCCAGACAAACACAGCTTCTATTGTAAGCTTCAAGTTAGTATATCTTGCATTAGGACGCGCTTAACGTGGCATGCCATCACAAATCGGCAAGTCTTCGTGCATGTTGTAGACTGATGCGCGGTCGGTGAGACAAACAAACAGCAAGTGACTGCTGCCTGCTTGGTCACTCGATTGAGATGAGTGCAGCACCTTCACTTGAATTACGACAAGGTTATTAAGACCTCATCCCTTTCTCTTTCCTTCCTCTGCACCGAACCACTACCACCACTTCCACTTCTACCACGAACAATCAATCATACAAATTACTTTACTTCCAACCACCCAATCCGAGATGTCGTCCAACTCTGGTGCTGGCGCTACTGCTCACAACGATGATGGCAAGGATCCTATGAGAGTGTACGCTTGCTGACCTGAATCAACTCACCTCTTGCTAATATGTTCAAGCGCCGCCGGCCTGAAGGCTGCTCTCCACAACCCTAATGTCTCCGACGAGGCCAAGGAGATTGCCTCACACCATCTTGCCGACATCACTTCCACTTCTCATGCCGACGATGGCAAGGATCCCATCAGGGTGTAAGTTGTATAGAAGTCGGTACCGTAACGCGTTCCATACTGATAGCCTCCAGCGCTGCTGGCCTTAAGGCCGCTCTCCACAACCCCAATGTCTCCGATGAGGCCAAGGAGGATGTTTCGCACCATCTCGCCGACATCACCTCCTCTTCTCACGCTGACACCACTTCCACTTCTCATGCCGACGATGGCAAGGATCCTACCAGAGTGTAAGTTCTACAAGAGTCAGCACAGCAGTGCCATACTGATAGCCTTCAGTGCTGCTGGCCTCAAGGCTGCTCTTCACAACCCCAACGTCTCTGATGACACCAAGGATCACCTCAAGGAGCGTCTTGACGACATGAACTAGATGTCCCAGGCATCCATGCACGACGTTGTGACCTGCAAGATCGGGTACCCAACGAGAACCTGAGAGTTGAGCAACCTCAGGCAGTCTAAACCAGATCGGCGGATCTGCCGACGCACGCTTTATAATAGCTGTCAACCAGAGATCAAAAAACACATTCAACCCAGCGTTTCTTTGCCCAGGTAGTTTTGTTACTTGTGATTTTGCATCCATGCTTGTCTAACCATAGACCACGTGCTCATTCTTCGGTGTTGGTGCTAGATTGGTCTCTACCTCACAAGGTTGGAGACAGGCATAAGAAATAATACATCGTCTCGGGTTTACGTCGTCCCTCAGGGTCCTGCTTGAATGGACAATGCTGTTGACGGGACCACCCTGTCAGAAGACAGAGTTCGGTTATGGATGCGGGGGCGGGCAACTCGGACTCTGATTAGCTAGAAATTGAGTTGGTTGCAATAGAGAGCTCGCTCGTCATGTTGCGCAATACCTGCTTCTTTCTCTCTCGCCGACCCACTGTCACCTCTTTAGAGAGACAGCAGACCTCTGCTCTTTGAGTCGAAAACAGCCTAGGAGTTTGACACGATGCTTCGCAATGGCATTGTCCATATTGAGAGGACGCAGACACTGAACCGAACACTCACGAAAGCTCCGCGTGCAGTGAGACGTGTAGGACGACGAGGCTATGCCTCGGAAGAGGAAGCCAAGTCCTTCAAGGGCCAACTGTACGACAGCACAGCTCAGAGGTTACAAAGGGAGAGAGCAGATCAGCTTCGCTTCGCCGAGATTCGAGCTGCCCAGAAAAGCTCTGGAGGGTCGCCTGTATGGATGGTGCCACTGGGTATTTTCTGCCTGCGCCACTCGACTCTCAACACCAAGCTTATGTTTCACAGTCCTGCTGACCGGCGCCCTCGGCGGTTATATCGCTGGTCAACAAGCTCCAGCTGACCCTGCCCCGACTTCGACACTGCCACTTGCGGCCGCCAGTCCTCCCAAACACAACATCGCACCAACCAACCTCGAAGCAGCATGGACCGATTTCCGCGACATCGTTGGCCAGGACAACATCTCGACAGAGGCTTCAGATCTCAGCTCACATTCAGGCTCCGAATGGAGCTCCTATCCCGCACATCCTGGTGATCAGCCCTTCTGCATAATCAGACCCGCCTCGACCGAACAAGTGAGCGAGATCATGAAGGTCTGCCACCGTCGCCGCATCCCAGTCACCCCCTACTCTGGCGGAACCAGTCTGGAAGGCCACTTTGCTTCCACAAGAGGTGGCGTGTGTATCGATTTCAGTCGCATGGACAAGATTTTGAAGCTGAACAAGGATGACCTGGACATTGTCGTACAGCCCGCTGTCGGCTGGGAGAGCTTGAACGAGGAACTAGCCGATCACAACCTTTTCTTCCCGCCGGACCCGGGCCCTGGTGCCATGATTGGTGGCATGGTGGGCACTGGCTGCAGTGGCACAAATGCTTACCGTTACGGAACTATGAAGGACTGGGTCCTAAGTCTTACTGTTGTCCTCGCAGATGGAACCATTGTGAAGACCAAGCAACGTCCCAGGAAGTCGTCTGCCGGCTACGATCTCACTCGCATCTTCATTGGAAGTGAAGGTACCCTTGGATTGGTTACTGAAGCAACATTGAAGGTCACCGTCAAGCCGCAAAATACGAGTGTTGCCGTCTGCACATTTTCTTCGGTCAGAGAGGCAGCCAATGCCGTCTTCAAGGTCGTAGGAGAGGGTGTGCCTATTGCAGCAATTGAACTGCTGGATGATGTCCAAATGCGATGCATCAATGACGCCGGGCAAACCTCAAGATCGTGGAAGGAAGCTCCCACTTTGTTCTTCAAGTTCAGTGGAACTCCAACCAGCGTCAAGGAGCATATCGCAATCGTTCAGAAGCTTGCCAAATCGTCGGGCAGCAAGACTTTCGAGTTTGCAAAGAACCAGGACGAAGCCCTCGAGTTGTGGAGCGCTAGAAAGGAAGCCCTCTGGAGCGTCATGGCCAAGAAGCAGAATGACGGTGACCATGTCTGGACTACGGATGTCGCAGTGCCCATCTCCCGCTTGCCTGATATTGTCGAAGAGACCAAAGAAGCCATCTCTAAGAGCGGCCTGACAGGAGCTATTGTTGGTCACGTAGGTGATGGCAACTTTCATGGTAAGGCATCTCGAACGAATAAGCAAAGTCATTCGGCCCGTAACTGACTATTGCAGCCATACTTCTCTACAACGACAAGGAATACAGCCTCGCAGAAGACCTTGTCCATCGTATGGTCAAACGAGCTATCGAGATGGAAGGCACAGCCACTGGCGAGCACGGCGTTGGCATGGTCAAACGGGATTATCTCGAGCATGAAGTTGGCCGTAGCACTGTCGATTTGATGAGAAAGGTAAGTCTTGAACATGCAATAGATGGCGCGTTCAGGCCGGCCACGACCCCAGGTCACCACTGCGCTATCATGCCGCGACTCATAGCTGACATGTTCAACTACAGATGAAGCTTGCCCTTGACCCTCTGTGTCTACTCAACTGTGACAAGGTCGTTCGCGTACAACAGCCCAAGCCTGGTGAAGTGCAAGAGTGGTAGGATTGATACGAAATAATCCGAGTGTTTGCTATCTAGTGCCTCAACAGCAAAAGCAAAGAGGGCGAAATTTGTTGAACCCGTCACTGCATGTGGCCAGTCCACGATTACACGACCATATCGGGACTCGAAAATTTGAAGGCGGTATGCATTGATTGTTTGGAATCAAGAACGGACCAAGCCACTCCCCGTTGTAATCTGTAACAGTTCTTTGCGATCCAATTGCGAGCGTTCTCCGTCCCGCGGGACGGTATCCGACCCTTATATGATTGGGTGTGTACAGACGAATTCCACATGTCGGGCTTGGCGAAAGACCTCTTGCGTGATGCGTCTCGATTTCGGCTTCGGATAGGTCTGGGTATTTGTCTACCCGGCACATGAACTAGCGTCTGTTATGCCGATTTCGGCTTCTACATAGGTGTATAGCTGCTCAGCGAGTCGCTTCCATTGCGTGCTAACTGCAGGGATTGAAGATTCGTTTCACAGCAGCCACGTACTAGAAGCAACGATGGTGTAGTGTGAGACAAGCACCCCAATCATCTCGATTTTCTGAGTGACTTGGTAGGATCTGTCATGATTTATGCTGCATGTGTGAAGGAACAGACGAAACTGCCTATTGCTTGAATTGCTTCTGCATTGATCCAGTACAAGCTTGAATGGACTTGGCAGCTAAGCAAACCTTGTCAGAATCATTATCTGTGACCTAGTCCGTGAGCAGCCGCTCTGTGCCGCCCATGATATTATTCTTCTCCAGAGGTGAGATGTCATGCTGCATGGAACCCTTCAGATTACAATCCGGACAATGGGCCGATGGAAGGTTTGAGTTCCTAGAAAGCAGGAAACCTTCTTTCGAGTCATGCCGGCACGACTCATACAGAACTCTTCTCCATGTGCTATATAGGTTCTGTAAAACGTTACTTTCGGATTTGCTCAACTTGGCGGCAACGTGGGAATTCGTACGCCTATTTCCAGATGCGAGACACGCCACCTGGGCCGGACACTGGCCGAGCCTGCAAGGACTTCTAAAACTCAGAAAGCCACCAGTACGCTCGACCAAGGAGTAGGTATCTAACTGCCAAGCCACATTTGACCAAAGAGCTCCGGTCGCGCCGGTGCCCAGACCTACGGCTTACTGTGTAAGGACCACTGAGCATCATTAAAAAAAGTCCTGTTACGTGATGGTCTCACTCAATCCAGACATTGGCTAGGCGGACACGTCTACTCGCAAGCTATTGATAAATATACTTACACATGAGCATTACAGTGAAGTTAAGAGCAAATGCCAAAATACGAATTTACGAACTTCCGACTCTTTCGGAAGAGGGGTGATATGCAGATCTTTCTCTTGTGGGAGCACCCGAGTGGGCGGGCTCATTTCTTTCGTGCGCTCAAATCGAGCATCGTCATTGCTAGCTTGATGCTAGCTATCTCGAGACATCCTGAATGGGGCAAAAAAGTACAGAACAAAGTTCAACAAACAAGCCATCGGTGCGTCAGATAATCCTTCATGTTCCAGCTCGACACCATCTGTGAGGCTGCACCACATGGAAGAACTTTATCACACAATCTCGGGATTAAAAGGTACAGCAACGTTTTACACCAAGATTTCATTCGCCAGCCTGGGCGTCGGTGCCACGTTTCGAGGCTTCAACCCTAAATAGCTTACCCTGAGTTCACAATGCAAGAGGTTTGAGGTTCGGAGGGAACAGCGAGAAGGGGAGAGAAGGACAGAGGGCTACACCTTCCCGGTTTTCATCTCACGACGGCATGGCGCAAACGTACGAGAGCGGACAGTCGACGCAATTCGGGACTGTGAAACAAGGCTGCGAAGTCACTTGTTCTACTCCTCTCAGCCTGTCGAATTGCAGCTGAGATAGCATCATGGCAATTTGGGACCAAAGTTCTTCTCAGGCACAAGGCAGCAAAGCAGTAGATTCTACACGTGGCAGTCGCCTCGGACCAAGCCTAATTGAGAGCCGGGCCTGAGATGATAAACCGTAACATGCAACCGCGCCCGGCGCGGCGTCCAAGCGGTGATCTGCCGCGGCGAATGTCTATCCACCAGAAACGCTCCTAGCTCTACCATTGGAGGAAGCAGCACTCTGCCCAGTCTTGCACCAGTCTGTGCAGCACACATCTCACGCGTGCGCGCGCGCCCACTTGTCCATTATTCCCGCCAGGTCCAACAGTCACCCAGAAAAAACTCTTCCTGCCTTCCACGCAGGGTTCGGAAGCCGCTAAAGAGCAGACTAAAAGTTCTTTCGTCATGTGCGGTGCGGCTGCGGTGTGTGCATCTCTGACCAGATCTCGAGCTATCCAGCCATGGTTCAATGAGCCCGAGTCCGTGTCCAATGTTTCTAAAAGGCCCATCGTTCGCTGTCTGCAGAGATTCAGAAATGCAACTTTGAGGCTAGACTGCTCTTCACATCTGTTCATCTGCCCCTCATCACCCCTTGTTTGTTGTACTTGACCAAGACCTGCTTGCCCACCTACTCAGTCCAGGCTGTCCCCGATCTTCCCTTTGTCGTGCATCATCACCTAACTCGACTCGAGTCGAGCGACGTCCCTGCCCCTAGCCCTTCCCCATTGGCTCACTGACCACCGGAATTCCCCCTTGGCGATCTTCACTGGCCATAGTCAGGTGTTCGGCAGTTGATATATCTTATCTTCTATTGACTCGCTTCGGCTTTTCAACAACATATTATACAGCTTAGGGCTGTTCTTGTTTGAACGTCTTCGAAATCGCCCTCAACATGAATCAGGATGCATCATCAGGATCCCGCCAAAGCCCCAGTGGTACTATGCACAGTTCAGACTCGGGTAGCCAGTCCAAGCCCACATCGAAACGCGCTTCCAGAGCCGGGACGCGTAGTGTCTCTACCCTTTCGGCCGCGCAGCTGGAAAGGAAACGTGCAAATGACAGGGAAGCACAGAGAGCCATCCGACAAAGAACAAAGGATCACATTGAGAATCTTGAGCGACGAATCAGCGAGTTAACTGGCACTCAAGAAGCCAGAGAAAAGCTGTTTCTGGCCACACAGCAACGCAATCGAGAACTCGAGGAAGAGAACGCCTATCTTCGAAACAGACTCTCAGGTGAAACATTCACCATCAACGTCAACGACAATGAGGGTAAGCGCACTTTTACATAACTTGAAGTGGTCTTCACTAATACCAAAGCTATAGACAAAGCACCACCACAGTTCAGTGTCTCTGCACCTGAGTCTTCGCCTCAAGCTCACCTCAGCGCTGGTGTGAATATTCCCAGGCCCTCGTCTTCAGCTACGAGCAGGAGTATTGCCCAGCCAGCGGAGGCGTGGAGGCCGCATAACCAGTACAGTCCTGGTAGCGCTCCAGCTTCAACATCATTCATGCCTGAAGGGGCTCAGCACTCTGCTGGTCAGAGCGCTGCGTCCTGGAGAGCCCAGGACGTCCCTTCGGCTCCTTCGTATGGCTATCAGGTTCGCCAAAACGACCGACCCACAAACTACCCCTCGCCAGCACATCAAATGTCTTACCAGGGTCATTCGCAAGCTACTCAGTTCCAGCAAGCAATTCCTGCTCAGGCATCGGTGCAATCGGCCGTGGCGCCTGCCTTCCACAGCAGTGGAATTAGCACTCATCCTGATTTTCAAAGCATGCCTCAATACGCCTCTTCCTCAACTCCCACCTACCATGACCAACAAAACCATGCCGCTTTTGTTCCCAGCGCACCGCCTGTGTCATCGGCCACCTCTGATTTCCATGGTGCACCTCGCAGCTTAGCCCCTCCTGCTTACAACTCAAACGCCGGGTCTGCTCACTTTATGCCTGGACAACCTACAACTACACAGCCTATGGGATACCGTGAAGGCAACTCACAGCATACGTACGGCTATGATGCTTGATGAATGATTTTATTCTCCCATACACATTTCAAGCACAAGCTTTGAGCTGATGTCGTTTCGAGACGCAGCGCCAGACTTTCACTCTCCAACGGCTGGTAGTCTCGGATAAGAGGTCCGTCTCGAGTACATCCGTAGACTCTGACACTCGGCGCATCCAACAATCCGGGCATTCGGATGGCATATCTCGTTGGAGACGAACAGTGCAGATATATGGTTCGGTCAACAATGTTACTAGGTAATGTGTCGCGGGACGCATGAGGCTGGAATTGCATGACGTGATCTTGTACGACAAATACATGAAGAACGGAGCCAACGGGGTAATATTAGCTGCATATTATTGGAGAGGGCAGGGATAATCTGAACGGAATTATGAGGATTTACACAGACGAATTTCCTCGGGACACGATTTTGCGAACACAGTACGACCAAAATCAAACGAATCAAGGCGTTCACAAGGCATTTCTGAGTTCTTTCCTAGGTTGGTGATCCAAATATCCTGGCCAGGTACTCAAGTTGAATCGCTGCCCAAGTGAGGTATCGAATAGGTATCGACACATTAATTCGGCGCCGAGATACGAGGGCTGGGCGAATGTTCAGGCCGACAACACCTAGTGCTTATTGACCCACAAACCAGGCCCTTCTTTGTGCCGAAAGCCCACATGGCTAGCTACTCATGCACCTGCGTGTACGTGGGTTTAGGGCCCTGACTCGAAGGCAAACATCTTTCGCAACGCTGATTGCCGCGCTGCAAGAAGGGTACCCTGGTTACCCAAAAGAAAAACGACTCGACATGCCGGACGAACTCCTGGGGACACGAGGTTGACAGCTTAGTACACATTACTGCAACTTTTCGCGGGGTTTTTCAAGGGTCTCTCATGGCTTGACTCAAATGGCATTGAAATCTTCCCATGTCGTTGCGCAGAATATTGAGGCAAAGCTTGGAGCAGTATCCACGACCATCAGCATGAATGGTGTGACAGCGAATATTGAACAACTCGATGAACAAGGAACTATCTGGCCTGTAGCTAGCTCATCCAGCAATCAATCTCCGCTCCTCCAATAAGTCTAGAACCAGTGTTACAACGAGCGTGGAACACTAGCGTCTGGGGGAATTTATGATGAGGATATGTTTAGATAGTCGACTTCCGTAAGAAGCTGTACTATAAAGATCCAGAGCGTTGTTCATCTTGTAGATTCAAGACGCCGCGCTATATTGAAGAAAGCGTAGGATCTAAAATAGCTCAGGGGCATGTGGCTTGCAACGGAGAGTCTGGCTTGGTGGACCGCGTTCTTATCAGGAAACCACAGTATTTCTTCATACACGATGAATCAACACTAGCGATGCTATTATGCGCATCCAAGATTGCCAGGTGAATTTTGCTCTGCTTAGGACCGTCACCTTCGCTTGTAGAGCCAAGACAGATTGAAGCTACAGATGGCAGTGAATGTAGCCTAGAAGATCTAGAACTAGGGTGGAAAACGCGATCCCTCAAACCAACATCTGACCTCCTCGTATACAAGATGAATAGGCACTATCCCGCAGACTCCCGGTTATATGCGGCATAAGCATACTTTGCAGCCATTGATGGCTGGTCCCTTGGTTTATCACAAGTGGATGTGAAGATGGACATTGATCCAATAGAAGCAATACTCCGGACAAAGGGAGGATCGGCAACGCGGCTCTTAGGGCCATTCGTAGCTCGTTCGTGCATGCATATGCAGCACGTATATAGATAGGGAGAAAGATGTCAAAACCGCCGGGGATCCGGGGTTGAGTACCGGAACTAGCATTGGTGTTGGTAGGCGATACGGGTGGCGAGTAGGATTGATGGATATCGCGATTGTTTGAAGAAAGAGGAATCTTAGTCCAGGGTGCAATAAAGCCAGATGCATGCCGGACACAAGATACGTTCCAGAGTTCCATGGCATATGCTTGATGCTCGCGAGTGGCGCCGACAGCTTGGTTCAGACATGAGGTCAAGCTATTGCTGTAGGAAGGGAAACGACAAACAAATCCTCAATCCATCGAAAACAGCACGAAGCCACAAAGAGCAGACAATTTGACAGCGCAGACCATGACCAAGACGGAAACAAGCAGCAAACTCATGGCGTGTCCTCTGCGCTTCAGATCGTACTGGAGAGCTATTGTTGTTGTGTTTGTGGTGATTGATGAAGGGATGATGACAAGTGCGGGGAAGTAAAGGTGGTGGTTAAAGAGCTACCTGATCGAGCCGCTTCACGTGCTTTTGTGAAACTTGTGTACTTATGGACATTCAAATTGATATTTCTTGTCATGGCTGGAGCACATGCCCCTAGGTGTGATTCACCGAGCAGTCGTCTTTCCATCTTGGTCGTCCTATTGAATGAATGCTTCTAGCTGCTCCCGAATCTGATACCATGTCACAATTCACGGCACAGATTGGCCACTCTCTCTGGTGATGACTGCGAAGCACATTCAAGATCGGTCAGCTAAAGGTAACTGCCTTTCAAAAGACTGCCAATACTTGGACCGGCATGCGACCACCACCGTTCAAGCCTTAGCGAGAACAGCAGCGTATGGATAAAAGTCAAGAGTGCTCAGGCAAACTTGTCGTGCTTTCCCTTGACCTTGACATCAAGCAAGGCTTCGTGATATGTGCCATCCTTCCAGGCCTTCTTCAGAAGCTTGACCTCTTGGTCGTCGAGTTTGCGGCCGACGGCTTGCTCGAGTTGAGCTCTGCTTATCTTCTCGTTGGCCTTTTCCTCCTTGGCAGCTTTATGGACAGGCTTGAAGCGTGCTTGCATGCGCAGTCTGATGGCACAGGCCGGGCTAGTGTGGTCGTCGGCATCGGCATCGGCTCTGATCTCGACGGCCTTGTCCTGAGTGGCAGAAAACAGCTTGTCGCGTGTTGTGCGGATGTTGAAGAGAAGAGAGTCAGAGGGCAGCAATGTGAATTGTTCCTCGGATGAAATGGCGTCGCGTGTAGCTGAGAGGATGCCGAACTTGTCGCTGTTAAGATACCTGTAATGGGCATGTCAGTGAAAAGTCGTACGGAGCGGGCTAGACAGGAGCAGCCCAACTTACTTGCCATGATGTCCCTTGAAGCTGAACGTGTCGGTGCCTGCGATACGGTTTGCTATAAAGACTTGCCTGACGTCGTGCGGCTCAGCGGTCGAGGGCGACTCTTCGACCATGTTCTCGAGAGCGCTGGCAAACACCTTGCCGTTGGCATCACATGCCAGACAGGTCGGTGGTTTGGTTGGCAAGACAAAGATGACAGGCCCGGCGACGTCGCTCACTGCATCTGCAGAGACCCACGACTCGTCGTCGTCTTGGTGCTGCTCTGCGCCAGCCTTCAGGTCTTTTGTGGCAGGGCCATCGCCGTCTGCATCTTCATCTCGAGTGCGCTTGCGCTTCTTGACCTTCTTGTCGCCCTTGAAACTGAGTGGTTTGACCATCTTCAGATTGTCGTTCGGAGGTGGGCGAAGGATGCCAGAGCTCGGCTGATATTGCGTCGCTCCCGGCCGAAGAAAAATCACCCACCACCTTGATATAATCTCTCGTGATTAAGCTCTCTACTACTTTCCCGTTCGACCCCTCACGAACACCTTAGTCTGTCTCTTCAACTATCCCAACATGGCTGTCAACTTGAGCGAATCTGGTGTGCACACCGCATCACCCGTCACCGTAAGCCTTCGCGATTTGCAGTCAGGTAAACAGTCAAGATGCTTTGCAAATACAACCGTCTCATTGCGCCACAGGCTCCGTACCCTTCGAGGCTCTCGAGGATGCTTTCGGCCCTGATTCGCTGGGCATCATTGTCGTTCGTGACTTGCCGTCTGACTTTATTACTATGAGGAAGACCCTGTTGTCGTATTCCTCGTATCTGGCCAACCTGCCTCAGACTGAGCTTGGTACGTCGCCCTTGTTCCTAATTGTTCGTGTCTAAGCACTCATGTTGTCAAGAAAAACTCGAGGACCCTCAGAGCAGTTATCTAGTAGGCTGGAGTTGCGGTAAGGAGACACTCAAGGACGGCAGGTTCGACACGCTCAAGGGTTCCTACTACGCCAACCCCGTCCAGAACTCGGAGCTGCATCAAAAGGCCATCGAGAAGTTCCCCAATCTTCCGGAATACACCGCAGCGAATATCTGGCCAAGTAGCCATGTTCTTCCTGGCTTCGAACAAGCCTTCCAGTCACTGTGTACCTTCATTGTTGACACTGCTGCACTCGTTGCTCAGGCCTGTGACCGCTATGCACTCAAGAATGTGCCTCAATACCAGGAAGGTTATCTCGAGCATGTTGTCAAGACCAGCATCTCTACGAAGGCCCGCTTGCTCCACTACTACGCACCAACTGCCGATCAAGGTGAAGGAGAGAGCTCTCCTGACGATTGGTGTGCGACACATCTGGACCACGGTTGTCTGACAGGCTTGACTTCAGCCATGTTCGTCGATGAAGCAGCTAACCCTCCTCGCATCGATTCTGCACAAGTCTCGCCATTGCCCGAGTTGTCCTCGGCTCCGGACCCGGCAGCTGGGCTCTACATCCATTCCCGCTCTGGCAAGGTGACTAAAGTCAACATCCCAAAGGACTGTCTTGCTTTCCAGACCGGTGAAGCTCTTGAGGTCATTACCAAGGGCAAATTCAGGGCGGTGCCTCATTTCGTCAAGGGTGCTGCTCCTGGCAAAGGTGGACAGGTCGCCAGAAACACACTGGCTGTTTTCACCCAGCCAAACCTTTGGGAGATGGTTGACGAGAAGCGCGATTTTGCTACATTTGCCAAGGAGATTGTTGAGCGCAATCACTGAAAGACATGAACATCCTGAAGACATTCGCTTCGACACCAGATTCATGCTGAATAAGGATTTAAGTCTTCCAGGGTCATCAAAAGAGATATTGACCCATGCTCGCTAGGAATGTCCAAAGATCCATCTTGTGACAAAACCCGGCAGTCAAGAGACTAGGATAGCAACGAGGTCGTGCAGAGGCGGCAGTGTATGTACGCGTGACATGACCGTTGACCACATAGTCCGGGATAGATAGTCTCCACCAGATCTACGGAATTCACATTTGCCAACTGCTAGGGCTCTACCAACTGCCTTCTTGAGTCAAAACCCAACACGGGACATGTATATGCATGTGAGTAATCAAGTTGTACTCAATGTAACCCCTGACCCCGTTCCCTGCGTGCAGATGAGGATGTTCATAGCCGCTTGTCAGACTCGCCGAGAAGGTCAGGCCCTAATGCAAGATGGTCGACACGCGTAAGCTGGAAACTTCACGACACGACTCGACCTCCGTCTGACCCGCGGATCGTCTTATCTTAGCTGGCTCAGATGGGAGATCAGGGTTCAATGTGCTGATCAGGTACGTGTCGGGTGGAGGTGGTCGTACTTCATCTTCCTCACAGGAGGAGGGAGTTCTGGTTGCAATCTGGTTTACACGGGCGCTTACACAAACGACGTAGCTAGTTCCATTGATGAAGCAATTGATTGAGGAGCAGCACTCACTAGTTGGTCTGAGACCCTCATCGTGGGTACACGGAATATGAATAATGCGGATCGCGGAGTACTCCACAGCAAAGCGGTGTGCATGCGCCCACAGAAACGAGTTTGGCTTGATGCGACGATCTTTAGTCCCCTCCAGAGTATCAACGTAGACTGTATGGGCTTACACCGTCTGCAAGCCTCTTGGGACGGTTTCGAAGCTCGAGTCGTCGTCACAGAACTTGCATCGGACCGATAGAGGTAAGCACCGTGCATTCTCAGGGTCCAGAATGTCAAACGAGATCTTTGAGCCTATCTACACTCGTGGCACGACGTGCACGACCCTCCTTACAACTCGTGATACGTTTGTGATACAGGGTACGGAAAAGCATCCAGATGCTGAGTACACCGTGAGACGGATTGAGAGCACAGTGAGCAGGAAGTGGACAGACACAGCTTGGGAGAAAAGTAAATACTATGACTGTTTGCAAGAACTTTTTGAAGCGGGTGTCGTGTCTATAGTAAGCGAAATCGACACATTCGTTGCTTGTCATCCTCGTAACCTTGAGCAACCTGCCGAGAAGAAACATACCCTCATCCATGTGTTTGACACTTTCATAACGCCAGACCATCCATCCCAAAACGTAGTACTGAAAGTGACAGCAAAGAAATTCCAAAAAAGAAACCCCTCGCAAAAAAACTCCAGCGAAACAGAGAAACAAAGAAAGAGCCGAACGAGAGCCTCTCTAACAAGGGGATCGATTCGTGCAGGGTATCACAAAGTGAAGCGGATGTGTCATGAGTCAGCAACTTCAAGACACCAAAGCGCCGCCAGAACGCCTTTTGAGGATTCGAATATCAAGAGAGCATCAACAAAAGGACTAGTAGCCCATACCGTCGTCCATGCCCATAGACAACCCAGCTCCGGCGACGTTGACGTTCATCGCCTGCATGCCGTTCGGCATCTGGGAAACCGCGACAGGGTTGAGTTTGAGATCTGGATTGCATGGTGGCGAGTGTTGGCGATGGTACTTCAGACCGTTCAGGTTCTTGTAGCGTTTGCCGCAGACCTCACAGCGGTAAGGCTTCTCCTTCTCCATACCGACGGTACCGGGGTAAGGGATGGACGTGGCAGGGTCCACAATTGAGAAAGTACCATCGGGGTTTTCCTTGAGCTGCTGATTTTGATGACCGTGCTAGAGGCAATTAACGAACGAGTTCGCAGGAACGCATGAAAGAGACTTACTTGTTTGTGATATTTGAGACCATTCTGGTTCTTGTATGCCTTCTCACAACCGATGACAGGACAACGGAAGGGTTTTGCCTCTTCGCCAGGGAAACCGAAACCTTGAATGAGCTGTTGCTCGCGAAGACGTTTCGCCAGCTCGCTATTGTTGGCGAATTGACTTGGGTTTTTGAATCCTCCCATGCCACCTTGTTTGCTGAGCAGACGCTTGGCTGGGTCGTCGATGCACCGCGACTCATCCTGTTGGCCGTTCATATCAGGGAAGCCGAAGCCAGACATGCTAGTATTGAAGTTGGATGGGTCAATCTCGCCCGGTGTGTGCACGGTCGACTCGGATGGGCTGACAGTCTGCGAGGTGTGTCCAAAAGTGGGCGTATTTACAGATGACACGGTAGGGTTGAAGCCACCGAGCTGCATGTTCTGACCAGGTTGTGGCGTCGTAGGTGTCGACACGTTGTTGACTTGTTGTGTATTTTGGAAAGCACTGGCCATGCCAATGTTAAGTGATGGCGCTCTAGCCTGCTGTCTGCCGAACTGTGGTTGCGGTTGGAACTGGTGGCTCTGGTACGGATCCTGCACTGCGGGCGCGGTGCTGGAGTCATCCATGTCCATGTCCATATCATCCATGTCGTGATCCTGCAGAGGATCCCGAGCTAGACCTTGAGAAAGACCCGAAGGGTGGTCAAATTGAGGAGCTTGTTGGTGGTTGTGGGGCTGGCTCTGTTGCTGCTGTTGCAGCATCTGAGCGGCAGTACCAGCGTTTGCGTTGCGAGCGTTGGCAAGCAAATGTTCTTTAGGAGTACGACCCATGGTTTGAGTGGGCACTTGAGCGTGGGCTTCTTCGTAATGCTGTAACAGCTCATGGAGCGAGTCGAGAGTGATTCCGCAGCAAATGTACTCCTTCATGAAGTTTGCCTCCATTTTAGGAAGATACGAAGAGGAGTGGAACGAGGGTGACTGGAAGTTGTACGGCGACGTGCCGGCCATTATTAAACTGCGGTCGAATGTCAGCGAGTTGATGAGATTACACGACGGCGCAAAGTGAACTTACTCATCGCGGATGAAGCTGCCAACAGAGAGACCTCCCCAGCTCATGCCGGCCATGAGGCTGCCGGCATGGTTAGTGCTGTCGCGGCGGCCACGGTCGCGCATTGAAATGGGGCGTGAGTGGAACGAGTTGCCCATATTGATGGAGCCGTGACGCAAGCTGTCGGGTCTGAACTCGCTGCCACGGCGCTCCGTGTTGGCCATGAAGGCTGGCGGTTGAAAGTCGCCGCTGCGTGCATTTGCAGCTTGCAGCTGGCTGGTCAAGTTGGAAGTCTGGTTGGGAGGCGACGCACGCGGCGTGGCGATATCTATGGGCGATGCCGACGAGGCCATGGCGTCCGCAGCGAGGAGAGAATGTTGATGTTGTGAATTTTTGGGATTTGGCGTGAAGAGGTCCGCGTCGCACCAAGGATCAAATTAATGGTGAGTCAGGTACTCGTCGGTGGTCGTCGAGTCCTTTTGAGAAAGATATCGTCGAGACGCTGTGGTTGTGGCGTAGCCAGTACGAGTAGGCAGGCAAGATAGGCAAGATGGAAGTCGGAATTTGAGGGAATGCGCAACAACGGCAGGCAATCCAAAAAAGGGCAGGGTGTAGGGTTCAATACTGGTAGGGACGACGAGGCGAGGATTATGTAACCTCGGCAAACTCTATCGCCGTGTCTCTCGGTTCTGATGTTCTTTGGGATGTTGGCTCGTTTGTAGCTCGAGAGTGCTCAAATAATGGCCTGGGCGGCGGCTCGCGGCACGACGAAACCAAAGGGGAACGGCTCGAACTGACAGAAGGACTAGTGGAACTGCCAACACTCTTGGGACGAGAAAGCAAGCTTCGGATATGTGCAGGGAAATTTGACCAAAAACGAAGGGTCGGGGCGAGAAGCAATGCTTCGGTTATATAACAGCAGCGAGTCTCGTCAGGCGGATCGACTCGAGATTACAGAGCAGCAAAACAAAACCAGGGCGCTCTCTGGACGGTTATATCCACCGAGCATGCCTACCTGCCTGCGAGAGCGTCACAGTGGCCAAGGCGCTTTGAAGAGAGGAAACTTGAGCGAGCTGCAGCAGTGGGAACTCAATCTTAGCGCCGCTACGACAACTCTCAGAAACCCGCAAACCTTATGATGCTGAGCTGAAAGACATGCGTGACGTCGAGTCAGTCTGAACCAGAGACCGCCATCCGATCTCTACCTACCCTGCCACTCTATCGGCCTTGAGTGCATCTGCATGCTCATTGCAGCCATGGTTGTTCTTTACATTATTCGCTTCTATCCTGGTTCCGTCGTCCTTGCTTTGCTTCCGAAACCATGAAGCCCCTGCCCATTCCCTCGCCAAACGCCATCTTACGGCCGCACGGTCTACCTGTCACTTGTCTCGTACGACCGTCCATGTTCCCTTCCCCCGTCGTTTGCATCCACGGTACATCGCATCCGAAGAGCGCCTTCGCTATGCTTGCGCTGCTAATTAGATCTTGGGCAAACGGCTGCTATGCCCTATTTCGCAGTTGCCAACCATTGTCCATGAATCATTCTTACCAACCATAGATCACCTTAGTTAATCCCGCTCTCGTTCTTTTTGTTGGACCGCCAACTTTCTGCCATGTGCCGCAGAAACGCCTGCCAATCGTATCCCGCCGGCCTTACCAAGCACTTGTCTTTGCGCCTCTGCCGCAGCAACGTCCTTCTAGAAAAGAGGCGCGCCTTGTCTTGGCGCTGTGGCCCCAGCCATGTGATTGGTCGCAAAACGACCGACACCTTGGGCCTCTCCACGACATGGTTTTGATTTGCGAATCTCGGGTCGCCATGTGCTCGAGAGACAACCAGAGTGTCGGTAGGCATCCCAAACGAACTCGCTGACAACCGTGCAATTCCTCACTATGGTTTGCTCCTTATGATTTACAGATCAACAAGAGCGCAGAACAGATGAGTCTGTTTCGTATTTCCATTTGTCAAGAAGTAGTGGAAAGTCTGGACAAAGAGAGAGAGAGGACCCTGAACCGTCTATGGGTCCCAGGAAATTTGACTGCTGTTGATATGGACGTGCGCACCAGCCGAGTCCTCGTATGTTCAGTGACTCGGGATGTGTCATTGAGACCTTGTGTCTGCCATGTCTCTCTCCCTCTGAACCCCGGAGCTGTTGGGTCCGGCATCTGCAGCGCGTGTGTGTGATTGGAGGTTCTTGCTTCCATTGTCAGGGTCTTTTTGCAACGTGTATTTCGCAAATTATCGTGTGTTTGTCGTCCACACTCATTGGACCCTGACAGTTAACGACGAAACTCAAATTGTCGATCTTGACCAGTGAATACAGAAGGTCGTCCCTTCAGGCATACGAGTATCCTTTCAGACTTGAGGTTGGAATTGCAGGTCAGACCTTATGCAAAGCTTGTGCATATATCTGCAGCTAAGTATCGGTGCATGTTCGAGATACTCCAAGTCTCTTCGACGATCTCGCAGCGATGAGCCATTAGGTAACTCGCAACCGCTTAGCCTGTGTCAAAAGTGTAGAATATCATTATCCTTTAATGAAGCGGTGCCAAGCTATATCATGCTTTCCACAGCTTCCCAAACCAGTAGCATCATCGGCTTTTGCTCGGACTGTACTTCACTACGCCTTTCGTTCCAACCATTTGGTAGGTACAATATGATCTTATGTTGTTTCTGTCTGTGCATAGATGCGACCTTGCCAAAAACGATAAATGCATACTCTACGTTGCACCTCACAACATCTGAACTGATGTCAGATTCTCAGGCAGGGGCACGGATTGAAGGACAGTTGAAGAGTGCAGCCTGTGCAATCATCCACGTGATCCCAGATGAACGGCATTGCGTATCCACGCGTGTACGGTGAATCATGATCTACAGGACAGCTACAGGATACGCTGTGCGGCATACATGCGTTGCAATACACGCACGTTTGTATTGTCCCGGGTGCGCGAGCTGGCCAGCCAATCTATGAAACATCACTCATTTCAGAGTATCGCTGAAGATACAAGACATGGTCACGCAAAAACTTCAGGTAGCTAGCTAGAGTAGACAAGGCAAAGATGACCATAAAACAACAAATACAACCTTGCCTCAATGTATCGCGGTTTTGTCTATGCACCCTATGCATATGTCTTGCAGACGTGGTGATTTTGAGCGGCTCGGAACGACTTCTCATGGAATCACATGTTACTGTAGTCTCATGTATTCAGTACCTCTTTCGGAACCCGTCCGTTCCGCCATACTGCCTTCAACCGAAAGACTTCAGAGCGAGTGGAACGAGTATCCGAAATCTCTCTCCTACGATTATACTCCGTCTTTGTGCCAGCTTGCAGGCAATCATCGCCGTCTGACCTCGGGCTAAAGGGTTGAGAAACAAGAAGGAGGATGAGCAGAATAGACACGGTCGATCACCTCGCTTATCAAACCTCCTGGGGTCGCAACTGTTGCGTCAATGTTTAGCGACGAAGATGGGCGTCTTTGGCCTATCAAGGAGGAATCGTGGGGGGCTTGAATGTCGGACGCTACTTGCGACACAGTAAGGTTCGTCAAGTATCTCATCGCTGACTCGGTCCCCAGGAAGTGATGTTGGTGTGATGTTAGAAGCTCTGGGTACCTGTCGAAGGATGAAGTCAAAGCCCACGAAGGTGTAGCAACACGACTTCGTCGCCACTAATGAATCACATGCCGGATATACACAGCACAGCACATCACAGATATGCACTGAAGAGTTCGCGTTTGGCACTTTGGCAAGATAACACAACCGCTCTTTGAGATCTCGTCTCCGCACGCAAGTCAATCGCAGCCTGACAAGTCATTTCAGGATTCTCGAGTCCAATTCCTCAGAGGTGGGGGTGCTCATCTACGTCCTTTAATACACGTCACTCAGGAACTTTAATCTTGAAACAGGCAACGAAGCAGCGCTGTCTATCTAGCAGGCTACTCGAAGGTTTGTGGGCGAGTGGTGTTTCTCTCTTCGTCATCAACGGCGCTTTGCTTTTGTTTTTGTTTTTTTTTTTTGTTATCGTCAACATGTATCATGCTGCTTTGCCTTTGCCTTTGCCATTGCTTTCACAACATGTTCTCCTCATACCATGTAGCTTAGATTTGATGAGCCTTCCTTGGCACGATCTCAATGACCATGCCAGCCCGAGTCATCTAGTCATCAGAGTCATCATCGCATCCTCTGGATGAAGTACCGACCAGGATCCGTAGCACATGTCTTGTGATTGGTTCGCAGTGAACTACCAAGAAGCCGTCAGTAGCCGCCTTCCTTATGACTGCCACAACTTCTCGGGCTCTCTTGTGCTTCTTGATTTGATCGTAAATCGTAGTGGTGCCCATATGAGATCGCGATGTAATGCCTTGATCAAGACCTTGACGATTTGCCTAGTAATTGTGAACCAAATCTCCACAGGTTCGAGTAAGACTTGAGTCTCCCATGCGAGAAGGATGTGGACACACTTTACTAAGTGATAGAGGTATTCAACAGCTTGCAAACAGGACTAGCCATTCATTTCCACATCGTCGCCCATCCTGCTTTTGCCCTTACTAGGCTTCGTATTCTTGCTGGTTACGATTGCCTTCATACCTTCAAGAGCATCAACGTATCTATTACGCATCTCTCCACCTTCTTTCTGCTCGGTAGCAAGCTTCATATTTATTCTTTCAACCTTTGTGCTTCTGTTTATGCCCGTGGCTCTGGCAATCTCATTCCAGAACCAACGACCTTCGTTCTCGGCGAACAGTGTCCAAGCCTCGCCGCTTCGACCCGCTCTCGCCGTACGGCCTACGCGATGTACATAGGATGCCAGACTGCGCGGAATAGTGTAGTTTATGACGTGGGTGAGCAACGGTAAATCTAGACCACGAGAGGCACGATCAGTCGAGATTATGATACGAGGAGATGAGGTGTTGAAGTTGAAGTTCGTGGATGATTTGGTGAGGAGTAAAGTTGTGGCCTTGTATGATGGTTCGATGTGCGTGAGAAGATGGTGCAGACGAGCTGCTGCCTCAGTGCTGGGTGTGAAAATCAGAACCATACTGTTTTCGGTTGTCTTCGTGGCCGGTCCGTTCGCTACTTTGGGTGGGTTTGAAGATGTTGACATCCTGCTATCGCTATCGCTGTCGCTATCGCTGTCGCTGTCGCTACCGCTGCTGCTGCTGCTGCTGCTGCTGCTGCTGCTGTCATCAGAGCTGTCACCAGTATCATCCTCGGAAGAGTCGCTCGATGAATCGCTGTCATCATCATCATCAGAAGAAGAGGAAGAAGAAGACGAATCAATGTCTGATGAATCTGTCGACGAGCTGTCCTCTTCGCCCTTTTTCGGCCTTGATGTCGATCCAGGGAAAATCTTGGACCGGAGAAGTTCGAGGAGGAAAAGCGGCTTGTCAGAACCATCACCAACAGGAACCGCGAATTCTGAAAGTGTCGTAGGCAGTTCAAAGTCTTGTGCACCAATTGCTACGGTCGCCTCATTGTCGAGCGTAGCCTCAGCTTCTGTCTTGACCACAATCATGGTCGGCCGTCGCAATTTGAGAGCACTCAACTTGGATATATCTCGGGTCATGGTGGCACTCAATATGACCTTTCTCACGTATCTATCGCGACGTGGCATAAGATGGCGCAAAGCAGCGGTCTCGGGACTTGGTGTAGATAGAGGTTTTGGGGTATCCAAGGCGGCGGTAACCTTTGCTACCCACTCTTGGAAACTTTGGTCCAGTAGACGATCGGCTTCGTCAACGACCAGCCACTCGACATGATCTAGTGTGAACCCAGCCGTGGCAGTTAGATGCTCGACTAAGCGACCAGGAGTGCAAATCAGAAGGTCGGCAGCTGAGTTGTAAGTTGGGACGTAGCCATTTGGCAGACGAACGACGTCGTCGAGCATGGTAGCCTCAATATCAGTCAGATCCAAGTCCAGCTCAAAGCACTGGCGTTTCCTGGCCTTTTCCATGAGCGCACGATGGCGCTCGGGGTCATATGTTCGACCCTTTTTGATCAACGATTCTTGTTCGGCGGCAACAGATTGGTTGCCGACGGCCAAAGCGATCTGTATGGCCGAGCCCTGGGCGCAAGTGGACACTACGGCAGATGCCTGGGCAACGAGTTCTCTGGTCGGTACTACAATCACAGCGCGCAGTTTCGTATCGAGTCTTGTACGCAGGTTCTCGACGATGGGAAGAACATATGCCAACGTCTTGCCACTACCAGTCGGGGCGCTGACACAGACATCGTTCGGGGGAAGATGGGTGAGATAGGGGTGCGGGAGGAGGAGAGGAAGCAGAGCAGCTTGAACGGCAAAAGCAGTCGTGTAGCCTCTTACCTCGAGGTGGGCCAGAGTCTTCTTTGACAAGGAAAGGTCACTGAAAGGACGTGTGGTGGACTGAGAGACGACGATGGGCTGGGCGAGCCATTGCGGCAGCGAAGAGAAAGAGGGCACAAAGTCAGGAGTCGGGGCACGCTCAGGTTGTGGCAGCGGGATCAAGTCTAGACATGACAGTCAGAATTTCAAGGCACAGACAAGAGCATGAGATCAATGGTATATACCATGCAGCTCGGGCTGGTCGGCCAAGTCGACATTGTCGTTGGGCGCAGCGGCCCTAGCAGCCTCGGATCGTTGGGCAGCCTTTTGAAATTTTGAATAGACGGCACTGTGTTTGCTTGGAATGGCGGAGGCCTCGTCGTCATTGTTGACATGGGCGGTGGTAGTGGTGGTGGGCGGATTGTCTATGTCTGGACGCTTTCTCTTTTTTCTGCCATTGTCGTCGGACCGTGATGGGCCCTTGGGCACCTTGACTGGCTTTTGTTGTGGAGGGACAGAAACATCCAGATCGGCCGTGGTATCGGCTGCGACCAGCGCAGCAGGCTTGGGCGGTACGTAACGAGCGTATGGGGCCATGTGGATTGTTCTTGCGAGACTTTGATCTATCGGCGACAAACGAGAAGGCCATCAAAACGAGCTCACCGCCCGGCTAGCTCAGCCCGTGCGAGTCGGCATGCCGATCGAGACCTCCGGACCGAAGCGCCTCGCGCCTGCTGCTACTGCTGCGGTTGCTCCACAACGTAGGTGCAGTCCCTACCTTGCTCATACAGCACGTTCAGGGCTGCTGGTCGTCACTGCCTCGACTGCGCACTGGCTCGCTCTCCTTGGTCGCTGCTCGCTCAGTCGTGGCTACCAGCGCATCCACCGACAATGCGACCGCCATCATGCCTTACAATATCGCCATGGTCAGCGACTTCTTCTTTCCACAGCCTGGAGGAGTCGAAAGTCACATCTACCAGTTGTCGCAGAAGCTCATTGACCGTGGTCACAAGGTCATCATCATCACCCACCAGTACGAGGGCCGCACTGGCATCCGTTACTTGACCAATGGTCTCAAGGTCTACCACGTGCCCTTCTTCGTCGTCTACCGTGAGACCACCTTTCCTACTGTCTTCTCCTTCTTCCCCATCTTCCGCAACATTGTCATTCGTGAGAAGATTCACATCGTCCATGGCCATGCCAGCCTGAGCAGCTTGTGCCACGAGGCCATCCTGCATGCTCGCACCATGGGTTTGCGCACTGTTTTCACTGATCACAGTCTGTTTGGCTTCGCCGATGCTGCCAGCATTTTGACCAACAAGCTGCTCAAGTTTACTCTCAGCGATGTCGACCATGTCATCTGCGTCAGTCACACGTGCAAGGAAAACACCGTCCTCCGCGCCTCACTTGATCCACTCATGGTATCCGTCATCCCAAACGCTGTTGTCGCTTCCAACTTCCGTCCTCTGCATCCCCAGGATGCCACCCAACCCTCGATGCGCTCCGCTCTACCACCTCCGCCTCCTCAGTCCTCCCAGCCGCTTGGCCCCAATGACACCATTACCATTGTCGTCATCTCGCGTCTTTTCTACAATAAAGGAACTGATCTCTTGATCGCTTCCATCCCCCGTATCCTCGCTTCTCATCCAAACGTACGCTTCATCATCGCCGGCTCTGGTCCAAAAGCAATCGATCTAGAGCAAATGCTCGACCGTCATATCCTTCACGATCGAGTCACCCTTCTAGGTCCTGTGCGTCATGAAGAAGTTCGCGATGTCATGGTTCGAGGTCACATATATTTGCATCCCAGCTTGACCGAGGCATTTGGAACCGTCCTTGTAGAGGCCGCAAGCTGCAATTTACTCATTGTATGCACGAGAGTCGGTGGAATTCCCGAGGTCCTCCCCGGCCACATGACTGTGTTTGCCAAACCTGAAGAAGATGACCTTGTCCGTGCAACCAGCGAAGCTGTGGGTCTGCTGATGGGACAAGATCAGAAGCGTACGGTCGTTCGTAGGGATCGCTTCCATGAACAGGTCCGCATGATGTACAGCTGGGCCGACATTGCCCGCCGCACTGAGCGTGTCTACGACCTGATTACTGGAAACGAGGAACAGTTCTCTCATGAGTTTTATTCTGACCAACAAGATGCTAAATGGCGCAACTATGGCAAGCATGTTTCTCCTGCTTCCCAATCTTTTGCCTTGATTGATCGTCTCAAAAGATATTACGGTTGTGGTATATGGGCTGGCAAGCTATTTGTGCTCTGCGTCGTCGTCGATTACTTACTGTTTGTGTTTCTGGAGCTGTGTTTCCCTCGCAGCAATATCGACATCTGTAGAGATTGGCCGAAGAAAGAGGCACTGGATGCCAACGAAGGCAACGCCGAAAAGAACATGACAAAGAGGACCCGAACTGTACGAAATGTATCTACTATCTAGTCATATGTAACCCGATCAGTTTACGAGTTCACTCTTCAGGCTGTTCGACTGGATCATGAGGATCTCGTCAGCCTTGAAGAATGTATGTATCGCCATGATTGATACTCGCGGTGGCTTTGAAGCCGCATTGGAAAAGCATTTGGAATCCGCTGGCGTGTCTGGAATCACAGCACTTCGATATCGAATTGACTTCGATGACGAGTCAGTGTCAAAAGACTGTATCGAGACACTCGCAAATATCAATTCTTGCCTAAGGGCTTCGATATGGCGCATTGTGAAGGCCAACTACGAGACAAGCAGGCGTCTTGTAGAAGTGCTCACCAAACCGGTATGAGCCCTCCCTGTCCAGGGCAACGGCCTGTCAAGCGCCGGAAGTCTGGTATGTGGGCAGTGAAGCAGAGCCAGCTGCATACTGTAGCGGCTAGGGCAACCAATCACTTTGTACACAAACGACATCCAAGCATCGCTTTCTTCCTTTCGCAAAATTGTTTCATGAAAGCGAGGCTGTGGGATAAAGACATATCGTCTCTGCGGCGAGTCTGTTCAATAAAGGACCAGCGACTGTTAGCGCAGATTGTGCTGCAAGATGGACCATGTAGTGAGTGGGTTCGAAACGTTCCAGTAACGTACACGGGAATTGTCCTCGTTCACTTTTTCAAGTTTGTGTTCGGCACTGGAGCGGAGGTAAATGCACTGCAGTTCAGTACCTACTTGACACAAAAATATGGCAGTAGAGGATTGCGTGATTCTAGAGGTGCAACGTGACAAGTTAGGAAGCCAGAGTACTTGATAATCAAGACAGGTGGGGAGTAGCAGCAGACAAAGCCGAGGATCGTCAGTAATAGTCCATCGACAGATGGCGCTGTGATTAGCCCATCAGGTGCAATCATCCAGTATCAATCAGCAAGCCTCGACATCGACGCCGTCCTTGCGACTTTGATTTTGCAGTGTGGCCACTAGTTTAGATGGACGAGTTGCTGGCCTCTGATGACTTCTGATAGTCGCAAGCCCGGACGCCCTCCCGCCCAAACACGACGTAGGATATCGCCATCCAGTGCCGCATCTACTCTCATCGCTTCGCCCACGTTTGCGACCACACACTCGCCATCGCCATCGCTCTCGCTGTCGCTATCGCCCTCAGCATCTGTCTATCCATCTGCCCCTTCTACAGAGCCTGCCGCAGACCTGTCGCTCCCGAGACCCACGTCATCGCCGTCCCAGCCAAGATTGAAACCTCTCAAGCGCAATGAAGACGGCCATGCCGTGTCTCTTGTAACCACGACCGCTGAGGTATCGCGACGAATGCCAAACCCGCCGACCGCCACCCCGACCGCCTCTGACCTGGACACACAGCACCACAAAGCGACAGAGGACAAGAAGCGCTCTCACCCTGATCCACACCACTTCCGCCCTCCACCGCCTCCACCACGCCCACCCACTTCGGCCGCCAACACAACCCCTTCACCGACCGACAAACCATCCTCTATATCGCTGCAACCTCCATCGCGTCCGCCCGTCTTCCAATCCGTGTCCAGCGACGCCATTGACGCGCCCCCACTACGCAAGAAGCCCCGTCTCCTCCCACGCCACGAGCGCTTCACTTTTACCGGGCCTTCTATCAATCGCCTACAGCCTCCATCGCCGCTATTCTTCTCAAACTCTCCGCGGCCGCGTCCGCACTTGCCACCGCGCTTCACCTCGTTCGAGGCAGGAGCCACGATGCTGAGCAAGGCCAACAATGAGGAGAGCCATGTCAAGACTGTGACCCTGGCACGCGGCACCATCTCCAACTCGTTGCGCCGCTCCATCGACCGTTCGAGCACCGCCCGCAGTGCTTCCCCCGATTTGCGTGGTGAATTGTCGCTTAACTCCATCGGCATCCTCGAGCTCCTGGACCACGATGACCGCCCTGCCATCATAGTCGACCTGGCCGATGGCACAAACACCACAGAGCCATCACTACGACCTATCTTTACAAATAGGGCTTTGCGCTCATCTCCTGATCTCCTCAGCGCCCTGACAGGCGTTGGGCGAGATCAAGATGAAGCCGCCTTTGCACAATTCAAGGCGTGGGTTCTTGGCTCGCAAGCTAGCGGCGAGCCACTCAGTGTACCTCTACCGACCCATGTCTATGCTGGCACCAGCTGGTCGTGTTCGACCCTGCGCAAGAGACTGCGTATCATCAGCGGCGCATCGGCTGCCTTGACCTCTAATGGTGCTTTGGCTACGTCTGCAAGCCGCCACTCATCCAACTCAACCTCGACATCAGCTATGTCTATCCCACAATCGTCTTCCTCCTTGCCCATCTCAAGTTCTGCTCTGCCTGCAACTGTGGAAGAGCCAGATGACTATTTTGGTAGTGCAGCACCTGCTCCAACCTCGGCTCCCGCCCCAGCAGAGATTTCTCCATCCATCATTCCTTCGACCGAAGCAGCCGACGTCAAGGCTCAATCGACTTGGTCGGGATCTCTTTCTCTCGACTCTCACAAGATCTCGCCGCTGAGTGTCCGTGACACGACGCTACTTGACACTCATCCTTCTTTTCTTAACGAGCAAGTACTCTGCGCCCAAACTGCGGGCAATGTTGACTGGTTCGATAGTTCGTCGGCTGGCTTTTGTCAGGAAGGCCCTTCTTTCGACTGGACGCGCTTACCCGTAAGCGATTCGATGCCTCCGCACATCAAGTTCGCACGAAGCATTGAATGGGAGAAGACTCCGCTAGGCTCTATCGAAGGGTGGTCATCAGACTTGCGCCAGATGTGTAACCTCATTATGGCTAGTCCTCATCCGGCTGCTATGTACTGGGGCCAGGAATTGGTCGCTATCTACAATGAGGCTTATGTTATGTTGGCTGGTCAGAAGCACCCGGCTCTAATGGGACAGCGTTATGCGGATGGGTGGTCCGAGATATGGCCTGAAGTCAAGGATGTCTTTGCCAATGCGCTCAATACTGGTGAAGCGACCATGAAGGACGACGACCGGCTATTCATTATGCGTGGCGACTATCTTGAAGAAACGTACTTCTCTTGGTCCATAATTCCCATGGTTGGAGGCGACGGTAGTGTTATGGGTCTATACAATCCTGCTTTCGAAAAGACGAGGCGAAAGCTTGCTGAGAGACGCATGATAACGCTCCGCGAGATTGGTGAACGCACCGCTCCAGCAAGAGATGTCAAGGGATTCTGGAGCGAGGTCCTCGCCGCCCTGGATTTGAATGAACACGACACACCTTTTGTCATGCTGTACTCTGTCCAGGACGAAACTGACAGTGATGCGTCTTCCATGCATTCTAGCAGCGCCATGGCCAACAGGCAATGCATTCTTGAAGGCACTCTGGGTGTGCCTGAGGACCATCCTGTAGCGGTCTCGTGCTTCGACCTCAAGGGGGGCATGGAAGGCCTGGGCCCAGTCTTTCGTGAAGTGATGAAGACCGACAAGCCTGTTCTCCTCGAGGTTGGTACAGCTGATCTTCCTGCTAATCTTCTGGAAGGGCTCGGTGGGCGAGGTTTTGATGACTCTTGCCGCAATGTTGTGATTTGTCCCATACATCCGACAACTGGAGAAGCTGTGCTCGGATTTCTTGTCATGGGCGTCAATCCTCGAAGACCATACGATGAAGACTACAGTCTATTCATTCAGCTGCTCAATAGGCAGCTTGCAACTTCCTTGGCTTCTGTTGTTCTCTTTGAAGAGGAGATTCGACGTGGCCAAAAGGCAGCAAAGCTTGCCGCGATCGATAGGATGGAACTCTCGGAACAGTTGGCGGCTCGCACTCAAGAGGCTATTGAGAGTGAAACAAAATTCACGAGAATGGCGGAATTTGCGCCTGTCGGCATGTTTATAGCTGATTCCGAAGGCACCATTACCTATTGCAACGACACATGGTTCGAGATTTCTCGAGTTTCCAGAGACGAAAACACTCCAGATCATCACTGGATGGATGCTGTCAATGATGAGGACCGCGAACTTATCAACAAACTATGGCACGATCTCATCGTCGAGAAGAAGCCACAAACCGGCACATTTCGATTCAAGTCAAAATGGCATGGTTCCGAAGGGTTGGAGGGAGATCGATGGGTGCTTTTCTCAGCCTACCCAGAAAAATACGAAGATGGAAACCTCAAAAGCGTGTTCGGCAGTCTAACAGACATCAGCAAGCAGAAATGGGCCGAAGGATTCCAGAAACGCAAGATGGAAGAGGCTGTGGAGCTTAAGAGACAACAAGAGAACTTCATCGATATAACTTCGCATGAGATGCGTAACCCTCTCTCAGCCATATTGCAGTGTGCCGACGAGATAACTACGACCATGAGCCGACTCAGAGATGGCCTCGCTGGTCAAGCTTCGCTGGTCTCACCCATCGACAAGTTCCTCAGCAAGAGTCAGAATACCGAGACAATCGATGGCATCCTTTCGAGCACAGTAGACTCGGCTCAGACCATCGCTCTTTGCGCACAAGTAAGTTATTCCCCTCCTGACAAAGGCTGTCACATCCTATCTTCGAACCTTCACTGGGACTTATGCTTACTTGATATCAGCATCAAAAACGAATGTAAGTCCTCTTCTTCGGGGCTGGTCATCACATGCCTCTCTGCAAGAATTTGTCTCGGTAGTCATGCTTACTTAAATTCACAGCGTCGATGATATCTTGACCTTGAGCAAGCTTGATTCGCAATTGCTGCTGGTCACTCCAGTGGACGCACAGCCTCTTACAGTAGCGCAACGTGCATTGAAGATGCACGAAGGCGAACTCCAAACTGCCGACATTCAACTGAAATTCGTCGTCGATGAATCGTACAAGAAGCTCGGTATCGACTGGGTGAAGTTCGATCCTTCCCGCGTTTTACAAGTATTGGTAACTATAGCGTCGGCATTGCGGTGCACTTGGGCTAAGAACGAATTGCCAGATCAACCTCACCACCAACGCAATCAAATTCACGACGACTGAAAAGAAGCGGACCATTACCGTCACGCTAGCAGCCGCGACGAAACGTTTCTCGGAACTAGAGAATCGCGTGGTCAATTATTTCCCCACACGCAACAAACATGCGGATCTTACCAAAGAAAAAGACTGGGGTGATGGCGAAGACGTATACATTCACTTTGCCGTTCAGGACACAGGCCGTGGACTCAATGAGCAAGAGAAGAAGATGCTCTTCCTGCGTTTCTCGCAAGCCTCCCCTAGAACCCACGTACAATACGGAGGTTCTGGGCTAGGTCTGTTCATCAGCAGAGAGCTCACAGAATTGCAAGGGGGTGAGATTGGTATGTTTCAACTCTCTCCTGCTCAGCTTCCACGCATTACTAACGGTCTTCAAGGCGTAGCGTCCGAATTTGGGGTTGGCTCTACCTTCGCTTTCTGGGTTAAGGCAAAGCGAAGCAGTGCTCCCCCCGAAGCTGAAGGATTGAATCGGCCTGCCGTCCGCACTGCTAGTGACGCGACTGGTAAGAAGGTGCCTACTGTCGTCAATGCCAAGGCCGAGAGTTCAGTGGCAAGACCTATCAAAGTTCTCGTAAGTTGGTTCTGTTCCGTTTTGCCAGATTCTTCTCGCTCACAATCTGGAACCTAGATCGTTGAAGACAATATCGTGAACGCAAGAGTCCTTTCCAAACAACTGAAAAACCTGGGCTGTGTTGTACATGTCGCAAATCATGGTGGCGAGGCCCTGGATGTCCTTCGCAAGTCAAACTATTGGAACCACCAGGCAGATACCGAAAACGTCACCCCCGAATCGGAACGAATTGAATTGAGCGTCGTCCTTATGGATCAGGAGATGCCTATTATGGACGGACTGACTTGTACGAGGAAGATTCGAGAATTCGAAAAAGAAGGAAAGTTTGTCCGCCATGTACCAGTCATCGCAGTGACAGCCAATGCTCGGAATGAACAGATTGAAACGGCAATGAGTGCTGGAATGGTAAGACCGACATGCGATCGTTCGATGTTCGGTGTGCTGATCATTCTTCTAGGACGACGTCATGCCAAAACCTTTCCGCATACCAGAGCTTATCCCCAAAATCGAAGAGCTCATGTCTAAGTATCCGGAAGACTGAACACAAAAATGGAAGCGATTTATTAGCATGTCCTGCACCAGACAGGATTGAATTTTCTTGAGATACCCGGTTCTTTGGTTTTCAAGCATGGTCGTTTAGATAGCTGAAAGGAAATTCATTGTTGCAATTGTATTAAAGAATTGGAATAGCATTTGAGAGCATCGGCGGAGATGCTAGAGCTGAAGAGACGCTTATTAGGAGTATCAGATACCAAGCATTCATCATGCCGGAATATTGGCATCTTATACTGTTTCCTGCGCTCTTCATGTGGAAGTCTCCTCGTTTAGTCATGTTAATTTGGTCAAAAACATATTCGTACTCATAAATTAAAGATGGCTTTTATCTCAGCAATGCAAAAAGAGCCATCCTCCGACACCACTGCGACTTTCGCCACGTGTTTTCTCCTCCACAGTGCATGTCAAGTTACTGCTAAGGAATAATCTATCAACCACCAGCACTCTTCCTCGTCAAAGACTATGCTTCGCTGGCATTATGCCATTTGTACAACCTTGCTGATTATTTGTTCAATCCAATATTGTCTTTATGCGTTCGTTTGAAGGTCGAGTAGAACAGGGCCATCCATGCTCGTCGGGCAAAGCCTGGCGCTTACATGAAGCACCTCAATGGCTGCAACATCAGCGAGCCGCCAAACGCATATGGCCTACATATTAGCCGCGCAACTTGGAAGATCTCGCCGCAAGTCTGTGCTGAGTTCGGCTCTGGTAAGCTGACGTTCTCACAGTGTATCCCAGAGCAGATGAACTCCTCAATCTTGACGTGTACTTGATCCATCTCGTACATGTGCATATGTCCACAATGGTGAACTGTGCTGCCTGGCCACTGCACATGTGAAGCTCCGCTTCGCTTTATTGTCGTCAAGGGCATGCTTGCTATGTAGATGTGACCTGTCTACGTTCCTCCCATCGTCCAACCAGTTCCGACTCGATTGTGCCACCAACCAATTTCAACATGGCAATGGCACCGCCATACATGTCGTCCAGCTCTATGTTTGGCGCGTTCGCTAACTCTCCGCTTCCATATCAAGCCGAGAATCCCACCTCTAAGAGGTCCGCTCAATGCCGTCTTCGTCGAGAGTTATGCTAACCATCGTGATCAGGTCTTCTACGAACTCGGACAGTCTAGCACCTCCCCCATCTCCGTATCCTCAACAGGTCGATCCTTCGCCTACTGACTCGAACGGCACAGAGAATACGGATATTGAAGAGGACGTCCAAGATCAAGTTGGAGATAATTTTTCCGGTGCTGAGATTCAGTCCAGCCGACCCATGAGTCGAGAAAGCGTACGCATTATCGATACAAGTTAATTGGTTTTACTATAACTTATCAGACTGAGGCAGCTCACCAAACTAGACACCGCTGTCGCTTCACGGTCACGATCTGATTCGGACGAGACGCCTCCATCAGCCATACATGTGCCGGCCGACTTCAAAGAGCTTGTTAGTAGCTATCGACACCTCGTCAGCTGAATGTTTGACTCAAACCTCACCAGAACAGACCGGGTCATCCAGATTCGGAGAACAGTACATACACATCCAAGCACGATTTTGGACACGCCTGCATTTCTCCAAGCACACCTGATGCAGCTTTGGGCCCAGAAGACAAGCGTTTATCATCCATTACCTCGCCCTTGAACACAGATATACCACTTGAGCAAGGCGTTGACAGGCCTACTCCGCGAGCCCAAACACGGCAAGAAGTGGAAGAAGAATGGAAGAGACGGTCAAGACGTACATCTAGTCTCGAGGGTTTGTCAAACCTCTGCTTCACTGATTACGGCTGATACTGATGGAGAAAAGATATCCCAGAAACGAATACTACTGCTGGTAAAGACAAGGAAGATTCTCAGTCGCGATGGGATTCAGTCGACGACGTATCTGAGCTCCGTTCTGCACTAAATGAATGTTGGACGCTGTGTAATACTCTCTCTAATTTGAGCTCCAGCCATCGTCAGCGAACTCGAGCAGAATCGCTACCAAGCACCCCACATGAACAGGCATGGCGAAGCTGTTGGCACCTTTGCAAGCAGCTCTACGAATCATACTACGATCGAACACATACACTGCAAATTCTAGAAACATGTCGAGAGTTTTGTCAAGCTCTGTTCGACGTTCGCCTCCGTGGTGACGAATCTGTAGACTCCATCTTGAGAGTCAGTTTCGAAATGAACAATCATCTCTACAACACACATGATCGCCACCTTCCCGAGGCGTTCAAGGAAAGAACCTTGGATTTCTATGTGACTCTATGTCATCGAATGATGAAAAGGTCGACCTCACTGGCTCGGGAGACTGATGCACTATTGAGAGCATGTTGGTCTCTGGCTGAGGCACTCTTTAATCTAAGGCACGTTGGTCGGGATACAAAGAGACTCGATGAACTGTTAGCTTTAGCTATTCAAGCTTGTTGGGATCTGTCAGATATCTTCAGAGAGAGCTGGAGTCATCTGCGTCCTGACAGAAGCACACCACGACCTGGTCAAGTCGGATTCGCCTCGTCGGTGTCACAACATTCGATGGGTCCATCTGAGCGAGCTCCTTCTAGTTTGAGTAGCGAGTACTACGATGCGCCGTTGCCGCCACCAGAGACTCCAACAACAATCTTCGATGACGCTACCACAGTGTCGTCTCCTGAATCAGTCACTGTCCCCAACATTCTAGTACTTGGGCCTGCTGCTCCCGCAAGTTCTGGTGGCTCGACGCGTGGTGCCAAACATCACGATCGCTGGTCTAGTAATGCATCAACATTGAGCGACTACTCCGAGTCTGCAGACTCGCAGCGTACCTCGTCTACCGCACGCGCAAATTCAGATGGCAAGCATCTCCTGCGCCTACGCTGTCTTATTCTCAAGGCAGCCTTCAATGTCGGTTTCTCAGGGAAATCGAATCAATCTCTTGCTTCATTCGCCCACAAGCTTCCGGTACAAAGTTTCGGCAATCAGTCGTGGCAGATTCGTTTACTTGAACACTACAAACGACTGGTTGTTGTTGATCAAAGCCTCCGATCTCTAGCATCTCTGTCCGGCCAAAGCCTAACTGCTGTTGAGGTTGCCAAAGCAGTCATGTGGCTAAGCAGGAATGAGGAGTGGCGGTGGTTGCAAGATCTTTACTTGATTGTCTTTAGCTTTGGTGTCGAGGAAGCGGAAGTCAGAGGCGGATCCTTTCAGATTTAAGACATACGAGTACTGCGGTAAAGGTTCTCGAGTCTGCTGACAGGATAACCCTGACACGTTCGTGGTCACATTCAGAAATGTCAATGGGTGGCTTGATCTGGGAGAGAACAGTTGCCAGAGATACAGGGCATCGTATATAGCAACACAACATCATGCTCTGCTGTGTATCATCCGGACAGCGTCGTCAATCCGACTGGGCATAGCAGGGGCTTAAATGTTTATAATACACAGGTCTGAATATAGCACGAACCTACTCGAGTATTTGGAACCAGACATCCACCATAATTGACGATATACAGATACGTATCCCTCACCGTGTGCAATTGTTTGTGACTCTTTGGTCATGCTCCTGGCATATCAATGAGCAAAGGTATGTCCCAAAACGGCACAATCATGTTCAAAAGCATAAGCGTGACCCGAGAGAGCAGACAAGATCAAGCGACGCCATAACGCCAAGCCGAAGCTCTGAGGCCTACAAAAAAGAATCTTTCCCAACAACCATGATTCAACGATTTTTGATAAAAAACATGATGCCTGCCAACAAAAGATGATATGATGGTCAGTACGGGGGTCGAACCCGCGACCTTGGCGTACCAATATTGAGCCTCTATTGAAGGATCTTATTAGCACCACGCTCTAACCAACTGAGCTAACCGACCAGTTCATATTGACAAGTCCGGCTATCACAATATTATTCTCTGATTGAGAAAGGATATTCACGGAAGAGCGAGAACAAAACACTAGTCAAAAAGTGCTCGTCCTCGTCATCGAAACATGACAACGCAAGTTCTGCCCTGTTTAATGTCGTCAATAGAAGAACGACTTTGTGGTCACTGGCCATAATCCGCTACTGGAAGGGTGAGTAGATGGTGAAGAGTTAAGTAGGCACTGGGTGGGGTCTAGCACATAGTACAGATGGATGTATCCCACGACACGACACCATGAGAGATTTGATATCAAGTCGTTTTACTGTTTCGCAAGATGGCGCTGAACTTAGCAGGATACAGACAAAAGGCAAAGCGGAGGATGGAAGCAGATGATACAGGAGAAACATGTGTTGATGACTGGGCCGGGTACAGGAAGGGGGTATACAAACAAGACGCACCATAACATTCGTAAAATCAATCAGACAATCATAAGTTTGGAAACACTTTCCTCAGAAGTTTGCGTGCCTTTGAAGTCCTCAGTTCTGGGTCGCCCTCGTTTGCAGAAGAGCTCTGAAGCCCAGACATGGCTAGCGCGCGTGCACGCGCCCACTCTCTTCTTCCCTGATGAGCAATAGGGTTGCTTTGAGTCGCGTGCGCACTATGGTGCTCTGTTATAGATGTCATCTCTATCGGAGGAGCGTGTGCGGGAGGTGACCCGTTAACATTGGCGGAACCCCAAGCCTGTGGGCCAGAGACACGATTGCTGGAATCAGGCGGTTCACTTCCAGCTGCAGCGTGACGGGCCCGCCGAGCGGCATTCCGTCTGAGATATCTCTCTCTTCTGACGTGAGCGTTTGTGATCTTTCCAGGGATATAGCCTTTTGGCAAAACAGACTGCTTGCACAAAGGACACATGGAAGACGTGTCTAGCAAGAAAAGATCGATGCAGTTGGTATGAAAGACATGCCTACAAGGCAACTCGCGAACTTGACTTTGCGATTCGGTAAAATCATCCAAGCAGATAGCGCAAGTAGACTGCTCAAGAGGAGGCAAAGCTTCTACTGTTCCCTTTGCAGGTACGACGGCAGAAGGTGTGTAGGTGCACATTTGATCTATGATTTCCTGAGGAACGGTGAGCTTTCCAAGCCCCAAAGCCTGGATATCGACTTCGCCTCGGGCTATCCGGGCACGCAAGTCATTGCGTCTCTTCCTCTGAAGGATGTGCATGGTTAAAGAGAGGGCGCCAATGATGAATATCAGGATTGCAAGGATAATCAGTAAGAAGATCCAGATGCTAGGGAGGTTGGTACCGCCACTACTACTGGAATTTATGTCAATCAGAAGACGCAAATGCGTGTCTGCATCGATTCCATATTCGGCAAGTTCTTGAGGGCTGAGCACACTAGAAGCGTTACCAGAATAGAGGGCCAATTGTTGCATGGTCATGATGCCGACGGATGAATCGATGGCATAGACTGGATATCCGACAACAGACTTCCAGTGGCCGCCGTCACCCAAGTCCCAGGTGGGAGAATTCGCAGGCGCTAGCGGAGGATCGGACTGGTCAGGTAGATAGAAGACAAAGGCAGCAACCATGTCATTGGAGGCAGCCTGAAGATAGCTGAGAGTACAGGAAGGAGATAGCCATGGAGCTATGGCAACAATCGAGTTGGTTGGGGGCAAGTCTCGATATGTCGTGACATTTCTCGGCACAGACTGGGCGCACACGGCGGCGACATCAGGGACGTAGAGGAAGCCCAGACTCTGTGGAGACTGAGAGCCAGATGTCAGAGTGCGAACATTGGTGTCTTGTGGGACACCGAAGGCTACGCTCTGTGGCACGAGCCTGTTCGAAGACTGATCATACGTGTCGATACGTAAACTCGTCATGGTTAGTGAATGATCAAGAGGGCGGCAGCAGCAGAGCAGAGAGGCCAAGAGCCGAAGACAAGTGGACAGTGTGTCAAGACACAACGATGAGCCGAGCCATGGCAAATCAAGATGTATAGAAGGATAGAAACATGGGCGACAGAGGCAAAGGCAGAGGCGAGGACGAGGACGAAGACGAAGATAGGCAGGTCTGCAAGGCGGCTGACACGGCCGGGACGGCGGATCATGATGGACCAAGAACAAGAACGACTCGCGGCGCATTGCGGCATCGAGGGGAAGGCAGAAAGCTTAATCGCGCACGGCCGCCAGCCATGCGTGGGTTGTGCGGAGGTGGTCAAGTCTGCGGCCAAGCTCGTCTGTGATGAACCGTCACCCGGACCCAGTCCTCTCGACGACAACAACATCCTCCATGTCCTCGCCCAGCCATTATGGCCCCTTCGTCCAAGAACACGCCCTCTTCAGCTCGCCCGCGTGAGACGTCTGCATCCGCCATGTCCTCCGCGACAGCCAATGCCGGCACCAGCGCCGCTGCCAATCCTGCGCCCACCACCACCCCGTATCTCCATACTTCGCTGCTGGTCCTATCGCCCAATTTGTCCATCGACGCCTTGATGGAAAAGCACGCCACCAACTCCACCAGCCCGCCTTCCGCCTCGAGCCTGCACGCTTTGCACGACAGCATCCACTCGCACGTTCTGCCCAACGTTCGCTCCCTCAGTGATGCCTGTGACCGCAGCATGCGCGAACTTTCCAGGAAGAGAAAATTCCGCGCCGACCAAGAGCTTGACCGAGAGCGCCGCGAAGACGAGGCCGAACAGCGCAAGAGAGCCCGCCACGCAAAGAAGAACGACTCACATCGGCCCCCTGCCGTTGGCGCTCATGGCCTCGCCCGCCAGGACGGCCAGCCTTCTCCTCCACCCGAGTCTCCCTCTGCTACCAAACCCGCTCTCGACGATGATTCCTCATCACCTGCTCCCTCCGATGCCGAACACCAGCCTCCACCCGCTCCCGCAATTGCCCATTACGAAACTTTCGGCAACGATCCCACCCAATTCGACGACCCTACCATCTACCATATTCGCGACTGGACCCCTGACATGACCGACCAAGAGAAAAAAGAAATCTTCTGCGTTGCTCGTTTTCCCCACGATGACTTGCACGACCTGACACCTGGAACTCCACCAGACATGGACTTTAGTAGCGCCAAACCCGCCAGTCAGATCAACTTCTCCACCTTTCAGGCTTATGTCGAGCCATATATCCGTCCGCTGACCGAAGAAGACGTCGCCTTCTTGAAAGAACGCGGCGATCGCGTGACACCATATCTTATACCACCGCGAGGACCCATGCCATACACTGAAGTCTGGGCCAAGGAAGACGGTGTGAGCCATCACGATTTTAATCTTCGATTGCCTCCAAACGAGCCTCGAGGAAATGTTGAAGACATGAATGACGATGTCGCTGAAACCGCTCAGATCTCGGCCGGACCGTTGATATCACGTCTCATGAGTGGTTTCCGTCATGATCCTCACCTCCACAAAGACGACCAAAGCAACGGCAATGCCGACACATCAATGACCAATGGAGAAAGCACTGCCGGCGGTCAAGAGAATGAGCAACCTACGAACAACGACGAGTCATCAGACGCCGTGGCTTCATACAAGCCTGCGACACATTTCCCAGATCACCACAAAATCCCACCCAACGCAGGTCGTGACTTTGCGCCCCTAGAACAGCGAACATTACAAGAGCTGCGATATTGCGGCTTTGTAACGCCTGAAGCAACTCCAGATTATGATTCGCAGTATGATGACGAAGTCGCTGCCCGTCTGCGCTATCTGCAAGCGGAGCTTCAGCGCGTATCACGAGAAAATGCTGCTCGAAAAGCACGTGTGCTGGAGCTGACAGAGGAGCGTATGGCCATGCAAGAATACTCTACGATTGCAGATGATCTAGACTCTCAGATCAACACAGCTTACTTGAAGCGAAATCGCACGATGAGTAAGCCCAAGAAAGGTGCAGGCAAGGGAAGACCAGGTGGTACTGGTGGTGTGGCCATCAGCCGAAACTTGGTTAGTGAAGGCGTCAAGATGCTGATGGATAGGAGGAAAGAGTGGAGGGACCTCATAGGCCCGGTTGTTGATTTTGGACAACAACGGATACCAAAAGAGACTGTCTTTGACAAGGAAAATATGGAAAGGCTTGAAAAGGTCGAGGCTGATGCTGGCGAGGAGGATATAGAATAGAACAGGTACAAGTACCTTTACTAATTATTGCTAGTGGGCTTGATGCCCCAGCTAAATGACTTGACGTCCTATAATCAAATTCTCCCTATCTCATGAATCTGCATGCTTCCTATGTCTATTCTCAAAGGATTGTCGCTCCAAAGTCCGCAGACGGAGGCCTCGTCGGAAAGAACTGCTATATGGAGAACTAGATCTGGGGTATGTTTGGCCGTCGGCCGGGGCCGAGCCATCTCCTGGGAGGCGGAGAAAAATAATGAAATACTCAACACACTTTCCCGACAGTCAGTCTCAGTTACTGTTCCTTTTCTGTTTCATCTTCGACATCAATTCGCAGGGTCATCTTGATTGGATTGGCGCAGAGTATTGGAGGACTGCCTACAAACAAACATATGACAGCCTCGTCGCCTCACGGCACAAAGCCCGAACGTACCATTTCGAATGGCATATCTGACACGGACCCACCTATTGTGCCATTGACCTACCATGGCTCGACGGACAATGAGAAACCGCATTCTTTGTATCGAGACATAGAGTCGAAGAGTCTCTCAGACCAGGATGTCTCGTACCCAGAAGGTGGCAAGGGCTGGTTGGTCGTGTTTGGGTCTTTTTGCGGCATGCTTGCAGCTCTTGGACTTATGAACTCGATAGGTTAGTTGTGTTACATGCACTCAACAACAAAGTCTCATGGCTGACTGACTACATCAAAAAGGAATCTATCAAACCTACCTGGCAACTCATCAATTGAGCAATTATACGGAGAGTCAAATATCGTGGATCTTCAGTGTATACTCCTTTCTTTCATTCTTTTGTGGCGTGCAAATCGGCCCATACTTTGACGCAAAAGGCCCTCGTCTGCTTGTAGCGTGTGGCAGTATTTCACTCATCGTGTGCACCCAGCTGTTGGGAATCTGTACTAGTAAGTCTCAAGAATGTGGCTGCAACGATGGATGATTCCTGATGTGTGGCTCCCAGAATACTGGCATTTCATGCTATGCTTCGGAGTCCTCGGAGGCATTGGAACGAGTTTGATCTTCACGCCCGCCGTCTCCAGTATTTCCCATTGGTTCCTAGTAAGACGCGGCAACGCAACTGGTGTTGCAGCGACGGGCGGCGCTGTTGGCGGCGTTATCTTCCCACTGATGTTACAGAATCTCTTCCCCAAGGTCGGATGGGAGTGGGCTACACGAATCCAGGGCTTCATCTATATTGGCCTTCTCCTCATGGCAAATCTCTTTATACGCTCACGGCTTCCACCCAAACCTGGCGGCAGCGTCTTGCCCGATTTTAGAATCTTCAGAGACGTACCTTTCGCCCTGACCACGATTGGAGTCTTTTTCGCCGAATGGGGACTGTTCATTCCCATCTCATACCTGACATCCTATGCTCTAGGTTCGGGTGCTTTCAGCACAACTTTCGCATACCAGCTCATTGCAATTTTCAACGCTGGCAGCGTGATTGGCAGATGGGCGCCTGGATATCTCGCCGACAAGGCTGGAAGAGTGAATCTGATGATTGTTTGCCTGCTACTTTGCGCTCTGTCCTCGATGGGTCTTTGGCTTCCTGCAACAGTTCTCTCTGCCTCTGGTGCTAGCAACGACTCAACAATTCTTGGTCTGACGATCACCTTTGCTATTCTTTTCGGATTTGGCTCTGGATCCAACATCAGCTTAACTCCTGTCTGTGTCGGCCAGCTCTGCGAAACAGAGTCGTATGGCCGCTATTATGTGAGATTAATCCGCTGCATCGAGTCAAACTTCTGGAACTAACCCCTTCGATAGTCCACCTGCTACACCATTGTTTCTTTGGGCACGCTAACGGGTCTGCCAATCGCAGGAGCGCTACTCCAAGCGTGTGATGGAAAGTATTGGGGCCTTGTATTGTTCACAGGCATGTGCTACATCATCAGCTATGTTGCCTTTTCTTGGGTAAGAGTGATGAAGCAAGGATGGGGATTGACGAAAGTCTACTGAACTGTATATACAAGCTAGTTGACACACTACTGTACATGCTCACCAGGAATACCATCTATCTCATCGGTGTCAGGCACATCAAGACATGAACAAGTATTTTCCGTAGCCATCAAGTAATGATGCATCACAACAGAACATTGACTAGCAGTATAGCATTACTGATGAGCACAATGATGGAACAATCTATCATGTATCATCTATCATCGATCTTGTCGCATAGCTTTCTTTCATTGAAGTTGTTGTCCGGAGTTCTCGACAAGAGCCGCCGTCTCTCGTTCTCCTCTCGAACCTAGCTGATTACGGCTAGCGCTGGAACTGGCGGCAGGAGACACCTGACTCCGCCCGAACAGATCTCCAGAATTTATCAAAGTATCCTTGAGAGAAGACAAGACCTGCTTTTGCTCTTGAAGGACTCTACTACGCAATCAGAGATGGTTAGATCCATAATGATGAAGTATGGCAGGCAATGTATTAGTTTGTAAGCCAGATCGTACGTACAAGGACGGCTGGATATAGCCTTTTTTTTTTTTTTTTTTTCTTCACTCCGCCTTTGCCTGGGAACAAACTTGCTCGAGGTGGCAGGCTCTCGCTATCGCATTTGGTTCGGACACGCTGAAGACGGAAATACCCCATGGACCGCAATTGATTACTAGCATGGCTAAGATATATGTATATTTTTGTCCTTTTTTCTCTTCCTCTCTTTACCGGAAGTCTGGCCCGGTCGGATGTTCAAAGCGAAAAGCAAAAAAGATGCGGCTCTAAACCAAAGCAGAGCCGCATTGGTGACACGTGGGTGAACGAAGATAGAGTTATCTAGACGACAACCGTTCATACCAAGCAGTTACCAAGATACCCTTGAGTGCTGTAGTAAATATCGCAGTCCTCTGCAGAGTAATCTTGCCGAGCGAATGCTTAGGTAGTAGTTCATCATGTTCTGCACCCGGACGGCATTGGCAGAACTGAGATCTAAGTGCCTCACAATCTTCAGCTGAAGCTTCTACCTAGGCTATTCGGCTGTTCATGCATTTCTCAGAAGGCTCTAACACGGTCATACCCTAGGAATACCTAGCCGGGAGATACCGACAGTGAACAATACTCTTCTTGATACGAGGGTGTACGGAAGCAAGTCCTCAGCTTATCATAGTTTGTGCGTATATCTCGCGTTTTCCGGGAACGCCCCCACTGCCGATCGCATGCCTGCGTGCCATTGACAGCTCTGTTGTCCAGCTGTGCCTTTTGCGGAGTTAGTCCAGTCAACGCGCACCATGACTTTCTGTCAATGAGTCCGGCAGTCCATGGCTCGCATTCGCAACCAACTCCCGTTGGTGCGCAGGCGTGTTCGTGGTTGGTTGGCGGCGTGATGAAGAGATGTTTCAGTCGCACATGGGTCATGCTTGCCTGAGTGCACGGAATTCACCGCAACAAGACGCATCGCTTAAGATCTCATGATTGCTGATTGGGCCGGTCTTCTCCACATCTTGCTTCTCACCAAGGAATCGCCGATGTGCCATTCTCTGACGTATGCCTAACACTCGTAAACAAAGCGAGGCACGAAGAATGCCTGCTCAAGATCGATCCAAAAGCTCATTTGTAGGCGGACTTTGTGCACTGTGACTGGTTGCGGGCACGCGCGGCTCTGCCCTTGTAAGGCTTCTAGGCCCAATTGGGTAGGATATGAGCTGTCGAAGCTCATATATGCCTCTCCGATATGACAGGGCAGAAGCACATGTTGGTCTACCTACGTACGTCACTTTTTGTAAGCTGTTTCCCTCCGAGCTCCGGCCATCAGTGGGTGTATATCAGGCGCGTCGTCCGCTGCACAAAGCTCAGCGTTGACCAAGTCACTACTTCTCCTCCACATCTATCACAATGGCACCAGGAATTGCAGACACCGTCAAGCAGGCCGTTACCGGCGAGCCTTTCGAGAACGCCAAAGCTGCGGCCATGAGTGACAACATGAAGAACTACATGGACTCAAACAACAGAATCACGACGGATTATGGCGTCAAGCAGACCAACACCGACGATTGGCTCAGAGTTGCATCCGGCGACAAGACTGGCCCTGCCTTACTTGAAGATCACGCCAGCCGTGAGAAGATTCACCGTTTTGACCACGAGCGTGTATGTCCTGCCGCTTCCAAAGCTATTCACTGTACGACGACTGATTCTTGTCCAGATTCCTGAGCGCGTTGTTCACGCCAGAGGTGCTGGAGCGTTTGGAACTTTCAAGCTGTTTGAGAGTGCCTCGGATGTCTCTTCTGCTGGTGTTCTAACCGATACCTCGCGTACCACACCTGTCTTCCTTCGCTTCTCAACAGTCCTGGGAAGCAGAGGTAGTGCGGATACTGTCAGAGATGTTCGTGGCTTTGCCGTCAAGTTCTACACCGAGGAAGGTAACTGGGACATTGTTGGCAATGACATTCCAGTTTTCTTCATCCAGGATGCTCTCAAGTTCCCCGATGTGATCCACTCCGGCAAGCCCGAACCTCACAACGAAATTCCTCAAGCACAAACCGCTCACAACAACTTCTGGGATTTCCAATATCTTCATTCTGAGGCGACCCACATGTTCATGTGGGCCATGTCTGACAGAGGCATTCCTCGTTCGTACCGCATGATGCAAGGATTTGGTGTGAACACCTACAAGTTGATCAACGCCAAGGGAGAGTCTCACCTTGTCAAATTCCACTTCACTCCTCATCTCGGTGTGCACAGTTTCGTGTGGGATGAAGCCTTGAAGCTGGCAGGACAGGACCCCGACTTCCACCGCAAGGATCTTTGGACTGCAATTGAGGGAGGCCAATACCCAAAGTGGGACTTTGGTATTCAAACCATCCCCGAAAGCCAGGCAGACGATTTCGATTTCGACCCTCTGGATGCTACCAAGATCTGGCCTGAAGAAGATTTCCCAGTGAGATACATTGGAGAACTCGAGCTTAACCGCAACGTACGTATAACCTATTGCAGCACGCGATTGTAAAGTGCTGTTCTACGTCTACACTGTGCTGACCCTACATCGTAGCCGGATGAATACTTCCCCCAGACTGAGCAAGGTACGTTAAAACGCTCACATGTACCCAGCACTTGTTTTTTTTTTTTTTTTTTTTTTTTTTTTTTTTAAAAAGCTAACCCCGTTTCCTACAGTTGCTTTCTGTACCGGTCATGTCGTGCCAGGCATTGGCTTCTCAGATGATCCTTTGTTGCAAGGCCGCAACTTCTCCTACTCGGACACCCAGCTCTCCCGTCTTGGTGTTAACTGGCAGGAGCTGCCCATCAACAAGCCCATGTGCCCCGTCATGAACCAGAACCGAGATGGAGCCATGCGTCACAGCATCACCAAGGGAACTGTGAACTACTGGCCAAACCGTTTCGAGGCCACAAAGCCTGCCACTGCCGACGAGGGCGGTTACGTCGATTTCCCTCAGAAGGTTGCCGGCATGAAGACTCGTCTACGCAGCAAGAAGTTCTCCGAACACTACAACCAAGCTCAGTTGTTCTACAACTCCATGTCTGAGCACGAGAAGATGCACATCATGAACGCACTCTCTTTCGAGCTCGATCACTGTGACGACCCGGTTGTGTACAAACGCATGGTTGAGAGGCTGTGTGAGATTGATCTCGACCTCGCTCGTGGAGTTGCAGAGATGGTTGGCGCTGACATCCCTGAGGAGGCCCGTCGTGTCAACTCAGGAAAGCGTTCCAAGAACCTTTCTCAGGAGGACTTCCCTCCCAAGAATCTGACCATCGCAACCAGAATGGTGGCCATTCTCATCGCAGACGGTTATGACTCTATTGCTTACAATGCAGTCAAGGCTGCCTTGGCAGCTCAGGGTGCTCTTCCCTTTACCATTGCTCCTCGTCGTACACCTATTTATGCTGCTGGCGAGAGCAAGGAGTCAGGCAAGGGTCTTGTTCCTGACCACAACTTGGAAGGTCAACGCAGCACTATGTATGATGCCATCTTCATTCCTGGTGGAGCTGACAGCATTGCCACTCTCCGCAAGAACGGCCGAGCTTTGCACTATGTGAGAGAAGCCTTCGGCCACTTGAAGAGTATCGGCGCCACAGGCGAAGCTGTTGCATTCGTCAAGGATGCTTGTCAGCTACCCGGCGTCACTTTCTCCGAGAGCAACGATGTTGTCGACTCTTATGGTGTTGTCACTGCTTCCCAAACCGAGGTTAACAGTTTCAAGGAGGCCATATCCCTTGCCAAGGGCGCAAAGGACTTCACAACTGCCTTCTCGTACGCTATCTCTCAGCACAAGAACTACCAGCGTGAGCTTGATGGCTTGGCAAACATGGTCGCTTACTAGACGGAGAATGAAGCATTTGATTTTGAACTTTCAGCACAGATACCACTCTTATAATGAGAAACCCTTTTTAGATACAAGTATAATCCGGTAGCCGTCCCGTGGTTACATCAGTCTTATCCTTGAGATCTAACCGCTGAAGCACGAATAGTGCGCTTTGAAATTTGACCATAACAACAACGACATCTTTTCATCTGCCTTGTTCTCTCAATGGCTGTCATATTCTTTCAGCGCTCAAAAGCAATTCCCATCGAAACCAAACGTATGTCTCGAGCTGGTACAGTTCACGGTACTTCAAGATATGTTGTCCAGCGGATGGAAGCTTGACATATCAAAATTATCAAGAAAACAACCACAATTTTGATGTCTCATTTAACTATTTTCGCGATGCTCCCTATATGACGGGCTCAAATTCGCTGGCAAGAAGTGAACAACGCAGCGTAGGGTTATGCCTGCTGTGTGATTGAATTTGTTGGCCCTGAACGGGTGAGTATGTCGTGATCGCCGACTGTAGTGCAACCTCAGGAGCTTTGTCCAAATCGACCGATGCGCATTCTTGGTGGGACAAGAAGGCTTGCATTTGACAGCTGTAGGGAGCCTTTGCCGGGTCCTGCAGACTGCACTCTGTTGCCTTCGACAAGCAATATCAGGAACCAATGAGACGAGGAATTTGAGGGGACGACTTGGTGATCGTATTTTCGTCGCCCGCATGAAGACAAATAAGAAGAGCCCGACAGCATTCCAGTTGCAAACATCAGGAGATATGGGAAAACGCATCTAGCCCCTGCTACTGCCTCAGACCAAGAAAGTCCAGAAGCTGGGATACACAAATTCGTCATCAAAGATGCGACGCACCTGCTCGAGGACGAATTTTTCCACCTTTCCCACATTCTTGAGAACTTGCTTTCCTCCCTCACGTTGACCGATTTCACTTTCGACCTTGATCTCTTCCAAAAGAGCTCCCAACTTCCGTGAGCCCTGTGGTGAATGACTGCTGTGCTCCTCGTGCTCGCCTGTCAAGGACCCGCCAATCAAGGACTCGGCATCTTCCTGACAAAGGAAGCAGAAATGGGCCTTTTTCTTGATGTAAGCCAATATACCAACACCATCGAAAGTGAGGCCGGTGATGTTGAGCTGCAACGGAATCCCTACAAAACTTGGCATTGGATAGTCCAATGATATCTCGGCAGTCAATCTAAGCTTGACGTCGCCACAGTAGGCTACGTGGAACACCATCTGAACATCTTCTGGGCTACGTTCTTGCTCGTCACCGGCTCCGTGGTGAGACGCATTCGAGTCATGCTCAACGTGATGCAAAGGGTCCTCAGGCCAGTCCAGATGTCTTGAGGTTGGACGTGAGGATGATTTTGAGGATGAAGGGGTCAGCGAACCGAACGAGGTTGAGCGGTGCCGTGTCTCGGAGTCAGAGTAATTACTTTCTGGCGACTGAGCCAATTGAGAAGGACCATGTCGCGCATTGTGGAATTGTGCGCCGGCCACAGCGGCCAGTGGGGTCGTGGTACCTGAGAGGCCCGCTGATAGTGGCAAGTGGAAATAGCCCAGATTTGAGGTGCCTCCCAAGATGCCTGGGGTTGCTGTTCGTGATAGAATTGGATTTCCTACGTGTTCTCGAGAATTTGTCAAGCGAGGATTGTGGAATTCGTCGCGGCTCAAGGAAGGATTGTGGTGATAGTGAGGACGCGTTTCCTCGGGCCTGGGAGTAACAAGGTTATGCTGGTTCTCATCGACTTGGCCAGGAGTTTCATCGTCCTCTTGGCTGTCGTCGGCGTCGTTCTCATAAAAGTCTGGTAATGGATCACAGACATCTTTGAGCTCAATGGTTGGAGCAACGCTGCCAAACTCGAAGGCGTGGCATTTGACAGAGCGTATCATACGCGGAAGAGCAATCTTCTGGAAGCGATCATGAATGAAGGCCCTGATACTCTCTGCCAGCGCTTCGCCATCAGAGCCTGTGGTCAGAGTTTCCCAGTTGATTTCAATCGACATGTTTGCCGTCAGAAAAATGACCAGACGTCGGGCCTGCTAAGCGCTGCGGAAGTAGGGCAAGTCGAGGCGGATTCTCGGCTGCGACTCTGCGAGCTTCTTCTCCACTTTTCGGCCACCTGTGAACTTCGCTCATCAGATATCTCACCGACACTTCACATGTCTGTCTCTCTCCCTCTAGCTCGGCTGTTTGCAACTGCTCACAGCTCGTGTCCTCGTTTGTAGTAATTTATCAAGCTCTGGGCCAAAAGGATAGATGCTTCTGTGCCCCTGCAGCCACGTTTCACTCGTCTAAGGCTTTGCCATGACAGCGGAAAGCTGCCCAAGTGCCTGCAAGCCTGCAGCCAGCTGCTGTATCCTGCAATGCCCACTCGGCCCGTACCGGCTCTTGACAGCCAGTCGCTGCTTTGTTTGTGACAACTCAAAAATCATGACATGGGCAAGAGGTACGTATCAGATGCAGCTCACTCTTGATCATGCTGTAGCAATTCGACAACGGCACGATCAATCATTCCACTCGCACTTCATCCAGGCCCACGCATGCTGAGACGCATGTGCAAACTTTGCCGCAGACAACAACTCTCTTTGTCTTCTTCCCGCAGCGACAACAACGCATTGTGTGAGTGACGTCGGTTTGTTTCTGAAGCATGTTCAATATTTCTGCCAAAACTTATTCCCAGTACTCGCTAGAAGCTTCGACCGCTCCAAGCAACCGTACGCCACGCTAAACCTGCCCTTTTTGACTTGCCGAACGCCGAGGGATATACCTATCATGAGACTTAATGAAGCAGGCAAAAGGACCAAAAACAAGTCAATGCCGCCTGAAGCCTTGCCAACAACTGATTTGTAGACCATTAAACATTGCCTTCAAGGTGGATCGCTGTTCTTCTGTCGTCCTATACTGTATTACAATTGGCTATGCCCATGAGACTGATTTCTGTTAGCCATGGCTGAGCCGAGCTCACTCAGAAGAGTCTCACCTTGTCATCTTTGGCAATTTGAGCAGCGTTGATCGTGATTGATCTTCTTGTCTTGTGAGTTCGGGCATTTTGCGACTCTTGACGCAGCGCAGGGTGCCAGGTCGACTTGCTGATGACCGCATTTGAAGACGTGAATGATTTTCGTACACATGTTTGTCGTCTGATGGGTGGTAAGGGATTGTCCCGCGGGAAACAAGGGCGGTGCGGGCAAGGATGTTGTTGCAGTCTGCGACACTGGCGGAGGCGGCGGCCAAGCTCTGGAGAGGACTACGACTTTGCTGAGCGACAGTTAGCTTTGCTGGCTGCCTTTGTTGGCAATCATGTACTCACCAACCTGGCTAAAATACCACTATCTGCCGCAGTAGACAAGGCCAAAAGACGATTGAGAGTGTGTACACGCGATGGATGAACATCTCTTGACTGGTGATGGCTCGCGCTGGGTCTTATAAAGGGCAAAGCAACCAGCCCGCCGGATAGTCTCACGAAATGCTAGCACTGTTTGCACCAGCTTTGCAACACATGGATAGCCGTTAGAAGACCCGCAGGCATGCGCTCCCTCCCGATGGCGATCAAAAGGCAAGGGTCCTCCCAGACTACGAGCGGGTACCCGCGAGCCGAAGGTCTTGACAGCCGACTACTGCACACAAGCGCGCCAACAAATTCATGTTCTGAGAATTGACAGATGGTGCAACGGCTTCTGAGCTTCCTGCCACTCCTTTTCTGTGCTCTCGTTGTCTTCTGCTTGCCCTGCTGCCGTCGGAACCATGTCCCGTGTGCTGTACGACGGATTGCTTTACCATTACGACTGGGGCAACATACCTGGCCGCTCATCCTTGCGCTTACGCATGCCGTGTCCGTCATCAAAGAGTGCGCCCCTCACTTTTTCGCTTGAAACAATCGAGCTCCTAGCGGCTCGACGACTGTGGCTTTGGTCCCAGCTCTGGTGAAGCTGCTGTCGTCTTTGGCCCGTCATGCGACATTCTGCAATTTGTCCGGCGTGCGAACGGCCCGGTGGGAGATTGACTGTGAGGTTCGTTTTCGCATCTCAACAAGGCAATGGATGAATGCCCTTGGAAGCAGCAGTTTGCCCGACAGGATCTTGTCTTCACCATTGCTCCACCACGAGGGCTGCCCCGCTTCCCTTGCTTGGCTCTGTAGCGAGCAATTAAAAACAAATTGGTGGGCTTCGTTTCACAGGCTCACAGCTCACATTCTTTCGTTTCCTCACACGTTTGACTTTGCGCAATATTACGACAGTATATACATCATTTTAGATAGGGAACGTGCATTAGCCGCTCGCGAGCATGGCGACATTCATCTTATTGTTCTAGCGAAAGTCAACCGTCTGCCGACAATACACACGACAAGACGGACTCGCGTCCGTGGGTAACCTCGAGTTGTGGTCTAAAAAGCAGCCAGACGTCGTCCTTACGAACAAAGTTCAGAGCTTGTTTTCGGAATGAAACCCTGAACATGAACTCTACGCCCCAGATTCGCGTTGCAAACTTAGGCTGCATCTGCACCTACACAACGACCGAGGAATCTATCGCTAATTCTTTTGCTCGCAGTGATTTGTCTGGACGAATTGTTTGAACGATCGCGGCCCAAATCAGCCATTTCGATTGTTGAAGACCACATACCATACAGGTTGACAATGAGATCGCGGTGGACTAGTCAGTTAATATATGCCAAGTTATGAGCTCAGGGCTGGCAGATAGATAGCTGCACATCTAGGTATTCAAGTACCGAAACTCATGGGAGGGGATGGAGAATCGAGACTATATATTGCGTATGTTTGTGTTGTTAGACCACAAACTGGTGAAGCAATCCGCACCTACGATCTCCTCGTCCCCTCGTTGGAAAGAGGAAGCTACAATTGTGTTCATTGGACTCGTGGGGAATGGCTTTTGATAGCGACCTGGAAAGGACGCGGGAAAATTCACGTATCTGTGTCTCCCGAAATTGACAGCTTCTAAAGATCCAGCATTGCTGAAGCTACTAGCACGACGCCATACATTCCAAGCATTTGACACAATCCACGTACACTAAATACCAAGGCAACGATCTGATTGATGGTATCTTGCTCAGCTCCATTAAGCATACCCGCGACCTACTAACCAAGAAAGCCATGAACACTATCTCAGCACCACAGAGAATGCTCAAGATACTTCTCGTACCACCAGGTCTGACAGCATCGTCGGCGATGCATCTGTAGCCACTCCACACAGTGTCATTTCCTGAAGCCATGCAGAGACCTGTATATGATGCAATGGATCAAATCAGTGGGACGATCTCGTATGTCGGCAATTCTGACATTCTTTCACGGACTGCGTCTAGTTCAAAGTTCTGTTTGGTATCACACATCAAAGCGACATCTTCATATTTGTCTGGTCAGATCCATACTGAGACGCAGGCATTCCTTGTACGATCACATTCCACCAACAATGGAATGAGAGCAATGACAACAATCATAACAATTCTTGCAGCCGGCCGATTGCAAAAAGCTCAGCATAGCAGCTGTAAACCTCAGAAACCCGTGTCAGCTTTCTCGTAGGACTGCGTTGACTACACGCACATCACGATCATGCCATACACATCACTTCGGGGATCTGAGCACTTGGAAGAGGACGAGGAGGAAGAGGAGCAAGATATTGAGGAGGGCACAGGTTACAACGATTTCGACATACCCCCCTCCCAGCGCCGTGTTCAGCCCATCATCTCCAGAAACAGAAAGACTTCCCCAGCGAAGAACGTCTCCTTCGAGACGCGAGACACCCAGTGGCCAATCGATGGCGATCGCGAAGAACAAATAGACGCTGACGCCGCCCATCAGTTGCAGATAGAAGACCGCCAGGCAAGAAGTTCAGGCAGTCGGTTGACACGGTCAAGGAGTCCAGCCAAGCGCAGTGTATCTAAGGTTGATTCGCATAGGGATCTTGAAGAGACTGTCAACCAGGCTCGGAGAAGTACTTCTAGAGGCCCTGTACCGGCACCTGCGCTTTCAAGAGAGATTCCAGGAGAACAAATGAATGCCCAATCCAGATTTTCGCACTCAACCCTGCCAGAAAATCTCACACCACAAGAGAGAAAAGACAACGAGCTAGATGCAGAAGTCATGGAAACATTGGACAACATCCGCAGCGACATTTACAAGCTTTGCTCCAGATTCTTTGGTCGAGACATCACAGGGCCTAACGTCACGAAGATGCTTGATGAGATTGAAGATAACGACGATTTGGAATTCATCAACTTCTCCAAGGCTGTTGCTGAAGGCGGCGGTGTTGCGCGAACTTGGCAACAGGTCGTCGCAGAACGAGAGTGTCGCATTGGCCTCAGCTACGGCATCATCCATAGGGTGCTGGTACGACATGTTTTTGGTAGTCTTCTGTTTGGTGGGCCTGAAGATTTGATGAACATGCTGGAGCGAATGGAGAAGGCCCAAGAGAACGAAGATGGTATGTCTTTGCCAGAGCACTAGCTCTGCGACTGAATGACTGATTGCTTGAAAGGGTTCTACAGAGAGGAACAACGCGCTCTGTGCATCACATCTTATGAGATTCAGTACAGACGAGATGTCAACCAGAGCAACCAGCGACAACTCGCCAATCTGAAACTCGCACTACAGATCTCGATGCTGCTTGATCCACTTTACCACCTTGACCCTCAGAACGAGACAAGAGAGTTCAGCCTGTTACAGTCCAATCTGATTTCGATCGTGGCAACAGCTGCAAAGCTTGCAACTCTCATGAGAAGGAGCGGCAATACAGTCCTCTATCAGTTCGGACACGTCTTCAAAGACCAGGTGGCCGATAAGAAGACGATGCAAGTTCTGAACTTTGTGCAGCTGGAAAAGCAGCACCAAGAGGGAAACGGACCGGATCGGGTCTTGATCAGGATGGTATGCGGTGATTCGTTGTATGCGTTCAGGAAGGGTGGCGGTGTCATGGCCGAAAGGACACTGGAGAAGGAGGAGCAGGAACAAGCCACGAAGGTTGCTCCAGAGCTACGACACCTGCCACCAAATCATTACCGCGGCCGTCTCATCACAGCACGGGACGGCTACAGATCCAAATTCTTGGCCAAGGCGCAGGTGGTCGGGCGATTGGAGCGGATTGGTAGCGAGAGCAAGGCAACGGAATTGACGGAGGCGATCCGTCTTTTGCGAGATGGGGGGTGCACGGCGCAGTGAGATTGTTGCTTCCGGCAGTCGTTATGGTAGTGTTTCAACCAATTGACTTTTCTTGTTGCACATGAGTCGCTGTAGTGGACTCGTCGGCAGCAGGCGCTTCTTCGAGAAGCTGCCTCAATGTTTTCGCACCCTCTTCTCTTTGCTTTTCCCAGCGTAGTACTCTCCAAGGCTTTTCCTCCTTACGCAGGGTGAATTCGCTCAAGCCTGGCATGGGGACATTCCTAGCCAGATCTTCTTGAATAAGACATCTACCCGAGACCCTGAAGGAGCCGTTGTAGGCGGTCTGGTCGATCTGATCGCGGTGGTGGAAGGTCGACGTATTTGCCTGAAGCTGGTAGTGCCTCTGTCGTCCGTCTCCCGAGCCTTCGGGGCTCATGACAAAGCGCAAGGGCGACACCTCGAGGAGTTTCTGCGCCGCCTCGTCCGTCTCAAAAATGGCAATCATCGTGTTGGCCACAGGGAGAGCGTCGTACTTGAAGTTGCGGAACATTTCGACTCGTCCGTATTGTTGCATCAACCGGAGGATCTCGCGACTCTCAGCCAGCGTCTCTACACGAGGATGCAGGCGCAAGTGCACCGCGCGACCCTTGATTGGTCTGACGAGCCCTGAGAGTGCCATGTTTGGTCACCACCTTGTCTTTGACCGACTGTTGATGGCTAGGTTTGACAAGTTCAAGAAACCGGATGCGAAACGGACGACTTTGATCTTGGCAAAACGCTCGAGGCTCACATCTACGGTAGTGAACACCCTGACCTGACCCGAGCATCCTTCCAATGCTCGACCAGCTGCTTGTTAGTCGGTCCAACTGCCGTCTGCGTCCTTGCCGTTGAACGAAAGAACCATCTGGAAAATGTGTGAATTCGCAGTTGTCATCTGCGCTTGAGTGACTCTTGTCATTCTCAGCTATTAAAATCATCTAAAGTGGGTATCTCTGGTACTTTGCGAATAACGCCTGCAGCGAGGCCAAAGCCGCCCGATGCTTGTTCCGTCCTCCTGGCCCGATCCAATATCCATTCATAAGTCATCATCACGCGCCTTGGCCGATATCCTAATGGCCAAAAGATTGAACCAAACTCCACTCTGGGAAACGAACAAATGCAACCCTCCGCTCTTCCGCCAGCCTTTCAGGCCTGCTTGGAAAACCCCCGAACATTGCGAGCCTTCTTGACACGAACGTTCTTCGACACGCAGGCACCAGTGATAGAGTCCACTGAACGTCGGAACGACAAGGAAGATGCCCCAGATCCAGCAGACGAGACTGAAGAGATCGAGCCGCTGCGTCGCTTCTCGTCGAGACTGCTGTAGCCTTCATCCTCTGTGGGCGATGGCATTGCATCATAGGCGCTTGACGCCCGAGGTGGTGAAATGGCGCATTGATCTCCAGATTTGACCATCCTGTCCACCATGTCTTGAATGCTGCGAAGGTGGGATGGGTCACAGAGCATTCGTACTCCGTGTTGCCTGTAGGATCGCCTCCTGGAAGAAGATAGTGAACCCACATAATCAGACGGGCTCAAGGTTGAGTCCAGCTCGCACTCGGCATCCGATGGTGTCTGTTGGGCATGGAAGAATGGCCGTGATGTGTAGCGCATCTCGCTGAACTGTTGCGAAAGTTGTGTAATGGAAATTTGGGAATCGCGCGGTGAAGAAGTACGAGGTACAGTCCGGTCAGGCCCGAACAAGTCACCACAAGTGAGTGGCAGCGATGAGGGATGACGCGATGCGGTAACCGTGTAGTTCTCGAACATGATGAAGAGCTCGAGCTAGGGGTGTGATGGCTTCGATGATGCAAAAGCGATTGTTGATGACTTGCTGATCTCGAAATAATTCAAATGGTTGCAAGAGAGGCCTGATACATTAAAAGAGGTGATGGGCATGGCTCCGTATTATGTCTTGGGCTCAGCACGACGAGGCTTCAACGCCTCAAGGCCGAGATCATGAGTCGCCCGCATTGTCCGTGGCATGCACTAGATTCCGGGAGACGTCCGTCTAACGGCTATGGTGGCTTGTGCTGGCACCACCGAACCACCTTTTATTTGCCCGGAGTGCAATTGTGCAGTGGCCAGGCCGTGGCGCCAGTTAGAGCTTCTCGCAAGGGGGCATTCCTTTTATTGTTTGACGGTTTGCGCCTGTGTCAGAGCCATCTTCTGCTGCAGATTCAATGATTCTGCATGACGCCGGCTGCTGGCCCTGCGCTTGTGGACTGAGATTAGCTGAGGCGAGGATTAGAGTGCCACTTTCGGCGATGAGCGTGGCTTCCAGAAAACTATGGATTAACGATCGACAATGCAAGACATCGGCTTGACTCGATGACTTACGTCCGTACACCTGTGTGCAAACGTTCAGGCCGTAGATGAAATTCTACGGGACTTGCTTGACTAAAAGAGCGCCCGGTGAGTATCGAATTGATAGTCCTTCCTCCTACCAGATTCCCTCCGCTCCTCTGTTCTGCCGGCCAGCAGACCGTTTCGATTGAGAATCCTCCGCAATCAACAAGTGATGCATGGCTGTTGAGCGAGCAAGTGATTGGCTGCCTTGCATGCGACACACGTGTCCGAATACATCCGCCCATGCTGATCAAGCGCGCGAACCTGGTTCTCTTGCAAGTGCCCCAACGGTCAAACTTTATGCCTTGGATGGCGTATTGGAATCTAGATCCTCAAGACTCTGCACTCGAACTATTTGGGCAGTGAAGGTTCTGTTTTCCAGTATTGTGGTTCAGAGAGCGTTCAAGGTTTGCCTTACAAGGTGCAAAATTTGCGGGAGAGATCCGATCATTGGTAACATTATGTTGGCGTGATCGAGACATGAGCACTGACAAACACGCGTCTAATGTTTTGCGCATCAAGTTCAACCACGAGGCGGCAAAGCACTACGTGGAATAACAGAAGTAAACTTTACTGTTGATTGATAGGCTATCTGTGTGCCGCCACCAGTGATAGTAGTGTCTATGGCTTCTGAGTGCAGACGTCAAGGCAAAGAATGACATCCACCAAGCCCGATAATGCTATGAGTGACAAAATGGATCAACGCGATGAATGGCGAATGCTGTGGGCTGGACCAAGCATGTGATGCGAGCATTCCTTGACGTCTTTGAAGAAAGACATGATAAGCAGGTGCAATATGGGCAGACCAAAATTGTGCGGAACTGGCCGCGGAAGCAACAGCCACCAAGATGTTAAGGAGTATATCACGAGCCAAAAGCGAGATGAAGATGCATCGCAGATCTAAGAGGTGTGGTCAGTCCACATGCGCAAGTGAAAGTGAGGCGATGGAACATACTGACAAGCTGTGATTTAGACGCCGTGGCAGGACACAGGCACAAGAAAGAGATCTTGGGCAAGGATCAGGCACGATCATAGCTTTGGTTGATCCTGGCACGCTCTTCACGATACATCTGCTCAAAGTCGCCATCACTGACATTGAGCTTTGCAGCCATGTCGCGGAGAGCCTCCTTTTTGGCGAGCTGAGTTCTCATGTAGGTGACAGTGGCGGAGAGCATAACGGCCTCACTGCGACCCTGTCCCGACATACCGGGGACAATCTCAGCAAGACGATCGAAGCCTTCACGGATTGCTTGACGGCGTTTCTGTTCTGAGGCAATGTGGTTGTTCTTCTTTTCTTGCTCTGTCAGGCGAGGCTTGTCGGCAAAATTGGCGCCAGCATTGTTGTTGGACATGGTCGTGGAAGACGAGGTGTTAGATGGCGGGGTAGACTGTAAAGAGAGATCGCAAAGTGGCGGACTGTAAAGAGAGAGCGCAAAGGTAAATGGGTGATTGAGATAGTGCGAGGTTGTATGTGGTACTCAGGATACAGAATGGGCAAGATCGTTATATACCTAGAGGAAGACGGAGAACACGTGGGCACGGACGTCAGAGGCAAGTGACGGTTGCTCAAGGAAAGAATCTTTCTTCAGTGGTTTATGGGCAGGTGCGTAGGCAGAAGTGAGTGTGCAAATGAAGAGACTGGTATGTGGCAGGTGACAAACGGAGAAGGAGCTTCTAGCAGAAAGTGGAGAGCAGCCTGGTGTCAGCAGAGAGCCATGGCGCCAGCGCCTACTTTACGAAGGTGCCATTGACTGCTCTTGCCGTGACGAATTGACAAATTGGCTTGACGGCCAGGAACACAAGGTTCTACAAGATGTGTGTCAAAGCATCAATTTTGACTCTGACAGAGAAGCACGAGGTGCCGAGGGTTGATTCATACTCGGTGGTTCAGAGTTGGCAGGCAGCTGTAACAGAGTGAGCCAAGAAAAAGCTGAAACGCGGCGAGTGCAGCGGGTGATCATCTAGCGGGAGAGCGAATGGCCAATTAAACTATGACGCGCGAGACGCTGTGGATACCCATGCTCGCTGCTGCTAAGCTGTGCTCAGAAAGGGTCTGGTAAAAGGGAGACAAGGCTAGCAAAGGACGCATTTGCCAACCCACAACCCACTGTCTCTCAAGTTCGTCGCGGCGTCTTGAAAATCGTGTGCGTGTCTGCAGGCAAGCAGATGCAGCTGAAACACCGACTCGAATCACCTCAAGATCACCTTACCGCCAACATTGCCAGCGTCAGGGTTAAGACCGACGTCCCTCACCGCAAACAAATGTCCGCCTAGACAAGTCGCTCCCTTTGCCACACCCTCGTTGAACAGCTGCTGGATCTCTGAACAGCAATCATGTCGCCGGCGTCGGCTCGCTCGTCTGTCACAGGCCGCCGCGTGCAAAGCCTACAACCTGCGCGGAGGCTGGTCGATGAGCACGATGCCTACTCGTTCGCCCTACGCACAGCCTACCTCTCGCACCTCCTCCAGCCCAAAGCTCGTCGCATCCAACATGTCACTCAGCCTGTCAAGCCTGTCTCACGCTCGTCCACTTCCATCACAGACTTGGTCAAAGACTTCTCCTCAATCCGCGACTCCAAAAGCACCCGTCTGCCACATGGCTTTACTGGTGAGCTTGACAAGCGCATCACAGGCGTCCTTGTCGGTAAAGAGCGCATGCCCGAGTTCAACGACCCTCTGGTCAAACGCACCTTTGCCACCTTCCTGAACGAATTCAAGAATCCTACCTTCCGCAAGTCTATGGAAAAAGATCGCCGTGTTGAAGACCTTCTCTTGATCTTCTTCTCTAAAGCCACTTCGGAGCTGCAGAAAGGGAAAGGCCCAGAAGACGATTCATGGAAGCTCATGGTCGACCGTCATGTTGCTCTATTCGTTCGTCTCATCAGCTCCACATTGAAGAAGGACGACTGGGCGCGCGATCGTCCTGAGCTCACCTCTCGCTTGCAGACGCTTGAGAGCAAGCTGCTGGTACATGCTCAGGATCTGACTACTTCTTCTCAGCCCTCCGGCAGCACTACCATCGAAGTTGAAATCCCTCGCAGTTCGGAAGCCAAAGATATGCCGCTTGTCCTTCGCGTTGCAAACATATTCGGCATCTCGTATGATCAAATTCAAGCCGATATCGATTCGCACAAGGCTGTGTGGACCGAACAGGCCGCCATACAAGACCTGAAGCTGTACCAGATGCACCTTAGTCTGAATTCCAGCAGGACACTGAGCAGCCAAGACTTTCAACTCGAGGATGCTTACGAAGCGTGGAAGAAATCTGAGATCCAGGACCTCTCACAGCTGATGCTGGCCATCATCCAATCAAACCCTGAGCTTGCGAAGAGCACAACCGGGCCAGCTGCGATGAAACCTTCGCCTCTAACCTCAAGTGACGATATTGACACGTCTGTCTCAGTCGATCAACCTTTTGATTTGAGCTCACTGAGCCTGAACGGCTCACCACGCGAATCGGTCAGCGATGACACTGCTTTTACATACATTCCACCTGAGCCAAGGGCTTATTATCGTGCTGTACTCAGAAAGGCCTTGGATAATGACCTTTTTCAAGACGACGAGGCCGAGGGTGTAGATGGACCAGAGATACAACTACTATCCAAGCAATCCATCGATGTACTTAACGAGCTAGCGCTACGCTGGCGCATCCCTCAGCCATCTAGGATGACCATATTCTTGGACGTCGTCAGAGAGAAGTTCGACCGGCAAGAGGTTACTTTGGACATGCTTGATGCTGCGTTCATGTATGTCAAGACGCCCGCAGCCGAGGTCAAAAAAGCAAATCGTATGAGTCAAATGACACCCGCGGTTATGTTCGATGCATCGAGGTGGACAGTTTCGGACTATTCGCTACAGCAACAGTCTCTATCCTCAATCCACGATGCGCTCCTTAGAGAACTTTTTGAGCTTCTGCAACATTGTTACGAGCCCAAGCCCCCTTCAATTGGCTCGGTGATGTACATACTTGAGACTCATGTTTACGATGATCCTCTCTTTGCGAAGACCCCTGAAGATCTGGACGAATTCACAATGGCTCTACATGACGCGCTGAGACAAAAAGCGCGGGAAGCTTACAATGGTATGCTGTCGAAGCATGTACCCGAGGATGCAGAATCTTGGGAGTTCTATCATGTCATACAACTCGGTAAAGCAGTAGTTACGCTCGCCGACAAGATTCAGAAACGCTATCGCAAGAACCCTGAGATTATGGGTGTCAATCCTTTGACGGCTCTGGTCGAAGAAATCTTGCCTTCCTTTGCCGCAGATGCCCGCGATCTGGTGTCACGTATAATCGAGGTTGTTCGGGGTCGTGGTGAAGACGTTCCGGTCCAGGATGGCTTCGACCTATACAAAGAACTGGTGAGCATCCGCAAGGTCCACTCACAAGCGCTTCCTAGTGTTCCGTTTGCATTTCACATTGAAGGTCTGTTAGCAGACTTTGTGTGGCGTTGGATTGCCATGACCGATGCAAACATGCTGGGATGGGTCGAAGGAGCTGTCAATCAAGATGACTTCAGGGTCCAAACTTCTCATCCTGACAATGTTCCTACAGATGAAGAGCGCCACAGTGTGTCTGCGGTGGACATGTTCCGTTCTTTCAGCCAAACCATCGATCAGATCATCAAGCTCGAATGGGACGATGATTTGCAATATGCCAAGTTCATGACAGCCATTTCTAAATCTATTGGTCTCGGCATTGCTAGGTACTGTGAGCTTGTGGAACAAAAGTTTGTCAAGGAGATGGACCGCATGACTCCTGAACAGGAAGCAGCATCTCGTCAGACACGGCAGGAAAAGTGGGTTCAGATGGCCAAAGACACATGGGCTAACAAGGAAAAGGTTGAACCTTTTCAATTCTTGCCCGAATCGCTCGTCAAGCTAAACAACATCGAGTACACAACACTCCAACTGGACAAGCTAGAAAAGGAGATCAACGTAGATGCTTGTGCAGAAGTCATTCAGAGACACGCACCTCCGATCAATCCAGTCAAGCTGCGTCAGTCCAACAAATTCGTGTTCACCATCAAGATCATCGAGGCCGAGGATCTCAAGGCTTGTGACATGAACGGGTTGAGCGATCCATACGTTGTACTTGGAGATGAGTATCAGAAGCGCCTGGCCAAAACTCGTATTGTTTATGGTAGCTTGAATCCACGTTGGGATGAAACAGTCGACATCAGTACACAGGGGCCTTTGAATATCATCGCCACAATCTGGGACTGGGATGCTCTGGGTGATCATGACTGCGTAGGCCGCACGTCATTGAAGCTGGATCCATCACACTTCAGCGATTACATGCCACGAGAGTTCTGGCTTGATCTCGATACTCAAGGAAGATTGTTACTACGTGTAAGCATGGAAGGCGAAAGGGACGACATCCAGTTTTATTTCGGCAAAGCTTTCCGCACGCTGAAGCGAAGCGAACGTGACATGACACGAAAGATTACAGACAAGGTACGTCGGTATTTAACACTGTCTTTTGTGCTGCTGAACTGATTATTATCAAGCTGTCCTCGTACATCCAACAAGTCCTGTCACGCAGAGCTCTGCGTGGTCTTCTCAATCAGGGAATCTCAATCAACACAGTCCGTGGGTATTTCCAGAAAGCCAGACCTCAATCCGTCGTGCAAGGACCTACCCCAGTCGATATCGCAAATGCGCTCAAGCCTCTTTTCACCTACTTCGATGATAACTTTGCGATAATGAAACAGACGCTAACAGATTCGGCAATGGTAATGGTCATGACACGACTCTGGAAAGAAGTTCTTGTAACGATCGAGTCGCTACTTGTGCCACCGCTTTCTGACAAGCCTTCGCAACAAAGACCGCTAACACAGCAGGAGTTGGACATTGTTTTCAAGTGGTTACAGATGCTGTTTGACTTTTTCCACGCCGTTGATGAAGAGGATGGCACGGCACACGGAGTGCCATTGGACATCCTCAAGTCGTCAAAATATCACGATCTGCAGAATTTGAATTTCTTCTATTTCGAATCTACTGAGAATCTGATCAGGACGTCAGAGTCGATGGCCAAGGCAACGGTAGCAAGACAGCAAGCAAGGCAGACACGAGAGCTCAATCGGATGTCGGCACCTGCAACACTCGCCCAACACTCGTTCAGCGGGGCGGCGAGCTTGGTGGGAGTGCCTAGTACACGGCGAAGCAAGAGCATCATGCTTAGTCGCAACCTTGGCACAATGAAGAAGGCGAAGGAGGAAAAGCGCAAAGAGGCTCAGGCGGAGCCGAGCGACGACATGATATTGAGGATCTTGCGCATGCGACCTGAGGCAGAAAGATACCTGAAAGATCGCAGTAGGCAAAAGGAAAGATTGGCAGCGCATGCGGCAGCAGAGCTGATCGTGCGGCAAAGTCTTATGGCGCAGAGAAGTATGGCGCGTGGACGATAGACGAGTTGCTGGACAACGGAGATGGCGTCAGAAGGAGAAGACGAACATGAGTATCAAGCATTTTCGATATCCCGGGTGAATGGATTAGCAGGGCGTTTCGAGGGTTGGAATTCTACGGCTTTCAGGGCTGAGACGTCAAGATGTATCTAGTCTAGTTATTTTTTTGTATGCAGAGAATGAATATCTAGACGATGGCGTGGTAAGACTTGGCAGACGCAGATGGGACCAGGTGGTACAGTGGCAAACGTGTGACGGGTCGAAGACTCGACAAGACAGAGATTCGGCCGAAGGAGACAAGATGTACTCGATGATGGTGTTGAATGGCAGGGCAAGATGTGTCGAAGGCGGCAAAAATAAGCTCGCGGCAACCCGCGATTATCAACGGCCGGGTTTGGGCCAGACGTGGATGGAGGTTCGCCCATCTCCGGCGAGTCGCTGTAGAATTTTCTCACTGCACAAGCGCTCGGCCTTGCGATCTCAGGACTTTGATACTTTGCAGCCCATTCGAGCAGGCCTCTCTTCTTCTCTTTGTGACCACGCAGTACGATACCGAATCTCTGGCCTGGACGTTGCACCAAAGCCCAGCAGTAGCCCCTGCCCATCCATCGTGTCTCGATCTCCGCCAAACGAAACTTTTGTTTCCCCACGCTCAGCGATCCGCTTGGTGCCCCCTCTTGGCTTCAAAACATTGTGAAAGATCCATCGTCCCAACCTCGTCTCGACTCCGAGTCTCCTCACATCGTGCTTGTGATCCGGTGTGCCTGGGCGTGTCTTTCCGATTTCAGACTGCTTCGCCCGACTCTGTCGCATCACAACCATCATGCGCAGGCAAACATCCGTGGCCTCGCTCCTGTACGCTCATCTCTTTCCTAATCCTGGCCCCTCGGACCCGCCCAATTTCCAGACCCATCTGGCGCGCGATCTCATTCCAGAGATTCGCATCGAAACCGCCACTTTCTACGGCAGTCTGGACAGCATTGAGGCTCGCTACCCGGGCTTGAACTACTGTCATGCTCCTCACCGCATGCGCCTCGGTCGATTCCCCCATCATGCACGCCTGTTCAGCGCCATCGACTACCTGGCAATCACAGACCAAGAAGTCATGGACCTGGTCCGCTGGGAGGGCACCCTGTGGGCAAGACAGAGATTTGAAAGAGATGAGAATATCAAGGTCAGAGACACGACGGGCGACGGCATTTCCGAATGGATCGACCCGCGCATACATCCAAAGCAGAAGCCTTTGATCCGCGTCCACACAAAGGTCGACGTCACTGAGGGCTGTCATCCCGTCGACATGCTCTTGGATGATTGTGACCATCTAGACGGTATCGATCAGGAGCTCGATCCAGAAAATGACCATGCCGACGAAGAACATGACGACGACGATAACGACGATGAAGATGTCGGCGACAACATCCAAAGCATCGGCCACGAGTTGAATCGCCGTCTTCTAGCTGCCATTGCTGCCCGACAGCAAGGTCTCAACGTCGAGATGGATCCAGAATTTGAAGCCTACCTGAAAGAGCTGGTCGAAAGCGGCCATCTGCTAGCCACGTCACGTCCTGTTGATGGTCCCATGAGTCGCTCTGACACTTCGTCGCCGGTTTCTCGCCTTGCGGCCACGTCTACTATTGTCCCCGGTATTGCTCCTTCTACCACCGCTGCAGCCGCCACTCTTCGGCAGCCAACTGCGTGATGACCTTCTTTTAGCCTTTTCTATTCCTCATTACTCATGCAGCGTCTTTCAGCTTCTGCGCTCTGTCAAGTTTCAGCCTGGCGTTGGGAGAGATCAAAGGAGCATGATGTTTAATATATATCCAAAACTGTTTAGCATGGAGCATGGTTTTTCATTTCTTTTTCAGGCGGCTGGAGTGTTGGGGACAACAGGACATTTAACAAGCACTGGAATGCATTCTTGATATATACCTTGGCTCCTTTTTCAAAACTTGTCGGTTTAGCGCCGACAGCACGAGTGACTCGTATAAAAACAGTCATCTCTGCGCTTTCTGTCAGCGCTGCGGCTAGCCATTTGTCCTACCCTATGATTTGACCATGAGCGAACCGAACAGGCCTTTCATGGCCTTTGCGCTCTTCTTTGGGTATCTCTGCTGCCCATTCTTGTAGTCAACGAAGGTGACTCCGAAGCGAGTCTCGAATCCCTCAGCCCACTCGAAACTAGACTCTGTTAGCCAATGCAGAAATACCATCGTAAAGATTTCTTACTTGTCCATTAAACTCCAAGCAAGGTAAGCTCTGACGTCCACGTCGTCGTGTGTATATGCATCTGCCATAGCAGTGACGTATTCTTTGAAGTACCACACACGAAAATCATCTTCGAGTATCGCCTCTTTCGAGAGATCATTTTCGCCCTTGACACTGGTTCCGTTCTCGGTGACGTAGATGGCAGGGCGTCCGTATCGATCGGAAATCCATTTGAGTAACTTTCTGAAGCCGATAGCATAGGGCCTCAACCATGGGCTCTGGGTTACAGGGCCAATGTCTTGACCTTCCTTGTTGGAAAGTAGAGACTCTAGGTTTCCCAAGTGATCTTCTGGTTCTGGCTCGCCGGATTTGTGCTTGATGTAATTCGCACAGTAGTGGTTCATGCCGTAGAAATCATTGCTTCCCTGCACCAACGCTTGCTGCTCCGGTGTGAACTTTGGTAGGCGGTCTCCAAGCTGTTTGCGCATGCTCTGAGGGTAGTCACCATGGTAGATAGGATCAGCAAACCAGGCGATCGAGAACTCGAGTTTCCTCTGGCAGGCTTCGATATCCTTGGGGTCCTCGGGGTCCCAGGGCTCCACCCAGTCACCTAGAGATATCAGCTAAGACTATAGCGCTTCTGATCTCCCATCACGTACCATTCAAGGTAATTCCAATCTGGCCTTTCTGGCTTGGCTTGAATTCTTCCCGGTAGATCTTTACGGCTGCACCATGGGCAACAAGCAGATTGTGTCCTACCAGCCAAGGCTCAGTGCTGCTGTCTCCGACTGATGATTTCGAGCGATCGCTGGTTCTGCCTGGTGCAAAAGCACCTACGTTGTAACCAAGAATCGAGCTGCACCAGGGCTCGTTAAAAGTGACCCAGTATCTGACCTTCTCTCCCAGTGCCTTGAAGATAGTTCGAGAGTATTGCTCGAAATCAGCAACAAATTCCTCTGTATTCAGAAGTCCCCCGTATTTCTGGTCAAGCGCTTCAGGAAGGTCCCAGTGGAACAATGTGACCATAGGCTCAATACCATTTGCAAGCAACTCATCCACAAGGTCGATGTAGTACTGCAGACCTTTCTGGTTGACTGGATCTTTGCGACCTCCTAGCGGAATTACGCGAGACCACGAGATGCTGAATCGGTATGCTCTAGCACCCATATCCTTCAAAAGCTTTACATCTTGCTTGTACTGGCGGTACGAGTCACAAGCCACGTCTCCATTCTCATTACCAGCGATCTTGCCTGGAATCCGGCAGAAGGTGTCCCAGATACTGTCTGCTCTGCCGTCTTCTTGAGTAGCTCCTTCGATCTGGTAACTGGAAGCGCTTTCTTAGTGCTCTGGTTACACGTGTCAGTTGCTCCAGCCACTAACCTTGCCGTAGCGAAGCCCCATAGAAAGTTCTCAGGAAGAGTTGCAGAAGACATGATGTGTTCGGACAATCGCTGAATCTATTAGACCGAACCTGAGCAAAGGGGAGCAGCTTATATAGTACTACAAGGGAGGGTCACTTCTGTCAAAAATGCAGCCAAGATCTTGACTCGGTTGTAAACACGAAGTCAGATCTCCAAAAGAGCCAACAAGCGTGAGCCTGAAATGCTTTCTACTGGTCAAGCATGGCGCAAAGAGACACTTGTGCCTCATAACTTATTTAGCCGCCTTCGGGAGGAAATGCCGTCGTAATGGGGAAAGTAAGGGTAGTGGGAAGCTGCCGTTATGAGAAAGGCTGTTCGGGCCGCAATTCCACGAGAGAAGCCATCGTCTGTGCTGCTGCCGATTGACATCCACCTTTTTCTACTGCGAAGCCCATCTCTGGAAAACGAGCAGTCACACCACCAAACAAGACCTAGACTGTGGTTTTTGGGCCTCCAGACGCAAAACAAGCCTCAAGTCTTCACAGACCAATTTTCTAATTCAGATTTTCCAAGCATGCTCCAGAGCCCCTACAGGACTGCGCTACATTTCAATGCATTGGGACTGCGCAGATGTCGGCACGCGGCTATGGCAACACATGCGCAGAAGAGAGAGGGCGACATAAGCGATGCTTTCTCCTCACTTTCTGATTTAACCCCTGCACCACTGGAGCCACGTTTTGCTATTCTCAAGAGTGAAATGGTTGCTGGGAAGGAAGCTCTCATACAAAATTCATTTTTTCGACTGCTAGACGCCCTGAAGGAAGAGATAGCAGTCGTCAAAGCATTGAAAAGTAAGGTGATCCCTGAGATTGACTTTAAAGATATCAAGGATGCAAGCACCAAGTTCAGTGCCGAATACAAGTCTCGAGGAGCGGCAATAATCAGAAATGTGATTCCACCAGTCGAGGCAATGGAAATGAAAGAAGAACTCCAAAAGTATATCGCTGCAAATCCACAAACCAAGGCTTTCCCAAGCGATAATCCTCAGGTATACGAACTATACTGGTCACCGGCTCAGATCAGAGCGCGATCACATCCATATCTCTTGGCCGCCCAGAGGTTCCTTCTCTCTCACTGGCACTCAACAGGCCCTGGTTTGTTTTCTACTGCCCATCCAACTATATATGCCGACCGACTTCGTATGCGAACACCAGGAGACAATACCTTTGCTCTTGGCCCTCATGTCGACGGAGGCGGTCCAGAAAGATGGGAGCCCAACGGGTATGGACAGGTCTACGAGGCAGTGTGGCAGGGACGATGGGAAGATTATGATCCTTGGGAAATCAGTTCTCGTTTGTCCGTGAGGTCGGATCTGTACCAGGGTGTCGGAGCCTGCAGCATGTTTCGTGCCGCGCAAGGTTGGTTGTCACTAAGCACTACAAAGGCACATGAAGGGACTTTGCTGGTGAATCCAATGCTGAAGCATGCAACGGCCTACTACCTTTTGCGACCCTTCTTCTCTGCCAAGAAAGGACCAATGGACCCAGAGACTGGAGTTTTTGACGAATCTTTCCTTGCGCCAGACAATTGGGTTCTGGACTCGCCTCAAACATCTTGGCTCCAAGGAGCATCACTGGGAAAGGGGCAGGAGCTGAGCAAAGTACTACATCCACATCTTGAGCTTGATAGCACTATGATTCATATCCCTGAGGTCAGACCTGGTGACTACGTAGCCTGGCATTGCGATCAGATACATGCAGTCGACAAGAAACACGAGGGCACTTCTGACAGCTCCGTCTTGTATATTCCCGCATGTCCTCTCACAATTCAGAACGCAGAGTTCCTTGCTCGTCAACGGCAAGCGTTTCTTGAAGGACTACCCTGCCCTGATTTTGGCGGTGGTGTTGGGGAGACGAATCACATCGGTCGGCCAGGCGTGGAGGAGGTTGAAGCAGCAAGTCAAGGTAAAGATGCAGGCATGGTCGCGTTTGGCCTTCAAGAATGGGATAGTTCGGCAGCAGGTTTGAGTGATGCTCAGAGAGAACTCTTCGACAGAGCGAACAAAGTCCTAGGCTTTTATGATTAGATAACTGAAGTAGACAAAGGCATGTCCACGGAGAGCCGACAGAGGTTGCCTCTCAGTAGATACCACCTTGTTTCCTATTGCTATCGTGCATTTCTATAGCCATGCGCGATACATACTTTAGCACACGGGAAGGATGCTTACCTCAATGGAAGCAAAACACAGAATCCGAGACCAAGGCGAAAATCAGAAACATGGAATCCTCGGATACTTGTGATTTCCCCTATCTCTAACTTGTCATCTTTCTCCTGAAGTTGCCTGTTCGGTTCACAAGCTAGATCAGATATCAACGGATTTTTGGACAATCGAGCTGCACTTAAAGATCTGTCATAAGATGGCATAAAAGTTGGCTATCGGCATCTTGGGCAAGCACGGCAATTATTTCTCCCCCCGCACCCCAGAAGGCCCTCCGTCCCAAAGAGGCAGCGGCAAGAGATGGACGGTGCACTAATCCCTTGTTCTCCTCATATCTCCGCTTATCGCAGTCAGAGACGGGACGTACACCCATATCTTTTGGTTATGCTTTTTGGTACAGTATGAAAGACCATCGCTTGTCTAGGTCGCCACCAAGCGGCAACCGGTCGATTACATCTTCTGATCCAGCCTAACCGCCTGGCTCTTTTCTGTCCTATCTCATGCCATCAGCACCAGAAATATATTGTCTGTGTTGCTGTTCCTCAACTTATAAGTTTTTCGCGGTGTCATCTCGTTCCCTACGCATACTCGAAACACTTCCCTTCGTTGTTAGAACCACGTTCTGGTCCAGAGACCATCCTCATACCAAAATGGACTCCAAGCAGCCGACAGACAAATTGACGCCCTATCGATCTGACCAACCAGAGGTTGAAGAAGGCACTGTCACTGTCAACACGTCCGGCCACACACAAGAACTAGAACGTAACTTCAGCATAGTCAGCTGCTGTGCTGTAGGAATCGTGACCGGCAACACATGGTAATGTTGAATCTGGTCGTTGCAGTGCTCGAAGGCATCGGCCCCTTGCTCTTGCAGATAGAAGCTGACTGTTGTACACTTCAGGTGCGCCCTAGGCGGATCTATCGTAGTTGCATTGTATAACGGAGGACCAACTGGTGTGCTCTTCGAATTCCTCGCGGTCAGCGTTTTCTACTGGATGGTGGCCGCTTGCATAGCAGAGCTAGCGTCCAGCATGCCCTCTTCGGCTGGTGTGTACCACTGGGCCACTGCCACTTCAGGACCGAGATACTCGAAGTTCCTAGGCTTCTTAGCGGGATGGTGGAATGTCCTGGCATGGATCTTTGGATCCGCCTCGATGTCATCGATCCTAGCAAATGAGGTCCTGGCCATGTGGGGGCTCTTCCACCCAGAATACGTCGCTCAACGTTGGCATGTGTTCATTTGCTACATCATCATCTCTTGGTCGTGCTGCGGTGTCGTGCTGTTTGCAAACAGAGCTTTGCCAATGATCAACAATATTGGCTTGTTCCTCTGCCTCGGCGGCTGCTTTCTTACAATTCTGGTTTGTGCCATCATGCCCACCACGACCGGCACAGGTCATGCTACTACGGCAGCTGTTTGGTCAACCTGGTCGAACGATACTGGCTACAAGTCCAACGGTCTCGTCTTCATCACAGGAATGCTCAATGGTGCTTTCTCAGTGGGTACTCCAGACTGCGTGTCACATCTCGCAGAAGAGATTCCACGCGCATCCCGCAATGTACCAAAGGCCATTGCCGCGCAGATGGGTGTCGGCTTCATCACTGGCTTTGCATACCTCGTGGCCATCTTCTATAGCATCAACGACATTGATGCCCTGATGAACAACCCTTACACCAATCCTTTGGCTGAGCTTTATAGACAAGCCACTGGGTCGAGGGCTGGCGCTTGTGGCTTGCTGATCGTAGTGTTCCTTGTAAGTCGACCGAGCACCTCAAAGACGCTCTATAGATGTACCTTCCGTGTTACCAGGTCTAAGCTGACTATATTCTTGAATTAGCCTACGGTAGCGAATGCGATCGGCACGTATATCACCTGCGGTCGCATGCTCTGGACCCTCTCTCGTGGTAAGTATTGTCCAATAATGTATTGCTGGTTGTGGGGGGTCCCAACTAACGCGAGGCAGACCGTGCCACCCCCTTCTCAGACACACTTGGAAAAATCTCTCCTCGGTGGGAGAATCCTTTCGCAGCTACTGTTGCCTGCCTCATCATCACTACTGTGCTGGGTTGCATCTATCTCGGCAGTGCAGTTGTGAGTGTATCCCTAACCTTTCCCCGTGCGCTATAGTCAGTCGCATGTGTACAGCTATAAGAACGCGCGATGTGTTTTTCGAAAGCCGATGAGGTGATATCTTGCAATGGATACTCCACAAAAGCATCGTGCGTCCTTATAGCAACACATTTGTAGTTGGCTAAGCTCAGCACACAAGAAAGTTTTGTGTTCAAAGTGGCTAGAGTACTGACTTCTCCAGGCCTTCAACGCCTTCGTCGGATCATTCATTATCCTCTCGTCAGCTTCGTACTTGGCCGCTATTCTCCCTCATCTGCTGAGCAGACGTAAGAATATCGAATTTGGACCATTCAAAATGCCGGATAAGGTTGCCGCGATTCTTATGCCAATTGCATGTGCCTATATCGCGTGCTTCATTGTCATCTTTTGCTTCCCTTACTCGTAAGCGATGTTCTGTTGACCAGTCTCTTGCATATGCTGACCCGGTCTAGAATGCCTGTATCTGCCGAAACGATGAACTACTCGTCTGCCATCACAGGTGGACTTACATTGATCATCACTCTGTTCTACCCATGGCAATGTAAGAATGGGTTCAGAAGCCCCGTCGAGGTTGTGAGGGCTAACTCTATGGCGAACGTTGTTAAGGATGATCAGGAGTGATATTGGGACTGGAGATCATAGTTGTCGTACTGCAGCCCTCTGAATGCGTCTAAAGTCTGTAGATATTTGTGCAATTTTATAGCCCTCTGCCACACTGCGACCGGGGTCCAACCAGTGACAAGCTCTGGCACCTAATCTTAGCAGGGCTTTAGGCAAATCCGCAAGTATGTTCCCCAGCTCGGAGCAGCGCTCAGGGGCGTGCTTCAAGGTCGGGATCAGGCTGTTTGCAGGCAGAGGAGGCTACGGCTTACGGTGCAGGCGGCACGGCGTGCTCGGTGATTATGATTTCGGAGGACAAAGACAAAAGGCAGCGGTTCCGACGGGAGCTCATGCATTTGGCGGGGCAATTTATCCGACGGCTATAATGACATGTACTGTGGGGCTCAGTCTGCTGCAACTTTGACGGCACTCACATGATGGAAGGCTTCTGGTTTCTGCCATTCGCAGCTGCGGTACCACTGTCCTGGAAAAAAAGATCGCTATCATCCTTCTGAAACTCTGCATACTCTGACCCGATCCTTCGGTAAGCCCTCTGTATCATCCGTAGCTGCTTGATATCATCCTCAATTGAGCCTGCATACATTCCTCTTGTACGTCCTCGCTGTTGTCCATCCTAATTTTCTCCTCCCCTTCTGCTCTGCACCTTCCTCTCTACCATATCTCATCTTGAAAAAAAATTCGAGATTGTCAACGGTCGCTCGCCTGGTCCTCTGCTTAATAGTTTAACCATCATCCACATCACAACTGCTTACATCATGTCTCAAGTCTTCAAGTCAGGTCTCCAGAGAAGCCTCAGAGCTTCGTCGCTTCGCGTCCCTTCATCAACTACATACAAGCTTCAGTCTACCAGAAATTGTGGTAGCTGCGCCGCCGCCGCATACCACCTCAACTCGAAGAAGGCCACAAGAAGTTTCTCCGCCACAACAACACCAAAGATGGCTTCCGTGCAAGAGGTCAACCCTGCTGATGCAAAGGTAAGTTTTCGCTTCGTAGCCATGCATAATGGTCTATGGCAGAGCGGAAGCTGACGGTTTGTGACGTGTAGAACTTGTCATTTGTTCTCCAGAAGCCCTACGACGTCAAGTTTGAGGACCGTCCTATTCCCCAGATCAGAGATCCTTACGATGTTATCGTCAATGTCAAGTACACTGGTATCTGCGGATCCGATGTGCACTACTGGACAGACGGTGCTATTGGAGACTTTGTGGTCAAAGCCCCCATGGTGTTGGGCCACGAGTCGGCCGGCATTGTCGAGCAAGTCGGAGACAAGGTGACGACACTCAAGAAGGGCGACCGTGTCACCATGGAGCCTGGTGTTCCTTGCCGCAGATGCCCTCGCTGCAGAGAGGGCAAGTACAACCTCTGCCTTGACATGGCTTTTGCAGCTACCCCTCCTTACGACGGAACCCTTGCCAAGTACTACCGCCTTCCCGAAGATTTCTGCTACAAGGTCGCAGACCATGTTCCTCTCGAGGAAGCCGCATTGGTCGAGCCATTGAGTGTTGGTGTACACATCACCAAGCAGGCCGACATCAAGCCTGGCCAGAGTGTTGTTGTCTTTGGCGCAGGTCCTGTTGGTCTGCTCTGCATGGCTGTCGCAAAGTCGTTTGGTGCCACCAAGATTGTTGCTGTCGACATCAACGAGGAGCGTCTCGAGTTTGCCCAGAAGTACGCTGCCACACACGTCTTCCGCTCGCAGAGAGTCAGCCCTCAGGAGAACGCCAAGCTCCTCACAGACGAGTGCGATCTTGGTCTGGGTGCTGATGCCATCATCGATGCCACTGGAGCTGAGCCTTGCATTCAGACAGCTATTCACGCCCTGAGAACCGGCGGAACCTACGTTCAGGGTGGTATGGGCAAGCCAGACATCAACTTCCCTATCATGGTATGTAACCCGAAGGTACAAACACCACGACTAATGCTGGCGGTTGTTCCAGCCTGCACGAGCAGTCTCTGGAATGGGTGTTTCAAGGAAACGCCGTCCGGGACGGCATCTTGTAGAGCTGAGGACATTCGTTCAACTAAGTCGTGGCGTTCACACAACCAACATTTGATATCTTGCTAACGTACTTTCAAGGCTATGTGTGCTAAGGAGCTGAACCTGAAGGTACAAGCGTCTTTCTTTTAAGCATGAAATACGTTACTGATTGTTTTCTAGGGCAGCTTCAGATACGGACCCGGCGACTACCAGCTGGCCGTAGATCTCATCACTTCTGGCAGCCTCAGCGTCAAGGAGCTCATCACAGGTCGTGTCAAGTTTGAAGATGCTGAACAGGCTTTCAAGGACGTTCACGCCGCCAAGGGTATCAAGATGATCATTGAGGGCCCTCAGTAGGTGCATATTGCTTGAGAGTAAAACATTAGCATTTTAATTGGGATCATGTACTTTTGGTAGCGTTTTGGCAGAGTATTGTCTGGAAGTGTACACAATTGAAGCCTTTTAAATCAGATCATGATCAATCCAGCTATAGGACATGTCCGTGGCTTTCCCTTCGCTCTATTAAGCCGGAATGTAGGTGATGCTGAAATGCTGCAAGCATCAATGTCCTTCCTCCTCGTGGCCTCGGCGAGGTCCTGACAGAATCGGCGTGTGGCTTGAGTGGCCGCACACTGTGATTGCGGAGGATGTAGTGTTGCGTCGTTGCAAATGGGCAATGAGATGGCGTGCGTGAGCATCTCGTGGGTCTATGACTTTTTATCGTTGGAAGGCTCGAGGGGTGCTCATGTCGAGAGACTTCCCAGGATCAGATTGCGGTCGGTAGAGGCAGAAAGCACTAGGGTCGGATTAGCATTAATCAAACACAACATGTTTAGGGTAGTCTTACTCAATGGCTCGTCGTTGGGCGCGAAGCGGACATCATTGACGGAGCCCTTGTGGCCAGGCAGCTTCTGCAGCAGCTTGGCGGTGCTGGCCTCCCAAATGACAACTGAGCGGTCACCACTGCCTGCAGCGATGCGCTTTCCTTTTGTATCCCAGGTAGCCTTGGTCAGGTACTTGTCCATTCCTGCAGTGGCGCCGTCGAAGGTTCTGATATGGCGTTCGGTAGGAGCGAAGGGACGAATGTCCCAGGTGCGGACGGTGCTGTCGTGCGAGTTTGAAAGAAGTGTCTGAGAGTCGGGCGAAACAGCTAGCGAGGTGATGGTGTCGGTATGGCCAACGAGAGAATATGCGACCTGCTTCTTTCTCAAATCCCAGACCTTGATGTCATTGTCGATGCTGCCCGAGTACAATTCGTTGCCAGCCTCGGCCAGGGCTATTGCGGTGACAGGGAAGCGAGTCTCGATGAAGTCGACGGCGGCTTTTTGGCGAGGGTCCCAGATACCAATGTAACCATCATCGGAAGCACTGAAAAGTATGTCCTCGCCGCGACGGCTGGTGTCGAGCGCATTGATGACCTCGTCGTGGCCCTGGTGTCTTCGTATGCGCTGGGCGGTTTCGAGGTCCCAGCTGGCGATGTGCATGTCTGCCGAGGCAGTGAACAGGTTGCGCGAGTCGCGCGACCATTGTAAGTCGAGGATGGCGCCTTTGTGGCCGGATAGGATGGCGTAGTTTTGGCAGTCTCCAGAAGTACGCCAGAGAAGAATGTTGCGGTCCATGCCTGCCGAGGCAACGTAGTTTCCTTCTGGGTTGAACCGCGCAGCGAGAACCTCGGCTGTATGACCAGACAGCTCCATGACAGGAGCAGACAAGGCTGGGCCACGGTGGGAGCTCTGGACGAGGGCGCCATTCTGCGAGGCCGAAGTCAGAGCCATCGAGTTGTCCGACTTCTGGCGCTTGACCAACTGACCCGAAGCCATGGAGCTGGACGCCGGCCGCTTCTCTGACATGATTTGCGATGGAGGTGGGCGAGCGAGAGGAGTGGGTTGGGAGTCGGAGGCGTCCAGAAAGTTGCGGCCAGCGTGATCTAATCAGGGCCGTCTTCAAGGCTCAAGAGTTGTCGACCAAGCTTGGGCCCCCCACACGACCTAGGCACTACTCGTAGACTGCGACTCTATCTTTGACCCTCTGCGCCGCATCCACCGCCCTCTGAGCATTCCATAGACATGGCTACCAAAGCTGCCCGCCTCGGCGAAGAGTGAGTCCTCGTCAACCTGTCCCATGCATAGCCGACTCCAGACTTGCTGACATGTGACAGGGTGTGGAAGTAAGTTGGCTGCCTGCCTCTACCACGCTCCCTATACCGCCCCTCTCTGACACTGTCGACAAGGACCCGCGTTGACAAGGTCAATGCCGAACTCGTCACTCTCACCTATGGCACCATCGTCGCCCAGCTGTGCAAAGACTACAACGCCGACTATGCCCAGGTCAACAAGCAACTCGACAAGATGGGCTACAACATGGGCATGCGCTTGATCGAGGACTTCCTGGCCAAGTCAAATTCCGGCTCCTGCTCCAATCTGCGCGAGACGGCCGAGGTCATCTCAAAGGTTGGCTTCAAAATGTTCCTCAACATCACCCCTGTCGTCACAAACTGGTCCTCCGACAACAAGTCCTTCACTCTTCTCTTTGACGAGAACCCGCTTGCCGACTTTGTCGAGCTGCCCGACGATGGAAAGGCCCAGGACGAACTGTGGTATTCCAACATCTTCTGCGGTGTTCTCAGGGGTGCCCTGGAAATGGTTCGTAGCACTCAGCTGTGTCGTCTGCTATCCACTAATACACTCCAGGTCCAAATGCAAGTCGAGACTCAGTTCATGAGCGACGTTCTTCGTGGTAACGACACGACAGAGATGCGCGTCACTCTGATCCGATACATCGAGGATGAGTTGCCACCGGACGATGAGTGACATGACCATCTCTATCGCTGGGCATTCTGCACTGTCCTCTACTTTTACGTGTCACGACGTTACGAACAACAATTTCCACCTCGAAGCTGCCAAAAAGAGTCATTTGCTTCGAGACTAAGCATCTCTGCCCATGACTGAGTCAAGGTGTGCTTGATAGCAAAGTCATCACATGCGAGCGCAAGGCCTTAGATGCCAAAAAGGACATATCGGCATTGATTGATAGCAGAGATCCACGAACAGCATCTCTAGATAGATAGCGCGGCATCTCGACAGGCAGATAAAGGGGCTCTTGGGGGGCTAGGAGATGCACCATAAGCACGATAAATGCTACACACACGTGACTTCTGACTCGGTGGAGCTGGAGCTGGAGGGCGTGACATGGGCGTCGATACTGGTGGTGCTGCGTGTTTGTTGTAGAGAAAGGACAATTGAACAAAGAGCAGCATCAGGGGGCATTATATATGACGGGTAATAGTATCGTCCTTGCAATAAATCGTTTTCTGTCGCATCCTGTGAAGCAGTTGTGCGTTTCTATAGGTCTTGGCACGTTCGCTGGCCGTCAACCGATGCCTCCTCCCTGTCCGTTCTGCCCCAGTCTAACCTCATCACCTCACCCACATTCTTCCTTTGTTGATCCACTTCGCCCCGTCCGCCGTGCCGCTAGGCTATTGCGACTCCCCTTGCGCCTTGACTGTGTTGCGCATCTTCAGCGACGACAGCTGCCCTTCGCGCGCCTCAACCCGTGCCCCGTGTTCCGATCGGCGACACCTACGCCTCGGCTTGCTGCTTGCTGCTTGCTGCCCACTGACCGCGACGTCCACCACCGCTACCACTACCAGTACCACCACTCCGTAGCCGCCATCGCGTCCGTCCTCGTCGCCAATCCATAGCGCTGACGCTTCTCTTCTGCTCTGCTCTCTGTCAGTCCCGATTGCCCTGTCGTCTGGCCGTCGCGCCCACCTCTTCGCCTTCGTCGTCCCGTGAGCGCGCCCCGAGTCCGAGACATTCCCATCGACAACCATCTGCTTCCGACCTCCGCACAACTGGCTGAACGAATCTTTCGCTTTTTGGCATGAGCCAACCAATGAACATCATGGGTGGGCCTACTCCCAACTCTGGAACGCCAAACAACGCGTCCAGCGGAGACATATCCCGCCAGAAGCTCAACACATATATCTACGACTACTTCCTCAAGCACGGTAACCACGAAGTCGCCCGTGTCATCCTCAAGACTGTCGATCTCGACCTTGATCCGCACCAGAGCCCAGATCGCAAAGACATCAACGGCGTGAGCGACTCAATGGACGCCGACTCCAAAGACAACAAGAAGCCCGATGACCTACCTTCACCCAACGTGCCAGCTGCTTCGGACGGCAGCTTCCTGTATGATTGGTGGCACCAGTTCTGGGAGTGTTTCAATGCCCAACACGGTCGAGGCAACAACACACAGACTGCAAAGTATTTGAGCAATGTCCAGGTATGTCGCTGCTTTCATCTTGGTTTATCCTTGTCCCTGCCCACCACCGATCCCACTAACCCGCAGCCTTAGGCCCGAATGGCCAGCGAGCGACAGAGGCTGATGCGCGTCGATCCCCAGATGCAAGCCAACATGGCCATGCGCCCCGGCATGGTTGGTCCTAATATGCCAGTACCTCCCGAGATGGCCAAGAAGTTTGGTCTCCAGCCTGGTCGTCAACCGTAAGTATCGTCTCTATACAGACTGCTTGCGACTGAGATACTGACACGAAAACGCAGAACACAGCAACAAGTGGTTCAGATGCAGCAGCAAATGCGCATGCAACAAATGGCGCAATTGCAGCAAAACGCCATGCAGAGAGAGGGCTCGACCATGGAGCAAAGACCCGCCTCTCCCAGCGGCGGCGGCGGCGGTGACGCTGCTCCATCGCCCAAACGTCAGCGACTCGAGGGCAACTTCAACGGCGCCATGGGCCCTATGGGACGCGGTCAGCCTCCGGGCATGCCCGGACAACAGGTCAGTATCTGCTCTTTCTATGTATGCGGCTGTGCATGCTGACCAAACGCAGATGGCCAACCCTCAGGCAAAAGCCATGCAACAGGTATATGCCAACTCCATGCGCCAGCATATGCAATCCGCCATGGATTCTAACGTGGACAAGGGGTTGATGCCTAACGGAGCACCTCAGATGCCGCAGGACCCTAATTCGGCCGAATTTTTCAACACGCAGATGCGTCCCATGCCCGGGCAGGCGCCGCCACCCAACGCGAACAGCAACCACGCTCTCCAGGACTACCAGATGCAGTTGATGCTGCTAGAACAACAGAACAAGAAGCGTCTGTTGATGGCGCGCCAAGAGCAAGACAACATGACCAACGGACCCAATGGCCCTGTACCCGCTTCTGGTCAGCCTCAAAACTTCGCGCCAGCCATGTCGCCCTCCAACAGCAGGGCTGGTCCCTCTCCAGGTCCCAACGAGCAGATGCGACGCGGCACTCCCAAGATGGCTCCCGGTGTCGTCCCCTCTCCCACCGCCGACGGTGGCATGCCTGGTCGCGCCTCCCCTGCCCCAGGCCAATTCGATCCGAACAATCCCATGAACCCGGCCATGTTCCCAATGGGCATGATGAAAGGTCCCAACGGCCAGATGATGCAGCCGCCCAGCTCGCATCCTGCCTTTGCTCAGATGAACCAGCAACAACAGATGGACATGTTCCGCCAGGCTCAAGCACGTAATGGCCAGGCACAGATGGCCAATGGCTTTATGCCTCAACCAGGTCCCATGATGGGGGGCCAGCCTCCGCCACAACCACCCAACATGACACCCCAGCAGCGCAATGCTGCCATGCCGCCTCCGCCTGCTCCTGGTAACGATGGCCCAAGAGCTGGTACCGGTCCTTCGTCTCCCTCGCAAAATCAAGCCCCACCCACACCTTCACAAGCGAACAAGCCCAACACCAAGTCCAAAAAAGATAATTCGAAGGCCGCAAATAAGGTAATGGATCTCGAGCGCTCGTGGTCTTTTCTAATGCTAATTCTTCTCTGTAGGGTGGCAAGAAGGGAACAACCGGTGCAACTCCTCAAGAGTCAACCGAGCAACCCCCTACTCCAACTCCAGCACCGCCAATCACACCCCAGCCTAGTTCGGCTTTCCCCCCGAAGCCAGGCCAGCCTCAGAACCAACAACAACCCTCGAACGCACAATCCGGCATGCCAGGACAGCAAAATCCGGGCGGCGACATGTCCAACATTGGAGCTCCCTTCGGCAATATGGACGACAACGTAAGTCATTTGTGTTTTCTTGGCAGACTCACGCTGACACTTCGACAGTTTGGCAGCATCGGCGGTATCGACTTCGAAATGGGCGGCCCAGATGTGCTTGATAACTTCGATTTCGACTCCTTCCTCACGACTGACGGTGGCGCCGACGGCTTCAGTTTTGACCCAAGTGGCATGAATTTCGGCACTGATGGTGGACTTGAAGCAGGCGGTGATCTTTGAGCACTGCGCACTTCACATTTACATCCCCGCCATATTTATGTGCCGCTTCGTACGTTTGGCTCTCATAGCACAACATGTCATTGACATACGACGCCGCTTATCTTCTTGTCGCCATGGTCACTATGCGCCGCTTCGAAAGATCCACTCTTGGCCCATCCGGCTAAAAGTGTTCACGCATTAGCGAGATCTTCCCCTTATCCTTACCTCTTTACGACGAATGGTTGAATTTCTCTTTCTATTGCTGCTGCATAGGAATTTTCTTACTACAACACATTTATCTTCGAGATCAAATGACTCTCATTTTCATATTTATCTTCTGTCTATCTGGAGGAGGTCGAAACTTATGAAAGGACTCGACATACACACATGCACACAAGCACTTTTCTTACATCTCTCACAAAAACAAAATCTCCTATTTCTTTATACAAGAGTTCAATGATGGAATCGGCGTCTGGTGTGCAAGAGGGAGCAAGGGCTTCCGTCGATGCCTCGGCCGAACGAGGCTGGGACGGGAAAGGGAAATGGGTAACGTTGAGCGGTTGTTGTCCATCATCATCATCAAGATCTATACCCCAGTCAGCACTACTTATATTTCTCCTTGACACGTTCCTTCTTGACAACCATGTGTATGTTGACTCTTCGTCTGCTTGCTTAACACAGTAACGTCTTATCCGACGGCGCGTCAAACGCCACTGTCATTCATATTAATCCTTCTGAGCTGTATATGCAATAAAATGCAAAGATGTCGAAATGCGCCTTTCTGGAAAGAGTCATAGTGCAAGGACTTGTGAAAAAAAGGACCTGGATGGGCTACCTCTGCAATTCGAACCTCTATCCACCTGATATCGATGTTGCAGCAACGACCCTGCTCTTCATGTTTTCTTCACGCTGACACCCTCTAGAAGATGGGTTTGTGCATCACCATAAAGCATAGAACGCCAGATAGAAGGCTCAATTCACGAGGTAAGGATTGTCCTCGGTGGTCATAAGGTGCTGTTGAGGTGTGGTGGTTGCGGACGATTGTAGTTCTGCTTCTCGAAGTCGCTGACAAGAACGCATTGTCGCCGGGAACTTCTGACAAATATGAGGCAGGAACTATTGAACCAAACAAAACAGCCATCATGTTGTGGCATAAAGCTCCCGGTTGAGGTGAGACGTAGGACGACAATCGAGTCATGACAAACGACGGCCTAGAATTGTCGTGGTTCCCGAATCTCGCAGCAGTGTTTTCCAAGATGAGATATCTACTCTTTAACGGCACTGGATTGGAAGAGCCGGATAGCATGCACTTCAACGGTTGCTGCAGAAAACATGAACCAAGGTGATTAGATACCCTTATGGCTTGTGCCCAAAGAGGTAACCCTAGATTAGGCATTAAGTGTTTAAAGAGAAACGGGCATAAGCCCTGTGTGATGTCTCACACCAACAAGCGAGCAATCTGTGTACATACTCGAGTACAGCCTGTACATAGTCTGGACTCGAGAATTTGTTGGGTCATTTCCAAGCATGCTTCTCCAGATCATGAATGTGGTGACTGAAATCCTTGACCAGTAGTCCCCTGCTCGAAGTGATGGATGGACGGTGGAAGGATTAGCCGGCGAATGACGCAAAGACGAAGTGCCGTTCAAAGAACAATCATCTCCGTTTTTGATGAATCGTCTGCTTCGATTGAATCATATAACCAAATCAGTATTGAGAGATGAGGGGCTCTTGACTCTCTGGACGACTGACTGGCACATTTCGTCAAAAACTGATATCATTCCATCGCCAAGGCTGAACGTGAGGTCAGAGCGATACGACTCGAAAAGATAAAACTATGTGGGGAATGTCTATGGTGTAGATCGGGCGTCGCAGAAGGGATCGAGACTCGCGGGCCGAACGGCTCGCAGACAGCAGAAAGGGACCAAATCCTCGTGGCAGTTGGATTAACAGTGGACATGCAAAAGACATTGGCCAGAGCCCAGATCTGAAAGTACACTGAAGCGGCAACGTTGAAGATGAGATCCAGGAAACTGGGCTCGAACAAGGGATTGCAGTTGGCAGTTGGACAACAATCGATAGAAACTATTGACAACACGGACGCCGGTTGCGACGGTAAACGGGCTTTGCATGGCTGGCATGAAGACTCGGGCGGGGCGACGGATACCGGTAGCATCGAGGCATGCTGGAGCTGGACCTGTCGCCGGAGCAGCAGCATATCATATATGTAACATGGCGAGCACTCGCATCAGAAGATAGATATGGTTGCTATGAAGTTTGGCTGGATCCACCTTCGAGCATTGCATTGTTTTTGATTGTCTGACCCGAGTTGCCGAGAGCGGTCAGCGAGCAGACGGTCGATCCGTCTTGGCCCTAAGAACACACAGACGCTCCTAGGTCTGAGGGGTGGTAAAGCAGTCCTTCCTTTCACCTCTTCTACTCTCTCTGGCTGCTTCAGGTTGCAAGCTGGTGGAGGAGCATCCCTGCTGTCAAGAAAAGAAAACGAGAAAAAGAAAAGAAAAGCATGAGCGGCTGAAAGGGAGCGGGTATTTTCGTTCAACAGATTGGAATTGAGTTCACGTTACAATGGTTCTCGATGGACGGCAGAGAAGGCCGGGTCACTTGGCTGGCATTGCCATTCAACCCGTCAGCATCCAAGCCACGACAACGACAGGTACTAAGCCCACACCTGCGCCTGCGCCCACGTCTACGACTACCACCACCCCTCCTTCTGCTGCTCCGCCTATTTCGCCTCCCTGGACGGCTGTATCCCACTCGCTCAATCCCTTTGGCGACTCCAATGGCCGTCGCGACAGCTTCACTAGTCCATACCCATACCGACGCACCTCGACCTCGACATCCTTCTCGCTCCACCTCGCTCCTGCCCGCCCAGCCCTGGCCCGCAGCATGACTTCGGCCTCGCACCTGCCCCATCATGCCAAACTGCACAAGAGGTCCGGCTCGACCTCGTCAGCCGCTCCTGTCGTCTTCACCATGCCATCGCCCATCCAGAACGAGTTCACCCAGTCCAACTCGTCCATGACCACCCAGCATGCCCGCCACTCGTCTGCCAACAAAATCAAGCCTTACCTACGCAAGATGTCGTTGCGGGACGACGACTTGGACCAAGGTCGTCTTGATCTGTCGCGGCCCTCTGCCGAAAACGAGTCTCTGACAGGTCTCGGTATCTGCGATGACGCCCCATCCTTTTCGAGATCCGCTTCGGATGTTTCTTTCATCCCCTCCACTCGCCGCAAGGCCTCACACTCCCGTGCAACCAGTGGCCCTGCCTCTCTTTCCGTTGCTGCTTCGGGTCCGCTGCGTCCAACACAGCCCTTTGCTCCGCTACGTGAGGCCCCACGATCATTTACTCCGCCTGCAACAGTTTCGCAGGTTGACACATCCGATGATGAGGCAGAAGAGAGCGTTGGTGTGCTCACCAACGACATTCGCCAGCCTGACTATGAACCCTGGAAGCCTCGAAGATCCATTTCCATATCCTCAAATCCCGCCATAACCCCCCTCTCACAAACATATACCGCTGGTTCCCTTACCAAATTGACCAGTGCATCCCAATCCAATCTCTCTATCCGCTCACAGCCCTCGTACGACCAGCTCAAATCTGGTCGCTCTCTTCGGAATACCGGTAGATCCGGTGATTATCCAGCAACTCCTTCTGCTCGTACTTCGATCGACAAGGCCTTTAGCTTCATCACGCGCACTTCTGAACCAGAAGATGCTGCCTCGCGAGCTGCCGCCATCCGTGCTGCTCGTAAGGCGTTTGAAGAAAAGGAGGCTGCAAAAGACCGCAAGTATGAGAAAGAAGAAGTCAAGCGCAGAGCCTCGGTCATCAAAAAGGAAGAGCGTAAGTGGCGAAAGGCTGATCCACGTGCGAGCATGACTAGCAACGGCAGCAACAGCATTGTTGTTGACGAGGAGAAGGCTGTTGCTGGTGCTGATTACGCGACGCAAACCCCTGCCCATGACCTCAGTCTTCCCATTCAAGGAGACTACAGTGGTGCTGCACCAACAGTGCCGCCCTCACCACCATCGCCGAGCAAGACCAAGCAAGCCAAAGGAGGCTGGAATCGATTCCTTGCTTGGACTCGGACCAGGCTTCTCAATTGCGGTGGGAGTGCTTGAGGTGGAACAAGAAATGCATGACAACCAGCATTTGTGAATATTTTTGATGATTTAAGCGCGGGCAGGAAATTGTTTTGGACATGTTTTGAGCATTTGCATTCGTTTATGAGCGTGGAGTTTATGGTGATTATACCCTCGTTGGACAAGATATTTAGCAGACACGGATCGATGGATTTATCGCATATGTTGGATTTTTAGCATAACACAGCACAGCAGCAATCAATCCATGCCTAGATGGCACTCATGAATCACTCAAGAAATATCCAAGTCAGCTGTCCGCGTTAGCTATCAGTTTGTGCACTGAGAGAAAGAGAAAGAGGGACATCGCCAAGAGTATCTTCTCATTGCGGAGCGGGTTCGGGAGTGGAACGAACGACTGACGAGCTCATGGAAAATCAATCCGACAAGCACATTATTGTTAACAACATCAACCCACCACGTTGTTTTTGCCATTGGCGCTCGTACCGGAGCCTCACGTTATTCTCCGAAACCGCAAAACGATTGATTACAGTAGCTTCGACATCGTCTTCTTTCACAATGGCGACGGTCTCGCAACCGCCTCAGACACCACCGGCGCAACCGCCTCCACCACCTGGAACCACTGTACCGCAGACTAGTCCTCAACTTGTACCATCTCGTCAGCCACTGCCTCTTTCTGCCTCACAAGAAGGCCAAGTGCGGGAGATATACCACAAACGGGTGCGGAACAAGTGCGCCGAAGAAGTGCGACGTATGTTATCTGTCGCTCCAGAACCACACTTGACCTTAAGCTGATCATCCTGCCTTGTAGTTTTTGCTGCATGTGCTACCAACCGTACCTTCACTGCGCCATTCTATTGTCGAGCCGAGCGCCGCCAGATGAACGCCTGCATGCTTCAGTACGCCAATCAAGCCGAGCAGGACGCCGCCAGAGAGGAGTGGTTCGCTACTCGCGATTTGCGCCGTAAGGAACGAGAGGCCAAGGAAGAGAAGAGGAAAGAGCAGGAAAAGTTCCATCGGGAGTGGTGGGGCCTGGACGAAAATGGAAATCGCATCGACAAGAAGAACACCAAGTAGTCAACCGTGAACAACGCAGATCGCTGTATCTACGGTATTCGGTCCGTGAGCTGAGGATATATTTGCATCAAGAAAGGCATGGGAAGGCGTTAATACGGAGTTCAGCGTGCCAACTTGTACAGAAAATCATGGTTTCTTGGTCGGTATGTATATTCAATTCTACTCTTCTAATGCCTCACAGATCAAGGTGATTATTCCTTGTCAGTTCTACTGAGGGACTATGGAATCACCCAATGTGCCGACCTCAAGAGCTGATCTAATCGAACTCTGATGGTGCGTCTGGACTTTCGGAATGGAAACTGTTGACGGGAACGTCTCGTGTACATATAATCAAGTCTGAGCAGCGTTTACCAGAGTCAGATCATGGCAAGAAGTATGCTTCCATGTACGCTGTACGCTAGAAATCAGTATGTACTCAATACTCAATACTCAATACCTCTGGAAAATCTGACACTGTACAGATCTACAGCTTTGTATGTTGTGCGAATCCGATCCAGACCGTAGTATTAGAGCCATCTTGAATCAACTTGCATCTTCGATGAGCTCGAATTGCTCCCGATGAATTCCTGAGCGTCTCCATTTTCTTTTGAAAGTCCCAAATGTCGTATTTGTCGCAACTTGCCAAGATCCGGGGATTTCTCTAGATGCCGAGGCATGTGATACCGAGGGACATGGTGTTAAAGCTCACCCTCGATTTATCGAATGCAAGCAGTCCTCCTTCTCATACCACAATCGATAGGTGCAAACTAAATTACCACATCATGCACATCAAAGATAGGCTTTTCGTCATTTCCGGTGGTTCATCCGGCCTGGGTCTTGCAACAGCTCGCAACCTTCATGAGAGAGGAGGTTACATAGCCATCCTAGATCTCAATGTCGAATCTGGAGGCCGAGCAGTCAAGGAGCTTGGTTCTGAAAGATCTCGTTTCTTCGAAGCTGATGTCAGCGATACTGACAGTATCACAAAAGCTGTGGAAGGAGTCTCAAAATGGATTCAAGAGACGGGCAAGCCCATTGGTGCTATCATCAGCGCAGCCGGCGTAGGACACCCTGGAAAGGTATGTTGAAATATATCAGAAATATTTCCAATCATGATATGCTGAGTACAGATATATAGATCATTGATCGCAAGGGCGAGCCGCTCTCCTTGTCATCCATTGATTTTGTTCTGAACATCAACCTTCGAGGCACCCTAGACTTCGTCCGTCAACTACTTCCACTCATGGTCAAAAACAAGCCGACAGAGCCAGACAGTGAGCGAGGTTGTGTCATCTTGGTCAGTTCTTCAGCTGCGTATGATGGACAACCTGGACAGGTGAGCTTTATAACCAGTTGACTTGCCATTTGACCATACTGACACAAACAAGGTCTCCTATGCTGCTAGCAAGGGCGCAGTAAGATCTATGACACTGCCTATGGCCCGTGATCTTGCACCGTTCGGCATTCGCGTTGTGACGATCGCACCTTCATTGTTCGAATCCAACATGACGGCCGTGATGAGTGACAAGGTTCGAAAATCACTGGAACGTGTCATGGAGTTCCCCAAAAGAGCAGGCAAGGGCGAAGAATTTGCTGAACTGACAAGACATGCGATCGAGAATGTCATGCTGAACGGTGTTTGTCTGCGCCTTGACGGCGCGATGAGGATGCCATCTCGAATGTAGTCAATCTACGATTTTCGCCTGATAAATATAGCAACTTTGTTTGCTCTACCATTGACACACACACACACACACACCTGCTCCGACACTGTAACAGCCTTTCTTATGCATTCTATCATTGACCGTCTGCTTTAACGATGAATGAGGGTTATTCTGCAGTTTCGTTTCTAAAAGGCAACCCCGTCCTTGTTGTTCTTAGTACCATAAATATTTATTTATCTTTCTTTTTCTTCTCTGTTTCAATAATGATATAAGATTATCCTTACTAGTAAAGTCACTAATTCTAGTTTTCAGTTATTTAGTCTAAATAAGAGTATAGTATTATTATTTAGATAGTAATAAGTATAAATAAAGACAAGAGCTACCTAGCTAGATAGCTTACTAAGGCTTGGGAGCTTAAGTTGTTTGTTTAAGTTGTCTTATGACCTAGTATTCTAGCCACTTTTGCTACTTACCATCCTACTAACTAGCACCTTCCTTATCACTCTTGTCGTTAGCTATAAAGTGTCGCAAAGCAAGCGGCAACCAGATTGCTTTCTTGGACTCATTAACCCCGCAAACGACAGTCGCGTGAGTTTTAACCACTGTTTACGCTGCGACTCTTTGCAATAACTAATAATAGTCCTTACTACTATAGCAATGACTACAAACGCATTGGAGTCTGCAGTGAAAGAAAATCACTTCAACACCAGACTTGACTCAACGGCACCTATAAATGGCGAAACGAAGATACTTTCGCGGTCTTCACCATCAAATGGAGTGGTAACATATACACTCCAGATTGGGTCTGTGTCCGTCCCAAATGTTTCGCTTGCTGAGGTCACGGATTACGTATCAGCACATGATCTGGAAATCTTCGAAAATCAAACATTTGAAAACGACGTTAAAGAGGAAGAGATCAAACAGCAAGAGTGCCTAGCCGCAAAAGCCCGCAGATATAACAGAGTCACAGACTCGGATTCAGCCTCTGACACTTCATCAGTTCGCGCTAGATCCGTGTCTGGTGCACCACTGTCTGGCAGTGAGAACATCAAAGCTGGTGGTAGACAGCGACCTTCATACACGCATTTCTACCCCAAGCAACGGGCCCCTCGAGGATCTCTGAAGCCTACCATACCAAAGGCAGAATCACACGTCAACAATGGTCAGTCAGAAATTACATATATCTCAAAAATATTCAGCTAACATTTTATAGGAGACTATAGTAGTAACAAAAGACGACGACTTAGGGAAGATCGTGACAGTCTATCTTCGGCACAGGATACAGAGAGTGTTTATAGCGTAGCCTCTCCGAAGCTAGCAACCCAGCCACCTTCCGCTATGGAGCAGGCAGCAGGGTTATTATCAGATGCGCAAGAGGAATCTGATCCAATGGAACTCGACGACGATGAGTCCGAAAATGACAAAGCTATACCGATACGTGACGTCTCGAACATAGCTGAGCAGGCAGGTAGCCACAAGGGCAAGGGCAAAGGCAAGGAAAAGGACGGGGCAAGCGCCTTCTTTACATTCAGAGATCAAGCTATCCCTCTAGCTTCAAGGAGTGCTGCACACAATTCATCACAAGCCCAGTCTACCAAAGCAAAGCTTGTCGCCTCGTTGACGGAAAGACAAGCGCTTGCACCTCCGGCAAAAGAGACAACAAAGGCAAGCACATTACCGACCTCAACAACAAACTCTTTGAAAGACAACAGCTCAACCAGTCATGCCATCGCCAACGTCTCCGACGCAGATTCGAGCTCCGATTCTGAGGGTTCTGAAGAGTACGTGGTCGAAAAGATTCTGGCCCATGGCCTCTCAGATCCAAAATCTCACGACAAGTCTGTTCACGGAGAAAAGCCCGTCATGCTGTACCACGTCAAATGGGAAGGTTACGATGCAACCACTTGGGAGCCAGCAACAAGCTTCCAAGACACGGACATACTTCAAGAGTACTGGTACCAGCATGCACAAAGGCAGAGGCAGAAACAAAAACAGAAGCCATCGGCTTGAACTCTCGAGGAACAGGCAAAAGCCAAGTTCCTTACTTTGACGCGCATACTTCAGGAAGCAGGATACCTGGCAAGCATGTGATGTCATCACAGATTGCAGGGGCAGGACAGTAGTTACATATCATGAGAGTATAACAAACACTTACGGTACTCAAGAAGTGGAACGCCTTAAAGTGGTATGCGGCTCGCATCGTTTGCATTATCAGACTATTGAAAAACAACCTCGAGATAAAAATGCCCGAGCCAAAAGAGTATGATGGAGGACTGAGCTGCTGAAGTCTGCCCAGATGTCTTTGATGCATGCGCAATGTGTAGGAAAACAGGATTGATGCTGTCGTGGATCGTGAGAAGAAAAGCAACGCTGATAAATTGCGAGCAAACAATTAGAATCGTTGTTGGGTATCGTGTGACATGAAAAAAAGCAAGAACAAAAAGAAAGGAATGGCAGACTCGAGGCGGCAAATCGGAGCCGAGAGGACTTCGATAATTAATCGTCAAGGAGAATGACTTCAATGGGCTTCTTGGGCGCTGGAGCTGTCTCCTCATCTGTCTCTTCATCGTCATGAGCTTCTTGTACAGGTGTCCAAGAGCCATCACTTTCGATGTTGATAGCACGCGTCTTTAGCATGTTTCTGGCTGCGAGGGAGTCACGAACAGCCATTAGGAATCCATCGACTACCAAGCTTTGTGGCCTACAGTCGGCCTTGCAGATTGGACATTTCCATGCGTCGACCTTACTAATGCGAGCCTTGCGAGGTTGAGACTGTTGTTCAAGTCGAGTGTCCAAGAAAACGTCGAGATCGAAAGCTTGCTTGTGCAGGCAATCGAAACCGCGAACTGGCAAGTCAAAAATTCTGGCGTTGGAGAAGGGTTCGTAAAGGTGTAAGGTCAAATTTGACTGTATGATGAGATCGTCATCACTGCTGGTCAGGGATTTCTTGATTGAATCCAGAATTTGTTCAGGAGGAACAAGACGCTTCATGCAAGCCTCTCTGATATCGCTGCGAGAGGCGAAGCCGACGACTTCGACAGCAACTGCGTAGTTGAAAGGCGATTTGTCATACTTGGATCGGTTGATTCTTACAACAAGTTTGTTGGTCTCGGAACTGATGCAATGCGTGACATCGATGGGTAGATATTTACCATGATGCAATTTGCGTCTTGGTTCGAGTGGAGTCTTGTTGATCGCGAAGTAAGCCTGAACTGGCCAGCTGCCATCGAGAAGAACCCATTTGTTCTCAGCGAAAAGGGGCTGAGATGGCGCGACCTCGCAGCATCTGAGTCTTAACATTAGAGAGTTGGTATTGATTTCTCCAACTGGGGGATCACCGTCGGGGCTCGATTTCACTTTCAGAAGTCGACTGATAGCCTGTGGTGGCAACTGAAAGGAAATTTCTTGGACTGGCTTGGTCGTTAGCCTGTGGGGCGGAAGAGCAAAGCCAGCAACGCGGCGATAGAGGTCATTGGATGAGGCTGGAGTGTCGAGATTCTTTGGGACAAGGACAGGACTACGCAGATGAGCTTGATGAAGTGCCGATCGACGGTAATCCGGGTGGGCAGGCTGGGGTACAGCGGGATTTTGTCCAGGAAAGAATAGACGAAGCGGTGGATTCGATCGTGATTGCCGTGGACGAGGCATCTGACTTGCTAGCGGGGGAGCTGACAGAGAGTTGGAAGGCAGGATGGGCTGTTGCGGAAGCATCTCTTGTTGATACATCATCAATGCCTGCATCTGAGCTGCATCATGAGTTGAATTGTTGTTTTGACGCACGGATTGATGTGGTAGAGCAGTTGCCCCTTGTTGGAACTGAGCTGGGAAGGTCCCACTAGGGTTCTGGAAGAAGGCCGAAGCTGCAAGTGAAGCACCTTGTAAATGATTTGAGAAATGAGCAGGAAATGGCGGTTGGCTTGTCTGTGCCTGTGCCAGAGACTGTGCTTGAGCTCGAGCACGCATTTGCTGCATTTGCAGCCCCCGTTGCATCTGCGTTTGCCTCTGCGCCTCCATCTGAGCGGCTTGCAACCCTGCACCGATCGGTATTGGTGCTTGAGCTTGACGCGATGGTTGGATGTGGGTTTGACCTGGATGAGGGCAATGTGATTGTGTCATACTTGTAGCAGTGACAGTTGGAGCAGGGGCAGGTTGCTGGGTAGTTGTAGCGGTGCTCAGGATAATATCGGCCGGATTTGTAGTTTGACTTGAGTGAGTGTGCGGGAAGTGAGTAGAACGTACGTGCTGGTGAAAGATGGTGCGGTAAATGTTCTGCTGATGACCACGCATTTCTTGTGACTGGACACCTTCCATTCCAAATCTTTGTTGCTCAATCATGAATTCTCGCATCGCGAACTCGGCCATTGGGCCACTGTCCGTACCCCAGGTGTTACGTAGAAGGAAGCGGAAGGTCGCTCGTTGGAGTAGCAACGAGCGAATACCAAGGCTTACTATAAGATCTTGAACTGTCGGAAGCGTTTCTGCCTGACGGCACTGAGAGAGCACACGATCTAGATTCAATGTTATCTGACCAAGACAACTGCTGATATGATGAATTGCCAGCATGAAAGAGGAATCAGTCAAACAAGCTCTCAACTCGTCTATTGGCTTAGGGAAGGTGCTTATGAATACCTGGACGTCATTGCTCAAAGAAGTCCTACCTTCCCATTGTTCTCCCAAGATTCTTGCAAACATAGGGAGGCTGTCTTTTGGCAGATGAACTAGGACAGATTGGAGCGATGGCAGATTCAAGGAGTAGCAAGCTAGGAGCATAAGCAGGATGATAAAGTACCAATCGTTCTGTTGTGTGGCATCATAAAGAATACCCAATCTCTCAAGATCGGCACCGGTCAAGGTTCCGTGAGCCGCAGTGAAGTCAGATAGGCGCTTAGCACATTCGCCGCTATGAAATACGGCAGACCATCGGGGGCCAAAAAGCGGAGCGTTGTTGGAACTAGAGGGAACAGGTCGGATATGCGTGGGAGGCGTGTTTGATGCTGAAGGAGGTGGCAGAACAGGGGCGGATCCAGTAGGCTGCCGTGAGGAAGAGGCAGCAGAGACGTTTCTGTTCTGGGTCACACGAGCAACAGGCTGAGCTGAATGATGAAGAAGAGTTTGAGCAGCAGTGGCCAAGCTCGGCGACTTATCATGTTGGTCGCTAGGAGTGGGCGACGGGAGAAAGTTTCTTGGGTTAGATGTGCCGGTCTCATCGTTTGGCTCGGCGTTTTCTTGAAGGTGGAGGTCTTGGTGGGAGGAAGGAGATTGCACCTGTATAGTGGTGGGAGATGGACATTGAGGCGTGGTCGAATCAGTGGTAAGTGTTAGACTAGGAGCTTGTCGTTGGTGGTGTTTGCCAGAAGCACGAAGAGGTGGCTGTGAGAGAATTGAGGATTGTTGCATCCAAGAATATTGCCTCATAGCAGGACGACCCAGGATGTTTCGTGCATTGGCATTCAATTCAGAGGGCGACAAGGACATGTTTTGAGGCATGTCGCGGACGCAGGCGAAGGTTTCCCATTTGCGCGTGGTCGACAGGCGCAAGTGGACGACGACCAAGTAGTAAGTACCGTGCCGGAAAAGGAAAGAGAGGTCCGCAAAGGAACGCAAGCGTTTGCGAACAGGCGGCGAGGCAGGCAACTGCCTAGCCCGTATGACCTGCGAGGTCGAGCAGTCGCAAGAAACTACAGGAAGGCGGCCTGCTCTTGGTCTTGTTCTTGCTCTGCCTCTGCCCTCTCTGGCGGCTCTGGCTCTTGACCGACGCTTGTTTAGCGGCGTGTCGGGCCAAACCTTGTACGGCCTGTCATTGACTGCATCTACATGCAGCACGGCATTCGCCGCCCAGCCTCCGAGCCCAAGTACCTTAGCACTCGTACTGCAACTGCAACTTCCACTACCAGAGCCCGACTGCCATTCACGATTCTTGTGCACTGCCAGACTGCTATCCGTTTCAGCTCGACGCTCGCTCGGCCTCCTGGACGCGCCATACTCGGCACCACGTTCGACACCCGCCTCGCCCTTCGTGACAATACACGCCTCGGACCACCCCCCTCCATCGCATACCGTCCCGAGACTTCGATGCTGCCCCAGTCATAGCCTGCATACCCCCTCGACAGCACGCCTCAATGGCCTCTCGTCAGCCCTCGGATCCTCGAGAGGTTCCTCCGGGCTCTATCCTGCTCGTCGTCCATGACTTTCTTGCTCGCAGCCCCGACGAGCTGAGCCTGGCCAAGGGCGATCGCATTGAACTCATCGAGCGAGATGACGACTTCGGTGATGGCTGGTTTCTTGGTCGCCATATGACCACGACTGCTACCGGCCTGTTTCCTGAAGGTGAGCAGACACGCCGAACCATCACCTCTCAACCCTTGTGAAACACTTCCGCTCACCCCAACTCGCTCGTCGCAGTCTACACCACTCCCGCCCCGAGAGGCACTCTTCTATCTACTCAGCAGCCCCCAACTCGTCGCAACGATGTATCCCAACCCAACAGGCCTCAGACTGCTACTTCGACCGCCTCGTCGCAATCCTCCACTTCCAATCCTGCCCAACGCGCATCTCAACACAATTCGGTCATGCACGAAACTCTGAGCGTTATTGACGAGCACATTACCGACTTGCGCAGCCCGCGCGAAATACCTCTCACCAACATACACAGCCACGATACCGAGAGCATCTACAGCTCCCATGTTCCCAATCGCCTTTCTTACATCAACGGCCGGGAAACCGACGACGAGGAAAATCAGCTGCACACCGAGGCTGAAGTCATGTTGTGGTCACCTGTACGAGTTGCTGAATATCTCGAAGACCATGGTGTCGAGAAGTCGCATTGTGACACTTTCCGTGAGCAAGAGATATCCGGAGAAGTGCTTCTAACCATGGAGCAGTCGGCCATCTTTATTAAAGAGTTCGAACTTGGTTCTGTGGGAAGACGATTGAAAACATGGCAGAAGGTCAAGGCTCTCCAGGACGAAGTACGCCAAAGCTCAACCAATGTACCTAGAAGCGTGTCTGAATACTCGGCTGCTGCCGATGACGTGCAGACTGAAGCTGGAAGGAGAAGAAGCCAGAGCGTGACGGCCTCGCCGTACAGACCCGTCAGCAGCATGGCAACTCCGTCCATGACCTTTAGCCGCCCAGAGAATACCCAACGCCCCTCAGCCGCTTCTATCCGTAACCTCAACCATTCTCGGAGACATTCATCCATGGGATCGATAGATAGCATGAACCGCTACTCGCATCATAGACAGTCTTCGGTCGGCACAAACTCCGGAGCGCCTACTACTGCTCGGCGCCTCTCCGTTGCCCACGAACCAGCAGCTGATCCCGGTGCCACCATCTCACAGGCTGACGGAGGAGTGGGCGAGTATGGCTTTGGATCAATTTCTTCACCTGTCGACTTGGATCGCGGTTACTTTTCTGGAAATGAGATTGATGCTCGCAACAAGCGCAATGTCCTGCAGAAGAAGTCAACCTCATCTCACACTAGGAACATAAGTGCCGCTACCGATTCTGCTCGTCATAGCGCTTCATACAGGAACTTTCCTAGGATGGCCAGTGTCGAATCGATGCACGACCCTGCTTCACCTATCATGTCTCCAGCGTCCAGCCAATTTTCCTTCAATAAGCCCACTAGCAATCGTGCCGTCAGCAGTCCGCATACTACAGTAAAGCCCTTGGCATCTATTCAGCAACCTGTCTCACCAATCGTCACCCGATTAGATTCAACCTTGGCTGACAGCGACAACTCATCATTAAATCCTTCGCCATCACCTGCGTCGAATACTCGATCATTCTTCTCCAAGCCCCGCATTGGTGGCGGCCTTCGGATAGCTTCTGATGCCGTGACCCAAAATGAGAAGAAGCAGAGTGCTTTGAAGCACGAACCTCTCGCTTCTCCTGCTCGCACTGGCTCTACCACTCCGTCCACTGAGACTCGTTCAATCGACTTGCAAAAGTCAGACAACCAATCTCGAGTATCAACGGGCTCTTCAGGCGCCCTTGCTCCACCTGCAACTTCTACCCGTTCTAGGCCAAAGCCCAAGAGCAAGAAGACAACCTCAGCATACACTCGCGGCCTTGAGAAGAAACCCCCCGCTGAGCAAATCGCCGATTGTGACTACAGTGGGTGGATGAAGAAAAAGTCATCGAGCTTGGTAGGCTCGTGGAAGCCTCGTCTTTTTGTGCTTCGTGGTCGCAGATTGTCCTACTACTATTCAGAGAATGACACCGAAGAGAAGGGCCTGATCGATATTTCGTCCCATCGTGTCCTGCCTGCTGAAAATGAGAAAATGACAGGGCTGCACGCTGCACTTACTGGCGCCGGGTCATCCCCGATGGTGCCTCAAGGGACCGCACCGCCATCTGCGGATGGACAAGGCCTCTTTATATTCAAACTGGTCCCACCACGCCAAGGACTTAGTAAAGCCGTCAACTTTACGAAACCGACCGTACACTATTTTGCCGTGAACAGTAGGCAAGAGGGTCGATTGTGGATGGCTGCACTCATGAAAGCCACGATTGACTATGATGCTTCGAGTGGTAAAGTCACAACAAGCTATAGTCAAAACACAATATCCCTGTCAAAAGCACGCGCACGCAACGAGCGTCCGCCCGCTCTGCAAGACACAATCATTCCCCCCGTACATGAACTGGAAGATTCATCCAGGCCCAAATCCAGCGGCTTAGGCATTGGTGGCATTGATGAAGCCCAAGCGGGAGCTGAACAGGATGGCAGCTTGAATGAGCCAACGACATAACTTGAATCACATCTAACGTCCCCAACAACATTCTAGAGAACGTCTGATTGACTATGACCTTATGAAAGGAGAAATGGGTAGCTACAGGTACAAATCTGTGGTTTTTCTGTATCTTTTGTAATTATAATTGCGCCGCCTTTGCTCTCTTTCTTCATCTTCTCTTTGTGCATTCCAAATCCAGTCTTGTCAGTGACGAAAGCATCATTCATTTTTCTTTATTCTTCTCTTATATACCAAGTAAAAGCGGCTAATGTTACCCAAAGCACAAGAAGCATCTCGTTCAAGCCCTGCCAAGTATCGCAAGCACACTAGATTCGACCAGTTTATGTTCTTGAAGGATCAAGTCATTTTGGTATAGGCAATTTCTAAGCCCTCTTCATGACAAGAATCCATACATCTGGTTGACGACGAACGTAGCCTTCAGAAACACCACCATCACAGCTTATCTAGATGTCATCGATCTTGTCGCGAATCTTAGACTCATCGATGTGGAAGCGTTCGACCGTAACCTTCCTCGCATTCTCCACATCATGTGTGTCAATCTTCTCCTGGATTCTTTCTCTTCCCTTGACCAACGCTTTTGCAACCTCTTTCCATTCCAGCGTTTCCTTGTCAGCGATGGATCGACCGACATCATCCAGATGCACAGGCAACAAACGACCATTGCGCTTTCTGAAATTTCCATCAACGATGACTGAGTCCACATCAGCAATAGAACTGTGTAACACAATGGCCGCTACAGGGTCATGTTGAGCAGCGCAGACCATAGCTACACTGGTCGCGTCGAAGATGACAAGGTCGGCAACTTTGCCGACGGCTATGCTACCAATCCGATCTTCCATATGCACTGCACGAGCGCCTTGGATGGTGCCGAGGTTGAAGGCTTCCTCGACGGTCTTGTACACTGATCTAGGATCTTTGCCATTCACGTTGAAATTCTGACACGTTGTTAGCCTTGTAGCCTTGGGTACAGGTTCAAATCAAAAATGGCGAGTGCTGACGTACTTCATTCGATCTGCCGCGTGCCGACTGTAATGCCAGTCGCATTTGTGACAGGAGGTCTCCTGAATTGTTTGAGTGGCAGTCTACGCCCAGACTGCATCTATTCTGTACACCACTCTTATCGTCGAAGCAGATCGGTGTGCCATGGGCCATTTGCAGTTCCGTATCAGGAGTACTGCTAATCCAGAAACCTTTGGAGTGACATAGTTCGACTTCCTCAGGTGTCATGTTGTTTGAGTGCGAGAACAGAAATCTGTCATCCAGTAGACCATAGCTGTTGATCAACTTGGGAAGCGAATTGGAGGCACCAAATGAAGGCGTGCGGACGCTGTGGGAAGTGACGGTGCGAATTTTTAATTTGGCGACTTTGTCAAACAGTGAGATGATCGATGGTTTGGGAAGAAACCAGCCATCGAAAGCCAAGCCCAGGGTTATCCTGCCGTCGCCAAAAGGGGCGGCCGAAGCAAGCTCTTCCAAGTTATTGATAACCTCGTCGGCGAGTACGTTGTTGTCCATCACAAGAGGGTTCCACGAGGCAACACGTGCCGTTGGGCAGTAACCGTAGATCGAACGAATCCCCGAAGCCACTGTAGCTGAGATTGCATTCGCATTGTACTCGGGCCCATAGTTGAGGTGGGCATGGTCAACAACGCATGTTGTTCCTCCATTGATCATCTCCATCGTCCCACCGAGCTGACCCCAGAATATGTCCTCGGCGGAAAAGACGCTGGAATTGAAATTTCCCGAATAGAAGTACTCAAGCAAGAGCTCGTTCGCATGTCTACCTCTCAACTGAGTCTGCCAGACGTGATGATATGTAAAATCACTATCAGTCAACATGCTCGAGTTATTTGAGGGAAGAGACCGTACGAGTATCAACAAATCCCGGGCTTATCAGGCGGTCCACACAGTCGATTATCTTTGCATCTGCTGGGGCTTGTATGCCCTGGGATATCTCGACGATTTTGTTGCCTTCGATGAGCATGTCGGTGTTCTGCAGCACATTGACGTGGTCATGCTCATCATGGACAAGCACAGTTCCACCACGAAGCAACTTGAATGACATCGTTGTATAGTTATCGATGGAATGTATCTCAAGAGAATGGAAGGTTAGGTATGAGGTGACTCAGGTTGGGAAGACGGGTCGATATTCACGTGTGCAGATCAGGCGGCAGGATCAGAATGGCAATCGTGTCCAGTTGACGAAGTATTGAGGTCCAGCATTAATGTACCGCTCTAGTCTCTCTGCTCACACAAACGCAACATCAAAACACGCACAGATCGACAACTAGCTTAGCATGAGGTTGAGCAAAAGTAAGGTCACAAACATCTTGTACAAGTTCTTATGCAATATTGTGCAAATGCCCCGCCCACAGCTTCTCGGTACAATGATACACCGGCACCTCCACGACATCTCCACAATGAGTAGCGAGAGATGCGCCAGAACCAACACAAGAAATGTTTATTACCCAAAGGCTTCTGTCCTCTTTCGTACAGCGTGTTCGTCACAAAATATCCCGTCCAGGTATTGACAGTTCAGACGGCCCACGATGACAACATTACTTGCAGGAAAGGTCGCTGCCATCACAGGTGCAGTGACAGGCATTGGACGTGCCATAGCCCTCGAGTATTTGCGCCAGGGTGCAGCCGTCGCTGTAAATCATTATCCAGACACAAATTCCGATGACCAGTTCAAGAGCATGAAGGAAGAGGCTGGTGCTGGTGCAAAGCTCATTGCCATACCTGGTGACATTGCAAAGCCAGAAACTGGAACCGATTTCATTTCCAAGACGGTATCAGAGTTTGGCAGGCTGGATGTGTTTGTGAGCAATGCCGGTGTTTGCCAGTTTGCCGAGTTTTTAAGGTGAGTGAGTCTATCGCATGAGTCTTGATTGATCGTGTTATCTCACCAAACCATCCACCAAGTCTGAGCCCTGAGCTTCTCAAATCGACCGTATCCATCAACCTCGAAGGTGCTTTCTTCGCCGTCCAGGCAGCTGCTCGTCAAATGAAGGAGCAATCCCCTCAAGGCGGCAGCATCATTGGTGTTTCATCCATCAGCGCCCTCGTTGGTGGTGCCGGACAAACACACTACACACCTACCAAGGCAGGCATTCTATCACTTATGCAGAGCTGTGCCTGCGCTCTAGGCCCGTACAACATTCGATGTAACGCTCTGCTACCGGGTACAATCCGTACTCAACTCAACGATGAAGACCTGGCAGACCCGAAGAAGAGGGAGTATATGGAGGGCCGCATCCCGCTTCGCAGATTAGGCCAACCCCATGTATGTATCTTGAGCCTGACCGAAAGTGATTCGCTAATCGCCTCTCAGGATCTTGCTGGACCCGCGGTATTCCTCGCTTCGAATCTCTCATCATATGTTGTGAGTTTTCGCCGGTCAGGGGCCCAAACTATAGAAGCTGACTATTGCATCCAGTCTGGCGCCCAGCTATTAGTAGACGGTGGCGCTTTTGTCAATTTTCAGTAGATCTTGCCGAATGATCTGTACCAAGATAGACAGAATACCTTTACAAGAAAAGGTTCGCAATGAGATGAAGAAGACGAGAGACATTTGGCTTAAGCAAAAACTCCCGCGCTGAATATATGCAAAGGGTATCTATAAAAAAGCACCTATTCTTCAAATCCGCCAAAGCTCTCACCCGAGTCTGATGCGTCGCCTGATTCTCGTGGGTTCTTGCTCGCTGCAACTGCTCCCTTCTTGTTGTTCTCGAGCTTTCGGATATAACCGCTCTTTGTACTGATACGCGCTTTTGGCTTGCCGGTCTTGGAATCCTTGCCAGAAGCAGATCTTCTAGTCTCGATACCACGTTTCTTGAGCTGCTGCTTGTCGCGTTTGCTTGGTGTGGGTAGAGCGTCCAACAACCATTGTTGAATGTTTGTTGTGCCACCTGCTGCTCCCTTCTGCTTTTGACTTGCAACGATGATGTTGGCAACTGTCTTGATGGACGCGACATCGTCATCTGTATAGTAGGTCAAGGCTACACCACCCTCTCTACCAGCACGGCCTGTACGCCCAACACGATGTACATAAGCAGCGGCAGACGTCGGCGCATCGTAGTTGATCACAGCGTTGATGCCGCGGAAATCGACACCTCGTGACAAGAGATCAGTGGTGATCAGGATCCAAACCTCGCCCTTGCGAAAGCGGGTCATTACGTGATCGCGGGCAGTGTCGGAAAGATCCGAATGCAGAACGGAAATACGTGAAATACCACCTGCTTCGGCAGGAATGTCATAGAGAAGTTCAGAGTGCAAGGCAACCGCGCGCTCTATTGTTTGGGTGAAGATGAGGAAGGGGGCACGGACGACAGGCTGCGTGTCGACTCCTGTGGAAGTAGGATGTAAAAGCTGGCGGAGTGCCATGAGCTTACCTTGCTCTGTGGCGGCGTAGATCAGGCGGTGGTCAATATTGGGCACAGCCGAGTCTTTGAGGCCAACAACAAGGCGTACAAAGGGCGCGATCTGGACTCGGGTGGAGCTGGTCTCGGAGAGCCTCTCGGCACGGGTTTTGATGGTGGCTTTGACAAGCTCCTCGATGTTAGAACCCATAGTGGCAGACCAGAAACCAGTACGCAGATCTGGACTTGATAAGGCATTCCATACAGCCAGGGTTTGGTCGCGGAACAAGGGATCCAGAAGAACATCGGCCTCGTCGAGGATCAGAAAGCGGATTTGAGACAAAGTGTTCGAAGCGGTATTGGCATCGCCTATAGCATTCTTCAGAGCAGCCGGGGTTGAAACGAGAATATCAGCCTTGACAGGAGGCACCTCCTTTCCAGAGGCATCCGCGTCGGGCAAGGGATCTGAGCCGAGGTGCATTCCCTTGCGCACGTTAGTGATGCGAATTGCAGTGTTGAGGGCCAGCTTCCTGCCCTCGTTGGCAATCTGACTGGCAAGCTCCTTGGTGGGTGCGAGGATTATAGCTTGAGGGCCAGAGTGTGTTTGAGAGCGACGTGCGAGGACCAGAGCGTGGATTAGAGGAATCATGAAGGCCAGAGTCTTGCCGCTGCCCGTCGGTGCAATGCTCAGGAGATCAACGTCCAGAATGGGCTCATGTTGTTGGTCCGCGGGTGGATCCTGTGCAAGCAGATGTGCGCGTGTGTCGAGCAAAATGGGCAATGCGCCAAGTTGGACTTCGGTGGTTGTGCTGTAGCCATTGTCCTTGATGTTCCGGAGAAGGGCTTTCGAGATGCGGTATCTGGGGGCTAGACTGCTAAAGTCGCTGACGGGAGCAGGATATAGTGGTATCGCTTGAGCAGACAGGTTCTGGGACGTCGTCTTGTCCTTGGCGGCCTTTTCCTTCTTTTTCTTCTTTGCAGGTGCCTCGTCGTTGTCGTGACGAAACAGAGAGACCTTGACCTTGTGGCGCCCAAGTAGCTGCTTGCACTCTTCGGTGCTCATTGCTACAGGCGCTGCAGCTTGTTGTTGTTGCAGACTCGATTGCTCTTCTGAGGCGTCCTGCTCCTTCTGCTCGCCATCTTGTTCCTTGGCTGATGCGCCTCCACCGAAAAAGTCCAAACTGGCTGTCACTGTCTCACTCCCTCTCTTACGTTTGCGGTTCGGGCCCTGTGATTCATTGCCATGGTCGAAGAGTTGCGGGTTCGAAGCAGGTCCCGAGGACGGCGTGTGTGCCTGCGTGCCAGTCGATGTGCCCTTCTTTGCAAATTTAGTCGATCTTGTCAACAATCGTAGAGGATCCATTCTGGCTTTTGGGCGAGTCTTCTTTGGACGAGAACGTGGCAAGACGACGAGATGGAAAATATTCAGGTCTGGAAATTTTGGCGTCGGCGGCAGCCAAGCTTCGTCATTCCTGCTAGTGCTGTCACCCTGTCTATGACTGATTATCGGTCCATCCATCGCGTGCCTTAGTTCAATGAGTTGAAGTTCAGACTTCTGACTTGGGAATGCACTCTATACCTTCGACCACAGCCGCCCAGCTCAACCGAGAAGCAACAGTGAGTGGCCATCGTTTGGTCGTTGCCTTGGCGGTCCGCATGCAATCACAGTTCGGCTGTCTCGTGTCAGCTGTCAACTATAAAACATGAAACAGTGCTAGGTCATGCGTAGCTTAATAAAAAGCTCAAGTCGATGAATTGCAAGGAAACAAAAGAGCATTGTTAAGCAGACTTTTCAGCAGTCCAACTAAGAAAGAAAAAATGGCGATCTAGGCTGTTGTACACGGCGAAGAGACAGGCTCACGTGTCGCTCCCATATATGTGCATTGCTATGCTCTTGCAGCGTCCGCCCCTCGGCGTCTCGGCATAGGCGACTCTCCCATCCATCCTTCTCCTTCCAGCGTCCTTCACGTCGATATCGTATAGCGCTTCAAGTCCACGGCTTAGTGGTGGTGCTCATCGTGAGAGCTTGATCGGTATCCGATGAGCTTCATACGTCCAATCATCTCGCCAACGGTGAAGAATCCGAGGATCTCAGCTGTCACGACGCCAGCAGTAACGAGTTGGGAGCTGCCAATGTTGCGCATGGCCTGAAGGGGGTTTGACGGGCTGTTGGCGCCGGGGTTTCTGACGGCGTTCATCAGGTTCTGGCCGTAGCTCTGGAAGGTCTGGACGTTACTGCAACACGTGTAAGTTGAGGCGCACAAGAAGCACAGGATAGCCATGACATACGGAGGGCTCATCTTCTGACCACGGGCAACAAGCTTGGCGAGCTCGAGGCCGACCTTGCCGTAGTAGACGGTGGGAGGAATCATGGCTGCAAAGAGACATTACAGTCAGCAAGATTGTGATGGACGAGGTCGGCGGACGGGCTATCACATACACTGGACAAAGCTAATGACCTGACCGGTGCGACCACCAATGCTGTTCATGGCACTGGAGGCAGCTCCGGCAGCCTTTGAGATGCCAGACTCGGCCGACGACGAGACTTTTGAGAGACCCTGAGAGGCCTGAGTTGTGGCCTTGGAGGCAGCGTTGGAGGCAGCATTGGCTGCTTCGGATGTGGTTGAGGCGTGGCGCACAGCGATGCGGCCAATCTGAGGGGTGCGCAGAAGCATACGGGACGCCGAGAAAGACATGATGAAGACGGGGCGCAACGACAAAGGGGCGACGAGTGGGAAAGAGACGTGAATGTGCGTGGTGTGCTCGCTCGACTGCTCAAGACGCGCTGCCAGAGGTTGCAAATCTACAGTATCCGTGTCTTGGCATCTATCCGTTCCTCTCCGCATTCCAGCCGATAAACTGAACTTTGTCTTTGGCTTTCTTCACCTCACCTCCTCCTCCTCCTTCGATCTTATTCTTGTCTTTGGTGCAGAACATAGATGCTGCTTCTCCTAGCTGCTCACTTAATTGACCACGTACAGCCTGGGTCTGTCTGATTCTGCTCTTCTCATCTGGACATCGATGCTTGCTCGAGCCTGCCCCTCTGAGTTCGGGCTCCAGAGAAGCCGAATTCATATAATGCCTTTACCTGCAATTGCATGCCTGACGGACTTTTGGATTGACGATTGATATCGTTGTTCACCAGCTAGACCTGCTTGATTTTGCTCTCAAATGTCCAACTCAACTGATCCTCTAAGCAGCGCTTGCCAATTCGAGCCTGCTCCGTACTGCCTGCACGAGTTCGTTCGAGTTCGTAATTAGTCCTATTCTGTCGGCGTCTCTTGATCGTCAGAAAGAGTAAAAAAATATGATCAGTCAGTTCGCTGATGATTGGAGGCGTAACTGCGCTTATCCGTCTGACTCCTGGATCTCAACATTTTAGATCCCGGCCGCGAGGACCAGGACGGCAAAATAAGAAATTCAATATTCAGCCGCAAATCACTTTTGTAAGTATCTTGTATAGCACCTACCCTATCGTCATCTGTATATATGAAAGACTGCCGGAGTGTCTCGACGGAGTCTCAGCACGAGACTCGTGTCTACATTTTCCCCTTCATCAATACGAAACATAAATCTCTATCAAGCATGTCGATCTGAGATTGTAAGGAGCTCAGTGTGGCTGCCATCGCGTTCGGTCGTCAAAACGGCTCGGGAAAGGATGCCAGACGTCGCATGTGATTCGTCTTGGTCATGCAGGTGTCGCAGCCGACGGATCCTTGGCCTCACGTGTAGCAGTATATCACTCTGGAAGTAAGCGAGTCTTTCATGAAAACCGACTGGTCAAACATGGCGATCACCTACTGTATGTCGTCAACTCTTCCTTCTTATATACAACTGTCTACAGTGACTACCTTCGCCGAATACGGGTTTGCATCGCCGGAACGGATAGCATACTTCCCCCCCGAGCGATCCTCAAATTCTTGCAAGCCACGATCCAACCCCAGATATCGGTATACAGGCTCACATGCCTGGGTCTGTAACGGCCTGAGAATCAGATGTGCTGCCCACGAGAACGAACGACGGTAGTGTTGGTCTCGTGATAAATCTAGCTTCGAGTCCGCTCGAGCGGCCGACCATCTGCCCCACCGAAATGAGTAATTCAGCTCTAAATAGGGAGCTCAACAAAGACGACATATGTTCAAGTTCGAACCGATGGTGTAGGAATTTGTGTGCCATTTTGTAACTACGAAGGCCTCGAGGATCGCGATCGCCTTATGCCTTTGCAATATTCGCGCGTGCTGCGATTCTGTCATCATGCTGTATTCCACAGAAACTCGACGAGCATTCTCGCAGACAGATCCGCTATGTATTGTTGTTCCATGCGTTGGATAGGAACCCTCCTACGCATTGATCAGTTTCTGCATGTCGGCATGCAGTCTCGTTTGACGCCCGAACCTGCATCACTGCATATGCATGTATACTTGGTCTGAGCGCACGAATGATTGCCTATCGGACCACATCAAAGAGGTACTCCACGCTCGAGAGGTCGCAGCACCAATAGCCACTTGTAGCAGAACGGCCTGCTATCATGACGAGATGGGCGTAAGTTGCTTAGTCTGCCTAAGCTACTGTACCCTCGGTGTTCAAGTCCTTCAGCCCGCAAAGTTAGCAGCGCGCAAGGTCACGTCGTCAACTACGAAGATGTCTTGTGGTTTGCCAACGATGCTTGGACCATGTACACTAAAAGTGGCTGGCGTTATTAGGGCGGTTCGTAACAACATCGATTGCCGTGACCCTCAAGTGGTCAGTTATCGGCGATTATATGCTCGTGCTGACGGAGCAGCTCCTGGGCCAATTCTTGTTAGACTGCCGACCCAAGCAAGAGAACCCAGAAGATGCGAGCTGCAAGTCATTGCAGAAAGTCTGTGAAGTACTCCGTACCTTGGCTTGCTCGTTCACTCGCCTGCTCATGCCCATGCACGACTGCGGAGGTGGACCAGAGGATTCTGCGCTCGGTCGCCTGCCCTGTGCCAAACAAGAGCTCTAGCAACCCTACTACTCAAGCGGCGATCAGGCCCTTGCGGCGCGCGGCTTGCGGTAGACGGAGGACCCCTCATTCGCCATGTAGCGAACTAAGTTAGCCTATTGTGGGCACGCTCGTGCCCATGTCCACTGTCAAGTCAATGCTCCCCCACCTTCAAAGCGGGCTGGCCGGTTGCTGCTCTCGAGAAATCAAGGTCGACAGCACCAATGAATGCGTGGTATCGGCGGTTGTTGGCTCAATGCGGGCGCCTCAGCGAGACGACCGGCGAGCCTCCGACGCCTCTCGTTACCTTCTGATCTCATCATGCCATGCCACTATTAGTTACCCACTACGCAAACTCTTGCTAGACCAAAATTTCTCATGCCCATCAAGACTGCACCGCAACGCAACCGAGCTCATAATGTTCATATACCTCGCTCTCCCGGCAGCCCTGCAAGCCTCTTTTTCCTCTCCCTGGACGGACAAAGGTGTTGGCTTTACTCTCGTTTTTCGTCATGCTCTTGTCGTGCTGGGCGTGGTCTGCAGTTTTGCTTTTGTGAGCCTTTCAGTTTGCCAGACTAATTCAATTGTCGTGTGCTTACCAATGTCTGCAGCATCTTCCGTTATCTGCGCCTTGTTGTTAACTTGATTTCCAATTGGACATATAAACCCGTTCCCATCCCCGAAACGCCATCCTACACCAACAAAGATGTCACTGTCATCATCCCGACCATTGAAGGCGAAGGGGAAACCCTCTGCCGCACCATCAAGACGTGTTTGGCGACACAGCCTCTCGAGATCATCATTGTCACCATCGATGCTAGCATAAAAAGAGCCGAAAGAACTGTTGCTACTTTCAACAGCAGTAAGATTCGCATACTGAGCGTTGCAAAGGCCAACAAGCGCAGCCAAATGTGCGCGGCTATTCCTGAAGTCATGACCAAGATCACCATCTTTGCGGATGATGATGTGATCTGGCCTCAAACCATTCTCCCATGGATATTAGCTCCCTTCGAGAACGACGACATGGGCGGTGTTGGAACATCACAGCGTCTGATGCGTCCCAGAAAGACTACTATCTGGAGCTTTCTTGGTTCTCTTTACCTCGAGAGACGCAATTTCGATTGCTCTGCATGCCTCAACATCGATGGTGGACTGCCTTGTCTCTCAGGTAGAACAGTCGCATATCGTACCTGCATCCTTCAAGACGAAGCTTTTACCTATGGTTTCACGAATGAGACTTGGAGAAACTTCCAACTCAATGCCGACGACGACAACTTCATCACTCGCTGGATGTATGCACGTGGCTGGAGGATTGCCATGCAATATCACAAGGCTTGTGAGGTACAAACCACCCTTGAGGACAGCCCGAAGTACCTGAAACAATGTCTTCGTTGGGTACGAAGCAATTGGAGGAGTAATCTGACGAGTATGTTCGTTGAAAGACATTATTGGAGGTGTGTAACCAGAGATCGATCATTGTACAAACCCCGAAGACAAGCTCACTATTTCTAGGTCAACGCCCTGGACAACTTATGCAGTGCTCCAAACCACTCTGACCGCTTGGGCTTTCACGGATTTTTTAATATTCTTTCTCTTCTACAAAGCTACTGAGGATTTGCCAGCAGGCACTAGACAGAAGATTCTGAGTGGCATTGGTGTTTGGATCTTTGTTTTTGCAAAGTCAATCAAGCTTTATGGTCATTGGATTCGCTATCCCGCTGATCTGTTGATGTTGCCTTGCTCGATCTTGTTTGGTCATGTGCATGGATTCATAAAGCTTGCAGGACTGTTGACACTCTCTGCTGTATGTTGCTCTATGCTTCGAACCGACGTTCAGGTTACTGATCATCTTACAGACCTCCTGGGGAAGTCGTGACGGTGCAGACGAGGACAACCATTACAGAATGATCAAGCTTCCACCATACGATACTGACGACCTAGAAGCATCCCTCCCATTGGCTCCAAATTCTGCCTCTACTCTAACAATGACACAACAACCCCCTCCCTACAAGAGATACGAGCTTGATGAGACATGCCCGTTGCAGGGCCACTACAGCCACGACTAATGATACTGAAAAAACAAATAATACTAGAAGAGGAGGGAACGCAATGTTTGCAACCAAAAGAAGAATCGTCTCTGGGCAATGAAGTTCGGAAGTTTGAAAAAGAAAAGTAAGCTCTCCGAAGGGATCTTTGGTAAAGGTGGATGGTTTGAAAAGAGAGAGAAGCTCTTTCGACCACGACCTTGCTGCGATGTTTTTTACCGATCGAAAGCTTTTTTGTCCTTGCATAGATACTTACTTTTCGTTTCATGTCTCAAAAGCAGCAGGTATTCTGTACAGTCCAACCAATCGTAGAGAGATCATAAATCCACTTTGGGCAAGAGGGTTCACGGACAAGCCGACGCTCGCCTGTTGATGCTGATTTCGCAATTGCTGTTCCTGCATCAAATGGCATAGCTGACCCGCACTGAAAAGGAAGCTATGTGCTCAACATGCTTGTGACGATCACTTCGCGACACCCGTAGCTAGGCGGCTAGTCTCCGTGACCCGAGCCAGCGAGCTCGCTTCGACTTTGCTGAATGGTGGGCCTTTTTGGCGGCTTGTTAATGAGCTCGTGCCTGACTGGTCTCGCCTTGGCCGGGTCAAGATCAGCACCGTGACCACTGACAGCTTGAACCACATATCAGGATTTGGATGGTCTTTATCAGATCAAGTCAAGACCTCTGTATATTTCGATGGAGGAACTCGCCAAAGGCGCAGCTTCTCGGCGTCTATATGCATGCATATCGCGCAAGCGCCATCCAGTCCTCGTGCTTGTGTTTAGTAGGTAGCAAAACGGGAGAGTCTTCTGGTATCATCTCAACCGTTTCTGCTCTATATTGCTCACCTCACTCCTTGACTCAAGAGACGATATTCCCTGATTCGGTTGAGCCGGACAAGCATAGGTTGTGGCAGACTTACCGACCTGCAATCTTTTTGACCTCCATCCTTGTGCTCTGCAAAGACAGAAAGTCAGAGCGCAATGCGCGATAAACCCTGACAGGGAGATGCGTGCGCAGAGCGGTACGTGCACGATGCCGCAGCGAGCCACGCCATGCCGAACCTTCAAACTTGTCCGTGTTATCTCCGTTCAGGTTTTAATGTTTGGCTCAAAGTGCTGTTGTGTCGGCCACACAGCATATGCTGACTACGTCGGTACCACTCACCGGTGGCCGTAAGAGTAAGTGCGGTGCCATCGAGTACGTGATCGATGTCTCGCTGAACTCGGTCGTCTTGATCCATCACATCACGGCAAAGTTCGGGTTGAAAAGGCTCTTCAGTTGCGCAATCAAGGCTCACATCATCCACGTGCCTGATCGCAGTTATCTGCTGACCTCTTTTTCAGCGGATCCTCCAAAGGACCACTCCACAATTGAGTAGAGTATGACACAGAGCTTTGATAGTCATACGCGTTCCGCTGTCAGTTTAATGTGCGCGTGAACTCCAATATATTAGCACTTATGGGGCAGAAGCTTTGACTAAGTGCCAGACCGAACCTTATTTGCTAATGTCACTATGCACTACACCTGTCATTCGGAGGCCAGTGTCAACAGAGTTGTACGTTCCTCGTGTACTTTGCAAGCAACAGGGAGAGCAACCTGTTCCTCAGCGTTCGCAGCAGACAGATGACTTCTGAAGAAATAGCAATTTCCACACAGGAACCTATGATCTTTCTGATACCTACAATGCCTTTGCTCTACGGTCTTTGCTTGTTGGTACGTCGGTCATTCAATACCCCAGGCACAGGGATCCGAGAAGCATTGTGATTTGGTGCCATATGCTGGCCTTCGAATTACTCGAACTCACTTCTTCTTGCCTGTACCACCTAGAATAGAGTCGAACGTCAAGTTGGGGTCATACACGCTGACTGGCCTTGCTGTACGAGTCCTGCTACCTGTAGCAGCTGGGAGTACATCCAAACCAAGGCCTACTGCTTGTCGACCTTCGACGCCATGGACGGGACTGCCGTTCCTACTGATCGGTGCCTGTGTTCCAACGACAGTTGGAGGGTCGAGTTCTTGCATGTCGAGATGGTGTTTCGAATGGAATTCTGAAGCCAATACTGCGTTCCCAGCACTCCATTTTTCAGCTGCCTGCCAACAGTGGCTTCGGAAGTATATACCTTCCGCGCCGTGATGAAAAACATCAGCAGGGAGACGAGCAATACCCCCTGCTCTAGCTATTCCAGTATGACTGACGTCACGCAGCGCTTCTTCTCTCGCCCAAGGCACACCGAACCTAGGAGATTCGCAAAGGAAATACTCTACGCCCTGAGTATGCTGGAGCTGAGGTCCGTCGACAGTGACCATTGGTAGAGCTTGTATTACGGCATAGACGAAAAGCCATTGGCCCATGCGAATTTCTGCCATTTCCTTGATATTGCGATTCTTCGCTACCTTTCGTTCGAATTCTCTGAAGGAATTCAAGAACGGCGAGGGTAGGACGTCAATATTGTGTGAAGCTGTCATAACCTCTGCAATGTCATCCTCTTTTAACTTCTTCGATATAGCCTTCGCTTCTTTCTTCGCATCACCCCATCCATTGCAACGGGTTTGTCTTAACGATGGGATGATAGGAAGATCGTAGGGGATCGGCGGTTTGACGGGGGGTGAAGATCGGTCGTACTCGCTAAGTACTGCGCGGAGTGCTCGTACCCGTGGTCCATCAGCATCTCTGTCATCAATTAAGACGCCATCCGCAGTACGAGTCGTTAGACTTGTGCGATCTACCAGGAAGTCGTACACAGCGCAAAAGTCACCGTATAGCTCTTAACAAACTATCCGATTGAGCCCATTTGTCTCGATTTCGTTCTTCTTCGAGGGTTTCGGTGGCCACGAACCAAATCGGATCTTGTAGTATGAGATGACAAATTTTCGAGTCGCGAGAAACGAGTCTCGCAAGATGTCAAAGTCAACGTCCTTGCGCTCATCGACTGTTTTGCTGTTCAGGAAGCCAGAAAAAAGTTGCGGAAATTCAAAGGCTTCCAAAGTATGCCGAACGCTTGCTGTACGCTTCTCCAGATCCATCGCTGCACGTCCTAGCCTGTTGGCAGATATGGGACTAATCAGTCTGAACCTAGGACTTCCCAATCTCGAGAGCTCGTCGTACCTGCCGGAAGCGTGCGTGAATGCCTCGTTATACAACTTAATGCTCTTCATCCGCTCTCCGAGGATCATTGAATCAATGGTCTTTTCACGACTTGATCTCACATCGGCCAGACCGAGCTCATCCACATATTTGTCGAAATTGGATGTTGCAATCTCGCCAAATGTAGATCCATCGAAGTTAGAGAAGCCGAATTGTTTGAGAGCATCTGCTACCTTAATGAAAACAGAAAAGACATTCGGGTTCTCCTGTGTAGCAACCAAGGACTTTCCAGCAAGGAAGGCAAAAAGGTTGCGTGTTGCAACAAGAGTCTCCTCATCGCTCGATAGTCCTTGGCAACCATTGGGCACCGACAGCGCCACGTCGGATTTCAGTGTGATGGGTAGAAAGAGCTGACACCTTGATCCACTCTTAGGAGTCATAGGCGGCGTATGAGGTCCACCCGTGTTTGTATTGATATCTAAGTAAAAGAGACAATTAGCACGAGACTGCAGATCTCAAAGGTCTTCGGATTTCTCAAGTCCTGCAGCACGAATTACTCACCCGCCTCAAAAGGTATGACGAGTCCGGACAACAATTTGGATGAAGATAACAACGCCGGATCAATTCTGAATGAAGGACCCTTGCCAGAAGTCCTTGGAAACAAATATACCTCGCAGTCTGCGGTCTCATCCCACAGTTCCAGCACCTGTTCCCCACCAGTCAGACAAAAGAGGTCGTATGGACGACGTTCTGGGTGGCCGATGACCCATGCCTTGGGCCCCTTTTCTATGCCCTCGGTGCTCTTACTTCGTCCGAACCATGATCTCCGACGGTTTCTTTTGTCGTCACTCTTAGTGACGGCTGGATCTAGTCTGTCGATAGTCGGTTTATTGGGTAACACGTCCGATGGCGGTGAGGGAGGGCTTCTGTTGCGGAGACGAGATGAAGGTCTTGATTGAGGATTGGGCGATAAAGGAGGCTGAGCCTCCAGAGACCCAGCCTTCTCAATAGTAGGAGATGCCAGTGGTGAGTTTGAGACACTTCGAACGGACTGCCCAGAAACGGACCTGGACTGGAAGAAAGATGATGCTGTCTTCTGTAGCCGCATGCCTAATGGTGGTTGCCAAGAACTCTGGGGTGTATAGATATATATATCTCAATGGTGAGACACTTCCACAAGCTCGGATGATTGCCGCGAGGAGAACAACAAGACTTTAGAAGATTCCGAGAGAGAACGAGAAAAGAGGGTACCACATGCCCGAGTACCGGGCCCCTTCGTTGCTTTGTATCTCGAAGGTCGTGCATGCAATGACGCAACCCCGTGGACAATTTCTGCCGAGAGAGAGGCGAAGTCTGCATAACGACCAACGAGCACAGAGGAGGCTATGTCCTTGAAACAGTCCGTGACACCATTCGGCATCAGAAATAGCAAGGTTCCGGGCGTTTACACTGACACGTCTTCATCTTGCAAACCAACAGATTCGTTGACCTGGGCGCCCTGTTGTTCATGCACGCGAAAAAAAAAGAGTCGTCAGGCGTCTATTTCTCGTGCATCTTCCAGAGACCGGATCGTTTGTGGCACCTGCCTGCTGATCACTCATCTGAAATTTCTGACGGTGAGTATTTCACTCCTTGAGATGAAGTTCGGCAAATCGGCCGAGATCGATTTTCTGACTTTTGATCAACTCCTTCTTGCTCCGCTGCCAAGGCTGTCAGAGCGCCGCGCGTATATCGCGGATGCCATGATTTTCATCTTCTCTGCTGTTGACAAAGTACATCCAGAGCTTCGCGCAAGTCTCAATCAAGGTCGATTTAGACTTGTGCGCAGTCGTACACGTATTTCCGTTGTGCGACGATTTCTCAGGACGCCAAATTCAGTTTGCATACATCAATGACAACATCCCTCGGAACATGCTTTTGACACCACGCGTACTCGGGAGTCGGCTGCCAGAATGCTGCTCGTATCTGTGCATATCTTGTGATACCTAAAGAATACGCTGGCTTGGAACGACGAGAGTACGGTCATTGCAGGAATATTGGCCGTACAAGCTGTGAGCCTGGAGCACCCTTCCACGGTGTACAGACCAAATCCGTTCAACCGCCATGTATTCAAGACGACGAAAGAAAGTAGAGTTTGACAATGGGCATTGCTTGGTGATCTAGTGGTCATCTGCTCTGACATTGAGAAGACGTTCGATACCATCCACTCTTATGCGAAACTCCCTCTCGATGAGCACATTGCACAATCTTTTCAAGTCCGAAGTACCCCAACCCAACCCATCATCTCTATCGAAGGTCTCTAGGCCCAGCAAGATCCAGTGTTTTGACCAAGGAAGATGATGTAAACCAGAGAGAAGAACTTGCTTCAGCTTCTCGTAGGGGTTCTGTTCAACGATGCGTCTTTTGCCTATCACAGATTTCTTTGCTGCTTCTTCCACGGCTCTGCGCTTCTCGAAGTGGAACCACATCATCCATAGCATCTTTGAATACCTGACCGGGCTTCCAACTGTCATCAATGCCTTTTTGAATGTGGATCTTACCGATTCTGCCGTCGAGCCAAAGGACTGACTTTCACACCGAAGCAATTCTTGATTGATTGCGAATGTCCAAGCCACAAGGGGTGATTGACCGCGAGTGAGCACTTGAGTTTTGAGCATTGACCTTACCCTATCATCGAGACGGAAACGCACTTCGTTATCTCGATACATCTCGAGGAATATGGTGTTATCCGGAAAGTGTGCAATACTCGTCTCGAGCTCGAAGCGCACAAACGCAGGTCGGTACGCTCGTTTCTGACGAATATGGTAAGCGATTATGCCAGCCTTGACTTGGTGCAACATCTCGATAAGCACACATTGGTCTGCGCATTTCTGTTTTGCTGCGTTGCATCGTTCATTGACTGCATCGACAGATGCCTGCAGTGCATCTGGTTCCGTCAAGTATGCAACAAGCGCCAGCATCTCGACATTCAACGCAGCAAGGCTTGGATTGGCTCGGCTGAGTGAATGTTCGAAGCCATCTTGAAAGGCTTTGCGTAGTCTCAATAAAGTTGCAGTTGTCGCCGGAGCGAACACATTTCCATCTAGATTAACGCTGCTTCCGAAAGACGCAAGATGAGCCAGTGCTCTTTGTGGTTGATTGGCTTCCAGATTAGACCATATCCATCCACGCCAGAGCAGAACAAGCTCCTCCTGAGCTGCGTGTGAGAAGCTATCCTTCATGTTGATTGCGCCAGACCAGATTTGAGCAGCTTTTTCGAATTTTCCCAACTTTGCTTCGATTGTAGCACATGCATTGTAGAGCCGAAGACTCGATGGTCGTTGCCTCAAGATTTGCTTGGCAGCCTTCGATGCCTCCTTAGGAAAACACGAAAGCTCAAAAGCTAGATGATATTCTGCCAGATCATCGTCGTTTGAAAATTCCTTTACCATGCTCGAAAGCATCCTTCGAGCGAAGTGGGCCGCAGCCGGCGTCGAGCTTGAACTGTTCGCGTCTTGCTCAGATACTGCTGCGGAAAGACCTCTGAACATGCGTGAAAACAAAAGTTCTGTTGACCTCTGATAGTTTGGGATATGCTGTCGATACAAGCAATTGTTATCATCGAGCAATGAACCAGATTGCAACAGCCCATGCCGGAGAAAGACGTCTGTTCGCCAATGGGGTTGTGATTGAGTGTGGTTTTCAGCAGCTGTTCTCAAGCCCATTCTAGGGAGACCTAAGTAACACAATATAGCATCGAGCAAGTCGTAGTGGTCAAGGCCAGACGCTGTAGCTTCAACGATATCGCGGATGTCGGAAAACAATACGACATGGAAAGGATCATCAGAACCAGGCTCGTCCATAGTTCTCCCAGGAAATTGGTATGAATCGCTCATGGTTGACTCTAGGGCAGCGAAAGACTTGAAAGGCATTTTCGAACTCATCTGATCCCTGGAAGGTGGTTTCTGATGATTCGATATCATATCGTCATTTTCAACAACAGTTCGCCATCCTCGTGCTCCGACTTCCCCGAATCTTGGAATTTCGCTTTCCCAGAACTGTTCAAAGTCGCCAAGCACATGACTGATTTCGCGAGAGGCGAGGTGCCTTGGCCTGAACAAGTGATATTCGCCGAGAGCTTGCCATATGGCTATGGATAGCTCATCATAGCCAGTATCTAGTAAGAAGACAGTGTAGCGTAGGATCAAGTAGAGAACCATTCTTCGAGAATCAGGCTCATTACCTGAAGTAGCCCTCGAACCAAGCGTGCGAATGCTGCGCACGAATATTCTCTTGGCATCTTCAAAACGAAAGTTGATTGGATTAGTCTGGCAAGCGTCTAAGTACAGAGACCAGATACGAAAGCTTTCGGGATATTGTTGAAGAATGCCCTGGAGCTTGTTCATGTACTTCTGCGCATCCCAGGCAACAGCTGCTTCTTGTAACAGTCCCAACAACAAACGCTCACGTTTTGCTGTTTCGCTGGTGTTAACGTGCTTGAGCGCCTTCTCATAAACAGCTATGCGCATGTCTGCCAAAGTCTGTCTCTCAACGTTGGTCAAGGAATGAGCATCGGCGCCTGGGCTGACAAGGCGTTCCTGGTGGTTTGCTAGATCAAGCCAGGCTTGAAGATTAGAAGGGTCCGATTTAGTGGCTCGTACGAACTGGACGTTTTGCTGGCGAACCCGTAGGTCAACATCAGAGGCCACGTCCGGTATTTGGTGCTCTCGTACGCGGTGTGGCTCCGAATCTACTATCTGGTCGGAGTTTCTGAACGAGTCGAAGCTTTCATCCATGGGTTTACTATCATGGTCATCGGCAGAAGGTGACAAACTCACGAAGTCCTGAGCCAGATCTAGCTCGGGTTCGTCATGCACGTGCAAAGAGGATAATTCTTGGTTTCTTTGACGCTTCAGAAGTAACCTTTGAGGAACCTGCTTTGAATTGGCAGACTTGTCAGTAACCAAGATCTTGTCAAGCGTGCTCTCGGCGCGATCTATCTTGAACCTGGTGTGCAGACCCAGAATACTTCCATATCCGACTCGATGATATGGTGGAATGCTGTACTTGTGCAGTCTGTCATAGGCAACGTTTTGCTGGTCACCCTTCAAATCAACAACGAAGAGATCAGAATTGCCATGGTGGTGAGTCTTGGACAATGTATTGGTGATGGGCCTACGGTGCTCGTGATGGTCATGTGGGTTCCGGTCACGCTTATGAGTGTCAGACGTCTTCACTCGAAGGTCATGTGAGAGGTGGTGACGAGATGAAGGCTCTGAAGGTTCAGCACTCCTGTGAGATTTCGCGGGAACGTGGTCATGTTCGACACTCAGTCGGCGTTTGAGAGTTGTTGAATGTGATGACGGCTGTTCTTGTGGACCAGGCTTCTTTGCACGGAAACTCGAGAACTTGGGCACTTCTCGGGACGGCGCAGACATGTGGGATTATGATGTGAATTGGCTGTCGGGGTTCAGGTGGTTGGAAACGAAAGCGGCGTCGTTGTTCGAACTCACCGCCCTCGGGGATTCGTGTGCCAAGAACAGCGAGTTTTTGGCAGAAAGTGGAACTTTTTGGCAAAGATGGAAGGTACGAGCAGCAGCAGGCAGAACCCAAGACAGCATCTCTGTCGCCGCCCAAACTCCACCACCCTCAACGTCGCCAACCATTGTGTGAGAGAAGCCCGGCTCGAGACAGTTGGGCTTACCCAGGCGACATCAATCGGCACCATGGCCACAGCTTTGCAACAGCAGTTGGCGCAAATCGCCAAAAAGTCGACCGACCAACTCGATCTCAAAGCGCAGCGCGCACAGCACAGCAAGTCATTGCTCTTTGACCCCCGCGTCGCCGCCAACCAGACCTTTGAGACCATCTACCAAATATGTGCCGAGGCCTTCCAGGAATTGTGCTTGCTCGATGCTCGCTTTGCGCCCTTCGCCGCCAACCTTTTCAGCGAACAGTCAAAGTCAGAGGAGCGTATCAACCTGACAAAGAAGGAAAATGAGGACCTGGACCAGGTCATCGACAGTTTCTTGGGCCTCGTCAGCTCTAGGCTGCTGCTACGGCCAGGTCTCAAGGCTGTCGAGTGGCTTGTCCGTCGTTTCCGGTATGTGTCTAGCATGCCTCTAGCAGCGAGCCGCACACTGCTAACCTGCCTGTAGTGTGCACGAATACAACACCGAATCCCTCGTGCTTGCTTTCCTCCCATACCACGCGAACCCCGTCTTCCCCACCATGCTATCTATACTTCCCAAGACGCTTCCACCGACCTTGAAGTTCCTACAACCCTACATTTCCAGCTTGTCATGTCCTCCTAGCCAAGCTCTGGTGTACGCCGCTGTGAACAATCCTTCGTTCTTTACTGCCTTCAACACTTATGTCGTCCGGACTGCCAACTTGGGCCACCACTCTGTCATGGTTCTGCAATTCTGGGCTGGTGTCATGACTCCTGCTATCAATGGTATGCTCGACGCTGCCATGTCGGGTCGCGCTGATGTCCGCAGTCAGCGTCAGGAGGACTTATTGCTTCGCGTTGTTCCCGTACTTCAGCAGACACTGCGCATCAAGAACGTCCCGGAGCTTTTCCTGGGATCATGCATGATCATTTGCGTTCTCGTCTCCAAGACTCAACTCGATGACAAAGTCCTGGATAGTCTCATGGATGCGGTATCTCGAGGCTGGGCTTCACAGACCATAGACCAAGGATTATCAACTGTTGCCATCATCGCCGAAGAACGTCAATCATTGAAATTCACGCGTCCGGTCACAAGAGCGCTTTTGAAAGTACCTGCTCTAGAAGCTCGTATACTTGATCTGCAGACAAAACAACACACTGGAAGACTTCTTACCGGTCTTGCCATGACTTCACTCGACGAGGCTTCGGGCCCAGAGGCATTTGATCTGATTGAGAACGCTGTCACCTCGCACATTCCTACTCTTCCTCAGAAAGCTGCCATTATTCAGCTTCTACTTTCTGCTGTTTCGGACCTGCAGACCTCATCGGAAGCTGCTGCTTCTCAGGAAAGGCTTGGTCGCATCTTCTCAGCTCTTTGCCAGTCACCTTCCACGCTGCCACTAGTGCAAGCTGAGGCTGCTCGGCTTCACCTCAGTCTCGAGTCTCTTGAGGTCCAGCTACAGATTTCACTGGCTCCGAATGAAATGCTGGCATTACCATCAGTCGATGCTGATACCGAGATGATCGATGGACCTGCGACTGCCCAAGCCGACCAGCTAGACGAAGCTTTCTCCTTACTGCCCCAAAGTCTGCCAAAGGATTATTCCTTCGTTGCCAACGCCGATGTTTCTCCCTTCGACACTTTTGCTCGTGTTTTCCTGATCTTGCTTCAACAGAACAAGGATTTGGATCAACTCCTCGGCAAGCCAGTACTTCATGGCGCAGATGCTGTATCTTCACCAACTTACCTGACTTTCTTGGCGAGAATCTGGACAAGCAGTTATCCTATCATTGCACGTGTCTCTGCTCTTCGTTCGGCCACTGCACTTTTACAGGCTCACTCTTCCGCAGCTATTGATATGCAGGCGTTAACGCCGTTCGTACTTGTGGCTTTGGCTGATGCTTCGGAAGCTGTACGCAAGACAGCTGCTGCTCTGCTTATTGCTATCACGACTCTCTATCATCCCGACGCAGCAAAGGGCAAGGTCAATGATTCAATCAAGTCATGGGCAGCTCAAAGCATTTACGCAACATCTTCTCACAAGTCATCTTTGACTGGTCCTAATGCTCACAAGGTTCTTTCTGATGCCCTCGTTCCCAGCCTGGAAGAGTGTGTCCTTGACCCTAGCCAGATTGCACGTGTGCTTGCCAGTGCTCTCAATGGTCCGACTCAAGCGCAACCTGGTCATCCATTTGCTGCTTCAGTAGAGTTGAAGTCAACCTTGAGGGCATCTTTTGCCTCGTGGCTTTGTGAGCACGCTGCCGCAGTGCCTTTGGCTTCTGTCAAGCTTCGACTTCTTTCTTTCCTCAGTCCTGTTGGCAAGGCTGCTTCTACAGGCCGCGTGCAAACCCTTGTTCCATCACTTCAAAGCTGGATCCAGTCCGACTTGCAAGTCCGATCCGCTTCATGCGCTTCAGCCCATGTTGATGTGGCAAGTGTGGATAAGGCCTATGTTGACTGTCTAACGAGTCGAACTTCCGAGGAGTTGACTTGCTTAAGAACACTTGCAAATGGAGAGCTGGGACAAAGCGCTTCTTTGTCCACACTAGCAATTCAAAGGTTCAGAGCTTTGTGGCCTACCATGAAACCAATCGCACAGACATCTGCCGCTGCGTTCCTTCTTGATCTTGCTCTTGCCGATCAATCGGACGACCAATCTGAAGCCAGACAATCAGAAGCCACCGATCTTCTTCGCCAAGTGACGATGCCCACCGAAGTCCTCTCGTCCTTGTTGGAGTCAGTGCCTAGCATCGCACAGATGGAAGACAAGCCTCCTGCTTCCAAGCGCAGAAGAACAAGCAGATCTGAATTGGCGAAGTCACAAAGCATAAACGTAGCGGATCTACACAATGTCATTCGTAGACTAACTCTTGTGCTGGAATTGATCGAGGGTTCTCATCCTGAGAGACACCCTGAATTGCTTAAGAGCCTTTTCCACGTTCTGAGCGAGCTCCAGCACTACAGGACGCAACTTGGTTCAAACCTAGTCTATCTGCAGCAACTGGTCATTGGCTGTCTCTTCTCAATCGTTGACTCGCTCAAACAGAATCCTGCCATCAAGGTTGACCGCTCTGTGTTGAGAGCAGACCTCATTGTCGAGTGTGTTCGCACCAGTACCAACGCGCAGATTCACAATGCTGCTCTGCTGCTCATTTCAAGTCTGGCAAGCTGGGCTCCTGACTTGGTGTTGCACAGTGTGATGCCAATCTTCACATTCATGAGCAACACTTTGCTGCGACAAAGTGACGATTACTCGGCTCACGTCATCGACCAGACTGTATCTCGAGTTGTCCCCCCTCTTGTCGCTTCCCTTCGCAAGAAGAATCAAGACCTGGTTACAGGAGCTGCTGAGCTCCTACTCAGCTTTACTGCTGCTTTCGAGCATATCCCTCTCCATCGTCGCCTGCGACTCTTCAGCCATCTTGTCAATGCTCTGGGTCCTCAAGATTTCCTGCCTGCTATTACTGCGATGCTCTTCGACAAATATCCGACGGACAAGCGGGTACCCACTTTCTCTGCTGAGCTCATGGGATCGTTCTCTCCCGAGGTCCAACTCATCGCTGCATCTCAATACATCGATCTTGTCACGAACGCTCTGCAACCCAAGTCAGTCGTGTCTGAAGCAATCTTCGGATTCAGTGATAAGACACCAGAGCAGGTTGAGCAATCGGTGGCACACCTTCTGCGTTCTTTGGGACTTCTTCTACAACAACGCTCGCTCCATGTGCAGATCCTCAAGGCTCTTGACAAGGATGAGCGTGCACACGGAGGACTTCAGTCTGCTGCCGCCGACATATTGCAGAAGATCATGCAGTTCTCTTCTTCCAAATCCATTCAAGACAAGCCTGACTTGCAGTCTGCTTCGAACGATGTTTTGACAGCGGCCCTGAGCCTTCTGCCAACGCCCTATTTCGTTCGTACTGCTGATGAACTTTTGCAAAGACCCGAACAAGATCTTCGACTTATGGTCCTGCGTTCACTCGAGCAGCGCGGTCGTGAGGCTAGACTCGCCGACGCTGCAGCTGCACGCGCTATGCTTTCCGTGCTGCCGAGCGTGACTGGTGTCATTGGTCAGGAAAACTCTGTTGAACTGGTGCACAGTGCTGTCACATGCATTGATGTCGTCTCAGAGAAGTTTGGCAAAAAGGATATTGAGAAGATCATGTCTGCTGCTCGTGTGGTAGCCTCCAAGCACGCACTTGGCAGTCAGAATAATGAACTCCGCATTATCTCGCTGCTCTGTCTGGCCACCATGGTCGAGGTTCTGAAGGATGATCTGGTCGACATCCTGCCACAGATCCTCGCCACCTCGTATGCCTACTTTGAGGATGCCACCAAGACAGAGTCCGGCAATGCTCGCCTGCACAATGCTGTTTACTCTTTTCTGACAAACGTCATCGAGTACATTTCCTGGATGTTCTCAGCTGATACTCTTGACAAAGCTTTGCTGCTTACACAACAATCAGCTTGTAGCGAAATCACAGACATCCGAACTTCGAGCAGTCGTCCACAGTTCACTAGCCTACTCTCACAAAAGCTCGATGCCAGGACCATATTGGCAGCCCTGGAGCGTACATTCGATAATGCGGTCAATCTCGGCCACCTAGCTTGCCAGGAGGCTCTCACGACTCTTCATACAGTGATCAAGACACATCCCAAATCAGCCCTGATCAAAAATGCCTCGATCTTGTTTTCGATTCTCAACAAATCCTTCGACCTTCGTCGTTTGCTCTCTCAGCAGCCGACATCCCCCGACAGTCAACAGCTTGCTGCAATGGAAGCACAGAGAGACAATCTGTCCCTCGATGCTATCATGAGGCTGAATGACACTACGTTCAGACCGTTCTTCACCCGTCTCGTGTCTTGGGCAGGCGAGGGACTTCCCAAGAAGGAACAGGCTGGCCGTACCCTTCGTCTAATCAGTGTTTATGGATTCCTAGCTAGGTTCTTTGAGACTTTGAAGGTGAGTTTTAGAGTTTTTTTCTGGTGTGACCCATTGCTAATTGAATGTTTAGTCTATCGTGACTGGTTACTCTGCATACATCTTGGAGCAGGCCGCATCTATTCTTCAAAGTGTCAAACCAGAGGGAGAGTCTGAGAAGCTTCTCGTTAAGGCTTTGCTCCAAACACTGATTGCCAGCTTCAACAATGACCAAGACGACTTCTGGCAAAACCCGACGCACTTCGGTGCCATAATGCAACCTTTGTTAGATCAAGTGACTTTCGCCAATGAGCCGGAAACCAGAGAGTTGCTTGACATTGTCTCTGCTGTCACTGGGCTGGCAGGAGCCGCAGCATCGCCTGAGCACCACAAAACTCTCAACTCGGCAATTCTCAAACTTATGAGACACGACAACGAATTGACAAGGCTTGCAGCAGTCAAGTGCGAACAGTCTTTGACCGAGAAGCTTGGAGAAGACTGGCTTGCTCTCCTCCCTGAGATGCTGCCATTCATCAGCGAGCTGCAAGAGGATGATGACGAGGATGTTGAGAGAGAGACGACAGCCTGGATTCGCCAAATGGAAGGCAGCCTTGGTGAAAGTCTCGAGGGCATGTTGCAATAAGGAATATATAAAAGTGTTAGAAGGCATTGCGATGGTGTTATGTGCGTTTCGTTATTGTTATGACAGGTATTACATGTGTTTTGTACATATTGAACCTTTATCCTTAGGTCCGATGTCTGTGTCAATCGACAAGTGAAAATTGTCGATTTGGTTGCCTGAGTCCGTGACATTTCACATTTGCCAAACCGTATATCCTGTTTTGGTGTGGCCATTGTCGTAAGTCCTACTCCTCTATCGAAGTTGTAGACACTTATTCGGTGGCGATTTCTACACCAAAATTTCACCAATGGCCTTTTTGATATCGCCTGGGTATTATTAGCACGATGAGGAGTTGAACCAGATTGCAACAAACCATACATGGCGACCGACTTGGAAGCATTCAGGCTTTGCGAATGAATCCTCAAGCTTTTGGCACGCAAACCACACGCGTATCTGTTTATCTAGTACGGGTTCTCGCTGACTTTGCTCTGCTTGGGTGCCTCTATAGTAGCTTCACCCTTCAAACATCTCTCAAGAACCGTACTGATTCTCTTGACAGCTTCGACCATCAAGTGTTCGTCGATCCAGCTGAAGGTTAGTCTTATGGAATGTTCAAACTTGACACTGTCATCTCCGGGAACTTCAAAAATGCTTCCAGGTGCGACGATGACTTGAGCCTCATCTTGACACCTTTTGGCGAAGTCAATAGCTTTGACATTGTCAGGCAGTGTCACCCACAAGAAATACCCTCCGACCACACGCTGATTTGGCTGCGGCAGCTTGACCCCGAGAGGATAAAGATGTTCCTTAATTGCCGATGCCAGGGTCTTGTATCGTGAAGCATAGGCAGGTTGTAGTACCTTGAAAATGTGCTCAGACATGGTACCTTCATTGACCAAGATGTTCATATAAGTAGATGTGAGTTGAGAAGGTGCTCCACCACTGCAAGAAGAGCCGGTTTGGGAGACTCCGTAGGCGAATTTTGGCGACCCCTCGGACCAGCCCACTCGCAGACCAGGTCCTGCAATTTTGGAAAAGCTGCCGCTACTTGTCGTGTTTCCAAAGAGATCTGCACCAGGGCGCTCTGCTCCACCGTCGAGGAAGCGGTCGATATCGACCAAACGAGGCAATAGCGCTTTGGTGATGCTGTCAGAGGTGTTTGAGTCTGCAGACCATTGCAAGAAGTCGTATACATCGTCCGAGATTACCAAAGCATCGAACTCTCGAGCCAACTTTACGAGCTCAATCCTGCGGTCTAGAGGCAAAGTCCTTGATGAAGGGTTTGAGAAGGTGGGCACGCAGTAGATGATATGGCGGTAATACTTTGCATAGGGCCTTGGAGGTTTGAACATCTGTAATGTTAGCAGAAAGACAGTCATGCCGACACAAGAAACGTACAAGAGTCTTGTTCTCGGGCGAGCGCTTCTCGCTTTCCTCGAGTGCTCTTCTCAGAGCGGCCATATCCATTCCATCATCGTCCTCGGGTACTGCTTTCATCTTCCCAGAGAAGCCATTGTCCTCAAAGACTCGAAAGGCCAGCATGTAAGCAGGAGCAGCAAAGAGGATATCTCTGGTGTAAGCCGGATCTGTAAAAACCTGAAGAAGACAAGCCAGGTTCTGAGAGGCACCGCCGGTGATTGTGATTCTTTCTTTGGCAATGGGTTGTTCGGGGTGGTAAAAGGAGGTCAACCAAGTAGCAAGAGATTCTCTCAGTGGAGTGTAGCCTTCATCAGGGCCGTAGAGCAGGCCGGGAAAGGCGACGGATGTGTCGGCCAATGCTTTGTGAGCCGCTCTGCTCAAATGGTCGGTGGGGAGTAACGATGTACTCGGCCAGCCCTTGATCAGATTGATGGATTCTGACGATGCCATGAGAGCAGTTTCTACTTGATTGGATAGATAGACGAAGATGTTGTGAGGATGTGTTAGAGGAAGATATGGCTTCAGGAATTGATGATGCGTATATGGTGACGTTGGCAACAGTTGTCAAGACTAAGGCGTCGTTGAGGCACCAAGAGACGGGCTGACTAGACTGGGAATTGTTGTAGATGTCTGGGAGTAGAAATTGGCGCCGGAGAAACAAAGCGGTCTTCACAATCGCTCGTAGTCGTGTAGAGACAGAGTATCAATGATGTGGTTGGTGTCTGCAGGGGGGGGTGTATGTACCAGATTACCCCACGCGGTCGGCTCGGCATGACATTGATGGACTTTTGTATGGGCAGGGCAGCCTTCTGACTTGTTGTAGACACGACATGGCAGTTCCGCACAAGTCCAAGGGCGCAGAGGTGGCATTGCCGCCGATAGCTGCCCTGTTCCTCGTTGTCTTTGACCGCAAGGTAGGGTGCGTCATGCCGTCCGCTCTCGACACGCAGACCACTGACCACTGTCGTCTAGCTACACGATAGCATGGAAACGTGCAATCCCTGATGGTATGTCGTCCGCTCTCATTGTTGTATCCGGCGTGCATGCTGATATATGAATGCAGTCAAACTCGATGGCGTCGTCGAGTACAAGTCGCTGCCCTCGGGCCTCCACAATTGTCACTCGGATCTCGTCTACTTCGTCCACGACCAATATGCCGGAATCAGTGCTTTCGCAAATCGCCCTGCCAATGAGTCCGAAAGAAACGCCCACTTCGCTGCCGTCGGTGTCCTCGTTCCTTTGACATACGGTCGTCTTGGAAGGTCCTGGTTGCATGCTGACCACCTTCACCGTCTGGTCTCGAACTTAGTCGACGACACAGACAACACCAACACCCTTCAAGACTATTGGGAACACAACCGCTTGCCCAACCCTGACCATAAACCTCTTGAACATGACCAACACTTGAACCGACGAAAGTCCCGCGCTCTGTCTGATGCTGCAGGCTTGCATCCATCCAACCCTACTCTGTCTCAAGACCATCCCGCCATGTCCCTGGCCCATGATCTTGACGTCTTCGGTCCCCTCATCTTCCCGCTCCAGAGAGCCGCACTTCTCAAGAAAAGCATATTAATCATGTCGTCCGCCCCCGTCCAACCCGCCTGCAATCTTGTCTACAATCTATCCGTCTTGTCCAATATTCCTCCCTCGGCAGCAGAAATGGCAGCCAAGAACGAGGCCTTGTACCCACTCAGACCTCTGTTCAACGTCGGCATCCATGATATCGACAATTTGTCTCAATTGGCCACCAAATCCAAGCCACAAAATTCCTGGATCGCGTGCAGCACCGATGATATACTAGCGACCAAATCTAAACTCTACGACGTACTGGTTGAATTGCCGCCGCAAACATCTGATACTTCTGCTGCCAGACGATGGCCTCGAATTCGTACTTCCACTGGTGAAGACATCAAAGCCACTCAGCGCGACTTGAGGCGCTACTACACGCTCAAACGGGAACTGACTAGAGTGCAATACCAAAGCCAGGCATACTCGGATGGGGAAGCCGACGATCAAGTGGACCAAAACTCGAGCGAAAGTGCACCTCTTGTGCCATCTTTGCAAGACAAAAACGCCGATTCTGATCAATACGTCCAACTTGAAGGAGAATCAAAATTGGTCGAGCCTTCTTCGTGGGCATCCATCGCCTATACTAGTTTTCTCTGGTGGGCTTCTGCTGGAGAAAAAGATGCTTTGCTAAATGACGAGGCATGTCAAGATGCAAGATTGGTAGACGATCTGCCTTTGCCCGCTCCAAGCAAGCATAAGAGGCGTTCTTCGGCCCACGATGGAGTAGAAGGGATTAATCTAAGGTCTCAATCGGTGGCGGTGATTCTGATAGCATACGCACATCGCCTTACCACACTGGTTATGGAGACATTGACCGAGATTGTCGAAGCTGCCGACGCTGAGGCCGAACATGGAAACGAGGGCACAATCACCATTCACAGCGAAGACCTTAGAAGGATGGGATTGGATGAATGGAGTAACAGTGATGCACAGTTCGTCAAAGAGATGGCTGCGCTGTACTTTGGACGGGAGCACGTCCAAACGGTCGGGCGGACGGTTGATCTCTGTGGCATTAATGTGTGTTGAAGAGAAGCTGGCTTGCACTCGGCAATGTCGAGATCCGTGTGATGGCTGGGGCTCAACCCTAGGAGCGACCATTGAAGTGTAAGACTACCTACTGTATCAAAAGACGCACACAGATACTCATAACGCTGTGATTGTCATGACTCTCAATACTACTTCAAGGAAAGAGCGCGCGACACTTGCGATTGTCGCAGTCAAAGTGAATAATTGTTTGATGGTCTGGAGAGCTGCAGCGTCATAGCAATGGGCAACCGAGTTGTTCCGAAGTACCGAAGTGATTGGCCTGTGCGCGTGTTGGTTGAGAAGGCTTTCCCAGGCTTTTGGCTTCTAAAAATCGGCCGCCGCAATTCTTCTTGTTCCTCCTCCACTCCAGTCCATACCATCTCCACTCCTCTCATACCTGGTCCAATGTCTGCTACCGGAACTGCTCCTCCTCCTTCTACCGGCTCCACCAAGGTGGATGCCATCAAGGAGAACCTCAAGGCCGCTGCTCCCAGCAACCCCACCGGTCTTGACCTCTACTCTAGATTCGCCTTTGCCGGTGCTGTCTGCTGTTCCGTCACCCACGGTGGTCTTACCCCCGTCGATGTGTAAGAATTTGCCCTTTTGCGCCCATACACAGCTTTTCAGCGCGTCACCAGAGCAATTGACGAGACAATGGCTGACTTGACCCCTTATACAGCGTCAAGACCAGAATCCAGCTTGACCCCGTCACCTACAACCGCGGTCTCGTCGGTGGTTTCCGCCAGGTCATCCAGAACGAGGGTGCTGGCGCTCTCTTGACCGGTGTTGGCCCTACCTTCGCTGGTTACTTCCTCCAGGGTGCCTTCAAGTTCGGTGGTTACGAGTTCTTCAAGCAGCAGGCCATCTCCATGGTCGGCTACGAGAACGCTGTCCAGAACCGCACCGCCGTCTACCTTGTTTCTTCCGCTTTCGCCGAGTTCTTCGCCGACATTGCCCTCTGCCCTCTTGAGGCCACCCGTATTCGTCTCGTTTCTGAGCCCACCTTCGCTTCCGGTCTCGTTTCTGGTTTCTCCAAGATCGCAAAGACTGAGGGTCTCGGCGGTTTCTACTCTGGTTTCGGTCCCATGCTCTTCAAGCAGTAAGTTTTCCATGTCATGTTGCCTGGTGAATGCATTCTGACCATTCACTCAGGGTTCCCTACACCATGTCCAAGTTCGTCGTTTACGAGAAGGTCGCCGAGGCCATCTACAAGCGCGTTGACAAGAGCACTGCCTCCCCCGGTCTCCAGACCACCATCAACCTTGGCTCTGGTCTCATCGCCGGTTTCGCCGCCGCCATCGTCTCTCAGCCCGCCGACACCATGCTCTCCAAGATCAACAAGACCAAGGGTCTCCCTGGTGAGAGCACCACTTCCCGTTTGATCAAGATCGCCAAGGAGCTTGGTCTCCGTGTAAGTAATCTCTGGTGTTATCGTTCCTCAGAACTCGATACTGATCTCTTTGCAGGGTTCATACTCTGGTATTGGTGCCCGTCTCTTCATGGTCGGTACCATCACTGCTGGACAGTTCGCCATCTACGGTATGTCTCAATCGAATCTCAGCCCCTTTCGTTGTGCTAATAGTGCCCAGGCGATATCAAGAAGGCCATCGGAGCCACCGGTGGTGTCGAAATCGCCACCAAATAAGTGTCTACAACTTCGATAGAGGAGTAGGAGATGCGATAATGACCATACCAAAACAGGATATACGCCCGGGTATAGAGGATGGACATGATATGGAGGATGACATTCGCTTGTCGACCTTTGAATCCTATATAATCTTCAACTCGGTCTGTACTTTTAGGAGTCTTTCAGGGAAATGCATTAGATCTTTTTTTCTTGTTCCATGATTCTGTGCATATCCGACATAGAGCTCAAGAGAAGCTCGATCTACAGCGATAGTGCTCGGGGCAAAGCGATTTGATTACGTAGGTCCCTGTTGGACGCGTTGCAGGCTTCAGATGTCGACGTGCTAAAGACCATGACAGGATAGCCATCAAAATGCACAGTGGTTTTGGTGCTGGAGGAGTGTCCACTGAGACAGGGTATTGAGGGGCTCTTTCTCTGGTAGTTGCTCGTTTATTCCACCGATTGTGCATTTTTATAGCAGGAGATAAGTAATTGTCACGATTGGGGAGAAGCTACAGTCATTAGCGCACGGGGTGGGTGTACGGACAGCGTCAGGGCTCTAGCCTGGACAGGTTCCAGAATAGTCAGGGCCGTAGATCAGGAGGCAGGAATTATGATTGAAGAGCTGCAGGATGGAAGTTGATAATTGACAATCTGCAGGGCCGGCAGGTGGAAATTTGGTGGTACAAAAGTGCGTCATTCCCGGGGCTTGCTGGACTCGGTAGGTGTGAACGTTATTTGTACTGGGCGGGTCTAAGACGAAGCGTGTTTTGACCCTTGATCCGGGTTTAGCAGTAACTTATTTCTCTGTGGCCATCGGGCTCCGCGGCAACAGATACAGCTCACACCTGGTCATCCTCAGCAGCCTCACTCTTGCAACATGCAAACATGAGCGGCGATAGGGCAGACGACTATGGCTTCGGCGGGGACGCCCTCGCGCTGCAGCCGATCGCGAGCGCTCCGGACCACTCCAACAACAACAGACGCCTGTCGTCGCCGTCTCCTCCGCCGCCTCTTCAGCAACAACCACCGCAGCCATCCACCCCACGCAATGAGAGACGAAGGCCTACGCTGGACGATCGGCGCCAGCCCAGCATCCGCTTGCGCCGCCTCGGATCCGCCAGTACCCTAAACTCTCAGCACACGACTGCAACCACCGACTTTGCTCAGAAGCCTTCGGCCGACACGTCGGGCAGGCGCCGCTCTTCGTCCGAGCCTCAGCGTCCAGCATGGGCTACAGCCAGCGGTGCCAACACCAACTCTCTGAGCGTCCCGAGAGGTGCAACACGGCCTACAAATACCCACATGCCTCGCCTAGAAGAGGAGACTGGACGCCCATCCACCACCTTGCCGCCCGATGTCGACATTGAGCAGTTGGCTGCTGCCGGAGATCCGTCTACACTTCAAGAGCCCGCCCGTCCAGGTCTATGGAAAAGAGCCAGCGTTGCCGCCCTCCAGCCCTTCCGACGACAGCCACAGCATCAAGACAATGTCCAAGAAACTAGCCCGCGACGAAGGCCTCGTCGAGGAACCTGGGCAAATGAATATGAATCCGATTTGGTCGACATTCTTGATGTCGTGGGTTCGTTCCTCTTGACCCTCTTTTCCATTCCCTTTCAAAGCTGACCGTTCTGCAGACCCCGAGGTGGCTACTCTTGCGACCCTCACTAACGTCCAAAACTCTCTGTTCATCCCCGATTTGGGTCCGCTGTTGAATCGCCGTCCGACTTATAATCTGACTCGTGAACCAAGCTTCTTCCGCGATCATCCTCCGCCAACCAAAGCCCCTTCTATCAAGCCTTCTTCCATCATGGCCCAAGATCGCATCGAGACGAATCCCGATGCCGTCGAGATGCGTCCGGGCATTGACCGCACTTTTACCATTGCCTCGCAAATGAGTGAAACTGAAGACCACTACGCTGTTCTACCTCATGGCCTCAGTCTGGAAGGGTGGAGTTTGGCCGAAAAGCAGGAACTCAACGACCATGTTAGGCACATGTTGCACTCCCGTCGTGCTGCTTTCAAACGAGGAATGAAGGGTTTTGGCCAATACGTTCGCCGCCGTGAGTCTCCCTCTTGCTTGCCAGCCCCTCTTGGCTTTTGCTAATCCACCTCTCATAGCCCTTGGTCTCTTCGTCACTGTATATGCCACTCTGGTGACCTTGTTCGGACTTGCCTGGGTTCTCTTCCTCATCGGCTGGATCAATGTCGGAGGTCGACAGTCCTACATTATCAACGTCATCGACAATGTCTTGGTCGCCCTTTTCGCCCTGATCGGTGACGGTCTAGCTCCCTTCCGAGCAATCGATACCTACCACATGATTTACATCGCCCATTACCATCATCTGACATGGCGTCTCCGCAAGAAACGCAACCTGCCTAAACTCAAGAACGAAAACGACCTCCCCGTTCAGCCCGGTATTGATGGTGAAATCGAGACCGGCTCTGCCGTAGATGCTGCCGATGCCGATGCCGATGCCAAGTCTAATAGATCCGTGAGCAAGGATGACTTGGAGGAGAGCGTGCTCACAGAAGAGCAGCAGAGAAAGCTCAAGCATCACGAGGACAAATTCTCAAAGTCGCACACTTTCTACAAGCCCCACGAAACAGAGACTCACCACGCCTTTCCTCTGCGAATTCTCGTCGCTGTCGTTGTCCTGCTCGATTGTCACTCCCTCCTCCAGATCGCTCTGGGCACGTGCACATGGTCCATCTCATACCATGTGCGGCCATTCGCTCTCACGACTGTCATTCTGTGCTTCTCGCTCACATGCAATATCACTGGTGGTATCCTCATCAGTGTCGGCGATCGCATAACCCGCAAGAAAGATGTGGTGGAGCGTATGTTCAGACAGCAGCTCACAGAGCAAGCCATCCACAAGATGGAGAAGCGGCGCCAGAAAGAAAGTGAACGCAACGAAGAACTGGATGTGGTCGTAACAAATTCAAATTCGAGTAATGCCGACGAGTCAGCCTTGAATGGTACTGGATTGGAACCAGGAAGCTACTCGGTGCAACCCAAGGTGCTCGGCGCCGGAGTGGATGCGGCAGAACTGGCTCACAAGCTATGATTCTAGTGCTTGCAGGGATGAAGCAGACCCTGGGTACATCACGCATACGATAAACGTTTTAGGGGGATGTACATGATTTTAATCTTCTTATATTCTTTGTTGGTATAATGTTTTAGGCTGTTGGTGTTTGGTGGGATATATATCGTTATCATGATCAACGTAGCCACTTTAATGTGCTTCTTCAGACATTCATGAATCTTCATGTACATTTTGCCAGCCATGTTTTTGACATTCTCGATCTCTTCCCACGAGAATGACTGTTGCAGCCGAGTTTTCGAATGCAGATTACTACCAGGTTGGCACACATAGTGACCAGAATAGATTGTTTATTCTAAGGCAGGGTCGCCCTCACGACTATGCCCAGTATAGACAGTAAGTAGTTATACCATCTAGTAATGCCCTTCAAAAGTATCGATCTTTTGGCTGGCGACTTCATCTATAGCTTGAGGAATAGGAGTGTCGCCGCCCACCACGTCGAATGCCAGGCCGATGGTGGAAGGGTTCTTGATACACTGCACAATGACCTCGGCAATGTCCTCTCGGGAAACACTCTTGCCCAAGTGTACCTTGCCAGCGGCGACCTTACCAGATTCTTTGTCTGTATTGAGGGAGCCTGGTCGAACAATGGTGTAATCGAGCTTGCGACGGCTGTTCTGAGTGACCAGGTCGCGATCAGCGGCCAATTTGGCCTCGCAGTAGACACCAATGGCTCCCCACATGCGGTTGCTAACAGCATTGTCGTCGTCGTCGTTGTACCTGTTCAGTCGTTGGTATACGATGATCGTTGATCTTGTCAAGGGATTTTTACCATTCCGGCGTTGGCTTGTTTCCTCGGTCGCGGATATCTACTGCACTGACGATGATGAAACGCTTGACTCCTGCAGCAGCAGTGGCATCAAAGACCTTGATGGCGCCTGTTCTCAAGTTAGTCATGCATCAGAACTCGACACACATCTGCAAGATTGACATGCCTTCATGGTCTACAGCCTTTGTGCGTTCAGGGCTACCACCTCCGGCTCCTGCACTCCAAATGACCACATTAGGACTGTGCTTCTTGATGGTTGCTGTGAGGTCGTTGACACTGGACTCTTCGATACTCTGCACAATGGGCTTTGAGCCGAGTGCTTCGAGTTCGGGGATCTGCGACTCCTTGCGAATGACCGAGTGGACGGTATAGGCTGATGCCACTAGCTTCGTTGTGAGGTGTCGTGCGACCTTGTGCTGTCAGTCTCAGGTAGTGGCATTGCAGAATGTCAATGGATACCTTTCCGGAGCCTCCGAAGATAAGAGCGCTAGACATGACTGACTGTTGATGACCGGAGATTGGAGTGTGTTACAAAAGGACTTTATACAATGCAAGAAATCACGATATTCTTGTCAGATATTGTGATTCGATGTGCTGCACATGCCATCAAATGATGTGCTCGTGGATGCTTACAAACGTCAAATGCCATGACGTAACTTTCAAGGTCGCGATAATTTTGTTCAAACAATCAATTGCAACACACGATCGCGGAGTTTTGGCTAGCAATTTGTGCTATGGGCTCTTCATGTCTCATAGAATAGAAAAATGGCTATGAATGCCTATGTTCAAGTAACTAGGAATGTGCTGAGCCCGTCGTAGCACTTTATACCTTGATGGCAAACTGCTTCATGTGCTCGTAATCCTTGATGTTGTCTGCAACGGTCTTTTGGATAATTTTGGCAGCTTCCTCGCCGTACTTCTCGGTCCACTCGGCGTAAAGCTGTTCGTCGCTCTTCTCGGCCTTCTTCTGCGTTGGTTGTCAGCATTTATCCACCACGGTTTGTAGGAAAGACGTACGTGAGTTCGTGGCTTGAGCTCGGTTGAGTTGATGGCGTCCTCATGGAAGCCTTTCCACTTCTCGAATGCCTCCTTGGCTTGGGTGTGGTCCTCTTCGTTGTCCCAGTTCAGCATGCTGGGAGAGTATTCAATACCGACGCTCTTGCAGAATTGCTCGAGGATTGCCGATGGGTTGTCCAAGAGATCGTCAGCGTCAATGACACAGATGTCTGCAACTCCACTCTTCTGCTCGCCGTCCTTGCCTGCAAGCTTGGGACCGATCTGGCCACAAGAACGGAGGTAGTCGAACAAGCGGCGCTGCTCGTCGTATCCAGCCTCAGAAGGCATGAAGTTGTAGAAGCCGGTTATGGCGTCGAGCGGAGGAATAGTGCATCTCCAGTAGCTGGGAATGCTGTGCTTGGGGTGACGGATGAGGAAGGCGAAATGGAACTTGTTCAAGATTTCGGTCGGCACGACGGTGGGATTTCCAGGTTCGGCTTCTGTGGCATAGGGATAGGGAGGAGAGTCCTTCACGGCAACGTTGGTCTCGGAGCCCTTGGAACCATTGGCAATGTCCGTCAAAGGGTTGCTGCCATTAGTGCCAACACCACGCTTGACTTGCATCAATGAGGGAGCGATGGATGCGGGCTTGCCGTCAGGGGGAGACAGGTAGTGGGTGATGTCCTTGATGAAGATGCGTTTTCCCTGATCATGGTGAGTACGAGGACAAAGTCAAAGAGAAGAATGCAGCAATGCAGCGTGCACGTGTCTCTGGTGCAAAATGAAGAGGTGATTGGCGGTCCATGAGCTGATCCAGTCTGACGATTGGGGCTTTTGGGGCAGCAGAAGCCATAGATGTAGTAAAGAAGGAAATGAAGGAAAGGAGAGGGATCAGTGGGACACGCAGCAAGGCTGGCTCCCAGCGCTGTAAGGGGTGCACACCTCTTCGTTCTCCTTCATGATGTTGTCGAAGATGGACTTGTATGTCGAGTTCTCAAAGCCGCTCTCTGCGCGGGCCTTCTGGTCTTCCTCGTATCTGACGCTGAGTCTCTCGGGACCGAAGTAAAAGGCGTCGCCAAATGGCTCGTGGACGCATTGCAGTGTTTCCCGCTGAGTCATGAAGACCTGGTGGGAGGGTCAGTTGTCGAGGTCGCGGATAGGCTCTGCTCATGGGAAATAACACACTCGCTCGAATGCCGTCGAGCATGCTCTCGGGTGAGTAGCCACGAAGATGGGCTTGTTGGACATGGTTGCGGCTGTGGACTGGGCTGGTTTTGGAGCTCGTCTCGTGCACAGCAATTGGGTGAAATGGAAAGTCTACAAATGTATGTAGAATAGAACAGGCAAAAGGAAGAGTGATTGGAGGATCAAAGAGACAGTCGCGGGCTTGAACAGAGATTTATTGAAGATTATTAAACGGTAGCCCGATGCAGCGTAGAGCCAAAGTGGTGACAAAAAGTGGGTGGTCTTGATGACGTGCAAGCAACCCATGGCCGGGTGAGATGGTCAGTGGTGGTGGGCCCGAGGCGTTCTGTGCGCGGTGCCAGTCGCTGCCCTGGCATGGCGAGCCGTTTTAGTGGCCGAAATGGCGCACCTCGGATCGTGAGTCCTGTTTGCAACGAGCACGATACGATGCATTTGTTGACAAGGTTTGCGCGTTTGGCTGGAAGAGCAGGCGGGGTGGAGAGAAACACCCCGCTTTGTCGACTTTTTAGCTCAACCATAATCTGAGCCGCAGCTCCTAAGGCCTCAACCGAATGCTCTCACACAATGTCAGCCAATTGCTTGCGACATCAACAGCCATGCCACTACAAAGCCGAAATTTGTCTTGTGAATTGTGCCTTTGATTTCTCGTCTACTGGTACTATACAAGACGCGCCTTGTTCTTGGAGTGTGCCTCATGATCATGGACACTTCGGGACCTGAGCTGAAGACTTGAGTCTATACTGCCAGGAGGGCCTAGGCTCGACACTTGCATGGTCAAGTTGCGGCAAGCTGTGCGTGAGACTGAATGGTACTGTACACAGCACTGTGCCGACGTACCATAGGAAGTACATTTCGAGAAGCGAATCTGGCACATATGGCCGCCTGCCTAGCGTGATGCAGTTGCGTCGATTGGCTAGTTCAGGGTTCCGGCACGCGAGACACTTTCACATAATACAAAGGAGCCTGAATGCTGCTGTCGTGTCTACCTTTTCGTGCTGAAAGAAGTGCCAGACGATAAGAGTCTGCAGACACATGCAATGTGCTGGCCAGTACGAGGCAGATTAGATGGTAAAATCGGCGACGAATGGGAGGGAGGGAGCAGACGCATCAGTCGGCTCCTGCGCTGAACTCTGCTTGATAGAACTTCAAGGTGGTCAGCATCAACTTTTCCACAGACTCAGCATTGGACAGCGGGCTCGGAACATAGTAAATACCTCTTGAACTTGGCCAGCAAGCCTTTTGTCGCGCAAGGATGACTTGGAATGAGTTGGAATTGACCAATTATTGGTCTGCCACCACCACCGTCGCAGACGAGCGCCGATACTGGAGCCAGAGAACTTGGATGAGGTGTTGTGCACCGTGTTCCAGTGTCTCCAGCCAGCGACGACCAAGGTCCAGAGCAGACCTTGGGTCAAAGGCATGAACAATTGGTCTCTGAAGGTGATCCAGGCGACCTTCTGCCAAGAAGTCGCGTCCTGAATGCTGGCGAGATAGCTCTGTTCAAAGCGCAGGTCCGGGAGAGGAGGAAACTGCTTGCTGCGCGGAGTGGGTCTCAGGACAGAGACAGGGATCTCGTCCTCATCGACGTGGTCTGGCAGATGGTCGAGGTCGGGCTCGTCGTCGAGGCGCACGGGCTGCTTGACCGAGGCGGCAGTCGATGGGTTGGCATCGTGGGCGGGCGAGGGATTCGTGTTGATAGAAGCCGTCTGGATCGTCTCTGCGAGCTGGAGGATGGGACTGTCGGTCATTGTTGACTTTGTGTGTTGATGTCGATGATGTCGTCGATGGGCGAAGGAGTCAGCGCAAGCTCCAGGCCAAAGCCAGGCCGAGACGTCGTCTCGCCGAGCCTCAAGCAACCACGACAGCCATCTTTCTTGACTATTCGGTAGCCTGTCCTCACAAAGCCACACAACGCAATCATGGGTAACGCAAACTCACAAATGCTCGAAAACCTGGTCCAGGGCAGCAACTGTACGTCTTGCAGACCAACTCACTCCCCACCTAGTGCTGACCGCCCTTATTGAACAGTTGACCGCGATGAGGTCGACCGCCTGCGCAAGCGCTTCATGAAGCTCGACAAAGACAACTCTGGCACCATCGAACGCGACGAGTTTCTCTCCCTTCCCCAAGTCTCTTCCAACCCTCTTGCCACACGCATGATTGCCATTTTCGACGAAGACGGCGGTGGTGACGTCGACTTTCAGGAGTTCGTCTCGGGCCTCAGCGCCTTCAGCTCAAAAGGAAACAAGGAGGAAAAGCTGCGTTTCGCCTTCAAGGTCTACGACATCGACCGTGACGGCTACATCAGCAATGGCGAGCTCTTCATCGTCCTCAAGATGATGGTCGGAAGCAATCTCAAGGACCAACAGTTGCAGCAGATTGTCGACAAGACCATCATGGAGGCCGATCTTGACCGCGACGGAAAGATCAGCTTCGACGAGTTTACAAAGATGGTCGAGAACACCGACGTGAGCAACAGCATGACTCTGGATGCTTTCTGAGCAGCTTCTTCCTTTCTGCATATCCCTTTTCTCCATTCAAACATGAGATACCACGGCGTTACGGAGTTACCACCCATGGTCCCTGTTTCACGCACTGAGCGGCCTGTCCTCTTCAATCAATTTCTTTGTATTTCATCCTCCGTATTTCTGCTCTGTGTCCGTCTATGTACCTGGCCATTGTTCCCCTAGCACAAACAATTTCCGTCCTAGGCCTCACCGCGGATGATCTTGAGCGCCGCTTCTCCTTTCGCCGCTGTTGTCAAGTTCTCCCAGCCATCCTCAGTGATTAAAAGATCGTCCTCGATCCTGACCCCACCGACTGCCATGAAGCGCTCGAGTACCGGCTTGTTGATAAATCTCGAATGTACAGGGGAGGGAAGAAAGACGGTCTCGAGTGCTTCACGGTTGAAGTAACTACGTCTTGGTCAGCTGTTGCTATTCTTTGTACACATGCACATTAGCGAACATACATTCCGGGCTCACAAGTTATTATCATGCCGGGTCGCAGACCAGGTGCGCTTGTTCCGCTAAGAAGGCTGTTCCAAACAGCAGGAGCAATATTGGTCGACAGTGATCCAAGCTCTGTGTTGTTTCGTACATCCGGCAGATGTTGGGTGATCTGTTTGCACTTCAGCACACATCGACGAGATTTGTGTCGGTGGTAACAAGTTACCTCAGGAATGACTTGGTCATTCGCGTCCATTTCAGTGCTCTTTGTAAGCACTGTTGAAACATCATGCACTTCCAAGCCCATATGATGACCTAGGCCATGCGGGAAAAAGGCAACAGACGTGCCTGCCTCGTAGATGTCTTTCTTAGAGCCGTTGTGGAAGATGCCCAGCTCGAGCAACCCTTCAATGGCCACAAGATGTGCTACGTATTGGGCATCGACAAATCGCTTACCCGGGCCAAGCATATCCATACACTTTGTCTGCATTCGTTGCACCAAGTCGTATATTTGTTTCGCCTCCTTGGAGGGCCAGTTGCCAGAAAGGGGAAATGTTCGGGTGACGTCTGCTGCATACCCGTGCCACTCTGCTCCAGCATCCAAACACATCAACTGTCGATCCCCAAAGTCCTCATTATTCTTAACATAGTGCAGGATTGCAGCGTTCGGTCCAGACCTAAGATCGGCTTAGCAAGGCACAAAACTCGTGAGCCATCCCCGTATGTTAGAGTCTGCCAAATGCGAGTAGCTGCACGGATGCGAGTGACAGGGCGTTGTTCGTCGAGTGAAGTCAATTCAACGATTCTCCTTGAACACGTCTACTGGTTGAGAACGCTCTTGCATCCATGCAGCTCCCCGTATGGCAAGCTTCGGCACGTCGGGAAATTATTATAGTTACTCACCCAGCGATAATTTCGTAAGCCTGGTGCTTTGCGCCATGGGCAATACAAACGTCTAGAATTTCAGCTTCAACTTGTGCTTCGTTCTTAAAGGATCGCAGCTTTCGCAAAACCTGCTCGTGAGCCAATGCACTGATCCTGTTAGCCTTTCTCACCAGAGAGATCTCGTGTGAGTCTTTAACCACTCGGCACGCATCCATTGCTGGTCGAAGATGCTCCGAGTCGATCCTGTCCGGATAATCCTTGGCAAGGGCATTGTCAGGATGCAGCAGATAAATGAACCCTGCATTATTTGAGGACCACTTCTTGACGAAGTGTTCAAGTGATGGTGCGAAACGGGCTTCGTCGATGTCGTACTTTTCGAGCGCCTCATGAACAGTAGATCCTCTACCAGTCCAGACAACCTTCCGTGGATCGATTGGTGCCAACCACAGTATCAATTTGTCCGAGGCGATGTCATAGGTCAGAAAGCAGTCTGGTTCTTGGCATCCGCTCAGGTACAGAAAGTAGCGAAGCTGTCTAAAAGCACGAGGCTGGTCACTGTCCGGCCAATTGATAGTCTGTTCGCCAGGCAGATGAATAAGACCTTGGTCGACGCCTAAAGCACGAGCCACTCTTTGAGCGTGTTGTCTTGCTTTGTATTGTCAATAAGAATTGGAAACACCACTGCTTAGAGCAAAGACTGACCGGGATATTTATCTAGACTTGATGTAGTCTTCATCGCGATGCTAAGACTACCAAGGGCAGAGATATTGGGACCGCTGCGGCTTCCGATGGAGTCAGTCGTACGACTGGCGAAGTCTCTGGTGTCACGCATGTTGATTCGTGTTCTCAAAGTCGGGATATATAGGACACAGTTGAAATGCAGAGGTTGTTATCTCTCGACTCGACTGGTGGTTGGTTGATCATTACAACCAGTGCACAGACCCTGAACCTGGGGTGGCTTGCTCGCTGGCATCAGGCCTCATCTCATTTTGCCGATTGGCACACGTCAGGTCAGAATAGGCAATGGTCTTCGATGCAACAATGTTCCAAGATAATATCCAGACCAGCCCCCGTGTCTCGGTCGAGGCAACTTCGTGTGCCGGTGTGCGACAGGTTTAAGAATCCAGACTGAAGCCCCAACGTCATGAAGCGCCAACATAGAGCAGTCGCGCCTTCCAATGGCATTCCTCCGTCAACGAGCTTGTTCGCAACTTCCTGCGTGTTTCTTGTTTCCATGCTTGCAACATGTAGGTCTTCATCTGTCGTCGCCATGCTGTCTCTGCTGCTCTCATCCATCCCTCCCCCCTTCTCGCTATCCTCATCTGCCAGCTTCTCTACCTTGCACGACCTTACACGATAGCGCTTTCGCTCCATTTATTTCCTATCCTTCCTCGATCCTCCAAATCTCCAGAACTTGCATTGGCCGCATTGTCTGTATGATCCAATAAGCATTGTCTCTCGACATACCGATCTGATCGGTGAATCTTGCCGCGTCATTGTTCCTCGGTTCTCTTCACATCTCGGCATCATGAAACACCAATTGATGGCATCCTTTCTGGCTCTGGTATTGCGTGCAAATGGATCGTACATACACCATATGGATCGAAAACTTGTTGTTCGTCAAACCAACGCCGCGAACACCCCTCTTGTTGTGACAAATAATTGCCCCGATACCATTTATCCTGGCATCGCCACACAGCACGGCACCGCACCCGGACAGACTGGATTCGAGCTCACTTCTGGAGCTACTGTGTCACAAACTGTTTCGGAAGATTGGCAAGGGCGTATCTGGGGCAGAACGAATTGCACCTTCAATGCTCAAGGTAGATCAAATGGTGGTGGTCCGGCCTGCACCACAGGTGATTGTAACGGTGTTATACCTTGTCAGGCAGCAGTAAGTTTCCTTGTCAAGGCACACATGCTGCCGGACGAGTACTGATCGCTGCCAGGGTGCCATACCGGTGACGCTCGCCGAGTTCACCCTTGATGCTGGTGATGGACAAAGTTACTACGACATTTCTCTTGTTGACGGGTACAATCTTCCGTTGGCCATTGTCCTCGTTCCGCACGGCAATTCTTCGTTGGATGATATCCCTCCAAATCTCACCAACCCATCCTGCGAAGGCACAGGCTCTATGCTAGCTCCTTCCAACTTCAATCCATACAGCAGTGGGACGTTCCTCGGCACAAATGCTTCGTATCCTCTGCCGTTCGAGACAAAGGTCACCACAAGTAATGCTAATCAGTGGTGTCCCTGGGATCTCCAGGTCAATGCTCCATCCGCTCCTGGAGGCAATGTGTATCCTTACCCTGACGGCAACATCCAAAGACCTGCGTTTGACCCTTGCTACTCAGCTTGCGCAAAATACAACTCTGACCAGTATTGTTGCCTGGGCAAGTATAATGGACCAAATGCATGCAGCCCCAACTACTACTCCAAAGCAGCCAAGACCGTATGCCCAGATGCCTACAGCTATGCTTACGACGACCAGTCGTCTACCTTCATCATCCCTTCTGGAGCTGGTGTCGAAGTTGTTTTTTGTCCAGGCGGCAGAAGTACAGTGATCCTCTCCACAAAAGCAGCACAACTCCAAGAGCTCGCCAACACGGGTTCCGTATCAAACTCAAGCGGCTCAAATTCCACAGCTTCCAGCTTTGCGATCCCGAATCTTGATGTTCGACAGCGTTACGCTTGGTTGGGTTTTGCGACGGGGTTTCTCTTTAGCTACTGGTGATACACACTCATACTGTCTGTTCCAACGAGCATACGTGAGGAGTACGGGTTGTACGCAGCCTTCGGTTTGTGGTTTGGGTGTGCCAATGAATACCTTCAATTCCATACACATTTTCTCACTCAAGTGCCCCGCGAAATTGTTGTTATGCCCTTGCTCCATCTCTTTACAGCCATGCTGTCCATCGAATGTGCTCTCAACCTCACTACAGGTAAGTCGCCTTGTAAAACAAGATTGCTCCATTCCATGTTCTTCGACTTGAGGTTCCGCCGACAGTTACCCACGCATTCATCACAGGCTAACAATCCTCACCTGGAGCTCTTGCAGCACAGAAAGGAGGGCTACAATAGCAGTGCACTGCCAATCGGGTCGCAAGTTTGGAGTAGTCTCAAGTCGCTTCTAGATTTAGACATCCTTAGTCTAGAGATTTTAGAACCAGGCCAGGGTCGCTCGCATAGCACACGTGTTGACGCTAACCTTATTAAGCTACATAGTCGCCTGCGAGAATCTCTCGCTGTCGCGCTTCGAATGGAAAGGAGAGCTCAGACTCTCGTCAATGTTTCGAGTCCATAGCCGAAATGGGTTTGCGGGTCTTGCCTGAAGTATATAGAATCATGATGAATACAGAGCTGTCTAGGTATATACGGTGAAGGTATCGCTGGGCAGGAAGAAATACCCAGATGATCAGTTGTTGCGCTGGGGTTTACCACTTTTGACCTTCTTCCTTGGCGCTTCAGGCTTGACCTCCTCTGCAGATTCTTCTTCGGCGAACAAGGCCACGAGGGCGTCTGTATACTTCTCCATCTGAGCAATGTCGCCGACCTTGATCCTCATGTAGTCGAAAGCAACGCAGACTTTCATGTCACTACCCGCCTTGATCTTGATGTGCTTGGCTGCCTTGTTGGCTTCCGCAGTATCAGTGGAAGCTTTGTTTTCAGATGCAGGAGCAGTTGCATCTATGACTGGAGCATCGCTTTCGTCATCAATGTTTGTGGAGATGTCCATCTCGTCGCCACTGGTTGCTAGCGAATTCACAGCGCCATCCTCTTCGTCAGTGTACTCTAACACGGGAACCTTCTGGTATCGCTGACTGAAGTGAGTCAGGACGCAGGCTTTTGCTCCCATGCCCAGAGCCACGCTGAGAGCCTCGCTAGTTGTGGTATGGTTCTTTGCTTCAGCATCGCCTTGCAGCTCATCGTCGAATGTTGCCTCGTGGATGCACACCGTGCTCCCCTTGCCGATATGCGTGAACGGCTTGGATGGACGGCAGTCACCAGAATACGAAGCTTTGAACCCTGAAGGGAATGTCACCGATACAGCACGAGCTCCGTGACAGTGCTGAACCTGCACACATTGAATATCCTGGAGGTTCAGTGCCTGGGGCAAGACCTGGGCGCGGGCGATCTTATCGGTCCACGATTCGTTTGCGGATGAAGCGCTGCCATTGAGCGTTTGTGTCGAATGAGGGGGGATGAACCATTGCAGAGTGGACTTGAGGCCTCTGGCATGGATATTGGGAGTAATACACAATGGTGCCAAACGTGAGAAACCATAATCGTCAACATGGCTGTATTCTTCGAGCCAGTGCAACATTGCAACCTCCGAGATTACAGATAGACGGTCTTGTTTGTTGAACAGAGAGGCGGCATCAAAGTCGGTATCGCTGCCTGGGTTAATAATTCGCGCTGGTTGTGACCCATGCACTGTCTTGTACCATTCACGGATGACCGAGACAGTGCCCAGGTGATGGTCGGCGTGCATATGACTGATCCAAATCACCCGTAGCTCTTTCATGATTTCGTCGAGGACCTTGGGCGCATACACGCGCCTCAGCTGGCCCAGAGTGTTTTCACCAGCATCGAAGAGCATTGAGCCCCATCCCGGTACGCGTACAAGTGTTGCTGAAACATTACGGTACTTGGATGGTAAGGCTGATCCAGTCCCCAAGGTGGTGATTTCTACATCTTTCTGGGGTAGACTGTCTGCCCAGGCGTCGAGGGCTTGCTTGCTAGCTTCGACATCTTCATTGGCTTTATGCGCGAGCTCAAGGACGTCTTTCGACATCTCTGCCTTGACTTTTTCAATGTCCAGCAGCGTGTTTATCTCGTCGTTCTGAATTTCAAGGGATGGCTCCAGCTGAACCTTTTGTCCGCGGTCGGCAACCGCGATCAAACCCTCCAAACCACTGGTAGAACCAAGTGTGTTTAGGGTGCTCGTATTGTTATGCACTGGAACGTCGTAGCGTGTAGGATCAATCTGACCCAGTCTTATCGTAGCACCTGCAGCTGAGTCAAGGGCCAGTCTGTTGGAGCAGAGGTCGGGAGAAGATACGACATGCTTCATATGCTTCATATCCTCCATGAACTGCTTGAGCATGGGATGTGATGCAACATTCGGACCAAGCATCCAGATGAAAGCACCAACACCCGCCATGATTTCTTCCGACTTCCACTCGGGTCGAGAGACGAGAGCTTCGACATATTCGCGGGAAGGCAGATCTATTACAGCCGCACCTCCACCTTGTTTGCTCGGTTCCAACACCATATCTGGGGTCACGGTTTCGCCTTTGTCGTTCTCAACGTTCTGGCCCTTGCTCAAAGCTGCAAATTTGGGGCCCTTCTCGACACCGAGTGCTGCTGCCTTCGATGGCTGGAATCTACCTCTCTGTATGTGATTGCGGAAAATGTATGACATGGCTACCTTGGCGGGTTCTGTTGGCGGAAGAGATTCTATCAGAGCGCCAGGCCATGGACGGCGGACCAGAACCTTGATATCCGGGACTGGTTCTTTGCCTCCCGGCATGGGACCAGTATACTTTGTCATTTTGTTGGTCTCTGGATCACGAACAAATAGCGTGGCAGGCAGCTGTACCTCCTTGATGGGTGTCTCAACAAGCGCGTCCATGCGCCATGAGGAATCAAACATTTCTGCAACTACAGCTTTTGACATCATCAAAGCCTTTTCCTTGTCTGCATGGTGCAGGGGCGCGCGGGTATTCGAGACCCCCTGTTCATTCAGCTCATCGTAGCTGCGTTTACGAGGACTACTTGAGCCGCTCAGTGCTTTTGAGACAGGAGAAATGGGCAACGCCCATACTTGGATGTTGCCATCTGACCATGTAGGCTCGACTGAGGGGATTGTGTCTTGGGCAAGATCGTGGCCGAACTCATGCACGTCAACAGGCATTCCCTTACGAAAGACAAAGCGGCGGGCAGTGGCCAAGGTGTAATTGAGGTTAGGCCCTCCAAAGATTGAAAGTCGCGCTCTATCCTTGACTTCACGAGCGGCCTGCTCAGTAATGTCTTCATCGTTGATTTCGGCACCCTGACGCTCTAGTTTGTTCACAATCTTTCTCTTTGTTTCCAATAAGCTTGCCTGAGCACTGGACGAAGCAGCGTCAGCCAGTGTCAGAATCATGCCGATTAGCCCACCAGTCCTTTCCCAGGTTGTGTTTCCAGTCAAGAAGAGCTCCGAGACCTTCAAGAGGCGGACTTTCTGTTCGACTGAAGCCCTCTGGGTACCCTCAGCAATGTTTCCAATCAGATAACGCTTGTTGTCGAAGTGCAGGAGGAGTGTGGTGCCGGGGGTGTCGGCTGTCGGCGTAGTGACGAACTGAAAGAAGGAGCGCATCCTGAGGAACTTGTTTCTGCTATCCCGACCTGGTCCTTTGGGTATCTCAAGAGAGGTGGAGGGCGGGAAAACGAGGTGGTGTGCTCGTCGTTGTCCTCGAAGCTTGGGTGTGCGGCTAAGACGTGAGCGGGTTGATGTCTGAAGAAGGCTTCGCAGCAGTCGTAGCCCCTGGGACTTGGGTCGATGTCCTGCGAGGTCTGGTGTGGTCCTGTGGCTATTGAACAAGTCTCGTACCAGTTCTGAAGCACGCTGGTTCGGAGAGTCTGTCGAGTCTGGCCGCGAGTTTTGCGATGGGTTGAACCTTGACAGTGACCTTCGCTGCGATCGCGTTAGTGAGATCAGACTCGACAATGAGTTCCGTGTGAATGCCAGATTGGTAGCCACTACTGTGCCGCCGAAAGACTATCTCTGGCTTATTCTGCTTGTCTGTACATGATGCATGACGAGGGCCCAAATTTCTTGTCGATTGCGACCAAGCACGGACGGCACGCCACTCCGCTTTGCACATGCTCAAGCAACTTCGCTGAAGGTACAGCTGTAACTCCATCATACTCCGACTATAGCAAGGAGCATCTCTATACTGAAAAGGCACAATCAAAAGCAGGGGCATGGTCAAAGAGAGCTGGAAAGATGTCGTCTCTCTTTGAGCTCTATCCTGATTCTAGTAGCGCATTGAACTTTGAAGTTGGCACCAACATGACCTTCAACTCCGGTTTCAATTCTATAGAGTGTTGCAATATCTACATCGTGAAGGAGAATCAAACCCAACAACCAAACGCCAGCATTGCCCGAGAACGCTTCCACAAGGCGGGGGAATAGAGTGAATCATGGATGACTAAGGAGAGAATGACTTGACAAAGGAGACGGAATGCCACCACGCATCGACGGGCAACAAACGAATGTGGACTTTCCTGACCAACCACCAACAACACATGAGACACTCCTTACTGGAAGTTGCTAGGGACCTGAAGACCATTGTTCAGGTTCAGCAGAGACATGTCAAGAGGAGCTTCACGCTGAGAAGGTACCGAACCAGCAGCACCCTGTTGACCTTGGCCTAGAGGACCAGCAATGCTGGGGTCCTTGCTAATGTCCTCAATGAAAGGAGCATACGAGGGGTGGCGCAGCAGAACCTCAATGAGGCGGCGACAGCGGCCGTTCTCCTCTTGAAGACTGCGGTTCTCCACTCTCAGGTCGTTGGCCTCCTGTGCCTTCATGGCCACTTCGCCTTCGAGCTGTGAGATGTACTCTACAATCTTGTCAGCATTCGTTCCAAGTGTTGATGTTGTGAATGAGCTTACCCTTTCTGCGAGAGCGGAAAGCACGAGCAGAAACTTTGTTTCGCAGCTGACGTCTCTCTTTGCTGCTGAGCTTCTTGCCCTCTTCGCTGTTGAGCAGACGTTCATCCTCATCCATGTCTTCCTCTTCCTTGCGCATGCGAGCAACATGAGGAAGCATGCCGTTGGCAGAGTCTTCCTTGCCAGAAGGCACAGCACTACCTTGACGCATCTGGTTCAGCAGACGAGAGATGCTTTCCTCGGTGTGAGGGTCAGATTGGTACGAAGAAGCACGGCTTCTGTTAGGTTTCACTTCGAGTTGTTGTTGATGCTGTTGGTGCTGCTGCTGTGCTTGCTGCTGCTGAGCTAGACGTCTTTGCTGTTGTTGCTGCTGCTGCTGCTGCTGCTGCTGCTGCTGCTGAGCCTCGTATTGCATTCTTTGCTGCTGAGCATGAGCCTGGACCTGAGCTTTGGCCATAGCTGCCTGCTGTGCCTGTTGCTGGTGCATACCAGGCCATACTCTGCCCGCGTTGGCGGGAGAAGCCTCGCTGTTTCCGATGGAGGCCGGGTCGACAAAATCGGCAGTACGCTGCTGGGAAGGACCGGGCTGAGGGTAGTAGATGGTAGGGATGGCCTGGGTGGCGTTGAAGTCCATGTTCATGTCGGCATCGACGTCAATGCCAGAGGACCACGAACCACCAAAGCCGGGGTCAAAGGACATGTCGTCAATGCCCGAGTTGAAGCCGCCAAAGGCATGGCTGGGGGTGAAAGTGTCAGAGACGGGCTGGTTCAATGCAGAGAAACTGGCGACAGAACCAACCGGGAGGCCGGTCTGCTGCTTGAAACGATCGTATTCATGGCTTGGGCCGGCAAACATGTGGGCGTCGTCTGCCTCGAAAGGCGAGGGTGCGTTGTAGTAGGCCGAGGCATCAATCGAGGGGCGGGGGGTAGGACCCGAGAGTTGAGGAGAGTTGAGAGAAGTGCCCTGGTTGAAGTCGAAGAACGACTCCATATCAAGATCCGGCTTGAGGGCATGCGGGAGGCTGCCCATCTGGGCAAATTGAGCAGTGGCCATGATGCTGGTGACTGGCGAGGGGGCAGAGGAGCGATGCGTGTGAAGTTATGGGTAATGCGGATGCGCACGTTGTGGGATTACGCGGCCTTAGTGCCAAGCCTAAGAAGCGCCTGTCGGATATAAGGTGAGCGAGTGACTGCGGATTGTGGCGTTGGCGTCTCTGCGACGATGTATGGCCGATGAAAGTGTATCAGGCGCGGTGATAGGGTCGGGGGTGTTGCTGGTCGAAGGAGATGGGAGTGCAGAGATTGAAGGAGGGAAAGAAGAAGGAAACGAAGAGCAACAACGCGACTGGGCAGAATCGACCAGGGAAGGGGAGGAACGATGACGGCTGCCTTCCCGAAACACCGCACAGCCACACAGACCACCTGCGAACCCAACGGAGGCATCGCCATGGATCAGCCCTAGGCCCCTAGCAAAACCGGCCTCGATCAGCCCTGTAAAAACATGCTTATCCCTCCCTTCTCTCCACGCTTTGCCAAGTTGTCAGTCGCTTTTTTTTTTCTCTCGCGCGCTCGCTGCACCCTCAGGCGCTGTTTCATACCATGAATCGATTCCTTGCTCAACTGGTCGCTTTGCGTTGAAATTGGATGGACCGGTGACGCTCGACCGGCCGTCACAGGCTCGTGGGCCTGGATATCCGGCATGGTCGGAAACTCTCGACTTGCTTTCCATAAAGACTGGCCTCGTACACGTTATTGTTCTGTCTAGGCCGACACCGGCTGTGTACTCCGTCGATGCCCGTGGGATTATTGTCTGACTTTTGACGTTTCCCTCTTGACGGTCTGGAGTTCACTCTCTCGATTTGATAGGTCGGCCGAGCAAGCTCCGTGTCTTACAATACACTCGGAAGGGGCTTTTCGTCAACAACGAATTCATCATTCGCCCCCGGAAATAATTTCAATTCTTCACAGACGAGCATCAAAAACAGCGCATCGGTCTACTGAATTTATTCCCTCCCTCACCGTGTGCTGAAGGCTGTCACAGAAGCTGAAGAATTGCATAAATCCTTTGCGAAGAATGTGCTATTCATGAAGACGCTTCACCGACGGCTATCTCGATGGCCAGGCTCGAACTCTAGAATACAACTGTGCATTTCATCAGCTTGTAATGTCCTTATGGCTCGGGTTGAGAGGAGGTCATGTTGCGATGTTGTGACAGTCTTTAGCACACGCCATCCGATTGACCCCTATTCCAAGCACGAGTACAAGGATTATCATCTGCTATCATCATGCACAGTTGCAATTCAAACGTGACTCTAGCCATAGAGAAAACCTTCGAGGGCATTTTCTTCCCAAAGCAGACAACCTCAAGGTTCAAGCCATCAAGCACGGGGGGTTCGTGTCATTCATTGGTGTGGCATCGATCGACGCGAATTAATCATTGTGATAGGCAACCATTGAGCCTCTACCAGCCTGTCATATCCTAACGCTAAATTTGTGCTCAATAAGCCTGTAAGTGGCGTCAATCCGATCATGCCTATCTCCTCTGCGCCAAGTTATCCCCCATGAACAACGGATCACCTCAAAGCCACGCTGTAGTAAAATGTGCGTGCTGTAGAGATCACTAATCCATGTCGAAACAGAGCAACATCCATTGAAAACCAGGTATCCTTTTCCGGGTCTCCGGCTCTTGATAGACAAGACGTTGTACTTAGATGAGTTGCCGTGTGTTCTTATAGTCACATGTGAAAACGCGAGGGTAGATAGCCATCAAGCATTCGCTCATCATCAATTTTCTGCATTACCATTGACCTGACGTCGAAACGAGAAATGGACTCTTTAGTGTGATTTACAGCCTGGAGCCAAAAGGGCTAATATTCTTTAAATAGCTGCAACATTGGGTGGCCGCGTGTGCTTCTGCAGCATGTCATCTATACTGCATCACCGAAGAAACAAGTCTATTTTCGAGCGTCAGCAGCTGCGCCTTCTTCTAGCTAGTCTGGGGGGCTCGTGCAGATTATGCCATTTCCAGCAATCTGCCATCTGTAGCAGACTAGCAGTTTCGTGATCTCATGCACTGCGACCTCCTGTTCTTCACCCCTGAATCGTCCTAATCAAATCGTTGCGATTCGTCCTGTCCTGCCAATGTATACGGAACAGGTGCTCGTTGGGATTTCGATGTGATCTCTTTTGCTTGGGTCAAGCAATACCACTTTCTCTTATGCCTCGAGATTGATGCTGCGGCCGAAGCGTCCGTAAAGTGCTGTCTTCAACTGCTGCATCTCATCCCTGAGCTCGCTCAACTTCTCCTCAACAGCCGTCACGTCCCCATCGATCTTTTCGATCGAAGTCGCTAGCAATTCCTGAACTTCGGGCAAAGGTAGTAGAAAGAACGAGTCTCCGATCTTGTATCTGGTAGAGACATGAGTAAGCTCTCCATGAATGGCTTTTTGTCATTACTTACGAGACCTTCTCGTCTTCGTCAGCAAGCTCGAGTTCTGACGAGACTTCTTCTAAATCCTCCTTCTCCTTCTGTGAGCACCTTGTCAATAAACCTATTGCATTTGATTGCACGAAAAAGGTCTTAGCGAACCTCCTTAGTCTTGAGCTCTGCTTGCAAAAGCTTCTCTTTCTGATGCAGTGTGCTGAAACGATTGATTTTATCCTGGTCTTCGCGGCGGACTTCGGTCTCTTCGCCTTCTTCCTCCTTCGACAACTGCGAAGGTATGAGCTTACAGTCTCTCGATTGAATGGAAGATTTATGCTTACCATTCGTCTTGACATCATCGTGGTTATTTTTGCGTTTATGGTGTCGATTCGAATTGTATATTTCCAAGTGTCGCCAGATCATGCTCGCGGTTGGTGCAAACACGATCAAACTGCTTGGCAAGGACCCGCAGCCGCACCTTTGTCTCTTTTCGGACTTCACCAACACGTTGTCACCAACACTACAAGAGACATGATTCGAGCATGTCCCCAGAGAGTCCATGATCTGTTGCTTCTCAGTGGACACTATTATGTTTCTTATTAGTATTGTGCATTTCTATAGCTACATGCGTTACTAGCACACAGGGAGGAAATCCCACAAAAGCTAAGAGCCCTGCTACCAACACAATGAGAATGTCTCCACTTCCTTCGAGTTGCAAGTATACATCTGCCTAAAGCAGAAGGCGGCTTGAATTACGGAAGTACAAGCCTGGTCTGCAAGTGCATAACGCTGAAAGGCGGGTTTTTGAAGAGGCGGCGAATCAGCGCATCGACTTCAAAGACAGAGTATGCGCCAATTCCTCAGCCGCAAATCAGCCCCACGCCTGATCACCACTACCACCTGCAGAACCAACACGTTGCCTGCAAGGCTATGGATGCCTTAGATTCCGCCTCGAGAGCACTTTACGAATTCGATCCATCATATATATCAAGCCAACCTCATTCCTCCTTTGCTCCATTGTTCCACAGCATCCTGTACTATCTACATTGCCGAGGAAGATATTGATTCCGAATTGGTTTTACGGTTCACAAAGTTTTACCACACGAGAATCATCGTCATGGGAGTATCTCCTACAGCTGGTCGAGCCATCCTGCGCAAGCCGAAGAAGATTATTTGTGCCCTCGATGGTGAGTCAAAAGCGCGATCAGCCGTAAATACATACTAACACGATACAGGTACCTGGCAGGTAAGTCGATCTCTAGCTTATGTCCTCTCCGCGTTCTGAAGTTGTTACTTTCATCGTACTCCCCTGCGGAGACGAGCAAAATGCACACTACAAGAAGGCATAGATATCCTTCGAGAACAGGCATGTCCATCGAGAGCCAATAGGCCGTTGCTTTTCGGTGGCCATCTTCCTGTTTCTCCATAGTATTGTGCGTTTTCATAGCTACACACGCTACAGCTTTTAGTACACGGAGAAGACTAAACTCGGTCAAGCTCTAATTGCCCTTGAAGGATAGTGACTCTGGTTGGGTCAACGGAGCTTTGAAAACACCTTCCAATGTTACCAGAATCTCGAGAGCGATCAAGCCCGAGGACAGCGAGCATCACGCCCAGATTGTTTACTATCAGGCAGGAATTGGAACTGGACTTGGCCTTCGTGATCGATTGCTGGGAGGTGGAACTGGCTTGGGCCTCTCTGAGCATATAAGAGAAGCATACTACTTCCTTGCGAATAACTACTCGCCTGGTGACTCGATATTCTTGATTGGATTTTCCCGCGGCAGCTTCACGGCAAGAAGTGTGGGTGGACTGATTGGAAACCTCGGTTTGCTGAATAAGACAGGCCTGCCCTTCTTTTACGAGATATTCCTCGATTGGGAGAACGCCGGCAACCCGGACTCGAAAGGATCTTCTTTCTGGGAACACTATCAGGACCCACTGAATCCAGACAGAAAGAGCATGCCCCAAACCCCGTCAAACGATCCAGCAAGGGTGTACGAATACCTGAATGAGTACCGTGCCAGTAAGTTGAGAAGCTTCCTTCTTACCGTTCCACTCCTGACCTGTTTGAAGTGCTTCGCAGTTTCGGGCTGACACACGTCGTCCCAATTCGAGAGAACGAGCTACGAGACGTACCAATCAGGGCGATTGGTGTCTGGGAAACAGTTGGTAAGACACGCCTGTGTATGTTGCAGCTGTATTTTCTGACTTTGCCAAAGGAGCCCTTGGAATACCAGTCAATCCGTGGTTCCAGAAACACTTTGGGCTACCTGGATTCTTGCACGAATACAAATGGCTCGACACAAAGCTCTCTGACAACGTAGAAAATGCGTTCCAAGCTTTGGCATTAGATGAGCATCGAGCGCCTTTTTCACCCGCCGTTTGGGAGAAGCCTGAGGGTAGTCATACAGTCAGTCTCAACATCAGCATTTTACTACGTAAAGCTTTGCTGACTTGCAGCAAAGTATTTAAAGCAGACCTGGTTCCCAGGAGCGCACTCGAACGTTGGTGGTTCGTACGATGATACAGCTACAGCAGATATATCGTTAGCGTGGATGATGGATCAGCTCTCTGGAGAATCACAGGACTCTACCGATACGCCGCTGGAAAAGAAGGATTGGATCGAGTTCTACGACGACTACCTGGACACGCAACAAGCGCTGAACAAGGTCTGGTACGAGAGGAACCCACCGGTACGAGGTTGGTCCCTGGGCACGATTTACAACTCCTTCACCTTTCCACAGAGTCTAGCAGGGCCATTGATACGGACACCTGGTCGGTACAGAGTAACAAATCCTTTGACAGGCATGCAGAAGCATGGCGGGGTACTCATGAGAGATACGCATGAATTCATCCATGCTTCGGTTAGAGCGCGTATGGATCTCGGAGGGTCTGCTTCAGAGCCGAAGCCCAGCAGGTGGAACTTCATGCAGTGGGTGCGGACACTGCTCGGCCGGGAAGGTAGACCCTTGTACAGCCCCCAAGCACTAGATTGCTGGAAGCTCCACGACGGACATAAACATCATAACGAGTTTTCGATCAACTCCAAGCTTACAACAGGCGAGGAAGGAAGCTCGACAAGGGCTCCTTGGTGGGAGTGGATGGGCAAGGACAAACTTGTGCCAAAAGGCCGGGTGTTGAACGAAGACGTTCTGGGAAAATTCGAGTTACAACTGCTTGGACATTACGAGGACGTGGCAGATGAGGTCGAGGCCAGTAACAAAGGACTGCGAAGTGTCGAAGAATTGAAGAGAGTAAAAGAGCGAGTAGCTCGCAGATCGGTGACAGTGTGAAGGTCTGTAGACTAGGCGACATGTAACAAAGCATCTGGAGCTCTTTTCATTTTGCATACGCTCACAGTCTACTCGATGTAGATCTAAAGAAGTGGTGAAGATGGGCCCTCTTGTGTGCTAGAGTATGTGACGCGTGCAACTACATGGGTCGGACAGTGTCAGTCTAGGGGCGACAACTGATAGGCTCTCTGCGGTAAGGCCTCCAATTTCGAGTTCGTTTTTGCCCTCTTATAGTATACGCTTTGCTCCTTGCTATCGTGGGAGACTCGGGAGGAAGGAAGTCCTGTAGATAGGACACCAAGACTGGCGAGACGGGATTGGAGAATAAAGTTTGTGAGTCTGTGGGGTTGACCTGATGCATTCTCACCGCCCGGCAATCAGAAAATGTTCGGGAAGGTCCAGACAGACACCGATACATCGTTCGAGACAACGACATAACTGCATTTCGTACAAGATGGTTAAGCGGAAGGTTGGAGCGCTCGAGAAGGTCGATGCAGACCTGCCCAATCTGCAGTACAAGGTCCGACGAGATCCGGCGTAGGTTGCCAGAGAAATCCAAGACGATGCCGTCCAGTCTAATGCTGCGCCAGATCATACAAGGATGATTTCAACAACCAGTACAGTCAATACCAGGCTTTCCTGCAACTCTTTATGCAGGCCCCCAGCTCGACCGATTCCCAGGGCCTGGTCAGTCTCCGAGAGCTGATCGACTTCGTTGCCCACTGCGCCGATTGCTATCCCAAGCTCACTGCCACCTTCCCCACCGATCTCATGGCCCTGCTTCGCCTGCACCATGCAGAGTTGGAACCTGAACTGCGCGACAAGGTCGTTGGCAGTCTGGTCTTGCTGCGCAAGAAGGAAATCATCGACTCTGCAGTGTAAGTTTCACAACTACCTACCTATGCCTTCTACCAAAACTCACGCCTCATAGGCTGCTTAACGCTCTCTTCCCTCTGCTGGTCGATACTCCTAGCAAAGCTCTCCGTACCCTTTTGTTCACCAAGATCATCTCCGATCTCCGCACTTCGAACTCAAAGGCAACCAACCACAAACTCAACCGTACTATTCAGACCGTTCTCTACAACTTGCTCACTTCCGATCCTACTTCGGCCAAGGGTGTCTGGGCCGTGCGCATCACTCGCGAGATGTGGACCAGGCAAATCTGGACAGATGCGAAGGCTGTAGAGATCATGAAAGAAGCTGCCCTGTCACAACACGAAAAGGTTGTCACCGGAGGTGTGCATTTCTTCCTAGGTGGAGACAAGGAGCGTGAGGAGAAGGCAGAGGAGGACAGCGACGATGATGACAACATTGACATGGCAAAATTGCGCCACCAAGCTGGTATCAACAAGAAGACAAAGAAGAAGGCCAACGAACTGAAGAAAGCGGCCGCCACCGTCAGGCGCAAGGAAAAGAAGAAGAAGGCCCCCCACCCTCTCAACTTCTCTGCTCTGCACCTCTTGCACGATCCTCAGGGCTTTGCTGAGAAGTTATTCCACCAACATCTCAACACCCAGGCTCCCAAGGCCAAACTCAAGCTCGATCAGAAGCTGATCGTTTTGCAGCTTGTTTCGCGTCTTGTTGGTCTGCACACGCTAACTCTGATCCCCCTCTACTCCTACTTTATCAAGTATCTCACCCCCAAGCAGCCTCAGGTCACTTCCTTCCTTGCATCGCTTGCTCAGTCAACACACAACCTCGTTCCTCCGGACGCCCTCGAGCCTCTTGTTCAAAAGATTGCTAATGAGTTTGTCTCGGAAGCCGCTGCTTCTGAAGTCGCGTCAGCTGGTCTGAATGCAATCAGGGAGATCTGTGTCAGACAGCCTCTTGCCATGAACGAGACTCTCCTCCAGGATCTTGTCGAGTACAGAAAGAGCAAGGACAAGGGTGTCATGATGGCTGCAAAGGGTCTGCTGAGTCTTTACCGTGAAGTTGGCCCAGAGATGTTGCGTAGAAGAGACAGAGGCAAGGATGCTTCAATAGGCCTTCAAAAGGGTACCCTCAAGGACAGGAAGTTCGGACAAGTCGAAGTCGGTGGTATTGAGGGTCTGGAGCTGCTTGAAGAATGGAAGGCAGAAGAAAGGAGGAAGAGACGCATCGAAAAGGGTCTTGATCCTGATGCTTCCGATGCAGACGAAGACGACGAGGAAGAAGACGAAGAAGCAGGCTGGAGCAAGTGGGATCTTGAAGAAGATGATGATTCAGATGAAGAAGGCTGGATCAATGTCGAAAGCGATGGCGAAGAGATCAATATCAGCGACAGTGAAGACGAAGACAAGAAGCCAAAGGCAAAAAAGCAAAAGACGGACGCCGATGCACCCAAAGACACCGAAGACACACCCAAGGACCCCGTTGCTGAGTTCTCCAAACTGGCTACGACCCGCATTCTTACACCTGCAGATCTTGCCAAGTTGCAAGAGCTACGAACGAGTGCAGCCGTGTCCAAACATATGCCCTCACAAAGACGCCAACAGCAGACTGCTTCGGGACGGCACGCTGACGACCCTCTCACAGCTGCTGAGATTGAGGGTCTCGCGGCATTGTCTTCGCGCGCGACCAAGGAAGAGAAGATTGCGATGGCGAAGGGAGATCGTGATGAGAAGCACATGTCTACCACGGCCAAGCGCAAGGAGAAGAAGGAGGCCGAGGGCAAGAGTACAACCAACAAAGAGAAGGCTCGCAAGAAGAACTTCCTCATGACTCTAGGAAAGGCCAAGAGAAAGGGCAAGAGGAGTTTGGTTGAACACCGAAAGATCTTGAGAGGTCATATTGATCGGCAAAAGCGTGGTGGTAAGCGTGGAAATGTTGGATAGACAGCAGAGTACTTTGTTCAAGAAGTGCATCTCGAATCTAAGCATTGCAATCCTGCATAAAGATCGTCACTGCCGCTATCGATTCCTTCCCAGCGTAAGGCATAAGAGTATCGTAAGCTCACTTTCTAAAGCTAGGTCCGACCATGAAGATAGCCTCTAATCCCTAAGCATCTTAACAACAGTCTTGAAGTATTATGTATTTTGATAGCTAGACTGTCCAGTCTTTTAGCACACAGGGAAAGAACGCACAAGGGGAAGCCATACAGATGCAGGTAGGCTACAAGATAGTCGACTGTTGATTTGGATTTGCCGGTTGTTTGGAACGGCTTGGCACGCGTGCTCTTTATCATGTTCGACGCGGAGCCAACTACCACTTTCGAAATTGGCGCGAAGAACAGTACCAGGCAGTTCCATCACAATGGCGAAACGCCCCAGGAGTCCCTCTCCTAGCAAGGATGCTTCGGGAGATTCAGACCACGATTATTGGATCTCTGAGATTATCGACGATCGCGCATCCCAATTCCAGGCCTTCTTCTCCCCAACCATGCCAGCAAAGGAGCTACAGAATCTGGATCGAATCAAAGATGCTTCTCACCGTATTCTAGCATGGAGAAAACCCTCATCGCAAAGAACTCTAGTGGGTGGCGTGCATACGCTCGAAACTGGTACAGACGATGATGGAGAGCGATATGGAGGCCGTCACGTACTCAAAATCCTCGAGGAAATGCGTGTGGAGGGTGCTCTTGTCGTCGCGCGTTATTATGGGGGTGTCATGCTTGGTCCTGTTCGGTTTGCCCATATCGAGAATTCTGCCAGGGACGCGATCCGGGCTTGGCGGCAAAACGATGACAGCGAAGGCCAGAAGCGTAGGCGAATCGAGGACGAAGATATGGAGAAAGCGAGTTTGATCGTCGAACTGGCGGATCGAGACCAGAACATCCTGGTATTGAGGCGGCTTCTAGAGGATAAGACGAAAGAAACACAGCCCCATGCAGAACAGAAACCCCACTCACGGCCCCCTATACCGGCACCTGATTACAGTAGCATGCCTCTTGAGCGCCTGCGACAGTTCGACAAAGCACGAGACAGCACTGTCGCGTTTCTTCTGAAGAAGATTGATGAAGCAGAAAAGCAGATTAGCCTAAAACACGGGAGCCCCGGTCCTGAGTCTCCTCCGCCTATCCAACCTAAAAGCACAGAAAGGGATACCAATACTGCTGCTCCAGAAATTGTGGTTCCAAAGGAAAAGCCTATCTCTACTCAAGAAGAAATCCGCGAAACTGGTAGTGGCACCGAGAACAACTCCAGTACAGACCCGAAGCATGACAAACGTGCACCTCTCATGCCCTTCGAAGAGGAAGAATCGAGCGATGATAACGATAACAGCTAATATATCTATGCAAATGTGGTGGCTCCTTCACCGAAATCGACACTCAGTCCATTCTTGCCCATGGAACCTCCGCTCTCAATAGCTTCATGCGCCTTCCTCAACCCCTCCAGATCCAGTCTGAAGCTCTGCTGCAGGTGAGTCTTGACCTTGCCGTCTTCGACCAATTGCCTAAGCTCTTCCAGTATTTTACCGTGGGAATCCATGTCGACTCCATACCAGGGCTTCGTGCCCAACAGCTCCCAAATAAAACTTAAAGACTTGGCCATGAACTCCGTGCCGTACATCTGGATGTCCTTGGCTTGAACAATCGAGCAGACTTTGCCGAATGGAGCACAGATCTTGGCCGCCGGCTCGATATAAGGAGTTGTCGAGTGGGTGATGAAAATGTACTTGATTGGTACATCCAGCCCCAAATTCTCGATCTGTGGTGGCAGATCTTCACGATGATTTACCGTGTGCGTAGCTCCCATGGATCTTGAAAATTCGGTGGTTTCGGGTCGCGACGTCGTGGTAACAACTACAGGCAAATCAAGGACCGTTCTAGCAATCTGACTTGCGACTGACCCAACACCTCCAGAACCATTAATAATCAGGAGACCAGCTTTTTCACCCCTTTTGATCTCCATCCGTTCGACAAGAGCTTCGTATGCGGTAATCCAAGTCAGGGGCAATGCTGCAGCCTCGATAAAGCTGAGGTTCTTTGGTTTCATGGCAACGGATCGAGAGTCAACCAGCTGGAACTCTGCATTTGAGCCTTGTCGTATGGGTGAGCCTGAATAGTAAATCGCGTCGCCAGTGGAAAAGTTTTTGACTTTTGGGCCGACCTGTTCGATCACACCAGCTCCATCGAATCCGATGATTTGATAGCCGCCTTCGCCTGGTTTTGGCTTAGGAACATGGTCGTAGTAGTCTTTGTCAACATGTTAGGGTCTCTGATCCATCTTGGTAGTGTTGCATCTTGCGATACTCACCGGCGTAGTCATCGTAAACTCCTGCTCTTACCTTCATGTCGATTGGATTGACACTAGCAGCTTTCACGCTGTACAAATCAGCATCAGTATCCATACCAGAGCAGAGACGGTGGCCATGACACTCACTTCACGAGTACATCATAGTCGTTCAATTCTGTGGGTTTGGGCACTCGCTTGTGCACGAGATTTTCAACTCCTCCGTATTTCTCGACGACAATGGCATTCATATCAGGCATGGTTATGGGTTAAGTTGTTGATGTTTTATGACCAGAGTAAGTTCTCAAACTATTGAAGTTCTGGTCGAGGGAGGAAGAAGTAGTCGGGTCGTGCAAGTGACAAGGGTTGTTTATATCTCGGATCATCGTGATGTCAGTCGAACTCCGGCCTCCCCGTGTGCTGAAGTCTGCAACTTCCATCGTACAAGTATCGTATCACTCCCGAGAAGCAAAGAGCAAATAATATACTATAGAAAGGCATGATTGTTCTCAGAGGCAGGGGTTTATTCCGAGAGAGCCGAGAAGTCCTCGCTTCTCAACGGATACTGTCCAGTTGCATAGTATATCGTGCATTTCTACAGCTACGCACTACATACTCCAACACACGGGGAGGCAGGAAACAATTCAGCTCCCCCAGTCGCAAGCTGCGATTGATTTGTTGCACCTCGGCTATCGTATATGATATGTTAGTCTCTAAGCACATGGAGGATGTGACGATCGAGAACATGTGCGCATGTCAATGACGTGAGACGTGCAAGCGGTCGCCCGCATAATTAATTAAATCAATTATTGAACAACTATTCTTATCGGGCAGCGCGGTTCGCGATCTTCCACCTCTCCTTCTGTTACTGCTGCAAAAACCTGTCACAATCATGCCTCATCTTTCCAATGTACAAAATGTTGTTGTTGTTGGCGGTTCGCTGGCTGGACTGATGCACGCCCTGACCATCATCGTCCACTGTCCTTCAGCCAAAGTCACCATCCTGGAAAGATCACCGACCGCTCTTTTACACAATCAGGGTGCAGGAGTTGTTGCTGGATCAGATACACAGTCTTTCTTCTCCCGCTACGTTTGTCCTGGGCAGGACTTTGCCGTTCTGAGCAAGCAGAGGCAATATCTGGACCGCAAGGGCGAGATCATCAAAGGAAGTGCTGAGAGAAGGGAGCAAAGAATGACAAGCTGGGACACTCTCTACCGCTTCCTAAGATGGAGGGTAGACGATATGGATATCAAAGACTATATCTCAAATTCGGACCTCGAGAGACTGGAAGACAGGCTTTCTGGTCTCAGCCATGGAAAGGCAAATTACCAGTATGGCTGTAACGTCAGATCTGTCGAAGATCTTGGATCCTCGGAGGGTGTACGCGTACGTTGGTTGAACAAGTCTGAGAAAGAGGAGGAAATGACTGCAGATCTAGTAATAGCTGCCGATGGAGCGAGCTCATCAGTACGCAGGACGCTACTCCCAACCGTTGAACGAACTTATGCTGGTTATGTCGCCCTTCGGGGTACAGTTCCTGAAGGCGACCTCTCTGAATCTGCCGCGAAAGCTTTTATTGAGAAGTTTTCATTTTACCACGCTGATGGCACGCAAATTCTGGCCTACGTGATTCCAGGAGAAAACGGTACACTAGAGCCGGGCAAAAGGTTGATGAATTGGGTCTGGTACAGGAACTACAAGGAAGACAGCGATGAGTTGATAGACCTGATGACAGGAAAAGACCAGTCACGTCATCACATCACTCTGCCTCCTGATCAGATGAAGGTCGAGGTCTGGGCAAATCAGAAGCAAGCTGCTAAGGATATTTTGCCACCTCAGTTCGCTGAGCTGGTCAACAAAACGGAACACCCATTTGTCCAAGCTATTACCGACAATATCTCACCGAAGAATGAGTTCTTTGGTGGGAAACTATTATTGGTCGGAGACAGTTTGGCTGGATTCCGTCCACACACGGCTGCCTCAACTAGCCAGGCTGCTTTCGATGCGTCGACTTTGGGGGAGTGGTTCGAAGGCAAGATTGATAAAGATCAGTACAACAGCAGGGTTCTGAGGTATGCTGCAGAAACCCAGAGGCATGGCGTCGAGCTCGGTGAGAGGAGTCAATTTGGCAGACATCCTCTTCTCGCTAGCTGCTACGGCGATACTTCTTACTGCAAGTTATTCCGGGTGGTGTGTCTGTGACTCTAGGCTTGTAAGTGTATACATACAACAAATGCATGGCTCTGCAAAGCATAGCAACATTGAAGTTGATCTACGGACTAACGCTCCGATTTGTGGGTCAATCTGACTCAATCATACATTCTCAACCCCTACAAGATCGCTATATATCACACTGTGGAATAGATGTTAGTTCGTATGTAGTGACTGAAATATGGTAGCCTCACATACAGCAGCGAACAATAAGCATGACTTTCGTTGTTCCGTGGTCGGTGTGATAAAGTTGCTTTCCGTGTGACCCTGTCCTGCTGCTTGCAGCATTATTTCCTTGACTCATAACAAGGAGCAAAGGGTATGCCTGTGAAAAGGTATAGTTATTCACGGAAGCAGAGACGTAGCTCAAGAGAATCGGCAATGTATTGCATCTTAGTGGACCCTATCCTGGTTTCTAAAAACCTCATGCAAATCCAGAGATGCGTTCTAGGTACTCCGTAGCCAACAATGTGTCAGTTGTAATAAGCATAACCCAGACTCGCTAAACATAATTGAGGAATCCTTGACACGCTCAATTGTTGAAACAACTATACCTGTTTTCAGCGTAGACTCTACACTCTGCTACTCTGAAGTATCATGAAAGTTGCAGACCTATTAGACACACGCAAAGGATGAAACAAAGTCAGCACCATAGCCATGGAGACCCCCGTAGGATGACAGTCCTGGCCTCCCCATGTACTAGAGTATGTAACGCGTATAGCTATAGAAATGCATAATAGGATTTGGAAACAAAGATGGTATTCACTAAGAAGCAGCAAGTCGTCGACTCTCAATGTATATCCCTCCGCTTTCCAAAACGATTGTGCCTTCTAAAGTCTACATTTTGCTCTTGGCTGTAGTCGGAGTACGGCGAAAGTCACAGATTTCAGTACACAGGGACGGGGGAGATCAATCTCACGTAGGAGCCAAGGTGCACCGCACCAGATCATACGCGGCAGTTGAGCGAACCAATTGTCAAGACTAAGAACATGAAGCAATAAGCTATTCGTATTGGATTACAATGCTATTGGTTGACAAAGGAGATTAGAAGCCTGCGATAGCAGGCAGGCAGTATAATACATACACCTCTTGATAAGAACAATGATGACGATACGGGAAGGTGAAATGCCAATCATTACTTAAGCAAGCCACTCTCCACCGACCCAGCGGTTGAGCATCTCAAGAGAAGCAACAGGCTGGTCGTAGGGAACCATGTGGCCACCACCATCAATTCTCATGAAGGTGAAGTTGCCGCTGCTCTTGACGGCTCCAGCGGTGGTGCCGTCCGAGAGAACGTAGTCCTCGAGAGGGGTCTTCTTGAAGTCCTTGTGGCCGGGCCACTCGAGGGCCTCGGTCCAGGCTTGGTTTCCGAGCCAGTTGCCTGTAAGGATGTTAGCTATGTGAGCACGCCAAAGCGAGAGAAACAGGAGACGAACAGATGTAGTCCAATGAACCAGCGTAAATCAGGACAGGAATTTCCTTGAGGATACCAGGGACGAGGCGGTGGAAGGGCTGCATCCAGTCACCGGCGAAGAGGAAGTTTCTGTTGATGTCAAAGTTGCAGGAGTCGTACTTGCTGACCTCGGCGCCGAGAGCCTTCATGACCTCGGGTCTGTTGAGGTACTCGCTGATCCAGTCAAGTTCATCGTAGCAAAGACTGTTGCTGCCGCACTTCTTGGTGATGTCGTAAGGGTTGCGGCCAGTCTTCTGGTAAGGACCAATCATGGCATTGTTACAGTAGATGGAGGCGGGAACACAAGACCAGACGCTCTCGCTGTCGTAACAGCTCTGAATCAAGCTCAAGCAACGGGGCAGGGCGTTGTCCATAGCCTGGCACTGCTGGGGATCAAGGACAGCAGGAGAGCCACCCTCGCCGCAAGCCATGGGACGGTACTCAGGGTATTGAGTCAAACCATCGGTGAGACCGTTACCAATAAGGATGGACTGAAGGTTGATGTTGCGCTTCTTGTGAGAGAGGATCTCGGAGGCAAAGACTGGGATGTAGTGACCGGCGTAAGACTCGCCTGAGATGTGGAAAGGCTGAGTGGCGTACTCGGGGAACTGCTTGAAGAAGAGGGTCAGGAGAGCGTAGACGTCCTTGCCGGCAGCAACAGTGTTGGTGACAGAGCTGCCACTGTATGAGTAGCCGACGTTGACGGGCTGGTCAAGGAAGATGACCGAGGCGTTGGCATTCCAAGACGAAGGGTTGTACTTGACGCTGCCATCCTTGTTGATGGACGAGGGGCCAAGCTCCATGAACAAGCCAGTCAAAGACGAGCAACCAGGGCCGCCGTTGAGCCAAAGAATGACGGGGTCGTTCTTTGGGTCGTTGCGGGACTCGAAGAACCCTGTGAATGCATTAGTGGATGTTGGTGAGAGCAGAAGGGGGGTGGCAACTTACAGTAAAACAAGTGCTTGTCGGCCTCGTCATCGTCGAGATAGCCACTGTACTGCTTGACCTTGTCGACGCCGAGGTGGCTGGGGTCGACCTTCTTGGTTCTCAGGCTGTAGTTCTCGAGCTTGCCTTCGATCTCTCTTTCCTTCTGGCCCTGAGCGTTCTCAACCCAGACGCTCTGGATGTCGGCACCCTTCATGATGTGGTCCCACTCGTTGTCGTGCTTGCGGGAGTGAGGCTTGGGGAGAGAGAAGAAGCTGGTCTGGTCCATGGCCTCGGGGAACATGAGAGCGACCTCATCCCAGATCTGGCGGGCCTCGCCGGTCAAGGACTTGAGAGACTCTTGCAGGTTGTGCAGAGGCTTGGACCATGCCTCTGAAGCCTGCTTAGGAGCTTTGAGGATGGACTGGCCGGGGGTGACGGCAGCCGTGGCGGCTCCGATCAGAGAGGCGTATGCGGCGACCTTCATGACGGCGCAAACAGACTCGGGCAACGACTGAGTAGCTGGTTGTAGTATACGATGCTATCAATGCGGCACAAGGTGAAGCAATTGATGAAGAACAAGGATGAATGACAAGAAGGAGACCTCGAGGTTATCAAGGTAGAGTGGATGAGAGGAAGAGGGAAGGGAAAGAGGCAGCCTAACACCATGTGTGGGGAGCATCAAGGTCATGCGAAGCATGCACGGTTCCTGATACGCCCGCCTGCCGAATCGGGCAACGATCTGACGAATGTGCTATCCATCGCTTGCCCTTGTCTTAGCCAGCGTAGGGCGTGCCACTGATACCAGATTTATGTGACGGCTGGATTGTGGCAGCCAGAAAGACTTGGTAGCTAAGTCCAAGCATACGAGCAGAGAAGAAGACATTGAATCAAACTTGTAAATATTATTCCTCTTCATGTACAATATCTGGGCGACATAGATGCAAAGTAAGGTGGGCGCTGGCTATCCAAATGGCACACGGCCGGTAGCATGTTCTGTTGCGAGTCGTGTGAGCTTATCTGCTTTCCCCGGCGCTGCCATGACGACGTTTTCGCCAGGCGCGAACGGCTTTAGCAGCTTTTGCATGCCGGACTTGGTCTGCATCCCCAGCCTCTTTTCAATATTGCATCGTATATTGTCACACTATCAGAATGCCGTCGGCTCAGATCAACCAGGTACCGCCTCTACCTCGTTCTATACTCCAAAATCTCTAGAATGCTGACAGCCATGCGAAGCCGTCAAACCAGATCAAACTTACAAATGTCTCTCTTGTCCGCATGAAGAAGGGTATGTTGCATTCTCCCTTGCGCACACTGCCTCTGTTTCGCGCAGCGTCCCAAGTGATCCTACCATGAATATCCAACTCATCTTGTTCCAGGCAAGAAGCGGTTCGAAGTCGCATGTTACAAGAACAAAGTCCTCGAATGGCGTTCTGGTGTCGAGACCGATCTTGACAATGTTCTCCAAATCCCGAACGTCTTTCTCAACGTCTCCAAAGGCCAGGCTGCTCCCTCAGCAGACTTGCAAAAGGCCTTTGGCAAGGTGCCCTTGAACGACATCATCCTGGAAATTTTGAACAAGGGCGAATTGCAGGTCGGCGAGAAGGAGCGACACGCCCAGCTGGAAAGAGTCCATGCCGAGGTCATTGACATCGTCGCTGGCAAGCTGGTAGATCCCAAGAGCAAGCGCGTCTACACTACTGGCATGATTGAGAAAGCGCTCGACCAACTCAGCAGTCAAAGCGGCAAGGACACAACCACACCTAACGCGAGCGGCACCGCAACCCCTGTAGAAGGCGAGAGTCATGCCGAACACAAGTCAAAGCCCATGTGGACTGGCGTCGTGACTACTCGCGATGCCAAATCCCAAGCACTGAATGCCATGAAGGCTTTGATCGCACATCAACCCATTCCTGTTGCCCGCGCAAGAATGAGACTGAGAATTACTTGCCCCACTTCGGTGCTGAAACAGGCAGTCAAGAGTGCACCTAAAACTGGGGATGAGGCCGAGGGCGAGGCACAGGCAAAGGGCACTGTCAAAGACAGAATACTAGGCTACATCGAGCAAGTCGAAAGTCAGGACATGATGGGTGAAGAATGGGAAGTCGTTGGTTTCGTGGAACCAGGCAGCTTCAAACCTTTGAGCGAGTTTGTCAGCGGGCAGACCAAGGGCAGAGCCAGAGCTGAGGTTTTGGACATGGCTGTCATGAACGAGGGCGACTAAGCTTATTGCTCGGCACGTCTGGTCTTTCTTTCATTGCTTTTACAGCGCATCATACCCCACGAGTTTTGTATACATCAAAAGTGCTTTATCTTGCTTTGCACATATATTTTCTCTACCGTTGACGTTGTAATCACCATGTGTTTGAGGCAGGGACTGGTGAAATGTGTTTTGCAACCGTCTCATATCGTCATTCACTCTACAAGGGGTTTCATTCCGTAAGGTGACATTGGGGCGGCAAAGAGCATTGTGTTTTGTCAACGAGAAAGATAAGGATTTTATTTTCTTCAACAGCACAATGTCATTGAGAACGGACCACAACAACAACCATAGTCTTGCGCCATATCCATGAAGAAAGCCGAAAGCAGACTGCTTTGGTATTTTTGATTCGGCTGTAAAACGCTGCACCACCACACGCCCCAATATCGTTCCGGGAAAATGTTGTAGAATGCGAGTCGTTTACTTCTTCTTGCTGACACCGACGGTGCGACCACGGCGGCCAGTGGTCTTGGAGTGCTGACCACGGACGCGGAGGCCCCAGTAGTGGCGGAGACCTCTGTGGGCACGGATCTTCTTCAGTCTCTCGAGGTCCTCACGGAGCTTGGAGTCGACACCGTTGGCGAGGATCTGGAAGTCCTTGCCGTCGACAATGTCGCGCTGTCTGTTGAGGAACCACGAGGGGATCTTGTACTGGGTGGGGTTCTGGATGATGGTGACAATGCGCTCGAGCTCTTCCGAGGTGAGTTCACCGGCGCTGTTTTGTTCGTATTAGATCCAAGTCTTTTCTGCTGTGCGTGTCCAAGTGCCAAATGCGTACCGCTTGCTGAGGTCGACATCGGCCTTCTTGCAGACCAAGTTGGAGTAGCGGCGACCGACACCCTTGATCTTGGTCAAGGCGTACATGACCTTCTGCTTGCCATCAACCTGTAAAACGACATGTCAACACTGGTATTCTCTTTTCGTCTGGCGATGCATGCGTCTGTGGCTTTGCGTGTCTGGGTATGGAAGGAGGCAATTTTGCCGGATTGGAAGGTGCGCAGTGTTGAGCGGATCGTGGGAAAGCGTACGTTGGTGTTGAGCAGACGCAGAATGAACTGGAAGTTCGACTTTTCTCCGGAGACGAGCGACATCGTGGCGGTTGATGGGCGATGTTACTGCTGTTGGCGGCGCGAATACACAAATGGAGAACTTGCTGTGCTTTCGATTTTGGCAAGCGAGGCAAGCGCAGTGTGTGCTGCCAAGCCCGAGCTAATCGCGCAAAGCTGAACTGGGGCTTGGCATTTCCAACTTTCACTCGACTGTCAGGCTCAGTGAACATGCTAGATATTCTAGGCAAGAATAGTGGTTGTTTGTTCACATACTGTGATTTTTCATCTCGAAACAAGGGCAGAGGCACTTCTGAACTATAAAAAGGCAGAAAAGCTTTCAGATCAGAGATGTGACCAGGGAAAGCTCACATCTGACTTGCCTCTCAATGAACTTCACATTAGTCTCAAAACTATTGTGCATTTTTACATGTATGTGTTGCATAGTTGAGCACATGGGGAGGCTATGAGGAGACACATCGTCAATCGTGTCAAATGGTTCATTCGTCGTAGTTTATTATACAAGTTCCTGCTATCTCAGTTCGCATCTTCAAATCCAGATGGTCAATGTCAAGAATTCCCACTTCCTGCTTTCACAGACTTGCATGCTAAACGTGAAGCACTGTCTGAGTAGGTGCTGCATCATTGCATAGTGAACTTTTCAGGATGGCAAGCTCCAAACTCTGCTCTGCCAGGTGCGTCCTTGCGGACATAGACACTGACGCTTTTCTCAGAGCATCTAAAGCCGCCGTAGCCTCTGTCATCGATAGTGACCATTTGACTAGAATTTCCCAGGACGTCGGTATAGACCTGACCAGCTTTGGCAGGGCCAACGAACATGTTGTTCTTAGCAGCACCTCCGATGCTCATGATGACGACGCAACCATCGACTCTGTCCCAAGTACCATGGCGGACCCATCCAATCGAAGTCTTACTTTCGAGATAGTCAGTCTGCTCACCGTAGGCAAAAAGCTTGCGGCTGAGGATTAGAATAGGTAGCTTGCCTTCACAGGCTGCTGGCGAGGCGTGAGGGCCCTTGATGCCGTAAACATCACCCCAGAAAACACAAGGCAGACCTTCGCGACGAAGAAGCATGATTGCATAAGCCAGAGGCTTGAAGTAAGGTGCAACAGGAGTTTCCACTGTCTGACCAGGCTGAGTATCGTGGCTGGCTACAAGAGTCTGCGTATGCTTGTTAGCGATTGTGCGGTGCCAAAGGCGAAAAAGTACCTACAATTGCATTTCCGGGTCGGTGATGAACCAAGGTGTTCTTAAAGACCTTTCTCAAGTCGACGTCGAACTTGCTCTTCGCCATGGAGATTTTGGCGAAGTTGCTCAGCAGAGGAATGTCGTAGGCGTACACTCCATTGTTCATTCTGTCCATCCACTGCAGAATCTTGGCGACTTTGTCATTGTAGAACTCGCCCATGACGAAGAGCTCACGGTTTTGGCGCTTGGCCGCTTCCTTTGCGATGCGGATCCATTCTCGGGTGAACATCCAGCTGATGTGAGGTACAGCATCCAATCTGAAGCCATCCACGCCGACTTCGTTCACCATCCACTCTCCCCATTTCTGTACATCCTCTCTGACTTCAGCGTTAGAATAGTCGATGTTGGAGAACATGAGGTAGTCTCCGTTGCCTTTGAAGTCATCGACATCAGTGGCCCAGTCCTTCTTGCGCCAGGCTGGATCCACAGCTGCTCCTGGGCGGGGAAGCGTCTCTGGAGGGTTCACGATCTTGTAGACAGCATTCTTCTCAGCGAGCTGGTCCCAGTCTGTGCCGCTGAAGTGTTGCCAGTGCCACTTCAGACTGCTATAGTGGTCTCCGCGACCAGGGAAGTAGAAGTGAATCCAGGGTTCAATCTTCTTTGGTGTAGTCCTCTCGATTCTGCGATCTGTTTGAAGTTCAGTCAGTTTGATACCTCGGTAAAGAGGGATATGGACATGTGTACCTTCTCCGTCGACCTCGACAGCCCAGCACTCCTCTTTAGCGTCTCCGGCTGTTTTGTGGTTCAGGACAGCATCCCAGATGATCAGGACTCCCAGACTCTTGGCCTTCGCAATCAGTTCATTCAACTCTTCTCTAGATCCCCATTTGGTTGCACGTGTCCATTTCTGATCGAACTCGCCGAGATCCCAGAGGTCATAGCAATCGTAGCCATTGCCATGAGGGTTGTTGGCCTTGCAGCCTGGTGGAAGCCAGAGTGAGGTGATGCCGATATCAGCCAAGCCCGATACGACACTTGCAAGACGATTCCAGTGTCTGCCGGGAGTGTGCCATTCAAAGGCTTGCAGGAGTGTTGGGTTCTGCGGTGTCGGTATTGCCGATTCGTTCGCTGCTTTGACAGCTGGTGGTCGTGTCGTTCCGTTGTCCGGCGCTACGTCATTGTCAACACTTCAAAAAAATATTCGTTCTGGGAGATCGTGAGACCTACACTTGCGAGCGTCTAGGAAGCCCTCGAACCGTTGTGCCTTATTGCGCAGCCACGAAGCCATGATTGGTTGTGTGTTATTGAGATGGGTCAAAGACAATATAGATTCAAAAAAGATCAGGTCGTTTCTCGGAGTGTGTACGGACCAACTTATTTATGTTTGCTGAGCTCGAGTCATTGATGCCTTGATTTCACTTGTAACACTTCTCGATGATCGTTCAGTGATACTCTGAGTTAGGTGACTTTCAGAGAGCGATATATCAATGCGTTTTGAGAAGCGTCAGATGAGATTGAACAAGATGAAAACTCAGTCAAGTGAGATTGGTGAAGCTGAACAACCACCAGCACAGTGAACAGGCTTGCGTAATCATGTATCTACCAATGAAAAAGGACAAGGATTAAAACGACTACACGCTCGTGGGATATCAAGTTTTGAAACAAAAGGGCCACAATAAACCAAGCGCCAGAGGATCCACAGCACGACTTGAGTGTTTGTCAATGCTCGAAATTGTGGACCTTCAACAGAGAGCAAGAAATCTAAGGAAAGTATCGGAGGCGAAGATAAGACTGAGCTGCTGCTCAGTATCTCAGTTTGCCAACAAGGCCAAAAGTGTATGCACATTCGCGTTCCTGGCTGTTGTCAGTACTTGGATCTTCAAACCATAAACAAAGAGGGCATAACTCACCGTTTTGTGCTGAATCATATACGTGTTTGCTTTTGAAGCAAGAACGCCGCCTGAGGTGACCGGACCATTTCTATCTTCCCAGACACTGACTGCGATGCCTGTCCTGGCGACCCTCTCAAAGCAACTCTCACCTAGAGTGACGTCCAACAGTGTTTCGCCTCTAGTCTTACCACTAATTAGGATACGTTTCTCCAAACCAATAGACCGAGGGCTTGGTGGCACTCCGGAAGATGGTCGTGGAGGAAGCAGAATCGACAACCGCGCTGAGCCCATATCTCTCCATTTGTTCTGCGACTCACGAATGTACAATCGGATTTTGGCATTTGTGATACCAAGGGGCGTTCCTTGCGATGAATCGTAGACAATCGGCGTTGATGCTCCAGAAGAAAGTGACTCGCTTGTGCCAGTGCGACTGCCTTGACGAGATGTGATGGTACTCTTGGCAATGTTGAAGAGTCGGCTGTTACCATTGAATCGGCGCAAAGCAGAGAAGGCAGTATTCATTGTACCGACAGAAGAGTCAGTCACCTCAGATGGTGCTCGAGAGGTCTTTGATCGATATGTATTGCTCCTGCGGAGTGGATTATGAAACCATGAACCGCTCGCAGACTTTTGGTTGTTGTCTCGATTCATGGCTGCAGACCATGCACTCTCGTTGGCTGGACCTCTAGCATGTTGTAGAGCAATGTATGTAGGATTGTTAATCCGAGCAGTGTTGATGAAAGAATACAGCATGTCGCATTCTTCAGCGCTACGGGAGCGGAACATGACATTGTTGCTTGCACGAAGCAAGGAACTAGCAGTAGGAGGTGATCTGATGGAGATATCAAGCGCTGTGCCCCGCCGCAAAGGAACAAGGGGCGTGACTTCGAACGCTATCAGAGGTTGAACGCCCCTAGCAGAAGGACTTGTCATATCACTGCCATCTGGAATCGCTTCTTCAATGTCGAAAGCTTCAATCAGCCCAGGCGTGACAAGAACGACACACTCACTAGGGTGCAGAAGCTCCCATGCACCTCGGTCCGACCATGAATAAATGGAAGCAACAATCTTCGAAGCCTGTGTCGTTTGATGAGGGACGGTCCGATATGGAGCTTGCGAGGCAGAGTTTGATGGACCGAGTGTGGCAGTAGGCAGAGAAGCAAGCGATTCTGGCGGAGTGGCTTTTGCCTTTCCATCAACCAAAGGCAAATCAAGCGGCACCACGTTTTTTGCTCCTCCCACAGCTTCTTCAGATGAATCGGATGTAATCGATTCGTCGTCATCCTCAGAATAGGACAAATCACTCTCCGTCGAAGACTCACTGCTGATTGATGGTTCGTATTCGTGTTTGAGAGGCGATGATGACCTGCGATGCCTCTTCAAAAAGTTCGGAGTGAAGGAAGGAATGCTGAATCGTTTCGGCTTTGGAGGAGGCAAGTCCTTGTCTTTGCTAGAAGCATCCCCAAGAATGTCATCAAAGCTGACACCCTTCACACTAGGCCGACGCTTCTGTAGCTTCGCAGGTGCTGACGAAGGCTCTACTGCTTCTTCGTGTTGAGTACGATCTGGGAGGTCGAAAATTTCCACGGGTTGAATGGGCGAATTTGGTTCGCTCCTTTGTCGCAAATTCGGGGCACGAAGAGGCTCGACCACAGGTAGGGATGATGTCCTACGGTGAACTTGCGGGCGTGCTATGATCGGCGGGGTTCCGTAGCTGTCTTCCTCCTCCCTCTCTTCTTCAGATTCATCGGATGAAATTGTAGATGAAGGCATCCAGACGCTATATTCTTTTTTCGACTGGGACAGAGTGGACTGACTTGAGTATGAGCTCAAGGTGGTTCCGGTCTCCGTCCTTGACATGTGATGTGTAGGACGTTCTGGATATGCTCTTGTGTTCGTGGGATATTGTAACGAGGAGCGAGATGAGCTAGGTGACATAGGTGGTGACGACTTATGGCGCGTCGCCCTTGATCGTCGTAGACCTGGCGAGTCCCCTGCAGACATTTCTGCCTGCGACACCTTGTCAAGAGAAGTCGGCATGGTAATATTGGACAGTCTGCCACTCTCAAGATTGGCGACGGGCTTTCCTTGTCCGCTGTGGTCCGAGATCCAGCTCCTGGACGAGCCAGGTCTTTCTCCAATTGGAATCTCGATCTCTTTGGTGTATGTAGGACTACCAGTAGGTGACGCGAGCCCTTGCGACCGACGGCGAGATGGAGTCTGAGCTTTGGTGAGGAAGCTAGATTGCCTCGCCAAAGAAGGAGGAACAGGATTGAGTCCAAGCATCTCCACCCATTCAGGCCCAGTAGCTTCATCACTGGCACGCAATGAGAGAAGCTCATGCCACTCTTTTTTATCGGCGTATAGACCTCGTATCATCATGACTACGTCTCCTGGTCCATTGCCAGATCTTGCGGAGACAGAGTCTCTGCTTAGAGGTGGAAAAAGTAACCAGCGACCTGTATCGGATACTTCGCAGACAAGGACATCGCCGCCATCTCCTCGACCAGGGCAATCGTCTCGAATGATGAGCTCGACCCTGCAATCCAACTGTTGACCGCTTGAGTGAATGATGTTCATGTCGAAGTAGTCTCTGGCATGAACACATCGAGTTGCGTTAATGCTGACTCCTTTAAGCAAGCCCAAGCTTCGAGGATCTCTGGCACGAGTTGGGTCGATAGCTGCAGCCGCCTCATCCTCCAAGCGAGCTCGTTCTTCGTTAGATCTTCTGCGGGCTTCAGTAACCAACCCCTGGTATTTCTCGGCCAGAGAACCTGCTAAGGCTGATGGTGCGAGGATGTTGATACCCTGTTTTGTCAGCGCTACAGTCCTGAGTATCTGGAAGATGTCAAAAGGTGCTTATACATACTTTGAAGGTTTTGGCAAGATATTTCAAGCGCACCAAGGGTCTTTTGAGCAAGAAAGCAACATCAACCCTTTCACCGTCACCATTGACCAAATCGCCGTCCTCATTCCTGAGCAACCCATCATCCCATCTGGTGCTAGTATTGGCATCAGCAGGTGCTAGATTTACCACGACATCCTGAAATCCCATCCGCCATGCCTTCAGGTAATCATGGTAGATTCGAATCGCTCCTTGAGCCCAGGATAGCAGTGTGTTGTTATCACTCTTAGGGGCTCGACGATGGTGTGCTTTCAGACGCTCTAGAGCAACGCCCATATCGACGATAGGCTTGGTGATAGCCACATCATCGTTAGCAGAACGGCCAAAGAGACCAACAGCGATCGCTGAGTCTGACTTCGAGAGCACGCAGGACAGTAACACTGGGATAACTCCATCTACCAAGGTGCGAAGCTCTCGCTGGTATTTGATTTCGTCAGCCGTAAACTCGTTCCAGAGATCTTGGAGGGTGGCTTTCTCGAGCCTCGTTCGGTTGGTTCGTATGCTGCGTGCTGAGACAATGCTCTTAGAATCAGCTATAGGCAGCGATAACACAGACATCAGATCTTCGTGACGAGTCAATCTCCGCCTGAGGCCGTTCGCGCTACTCAAGGATCTTAGATGCTCGGGCACGATAGTATCTTGCTCAGAAATCTCAGATGGAGCTGCAGGCTCTTGCAGTGTCTCTGCCGAAGCGATGGTTGACAGTCGTTTTCCTGTCGTAGGAAATCGCCTTCGAAGGTTCGCTCCTGGTGTGTGTTTGCTAGTCTGGACATCGGGAAGATCGATATCAGATGGCACGGACGACGTGGCGTAAGAAGAGTTTCCGTCCTCGAAGGTTGATGATCTAGACTCAGAAATAGTCTCTAACACCTCTCTCGGCCTCGAGCTTGGTTCGCCTGGAGAAGATCTCGATAGGCCGTAGCCAGCGCGCACTTCGTCACCCTTGTCCATATCAGAGGTGTTTCGTCTGTCTATGCCATTCATGTTTGATTGTCGCTTAGATCGGGCTTTACATGCTGCAGGTTCCTTGTGACCGTGACTTTGTTGCTGAGATCCGTCAGCGACGAAGGGATCGGGAGTTCCTCCAAGCCATGCTTCAATACGGTTTCCGTATGTTGGTGCTGCGGTGGTATTTGCATTAGGTGCGGACATCTTGTTAGTCTCGGGCATTCTAGATTGACCAGCCGAATTGTCTTTCTTAGTCTCGTGTACAGTGGATGAAATCCCTCGTGACTTCCGAGAGGGAGCATTACGAATACTGATACTGTCATCCGGGTCTAGTGTCTGTGCGATCGATCTACCCTCTGTCTCTGCTTCGGAAGCTACTGGTGAAGCATGGCGGCGACGTAATCTCCGTCTACGATCCGAGTTATCGCGACTGACTTCGCGAGCGCTTCTCCTGTCCTTCCTCTCTTTTACGGGCTCCCTTGCGCTTCTTGACTCAAGTTGATGTTCTGGAGTGCGCTGTTCTGGCGTTCCTGAGCTGCGAGGTCGATCGCTGTCGTTCCTGTTCTTATGCGATTTATGCTGCGTCGGAGAAGTGTCATCTATTGGTATGATCCGGATTCCGTCGTCGTTCTCTTTCATCGGCCTGACTCTGATACCATCGTCGTCTTTCTTTGGTTTTGGAGGATCTTCACTCTTGTATACTGTAGTTCTTTTGATTGTGTATGGCTTTGGCTCCACTTTAGGCGCACTTTCAGGTGTCTTTGTAGGCGAACGGTCCTTGCGCCAATGAGCATCACTGACTACACGTTTCAGGGGCGCACCAGCATGTTTGATGTCGGTGTCCAAATCAGTTCGTTGAGAGCCTTTCTTGCGGATCCATGCTTGCCGATCTGCATCCAATCCTCGTGGAGTCTTTGGCGATTTGGTTGGAGACGGTTGCCTGCTAATCTTGTCTGTTTCGATTCGAGGCTTGTCCGACGAGCTCTTGGTTGGCTTTTTGGCTGGTCTCGTTTCATCTGCATCGTCCTCATATTCAACAGTTATCAAGTTTTGCGCATCTTTCGGCACTGCAGCTCCAGCACTGTCGGCCTGCCATCTCTGCACTCTTTGGCGAATCTTATCAGTGTCGTAGAGACCGGTTTGTTTGCCGGTGTCACGGTCGTCTTTCCTCATGTGTGAATGTTTGTGGCGAAGAGATGCTGTCGGGTTCGAGTTGATTTTCGGTATGCGCTAGATATGTTGCGACCGAATAACGATTCTTTGAGACAAGGTACATGGAGAAAGTCGACCCGTCGCAGGACTGAGAATTGGTAAGAAGGAATTGTCAAATGATGAGGCGGTGTAAGACAAGGCGCGCGAATCTGCTAGGAGGAGTGTGTGCGCACAAGCAAGCAAGATACAACTACTCATGTCAGTGTCCGTCGCATGGCCGTTTATGTAGCGAGTATCATGGCTTACGGTTGCAACGGCGAACGTGGAGAGAACTGGACCCTGATGGCATGTGTCAAGAGTGGAGACCAGTCTTTTACAGCTCAGGATTGACCGAACAAGCGATGGTAGGCCTCATTGCTCGAGCAGAAGTCGGACAGGCGCATGGTTGAGGGACAAGAACCAGGCTTGTGTTTACAGTCGGACAGTGCAACCAGCCATCCCGCACATCATTGATCCGCTCATCCCCAGCCCGTCGCAAACAACGCCCTAGTGCCCGATCAATCTATCCTTATCTTCGTCGATCCACCTCCTCTGTGCTCAAATCTGTCACGGTGTAGCTACCAAAATGCACAATACTTTCGGAACCAAAGGTATGGCCACAGATACATCTTGGCAGGGTGGTCTCTCTGTGGATAGCAACCACTCCTAGAAAGTATCGTGAATTTTTGTAGCCTGAATGAAGCATCACCATGCGTCGCGCGTGGGAAGGCAGCCCAGACTCAAAACCGACAGTCTTTCGCACACGGGGAGGAAGGCTATCAAACGACTAGGATCGGCCCCTCTCTCTTGCAGTCGCGAGTAGTGAGACACGCGCTATAACAGTGCACGATCGCTTGGTAGATCGGAGATGTAGCCACAGACACGCCTTGGGCTAGCGCCTCTCTACGGACATCACTCCATCCTGGACACTATTGTGCATTTTAGATAACTACAATATGGTGTTTTCAGGATGCGGAGGGTGCAAATCTGAGCATCAAGAATCCGAAGATATCAAATTATGGATATACATTAACGTTCTGTCTACTGATATGTTATCGAATTCTCGCTCTCCTTGAGCTTCTATATGGCCTTCTTGAATCCCTTGAGCTCCTGGACTTGTCGAATCGCGTCGGCGCTAGCCTTGACGCTATTGTATAACAATACTATGCAAGATCAGCAACTTTCCAACGCTTGGTCTCCTGTGCAACCTACCTGCTGGGATCACGATCCAGAAGAAATTGGCTCCAAAGTAGTATCCCCAGAAATAGTAGGCCTCCGGTCTTGAATACTCAATGCCCAGATAGAAGTGGTCGGCCATGCTTGTAGCGTAGTAGAGGAGATCGCCGTAGCATTGCCCAAGACTCACCGCAGCTTGCATTGGGTGCCTTAGCGGATGCTCGATCGCAATCAGCACTGCAACCAAGAAACTTAGTGGGCCCCAGAGTACCTAGCATTATTTGTCAATAAGCTTTTGAGAAGAAAAGGGGTCGGTGAAGCACCACTTACAGCGGTCATAGCCTCAACACAAAAAACGAATACGTTTTGAGTCAGATACCGGGAATCTGACAGTGCATACTCTTTCCAGAGCTGCCCAAAGAATGTCTGCAGTCCACCCATATTGGCATGGTTATACGCAAAATAACCTGTCGCAAAAATTTAGTTTTTGATCTCCAAACCTCTCCTGAGTCACCCTACTCACCTTCGAAGAAGAAGTGTATACATCCACACAGAACAAACCACATGACCGTCATCAGTTCGGTGGTAGGTAGCCTTGGATTGACCTTCTTGACGGCCAGGTAGGTCAAACCAAAGATCGCGACACAGCCAGCAACAAAGGAGCCTAGAAGCGACAGGACAGTGGATTCATTGGCCACATAACCGACAATGTTGGCATCCAATGGGTAGTAAGGGTGTTTAATGCCATCATAACTCGTAGAATTCATCAAAGCTTGAAGTGGTGAGGCCATCGTCGAATCTGCAGAAGCAGCCATTGTATCCAGGCGATCTTGTACAGACAAGCAACCAGGGGTAGAAACCAGAGACAGCGAAGTCGCGAGAAGGAAATCAAGGATATAAGAACAAGAACCCCAGACACGCCAGAACGTAATTGCCGGTCAACACGCAACGGGCGTGTGCGAAACACGATTCAATAATTGAATTTCGAGCATGATGACGATACCATAACTCGACTGGTTCTGGCACTACGATTCAAGGTTAACCAATCGGAAGGGCGGGAAGGTCGATCGGCCCGCGAAATGTGCCTGAGAGATCGATCTATTGCCTCGGCCGAGTTTGGCACGCTGACCAGATTATGCGGAATTATCAAAATCCATTGCTCATGTCATGAGGATTATTGCTGCTGCTCTTGAAACGAACATGGGCAACGAACTTTGGAATGGTGGTTCTTGTGTCTCGGCATTGTTCGTTGGTCTTGCTGCCAAACCCAGCTTTAGTGGGTCGACAGTTCGGTGGCTCACATAAGGATCTAGGCATCTTCACATGAAGGAACTCTGCCTGGTTGATATGTGTTGCAGTGTTGCGCTGCGCCATACGCCATGAGGACGAACACACGAAGAGAGCTACTCGTTCCAGATGCCTACAGATATGCACAAGCGTGACCAAGCGTTTGACACAAATTTCATGTTGCAGAAAAAAAAGATGTATGAAGAATGTGCAGGAAAAGGAAATCTCCAAAACTCAAACCGCACTGTATCCACCACGGCTGCCGCGATTTTGGATCATACCAACGATGGAGCGACCCCAGTCCTTGACAGTGTAAGGCAAATCGCGCCAGAAATCCGCATGCGGTACCGAGTCGAAGCCTTGCGCGCCATACTTGCTGCTATTAAGCCAAGTTCCGAAAATGAGGTATGCTGCTGCTCCCAAAAAGGCACTATATACCACGTTAGTAAAAAGACGAGCTTGAGCAAAATCAGGAGGATCATTACATGATGAGGAACCAGGTGAAAAAGCCCCAGTGTTTGCTAGTGTTGTTGCCAGAGGAGGGCTTGTGTTCGGTCATGCCCTCGCATGCGTACTTCGTCTTCCATTGCAGACGCAATACATCGAATTCGGCATCGCCCTCTCCCTCTGACCTGTAGCTAATGAGCTTCAGACTAGCATCCTCGGCAGGCTCCTCCTTGTCGTCCTTCTTGTCGTCCTTCTTATCGTCAGGCTCGGCACGAATTGCCAGGCGAGCAGCCTCTTGATCCTCATCGAGTTTGTCCCGTGAATCATGCTCAGAGCCCTCCAGACCGGTCCTGTTGCGATCGCATTGAAACTCGATGATAGCCTTCTGCTGGCGACCGTCAGACTTTTCGAAGGGATATCTTCCTCCGTGTAATTCGACCCTCAGACCCTCCTTATTGGCGTCATCATGTGAAGCGGAGTTCTTCAGACGCGTCCACTCCGGGTCCAAGTATCGACTGTGAGAGGCGGCATACTGGCCAGCAATGGGAACGACTTTCCTGATGGTGCTGGAGTTGTCAGCGAGATTGTAGTCGTACTCGATACCACAAACTGTAAGTCGTAAGTCAGCCGAATGACAGAGGTGGAAAGGATACTAGATACCGTATGTGCCAGTTGGGCATTCATTTTCTTTAGGGACGTTCTTAGTTTTCTTGAGCGGGTTGCAGATGTCGATAGTAAAGGTGGTGTTGGAAAGACTCGGAGGCGTGTCTTCGATTAGGTGAACAGCACGCGGGCCAGCCAACTCTGAGAGATCAAAGTGTTGGCCTTTCACGACGACGTTCTTGCAATCAAGAGAGACGGCTGTGGCCGTCGTCGCAGAGAGGAGGAATAGAGCGGGCAATGACCCGAGCATGCCTTGTGCCCACATGGCTATAGGAAGCTGCCGGAAAGAGTCGCCGACTTGGATATGTAGAGAGAAGACTCGGCGGTGCGGTTGCAACAAGATCGACGGAGCAGGAGGCAGAAAAGGTCGGAGCTGTACAAGGGACAATAACAGTGCGAAGAGGAAATTGAGAACAGGGCGCGCTATCAGACACGGCAATCAAAGTGTAGGGTAAGGTAAAGTAGTGCCAAGCAATGCCCGCACTCTGGCCTGTACCTCTATACCTTAGACTCTTTGCTGCTCAGACCTGCCACGACACAATCACGAACACAATCGAGTGCCATATCTCCCGTCATGTCTCGTCATGCGCGAATCGAAGAAGTGTCCGACAGTGACTCGGACCCGTCGGAGATGGATCCCTCGGAATTCGATCCTGGCCTTATGAACTCCATCATCCAACCCGCCAACATTCCCTCCACCGCCCCTCAATACTCGCAACAGCAACAGCCTGTCCTCCAGCCCCATTTCCCGGGCCGCCCACCGCCAGACCAGAATGCTGAACGCGAGCGCACCAAGCATTACCAGTGTCTATACCCCATCTACTTCGATTCATCTCGCTCCCGCGCCGAAGGTAGACGAGTAGGAAAGAACGAGGGCGTCGCAAACCCGCTAGCCCAAGACATTGCCAATGCCTGTTCACAGCTGCCTGTTACCGGCCAGGTTGTATTCGAGCCTGCAAAGACACACCCCAAAGATTGGGCCAACCCCGGCCGCGTGCGTGTCTTGATTAAGGAGGACGGAAAGCCTGCAGGAAGAGGCTCCATTAAGAACAGTAGGCCGATGATTGTTCTTCATTGATATGTTCATTTCTGACATTACGCAGAGCACCAGCTGTACAAATTGGTTGCCGAATACCTACGAGCCCACCCCACCACTGAGGAGTCGCCTATGCGCATGCGTATTGCCGGTCTGCCACCTCCGACCAAGCCCATCCCACCACCAGCTGCACCTAAAGGTTGGAAATTGGGTACGATATTACCATTACACTCTCCCGCTCTGAGCGGCGGCGGCGTCAACGAGAACTACTTTAAGGATATGATGCAGGAGATGCAGGGTATGCAGGGTCAGCCTGGTATGCCCACACTGCCTGCGGGTATGGAAAGCATGTTTGGCGGCGGGCCATCTGCTGCGCCTGAACAGCCTGCTTCCAAGAAAAAGGATAAGAAGAAATCCAAAGCCTAAACGCCCGTCCAATCGCTGGAACGCCCGATCGCCTCCATCCATCTAATATACAGAACACCTGACACGAATGCTTGACATGATCATTTACGACGTCTTGATGACCTTAGGTGGGGTCATGGGCAGCTCGGTCTTGAACACCCAGTCCCAGAAACGACTGGTCACACCAAAGCCGTTCTCGTAATCGGCAAAGTGATGCGCCAGGTGGTATTTCTTCAGCTCGCGCCAGTAAGCAGGAAGACTAAAAAATGTCAGTTGAAGCCCTTTGCTGTAGACGGGCGGAGCAACTTACGTCTTATGGTGCAAGAAATAATGAGTCAGATCGTAGCAAATGTATCCAAAGATACCACCACAAAAGACTGCAGTAGCAGCGTTCCAGTCATAGAAGAAGACAGTGTGAGCCAAATACCAGAAGGGCGTGGCAAGAACTAAGAACAGAGTTGGAGGCATGACCAGACGCAATCTGTCCATAGGCAAGTAGTGGTGAATGCCATGGAGCAGGAAATGAAGTGTGATGCCAACGCGGTTGTCAGGTAGATACTGATCGAGGTGGAACAGGAAGCGATGCAAGACATATTCAACCAGCGTCCAGATACAGAGGCCAGTGATCCAGTAAGAAGCGAGGCCAACAGTAGAAAGTCCTTGGCTTGACAGGTAGGTGCCGTATGCGACCGGTGGCACCCAAGCGGTAGGCACAACCCACCAGGGAGTCTTGCTCAGAGGCTCAAGGAAGTTGCCAAACAACGGCGCGCTTTCTCCACCCTTGTAATGGCGAGGGCGGTGTACTTGCTCGAGATAGAACTCCTTGGTGAAACCGCCTCTCCAAACCTGCATCAACAGAGGCTTGTTGAGGTCGAGAAACTTGTGGGTACGATAATCAGAGGTGGCGTCCGTCTCTTTCGACAAGTCTTCCTCGCAAGACATGCCAGTAGTTTCGTAGAGTGGCTGGTTGACACCGTCTTTACGTAGCTGCTCGGCACCGCTTTCTGAGGGGGGCAGGGGTACGATGTCGACGGGGTGAGTGCTGTTGGTGACCGACTTCATGACTGCCTCGGTAGCGACAAAGCCGACAAGGTAGTCGTCGAGGATCTCCCAAGCAGATTCCGAGTGGAAGTGGGAGGCTGTGTCGTCCATTATATCCTTGACATCCTTGCCGCCGTATTCAACTATCAAGTCACCACCACCAGGGTGATCCTCGAGGAAAGGAGTGATGTCGTAGACCTTGGTACCGACGGTGACATAGCAAGACTTGGCCGTGTTGTGCGAGGCGACATCGGCCTGAGGAATGGTGGGCAATGTTCTACCGGGCATATTGGCGCAAAGAGCTGATCAGGTATGAGCCGAAGAGCGGCGGGTTGGTCGAGTGTGGTTAGAAGCAAGAGGCCAGATGTTGTGTCGAAAGGTCAATTGGCGATTGCAAGTCAAGGCGGAAAAAAGGGCGAGAGCAGGCAAATATAACAATCTCCTGAAAATGCAAACGTAGGCAACGAGGTTTGGAAAACTAACTTAAGTGAGGTGATGGGTGGCGTGCCTCTCAAGCAACCCTTTCAGGGAAATTTGGACGGGGCGCAAACACCGACATCTGGGCGGGCCGCAACATGCCGGAGAGTCTCGCCGCGCCGAACGCGTCCGCCAGCATGTCGACTGATTTTCTACCCTGATTCGAGCCTCAACAGGGGGACCTGAGAGTCTCGTCAAGCATGGTTGTGTTCAAGTCCATAGTATATATGTATACATCGCAGTGCTCACGTTGTTGCCAAAACAAACGCTGCCTTGTCTAGCGCTTTTGACATCTGAGCAGGCAAAATCGAACGACTCCGCCAAGCACGTCCCGCGACTTCCCTTGTTCTCTACAGTGAATTTGCTCTCTTCTTTCACAACCACTACGTATATCATCGCTTTCAAACTTTGGCACTGTCTACTGCAATACCACCATACCTCTCATCAACCAGCCTCTACCTCACCCCAGTATCAGCGTGCCTATTGCTCACGCCTACCTACGCCGCAAGTCAGCGCAAGCCTCTGCTTTGCTTAGTTTTCTCACCAACCAGTCATCATGGGTGCCTTAGACATCTCAGTTGAAGAACTTCTCGAGTCCGCACAGAGAGACGCCTCCGCCCAAGAGGCACAAACTACCACGACCAACAACAAGGACGATGACGGCGCCCGCTCTCGCCGCGGCACAACAGCCGATGTTGACATGAAGGACTCAGACAACGTCTCTGCTAACGGAAGCACTCGTAGTAGACGTAGGGACCGCAGCGGTGACCGCTCCTCGCGCCGCCCCGATTCGCGTGATCGTCGCGACCGCTACCGTTCCAATGGTGGTGACTTTTACCGCGGAAATGGCCGTAACAGAACTAGATCCCCTTCAGACGATGACAGGTACTACCGCCCTTCAGATCGTTCGCGCAGAGACGATGATCGTCCTCGTCGCCGCGACAGAGATCGTGGTGACCGTCGCTCCCCTCGTCGTGACCGTGGCGACTCATACCGTAGCGGACGTGCTGCTCGTGATAGATCCCCTCCTCGCCAGAGGACTCCTGAACCAACCGATGATGAGCGCGACCGCCGCACGGTTTTCGTCCAGCAACTTGCCGCTCGACTACGCACCAAGGAGCTCGAGGCCTTCTTCGCCCAAATCGGTCCTGTCAAGGAAGCTCAAATTGTCAAGGATCGCGTCAGTGGCCGCAGCAAGGGCGTTGGCTACGTTGAATTCAAGGAAGAAGAGTCGGTTCAGAAGGCACTTGGCTTGACTGGCCAGAAGCTTCTCGGTATCCCCGTTATTGTACAACTCACAGAAGCTGAGAAGAACCGCCAGGCTCGTGTAGCAACCGGACAGCCCACCCAATCTAACGGCATACCCTTTCACAGGCTCTACGTCGGCAACATTCATTTTTCTGTCACCGAGGAAGATCTGCGCGACGTCTTCTCACCTTTTGGTGAGCTCGAGTTTGTTCAATTGCAAAAGGAGGAAAATGGTCGTAGCAAGGGTTACGGGTTTGTGCAGTAAGTAACGATGACGACCACCATATCCTTCCGCTTGCTGACCATTCTTGTAGGTACGTTGATCCTGCTCACGCGAAGGCAGCACTCGCCGACATGAACGGCTTCGAAATCGCTGGTCGTCCCATCCGTGTTGGTCTTGGTAGCGACAAGTTCACCCCCGAATCGACCGCTAGTTTGTTGCAGCGCTTTGGCAGCCAAAACCAGGCCGCTCAATTCCAAGGCTCGTCCTTCTCGGGCGCCGGAGGCCGTGGTGCCCACGCTGGCGGCAACAACAACTTTGATCGCGCTGGCGCCCGCGAAGAGAAGGGCACTGGAGGTGCTAGTGCTCTCGATGACGCCGATGTTGGAGGTGTCAATTTTAACAACTTCAGCAGAGACTCCCTCATGCGCAAGTTGGCTCGTACTGAAGACCCTGCTCCACAGACTCAGACCACCTCGTCTCGCCCCCGTGCCGACGCCAGAAATACCGTCATGCACACTCCAGCCCCCAGTCGTTGTATCGTCGTCAAGAATGCTTACGACGAAGCTACGTGAGTTTTCATCCTTCGCATTGTAATTGAATCCTGCTAACGTTGGACCAGCCAAACCGATCCCCACTGGGCCAAAGACCTCGAAGAGGACTTCAAAGAAGAGTGCAGTTCTAAATACGGCAAAGTCGTCCACATCGGTGTCTTCCGCGATAGTTCTGACGGCGAAATTTACGTCAAGTTTGCCGATATTGCTGGAGGCGACAGCGCTCTTAAGGGCCTCAACGGCAGGTACTTCGATGGCCGCACGCTGACGGCCACGCCAGTTGTTGATGCCGTTTACAACATGAACTTTCCCAAAGCTGCCAGTCTTTAAGAAAGGCTAGATTGGGCACGAACAAACACGACAATTCAGATTAGTGCTGACGATGCAGATTGCATGTTTCCGCCTGACAATAACCTCTGGGGGATCTCCAAATTTTGATCTGCAACGAAAAAGGTATAACGACACCACAGATACTCATGACTAGCAGACATGCGTTCACAGACTGACCGCATCTTGATATACTCGATGGCAGTGCTTTGCTCACCATCCGATCATATGATGATTGCAAATTCCGCTCTTTGTCATTACGAGAGATCGGGCGGCAAAGGCAGGATGCTGTACGAACCGAGTCTAGACTGGCTCCAGCAAACAAGATTGGTGCCATTGCAACTGAAAAATGTACTTTGATTAGGTAGAAATGCAATTCGTTCTTTTTGTACTTCCTTGTCCACTTGTACTTGGCTTCCTTATGTGCTTCATCGTTATCTCTGTTCTGTGACATGGGACGTCATGCAGGATCATCAAACTAAGATAGATTGTAATTCTTTTTGATCCTTGATAGTCTTTAGTACGTGTTCTCATGCAATTCCAGTACCTCGGAGATATTCACTTGTTACTGATTTACGATATTGTCTTTTCACAAATATACCGAATGCTAGTCTCTGTTGTGTCTATCGCATGTCGACACTTTCTGAACTAAGGCAGACAAGCCCAAGCTTCCTTGCTCTTTAGATATTGCCAAAACCCAAGCGGGTACGCTACCACTCTTTTCTGTCCGCTTAAAGAACCATCTCGTCGAAATCTCTGTACATTGTTCTAGCTGATCACTCCTCGATTGGCCTTTGATTCCTTTGCCCTTCTTTTCCAGAGAGCTCCAACACTTCTGTCACTTTTGTCAAGCCTTGCGAGAATGGGTACGGGGACGAGATTGTCTTTGAACTGGTCCGCCGTGACTTGCTTGACCACAGGGCTTTGTTTGAGCCACTGGACGGCGTTCTTGGGTGGACTAGGTGATCCATCATTGTCACGTACACGACGTCGTTCGAATAGCCGGAATGGCAGATCTGGAGGTAGGTGTCTGTCGTGTAAGGGTGAAGGCGAGGAGTTACCATCCAGAAAAGGGTTGCTGCTGAACTCGGAGTACGGAGATGTTGGTGAATTCGCTGGGTTCGTGTCGATCATTTTCGATGGAAGTGTTTCCGTCAAGATTGTTCCAGCAGCACGGTGGACTACCGAAGCGGTGTCTTTGGGTCGACTCACCAGGCTGTTCGAACTCGGAGCAAGAAGTATGTTTCTGTCTTTCCAGCTTCCTTGAGGTGTTGGTTCCTGAGATCGTCGCTGTAGTAGCATACCGCGTACACAGTCACGATCTCGAGTCAAGCAGCTTCCGAGATGAGAAGGTTGAGGCTCAGCAGAGCTGCGAGTTGGATAGTGTTGTCCGGATGGGTCTATATCGAGAGGCTGGTGAACCAAGGTGACCTTGTCCTGTAGCCTTTCAACAGCCTCTGGTGCGAGATCGGATACTTGCTGTCCAGGAGTAAGGGGTCTCCAACAGCTGAGCAAATCTGTTTGCACATCTAGCATACCGCTCAATCCGAGCTTCTCGTTCTGATGCTCGATCATGGTCTTGGATCGCTGACGTGCCCATTTCCTCGCCTTTCGAAACTTCGTTCCCATTGTCTCCATGTCGGCGAGAGCAGTATCCACACTGTCAATGTCGCCTTCCACGGTGTATCGAATCCACTCACGACAAAAGCAAACGCGGGTACTGAGCATGTCTGGTCGACGCATTGAGCCTAATAACAAGGCACCTAGAGCCATGGCAGTCTCCAGATTACCTCCCATCCTTGCCAGGATACAAGCAACGCATCCATCAGCTTGATATGCGAACCTCGAAGTAGGCAAGCGGTCAAACTTCTCCCTGAATACGGATGGCGGAAGCCACAGTGACTGTAGCTCATCCATCAATGCTAGTTGTTCGGTCTGTGAAGCTGACAGGGCACCAGCTAAGGCCACATACTGCCAGACCTCTCGTGTCCTCACCTCAGCCTCGTATCGTAGAGCCGCAAAGATATTCTCCAGAGGTTTGATGTTCAGACGACGATGTAAATAGCAGGAGCCGTGATTGGCGGTCCAAGGCAAGAAGCTTGGGAGTGAAGGGGGTGCTTTGAGCTTAGGTCCGAGCAGAGCAATGCGCTGATTCGTGTGGGACACATAAGCAGTCCATACTGCTCCATCCCGGGGTGTGTTGGCTGGTGGAGCGTGGCAAAGGATTGATGCTAGCTGGCTGACTTCGAAAGGAAACAGATCATCGTAGCCTCTGGCACGACGATGTGTAGGCAAAGCTGGAGGCGGTGCATGGCGGCGGCGAGGTCTCCAGATCCCTTGCTCTTCGGGTGAGCAGGCCTGTGCAACGGAGAGGTAGGACAGCGACGAGCACGTTGATGTCGCTGAGGTGGCGCTTCGCTGGTCAGCGACCTGATGTACCATGTTTTCGACGACCACACGAATCTTTCGGTAGTAAATGCGCTTGTCAGTAAGAGGTGGGACTTTATCTTGAAGCCGAAACTAACCTTTTGATGAGACGTGAGATTGTACGCAGAAGGTGATGATATCAAGGAATTTGCGCAATAGTAAAGGTTTCCAAGTTGTTGGCCACACAAAGACGGGAATATGAGACGAGCAATTGTTTTGAGCGCTTTTCCGACAAGATTCTACAGATGACCTACATATCAGTAACATCATGCCGACATGCTTGAGCATAAAGAAATGGCTTCCCTTGGCAAAAGTTATCTTTCAAGACCCGAGTAGAACCTTCTGACTCGCCAGTGCTGGCCTGCCATGATCTTTGCGAGACATCTGTCTTTCACCAAACCCCGTCATGCGTTTCTTGTGTCTTTGAAAATCGTGCTAGAGACCTGTATTACACTCAAAGAGTGTACAGTCAATTCTACACCAGGAATTGGCAATGATGGCTAAGAGTGTTGATAAAGAGCTTAGGTCAACGATGATTTAGATGAGACATAACACAAATGAGGAAGAGAATGTTTTTCGGGCCCATAGGGCGTAAAATAGCATATGAAAGACCTATCTCGATGCCACTACCGAGTACTGGTGTAGTGATGTTCTGCTCCCTTTAACCTTTGAATTTACAAAAATGATCCTTCCTGGCTCCTTGATAGGGAAAAAAAAATCGCAATGCCGCGTGATGCAGAAAAACAAAATGAGACATGATGTTTGGACAAAAACTCGCTAAAGACTCCTTCAACGTTCGCAAAGACAGAAAATGTGATCAAGGCAGATCTAAACTTTTTGCCCAGAAGGACGATGCTCCGACAGTGCTTCTCAGCAGTGCCGAAGAATGCATGGTGCTTATGACATTAACTGGCCAACCTCGAGAGTCACCTCTGATGGCTGGACAGAGCATGGTGCTTGGTGGGGAGACAGGGTGAGAGAATGTCATAACAGGTATTTCTACCTAGTTCTCTTGCTCCGTGATGTGTATCGTTTTGGTCGTTAAATGCAGAATTCATTGTGGGAAATTTTGGCCTTGAGACATCATGTGTCTCAAAGTCCGGGGACAGTCCATGCATTGAAGTTTTGCATTGAACTTGATCGTGGTGGATGCCCATAGACAGGGTTGACGTTGATGCAGAAAGAGCAAACATATGCATGCTGGGAAGGATCAATACCAACACAACCAGAGTGAGAATACATAGCACAAAGGTTGCATTGGACCATCCTACCATCGTCGAATGGAATCTGGCAAATGCATCGTGTCATAGAGCTCATGTCGTTCGTAAATGATTGCTGAGGGGATGCCGAAGTGAAGGCCACGGGCTGATAACCCATTGTGAAGGAGCCGCGCGGATCGAACACTGGTGCTGTGGACGTAGCTGTGGGGTAATTGATGCTATGCGATTTTGCGTGAGTGTGAGGGTGAGGGAAGACTTGATTGTTTTGGGGCAGCTGCTGTATCTGTTGGACTTGCTGTATATGCTGAGGTCTCTGTGGTTGGGGATGTTGTATCGCTTGGGGCGGTTGCATCTGTTGCATTTGATGCGATTGAGGCGGCTGTTGTACTTGCTGTAAATGACGAGGTTGCTGAGGCTGCGACAACTGTCGAGGTCGTGTGGCGCTCGGAAGTGCCATGTCTGAAGGAACAGCGCGGACAGGTTGGTCTGTGGTATGGTCAGTTCGATTGCAGCCTGGCAAGAGTCGAGTCTACCTACTAGGCGGAGAGATTCGTTGGGCAGCAGCCTGACGAAGCGCAGAACCAGCATCCGTTTTAACCTGCATCTCATCTTTATTCAAGTCCATGGCGGCCAGGTTCTCAAAAGAGCTATTCAGGGAAGACAGCGTGTTGCGTCGACTTTGCACACTTGCCGGTCGTTGTTGCTTCTTGGCACTTCCCTGTCGTCTGAGTTGCATTGCGGCTGCATAAGCAGCTTTGCATGGAGTCTTCAATGACGCCGTTGAATTGGAACGTGGTAGCCGTGCCATCTCGAGATTGTCCGACGACGTGTCAAGCCTGGCAATCTTGGCCGATCGCTCCTGACCAGCATTGGCGTGCGCAAGAGAGTCATGACGGCTCGGCCACTTGCTGCCACATGTCGAGTCCGAATCACTGTCCGAGTCATCCCAGAGGTTGGGATACTTATCCTTGATTGCTTGCGAGTCCTTTTTCGATTGAATGGGGCTCTCTTCGATCACTCTAGTTTCGGTCCTAGCAGTTCCATTGGCGTCAATTGTAAGAACAACAGATGTGCGAACCTGTGGTCGTGCGGTCTCAGCAATTGAGGACAAGGATCCGCGTGCTATTCGCTTCAGCGGGGAGGATCTACGTGGAAGGTTGCAAATAGAATTGCTTCGACTAAGTGAAGATGCAGCTCCAGAGGCTTGCGATACGATTTCAGGGCTGGGTTTCAAGAAGTTTCCGACCGTGTTGCTGCGTTGCAGACCGGCTCCTTTGACTGGTGAGCCCTGACCCGAGGTCGAGGGAAAGGCAGGGGCCAGACATGGCTTCCCAGGTGACACAGGGCGTGTTGCTGGAATGTTGGGGAACTTGATTTGCACGGGCGATGATCGGGGCTGCATTTGGTCCACGCTGAATGGCATGGAAGGCTTTTTGGCAGCAGTAGGAGTAGTATAGGGAACGTTGTTGGAACTGGTAGAGCGAGTGATGGTAGGACGTGCGGGAGCCGAGGACTGAGAAGAAGCTTGCGATTGGGCCGACTGAGAGGCATGATTGGGCTGAGAAGATTGAGAGGATTGAGTGGACCAGTGAGAAAAGGGGTCGTCTTGGTTGGCGGTCCAGGCAGGAGCTGATAGCGGAGCAGATGAGGGTCCAGAGAGCTGGGTCCAGGAGCTCAACGAAGCCTGAGAGGCATTGAAGTCGAAAGTAGCATTGTCAAAGTTGGGCTGACGGAGAGCGGTGGATGTTAGAGGCGTGGTGCTGTCTAGTCGTTGTGGTCTTCGCTTGGTGGACGAGCCTCGAGTGGGAGGGGGTGTTTGCATCTGGAATACCTGGGACTGGGGTTGGGGCTGAGGCTGGCTAGGAACCTGACTGTGGCTTTGGCTTTGGCTCTGGCCTTGGGCAAAGAGTGGACTGGAGGCATAGTCGTAAGTGTGATAGGCATGTTGCTGGTGTTGGTGCTGGTGCTGCAGCTGTGGTGGGTAGGCTACATAGTGTGGATTGCTGTCTACCGAGGCAGCAGTGGCCGTCGAGGCTACCGAATCTCGCTTGTGGTGGGCATAGTCGTATGTGGGAAAGGCATCGTGAAAGTGCGTCTGGGTGGGCGTGGCGGCATTGCTGTTGCTGTTGCTGTTGTTGTTGAGATTGATGTCAAAGACGGTCGTGGTCGGGGTGGATGTGGGTGTAAATTGTTGCCAGTCCCTGTGACAAGAAGAAGCGTCACGTCAGCGCTGGGCAGCAGCCATTTGCGTACGGCTTACGGATACGTGCTTGGTTGGCCGCTCGCTTGCATGCACGACTTACCAATTCATGTTTGCACCTGCTGCCTCGAACTGGCTCATCTTTGTCACCACAACAAGAGTGCGGATTCTATGGCAAACGGCAGACCCAAGAGTGTACGAGTTGGGTCTATGTACGAAAGTTGGAACCCTACCTTTGCTCTCTCACGGTCCAGTCCGCTTCAGAAACGTCCCTTGCAGTCCGCCGACACATGCCACACGCCGTAGCTCACCAACAACCACTCTCCGTCGCCCATAGCGCTGTGCAGATGCCGAGACTGTCAGGACCGTTTGCACCTCATCTTTAGACTTTCGCCAAACCAGTCTGCTTCCGCCGCTCCGCGATGCCCATCGCCCGCTGTTTCCTGGGTGCACGCCGTTGTCTGCTAAATCCAGTCTGCTCCAGGGTCCGTTCTGCGCTCCTGCCTCGCGAGTCGCCATTATTGCGTCAGCCCATCTGCTATCGCCTTATCGCTCTTGCGTCCTCTGCGAATCCGCCTGTGAGTGCGAGGAACACCGCATGCCCATAGCAGACCTGTCCAGGTGAGCAACGCACGATAGTCTGCTCACAAGACTGCATCACCCTCATCTGCTCGCTCGCTCGCTCGCTCCCGCGACCAATCTCTCCTGATCATTACGTTGCAACCACCCGGTGCTCGTTTCTTGAACCCCTTTTTTTGTTCAAAGGCCGTGAATGCTCCGCTTGGCCAAAAACTACTGTTGGTGAGAAGCTTCTAGTAAAACGTAAAAGACCTAAAATCCAAAAGCTTCCAAATTTCCCTGTGCAATGTGCACAACAGGCAGTTGCTAGCCAGGCACAAGGCTGAGCTTTGCTCGTTTGAGCACGGTCGTTGTATCCACCACAACTTTGTTGTTGATTCACAATATTCCCTCTCAACACTCTCAAGCCTGTAAGCCACCTGTTGCTTCTGCATCTCGCTTTCTTATATGATCGCACGTGGCCGTGGCAGGGTTCCTTTCCCTGGCTCGAAATATGTCCTGATATGGATCCAAACGCCTCGGTTGGCTCCCAAACTCTACCCTTGGCATCCAACCTTGTCCGTTTTCTGCACGTACACTCCAGCCTCTTGACCCAATTACGACCATGTCAGCCCTCGAGATGTTGGCTTTGCATATCCCATCTCGGCTGAAAAGTCTTTCCATTACTGAGCTGGCAAACGGTTCCCGTATCTAGCACTGTCGGATCGCTCGATCATCGATTATTATCTAACCAAGCTATCTACACAAGCGCCGGGCAATTGACTTCATCTGCCCGGACGGGATTATGCAGGCACGTTTATCCGAGGTCCAAGATCCCACACTATTCCCAAGGTGACCTTCACGCTCGCTCGTACTCTAAAAAGCACGTTCTTTGTAAGCCCTACTCTGCTTCCACAAACAACCTGCGATGACATTATCTGCGAGGGCTACTAGAGTCATGTCACCACACGGACAGTCGTCGTTCGTCAAGCTCAAAACACGTGAAAATAGGACGTTTTACCCCTCATTCAACACCCATTATTCTCCAGAGTTCAGCTCAGTGGCTCACTCGGGTGACGACGATCTGCCGTCCCCAGATCGACACTTCCTTTACCTCTATTGTCGAGGTTGCTTGGCTGGTCAGTTCTACAATATGCCGCGCTACCCGTTTCTTCATCCTGTCGACATGCAGATGTTTGGTCAAGCAGTAGATATGTGAGAATGATGAGTCTGCTGGTAGGTTTTCTTCTCCCTCCATGCATGTCTCTCTTTCCTTGACATTAATTCACACCTTCTGTGTGTCTTGCAATCGATCATTCTCCACTCTTCTCGTAAGCGAAGGCACGCTTGCAAGCGCATGTCAACGGCTGCGGTCCTAGCAGAAACCAGCGCAGCCACGGGACAAAGAATCGGAGCAAGGCTGCAAGTTGACATTCCAATTCAAGTTAGAGGACGAGAAGTCACCTCGTGCAAACTCCACCTCGCATTCGAGTTTACGGAGCCTCAAAAAGGTCAGTACCTTGGCCCCCAATGACAGAGACAATCCTCACAACTGGTCAAATAGGCAAGAATCCTTCGTTGTCTTCAACGAAATGGCTTTGATCTGTCTTCATGCTGAATATCGATCGCTCTCCTAATAAGAAGCCTAGGTCATGTCTACAACTATAGGTCTTCTATAGCAGCGGGAGCATCACACCAATAATTCGTTACTTGTTCTGTTATCACGAATCAGGCGCAGCTCATGTTGCCAACGTCTTCATCTATGATCGTCAATCTCGAGGATACATCCTGTGGCCCGCTGCTTTTCGGGCCACTAAGTGAGAGCTACGGCCAAGAATGGGTCACGATATCAGCTTTTGTAAGGATTCGTGCTGGGGTCGTTTGATTGCTGTGACAATGCTCCTCATCTAGGCACTGTTCACTGCTTTTACACTAGGCTGTGCTTTAACAAATGACTTTGCAACTTGGTACTGAGATTGTTAGGGGGCCTTGGCGATTCCAGTCATTATATCCGTGGTGGGTAGGTGGGTGTGTATGCAGGCCCACAAACGTGGTTCGAATGCCCCAATTGAACGTCTTGCCAATGTATATGTCGGCGTATTCCTTGGTCCTGTAACTAGAGGTCGGACTTCGACTATCTTCAGGACTGTCAGTGATACGCATTGCATGCCGCCCCACAATGTGAAGAGGGCGCTGATTTCCAAACCCACAATATGTCCGAGCCTAGTTGCAGCAATAACTGCTATCTCTGAGCATGTTCACAGGGGTCAAGTATATCCGCGGGTCATCTGTATTCAGATGTGGGCTTATATACCTCGTGATGTGCACGATTGGTCTCTGCCAGTTGGCGATGTTGACAATCCTCGATGCTAGCCTTCAAGCAGAAAGAGGTAGAGAGAGCATTGAGGAGCTAATGACGGACGCAGGCAACGACGTTTAGCCTAATCCACACATTCAGCTAATCCTTGAGCCTATCATATCAGGATTTATCGAGTCGTATCATGGCGCTGGACTTTCTGGCTCTGGTTGATTAATATAGCTGGAGGGACCTAATTCATCATGCTGTTCAGCCCAGGAACTTATGCACCAATGATCCTTACTGTGCACACATGGCGTCCTCGCAAGGAAACGGCGACCCCAACATTTTTGCACCGCTTGAGCTCGAGCATCGTGACCTGACCCAGATGATCACTTGCGTTCTGACCCGATCGGTGAGGATGGTCTTCAATCGTGCTATGCAGTTGCCTGTCCCTCGCGTACTCAATCTTCTACATGTATTTGCAAGCCTCCCCAGCGACTTTCAGTGGGATCTAGCATTTCGAAGTTACAACCCTTCTCGCGTGAGGTCTAACCCTCTATTTGTTCTGGATAGAGCAAAGGCACACGATCCTTCTGCTGCATGGTCGCAGAGTGAAGAACGCCGACGTTTGCCTCTGGCATGCCCTTGGTCGGTTTTCATATTCAATTGTTTCTGGGTTGCATGTATGCTGCATCACGAGGCTACAGCTCGAGCCGTCGATTCACTTGATGTCTCCGCACTTGCCACGGTCCTGAAGCCACAAACTATATGGACGTCCGAGGAGTTTCGGCGGTTGTGGCTTGATTGGCATCGTGATGAACTCCTGGTCTTGTGTCGTGGTTCATGCAGAACTCTGTGTTAATTGTGCCTTCACCTGTGCCTTTCAGTATGGGATTCCTGCTACTGTTCGTGTCGTTGATCAAGTGTTTCCCATTTCCATCCAATCGCCTCGATCCGTCGTACGCCGATGCTACCGTAGGGAGATACCTTGTTGATGCGGTCGAAGTGTTTGAAGCAAAGGAGCTTGTTTGATGCGGTTTTACTGTACCACTCGCGGCCAGACCGATCTAAGTAGCGAGCGTGCAAGTTGCCCGAACACGAATCGTGGGCCTCTTGATCTCGCAACGGAGTATTGACCCGAGTGCGCACAGCCTCTCTGCCGCCACAGAGTAGCATTGCTAGCAAATGCGGGAACAGGACAACAGCTTACCAAGAACATACTGACTTCCAAAAGGTATCAGCGCTTGGGTGTCGTGTGGGCCTGTCCATTGCTAGGCTTCCTAAGTTTGGCAATGTATGCATTATCCCGTTTGCCTTCGTCCGCTTTGGGAACAGCATTCGGGAGAGGAGTAGCTTCTGGCAGTTCTTGAAACAAACCAAGAGAGTGAAGAGCGGGAAGTGCAGGAGCGAGGGATGCAGGAAAGTGGGGTCGACAAGGCCACGGCTGTGGAGAAGCTGGTTCAAACGGACACGCAGTAGAAAGTCTTGGTTGGGTTTGGACAACAATATTTGACGGGATGTGTGAAATTTTGGTTGAACGGTTTGACTCGGACGTGCAGTTCTCGCTGGCCGGAACAAAGTCAAGTATGGTTTAGTTAATCAATCGGTGGGAATGCGACGAATCCTACAATCGATTCTCTTCATGCAGGTGCAAAGTTACTTCCGTATGCAGAACAGATGCTCTGTGCATGAACCCAGGGACAAGATTTGCATGATCAGTACTGTAGTCTGCAAGATAGCGTTTGCTGCTCGTCTCGCTTTGCCTGTTTTTACATACTACAAATGCGGCTATCTTCCCTAGTGGTGCTGTTGAAGATCGTAACTACTAGCAGCATTCATTTTTCTATCGTGTTGATCCTACGAGCACGCTTTTTTCATCCTTCATCTCGTTCACATGGCTTGTGTTCGATCAGCGGCCAGGAACTCCGCGGGATTCGAATCAGCAGGGATCCATAGTGATCGGCCTCGGGATTGTGTTATTAACACCATGAGCTGAGATACCATGTTTTCAGCAGTGCGAACTTCTTTGGCCGCTCAACAATATGCTTGACGGTCAGTTGACGAGCAATTGGTGTATAACATCAATAAAAGCTTCTTTGATCTACATAGTCCTCAGCATAAACCGGGTCTACCTTAAAACGCCTAGGCCCCATTCATCTCTGCGAAACACCGGCCGAGAGCATATGCTTTTCATGCCCAAATACTCCAAAAGTCTCACCTGTGTCCACTATCCTTTCCTAGCATGGGCTGCTTCCGCCTTGCCTCGGTATATCTGCTTGGCATCCTCCAATTTCATTCCCATAGTGGAGCAACAACCTCAACAGCCCGTTCGACCACGGCACGGATCCTGTCGGCCATGCTTCGCATGCCACACTCTACTTCGAGCGTCTCAAGCCAAACTTTGGCTACAATCTTGTCCACTTTGATCTCCAGGCCTGGCACAGGTATGCCTGCTCTATGCAGGCGTTCCAGCTCTGCCATTTCCAGCTGAGCCCTGGCTTTCTCTACTGCTATAGGATCGTCAGAGCTACTAGTGTCGTCGAGGATGTTGAGTTTGGGCTTCGAGATTGGTGTGATGGCATCCTCGCCGAATTGAGCTTCGAGGAACATGCATAGACGTGAGAGCCTTTCCGACGGGCTGATATGTGCGTGGAGGTTACGCTTGTGTTCGTGGTGATTGTGTGAATGGGGACTCGATGATTCTGCAACTCTGTTAGAACTCCAGCCAGATGACCTTGCTTGGATCTGAGACTCACGCTTTACAGCCGCAGGGCTGCTTTCGACTGTGAACAGAACAGCAAGCACGGCATCGGCAATTCCGTCATTAGCAACGTTGCCTTCCCACTCGACTTCGACCTCTCCACGATCAGCCACCCTGACCCTGACTGAGCCCATAACCTCAAAGATGGTCTCCTGTTGTCTTTCTAGCTCCTCATCGGCCTCCTCAACCTTTGCACCGTTTCCATTGGCCTCTGCCTTTGCCTCTTCACGAGACGACGAAATTGTCTTAATGGCTCCAAAAGTGCCTTCCAGAGCCCATTTAATCAGATCAAGACCCGCAGCTGCAAGTGTCAGCCTTTGGCGGCAAAGAATTGTTGTGGTTGTTAATCCAGCATATTCCTTCAGGTCCTCTGGCGCCATCAAGCTGAGTTTGAAATCATTTTGCACCAAGACACCCGAGACTACCTGATCCCCATTGGTCGTCTTGAACTTCTTCTCGTCTCTTAGACCGTCTTCATCAGAAGAAGTAGGAGGAGAAGGTGGGGCTGCTGATATCTGGATTTGGTTTGCGAGTCGACCAACCACTTTGGCGATCTTGTCCTGTCTGAATGGAATTCGAAGTTCTTCACAATTTGCTGGGGAGAAGACCTTGACTGGTGTTGCCTTGTTTGCATTGAGAGACAACAGCTTCGACTTGAGTCTCATCATGTTTGTCTTCTCGCCATGTACCAAAATCTGTGATGACCGAGTTAGCACATCTTGCAATCCTGCACTTTGCGATACTACTAACCACAACAGGAGCTGCAACTTCTTCTATGAACTCGCGATTTTCTGTTCCATCAACGTGTGCTGCAAAGGAATACTCTTGGACAGTACACCTTCGAGGTATCATGACTTTTTCTCCTTCGGCACCTGGCTTGCCTCGGCTGCCTACACCTTGCACTCTACCACCCACTTTGCCAGTCATGACGGCTTGGATGCTTTCAGGCTCGGTGAGAATCATCTTCGCCATAGTGCCTTCGACGCTGTAGCCAGTGACAATGACCCCATTTTTCGGATCAGGTGCCCAACGCTCAAGGAGAGCGCGAGACACGCCGTTTTGAAGCATACCGGGAGATGCGAGCATGACACATCCGCCAACATCATCGAATCTGTCGAGTGATTTCAAGTTTCGAATCCAGCGGAAGTCCCAGGGACCTCCAGTGCCGGCTTCACCGCTGCCGCCATCAGCTGTTTGAGCAAGCCTATTTTGAAACATGGACTTGATGTTGTCGTTCATGGCATCAATATAGGTTTGATAGACAAGCATGCACTTTTTCGCTAGATTACTAGCATAGTAAATGGGGTACTTCCTGTACTCGGGGTGTCGGTTCCAGTAGTCTTCAAGGATCAGAAGAAGCTCTTGTGCACGGCCAATAGCGAAGACAGGCATAAGAACACGTCCTCCACGGTTGAGGACACCAGTCAAGCTCTTCATCAGAGCAGTCTCTCGCTCCAGTCTCGGGATGTGGGAGGCAACGCCGAAGGTGGACTCTGTAATCAAAACGTCTACCTTGACACCCTTTGGAGCCGAGGCGGGAATCAGATGACGGTCATGCTCTCTCGAGTAGTCTCCAGTGAACAAGATGTTGAGTCCAGCAATCTCAATCACGTACATGGCTGCGCCGAGGACGTGACCAGCTGGATAAGGAGTTATCCGGATACCTGCGTGAGTATGTGTAGTGTGGAATGCGATGGTCTGGATCATGGGAAGAGTCGAAAGAACATCGGCTTCAGTGTAGAGTTGTGTTGGCTGCTCTGCAGATGCATGAGTGTTCCTAACGAAGCATTAGCTCAACACCATAAGATTTCAGAGAGGACAGACATACTGTACGCGAACCGAGTCCTGCATCAGCCACTTGTAGATGGCTTTGGTCGGGTGGGTCATGAAAACGCGCCCTTTGAAATTTGTCTTTGCCATGACATAGGGTAGCGAGGCGGCATGGTCCAGATGGAAGCTGCACAGAGCGTTAGCTATCGGAGATGCGTATCATGTACACACGACTCATAGATTTGGGCATGCAAAGAGCAAAGATCGAAGTCGGCTCACGGTCACCGGCACACAGGAGAAGTGGTGGAAACAAAATTTCGATTTGATTTATATACAACTGCGGAGGAAGCTGCCTGGGTGTACAGGTTATAGCATGCAGATGCAAGACAGTCAAGGGGAGGAGTGCAAAGAAAGAAACGTGTGCCGATGCAGTGACCGTGAGCGTGGCTGTGGTGAGCAGACCAAGAGGACTTACTGGGTAATGAGAAGAATATCGACGGTGCTCAGGTCGAACTCGTCGTAGAAGGGAAGAGAGGCCAGGCCGTCGTATGCAGGATGAGCACCAGCATCGAGCATGACGGTTTTGCCCTTGTATTGTATAATATGGCACGAGCGGCCGACCTCGTTTCCACCCCCCAAGCACAGAAACATCAGTTCATCAGAGGGGTCGACGGGCTCTTCGGGCTCGGGCGTGGCCGTGTCGAGCTTTCGTTTCGTGGCCATGACGGGCAAAGTTGCTGCTCTGATGGCTGATGACCAGTCGTATAGCGTTTACAGTAAGATTGACGATATAGACAGTGGATTGGTGCGCAAGGAATATCGGATGATTTGTGGCGAGCTTGTTGGTACGGAGTGATGATTACAGAGGAGGAGCTAAGAGAGAGAGGAAGTGACGGCTGTCGACGCGCATCACGGCAGCTTCCGCGCGTCTGCTGGCAGCGCAAAGCATCATCCATCCAACTTGCTGAACTGAGTACACTATGACACTTTCACTTCATCAATAATACCTCGCGCCCTTGACCATCGCATATCTGTCGCCTTGACCAGCACTCTCCTGCTCCGTCGCTGTCACTCCGTCGCAGCCTGCTCTCCATCTATCCGTCTTGCACTCCTCGGCATGCTCTGTTAATACTTTCACCAACTGCTACACCCTTAGCTGCGCAGCGGCCACGGCCGCAACATACATCATTCCACCTACACCTCCGTAGTCGCCATCATGTCGCACAACATGGCTACCCCTCAGCAGAACCCGCCCCAGCTACCCCAGCAATCACTGCCTCAGCAACAACAGCAGCCCTCACGACCCATTCCTCATCCTCCACAGCAGTCGCAACAGCCACATCAGCCCATGCAGCCTGTCTCGCGTCCTTACTCGCCCTATCAGAACAATGCCACACCAGCCGCCATCGCTCTGCCTCCGGCCAAGAGACCACGCCTTTCACCTAATCCTCAGTCACCTCACACTGCTCAGAGTCCATATCCGCCGCCTCCTGCCCTTCCCGAAAGTCCTTATGCCACTTACTCGCCCATGACTGCTGGTAGTCCTCCCGCTTTCAATGCGCCTCAGCCCTACGCTCCTTCACCCATGCCTGGAGCCATGGGCCCTCCTCCACGACCTACGCAGGAAAAGGCTGAGAAAGAGGACAAGGAAAAGATCACTGACATCAGCGACGTTACTGATGTCTTCCACGGTTCGGGTATCGATCTTAGGGAAGAAGAAAACTACATGACTAGCACCTACAGAAACGTGCATAAGAACACGTCCTTCAACACCTCTTTTGGCTCCAGCACAACTGCCGCTTCTCCAAACAATAGCTTTGGTCTGGTCTCGCAAGGCAGTTTCGGGAGTCAGCCTGCTTTTGCGGGAAGCGGGCCTATTTCGCAACCTCCAGTTTCGCAAGAATCTGTCAAGGACGAGATTGATCAGAAACACCGCGCCGCTGCACTTGCACTCAACGAGAAGCGTCAGCAGCACCTGACTGATCCGTTCCTGCAAGCTAACAACATTCGTCATCGCATGCACCGCATTGCTTATGATCAAGGCGTTGCCCTTAATGTGGACGGACTGTATGACAAACTGCCGGAACGGCCACAGGGAATTCAAGGTGTCTCGGCGACGGGACCCAATGGCACAGCTGCAGCCGTCAAAGGACATGGCTTGCTTCAAGAGACGGCGCCTTTGGCTGAAATTCTCACCCTCATATCGCTCGCTGCAAACGAGAGAGTCCGTTCCCTGGTTGACGAATCATATGCCATTGCTCGTGGCAGACGCTACGGTAGCCATGGAGTTGTTCCACCGAACCTGTCAGATCTTGCGATTGGTGAGAACGAAACAGCAGCTGTGGCTGAGATACCACGCATCACGAATACAGCATGGGAGAAGGTGCCTGAAGACAATCTCAATGGTATCGAGGGTGGTGAGGTAAAATCCGAAGCAACCGGTAAGTATCTGTGTGTCGCAGCATAGAATGTATTGCTGAAGTGCATGTTTAGAAAACAAACCGCTACCGACAAAGTCATTTTCCTCGGCTATTTCTACACATCTATTGGAGCTGGCTAAACAAGATCGTGATGCCGAACGCGAACGTGTTCGTAAGCGCCAGGAACGTGCAAAGCGTGCCAACTCAACGTCAAATGTGGATGGTGTCAACGGCAACGATGCGACATCTGGACCTGCAACACCCTCTGCAGCTGCCGCTCCATCCTCCACAGATGCTTCTGGTGCTGCCCCGGAAAAGCCGATGACTAAGAAGGAACGTGAGCGACAGGCCAAGATGGGCCAGACTGAAGAAGTCTTGCACAAGAATTCAAACACAACCGCTGCCCTGCAATTAGGTATGGGCAAGAAGAAAAAGTACAGTTGGTTGACGGGTGGTGCGCCAGCAGCGCCTGTGAACCCTTACAAGCAGACTCCCAAATCCACTTCAGCTAGCGCGGCGACAAGTGGCACTGGTGGCGGGAAGAATGCTTCGAATGGCGGCAATAGCATGGACAAGGCGCTACAGGTCCGTGAAAGAAAGTGGGGAAGTTGGAGAGAAGACGGCGTGGAAGGCAGAGGCATCCAGATCAGAGACTGGGTCGTTGTGCTTGAGAGAGATGGTAAAGAGAAGAAGGCACTACAAAAGAGTCTGCTCAAGCTCGAGAGTATTTCGGGAGAGTAAGCAAACATTCTGCTTGCGCAAATCCTTCTTACACAAGATCTAGCAACTGAAGGACGCGAAGGCTTATCGCGTCCACCAGTGCTGTTCACAATGATACCAACCCATTCCTGATGGTCTCATCAGATAACACCTTCATCTGTCCCTTTTGAATGTTGCTAGCGAGTTGTCGTCAAGTCTTCGAAAACCCTCCTCGTTGCCGGACTCTGCCAAAAGTGACGGATTTGGGCACGAATTTCAGTGCAGCCATTGAATCAGCGATGTCGTCCATGGATTCATCCTTGGCCGATTCGTCGAGATTGTTGGTCCCGTTTGCCTCGTTCTCGATTCGCTCGGACGCATGAAAGCTCCCAGTGACATGCTCTTCGACAAGGTTGCTCGTAGCTTTGCTTTGTTTCTGACGACTTTTGCCATCTGGTCTCAGCAGCGAGGTGCGGTTGTCTGAGCCATGATTTACAATTTGAAAATCGTAGTTACGGGGAAACATATGCTTGTCAATCAAATGCATTCGCCGCTTCTGAGGAGTGCTGCAGACCTTTTCGCAATCCTCGACAAAGCAATGATATGTCTTTTCGCCCCTGTCTCGTTTGACACGATTAAAAGGATCGTGACTTTCGGCAATATGCAGAGAGAGAAAGCGTTCGGAGGGGAAATTCTTGGCGCATTGTATACATCTGAACGAATGTGCTTTGTGATAATGTACTTCGTAATCATTGTATGTGGTGAACTTGATAGGATGGTGCGGAGGCAGAGCACAAGTTATGGCTGTGTGTGTGGTGCCTGGGGTTGGAGCATCCAGATGTGTATACTTGCCAGGCGGCTGTGGGTCGCGAGCCAGCAGATCATCAGTGGCAGATGTATGGTGCATACCAGATTCAGAATCTCGTCTAGCGCGTTTCGACATGGCGAAGAAGTGTGGTGGAGTGGGAACTAGAGCAAGATGGCACTGGGCATGAGGCAGTAGAGACGAAATTCAAGGACAGGGTGATAGCAACAGCAAGAAGCTGCAGAGGGTCGCGGAACAGACGGGCGCGAAGACGGAGCAATTCACCCGGTCCCGAGACTTTGGTGGATGCTGCCTCAGAGCCTCCCGTCGACACTCGTCGCTGCCAAATCTCGACCAACGTCCCCACGTCGCGCTCGTCTCGAACCCTCACATCAGCAACGGGTCTGTCCTTGCTGTACCCTTCAACCCATCGTGTTCGCCATCGCTATGGATCGCACCGGCTCGTCCGCAATCCCCGGATATCACGTTTACATCTGACCTCTCGCACTGCTCGGTCACCAACGACCCCGTCATAGGCGCTCTATGTTGAGCGCCATCCTCTAACATGGAATCCACCGGCGACCAGGCTCTTGCGTATGCACTCGGCTCCCTGACTTCCGCTGATCCACCACTTACACCCTTCTCAGCAACGCCATCGCTCTCGACCAAGAATTTGCACAGACGCTGCAGCCCGCCGATTCTTCTCTGGACCGTGTCTTCCTTGTCCTGCAGCAGTGAGTCAGACATAGCCTGCACATTCGTGTCGCCATCTTCTCATAGCAAGCCCGACACAGATACCGCACTGCCGCCGCACATGCTCTTGCCAGTGACTTTTTGTCCTCGCGCGCTGCCGACCTCGAGACACGCCTCTGGAATGCGCACAATCGTCTGAATGTTCGCTTGCGCAAACAACTCAGCAAGGTCAGTCTCGGATACCTACCGACAAGATTGGCTCCTGCTCACTTTCCACATCAGCTACGTAAGGAACGCTCCAGCAAGCCAGTTGAATACCGCAAATTCATCAAGCTATATCTTGAATTCCTCAAGGACAGTCAGCGCTATTACAGAGATTACATCCAGAAGTTGAATGCTAGATTCGGTGGCATACAAGATCTGGAGCGCATAGCTCGCCAGGTTCGATCAGATCGTACAACTCACCTACCTTCATATGTTGGTTACACAAAGACTAATCTTTGTAGCTGTGCCGAAGCCTTCCAGGAAATACGTGTCTCCGCAAGTTCAAGCCGCCGTCACTCTGTCCTGCCACCAAACCCTGATCTATCTTGGCGATTTGTTCCGCTACCGTGCTGCCGAGAGACTCGACAAGGAGCCTGACTGGGGACCGGCTATTGGTTACTATGCCCTTGCTGCCTCATTGCGACCCGAATCTGGACTCGCTTTCCACCAACAGTCCGTCGTTGCTTTTGAACAGGGCGACTTTCTCCGCTCAACATATTATCTCTACCGCTCCATCAACGTCGACGAACCCCACCCCAACGCCATTCCTAATTTGGAACTGCAGTTTAAGAAAATAACCACTGGATGGCAGAAAGGCGATCTGGTGCCCAAAAACTCTCCTCAGGACCCGGTTGCTTCGCGCAACGCTCTTATATCCTGGTTCATTCGCTTCCACAGCCTTAGTTACAACGGCGAGCAATTTGCTGGATACGATGAGCTCGAACGTGAAGTCTTGAGCCGCACTCTCAGTGAGATGAAAGCGCGTACCCTAGACGGCATCCTGTCTAAGATGACGTTGATCAATTTTTGCGCCCAGGCTACTGCTGGCAATCAGTTCGAGAGCAAGCCTGACCAACACAAATTCATGCACTCCTACTTTTTCTTTCTGCGTTTGAATGTGAAATTTTTCACAGCAATCTTGGATGTTTACTACACCGACCTCGAGAAGCACCTCCAGGAGCACACCAAAACTTCAAATCTTGTCGATAAGCTTACAGACTTGGCACGTCACATCTTGCCTGCTTTGCGTCTCTACAGCACTTGGTTGTTGAGTAATGCTCATATTGTTGCGGCACGCGTTGGCGACGAGTCATTCCAAACAGCCATGGACCACTTTTGGCACATTTACGCCAAAACACTATCTGTCATGGCATTCAGTTTCTCATTCCGCGAGCTCGATGAGATCCCGTACCAGCTTGAGGAGGATGTCGATGCCTTTGGTCTCAAGCCCCTGAATTCAGATCGGTCGCGCAAAGTCTGGCTCGACGACGCAACTGGACAACCCAAGGCTAAATTCTCGGATGAAACCACCAAACGTCTTGATACTAACCAAGAAATGCTGGGGAGGGTCCGTGAACTTCTTTTCGACGCCTTACTACTCGCCGTGGACAAAGTTCGTATCACATTTGTGACATCTGATCCGTCTTAGACTAACCACTGATGCAGGATGTACCCATTACCTTTGACGGGTCGCACTTCATTCACCAGGATCCCAGTATGACAGATGGTAATTCAGTCAACCCTATCCCTGAGGTTACTGTAGCTCGTCAAGCAACACGTAATACCCCGACGATTGCGACCCCACAAGAACCTGCTGCGCAAGGAAAACCATCTCCAACCATCGAACGTCCTGTTCCTAGTACTGCTACCACAAAGCCGCTCAATCGAGAGGCACAACTCAGTCAGATGGTTGATGATCTGGTCGGGCCTGACGAAGATGACATTGTTCCTCCAGGCTTGCCTGTAAAGTCTTCCGTATCGGCAAAAGAGTCTTTCAATGACCCCGGACACAAGAGCAATGCTGTCCTGAGAGGAATTTCGCCGCGTGGTTACCAGGCTGTGAGAACGCCTGAACTGCGAACTGAAGCATGGCAGCTACCTCTGAGTCCAACCGGCCTGCCCTCACAACGTTTAAATTCAGTCTCTAACATCTGGAATGATGCACCTATACGAGAGACAAGTCCTGTCACTCCATTCGAACGCGCACCTCCAGGACTGCCAACCTCAACTGGTGTCAGACGTTCAAACGCTCACTCTCGCGTCAACTCGACCAACTCTATCCGAAGTCCTCTTCCACAGCCAGATGGACTGTCTTCTTTCGAGCCGACTCCAAATCCATATAACAGTATTGGCGTTCGCGGAGACCGTTACCAAAGCTTTTCTGGACACTACACAGGCATGCAAAGCCCTCTTCTGTTTGGAGCAGGTGTGTCGCCCTGGAGTACCGGACCTAGGAAGTCAGTTCCTAATCTCACACCACCCAATGGCCAAGGTGGCTGAGAGCGTGAGAGTATTGCCTCAACAAGGCATACAAGTGAAAGACCAGAGCACCTCCCGCACCAGAGCCATCAAGCAAGCTTCGACAAGCTCAAGAATTGTCAGCGAAAGCACAAACCAACCATGAGTGCTGCAAATTTGAGCGTGATGCTGCGCACCCTACAGCTGTTCAAGAGCAATGCACTAAGAATCGGGCCACTCGTATAGCAATGGGACGGATCGAAGTTGGAACACGGCGGCTACTGAAGGAAGTCGGGCAATCAGTGAGAAGAGAGCGTGGCGTCTCATGTATCGTCAGCATTATCTTCAATGACTCGCTTTTGCAGCTTGTTGCCACAGTGTCAAAGCTGTAGAGATGACAAGAAATTACGAGCATCGTGCTATTCAAATCAATTGTTTCCTAGCCATCCAAAAGCTGGGCTTGTACATGTTTTGCAACATACTCCGTGGGTCTTGAATGTACCCAGCTTCGCCAACAACCAACTCGTGTTCGACAATGTCGAAACCAAAATGCTCGACCAACTTGACGACCTCTTCATCTGCGAGCTCGAAAGAACCCGATTCGCCGATGCCTCGGTTTCTGTCTTGGCTTTCTCTGCCTGCCTCTGATTGAGATGAGGACGTTGATGAGGTTTTCTTCTCGGGCGTACCGCCTTCAAAATGCCAGAGTAGAGGTCCGAGATTGATCCAGACGCCCCCAGGCTTGAGGCAGTGTTTGACGGTCTCGATGTAGGCGATGAGGTTAGGTGCCGTATCGATGAAAAAGCATGTAGTGACTGCGTCAAAAGCAGCTTCGTATCGTGGCTCTTTGTACAAGACGCAGAAGTCGCCCGAAGACATTGACATTCGTTGGTAAGCATGTAGATCAGCATTCAGCTCCTTGTAGCTCCTGTCCAGCTCTTCAGACGGCCATACGTCAGGAACTTGTACCTCTTGAAGTTGGTGAGAGCGGCGCGTATGGTTTGAGAACCCCAAAGCCCAAGGGTATACGGCGTGTGATCTCGGACCTGAAGTATAGTTGAGTATCCAATTGCTGACCAGAAGTTGATGATACGAGATTTCGTTCCCTTCCATGGCATAGCCTGCATTGCAAATCTCGAAAGCCAGACGTCCTAGCCCAGCACCTGGGACTAGTACGCTCACATGAGAGCGCTTGGCCGGACTGATGTCTTTGAAAGCCCTGTTGAGGCCGGCCAAGATGGGCCCACAGCATGCTTCTCGTTCGGGATCACCTTCAGCGGCCCAATCGCGGTACAGTTGGCGAATAGTCGAGCGAACTTTGTCCATGTCTTGCGAGGTGGCTGCTCCATGCCACTCGGTTGATTCAGGGTCTATACCGTACATATTAAGACCCAAAGCAAGGACGATTTCGGCTATATCGGCGTTCACATCGATCGCTGCATCCACGGCGTCCAAAGTCTTGGGCAGACTGAATGGCTCAGAAGCCAGTAATTCCATATGAGCCAAAGGAAGTGAATAGAAAGATTGGCGTCGTAGATGGGTGATATTATAATGAGCAGCCTGGCGGTATTGTCTGGGATTGAGTTCAGAATGCATTCTTCCTCTGAGTTTTGGTCTTGGTTTCGATTTCCCTCACAAGTCTATAACGTTGAATCCGTATATTGTAAAAAGGAGAACAACGAAACATAATCACATACCGGAACGAATCAAGGGCAGCAAATAGAACCCTTCTTTCTTCTGGATCAGAAAGCGGATCGATCTCTGAGCCCTCTTCTTCCTCTGCCACGTCCTGGCAATGTACCAACATTTCTTCATCCATGCCGTCCATACTAGTGCTTAATCTACGCAACCAGGACCGTAGACAAGAACTCTGGGATACATCAGTGTAGAGTTTATATGACCGTTGCCGAAAAGAATGGAGACGATCAGCAAACAAAGCAAACATGAGCATCATGACCAAGAAGGATAGATGTAGTCTTCCACCTGTTGCACCACAAATAAACACATTGATGGCAAACATGGCCACCGAAGCAAGCAGACCGCTCACCAACGGCACTGGTCCAGAGTCCAAAATGTCGGAACCGATTCAATTCTCTATGCCCTTACCAAACGCACCTGGAAGCCGCATTCACACACACCTGACTATCCTGGCAACGTCCATTCTTCTCTTCTGCACCAGCACCACAGCCGAGTATTCTTCTTCTGCCGTACCCCCGCTCGGTAGTTTCGTATATGCCATGCCTGACGTGCGTATTTTTGAAACACCTTGTTCAGCCTCCACATACACTGACGCCAAAGCACAGCGCTACAACCCTTCGGCACCACTCAGCACACCTCTGTACACGCTCCCATCAAGCCTAGATTTTGCCGATCGACTTGCCAAAACATTGGCCAGAAGGACGAACCTGCCGGTACAGGTCGGCAGCTCGGTCAATTTCTCGTCGGCTGGAAATGGTGGCAGTGTCGAAGAGGAGATGGAAGCCTTTAGACAACTGGTCACTGTCGTACTGAGGGAAGTGGAAAAGGCAAGAGCTGGATGAACAACCAGACCGCAAAAACATCACTGCATGAAAATATGCCAACATGGTCGTCGAGTACGATAACGCTACTGAGCACGAGTGACACGGTGGACTACAGTGACACTGCCGATCTGGCACGATGACTTCGAGATTGCGCCTTCGTATTGATCGCAGACAACTATGCGACCGGAGACATTAGGTGACCAACATAATTACCAACACACAACGCTTCGTTCATTCTTTTGAACGTGATTTCCGCACGGGAATCAGAGCAAGTTGACAGAAGTGGTAGCTGCGACGAGCAGAACTCGGAGAACAGACATGGAGCAGACAACGCAGGCGTGGTCAACGAGTCTCAATCAAAGTGGAGCTTTGATTTGTGATACAAGATGGTCATTCTCTTCAAGCTGTACTAGTGGTTTCCTTGAGTTCGAAAGTCGCAAACAAAGGAACATGATCGCTGGGCCCTCTTTCCTTTTCCGTGGCGCAGATACCTGCATCAACAAGCTTCTTCTCTAGAAATTTGGAACATATAATTAAATCAACCCTGTCACAACTGCTTCCAAACTGCCTTCCGCGAGGATAATATGTATATCCCCTCTTATCTCCATGAATGTGTCTGTAGGTATCAATCGCCTTGAGCCCTTCGTCGGCATCAAAGAACTTCTTGTTGAAGTCTGCACGGTTGACGACGTGCTGTTGAGGAGATGTGCGCAGATTCGGATGGCCGTCCAGATAGGAACGAGCGATGTTCAAATCGCCGGCGAGTATCACGCTAAAACCATGGGCTTCGAGTGACTTGGCCTCGTTGAGCATATGTCTGTGCACGGCTAGCTTCCTGTCATGCCTGGTGCCTATTACTGCTCCCGTTTTGCTGTCCTTGTATGGGTTGTCGGTGCCATTGACGGCATAGATGTTCCAGATGCTCAGTTTAGGTTCCTCTATCTCAACAATCTGAAAGCGACCTTCTAAATCCCAATCCACACTTCGAATGACGGGTTGATACTTGGCGACGAAACTTTTGCGAAGGATAGTGCATACACCATATACTTTCCTACCGAACCCACGGGCGTTATGAGGATCGGTGGGCAGACAGAAGTGGGCTTCATAGTCAGGCTCGCCTTCTTTGGTACTTCTGACAGCTTGTCGAACCGCCGATTTAGTCGCCTCGTCACTCGGGTTGATTTTTACTTCTTGGAGGCAAAGTATTGTAGGCCAGGAATGCCGCCGTAGGAAATCCCGAAGGGATGCTGCCGTGGTAGCTTCTGTGTTTTGTTGTTTGGACGATGGCTTCTTGGATTGAAAGAATGAGGTTATCGACTTTTGCACGAATGGCTGGATTCCATTGATGTTCCACGAGTACACGCAGATCCGATCCTCGTTTGGAGTATTTCTGGGTAAAGTGGCGGGCTCAGGTTTGTTGTCTCCTAGACGCTGTCTCTTGAGAGGTGGCGGGCTGATACTCATATTACAGAGCTGTGTCCTGAAAGCTACAGTAGTGATGTTCGAGCCTATACGTCGGGCTATATTGGATGGGCAAGTGATAGAAAGCATTTGGGAGCAGTGTGCTTGTTGAAGTTGGAGAGCAACTGGTGGTCGGCCGTTCTTTCACATCTCTTTGTCAATTACGTCGCCCACCAGCTACACCAATCAATTCTTCAATGCAGAGGTAGTCCGGCATCTTCGCACAAGCTTGTCATTCCCTGACTTACCTTACACCTACCAACGAAATCTTATGAAAGAATGTTGCGTTTCATGACTTTACGCATAAGGTAAAAGTAGCGACTATGGCTTGTCCGAAGTGATAAGAACACTTGTCCGCCCCGCCGTTTGTATTTCCCGTCCCTTTTGAGTTTGCCGATACATAGATAGATAAACCATTCGACGCTGCACTTTCATGAACTACAAGCCAACTCGTACAATTCATTATATCAAGCATGACTACGATTGAATCAAAGAGCGCCGTGTTTCATAGAAGTCTTCATACGGACCCCATCTCAATCGTCGGAGCTAGTGGAAACTATCTGTATCTGGCCGATGGCGGAAAACTGCTTGATGCCACAGGAGGTGCGGCTGTATCATGTCTGGGTCATGGACATCAGCGTGTGAAAGAAGCCATCATCAGCCAATTGGATGTCGTCTCGTACGTACATTCGGCCACATTCGCTACAGAAGCCGCAGAATTGCTTGCAAAAGAACTCGTCGAGTCAACGGGAGGTGAAATGTCGAAAGCGTATATCGTCAGTTCTGGTAAGGCATAGTATTGAAGCCATATATCATCACAAAACCAACAAATCGCAGGTTCCGAAGCAATGGAGGCAGCCTTGAAACTTGCGAGACAACATTATCTCGAGTCTAAACCTCCACAGCCACAGAGAACCAAGTTCATCGCTAGACACGAGTCTTATCATGGGACAACCTTGGGAGCGCTGTCAATCAGCGGCCATAAAGCACGCCGTGCACCCTATGAGCCTATGCTGATTCCTAACATGAGCAGAGTGTCTGCCTGCAATGCCTATCGTGGCATGAAAGAGAGTGAGACAGAGACAGAATATGTGGATAGGCTGGCGAAGGAACTGGATGACGAGTTCCAGCGCCTTGGTCCGGAAACCGTATGTGCATTTGTAGCCGAGCCAGTAGTTGGTGCTGTAAGTGTGTCATCCTATATCTTCTATACATACTGACAGAGCAAAGGCTTTAGGTTGCGTTCCTGCAGTCAAGGGATATTTTCAGGCAGTACGCGCTATCTGCGACAAGTACGGGGCACTCTTGATCCTCGACGAAGTAATGTGTGGTATGGGTCGTACAGGCACAATGCACGCTTGGCAGTCGCCCTTGATCGGCGTCGTTCCAGATATACAGACCATTGGAAAAGGGCTAGGTGGCGGGTATGCACCTATAGCAGGTGTTCTGATTAGCCGCAAGGTCACCGACACGCTCTTCAAAGGCACTGGCGCGTTTACTCATGGACAGACATACCAAGGTCACCCTGTCAGTTGTCGAGCGGCGCTGGAAGTACTCAGAACTCTTCAAGACGAAAAGTTAGTACAGAATGCGGCTGCCATGGGCGAGAAGCTAGAGGAGCTGCTGAAGCGGGTTGTCCTACCGCTGCCCCATGTTGGTGATGTACGAGGAAAGGGGCTCTTCTGGGGAGTAAGTGTTTTCTGAGGCAAAGGTCAATGCAATGCTAACGACAGGAACAGATTGAGTTCGTCAAGGACAAAACAACAAAGGAACCATTTGATCCAAAAGACAATGTCGCAATGAACATCCACGAGAAAGGTGAGGCCATGAGACTGGTCGTCCAGGTCATTTGCAGAGATGCTGACTGAATGCAGGTTTAAGTTGTCCACACAACATCACACTCTATCCTGGAACTGGTACGGCTGACGGAAAAATTGGAGACCATATTCTCCTTGCTCCTGCGTACAACGTGACGGCGGAAGTGATCGAATTGATTGTGCAGAAAACGGCAAAAGTGATTGAGGAGTATTTTTCAAAAGCGTAGAGACTAGATGTCATGTCCTGTCTTTCTCGAGTCGCATGCACGTCTACGGGGCTTGTTGCGAAAAGATGTAGATCGGCTTCTTCGACCACGAAGACTTGTTAGAATAGAACGGCAGTATTACCTTATCCATGGAGAACCCCCTTTTCCAAACGAGTTCTGTGGACACATGTCTAGAATCAGATGTACTCGTGCGTTCTCGAGACTCACAATCTTGCTACACATGACTGTGAAAAGGTAATGATATTGGACGCAGGGTGGTGCTGATTGTACAGTAAGTCTGAGTAGAAAGAGTTTACGAGGCAAAGCGAAGCACTGAATCAGCGTGGAGAAGCCCAGACTTCAGCTTGGTGAGTGTTCTGCGGTTCTCACCTTGTACACACTCAACTCATCCGAAATGTAATGTAGTAGGCGGATAACATGGAGGATTTGTAGATGTATATTCTTGGGTGGCTTGCGGAGAGAGTTGAGCCAAAATGGACAATAAAGGTGACGAAGGTTGACCGTACAGCGCCACTACGGCAGGAAAAGCCAATTGGGTGAGACAATCAACAGATGGGGTCAAAGGGTCAGAATGGTTTCGGAAGACGCGTCGGAATTGAGCGACATGTTGTACGAGGAAGGATGTAATAAGAGGAGAAGAGTGGATCAGAATCTAGAGTGAAAGGATATCGAGGTAGAGGCGTGTAGTGTTGGGTGGATTGGAAAGAAGCCGAATGTCTTGTCCTGTTCAGATGAAGATGCGGAGAGTGCCAGAATGACGAAGCACAGAGTGAAGGAGCAGCTCGTCGTCCATGGGCCGCAGTGTCTCGCACGCTTTATCGTCCAGCCCTCTGGCACACATTTCCAGCTTCTGCTTTTTTCATCCCTCGACCAGCACGACGACTTCGACTCTGCCACGGTCGCAGGCCCGTTGCTCGATCACGCCGCCTTCTTCACCCACAGCCGCAGTTAAGCCGTTTGTTCTGTGCGAGTGAGGTCTCTACACGACTCTTTCTGTCCATTGCACAGGCTGTCCTGCAGACGCTCGTTTGTCGAATGAGCCGGCCGCTTTCTCCGAACCCACCTCGCTGCCCCAGAATCGTCCGTGTCGAGTGGGCCGAGTCTCAGTGATATCTGCCTCGCTCTCTGCACCGTGCCGACGACGACATCGACCACGACCACCAAGCCCGTGATAACATGTCGACTCCTCAAACCGCTACTGCTACCCTTGCCTCGAATCCTTACCAATCTCATCAGTATCTACCAGCCATGACCGATTACTCGTATCCCCCACAACCATACGCCAACGGCTATCCTCCACCATCACGGACTGCCACGACTAATACCACTACAACTACTGCTGCTGCACCTTATCCCCCGACGAACTCAACTGCCGCCTCTTCTTCAAATGGCACTACTGGCAAGAGATCGAGAAACCAACCCGTCGATTGGAACGAATTCTTTGGCGGCAAGCCTCCCAAGGAAATCATAGTCATTGATGATGATGATGATAATGACGACGAAGCGCCCGCTGCCAACCAGACATACCAGAACCCCGCCGCATCCGCCAGCACAACTCAGCAGCACACGGACAAGCGCCGAAAGACAACAAACTACGATCCCGTCTACCACCACGCCGAATACTCCAATACCCACACGCCTTACTATGACGCTGCCTCGACCGACCAGAACACTACATCCTACAAGACGTCCGCTGCCACATCCTTAGCCTCGCAGCCCAGTGCGAGTGCCTATGCCGAAGATGCTGCCACCGGCCAGAAACGCAAGAGGACCACTCGTCAGGCTGCTGCCGACCAAAAGAAGCGCGAAGTCAACACTCGTCCCGATCCCTTCGCCGAATATGTTCCTCCGCCCAAGCCACCGCTCAAGGCCAAGGATGTCTTTGTGCCCCTGGTACCAGATGTACGTTTACTCAATGCCTGTCCCAGTGCTTCATCTGCTGACGCACGTATAGAGAACAGCAAAGCGTGATCAAAAGGTTGACGATGACGATGGTCATTACATTGTTCATGACCACGCTGACCTCACCGAACGATGTAAGTTGACGCTGCCCAGCAAGCCTTGAGCGGTATTGACTCTTTCTCAACAGACTCGATTGTGAAACTGCTCGGCCAAGGCACGTTTGGCAAAGTGGTACAAGCATACGACCGCAGGAGAAATGCCGACGTGGCCATCAAGATCATTCGATCTGTGCAGAAATACCGCGATGCTAGTCGCATCGAGTTGAGGGTCTTGTCGACTTTGGCCTGCAATGACAAGCACAACCGCAACAAGTGCATTCACCTGCGAGACACGTTTGACTTCCGCAACCACATCTGCATCGTCACCGACCTCTTGGGCCAGAGCGTCTTTGACTTCCTCAAGAGCAACACCTTCGTCCCATTTCCCAGCACTCACATTCAGCAATTTGCTCGCCAGCTTTTTACGAGCGTCGCCTGTAAGCTTGTCCCAATCAGCACCTCGCCCTGTCCTTCGGCTTCTAACCCTTGTGTACAGTCCTGCACGATCTGAATCTGATCCACACCGATCTCAAGCCCGAAAACATTCTTCTTGTACAGAACCACTACCAAACCTTCACATATAACCGCAACATCCCCTCGTCGTCAAACACGAATCCTCGCTCGGCAAAGTTCCGCAGGGTACTGCTGGATCCCGAGATTCGACTCATCGACTTTGGCTCAGCTACCTTTGACGACGAATACCACTCATCTGTTGTCTCGACTCGACACTACCGTGCTCCAGAAATCATACTCAACCTTGGATGGAGCTTCCCTTGCGACATCTGGAGCATAGGTTGTATTCTTGTCGAGTTCTTCACTGGCGACGCCTTGTTCCAGACGCACGATAACTTGGAGCATCTGGCAATGATGGAGGCCGTGTGCAATACTCCTATTGATAAAGCACTTGTCCGTCAAGTCACTTCTGGCCGTGGCAGCAACAAGAACTCTGCTGCAGCGTATGTCTTTCACCGCACATTCCACCTGCGACATCTACTGATTATCTTCAAGCTACTTCAGACGTCAACAACTCGATTACCCTCAGAGCGACACTCCTCGCTCATCACGCAAGTTTGTCAAGGCGATGAAACCTCTTCACGTAAGACCTCCCGTCCTTTCCAGACTCGAGAATTTCCCCTGCCCTCCTGTCCCTTCATCCGGTCCAGCTGCTCCTCGGGTAGCTCGTCCAGCCAGTCTCGACCAAAATCAATATGCACCATACTTATACACTCTCCAGGAAATCATCCCAGCCCACAACGAGTTCAACCGGAAGTTCCTCGATCTGCTCAAAAAGATCTTTGTCTATGATCCAAAGAAGCGTATCACAGCACACCAAGCTCTGCAGCATGATTGGTTCAAGGAACACTACGAAGATGACGGCACCGAAGCTGAAAAGATCAAGATTGAGAGGCAACGTGCCGCTCGTGCGGAAGCTCAGCGAAGTCAACAGCACGATTCACAAGTTGGCCAGCTCGGCCGGTGATACTGTACAGACACGACGCAAATTTTGGATCAAGAACATTTCGAGCACAAGCATCCTGGGAGGAAGGAGTTTTCTGGAAAGACGTAGCGATGACTGAGATCGTCGCCTTAGTGATTCAAGGGAGGTGAATGGAGTTTTCTTTGACAAGCCATCGAGTTATTACAGTTCTTCTCAACAAAGGTCACGATAACACACGAACGGGGGAGGTTGCATGCATTGGGCAAGGCCAGGAGGTTTTATTTGTTATTTTCCTTTTCCTCTGTCCTTACCAACCAGCGGCTGCTCGCCTGCTGTAGCCCTTTGTGGGCTTGTCTCTTTTCCCTTTTTCTGCCTTTTGTGGCAAGGGGAGGTCTTTCATAGAACCTGGCGAGAGCCAGAATGGTTCGGATCTTCCGCGATGGGAGGAAATAATGTCCTCTTTTTTCTTCTCCTTCTATTCTTCTCATACCCTTTTCGACTCACGTTGCTCTCATGTTCGATAACTTTGATGAACCACGAAACAAATCTCCTTATTGTTGGCCATCTTCAGCAGAACATTGGCACTGCACAGGAAATCCCTGTTCTGAGAATCCGCGACTAATCTTGAAGTGTGCAGCAAAGACGATCTGTGAGTGAATAGACAAGCGGATGGTGCGCATCAGAATATCGTATCGAGAGTACACAAGACACAGATTTGGATTGAGAAATCATTGGTGTTTATTGACTGAACAAGTCTCTGCTTCATTTCAATACGGTAGACGCCACAATTTCTGTCCTGTCTCAACGCCATGATATCCAACATGGGGATACGAAAAGAAAAAAAAAAAAGTCCCTAAGCTTATTTTACACGAAAGTTTCGAAAGTAATGAAAAGAAGAACATTCAGAACTTGATGCCAGCGAGACGCATCGAGGTAGAAAAGAAGTGGCAGGTAAAATGATTGCCTCATGGGAATGATGAAATGATGGTGAAAGAAGGGTATAATAAACATTAGGAAGAATGTGGAAATGGCGCTGAACAGCATGAATAAAGAATTGCTGTTCATCTGCTGCTCTCAATAAGCACACCACTCGCCTTTCCATGCAGGCTGGTGTTGACTCTATCTCTCAGACCCTTGAGTGGTGCTGATGATGCCTGTGACACAGTCTTCTTCCTGGGGCTGCGGCGCAGGACACGCTGTGCCTCGCGCTCCTCAGCAGCTTCCTCAAGAAGAACCTGGACACCACCACCAGACTGGTCGTCCAAAATCTGCTGTCTGGAGCCAAGAGCTTGCAGGGCTGCTTTGCCCTCTGGAATGCTAGGATCGAGCTGTGCTTGTGATTGTTTCGCTAGAGTGCTAGCATTCTTTTCTTCGGACTCGTAGGGTGAGGGCTCGGCGTCAAGACTCTGAGATGGTCTGGAATGAGAGATGTTGTCCTGGTCGAGCTTCTTCTGCGCAGCGATTCTTGATCTTTCATAGCGAGCGGAGACGTCACCGCCAACCCACTTAGTGCCGAGAAGACCGTCCCAGAAAGTGAAGAATGGCTGGCTGAAGTTGGTCTTGATACCCCAGCTCTGGTGATGGATGTCGTGGTAGCCAGCATTGTTGCTAGTGATATGCTGGAGTGGGTCCCAAGGAAGGGCGTATCCACAGTGGTCATCGACAGTCTTGATGGTGCTGCAGGTGAAGAACCACATGGATTGTCTGCAAGTCATACCAGCGAGCATGTAGGCAATACCGGTACCCAAGGTATCAAGAAGGAAGCCCTCGAAGGGGTGGTTGTAGAGAGCACCATAAGCGTAAGGGACGTAAAGGCGGTGGTGACGGGAGTGGAAAGTTGTGTAGAGCCATTTGTTCATGTGCATGGCTCTGTGCCAGAAGTACTGCCATGTATCGACAACGAGGACGGCAAAGGTGAATTGCAAGGCAGGAATGCCGATCCAGTAGATGGCCTTGGCGAGTGTGAGCTCCCACGAAGCAAATGCCGGGACGAGGTCGCCAGAAGCAGCCTGCTGATAAAGGTTGTAGCTACCACCCTTCAAGACAGCAGAGAGAATTGGGTGTGCAACAGCTTGCCTAGATGCAATTGAGTTGGCGTCGAGGCCAGTAAAAGCAAGGACGGTGGGGATAGCACGCTGGGCAATGCGAATTCTCTGAGCCCAAACGGCAACATTGTAGTCATCCTGGCCGACGGTAGCCTCGGGCTCAATGATGGTTATGGCAAGACCAACGACTGTCTGAATGACCTGCTGGATGATAACGTCACGGAAGACATCCCATCGTGAGACGTGGTTGCGCTTGAGAACCTCTGCGGGAGTGTGCAATCGGTACTGAGGGAACAAGTCGTACTCGTCGATGAAGTGGAAGATGAAGGAAACAATCCAGTAGGCAGCGACAGGAAGGATCAGGGCCAGATAGAGGTCGGGAAGCCAAGAGATCAGAGGTTGTAGAGGAGTCAAGGTGTATGTGGGAAGAGGAGGGAGAGACAGGGCGGTGGCATTGAACATGGCGGACTGCATTGTGGTGGTGCTTGTTGTGGCCGCGAAGCCGGCACGCGAGTTGAAGAAGCTGCGATCCGTGAAGCTCGCTTTGTTGTGGCTTTTCGAGATTGGAAGATAGGGACGACCAAAACAGAGGCAATTGAGGCTGAGGGGCCGGTCGAGTCTGTGTCGATTTCAAGTGGTTGATAGGGACAGATTGTGGTCGGAAGGAAAAGAGTGAACAGCGGTGGATGAGGCAGAGGCAGAGGCAGGAAATGAGGCAGGCGGAAGGTATTTGATCGTCATTCGATTTCTCCTGTTGCTTCGGACTGATCTGTGCTCCGTCACCCGATTTCATGAAACGATTCAGACAATTCCTCGCCACCCCGCGAGCCGCCCGAAAGCCTCCTCCTTCCCGTCGCCTCCCGTTCCTCAATGCGCCCGAAAGCCGTCTTCTAGAATCCTGCCCGAAAAGGTATTTGTGCCCGCTGATCTATCAACATGATCGCACTATTGTTTGCCCGTCGTCATTGCGTTGTTGGTCGACTTATTGTCCTTGTGACAGTCGCGAATCTTTGTCTGTCTGTTCGACCATCGCCATATTGATCCCTACGAGCATCCTTGTTCTTGACCATGTCCTCTACTACGGCGTGTTGTATCTGTTCCTCGGTGCTGAACACGATAGACTCAAAGACCGAGAAGCCCACCATCGCTGCTCGCCACCTCACCTGTTGCTCGCGACCCGTCTGCCAACGGTGCATTGCAAACAACCCTCGCTACAACTCGTACTGCCCATATTGCCAGATCTCGACAGATCCACAATCAATACTTCCTCAGGGCCTACGTGACCCTCCGCCATATAATGATACCCAAGACTCCACTCTGCCACTACCAGAAAAGGATCACGATGCACCGCCTGCCTATTCCACTCACGCACCTTTGCAGCCTCCACCAGAGAAAACGCTCGAGAATGCCCCAGACGTGCTACATTTCTTGACACCTGCAGACACGGCTTTGTCGTTATCTCTTGCGTATAGCGTGCCCCTCCATGCCTTAAGGAAGGCCAACAATGTTTTTGCAGATCATCTCATACAAGGCCGGAGGACCATCATCATTCCTGGAGAGTACTACAAGGGTCCAAGCCTCAGTCCTAGGCCCGTTGAAGGTGAAGAAGAAGAGTTGCGCAAATCAAAACTACGCCGTTTCATGGTTACATGCAAAGTCTCCGAGTAAGTACTTTTTGTACCACAATGCGCTATTTGATCCTAATCATCTTGCAGGTACGATGTCGCACAGCTATATCTTGAGCAGCATGGCTACGAACTGGACGCCGCTGTCGAAGCCTACCAAGATGATGAGAAATGGGAGCGGGATCATCCTCTACAGGACAATGGCAAAGGCAAAATTAGTGCACGTACTGTGGGAAAGAGGCGTTTTGTTGGGTCAGCATAATCGCTAGAGCACCACGCGTTTATAGAACTACTATAATGAATCACGATACCTGCGCATGCTTATTCATGCACGCTGTTACAACCCCTGCGCAGACTTTCACTCAAAGTGGATGAGCCAGCCATCCGCTTCCTTCTCACCTCTTGCATTGTCTCCTGCCCATATGACTACACTTTTTCCGTCTCTCACGACATCTGCTCCGAAAAATGCTCGAGGTCCAGGATGCACTTTGCCCTCATGGCCGCTCTGTTCGGTGGCCTGCACTTCAATTTCGGCCCACTCATGACCGCCAGTCTTGTAGCCCAGCTTGTCTCGAATAGTGTCTTTTATGGCAGCCGGCTTAAAGTCTGTCCAGGTTGTAGGTTTGGTCGACTTGGATGGCAGCTGATAGGTCCACAAGTCGGACTCAATAGGCCGACTTGATTCGCCAGACTCGATTGACTTTTCAAGATCTTCTACATCCTTGTGGACCTCTTTGCTACCGAAGAAGTAAACAAGATACAGACGGCCATATCCAGTAGTTACGGGTACTAGTGCACCACCAGTTCGAGCCCCTGGTCCTGGAGATGGTACTTCGGACGGATTGGTGATCCTCTCCCATGCCAATCCATGTGACGATCCAGGGGTGGGAACACTGTCACCAATCTCTAGTCTGTACACATGAGTGATGCTCTCGGCTGGCGAGTTGGTAACTAGGTAGAGTGTCCCGTCAGCAAACGCCACACTATCTGAGTGCTCTGGAGAATCAGGCAGCTGGATCCAAGTGTGAGAGATCATGTCAAAGAACCAGGTGTCGTTGAGTTGTGTCTCAGGAGATGATCGTCCGCCATGAAGCAAGAGATGTCCGCCGTAGTGGAACAACCTGTGGTCGAATCTAGGGGATGGCTTCGGGCTTCAAATAGTGTGATCAGCATTGGTACATGACGGTGGTGGGAACAGTGCATACCCATCGGCTACAATCTGATGCCATTTTGATGACTCGATGCTCCATATCCACAAGCAAGAGTCTTGGTCTACAAGCGAGTGGTTTTCGTCACAGCCGCCAAAGACAGCCAATTCATGACCTTGAACACAGGCAGCATGTCTTGTACGTGGACTTGGCACAGCAGCTCCCTCGTCGCGAGGAATAGCTGGGTAGCAGGCATAAGCAACGTCTGTTGAGTTTGTCTGCTTCAGAGAAAGGGTCACAGTGTGAATGTCGTTGGAAGCCAGCTTTCCGTTGGTGGATTGACCTCCAAAGATACATGCCTTGTCATTGGCAATACTGACGGTATGGTGTGAGCGTGCAAGAGCCAGACTGAGGATATGTCAGCTTTTATGTGTCTAATCTGGCCATGGATTTGTTGATACGTAGTATCGTCCTTGTCTGCAGTAGCAATTTGTGTGAAGGTAGCTTTGAGAGGAACGGTGGGTTTGGCGACAGCATAACCAGCAACTGCTGAGGCTTCAAGAGTTGTAGAGACGGCCTGTTCAACAACAACGGCTCCAGCTGCTATCTCTGCCATGTTTAATGAGTGATTGGTACAGAAGAGCGTGTGTTTGCACAGCGATGTGTATACAAGTAGGTATGTCGACATGTGAAAGTGTGACGTCGCGACTGCCTAAATGGGCAAAACAGGGCTTGGCACCTCCTCCACTCGACATGTCCCCCGGACGGAGGCCGATCACATCGCACGAGCATCAGCTTGACAAGCGCCGACGGCTTCAAGTGTGCGCCCATCTATTCTTCGAGCAGAGCGAGGAGCTCGGTGTCAGCACTCGGCATGGCGACGGCGACGACAGCAAAGCCCGGACATGCCATGCGCCGCCCGCGACCCAGCCTGAGCGCCCGCCTGGGCACGCGCGCCAACACCCTTAGCACAGGTAGCGACACGCCCATCAAGAAAATATCCGAACCGCATGTCAGATCCTCCGAACACATCTTGCGCAAGTTTCGCGGCAGTCCCCCCTCGCTCACCATCCATCTGCATGCCACCTTCTTCCGCTTCGACCAGCAAGATGGCAGCTTTCCCTACGATTCTCCTATGAAATTCATCTTGCAACACTTGCGCAAACAGACTGTCCCCCATGAGATGGTTCAGGATCTGCTCGACAATGGCGTTGCCTTCTACGATGGTTGTCTCATCGTCAATATCGTTAACCACAAGTCCTCTGTCGCAAAGACTACCACTCCTGGCAACCTGTCCGTGACTTCGGCTGACCATAACGTTCCCTTCTCCATGCACAACTATCACGACCACATTACTCCTTCTCCCCTGGGCCCTTACCCCAAGAAAGCCTCGGACCGTTCATCTCTATCCACCAAGTCGAGGTCCGAGTCCATCAAACAACAGGATGGCTCAAAGGAACAAACACATACTGGCCCCAGAACCTCAACCATCGTCTTACATCCCACAGATCTCTCACGCCACCACGAATTGATGCATCTCGCTAACCAATCAACCAAGACTGCTCTGGCTATCGATGAGAAGGACTATTACCAATTCGAGGCGAACATGCTCGTTTCTAGCGAACCGCCGCTGCTATTAGACCCTGCAAAATCGCCCGAGGAGGCCGAAATGGCCCTAAAAATTCTTCAACATCCTCTGCATTCTGAGCCCCCGCCATCACCAAGATCTCGCAAGCGTACTCATGCCGAAATGGCTCTCGACGACGCACAAGCCTTCGAAGAAGAGAGGCGTATGCTTATCATGGACGAGCGCACGAAACCTTCGTTGCGCGGTGCCAACGGTGCTTCTGCTTCTGAAGGCCAGACTGCCTCGGTGGCACTTGGGTTCTCCAGATTCAAAACGCTCGAAACTATCAAGAAGAATCACGAAGAGAACGATCGCAAGAAGAAGGAAGAAGAGGCGCAGAAAGCCATTGAGAAGCGTCAACACGATGCTGCGCTAGCTCAAAAGAGAAAGCTCATGGAGGACAGGAACAGACAAGAGCAGGCCGCTACGCAACAGAAGCAGAAGATGATGATGCAGCAGCAGCAGTTGATGCAACAGCAACAAGCTCAGCAGCAGGCTCAGCAACAGGCTCTTCAACAGCAACAGCAACAGGCACAGGCCGCTCAGCTTCAGCAACAGCAACAATTGCAACAACAACATGCTCACAACCTGGCTCAGAGCCAAACGCCCATGGCTGCAAATCCACAGCAACAACACCTTCAGCAACAAGCCGCCATGGCTGCTCAGCACTCGTCTCCCATTGTGCACAACCCTACTCCTATCATGGCTTCATCCCCTCTCATGCCAAATGCTGCCAACATGAACATGGGAGGCTTCCCAATGCAGCCCTCGATGTCGAATCAAGGCGCTGGAAGCCCGGCTCGTCCTCCTTCGGCTGCGATGCAACACGCCAACATCGCCATGGCTAGGCAGCTCAGCCAGCAGACTAGTCAGAGCCGTCATGCCACTCCTCAGATGGCTCACGGAACTCCACAAATGGCATCTGCTATACCTATCGATAACAACCGCCAGATGAGCGGTACCCCTAACATGCAACATCGCAGTCCAGTCCCTCCTCATATGCAGAATACACCCAACCAGGCGGGCCTGATGGCTGCAACGCAGATGAACCAGCTCACTCCTGGTCAGCAGATGGCACTCATGCAACAGCAGCGCGCTCGCAATCTACAGCAGACTATGCAAGCTTCACCAAATCAGTCTTATACGCCTGAGCAAGTTGCGATGATGAGGAATCAGCAGAACATGGCACTGCAGCAGCAGATGAACCCTCAAATGTATGCTCAGATGCAACAACGCATGCAGATGCAGAACATGCAAGGCGGAGCACCTATGATGCAGACGCCTTCTCAACAGCAACAACAACAGCAAATGAGCCAAGCAATGGCTCAACAGATGGGCCAGCAGACAATGCCGAATGTTCAAACTCAAAGATTGCAACAAGCTCGTGCTGCATTGATGCGCACAAAGCAGTTGATTGTACACATGCAATCTCAAGGTCAACCGATACCGCCAGAAATACAACACAAATATCAGCAGCAAATGCAGCTGGTCCAGACATCTCAGGCGCAAGTGACATTGGCTACAGCGAGGACGCAGCAACAGTCTCTTGGCGACACGAATAACACGGAGCAATACATGCAAAACTTCCGCAATCAGCAAGCACTGATTGCAAGGATGCAGCGAAATCCACAGATGGCACAGCAACAGGGCATGATGAATGGCGTGGGTCAGCAACAGAACATGAACATGTTGCAAACTCAACAAGCGCAGATGCAGCAACAAATGCAGTTCGCTCGCCAGCATGCGATGAATCAACAACGACCCGGGTCGGGAATGGGTCAGTAGGTCCGACACATGATACCCCTCTGGAGGAGTTTGGTTTAAAAGGCGTTGGTGGTTTCTTGCTAGGACATGGTGGGCTGAATGCTTGTATGTGTAAAATGAGTCGAGCTCATGTGCTCTTTCTTCTGGTATCGATAGCTGAGTTGGTTGCTTTGTCACGACATTGACAGCGGCCCTAGCAATCAAAATTGCTATATTATTCAAAGCTTCCTTATATGTGTTACAACGCATTCTTTCGCTTGTACTCTGTACTTTACAGAAAGCTATATGCTCTCACGTTACTACAAATTAGGGTCTCCAGCAGTCGACAGCTCTTTGTAAGAAAACGCCAATAGTAACAAACGTGAAAAGACCTCTCGTGATTTAGATAGCGCCTCTGCAAGTATCACCTGTGTGATCTAAATCAGTTGTGCTCACACAACTTGTGGTGAGAGATATATTTGCGTCGGATGCGCAAGCCCGCATCCAATAGCTACAGAAAGCCCAGCTTTCACATCTTCCGTGGCGCAATTGGCTAGCGCGTTCGACTGTTAGATTTGGCTTCGTCCAGTCGGCTATCGAGAGGTTGACAGTTCAAGCCTGTCCGGGAGAGCTCTTCTTTTTTGTCCATGACAGCCCATCATGAATAGTGAATTAGTGTGATGGTTTTTGCTATGTTTTGTTCGTCGTACATGCAGGCGCCAAAACAGTCGAACGCACTAACATCTATATTCTAGTTCGCCAGTGATCGTTGAGGTGAAGCTCTGCGTGGTGAGACACATCAGATACCACAAAAGCACGTTGCAACCGTCCAAGTGGTTTGTTGCTATGAATGCATCTCTATGGGTGCGTTACACTATTTAAGATTCAGTCTGACTGCTAAAGGGGCGGCCCTGCTTGTGATGTCCTGCCCTTTTGGTTTCGTCGGCGGCAGCACATGGTAAGCCTCTTTCTCGCGAGTTGCACTAGAGAAAATTACCATACTCGATTGGTGTATCTTATGCCTGCTGAGTTTCCTGAGTCGTTGCAGCTCGGATCCTGTGATTGCAAAATTGGAATTGGGACTTTTGTTCCAGGGGATACAATACTCATACCACCCTTAAGCACTCGTGGTGTTTGCTTGTCTGATGATGTGTTATCATATAACAATTGCATGCAGAGCCTATCTTGTCAGTGGCCAAAAAGCGAACCACATAGTAGGCACACAAAAACCAGCTTGCATGGAACGCTCGAAACAAGCCACCTGCAAGATAACAAAAAGAGTGCTCATGCTGGGGATCGAACCCAGGATCTTCTCTGTACATCACGCTGTGAGAGAGATGTCATACCACTAGACCACACGAGCCCACAATAAGAGGTTAAAACCTTTGCACAATACTCATACATTGCTATCAGAAGACCCGGTTCACGCAGACATGCCCCCCTCCAGGCCTTTATCAGACGCTCGTGATGTTAGACAACTTCATCTTTGAAATGTATTGTTCGAACCTTTGAAACTACAAGTAGCTCGATGCGCATGAGTGTTGCGTGCATTCCGGGATAATATCGTGCATCATCCGAAGAGCCTCGACTATTGTGGAGGAAACAGGGCGACTCGTACGATTCTGGAATCTCTTATGCGAAGCAATATACAGGGTCTGTCGACAAATCAATAGATTTGGAAAGAAAAGAGGTCGCATTGACAACGAATGTATAGGAGTGATCAGACCATTTTCAGGTCAGGCAGAGAACAGATCCGATACAACCGGCTCCGAAACTCGGTAGTTGAATTGACCATGGACTTGACGGTTGTTATGGCAAAACGGTGTTTGCTGTTATTCTACAAATAGTTTGCAGACGAACCTGACTATGTTCGATGCAATTGCAAGAAGGGAGCTCGAAAAAATCGGTAGAGACCGCGGATAGATCATGAGCAAGCTGAATCAGGGAGTCGTTGATGCGAAAGCGGAATTCCGATGACAACGCGGAATGAAGGGCACGCACACAACGGCCGGTTTTGAGAAGACAAAAGTGCCGGATGACTTGGCAGTGCGAGATACGTTGCGTATGTACGGTTTCAATGCATCGGATAGCCTCATGTTCCTCAAGCTCACGGATACCTTGATGTGTGACTGCCCGAGCTGTCTTGATAGCTGAGATCATTTCTCGTGAGAAGTTTCCTCTACGCTCACCTATTTTTCAATAGTTAGCTTGTTAGGCAGCGCTTGGCGTGGCTCCGCTCCGCTAAGGTTGATCGGGCTCTGCGGGCCATGCAGCCACTTTGCTCTTCTTCCGGGCCTTATTCCCAGCACAGACCATGTGGATGATGCATGTGAAGGGAAAAGCTTGAGATCTGAGCAAGAGACACCTGCAGGAACAACGACGATTGTGCTTTCGCAAAGCACCTACAACAAGGCTATCGAGCGGAGGGCGAGCGGATCTCGATGATCGGATTAGTATATCACATGTCTAGCGGAGCGCAGCGGTTAGCACAATATATAGTTGTAGAATCGTCGTCGGTGCACATGCCGGAAGCACCGGACAGCACGGTCGTTGATGCTGTATGACTATGCGGTCATTCGATCGCATTTCTAATCCCTAACTACATCTCTGTTCTTCCTTTTTCACACCTGCCATTCCCTTCGGACTTTCGTTTGATCCAAGCCAAATACTCGCCGCACCCACTCACGCGCGCCTGGAGTCGCTGCTTCTGTGCTGTGGGCAATCAGACAGATCTTTTCGAGCTGGTCTCTTACATCACCTGCAAATCCCCGTCTCAACTGTTCCCCTGCTCAGCAAACATTAACCATCATCCTCTCAAACGCTTCACCACAACTACTTCCACAATGGGCGCAACACGCGATACCGCAAGGTGAGAAAGCTGCGTCTGTATTGCTTTACAGAGCTGGTACTAACAATATTCACCAGGACGCTTAGCATGGTCGTATCCTCACTCATCCTGATGTACCATGCCACAACAGCATACCTATGCACCTTTCTCACCAGCGACCCGCTGTATGTGTCCTTCAGCGTGACTGCATATGCCTGGTATGGCTGCGTTTTGGCTATGTTGGGAATCTACGGCTCCTTCAAGGTATCTATACAAACACTAGTGCAGCCCTAAACCTGATCACATCTAATTTGGCTCAGAAATCACCCACACACCTGACAATCTTCTCCAACCACTTGCTCATAGACACGATCCTCTCCCTCGTTCCCAAAATTGGCTTGGTCTACCTCTTTCACGACGTTACTTCCGATCTCTGCTTCACCAGTAAACTCAACACTTCGTTCTGGTTCCCGTCCACCACCGCCGACCTGCACGGCCCAGGCCGTGTCATCCAGACTTCATCTCCTGAACAAACCCTTGGTGCGAGTATAAAGGCTCGCCGCCATTGCGAGACAGACGTTCTCATAGCTCAAATTGCCTTCGGCGCTGTTCTCGTCTTCTGGACAATTGCTCAGTGGGGTATGGGGTTGAGTGTGCGTCGATACGCTCTCAAGCTAGAATTGCACAACCACCAAGCCGACCAATGCGTGGACGAAGAGAAGGCTTTTTACAAGGAGGAAAGTCTTGCCGATGAGTATGAGGATGCTGTCAAAAATGTTCAGCGATGGACACGAGGAGAGAAAGACAGCGCCACTTTCATCGAGGTTGCTGAAAAGCCCTCCTGATCTTGACCTTATGCCTTCCGAATTGCCTGCTCAAACATTTTCCTTGGACACGATAGAAGCATCACGTTTTCCTTTTATTTTTACGCGTAACGTCAGCGATATATACCTATTATTCAACCTCTCATGAACTCTTCTTATCTCAGCTCAAATCAATCTTCCGGGCACTTACTCACTAATCGCATCACAGAAGCAAGAGTCGTGTGAGACTATTTTCTTTCAGGTATCAGATTCGGTAGCCTTTGCGTCTACTATGCGTGTATGACACCAAACAAATCGCTTCCAACATGTTTGGCAAGAAGTCTCACAATCACATCTACCCCAAGCCAAAACGCCCCCGCAATGCATACATGCTTCCTCCATTGTCCAACCTTGCTCAGCGATTTGATTCTGCCCAGATACTGGCTCTGAAACAGTCCGTTCGAATCTTGAACGATGCCATCTGCACACTCGATTCTCCATCGTATCACCTCCGACCCGAGCGTCACTGGCTTGTGCAGTTTGTTGATCAGGTACCCAGGTGAACAGAGCAACAGGATACCAGCTCCGACATATCACACAACACCTTCGAGTCTCTTTCCTCTCTTCCACAGCAGTGAGAATGGCTTCTCTCTCGCAACTTGTCAGTTTACTGCCTTTCCCCTCTTTGGGAATTGGGATCGCTGCAAACAAATCCCGGCTACTGAGATGAAGGGAGATGAGCGAGTCATATGGAAGGTGAGCGGGCAAGTGCAAAGCCAATATGTCGAGGGGTAGCTGCAATAATGGAAAGACTGCATGCTGTGTTGGTTTCTTGCGATGTTCCGGTCGAGGTGTTGACTGAATCGTAGTATCGTGATTATGTTGATGGTCGGCTTGGAATACGCTGGTCGTTGGAGGAAGACGTGTCTTATCAATAATCGAGTGGCAGATTGTGATTAGATCCGAGGGCAACCACATTGCTGCTGTAACTTTATGCCAGAGTCGTCTGTTGTTACAATAATCTTCTGTCTCCTTTGTCCGCGAATGGTCTACTTGATTATCCTCTTGCGATTCTCGGACAAGACTTTGCGTCTGTTGTATCTTCGGCTGGGTAATTCTCCTGGGTTACTGTCGTCACAAATCCACACACTCGCTGCAGCCAAAGCAGTTGCTATAGCCAATACAGAGACCAGAGTGAACATTTTGTCCAATGCAGGAACACTTTATATAGCTTGGAAGCCGTTGCGCCTATGACGGTTGTGTTGTGATTTTACGATGAAACAGGGTCAAGCTTGTCTTGGTGAAACTTGGTCCTTCCCCCAGAGATGATCAGTCTTTGGCGACTGCACTTGCTGTTTGTTTTGCTCAAGATGTCGAATCGAGTAGTGTACAAGGATACACCAAGTGCCTTGTGGGGTTGCTGCAACAAATCGAATGTGTCGAATAAACAAGCAAAGCGCTTCGAAATCGAAAAGGCACGAACGCAATGCTTTGTGCTTCGAGGAACCGACTGAAAGCATTGGCTCTTATATCGCTTCATGTTATTGCCTTCATGACCGCGCGCTGTTCAGCTGCTTCGAGCACATGTAGACCACAGCCATGCAACCTCCGGCGCGTGACCAAACCGACGCTATGATTTTGGTAATTTCATTCGGCTTTAGCAACAGTCTCAGCCCAAGTCGTTTCCAAGGTAAGATGACTGAGGTCATTACCCCTATTGCTTGTATGCGAGCGTTTGTTTAATTTATGTTCCTTGTTGTGAGGCCGCAAGCACCACGCCCCACGTTTTGGAATCATGCAGGGGAGGGTTGTTGAAACGTGACATTCGTTCTTCTTGGATGGCTATCATCAAACATTCGCATTTTACTCTCGAGCGTAGGTCAGGCATATCTGCTATACACGTCGCACCTGAGCTGTCCACGTTCCACATACAATCAAGGTGGCTGACATGGAATCAAGACAGACCTGCTTCCAGATTTGGATGCGTCTAAGTAATACGAAGCGCGTGACTGCAGCTTGCTCATCTAGCTCCAATCCTTTGTCTATGGCGTCAAATGTATGCAGTCACAGTCTTGTAAGGTGTGTGTCATGATGATCTCTTGGCCATCCGTAACGTGATCTTGGGCTTGCCTTAGATTGTTCTGGGCCAGTCGAGATTAATGCTTGGTGTAGATATCGGAGAGTGGAGTTGATCTTTCACTTCCTCTTCTTGCGAATCATGGAATTATTCTTACACGTTGCCAGCTTGCTGTGTTCGATGTTCTGAGATCCCCCTTTCACTCTGTTAAGACCATCGGAACGAGAACGTGTCGCGGAATTGATTAGCTGGTGCCATGTCAGTACTCAGGAATTGCCAGTAGTCCCATATCCACTCACCGTAGTCAGATACTTGACCACAACCGCTCTGTTCTCTTTTCACTTCAGCTTCGCCCAACCATGACTGTATCTTCTCCATTCGGTTGTGGCTCGAAGGATGAGTGGAAATGAATTCTGGTGGAGCGTCATGCTCCGCTGCATGCATGCGCGACCACAGCCCAACAGCGGCTGATGGATCATAGCAAGCTTGTGCCATCATCATAAGTCCGATATAGTCGGCCTCCGACTACATGAGTCAGTCTCAAAACATTCGTGAAGGTTGAGCGGATCAACGCTTACCTCTTGTTTCCTGCTTCCAGGCCTCAAGAAAGCCAGATCCACGACCATTCTCGTGAAAACATTGCCGATATCGCCCAATCCAAGTAATAACGAAGCAACGATTGCAACGGGTAGAAACACGGCATAAGAACTCATCCGCTCGGCAGAGTGATGGGCTACATTATGCGCGATCTCATGACCAAGGACAGCAGCCCTGGAGAAATAGTGAGCATGATACCATGAGATGGTGCAGTGTTCAGAACATGGTATACGTACAAACCTGCTTCTCCTTGACAAACATCCAAGATGCCCGAGAAAACGAACACCTTGCCGCCTGGAATCACAAAGGCGTTCTTTTGCTCATCCCTGATAACGTGTACTTTCCAATTATTGGTCTCCGCAGGTAGCCCTGAATGAGGGATGAGACGGTTCAAGACGCGTTGTACGAGCTTATGTTGAGGGTGCGATGGAGGTAGAATACGACCTTGATATTCCTGAATGACTTGTTGGTACAGCTCCTGCCCAGACTGCTGCTCTGTACTCGCAGAGACGATATTGAAGCGTCTACGACCAGAAACCTGTGCAGTGGCTTGTTAATATCAGGACCAGGTGTCCATTGCATCTGATGATCTTAACTTACGGGCACAACCTCCAAGTTGTAGATGTAGAAACCGCCACATGCACCAGCGAGACCGCCAACTTCGTAGTAGAATGTTGGTCTCGCTGCCCATCGCCTCATGAGCCCTCCTGCTTGCTGGAATCTCGAGTATTGATAGCCGCCCCCTCGACCGAAGCCATTGACGTACGTTCTCGACTGCTGTTTTTGCCAAGCATTGCCGCCTTTGTTTCGGAGTTGGTGGAAGATTGTTTGCCGATTCGTGGCACGAAGAGCAGCATTTGTACTGAAGAAGATCCTCCCTGTCGCCATGATCGTGCTGCCTTGAGCGATGCCGCTCGTAGTGACCAGATGAGGAATGTAATGAGACGAAATGCTTGGATACGTAGTATGGATATTTTGTGGTTCGTTGTAATGCCTTTCTCATGTGATGTTTGCTTGACGTGGTATGCGATGACGACGGCGCTGGGTCACGTTTTCTGGCGTTGCACAATCCCGCAAATCCAACCCAAGACTTCTATACGAACAACCAAAGCCTAGCATCATTTCATGGGTGGATCCAATAGCGGACTGATTTTCATGAAGTTACTCATGGCGCTTGCTCACACAGACTTGTGACTCGATCATGATACAGGTCTAGCATTCTTCTTGGACTGAGCGAGAGATCGGTTTGTTCTTAAGGCTTCCTTGCCTATTCTTCAAGAGTCGGCATCTCCACCGCTTCGTTGAACCATTGTCTAATCTCACTACCTTCGCCGAGTACAGAGAGTTGATTCACCCCACAGAACCCACCCGGAAGAGCTACCCTTGTGACACTCCGATATGCACCTGACATGTTGCCAGATACATTCCAGGCTGCATCGTCAAATTCCCAAACCATATCTTCGTACTGTTCTCCCACCTCTTGTGTTCTTCTAGAATTCATGACCGGCAAACCGAGACTCGCGTTCAGTAACTTCTGAAGCGGAGCAAACAAACGTTCGAACCGGCGGCTGATGAGGAGGTAGGAAAACGTCCTGCTGCTATATGCGACCCGGATGTAAGGATTCAGGTAAATATCAGCTGATGACGAGTCAGAGCGCTGAACGGCCACCTCAAGATCAGCGTGAATCAAACAGCACTCGGAAGCGTCCCAATATGTATCGGGGTTGGCTCTGAATCGGATTGGTGTTGTTGTGCTGCGAGGGGAATCTTTCAACAAGGATGAGATTCTTGTGTGGTTGTGGTTGTAGATGTCCTTAGATGTTTGTTGAGAAGACGTCGTGTTGCGGTCTAGTGTCAAGTCGGCGATACCTGAATCAACAGGTATGTCGTCTGTCTCAAACCATCTCGCGCTGTTAAAGACAGTCATGCCACCCCAGCAGCTTCGCACCCTCACGGCGTCTTTTTGATCAAGCACATCTCTCCTGCTGTCTGAGCTGTCTGCACCACTGAACCACGGATAGATGGGCACGCCAATGCGATTTCCTTGAAAGTCTCTCGTTGCAAACGTGTCGTAGTATTTGAAGGGATTGATGAAATCGACAGCGCAGGCAGCATGGTACTTGGCCTTGCCGTTTTCATCCATGTTAGTAGAGAAAATGAGGTTCGCAGCATCAATGGGGTCAAAGACAACATCGTTGACGTAAAGCAGCTTGTCGAAGTGCAATAAAAATGCGGGTGAGTTTGGGTCTTCCAAAGGTGCTAAGGCGCGGTTGCGGACGTGAGCTAGGAACTCTATGCGCTTGAGCCTCCTTTCGCCGGTGGGAAGCTCTATGTGTGGCAAAGCCGCGCGATCAACATGACCCACAACTATTGAAGAATTGCCTGTGAACTAGTGAGCCATGTTCTACGAACAATGCGTGTTGACCTACATTTAAGCTGCTTCGAGAACTGCTCTAAGGAAGCTCTTGCCAAGTTGTCTGGGTCGTCTTCGAATATACTGAGAAACACGTTTTCAGGCCCCAACAGATCTACAAGATCGAGTAGATTTTGCGCCCATGGCCCCGATGCAAGTTCACCTTGCTTGTCGTAGATACTGCTTGCGATGAACACTTTCTCCTTGTGAGGATTGACACGTCCGGGTTCTGTTGATCCCAGGGCCTTCGAGCGCAGAACATTGTAATGATGCGGAGGATGCGAATAGGAGGGGTATAGAACAGCAATTAAGAGTATGCAAATAACAATCAGAGAGGGCATAGTAACAAGGACTATCCAGATCAAATGTCGTATGCGTAAACGGCCCAGAAAGTGAGACGCTGTGTAAACTGCAAAGCGGCCATGATCATCTATATCGTCGATGTTACTCAAGAGGTTGTATCGAGCACGACTGGCGGCTTGCCAGGATGCGATAGCTGACAGAACAATTGCTGTGACGCGGCTATACCATGGCTGAGCAATAAGGGGAAATCGACCATGGGTAGTTTCTTGCGGTGAGCGCGATCGCAAAGAGGTCAGCTCAAATTCATCAGACATATTGACTGAGGCTGTCGTCCATTAGTACTGCAACGCATCTGCGCAGCCGTTGTGAAGTAAGGCAGCTCATGTTGCAATGCGCAGCTAATTTACATGTACGCATGCGTATGGCTGTGCAAAGTGTTCCGTGCTCGGCCGCCATGCACGTGGCCAAGTCTTGGACCCCGGATGGATTTTCAGGGTCTTGCTGTTTCACCTTAAATGATCAATGCGCCGGATTCCAAGAACTGATCGAACATTATTATCCTCAGGAACACTGACCACTGGGCACCCATCAGAATAACGCCGTGGGAAGTCCTGTCGGAAACGCATTTCTCGTCTACAGCACACAGCCATTGATCACAAATTCAGGCGCAAAAGAAAGAACAAAGTACCAAATAAACAAAAAACAGTATCAGTAGTATGGCGGTCTGAGCTGGCTCAGCAGTTGGTCTTGCAAGTGGTGACTTTTAGTTCTGTGCGGAAAAGGGGCTGACCTCTGGTCAAGCATTGACATTGCACACAGCAGACAAGACTTACCTTGAACCAACATGCCTCTTCTCACAAGAGGAGCCACGACCTACGCATGCTCTCCCTGACGCTGCTATCGCGAATGACTTCGACGCCGGCGGGGAAGATGTTGTTTGCACATCATGCGACTCGGCCCAAACTTTTTGAGCTCTCAAATCGCAATGATCAGCTGGGACTAGTAATCCTGTAAAAGCCTAGACCCATGTTTCTGCCACTCCCAGTTCTCAGCTGTTGCGAAAATAGCTCTGAAGCTCTTGCCGTTCACAGAGCTTCGACCAGCTATGCATCTACCAGATTGCGTATTGTGTCATCAGCCGGACGTCCCCAGCTTTACAGATCAGGTTCATCAACCTCGTCTAAGAGCGGCTGATATCGTTGTTCAAGTCGAGACTAGACAAAGCCTCTCAGGTCGGAATAGGGATCGTCTAGCTGTGAGTGAATTCAATGCTCAGTAGAGCTGGGATCAGCGAAGACAGCTGCGAATGTCTTGCGAGGCGGCGTACAACAGAAAGAATTGCAATCTGTTGCATGGCCAGATACTGCTCTTGCTTAAAAGCAAAGCCGTATTGGATCACATGCCACCTTGTATGGCAAAGGACGACAGGATCAGGACGAGGGAATTGATGGCGCCCCAGGAGAAGGGGATCCAGGTGGACATGCGAAAGTAGCCAGCAGAATAGACACCGCTTAGAAGACCACCAACAACATTGCCAGCAATGATGGCCTCGACAGCACCAATGAAGCCGAAGACGAAAGGGACAAGCCATATAAGCTTCCAGTTACGCCATTGGATAGCCATGGCAAAAGCGGCAGCAATCAGATGGATGCCGACGACATCAATGATGGTCCAGAGGAGAGTGAAGCGCCATATGTCGTGCGAGTGATAGAGGTACAGGGTCTGGGTTCCGCCGACGGGGAAAGGCCAGTACAAGGATGGAAAAGGTGGAGTGGTGTATGAGAGAGGAGGAGTGTCGACGACAGTACGGAGAAAAGAATCGCTACGGGCAAGAGTCAGAAGGGCGACAAGAGTGGAGCGGTCAATGATGGGGAAGCGTTTACCGGATGCTACGACAAGTTAGAGGACTCGACTACGGCTGCATTGCGACGAGAAGACGGCACTGACCCCATGGCTGCGGTAGATGAAGCTCGCCGTGCTTTACTCTGGCAGGATCAGGCGTCTCGGTCGGACGTGAAGCCTGTCGGTATGCAAAGTTCGAGTCGTCGGACAAAGTGGAGATAAGTTGAGGTATATAGATGGGTAGATTCACTAAACAATCGCGAGTCTGCAACTGACCAGCGGCTTCGCATGCGGCGGCCAAGTCTCGCGAGTCGCGTCCAAAAGGGTCCACCCTTGACGGACCTCGGCTCGACGCCTGGCTGCTATTACTCGACTATCAACTGCCTCCTAACCATAGCCATCCGCCAGCCAACTACTCGGTGACTAACAATTCTTGTCATATATTCGGAGTCTGCTCGAAAACACAATCATGTCGACCGACAGATTGTTAGCCACTCTGCTTAGATATCTGCAATCAGCCCCACATCAACAAGACACCCGCCGGTACTGCTCCATCTCACACACCTACCGCCGCTATCTTTGCAACTAACCATGATCAAGATTAATTGGGACAGCAGCCTCTCTACTGACATCGCTGAACAATCCCCTGAATATCACCTTGCTCACCAGTCAACTATTGTCTGCACCAGCCTTATGGCCTTATCCAAATGCTTTGACGTCTTCGTTGACCTTTATGACTTTGTTCCATTCGGCTACTATCAAATGCCATGAGCGTGACATCGCACATGATGACAATCAACAATCTCAGGCGTCGCTACGTCCTCATGTCGAGTCTCATCTTCCATTACATGACTGGATCCAAGCAGTCCTCAAGGGCGCCGACCAACACTCCCCTCCCGACCATCACCTGCTCGCTATTGCTGGGTTGATTGTTGGTCTGGCCACTCGCGACCATGAACTCATGTCAACCAACGTTGCCTACACTTTGCGATCCGCTTTTGTCAAGGCTGTCAACCTGGCTCTATCAGAAACTTCTGCTGCCGACGACTTTGCCCACGGAAACATCTGTTTGGCTCTAAATCATGCCTTTATTCACCTGTCTGACATAGATCGCTCTACCGTCGACTATGACCGTCTTTTGCCGGTGCTAATGACTTCTACCTTCCACTCGCCACATGGATTGCGCTCAGGCTATTTTCTAGGCGCAGCAGACGCTGACCTGAAGCAAATATCAGATCATCAATTCAACTGGCCTTCTGACTCACCCTCATATCAACAGATCGAGTCTATCCTCAAGAGTCCGCTGATCTCATCTCTTGGTCCCTTGTCAAGGCTAATAGCTCATACCATTGATCACGTAAAGGATGCCTGGCTTGTACAATCTGCTGTCGAGGACTTGTCCGACTTCTCCAAACGATTGGGTACACAATGGAGACAGAACAAGCTGTCAGAGATCGATGCTTCGGAAGAGACCATCTTCCTGCATGAACAGGCTCAGAAGAAGACTGTCCCGACCTTATGGAAGCTCCTCCGCTCGACTTTGTTCGCCATCGTCATCATCCTTCGTAGCGCAAGCGGTCGCGTAGTAGGAAATGCAGCTTTAGCGGCTCATGGCAGTAAGATATATCCATCCAGACGTACCTGCTCATCGCTGATTTGTTAGATGCACCTCATGTAGCACAAGCTATTCTCCACTCCCTCCGCAATCTCTCATTCGTCTTTAGTCGTATGGGGAACGTGTCATTCTCACAGTATACCTTTACCTACCTTACCTCCATCGATATTCTAGCGAACTATCCAGATCACTCGGCTACTTTCCTCGAATCTATAACTCCCTCTGAGCTCGGACATATTCCTCATCACCCATTCGAACGCGATCTAGACCTCTTTTTCCTCAATACGGCTGAACACTTCGCTCTCGTCTTGTCTTCCCGCCTGAATGAGGACCTTCTGCTCGCTGCGGCATCACCCTATCTCATCACAGCCGGAAACCCTAAGCTCCTTCCGATCTTCGAAGCCGCTCACAGTGTCACTTTGTCAGTCTTCTCTGCGCCTCAGAATGTCGATCTTACCACAAGACACCTTCCTTTCTACGTTGACGCCTTGTTCCAAGTCTTCCCCCACAACCTCTCCGCCCGCCAGTTTAGGCTGGCCTTCAAGAACCTGATCAGGGTTGTGTCCCCGCCGAGTCGCATCGCTATTGCCCAGCCCATGCTTGCTGCCACACTCCTCGATCTTGTACACGAACGTGCAATACATGCTCCTGACGTCCCTCTACCACCGAGCCATGTTCCAATCTCAACCGCTCCAGAATTGGAAAGTGCTTCCAAGTCCGCTGTACCCGATTTATCAGAAAAAGCAGTATTGATACTCACCCTTATCGACGCATTCCCCTGCCTATCCCTGGCTCTGCTGGAAGAGTGGCTGCCGCTGACGGCGACAGCCACGCAGATGGTTACTGACTCGGCCATGCGCGAATTCTGCAAGAAGCATTTCTGGGAGGTTCTGGTTGGTGGTGAGATGGATCCAGAGCGCAGTCAGATATGCGTGCGTTGGTGGACTTCGAGAGGAGGGAGAGAGTCGCTGCTTTATGGCGACGGATCATCTGACGATGGGTATTTTATGAGTGGAGGATTGGGAGAGCAAGAGAAAGTTATGGCCAAACTATAGAAGTTCTGGGAGATGACAATGAGACTGTGATACTTTGAGAGTAACATGTGTGCTTCAGTTGAATACGAGATTGACTATCTATTTGTCCGTACTTTCACTGTTCTATAACATAACCATCGTCTTATTAACTCGTCTCTCGCCTCTTGTATTCCCCTTCGCCAATCTGTTGCAAGTCTGCTCTTGTTTGTCGGAACACCTGTAACCATTCATGTGTCCTAGGCAGATCAGACCACGTCGCCATTTGTGGTGTGTCTGCTGACCGCCCTCTCCATTCTGATAGCTGCATCCTCCTCTTCAGCGTGGTCTTGTCTTTCATCTGGCAGCAACACCGCACGGTCAATAGCAATTGGCAGACCTCTGTGCCTTCCTCTCAGCATGACAGCACAGAGAATCAATTTACTCAGCTTATGCCATGAGCCACAGAATGAGTATGCGTTGTTGGGTACACCAACGCTTATGCCCACTGTTTGTACTAGTCAGCAAAGACCACGAGACAGCGTATAAGATAATGATAACGAACCTGTACCATAGGCAGAGACGACTTCGAAGATGACATTGAAAACCGAAAAGTCGACAGGATCACGCTCAAATTGCCCACCTTCAATGATCATGATGAGGAAAACAGCAAGCACAATCCACCAAGCGTCATGAGCAAGTTGGGCCCTCAGTTGCTGTTGTATAAAGTAGCTCTTACCCTCGCTCAGTCCACCAAATCCGGTCGCAAGTTGTTTCTTGACTCCGCGGAATCTGCTGTAGATGCTGTTGGGATCCTTAGAAGCCTCTGATACGTTGTCTGGATCGTTCTCGTCATACACGCCTAGACTTCGCTCTTCGTAAACGTTGCTGTTACGCATTGTGATAACGACAGGATAAACGGAGATGTACATCATGATGACATACAGAACCTGGAGTGAGATTCGAAGGGTGGGAATAGCGACGACGTAAAAACCTCCGGAACGAACAGCAAAGGCTTGGAAGAGGCCATCGAGAACGCGAATGTGAACGGGAAGGGTACTGTTGAGTACGCGATTGCCAATGTTCAGGATCTCGAAAGCAGCCCAATCCACACCATTGAGCGCGAAAACGGCAAAGGCTAGCCACCAGGTATGCTCTGAGGGGAAGAGATTGGTGTAGCAACGGCGAGGATGGTCAAGGAGGAAACGCAGAGTGTTTCGATGGTCATCGAATCTGGCGCGCTTCGGCAAGCACTTATAAATTGTCCACACAATCAATCGTAGAAAGATCGGGTAGCATGTATTTCCGGCGAGGATCAGCAGGCTCATGGTTAGCAGCATGTAGTACGACGTCTGAAAGGCTATCATGTTGGCATCAAGCAAACTCATACCAGAGTTGTTGAATGCGGATACAGCGTTGAAAGCCCCAACCCACCACGGATTGAGACCGTTAGCTCGAGCTGTCCCTGGACGGTTGTGTGCCACCCAAGCAGCACAGCCTAGAGCTCCAAGTAGCTGCCAAAGGACAAGGTACAATGGCACAATCCAAGAGAGCCACAACAGCGCTTTGTATTCTACACCACCAAGCCGCTGTCTTTCGGCCTCAGTGAGATTGTGAAATGTTGAATTGCGAGAAATATAGCCAGCGGATGGAAAATAGTCAGCGGTAGATCGGGTTCCCACTGGTGCTTGCTCAGCAATGGATGCGCGTGACACAGACGTGACCCGGTGGAGACTTGCTTCAGATCGAGCACCAACACCGGAAACTGAAAACACACGCTGTCTTGGTTTAGTAGGTGATTGGTCTTCAAATTGCTTCTGTGAGCGGAAGACAGTCTCAGGACTGAAGGTGATACGATCGGGTAAGGTAGCATCGTTCGAGTCTTCCTCAGCGGCAGGTAGATCATCAGCGGCTCCATCGGTACCTTCACTCTTGCTCTGACGAAGCGAAGTCTCGCTGACGGACGTACGACGCCTTGTTATAGGAGTTTGAGGCTGGTCTACATCTGCTGGGCGAGGTTGTCTGTCCAGACCCAGGTTCGGATTCTGGTTCTCTCGAGATTTACTCATGGAGAGTCTGGACATTGAAAAGGTGGAACCTCGCAATGAAAGGCGTCGCTGTTTGCGAGCTCTGCTCTCGATGACGCTTATGAACTTTCGTTCGAATGCTTTCCTTCTGACTTGAAGAACAAAATTCGAGACAAAGATGGCAGAACCAATGAAGATGAGAACGAAGAGCATGAACTGTTGCCATGTATTGAGTTCGCTAAGGTTGATAGTGTTCAGACCGCTATAGCAAAAGTTAACGATCAGAGCTGTGGTGAGACGAAGCGCCGGATGAAAGGATGATGTCGACTTACGCTTCGGTCATAGCACTGACGCAGAAGAACAAGGAATCGGTGAAGCTGACATGGGTAGTGGTAGAGGAAGCCCAGAAAATGACAGCAGCCAGCAGACCGGTAAATATGAAGTATGCATAATGTAAGGTGATGAAATTGACTGGAGGCAAAGCGCGACGAATGGCTCTTAGAGGGCGAGCAAAGCGCAACTTGAGACGTCGTCCCAGCATTTTGATTCGAAGGATTATTACAAAGTTGAATAGGTTAAGGGTATCGAGTATCTACTTTTCTGGACGACGACGCCTTAGTAGCTTTGGGGAGGGTCTGGCTGATTGTCGAAAGCCATGGAGATGCTCCCTATTCATGCAAGAGCGGTGACAGCGATGTGCAAACGAATGCACGGCGGGACGGAAAAAGACGGTACGCGGGAACGAATCTCGTGCAACAAACGCGCTGTGAGAAGAACTGTAAGTTAATGTAGACGACTGAGGTGAAGCGATAAGAATCAAGAAGAGCGAGACATTCTTCGGGCGGCGACACAGGCTTTCGACTCCAGCCACACTTCGAGTTTAACTGTTTGAGTATGAAGCGAGTCTCTCGTCGACTTGAGATCGGCGAGGCTAAACCCACGATGATTCGCAGATAGCTCTAGAAGCAACAAGTCAGCATGAGCATGTCTGTCAGTCGACGTCTCGCTAGACAGACAATCGCCAAGAAAGTATTGTGTCTTGCTGGTGACAGACTTCAGCATGAGTGTCCAAGTCCACAGCCACAATGTGGCGCGAGCAGCATAGCCCCCCAGAAGCGATGACATATGCGAAGCAGCGACCTGCAAGCCATGAACAACAGGGAAAGGACCATGTTTAAAAATCACCTTGGCCTGCCCCGCCATGTCTGGTCTCCCAATCTCTTTGGGCCTCACAGTTCGATAATTCATATCCAAACAAAATTAGTCCAAGATGGCAGGACACCACGACCCCAAGCTACTATACACGATCGCCAATGTCAAGGCATACCACATCCAGGGTGGGGAAGAGCAGGACTTGACCCCGAGCGGCCCTCAGACCCTGTCTCTGTTGATGGTGCCCACCTCGTCGCCCTTCTCAGACCTGTCGTCGACCATCCCGCAGAATGAGATTCCTGAGAACGACTTCTACCTGCACCTCAACCTGCCCCCGGAGCTGGACTTGCCTATGCCAGCCACCACTCAAGTCTACCATCAGCCTCCCCACTCATACCTGATCCCTCGCTGGGACCTGGGTGCCGACAGCGGCATCTTCACTCGCATCACCTTCGACAAGAACATTTCACCAGAGGATCACGATACCTTCGAGACCATTCTGGCACAATGCACCGCTTTCCTAGAACGCGCTGCCCCACCCAAGCCCTCTCGTCCCCTGGAACAATACGACCCAAGAGACTATGCTCCTGGTGGCAGGTACCACGATGCCAAGGGCTCTGCACACGGCCAGGTTGTTCTTGTTGACGAAGACAATGGCAGCGTCATTGGCGAGCTGGCTGGTGATGCACACATTGTCGAAGACTCGTCCCTTAACCAGGGAACAAAGAGTATGCACATAGCTTCTGTCCAGACCCTTCAGACGTCCACTAATCACGTGTACAGATCCTGTCGAAATCGAAATCTCTGCTGATGGGAAACGTATCAGCGTCAAGCCAATCAGCGAGGACTACCTGCAAATGGCCCGTCATCCTGCTTACAAAGATAGCGGCATGGTCCAGCATGCTGCAACTGCCTCCCGCTTCATCGTCACCTCGAGCAGCCGTCTTGGTAATATCCTGACTGCTGGCGCTGAGAATTTTACCCAGAAAGTCAAGCCTGCTGCTAAGCCCATGGAATTCAGCCCTGCTGCTCACGAGCGTGTCCGCAAGATCAACGCCTTTACCAACAGTGCCGCTGGCTTGTCTGCAAAGACTGTCGGTCAGGCATCCAAGTACGCTCAAAACCTTGGTGCTAGATTTGGCGGCAAGAATGAGGAACGCTACAAGAAGGGCTTCGACGCCAACGGCAAGCCCCTCTCCCAAGACCAGTATAAGCCCGGTCTTCTCAACAGAAGCATGATCGCCTTCTCCACTATTGCCGACGGTATTGCTACCAGCGGTAAGCACCTGCTCGAACAGAGTGGTTCTGCTGCAACAACCGTCGTCGGTCACCGATATGGCGCAGAAGCCGGATCAATCACTTCCAGCCTCGCTGGTGGTGTCAAGAACGTCGGTCTTGTCTACATTGATGTAACTGGTGTCTCTCGCCGCGCAGTCCTCAAGTCAGTCGCCAAGGGAATGGTCGTAGGCAAAGTGCGCAACGGAGGCCAGGTAATTGTTGGCGGCGGAGATGGCGGTGTTGTCGAAGATGAGGACATGAGAAAAGCTGGTCTCAAGAGTGATGGACAAGCTGCTCAAGGCCCTGGCTATGGCAACGTTGGCAGCGTCGAAGGATACGGCATGCAAAGCGGCCCACCAGCCTACGAATCCGGCGTTGGAGAGTCGCTTGCCGGTCAACCTGCACCGCAACGCGATGCCAAGGGTAAATACGCATGAATTCATGAATAACGTGTCACTTATGTAATTTATATAGCATTTCGGTTATTGCTGTGATCGAGCTACAGAGTACTCCTTCATATCATTAGATCAATATCTATCTTCTCAACACACACACAACTCCCTTCTCTCTCCTTTATCGATATTTATGAAGCACGTCTGCAGCAGCTGTTTCAACCCACAGCCCAAAGTTCATAACTCGCATACATTGATGATCTCCATGCAATTTCCTCTCGTCGCCATACACGAATAGCATCAACGTTCCCAACGTCAAGCGAAGCTGACATGCTCAACAACGCTGCAACATTCTCAACGCCAATCTCACGTTCCTGGTTGCACATGACCTAATCTAGCCTGATTGAGATAAACATAGAATAAACCTCTCGTGAGTCTCGTTGAGCCTACAATGCCAGCAATGAGTCTCGCAGATCTACACTAGTCACGATACGAAATACAGGTCAAAGTGGTAGCACGACGCATACGATGCTCTGCATGCTGAGCGTACAAGACATGACTACAAGTAGAGCTATTCATGATTTTTTGTCTAATTTCAACTTTTGATATATACATCTTTGGTGGTTTGGGGTAGTAACAAGAAGAGCTTTCATTGTCTGTCCGACGGTGTCAACAAGACATTTTGATCCATTGTGATGAATCTGTCGCCGACAGAGTGTTTTGCGAAGTCCTTATGAATGTACGTGCCAGATCGTCCTCCATCTTTGAATAAGATACGGGCACCAGATATGACCATGTCCTTGTCCACAGCCTTGCACATGTCATAGATAGTCAGACAAGCGCCTGATACAGCCGTGAGAGCCTCCATCTCAACACCCGTCTGACCACGAGTGTGTACTCGGGCTTCCACTGCGGCTATGCCATATTTTGTCGTATGGGCTCCCAACTGAGTCCTGATGGACATGGCGTTCTGTGGTGACATCGTTCCAACATTTACTGTGACTTTGGTAATGGGGATCGGATGGCAGAGAGGAATAATGTCCGAGCATCTTTTGGCTGCCATGATGCCTGCGATACGTGCAACTCCAAGAACATCGCCCTTCTTATTGAGGTTTTCGGTGATGGCTTTGTAAGCTCCCTCTTTGCTGAAGTGCACATATCCGACAGCAACTGCAACTCGCTCGGTGGAATCTTTTCCGCCGACATCGACCATGTGCGCTTCGCCAGTCGAGCTGAGATGCGTGAGAGTAATAGCCGCTGCTGCATCAGGCGACTCTGCTTTCACCACGCTTGAAGACGGCGTCGTCTTCGTTCCCTCCATAGAGTCGAGGAAATCTGCCTCAGATCGGCCAAGTTGTGCTGGAGATGGTTTGCTTTGCTCGACGTCTTCTCCGGCTGGGGAGATTGAGGGCTGAGTACTGCTAGACTGTATTGCCTGAAGCGGCTTGGAGACAGTCGACGTGTTGACCTTGTGCTTATCTGACGAAGATGGCAGCTGGGTATCTTCTGATTCGACTTTCCACGCCGGCAGAGGCTTAGGCTTAGGCTGTTTAGAATTCTTTCCCGCCTCAATATCTCTGGCAATAGCTCTGGTTGCTTTAGTATCTTTGGAAGCCTTCTTGAACCGAATGGCTGGAACAGATTGTTGGGAGGCTTTAGACCCGTCTCGAGCGATGGGTTTTCGCCGTGGAAGAGGCGACGAGCTTTCCAAGGCAACCTTTGCATCGTTTGTAGTCACAAGTTGTTCTGCTGGTGAACTTTCGGAATCTTGTGCCTTGACCGTGGGGACCGAAGACAACATCTCGTGTGCTTTCTCGTCTTCCTCTTCTGCGGTTGCAGCGAGTTGATCACCATCAAAAGGGCTGTCAGAAGAGTCAACTTCCTGGGTCGATCTCCCAGGCTGTGCGTCGGCAATCGCATCTGTCTCTTGAAGCTGAGGTGGAGACCAGGATCTTCTGGGGTTACCAAAAAGGCCTCTGAGACTTGCAAAATCGGAATCAGGTCCGTCGGACGTCTTTGGTGTCGGTGAGAAGTGTGGATCGACATTGGTCTGCGGATCCTCATCGGACTGTTGATCCGGAGGTTGGGGCAGAGATGAGGAAGAAGTCGATGAAGAATATAGGCGAGCTCCATGGTAATTAGGGATACTCGAATGTAAGAGGTGCAAAGGAACAGCTTGTCCCAGGCGGCTAAATCCCATAGGTCGGTGTTTGGACTTGTTAAGCCCTCCTCTCAGGGTACTGCCCTCAGCTACCACCAAATCAGTACTAGTTCCGGTATCGTATGGGTCCATTTGACAGTTCGGGAAGGCGATCGTGCAGACGACGGCGCTACGAAGGTCGACAAGATCAAAAGGGCTTGCGGAACCTACCCACCAATAAGTATCATGGGCCGGTTTTCCATGTTTTGCAGTTCTTCCATGCCAGCATGTTTCTCCTTCTTGCGCTTGACTGCTTCTCCTATGAGATTCAGCAACGCGGTCTCGCGCTCAATCCAACTTGGTCTTGTGTCGATTACAGACAGTCCTTGACGTCTGTTCATCTCTATCTCTCTGATGGCCTCGAACGCTTGCTCATCCATTGGATTGTTTTCGTTGTCCTTGCGCAAAAGATCTCTTAGCGAGACTTCGGTGTTGCCATGAAGACAGACTTTGAGGCTGCCGTCGCTCGTGATGCGTAAGCGGTTGCAGGTACTGCAGAAGTTGTGTGTCATGCTAGTAATGAAGCCGATCTTTCCTACAAAGCCCGGGATCTCGTACGTCTTGCTCGTGTCGTTGAGATGGCTCTTGACACTACGAAGTGTTGGGTACTTCTCACGGATTATGTCCAGCATCTCCTGGTAGGTCAACATCTTCCGCTCGCTCCATTTGTTCCCACCAAAAGGCATGTACTCAATGAAGCGTACTTCGATGTCTTTCTCCCGGCCCATCTCAACAAAGGGAACAATCTCGCGTTCGTTAATGCCACGCATGACGACGCAGTTGACTTTCAGCTTGACTCCGGCGCCTAACTTGTTCATTTCTAGGACACGATCGATACTCTTCATGACGGCGTCATATCCTTTGCGACGAGTCAAGATCTGGAACTGGAAAGGATCGAGAGTGTCGAGGCTGATGTTGACCCCAGTCAAACCCGCTTCGACCATCTTGTCCAGTTTGCGGTGCAGCGAAATGGCATTTGTAGTCAGAGCGAGCTCGCGCAAGCCCTTTGATTTGAGAGCTCCAATTTGCTGCATCAAAGGCAGAATGTCAGGACGCACAGTGGGTTCCCCTCCAGTCAAGCGGATCTTGGTAACGCCTTGAGATACGAAGAGCTGGGAGAGGTAGACGATCTCGGGCGTGGTGAGGAGGTGGCTCGACGGCGAGAGCGGGACACCCTCTAGACGAACGGAGTCAGTGACATGGACTCGAGTGTAGATGAGATACGGTACCTTCGGGCATGCAGTACAGGCAACGCAAATTGCATCGCTCAGTGACACTGATACGCAGATAGTCATGTTGGCGGTTGTACTTGTCCGTCAGGAAGTCGGAAAAGGGCTTCGCTGACTTGATGGCTTGCCGCCTGTTGGTCACTTCAACCTGGTGCGGTAGCGACAGCGCCGGGCCATCGTGGTCGAGGGCGGCGGGCGCCGGGGGCGATGCTGTAGCGGTCGCAGTCGCAATACAGCGCCTTTCAGGTCGCAGAAGGCGGACCAGGGGCCCAAGACTGCGACTCGAGCGGAGGGCAGCTAAAGCCATGGTGGGTAGAAGGTCGTCATGTACAATGGCGCATCTTTTTATATATTGATTGTCGGGTTGCTTGCAAATGTGACTTGAGTTACGGAGTTAATCCTGAAAACTTCCGCGTCCCGCCTCGGTCCGCCCGCCCAACGTCTCCTCCGCCTCTTATCTCTGCTTGTCCTGCTTGCTCTTACGTGAAAGTGACATGTTCTGACTCAGCTCTTGGCTTCATATACAGTATATCTATATTGTATTGTCACTGGTGGCGTCACATTCCCAGGGCCGCTCTCTGCGCCTCGACAATCGCAAACACTTCCCTGCCATGCTCGCTGCCATAAAGCTCATTCTCCGCCAGCCTTCCCACGTACTCCCAGAAGTCCTTCTGTCCCTTTTTCCCTCGCAGACCTGCGCTCAGAAGTCCCTCTTGCTTGTGGCAGTCCATGACTATCTGTCCGATTCTGTCCCACTCATGGCTGCGTGCAAGACACTGTACTACAGCCGTCATGGCTAGCCAACCAGGCCGCTTTCCCTCCTTGCTCATGCGATTCAAGAAGGCCATCGTCCTGCCTACATCACCATGTCTTGCAAACCCTTCTACCATTCTGTCGTAGAAGATGACGTCCATTGCTTCTTCCTGCCTCGAACTCTGTATGTCGTTCCAAAGTGCATCCGCAGCAAGAAGCTCGGGTGGATTGGCGTCAAAGTAATGCGTCATGAGAATTGTGTATATATGAGGTGTACACGCAACCTTGCGGGCAGTCATGTGCGCCAGTACGCTTCTAGCCGCCTTCAAGTTGTTATGGTCCTTAAGCATACGATCGATGATCAGAGCATATCCTTGAACATCAACCTTCATGCCACATCCTTCAAATGAGGAAATGAGATCCATGATCCTGTCCTTTTGCTCGTCATGCGTCATGCCACCGAGCGTTGTCGACAGCATCGAGTCAACCAGGATAGTAAAGGTCGAGGAATTGGGTTGAATGTTGGCTGCTGCCATACGCTGCAATATGTTTGCTGCATCTGTCGCTTGTCCTCCACCGAGTGAGATGGCAAGCAACGCATTGTAAGTTGCTACGTCTGGCTCAATGTTGAAGCGACGGCTCCATGCTAAGACGTGTGGGATCTGATTTGCTTTCTTGCTACGAAGAGCTGAGATGGCCGAGTTCAATATAACGGTGTCAGGTTTGGGAACCTCTGAGGTGTCCTCGAGGCTGCCAGACTTTGAGCGTCTCCTGTGTTGGGCGCTGAGCCAGTCCCTTCCCATTTCTTCCAACGCAGACATACCATCACGAGGGTCACCAATCCGGAAATGACCATATATTCTGGTGCTCCATGAAACCACGTCGGGCTGGATACCAGAGTTTCTCATCGAATGCCACATGGATTCCATGATATGGATGTCTCGGGAAATATGGCAACCCTTCATCATAACGTTCCAAGTACGAACAGTCGGTTCGAAGCCTGACTGGAGCATGCTGTTCCAGACCTGCAGCCCAGACTGGGGCCTTCGCAGCTGGAAGAAAGCAACCAGGAACGCTTCGTACAGCCGGGTCGTCGAAGGTGCATGCTCTGGCGTTCGTGACAATTCATCCATCAACATTTCTTGTGTCCGAGCCCATAGTCGTTCCACCGTATCGAGATTCTGCTTATCGGCAGCAGCACTGACGTCGGAGATGAGTGATTTAGCTTTCTGCTCGAAGGACTTGGGGGCTGTTGCCTTCTCGGCAAGAGTAGAGCCTATGTGTGAGGGGGTTTTGAGCACGGAAGCTGCGTGAAGTTTACAAAGTCTTTGGCTAAGTTCGGCTGATGCCAAAGCATCATCTTGAAATTGGCTTTTGAGCTTCATCTCGATATGTCGTACAGCGGCTTGATTCAGCTGTGCCTTTAAACACGCGCTGCCGAGTGTCTGGAGCAGAGGTCGATATTCCTCGAGGTCATTTGGGAAAGATGTTGCGCGGCACATGATGTCTTGTATAAGCAAGAGTGATAGACTGAGATCTGACGGCTTCTCAGTCGGTGCTCTGAGCAAATTCAAAAAGCGGTGGTAATCTGTTGTAGGACGTTTGGTCGGGTAGAAACAGAGGGGCCAAGTCTCAAATAATTGGATAAGGACAATCTTTGTTGTAGGATGGTCCAAGACATCCAACCCTTTGGAAGCAGCCAACTGGAGATGGATTGCTAAAGATAGGGCTAGAGAAGAAGCGATAGGTGGTGTAGATATGGAGAGCTGACCAAATCTTTTGAGCACAACATATGGGGAGGGAGAGATTATGTTTGAAGCAGATTGATGCAAGTCGAGTTGTGCGAGCCAGTGGCGGGTCATCAGAGACAAGAGGCGTGTATAAACAAATCCTCTCCTGTGCTTTGGGACGTCGAGGAAGGGGAGGGAGGCGGGGTCCAAGGCGGCGCAGTTGGGATCGGTATAGTGGGTACAAAAGTAAGACCAGGCAGCGTTGGCATCGTTTCTTGCGACCAGATCTTCTAGGTTGGACGTGTACGAGATGAGGGAAGCATCTCGGGACTTTTTTGTACGAGGCGGTTCTCGAGTAGAAGAGTCTGAATGCTGAGGATGTGAGGCAGCACTGGGCTGAGCAGATGTGGTTGGAGGGTTGCGAGTGGGCTGCTGATAAGGGGATTTTGCAGCTACATAATCGTACAGACTTCCGGGTTGGCTAGAAGTGGATGTGGCAGACTTCCGCCGAGGCTGTGAATAGCGAGTGCTGCGCGGCAATTCTGACACAAGATCATCAAGGTGGTAGGCCGGGGACGAAGATGAGGCGCACCGCTGCTGGTGCTGTGAGCAGGGATACTGACGACCGAGCTTGACTGCTCGCCGTGCCGTAGAGCGACAACATTGCATGCAGACGCGAGCGCCGGACATGGGCCTGGCTGGTTGTTGTCGAGGTCGAAGCAATAAGGTAGAATAATTATTTGTTCCGTCGGCGATTGTCTTTCACATGTTCCGCCTAGGGCCCTTGCCCTGCCAAGCTTTCGTAGCCATGGGCGCTCATCGTCAACCCGAGCGACTCCACCCACCAACCAGCCAACCACCTACACCTCCCTTCATCATTCCGTCCTTTGTCCTATCGACCTCTGTAGTTGTGCTTTTCTAAACCTACGATTTGCTTTGGCTCTCCCTGTCTCTTCAATTCCTGACAAGTCACCATGACTACCCTAGTACCTCGGGAGAAATACACTGCTGATGAGCTTGAAACTTTGTATCCAAAGGAGCTGGCACTGCAGCAAGTCCAAGTCGTAAGTTTCCGATACAGACGGCTAATCAATCATCATACTAATGGTCCACAGCTTCTCAGACATGGTGTGCATGCATTGTCTGTTCGTTGAATTTCTTCTTCTGACTATGCAAAGGCGAACGATCTCCAGTCTCTGCCAGATTTAAGAATGTATGTGACCACTACGTCTGTCATTGATGCTCGAGTACTGACAGACTACTTGTCAGGCCGGTCTTTCGGCTAGTATGTCTTGTGTCCACTTCTAGGCTGACCGCCTGCTGATCTCGAAGCCAGACTGGCCGTATTGTAATGCCGCACAGCATCTTCGTAGTGTCATCATGTCAGCGAACGACTCATGGGACGAGCTGGCTTATAGACGAAGGCTCGAGACTTTCGATACCAAGGATGACTCTCCAACCCTGTCTCAAGGTCCTGGACGTGAAACTGATGGAATCTGGTACATTCAACTCAATCGAACAGCCGAGGCCTCGCTAATGCCTTCCTCCCAGCCTTCCTGGCGAATTGACTGATCAAGGCCGCGCCTCCACTTTAGCTTTGGGTCAACGCCTGCGTGGTTTGTACGTGGACCAGCTTGGTTTCATGCCTGCTGTTCTTCAGGACGCAAACCATATGTACCTGCGGGCCACCCCTATTCCGAGAGCTCTTGAGTCTGTTCAGCAGACCTTCTACGGACTGTATCCTCCTTCATCGAGAGCTGCTGGCTTCGTTCCGCCGACCATCATCCAACGTCAGCCTAGCCATGAGACGCTCTTTCCTAACGAGGGAGCTTGTCGGCGTTTTGCTCAGCTAAGCCAGGCTTTTGCTCAAAGAACTTCGGATCGCTGGAATGACTCGCCAGACATGGCATATCTCAACAAAATGTTCGGGAAATGGATGCCTGAAGATTCTCCCACGGTCAAGGTCGATAGTCATCCAAGATTGAGGTTTGTCGGCAAAACTGCATGTATCTAGGGCACAGCCCTCTGACTGAGTACAGCGGTATCATGGACACTGTCAATTCGACTCTCGCTCACCCCCAGGAGACCCGCTTACCGAAGGAATTTTATGATCCCAGGGGCAGAGCAATTATCGATAAGATCGGTGTTGAGGAGTGGTTCTCGGGCTACAAGGAGTCCCAAGAATACCGCTCAGTAGGTATCGGTGGACTCATGGGCGATATTGTAGGTCGCATGATCGAAAAAACTAGAGCGCCAAGCAGCAGCAACAACGATGTCCAAATGGCTCTGTCTGGTTGCCACGATACGACTCTAGCCGCAGTGCTAAGCAGTATGGGAGCCTTTGAAGGCGAACCTTGGCCTCCATACACTAGTCACATCGCCATCGAGTTGTTCAAGGATCGCACGAGTCCTACGGGCGCCCAGCCTGCAATCACGACTGGTAGTTGGTGGAGCTCCCTGTTCCCAGCCAAGAGCATGTTGACCCCGGACGCCTCTCCCCGCACTCCTTTGTCGAATCTCTCCGAATCCGACAAGCAAAAGCTGAATGGCTACTACGTACGCCTTCGCTACAATGATCGACCCATGAAGGTTCCTGGGTGCAGACCAGTTGGAAAGCATTATGGAAATGATGAGAGCTTGTGTACGCTCGAGGCCTTCAAAGGAATCGTGGACAAGTTTACTCCCAAGAATTGGAAACAAGCTTGCGGAGCTCGTTTGGGAGAAAGTGCGTTCCCCGAAACTGTCGAGCCTGCAGGTGTGTAAGGCTTGCAGACAGATAGAAATTACTCCGTAGACATTCAGCAACGCTGAACCTCAGACGTAGTCATAGAACGGATAAATTAGACAAAGTCCATGACTGAGAACAGATCCTGCGAGTAGACGCAAGATTTGGTCGTCAAAGGGATAATTAATGGTCATGTTTTGAAAAGCGCCATGCATGGGTGAAGGCTTGGTTCTCGTTGTGGAAATGCAGGAGCGGTCAAGATAAGAGCGCCCACTTCGTAAGAGGCGGTTGGTATATCACATGGGTACTGGCGCCCAATATAGATTGACAGAATCAGGTATTGGTTGTGCAGTTCCAGTTTGATCACTTTGATGCTGATCGACCGGAGCCGTGGAAATAAAGCCGTGCACACACCAACGACGTGGGCCAAGAAAGGGGCCGGCACCAGAGTGATTGGTGGAGAGTGGATCTAAGTATGTGGCAGGCACGAGTCTAAACCCTGATCTCGGTTCGACAGCAAGTTTGTGTTGGCGCGGGCACGAATACGCCATGTCCGTATCGTGCGCGGGCGACGAGTGAGAGACAATTGACTACTGTACTGCCCGCACCCATTTCCTCCTCTTCCTTCTCCTCAAACCTGCACCTCTTTGCTCCCGACTTTCTGGCTGGAACCCGACGCCCCTCATACCCCCGGCGGTTGCCAGACAAAGACCATCGCGAATCGCATTGCATGTGATATGGGACATTTGCCCTCAGTCTCGACCATCTTCCTCTGAGGAGCCCACTTGTCTTGTCACAGTCTGTCATGTCAACTACATCGACGGCAGCGTCAGCCACAGTCAGCTGCGGCAAGGGGCTCTTCAATGCTGGCTGCGGTGCCGCTTTGAACACTGTCGGTCAAGATTGGGGCACCCTCTTGTCTTCGATTTTCGTTGCTCTCATATCTTTGGGAGCCCAGCTGCTTGCTTTTGTTCTCTTACGCTTCCGCCTTAGCAGAATCTAGTAGGATCCTTGTCTTTCGCCTACCACACCGTGCTCCTGACTGACCATCTCTCTCTCTAGTCGTCCCAAATCCTACCTTGTTGCCGAACGCGAACGAGTTCCAGCGCCCCCGCATGGTGTGTGGCAATGGACTGTTCCCCTCTTCCGTACACCAAATCAGATCTTTATCGAGAAATGTGGTCTTGACGCTTATTTCTTTCTGCGCTTCCTGCGCATGCTGCTAAAGATATTCATCCCGCTTTCTGTGGTTATTCTCCCTATACTCTTACCCATCAACAAACTCAGTTGCTCGGATTGTACAGTAGGCCCTGATCAACTGGGCTGGAGAAACATTCCCGCTTCTCACTCTCAACGCACATGGGCCCATCTTGTATTAGCCGTTCTCACTATCTGCTGGGTTCTATATGTTATCGTCACCGAACTTCGTGGCTACATTCGCATTCGACAGGCCTATCTCGCATCTCCGGAACACCGTATTCGCGCTTCAGCTACCACCGTACTTGTCAGCGGCATTCCTAGAAAGTGGTTGACTGTCGATGCACTAAACGGCCTTTACGATGTCTTCCCTGGAGGTATTCGCAACATCTGGATTAACAGAAACTTCGACGAACTTGCCGACAAGGTTTCGGAACGCGATAAGATTGCTCGAAATCTCGAAGAAGCAGAGACCAATTTGATTCAAAACTGCATCAAGAAGCACAAGAAAATGGAGGCTAAGAAAGCTAAAGAGCAAGGGAAAAAGAAATCAAAGGAAGAAAAAGAACAAGATAGGGCCAAAGCTGATGAACAAGCCGAGCGTATCGCCCAAGGCAATGGTGTAAGTTCTGGAGATCCTCACCAGGTGCCGCACAATTTGCAGGAGGTTCTTGAAGAGATAGAGGAAGACGAGCACAGACACGACAAACTCAGAAGCTCATCTCCCGAGGGCTTGCGGGATCGACTTGGTCAGGGATTGGGGGCTGTCGGTCATGGATTTGGTGCAATCGGTAACTTCGGTCGTAAGGTTGTCGGCGAGGTTGCTGGCGATGTCAACCGCGTCATTCGCAATGTCAATGATTCGGTAGACCAGGCCAACAACATGACAGGCTTCTACGCAGACATTGATGATGCTGACAAGCCTGCACTTGCCGAAAGACTCGCATTTGATGCACAAGTACCGGCACCTGGGCCTGCACCTGCTCCAGCACCCATGTCTGCTCCCATACCTTCTGCTGCGCCCTTGCCTTCTGCTTCTTCTGCACCTTCTGCTTCTTCCGCACCTTCTGCTGCTCGTGCGTCCCTTGATCCTCCGGGTAGCAAAAGAGAGAGTCACACATCTGAAAGCGACAAATTCAAGCCCAAACGTCCGACCGGGCTCAGGAAACCCGAGGACGTTGCGGTGCTAGATCGGGTCGGTTCTCCAAGAGCCACTGGCTTTGATCAAAGTGAACCTTCTTCAACCAACACTCAGAGCAAAAACCGGGATATATGGACAGACAATTCAAAGTCTGGAATCAAAGGATCAACCACGTCCGATGTAGACAATGCTACTAAGTCAAGAGGTGCGCCTAGAAAAGCTTGGGATGCCCTGCTAAAACAGGTGAAGGCAACCCCTTTGCCTATACCTAGTCCCCAACCTCATGCCGTGGAGGAAGATGAATATCCTCTGCATACTATTGGACAGCCTCAGAACCCTGATCTTAACAAGAATGCAGCCCAAGCAGTCTCCAAGAGCAAGTGGGCTAACAAATTTGGTTGGCTTCAGTTCTGGAAGAAGACTGACGAAGATGAGAAGCCTGTCTATTCAGAAGCTTTCAACCAGGAGCTTGCCGACGCTGAAGAAACCGAGGCCTTGTGGACGCGCTACATTGATGCAAAGGACCGCGATACTCTTCGTGAACCGATATTTAACCTGTCGTGGTGGCCTCGCTTGCCTCTGATGGGTAAGAAGATTGACAAGATTTATTATCTTCGCAAGGAGCTTGCCAGGCTGAATGTTGAAATTGAAGAGGACCAGCAGAATGTGGAGCGATTCCCCTTCATGAACTCGGCTTTCATCCAGTTTAACCACCAAGTTGCCGCTCATATGGCTTGTCAGTCTGTCAGTCATCACATGCCGCAACACATGACACCCCGTCTTGTAGAAATCTCGCCTACCGATGTCTTGTGGGACAACATGTCTATGAAGTGGTGGGAGCGCTATCTGCGCAGCGGCGTTGTCTTCGCTGCTGTAGTTGGTATGTTGTTCCTTTGGGCTCCTGTAGTCGTTGTGTCTGGTTTCCTGTCAACCCTCAACACCCTCGAGACTATCTCGTGGCTCTCATGGATTCGCGACCTACCACCCAGAGCTGTAGATTTGGTCCAGGGTGTTCTGCCTCCACTCTTCCTGAGTATTGTACTCGCATTGGTTCCTGTCATACTTCGACTTTTGGTCAAGCAATCAGGAGTTGCTACAGGAAACAGCAGAGAAATGGGGGTTCAGCTCTACTATTTCGCATTTCTGTTCATCCAGGTCTTCCTCATCGTGACCTTGTCATCTGGATTACCCGAGTTCTTCAAAGAGGTTGCGGTTGAAACTTCGAAGATTCCACAAACTCTTGCATCAAACTTGCCAAGAGCCTCAAACTACTTCTTCTCTTACCTTACTGTCCAGGCCCTCAACAACAGCGCCAGTGCACTGCTGCAGGTTGCTGCTTTGCTTAAGTGGTTCTTGTGGGCGCCGATGGTAGACACTACCGCCCGCCAGAAGTGGAAGAGGCAGACCAGTTTGAATCGAGTGAAATGGGGATCGTTCTTTCCTCCGTTCACCAATTTTGCTGTCATTGGCATTATCTTCTCGATCATTGCACCTCTGGTCATGGTGTTCAATCTGGTTGTATTCTGCGTTTATTGGATCACACAGCGATACAACGCCCTTTACGTCTACCAATACCGTCATGACACAGGAGGTCTTCTGTTTCCCAGAGCCATCAATCAGTTATTCGTTGGGCTATATGTCATGGAAATTGCTATGATTGGTCTATTCTTTGCTTTCCCAGGCAAAGACAAATGTACAGCACAGGCCATCATCATGATTGTCATGCTTGTAGCCACCATCATCTTCCAGTGGGTTTTGAACGATGCGTTTGCACCATTGTTCCGATATTTGCCTATTACACTGGAAGACGATGCTGTCATTCGCGATGAAGAGTTCGCTCGTGCTCAGCGTCTCAAATGGGAGAGTTTGGCTGACCAAGAAGGCGAGCATGAGCGGCTGCAGCATGATACGGAGACCACAATGGAAGAACGTGAGAGAAAGGAGGCAGAAGAAGAGGAGAGGGCACTTGCCGAGGAGCGTAGAATGATTCACGAGCACAGACGCGCCGGCACTCGCATGTCAAGCTATGGCTCTGGCTCTCACTCCGAACGCCCTACACCCGTTATTATGGACACTAAGCCTGCAAATAATAACAGCGGTGATCGCTGGAGGAAAGTAAAGCAGGTCAGTGAGCCTGTTCGCCACTTGCGCAGGATTGCCCGACCACACGCGCATGGCATGGATGGTATCAGACCTACTGCAACAGACGTGGACCCTCAGACCGCAAAGGTCGACATGGAATCACAGAAACAAGTTGGTGATGTGCTCTTCGGTGGTTTCAGCGACGAACTCGAAGACTTGACGCCTGAAGAGCGCGACGTGCTCATCCGCTATTCATTCCAACACTCTGCGCTCCGCGCCCGTAGACCGGTCGTTTGGATTCCGCGAGACAGTCTTGGAATATCGGACGACGAGATTGAGAGAACTAAGCGCATGAGCACTGTCGATGACATACACCCAGAGACCGAGAAGCGGACTCCGAAGACCAACATATGGATCAGCAACGAAGGAACTGCGCTGAACGCAAAGGGCAAGGTTGTATTTAGGAGAAGCCCGCCTGATTTTGCTAATGTAGATCTTATTGCTCTGTAATGGGCAAGATCATGGAGTTTATGGGTTCGGTCTTTTTTTCCCCTCATTTGCATAGCGCTGGGCATGGACATGGGCATGGATAACAGGGGCAAAGCATGTCATAGTCATTGCATTTTCAACCGCAAGCGCATTACTTATTCGTATAAACTCATTCTTCCTAGGACGTGCATTCTTCGTTTTCTCTATGGTGTGTACATCTTCGCCAGAAACAATCATAACGATTTCCACGCCGGATCATGCCACGCGCTTGCCTCAAGACAGAACAAGATTCTTGAGTGACTAACCGGTCGTTCCCTCATCTGCTCTCGATCAACTCCTATTCGCGTTTCTCTACAGGGCAGTAAGTTTATTTGTCGAGGTGACCTGGTGGGTGGGCAACCTGTCAAGAGATACAACTGTCTGATTTCTTCCTGGCCGCCCTATCTCAATTGGGCCAATGGACCGTTATCAGACACTTTTGTGTCGCTGAGTAAGATACATGTAGTGTTGTGTTTGGAGCGAATGCGAAGGTGGACATAAGAGTTGCAGTTGTTGATTCGAAGACGGCGTCGAGTAATTAGTCATATCATACAAAGACACAAAATAGGCGTTCCTGAAGTCTTGTTCTTGCACGGCTGATGTTCATTTGGACTTTGTTGTTGTCGATAGTCAGCGGGCTGTGTCAAACAATGTGCATCTGTGACGGGTAAATTTTCATGTGTTTGTCATTTCGGAGATGCTCGTCTAGAGCAGGTGTATATGCATTGCTCCTTCCCTCCTCTTGACCTTTCAGTCATCCTTGCTTGAGACGCAACCATTCTGCCCCCTAAAATCATGATGCTGTCGAATTAAGAAGGATGCATTTACACCCACACCTTGCCCATCTCGATCGCGACTTGGCATCTTAAGACCCTCATTACGTCCTCGGGTTTGACACTCTTGCCCTTCATGTACACAGCTCCGACTCTCCAGTCCCAGGCCCTCTTCACCTGTATACCCCCCATCCCGCCAGCACTGGAGTCGCTGCCATTGCCGTTCTGTTCTGAAGCAATGCTGCCGCTGCTGTTGACCATGTTCCAGCTGACACTCTGCTTCAGGCCTGCAATCGACTTGCTGAGATCCGGCGTTGATGATTGTGATGTGACAATATTAGGTGTGTTCGAGTTTGAGAGATAGGTGTTGATTGCAGCGTTGAAGACAGCAGAGTTTTGAGCGTAAATGCCAGGTGTAATCGTTTCGAGGTCTTCGATGGCGCGTATCAGAGTGAGGAGGTGCGGTGTCTTCAAGATTTGCTTTGTTTCTATGATTCATGTAAGTGACGATTCCCCTGGGAGACATATCAAATGCTGAGAGGAAACTTACGGTTCATAAGAGGCAATGCTTCGCACAACAAAGTCATCAAAGCATCCACCTGCACTACAGACTGGGCCTCGGGATCATACAAGCCTCCACGGATGGAATCTGCGGCAGACTCAATGACAGCCATCAAGGCCCTGGCTGCTTCGCGTTTCCGGGCCAAGGGTCTCAACATACCAGGCTTGCGATTCGCGGCTTCCTCGTCATCTTCAACATCAGCTTCTGCTGTATCCTTGGCAGCATCTGCGTCGCGCAAGTCATAGAAGCGACGCAGCGTTGCATAACCACTAAGCTGTGATGCAAGTAGTTGGGCAGCTGCGACGTCTTGGCGCGCAACCTGGTGAAGAGTAGCGTGTTGATCATTGAGCAGAGCATCCAATTGCGGATCAATGATTGCCTGTGGAGGGAAGGCAGCACTCTGCACCAGACATAATGAGATCAGCAGATCAATGGTACTTCTAAGCTTTTGCGAAGCGTGTGCCCGGGCGTAGTAGATCAAAGCGCTGCCATAGTCCTGACTGGAAGCTGCCAGATCGTCGGCATAGCGCTCGGCGATCTCGCGAACCTGGTCAGGCAGACCAATCTCATTGAGAACAGCGAGGACCTTATCCACTCGTGTCGTTGAGTCAAGGGTGATCTGGTTCAGCACCTCTGAGATTTTTGACTTGGCAGTTTCGAAGCTATCAAGACGGCCAAGCACACGACAAGCCAGATCCCAGCCTTCTTGCACAGGTTTACCAGTCGCACTCTTGAAGGAATCCTTCTTGGCCAATACCGAAGCATATTGTATCAAGACGTCATCACGCTTGATCAATTCAGGCTGGGTTGGTTGACCGTGATTCAAAACCATCAAATCGTCTTGGTCAAAGGCGTCCAAGATGTTGCTTGCCGAAGAGGGCATCCAGCCTGTAACAGTAGCTAGTTCAACAAGAGCAGAAGCGACAGGTAAAGACCACGATCTCAAGATACCGATAAGACCTTGAATATCGTCTTCACAAATGCAGGCAAGACCGACCTGGATGGGGCTAACAGTATTGAGGTAGAACTCTTCTTCATCGGGTTTGTCGGTGGTAGCAGCGAAAGCCAGAAGGAGTTGTTTCTTGTAAGCGAATACAGGCGAGATGTCCACTTGACGCATGGATTGTGACTGGCGCATGGAGCGTCTACTGGCAGCGAAGTCATCTGAGATGACATCGTCGTCTTCACCATCCCACCAGGCAGTAAGAAAGATAACGGCCTCCAACCAGTCCTGAGTAGCAACCATGATCTCATCCCTCTTGCCCAGAAGTTGACCGTACAGAGTTTTCAGACTCTCGTAGATGAGCCAAGGCACCTTGCTCTCGGCACGGCGACTGGCGGTACTGAAACTCATGCTTACCCTGCCAAAGGGTGCGGCCGGGAATTGGTCCTTGTCACGACTGTCTGCTTCTGCAAAATCCTGCAAGTCTTGAAGTTCGCGACGAACACGGTGGCGGAAGATAGTCCAGTCAGAGCCCTTGACATCCCAGTCGTTCTCAGTGACAGCGGGACAGGTACTAAGCAGATCCACGCAGCGGCTGACAACTTCACGAACAGCGTGAAGGTGGCTTCCTGAATATCCAGGTTCATCGTAACCATCTTCAATAGCAGACTCGGCTTGCGACCAGTCGGCAGTTTCTAATAAGCTGATGGCGTTGAGGATGTCACCACGCAAGGTGCAGGCATAAACCATGTCCCAGAATCGATCGTGAGCAACAGGAGTAGGACGGTGGCGCATGACATCTGTGAGATCATCGGGGAATGGGTTGTGGTAGGTGTTCAGCCAGTCGAGCAGGGCACGCGGGATCGAGGTAGGGTGGTCTGAGGACATGACAAGATTGGAGTAAGCGTTCGAGGGTTGGTACGAGGAAGGGGCATTGGCGGATGTGGAGAAGGGATGGTGTAGACGGAGAGCGAGCTGCGCCAGATAGTTTGCCTTGTCAAGACCGGAGTTTGATTTGGGACCGATTGAGCCGGATTGTGATTTGATCTGGGCATTCTTCTGCCAGAGCTGACCGAGTTGTTGTGCTGTGCGATTGGGAATAACAGGAGTGGTTGCGAGTTTAGTGTCGGCATCCAATTGGGCCATGAGGGAATCGGTGCGCAAGATCAAGTCGTCGCTTTCGCTTAGTTGTGAGGCAGGTTTGGTAGCCAGTTTCCTTGCAATGCCAGGAATGGCAGTCTGTCTGTCTTTATCGATGCGCAGGCCGGTAGACTGACGCAAAGAATCGCCCATGACATTGCCATAACGTGAACGCTTCAGACCACGAGGTGATGAGAGCATGGTCGAGGGTTGTGTTGACTTGTTGACTGAGCGGAAGGTAGATGGAAAGGCCGAATTGAAGGCGGGTAACTGGTTATTGGGATAGTCGTCTAGTATGCTTTCGCCATCGGCATCCATGTCGTCGTCGAAGTCTTGGTGATGGTTGCGTGGTGGACTGCTAGGGACTGCAAAGGCAGGCTTCTGGGCTTTGGAGTGGGTGTGGAAAGTGTTGCGAGACTCGCCAAAGAGCGAGCTTCCATAGACACTGGGAGGCGGAGGACCGGCTGGTGTGAAGGAAGCATTCGTGTATCCAGTAGGCGGAGGGTGCGCGGGTGTTGTCGACGGATGGTCATTGTCGCGGCGCGAGTTGGGCGTCGACGGCGGGTCTGAGTCGGGCACCTTGAACATGGTCGTCTATCTCGCCGGCATATGATGTGTATGGGAGGCTCCTGTATGCGCTCGCGTCCAGATAATGTCGAATAAGAGTATAATTCCAATGCACGCAATAAATGCTTGATGTTTCGCGTCTTGGTTTGATCGCGAATCTTTGGAGCTCGGCGCTTGGACCATCTTCCTCTTCTCCTCTCTCTCTCTCTCTCTCTCTCTGCGCCTTCCTGACCAGTGACCAGCCTCTCCCTCCCCATCTCTTGCTCTTGCTTGGGCTTGTTCTCGATCAACCAGCATTTACCGCTCTTACCTGCAAACAACTATTTCAAGGTAATCCATCTCCTCTCACTTCCACGTACATCCTGATGAAAGACGCTGGGGCCATATGATCTGTTTGTTTCAACAGCCTCACATTGATGTCGCGCGTTGGACGTTTGCTTGATTTCAAAACCAGTATCCAATATCTTCTCACTTTCTGATCCGACCACCTCAAGACTTGAGCATCGCTTTCTTCACACGAATCCGTGTCCAGTGCTGACTCTCATGCCACAGAAATCCCACTAGATCATTATTTCATTCTATAGTCTGATCATCCAAATCATCTAACCACTCTTCTCAAGTTCTTGCTCCAACTGCTTCAATCCCTCATACACACCGCTCCAGTTGCTCCATTCTTGCTCACCGCCCTGGAAGCCACCTTGTAGCGGTAGTCGGGCTCCTTCCTTGTCGCCCATGCCCCAACATCTCGCGATCGCCTCCTTGATACCAACAGTACCCCATCTACCAATTAACCTCTCACCCTCGCAGATCTTGAATTGCAATTCACGCAACTTCTTATTGTCTGCACCTTCTTGGAACATGTTGAAAAGCTTGACCACGATGCGGGGGAAGATGCCTGCAAGTCCATCAATGGCACCTTGGCCGCCGACGGTAAGCACAGGCAAGAGATTTTGGCCCAATCCCGAGAAGACCTTGAAGTGCGAGGGATCAATCTTTGGCGACGAGGCAATCAAAGTGTGGTCGGGAATGTCGCCGTGCGATAGCTTGCAGCCTACGATGTTGGGGTGTTGGGCCAGGCGCTCAAAGGTCGAAGGAGCCACAACAATGTTGTTGGTCACGCCAGGGTAGTGGTAGCTGTAAACTGCGTAAGCGCTTGGGCGAGATGTGCAAGGCTGCAGTCACACGTACATCATGATGGGGATAGGACTCTTATCAGCCACTGCCTCGAACCACTTGGCAATGCCCTGCTGGCTGGCAGCCGAAGCGAAGTAACCTGGTGTGAGTACCATGCCGTACTCAGCACCAGCCTTCCTGGCATCGTCGAGCTGGATCAGTGTCTCCTCGACATTTTGTGTAGCAGTACCGGCAATGATGGGTCTATCTTTGTAACCGGCATTGTCGAGTTCCTTGCGCTGGCTGCTAACGAGCTCGTTGCGTTCCTTGTTGGTAAGGTGAATTGCTTCGCCGGTTGAACCGAGGATGACAAGACCACGGACTCCACCCTTGACAAGGAACAGGGAGTGTTTGGTCTGGGTCTCGAGATCTAGAGGGGTGTTGACAGGGTCGTAGTTGGATGCCGACTGAGAAGCGAAGAAGGTGGGCACCTGCAAACTTGTCAATGTCACGAAGCGTCGCTGGGCGGGGTCAGATATGAACGTACGGGAACGTAGATGCCCGAGGGAGGAGGAGAGGAAACCATTGCGAATATGAGGGAAGCGGTATGGCAAAGTACTAAAGCAGAGAAAACACAGCGAGAGCGTTGTTGACTACAGCAAGAGGGGCAAGGCGGAGCTCTTATTACATGACAGCGGCATCATAGGCCGCAAAGAAGACCGAAGATCGGTTTGTGGGCAAGATGGAGCCCCACGTTCCCCAGAAGTTGCTCGCTGCTCGGCCTAGCTCTGCCCCGAGCTAGAGCGCCCACAACACGACTGTCGATGAAAACACACCGAGTCGGCCAAGATTGATCCCAACTGTCGGCTGTTGAGTCCATGGCTTCGTTTCATCCTCTGCCGTCTCGCTTTCGCGCTCTATCTCTCACCGACCGCGATATCCCACTCACCACGAATAGGGACAGAATATCAATCATGGCAACACAACACGCCATCCTTGACAGCCACATCCACCTCTGGCCTGCATCAGCTGCAGATGCAAATGGCCACGCATGGATGAACGACCCTGATTTTATTCTCTCCAAACAGCATATCCTTTCCGACTACACGACCGCATCATCTTCTCACCCACCCACTGGTGTGATTTACGTAGAGACGGACCGCCGACTGCAAGACCCGTCTTCATCCTCTTTACAAACTTGGGCTGCAGAACCCATCAAAGAACTGCAATTCCTACGCAGCATCGTTGAGGGTGCACATGGTGCTGAAGCCTCAAACCTGCTTCAAGGAATCGTGACGTGGGCACCTGTGAATCAAGGAACGGCAGTGTTTAACCAATGGCTAGAGGTAGCTGAAAAGACTACCGGACCAAAGACTTGGGACCGCGTTAAAGGCTTCCGATTCTTGCTGCAAGCCATCACCGATAAGACTGAATTTGAGAATCTGGTCTTGAGTGATGACTTTATCTCCATCTTGAAGTCATTCTCTCAAAGAGAGAAAAGGTTTACCTTCGACGTAGGGATTGACCAACGCAGCGGTGGCACTTGGCAGTTGGAGACCTTCACTAAAGTCCTGGAGAAACTGTACGACAACGTCCCAGAAGACAAGAGAACTGTGATAGTCATGAGTAAGATAAGAACATCTAGTTCAATCTGTTTGGCGCATGCAAGTTGCTAACGTTACACGATAGACCACATGTGCAAACCAGAGTATGCATCCAAGTCTTCTGACTCCTTTTCGCGGTGGAAGAACTGCATTCAAACCTTTGCTTCTTACCCTCGAGTCTACATGAAACTTTCTGGCGCTTTTTCGGAACTCAGCAATGATGCTTCTCCGGTGGACACTACGGATCCCAAGAAGTTAGCAACCAGGATCCAAGCATGGACGGACGTTGTCTTTGATGCATTCGGCCCACAAAGAGTCATGTTCGGAAGCGATTGGCCAGTGTGTAACGTGAAAGGACCCAAAGGGGAGGAAAGCTGGTCTGTCTGGATAGATGTTGCAGAAGAAGTGCTGAGCCGAAGAGGTTGTACAGAACAAGAAAAAGGACGAGTGTTCAACGAAACAGCAAGAGAGGCATACGCACTGTGAGCAAAAGGGACGCGGACATACAACTAGAGCTGTTTGAGACACCCTGTGAGCATATAGACATGATGATATGGAAAAGTCTGGAGTTTGGTAAAATATGTGAAATATGAGAAACGTCCACCCATATGATTTGCGACCAAGGATCCTGGTTCTGAACTGCTTTACGCCAAGTCATGCATGATACATGTGCAAGAATATAACAAGAAAAATCCGCTGTCGTGACATCATTGAACAAAAGTAAAGAAGAATTAAGTGATCCGATGCAGTATCTGCACAAAGATGAGTCGCGTGAAGTTCGAATCGGCGTTGAGGGCTTCCAAGCAAATTACCTGAGAAGACCTCTGCTCAGATCATGTCTTCTGATTAGGACGCGTGAGCACCCTCTACCGTCTCACCTGGTGTTGGAGGCAAGGAGTGGAAAGTGCCAGGCATATCGAGAGAGTCTTTACTCTCATTTCTTCTGTGCTGTTCCAAGATCTGGCCCCAGGGGTTTCGCTCCTCGCCAGGGCTGGGGGTAGGGTCACCAAATCCGGGACTGTCAGCATCCAGCTTGTTAGGACTGGCAGGTGCACTCCAGTCAGGCTTGTTGGTTTTGAGGGGTGACTCTGCAGGGCTTGAGAACTCTGCGGAAGAAGGTCGTGGGGTTCCAGATTCGGCGCCAATTACTACTGGACCGTTGCCACGATTGGGATTGCGAGGAGGGAGTTTTGGTGCGATACGCTTGGGGACCTCAACAAGACGAGCACGAGAGATGAATTGAGGGGCTGTAGCCTTCTGAACCGAGTGCACGACAGGCTCTTCGATAACGGCTTCGTCAGCGGTGTCCTCACCGTCTGCATCAACATCATCAAAGCTTTCTTCTGCAATATCCTTGTGTTCTGGTTTTGCGGGGGTCGCCTGTTGTGGCGGTGAATCTGAGCGTGAGTCGCTGCCGCTGTCAGTGCGGCGATGCGACGAGCGGAATGAAGAACGTCTCGGGCTTGAACGGCTGGAGTGCGAGCTCGTGTTGCGAGCGATCTTAGGACGCTGCTCAGAGGCAACAGTGCTGTCCTCGGCAATCTCGTGGAGACTGCTTTGGCGGCTGCGGAAGCTGCCCACGCGTGGGCTGATAGGTTCGGGAAAATCTGTTTGTGTGCACATGTCCGACATGGAGCGTGTGACACTTGTGCGCTTGGGTTGCTCGACTGCTGTGCTAGCAGTCGAAATGGCAGTTTGTGAGAGGTTAGAATTCTTCCATGTAGAATTGCTACTGCTGCGATTGCGGTTGCCATTCTTGTCCAAGCTCTGTCGACTAAAGGTGTTGAATATAGGGCTAGTCGGGGCAGGCTGGAAATTGAACTGTTCCCAGCTGGCTCGTTTTTGTGTTCCTGCTTCGCGAATGCTCATTCCTTCTTTCTCAAGAGCCAGGACGCCGTACGGGTCGGGGTCTTCTTTGTCAGGAATGCCAAACAAGTGATCGGGATTCTCGATATCCAAGTCACTCGGCGGCGGGGCAGATGGGAGAACAGATTGGTCGACGTTGCTATCGCCTTGAGCGGCTTTGATAGTCTCAAGAAGAGGGCGGCATTCGTAGGGGGGATGGCGGACCTTGCCAGCTAAAATGTCGCCGACAGAGATCCTTTCATTGTAAAAGCGCTCATTCTCGTCGGTTCTTTCAATGACAACGGTACCATCGATCTGAACACCAGCGTAGAAGCCACGCGACTTCAAATAGGTAAATATGGGGGCTTGTCGTTTGTGGACTTCGGTTTCGAGCACGCCGCCTGCACCCACAGGTCCGGCGACAGCGCTGACTTCTCCACCCAAGGTGCATCTGATTTTGGAGAAAGCGTCAAGGGCCTTTTGGGAGTTTATGACGACTACACAGTCGTAAATGTCGACACCGACCAAGAAACCAAGGCCGGCAGTGTGAAGCATGATGCCTGAAGGGGGCGACCAACTGCCGTCTGGAGTTCTCGCGACCAAAACACCGGAACCACCGGCGCCCGAGATCCAGAGACCGGTGCGCATGGTTGTGAAGATGGCGAGGCCTTTTGCATTCTTGATGACCTATGTTGTGTCAGAAGGGGATGCAGACAAGATGTTTGAGATGAAAAGACGCACCTCTGGTGGAATGCGTTTGAGGACTCTTTGCTTTGCTTTGGGACCGTCGGCAGTCGCGGTTGTTTCTTCTTGGTAGAAGCCATCCTCTGAAGTGGGAGGTCAGCAGAGCAACAGGGTGGATGTAGCAGATCAGACATACTGCAAAAACTGCGCAGGATGCGCGCGGCCTTGTCGCTCTCCTTGTCGAGGGTGGTGGGCCAGAAGGCTTCAGAGCCCAGCTTGTTGCTCAGTTTGTTTACGGGAGCACCGAGTTTGTCGACGAGATTCCAGGCCTTGTCGAAGCCGACTTTGCCTGTACCGCTCACTCGAGACCACCAGCTGCTTTGTTGGCCCGTCATGTCGAGAAGGTGGGACGCATCAATCTCCGATATGCGTGGTGTGCCGTGGGCGTGCGCACATGGCCAGCGCCAGTCTGAGAAGCTAGAGATCAGAGGAGAAGGGAAGAGAGAGAGAGAGACGAGATGGAGGAGCAATTTAGTCTGGCAGGCGTAGGAAAACGGTGCACCACATCACTCTTTAGACTTGGTTGTGCTTGTCCATCACCGTTGACGTATGCGCATGCACAGACCCGGACCAAGTCATCTTCCGCCGCTTCCCTCGGCCACGGCTACGACTTGTGCTGTATCTACGGAGTCTTTGTTCCGCTACGAGCCTACAGCCACCTTCTCTGCCACTTTTCTGCCACAATTAAGAGCAATTTCTCTTGGCCTGTTCCCTAGTCGCAACTTTTTGCTCCATCTTCTGCTGCCTGCCTGACCTGAACTAAACTCTGTTCTTGTGTTGGCAATTTGTCCGTCCGCACGCCTAATCTGCACCCACAACGGCCCTGCTGGCGTCGCTGTTTATGCTTGGTATTCCATGTTATGGCTGAGACATTTCAGTCCATTCCCAATCCTATCCAGCGCCCGCTCGTATCATCTGCCTGATGGCTCTATAGGCCTTGCCCTACGCCAATAGTCTTGATTGTCTAAATCCTTTGTGCTTACTATGCTTCGGCCCCTCTTCTCAGCTCCGCTCAGCCCTCCGCATCCACCATCCTAATCACTGTCAACTTTTCAGTCGCCCTGCATCTCATTTCGCAAAGCTTCAACGCTTACCCCCGGTCCGAGCCTTGGGCTCTCGACACTCAGTCATGGCCCTCTTCCAAACTTCGCTTAAGCACAATTTCCATCTCGCCTTCAAGTCCGATCATCATGCTTTACTGTTCGTCTTCGACCGTGCATTATTGGCATCGTGATATCCGTGTCTCAGTTCAACACTGGAAGCGCTTCTTCCCCATGTCTCGTTGCTAACGGCTGCATTTCTGACCATCATTTATCTATGCCGAGCCGTTCGATGAGATGATCTTGACTAGTTGGCCGTTGATTATCATATACAACAGATACGCATGCGCCCATCTGTTATTGTTAGTAGTGACTTCGAGTCTGCCAAAAAGACAATGGTATCTACGAACAGATTCAAATCCAGAGGACTTCAGTCGATGTTCGAATTTCCCCGATGCAGCTGATCAAGCTGCCGAATTGCCTCGAACATTGTCGGTCACTCAGCAATCACAAGGCGAAAAAATATGATAACCATCAAAAATAAGGCTGACCGTTCGTGCAGTTGTCTGTCCTGTGCTCTTATCCGAAGAACTGGGACTTTAAAGCCTTTATTGATCACCTTCGCTCGTGAATGTCGCGAACCGTGTATTCTTCCATTCAGAGAAGGGATAAAAGTAGTCTCATACGGGCTGTTGTGAGATTTTCGACCATGACATGGCCAGGAAACAATTTTTCAAACTTGGCTGGTCCTCAAGGACTCTGGTCAAGCCTTGCTTGCATGCAAGCGAAGCGCTTAGCAAACGGCAACCATTGGTCTTCATCAGCCCTGAAACGTGGCGAAGGGATCTACACCTCAGGCGGCTAACGCAGACCAGGATAAAAGAACCAACCAAGCCCTCGAACACGTCTTCGCGACCGCGAGAGCTTCGTGTCCTCAATGAAGACACAAGAGTCTCGGAGCCCAAGGTCATGCAGGTGCTTTGCGAGGGTGTAACTTTCCATGTATGAGAAGATGAGGGGTTGTCACTTTTCCAGCAGAGGTAGGTCCAAGGTATAATTTGTATGCTTTATGGCGTCTTTCATCAAGTATTCATCTTCTACATTTTCTCACTACACTGATCAATCTCAAAACCCAAGGAGGACTACAAGTTGTCTTGTTCTCAGTGCACCATGGAGTCTGGCATGAGGAGCCTTTCTGGTACCACGTTGACCAGCAAACCCTCCCCTGCCTTTTTGACCTCGTCCTTCAACACTTCGGGCTCACGACTGCTATTCGGCGAAGTGGATAGCTCCTGCGATCGATGTAAGAAAGACGCACGTTACAATGCAAGTCAGATTTCTGACCCAGGTTTGCACAGCATTTGCGAGTGCACGATCAACATGTGGTCTGATACTCTGCTCCAATCCATCGTTGCTCGAGTTTTGGGACGTGGAAACATGTCGGGAAATGCTCCTTCCTCTTCTTGCGCCTTCAGATATCTCTGCGCTACGTCTTGTATGCCATGGCATCAGCGAACGTGTCATCAGCCAGTCGTTTGCTTCCATCGATATGACCTTTCGAGCAAAGTCGTTCAGTAAACCAGCCAGACTTGCTGCTCTGCAGAGGATAGGTCATCACATCAAGGAAGTCAGTTTTCATCTGCAAAGAAGTATGGACACTACATTGCCACCTCTGATAGATCCTTGGACTGGAGAGCAAAGGCCATTTGTTTGGAGGCCTTCAATCGCTCAAGGTCATATTGTAGAGAAGTCTGCCAAACAACCAAGATATGGCGATGTGCAGACAACAGAGTTGTTAATTCGACAATATCCGCCACTTTACCACGCCGCTACAAACGTGCGATCCTTCATCGCTGCAACATCTTGTCTAGCGAACTTGCAACACCTCAAAATCTCTTGCGCTGCGGCAGATGGAGCAATGCCATCTAGAGCACAAGGCACAAACATCATGGAGATTGCACTCGCATCGCTCCGTTGCGCCATCGAGGAAGCCAGGCTCAAGCACCTAGATGCGCTTACTCTCTCCAATATTCTTCCAACGGACATCATGGCTCTGTTGCCCCCAGAGATAAGCGCACGTCCAGGTTCTGCAAGATTTTGGTCAAAGATTCGTACATTGAATATCATCATGCACTCTGAGCCTAGCTCCACAGCAGAGTCGGACCAGCTAAAACTGCTGCGCAAGTACATTCGTGGCTACAAAGGACTGCGTCGATTCTCCTTCCGATGGATTGGTGCAAGAGGACTTTCGCCGTTGCCTGAGCTGCCGCTGGAGCACAAGAATAGCACTCATCCTGCGTTGAGACATGCATCACCTTCAACAATTGCGCTATTGTTCCCAAATCTTGAATACCTGGCGCTAGATAACGTAGTGATTTCAGCGACCCAGGTGCAGCGATTGATGCAGACTCACAAGAGTACCTTGATAAAGATTGATCTTGACAACGTTGTCCTGAAGGACGGGAGTTGGCATAATGCTCTAGCCACCATAGATTGTGTCGAGGTCAAGACCAAGGCATCCTGCATCACAGAAGAGGGAGAAGTGCCGATTATGCTTGCACCTAGCATGCTGCGATCCCAGACTCCTCCGAAGATGCCAAAAGCAGAATCCAAAGACCAGCCCAACGAAGCCACCGAGCGAGCAAGAAGAATGTTGCTTTCCGACGAGGTCAGACAGGGCGATTCATTTAGCCGGCAGACCAAAAAGGTCAGCAATCAGGAACGAAGGACAAAGAGGACAGAAGGCATGCCGACGTCGCCATGTCAACAACTAAAGAGGAAATGCGGTGATCTATTGGGGCGGAGAACGAAGAATGGGCCAACGCTGGTCGTTGGCTGAGTGTCTCTAGGTCGGGTACAACATGCATTATCCATGACAAATGATTTACTGCGTCTACCTGTATGCAAATCAGAATCCTTTTCAGTAAGAAGGCATCCTCAGCCGATCCATCATCTCTATAAGAGACATAGGTCAAGTATTTAATCTTTCGACAGAATGCACGTGAAACACAAAGGTAGCAGTCCTGTAGATAAGAGTGTGGAGAAAAATAGAGAAAAAGTATATACAATGTATTAAAACCTCTACCATGAACGCCATCGCTCAGTAAATTCTGTTGGTTTCTCAATCAGCCTTGATGGCACCATAGATTCTACGCACGAAAGCATATGCAGTCAAGAACCCAATGGTTCCAGTCAGCAGAGCGTAGACGGCGCATGCAAGACCCGAGTATGCAAAGAAGAGCAACGACGAGACGAAGCCATGAATGTGCAGGTGATTAAAGTAGTAATAAACGCAATAGGCGAAGATCCAGAAACTGCTCGAGGCACCGACCATGAAGCTGTGCCACCACCAGTGATAGTTCTGCAAACGTGGTCAGTTTTTGTATTGACTTGACGAGTGTCGCGGATATTTACCTCAGAGCATAGCTGAATGTAAACAGCTATGACCGTGACCTCCATCACTACTGCAACGAGCATGACTGCTACGACAGCGAGGAAGCCGAAAACATAGTAGTAGCCGCTCTTGTCTTGCCAGATACTCTTGAAGACGAACATGAGCTCGATAGCAACAACAAAGAACGCCGGTAAACCTGCAAGAAGGACACTCTGCCAGCTGCGGATGTACCAGCTCTGCTGGGGAATCTGACGAGGAATGGTACTTGCTCTGATCGGGTGAGTCCAAGCCCCGACACGCACATATCCATACCAAGAGCCAATGTAGACGAGAGGGAGTTGAATAAGAAGCCAAAGTGCAACAAGACCGACGAGTGTTCCGAAGGGTAGAGCGGTGCTCGAAGCCTGTGCCCAGACAAAGAGATTGAGAATGAAGATGATTGTGAAAACAAGACCAGGAAATAGAGTCGCAGTGACGAAGCAGTTTTTCTTCCAGAACTGGCCAGAAAAGGTCTTGTATACACGCGCACTGAAGTATCCGGAGATAAGGCCAGCGAGGACGAAGAGAGCAACAGCGACGCTGATAAAGCCGCCTCTGAAGGAAGGATTGAGAATGCCGAAGCAAGATAGGATGATCAAGCCAGCGACCACGAAGATCAGCTGAGTTCCGGAGCCGACAAGGGCGGCCAGAACACCACCATTTGCAGGGGTACGGAAGACGTCTGCGTGCACCAACTTCCAACCAGTGAGATCTTCCACAGGTTCATCATCCGATGAGATGTCGTTGTCGACATCGCCTTGGTCGAGCAGACCTCCGGTTTTCTCGTCGGGCTTACGAGGGGATCGAGTGCCAGTCCTGCCGCGCTTGACCTTGAGCTTACCATCTTCGACGCTGGCAGCCTTGAGATCACCACGAATGGTGCGAGCGAAGATCACTGCAACAACGGCTGTGAGCAGTCCAGAAATGATGATCGAGTTGACGATGGCGAACCAATGGGTACCAGTGGTGTCATCCTGGTCGGCGAAGAACAGACTCCAACGGTTCTGCCACTCGACATGTGGCTCCTCGCGGAAGTAGACCGAATAGGTATAGGGAATGGTGAGGGTGGCATCCTCGTCGACATCGTCGATAGAAGCTGGATGGTAGGTCGAGTCCGAGGAATAGTAAGCGGCAGCGGCAGTGCCGTTTTTACGCATGGTCAGCTCCATGCCATTGCTGACGTCGGCGATGGAAGCGGGTATACCCTGAGCGTCTCTATTGCCAGACTCGATGCTCTTTGCATAGACCTCAAAACCGACTATGACCTTCTTGCCTTGTTGACCATCTCTTCCTGGAGCCATGTGGTAGCGAATGACGAGTGTGACGTGGTTGTTGATGAAATAACGTGGACGACCGGTAGTGGGATCCTCATCTTGGAAGCCCATCTTGAAGCCCGATGCGTAGTATTTGCGAGTCTTGTCGGCCGACACGAAGTTGGTTGCGCCGGGCAAGTTGTCGACGACCCATTCGGCCACGTAGTTGTCCTTCACAATCTCTTGAGCCCTCTTCAGACCTGCCCTGTCGACCTTGTGGCTACAGAGGTAGTGGACCTCGTCATCTTTTCCCATCTCCAATTCATAGTCACTGACGACGATGCGATCACCTCGGAGGACCTCGCCCAGGTTCAGTGCGATACTCGATCCAGAGATGAGACCACCGACTCTTCGACGGCCACTGGGAGGGCATACGAAAGGGAGCTCAGAATAGGCATATTGAATTTGGGTCTTGTCCGAGTAGACCTTGTTGACGAGCAGTGGGATCACGTCGCCATCACTGTAGCTCTTTATTGACCATCCTGCATGGTGTCAGCATGTGTGGCCTGTCCATGATCAGGGACAGTGGCATACCAGGAATATAGAAGGCGTGTGAAAAAGAGATCAGGAGGAGGAAGGCAGCCCAGAGGCTCCTGCTTGGTGGTAGTTGGGTGGCCATGTATGTGAGTGTGTATGTGTACAGTATTGAGGTGAGTGGATTAAGCTATTCTTGACAGCAGACGTTTCGCAACGAGAAAGCAGACATGGGCTGAAACTTTTTCTCGTCTCTGGCGACAGAAGGTTGAGCAGGCAGATGTCGAAGGTTGTTCCTGGCCGAAAACGAGGGTAGTTGACACTAGTCTTACAATACGCGTGTCAGGATGGAGACCAAGGGATCAGCAAAGGCTGTCCTCTCGGCAGTCGAAAGTCAAAACAAAGCGGTCGGAAATGAAGTTGGAAGGCAGAGCAAGGGAATGACAGGAGAGAAGAAGGTGCACTGCGGAACCCGCGATCACTGATACATGCAGAGCAGGGGGTCGCGACACTACTTTCTAAAAATGCTGCTGCGTAAGATAGGGAAAGCTTGTCCCGCCAATTCAATCGACGACCCCGGCTTTTCCTGCATCCGCCAGCTCTCAACTGACTCGCCCACGCTCGCCCCATCAATCAAAACCTAATCATTTGAAACGTCTTTTGATCCGTTGATTGCGCAAGCCATTGTCCTGTGCTGCGCCTGTCTGACTCTTGTCTTGCTCTGAGCCTCCATTCCTTGTCAACAACACAAGTCAGCCTCCAGCAGAGAGGGTTGCAAGCTCAACCGGTATGCCGTTCGTATCATTGTCCCGAGGGCTTGAGAGACAAGTCACAGCCTCGCCAAATCAGGCCATGATCGCATTGCATTGATCGACAGAAAAGCGTTCCAATCCATACCGTTTTCCCCTTGGCTTCCCTCAATAAATATTTGGTCAACCATTGTCAAAACTACTACATCCTGGTGTGTCACATGCAGAGACGGTACATCAAACAACAGTCTCTGAGTGTACCAATCTCACTGGAGTCTTTCGTAAGCCAACTACCTAATGCTCGTCTTTGCTGACAACTGATTTGGTTTGCGACTTGCGCTTCTCAGCCCGTAATCATGCTGTTGAGGTGCTTGACCTGCCCTAAAAGCAAGCCGCTGACCACGGGAGCTCAACCTGCATGTCAAGCACTTCTACTTGCTTGGCTTTGCGTTGGCTTCAGCCTGATCTTACGATCTTCTGGTGCAGTTGAACTCAATTCCGCAACAAGTATATCCACATCTGGAGTGCTTTTGATAGCAAAAGAACAAGAATGGACATCAGCACAAGTCCTTGCTGCCATAACATTTGACAAGTTTTGGCCTGAATGCCCATTCTAAGTGGCAATGCCTTTTCCCAAAACGCTCTCTAATCGCTCGCCAAGCTTTGCATATGCCACCGCACCATCTTCGTCTGCATCAACAACGGCCTCGCTGTACAGAGCCTCCATGTCTTCTCTCTCGACTCTGACCACCCATCCGTTTGCCGTGATCATTGTGCGATGTTGTCCTTGACTTTCAAGCAGCACCCCTGAGGCTCTGACTAGTCCCTCGACCCACTCGCGGCCGACGTTACCGCCCACTTGCCTTGCTACGTCTTCCAAATCGACGACTCGTCTGGACTCGAGCTCTTCCCTCACAAGACGCACAGCCCTCTCTCGTCTTTGACTTTCTTCTTCTCTCGCCTTCTCCTCTTTGAGCCTCTTCTCCTCTCTTTCCTTTGCTCGCTTAGTCTCAACCTCTGCCTCCTTTGCTGCACGTCTGGCCCTCTCAACCGCAAGCTGTGCCTCACGTTCCTCTGCGCCTTCAGCATCTCTTGCGCGTTGAGCTTCTCCCTGCGAGCGCATGAATTCGTGATAGGCTCGGCGTTGGTCACGACGTTGCAAAGACTTCGCCTTCTTAGCACCAACTGTGCGATTGTTGTTACTTCCTGGAGGTGCTTGAGGACGTGGGTTTACAGGACCGGGCTCTCCATCGTCGTCGTCTTGTCGATGGCCCGCAGGTCCAACAAAATCATTGAAGGGGGCATCCGGCTGTTCATGCTCGTCCTCTTCAGCATCCTCGATGAAAGGTCGTGGTGGGGGAGCTGCTTGTTGGTGTCTCGGCTCTGGAGCTTCAGGCTCGATGTTGTGAATATGTTGTTCTGCTTGATTCTCTGCTTGGTCATGCGTTTGTGATTGTCGTCGTTCCTGGATATAGGCCTGGATCTGAGGCGCATAATATAGAGCTGTGCATAGTGCGGCGAGGTGCAGTAGATCCTGGTATAATGGTGTGCCAGGAGTTGCGAAGGGCAGCAAAATATTCAAGCCGCGTTGAATGAAGGAGAAAGGGTTGACCATAGTGCCTTTGATCTAGCTCAATTCTTGATCGGTCCAGACCAGGCCTCAGCTTCTCTTTATCTCTGTGAAGTAATCGTGTTGATAGAGTGTTGCAAGTGATCTCGTGATTTGCTTGGTCCAATGTTTCTGCAACCGAGAAGGCTTTCTAGAGATTTCCGGGCTCAGTATCGCCCCAGTGGATGTGAACTGATCCAGAGTAGGTTTGTCTTTGTTCCCGATATTGCAAATCTTTGTGCAATATTTAAAGGTTGTCAAATTGTCGAATGTTCGTTCGAAGATGATTTGTTGCTTGGCAATCGGACGTCATGAAGCGCACGGACGCGGATGTTGAATCGTGGAAGACAGAGCGACCCTGTCCCCTCAGACATGCGATCTCATCGTCCTCCTCACCGTACCTATGACATGATCCCTTGAGATTTGTGACGTCTTCTTCCCGGGAACACACCTTGACTGTCTGTTTCAACGGAGCAGAAAGAGGACTCAGGACGGAGAAACCCAAAGGTATATTGAACATGAATCGCTATGTAGTCTAAAGACACAGTGCTTGGTCTATGACCTCGATGCAACAATACCCTTCTCGAGCGCAACAATGCTTTCCCGGACTTGGGGGCAGAAATGGTGCCTCAACAATTCGCCTTCCCAGATCGTCGTTGCGAAAGGATTGCTTCCTTCGACCTCTTCCCTAAGGGGATTGAAAACGCCATCTCCCTTTCTCTCTTCTGTGTACCATAGTGCCGCAATCTTCTTGCCCTGTACCTTGGCCACTTGCTGCAATAGACCCATCATTGCTAGACATGACTTTTCGGGTAGTTGTAAGGAGATTGTAAGGAGTTGCTTGGCAAAAGCAGCAAGGCGAAGTGGAGGTACCGAGCGCAAATTCTGTGGCGGTAGCAGGACTGATGACAATGAACGAAGAAGCAGCACAGTTGTCGTCTGAACGTTGATCTTGTGCTTGGCTTGTTGAGGGAGGAGAGCTTCATCATCATTGCCATCTGGGTCTCTTAGGCGCAAAGATTTGGCACTCAGCTCCAGATCAGGATTCATGGATGATGGCAAAAGCGTCTTGTAGAGGTGAGTGATGAAGAATTCAAGATCTAGATGTAGAGAGCCGACACTCTTGACAACATCTTGACCCTGAAGAAGGGCGAATGCTGTAATGATGCAAAGCAGAGATTCGCGGTTGATGTTTCTTGGTGCGGTAGAAGCGTCTTCGTCTTCTTCAGCAAGTGCTTGCTCAGCAGCTTCGGTAGAGATGACGAGTTCGCGGAGGGCTTCGAGGATATCACCAAAAAAGTCCTGGTTGATAAGATGGGCATAACGAGCAAGACCTTCCAGTACAGCACCCATCAATTGAGGTACCCGTTGCTTAAGAATGCGGAAGTAGGCAACGAAGACCAGTTTCAGCATCTCTGACTGGTTCTTGTCACGCTCTTCATGCGAGACTGTAGCATCGGCTTCTCTGAGCTCTTTCTCAACATCCTTGACTTCACGTAGACGTTTTCTCTCCTTTTTCGTCCTGAACTCTCGCTTTTGCTTTTTCTTCACGACCGGCTCATCCTCACTCTTGTCAGTGCGTGTGCTACTGCTTCTGTGAGCAAATTCGGAAAGAAGTCGTAGATGCAAGAATGTGTTCAGCACAGATTCATGGATATTGTAGTTTCGCGATTTCATCATCTTGCATAGCAAATCGACAGCCTCGCGAGAAGCATTTCCGTCCTCGTCGTCGCGGAACAATGTCTCTAAGCATTCGATGGATTTGTGGAAGTCCGGATTGACCTGTCTGATACTGAGCCTACCGACCAAGATGTTGATGAGGTCGCCGCGGAAGTTGAAGTGGGGGACAGTATTAAGGAGAGTGCAAGCGCAAGAAATAGCGACAGCAGCAACAGAAGCAGCCTCCTTGTCCTTGTCACCACTCTTTTTGGCAGCCCTTGTCAGAGACTTGACATACTCGTGGTAGCCGCCAACAAGCATTTGTTCGAAATTACGCAATTTGCGGACATCCTTGGACAACTTCTGCTTCAACTCTTCCTTTGAAACAGGGCGGATGCGGTAGCCGGGGATGATGTCGCGGTAAATGGCGAGTTGTGTGGCCATGCAAAGCTTGACAACGGTTCGGTTTTGGGATGTGGCATGGACTTGCAGCTTCTTGAGTTGGCCGATGTGCTCTTCCGGATCCTCTGAAATCAAGCTGGCAACGCGAGCGAGCTCCTCTTTGGCTTGAAGGATTTGTTCGCGCGGCGAGACCTGTGGCACTTCCGGCTCCTCCTCTTCTTCCTCCACGTCTTGGTCGTCATCATCTACAGCCTCATCCTCATCACCACTTCCCAAAAAACTGTCGGCATCCTCTTCCTTCTGCTCAGCAACGGCAGGAGCCTGCTCGACCCAACCTTCCGAGGTCTTAATTGGCAGTCTTGTCTCTTCCTTCTTTTTCTTTAGATTGCGCGGTCTGTTCTCGTAGTCCTGCTCTAGATCCCATCCAGCGGCGTTACGGTAGAAATTCTCGATTTTCTCCTCGGACGAAATGCCATTCTTTGTAGTATTGGGAGGTGATTCGACCTCTGGACTGATGCGACGTCTCTTTGCAATTGGAGCCATTTCCAGAAGTGATTAGGTTGGTTGATATGCTGTCGGATGGAAAAGGCTCAGCAAGGAAAGAAAAAAGATAGGCGCTTCTGCCAAGCCAGGGCGAGGGTGGCTGTAGGCCAATCATTTGCGGCGAATCGAAACCCCCGAGAGACCGTCTCCGCATTTTTGGGGAGCATCGAGGATTCTTTTTTCTGCCTCGCTCCTTCCTTTCATGTTCATCCGTACACTATCATTTCGTCGAACAGCGTCGCGCCTGCATCAACCCGGACCGATCTAACGAGCACTGTCCTATCGCACATCTATTCCCGCTCGCGCCTACCCTAGAAGTCACCTTCGCAAATACCACAAACATGCGTCCTCTTACGGAAGGAGAATCCAAGACGGTCTTCGAGAAGCTCGCCAACTACACTGGAAAGTCCCTCACAAATTTGTTGACCGACACGGCTCCCGGCAAGGATGGAAAGGCTTCAAGATTTGTCTTCCGTGTTCAAGAATCAAGAGTCTACTACGTGCGCGAGGACATGGCAAACTTGGCCACATCGGTAGCCAGAGATAACCTGCTGTGTCTTGGAAACTGCATCGGCAAGTTGACCAAGACTGGCAAGTTCCGTCTTCACATTACCGCTCTGGACATCATCGCTCCTCATGCTCGCGCAAAGATCTGGGTCAAGCCTAACGGAGAGATGCCATTCCTGTACGGTGGTCACATTGTCAAGGCTCACGTGGGTCGCTGGAGCGAAGACTGCCCCGAGCACCAGGGTATCATTGTTTACTCGATGAACGAGTATGTCATGCATTTTTGGTCCAGCCGAACGAATACACCTGCTAACTTGATTCAGTACACCTCTTGGTTTCGGTGTTACCGCCCGCTCATCCGCCGAAGCAAAACGTCTGGACCCTACTGGTATCGTTGTCTTCAGACAAGCCGACTGCGGCGAGTACCTCAGAGAGGAGGACACCCTCTTCCAGTCTTGAGCGTCCTCATGCCTTCTTGCACGTCACCATCAAATATCTTACCACGATCCGCCACCTACCCGCGCCCGAAAGAGCTGCCACAAAAGTTGCATTGGAGATACCCGTTGATGATTCCGGGATAGCAGGAGTTCTGGGAGTTACATACTAGTCATGGACTTATTCTGGGGAAAGGGTGCGACGGAAGTCACGGTTCGTGTTAGCAACGAGAGCTAGCACCGAAGCTTGCGTATAACAAGCCAGCATACTTTTGATCAAATTACTCACTCGTGTTTCTACATGTTGACAATGTCATGCAAGCCACATAAAGTGTCTTCACATTCTGTGTGGACAGGAGAGTATCAGTTCTGTGATACTCATCAAGGCACCGAAAGTGAGATAGAAGCATAACAGCAATAGCATTCAGGTTACGAAACCAAAAAGGACAGGGGTATCATGCAGCTCACTGGCTGAAAAGCAATTCCACCAACAACTCCTTCCACCTCTCTTTCTTGCAAGTCTTCACAGTTACCTTCAACTGCGACTCCTGACCCCTGGCATCCCACAACTGGTCTAGCTTCTCTCAATACTCGACTCTTGCTCTCTTGCTTCCCTGCTGTCCATCCTTAGAGCGGCTGCGCTTCGATCCTGGGCGAGAAGGCAGCAAGAGCTCGACAGGAGGCCCAGCGGTGGTGGGAACAGGGGCATGAGCGATCGCGGCACCTGCCAGAGGGGCAGGGAGGAAGTTAGTATGAGGCATCGTGACCGGTCCCTCGCGAGTGGTGATGTGGGTGATTGAACCAGACCAGGTATTCCAGTACTTGGGGCAGCTCTGCACCTTCGCAGCAATGCGCAATGGCATAGCTTCGTCGTCAGCCTGCAGGAAGATGTTAGCGTGGTTCTACAGGTGCATATGGCAGCATGGCAGGTCTCTCATCGACCTCTCCTCTCTCATGTTGTGTAGTCATGTAGGGATAGCTATAGAAAGGCAAGATGTATATGGGAAACAGAGCTTGTCCACTGAGAGTTGTTTTATTGGAAGCTCTCACTGGACACTGCTTGCATTTCCAAATACTTTGTGCATTTCTATAGCTTGTATAACTGCTCCATGTTGCGACGAGAGGTGGATTCGTTGGACTTACGTGGATCAGGAAAACCAATTTCTCGGTGTCACTCTTGATGATGTTGTAAGATGCTTCGTTCAGAACCTCCCAATGCTTGGGATCGAGGGCGTTCAGGCTTGAGGCGTATTGGTACTTCCAAGGGCCAGTAGTGGGAGTTTTGATGGAGTAACCCAGACGAGCTGACTTTTTGCATCTAGCGACGCTTAGAAAATCGGGAAGAAGGCCGAGGAATTGCTGGTATCTCATGTGCTTGGGTCTCTGCAAGACTTCGAAGTGGGAAGGAGTGCCGCCGACTAGGTGTAGGTGTGTGACAACGAGGACTCGGAATCCGTAGTCGATGCAAGAAGCCACAGTCTCATTGCTTTGGTAGTATCTGTCAGAGTTGATGGCGTACCAGACGGCACACAAGTCGTCCACCCTGCTCTGATGATAAACCGCCGGGATCTGGACGTCAGACTCGGATATGAGCTGCAGCAGTACGCATGCCGCACGCTTGGCCACGTTTGGGTAAAGTTTGGCTAGCGCGCGGCCAGCCTTGTTGGCCTTTTGGGCAAATCCATCTGTTGCAGTGAACGTGGACTTCGTGGTGTCGATCTCGAGACTTTGCAACGCCAACAAAAGATCTCCAATGGCCATATCAGATTCTTTCAAATCACGAATGGCAGTGAGTTTTGCAAAGTTCAGTCTGAGGTAAGTTGCAATGCGCGTGTTGCGGATACACTTCTTGATGCCGTCGAAGATGAGGAGTAGAACGGGGTCCTTTGAGACAGCGGCCATCAACTCGATTTCAGGAATTTGAATAGACTCCTCTGCTGGCTCCTTTGCTGAATCCTTTGCTGGGTCCTCTTGCGGAGTGGAGTTGTTGTTTCCAGGGTCGCTCGTAGCGGCTGTTGGACCCACCTTGCGACCCATGGCGCAGCTGTAGAAAGGGTCAGTGTATGCGTGTATGCGTATGGGTTAGCATAGAGCAAATTTGACCGACCTTTGAGTGTGCACACAGACCAGTCGTGGAAATACTCGTTATTCTGGATGCGCGCACAAGACGAATGGGAAAGACGGAATGTGACGAAGTTGTTTTGAAATTGGCTAGCGTGCGAGTGCCAGGCAGAAATTCCGTGATGAATGTACCACTGTTCTACTCGACCTTAAGTGACGAGGCTGACGCGCAAGTGAGCGAACAGCGAAGTAAGTGAATACATGTGGTGGAGCATATATGAAGCATAATCGAAGTGCGAGTTGAACACTCCTGACGCACTGCTGGCAAAGCTTCGGTGACCACTGTCTGTTGGACGGCTACGGCGAAGAATATGGACCAGCTGCGCAGAAGCCAAATCCGCTCCAAATTATCAACGTGCTGCTCGATGCAACCGTCAGAGCATCAAAATGATTGCTAATGCACATTGCGTTATAGTGCATGGCTAAATTGTGAGACTTGTGCACCGGAATGGTGAAGGAAACTTGTGCAAAAAGAAAAGGAATGCCCAGCGTTGGAATCGAACCAATGACCGATGGCGCAGCCAGTAGTAGTGAACTGACCTAAGGCGATCTGGGACGCTGTTCCCAACTACACCATCTTACCGTTGGACGGAATATAGGATGTCTGGCAGGAATAGATACCCTGAGTGAACAAGGCTGGCACAGCACATGACCACTGAGTCTGCACAGCTGTAGTCAACAAAGGCCGTGCCACAGACACCTTGCCTCCGCTAAGAAACACAAACTGGCTCGCCTTTGCGTAGGCCCGATTATCGTTATTGACCACACAAGGAAGAGTTGGGTGAGATCCGATAATAGCAGGCTGCTACCTCTCACGACAATCTATTCGAGCGATGCACAAAGGCTTTGTTCTTTGTTTCTTGTCTGAAAGGTGAGTAAGGATGATAAGGAAGAAATGTATGCAGCTCAGTCACAAGAATGCAGGGCGTGAACGATATGGTTTCTTTGTTCTTTTTCTCCAACGAAAATGAAATAGCTCACCTTCTAGAACCTACCCAGAGAGTCATCAAAGATACCAAAAAGCTGCGTCCGCATGACTTCATGTTATGTCGTTGATCTTGAACGAAACGCTATGCAATCCATAGACTCGTAGTGACCTGGCTACCATAATATTAGTGGCGGTTCGTCAATTTCAAAAAGCATTGTGCTGTACCTCGTTTCTTGGAACCAATATAAATTGATCTGAAGATAGATCTGTTAGGTATAATTCAACCAGATCTCACAGTGTCTGCTCTAAATATGCATACCATGAGCATGTATACTCAGCTAAGCAGGCCGAAGACGTTGCACAAAGAATCTGCACTCTTTGTGAAGCCGTATCCGGAGAGACTTTCCACACTGAGAAAGTTTCATGTGTATATCAGCACTTGTACAGCACTATTCTATAGAAGACATAATCTCAAAGAATATTCTACACCTGTAGACAAGAACGAGAAGCGGGAGGTGATGTTGGAAACAGCTACCCCGTATCTCTTCTCATACTTGCCCGAAATTTCCCCGCTTCAACTTCACCTCCTGGACATAACAAGGGGATACTCCAGGTTCAATCAAGCATTCGAAATAATGCTGAAAATGAGGGCACCTTAAGAGGAGTGTTCATACAGTCAGCGCTTGTTTCGAAACCCGAATCAATAAGACATTCTTACAGCTACACACAGGACAAACTCTACCATACAGATCCGAGAGAAAACATCAATCAAGACAAGGCATTCGAACGATCTTGCATCATCCCAGTACTGTCAAGCAAAGATGTCAGCGATTTCATGGGTCGCCCTCAAGGATCCAACGGACTCAAGGGCAAGAACAAGGGAGCCATCATCAACCACGTATGGCATGATCATGGCTCAACTTTGGCCTCATATCTTGCTATCAATGGACCCATATTCAGTCTGGAATGCACACCTACTTGACGTAAGAAAGTAGGTTCTAAGCAGGATTGAAATCTAGCGGTCTACGGGACAACAAGAATTGTGGTTTGCTCAAGCTGGTATCTGGTTCTGCCTTGCATTCGAGGAAGCAACAATCCATAGGACTGTCTCGTCAATCCATGTGAGCTTGTTCAAACGATTCTGACTGGGTTGTTGATGTAGAACGCCAGTGCGCAAGTGATCTTGGCGACTTGAGAGATTGGCTGCGCAGAATCACGCGCTGCGAATAGTCGTGTTGTTGCTTCAAATCCATGCATTGCGTGTTTACCTTATAGACAGACATGACTATGATATACCATGTCGTCTTGAACAACAGATGCTCGAGAAGAGAGAACATCTTAGACATTAGACACACGCTTGGGGGCAGACACGGCCAGGGACTGAGCGCCTCGAAAGTGTAGGTTTGGATCACCGACAGTGTGGGTACATATTGAACCGATCTCGAGAGAAAAAACGTGTTCTGTGGTGTAGGAGAACCCGCGACATATGACGGAAAAACTCTGAAACACGAACACATAGGGAGGCAAGGGCCTCAAGTCGACTACGAGAGCGGCCATTCTTTTTGCACTTGCCATTCTCCCTTTTGTTTCTTCTCAGACATACTACACTGCTAGTTCCTGCCAGGTATTTTCGACTGTATACCTTGATTTTCATCGATACACAGATGGTCGTCAGATCTATCTACAGCAATACGCCGTCAAAACATCTCGAGCAAGCTCGCCAACAACCCTGGCAACCACCAGGGTGCTTTTTCCGAGAACCCAGCCAAGGATCATTCAAATAGCATAAACAAATGAACGCGTAGAGAGTAACACGAATTCAGTTGCCATTTTTTTTTTTTTCAGATTCATTGCTTTCCACTGCGCAACCACCGAAGCAGACCCTTTCTTTTGTTGGCCAAACCACATCATCGTTTGTTCCTGAATGCTTCTCGGCGTGCGCACCGCATAAACCACACATTAACAGCGGCGCTCTCCTTGAACCAACCATCACGCATTTCTCCCTGGCGCGCGCTCAAAACATCACACCAATCACGACTTCGTCTCCATCAACCACATTCCAGTTCAGCCTTTGACGACACAGATCCTTCGAGCGATTCAGTCCCTGGTCTTCAACACAACATGTTCCAGCCATACGACGAAAATCACGACACAGACAACTATTCTAATAGTCCGATGTCAGACAACTCAAATCCCGAAGACTTCGATGGCATTGAAGACTTGAAAGACCAGCACAACTTGCATAATGAACCTACATTCCATCTCGAGGACACCACTGCTTTGTCTCATGTCGATGTCACAAAATCAAGCGAACTCGATCAGAGTCTGCTTTCATACGGAACAAATTTTGAACAACTGGCAAACAAGGACCCAGTGTATAAACGCATCCTGCAGATTGTTCAAGAATACGCCACTGAGCCAGACACCATTGTGTATGCCAAGGTCAATTCGGTCAAGCTGGCCACCATCAACGAAGCAAAAGCCAGCAACCTCGTAGATGCAGAGCTCTCATCCATGATGGAGGCCGTTGGTCTTGCCCAACGCTGCAAGACTGCAAGACGCAATGCACAAAACAAAGAAGAAGAAATCATTCGCGATTGTATCGATCAGATTCACTGGCTCAACAGAAAGAGGAGGCTGCAGCACAAAGTGGCTGGCATGCTCAGAGCAATCATCAAGGCCTCGGACTACACCATCCCCGGTAACGTCAAGAGAGTACAGATCGATGATCTCTTTGGATTTCTTTACGCCATAACTTCGGACATCTATTACAAAGACACTTTGTTAGCCGCAACAACCCAGAATATGCCCTCGAATGGTCATGTCACCGCCACAAACTCGGACTCGAAAACAGAATCCAGGCCTCTCAAGCATATACCTCATGCAGGATCTCGTTTTGGTATCAATCTCATCACACACCTGACCCTCGTCGGTGGCCTACCCATGCATGTCGAGAAGTTCTATACCACCGACAAAGCCACGTTCTCTGAAGTCATGCGCAAGATCTCGAGTTCCCTTGAAAGCAGCCAAAGTCATCACCGCAAGCGCTTGGGATTCTTGACCCAAAACCAGAGAAAACATGGAAATTGGCTCTTTCAAATCGCCCCGGACTTCGAATCGCTCAACCTGGGATACGCAGCCTGGAAGATCTTCGATGCACCCAGCTTGAAGCTAATGCCCACGGTTCAAGAAAAACAGGTTTTCATGATACATGTAAGTTTGGAAGGTCAATTACCACTATCCCCGCTGCACATGCTTGGTTTTCAGTGGTCTATAAAAATGCACAATGGAATACGCAGACACTTGCTGTCCACTGAAAGGGTGGTCAGTCAGTGTCTTTCTCTGGACACTCACTAGATTCAGAAAACATCCTGCATTTATACAAGCTGTAACAGAGACTGACCTACTCGTAGGAGTACCACTTGAGTATGCCTGCCCGCATCAAAGAGAAGGTCAGGAGCAGCCCCAGGCTGTGGAACACATGGAGCCTGCTGGACAGTCCCACTTTAACCTCACCTCCTGCGCCCGAGTTTGTGCCTTGCTACAACGACATGATCGTTGCACCCTTTGAAATGGAGATGACTGCTCTAAGAAGTGCTCTCCCCAATCCTCAGGCCAAAACTCGCACTGCAGAGCAGCAGAAGGCGGGCAAGAAGGAGAGAAGGAAGAAAAGAGTTAGGCAAAAGAAGAACAAGGGCAAGAACAAGGACATAAGCAAGCCAGCAACTTTCCAGCTCGCTTTCAGATAGAGAGTATGCAAGCAGTCAGCATTGATTGAACGCAGAGAGGAGACTTCATTTGCAAGATCAGAGGAAGAGACCTGTATTATACATCATGAAAAAGCATTAACTACTCCCAATCCTTTGGGTTGAAAAGAACTCTCTCCTCAGCCAGGTCTTTCATTCCAATACCATCTATGCCAAGTCCAGCATCTCTCAACCTATCCTTCGCCATCGACATCTTAGTCATGCTTAGCTGGTAACTTGCTTCACTCGAGCTCGAGCTTGAACTGGATTCGGGAGAATCTCCAGTTCCTTGCACCTGTGGTTCGGAGAATGCATCATCGTAGGTGTTGGTAGGGGAGTGGGTCTCCATGGCTTCTTCAAAGGCAGCGATTTGCTCAGGGGTGGATGGCCTCTGGGGAGCAATGAGACGAATTCTGGTCGGTCTGGTTATGGCTTTCGTCGGAGCAGGAGTAGATGGTTGACGCGAGCGAGCATTACCGCGCTTTGTTGCAGCGAGATCTTCAGGTGAAGGTGTACCGGTTTGGGGTGTCTGAGAGAGCCTCTTGATGAGTTGATGGCGTGGGTCCTGAGCAGGATCAGTTGCATTGGACCGGGCTTCAACTTCGTATCCTTCTTCGGCACCAGCAAGAACATCGGGGCTCGAGAATCTGGTACTTTGGCCGCTCATCTGCCTGGCGTTGGCTGCACGATAGATACCGATCTCATGCATAGGCATTGCGACGGAGCTATGAACGATTTCGTAACCTCGCTTGCTCTGATATGAGTAGGCTCTGTGGCGAGCAAAGCGCTGGAGAGTTGGTTCTGTGACTGGGGTCCAGAGAGTCCATCCATTGGGAACATCGTCAGGCTCGCTAGATTGGATAGATGCTGCACCACGAAAGTGCTGAGTCTGAACGAGAGTGGTGGAGTCTCTTTGGTCGACAGGCGACGATGGCCTTGGAATAGCAGGCGTAGGATAAGCGTGAGTCCATACGTCGCTAGGAATCTCAGGGGGCTCTGTGCGTATCACGACGTTCTGCCAGGACTCCTGACTGACTTGGAAGCTAGTCTCCTGACCAAAAATTGAGGCGATCTGATTGCAGGCGCGATACAAGGGGTATCGGCGCTGCGAATAAAGTCTAAGGACGTAGACGCAAGCTCGGACCTTGGCTGAAAAAGAGACACTGGTAGAGCCGTCGGCATTGCGATGCAGTTTGGCGAGCGAAGGTGGTGCGCCGCCGCTGAACAACCATTCTGTGTAGAGGCGTGTGTATGTTGCGAGCTTCCGGTTGCTCTCACAGTCGAGTACAAACCTTCGCGCACCTTGAGGGATTTGTTTTTTGTACTTGCGACTTTCCTCTTTCCAAAGCGGTGCGTAGACGTATAAGAAGAACAAGGACCCAGGGACCGAGAGTGGACAAGGCCGAGTCTCGCACTGGCATAGCATGAAGAGTCGAGAGACGTCAGAAGGTGCACTGGGCACGCCGGTGAACGGGTCGCTGAAGGTTTCGGGAACTAGAACTGGTTGCTCGTGTTGTGACGGTCCGAGAGTGTCGACCAACCTTGAGGAGGTGGCAGTAGTCGCAGGTGATGATGCAGAGAAAGATGTGGAAGAACTGGCAGCAACCCCTGACGAGGGATCAGAGCATGGCAACCAATCCATCGTGCTAGACCTGGTGATTGATTGGCAGAAGGTTGTTGTTGCGCCGACGGATAATCACAGACGAGTTCAAGCGGCGCCAGAAAATGAGTGAAAGAGAACAACAGAAAGCGAAGAGAAGAGCGATCAGAATGCCAGCGAGAGCGCAAGTGAAACTATTTCAAGCCGCCAACATGTCGCGCATGCAACTGGTCAGACTGTAAGATGGAGCTCTCGAAAATTACAGTTGGCCTTGAGGAAGAGACAGAGACATCAAAAGCCGCTCTGAAGCAGATCAGGAAGATTGTCACTCAAGCCAGGTGAAACAACAAATTCACGGAACGAGCGAGACATGAGGCAAAAGAAGAGTTGAAAGAGACAGACGTTTCCATAGCCTTCGTTAACCATGTGGACATGCCACGAAGCACAAAAACATGTTTTCTAAATCAAACAAGAGCAAAGAGAATACCAATGGCACCCACCATAGCAAGATCTGAGAGGAGAGTCGAATGGGAGACGATGTATTCGAGAGAAGCCGCTGTAAAAGACTAAAAGAAGATTGATCCGTGACGCCTTGCAATGCCCAACCCGCGGTTCTTTTTGCTTCTACTGTACAGGTGTAAGATGGAGGTCGGACGGAGCGACAGGGGAGTGAGGTGATGGTCATGAAGAAAGTCATGACTGCCGTTGGAAACGTCTGGGCGGTGGGAGATCCGGCGGCAGGACGTGGCAAGATTAAAGTGCGAGAGAGAAGGTTACAGGAGTTTAGATCATTTGACGAACAAACTAGAAGGCATCTTGTTAGTACGCGGCTAGAAAGACACAAGGTCGTGTTGCAAAACTCACAGTCCAGGCACCGGCGGTACCAGCGACAAGGCCACCAGAAATCATCATGGGTCTGAGGCCCTTTGTACTCTTGAAGAGCATGCCACTCAATGCACCGGCGACGATGCTGTTGGCAGCATCGTGTTTACCACGGTAATGGCCAATGAAGGAGTTGAAGCCGTTGTAGACCATGGCAATAACACCAGCCGAGTTACCTAGGAAAGGACCACGGCGAGTGATGGCGTTCAGGGCCGAGTTGAGACGGAGCTTTGGCGGCGCTGATGCGGGCAATCTGTTCAGACCCTCTGCAAGACCCCAGGCTCCTCCAACAGTCAGACCAGCGAGATACGTGACACCGGTGCCGTAGCAGAGGTCGTCGGACCAGCCGCGCGACGGCAGGGCACTACGGTTGCCAGGAAGCTCAGACAGGGCTTGGTCGTCGAGCGACAGGTAGTCCAGAGTGTCCTGGTTCAAGCCAGCGAGGGGATGTAGCGAAGCCGGGTCGAAGGCGCCGGGTGTGTTGAAGAAAGAGTTGACGTCTTGAGCCTCGAATTGCGGTTGCGATTGTGTCGTCACAGCCATGTCTTGCATGGGCGCATCCCGTGCAGGTTGTTCAGCAGTCTTGCGGCCGGTGAAGGAGTCCCAGATGCCCATCTTGGTTGTTGTAGTGTGTCGAGTGTATGAACAATAGTGGTGGTTGACGACAACGCGCTCTCACGGCGGCGAGGGCTGTCTGACGAAACGAATTTTTGGTCAAGCTTCACCGTCGCTCGGAACTTTCCACTTCCATCCAGCTCCATGCCAAGCTGCTGTTTCTGCAGGTATACCACTTGGACTCGGCATCAACATAACATCAAACGCACACATCGGCAATAGAGACTCGAGAGTAAAGCCAACAAGCTCTGTGTATCATTGATAAGATATGTTCTGTATCGTGCGTCTATACGTCGTTGGGACCCGCACCTTGCCTGCACAACATCTCGTGGCACAAACATGTAGAGATTTGCCTTTTCTTCAAGAATGAAGCACGCCTTGTATCGCAGGCAATATTCCCAGCTAAACGATCATGTCGCTTGAGTCGCCAATCTAGCTCAGCCGACTACCTGCCTGCCTAGCTGTATCCGATCTTGAGCCTTTTTCAGACCATTACTTTTCAACCACTCGTGACTGCCAACCAGAACTGACCTGCACATCACTCATCCTGAAAATCGGCTGTGAGACATGCCTTTTCGGAGATTAATGAAGCTCTGACAGGTCATCTCCAGACCCTGGACATGTGATACGCACGAAAATCACGTTCAGCTTGTTTCTCAGACCCCCATACATGTCCTCGAGAACAACCACTTTGACAAGTTCGGTCTGTGCAAATGCGATAATGACAAGGTCGACTCCAGACAGAACTTGCATAAAAGATGGAAAGCAAGTCTGTCAAGGATAATAGCTCTATCAAATGCCTTGAGGCTCTACAGAAAAATCGATATGAGCGCCGTGTCCAAGTGCGGTGTGGGGTAAGGGCGAAGATTGCGTGCCGCGTTGGCCGCCAAAGCGTGGACTCGCGGTAGAGAGAGCGGGGGTGACCGCGTGGTAAAGCCATCGATGAATGGGGTTGGTTGCAAGAAACAGTACAGATGAGACCCCTCGCTGAGAGCACTCTGATACCGCTTGTGCCTCTACACGCGGAATCGCATCGCGGTTAGCTCACGGCGTGGACTGACAAAACAAGGAGCATCAAAATCTGGGTCATCAAACGATCAATATATCCAGATAGGGTTCGCGATCACGGACAGAGACATTTTGGAGGTGGTTAGCGAAAGCCTCCACTATCGTTGTGGAGCAAGAGACGGACAAAGCGTCTCCCAATCGCGGAACCCGTCGCGTTGATTTTCTTGTCGACAACCAGGACTCGAAGACGTGACACTCGAGGGTCATGATTGTGGTGAAGCATCATCATGCATCGCGGCGGCCAATAGGCGACGCGGAGGAACAAAAGTCGCGCTGGGTGGATGCAGCATGATGCATCAAGTGGCTCGGTTGAATTGTTTCCTGTCTTGGTCTGACAGCCTCGGCGCCTCAGTCTTGTGAAAGAGTCGAATGGACTGAAATACAGCAGTCAAAGCAAAAGAGCAATAGCAATCACAAGTGCCGAGACAGGAGAGGCAGGCAGATCAAGATGCGAGACGAATTGGCAGGAACAGAGCTATCGTTATCAACACGATCGCGTCTTGTTGAGAAGACATGGCCAAGGTAGGCAAAGGAGCCAGCCGGACAACCCGCAACCCGCAAACCGCACCGCAAATTGATACTTTCATTTCGGTGAATCGGCCTTCTGCCTCAAGCGCACCGCCGAACGCCAGCCCACCAAAGAAAGACTCTGGTGCTCCTCTTTTGATTGAATCCCACTCTTCCTGGCATTAAACCACGTCTCCTTTCCTTCTCCCTATTCCTAGAGATCCGCTTCCCTCCAGGACGAGATCCGACGGCCGGTTCAGTCATTCCTTTTGCGCATCGTCTGGTGAGTACTCGACTGTTTCCTGCTGCTCTGCTGTTCCTTGTTTCGCATGTCTCTGGTGGTCGAAGACGAGGAAAAAATTGTTTAGGGTTTGCATGAAAGAGGGCGACGCTCGGGCTAGAAGCGGTGCACGCGGGCTTTGACTTTTTTAGCATGTCGACACCTAGTTGGACCGTTGTGCAGACCAGCGGCTTGCTTTCAATCTCCCGCCATAGTTGTCCCTACTGTTTGCTGCTGCTGTTGCGACTCTGTCCGGTCTGTCTGTCAGTGTCCATCTCACGGTCCTTCCTTGCTGCCCTCGTCGTCGCCTGTCTTCAATTGCCCTCCTGCCACTCCTTTTTTCATTCCTTGGGCCCTTGACCAAACTAACGGTAGCCGTTCAACAGTCCGCATTTTCTGCCCCTTCGAATTTCTCACCTCTCGAGTCTTTACGAACGGCAGTCACTCCGCATAACGACTCGGACTCTTGTACATAGTCAGCCTCGACCGACCCATACATTGTTATAGTCGCTATGTCCGCCTTTTACGAGCAGAACAACCAGGCCGCTGCTGCCACCGGTGCATGGCCCGCTCCTGGTCGCCAGCCTTCGTGGGAACAACCTGCCCCTCCTTCGAGATCCGGTCAGTAGACACAACCACCGTCGATCGGCACCGAAAATCTGAGACAATATTCTACAGGAACTGCTTCCGCTTCGAGAGAAGAATCTTCCGCATTCAGCTCCCAATTCGAAGGTGCGTAGAAGAAAGAGAGGACAATTCGACATGGGGCCAATGATCCTGGAGAAAAAGAAGTGTACTAGAACTTGGAACGACGGGGATTTGGCTCTATTGGATTGTCTAGAAGAGCCGAGATTGGGAGCAGCAGCTGACAGAATTTCGCAGAGATTGAGCGTGCCACCGACAACCTCGTTAAGAGCGGCAAGTGGATGGCTGGCGGAGCACCACAGTACAACAACCGCCGCGAGTCCATGCCGCCCATGATGATGGGCCGTGGATTCAACGCTGACTATGGTGAGTATCCTAAGTCTCTGTAAAATGAGCTAGTACTTACCATTGATTGTAGCTGGTTCCAAATCCAACTCGCCCGCCGATGGTCGCATGGGCGGTCCGGGACAGGCACGCCACCACTCGGTTAGTGAATACGACGGTATGCGATCCAACTCGGCAGCTGGTCTCCAGGGCTATTATGCGTCGCAGCGCTTCGCACCGCGTCAAAATGAGGCAGAGCAGATGATGCAGGCCAAGCGAAGGATGGCCGCGCAAAGAGAGAGGGAGCTCCGCAACTATCACCAGGAGCAGCAATACAACAGGAGTAAGAGCATCGCAGAACAGCCTTAGACAATTAGAATGGCAAGTTGATTCCCGCCTACAGACACTTCCGCCCAAGGTCCCAAGCCCGACCGCGCTCTGAGCCCTGCAGCTGCTACAACCATGAGTGAAGACGAACGCCGCGAACTCATTGCCCGTCAGCACCGTGCTCTTTACGGCAACGAATCCGCCCTGTACCCCACCTCGGACGCTGCTGCTGTTGCTGCCCGCCGTGCCTCGCAGGACGTCAGAGGCTCCATCTCAGGAGATGTCAGAGCATCCATCTCAGGAGCCTCCAGGGGTGGTGCTTCACCTCTTGCTTTTGACCCTTTCCACGGCGAGCCTGCTGTTCAGATGCCTCCTCGTGATGGTGTCATGCTTCCCAAGTCACCTAACAGTGCTTCATCCCCGCAGTCGAACCCTACCACTTTTGGTAGCCTTCTGGGCGAGACTCAGCAATCCAGCCGTACTTCGGTATCTTCTCCCAGCGGTTCGCCGCCTCTTGGCCAGGGCTCTAAGGGCGCCGCGGCTGCTCCCATTGGCACTCGCCCAGTGCCCAATGCTGCGCAAGCTACTGGTCTGAACAAGCGCTCAACCACTCCCCTTCCTTCGCCCCTCAGCTTCGGCTTTAGTGCCAACGAGCAAGCCAGAAACGAGCGTTCCACCTCCGCTGGTCCAAACGGCTCCGTAGCTGACAAAGGAGTCAATCTCGGTGCTTCATGGGGCTCTAACAGCGGAGTATGGGGCTCTGCTAAGAACAGCCTTGGAGTTCAAGCTCCTGTCTGGGGTTAAGCCACACCCACATTTCTACGCATCACTAATCCTCTCAAACTGTAAGAGGCATGCCGGAGTTTGTTTTATATTTTTTCTTTCCATCATCTCTCATACTGCATGGGTCATCGTTTTCAAGCACGGCAACAAACCATCGAGACTGGACAAGAAGGTGTCTTTTGTGGGTTCATGGGAAACAACATATACCCCGTTCGTGCATCGAGTTATGGGTTTGGGTCATTTGTATCGACACAAGATGGCGAGAAGGGAGATTGACTCTGTGCAGTGGACACCAGTAACTGCATAGGGTCCTTTTTTTTTCTGGCTATCTTTGGGTTGGTCTTTTTTTTTGTTATGTCAAAATGTCGTCGAATGATAGGCGGTGGTTGTCGGTACAGGGGCTACTACATGGTCTGACGGCTGGCGATGGGCTGTCTGGACATGTTTGATCTTTCGCTTTTGCTTGGGGTTGTTAGGTGGTCTGGTTACGGGTTATGGTTGGAGTCTTCATTCAGTACGATGGGGGTTGGAGGGGTGCGTGTATCATGGGTAATTTGTATGGCCGCATAAAACGGGAAGGGCAGGCGAGTCTTCTTTTCGGACTGTATTCAAAAAAGCATGTTTGGCTGGGTCATGGTACTGGTCACAATGTGATATGCTATGTTTGGTTGTGATTTGTGAACAGCAAGAGGTCTCCTGTTCCCCAGAAAGCTTGCGAGTCGAGAGGCCCAGACGGTAGCGACAAAGGGAAGGAGCACCCGCCAAGGCCTCAAATTGCATCCGTGCGCAACGCTGGCTGGGACGAACAGCTGGTGTCAACTGGAGCATAGAGGAGAGAGTTCATGAAGCTTTCGACAGCACAGTGACACCCTTCTCGCCCATCAATTGCTGTTCTGACTCGACCATCGCCGTCCTTTGTATTCGAATCTTGTAGCGATCCAGTTTTGATTTACATCTATCACCTGCTTCTCGTCACATCTCGACCATCATGGTACGCCTACCTGTCCCTATTCGTTCCTCCGCATGCCTGTGTCCCTTACAGGACATACTGCGCAAGCTTGTCGCTCTACCACGTTGCTTGAGAGCCGTTCCTGGATAGATGTGGTGAAGAGATGGTCTACTGGGAATGAGCGACAAGACTGTGGCAGCAACCTGCGACACTGTTCTCAAATCGTCACACGATTCTTCTACACGCACTTTTATCTGACCCAGCTGCGCTCGACAGTCTTCTCCTCGTCCTTCTTCCCCCGCCAACGCCGGTGCCTCAACTGGCTCCACCACTGCTCGCGCCGCTTCTCCTAGAGCCCCTGGCGGTCCCGCAACCGCTATCCGCAGAAAGGCAGCCGCTGACCGTGCCGACCGCGCTGCCAATGTCAGACCCAGTAGCACTCGCGCCGCCGGTGCTGGTGGCAGCAGCAGCACTATGCTGAGACTCTACACCGACGAGTCACCAGGTCTCAAGGTCGACCCCTTTGTCGTCCTCGTCCTCTCCGTCGGCTTCATCATCTCAGTCGTCGCACTACACAGTACATTTCTCCGTCTGTTGAAGCAAGAATGGTTCACTAACACATGACCCCTAGTCCTGGCCAAGATCACCAAGAAGTTCTCGTCGTAGACACATACCCCCTCATCAGTCTCGTGCTCGCGGTGCTGCTCTCGTCCTTTACTGTACTCTTCCACCTTTTCTTGTACCTCCCATATGGTCCGGCGTCGAGTTTTCTTGTTTGTGCTGGGATGGATAAAGACAAAAGTCGCTTTTATACCAGATTTCTTCGCCCCAGGTTGTCTTGTTCTTTTTCGATATCAATAAATACCAGATTCTGTGTCGTGGATGCTCTCGTTCTGAGTCCTTGGAGTCTTTCCTTTCCATCGTCTTGTGCGTGCTTGCGAGCATGAACTGCTAAGCGTGTGCATTGGAAGCCCTCGTAGTATAAGCACGCGTATAACAATCTTGTCACTGGCGGCGCGATTCTCGGCGCTTCGAATGGATGCCCCTGATTTTATCCACAGTTTATCCTAAGCCGGGCAGTAGCTTATCGCTGCATCATTGTGCCGGCAAGCGCGTGGGGACGTCTCAAAATGCGGGCCGGATTTTGGCTAAAAGAGGCTCCCCACTTTGTTTTCGGTTGCGTAGTGCCCCTCCAAGGGCATCCACTATTTGGACATTTTTGCCAGCCTGCCCGGGTAGAGTAAAAGCATGCTGTGTGCTGCGGGAGAATGCATCGTGTCGATTCTCGAAGATCGAACGGGCAGAAGAGGAGACGGGATTGGAGCATGGCAGTTGATCGTGGCACAAAAATGTAGGCAGGCGCCACCAAGGTGCATGCAATCTTTCTCGAAATTCCATTGCACTCTGTCTCTCTGTTTTCTCCACGAAGTGACAGTGACATCTGCTCCATCCTCGCCTCTCCCGCCTAAAGTCGAAGGTCCGCTTTGTCCACCACACTAAAAGCTATTCTGTACGCTGCCGCCGTTGGCTGCCACCCAAGAGACCATGATGAACGTGCTCAAGCCTTTTTCGCGGTAAGTCCATGCCATGTTTATTTAAGACGTGAAGCCTTCCCCTCCTCAGACGACTGATTCTACTCTTTCCCTTTTCACAGATCTGCTCCTTTGCTTGCCTCTAGAGCTACCCTCCGCTACTCGGCCATTGCAAGACCTGCTTTTACTTGCCACAAAAAGATCGAACCAGTCACTTTCCGTCACTACTCTTCCAAAATGCCTTCTGCTCCTACTGTTAAGCTCAACAGCGGCCACGAGGTAAGAACCTAGTATCTATTGAGACTAGAATATGCAAAATACTGATCTCCTGCACAGATGCCTCTCGTTGGTTTCGGTCTCTGGAAGGTCGACAACGACACTTGCGCCGACACTGTCTACAACGCCATCAAGGTTGGATACAGACTCTTCGACGGTGCCTGCGACTACGGCAACGAGAAGGAGGTCGGCCAGGGTGTCGCCCGTGCCATCAAGGACGGACTTGTCAAGCGTGAGGAGCTCTTCCTTGTTTCCAAGCTCTGGAACTCGTTCCACGACGCCGACAAGGTCAAGCCCATCGCCAAGAAGCAGCTCGCAGACTTGGGCATTGACTACTTTGACCTGTACATCATTCACTTCCCCGTCGCCTTGAAGTATGTTGATCCCAGCGTTCGTTACCCTCCCGGCTGGTCCGACGAGAACGACAAGATCTCCTTCTCCAAGACTCCCCTCTCCGAGACATACAAGGCCATGGAGGAATTGGTCGACGAGGGTCTCGCCAAGAGCATTGGTATCTCCAACTACAACGGTGCTCTCATGCTCGACCTCCTCCGCTACGCCAGAATCACTCCCGCCACTCTCCAGATTGAGCACCACCCTTACCTTACTCAGGAGGGTCTCGTCAAGCTTTGCCAGGAGAACAACATCCACGTCACTGCCTACTCATCCTTCGGTCCCGCTTCCTTTGTTGAGTTGAAGATGCAGAGAGCACACGACACCCCTCTTCTCTTCGACAACGAGGTCGTCAAGAAGATTGCCGACAAGCACAACAAGTCTGCTGGTCAGGTCTTATTGAGATGGGCCACTCAGCGTGGTGTCGCCGTCATCCCCAAGTCCAACAACAAGGACCGCCTTGCTCAGAACCTTGACGTCTGCAGCTTCGATCTTGCTGAGGACGAGATCAAGGCCATCAGCGCTCTCGACAGAGGTCTCCGCTTCAACGACCCCGTCAACTACGGTCTCAACATCCCCATCTTCGCCTAAGGAGTTTGGCCAGTGAAAGAGATAGGAATCCCACACTTGGAGAAGATTCATGTACCTTATATCCCTAGTGCACTACGAACTGAACGAATTTTAATTATCTTGCCCTCAACATACTGCCTTCTTCTCCTTTTTTACCTGTTTTTTTTTTTTTTCGAAGCAATCCTCCCAGAGATAAAATGTGATTGGCCTTATCATTTGAGCAGACGAAGTGAAACCAAATGTACCGCACTCTGGAGCCACAAGCTCATCTCTGTCGTCCTCGTGCCGCTCGTGCATAATGAGCATGCCAGTCGTCGTCGAGAGATCCCTGTCTGTCGAACCGCGTCTGGACAAACAAACCCCGCGATTGGTAAACAGCTCACCCCAGAAAAACAGACGTCATTGCTCATCTCGTGTATCCACCTTTATGTGTTCACACCCTTGATCTCCTCAAGGTACAAAAAAGCTGAGCTTCCTGCTCTTGAACCTCGATTTCCTTTCTCCATCTTAAATTCTTGAAGCGCCGAGAAAAGATATTACATCAAGCACAACCCTTTGGACCATCCACGACTATACCAAACTCAATATCCAAACTCTAAACCAACACTCTTATACAATGTCTGGCAACAACTCTTCCGAGCAGCCTAAGCAAGGTGGCGGTTTCTTTGGTGGCCTCAGTAATGCTGCTGGCGGTCTCGCTTCTGGTGTCGGAGGTGTAGCATCGGGTAAGTCTTTATATGTTCCCAGACTCTACGAAGACAACGGACTGATGAGTTTCCATAAGGCACCGTCAACACCGTTGGAGGTGTCGTTGGCAACGTCGGACGCGGTGTTGGAAAGACACTTTCTGATGCTTCATCCGGGCTCGAGAACACAGCCAAGGGTGCTGGTGGCAGCATCAACGATATGACTGGAGCACAGGATCAGTCACAGAAGAAGTAAACCCCCAAAGACGAATCTCGGGATCGGTTCAAGGCTGCTAGGCAGTAAAGCGAGTTATGGGGTGGTTACTCGAATATGACTTAATGACAATTTGTTTCCGTTCTTTCTACAACTGTAAGGACTCTGGCCTGTCCATGTCCAGTACAACATCTCTTCATGGGCATAGCTGCTGTCGTACAGGCATCGTGCAGTTGAACAGGCTCATTGCAACTAGTCGCCAATCTACGTAAGACATCATCAATGGTGTCTGCCTAGCTCATAGTGGTTGGTGTGACCCTGGACATGACCCGCAATCGTCCAAATTGTTGTCTTCCACCCTCCTGTGACTTCAACCCTCACTGTCCAACCTTTGACAGAGTTCAATACGATGACTACAACTCTGATTTTCGGTCCAACCGGTGCAGTTGGCTCACAGATTCTGGCCACGCTTCTCTACTCGCCTACTTGCACATCACTCACGACTATCTCCCGTCGCGCTCCACAAACCCAAACTCAATTTTCGAAATTGAAGACTATCATCGAGACTGACACTGCAAAATGGAGTCCCATAATTTCTACACTCTCTCCTACACCGTATGTGGTCTTCAATGCGGTTGGAACCACCTTGGCTAGCGCTGGTTCCATTGCTGCACAACGGGCCATCGACCACGACTTATGCATTGAGAATGCAAAAGCTGCCAAGGCAGCAGGCGTCAAGACATATGTGTATTGCTCAAGCGCAGGGATAAGTGGATCATTCAGTCCATTTGCCTTGACACCGTATGCAAAGATGAAAAGAGGCGTGGAGAGTGCCATCAAGGAACTGGACTTCGAGAATGCGATCATCTTGCGACCTGGTATGATTCTTGGAAGGGAAAGCCCGAAGAACAAATGGCTTGAGGATATCTTTGATGGATTCAAGAAAATCTCACAAGGTTTTCAGGATAAATGGGGTAGGATCAACTTCAATTTGTTTATCTGATGTGCTGGTGTGGTATAGGGAGACTAACATTATGATGCAGCTCAAGATCAGACGACTATTGGAAGAGCTGCCGTGGCTGCTGTGAAGGTGGTAGAAGAGGGCAACGCTCCAGAGAAATTCTGGGTACTTGAACAATCTGATATCGTAAGGCTAGGAAGAGACGAGTGGAAGGAATAAGGTCGACATAGTCTTCAAAAAGAGCTTATGGGCGATGGCCATCATCTGGAAAATACGACCTCGCTTCGGGCACTCAGGACGTTCTAGCTACAGAAGTTCAGTCGGGATGGAGTCAGGCTGATTCATTTGCTGCGGGCCTGCTGACAAAATCAGTCAGAGCTATTCCACGAATAAAGCCATTCATGTTGTACGCCCAAGGATACCTTACCACTTAGAAAATGCCTGGCTCACCGGTGTTGAATACACATCTCGGATCGGCTCCCAATCGGATTCATCTCTGTATATGAAACAATCAGATTGTAAGCTGCATATCTTGGACCTATTGATGCCTTTCGGCGGGCACAACCGCTCGCTGCACCTGCCAAAGAGAGAACAGGTGATATACAATGCGGGGCAGTCGCTGCAACATATAGGCATGCATATCTAGTCTTACATGACTTATAAAAGTCTCATCCCAACCTGTCTCGAGGATAGTGTCGATTCTTTTATTCCATCCATGATTGAAAATGCTATCGATATACACTGTCTCTTTCGTCGGTTTAGTCCTTGCAATCGGAGCACATCTGTTGTCAGGTCTAGGCTCTAGGCCAAAGAATTACCCACCAGGTCCGCGTACTGTGCCAATTCTTGGCAACTTACATCAGGTATGTGCTAACAAGTTCTGTACTGAAACACAAGCCTGACATCGAGCAAGATTCCTAGCAAGAACGAATACCTCCAGTTCACCAAATGGACCAGAGAGTATGGGCCTATCTACAGTATAATGGTCGGAAGTCGACCGATGATCGTCCTAGGTAGTGTAGAGGTTGTGAAAGACTTGTTGGATAAGCGTAGTGCCATCTACTCGGATCGTCCCGAAGCGTATGCAGCAAAACACATACCTACCAGCAAGCTCCGAATTGTGTTCATGGTAGGCTGCTTTCGCCACAGGCATCAATCTCTACTGACCTTTATCGGCAGCCCTACACTCCTTTGTGGCGCAAATTGCGCAAGGTGACCCACTCACTTCTCAGTATTAAGGCAGCAAAGAACTATGATCCCTATCAATTGATGGAACGCAAGCAAATGCTGAACGAGATACTTACAGCCCCCAATGACGTCTTTTCGAGCCTGCAACGATACACAACGTCCCTCACCGCCACACTATTGTATGGTTGGAGATCTTCCTCGACCACCGACCCCAGGATGCACAAGCTTGACAATGAGCTGGCTGCTATGCAGGCTGCTCTCGGCAGCACTGCTGCTGCTTTGCTTGACGCCTTTCCAATCCTAAGATTCTTGCCTGACGCTCTTCTTCCCGTCAAGGATAGGGTGCATCGCGCATTGCAGATGGGTCATGAAGTCCATATGGAGAATTGGCACGCTGTTAAAGAGAATATAAAAAATGGAACTCTTGGTCCTTGCATGAGTATTGGACTTGCCAGAGCACAAGAAAAGGATGGTATAACGGATGTCGAAGCTGCTTATACTGTGGGCAACATCTTCGAAGGCGGCATGGAAACCACAGCGGCCACCTTGTATGCCTTCATCCAAGCCATGTTGCTTTTTCCAGAGGTCCAATCGAAAGCACAGGAAGAGATCGATCGTGTCGTAGGGCCCAGCCGTCTGCCAATCATGGCCGATGCAGCCAACTTACCTTACATCAGACGATGTGTGAAAGAGCTTGTCCGATGGTTCCCAGTAGGACCTTTGGGCGCTGTACCTCACGCATGTATCCAAGACGATGAGTATATGGGATACAGGATTCCAAAGGGAGCTCCAGTCATTTTGAATGCGTGGGCCATCATGATGGATCCAGACCGATATACAGAACCACGTCGTTTCAATCCCGATCGCTTCACCGAAGACAGTGACAGTGTTTCTATGGCAGAAATGGCGGCTCATCCAGATTCAAGCAAGAGAGACACCGTAGGCTTCGGAGCCGGTCGGCGTATCTGTCCTGGTATGCACGTTGCTGACCGAAGTCTGTTTCTTGGTGTCACTGGAATCTTGTGGTCGTTTTCTATCACACCGAAGAAGGACGCTCAAGGTAAAGACATGTTACCTGACGCCGACAACTTGATTGTTGGCATTGCAGCTAGGCCGGCACCCTTCGAAGCAGCTATCGTGTGTCGCGATGAGAAAAGGGCGTGTATCATCAGAGAAGAATGGAAGGATGCTCAGAGATTGCTTGACCCGGAAACCAAGCAATGGAAGGAGACACCTGAGGGTGATTGGGACGCTTCCCTCAAAGTCTAATTCATGCAAACAGATGACAAGCATTACGGTAATAATCGAGTTGTGGAAGTTATGTTCGACATGCAACGGTCAACCAAGTCTGCTGTCGTCCGTGGGGGGGTCTCCTGTTTGTGGCTTGGCTTGGCGTCTTGGTATAACAGCGATCTCTATGTCATACTCCTTCCTTCTCACCAATCTTCCAACTTTATGGCCGTAAACTCTGCTACCCTTCACCGGTCTTGGAAATAACTGTAGAAAACTGTTCGTGAAGCTTGAGTATCCCGTGACCTACTGTTGGTCGAAGGATTCAGACTCTGATGTTTCCTTGACTGTCAGCGAATCCCTACACGGTGATGGTCGCTTAAGTATGTAAGAACTGAGTATGATACTGACAAGTGCGCAAGAGGCGCCCGTTAGCTTTGACTTCTGGGGCAGTGGCATGCCCGTCAAAGAGATATAATGCACCTGGCAAGCAACCCATAGATTCACGAATACCTTGCACACAACCTACCTTACCACTAACATCATACCGCGAAACATGATAAAAAATACCTTGTTGCTCATCTCAGGCACTGCCTTCGCATCTGCCGCCTATTCAGGTCCTGGGAATGCATTTGGAAGCACCAACGATACTGCCTTTGCAGATGCCAACCAGAATCCCAACATCACGAAATCGGTCCCATTCCAAATGGGTGACAGGAATTTTACACTTCGTGTCAACGTTGCAGAGTTTACTCCAGACGTCAGCACAAGCGTACAAAATCCACGGATTGCGGCCTCTTTCTACGATCTCGAATGGTCAGGCGGAGCCGATCTGAACGATACTGTCGCCGCCGCGGAGTCTCTCAGTGGAGCGCAAATGCCTCGTCTTTGTGCCTCGCTTCCTCTCGGCCTATTATCAGCATCAGACAACAACGGTTACAACGAGAAAGACGACGGGGATTGCACAGGAGCTCTTGGAAAAGATTGTGTGAATGATCTTATGCAAACGAGTTATGATATCAACAGCCCATGCATGGGCAACTTGCCTCAAAGTTGTACTTCGAAACTTGACACTGGAGGTATTGGCAGTGCTTGTGAGTCCTTACTTACTATATCCTTTATTTTTAGTCAAAGACTCACTTTAGTAATAGCATTACTCGGTTGGAGCTCATCTCAGAACTCATCCATTTCTGCTATGCAAATGTCTCCATTCGACTTCTTCCACTGGTCATCTCCAGTGTATTCTGCCGGGAATGATACTTATTACCAGAGGGAATCTGAGCGCCTCCATGTCGTTGTTTTCGCTGGAAAGAATACTTATCCTGTTTGTGTTCGTGTCAAGACCGATCACCTAAACAAGCAGAGTCCCGCAACCTCCGGAGCAGCAGGAAGCTTGACAGGAAGTCTGATGCCCGCGATGGTAATGGCTTTGAGCGCTGCAATTTGGTTGGGTTGAGTTAGTATTACAAGATCCAAATATGTATTTGTCTTGAATGAATAAAACACAACAAGCGTTGTCGTCCATTCTCTGTTTCTGAGCCCCTTACTTTTTCTGCTACCTCAATAAGGGTATTTGATGGCACCTGTGAATATATCCTTGTAGTTCGCACCCTCCCCCTTTGACTTCTTCTCAGCATTGCCGAGTACAGGCTCGATCCTGGCATCCCAATTCGGATCGAAGAAGAATGGAATGGATATGCGCATGTCTTGGGATACGTGCAGAACTTTGTGTTGTGTTGACTTGTAGATGCCGTCAGTCCAGACAGACAGCATATCACCGATGTTACATATGAGAGTGTTCTGCAAGAATCAGCAAGATATCATGGCCATAAGATGGAAAGGTAGTACTGGAATAGGATCGGTGGATATCCAATCTTTCCCGTTAGGAGCGAGAACCTTTAATGAGCCTCTGTGCTCATCAGTCAAAAGAAACGTCAAGATCCCAAAGTCGCTATGCTGGTACAGTCCACTTTTGGATTCGTCTGCTCCCTCAGAAACTCCAGGATATGCAGCTAAACGTAGCTGCCAAAATGATTCGTCAACTCTGCTGGAGAATACTTCTTCAGGCACATCCAAGGCCAGGGCAAAAGCTTTCATGATTGCGACACCAAGAGCTACGAGACGTGTAGTATACTCTTCAGCGATTGGACGCAGAAATGCCGGTGTTTTAGGCCACTGGTTCCGACCAAGGCCTTTCGTGTACGGTGGTCCTTCTGTTCCAAGTTCGCGAAGGAAGTCAACAGCCTGCAAGGATCATCAGATCAGGAGTCAAGTAGTACGTTCGTCTCAAGCCTACTTCATAATCTGCATCGGCTCTTTCCACCAGTCTGTAGCCTCTGCTGTCATCGCCAGACCCTTCACCGCTTGGTTTTACTTTGATTGCATCCTTTTCTTCTCTCGAAGCAGTAGTAAAGAATTGTCTGGCATTTGAGAGCATTGCCGTGAAAAGTGCCGGATCAATTCCATGACCAGAGAGGTAGAAGAACCCAACTTCGCGACATGCTTGATCGAGCTTCTTGGCTGTTTCGAGCTTTGCATCGCTGCTGCTGGATACGTCTAGGAACGCCGAGAAATCAATGATCGGAATATGCATGATACTGATGTCCAGATAATGATTTGGGTGGTGAAAACGACATTGGGTTAGATCTTTTCACAACCGCCAAGTTATGTATCATCCTGGCTGACCTCCTCTCAAAAGGAACCTGGCGGTGTCTACGATAGGCAGCTGCCAAGATACCGACCTGCTTAAGACGACACAATTAAATAGAGCGGCACAGCGTTGATTCTAGCCGGCGAATTGAAGATAGATCAGATCATTAGTGTCCCGAGAGTTATCAAAGTTTATTGCGACAGGCAAATACAAGGCGAAGAGAGCCGCATAGGTCGCGACGTTCTTGACGTGCCGGGCATCCGCAAAGAGGAATTTTATCCCCGTCGCTGATCCCGTGATGCACAGAAACAACCATATGGGCAGATCCTCAATACTCAATCGTTGTGATCTCTTTATCAAGATCATTACTGATTTGAAGATGTTTGCGTCGTCTGCAAGAGGTTGTAGAATTGCAAGGTGGTGATGTCGGAAGTTTCTCGGCGAGGGGCCGACCGCACCTCCCCTCGTCCCTCTCATCTTCAACATCTCCTCTGATGTTCCTCATATTTGCAACTGGTTGCTACTCGCTTAGGTTTAAGCTCTGTTCAGAGACTCGAATGATGCCGAGAACAATGAGCACTGCCTCTGCCTGATGTGATGATGTTGCGGGTCCGCGGCGAAATACCTCGCTCTTGGCTGTTTGTAGTAATGATGGTCTGAAGGATTCACGGCCGCACTGATTGCTGGTAAGGCCGGGCTTACCGTACTAGCACTATAAAAATGACCGAGTCAAATACCCTCTGTAGTCTTCTGCTATACAAGACTCTCCTGCAGTTCCTGCCGTCTCTCAAACTTCGACAAAAATATACCACACGACCGCTAGCATACCGCCAACACCAGCCTACCATCACCAGGATCTATTCAAAGGAAGCAAACATGGATACACTCATATCAGCTGTCCATGCAAGTGCAATGATTGCCTTAATCATCATTGCCATTGTCACTCTCGTCGCCACAACCTGGATCATCGGCGTCAAGCTCGCCGAGCCCTTCGGCATCATGTTATTCAACACTCTAAACGGCGTCGGAACTGCACTCGACGACACAGAAGCGTCAAAAGCGGAAGAAAAATCAAGCAAACAGTCTCAGCAGGAAACTCGCAAGAAGCTCGAAAAAATATTTTCGGGCGTCATCGCAATGTCCTTGTGCTTTTGCTGCATCACTTTTGAGCAAGAATCGGCGAGACATGACTTTCGACCTGCCGGCTTGTGGTGGAATCTCTGTGTTCCGACACTGAAGGGAATATTTGAGGCTCTTGTTGCGTTGGGCATGCTCAGATTAGTTCTTACTGCTGTTCGTAAAGTGGTTGCGAACTGAATCCCTTTCCGGATCGGAAAGAATGGTACATCCGCGACACAATGACTCGCCGCCGACAATTCCCTTCACTGGCCGGATTGGCACTTGAGCCCTGACCCTGTCAAATTTAATCAGAAGCTCATGAATAACAGATGATGTTCAGGCATATATATGATCGCCGAATGCTTTCTTGAAGCTGAAGTTGATATATTAAGTAGCAAGCTGACGAAGTGTCAATTCAGAGAGCTACGAACATTTACACCATGCTATCATGGTGCCACTGGAACAGAAAAGATTGAAAGAGAAGAGCTAGAGATGCGAGCTTTCACGGCGAGGGAAAAAGCGATATCGCCAGTCGTAGCAAGAGAACAGAAACCCTGTTGTTGACATCCTCCATCATGGGCGCCACATAGTGGACTCTGAGAATTCACGCGTGGCATCCGTGTTGTCTTTGACGTCGGCGACGTCCTTTACCCATTCTTCCACTCTGGTGGTGGTTGCATTAGCCTCTGTGCGAGACCTTTTTGCTGGGCGAGTATCGACGATGTCGGATGAGAAGCCATTGGAGCCGCTAGCCTGATGTGTGTTTGTAGCGGGTATGGTTGTGGTAGGCATAGCTGGTCTGTGATGAACCGATGGACGAGGCTGACGCTACTAGTCGTCAGTAACATGTTTCTAGATAGGAATCTGATCAAGGTCACACACCGTTTGAGACGTGCCTTGACCTGGGGAGTAGCCCGCATGACGTGCGTTAGGAACACGGTTGATTGGCAATGGAGCTCTAGGCGGTGCCATTGACTGAGAAACCCACTGTTGATCGGTTAGTATAATAGCTCTTGACCAGGAGATGTAATCAACTGACTGCAGGAGACATGGCTTGCGCCATAGGGTAACCTAGCATGCTAGGACCAATTACCGTGTGACTAGAGTAGTACATTGGCATCGGTCGGTGAGTCGGCCAATGCACAGTGGTGGAGACGATAGGGCCTTGAAGAGGAATCGCTGATGACTGCAGCATGGACACCGCCATGTGTTGCATTGGCCCCGGTGAGAGAGTAGAGGTCATAACGGACGAAGTTGTGTTGCCGCTAGGAGGATGAGTGGCGTGCCAGTCACGTTTCTTTCTCTTCGATCTCGTTTCGCGTGGAGGAATGAGGTATGCTCTGGGACGGCGGCGAACTTGAGGAGGCAGCATGTCTGGCATTGCGAGTAATTCTTCCTTGGAGGCACCAGTCCAGTCGGGCTTGATCTCGTCCGCGGGCATCGAACTCGGAATCTTGCCATCAGATTTTGGCTCCTCTCTGTGCTTGAATGGTGGAAGGCTGTACTCGGGCTCACGATTAGCGCCGTTGAGCATCATAGGATACAACATGTCATTCTGGGTCGTGTTCTGAGCAAGGATACATTTGCATCCAGATCCACCAAAATGGCGACACTCGGAGCACGGATCCTTAGGATCATTGTGATTACGATTCTTCTTGTCGCACTGCACCGTGTCAGCACATATAGTGAGTGGAAAGCATCACCGACTTACTGGATATCCGGCTTGGAAGCAGCGCACGCATCCTTGACCGACCTCGTTGCACACTTGGTAGTCGATTTCCTTGGGCACCATTGGGTCCAGATTGGCTGGATGTAAGTAATCACACTGCGAACCTCTGAAACATCGGCCGCGGTGATAGTAGCCGCAAAGAGGAATAGGGTCTGCCATGGCTTCGCTTTGTGTAGCACTATCGTATGAGCTGTGTTGTGGGAGCTGGTGAGTTCCGTGGTGGCGAGTGTTGTGCGAGCTCTGAGTGACGACTTGGATCGAAACAAAACAAAATGAGTTCAGCTTTCAGTGTTCCGTCTTCACTTGGATGTAGTAGGCAAATGAGTGTGTCTGCCTTGGCGGCGCCAGAGTTGCACCTGCCTCTTGTGCGTTTGCTTTGTTTTACTTGTCTCGACAGGCAAACGAAAGCTCATAAAAGCAACTCCGTCTCACCGTCAGGACACAACTGAGTCTATGTTCTGGGAGATGTGCTACCTCTCCCAACATTTTGGTCCCATTCTACGTGCTTTCTTGGTGAGTGGTCCAGGATGGTGGTGTGAAGCTTGAAAATTATAGAAATTGTATTCTCACTCCACATGAACAATCTCGAGGCGGTCAACATGATTGAAAGCGAATCTTGCTTAAGAAAATTGACCATGGATGTACCTTCGTAACAGTCTTGGATTGACGGCTATGTCTGTGTACACAGCAAGGTGGTGTGACTCAATTTCGTCTGAAATACGCAATAGACTCATATCGTCTCAACGACCCAAGCTCTGCCGACTGTACTGTCTACAAAGCGTTCAAACATTCGAACAATTCTTCTCTTCTATCCTCCTCCACGACTTGACACATCTATCGAGAAAACAAGCTCAACACTCACACGCTCCTGTTCTGTCGCATCTACCTCCTCTCTCCAAAGAATCTGTCATGGACTTCATGAATGTCATTGAATCAATTTTCTGGAATGGTACCACCATGGCTTGCACAGTAGCAGTAATTGCGACTGGCGGCTCAGCCACCGTAATCATGGGTAGCAAGCTCATAAAATACTTGAATGATCCCGTTGAAGATGAACAAAAGGAGCTCGCAGACGATATGGTAGTTGCCATAGGCGTTATAGTACTGGCGGTGGTATTCTTCAGGGTTATTTTCACTCTGGCTTGGCTAGAAAGCGATGTTACGGTGTGGATCTTCAACGGGGTCGTTGCGAGGAGTTGTGCAGAGGTTTGTGTGACTTTGGGGTTGCTTAAGCTTGCAGCGGCTGCGCTGCACACACTTCGACGATGAGCTCAGTGTCGTTCGTATACCCAAGTCCCTGGATCGGACTGTCAACGTTTCAGGTATGACCTCTATTTCCAATTCCAATTTGTCAAGAAGTTCTTACTAAGGAATGACAGCAGACAACATCTCGGAGGGTCGTGCTTGCTTATGAATCTCGTCGAAGAAACAAAATTAAGTTATTACAGACATACTACAAGAGACAACAATCCTACTCCTCCAATCAAAGTTCCAACTTCATCCACACCGCCTCAGAAGGAATACCCTTCTCAATAACCCAAAGCATATAAACACCTGGCGGCATGATTGTGGGGTTGAACGGAGAAATAACATCAATCATGTCATCTCCATCAGGGCTCAAAACAGCTTCCAGTTGTACCATTCTCGCTCCCATGTCAACACCATGAGTATGGAAACCAGAGTAAGAAAGTCGAACGACAACATCCTCTCGCGCTCCCTGAGCTGCAATCTGAAACTTCTCGTTATACTTGACAGAAATGGGATAGGCAGTGATGAAAGGACGGCTAGCAGCATGGTCCATGTAAGGCGGTGAATAGATCTCGACGCGGTATTCGGTAGGATATGCTGAGTGAGGCGACTGTTGTTGATGAAGGTATGATGTATGCCCGTTGCTGCCGAACAGAGGATACTTCTTGTTTGCTTGCATAACTTTTCCGACAGGGTTGTAGAAGACATCAGGGTTGCTGCCAGCCACCAGGACCTCGCCTGTTGGAAGGAGAATGGCGACAGAATGGTACATTCTGGGAATCTCAGATGTGGCAGATTTGGTGAAGCGCTGCCCTTTGGGCTTGTATGGGTCGTAGATCAATGCTTGCATTGCAGGATCTTCGGCTTGGTAGCCTCCAGCGCATCCTTTGTGCGCACCGTTCATCATGACAACCGTGCCGTCAGGGAGTTGTATAGGTTCAATCATTGTCTGGCCACCATTCGGCAATGCGTCATCCTCTTCCCATACAGGGTTCTCGTCATTTGGTCTGATTCTGTAGCAGTCGGGTAAAGCCTTGGGATTGGGGATGTCTCCCGAGCTGCCACCACACACCAAAATAGTGGGCTGGTAGGCACCAATGCCCAGGGGCAACAACACAGCAGCAGCAGATCCGGGGAAAGTCCTCGGGCCTCCAGGAATATCTGGCAGATCCTTGTGTACTTCGTCGGTGCCATAGTTATACACGTTAGCCCGATTTCCAGCAAGCGTGAAGATGTGGTCGGCACCCTCGGCATTCGGAATAAGTTGGACTGGAATAAAGTCAGCAGAGCTTCATCTGTACAAGATATCTTACACATACGGATAGGATAGAGATTGAAAGACATATCAGCGTTCTGGTTATCCTCAGCGCCAAACTCCAGGATGGTCAAGTTTCTCTGAGGAGGTGCTTTACTGCCATCGGCCTTGATGAGCTCATAGGTGGGATTATTGATTGAAGCTTCGTTAGTGACAAGAAGACCAACATCTGAGCCGCCAACGACAAGGACATCTCCGTTTGTCATAGTAATGGAGGTTGGGTACCATCTTCGAGACTGCAGCTCATTGACATTGACCTCGAAATCCATAGTACATCCATCAATCTTGCATGGTCCTGGTGCATACCTTCGCACAGTCTGACGGCCGTCCTGGAGATGCTTGGTGTTGGCATCACCGGAGTAGAGTTCCGCACCTGCGACATTGACCATGGTACCATCTGGCATGAAAGCGCCTGCAGCACAGAACGTGTTTGATTTTGGTGTCAACTTGCGGAGGTTGTTAGTACGCCACTCGTACTCAACACCGAAGACGAACAGTCCCGAATCATCGTCCTGCATGAATGGGTGTGAAGAATGAGCGCCAGTCTGGAAATTCACTCCTGGGCCACCAAAGTTGCGATGATAACTATGCCTCGTTAGCATGTTCCATTTTATTGACACGACTGATGACGTACTTGTCTAGGAACACTACTGTGTCAGTGTAGGGAGGCACAAAGACCATCTGCGCTGCGCAACCCGATGAGCCGACAGTACGATAGCTTGCTGCATGAGTCAAAGCACTGGAGAGACCCAGGAGAGCCCAAACCTGTCTTGTGAGAGTCATGATGAAAGAGTCTGCAAGAAGTTGGTCGATACATTCCAGGGCCAGAGCCCCTTATGTATGCAATGTAGAAGTCGAAAAATGTACTGCCATGGCAGGCTATCCACAATACAAGCATTCGTGCATCTGCGGCGATACTACTGCGCTGCTAAAAATGACTGCACGTAGCTTGTTTCGACACATGTTGAGTGTGCATCTGTCCGCAGCCAGCTCGAAAGGTCAGACGCTCAGCAAGACCGATAGTATGCGGCTGCTCAGTGTCGCGACTAGATGGATCAAGCGGTGCTTTGCCCTTTCGAGTCAGAAAAATAGCGTGACATTTCGATGTCGGAAGCCTCAATTGCTTGGAGTCAAATAAAAAAAAATGTCTTGTCAGGACTGTTCAATGGTGCAAGCGATATTGATGTTTGAGGTTGATTTTCTGTAAGTGCCGGTGACGGCACTTCTCTCGGAGATCTTTCCAAAAATAGAAGTTGCTTGCTGTGAACAGGTAAACTGCGTAGAGCGAGCTGCAACATGAAACAGAATTAGTGCCTCTGAGTCCTATTCGAGTAGAGCTGCTTTGATAATATAGACTTCCACAAATTCGACTGTCACAGCATACAAAGTTTCCGAGGCCAGTGGAAGATATTCACAAAACAAGTGCTGTACAGTACAAGAGCTCTCTTTGAATGGATCTCTGGTATCTGTAGATACTGTTTGCATCGATAGTGCAGTCGGACGGCGAAGTCTTGGTCTTTTCTCAATGTGCTGGATTCGGTTGACTCGATGTAGTCACGCGGCTCAATTATCCTGTAACACCACTCAACTGATAGATAACCCAGTCTCATCTGCAGCAAACTGCTGCCAATACTCCCAGAATTCTTGATCGTCCGGAATAGCTATCTTACTCCAGTTTGGGTCCAGGCTATCTAGATCAAAGTTGAATTCGTTTCCATCGAAGGTGTTCGTCTCAGCTACGTCCCCTGTAGAAGTGTTTAAAGCAGCTGTATGCGTCACTTCTCCAGAAGTGTTAGTGGTTGCTGATCTCGACCGGAGAATTCGTATGAACTGAGGTACAGCCTGCTCAGCATTTTGACCACAAGTTTTCTCCCAAGCCTTGAGGGACAGATTTCTAACTGCACTATAGATGGCATTACTTTCGTCGTATAGGAGACGTGGTTGGCTGTCGAATGCCTTCTCTATCTCTGCCCATACAGTCCCCAGTGGCACCGGCAAAGGTTGTTCGATGGTTCGATAGGCAATTTCTCCCAGCAAGAACATGAATGCGTCGATGGCGAAGAAAGCGTTGGCTTGCCAAAGATATTTTTGTAACGCCTTGTCTCTTGTAAAGCTGTTCGGTGCTTCGACCAGATGCAGACAAAGCAAGAAAGTACTGTCTCTTTGGTCCAGAGACAGGCCAGAGCTGGCAAACATCTGGTGTCGTTGTACAGTTAGTTTGATACGTGCAAGAGCGCCTCTGCAAAATAACCGCAGCAATTTGTGCCATGGAATCGAAGGGTCGCAATGCTTCAAAAGCCTGTTCTCGAGACGCTGCTGTAACTCTTCGATGGCGACATCTACATCACGGGGATCTTGCAGGGTCCTGTCAGGAGAGGTGTATCTAATCGTTAGTTCTCCAACTTCGAATCGAGCGCTGCAAAAGCTCGTTTCTGTAATACCAGGAACGCCATGAGGGACATCCTGCGTCTCTGGGTGAAGAGCTGAGTCGTTGATATTCAGAGGTCGATTAGTATCCCAGAGAGACCGGAATGAGATGATAGACATGACGCCACACTGTTTAGCAGCAAAGCTTTCGAGAAGCGTCAACTCCCACCATAAGCGTCGACGCAATTCGGCTTGGAAGACAGACACGGATGGACTTGTAAGTGCTTTTTCTCGATGAAATCCTAGCTGCTGAGCGCTCCGGATTGCTACTCCAGTCAATTGCCACATTGTTTGAGGGTCAAGTCGAGCTCGCTGCGCAACGAGAAAGAGTGCCAAAGCCTGAAGTGTGAGGAAGTTGGGGGTCTGCAGAAAGCGTGCGTTGATTAGGGCCTGTTGCGCCAGTCCAGTGTACAACTGGATTGATTCACCGATTGGTTGACCCATAATCCTTTCAGCTTCGGCGTAATCACATTGGGGTACAGAGCAGATGGCAGCTAAATAAATCGAGAATAGAAGCGCTTCCTTTGTTTTCGGTCTAGTTGGATCTGAAGCCATGTTCAAGATCAAAGGCTGCACGGTTGGAATGTGCAGAATTCTTACGAGAATGTTCACATTCTCGAGATAAGTTGACCAAAGCCAGATGATGCGACTTGGGTCGGGATGTTTATCAGAGAGGTTGACAACAGATTGCCCAAAGATAAGCCCCTCGCCGAGAATCGAAGCGGGACTCGTGTCGGAGGGGGAATCGATGTCTAGATCTGGTTCATCCTGGCCAGAGAAAGCTGAGAGCTGTATGAAATGTAAGTCGGGCCTTGGTCAAACGATGAGTACGAGGAAAACGATACTTCTTTGCCTACACCGACCCACATTACGCTACGGGAGGTATCAGTCTAGGAGTTAGTAAGGAAGACGAGAAGAGAAGGACTTTTCGACGTAGCGCGAGTGGCCTCGTTCATTTACAAGCTCACAAAGACTGGATTCGACGACTTTGGAGCTGTCAGGAGTAGTGCTTCGGATAGTGCTAGGCTGGCGAGCTCTTCTCGTACGCTTAGCGCGGGCAGGTTGAACAGGCTTCGAAAGACACTGTGTGGCAGACCTTCGACATGTTGAACACGGTCTTTGGCCATCACAACGCACTTTTCGATTAGCACAGGCGACGCAGCTGTGGCCACGAGTGATGGTGGTTTTTGGACGTGAAGAAGCGAGTCCCGAAGCAGCTGCAGCATGCTGAGACGGAACCGCGAGCGGCGTTTGTGTGCCGGACAAGGGCGACATAAATGCTTCAACTATCAAAAAGTCACGACGAAAACGAAGCAAGGTTCTAAAGCATTATGGTGATGGAGGAAGGAAATCAGTCGTGGACGGAGGAGGGCATTCAAGATGGCTCGGGGCCGAAAGTCTTGGGAAGTCGGTCCCGACGGCTGCACTTTCACGTTCTTGTTGCAACCAACTCGTCATCCAACACCAACAACATGATTCAGCCTCCATCTAACCGATGAGATTTGGCTCGCTGCCACCAAACAGATCCTCAAACAGCGCCAGATCAATGCCTTGCATGTCCCACTCACCGTCAGCGACTTCTCCATCGACAGTCACGCCGTAAACATCTACATCGAGCAGGTCAGCCTCTTGGGACACCATGACCGCAGACCCCTCGACACCAAAGTCAATCTTGCCAAACGCTGGAATATGAAGGCGCAATTCTCCTTCACCCCTCGCTTCGCTGTGATACGCCGCCTGCCCATCGTCGTCCTCGCTCGCCCAAACACGGTACCGTACTCCGCTCGCCGCCCTTCCTTCTATCCTCAAGAGCTGCGAAAGCACAAACACTATCTGCCGTGTAATACTATCATCGTCGCCCTGAGACGTGCCTCGAACAACCTCCAGCGTTCGCTCCAAAAGCCCTCGGTCGCTCGGACGTGAGTGAACGAGAAGCCCGAACGCCTTGTCGACATCGCCTGTCCGTCTCAATCTTGAACATTCGATATGCCCGAGGCTCAATACCGTCGCTGCCGCGAAACAGATAAAGTCGGTGCCACGGCAATAGAAAGCCGCCGCATTCCTGTCGCGGAACGCAACGTAACGAATCAGCGTCTCGCGGCTAGCGTTCAACGCTGTCATTTTGCTGTAGTCGTACGTTCTCTCGCATGTCCTCTGCATCAGATGTGGTAGATGCACTCTGATCAACAAGTGGAAATGCGCGAACTGGTCGTTGAGACGATTTATATCCCGAAAGATCTCGTTGCCAGTCCTATTGCTTGTAGACAAATCAGGTACCAACCACCACTGAGGCGATATGTTGGCCGCTGCCCTCTCCAAGAGCGAATCCAACTCTTGGATCTCCAAGAGGCTGGGAGGAGTCGACCGCTTCAGAATACGGTCAGCTACAATGAGGTGGCTGTACTGCAGATGCTCGCATGTCCCTAGTCCTTCAGGTTTGGGTGGTGGTGCTTCGAGGCTGCTCCTTGGTAAACCCAAGATGAGTCCGAGGTAACACTCCATCCGAACTATTTGCAAGCAAGTCTGTTCACTGTCGAACAGTGGTCGTTTCATGGTCTCGAGGAACTTCAAGTTTGGTGAGCTGTTGCCGCGATGCAGTCCCAGCACTTGCGCAATCGTGGTTGCTCTTCGCACTGCCATCCAGGCTTGATGAAGATTTCCAACATAGTTCTGATACGTGGCCTCTAGCATGATGCACTCGATTCCTTCAACAGAACTGACTAGATCTTCGTTCTTCGTGACCTTGATGGCAGCATCCATGACACGAAACATGATATTATGGTACCACGGTTCGTGTTTTTGTGATGCTTGGTCACTGGGAAGAACAACGCCTTGTAAGTAATTGCCTAGCAACAATAGCTTTCGTGCGATGAGCACAGGGTGCGAGCCGATCGGTGGGAGTTGTAACATGTCTCTCGTTGAAGGTAGGCTTTGACTGGCTGGATTATTGTAAAAATTACAAACCTCGCTATGGTATTGCACTGATAGACCGATTGGCAAGGCTAGAATCTGATCGAGTTCGTGTTGGGTGGGCCACGTCGATCTGAGGAGGTGGCTCAGGTCTCTATCCTGAAGGTCGAGACTCGAATTAGGTGTGCTGTAAGTGGACGCACTACGAAGATTGGTCCCAGGCTTCTTGGTCAGATATATACTCGACAAGTTCGATGGGTGGATGGCCATACGTACCCACGCGCCTTCCTCTGCTGAGCTCGGAGTAATGGGTATCGAAACATCTGGTAGTTCCTGGCTTATACAAGCAGTGCCGCGACGTCTGCAATTGTGGCAGATATCTTCGGTCGAAACACATCGGACCTTGCGTCGTTTACACTCCCAACAGCTCTGCGTACCCTTGCGAACTTTTCTGCGCTTCGGTACATGATTCGACTCATCATCTGGAGACATGATTGTCACAGAATACATAAAAGAGATAACTTTCGATTGAGATGTTTTGTTCGGGCGAAGGATGAGGTCTCGGTCGAGACAGCGGGGTTGATAAGCAGGATCGCAGCTGCTTCCGCCGAGCTCGGTGGAACACACGCTGTGTATCACCACAAATCCGACATTCTCACAGAAACTGACCAGCATCCATTGTTCGCATAAACATGTTTACTGGTCAATGCCATCAAATCGCTCGTGAATCATGCCTTGCTCGGCTGGAGCTTCGACCGAAGTGGGAAGGGTATATGAGAGGACTCGATGTCCGCTGGATGGGAGAGCATTCCAGAACAGCACAACTTCGACAAGAACTTAGACTCAAAGCAACAGACTATCGACAAGATGGTCAAAATAGCAGTTGCAGGTGGCTCTAGCAGTAAGTCATGGGTCACTATGGGTTATATCTTTGTTCCCTTGCTGATAGCAATACAGATGTCGCTGCGGAGATGATTGATGTCCTTGTTGCAACTGGAAAACATGAGATTTTACTGCTGTCCCGGAAGGTATGAGAACAAATGCCCTTCTACCCATTCCCATTCGGCTTGACTAAATTCCATCAAGGAGGCTTCCACCGACGTTGCAATTCAGGGCACGACTTGGATCCAGGTAGATTACCGAAGCCAGGCGCAATTGATGCACGCACTCAAGGGAGTACACACTTTGCTCTCGTTCGTCACCGAACAAGAAGATCCCGACAGCCCGCTTCAAAAGAACCTTATCAAGGCTGCTATCGAGGTTGGTGTGAAGCGTTTTGCACCCAACGAATGGGCAACGTGAGTCTTACAGTGGTGGCAATGATCAAATCTCTCACAAACTGCAGTTCTGGGATTGTCAGCTGGTACTCGTACAAGAGCGAGACTCGTCGTTACCTTCAGGAACTGAACAAGGAGCATCAGGTATGTTCAAATATTCCAAGTTTGAAATGACTTGAAACTAACGTCGTATTCCTAGGTTATAGAGTATACACTCTTCCAGTGTGGTCTCTTCCTGAACTACTTGACAAGCCCTTACAAATCCGCAAAACATCTTCGGCAAATGCAGACGCCCTTTGACTATCATCAAGGTCGATGCATCATTGCTGAGGGTGGCAATGACAGCCGTATCACCTTCACAACTGTTCAGGATCTCGCCCAAGTTGTTGCCAGGGCTATAGACTACGAGCATCCATGGCCAGTCGTCAGCGGCATCTCCGGAGTCGAGATGTCTCTGAAACAGATGATTGAGCTGGGAGAGAAGATAAGAGGTAAGCTTTCATTACATCTTGCTAGTGGAGTCTAACAGAGACTGATGCTCAAACCTCCAGGCAAACCATTCAAAATCGAAGAAATGCCCATCGATGAGCTGAAAGACGGAACATGGAGAAGCTCATGGTCGCCAAAGATCGACCATCCAGCTATGCCGCCTCAAGAGAATGACGAGATTTCGAGATTTATGGTGGCTGAAATTCTTCGAGGCATCTCGGCTGGAGACTTTTTATGCTCTGACGAGTGGAACAAATTGCTGCCGGACTTCGAATTCACTCAGGCGGAGGAGTTCTTAAACAGTGCCTGGGATGGTAAACCATAGGGCAAGCTTGGTTTGGGAATTTCGAATCTATTCAATGCATTTTGACACAGATATTTATGTTTGGTATTCAAGTCGCTCTCTTCTTAGTTTATTCCTTGTTTATCCATCTATTTCTTTTTTTTTTTTTTTTCAAGAACAAGCCGACCATGGCAGAGCCAAGCTGACTATTGAAAGGCCAAGCCGACCATTGCAAAGCTGAGCTGACCATTCCAATCATTCAGCTGACCATCGAAAAAGCTCGGTTGACCATTCCAAAAGTTCAGTTGACCATTCCAAAAACTCACTTGACCATGGCGAAGCCAGCCCGACCATTCCAATCGCATAGTCGGCTTGACCATCGCAATGGTCAACCCAGCTTTCGAAATGGTCATCTGCTTGGATTCTTCGTTGTTGCTTTGTTTTCTGTCGCTTAGAATGTTTAGAGTCGCACTAATCATGTTTGTATAGCAGTGATCAAGTCTGTATCCTTGAGATTACTTTTTGCATTGGTTTTTCGGAATGGCAATGGTCAAGTGAGTTTTCGGAATGGTCAAGTGAGTTTTTGGAACAGTCAACTGAACTTTTGGAATGGTCAGCTCAACTTTTTCAATGGTCGGCTCGGCTTTTTTCTATGGTCAGCTCAACTATCGAAAGGGGTCGTGCTTTCATCAATAATCAACTCCTTCCTATCTGGATCTCGTTAGCCTCATCGCATCCTTCGCATATTTCGCATACATGACTCTATACTTGTATTGTCTTGAGTAATCGTAACTAAGCAAACTATAGAGGAAGAAGCCTTGTGGCGGAAGGAAGAGGCTGTTAGCGCCGTCGCAGCTGATGCCGAGCAAATGAAATTATGAGGAGAAAAAAAAACTGAGAACGAGAAAAGAACAGCTGAAGATGAGAAGGTGGCGCATGGCGAGGCAAGAACAACTCTTGTGCAGAGAGTCGCGTTCCGATGTCCCATGTGTCAACAGGATACAGAAAGTGCGGCAAAGGAGTATCGCATCACCGAGACACAATGTGCGGCAAAGGAATATCTCAGAGTAGGGAAGAAAGTCATGCTGAACAAGAGCCAAGTGAAATTTGTTTGATTTGATTCTTTTCATTTATGACCTTTTCGTCAAAGGCATATCTCTCGTACTAACTACAACTACCGACGATCATCATCGTCGTTCTAAACTATCCAAGAAGAGTATTCTGACCTCATCTAATATCTCTAGAAACAAAGGAAAATGTCTTAATAACGACAGGGTAAAAGCCATTCATCCCATTCCATCCCATCCCATCCCATCCGGAACACCGCGCTTGATCATCATGATATAACACCAACGCTTCGCTCCCAAACAGGCTTTCAACAGACAAAAACGAAGGGGGGTATAACGGAAAAAATAAAAACAAAAAAGACAGAAGAGCAATTAAAAAACAGGAAGAGTAAAGAAGGAGGAGGCAGCCAAATCAAACAATGGAGAAGGACGCTTGTCTCATAATGTAGTCGTACTCCTCAATTGTTTGTTCGACATTGAGAGTTCTGACCGAGGCAAACTCCTCAATGGTCTGCTCGACGTCCAAGGTCTTAACGATGGCGCCGGCAGGCTTGAGAATGTCAAAGACAGAAGATTGGGCAAAGCTACCCAACTCAAGGCTGGGCAGGCGAGCGGGCTCCTCTGGAACATTGCTAGAGATGGTGGTGAGAATTGGAAACTCGGCTGCTGGCTGACGTTTGAACTCAGTCAGGAAAAGAGAGGTGTCTGAGAATGGTTGTTGTTGAAAGCTGGGACGGCAGTAAGGAGATTGAGGAGGCTCGATGATTTCGGGAGTGTTGGAACGAGAGGCGAGCTTGGTCTTGACGAAGATTGCACGACCGTTCATGACAGAGAAGGAAGGCAAGCAAGCACAAGCGATTGCAAGGTTGGTTTCGATGATGAGGAAGATGGTGGGAGCGAAAGATGAGTAGAGAGGGTCGGATGAGGCCAGGTAAGGAGTATCAATCTGGTAGAGGACGCGGATGAAAGTGATGACAATCTTGCAGCCACCGAGGAGGTAGACAGCAGCCAAGCCTGCCTTCTTGCCTTTGGTCAACTGCAGCTTGCGAAGCACCTGGAAAGGTGCCATCAAGCAGAGGAAGTCGGTGGCCAAGTTGAAGATAGTGTCACAGATGGCAATGGCTGTCCTTGAAGTCCAGTCAGAAGTGATACATCTTCCAGCGACATCACTGTCCCAAAAGTATGAGACCGGTGTGCATTGGAAGATTGAAACGGCAGAGAATGTGATGACCCATACAAAGATGAGGCAAAGAGAGAAATAAACTGTCCAGCGTAGAGTGTTGTTTGAGCTGGCGAACATGCGGTTGTAAAAGAGTAGTAATGAAGCCTTGATAGAGGCCAGTGCCCACAAGTGAATCAAGTTGTTGGTAAAGAGGATCTATCATACAAGGTTAGGTTGTGTTGTGGTAGATGTTGCATCATGTACTGACCTTGAAGACGCCTTGAAGTTGTGATGAGGATACTTGATCCTCATATGCACCAAGACCTAATTGTGCTCCTGTTCATTGTTATAATCATAACTCAAGCTTTGGAAGTGTCTCAGTACATACCATGGATGAAGAGGGCATTCATCACAAGTGACATGCAGCCACCCAACCATAACAGACTATCATCCCACCAAATGAAAGTCCTTGCAACACGCCTTGAGACAATGTGAACGATGACGAGGATGCTTGACAGTCCGATGGCAGCGCCCGCGATGCCTTGGACCGTCGATCGAGATGAAGAGATGAGTGTGGTATCCATCATGATCTGACGGATTGTGAAAGAGAACGATGACGGTGAAGAAGGGTTCACGAAAATAGTTCCCAAGGGTTCCGTTATGATTATTATCGTCTCGCAGGGTACCAGATAACACAACGTTGGAGTAAAGGAGGGTGAGTTGGAACGAACGTGAAGGAATAGATGTCTGAACGGTGGAAAGGGGGAGGGGGGAGGAACGTTGTTATACTCGCAAGCTAGGAACCCACATATCACATCTACGTTCAACGTCCGAAGGAAGCATGAACTTGGATAATATGTATATGCACGCAACGACCACCTTTCCACCACCATGACGCTGATGACTGCAATATTAGTTTCAAATCATTCTTGCAGACCCAGGTACCTGGAAGGCACACAAGTGCAATGCCAGATAAATTAACAGAGGCACATTGCGCAAAGATGCCTTTGCTGCTTCCAATTCGAGGCCAGCAACACATCCAGGAAGAGATGCAAGCTGCACGGCACGGAACACGCGCCATGGTGAAAAGGAGTAAAAGGGAAGAAAACGTCGCGGGCGCGCAACATAACAAGGTTAGACCATGCTCGGGCGCGCCGCGCCGAACAGCCTTAGCGCCATCGCGAGTGCCGACGTATTGGGATAGGGCACCGGCGATGCGCCGAACCTGACCTGTCTGGACCAGGTGCATAACAGGCGCGACGACCTAATGCACTGCTGCCATCATTTGTGGACGCGTTTCGTGAACATGAACAGATTGAACATGATGGCGTTGACTGATCAGACCCAACGCTTCGGGGCCGGTTTATGTCTGCACTTGCTTGACCGACTGTCTCGTTGTGTTCGGCGTTCATACCTTTCATCCTCCACATACGGGGATCCCGGGGACACATGGCAGCTGGAATACGGACGTATTCCCCGATTTGTGCATGGCACGGATCGCATATAGCATGTTGGAGTAAAAAGCTGATGATGTGGATTTGCGAGGCTTGTGCGGGATCGAAGATGCCGCGAGCCTCGAATATGTAATTATCGCAGGGCTGCTGCGCCAACCTAACCTTGGTCTTGGGTCGAGTATCCTTGCTGAGGCACAGACGAGCTACACATGCTGCAGTCTCTCAGGTTAATATAGAATGTGACCATGTATTTGTTTGTTTTGACGTTGTGGGAGCTGATATGAGAGTTTCCAGAGCTTTGCAGCCCTTCGTGACAGCTCGCTTGGCAGACCCCTGTTGGACATGTTGAACGACGACGGATTCAGGGGACAACCCAGCAACGAAAGTCTTTCGCGAGAGGAACTCGCAACGCCCATGCCGACGGCAGTTGCAACTACTGATTGCAGCGCATCGATGATCAGTGATGACACTATCTGGCTCTCGTGAGGAAAAGCCTCCACCAATCTTGCAAATTAGAGCCTTGCGCAATGTGGATTGGCGGGCTAGTGAACTAGTTGCTGTCAGGGGTGATTGACACGCGATGCGATCCCAAGCTAAGACTAATGCACGCAATATATTCCAGCAACCTTTTTCAAATCATGCAACCCCATTCATATCTCAGCCTTGTCTCATAACCCCAGTTGATCCACTGTGCAGTGCAGTACAACTCCGAGTGGCAGGTTTAGAGTGAAAAGAAAGCCACCCTCGTCTTTTCCAATCTAATGACTTGCCCATGGCTGTCCCATGCACAATATGTTCCAATCTATCTGCAATCAATGCTTCGGTGCCTGGGATTCGCTCTGACATGCACGGTTTCGAAACATGACCCGAGACTTCCGATGCTTCCAAATATTGTCCATGTGTTTGCACCGGATCTCAGGATAGAGTGGTTTGCATGGAGAGAACTGTTGCTCCGACACTGCCAAATCTGATCTGCGTCGCGTGGTTTTGATCCGAGACTCTGCGGCCTTGTTCGGGGTCTATTCCTTGTGATGCCAACATTGCATGAACAGATGCCTGGAGTTCTCGTTCCTTGGTCTGACAGTGTACTCGTATTTGCACGAACAACTGTTTGCAACAGTCTGGAATCGTGTCTGTCTAGAACCAAGTGATCGGTTCTTAAAGATATGCATAAAAGCGGCAAAATTGATGTGGCGTCGAAGACAAGATAGTCATTGTGCTGTTGCTGACGGTGGACAGTAACAAGTGCATCTGATTGCAACAAGACTGTTGCCCACAGCTGTTGTCAAGATCGTTGGCAAGAACGCGTGACGCGTGAGTGATGACCACATGACTCGGTCGTCCTTGCCGCGAACGTCAAGCCGAAGCTGGTTCTACAAATCCATCTTCTACACCACAAGCTCATATTCGTGTCAGGGCATTCTCTTCAGAATTGATCTTTTTGCTGCAGTACATATCGCAAATACAACCATATGTCAATGACCTTGCTCCGTTGCATTCGCGCCTGAGTATGAGCCTGTGCGGTTTCCGAAGGAGCGGGTTGTTCTAACATGGCACGATCAAAATCATGATCATGTGCTTCGCCTAGAGCCGACTCTCCTCGATATGGACGCAAGTCTGATCTCCTTGCTCGGGCGACTTACCCGAAGGCCTCGCTCACATGCTCGAAGCCATCGCAGGTTCTTTCCGATCTCGATTTCTACGATTGTATTTGTGCAAGACCATATCGAGTCAGACATTAATATCTGTCCGCAAGGCTCTACGAGCTGTACATGGCACTGCTTACCACATCATACTGTTGGCACAAGCTTCTATTGAGTCGGCTGAGAGAGATGGAGTCTAGATGGGCTACAGCAACCCAACTACACGGTTCCATCGTTCAGCCTCGAATATTTCACGGTGGATGGTTCAACGCGTGGAGTGGTTACCTGGATACGAAATGTGCTCGCACAGCAACCAACGTTGATGCTGACCTGGACCACCGCCACGCTCGCAGGAGGAGAAGAGGCATGAGCAAGGAGAAGGGGATCATACATCCGGAGATGCAGCAGACACACGAGCAAAGCACCGGGATCCACGGACCGCATAAGACGATGCTCCACTACCATCATATGAACAGGTTCAGGTGCCAGCAAGCGACTGCGCACCCACACCTTGTTCAAGCAAATGCAGGAACGCTTCCGTCACGCCAATGACACCTTCAAACCAAGGTTCATGCACTGATAGCAGCTTCTCGTTGAATCTGTTCGATACCCCTGACTCACCTCCGCTCGGACCCCCTTTTTCTCCACGCGTTAGCCCTCCACAACGTCTATTATTACACAGCGCTCGACTTGTCTCGTGGACGAACCACCGCTCAGGTATCAATGTTGCATTGCATACAGCTTTCGTGACATGGCTGCTCAACATGGGAAGGCTCAAGGACTGGTAAGATGAATGTGTGAACTTTTACTCGATGCTAACATAGAGTTTGATCCATGGCCTTTTGCTCCTGACACGCAAGGCTATAAATCTGACAAAGAACAGCCAAGTCGCAATAGTCCAGACATGGCGAAGAGAGAGGAAGCGTGTGTGCTTCAAGAGGCTACTTGTGTCGCAAGCGTCTTTGTGACTTACATTCTGCTTCTATCACGACTTCTGAAACTATAGATTGTGCCTTTGTATGTAGGTGACATAATGCAACTAGTTCAACGAGAGAAACATGTCCTTAATGCGAATTGATAATGCATAGTTAATGATTGCGGGACTGTCTCGGGTGAATTGGAAGGGCAACTGCAAGATGGCGGAGGGCAGGGTCGTACCATCAGCAATATCTGATAGCACGAAGATGTATATATTATCTGAACCACGTTACCGATTGAGCTGATCTGTCGTCTATAGTCTCTTCAGATATCTGACTAACCTCTGTGTTGACGCAATGCTTGGTGTCAATGGGTAGCGTGAGATATCATCGATCTTCGTAAATCATGTTTTAACATCAAGGAGCTCACTTGTGATCTAGATAAATCGGTCGTCTGATCTCAATAGAACATATTCTAGAGCACACATGGGAAAAAGATACATACCGATACAGAAGCAACTTGTCTCTACAATCATGAGCCCATAAATACAATCCGGATCGCATTGTCACCACAGACAAGAAAATGGTCGTCGGCCAGGGTGATTCTGCGAAGGAGTTGACTCCACGCCCAGCAAGTTTAGCCGATAGGCCCTGAGGATCCAAGAACATCGTCATTGACAGGAAAGCACGAGCTGTCGCAAGACACACCTTTGACATCTTTCTCTCTGAACTTCAAAGCAACACCACCACTCCAATTCTCTCAATCAATCTATTCAACCTCTTCAATTCAGTAACCTCAAATGTCCTCCACACCAGAAGAAATGCCCATCAACCCCACACGCGCAAAACAACTCTCTGAAAACCTCAGCCACGTCCTCTCGCAAGTAAACACTGCTTCCGCCAGCAGAAATGTCCGCCTAATCGCAGTCTCCAAACTCAAACCCGCAAACGACATTCTCGCTCTCCACCAAGCCCCCACCTCACACACGCACTTTGGCGAAAACTACTCCCAAGAACTCCTCGAAAAAGCCTCCTTGCTTCCTAGGACTATAAACTGGCATTTCATCGGCGCTCTCCAAACGAACAAATGTCGTCCCTTGGCTGAAAGCATTCCGAACTTGTTTTCAGTGAGTAGTGTGGACAGCAGCAAAAAAGCCGATGGACTGGAAAAAGGAAGAGCAAAGCTCGTCGCAGAGAAGAAGGAAGAAGTGCAAGGCAAGAAACTGAGAGTGTTGGTACAAGTCAACACCTCAGGCGAAGAAGAAAAAAGTGGTGTTGAGCCAAAGGATGCGGCTCAACTCTGCAAACACATACTCGACAATTGTCCGCATTTGGAGTTGGGTGGTTTGATGACTATTGGTGCGATTGCGAGATCAAAGGCTACAACCAAGGAAACGGAAAACGAAGACTTTGAGGAGCTTAGAAAGTGTAGGGATGAGGTGGCGAAGGAGTTGGGTTTGGATGCGGATAAACTCGAGTTGAGTATGGGCATGAGTTCGGACTTTGAGGCTGCTATTAGACAAGGGAGTACCGAAGTCAGGGTTGGCACGACCATCTTTGGTGAGAGACCTGCTAGAGGCGATGCCAAAGTGAAGGAGGATACTACAGAGGAGAAGAAGTAGGACACCATTTGCATCTCACCATCAGAAGCCAAAATCGAGCTTGTTTGTAATCAATCACTATAACGATGTATCCTCGAAACATACTTGTAAAATCAGATGTCATCATTATCGTATATCTATAGTGGCAAATATCGTTCCACGGCCCTTTTGAAATCCTCAAGCCAACAGTAAGGAATGATCAGATTCCGTCCTGACGAGCAAGAGTTTATTTCCAGCCACTGATGGCCTCGTCAATGTCGCGACGAATCTCGCGCTGCTGCTCGCACTGCATAAGGAAGATCTTGTACTTTGCCTCGAGCAGCTTCTTCTCGTTCTGATCTCTACCAGGAAGTACGACCTTACCAGGCTTGCTCATACGGTCCATGATATCCCACAAAGGCTCAGTGTTGCCGTCCTTGTCGGCGGAAGCTGCCTTTGCTCCGAGCATGGCTGCACCATGAACGACAGCAGCGTGGACATATCTAGGAATGACAACAGGCATCTCGCAAGCGGTTGCCATGAGATCCATGAGAATGCTGTTCTGGCACTGACTTCCTGACATGAAGATGGAGTTGATGACGTGGCCCGAGTCGTTCATGCGCTGGATGATCTGCTTGGTCTGCAGAGCAATGAACTCCATAGTGGCGTAGTAGTAAAGAGCAAGACCGTCCATGCTACGGTCGCTTGAAAGACCAATCACACTACCTTTCATGTTGGGGTCAGCGATCGGACTGCGATTGCCGAACAGATCACCGTAGAAGAAGAAGTGACGACCAAGGTATGAAATTGTGGGAGCGTTTTCCTTTGCCATCATCTCATTGAGATGCTCGTTGAGGTAGTCGTAGATGTTTGCGTTGAAGGTCTCTGCGACACTCATTGCCTGCTGGAAGGCAGGGTGAGTCTCCAGGACGTACTTCAACAGCTCGCCAGTGGCCGATTGACCACCTTCTGCCATCCAGTACTCTGGAATGAGCACATCACGGTATGGTCCCCAGACACCCTCAACAAATACAGGCTTTTGAGACATGGCCAGATGGCAGGTTGAAGTTCCAGCAACGGCAGCAAGACGAGTAAAGGCTTGCGAGACGTCGTTCTTATCGGCGCCAGAGTTGAGGTTCGCGTTTGGCAAGCGGACCTTGGCTCCAACAGTACCAATCCAACCAGCGTAGGCATCGATGACACCAGCACCGACAGCGATACCAGCAGGGAGACCAAGGTCAGCAGCAGCCTTCTCGCAAAGAGTGCCAATCTTGTCACCAGCAGTGTGGTACTTTCCATTCTGCAGAGTTGTGTCAGCGTGTGCGCATTTGAAACAGTAAAGGTCAGGTAATTACCACCCCATCTACACCACCCAGGCGCTTGAAGTTGTCTTCGCAAAGATCCTCAAGACCGATCTCCTTGAGGAAGTCCTCTTGCCAACCCTTGACACTGCCGTCGACACCGACAGGCACGAAGCCCTGCTTACAGACAACACTGCAGAAACTGCGATCGTCGTTGCCAGTGGCAATGTGAGTAAGAGCATCGGTCAAGTCGTAGAATCTGCAGCGGTCGAACAGCTCCTTGGGCATGTGGTTCTTGAGCCATAGAACCTTTGGCATCTCCATCTCGATGCTCATCTTGCCACCAACGTAGCGGAGCAGGTTGTGGTTTGTGGCATTGATTTTGTCAGTCTCCTCGACAGGTCTGTGGTCGAGCCAAAGAATGACGTTGCGGTCGTTGCCATCAGCATTGTCGAACTTTGGGCCGGTGACAGAGATGGGCTCGTCGGTGTCGTTGGAGAAGACGGTAAGAGAGCAGGTGGCATCGAAACCGATACCGCGGATGGTGGAGCCGTCAATGCCATGTTGGTTCATGGCACGGTGTACTGAGTTGCAAATACATCTCCAAATGTCTGTAGTGGATTGTTCCTACTTGCATGTAAGCATCATTTTACTAAAGTGAAGTTGCAGCAGACCCACGTAGTAGCCAGTTTCGGGCTGCCAGAGGCCAATGTTCTCACTGGCAAGGCCGACGATATCACCCTTGTCGTTCATGATACAGGCACGGGCACTGCCGGTACCGACATCGATGCCGATGTAGTGGTCCTGGACCGGGTGGAGCTCGTTGTGAGGGTCAACAGACATCTGTCTCGACTGCTGTCGAGAAGCCTGCCTGTAAGGCTGGCGGAAGGGCATTGAAGTCATGGTGACGGTGGCTGCTTTGGTCAAAGGTCAAGTAGTGTTGAGAGCTGAACTGAGCTTCGAGTAGAGTTGTGGATTGGTCGGTGAATGTCTCTGTTTCAAATGGACTGGTACCAATTGAGTCTAAGATGAAGAGAGAAGAGTTGATGAGAAACAAGACTAACTTTTGAAATGACAAGAGAACGGGTAAAAGTGAAGGCGTGGCACTTATCTTGGGGAGCTTGGGGATGTCGATCCTGATGACGCTGCGGTGGAGAAAACGAGGAGACTCGGGGAAGCTTGTGCTTGCCGCCGGATCTTTTGGTCGACAAGCAGGAGACGCGTGGTTAAATGCACCATTCTCGTCGGTTCAATTGCTTCTGCCAAGCTAGCTCATATGGGAGTGTGAAGCCTTCGAGCACGGTGTCACCGCATGAGATGATGGCCTCAGGAGCTCGAGCTATTCGTCTCAACAGCATATCGATCAACAAGAGCTACGGCGGCCTACGCAAATCATGGCTTGGGGAAGCTTCCCCAATTGGATTGACGGTGACGTTGGAGAATGTCAGGGTCCAGTTCCTTCCAGACTCAGCTCCTTTCGGCCCACTTTCCTCCGGACGCGACATGGCATCTGCCAAGACATCAAGCTCCCAGTCCAACACCCGTAGCGTCGTCAACAGCTAGACCAGATCAGACACAATATATCCTGGTATACGATTATACACGATGCGTTTCACAGGTGCGACCAACCTGCTAGCAGCCCTGCTGTGCGCTACCTCTGCCATCGCCGCAGCCACGACAGACTCAGTCCGCACCGCCGACGTCTTCGCCTGGCCCTCATCAGCCTCATCACCGCTCCCCTTTGCCAAAGTCTCCTACTCCTGGCCCGCTCTCAATGCCACAATAGACTCATATACTGCACCTGCAGTCAAATCAGACGAAACCGTACGAGTCGGCGTCCACCGCGCCGGCGACTGGGTCGGCGTGTCTACTTCAGGAGCCAACTTCGATGCGACAAAGAAGCCCGCACTGCGCCTGTACGTGGATTCGGCTGGAGATGTGTGGCATGTCGGCTTTAGCACTGCAGCTGCAAAGTCCAAAGATGGCTCGCTGGCAGTCGAGATTGTGCCGCTACGCCAGGGACCACAAGTCGCTTTTGACAAGCCAATTGTCGTCAACCAACAAGGAGAGCCAGAGGACAAGGAACCCGAGAAGACCTTCCTACAAAAGTCAGTCTTCTTTGTCGTGACGTCTGAGTATCTCTGCTAACCATTCGATAGGTATTGGTGGGCAATTGGCCTGTTCTTGCTCGTCCAGGTCGTCATGGGTGGTGGTGATAAATAGGTTACGATTGATATACCACACGACAACTTACACTGTAAATTTACAACACATACTGCCGCCCACCGTACCCTTCAAAGTATTACTGAAACCATTCAGTGGTGTCCTATCCCGCAGGGACCTGCTGACTCCCAATTTGGATGATGGTATTGATGACAGAACGAAAGCAATACTTGGACAAACATACACACACCAACTCGGACTTTGACTATTCGATCATCACGCGTGACAGTCATTGTTGATAAGAAGGATAAGAAGATGAAATACTCCTCTGGACCACCATTTTAATCTGCAATGTACAATCCCATCCCTCTCTTGATCCCACCAAGAGACATTCAATGTCCTATATACCTCGCCCCATGACGCCCGGCGGTGAGCCTAATAGCTCTGGATATATCATGACCGCTATGTAAAAAAGCAACAAGAAAGAACAAGAAGAAAAAGCCAAAGATGCGGATAAAAATGATATACAAACGAAACGAAAATGACCAGAAAGCTCGTTAAATGACTTCTCGAGATCAATGTTTTCTCGTTGTTGAAGGGAAAAGGGATTTCTCCTTTCAAGAATCGCGCACATAGTTTCGGACCGCAATAAGAATGACAAAGATAGGAGCTCCAAAGCGTAGCGTGAGGTGCGCAATCAGTCATAAGACTGTGCACACGTTGTTTTGGTACCATCGTTGGGTCTGCATATGCTTGACCCAAAGAGCCGTAATCTTGAGTCTTGATCGTACACTTGTGGTCTGCATCAGATGATACTTCCAGTCCTCGCTGATAGGTAGGATGCTGGCAAACCAAAACGGGAATAGAGCGGCGTCGTCCGGCGGGCCGCCATAGGCTTCGAGAATGCGTTGATGTAGCCAAGGTGCACTTCGACCTTGCATGACAAGGATAAAGTCAAGTCCGAGCATGAGAAGTTCGCGAGTCGACATTCTGCTGACTTGGCCTTCGATGTCGTTCTCGGCAGCAGGAGGTTGCGAAGTTTCCTCAGCCTCTAAACGCTCTTCTTCCTGCAGAGAAACATCTTCGACACGTTCAACTCTACCGACCGTGTAACCATCCAAAGTGCCATGTTCTTTCACACGGAAACGGTACATGCCTCTGGTTTCGACAATACTCTGTCCATCTGGAAGCATCTGCACGTTCTCGATGTGGAGCATGACACCATATGCAAGAAACTGGGTGATGCCCAACTCTTCTTGTGGTACCCCATGGCGATTGTACGTGACCATGCCAAATTGTCGGTTTCCTTCCATAGCACGTCTGATCATCAGTCGATACCTCGGCTCGAATATGCGCAAAAAGGTGGGGCATCCTGGAAAACCAAGCGTGCACACAAACAAAGGAGTATCAAATTCAGGAAGAGCAATAGCGTCTTCCAAGGCGGCAGCTTGAGCACGAGCAGAGACAATTTCCGGAACAAGTCCCTCGAGAAGACTGACCAAGGTTTTGTTGCTCGGATATTTGAGCAACGAGGGTGGGGTGATGACAGAACGTCGACAGACAGGGCAGTGAGTCGAGTGATCGAGTGTACGAGCCAGGCACTTGCGACAGAGGGTATGTCCGCAAGCCGTTGTGACGGGGTCGTACATTATGTTGTAGCAGACCTGGCAATCAACCTCCTTCTGCGCCGTGTCAAGCAGTTGTACCAAGAGTTCTTGGTCTGTTTTTTGTGCAGCCTCGAGTGTTTCGGGCAGGTCTGTATACACGACCTCGGTCTTGTATCCAAGAATGCCGGTCCCTGCAAGGTTGTATGTAGCAACTAGACGGGCTCCAGGCATGGTCCAGCACCGAGGGCTGTCCTTGTCCAAATCTACTGATGTCACGGGACCAAGTACCTCGTCCTGTTTTACCACCTCTTCCATGTATGTTTGTCTGTCGCCAGCGAGCTGAATGTGTTGGCGCACGAGATCGGCGATAGCCTCCATAAGTTTCGACAGGGTGACATCGATGCTGCAGTCTGCCAGGACATGCTCTTCGACACAGTCGTTGTAAGGACAAAGGAAACCGCGTTGCCTCCCAGGGGTATCGGGGTATGAGACACCTTCGCGGCGGTAGGTCTGTGGTAGACAGGTGCGGCATAGCGAGTTGCCGCAAGGAAGGGTGACGGGGCTGGTGTAAGGTTTTGAGCACTGCGGGCACTGGATCAGACGAATGAGGGCGCGGGCATCTTGGTGGGCGGTCAGGGCAGAGGCTCGCTGGATGTCCTCCATGGCGAGTTCATTGGTGTCCATGAAACGTGGTAGGCGGGCCTCGCCGTCGCGCATAGACGAGGTCCTGATGGTATCGTCCAGCAAATTCATGTGCTGTGAGCGGCGACGAGCGATGTTTCCATCTAGGACAGCTTGTTACTGTCTGGACTGTTGTTCGCGTGCCGAATAGAGGTGCGTCGGACTTTCGGTATGTGGTGAGATGTCCAAGGGTCTTTGCTGCTGGATGACGTCGAGACCACCTCGGTGTTTGCACGAGAGATGAGCCGAACTGAGCGCCTATCAGAAATCAGCTCCTCTGCGCGCCGTATGGACGATGGTGCAAAGTACAAGGATCTTTTAGCGAACGAGAGCAGTGAGAGGGCAGGGAAAAGAGATTGGAAACCAAGCACAAGATGACAAGGTCAAGCCGAATCAGATATTCTTGATCCGGAAGCATCGGTGGAGGCGACCTTCATGACATGCACGAGTCGAGTGGGCAAAACGACAGGATTGATTGCGCTAACGACTAACCAGGCAATTTCCCTACTCAACTTTTAGCGGTCATTGGCCCTGCTAGGAGCTGCTGCTCCGCCACAAGAATGCGTCTACTTTGCGATCGAGCCTGCGGATCGAACTTTTGCTGCCCTCCACACCTCGACACATACGCCTCGGCTGAAGGTTTGGACGCTCGAAATATCTTCAAACAAAGGCGAGACCTTCTAAACTTCCCCAATGTGCTGATCTTAGACCAATACCTGACAAGTTTCGCATGTCCATGAGCCTGTTCATGACTTTGCATGCTCGCTTTCTAGATCAGATCTGGCCGCAACATCGTAAAAACACCTACAGGTAAAACTTCGGCGCGCGGATTAGCTGCTCGAGACTTGTAGGCGTCATCTATGCTTTGCACTAGCCACGTCTCGCCGACAGCTATTTTAGTTCCAGAACGCTGTCTCGTGCCATACAGCAGTTTTGCCTTCGTTCACGGCTCTACTTGTCATGCTTCTCTGCAGCGCATCTCGGGACTTTATCAAAGCTGCAGATGCAGGCATGAACATAATGCCATCCAAGTCCGAACTGCCACGATAATTGCCATCTCCGGAAATGCGAGCTTCGTGCCTTCTGCTGCAAGATGTGTTCCCGAAACGGCAGAAACAACCGACAAGTCACAGTCATGATGTTTGGCGATATTGAACTTTCGACATGAAACCTCATCCCCACCATCAAGCTCAATCTATGCAGCATAAAAAACTTCTCACACCCTCACTATCCCGAGGCCCCGCATCGTCAAAATTCTGCATTCAACTCTCATTCTCGTCGCGACACACTCGGAGTATGGTAAGCTAAGAAAGAATGCACAGTCGCTGTCGAAATAGAAGTCTGGCCATGGGTCAACAATCTCTCTATCAACACTACTCTCTTCAACAGAGTATTCTGCAATTCTAATGGCTACCTGCATCTATCTTCTTCAATATTGGCGGTGCAAAACAAAGCGCATGACTAGCGATGAGATGCCGAACTCCGAAAAGTTATCGCTGAATTGTAAAAGAAATCGTCAAGAGCTATCTACACCTTGTCCTCGAGGCTACTCAATCCTCCTTGCGCCTCTGACATCGCCCACTGATGGCACCTCCTTCACGGTAGCCTCCACAATGCCATAAATCGGTACATCTGCAAGGCCTTGCGCAATGTGGTGAAGGGTTGGTAGTGAGTCCCAGTCACCGGCCGAAAACTTGATAGTCGCCGCCTTGGTTGTCTGGTCCTGTACTTCTTGTTGAGCCCCTGAAGACGATGGTATTTTCTTCTCGTACTCGTCGAAGACAGCGTACTCGGCGTCCGCCTTTCCTGGCTCACCCACAGCTGGTACGTAACGGTACATGAACAATCCATTGTCTTCGATCTTTGGCATTGGAGGCCCGGGAGGTCCTGGAGGCTTGGAATGGGTGCCGTTCACGCCGTTCACGCCATTTGTTTGGGGTTTCGCATGCAGGTCGTTCCATTCAAGCTCGGCAAAAGTGGTCCCGCGCCAACTCATGCGTACAATGCGAGAGTCACCAGAAGCTGAGACATTGATATCGCAGCCCAATTTGGGTGCGGCAAGCTCTTCGCGACCAGTAATAATAGGGTCAGTCAAGTTCTCAAACAAGATCGGTAGGAATGTTCCTTGTAGGATCTCGCCATCCTTCTTGGTGTACTTTACTCCGTGGATGTAGAGGCCGCAGTGGTCGTACCCCGTGTTACCCAGCCATGTCATGTTGCGTAGTGAGCAACATACGATAGAGGCTTCTGCAACTGTTGCCGGAGACGTGAAAGAGAACGAAGAGCTGGGGAACAGGTTCTGAAGATAGGTCCTTGAGGTCTTGAAGCGAATCGAGGCTATTGTCTGGTTCTGCTTTGCCACCGAGTGCACATCCAGCTGGGCATTCAGAGGCTGGCGTGGACCTGGACTAGGGCCGAACGACACTGGCTGGCGGAAACGATGCGGCTGCTTGGACCAGAGATGCTTGTTCAAAGCATTCTTTGAGAAGTCCCACTCGTCGTGACCGAAGTTGTAGTTGGTGAAGGCAAACGCTGATCACACCAATGTCAGTAACGAAACAACTAAAGCCACGGCACCACAGATACTGACCATCGTATTTCTTGCCCATCTTTACAAGGTCTTTTTGAGACGTTCCACTCAGTCTTGTACCGTCCTGGATTTTGTTTGCACGGTCGCGCCTGCACTGCTCATACAGCTTCAACCGCTCTGGGATATCCTCCTTCGCAGTGCCATAGGGCAAGATGGCTGCCAAAGAGACTGCGTCTTCCATAGCTTGACCACCGCCTTGAGCTTGGTGGGGCAGGAATGGATGAGCTGCATCACCTAGCAATGCCATGTTGCCCTTGATCCACGTGGGGAGTACCTGCATGTCCAGCAGAGTCCAGACCTTCAAGCTGTCTTCTGGCGCCTTCTCTAAAAGAGCACGAACTTGAGGTGCCAAGCTGGCGCCACTTGCAAGCATGCGCTTCTTGTCACCTTGTTGGTTCCAGCCAGCGTCTTCTGAACGTGACTCGCTGCTGGGATGAATCTGCAGAGGATCAAAGTCAGAAAAAGCTCTTGAAGTTTGGATGACTGTTCTTACCAGAAGAAAGTTCATGAGCTTGTTGTCAACACAAGGATACACAACGACTCTGCGGTCTTCACCAACAATCATGCAGAGCATACCCTCCTGTTCAATAAATTCACGGCAGACAGGATCAGCCATGACTTCTTCCTTCGGCACTAGGAAGCGGTAAGCACTGTGACCGCAGTCAAACGGTGCATACTTTTTCGCATCGTCAAGGTCCAAAGCCTTACGACACAAGGACTAGAGACATATGAGCTTGAAAACTTTTCATTCTGCCAATTGCAGGACTTACGTGAACGCCGTCAGCTCCAAGCAGAAGATCGCCAGATACCTTCTCGCCGCTCTCTAGTGTAACCTCTGCCTTCTCAGGGTTTACCGAAGCAACTTTGCTGGCTAATCTGAGTGTAGCAGGCTTGCCTTTGCCCTCCTGCCCAATAGCTCTTTCCCTCAGAGCAGTGTGCAGGTGAGCACGATGCACTAAGAGCCACTTGTGTTGCCATTGCTTGTTCGGCATGGTAAGATCGACCTGGAAAAGTGCCTTCCCTGACTCGGCATGGTACTGTGCGATCCGGTTACATTCGTTTGCGCCCACCTTCTCAATGTCAATTCCGAAGCGTTTGAGCAAGCCATTTGCGTTAGGTGCCATATGAATAGCTGCTCCGGTCTCGTTACTGAATCGTGATGATTCGAGAAGAGTCACATCATGTCCTTGCTCTCTGAGAGCAATTGCAGCCATCTAAGAATTTGTCAATTCTGTCATTCCAATCAACATACTTCGTTGCAACATACTAGGCCGCCGATGCCTGCTCCCACGATCAAGACATTGAGTGCCATTATGAGTAACTCTGGTTCTTTCCAGGCAATATTTGCTCTTGGGAAAGCACGAAAAGAAGATGGATGCCGCCCCTCACAAATAGTCACAACCCTCCTGGATTACGGACTTTGAACACCCACTCGGCTTTGAGACCATCCGTGTGATACAAGTCGAAGTTCCTGCACAATAACCAACATGCGCAGCCAACCCGGGTCGCCCGTTCTCGCCCACCGGGAAAAGCTTAGACTCGCCCGGCTCCTCCACATTTGAGGGGCAGATAGCGGGGTCAATGCTCAATTAACCGAGAAATAGTCCCCAAGGTAAAATAGCCTTGGAGGGTCGTTCCCGCGATATGTTTATGCGATTTGAATCACTATTACAACTCTTGATCGCTCCAGGTTCGTCCACTGTTTATAAACACACACAATGACGTCTCTCCAATCCGACTTTCGCAGCCATTTTGGCCTTGAAAACATTCCCTTTGGAATTGCTTCTTCAAGCAAGCACACATCGCCGCAAGCAGCCACTCGCTTCGAGAATAATGTGATCTTCCTTGCTGATCTGGTGCAATCTGTTTCTGAGTTGCAAACTTTGCCCAATGGCATTTTCTCACAACAGACGTTGAATGCATTTGCAGCACTTGGACGAACAGCTCATAGACTTGTTCGGTCTGCCATTCAGAAACTTATTCAAGAGGGCAAGTTACCCGAGGGCAGCACTGAAGATGTCTCAGCATGTCAGATGCATCTTCCAGTCTCGGTTGCAGACTTTACAGACTTCTCATGTTCTGAGTACCACAACCTCAATGCTGGTCTTGCTGCTATGGGAAGAAAGGGACTACCCCCTTCTTGGGGCTTCATTCCCCCAGGTAATTCGTTGTATACTTCCTTTTGCATGGCACACGCTTACCATATACAGGCTATGCTGGTAGATGTTCAAGCATCAAGATCTCTGGAACTCCTGTGAGAAGACCCATTGGTCAGTTCTGGGAAGATAGTATGGCAGCATTGAGAGGCGAGAACAAGAAGGTTATTTATGGTCCCAGTCGCAGAATGGATTATGAGCTGGAACTATCAGCTGTGATAGGCAAGCCTCTTCCATACGGCCAGACCGTCACAGCAGAGAAAGCTGGCGAGCATATCTTTGGATTTGTTATGCTGAATGACTGGAGTGGTAAGTCTCGCGGCGATCGAGTCGAGGGTTCACACAAGCTGACTCATCAACAGCCCGTGACATCCAGACATTGGAGATGATCCCGCTTGGGCCCTTGAACTCAAAGAACTCGGGAACAACGATGTCTCCATGGATAATCACTTACGACGCGTTGGAGCCGTTCCGAGTCCACGGCCCAGGCTGGAAACATACTTTGCCTCCCCACCTTGCTGTGGAGAAGGATGATCGAGGCCTGTCAATCGATCTGTCTGTCTTCGTTCAATCGCCAGGGAACGATGTGACTCGTGCTTGTGCAGCCAACAGTAGCGTTCTCGCATGGTCTTTCGAGCAACTGTTAGCTCACCAAGGCAGCGCAGGTTGTGGTTTCCAAGCTGGAGATCTGCTTGCTTGTGGCACTGTGTCAGAAGACTCGGACAGTGGGCGTGGATGTATGCTTGAACACAACCTTCCTCCACCAGCTGTACAACGTGGTTACCTTGCAGATGGGGTTGTTGTTCAGTTCACAGCAAAATGTGGCGAAGGTGTTGGATTTGGTGACTGCCAAGCAGAACTACTGCCAGCTCTTTCTACAGAGAACTGGACCAGCGAGTAAGGTAGATCATCAACTGCCGGGGTCACTAGGATACCCTTGTTGTCAAATACAAAGAGCATCGGTAAAGCTTAATCCTCCAAGTCGGTCTGATTCTGTCCCCAACTTAGGGCTCGTTTACGCAGCCCTAAGTGTCTATGCTGTCCGTGATGGTCCTGTCCCCCGAGCTCTCCGCACTTCCCCACGCGAACAAGGGCGAGCCTTGCCCAATAAGAGACCCGCCGTTAATTTAGGCTTGTGGGGTGTGCCAGGTCCAGGACGTGGAGAAGAATGAACCTCCATAGAGTGGGCACAAGTCCCGGTGAGACAAGTGTGTAGTCTGATAGGGTAGGGTTGGCGAGCATCCCAGGGCTCATAAATCACGCTCCTTCTCCATGTGTCGCAAGCATCTTCACCTCGATACGTCCTTCCCTTCCTCGAGGATATCGTTTCTGTTCCATAGTTGTTAATCGAGCCACACTATTCATCATGACTCAGTTCAGACATGCCTTCTCGCTGGACAAGCAGGAGCTCAATGAGATGGCACCTCCTGGTACCGTCACGTTGATGGGTGAGTGGTATACCGAGCATAATAGCAAGGACAATATCTCTAATCATCGACCACAGACCGAGAACTCGTCAGAACAAATACAGGCCATCATGAATTCGAAGAAAACCACATACACTTGAACCCAGAGTATGTCGTTCTTGTCGCGAGATTTCTAGACCATATCCTCTGACGAGCGATTGTACAGACCATCACCGGATCCAGCGGATCCCCTCAACTTCTCCAACTCGAGAAAGGTCATGATCTTAGCGTTGATGAGTCTGTACGCCTTTGTCACCAACGTCTCAAGCTCGATCATCAGTAGTGCTTTACCGAGTCTGGTCACAGCCTTTATGCAAACTCATCCACGTGGACCACCCACTGGTATCCTGCCGTTCAGCAAGCTGACCCACCTTGTCGCCATTAACAACTTATTCCTTGGTGCTTCGAACATCTGGTGGGTGCCTCTTGGAAACAGTAAGTGCTGGTGAAATATCATGTATCATGTTGTGTGCATACTGACGCCGTATTAGCCTTCGGACGTCGTCCTGTCATCCTTGTTTGCCTTGCCATTCTCTGTGCAACATCTATATGGGCAGGCGAAGCCAAGTCTTACAACAGCCTGCTCGCTGCTAGGCTCTTCCAGGGAGTTGGCGGAGGTGCTGCCGATACTCTTGCTCCAGATGTCGTTGGTCAAGTCTTCTTTGTCCACCAGAGAGGTCGTGCCATGGTGAGTCAGCCAAACATAATAGGAAGACATCTTGAGTTGACCATATTCAGGCCATCTATACCATCTTCCTCGCTTCTGGCTCACTTATCGGCGGTCTCATCGGTGGCTACATCACCGCCTCGATGGGTTGGAGATGGACTATGTACATCTCAGCTATCCTGTCGGGCGCCGTCCTGCTTTTGAGCTTCTTGTTTGTTCCTGAGACACTTTTCGACCGTGAGGCAGCCATGGCTGTTGTACGCCCGGAAGGCTACGACGAAGACTCACCAGTTGGCGAGAAGGCCGAGATAGCCAGAGTTGAAACCGCCGCCTCTACTGTGTTCCCTGAATACACCTTCGCCAGGAGTCTCAAGATGGGCATGTACCGACCTGGCTTCCTCAAGCGTTGCATCACTCCTTACACCACCCTGCTTTTCCCTGGTACATGGATGGTCATGTTGCACTATGCCGGTCTTGTCGGATTGATCGTCACCATATCGACTGTTGCGCCGCAGATACTCGCCCAGCCACCATACCTGTGGGGTGGCTCAGTCGGTCTCATCAACGTCGGCGGTTTGGTCGGCACTGTCCTGGGTGCAATCTATACCTACTTCACTGCAGATTACATCGTCAAGCGTCAGGCCAAGCGGGAGCGACACGGTTTCGGCGAGCCAGAAGCACGTCTTCCCCTCATGTTCCCAGCTCTTACCATCGCAACCGCTGGTGCGCTCTGCTTCGGTTTCTCAGCCAAGGCAGCAACCCCAAAGGCTTGGATTGGTCTCGAGTTTGGCAACGGAATGGTCGCCTTTGGTCTGATGCAAGTGCCGTCCATCGGTTTCAACTACCTTATCGAAAGTTACGGTGCTTGGAGTGCTGATTGCTTCCTCATGGTTGTCACTTTCCGAGCCATTATCAGTTTCGCATGGACCTTCTTCGTCGGCACTTGGGTCGAGAGTGCAGGACCTGCCCTTCCTTTCGGCATCTTCGCTCTGCTCATGGGTGTGTTCAGTCTGACCACTGTGCCTGTTTGGTTGTTTGGCAAGAGAATGAGAGTCGCGACCAGCAAACTTGTGATGAAGGGCTATGTTAGGAGCGAGTGATCTTGTCGACATATAGTCCAGATTGTTTTGATGACTTTTTTAACGAGGTAGTAATGCGTGTATATGTCCAGAACCACAGGGATTTCTCTTGATAACCATAACTTACACTTTTTCGTGTTTCGGTTCATCTCATCGATAGTAGTACAATTAGTCCTTGAGGAAAGCCTGCCATTTGCTGCTGTCCAAGATCTCGGTCTCGGTCACACGGGCGGTCTCCTTTCCCTCTTCCAACTTGATGACAGTAGGGATGCCACGGACGTTCCAATCAACACGGGCAACGTTTTCAGGTGTGCGCCATTCCTCCTTCTTGCCAACATAGTAGAGCATGGCCTCGGGCTTGTCGGCGCCGTCGAAGGCTTCACGCACAGAAGGCTCGACGTCAACGCAGTCAGGGCACCACATTTTGCCATCCACAATTGATGAGTAGAAAACCAAGAAAGAAGTCTTGGGTAAAGATGAGCTCTTGATTGCGCTCATGATGGCGGAATATCTGTGGTCTGGTTTCAATACTCGATCTTGGCTGTTGATTGTCCCACATACGACTTCTCGATGAGTGGCATCTTGGAGGCAGGCGGTGTTGCGCTATTGCTATGTCATCCGTAAAGCTCAGAAATGACAACATGCCTTTATACATACATATGAGTCAGTCTAAAATTTTATTCAATAGGGTGGCTGGTAAGCAAAACACATTGATGGCAGGGGCACAGAAAGAAACTTGGTGACACTGTTTCGCTTGCAAAAAGATTGGGACTGGAGACCTCTTCGCTAAACTCACACGCGAAACACAACACTATTTAATACCTTCCGAAGACCAAAACCTCTATCAATGAGAGTAATAAGCTCTTGCGCGCTTTCCAAGAATCACAGTCGCGGCGATGGTGGCGCCAGTCGACAGCAGCACGAAGCCGAGGTTGAACAGCATGGACTGCTCGAAGAAACCGAACCCTGCACGCGTCTGCTTTGGTCGCTTGTGCGCCGATGGCAGGTCTGAAAGAGCTTGACGGTACAATGTTTGCACCGCGGCCGACTTCTCCGACTTTGAAGCGCCGTTCAATGCAGATTCCACGGTCTTCGATTGGGTGGTGTTGTTAACGAAGGCAGGCGTAGGGCGGGTAAACAGAGCAGTCGGGTAGCGTGTTGAGGTTATGGGGTGGCCGACTGGGAAGGCAGGACCGACTGAAGAAAAACATGTTAGTCTTGATTCGCATTTTTGGTAGGTGCAGGCAAGAAACTCACCGAGCAGTTCTGCTGGAATGTGGTTGACGTAGGACACTTGCGATGCAACAAACTGGCTGAGGTATTTACATTGGGCATTCTCGCCAAAGTGGTATGCAGTCAGCAGCTCACTGCCATTATTGTTGATGAAATCGATAGCATCGTCGAGACTCTTGACGGCATGTACGAGCAGCACAGGCTCGCTAATCTTGGTCTTAAGCAGGCTTGTACTCCTACATTCAAGGTCAGCTTCTAGTGCCTGACAACTTTTGCAATCTTAGTTACCTCTTTGTCAGATCTAGGATCGCTCGGTTCGACTCTTGTGCGATGACACGTCCGCTTCCGTCTTTCTGCAGGCCAGAGACCAAGTCTCTGATACCATTCTCGCGACCGCCTCTTCTGGTCGGCGATTTTTCCCTTTCGACTACTTCGTCGAAAGATACGGAGTGTCTGAGAAGTGCTTGCAAAAAGTCCTTCTTGGAGAACTCGTTGACGAAGATGATGTCTGGAGCATACGGCGATTTGCCATTGTATGAGAAGCGAGCGTTCACGAGAGCTTTGGCGGTCTCGTCAAAATTCGCTGTCCTGTCTACGACTGCTGCTGTGATGGAATTGGCCCTCGAGACAAGCTGATTCAGCGCAGGAGGACCGTCAACCGAGCCATCCTGGACCACTTGCAGGCAATTGTTCAAAAACGATGCATCTTGTACGGGTTGTTGAGCAACATCAAATGTATCGTTGTCCAGCGCAGACTTGAGCGTGTCGCGAAGGATGGTTGGGAGGCCACGGAGGCTGTTCTCAATCTAGAGTTCTCGTTAACGAATGCTTTCCTGCATTGCATCAAGGTCACGTACCTGCAAGACCACACAGTTGCCTGCAGCGATTGCTGCGCTCAGAGGCGCAATCGCTGAGTAGAATGGAGTGTGGTCCGCTGAAGCCTTGATATACACAGTGCCATACCCGAGGCGCAGGCTGCCAGCATCCTCTCCACGGGCAACAGCATATTCCCTCTCGAGTTCTTTCTTTGGTTCAAGCTCCGCGAAGCGCTCTTTGACCGTCGCAAGAGCAAGCGAGTACTCGATTTGTGCTTCTGCCCGGCTGAGACCAGAGTCCGCAACAACTGCGTCTACGATCTCGGATGCATTCGAGACGAGGGCCTTATGCAGCTTCTCTAGTTGAGTTTGTCGGTAAAAGACCGTCCGGGTTCTGCCATCAATGGCAGCGGCTTGTAGCTGTGGGAATGGTCTGTTCGACATTCTTGAAAGGTATGTACTGGTACTACCAATATGGGGAAGACGAGGAAGGTGAGATTCGCAGGAGATTTACTTCAAAGTTCACAGCAAGTATACTAATCCCGTCTATCGTTGAGCCACGGCGCTTGAGGCCGGAGCAGAATCACATCAAAATCACCTGTTAATATCGCGGCCATGCTCTCCACACATCCCGATGTGGTCCCCCGCGGCTGGATGATCACCAGCTACGGAGAAGCGGGGAACCCGTTGTGCAACCTCAATCCAGACTTCCTGTCGCAGATCCGGCATTCGATATTCTCAGGCTCAGGCTGAATATACCTCTGATTGTCTTCGTCTGATTTTCGTGCCTCTCGACAAACCGAAATTCGTTTAACATCCTTGCCGTCAAATCAACCACAACGATGTCCGTCACTCTCACCGAGAACCGCACAGTCTACTCTCTAGGCAGGACACTCGCCGATTACGATTTGCAACACAGTGGTGAGGAAAACGACGTCTCAGAAAGTCCCAACTCTCGTCCTGCGCCGCAAGGTGCCGGCAACAACCCAGCAGACTGGGAGGACAACTTTCGCCGGGTTCCAGACTATCGCCCTGTCGACTATGATCTCGACTTCGCGTACCGCGACACCACACAGAATGGTATCGAGCGAGCTTTCATTTGGAACATGTTCAGTGGAATCGTGCTCACATCGGTAAGAGCCGTTCTAGACCACGAGGAATTAGTATACTGATTTCATTTGCAGGCGACCAATAGACTTTGGAGAGCTACTGGAGGAAAGCTGAACAACACGTACTTCCGTTGGCAGGTTGGAGGAGAACACTGAACGGATCTACTTGTTGCATTGGAGATGCTGTTTTCACGGCGTTTGGAGCTTCAGGAACATTCAACCAAGCATTTCTAATATCTGAAAGTGCAACAGTCTATTTTGATCTACTTTTTCGTGCAGGGATTACTTTGTGGTATAGTACAGTAGATCTTGTTCTTGTCAAGGTTGTCAAAGATGTGAAATGATGATCTAGAATTAATCTCTACAATTTGTCGATTCGTTATCCTTAGGTTGAACTGCGAACGCCCTCCATAGGTCCGAGATCTTCATCCAAAGGCTTTCCGTTGATCTCGATAGGAAGCGACGGCTGGAGAACGTACATCATACGAGCCCACTTGGTATCGCTTGTGTTTCTCCACGCATGGTTGGTTCCTCTTTGCACTGCGACGTCTCCAACTTTCATTATTCTAGTCTCCCCACTGTCGAGAACCAACTCCATCTCTCCGTAGAGCACAACACCATAGTCGAGTGAGACAGTGCGGTGCATAGGAGACGTGGTACCAGGGGGGCAGTCCTAATTTGATCAGCAGTTGCGTTGAAAAGCTTGCTCTAAGATTACGCACCACCAGACGAAGGACAGAACCTTGCTTGTTTACGAGGCCGGGTGGTGACACCAAATATTCCTTGTACTGCGCGATGTCCTTATCGTTGGTCATGTCTACCGGCGTAGTTGAAGTTGTGTAACCAAGAGAGAAGCCGACAGTTCCACCATTGATGCTGCCATCCCAGGGTCCAGTCTCGTCAATCTTTGCGAAGACAGCCTTGCCATCTTCGTTGTGTGCGGTAATGAGTCTTTGGTAAGGGGGAAGCTCTCCTTTGTGGGCCATTTTGGATGTGTCTTGGTAAACTTGACGAGATGATGTTTTGTCGTTATGAGAGATTGAAGTGAACAAAAAAATTGAGAAATTATTTCTGGCCTGGGAACTCGATTGCCATTATCCACAGCCGCTTTACTGCCCCGCAAACATGGTTCATCATCAAGGTAGATCCCCCATATGAAAAGTGGAGGAACATCTTGGAGCGGGATGTGGAGGACCCCCGCCATTCGGGTCTTTCGCGTCCCCGCCGCCGAAACAAAGACGTGATTACTGTTGAACAAAAAGGCAAGCTCCTACTTGCAAGACCAGGGTACGTAGACCCTTCCTTTCATTTTTGATCCTCGTCATTGTCACAAGATGCCTAACAAAATTCAAGACCTCCATACCGTGGACGACAAGTCCTTCGATTATGTCTTCGAGCAGAATGCCACTGTGACACTGAGATCAAGCGAAGGCTTGGTTCGTGTCAATGTATACCGACCAAAGACATCTGAGAAGGTCCCTGTATTGGTTACCTACGGACCGTATGTGGAAATGACGGATACCTCAGCCAGGGCAAGAGCTAATAGCAGACAGTTATGGAAAGGACATCCCATATGCTGACTTCCATGCAAAAAGTTACTCGGAGGTCAATCCTGAACACAAGTCAGAGCACTCAGCATGGGAAACTCCTGACCCTGCTTTCTGGACCAAGAATGGGTACGCAGTAGTCCGTGCTGACGAGCGTGGGCTGGGTCAATCTCCTGGTCTGCTCGACACTATGTCAAGGGGTACCTCAGAAGCCTTCTTTGATGTGGTCGAATGGTGTGCGGAGCAAGAGTGGTCGTCTGGAAAGGTCGGTCTTCTTGGTATCAGTTATTTCGCTGGATCGCAGTGGCGTGTGGCCGCAAGAAATCCCAAGGGGTTGTCTGCTATTGTACCTTGGGAGGGTATGTCAGACTACTACAGAGATCGTTGCCGTCATGGTGGTATTCTGTCCAACCAGTTCATCAGATTCTGGTGGAACCGCCAAATCATCACCAACCAATATGGACGACCAGGCCGCAAGGCAAGCAACTGGGGCCCAGACACAATTGAGGGTGATCTCTCGGATGAGGAAAGAGCTGCGAACAGACAAGACCAGAACATCGACAACCAAAGAAACTAGTGAGTAACATGAGGTAGCGCAGATTGGACATAGACTAACCCTGTGAAGCTTCCGCGACGAACCCTACTACGCTTCGAAAGAGTACGACATGGGTGACATCAGGGTGCCGCTGCTCTCCGTCGCTAACTGGGGCGGCATCCTGCTCCATCTTCGTGGAAACATCGAGGGTTTCACCCACGCCGGTTCCGAGTTCAAGTATCTTCGCTGTATCACTGGCCGTCACGATCTTCCCTTCTACTACAATGAGGAAGTTGAGATCCAACGCAGTTTCCTCGATGCCTTCCTCAAGGGTGAAGACAGAGTTGGCTGGGCTACTAAGGGCAAGGTCCCTACGGTGGATATTGTCCTTCGCAAGGGCGATGTTGGCTTCAACGATGCCAAAGCAGAACAAACCTACCCTAGAAGACAAGAGAACGAGTGGCCGATTGCAAGAACACAATACACGAATTACTATCTCACACCCGAGAAGGAGCTCGTGACTTCGACTCCTTCAGGGAAGGCCAAGCTCGGCTACAGAGCTCTAGGCACGCTTGAGAAGCCTGAGATGATTCAGTTCACCACTCCTGCCTTCGAGAAGGAGACAGAGATCACTGGTCATGTCACAGCTCGTCTCAACGTCTCACTGACACCAGATACCACCGGCCCTACACCTACCGACATCGATCTCTTCGTAACTCTCAGACACATCTCGCCCGAAGGCAAGGAGGTCTTCTACACAGGAACTGCTGGAGACCCAGTTCCACTCTGCAAGGGATGGCTGCGTGTATCTATGCGCAAGACCAATCCCGAGCACTACAAGCACCGTCCTTACCTGCCCCACAGAGACTACTTCAGTACCGACAAGCTGCCCGTCATCCCTGGAGAGGTATACCCTGTGGATATTGAAATCTGGCCCACCAACGTCGTTGTCGACAAGGGTGGTAAGATTATCTTCGAGGTCTCCAGTGGTGATACTCAAGGCTCTGGCATCTTTGGTCACAACGACCCCGTTGATCGATCGGAGGAAAAGCTCAAGGGTACAAACTTCATTCACTTCAGCGATAAGTTTGTCAATTATGTCACTCTTCCCGTCATTCCCCCTAAGGAGGAGTAGACCACTTCTGAGCAGCAATTTGGTCAAATGTAGAAAGTAAATTAGATATATACCATTTAGCGTCTTATGAAAATGCATTTTCGATTCGTACACACGTTGTTGAAAGTGCGACGCATTCTTGGAGTAATCTCTGTAGACTCTGAATAATTACATGGCAAGGACAAATCAAACTTATCATGTTTTCGCTCCGCCGCGATAAGTTACCAAAGCTACAGACATACAATGCTTGTCGAAGTGATTCTGAATATTGTTACGACGGGAGTCTAGAGAGGAAAACAGCCATCAATACAGTAGCACAGATTGGAAGTAATTCAAAGGCATATTGATATCATGAAAGATATTGAAATCCGTCTAAAGCCACATCCTCAAGCAGCAGCACGTATGGCCCTGCTTCCTTGCCAATTTCCGATTGTGAACTGTGAATTACACATGTTCTGAAGTTCCCATGTCTCTGCACCCAAAACACCGCCTTGCTCTTCCAAATCTTCCCAATCACCTGCAGCACCGGCACAGAAACATGCTGCCATAAAGTGATCATCTGTGCCGTGGGCGTCACGGTAGTGATAGTGCTTCATCAAGCGTGTCATGGCTCTACGCAGAGCAGGGCCTTGATTTTGTGTCATGACATCTTCGACGGCCTGCCTGAACTCCAAGAGAGACTTCTCTGGCGGGGCAACTTGAGCAAAGTTGTCTCTGTGCTGGACCATAGGCCACCAAACATTGCGGTAGAGGTTGTGGACGGCACCTCCTGTGCCAACGATCAGGTAGCCTTCCTTTCTCAGCGATCGCAATGTTGAGCCGACTTTCATGTGGTAGTGAGGGTCGTAGTATGCGTTCATGCTGACGATTGTGGTAGGAGGACAGCCGTTGGGGAACATTCGGATCAGAATCAGGAATGTGTCGTGAATCCAGTCGAAAGTGGCATCCTTCTCTGCGTTGAAACCTGCCTTGAGCAGCAAGTCTAGCACGCGATCAGATGTAGGCAAGTCCGGGTTGAGTTCGTAGTCGACATATTTTGAAGGGTGAACGTATGCTACTGGGCTCTTGTTTGGCTTGGGATTCGCTGAGACCATGATTTTGTCGCCTCGGGCATCCCAGTGTGCTCCCTGAATTTGTCAGTATATCGAATGCAATTTGGCAACAGACTACTCACCATCATGACCACACCCTTGATACCATGTGCCAAAGCTTCGTCACCGCACTTCTTCCAGTAATCAGCACTGGTGGACTCCTCGCCCAACATCATAGTTGAGCCATGGCTGAAAAAGTGGACTGGTGTCAGACCTGCTCCTGTTAGACTATGCTCGAGCCTTTTCTTCTTCGAACTCATACCCATTATTATGATAATGTCTTTGTGTGTGTCAATAATTTGCAGTTGGTCGAGCGAAAGAGCAGCTTGAATACAAGTCTAGATGATAGTACGCTATGGGGACATGGGTTGCACTAGCATTCGGCAGTGGGGTCCCGAATCGGGAAGGTGGAGGGAGCGGGATCGAAACGCCACAAATCTGGAACGTTTCGCGTCGTAGTCATGCGACCCACAGCGAGAACCGACTTGATAACCGACTCGAAAGAATGAGGGGTCGGGCATATACCTTTTGTATCTCCACATAGCCCGCTACGTGACATCTCCTGTTTGCTGCGACTATCCAGCACGGATGGACGCTCCCCCACCTTCAGTGCTGGGCAAACGCGCCCGAGACGACAGTTCGGATCAGACACCTCAGGAATCATCTAAATTATTCCAGTGTGGTGACTGTAGGAAGAGTTATTCACGCGTTGATCATCTTGCGAGGCACGTTCGTTTGCATACGAAAGTCAGTATTGCCCTTGAATTGTTGTGTCGAGTTATACTAATATTCATGTCTTGTCTTTAGGAAAAGCCATATCTTTGTCAAACATGCAATAAGAGCTTCGCCAGAGCGTGAGTGACTTGTATCCTCCCCGTGTGCTCAAGACCTTTACAGCTAGCTATGAGAATGCACAATATCTTCCAGAGTAGAGTGGCATCCAAGGAAATAACATAATCTTATGGTGCTTCCATGGCCACACTCTCGATTCTGAAATCATTGTGCATTCTTGCAGCTACATGTAATAGTCTCCAACCCCCGGGAGAGCATGTTGCATACTATACAAGCAGCTGACGGCATGTCAGTGATCTCTTGAAACGCCATGTCGCTGGCCATGAAGCTCGAGGAGAGCAATCTACAGGCACCTCAGCTCCAAATCGTCAAGGTCGTGTGAGCAAAGCATGCGAAGCCTGTGCCGAGCTGCACATTCGCTGCGATGAACAGAAGCCATGTACGAGGTGCAACAAAAAGCAGATCACTTGCGTTTATCAGACATCCCCACCACCGCCGGACAAAGAAGCTGTGGCTCGAGATTTGTTGGCCTTTGCAAGCGAATCAATCGTCATGCCACCTGATATGCCATCAATGAACTCCTCCATGGATCACTCGATGACCCCCGCAATGAACACCTCAATGACTCCGTCAATGAACCCATCGATGGACCCCTCGGTGGATCGCTTGATGAACCCTCCAACGAACCCCTCGATGAACCTCCCAATGGACCATGGCAGTACCGACCCTTATCAGCTCTCAACAGAGCCCATGATCATAAGTCAACAGGCTCCCAATCACGTATCAGTGCCTACAAATGACCATGATGGTGGGTTTCTCCATGACTTCCTGCAGAGTATTATTGGCGGTGACCCCTTCCCTCGGGAGATCGCGCCAGGAGAGCACGTTTCAGGGACCTGGACCCCACGAAATGTCTTCGATTTTGGTGCGAATACCGACCTTGAGTTGAATGATCTCGATCTCAACTTCTTGGATGGCTATAATCACGAGATACCATTTACTTCATTTGTGGAGACCCCTGAGACCAACCGATCTGTACCTGGGTCTGCCAGCGAGCCACCATCCGCTCTTGGTGTTGAATCACTTCAGAAATCTTCTACGTGGCGTTTCCGTCCAGTGACCCAGGATCGTGGCATGGGCGACCAACAAAACATCTCTCTCCCCAGTGGCGAGACCAGCAAGCGACTACCGGTGCAACGCAGAGTAACATCCGAGATGCTATCATACACGATGCGGGATCGTATCATGGCGCTTTTCATGTCTTCTTCAAATGAAGAGACGCTTCAGAAGACCATGCAATCATTCCCGTCGCTTGAGCTTCTGGATAGCCTGTTGCAGTACTTCCTATCATCTAAGACTGCGATATCAAACAGGATGATGCATCTCCCAACGTTTCGTCCAAACAACGCAAGGCCAGAGCTGATAGCAGCAATGGTTGTTGGTGGAGCAACTCTGGCCCCAGACGTTAGTTTGAGGAAGATGGGGTTTGCGCTGATGGAAGTCATCCGTGTTGGAGTTCCCCAGAACATTGAGAGAGACAACACACTCATTGGTGATATCGAGTGCGTCACATCACTCTGCATCGGATTGAGCGCCGGCTTGTGGAGTGGTAATTCACGCAAGATGGAAATCGCGGAGAGCTTCCTGCAACCATACCTTACCATGTGCCGACGTCGAGGCTGGTTCCGCAGGTCCGCCTATGAAACCATAGTCCCGTATCCTACAGATGTGGGAAAGGCTCTTGAAGACAAGTGGCATGCCTGGGCTAAGCAAGAAATGCGCAAGAGACTAGTCTTCTATCTTCTGGAGTACGATACCCGTCAGTCGATCGCGCTCTTCACCAATCCACTTATTTCTTATGCGGAGCTCGGACTACCTCTGCCAGAAGCAGAGAGCCTGTGGCTCGCAGCGACAGCTGAGAAGTGGAAGCAGACGTACTTAAATTTGAATCAGCACAAACAAAGAGAGCCTTCGCTCACTGATCTTTTGCAGGATGTTGAGCTTCTCGGGGAGGGACACGATATGTTTGACGAGACAACAGCGAGTCAGGCCCTGCTCGGCGCTGCATGGCGACTGATTTGGGAGTACCGGCAAATGTGCTCTATCAGCAGAGGTCACGCTAGCTCTTGGAGCAATTCAAAATTGCTTCTGTCATCGCGTCTGACTGAGTTGACAAAGCTGCTCGATTGCGTGAAGATGAGCTCTCATACCAATACCGCCATGACTCTTTCCCTGGAGCTGCTGCACATGCATCTACATATCTCTCTTGAAGAGATGCACCTCTTCGCTGGCGCAGAAGGTCATTCGGAAGCAAGAAGGGTGTACCCCTTGCTGCAGGACTGGGCCAAGTCATCAAGTGCTCGCCAAGGCGTCTATCACGCCGCTCAGATCGTGGCGGCGGCAAGAAAGATACCCACTGGATGTCTGCGCGACTTCCACGCGATTGTGCTGTATCAGGCCGGCCTCGCGTTGTGGTCGTACGGCGTGATCTCGAATTCTGCGCTAACAGAATCTGCTCTCGACTCCATGAGCAATACATCATCTGTAAGACGTGGCGAGAGTATCGTGATGCTGGACGAGGCCGACAATGGTGCGCAAAGGTTTATCAACTTGAACAAAGGACAGGCTGCCATCAAGAAAGCTGTTGGTGACCCCAGCGCTTCGCATGTGCTATTATCAGATCCTGCTGCGGTAATGGGTGTGCTTATGGACGTGTTCAGGATGAACGGGAGGCCGTCGAGGTCAGCGCCGCCACTGGTCGAGAATCTGCTCGAACTCATGGAAGGGCTGCGACTCGCAGTTATGGAGCCTAGCAGCAGTTGATATAGTGCAAAAGTATAGCTATGTCGATATCCATGATCTCTTCACTCAACTTTCAATTATGTTGCTGTTGCTTGCGTGCAGTCCAATACGTGCAACTTCCAAAAAGTAGCTTTACATCCAATACGGACCATCGTTCTCGTTTGCTGATGCTCTCGACACGTTTGCCAGAGCGCTCAAGCCGTCTCCTTCACATCCTTGCCCATCTCAGGAACCCACACAACTCTATCCTTACCGAAGAACTCAATCTCGGGCTTTGGCAACTCAATCTCGCCAGCAAACAATCCATACTGCAAACATCTATCATCCGGACTAGCAGCCTCAATGATACAAACCGGGCTACCACACTCGGTACACAGTGTCCTTGTCATAGGTTTGCCGCTTCCAGTATCTGGGTCCGAGTATGATTTGTGTGTTGAGCCGGAGATGGAGACGTGTTGTTTAGGTACGATGAAGGCGTAGGAGGCTATGCCGCCAGAGCGGCGTTTGCAGTTTGTGCAGTTGCAGCAGAGGGTTGAGAATGATGTGAGAGGTTTGTCAGATACGGTGACCTTGGTCATTGTTAGAGAAGATCGGAGGATATTGTTGGCGTGTACTTACTTGGACTTTTCCGCAGAGGCAGCGGCCGCTTGTTTGGGTTGCCATAATCTTTATGCTAGGATCGGATTGCTGCGCTTGATTTGCAACGAAAAAAGCGAGAATTCCCAAAGGATAAAATTGAGTGAGACTCTCCTCGAAATTAATGTTTTGTTATGTGTTGGATACAAGACAAGCAAGCTAAGGAAAGAACAATGGTGGTTTTGAGATGTTGTTAACCTTCCATTGTGATCACCTCTACGTCATTCAGGGTCCAAAGTGCATGCAGATGGGGAAACCCTGGTCATACCAATACTGTGATAACCCTTTATTACTGTTGTGTCAACCCTATCCTATGCGAATCTCTCTGTTGCGCAACGCCGTGCTGAACTTCTCCTTGACGCTCTCATCCACGTCCTCAGCCTTCATCAGCTCAGCAGCCAGAAGAACAGCATTATCCCTTTCCTTTTCCTTCAGCCATTCGGGACGTGAGTCCTTGGGCTGTTCACCATCTGCTCCTTCAGATATCTGCCCACCCAGTCTTGGGCTGAACAGTGTGAACAGGGCTTCATCCTCGGAGAAAGCATTGCCGACTTTGCTTGCACCGTTAGGAAGACGAGCAGCGAGATTCAAGCCTAGCCATGCTTCTGCTTGGATGGCGATGAGACCTGGTTCAGCTGCGTGCTTGATACTGAAGATGAGCGGGTCGAGAATCGAGGATGTGTTTACTGGTGTGTCGAACAACGCCTTCGTAGCCTCTTCTTCTCCGTTCTCTACTTCCGAAACTGTGGCCGAAGATGCTTGCAGGGTACGCAAGAAACTGACAGCAAGCCTCGACATCTCCAGTTTGACCGAGGTGGATGTGGTGGTTCGGTAGGTAGTGAGTAATGTGGTGAGGAAGTCGTTGTTCGCGTCGGACAGTATTGCTACCAATCTCGACTTCATGTTTGCAAGCATTTGACGCGTAAGCGCAAGACCGCCCATCTGAACTTGTTCTAGCGAGATGTCCGTGTAAAGATGCCTAGTTGATTGTAGATACTCGTTGTCCGCGAAGTAGCGTTCGCGATTCTGCATCGGTGTTGCAAGATGGCGTAGCAGTCCTGACGCAGCATTGAGGAAGGCAGAATCATTAGATCGACTTAGTTCAGAAAAGAGATCCTTGATGGGTACATTAGGTGCTAGCGAGATAGCTGCCTCGTCGGATATGATGAGGTTGCCCAGAATCAGACAAGCTGCCGGTGCGATAGGCGATCGCGATGTAGGATCTGCTGGTGTGGATATCGTTTGCGAGTATAGAGATTGAATGAAGGCGTCTGATGTGTCATACTTCTCGTTGTAGAGTGGTAAGGCAGTCATATCGGCCAATCCTTGTGACAAGACGAGCTGGAATTGCAGGTACTGCTTTTCATCATAGTCTTCCTCATCTTCCGCTTCGCGGTCGCTCAGCCTCCTGTGTTCGGTACGTTTGAGCAGTTTCCAGACATGTTCGATTTGCTTGTGTTTCACGAGAGCTTGAACGAAATTCTTGTCCAGTAAATGAGCAGCAACAAGTGTCAATGCATCGAGAAAAGCTGTTGCATCAACTTCCGCGAGAGGGAGTTTCAGCAATCGAGGTCCAGTAATCTCGAAGTCAGGGAAATCGTCCGATGGCTTCAATTTCTGTTTATGTTCCACGATCATACAGGTGAGGTCCAGAGCCAGACTCCAGACACCATCGTCGATCGAAAAGCGCGTATCGAGGCAATAGATCAGCGATTGATGGATGTTTTGCGTGAAGCACTCTTCTTGAGCAGGAGCTAGAGAAAATTCAATACCTAGATCTTTACCTGTACTTCTGATTGCTAGACTTACTGTAATCAGTGCACAAATTAAAGACGACCTTGATGGTGGTGTCTGCCAATGCCAGAGCCTCAGGAGAATTCGAGGTGGACGTCAAGAATGAGTTCAAGGTCTTCAAATATGTTGGATCTGCAACTATTTCAGATCTACGAGAGTCTTTGTGCAAGAAGCAAAACAATCAGTATTCTTGGCTCTATACAATTGTGTCCTCCTCTTACCATTGTCGGCGATCATGTTGCCGATACAGCGAAGCAGATTTCTCCATAGCGTCGGATCTGACGATTCTTGCTCGCTACTCGCAGCAAGACCGGAAAATAATGACAGAAACTGCTGAAATGAGACATCTTGCATGCGTGATCTCAAGACAGGGTCAGCACTGGAATCGGCAAGAATTTGAAGTGCTTTTGCAATATTGCTCAAGCTAGGGCGCTCTTCAGCATCCAGCACAGACTGAGCCCATTCGAAGTCAGACATCACATCGATTCCCAGATCTGACCAAGTATCAGCGATGTATATCCTAAAGCCAAGATAGAGAACTGGTTGATGTGAAATCAGGAGTGACAACCCGACCAGCGCCAAGACAAAATCAGGGCAGCGCTTGGGAACCCCGGACTTTCAGCAGATCAAAGGAGAGCTCGACGAGAGCGACAACAGCAACGTTGACTTTCCCCTTCTTCGAGTCTATACAAACACATCCAGCCAAAATGACAAGGGCCACGCAAACCATTTCCATCTTCCTTCTCGTCTCCTCCGTACGTTCGAATTTTACAAATGATCGTGTGCACAAGACTGATGCGATGCCTTACAGCTCTACCTGGCCCTCTTCCTTGGCTTGATCCCCCTGCCAGCCAAGATTCAGGACGACATCATTCCTTACGTATGTTTCGTCCAATTTATCGCGGAGCTACCACCCGGCACAATACTAACCATAGTATTCAGCTTCCCTTCTGGGCCCTCATCTCGTTCGGCGCATACCTCCTGGGCAAGCTCGGCTACAATGTCATGACCTTCCACGATGTTCCAGAGGCTCACAAGGAGCTCATGGCCGAGATCGAAGTCGCTCGTGCAGATCTGAAGAGATTGGGTGTTGAAGTGGACTAGATGCAACCACCGACAAGCGGTTTATTTGGGCGTCATTGGGCGTAACAGCAGGTGCCAATGTCACAGGGTCAAAGAGGGCGTTACAAGGGAAAAAGTCAATGTACACATACTCGCTCGCCGAGGCTTAGGTTGTTCTGTCAAACATGCCTACAAAACTTCAACCTGCTCGCAAGCTCGCCAATCTTTTGGTTCGAGGCCTCTCTACCTCGCAGATAGGACAGTCATTGTCATTCTCTGGGTGTCCACCAATTTCACGCTGCCACTCCAATTCTTTCTGCTTTGCCAGCTGTTCACGTCTAGCAGCCAAGTATGTTTTGTGGTCTGGGGGGCTGGCGTCCATGATGGTGCTGAGTCCTGCATACTTGATCTGTCCACTTTGTTCGTCAACAACAGCGTGCGACCTGGGATATCTCTCCCATCTTTGTTTAGCCAGAACAATCGAGTCCCGTGTACAAGACAGCTGCGGATCAACACCGGGCCAATCTTCACCCAAGCGGTGGCGTACAAGCTCGAGACTATCCTTATGCGAGGGTATGGATCGATCGCTAATAGTACTGGCGCTAGTGGGTATGCTGGGTCCGGCATGTTTCAAGGCTGGCTTGAGGTGTGGCGATACTCGGGCACTCTGCATTGAAGATTGCGGCTCAGATCGTAGCATCCCGCCTGGCGTTGTAGCAGGCGTTGGGCTACCCGAATGACTGTGCCTGGCCGAGTATTCACCACGACCCTTCCTTGGGCTATCACTTGTTGCACGGGTGCTCAAAGGGACAGCTGAGACCTCATCGGGGCTGGACGAAGGTTCAGGACTTCGCCTCTCGCTACGCTTTGAGCCAGCTTTCCTCGCGCGGGACATGGTGGAGAGCTTCCTTTTGACTGCTTCCAAGGCAATCTCGCTTCTGGATCCTGTTGCACTTCTCGTATTGACACTCGAGCTCGATGCACCGCTTGATGGAGCCGACCTTTCAGTCGCAGTGGCCGTGACTTTGTCGTCATGTGGTGTTGCGTACGCGCTGTTACTGGACGCAGAACTCGCGGCCTGGCTTCGAGATGATCGAGAGATATCCTCAAGCTGTTCCTCGCTATCATCATTGTTTACAGGTGTAGTGCAAAAGTCGAAACGTATGGGACTGCCAGCGACGTGCGCATTGATGATCGGGCTGTAAGCCGGTTTGGAATAGAGCCCTGATGCCGAAGATGTGCGGTAAAACCTGGTTGAAGTAGGTCTTTCCTGAGGTATTGACGAGGCACCTGAAATTGAATACGATTTTGTATGGCGGAAGGAGAACAAGGGATCTTTTGCATCGTCCGCGTCGTCATTCTCATCTTGGGACACCTGAGGAAGCTCTTCGGTTGGTGTAGAGTCATTGCTGTAGGTCACCATTTCTCCACCCATGTCGTAGAAGTCTGGGTCTCTTTCATGGCTGTTGAGAGAAATCTCATCCAGATTCTGCGTTGCTTCGCGTGGTACATCTTCGAAATCCTCGAATGAGATCAGATCAGGCTGTACCTCTTCGGCATCTCGCTCTTCTGACTTGGTTGACTCGCGATCCAAGGTGGTTGTGGATGGGATACGAAAGCCTGGAGGCGCAGTGTTGGACCGTCGTGGAGTAAGATGCTCAGGCGCGGGCTCGATAAAATGAATCTTCCTTTTGCGAGGCGTTGTTGGAGCACTTGGTGAACAGACAAGCCTTTGCAAACCGTTCCACTCGCCTTTCATGTTCAGCCCTATCTTCTGCATTTTGTGCGATCCAAACTTACCACCATCATCCGGCATGTCCTCATCGGCAGATGAGTGTCGTCTGATGTCAAAATTGGTGTTAGGTGCGGCTGAAACACTGTCTTCCCTTGATCTACGGTAGGTGCTCATGGCCGGCAGAATCTCTTTGGTCGGTCGACGGGATCTTGTGGTGTAGATAGGAAAAGGCCAAAGTCGATTAAATAGAGGTATGGCGACAAGATAGATGAGCGATTGGGTCTAGGATTGATCGAGGACAGATAGCAATGAGAAAAGAGAGGAGGGGCGAAGAAGGGTTAAGTAGAGAGCACAAGTAGGTGTCGATTGAGATGGTCAAAGGTCAGAAGCCGCGTGTGTTCGACCAGCATGCAACTATCCATCGTCGCACCTACCTTTTCTACTTACACTGTGCTACCCCGATACAGGCTTCCTCGAAGCGGAAAGAGCAGAAATGTCTTCAGCTTACAGCTCTTTCTACACATCGGCGTTGCGCCTCTTCAGCAGTCATTGTCGTCCGACGACACATATTGTGGGATGGAATCTTGCCAACATCTACACAGCAAGGCTACCCGATGTCTGCATAGCCACGGTCGATTTAATGGAGCTTTCGACATAGGTTTGATGTCGGGTGACAAATGCTCGCAGATGTGAGTTGATGAAGGTTTGCGAAAGGGCGGAGAAATGGCAGAGCATGCCCCTCCATTGCATCATCCGAGGCCCCGTTCCTGACTGCCATCCGCATCATAACTTCGTGAACACTTCAAGAACAACTTAATCCCAGCTTCTGATTCTCCAGATCTTCTCTTTTCCAATCTTTAGTCACAGCAAAAATGAGTGGTGAAAGCAAAACCATCCTGGCCTTCGATGCTTACGGCACACTTCTCTCGACTGAGTCGATTGCTAAGAAGCTCGCCTCACACTTTGGGCAAGAAAAGGCCCAGACAATTGCAACCACATGGCGCAAGTACCAATTGGAATACACATGGCGTCTGAACAGCATGAGTACGCAAGCCCACACCATTAGTCTAATTATTATAACTTACGCCACCACAGAGCAGTACGAGGACTTTAGCAAGGTTACACTGCGTTCGTTGCGGCACGCGTTGGCTGAATCCTCTGTCTCGCTGGAGCAGAAGGACATCGATGATCTGATGAAGGCTTACGACTCGCTTTCCATCTTCCCCGATGTGGCGCCAGCCCTCGAGGCTATCTCCAAGCGCAACGATCTCTTCCCGGTGGTCTTCTCGAACGGTACACACACAATGGTGTCCAATTCGGTCAACAAATCGCCAGATCTCTCAAAACATGCCTCGGTTTTCAAGGACATCGTTGTGGTCGAGGAGCCAAAGCGATTCAAGCCTACGCCAGAATCTTACGCTCACCTTGCCAAGTCAGTTGGAAAGGATCCTAACAACAAAGAGGATATGGCGAGCATGTGGTTGATCAGTGGAAACCCATTCGATGTTACAGGTGCTCGCGCAGTAGGCATGCAGGCATGCTGGGTGGACAGAGCAGGCAATGGATGGCAGGACGCTCTTATTGAAGGCGAGCTCGGAAGACCGTCAGTGATTGTCAAGAGTCTTGAGGAGGTGCCCAACGCTGTGTCGGGAGTATTGCCAGTACAGTAAACCATGTGTGGGTGTTGTCTATAGAATTGTATACCCACAAGCTCAAATCTGCTTCAACAAAGTCGCAGTGGTTTAGTGGTAAAATTCGTGCTTGCCATGCACGAGCCCCGTGTTCGATTCACGGCTGCGACATCGTTTTGCCAGAGAGACAAGAGTTGCGAACCTTTTGCTCTTGCTTGGGTGATTCTGGGATGAACCATTCTCACATTCCTCCCAGCTCATGCTGATCAACCTCATAGCCATCAAAATGTATGATTGAGTTCGGAGATCGACCACTTCAAAAGAGACACTCCTGACCGCAGTCTTTCAATGGAATTTTTCAAAACCGTAGAATGTTGTGCATTTTTGACAGTATTATCATGAACCGACCAGGAGCTCGGGAGTACCGCGGCTGGCGACACAGCAGATCTCATGAAAAGCAGGACCTCAAGCGGTGACGACAGACGAGAGTTCACAGCAGCACACTGAGAATAAGAACAGCAAGCAACAAAGGCATACCCATGCTTAGCTGACCGCGGATGTTCCAACCACAGGCAGACGTTGTCAATGATGCGTCTTCGTCCTTACAAGAAGCGCAGCTGCAGACTTTTCTGTCTCATCCAAAATATTTCCTAGATCCTCATAGAATTTGAAGATTTCGGGGTAAGCAGACGAAATGTCAATCTATTCCCTTTTTCCCCCCTCGCTCGCAACAGGAACAAACACGGCGTTGGTGAATAAAGGGAAATTCAGTTTATGTAATCGAACGAAGAGGGTGAAGGGGAGGACAGAGATTTATACCTCAGAGAGTTGCACGGACCAGATGCGACAAGCGCCTGCCAAGGACAAATGACTGCTGGTCAGCAAATTCCAGTGGAAGATCGAGTGAGGGTCAGCGAGATCAGAGCCCAAAGTAATTTTGCTTCGTCACAACCACAACACAGCTTTGTCGCGACTTTTGAGCATATCACGACCGTGATACCAAGGAGCATCCACCAGGAATACTAGACTTCGCACCGCAAGGTCGATAAAGAAACTTCCACAAAACAACAAACTTCATAACTGCAACCATGGCTACTAGAGGTAGAGGCGGCAAGTTCATGAAGCCCAAGCGCGGTGGTAAGTGACGATGTCATGGTATTTGATGTGCGACTCCTCTGACTCGTTTGCCCAGGCGGCAAGCACTTCAGCAGAGATCTCCGTCCCGTTGACGCCGAAGGCGCTGAGAAGAGCATGTGGGCATCAGACTCGGAAAACTCGTCGTCCGAGGAGGAGTCGTCTTCAGAGGAGGAGTCGAGCGAGGAGGAGGCACCCAAGCCCGTCGAGCAGGAAATGACCCGTGAGCAAAGACGTGAGGCAGCCAAGGCACGCAAGGCCGCAGCCATCGCAAAGAAGAAGGGACCCGTCCAGGTCGGAGACATGCCCTCAGATAGCGACTCGGACTCATCAGACGATGACATGCCCGCAAACCCCAACCACACCGCAAAGGCCGCCAAGATGGCCGCAAAGCCCGTAGTTGCTGGATCCGACGACGAGGCACCCAGAAAGAAGTCAAACAAGCCCACCGACATGTCGCAACTGTCCAGAAGAGAGCGCGAGGCGCTGCAAGCACAACAAGCCAAGCAGAGATACGAAAAGCTGCACGCCGAGGGCAAGACGGAACAAGCCAGAAACGATCTGGAGAGACTGCAACTGGTCAGACAGCGCAGAGAGGAAGAGGCAGCACGCAAGGCAGCTGAGAAGGCCGAGAGAGAAGAGCACGAGAAGGAAAAGGCCGAGCAGCTGGCTCGCATGGAGAGACAAAGAGCAGCAGCCGCAGCCAAGAAGGCCCGTGGCAACAAGAAGAAGTAAACGGCATTGCTTTTATGACTTGATGAGCGAATTGAGGGTTGTGGAGGCAAGGCTATCGGAGCAGGTTCCAGGAAGTGCTTCGGGGATTTTGTGCATAGCATATGGCAGTTTACGACACGGTTGCTCCTACTTGATTCGTCTGCCAACCTAGGCAGTGCTCGTGTGATATTTTTGTGAGGGCCATGCAGGTCGACTATGTACGGAGATAAACCAATTTAGGTGGAGCAAGCCCCGGACGAGAGACGACGCCGCAATTGCATGTGCTCCAAGAAGTTTTCGGGGAAGCGTCACAGAGCGACCTTTGCGAACGTGAACCTGTAGAGGCAAGTCGAAGACGGCATGCGTAGGTCCAAGTTGTTGAGGGTAAGTCAAGGCAATTGATCACACGAGAAACCAACTGACCACACGACACAGGCGTCCTCGAGCCAAAGCATTTGCAGCTTTTGCGCTGGCCGCATACACCCTCACGCCTTTCAAACGACTCTAGCTCGGAGTAATGCATTCCATTCGAGTACCAGCCAGGCCCAGGATCCTAACGACCCTTTCTCATCCTTTGAAATCCCCGATGCCGCGCTAGAAGCCCAGAAGGTCTTGCAGGCGGCGAAACGCCAGAGAGAAGAACAAGAGGCCACCCGCCGCAGGCAAGCCGAGGAGACAAATGAGAGACTCGCTTCTCAGAAGCTGTTTGGAAATGCCTCTCGCAAGACGTCTCAGGCGCAGAAGGGACAGCAAAAACAGTCGCAACAAGCACAGCAGCCGAAGGAGCCACAGAGATCCAAGGCGCAACAGACTCAGGGAAAGGGACTCAACGACTTCCAGCAGCAGAGGCAGCAGAAACCAAATCAGTACAATCAAAGACAGACTGCCAGTCCGCCTAAAGCTGTAGACCCCGCTGCTAATCGACCTCTGAATCGCGTCCAGACCGCTCGTCGCGAAGGTCGACAACAACATGCAAAGATCTCGCATGACAACTTTCTGCAGGACCTTGATCTTAACAAGTCCGAGAACAACATGCCTAGTATGGATACTCTACCTACGCGTCAGGGGCACACACGGAACAACCAACCTGTAGCACAGCCTGCTTCAAGACCTCAGTTCAAGAGCGAGCCAAATACTCCTTCAAAGCCTGCGGTTAAGGCTCCGTCCTGGATGTCTCCCACTCCCGCTTCTCAGTCATCCACCTCTGCCTCAAATGCTGCCCCATCCTCAGACACGCAAACGCCTTCGTCACAACCCTTCCAGCCTTCTGAGGATCCTGTCTCAAAGGCGTCGCAACCCTCCGAGGATTACGAAGACATCTTCTCGGCCGATCTGGACCAGGTAAGAAAGGCTTTCGAACCAGTTCCCGCCCCACCGGTCAAGGTGCGATATGCACCGCACAACTCGGAGTTTGTACCACCGGAGAGACCAGAAAGACCAGAAACGTCCAGAGATCGTGCCTTCAACAACTGGCAGCGAAGCGAAGAATCACAACGACAAGCAGATAGCCAGCAGAGAGAAGAACCGCGCGTAGCTCAAAACAACAAGCTTACGGACCTTGCAACCTCCTTCATCAACCAACGCCCAAGGCCGTCAAGATCTGCAGCACCACCGCCGCCTCAGGCAGAATCGCAATCTACATCGTCGTTATCGGAGGAGGCTGGTGGACTGTCGCAAGAGGAAGAGAGGATGCTCCAAGCATTATTGGCTCGCAAGAACAAGTTATCGCCAACACCTTCAACATCCCCTATTGAATCTCTGTTTGATGAGCAAGACCAGCAGACAAGACGTGCACTCGTTGACGAATCGAAGATGCGCGTCCAAGAGGAACAGGCCAAAAGGGCGGAGGAAGATCGTTCTCGTGGACCTCGCTTCTCCACCAAGATGGTCAACAATCGCGAGGAGCCAGATGAGAAGCCCTTTGAAAATGCTCAAAACTGGAGTATTTTGAAATCGCGACGCCAGCCGCCGCAATCGAGACAGCAGGAGCAGGAAAGTGGTAATGGAGGCAACCAAAGAGTTTCATCCATCTCAGCTGGAGATATTGATGCAAGATTCGAAGAGTACAGGCAGAGGCGGCCAAGATTGGGTGGTTTCAACATCGAGTCTTTGAATGTTGAAAGCAGACCTCCCAGACCTCTGCGTCCGGGCCAGACTTGTGTCAGATGTGGCCAGCCAGGTCATATTTTCCGCAACTGTCCTAACCCACCCAAGCCTGGCTGGGTTGAACGAACACCAGGTCAAAAGCCTGTTCGTGGTGAACGAGTTGATCGCAATGCGACACGACCTGACAGAGACGTACGACAACCCAGAGAATCTAGAAGCGCTGGAAGAGACATGGCTGCTGCATATGGAGTCTCGGCACCTGAAGAGGCCTCTGGAGAAGCTGAAGAGCTGGACCCTGCTGAGGCGGAAGCAGCCAGAAAATTGGCAGAGCGCAATGCTCGCAGAGCGTCTCGCTTCGTTGAGGAAGACGACGAAGCTGAAGCCGATACGCGCAAGTCTCAGCCCGCCAAAGGACGCCGCAGCCGGTTCGACGAAGTAGACGAAGAGGACGATGACAAACCTCGTAGAGGCCGCCGCAGCCGATTTGACGATGATGACGATGTCGAAGGTGACTTTGGCACTATGCGCAACAACCGTGATGAACGCAAGAAAGCCCGCCAGGCAAAGAAGGAAAAGGCAGCAAAGGAGGCTGCACGTCAAGCTGCAAGACAAGCAAGACGTGCGGAGGCCATGACTCCTATCAACCTACCAGAATTCGTCAGCGTCTCAAAACTGGCACAGCTGACGAACGTCACATATCAAGAAATGGCTGAGAAGATGGGAGAACTTGGGTTCGAAAACACATCGCACGATCACATTCTTGGTGCTGAAGAGGCAGGTTTGATTGCTATGGAGTACAACTTTGACCCTACTCTCGGTGCTCAGGAAGAGGCTGAGGCTGAGGAGCGTGACTTGAAGGCATTGCCAGAGCCTGCACCCGAGGACAAAGAATTCCTGCCTGTCAGACCTCCTGTCGTTGCAATTATGGGACACGTTGACCACGGAAAGACTACCATTCTTGATTACCTTCGCAAGTCATCGATCGCAGCTTCTGAGCACGGAGGTATCACGCAACACATTGGTGCCTTCAGTGTTGGTTTGTCGAGCGGCAAGACCATCACCTTCCTCGATACACCTGGACATGCAGCTTTCCTTGAGATGCGCAAGCGTGGTGCCACTGTGACCGACATTATCATTTTGGTTGTCGCAGCTGACGATTCTGTCAAGCCGCAAACCATTGAAGCCATCAAGCACGCTCAATCTGCTCATGTACCTATCATCGTTGCCGTCAACAAGATCGACAAGGAAGAAGCCAACGTCGAGCGTGTCAAGCAAGACCTGGCTCGCCATGGTGTTGAAATCGAAGACTTCGGTGGTGAGACCCAAGTCGTGCCTGTCAGTGGCAAGACTGGTCAAGGCATTGATGAGCTCGAAGATGCAGCAGTCACTCTTTCTGAGATCCTGGACCACCGTGCTGCTACCGAGGGTCAAGTCGAGGGTTGGGTCATCGAAGCCACTACCAAGCCCGGTGGCCGTGTAGCTACTGTGCTTGTCCGCCGCGGTACACTGAAGCCTGGTACCATCATCGTGGCAGGCAAGACCTGGGCTCGTGTCCGCAGTCTCCGCAATGAGGCAGGAGTAAGCCAGATGTCTGCTGGTCCTGGTACACCCATCGAAGTCGACGGTTGGCGCGACCAACCCGACGCAGGCGACGAAGTCATCCAAGCACCTAACGAACAGAAGGCTGCCGATGTAGTCGCTTTCCGCGACGAAAAGGCTGAACGCATCCGCATGGCTGAAGACATGGAAAAGATCAATGCCCAACGCCGCGAACAGCAAATTCAACGTGACTTGACCAAGGAAGCTGCGGCTGCCGAAAAGGCCGCTGAGAAAGCAGCCAGAGCAGCAGGTACCGATGTCGAGCCCACAGCAACCCGCAAAACAGCTGTTGACGCCGATGAAAATGAGACTCCTGGTCATCAAACTGTGCCGTTCATCATCAAGGCCGATGTCAGTGGTAGCGCCGAGGCTGTCTCTGCTTACCTGCTCCAAATGACCAATCCTCTGTGCTTGCCAAAACTGCTTCGCGCTTCCGTCGGCCCAGTCTCCGAGTTTGACATTGAGCACGCCGATGCAGCAGGAGGTCACATCATCTCCTTCAATCTACCTCACGACCCTGAAAGCGCTGGCCGTGCTGAACGCAAGGGCATCAAGATCCTCGAGCAAAACGTCATTTACCGCATCGTCGACGATGTGCGCGCAGTACTCGAAGAAAAACTGCCACCGCAGAAGATCCAAAAAGTTACTGGTGAAGCTGAAGTTGTCATGAGTTTCGAGATTGGCATCGGTGGACGCAAGAAGATGAAGATTGCAGGGTTGAAGGTCAGAAACGGTGTTGTGAGCAGAGGGTCACGGGTCAGAGTTACCAGAGGTGAGGAGAGGGTATATGATGGTAAGTTTCTTTTATCTTCTGCTCTCCAGAATTTGCTGCTGACTTGAGAAATAGGTACCGTGACCAGTCTTAAGAATGTCAAGAAGGATGTTCAAGAAATGCGCAGAGGCACCGAGTGTGGTATGGGCTTCGAGGGCTGGGAAGGCTTTGAAGTTGGCGACATGATCCAGACCTTCGAGGAGAAGACCCAGAAGCGTACTTTGCCCATTTGAAAGGATGCATTGTAGGTGATTTGTAAGAGTACGGGAGATATAGGCCATCTTTTTGTGCATATGTAAAAAGGATAGAAGCATGGCATGTACAGCGGCGTTTCTTTTTTGTCTACTTGTAAATACTAGCACCCGACTCTTGGATCTTTACTGTATATAGACTTATGATGTCGTGTAAACACCGTTATGTTGAGTCTCCATGGGCAAAGCTATAGCAAAGAGCAAAGAGGTTACTTTGAAAAGTACGTACTATTGAACATGGGGAAGTAGGGCAAGACAAATATAGCACGCTCATGGAGAGTTTTTGGAATCATGCATCAATGTGGAAGAGGAAAAAACAGGCTTTTGCTTGACGAAATTACATGCTTTGAGATCATACAGACTTGCGCAAGTCGGCACCGGCCCATAGGACAGGAGCAAAGTGCTTCGGCAGGTTCAGACCAAATAAGCTGACGATCCAGAAAATGGCAAAGGCCACAACAGGTGTCAAAAGTAGCTGAGTGTGATGTAAGAAGGGAAGGGCATTGTAGCCGAGGAAGGTAACGACAAAATAGTAGCCAAAGGCAACCAGGTACAGGAGGTTGCCGAAAAAGAGCGAGACCCAGTAGTCGCGTGAGATGACGGGCATGAGTAGGAACTGGACGACGTACAGCCAGACCCAGACCGGGAAGAAGGCGCGGATCGAGACGTCAAAGCAGTATCCAAACTCGAGTTGCTCGGCGGCATCGTTCCCTGGTGGACCAAACAAGCCAGCTCTTTTGTTTCTGCCCGGCAGACCCTTAACACCAGGACCCAGTAGCTTTCCGACGAGGAAGTAGGCAGCGGTCGAGACGAGTAGTGAGGTGAGGAGGAAGTGGCCGAAGATGAAGACAAGGGTAATGCGTAAAGTTTTGGAGAAGCCATCGGCGTAGGCCAGCCCCCAGGACAGGGCGGTCAGGAGCAGGAAGAAGGAGAGCAGGTAGGTGAAGGAGGGATCTGCTCTGTGCCATGTGTTGCGAGTTTGTTTTTGATAGTAGACCTGGCGGAAGACCTTCTTGGGGGCGATGATCAGACTGGTCATTTCCCAGACAGCCATCTCGAAATCCATTTGCGGGAACTTGAACAGGCGTTTGAAGAATCGAGGCATGCGGATGCGGCCATCTTTCCGCCGTGACGACGAGTGTACTGGGCCAAAGGACGAGACATTCGAGTTGTTCCTCGGAAGGGTGATTGTCGGATTCATGTTGCGACAGTGAACTGTCAGAGGACGAGGGCGAAGAATCGAGATGTTTGTCGAGGAGAGACAACAAGCTCAAAGACGCTTCAGGGCATCGCATCCGGCTGCCTGTCTGATGTCACAGATGCAGGTACGGGTATACCCGGCGCTAGCGTTGGTTGGCGCGAGCAGAGCAGCCTCGGAGCTCTGGCGTCTGGCGCAGCGCAAAGTCGGCCAAACTTCACTGCATCTCTGCTCACTGCTGCTGTCGCATTTCTCATCATCCTTTTGCTTGCCTGTTTGCTCGCGTTTTCTTTTACTTCCCAGTGCTAGAGCCTCCCCAACACCACGTATAACAAGTTAAGCTCGCCACAGAACCCTTCGTGCGCACGACACTCGACTCGATCCATTCCCCGCGCGTCATCTCTCTCGTCGCTCGCGCTCCACCGCCATCATGGCCGAAATGAGTGCTGAAGATGCTTTCCTCGCCTCCATGAGCGCTGCCGAGTACGATCCCGCCTCTTACGACCCCGCCGCCGAACAGACTCCCGTCCAAGGCCAGGAAGACGAAGAAGAGGATGACGAAGACTATGACCCTTCCAGCTTCATGCCCGACCAGCCTCAGCAGCCTGAGGCCACCCCCCAGCCCGCCGCTGTCGTATCTCAGCCTCCCTCCCAGATTCCCTCCCGTACTGCCTCACGCATGTCCGAGCCCACGACTGCGCAAAAGCCAAAGACAATTGGTGGCTTCATTGAAGAAGATGATGACGAAGATGATGAAGAGCAAGAGCAAGGCACAGGCACAAACGGTTCGCTCGCTCAGACTCCTGTGCAGCAGCAACACAATGTACAAGCCGTATATAACCCTCCTCCTACTGATTCTCTTGAACAAGACCATGCCCCTTCTGCTCTTCCCACTCAAGGTGCTTCTGTCCAAGGCCAGACCCTGCCGCAGTCCAATGCTCCTGTTCCCTCTGCGAACATCTCTTCTTCATCTTCTGCTGCCCAAACAAAGCCTCGCTTGCCTCAGGACCGTGTTGGTCAGCTGGAGGACAGAATTGCCGACGATCCAAAGGGTGATGTTGATGCTTGGCTTGACTTGATTGCTCTACACAGATCCAAGAACAAGCTTGACGATGCTCGCAGCGTCTACGATCGCTTCTTCGAAGTCTTTCCAACTGCTGTAAGTCCCTCTCCTCCCGTTCTCTCTTCTTGTTGCAACAGCCCCAGCTAACAAATCTCGAGGCCGAGCAATGGGTCGCCTACGCCCTTATGGAGCAAGACCAAGACGACTTCCTCCGCTTAGAGAATATCTTCAACATGGCTCTCCTCAAGAACTACAACGTCCAGCTTTGGGGCATCTATCTCGACTACATCAGACGTCGCAACAATGTCATGACCGACACAACAGGCCAGGCTCGCCAGACTATTACTCAGGCGTACGACTTTGCGCTCAACTTGATCGGCAACGACAAAGACTCTGGAAACATGTGGCAGGATTACATCAACTTTATCAAGTCGGGCCCTGGTAACCCTGGTGGCAATGGCTGGCAGGACGCTCAGAAGATGGATCTCTTGCGCAAGGCTTACCAGCGCGCCATCACTGTCCCCATGCAAGCCACCACCAGTCTGTGGAAGGAATACGATTCATTCGAGATGGGTCTCAACAAGATGACGGTATGTCGCACACATGCATTCCTCTGGCGGCATTCTGCTAACACCTGACAGGGCCGCAAGTTCCTCCAGGAGAAGTCGCCAGCTTACATGACCGCTCGTACCTCCTACAATATCCTTCAGAAGATCACCCAGGACCTGAAGCGCAGAACTGTCCCGACTTTGCCCCCGGCACCCGGCTGCGAGGGCGACGATGAGTACCAGCAACAAGTCACTATCTGGCAGAACTGGATCGAATGGGAAAAGGAGGATCCGCTTGTTTTGAAAGAGGAGGACATCAAGGCCTATCGCGATCGTGTTCTCTACGTCTACAGACAAGCCACCATGGCTCTTCGCTTCTGGCCCCAAATCTGGTACGACGCTGCCGAGTTCTGCTTCGACAATGATATGGAGACCGAAGCCAATGACTTCCTCGCCCAAGGCACCGCGGCCAACCCAGAGAGCTGTCTTCTCGCATTTACTCGTGCCGACCGCATTGAGCAGACTATGCCTGTCGAAGATGGCGAGGAAAGCCTTGTCCGCCGTGGCGATGCCGTCAAGGAGCCCTACGACAACTGCCTGAATGCATTGTATGCTCTGATTGACAAGATCAGAGCGCGCGAGCCTAAGGCCATTGCCCAAATCAAGGAGTTTTACGAGTCGCTGCCTCCGCTGTCTCGCGAACCCACCCCCGAGGCTAGAGATGATGAGGACGAAGATGAGTCGAAGGACAGACCTGCTGCGAACTCCAGAGAAGCCGAGGAGAAGCGACAGATCGAGGAAGTGCAGAAGGACACTGCCGCTCAGATCAAAACCGTCTCCAAGACGCTATCATTCGTCTGGATTGCTCTCATGCGTGCGATGCGCCGTATACAAGGAAAGGGCAAGCCCGATGCACCTGTAGGAGGTCTTCGAAACGTCTTTGCTCTTGCGAGAAAGAGAGGCCGTATCACCAGCGATGTCTATGTGGCAACTGCACTCATCGAGTACCACTGTTACAAGGACCCGGCAGCAACCAAGATTTTCGAGCGTGGCATGAAGCTCTTCCCCGAGGACGAGCTCTTTGCCATGGAATACCTCAAGCATCTGATTGCTACCAACGACGTCACAAGTATGTGTTCTGGCCAGTCTGATTATTTGTACTTGTACTGACAACTCTTCCAGATGCTCGTGCTGTCTTCGAGACCACTGTTTCTAAACTCTCAGCTAAGCCGGAGAATGTCGCCAAGACCAAGCCTCTCTTCCTCTTCATTCATGAGTACGAGTCCAACTATGGCGAACTTGCACAAATCACAAAGCTCGAGAAGCGCATGGCCGACCTCTTCCCTGAAGACCCTTCTCTTGTCCGATTTGGTCACCGCTTCAGAATCCCTACTTTCGACCCTTGCACAGTCCGCACCATCATCAGCCCCAATGCTCAGACAAGACCCAAGGGCGCAGAATCAGCTATTCCCAGTACTGAGGTTGAGCCGGTGCCCAACCCTGCCGTCCTGTCTGCCGCCACTGGCTACGTACAGTCACCCAAGCGTCCGCTCGACAACGTAGACTCTGATGTCGAACAACCTGCACGCAAGCTCGCGCGTGGTGAGTCTCCGCTCAAGGGCGCGGCAGGTCGTCGTCAACAACAAAGGCAACGTGCAGAAGGCTACGGCTCACAAGTGGTCGCCCCGCCACCCAAGCCGCTTCCCAGAGACATCACTCTGCTTCTCAGCATGATTCCCAATGCATCCACATATCCTGCTCAGGCGAGATTGAACCCTGAGAGCATGGTTGCTCTGATCAGAGGCATTGATCCTAGCAGAGCCATCATGCAGGGCGGTGGCTACGGTGGTGGTTACAACTACGGCCGCTAGAGTTGAACAGTCCTCCCATGAGTTCTTGACTGAATGCAAGAACTTGGACTGCCAAACGGAAGCATACCTTAAATCACAAAAGACATGTCGTCAATCAATGATAGAATGCGGGCTGCGGGACATTGCATTGCAGGGAGCATCTGGGCGTTTATCTGGTTTTCTACACGACCATATGGGATCGGAGCAGGAGGAGCACATAGTGCTTACCCTTGGTTGCTTTTTTGACACACTTACCGGCGATTGTAATATATAAACGAAGAATAAGAACAGTCTTGACGAAGTTGCATGTACTGATCTATGAGAGAGCTCGATCGACCATGTCGTTGTCACACGAACGAGAAATGGTACGGTATTATCGCTTGCTGGCAGCGGCTCTATGCAGACATAGCGGTTCGGCAACGCCATGCAGCTCTCCACTTTTTCCTGCCGACCAACGACGAACAACTCTCTTGCTTCTTTTCATGCATCGCGTAGCGAATGGCCGCTGGTCCAATGCTCAAGTCTCTACAATGCTCGTTGCTGAAACCATGCCGGGCTGTCAAGGCAAGCTCCCGGAGCTCGAGCGAAAGCGGCTTCGTGGGTCTCTGTCATGACTTTTCTTGCCAACAAGCCAAACACGACACGGACTGGTAACTTCTGATGCATCTCTTGCTCTTACTCTCGCTCTTGCTCCCGACACATGCAACGTACGGACCCGAGGGCTATGTGCTGCCACGAGCTGGAAGCATGACGCTGATGGCGAAAGGTGGCTCTGGTCTCACAGGCTTGATGCTTGTAGTTGGTGTCTCTTTCTGCCAGCTGCAAAGGTGTTGTGCTCGGTGCATCTTGTGCTACCTGTCTGCTCGAGCGCATTGGCGGTAGCTTGGGGAGATGAGGTCTTTCTCGGATCTTTCGCAGAGGACTCGTGCTGGTCGAAAGGTTTGGGCATTGTTTTCGTTCGCTTGCTGCCTGGATGTTTCCTGTGTCAGTGTTTGAGATCAAGGTGATCAAGCAGGTAGGATGTGGACTCATTTGTGACGCTGTTTCCTGCAGTAAGGGAGGCGAAGAAGATGCATGTTGGCTTGCTTGGGGTTTCGACAGGGAAGGCGGTATCCACGGTTTGCACTGACTCCAAGTCTTGATGCAACTTCTTCGCATCGTCTGAGTCGTCCTGCAGGGAGCGCAAGACGGTATCTATTGGTTGCTAGCTCCTCGGCTTCCCACGCAGCAAGCTCGTTTTCTCAATTGATTGCGTTTGTGCTGTCCACCGCCATCCACCTTCGACCATCCTTGTAGTCTTCTCGCTCAACCACAAAAGACAGCCATTGCTTTGCACCAAACTCATCCTTTCTTTGCCAGTCTGATCGCCGCTTCGCTTGCACATCTCAAGTCAGTCTTTCCTCGACACCGAGTGCGCTTTGCTACATTGCTTGGTCAGTCTTTGCTTGCACACAAACTTTCATCCTGCATCCTTCAATCATCTAACCGTCTCTACCACAGATCATCTTCAATCAACACCACAGCCACTGCACTCCTGCAACAAGCATTACTTTTCTTTTCGCTGCTGGTACGTTTTTCACTGCTTTCTCTTTCTTGCATACGACTCTCTCCATCTCTCCATCTTGCATCCCAGCCGATTTCCCTCTCGATATCTTTCTCTCATCACAAGCGCTTTCCTCGTTACCTTCTACTTCATCAATTGCTATCAACTGCTCCGACTCAGCACACCCCCCTCTCACAATCACTTTCCTGCTCCGAACAATCACTGCGCTTCTGCCACTTCGAGCGTGTTACTTACCAGCTCCGAAGCTTCACAGCCCTCCTTCCTTGTCTTTTCAGCTCTCAGTCAGGTATGTTTGTTTGCTTCCTTCCAGATCACTACCTACTCAGCTACTCTCAATCATCACTCCTTCTTCCTTCTCACCTCACCTCTCACATGTGTAGCAAACAACACCTTCCACTAGCTATATAAACCTTCTCCTCTTCCACCACCAACCACTTCCTCTACCATCCACTCCACTACTTCTTCTTCCTTCTTCAACATCTTCAACACTCATCTACCTCCTTCATCCATCATCATCTCATCCACTCTTCATATCAACACAGCTTCGACAATCCACTGACGATCTCTGCGCTTCAGCCAAAGATCTCCTCATCACTCAAGATGCTTTCCTCAACCAAGCGTAACGCCCAGCGTGAGGGTCAGTCCGGCGGTGCCTCGTCCGCCACTCAGTCTGCTGCTCACCTTTCCCTTCAACGCTTCGACGGCAATCGTGACCCCGCTCCCACTGGTCCTGCCACTCAGGTGATTCCCGGCATCTCCAACAATGTCAAGAACATCGATCTCGGCGCCACCATGTGGACCGACGCTCGCGGCGCTCGTCACCAGTTCCACGGTCGTCAGCCTGCCTCCAAGCTCGGTAGGGAGATTGAAGTCCGTCTCAACGCCTTCCCCGTCACTGGTTTGCCTACCAAGCCCATCTACCAATACCAGGTCCAGGTCGGCGCTGGTGCTGAGAAGCGTGGCTTGATCAAAGCCGTCTGGAACAGCAAGGCCACCAAGGAGAACACTGGCCAGGGCTGGATCTTTGATGGCAATGTTCTCGCCTGGTCGTTCCAGAAGAGGGACGAGATCCGCTATAACGTCAACCTTGATGAAGAGGCTGGTCGTCCGGCTCGCAATGGCCGTACCGACAGTCACCGTGTCACCATCAAGCCTACTGCCGTCATCAACTTCACGACTCTCAACGCCTACCTGAGCGGCCAGGCCACGTACGATCCCAGCATCCTCCAGGCTATCACGGTGCTCGACCACATCATGCGTGAGACTCCCTCCAACCGCCTGATTTCCATCAAGCGCTCCTTCTTCGCCGCGGCCTCTCAGCGCAGCGCCCTTGGTGGTCACGTTGAACACACAACTGGTGTTTACCAATCTCTCCGTATCGCTCACCACCCTGGTGGTCACCGTCTGGTCGTCAACGCTGACGTGGCCAACGGCACCTTCTGGCAATCTGGCCCTTTGTCCAGAGCTGTTGTGGCTGTTGCGAGACTCAGAGACGAGTCCGAGATCCAGCGATTGCTTGCACCCAACAACGCCAGATTTTACGATCTTCGTCGTCTGAAGAAGCTTCGTGTAATCGCCGCTCACCGCAAGGGCGCTGAGGACGAATACGTTATCGACTCTATTCTGAGACAAGACTCGTCCCATCAGCTGAGATTCAAGGATGGCAGTACCAAGACCGTCGCCCAATACTTCCAAACCGAGCACAACATTCGTCTGAGGAACCCCGGCTGGCCCGTCGTCCAGATGACCAAGAAGGCCGTGCTACCCTTAGAGCTTTTGAAGCTCAAGGACAACCAGCGATACACATTCAAGCTCGACGAGAACCAGACATCTCAGATGATCAAGCGCGCTGTCACTCCTCCCAGCCAGCGTTGGGCCGCCATCCAGTCTGGCGTCAACTTAATCAACTGGTCCGCCGACCCTTTCATCAAGAACTATGGAATGTCCATCGACCAGAAGCCCATTTCCGCTAAGGCTCGTCTGTTGACCAACCCCAAGCTGCAGTTCGGCGGCACTGGTGCTTCATCTCAGGCCGATCCCAGAACAAGTGGTCGCTGGGACCTCAAGGGCAAGAAGTTCGCGTCTATCCCCCCACCCAACATCTTCACCACCTGGGGAGTCTGCGTTGTTCCTGGCAGATTTCAAGTCGACAAGGCCGCCGTTGAGAGGTTTGTCAAGGCCTTTGCTCAGACGTACGGTACTCATGGCGCATCACTTCCTCCTACCATGATGAACCCTGCGATCCACTATCCATCAAACCCTGACCCTGCCAGCTTCGCACAAGAGGCCTTTACTGCTGCTGGCAACAAGCACAAGCAGAAGCCCCAGATCTTGATGTTCATTCTCATGGACAAGAACAGCGTCGTCTACGGCAAGATCAAGAGATACTGCGAATGCAAGCTCGGCATCCCTTCTCAATGTGTGCAATACGCCCACGTCCAGAAGGCTCAGCCTCAATACATCTCCAACGTATTGATGAAGTTCAACGCCAAGTTGGGCGGATACACCAACACTGCCTTTACCGCTCAGACTGTCAAGGGAATTCTCGACAACTCCACCGTCGTCATCGGCGCCGATGTCTCTCACTCAGCTCCTGGCTTGAAGGGCCCATCCATGGCTGCCATGACTGTCTCCATGAACGTCCAGGGCACTCGTTACGCTGCTGCTGTCGAGACCAACGGCTATCGCGTCGAGATGATCACCGACGAGAATATCGAGAAGCACATCATGCCTCTCATTAGACTCGGCTGGATGCCCAAGGTCGGCCAGGGCAAGCCTCCTGTCACTGTGGTCTACTTCCGCGACGGTGTTTCCGAGGGCCAGTTCGCTCAAGTCATCAACCAGGAAGTGGCTGCCATGAAGAAGGCCTTTGCCAAGGGCAACATCACTCCCAAATTCCTGGTCATCATTGCTTCCAAGCGCCACCATGTGCGCTTCTTCCCTCAGAGCGGCGGTGACAAGAACAACAACGCTCTTCCAGGCACCCTCGTCGAGACTGGAGTCACCCAGCCTTACGAAAACGACTTCTACCTCTGCGCTCACGCTGCCATCAAGGGTACAGCTCGCCCTGTCCACTACAACGTCCTGCTCAACGAGCCTTCGTGGCCCAACGAGAAGATCCAGACTCTGATCTACGAGCACTCCTACCAGTACATCCGCGCAACCACTCCCGTTTCGCTCTTCCCTGCCGTCTACTACGCTCACATCGCTTCTCTGCGCGGTGCTCACCACAGCAAGGGTTTCGGTGTCGCCGACGACGCTCAGAGCACTGTAAGCCCCAGCGCCGCTGGCGGTCCTGAGCTGGTCTTTCCTCCTCTCTTGCCCATGGCTAACCCTACAATCATGAACCCCAGCATGTGGTACATCTAGATGCGCCAGCCCAGGATTGAATTGGGACATGGTTAGCTGAGCCGACGAGCTCATTTTGGGGGCCATGACATTCTTGTAGAAATAGCTTGATTAACTCTTCTGAATTTGAAAGCACATTATGACTTTCATGCAATTATTCCTCCTCTTTGATTGTGACATCGATGACTTGGAATGAAAATGACATGAATACTGACAAGACAGAAAAGAAAAGAGGAAATGGGAACGAGACTGACGCGACTCGGAAAGAAACTTACGATAGGATCATTACCAAAGGAGAGACAGAGATTGGTATACATTGGCGCTTCAAGTATATATCTCACAGCTCTTTCAAGACCTTGCGAACAGTCAGAGGACGTGTCCTCTATTTCATGTAATTTCTTTTTCATTCGAGAAGGTTGAGGGATATCTTTTGAATGTACAAAGATCAATGGGAGAGAAGAGCAGGGAGAAAACAGGGAGATGTGTTGCTGAGCCGGTGGCGTTTCGAAGAAGAAAGAAAAAGGCTGCGGACGAATGCATGCTGAGACAGCTTCGGAAGCGATGCTTGGAGCGGAGGATAGAAGGGAAAGCCATCGTCGAGAGGGGAGCGGGAGGCTCGGCGAGGAACAGTCTTGGTCGAGTAGCGAGGGCGATCTGAGATTGAAAAGGAGGAATTGGGCAGGCAGGCGTAGAGGGTTTACTTGCGGACCTGTCCTTCGAGCGTCTTGACATAGGTCTCTATGCGTGAGACGGCGGATTGAAGGGCCTGTGGTGTCGCAAGAACGTTAGTCTGGCTGGGTCGCTTCTTGTGTCTACTGCGACTCACGTAGATGTCCTCGGTCAACAGTTCGTTGGAGACGCGGTATTCGTCAATGACGTAGTAGTAGAGAGCTCCTCCGCTCAAGACGGCACCAGAGAGGAATCCAAGGATACTGTGCAAGCAGCTTGTCAGTCATGTCACGCGATGGAGTTCGGCTGTACGGTCGGGAGCTGTGAGAGGGTGGCACCAAGACGATGGTATGTTTCGTACCCTCCACGGAAAGCTCCAACAGGTTTGCGGACAGGCATGGCTCCTGCGGGAACCTCGAGCAATGGTGCTGAGCTCTGGAAGCTGCGACGGATCATAGCGGGACTGGAGAGGCTGGCGGCCAGACGGCGGGCTGGCATCGACATTGCGCGTGAAGTCATTGTGTGTTTGTGAGATGTGTACGAGCTTCTGGGAAGATATTTGGGTGTCTCGAGTGCTTGCGACGAGGTGTTTGGTTTGTTATGAGAGGTCGAATGGAAAGACGGATGGTTACGGTGCTCGGGTGATGACCAAGGGATCTGCGAAACATCCATGTGGAGAGAGCTCTCCGCAAGCCGCACCTTCCCCAACTCGTCCCGAATACAGCCGTTGAGCCACACCCTCAATTGTCTTCCGAATGTTGGTCTGACCATGACATAGCCTTGCATGAGCTTCTCTGTGGGAACCACATACCTTGCAAAACTATCTGACTCTCTTCAACTCCACCGTGACAGTCTCTAGCACATGGAGAACCGTCACAACTTCCGTCATATCTTTGAATCAGAATATTATTGCAAGACCTAAGCGAACATATACTTGTAAATCAAAGCATCAATCATGCCGGTACAATGTCGAGCGACACAGGCTTGCACAACCCATTGTCGTAGGTTGAAGGCCCAAGAACCAGAGATGTTGTGCCCCAAACCGAGCACCAGTACAACTGCTCGAGATCACCACTCTGGCATGAGAGTACTCCACCCTTGTTACCACAAGCCAGCGGTACCGCAGACACGTTGTACATCTTCCAAACCGAGTTCATGTAGAAAGACGTTGCCCAATCTCCCCCTTCGACATTGGCCAAGAAGTTCGACTGATACTCTACCAGCAAATTGGGCTCGGCGAAGAAGAACTCGCTGGCTCCCGCCTTTCCTGACGTGAATCCAAGAAGTTCGCCTCGTAGTACCGCCCACTGTCCGTCAACCGATGTCTTGCTTTTGCTCGAAACTTGCATGTAGAAGAGATCAGGTCTCGCCGTCGTCTGCTCAGATTGAATAATCAGTTAACATTTCAATAAAAATAGCATCCTAATTGGTTGACTTACAGTGTGATATGCTGTCGTTGTGGTCGAACTGACAAGAGTTTGAACAGCCGTCACTGTTGACGTAACCGTGGTAAACGTGTCCACAAAGATGCTTCTTGTGAAGGTAGGAGTAGGCACGTGCAAGCAGCTGCAGATGCTTGACTGCTGTGCGTTGTTGAGTCCATTGAAAAGCGCTGGCTGGCCCTTGTTGATGGGAATGCTTGACGTCTTGACGGGACTTGTACTCGAGATGGCCTTCTTTGTTGTAGAGATAGGTTTTAACGAGGTACTGGCTTTCTTGCTACTGGTCGTCACCTTCTTGGTGCTGGTCGACTTGACGCTTGTGCTGGGCTTCTTCGTCGATGACACTTTTTTGCTGCTGGTCGTCTTCTTCGTTGACACTGCCACGTTTCCACGCTGCTCCAAGTCACGCTTACCCACCCCTGCGCTTGATTCTGCTGCACTCGACGTAACATTGCCAAATCCTGCAGATGGTGCGGTACTTCCCGTACTTGTCGATGTTGTGTTCGAGAAGGAGGCTACATCGGTAGAGGCCGTAGTGTTACTTGAGGGACTCGAGGATGGACTCATGGAGGTGTATTGACTGCTGCCCGTTGTTGACACAGTAATCAGAGGTGAAGATGATGCCGAGGTGGTTGATGAGCTTGAGGCAGTCTCTGACTTCGACGTTGAGTCACTCTCCGATGTAGACACAACATCCGAAGTTGTTACCGTGATGGAAGTCATGCTTGAAATTCCTTGTGATGTACTGCTGGAGCTAAACATGGGCAGGTTGCTGCTTGAAGAGCCCATGCTTGGCGTGATGGCCACCGAGGATGAAATAGGATGGACACTGCTTGATGAACTCGTTGTCGAACTTCTGATGCTGCTGGAAGATGACGTTGGAGTTGATGGGATGCTGCTTGATGATCTCGCCGAGGTCATGCTTGATGACAATAGACTGCTGCTTGTCGACAGTACCACAGTGTGGCTGGAGGATGGGCTGGAGGAAGATACTTTTGACGGAACGGGCATGGTTCTTGAGCTCGAGCTCGATCGCGATGAGCTTGAAGATGAGGCAGAGCTACTGGCTTTTTGACTGCTACTGATCTTGGTAGAACTGCTGCTTTTCTTGCTAGATGTGCTAGTGCTCTTCTTGACTCTTGTGTCCGATGCATTGAATGAGCTAGATGTCGTGGCCGTGACATCTTTGGTGACTTTTCTGCGAACTGTTAATCTTTCATGCATTTTTCGGTTTGCAGCATAAGCATACTTGGTTGAAGTGATTGTTTTGTGCACAGTCGTCGTTACGATATGTTTTGAAGGAATTGAAGGTTTCAATGTTTTGGTCGCAGTTTTTGTAGAAATTTTGAGAAGAGACTGGCAATAAGGTGTGGCAATAGCAGGATTCAATTTGGCGACAACAGACTGAATGCTTTTGATTGTACATGTGTTGGCATCACGTTCTTCGAAGACCAGAGGTGAGCCGGCAACAATGCTGGCAGCCGCGATGGGCAAAAGAATGTCCGACGCGCGCATCGCTGCTTCCTGCTAATTAGTGCCGACTTTTAGCAGATGGATGAAGTGGTATAGAAGACAGAGAGATTGCAAGACCCAATTGACGGAGCAATGAAATGTTATATTTGGCAAGAATTTCTTGCTGCCGCCATACCATCTTCGCCGTTGTCGGCAATGCGATGTATCGTACGCCATCAATAAAGGCAGAGTGTTTCAGGAAGCACATGCACTCTCATGAGCGGATTGGGTGCAAGGCCGTTGGAAGTTGAAATAAAGACCGTTGCGATGTTCAGCCCTGTACTCATCTGGCCTGGCTGTTTCCGGATCAGGCCACTTGGAACTACCATTATTATTTCTTCATCAATTATTTGGCCAGAACATTCAATTTCGAAAAGTCGAGAACAATTCGCAGTCAAGTGCGAGGTCTCTTGGTCTGATACCTTCCGGCGTGCTAAAGAAGATCACAATTTTGTGAGGACTCGCCTCTTACGGCGGTGTTCAGCGAAATTTTCAGCTATGGGGATGCACAGTACCTTTCTAGAGAGACTCATAGCCACGGAAAAATCGTTCTTAAGATGTCTTCATGTTGGATACTATTGTGCATTGTAATAGCTATGCCGCAAGTCTTGGGCACATGTCCAGCTATTCTGCATCTCCGCGATGCCTTGTAACAAGCCAGGCAAATCTCGCCTGTTGATGACAGAAAGAGCTGTTGGTTCGTTGGTCGATCCCGTGTTCTCTTTACAAAACCAAGTCTTAAAGCTGGTTCCAACAGCTGACTTGGCAAATTCGTCAATTAGACATCCTAGAGCAGCTTTACTTCGTGAGGCAGAGTTTCTCACCAGGCATTGAGGGTCGACATTTCAACGTGGCTCTTTCGAAGCCTGGCTACCGGCCCTGTTGTTACTCCCGATAATTCGAGGCATTGGATAGAGGGTTTCCAGGTCCATGACAATGCAGCCACTGATATCGAACTCTGGAGAGTTGTCTGTGCAATTCGCTGATGCGCCTAGGAGCCAAATCTTCTGGTTTCCCTCTCTTCAGTTTCTGCCAAAGTCTGAAAATGAAACAACGATTTTACGCGTTGACGGCGGACAACACGTCAGATTGTAACGCATTGTCACGAAGTCCAAAAAACTGGACGGAGCGTTCAGCATTGGCATGCTCATTTGCTCAAGACTCACGGTGAAACGCGCAAGACTTGCCGGTATGCTCGGTCAAGGCGTTTGCTGCAAGTCGTACCACAAAAATACCACATATCGGAGATGGCAAAACTTATTGGCTTGGTTAAGAGCCAATGTACCACAGTTCGACACCGAGTATTCCAAATTTCTCACCCTCGTCGCTTAGACGTGCGTTACCGAAGGTAGGACAAGGTGAACTGATGCCTCTGGCCAGGTTGTTGTCTAGCCACAATCCATAATGGCCATCGCCGCCACCAACACTTAAGAAACCTTGCTGACAGAACATGGTGTAATCATTTTCGCCAGTGTAAGGGAAAGCCTTGAAGCGAATCCTGTCGGGTGTCGAAGTGCCACTTGTTGACGAGGGATTCAAGGAAGGTTTCTTGGTGGTGGAAGCGATTGTTGTGCTGCGCTGCATATGTGTGGTGTCGGCAGATGGTGGCGGAGGTAATGATGAGAGATCAGGTAAAGAGGGTAAGCGGAAAGCGCTCCACAAGAAACATTCTCCAGTACCGTAATAATGTGGATGAGGTTGAGGGGGGTCGGACAGATACGCGCCGAAGACCTAGAGAGTAGTGTCAGTTGTGATGACAGAAGTTCTTGAAGGAGTTGAGACTGACTCCTTGACTGGCATCCCTGACTACCAAGACAAAGCCGCCTCTTTTGCCTCTGTACTCGTCGCTCAAGCTATACAAGCTGCCCAAAGATGTGCCGTTTTGCTCCAAAGAGTAGACCAACTTCCATTCGTCAACGAGCTGAACTCGCGGCGGCATGAGCAGGCGGATCTCTTCTGCCAGGGCCTTTTCCAAAAGACGACTGGCGAGTGGAGTGGAGTCCCTGTAGCCAACAAGAGTCAAAGGAGTTAAAGGCGGGGGCTGGAAGGGCGATAGACGGCGTTTGGGAGCGTCAAAGAAGGCGGCAGAGGGGCTCATGGCGCCGTTGTAGTTTGCTGACAAGGCTCTAGCGAGGGGTGTGGGAGCTTCGTCTGCGCTGAGGCGGCGAAGGAGGCCACTGAAGGTGTAGGAGACAGGGTAGGTGATGTGTTGGAAGAAGGTGGCTTCGGTCTTGTCGCTGCCGCTGTCTTTACGAAGGGAAGCGTCTTTGTTGTCAGGTGATGGACTGGTGTCGCGGGTATCAATGGCCGAGGAGGAAGAGTCGCGTGGAGGAGGGGAGGGAGAGCGAGAACGAGTAGGAGAAGTCGGATTGGACGAATGCTGCATGGCAGTGGAGAAGAGGAAATTCTTGCCTAGCTAGCCAGTTTCGTATGTAATGTGGCAGTTGGTGAACACTGCTTTTTTGTTAATTTCGTTCCCAGTAAATGTCAAGGGAAGCCGGTGACGTGACGTGCCTGCCTACTGTGACAACACTCGGACGCTCCTTCCCCCGTTTTGGGTCCTCGGTGCATCTTTGCATTGCACCACCGACAGTTTCAGATTTTCCTCCAAGTCTTTACGGAATCGTCTCGGGCTATCAATTGAAAGCCTACCCAGTCAGCCATACACGCCGTTTCTTGCCATACGCAGTTGTAGTGAGCATGATAGATGGTTGTTTCAAATAGCTCGGGAATAAACGAAACGCGTACCTGAAGCAGCCACGTCTCCCCCACGCCAAGCGCGAGCTATACAGCAGCCTACCAACGACAATACCATCTATCATCGTGTCCACTTCCATGCTCTTGGTTGGAGATGCCTTTTGAACCCGGTGATGGTCGGCGCTCCGTGTCGCCTCTGAGTACGGGACGCTCCTCGCCCGCTCTCCGTGCTCCTCGCCGGGTCGAGGACGGTATGTGCGTTTGCGCGTCTCCTGGACCTGAACTATTGTCACTGACTGCATCTCCGCCCAGCTGTCGCCCAGAAAGACAAGACCACTCGTCGCTATGCCACTGCGATAGACCGTGCTCTGTTATCCTTCGACAGCGCCCAGCAAGAATGGGCTGACTACATTGCCTTTCTAGCCCGCCTACTCAAGGCCCTCCACCCTCCTCCTCCCGCTCTCGAGTATCTTCCTCACGCTCACTCCGTCGCTTTGCGTCTGGCGCAATGTCTCAATCCTGCTCTACCCTCTGGTGTTCACCAAAAAGCTCTCGATGTCTATGCTACCATCTTCTCCTTCCTGCCACCTCCGTCGCTCGGCCAAACCTTACACGTATACCTGCCTGGCTTGGTTCCTGTCTTATCCTTCGCATCTCTTTCCGTACGCCCCATCTTCTACTCGGTCATCGAGGATCACATCTTGAAGTTAGACTCTGAACACATTCGTCCTGCCACAAAGTCTCTAATCTTGTCATTGCTGCCTGGCATTGAGGATGAAACAAGCGAGGACTTTGACAGAGCTTTCCGTATTCTGGACGTTCTGCGGAAATGCTCTTCTCGTGACATCGAGGATGACCCAGATGCTGAAGGAAGAGATGGTTACTTCTGGCAATGTTTTTTCCTCGCTGTAATCACGAATCCTTCTCGTAGGCAAGGTGCTCTGGCTTTTCTGACTCGTAAGCTTCCCAATTTCACCTCAACCGAAACATCTCCGGATTCGAGCAAGGTGGAAGATCGCACGCTTCCTCTGGCTGCACAAGCTGCTATCAACCCTGAGCCTGGTCTCCTCGTGCGTTGTTTTGCTGCCGGTCTTCAGGACTCGCAGATTCTGGTGCAGCGTGGCTTCCTTGATCTCCTAGTCACACACTTGCCTCTACATTCTCCCGTCTTTCGCAATCACGTCCGATCCAAAGACATGGTATTGATCACTACTGCTGCCGCAAGTTGTGTTCTGAGAAGAGACATGAGTCTGAACCGTAGGTTGTGGTCATGGTTTCTCGGCCCTGACCCGACGGCCTCAGAAGCTGAAGACGGTGCGCCCCTCTCGCCTACAGATTCACGTGGTAATGTCTCCCAAAAGCAAGCTCTGTATTTCCAGAAGCATGGTGCGGCAGCGCTTGAGAAAAGTATCATCAATATGCTTGGCCAGCAAAGTACAAACCCAACCGTCCGTGCAAAGCCCTTCCGCATATGTCTATCCTTGATGGATCGCTGGGAAGTTGGCGGCTTGATTGTTCCAAAGATTCTACTTCCTGCTCTCAAAAACGCGCACGACTACAGCCAAGCCAGTTCGCCCGTGCAACTTGAAGAAGTTATTCGCAGTGCAAGCCTGTTTTTCGATGGCGTTGAGAGCAGCTTGATATGGTCGCGCCTTATAAGTGTGCTTCTGTCTTCCTTTGACTCGCGACGATCTGCTGAAAAGGATTCATTGCATGGTCTCGAATTTCTCCATTTCGTCACTGATCGGTTCGATGTGCGCGATGAAGAAATGCTTCTGAGGCACATTCCAAATACTCTCCTGATCCTTTTTGCCCGTCTTGCTTCCATTTTGAATGAGGGACAGGGTGAATCAGAACACTTCATGACCCTTGTGTTGACTTTTGCGCAAAGACTACTGCGTCTTCTTCCTCCGCGTACCTTTGAGCAAGACGAGAAAGACGGTTCTAATCAGTCTGCTTGGCAAGCCGAGAATTGCTCGTCAGTAGCCAAATCACTAACGCAACAATACATCAGAGATGATTTTGAAGACAACGTTACAGATATCGAAAGGCTCGATCGACGAAGAACTGCTGAATATACACTTCAAAATGTCGTTGAAGTCCTGAGATCAGCTTTGACATCAGACACCTTTACAAACCAGCTGGGTCTGATAACAGATTGTTTTGTTAGCATTATAACCAAGACCCCCAACTCCCAAGCATTCCGCAACGCAGTCATCTACGACACTTTCAAAAAGGTGCTTGGAAAAGAGAGCCTGTTACGAGATTCTTCGACCGAGCAGTCATCCTTCTTAGTCATTAGCTCGATCATGTCAGTCATAGTTGCCAGTGTTGCTGGGAATCAGTCGCCGTACTTCAGTCATGCACAGGTCATGGATCTTCAGACTAACGTCCTCAACGGTGTATGGCATCATCTATCACCATTCAGACCGAAGTATCATGTCGAGGCAGTAAGACTGATATGGCAGCTGGAGAGCTTGACTAGAGCTGAACACCAAGTTGAAGCACGATTGGCCTTACTCGTTGGTGATCAATCCGAGGTAGATGGTCCGGAAATAGCCTCTCGATTCACGGTTCTTTGGGAGCATACCATGCAGAGTCTCAGCCCAAGATCAGAAGGCTCCGGAAGGCCTTTGTCTCGCAGACCTAGTGTCATGCCTGCTTCGGGCGAGTTCGGTAGTGATGTCGACCCGGAGAGGGTTCTGACAAGACCATTGCTGTTGCTCTTAGATTCGCTGAATGCTGAGGGTACAGGTGCAGCAGATGTCGTCCGTTCATGGCTACAAAGCCTGTCTAGTCTCGACAGAATTTTCTTTATCATATGCTCCAAGCTCCAAAATGACATGGACACCTTCGCTCGCGAAGCAGGAAAGAAAGAAGCTCGGCATCGGACACGAAGAAATGCAGAGCAAAGTCTAGATGGTGTCTACTTCTGTCTTCAACACCTACGGAATCTCCTACGCAATCCCAACGAGCACATGTGGCTCACTCTCTCGAATCTCCAATTTAACTTTTCGAGTACATCTAGGCTTGAAACCTCAAAGCATGATGCCGTTGAGTTCTTGTCAAGAATTTGTCTGAAGACTCTTGCTTTGCAAGGACACGCAATCCCCCAGTCTCTGCAGCATGCATCTCTGACTATACTTCAAACACTACTCGAGTGTCCTGACTCATCCGTCTTGAAGCAGATGGATATTGACGATGCGCTCATCAGTACGCTCAGCAAGGCCTTGAAAGGCCCAATTGGAGCGCTTCAGACTGTCTACCTCGAAACAATATCGAAAGCTCTCAGACTACGAGCAACGTCAGGCCAAAGCACGTTTGTGCCACCCCGGAGCCCACTTGCTTCTCACAGACCTTCACTCACCATCGAAGTCCCAGATAAGATGCCACAACCAGTGATCTCTACACCACCACCGGAGCTCTTGGATTGTCTACGTGCCGGTCTGTCATCACCTTCCAGTCGTCTTTTCCTCGAACATTGGGTCGAATTCCTTGATCAAGTCTTGCCACTCTACGCAGATGCTGTGTTTGCGAACTTGTTACCACTTGTCGAGTGCATATGTAAGCAGGTTTCAACTGCTTTCCGATATGTGAAGCACATTTCACACTCGACGCATGAGCAAATTGAGTCGGTCCCTATATCAACGTTATCAGCACTGCTACATGGACTCGAGCTTGTCCTCGCTCATGTCCATCGTCAGTTCCAGAGTGAAGAGATCGTTAGCCCCGTGCCAAAATCTCCAGAGCCATCGCAAGGCTTCTTCGGTAACATATCCGGTGTTTTCTCGCAGGACGGACAGCACGCACCTCCAACCAAAACGAGTCGCATCAATAGCAGACTCACCATGATATTGTCGTTCCAAGACGCTATCAGAATTTGCTTCTCTATCTGGGCGTGGGCGAGCAATGAGAGTGGCCGGTCGGACACTACGTGTGCAGCAACTACCTCACTGAACGCCCTCAAGTTGAGAAACCGTACGAGAAAGATTCTTGAAAATCTCTTTGCTGCTGAAGAGTTGGAGTGCCTCGAAACACTAGCTCTGATATGGTCTCGGCCAGCCCCTTCTAACGAAGCCGAATCTGCAGCCGTTTTCGATTTACTTCTGGTCTTGGATGGATCTCGGCCCAAGAACACAGTGCCGGTCATCATCAATGCACTCTACAGTCGGACAAACATCGATGCCTTGGATATCGGGCGTAGATCGAGCTTAACGTCTGACCTGTCCACCGCTGAAGTGGCTGCCTTCTTGCTCAGCTACTCACGCGCAATCGAAGACGATGCGACCGATGAAATATGGAGCGAGTGCATGATCTTCCTGAGAGATGTACTCTCAAATCCACTACCTCATAGACAGATATTGCCATCTCTTCTGGAGTTCACCGTCTTGCTCGCTGAGAAGATTGACAACACCAACTTTGGCGAATTGCGCAAGATGCGACGCGAGTTAGGCGACATTTTCCTCCGACTGCTGACTGCAACTTTCACTGCACGACCACTAGGCAACATTCTGGAGGCTCCATCGACTGGATCGCAACTTCCCAGTGGAGCTAGCGATCTGATTCACAGCCTTCTCTATGTCACGCCAAGGCTCTCAGCAATTCTGCAAAGCAACGACAGGGTTCAGACTGCTGTAAACACCATATCGAGCAATGTCATGACGCCAGCCTTCCATGCAAAGGCGTTCCCTGAGAATGTCAATAAGGACTTGTTGACGCTTTTTGAACATGTCGCTCAGCAAGGGCCGACTTCCAAACAATGGAAGAAGGATATTGCAGATGCCTTCAACAACCCTCGGTTGTTGACATGCTCTGCAAATTTGATGCACCAAGGATGGTATCCTGTGTTGCGCAAGTGGGCGCTCGGTGACAAGGACCGTCTTCCTGAGCTCTTATCCAAAATCACCGCTCCTTCAACAGCTGGTATAATGTTCGGTGTCGGTGCCAATGCAGCACGACTCGAAGCTGATCGAAGGACACAGCTTACCCTGCGAAAGATGATACTTCTCATGCTCGCCTGCGAGCAAGACATTTTCGTTGGTAATCTGACACAGATTGTGGACAAACTCGTCGATTTGTGCACGGCTGATGCCTCCTCCTCGCCATCATCCACCACAAGGGCAGAAGTCTTCATGGTCTTACGAGCAATGATTCTTTGCTTTTCGCCAATACATCTATCTGCTGTCTGGCCCGTTCTCAATGCAAACTTGCAGAAAGCCATCACTACATGCCTGCCTGGTGGTCACGACCAAGACACGTACAGCAACCTCTCGTTGTTGCAAGCTTGCAAGCTCCTTGATCTGCTGACTACACTATCACCTGACGAGTTCCAGCTACACGAGTGGCTCTACATCACCGACACCATCGACGCCGTATACCGACCTGTCGACCTCAACCCTGTTGCCTTGACCGACGAGGCAGCCGAAGCTCTCGGTATGGAGAACTCTGAGCATTCCGCCTTTACGCCGCCAACCACCATCGGCAACTCGTACAGCGAGGCGGGTGTCAGAAAACCGTTCTTGGGAGGGTCTGTCGTGGACGGCGCAGACACAAAAGCAATGGCCAGAGACGACTTCTTGCGTGGCGTGTTGCAGCCTTTCTTCAGCCAATTGAGCATGTATTCGTACGAAGCCACGTATAGTATGAGTGTGCCAGACGTAGAGTTGTGCAGGCGTTATTTGCTGGAAGATGTCTTGGATGAGAGCACTATGGCGTAGAACTAGGGTATTAGCAGAAACAAATACAATAGATGATGAACTCCCTTACATCATTTTCATGTCTTTTGGTTGTTATTTGCGATTTTTGCGAAGCTATACGAGACCAAGTCCTCATGTTGTCGCCCTCATGATGTGTCACTGTGAGAGGATGGGGTATGAGATGGATGGGTTGTGTAGTGTCATTCAGATGAAAATCAAAGCAAACACGAAATTTCCCTTCACCACACCGTCCGGCCACCAAACTTCCTAGTATCGATCGTACTGATGTTCTAAGCCCATGGCTATCTTCCCGCATCCATTTCATCATTGAAGAGAGGCTGTGAGGCTATCGAGATGATGGTTCTTCAAAGACCAGGGTCATACTGTCAGCAACCAAGCGCAGCTTCGTCATTGCGCTAATCACACTGAATCGTCGATGCACAAACGCCGACAGAAAGTCGCGCGATTACTGATTGTCGCATAAGTCCACCCACAGTGTACTTGATACATGTTAGGATACGACAGGTCAAGAGCTGGTGTAAGTTCAACAATGCCGAATTCAGGTCGAGCAAACTCCGGTTTGCAGGCGCAACGATTCCGCCCCAAAGTTGAGACAACATCTGGTTGAATTTCTGACCACTACGGGCGGCCTATCAAGATTGACACATGGCTACTTGGATCGGTGTTTCGCAGGCTAGCAAGGTTCAAGACGTCAAGGGAAACCTGTTAGTCCTGAGAACACGCACGAAGTCGCAGAGGTGCTAAGGTCTATGGATCAACAGAACAAATGTTACTTTGACAGGATACGAGGGAGCTCCAACTTTGCTCCATGAATCACATCTGGGATATCTTGATGGACCCAAGTGAAGTGTTCTTGATATCACAGTGATATGATCGTTCACGGAATGGTCTCAGTCAATGGAAACTTACGCATTCTGACGTTGATCATATGCATACTAGGTGGAAGATACGATCGGGTTTAAGTTGAATGTCCAGACCAACAGACCTCCTAGAACGCGCGGCACAATCTTGCCAGTAAGCGAATCCAATGAACTATCAGGGGGTCATGAGTATGCATTCTTTTTTGCGGGCTGAATCATTGAGCCTCCTAACGTTGATGGTCGTGGTCGCTGCTCGGCATTCGGCAATACCGTGGAATCGGGGCTGGCTTCAGGAACCCAAAGCAGTATATCGAGCGAACCTCGGGTTTGTGCGTATGGATGGACAAACAGATGTAACAGTCAGACCATGAAGTAATTCTCTGCACTCGAGGACATCCACTATTCACGTTCCTTGAAATTCGTTAAGGCTTTTCGGCTTCACTAGCCTCTGGGATCAAGGGGTTGTGGCATGTTTGGTTAATCAGTTAGGGCCGGCGTTGGAACCAATGAGAAGGTGGAATGTAGCGAACAATCGAAGCATATTTCATAGCGTTCGTTGCTACCTTATCGGAGCCGAATACCGAGCGCCATGGAGTCACCACCGCTCAGTGATCTGACCGATGGAAAATCGGCATTGAAAAGAGAGGTAGGCATGAGGAAATTGTCTCGTGTGACCGCGCCTTGGAGATCCAGTAGTGGGAGTCGAGATGGTCAAAATCCTTCTCGGAGACGAACGCGCCCGAGCGGCCCAAGCCAGGGTCCGGTATGGCAGCCTCAACCTGCCTGTTCTTCGACCAATGGGTTGTTTACAATCCATGGCAAAACAAGCGTCTACCCCTCTGAGGTTTTTGTTGAAGTACAGCGTCCCTGCACCTACGTTAGCTTTACGCTAGCTTTACTAGCGTTATCAACCATTTGAGCGGGGTAGCCATACCTTCTGCCAAACCGTCTGTAGGCGTGAATTATGCACCCTGTATACCACGTTAATGTCGTCAATATTAGAGCCTCCGATGTTGGATAACATGTCTTCGCAGTTCCCTTCTTTGCCGTCGTTCTCTAAAGCCTTTAGAAGGGCGCCGGAGCCGGAACGAGAGTTAGAGGCTTCGCCCTCACCCTCGCCACCACCTCTTCCGGCAAGGGTCAGATTAAAGGGCAAGCGCAAGAGCGACGACGCAAACAACAACTTAACTAAGCGACAAGCTCTAATAGAGCGATTAAGCAATGCTAGGCCTTCTTAGATTATCGACTCGGATGATAAAGAGGGGATAGTGGACTTAACTAACTTTAGTGTCGATGTTAGATAGAAGTTTGTCGTTCGAGGCATTAAAGGCGCTACTAGTAAGATTGTCCCTATAGTCGTCGAGTTATCTGTAGAGAGTTTAGAGAAGTGCTGTTAAAGTGTAATGGATGGTTAGCTTAAGTAGGCTCTTTAGAAGGCTCTAGTAGAGAAGGGCGCTCTTCTTAATGCATCGTTCCTTACCTTCTTCCGAGGTAAAGGCAAGTAGACTACGTCCATATATAACACCGAGGACTATTCGACAAAGGCCTTTAAGCCGATATTCGACTTCTTTAAGACTTGTCGTTAGTATATAAAACCTAGTTTAACTAGCCGATTAACCCTCGAGATAACACTTAACTTTGACAAAGTTAAAGACCCTTAACTAGCTAGTAAAACTAACAAAGGCTCTACCTTATAGAAGGCCTAGAATGCTCGCCTAGGGACCGTCCTTTTTCGCGAAACGACATAGTTAGAGTTAGCATACGACATTATTACTATTAACTAGTATAACTATAAGGGCGACATAAGGTACTATTAGAAGGATTAGCAACAGGTTTACTATGAACTGTCCGTCTAGATGTTTAATTATTAGGCTAAGGCATTAGACGATAGAGAGAAAGGTATAACGAAGTACGAACCTTATAAATTCGTTAAAGACTAGATCGTAAGGAACGAGGCTACGAAGGAGGCTTAGAAGAAGGTTTAGAGCATACCTCGGCTAAGTTAAAGTGGTCTATTAGAGGCCATGTTAACGCCGGTAGCGCCGGTATATAATATTAACTATTAGTTAACTCCATCGTCGCTAACTATGCTAGGTATTAAGTTGCTAATATTCTCGTCTCTAGTTAGTGTTAGCGAGGAATTCTAGTATCCGGACGATACGCTAGTTGCTTACTTTAAGTAGCTTAAGAACTTAGTTTACTTACAAAGGTAGAAGGATAACTATCGCAAGGCATATAATAAAGTTAACGCTACGAGAGTGACTATTAAGTAGTTATTAGATAGGAGGAAATAGTTTAGTGTCGATTAGCTTATTTAGAAGGGAATTCTAGAAGGAATCGCTATAGAGATTAAGGATAGAGTAAAACACTAGAAGAATAAGGGGTTAAAGAAGGTAGTTAATGTAGTAGAAGTTATTAATATTAATGCTAAGACTTAGTCTTAATGCGCGCGGAGGGCGTTAGCTTTTAGAAGTTAGCTGCTAAGCTAGCTAAGCGAGCCGGTAAGCCCTCCTATTAGTCCGGATTTATTATATACATAGATAAGCGAGCTTTAGTAATAAAGCTAGCTAATAGGAGAGCTCGGATTTGCACGTGACTATAATAAATCCTAACTTCCAAAATAATGCTCCTACCCGGGACATTAACTATAACTATAATAACAACTCTAGCTATAACGACCTTCTAAAGTGCGCCTTTACCCTTTTTTTGCTTGCGCCGTACTTATTAACTACGAATTTCAAGTATCTATGAAAATCCTTATCGCAATCGCCTAAAAACAGCACCTAATTATGCTTTAGCGCCTTCTTAATGTTACTAAATAACTCTTCGATTAGATTAAAGTCCAGTAAGTAAGGCAGTAGCATCTCTAGCCTTACGCCATACACCTTAGCTATCTAATAAAGTACATTAACGCAGTGGAAGCTTACGTTATCTATTACTATCATAGAATTAGCCATTAGGAAGGGCCGGTAAAGAGGTAGTAAGGCTCTTCCGAACTAGTCCTCGAAGAACTTAGCGTCCGTTATGCCTTAATAGATCCTTATATAAGGCATGAGGCCCTTATTCGTATATGCCGGTAAGATGTTATATCTTTAATCTCGAGCTAATACCTCTCTAATCGATACCTTCTTACCGATAGGAGCCTATCTATACTTACGCGTAGCTAAGGCTCGATCTACTCTACTCTCGTCGACGAAGACGAGCTAATCTAGACTATATACGCATATACGAGCTACGTACCGATTACGCTAGTCCTAACTACGTTAACATGCGATCTTTAGTAAGACCTTCCGGCTCTATCTAGTATAATAAATTGCCCTATAGATTATCGACAGGTCTAGCGTTATATTAAACTTATCGAAGAGGAATGTTACTATCTTAAAAAGAGTTATAATAGGCTTCGATAAGAGGTAATCTAATAGGACCTTTATGACTATCTCATCTATAAGACGAGGACGACTACTAGTACGAGGTAGCGACAATGCTCCGAACTTAGCTAGGTTCGACATAGCTCTAGTTACTACCCTCTCTAATGTCCTTACACGCCGAGCTGCTTCCTTATTAGTTAATCTATTACTCTTTGCAAGCATTATAACATTACGCTAATGTTAAGTAATCTAGCGAGCTATGGTAGTACGGTAACTTAGAAGGACGATAAGGTACGATGAAGAAGAGACGTTAGATTATGGTCCCCGCACTGACTTTGCCGAGGTTTCTAAATTGCTAGAGGACGCCACCAAAAGTCTAAAAAGCAGGAAATTCAACACGGGAAACCGTGAGGGGGTAGACGCTTGTTTTGCCATGGATTGTATTGGACGATCATTGTCGAAAATCAATTAGGAAAAACGGGTGCGGTGCGGTGCGTTCTTCGTAGACCCTTCGAAAGGCCCCTGGTTGTGGTCCGTCGATTCTCGAACACCGGGACGACGGTTTTGTGGGTGCGGATGTTCGTCATTTTCAGAGAAACATCCTCGGAACTCGAGAGGCCGGGGGCCCGAGACAGCATCTCGTATCAAGAGCGAGATGGCCTCCTGCAGAAACGCAGTGGCTTGCGTTTTTGACAAGCACGCTATGGAAGGTTCCTTGGGGACTGATCGACGAAATGGAAGTTGCAACCGGGTGTGCTTCAGACATCTCAGCCAGCATACGTGGATATGAGCCCGGCGAATTTTCGCCAGGATCGAACCGTGCTTGAATTCTCGACTGTAAGCTGAGATGCAACGAAGGCTCGAATGCGACACGCGACGATACAGTATCGAATAAGATGACAGCAGCACCGCAGGTACGAACAAGGATTGATAGGGCTACTCGTGCTTGGCAATGCCATGAAAGTAGAAGCAGTGCCCCGCGGCTGACCAGCCAAACCACCTCCGAGCTCTGGAGGATGCTAATGAGCCACGAATATGACAAGAGACAGTTCGGTGCCTAGATGTACATGGAACCTTGCTGCCTGCTGTCTTGCGAGAGGCCTGTTGCGGCCGTTCAGTACACTATTATTCAGTGGCATTCACCGGTTTCGCTACACAGAAACGCATCGAGACACAACAAGAAGGATTTCAATAATGTTTGAATATCGCGAACGATTGCCTCGGAAGACCCAATGTCCTAGGATCGAGGGTGCTTCTGCACCTTTAAATCAACGGTGACAAGCTTTGGCCATACCGTTAGCCCACCGTTGCATGACTCGGCGGGTACTTCCTGCGCTTTTTCAATGTTCCCGGTCCCGATCCATCGGTCGGTTTTGGTCGTCGAGCTTGTTCCATCATGATCTCGAGTCTGACCAAGCAATCGGCGTCAATCTAAATCATGCCTCCGCGGACTGAAACAGTTTGACAATTAGTCAGGCCATACAATTTTAACAGGCGTTTACCATGTGGCCTTGAATAGGATAGCGTCATCATGTATTGCTGCCAACGCTTGGTGACCCATCCCTCACATACATATATTTGATGCGTTCCCACGTCACGTAAAGAGAACCTGCGTTTTATGTCAAGCTCCGACCGTATCTGACCGACTGTGAATATATCTATAAGCCACTCCTTGGCTTGATCCGTGTCTTACTCCAACCTGATCATCACTCTTCTTTACCAACACATCGACATTGTTCTCTTACTCCCTACATCATGCCACCATCAGCCGTCCGTAGGACATCCTCTTCGGATTCAAACGACAGCATAAGGAAACGCGTCGGCAAGGCCTGTGATAGATGTCGTCTCAAGAAGTCCAAGTGTGACGGCAGCCACCCGTGCACCAGATGCAAAGCTGATAATGCTATCTGCGTCTTCGGCGAGAGAAAGAAGTCCCACGACAAGATCTATCCCAAAGGGTTCGTGTCTTGTCTTCTACCATCCCTCTAACTGAAGCTGACTTGTATGAAGATACGTAGAGATGCTCGAGCAGCAACAAGCTCAACTGGTTGCTGGTCTCCAAGAAACATATCGTCGCCTTCTCGATGCAAATGTCTGGCCTGGAAAACCTCTATCTGAAGCTACTGGACATCCTCTTACCCACGACATTCTTGCAAGACTGGATCTTCTGGAACCCAAAAATGATGGCAGCGGAGAACACGAACACTTCGAGGAGGACTGCCAGAAGCTTCAACAAAGACTGATCTCAGAAGGTGCCTCTTTCATCGGCAGAAGAAACTCCAATGGTTACGAATCAGACCACAGCCTTCCTCGCAAGCACGCTCGCACTTCCTCACATTCGAGCATTCATAGCACACCGATACCCGCAAATGCTGCGCCAGTCTTCGATGAGAAATTCTCGTTCCACCAAAGTGCTTCTCCATCGCCAGTCTCCCACAGCCCTGTGTCTAAGCTATCGCAACTACGATCGCCGATCAAGCCTTCACCGCTACACAATGAAGCCATCAGCAACGACGAATTTCTATTGCCATCCTGGCAAGAACAGTTCTCGCTTCGTGGATTGTCATCTGCCGAGCTTATGCGATCACAAGCCGCAGTGCAAGTGCCGACTTTGCATGATAATTTCCAAGCAACAATGGCGTACGGCAATGCATTCGAACCTCAACTCGAATACGACAACATGATGCCTTTCGGAAACCCAAGCTATGCCACACCTGCGCCAGGATTTGGAGCTTTCAATACCCAGGATTGGATGAACGAGCCAATGGAGGTCGACTTCAGCAAATTCGTTCAAGTGTCGACGTGATCTGGACGTCAGCATTGTATCTTTATTATCTTAATTACCAACCCTTTCTGGATTAGTCACCATGTGCGGCTCAGACCACAAAGGCATTCACGGCTGAGATGTCCTATCTCACAGGTTACGATCAACACGTTATGCAATCTAGACATGCGAGCTTTCATGGGCGTTGGAATCTTTATTTTGGTAGCGAGCGAATGGGCAGGGATGGGATGTTGGGCGTCGGCGTACATGAGAAGCTTACAGGCTTGGTCCTCAGCACAAAATTTGTTGGCGAGATGGTTGTACGATAGATGTTTAGACGATCGTTCAGATCCATATGTCACAGAATTCGATGTCATATCCATTCATCCCACTGGGTACAACTGTATACAAAATGTGATTATTCGATACGCAACGATGACTGTGTGTAGTTCAGCGGACCCATCTCCATCTCCATGCAATATACAGTACCCGGCGGAGTGGCACACCGAACGCACAGCATATGCGAGGATTTGCAGTATTGCACTTTTAAATGTGTTGGTCGTCGAGAAGAGCTGTTTGTTCTCAAAGTGCAGATAGCCACATGGAGAGGACAATCGCAATCTCAATCGACACCAAAACAACATGGTGGCCGCGGCAGTAGCTGTCATCAACGAAAAGTCCCTCGGAGTAGCGAAACATGGTCTTCGACATGGGGCGGGTTTAAGCATGTTGCAAACTCCGACCTTGCAGATCGATGATCCATCCTTGATTCATTTTTCCTTATCGCCTTAACGGTACTTCCCCTCGATCATGGGAACATCATTCATGACTTTGACTGCGAACCGCTTTCGAGTTTCTAAGCATGATTGAACGTTGAGTTCAGCGCGTCTTTTGCTACCAAGAACTGGCTCGTATGCGTGTAGCTGCGACACGGGCTTGTTGCCGAGAAAAGAGTGGAGTTTCTGCCAATGCTCACACAAACAAAAGTCGACCCGTATCACGAATGCGCCCCCTTGCTGTGAGCCACATTTCCTGATCTAAAGCCCGACAGACCAGCCGCGCTCCCCTTGGCAGTAGTCTCGTTTTCCAATAGTACCATCAGAGACAAATCCTTCAACAGTCTTGTCTTTCGAATCTCTAAATAGCACACATGGCGAATGTCAAAGGAAGTCTTTTTCGTGGGGATGGACGTGACGTGGAAAATTAGGCTAAACAATGGCTTGTTGTGCCCCTCCACTCCAGCCCCCACCAGAGCTCACCCCGCCTAATAGCTGTCGGGCTGCGTGATGAGGCAAGAATTCTGTTTAACCGTGATCGCAAGATATTGTCCACACGTGTCGCTTTGTGTCTCTTTCTCTCTTCCTTCTCACCATCTCAATCGAAAAAGTAAAATGTCAGCCGAAGACGCATTCACGTTCTTGCCGCAGGGCGCCATCATTCAGGAGTTTCGCGTTGCGGGGCACAACATTGTCCAAGGTTTCCCTACCGCGGAGCCTTACAAGACCAAGAATTCGGCCTACTTTGGTGAGACCATCGGACGTGTCGCAAACCGTATCAAGAATGCCGAAATTCAAAGCTTGAATGGAAAATCCTACAAGCTCACAGCAAACAATGGACCCAACGCCCTTCACGGAGGCCCCGCTGGCTGGGGCAAGAGAATCTTTGATGGACCTACCCCTGTCAACAGAAATGGAACAGAAGCCGTTCAATTCAAGTATCTGAGCAAGGACGGCGAGGAAGGCTATCCTGGAACAGTGGAACTTCGCGTCTGGTATATTGCAAGCAAAAAGAACGATGGCGGTGTGGACAAGACCCAACTCGAGATCGAGTACGAGGTCGAACTCGTCGGCGATGAGGTCGAAGAGACGTTAGTTTCGGTTACCAACCACAGGTAAGTCACCAATGCATCGTTGTTGATACGCAGTAGCTCATACAGAACAACAACAGCTACTTCAACATTTCCGGAAAGGACACGATCGAGGGCACTGAAGCTACTCTGATGACCGATCAGTTCATGGTCGTGGACGATACAGACATCCCAACTGGCGAGATCAAAGCTTTCCCTGGTGTTGAAGCCGAGAAGTCCTTCACACTCGGTGCTGTCGACCCTGATATCGACCACTGTTTCGTCATCAACACTGATGCTTCAAGCATCCCCCTTGACACAAGATCGGGTCCTCTACGCAAGCTGTGTGCCTTCTTCCACCCCACCACAAAGCTTCATTTTGAGGCACTCAGCACCGAACCTGCCTTCCAGTTCTACACTGGCAAGTACATAGACATCCCGGCTGTCGACGGCGCACCTGCACGCGGTGCTCGTGCCGGTTTCTGCGTTGAGCCCAGCCGTTACATTGATGCTGGAAATAACGACAAGTGGAAGAAGATGGTCCTCCTGAAGAAGGGTCAAACCTACGGAAGCAAGATCATCTATCGTGGATGGAAGGAGTGATCGCCAACGTCACCTGTCATTTGACACCATGTGAGACCCCTGGGGGTTTCGGTACAGGACGGCTGTCATATACATCATTCTTCTACATCATGAAATGTCCACGAATCTACATATCATATCTTCGATACTAACGTATGCTTCAAAGCTTCCGAACATGCCCTGACGTGACTCTTCGAAGATGTGCAGATAACCTGGAAGTTACAAATCCTGTCATTATAGCCAGCAATTTCTTTGGTGAGACCGTTGACCATGATCAAGCTTGAAGGCATATAATATCCAACCCTGTCGGCTGCGCTTGCACCGAGGTGCGCCTCTTGCCTGTTCCTGGCAAAATCCGTAGGATACCTATGGTCTCCGCTAGCCGATCCCAGAGAAGTGGTCTCAACCTCGGCCGGTAGCGATTCCCGATCCACCTATGGTTATCATTGTTGTTTACAATTCTTCGATGTCGCACATAGCGCTCGACTTACCGAAACTCAATCCCTTTTGACTTTCAAAAGACGCTAATGGGGCCACCGTGGGATACGAATCGACAGATACCTTTCCCATACATGTGTGTGCGTGTGTGCGGAGACCAAAACAAGGAGACAAACTGGCCATACCATATGGGGGCGCGATGCATTGGTCTCCTTGCTCGCTGAGCAAACTCTAATTCATTCTAATAGTCGACGCCACCAGCACCACTCTTTTAAGCATACCGTTAGCTGCTCCCAACGGCCCTTCATCGAGAGAACGCAGGTTTGAGTTCAGGTCTCAAAGCTGGGCGCATGCAAAAATGATGATCTTTTTCTTCTGGTGACGTTGATACAGGTACGAGCAAGCAGGTAGAGGCTCTACCATGTGCCGAACAGCCTCTAGAGTTTGCGACAGTCTGCCCTCAAGTATACTGTACAGGGTCCTGGTCAAGTTTTGGACCGATCTGAGGAACCATCCGTCCATCATGTCGCCTAGTCGAGTAGCAAGATGCTAATTGTGATCCATGTGCAACATGTCTACCAGTAGCGCGTCGGATGTAACTTACTCCGCGTTCGAAGATCATGTCGAGGTCTCTGCACCTCGTCAACTTGTACCCACGATACCTGCTTCTCACCAGAAAATCAAGGCTCTGCGCGCGCGGACTATTGACTACAATGGTCTACGACTGCAGATCGCAAGCTATTTCACATTGTCGAATGTCACTGACACAATCCGAGTGACCATGGATGTACAGAAGAGACACATCGCACAGACGTTCACCGGTTGAAAGCGCTACGAATCTATTGTACGAAAGACTCGTCTCCAAGTCACATCGAGCAAGCAAAAAGGAGTGCTCTCAATTCAAACATGTGCAAGTAAAGTAGGGAGGCAGTGACATCATGAGCCCTTAGGATCGTCCGCGGGCACTAGCAAGAGGGAGATCGACATGATCAGTTCTCGGTACTCGCCTCGGCTTGTCTTCTCATTTCACATGGCAGCAAACTCCACCTGTTTGTCTATCATATTTTGGGTTACTGCATGGCAACTGGCCGCGTGTTCTCCCCTCACACATCCCCAAGCTCTAACGATACCATCCCTTGACAAACCTTCTCGCAATGTCATTATTGTCTGTGTGTCCTGTGGGGTTCAGCAAAATCTGAGACACAAGCATCCTGTCACAATCAAGGCATATCAGGAAGTTTGTGATGCTCGATCTCAACAGCAAAACAGCCATGCACACGACTAATTAGGGAAAATGCAGCAGGGCAGGAGGCGCCATAGCGGCCACACCGAAGCTTCTGTACCTTCTTTCTGCCCAACCCGTACCCCGGCCGAAGGAAGGCCTTTTGCGCTATTGCAGAAACAGGCAAACGGGTCTCTCGAACGCAGGAAAAAGTGCCTTGACACGAATCACACACGAGATAGCCCTAGTGTAAGTTTAAACGAATGCGTCCGAGGTTCGGGCTTACCATTTTCCCCTTGCAACGGCGGTCAGCCACTGCCCTTTTTCTTTTCCATGCTTCCCAATCGTTGTTGTCGCATGCTTACCTACATATATGAAATCAAATAACGTGGAACACACCAGTCTCATAAGTTGCAACGGAGAATACTCCTTTTGGCTCTTCGGTCTGTGTAATTGTGTCCACCGATTTCCAACGAGTGACTCAGGCCTCACTAATTTAGGCACATGCAACTCTATCGCCAACGTCATGCCTTCCTTCATGCGCATGCGTGGTTCCTCCACCTCTTGTATACTTCCAATCAAGCTGTTGTCACACGAAGTCTTGGTTATTCCCTCCAGTCAGCGACCTGCACAAGAGGAAGAAAACAGGATAGATAACACACGTCTACATTACTCCTTGCAGATCTCGTGTTTCCCCTCTCTCAATAATCCTGCACGTGGGCATTCGTAATGCTTGCTCCACTTTCAGCTAGCAGATGCCTTGACATGCCCTCGAATACCTTGAGTTACCGCCTTGCCATGAACGAACAAAGCGTACGTATCTCTGTCAACAAGTTCCATGGTCAGGATTCAGAGATGATGAAACTCCCTCATCCCCCAAGTAAACACACCTTTCGCTCTCCTCAATCTCCGCGCTGAAGCTCCGCGGCTCCGCATCAGTGTTTTCTCCAGTAGTGTTGGAGAACCATGGGTGAAAAAGGATAAGCACTGTCAAACACAACCCAAAAGTTTTTAGCACCTCTTCGCACCGCTCGGACAATATCCCTCGGCCGATCAGCATCAGTAATCCACTTCAACTTGGTCCATCTCCCGATGATCATCGCTGGGCCATGTTTCTAGCCTTCTTCCGACTGAGAGAATGGGCAAGTAGAGCCTTTGTCACTCATGTGTTTCCAGGGAGATTTTGACTCTCACCTGACAAGCACATGTTACATAGCAACTATGACGTTCTTCACTAAAGTCAAACCTGAGCAAACCTTATCATACCCAAAGCATCACCACGCTTCAACACGTTCGGCAGATGCTATCTGAACTTTGCCGAATCAGTTCCACGTCAGTTCATCCTTGATCAATCACACGCGTCTTTCTGAGATGTTCATTTTCATTCAAGACTACTGTCTACAGATACCGTATCACCAATTCATGGAGTGTTCTTCTGCTCGTTCGTGTTCTCTTAATATGCTCTTCGTGTCTTCATCCCGTCCTTCAAGCTGTTGTGTATAGTCATGCATCCTCAAAAATAGAAATCAATATAACTTAACGTTCTGCCCCAACCTTAGTCATGAAACCCATGCATAACATCAATCGCGGGAGTAGAGGCTGTCCGCGAGCCAATTGTCGAACTCATCTCTTTCTCTGTGCTGCCTTTTGGCATGGCGGCTGCGATGACTGAGAGAACGAATTATCTCGCCGCCCTTCATCCACATGTGTCTTAAGCGTTCGGCGACACGCTTCACACGAAACTCAACTCGGCCCATACCGACCATGCCATCGTAGTTCTGAGGCGTGACAGGTTCGGTGTAGCGGTCGTCAAATAGTGAGCCGGTAGTGCGAACATTTGAAGGCCGGCCGTATTGATCCAGAGACCGGCCTCTTTGGGCGTCCAGAGACTGTGAATATGTCACAGGAACATGTCCACTTGGCACCTTCGATGACTTGTCTCGGAAAGATGTGATCTGTTTGCGAAACGAACCACGGTGCTCAGTATCATGTTCCTCTTCCGTCGAGTCCGAGAAGAAAGATCGCACGTCTTCCATATTCATTGTGTGTGGTGATTGCAGGCTTGTGGACGGATATCTGTCACCGGGACTTGCTTTTCCAGCGACGGCGCCTTCTCGAACAGTGGTACTAGACTGCACGCGCGTGCTCAATCCGATCCGTCGAGACAAAGATCCGATCAGTGACTTCTTGGAAGATTTACGATCGTGAAGCGTCAAAACAGTGGGAGTGACGGTCTCGCTGTTTGAGGCTATAGGCGAAGAAGGAAGAGTGCTGTCTGGCTCTAGAGTCTCTTCCGTTTCGCTCTTGGTCTTGATTGAATCTCCGCTTTGCTTGTGAACGAGCTTGGGTGGAGAAGAGTGACGACGAAGTACTGGAGTAGGAAAGTCGATTTTAATGCCAGGACTGTTGCCACACCAAGGATAACTCTCCTCGAGATTCCAAGGTCTCGGGTTCTGTGTGGAAAGCACTAAAGAATGTCTGGAAGCGAATCCAGGGTGCAGATCCTCATCTTTGCTGTTGATGACACTGAGAGATTTGCCACGAAGTAAGGCAGGCTTCGGCGACTCAAGCTCTGAGGTGCTCGTCAAACCCTCGGTGATGAGAGTAGTGTTGCGGTCAAGACCAGAATCACTCAACGAGAACTTCTCACTATCCTCTGGCAAAGGAGGTAGCTCTTTCATCAATCTTCCGCTCTTCTGAACCTCGAGGAAAGCAGAGTCATGAGTACCGTTGGTTGCAATATTGTCTGCGATGGCAGCTAGCTGATGAAGACCCGTTGATGACCTCAGAAGTTCAGCAGCTTCACCTTCAGGCCTTCCAAGGTGGTGGATTCTATCGATGGCATCATTCATTGCTGTCTGATCTACAGGAGCACAGTCGATATGCAGGTGCTTGATAGTAGGCAGCAGCGTCGACAAGCGCTCTGAAAGCGCAGCTACAGATGGCACTGGAAGACGGCTGATTTCCGAAGCCATGCCCAACATCTGCTCTGTAGACATTGGTCTGACTGAACGAGCAAAAGACTTGGTGGACACAATGTCTGCATCATTCTGATTCTTCTCTGGAAATGCTTGAGATGGGTTCTGTATATCAAGAGCTTTAGCAGTAGAATCTTCAAGCGTCTCAGAATTCTCAGAGTTGGCGAAGAAACTCGTATATCTCTCTCGTATGTGGTCAGTCGATGCTGGATGCGGGAGTGGTGAGCGCCGAGTACCGGACTTTCTCTCCCCTCTGACTCCAGCCAAGGACTTTGATGATCGAGATATATGCGTCTCAAGTTCTTCATTCAGCTTGTCAAAAAGATCCATTCGGCTGAAGTTTAGGGATGGAATCTCTCTTAACTCCGAAAGTGACATTCTAGGAGGACGAGGTGGCAGATAGCTTTGCTGAGTTGTCTCATCCGAGCGTCCTACAGCATCACGGGAAGACTTGAGACGTAATGACGGCGTGTTGGAAAGCCTCAGGCCCGTGTATGACAAGTTCGTATTCCTGGCGCTTATATCTTCCTTAGAATCCTCATTGAGATCAGGTAGATAGCCAGGTCGCGTCTTGAACATCATGGTTCCGAGGTCCGTTGTGGAATCGCAAGATGATCTATTGGGATCAGACTGGGCAGTGGTCCACATTGATCGCTTGCGCGGAAATGAGCGACGGATGAACGAGGAAAGATCCGTACCTTCAGTACTAGCGGTAACTGGTAAGAAGCTTTCCATCCTTCTGATGCGAAGTGGAGCTACCTTCTCGATGCTTGATAGAGAGGAGCCCTGCAAGCTATTGTCCTCAGCAGAACGAGCCTTCTTGATCTCCATCGAAGATCGAACCGGGGTATCAGACAAGTTGCTAAGGTTAACCAGCTGAGCTCTGCCGTGGTCAGATGAACGTGGTATGGAGAATTTAATAGCAACGTCTGTGACATGGTCTGAGGACGGGCTGGCCTCGAAGGTCTGACACGGCCCTGTTGGTAAAGATAGACTAGAGGCCATCTCTGTGGCATCGGAACTTTGCTTTGATGATTGGTCGTGTGGTGATTCCGCCGTGGTTTTAAGGTGCTGATCTGTAGTCTTTGATTGCTCTTGAAGGGAATTGATATGCAGAGTTTGAGTAGCCATGGGACTGACGATCGAATCCCTGACCACTCTTTCATCAGGGCGCAGAGGACTGACACCGCCACTGTCAAGCTCTTCACTGAGTTGTTTTGTTTTGTCGTCCACTTTCGCCCCAACTTGATCGGTGTGACCAGACGTAGAAAGCGGCTCTGACAGCGTAATTTGCGCACCAAAACCGGCACCATTGGATTGCGTTGATGAACCAGACTTCTGTTTGTCCGAGTAGTTGAAGAACAACCCATGGCCAGTCTTCTCACCACCATGGACCTCATTTTTGAGAGTTTCTGGAAGTTTCTCAACGGTTTGTTGGTCGCTCTTTGCTTTGATCGTCTCCTCAGGAGCCAGAGATGTCGTTGTGTTGTGCTCAGAGGATGAAGGGGCAGTGTTGGCCTGAATTAACTGTCTTGTAATCCTGGGAGGAACATCAAGCTCGGCAGGCTCATGTACAGATGATCTCTTGCTGGCAGATAGCTCGACGGGTTCTTGTCTCAAATTTTGAAATGGTTGTGGGACGATGAGCTTGGAAATATCCTGCTGAGACTGGCTTTGACTAGACGTCAAATGTTCTTGACTTGCAACACGATCTTCAAGCAAGTTTCTGATACGTTGTACCAGTCCAGTGCGTTTCGCAGTGGGCGTATCTGCCTCGAGTTCGGCGGCGGCAGGTTGAGAAGCATCGAGTTCATACATAGTAGGTTGCTCTGTATATCTCAGGTAGCTTTGGACACTCTTGTATTCAGAATGTTCCTCGGGAAGCTCGCTGAGAGTGGGCTGAAGTACATTTGGGTCGATCAAAGCCTGGACTGTAGTTGTGTCTCTGGGTGTAGGCGGATTCATCGAGGGTGGGGACGATGAGCCTTGTCTCGAAGATGATGGCATTGCGTCTAATCCTGGGGTGCCCACTCTTGATGTCGGAACATACCCTAGGGAAGGCAGAGCCTGGACGGGAGGGCCATGTTGGCCGTAATAGTTGGGCTCCTGAAAGTTGTACTGCGTGGGAAAGGGCATCGTTGGCTGCTGTTGGTTTGTGTACCTTGGTCCAGGCGCAGCACCATAGGGGTAGTCACTGTTGTGCATGGGTATGTTGGGTCGATGCATGCCTCTACCAGATGCTGGTCCATAGCTCCTGCCCTGATATGACTCTGGAGGTTGTGCGAGATGAGAATAATGCGCAGGGTCGGTTGGACCATAGTAGGCTAAAGGCTGCTCGGTCGGATATCTGGGTTCGACTTCAAGTGTATGGACTTGGTTGTATGAGGGTTGGTATGCATTTCCAGTGTAGTCGCTCAGGGCTGGAGAAGGAGTGCGAAAACCAGGACGCTTGTGTCTCGAAGGGTACGCAAATGAGGGACGAGGAGGCTGGAATTGTGCACCTCCCTGACTTCTGATACTCGTTACAGACTTGGCTGGCTTGAGCGAAGGAGCTTGATGGGAGTGGGTCAAGGAGTAGGAGCGACCGTCTTGAACATACGGAGGTCCATAGGGTGATGATCTGGGTGGACCTCGGGGCATTGAAGGCATTCTGTTCTCGTGTGGTGGCATTGTTGCAAGTGTCTGAAGACTGACCATAGAGCCATGTCTACCAGACACACCATTTCCTGTGCCGCCAGACATAGCTGAAACGGTATCCCATGCCTGAGGATTATGTGCATTGAAGGCCTTTCTGGAGCCATGAGAAGGGACCCGACTGTGATTAGTGTTGTACGTATATGCTGAGTGATTCGACGAATTGGAGAGACGGGAAGGATTGTTTCTGCGTTGATGGGTCGGGCGAATAGCTGCTGGAAGACGACCCGTGTTATGCGAAAATTCACCTACGTCTCCAACATCGGTCGATGTTTTGAGCATAGAAAGGACTCCTGGAGCAGCAGCATCCAGCATGTCGCCGGAACCCTGGAAAGTCTGAGGCCCGAATGCTTTGGATTGTACGGAGGTAGTAGATGCACGGCTGGTACGTCCATCGAAAGATTGTCGCCGGCTCGTCAAAGCCATCGTAGAGGCAGTTAGCTACTGCTTCTTATCCAAAGCGTTGAACGAGTGTTGATCTGGCAAGGAAATAGGACAGTTCAATGAGAGTATCGTGATGTTGCAGAACAACACAAACTGCGATGCCGTTCAGTCATGCTGGAATCAGCGAGGGCTGGAAGTTGCAACCCGCTGACGACGCTGCGAAGTTCGTAGCTTAGAGGAAGGAGCTATTGCTGCCAGTCAGCAGATCCAACGAGGAGCTCTTGCCAATTAAGCAGTCACATCGCAAGACGACTTCGAGACCGACTTTGTTCATCGTGCCTCTTTTCTTATTGAAACCAATCATGCAGCCTCTTACATGATGATGCTATACTTTGGTGATTGGTGTCTCTGACAATCGGCTCCAAGGTCTTCAAGCAAGAATCAATCCATGTCTGGATCGCGTACTGTGCAGATTTCACACATCTGCCTTATAAGCTCTACCATGGGCAGCAACGACTTTGCACCATAATGCGAGCCATCTGGCAGCCAAGACTCACGTTAGCACCATATCATAGCTTGTCTCGAAAGAGAAGACGGTGTTGGTCTGTGGTACGATGTTCGAAGAAGGATGGAGGGTAATCCCAAAACGCGTTGACAGTGAGAGCTTTGCCAAGTTTGCACAAATCTTATGCACCACCGAGTCATATACATAAACTACCATCCTCGCCAGCGAGACCAGACGTCTACAATCTTGTCAGGCTCAGAACTATCGCCATCGACCACGACATAGTAACCGAAGTTCGGCCCAGCCATACAAGCATGATTGGGCCATATCATCACCTTCTCGCCAATCTCGAGTTTACGCATGCCGTCCGTTGGTCCCTCCCAAGTTAGATTTCCATGCTCTTGAGAAATACGTCCGACAATCCAACCTGTCTTGGATCCCTCGGGGTCATATACTGATGAGCTTTCAGCAGGGGCTGAACCACCTGTCCAAGGCGTTACTACTCCCCATCCCGGGTAACTCTTGCATGGCTCTCGAGCGAGCACTATTGAGCCAGCGGCGATCAACGCCTCCGGCTTATCTCTTTCATCGTACGTACTTGCCACTTCGACCAGAATACGTAGACCTAGGTTCTCCATGGATAGAAGCGGTTTTCCATCAACAGTGGTGGGACGAGCGCGTGTTGCAAGCTGTTGCATGTCCAATACTGGATAGACACCAGCATGTATCTCGACATCGTACGTCTTCTTGACTTCCTCAATAAATGTTCGGAACTTTTGGTTCCACTCAGTCTCGACAAGAGCGTTCTGGACAGCCGTAGCCGTCGGCGTTGCTCCAAGTGAAATCGTAAGCCTGCCTGTTGAGTCCTTCGGCAGAGCCTGTGTAATCTGATCCGCGCCCACCTGTGCATCTTTGACCTCGTTCATGAGAAATTCAAGAGCCTCCTGTGGACTACTGGATCCATAGCTTTCGCCCATATGAGCGTAAGCGCCGACCAGGCGAACTTTTGGCGTCTGTGCAATTGCTCGTACCAAAGGTTCAATACTGACGGATTCAGGGCGCAAACCAGCTCGTGGGATTGGAGCGGCAATCTTGATATGAAGAGGAACGCACCCTGGCCAGCTAGAATTGTCCAAGCTTGCGAGATGTTTCACTTGCTGAGGATGATCGACAAAGAGTCCCACAGCCCCTTCACCTAGTACACGTGCAACTGCTGCAAGGCGCGGTATGTGAGAGAAGGCAACTGGTAGCCCATAGAGAACCTACACGAGGTTAGATGCGTTGGCGAATGTGGCGTAGAAAGACTTACATTGATGCTCGCGCCTTGTGACTTGCATTCAAGCAAATATGGTATAAGGTTCTCGATTTCTGAGACGGTGGAAGCTATCAGTCTGACGTCTTTGGACTCGTGGCCCATTTGGTAACGGGCGAGCTCATTGGTCTTTGGCAAAGATTAGTCCGGTGTTCCATGATGGACGAGTACAAGATGCCGAACTTTATGAGTCTTGACGTGTGCACGAAAGCCAAGTTTCAGAGCTTTGGTTGCTTCCAGCATTGCCTTACAATTCCTTTTGATTGGAGCGAGATCTAGGACCGCCGCAGGAGTTGGGATCTCCTTGAGATTCTTGCCAACATACTGTAGCTGCAAGGCCGCCTTTGATGGCGATGGATAGAATGAAGGAGCGGAGAAAGAAGACATATTGGCGCTTGAAGCGAAAGGAAACATAAATTGAGCCATTGAATCCTCAGGAGCTGGTATTTATATATTCACCAAGTCATTGGCGTGTTATCTCGGCCAAGCTGGCCGGGCGTGGAGATGCGGACAAACAAAAGTCCATCACGTTCTCATCATGTTGAGTCTGTTCCCATCCTCGAGCCGCAGCCACGTTCCCATCAGTATCGCTTACTCCTGGTATGGAAATGCTCAAGGCGTAAGGAAGACATCCGTCGCTACAGGGTTTGAGAAGCTTCTAAGGTCAGCTCGCAGGTCGCGTAAGAATATTGAAGCATTGCAGGACATGAAATTGTAAGAACGGCTGCATGTGAAAAGAGCGGCGCTTCTTGAGCTTTCGAATGAGGATTGACCGCCGCAAGCTCGGACCACAGTGTTATGCTGGCTGGATTTCTGAAAAGTTGCGGTTGGAGAGACACAGAGACGACCGCATAGTCTCCACAAACAACCCAGTCCTCCGTTCTGTGTACATACTTGAATTCAGGTCTAGTCTGGACATACACAGCACTCTGCTGGAATCCTAGGAAATCACAGCAAAATGTCGTTCGGTGGTCAAACACCGACTATCGTTGTCCTCAGAGAGGGTGCGCTTCACCTTGTATCTTATGGCGCCCAGCAACCAGCTAACTAGTCAAACTCAGGCACCGACCAGTCGCAGGGCCGTGGCCAAATCGTTTCCAACATTAACGCTTGTCTCGCCGTGCAATCGACTATCAAGTCCACCCTGGGCCCCTACGGAGGTGATCTCCTGCTCGTCGACGAGAATGGCAAGCAGACCATTACCAACGACGGTGCCACTGTCATGAAACTGCTTGACATTGTTCACCCCGCTGCCCGTATCCTCACCGACATTGCCCGCTCGCAAGACGCCGAAGTTGGAGACGGAACCACATCAGTCGTCGTTTTGGCTGGAGAGATTCTCAAGGAGATCAAGGAGCACGTCGAGCACGGTGTCAGCAGTCAGACTATCATCAAGGGCCTGCGAAGAGCCAGCACTATGGCTGTCAACAAGATCAAGGAGATTGCCGTCAACACACAGGAGAACAACCAGAGAGACATTCTGCGGAAACTCGCCGCAACTTCGATGAGCAGCAAGCTGATCCACCGCAATGCCGACTTCTTCACAAAGAGTACGTCGTTATATACGCGCGCTCCCTCAGGCGTCTGCTAACATACCCTACAGTGGTTGTCGACGCCGTCCTTTCCCTCGACCAAAACGATCTCAACAACAGACTCATCGGTATCAAGAAGATCACTGGTGGTGCCCTGCAAGACTCTCTGTTTGTCAATGGTGTCGCATTCAAGAAGACCTTCTCCTACGCCGGTTTCGAGCAACAACCCAAGGCCTTCAAGAACCCCAAGATTGTCTGTCTGAACGTCGAGCTCGAACTCAAGAGTGAGAAGGATAACGCCGAAGTTCGTGTTGAGCAAGTGTCAGAATACCAGGCCATTGTCGATGCCGAATGGCAAATTATCTACAACAAGATGGAAGCCCTTTACAAGACTGGCGCAAAGATTGTTCTCAGCAAGCTACCTATCGGTGATCTTGCGACACAGTGCGTTGATCCTGTTCAATTACCACAACATAACATACTGACTCTCGAAAAGGTACTTTGCCGACCGCGACATCTTCTGTGCTGGTCGCGTGGCATCAGACGACATGGAGCGCGTGTGCCAGTCCACTGGCGCCTCAATCCAATCTACCTGCTCTGACATCCACGAGTCCCACCTTGGTACCTGCGAAACTTTCGAGGAACGTCAAATTGGTGGAGAAAGATTCAACTTCTTCGAGGGTTGCCCTGGCGCAAAGACATGCACCCTTGTCCTCCGCGGTGGCGCTGAACAATTCATTGCCGAAGTCGAGCGCAGTCTGCACGATGCCATCATGATCGTCAAGCGTGCCATCAAGAACCAGAGCATTGTTGCTGGTGGTGGTGCTTGCGAAATGGAGGTCAGCAAATACCTTCACACCTACGCCGACAGCAAGATCCCCCACAAGCAGCAAAGTATCATCAAGGCCTTCGCCAAGGCACTCGAGGTCATTCCCAGACAACTTTGCGACAATGCTGGTTTCGATGCTACCGATATCTTGAACAGACTCCGCGTTGAACACAGAAAGGGCAACATCTGGGCCGGTGTCGACTTCCAGAACGAGGGCGTTAGGGATAACATGGCCGCCTTTGTGTGGGAACCCAGTCTCGTCAAGATCAACGCCATTCAAGCCGCTACCGAGGCCAGTTGTTTGATTTTGAGCGTTGATGAGACCATCAGTAAGCAAACAGTCGGCTTGAAAACTTACGAAAAACATGCTAACAAAAAGAACAGAGAATCAAGAATCTCAAGCTCCCCAGGCTCCTGGCCAACAACTACCTCCTGGTGCTGCCCAAAGGGCATTGCGCGGCAGAGGAAGAGGTATGCCCAGAAGGTAGACAAAATCTACCAGCAGGTAACGACGATTTTAAAAGCGAAACATCATGTAAAATTAAATCAAGAACATGACTGTCATCTTGTCATATGGCATGTTCAGAATACCAAAACATTGGCCAAATCATTCTTTCAGCACGACCACATGTATTTGTGTCTTCTTGGTTTTCGTTGTGTAAATGAAGACGATTGCCAAGCTGGAGGAGAATAAGATTCGATTGAGCAATTTTGAATGAAGCCTGGCAGAAGAATGAAAAGCAGCTCAGAAACCGGGACGCTAGAGATCACCTATATGCAGCACGGCGCGGCGAATTCGCACTTTCGTATGCATCGTCTTGAGTTGTCCTGCGCGCAGCATTTCAGACTCGACTATTATTCGATAAGAAGCACATCGAACAAGACTCGCAGATTGTATTGAGACCTTACGTATGAGGACCCTAGAATTGAATGCTATTTCCTCTACGGAGCTGCACAGTAGAGAACGATACATCATATACACTGTTTGTTCGCCGAAGAATGCGACCGACATCAACCTCTCCCAGTGTTAAGCTGGGTCGATGGATCACAAGACCTGAGGTGCAATCAAGGCTTCTCGCTTATGGCACAGACCATATGGAGGGATCTTGAGCTTGAGCTTCTCTCGAGGAAACACGTTTGCGAACGACACTCGACAGCGACATTCGAGCGTATATACGACCAGCAAAGGGCGATTGACGACTCGAGGTAAGTCCAGACCGTTATCATGTATGCCCAGAAAATAGGTCACGCGCAAGAGTGGACACGACCCGCGTCGATTGCTGAGATCTGGAACGAAACCATATAGTCCGAAGATGGTCTAGCGGATCGAAAGGATGATCTCGACATTTGGGCCTGTATGGGTCGAACGCACAACTCTGAAGTGCCATTAATTGGGGCTCTTTGCAAGCACAATAATGAAAGTATTAGTATAGTCGTTCAGAAAGATAAAACAGGAAAGAGATAAGTGTCGTGGAAAGCAACTTCCTCAAAATCACTGGGTGCTGTTCAGAGGCACGGCGGCGTTCTTCAGCGTGATTTTGGAGATTCCACCGATTGCATAAGAGTTTAAAACCGCTTTGGTCCCCGCACGCACCCCCTCCGCGCTCCCTCGACTTTCATCACGCTATCCCAAACATACAACCAACTTTGATTCCGCGCGTTCGACCCATCATTGGAATCCTCGAGACCAGCTCCATCATCCAATTATAACAACCACATATCAAAATGCCTCCCAAGAAAGCCGCTGCTGCCCCCAAGAAGGCTGCCGCCAAGGAGCCTGCCCATGCTAGCTACCAGGGTATGTACAAGCTCACAGACTTGTCGCGTCGCCGGCGCGTTTGTTTGGTCTGTGTCGCGAATGTGTGCTGATTCCAGATTACAGAGATGATCAAGGAAGCTATTATCAATGTCAGTATATCACATCGTTTACGCGTGTCGCCGAGATTGGCGGGTTCGCGATGATACGCGCAATCTTGTCCGGAATCTGGCACTGCTCTTCCCTTGTTCTTGGATCATTACTGACGCGTTCTTTTCGAGCAATAGCTCAAGGATCGTCAAGGAAGCAGGTCAGTCGCTTTACATTCTGTTATCGTCGCGTTTATGTGCTCGTTGCTGACTATGCCTACAGCCGTCAAGCTCTCAAGAAATACGTCCAGGCCAACAACAACCTCTCCAGCGTGACCGAGGCCGCCTTCACCAACCAATTCAACCGTGCTCTTGCCAAGGGTAGCGAGTCTGGTGTCTTCGAGCGCCCCAAGGGTAAGCAACTTCTTCTCGTCCTTCCATCCTGCCGAGATTGAGGACGGAGACCTTTACTGGTTTGATGCAACTCTGACATGAAATAGGTTCTTCCGGACCTGTCAAGCTTGCCAAGGCAAAGGCTGGCTCTCCTCCTGCCGCAAAGAAGGCAGAGAGCAAGAAGACCGAGACCAAGGCCACCAAGGCTGCACCAAAGACTGCTGCTAAGGCCAAGAAGACCGCTGCAAAGGAGGCACCTGCTAAGAAGGCTGCTGCGCCCAAGAAGGCTGCTACCAAGGCTGCACCCAAGACCGCTGCCACCAAGAAGACCGCCGCACCCGCCAAAGCAACCAAGACCAAGGCCAACGTCTCCAAGGTCAGAAAGAGCGCTCCTGTATGTCTAAACGCCTGTGTTGCCGTGTCTTGTACTAACCCGAGTTCAGGCTCCCGCTGTTGAGGAGAAGGCTCCTGTTGTTCTCGGAAAGACCAAGTCAGGCCGTGTCACTAAGAGCACCGCACCCTCAGCACCGGCCACCAAGGCAGCTGCCAGCAAGAAGAAGGCCGCTCCCAAGAAGGCAACACCCAAGAAGAAGACTGCCGCTTAAAGGGGGCAGTTCGATGATTTCTTCTACTGTCATGACGGACGAAGGGTCGTCTAACGGGCGTGATTGACAGGGCGTCCGGTGTAGCGATACGGATGAGGGAGCACTTGATGAGATACCAACACTGGGACTACTACGAGATGATTTGCTTTGCTTTGCCAGGGGTTCTGTTCAAAGGGTATGGAGGGAGGCGTTTGGGATTAATTCATGATCAGCTGGCTGTTATATTTGCTCAGCAGCAGCGGAGACATACGACATTAGTATTTTATCGCAAACACGTTGCTTTCTTTTTTCATCCACTTTCATCATGTTGATTGAGAAATGACGACGCGAGTAGTACAGTAAACAGAAGACGGGCAAGAGGGTTGCCAAGGCGTGGTCGGGCTCGGAAATGAGATGAGCAGCGAACAAGGGACGGAAGTTGCTTGTGCCGATGCTATACGAAGGGTCGCGAAGGTTGCGTAGGGCTGAGGGTGCACAGCCAAGAAGCTTAAGCAGGGCCGGCCTTGTCGAACGCGCGCCATCGTCTCGCACGCACAACGTCGTCTGGCACTTCGTCTCGCAGCAGCCTGTTGTGTGCATGCCGCGACTCTCGACAAAGACGACTCTCTGATATTTCCAGCCTCTCGATATTCCCACGACCCCATTCTCAGCCGCCGTCGGACCGCCCTCAGTCGACTCCACCGCCTGACCGCTCTCGTGTCGACGCATCAGCAACGCTGGCCCAATCCGCACGCTTGAATGTCCCAGAGGGGGACACATTGAGCAAGGTCACCTCCCCGCTCAATGCCGTCTACTTGATGAAGAAGGTCGACATGCCATCATTCCTGCCCGACGACCGCGACCTCCACAATTCTTTTTCTCCCAAATCCTTATCACCGCCCATCCCGACACAACAACAACAAACCCCCGCCGTTGACGCTCTTCCCGGAGCATGGCCGAAACCCACACCTGGCTTGCCTAACGGTTTGCAGCATGGAGCAGATAGTGCTATATCCTCCCTACCTAATGGACGGTCGTCAGAGTCGCACAGCACACGCGGGAGAACTGTCTCGTCCAAGGGTAGCATGCCCTCAATGCTATCATCAAAGAGTGACAACGACCTCAAGTCGCTCGACATGTCCTCGCTCCCTCGAGACGATGACGGCTACTTCGCACAAAAGCCAAACGGAGTCTCTCGATCACCAAACCTTTCCCAACACGCCCTTGCTGTACCAGAAGACGTTTCGCCAACCTCATCGGCCCTGCCCCTCCAGACAATGCCAAGTCCCGTCCTACCACCCGTGAGCGAGGCTGGTCCTTCTACCGCCGATGGTATGCTCCGTGTACCACACTCGACACATCGTGCCTCTTCTCCTCCGGCCTTCTCCCACACCTCTTCGTCCATGGCCTCCGTCTCGTCCCAACCTCCAGGTCGCTTGGTTCATCGACACACTCTTGAAGTCCCTAGTGTGGCTGGCCGCACTTCTCGTGACAGTCAAGCCCCCTCCACTCACGATGGTAATCTTGTCTCTGCCACTGGTCGTTTCTCACCCACCACTCCAAGCAGAAGGAGGGGTTCTTCTCAGCTTGTCCGTCGGGGAACGCGTTCAATACAATCAGATGCACACCTCGACGAAGTCGTTCCGGATGACGATGCTGTAAGGTGGGCCGAGCATATTAAGCAAAAGCGAGCGAGCAAGCGAAAGCGAGATGAAGACGATGAGCGCGTCGTTGTTGGCACCAAAGTCGATCAGAACCACGTCAATTGGGTCACTGCTTACAACATGCTTACTGGAATTCGCTTCTGTGTATCGAGGACAAACGCAAAAATCGACAGGGACCTGACCGATGCCGATTTTGACGCAAAGCACAAGTTCTCATTCGATATCACCGGTAACGAACTTACTCCCTCGGCCAAGTACGACTTCAAGTTCAAGGACTACGCCCCCTGGGTCTTCCGTCATCTTCGCCACAAGTTTGGTCTGGACCCTGCAGATTACCTTGTCTCTCTGACCTCAAAGTACATTCTCTCTGAGCTTGGCTCTCCCGGCAAATCTGGCAGCTTCTTCTATTTCTCGCGAGACTACAAGTACATCATCAAAACCATTCATCACGCTGAACACAAATTCCTCCGCAAAATCCTCAGAGACTATTATTCCCACGTCCAGGACAATCCTAACACACTTCTCAGTCAATTTTATGGTCTCCACAGAGTTAAGATTCCTTATGGGAGAAAGATCCACTTCGTCGTCATGAACAACCTGTTCCCGCCTCACAGAGACATCCACCGAACATTCGACTTGAAAGGAAGTACTATCGGTAGAGATTTCAGAGAGGAAGAATTAGAAAAGAATCCAAGGGCAACACTCAAGGATCTGAACTGGCTACGACGCAACCTCCATCTGGAATTCGGTCCAACCAAGAAGGATGCTTTCGTAGAACAGATGCAGAAAGACGTTGCGCTTCTTCAAAAGTTGAAGATCATGGACTACTCAATGTTGGTTGGCATCCATGATCTGCAGCGAGGCAACGAAGACAACCTACGGGACAAGACTTTGCAGGTCTTCCAACCTGGAGGTCACAAATCTGAGGATCAACCACCGAACATGCTGATGCGAACGCCTAGCAAGCTTGAAAACGCACGAAAGGCACAGGAGTTGCGAGAGCTCATTAAGAACGAAAAACCGATACCAATGGGCCAAAGCTTGGACAAGATGCCTGATGAAATGGCCGGAGGTCACAGGAAGCAGTCTTACTTCTACAGTGATGACGGTGGTTTTAGAGCAACCCACGAGAACGATATGCCTGGAGACGAGATTTATTACCTCGGAATTATTGATTGTTTGACACATGTAAGTTGACGAAAGCATGCGCGTTTCAGCATATACTGACAGACTATAGTATTCCATGATCAAACGCTTCGAACATTTCTTCAAAGGCCTGTCCTCTCCAGAGTCACAGATCTCTGCCATACCACCTGAACGTTATGGCGATCGTTTCGTTAGATTCATATCAGGCATCACCAAGTCGCGTGAGCGTGCAGAGGCAGAGAAAGAACAGCTCCTCGAGCAGGGCAGTGATAGACTCAACCAGGCCATTCACAACATCGAAGGCACTCTAGATGATCCCCAGCTCTCTGGCGTCAACATTCTTAGATCTTCGGACCACAACCCTGCCGGCACCGACAAAGTCATGCGAAAGGCAGAAAAACAAGCAGAAAAGAGCAGACACCGTGGCGCCAACGAGGAGGACATTCCGGATCGCGCTATCGGTGCAGTCAGAAGCCCTCATGCCGAAAATGACAACATGATCACACTGCCCGTCATTGGCGAGGCCGCAGAGAACGGCAGCCCCTCTTCCAGAACACCTACCCGCACAATAACTCCTCAACGTTCAAAGGAGTCTTTTGGTGGCCGTGACAGCAGCGCTCAGACTGCTACGCGAAAGGTCGAGAATGACAGCCAAAACCTTGGCGAAGTACCACCGCCTACGCCTCCAAAGACTGATGGGCCACCCTCTTCCAAGGAATCTATCGAATTCGAAAACCACGGACGTGCTGTCAACAATTTCAGTCGCCCACTAACGCCGCCAAAAGACGACAAGTACACTCTACGCGACCAAAGAGACAGACCACCGACGCCACCCAAGGACGAGAGATATAGCCTTGACAAGGCTCTGCCTCTACCGCCATCTCAAACAGATGGAGCCCACGAAGACGAGGTGGAGGCGTTGAGTACACGGGTCTCTGCTCTCTAGAATTTCCTTTGCTGTTTTGCCTCGTGTTGGGACTTGCATAATCGAGCGCGCAAAGAATCTACTTTTTTGGTTGTTGGGGATCTCTGGGGGCCTTCCTTGCCTATTGCTATCTGTTGTTTTCTCTTTGTCTGTGTGTTTCAACACTTTTTCATCTTCTTATTCCCCCTCATAGCGTGCGTTGTTTTTTTCTTCTTCGAGCGAAAATCCATGTCTCTTTTGTTCTCTTTGATCCTCCCCTTGTTGTTATATAGCCTTCCCCTTCGATACCACTTTTGTTGACGTGTACTCAAGAATGCAAAAAGCCGTCCTCTTCTTTGTTCTTCCCTCTTTTCAGCTGCTACAATGCATGGTTATGACAGCTACATTGCGATAATCCATAACATACGGGGTGAGCACGAGCAGAAGATAGGCATTATGAAAAGGAGTAATCGTTCTGTTCATGGAAGCAATGCTAGCTGATTATACACCCTTCTCATGACTTTCTTCATTTCCATTACTCTTCGTGTTGATCGTACCAGTCGTGCACACATCGATCCTCACTTCGGTTTCGTCGATCCGCAGAGCCCACAGACGCCATAGTCACCCGGGTTAACGTACCCGACATTCTGACAATCTGTGCTTGTACACTTCCAGCAGTTGGGCATAAGTGCTGGCTTGAGCACGTGGGAACAAGCCGCACACATAGCTGCCGTAGATTCGTTTTCGAGGGAGCAAATTCTACAGGTCGAGGAAGGAGCGACTGCTGGGCGCTCTTCCGGTTTGCTCTGGGTGGCGGTCGTGCCTACCTCGGTGCTGTTGATCGTCGCTGAGGAAGACGGCGCTGATGACGCTGTCGGCGCGATATAGTTGATGAAGTTCTTCTCGTCTTCGCTTTCTGTCGCCTCATCCTTAATATCGACGAGCGGCTGTTGTGAAGGGTTGCTGCCAGCTTGGATGCTCGATGATGACGGCTTTTCGGAGATCTTGTTCTCTTTTTGCTTGCCCTTCTCTTGCACAATGGCTGTGATGTCTTGTATCTCGTCTTCGCTATCCGTAGACAGGTCCTCTAGGACCGGCTGCGTCTTGGTTGGTAGTTTTGTGAAGCTGCGTGGCGCATCGAGGTCTTGGTCGTCGTCGCTCTCCGTTGAAGCATCATCGTCAGAAATCGTTTGTTTGGCTTTGCCTTTCGAAAGCGGTTGTGTCGATGAATTGGCATGCGACTTCGACGTAGCCTGATCGATCTCGCGCAGCTCGTCGAATTCTCGCTGCGCATCTTTGTCCTCTGAGTCTTCGTTCTCGCACACTCTGACCATGTTGCCATCTTCGGAATTCATAGTCCTCTCGATAGTCGTGTATTCATAGTCAGAATCAGTTTCGTAATCGTCGTCACTGGTCGTTTCAATCTTGGGCTCCGCCTTGACAGCTTCCTTCTTCACGTTTTCGAAGCGTGCCAGTGCTGCTGCTGCTCGGAGCTCCCTTCCTCGCTTACTGCCTGCTACTCTGGGTTTGACGGCAGGCTTTCCACCTTTCTGGCCAGCCTCGAGCTTGGCTCTGACGCCTTCATCATCTCCTAAGGCAACGCCATTGACACCAAATTTCTTTGCGATTCTTCGTTGTTGGCGCTCGGCATAGGTGATCTTAGGAGCATCTCCTTTTCGCCTTCTCTTCCGACCACCTGACGATCTGAAGGTACCACCACACAGACTGGCGGGTATATTGGCAGCCTCGGGCATGTGGTTGTTCATGTACTGTCCAGTGATGAGAGATTGACCCTTTCCCCATAGACCCTCGCCAGTGTATGCTTTGTCCCAAAGAACCTTCAGCTCGTCGGCATAGGCGTTTCTGACCTTCCAGAAAGCGCGAGAGTGGTTCATCTGTTTGCAATGTGCCAGCTCATGCATCATGACCATTTGCACGTGTTTGAAGGGTAGCCACTGGTTGGTGTGTGGAGCCTTGAGAACTAGTTGGATGACTTCCCCAGCGTTGAAATTACGGCCGATGAACTCAGGATTGGGTGGGTATTCTTCTAGTGCCATGACGACAATGTGGTTCTGTTTCATGATGGGATAGCAGATAGCGGCGACTCTTTCCAGAAAGTCTTGGGCCAGTGCCTTGTCCGGACTTTCGAGGGGTTTGATGAAGTTGATGAGTGCATTCGGTCTTTTCTTGCGCTCGTTGATGCGTTCGAAGCCAAGGACCTTGTTCATGTTCGACATGTTGTTTGTGGTAAACAGTGGCGAAAAGTCATGCGGCCAAATATCTTGACAACGGAGAAGACAGAGTGACAGACCTAGTCTAGGCTCATCAAAATAGGTCAGAAAGTATTCTTGGATTGGGTATTGGTCGCTATCGCGTGATTATCGCTCAATAAAGAGAGTGAAGGTAGAAGTCAAGACAGAAACAGGGTCATGGACGCAGCTTCCGCCTCGGCAAATCCTGCCGTTCGCAATATCATCTTCTGTCGCTGCCCATGTGCTCTTTCTTTAGCAACAACAACAGCAGCAGATTCCGTTTCATTATTCAAACAGTAACAACAATTTTCATCTGACCAAGCGTTGCTTGTGCCAACGATTGATCAATCCCCTCGAGACGTCGTAACAATCACCTTCTCGACATCGCTGATCGACCAATTTTTCTTCCGAACATTTCGCTTGCTTCCTCGACTGCCAAATCGCTGTACATCGGCTTGATAGACCCAGCTCTTACTTCTGTTCTTGAATCTTCCAGATAACACGCACAGAGAGTTTTGCAGAATTGAGGAACATGGGTGGTACGGATGAGCTGATGCCGGAAGGCGTCCACCACTACGACGAATCGTCAGAAATGCCCGAGAACATCCAGAAGTCAGTCAGATTGAGATCCGAAGTCGAGACAGAAACTGACCAGCCAACAGATACTGGCACCAACGCTATGATATCTGGTCGCGTTATGATGAAGGCATCTGGATGACCGATGATGTTTGGTTTGGTGTTACTCCCGAGCCGATAGCCAAGTATGTCCATCTTCCTTTTCTTCTTCTGACTCTCCTAATGCTGACATCTATCACAGCCGCATAGCTGACCACATCAAGACCGGCGGGCCCGAATCAAAATCCATCATAATAGATGCCTTTGCTGGTGCCGGCGGCAATGCCATTGCTTTCGCCCTTTCTGGTCGCTTCAAACAAGTCTTCGCCATTGAGAAAGACCCTGCAACCCTCGCCTGCGCACGACACAATGCAGAAGTGTACGGCGTAGCATCAAAGATCTGGTGGATTGAGGGCGATTGCTTCGAAGTTCTTAAGAAGCGTCTAAAGTCGTTGGCCAAGGATGCCATCGTCTTCGCCAGTCCACCATGGGGAGGTAGGTCTCCACGTTCAGTGGTTTTCCTTGATTCATATGTTGACACTTTGGATAGGTCCCCAATACGTTGACGACAACGTTTTCGATCTCAGCACAATGCAACCTTACAACCTCAAGCACATTTACGACAGATTTTCAGCATATGTCCCAGATTTCGTGCTCTTTTTACCTCGGAGCTCCGATCTGAACCAGCTGGCGAAGTATGCGCCTGCCGACAAAAAGCTAGAAGTCGTACACTACTGCACAAATGGTTCTAGCAAGGTAATTTGCGAGATTATATTGTAGTGAGTTGTACTTTGCTGACTTGTTCTAGGCTCTCTGCGCCTACTTTGGTGAATTCAAGTTTCAGTGATGGCGATGAGGCGGAGCACATACACATAATCACAAGGAGACATGACAGCAAAGATAGACCTCTCTACAACCTCACTCAGACAGGAGATGAACACTCTTGATGTTTCTAAGTCCACTGATTTACGTCGATACACCAGCTACCAAGCGTCTGATTAGACAATATGCGTTGTTATCATTACTCTGTGTCTACAGAGGCTAGTCTAGGGGTCCATCATGCTGTAGATGTGGTGTTACCCACGACGAGACCCTGAGCGTTTGCTTGGCTAGCCCACGCATCTCTCAAAGCCCAAACAGCCACACTCACGCCAGCACCCTGAGGAATACCCTTAGCTCCGATTCTCAAAGTGTCAAGCGGGTGTTCAGGGAAGAAGGTCATGGTGCCACTCTGCTCGCCTCCATTGACAAACAACTCTAGGATGGTACGATCAAGGACACCGCTGACTGTCCAGGTCCCATTCTGGCTACCACTATAGATGCCTTCTGAGGAGAACTTGTCGGTGAAGTAAGGGTTTTCAGCACCCCAATTTGTGTTTCTGCGTGACAGCCAAGTGGTGCCACCAGGGATTGTGCCACCCTGGATGTTCTCACCACTAACAGATGAAGTGAAGGTGAAGTTCAAAGATCCAGCCAAAGTATCAGGAGTCAGACCAGTGATGTTGGCTTCAAAGTAGAGTGCACCAGAAGGCACATTAGAGTAGTCGAGCAAGATACTGTTATTACCCAATGATGAGTTGGAAGCAAGAACCTGCGAGAACTGCGAGCTGATGTTGAACGGCGAGCTGACAAGATCCCAACCAATGTTAGGCAGCTGCTTCAGATAGTTCTCACGGAAGACCGTCATGGAGCTTCGCCAACCCTCATTTGCAGTTGGTACATTGTTGGTGTATTGCCAGTTGCTAGCCCAATCCATGCTGAGACGCTTCTCAGTGCCAAAAATACCAGAGAAAAATTGACCGGCGTAGTTGTCCTTGGCAAAATCGGCAATGCGAGCGACAGGGTCGACAGCCTCGAAGTGTGTACCGTTGAACGATCCGGGGAAATACTGAGAGATAGAGCCTCCGAGAGGAGCGCCAGGGTTGATGGAAATGAACATGAGCCACATCGTCTCGTCTGAGCCCTCTACAGGCATCTCAACCAGGTTAGGACACTCGTATTGAATGCCCAGAAGGCCATGGTGAGAGAAGTTGGAAGCGTGTTCCCACGACTTCAGGTCGGGTGAGGTGTATATACCGACAGTAAACTCAGTAGCGTAAACTGTGACCATTACCCAGCTTTGAGTTTCAGCATGCCAGAAGACCTATCAATCAGTCAGTCAGTCGGAGCATACAGTCTTGGTTGATGCTGCTAATCACCTTGGGATCACGGAATTGAGTCGAGCCAATGTCAATGACTGGGTTGCCCTCATAAGGCTCAAAAGAGTAACCGCCATCCTTAGAGAATGCGATGTTCTGGTTCTGAGACGTGCTGTTGGACAAAGTGTAGATGGCAACTACGCCGTTATCCTGACCAGGGAAGTAGCCACTGGTGTTGTTTACATCAACCACTGCCGATCCACTGAACACGAATGTCTCGTTGTTTGGAGGAAAGAGCGCAATGGGCTGATTTTCAAAGGTGTAACCATCGGTCGTAGTTGCATGGCCCCAATGCTGGTTGCCTGCTACATCAGCTGTTGGATTATCTGTGAGTGTGTTAGCGGTGGCCCGATTATCATGTCGAGGAGAGTTAGGTAACAAACATTGATAGTAGACGTGGTAAAGACCATCGGCGTCCACAAAGAGACCATTGGGATCATTCTAAGCAGTCATTAGATAACTTCTTTCTGACTCTTTGAGTACGTACCATGAAGCCTTTTGGAGGTGAGAAATGCACCTGTGGTCTGAGAGCACCTCCATAGTCACCAACAACAGGCGTCCCTGTTGGCACATTCGACGAGGATGTGGTGGAAGCATCCTGTGCAAACACAGAGCCCAAATAAAGCAAGTAAGACAAGACAGACGAAGTTCGAGGCATTGTGATGATTGTGTTCCTACCTCTTCCCACGGCGATCTGCTCGTTATTTATATTGACATCTTGTAGATCCTACCATGCTGTGCCCGCACTGCCTCGTGCCTCACATATCCTGGATACGGGCCGTACAGTCGGTCATTGCTTGTGGAGCGGTTAAAGTGATCACACGATATTTGCCATGATTCCCATGGACGATGCCGCAAGATGCCAATGCAAGAGAAGGGCCGACTTTGCTTACTGAGACCTTTCGAAAACAGCGTCCGCCAGGATTCATCGGTGACGGCAGTGGAGTTCAGAGTGGGGTCTCCAGCCGGGAAAGTCGGGGCTTGGGGGAAAATGCGGATGCTTGCCTTCTTGGCTTGCTCTATCGGACCGAGGACACGATCTTGTTTATAATTTAAGAGGTAAAGTTCATTAGGGCATGCTGAAACCTCTGCAGAATGTCGGCAATAGCAATAAGAGAACTGTAGGCCGCGGCACGGAATGCTCCTCAGGCCATCCATGCCTGATATAGTCCCACTCACATGTTATTATCACCTTAATCCCGAATCGCTGAAGCACAGGCAGAGGTTAGACAAGGTTGAATTGAATGAATTGCGGGCTGTTGCTAGCCCGGATATTTTGAAAGCATATATACATCTGTTTGACTTTTTTACACATTAAACAAATTTTCGTTACACAAGCAGAAGCCTTAGATCAGCTCTGACTTAGTTGCCGGTCCACCAGGTGCGGTTGTTGGTCTGTTCGACAGTGTCCCAAACAAGCTCGCTAGAAGAGTTCAAAGGTCTCTCGGGCCAGACATTGTACAAGGTTGACCACATGTCAATGCCCTCGAAAGTGGCAGAGGAACCGCTGGGAACGTAGACACTGACACCGGTGCTGCTCTCCATGCTGGGGTAGATTCTGGTTGTAAGGGCGAAACGCTCATTGAGGTAGATCTCAACCAGAGAGCCATCGACAAAGATGTCCCAAGACAGAGCCTCCTGAGTGGCGTTACCATATTCGCCCTGGGTGGTGTAAGGGTGGAAGTAGCCAATAACAGAAGAGTTGGCAAAGCCATCGAGAAGAGACGAGTGGCTACGGTCAACGACAACAGTGTTGTTGGCAGGCTGGTAGTAGATAGTAGTGTACTCGCGACCGTCAGGGCTGCAGCCAATTCTGAAACCGGCAGGACCAGTGGCGCTGGTAATGACAGCGCTAAGTTCCATGTGGGCACTGCCATTTGCAACAAGAGTCTGGCTACCGTTGTAAGTGCGACCAGGCCACGAGTGCTGAGTAGAGCCATTGCGGAGACCGACGACAACATCGTCAAGAGGTCTGACACCAAGAGTCTGAGCTGTGAAGCTACCATCGAGGTTTTGAGTGAGGTAAGAGCTGCCCATCTCAGTGACAACACCATCCATGTTCACTACGTTCTTGACGGTGTGGACAAAAAGTTCACGAGGGAGAGACAAGGCGCCCTGGAAACCTTGCTGCTTAGCAGAGAAGAGACCACCGTCACCAGTGATGTCTTCGGGTGCCCATCCGTACTGAACGCGACGGTCATTCTTGGTGTCGTTGAAGCTGGAGAGAGCATAGAGGAGACCCCAATCGCCAGCACCGCCAGAAATAGGAGTGAACTCAGCAGATCCGTTGGCGCGGCGAGTGACGTGACCCTCGTTCCAGAGAGCCCAGTGGGCAGACTCATGGAAAGAGACGTTGCCACCTTCAGATCCCATGTTGACAAAGTAGTGCAGGTGACCATCCTCATCAGGGAGAGTGAAGAAGCCAGAGACTTCGAAGTTGTAGCCGTACGAGCCAGTGGAGAGCACTGGGCCGAGAGAGCTGTTGTCGGCAGGCTCGAAGAGGGAACCGAGGAAAGTCCACTTGGTCAGGTCTGATGCAGGTGCGGCCCACAGAGGCATGCGGGGACCAACGCCCTTGATGCCGCTTCCGAACACGGCGTAGTAAGAAGGCTCACGACCAAGAAGGGCATCAAGAGCGGGCAGAGGCTCGAAGAATGGGTCACGGAAACCAGTAATGTTCCAGTGGCCAGGAGGGCCCTCGATGACAGGGTTGTTCTCGTACTGCTGCCATGTCTTACCGCCATCGTGAGACATTGCCAGACTCTGGCTCTCGGTTCCATTCTGGTAAGGAATGCTCCAACTTGTGGGAAGCTTGGAAACCGAGGTGTAGAAGAGGAGCAAAGTTCCGTCAACACCACCGGTCAAGTTGACGGGCTGACCAGTACCAGAGAAGATACCAAGGCCGTTGTAGCTGCCGTTGCCAGAAGGTCCCATGGCCAGAGCATCTCTGCCCTGCCAGCCACCAACATCGGTCCAAGAGATCATGTCCTTGGAGGTGGCATGACCCCAGGAGATGTTACCCCAGTTGATGTGCAAAGGGTGCCACTGATAGAAGGCATGGTACAGGTCCTCTGTGGGATCGTACATGAGACCGCAAGGATCGTTCATCCAACCTGCGGGAGCGATGAAATGGTTCTGAGGACGCCATCTGGTGAAGAGAGAGTTGTTTCCCATCGACTCGATCATGGATGTAGTCAATGTTTGGGCGAGGGCAGTTGCGCCCATCAGGCTGCCAAGAGCGAGAGAGCCCTTCATTGTGGCGTGATAAAGAGATGAATAGAAGGATGAAAGGGAGATAAAGGCTTGCTTGATGAGAGAGAGATTGTGAGGCGATCCCTCGAGGTTTATATGTCTCCAGGTCTCATGGAGATCTGGGGCAGGAATGGGGAAAGAAAGCAAGAAAGCAAAGAATTGAGTTGCTCCAGAACAGATTCTAGGCGTTCTGGCAAGGATATGACGCCGATCGCGAAGACATCAAGCCACCAAAAGCGTCGGACCGACAAAGATGCTCGTCTGCCACGTCTGGGGCCCCACACCGGTAAAGCTATCGGCGCTATGGTCCCAGAGCAAGCATGCGGTTTTCTGTCAGACGATATGATGCGTGTGCTTGAGCAGCGGTCAGTACATGCGAGAGAGTCGAGTATTCTGTACGAAGCACTTGGAAGTACGAGAGTCTTTCGAATATAAGAGCCTCACGGCGATGCACAACCTAGTCTGCAATGAGCTCGGGTTGTAGTGCCAGAGGTTGGAGGGTTATGCAAAAGAAAATTCATTATTAGTAAGTCAGGCGGTGGTGCTGTCAACGCCAAAGCTTCTTGAATGAATATCGCGCAGCAATGGCCTACCAAGAAGGACGGGATAGCCGACGCGTGGTATACGAGTAGAGAAACAGGCGCGGCGCTTGGACATGCTACGATGAAGACGTGATGGATGTAGCTCATTTGATGGTGATAGAGTTCGAGGCTTGGAAGCGGGTTGCGGGACGAGATGTTTGCAGATATTGGAGCCCCGCATAGAGAACAAAACATCAATCTTGTGCTGGCAGTTTACTCACCACCGGTGTTTGCAGAGATGACCGCGGGCGGACCATAGTGTTCGCGCTGCAGCGGATCTGAGATACCATGTTATCTTGGATAATGACTGCCGAGATTGTGAGATAGCGGGAGGGAAAAGACGGGCGGCAGTTGTCAATGGTGTCAAAACGAAGTATCATGTGCCCTGCTTCCCGAAAGAAGAGGCTGGTTTGCCGTGAGCGGACGATTCAAAAATGCAATGCCATGTCTGAGAGTCGGGCCGAGAAATGCGGAAGGCGCGTGCGGCGTGCCTGCCATTGTGGGACTCTGGAGAAGTGTGCGCACAGACACATCGGACCTGTGACGATGTTCGGCATCGGATGTTGGCCTCGTTTCGCTCCGGCTGCTACGTTTACGTGTTCGCATGTGCATGTCCAAACCTCGCAACGACAAGACACAATGAGGCTCGCTGCCTATGCTGGAACGTCTGCGCTGGTGGCAGCCGGTGCTCTACTGAAGGCTTTCCACCAGCGGCCCAATTTCTATTCGGCCACCGTCTACCTGTCGCAGAGCAATGCCTGTGTCCTTGTGAGCTGCTGCTTCTGCTATGCCCTCTAGACGCCGCTAACTCCGTCACCACCTAGATCCTCACCAACCTCGCTCTGGTCACCGCCTGCAGCTTCATCTACGGTCTTCAACGTCTCTTCTATGGCCCCCTTCGTCCTATTGAAATCGAGCATCTCTCCGAAAAGGCCTGGTATGCCGTCCTCGACACTCTCTTGGCTATGCCCTCGCTGAGGGACGAGGTTGGAGGATGGATGCTCGCCGTCTTTGTTCTTCTGCTGGCGGGTAAGGTCTGGAGCTGGATTGGTGAAGGCCGCGTCGATATTCTCGAACAACAACCTCCACAAAACCCACGTCTCTTCCATGCACGACTTGCCTCGTCGCTACTCGTATCCACCGCATTCAGCGCCGCCATGCTGAGATACTGTATCGCTACTGTCAAAGACGACCCCCGCCCTGGCATGATGGTCATCTTCACCTTTGAATTCGCCATTCTTTTGATCTTCTCCTTATTCACCCTCCTACGTTATGTGCTGGCTTTGACAGAAGCACGTGTGCTGAAGCTACAAACAAAAGCCAAGATGGACGAGAGGCGAGCAGAGATTCGAGCAGAAAGAGAACGTTTGGAGCGGCAGCGTGAGGAGTCGACCGATCCCCAGAGTCTACCTCCTCTGCCCAGCGAAGAAGATGTGGATGAGAACGAGATTGATGTCCCAGGTTGGGAAGAAAAGCGTCGGTGGTTGTTTGGCCTCGAGCTTGCCACAGGTCAGTCATTTTGTTCCAGTCTGAGCCATCTAGACTAACCATACGCAGACTTCATCAAGCTCATCGTCTACACTGTCTTTTTCGGCATCTCATTGACCTTCATGGGACTGCCCATGCATATTATTCGCGACGTCTATCTGACTTTTGCATCCTTCGTCAAGCGTGTCCAGGACTACAACAACTATCGCAAGGCCACTCAAAACATGAACAGCCGATACCCTGATGCCACCAGCGAAGAGCTAACCAACGACAACACTTGCATTGTGTGCAGAGAGGTCATGGTGCCTTGGGGCCAACCCGATGCTGCAGGACAGGCCCGCAGACCCAGTCTCATCAATGAGGGTATGCGTGCAAAGAAGTTGCCATGCGGTCACATTCTGCATCTACGCTGCCTTAAGGCATGGCTCGAGCGACAGCAGGCCTGTCCAACCTGCCGCCGCCCTGTTATTCCCACTGGCACCTCTTCTACTGATCGCGCAGGAGTTGGAAACCAAAACGCAAACGGTGATGCTAATAGAGGCGCGCAGCAAGGAGCCAACGCTCCAGCCGGTGCTCCTAACGCAGGCAATGGCAATGCGAATCGTCCAGCTCAGCCGAGACTGCGTATGCTCAATCTTGGTCCAATCCGCATCGGTGTCTATAACGGACCTGCCAATCGTGTACAAGATGCTCTGAACCAAAGACGCGCCCAGAACAACGGTAATGCTACTGAAACAGCAACACCAACAGTGACTCCAGGATTTGGAACAATGGCTGGATCAAGATCGACGGACACTCAATTGCAGCTTCTTCAGATTGAAGAGCGCCTAATTCAAGAAACTCGTCGCTTACAGATCGAGCAAGCCCAACTTGCGACGGTTCGTGCTTTGGAAGCAGAGTTAGCAAGACTTCGCGCTTACTACAGCAATAACCAAGCTGGAAGTGGTGGCGCTGGTCCTTCGGTTGGTGCAAGGTCGGCCACACCGAGTCCCTTCCCAGCTCCTACCAACATGACGCTACCCGGCGCTGGCTTTGCGCCACCACAAGTGTTCCAACCTGGTCCGGGGCAAGCACCAATGACGCAGGGCCATGAAGGATTACCGGCTGGTCTTGTGTTGCCTGAAGGCTGGACACTTACGCCTCTCAACAGAGTCGAAGGCACCTCGCAATCTCCAGTGCCCACACCTACCATCGCAGTCCCAGCGACTGAGGCTCCAGCTTCACGGGAGCAAACAGAGGAACCCACGACTTCAGACGTGGGGGAAAGTAACGCCGCCAACCAAACTACTGAGCAGGGTCACAGCACCCAGGAAGAAGCACCTGAGGTAGAGTCCTCTGGTCACAACGAGAGCCTCTCCTCATTGTTTCCTCCACAGGCTCCCTCCTCACCGACTCAGTCCGAACAGCCTGAGCCTCTGAGTGTAAGTGATCAAGTCAACTTGGATAGAGAGGTCCCTGTCGAGCATCCCGTGGAGGTCCCGTCGGATATGCCGGTACAGCCGAGCTCTAGCTTGCCAACAACTCAACCCAATGGATGGGGAGAAAGCTCGAGCTGGAACTTTGACAACGTCGACAATGTTGAAGCTGAAAACAGTAGTCAGCAAACAGAGCCCGAGGAGCAGCCCAAAGCAGTCGACAAGGGCAAAGGCAGAGCAGTCACTGTGGAGGATGTGGAGGATTCGGAGCAGTAGAGGGAGATTTTCATTGTTTGTATCAATCACGACCATGGCATCATAACAAAGGCATAGGGCGGGCATAGCGAGGCGTTTTATTCTTGGAAGCCGTATCAAGGCTTAATATTCCACTCAGAGCCGACACGAACGGCGCAATTCTACACTCGTTGAACAGAGATTGGCTTCTACCATCTTCACAGAACCTTGACTTTTGTGACTTGTTGGCAGAAGTGCTATATTCCGGAACTCCGTGCACCTAGCCGAAGCCTTGCAGAACGAGAATACGGGCTATTCTTGCCCTGACAACTCCAGAGAATTCAGCACCATGTTGAAGACGAATCGCTACAGTCGTTACAGATGCCCCAATGCAAGAATATCCAGGGAAGCACAATACAGCAGTGCAAATGGTGATATAATACAGTGGTATACAAGAATCAAAAGAGAAAAAGGCGGTCCACTGGGTGCTTAGAAGTTGCGGGCCTTGAGGAAAGCCTCTATCCGTGGCTTGTGCCAGCCCTTGATCATGACATGGTTCGTGAGTCTGTTGATGACACACTCAGCCTCGGGAAGACCGAGTTCGAACTGGAGAGCGTCGCGGAGAGCATCAATGTTTCCGTCAATCTTCTTGATGCGGGTCAATCGCATGTTGCCGCCGCGTTTCCTCAAGGTGTAGATGGGCAGTTCGTTGGAAGGTGTCCTGGTGACAAAGTATGGGAGGTTGGGAGCGATTTCTGACTCTGGCAGGGCAGGTGCCTCGGCGACAGGGATGTCGTTTTGAGGTTGGCGGTCGGGGTAGTTGCGGACCTTTGTTGGTTGCGAGGTGCGGTGTGAGGCATGTGATACAAGGGGTCGCGGGATAGACTTGAGCGAAGTGGGAGGGTATGAGGGAGAAGCGATGCGCGAGGCGACGAGGTTGGGATCCACTGAGGGAGGAGTGTAGACAGCTAGAAAGCATTTAGCACATGCCAGAGTGTGAGAGGTTTGCAAGATGGATACCTGATCGGATTGTGCATGTCGAGAAGCGCAGACATTGGCGCATGGCGACTGGGCGCGGGACCGCCATAAGGCGTACTGAAGGCATGGCCGGCTGCAAGAAAGACATGACTGTGGTCGAATGTGATGTATTGACGTGCAGCAGCGGGCAACTTTTCTGTTGCAAGTCGCTGGTCGACACTGGCTTTTGCCAAGAGTTTGCGGAGAATCGGCGCTTCTCGTGCAACGAGAAATTCGCCAAAGTGGCAGCGACGACAAGCCAGCGACCAGCAGCGCCAGTCACCGCCCCGTCGTCCATCCATATCGCCTCGCGCAAATACAACCATGGCCGCTACCGCCGACGCTGCTAAGCAGCAGTCTATCCTGCCCACCTTGATCCCTTACCTCGACCGCCATCTCGTCTTCCCTCTGCTGCAATTCCTTGAGGACCAGGAAGATGTCGACGAGCCCTCGCTCGAGCACACCAAGCTCAAGTTTGAGCTGCTCAAGCACACCAACATGACCGATTTCGTCGGCGACCTGTTCGCCAAGATCAACAACCTGGACGAGCGCCCCGAGGAGTACGTTCAAAAGCGCGACGAGGTTCTCAAGAAGCGCGAGCAGTTGCAGGATGAGTGCTCTAAGATCCAGGACCTGCTGGCCGATACCGAAGTTGTCAACAACCTGCGTTCCGACAAGGTCCAGAACTTGAACTACCTCAAGGAGAACCACGGCGTCACTGTCGAGATGGTCGACGCTTTGTACGAGTTTGGCCAGTTCCAGTACAGCTGCGGTGACTACAACAGCGCCTCTGAGCTGCTTTACCAGTTCCGTATTCTTGTACGCCACGATTCTGCCTCCGCATACAACGCTAGCCACCAACTAACTCACTTTCTAGAGCACCGACAACGACAAGGTCTCGGCCGCAACATGGGGTAAACTCGCCTCGGACATTCTTACCACCAACTGGGAATCCGCTATGGAGGAGGTGCAAAAGGTCCGCGAGAACATCGACACACGCCTGTTCAGCAACCCCCTGGCCCAACTCGAGCACCGCACCTGGTTGATCCACTGGTCGCTCTTCCCCTTCTTCAACTACGAGCCCGCACGCGACCAGCTCACCGACCTCTTCTTCTCTCCCACATACATCAACACCATCCAGACCGCCTGCCCCTGGATCCTTCGTTACCTCGCCGCTGCTGTCATCACCAACCGCAACCGTCCCGCTGGCAAGAACGGCCAGAACTCGTACCAGAAGCAACTCAAGGACTTGATCCGCATTGTCAGACAAGAAACCTACGAGTACACCGACCCCGTCTGCGAGTTTGTCAAGGCTCTCTACGTCGACTTTGACTTCGAAGAGGCTCAGAAGAAGCTCGGCGAGGCCGACGAGATCCTGCGCAGCGACTTCTTCCTTGTCGCTACCAGCGAAGCATTCAAGGATGCCGCCAGACACCTCATCTCAGAGTCATACTGCAAGATCCATCAAAGAATAGATATCAAGTACGCGCATTCTAAAAAACACCTCTCTGCAATGAGCCTTTTTACTGACATTGTTTTTCTTAGGGACCTTTCCAAGCGTCTTGGTCTGTCCGAGGACGAGGGTGAGAAGTGGATCGTCAACCTGATCCGTGACACTCGCGTCGACGCAAAGATCGACTACAAGGAGGGCACCGTTGTCATGAACCACCCACCACAGTCAGTGTACCAGCAGGTCATTGAGAGAACCAAGGGCGGTTTCTTCCGCACCCAGGTTCTCAGCGCTGCTGTTGCCAGGTAAACCGAGAAGTAATGAAAAGATAAAAACCAGCAGCAGAAACGGATCAAAAAAAGCAGCAAAAGTTTTTTCTAAATTCCTCTCTTTTCACGATACCTCGAAATCACCTTTTTCTTCTTCTACCATGGCATGAAAAGGGAAAAGGGGCCAGAAACATCTTTCGGGGCTGGGGGTGTCACAATACTCTTTTTGTGTTACGATCAAAGCTAGGCGTTTTTATTTTCTTTGGGAAAGAGGGATTGATCGAGTACGCAAGGAGGAGGAGAAGAGATGTTGAGAATCAAGAGCTTCGATACCTTAGGTGGGCTTCTTCTCTTGACTGATGTGTGTAGAGTTTGATGAATACACGGACATAGACCATCTACATTTCCCTCTACGATTTGCAGACTTATAATCCATTGTGTCTTGTATGCATCGATCGAAGCAGTATAAGCATGCGTATGATGGACGGGAAAGGCAAGACTATAGCGTTCTGTATTACATGGTCCGCCTATTGCATCAATCAAGTGTATCGAAATAGATATGCTCAGTGCTTACAATATGATCATCCTGCGAGATGATCGTTGAACTCAGACGACCAGAATGTGGCGCTAGAGATGTTTTGCGCCACAGCTAACGCCACGATCTTTTGAGAGCAACCACGCCTTCTTCGTCTCTAAATTCCACGACCGCCTTCAAGGCACCAACGTTGAAACAATTCAGAGACCGACTTTCACAAGACACGACGTTCACGCATTAGCTGGAATATCTCTACGAGTCTTTTGAAGCACCTAGGGATCTGGTGTACAACTGAGAAGGAGATCACACACGTCAAGCATCGCAAAAATGTCGGCATCATTGGCGCCCGAGTGTAATGAAGTCAAGGAGTGAGTTTTCTTTCTTGTCCTCAAACAGACAATTCAAGAAGAGGTTCTGGAGGTGGTGAAAAAGTAAACATCGTGGCTGACATGTTTGGAAATCAAACAGGCGTTACGACAGCTGCTTTTTGAAATGGTATAGCGAGAGTAAGTTTCCACGATATCTCGTTCTTTTTCTCATTTTGTTTTTCTTTCTTGTGCCTTGGCTTAGAAACGAAGGAACTGAATACTATCGTTTCGTGAGAGCTAAACACTGATCTGTGATAGAATACCTCCGTGGCACAGCAACAACAGACGAATGCGAACCTCTATTTGCAAAGTACAAACAATGTCTTGGTGTAAGTTTCCTTCTTGTCTATATCTGCAATCTCCAAAGATCGATATTGACACAAATTGTTCTTATAGCGTGCACTCAAGGAACGAGGCATTGACAAAATGCTCGACGAAGCAAGAGCAGATAACCGCGAGAATGATCTCGAGAACATGAAGCCTTCGAATTGAGAAGGGAGGCCTTGAGAAGTCGTTATACACTTCAAGACCCAGATCTTGTATTCTTACTTCTTTTCTTCTTTCTCTCATGACATGTAGCGTACAGTATGAAGCATCTCCGTTCTCTTTATGTGCTATAATCCGTAGGAGCCATGGGACAATCTGATGTCTTATTGTGTAGAAAGGTGTACGTAGGAAGATAACACATAGAATCATGAAGAAAAGCAGAAAAGCCACTAGAGAACACCGAAATAGAAACGCCAGTCCACCAACCTATCCCATCTTGTTCCCAACACCACCCTGGTCCCGGAAAACACCTACCCACCTAACCATTAATTTCAGTAGAGGAAGCAAAATTAGTCATTCTTCTTCTGTCCGGCAGCAGAATCCTTCTCGCCGTAGTTACCCCAAACCCATTTGCTCCAGCTACCGCTTCTGTCAGAGAGTCTGGGGCTGGGCTTGTTGCTTCCTGTAGGTACATGCTCGTAACCTAGATCCTCGAACTCGGTCTCGCTTCTACTTCTGTTCAGCAAGCCTTCAGCAGCGGGTTTCAAGTAGTCCTGAAGGTTTGGGCCAGGCCCGTCGTTGGTAGGATAGGGTGGGGTATGCTCGCGAGAGGCTTCATTGTCAAAGGCCTGGAGAAGAGTGCGTAGACGGTCCTTTTGCGTGGAGATGTAGGCACTGCGTTCTTCGCCTGACATGTGCGGAGGCACGAGGCTGCCGCTTGCACTAAGGTCTTCAGCTTGCGCATCACGAGAACGACTGGCACCGCCGGGTCCTGCAGCTTGAGCCACTACATTGCCGAGCATGGAGAACAAGTCGTTGGCACCAGGAGCAGATTGCGAAGCTCCGGGCCCGCTGTATCCTTCGGGACGAGCAGAAGGCATAACGAAGCGGTTGTATAGAGCTTGGCTGTAGCTGACCTGTCTGCTAGCGGGAGGAGTAGGACGACGAGGTTGCATACCGAGGAGGTTAACCTTGACCCACTCGATGCCCTGCTTGAGATATTGCAAGCCCGCTGCCTTTGCTTTTTCATGGCTGTTTGTGATGAAGCGGTCGATTTCGCGCTCGTGTTCGTAAAGGAAGGGATGGATGTAGTTTTGGTAGACAAAGACGCTACCTTGCTGGCCAGGCAGCACGAGGTAGAGGTGAGCGCCGAGACGAATCCAGGAGTAGAAGGGGACCCAGCTGAGGATGGGGTAGAGGAAAGATTCAGCAGCGAGGGCGAGTGAGAGGGTGGTCCAGTACATGAGCCATGGTGCTAGCTGGGCCGGGTCCGAGCTGCGCAGCGCCTTGTACGATGCGAAGATGGGGAAGAGGATCGACGTCACCGAGCTGTGAGAGTGATGTTAGTGATAACCTATGGAGCAAGAGGCTGTTTATCTCGTACGTGAGTATGTCAGCTACGAAACCGAACATGGTGAAGAGGTGGTGGTTGACTTGTCGCTGCGAAGCTTAGGTGATGTATGAATAGAAATAAGGAAAGGACTGGTCAGAGGATACGTTGACAGATAACTCAGGCCAGCTGAGACACGACTAGTTGTCAGGATCGTTTGCTTTTCACGGCCACGTTGAGTGAAGTGACTAGGCACCAAGTTCGGATTCAGCCCAAGAGTCTGCGTCTGAAGTCCGTATGTAACCTCTGACGATGCCTCCGAGACCCGCTCAAACGGCATGTCGACTTGCGGCGGGGTAAATCAATCTAGTCCGTTATCTCTTATCGACTCTCGCTCTTGGCACCCGCCCTTCCGCATCCCATCTCAGAACCTCATATACCAAACAGCCTCTATGCACTGCTTCACAGCACTCAGAATGTGAAGCCTCGCATGTGAGATACATTCATCCTGATACAGTTGATTGTCACATATTATCCTGTGAGCGACTTCAATCTCTGCAGACCGTGGACGAGCTTGACCGGAAGGTATCCATGTCACTCGGTCTTTCTTATGTGTCATGCGTCCTCAGAAACATGTTACGCTCGAAAAACAGCCTGACCAAGCACAAAATCATAGTCAATCCGAAAATGCTGCACATGTGATAGCTGGATAGCTTTACCTGGCCACTGGTAAAGTGACGGTCAAGGACGAAGGGCGGGAGATTGGTGTGGCTGTGCAAGCAGAACAGCCAAAGCGTCACCGGCATCCGGAACCAAAACATTTGATGGTGACGGTTGCGATCAGTTATGACGAAGCAAAATGAGAAGTCATCTCTTTTGCCCATCTATACACATGTAGCCTTATACACCATCTTACCTACAGCCAGTACTCGTATCCTCACAAACATAAACAAAGCCATGGGCCTGACAATTGCATCATCATAAGTCGATGGTCAGGTGCACACTTTGTATAGGTCCATCACAAAAACAAAGACTAGAGGCTTCTTCAACTGCTGTCGGATCTTGCGGATCGTGACACAGCGAGAATGTTGCTTGTCCACCAAGCCGGCAGCGTCAAGGTGGGCGAAGTCGTGCGGTATGTCATGCGACCTTGATGTTCGACGCGTCGACGTGCAGCTTTCTGACTACTCTGTAGATTCACCTTGACCTACACGCCTAGCAACGATCGTATCCTGCCCAGCCCTTCGCATCTGCATCTGAAGATCAAGAACACTTCGGCTATCCCTCTGCGTGCCGCCTACCTCCACGGCCCCTACACCCTACACGTTGCCGCATATCCCGCCTCGTTCAACCCCAATCACAAGGTCGAGGATCCGCAAAAGGAGGGCGTGCCGGACTTTGAGCCACTGCTCAAAGCAGGTTCGAGCTGGTCCACCAAGCTGACCGTTCCCGAGAACATCCGAGAGACGGGCAACACTTTCGCGTCCGGCCACCAGAACCGCGTTTCGCAAGATGCCCACAGAGACGACAAGAAGGGTCCGCCAAGTGTCACATGGATAATCGAGATTGCCTCGCAGATCTTGTTTTCCAACACGGCCGCTGTTCATTTCGAGCTCTTGGTCGGTCGGGATGAACGAAGCTTAGACCTTGGATTTGCAGCCGTCGCTGGCCACGGTCATGGCACTCCTGGACAAGTACACGACCACCAGAAGGACAAACGTAGAGACAATGTTGGCCAACAAAAAGGTCTTTACTCGCGTGCTGTCAAACTCGTAGTCGAGGACACTCAAGCGCTCTGGGACAAGCCTGCTCTACCTTCCAACGATGTTCGCAAAGACACTCGATCATCAAAAGAGTCGGTTCGTAAGTCAAAAGAAACGAAGACCAGCCCCGAAGAGGCCAAAGAGAACACTCCCAAAAAGAAGAAGAAGAAAATTCATCTGGTTGTTCTCACCCATGGTCTCCATAGCAACATCGGTGCCGACATGCTTTACATGAAAGAGAGTATAGATGCGACTGTCAGGCAAGCAAGGATCGATGCAAGAAACAGGAGGGCTGCCTACAAAAAATCACAAAATAAATCTGCCTCTTCAACAGACCAGCCAGACCCGTCAACTGACGACAAGCCCAACGAGGAAGCCACAACTGCACCTCTGACAGGAGGCCAAGAAGATCTCGATGACGATGGCGATGACGACGAAGAACAAGTCATTGTGCGTGGCTTCAGCGGCAATGCTGTCAAGACCGAGAAAGGCATTCAGTATCTTGGAAAGCGACTTGCCAAATTTGTGCTGAATTTTACTTATCCGGATCAACCATTTCAACCAGTCAAAAAGTCCATGACAAGATCCTTCACCGATCAGTTCAAATCTCAGGCCACTAAGAACGCACGAGATGGCGAACCTGCGCATCATGGAAGTAGCATCCACCACGACGACAGCAATACCGAAGATCTTCCTTACACCTTTACTAGCATCAGCTTCATTGGGCATAGTCTTGGAGGTTTGATACAAACATATGCTGTTGCTTACATCCAGAAGCATGCGCCGCATTTCTTTGAACAAATTCACCCTATCAATTTCGTTTGTATGGCTTCTCCCATGCTTGGATTGAGTAATGAGAACCCCATGTATGTAAAATTCGCCTTGGATTTTGGTCTTGTTGGACGTACTGGACAAGATCTCGGTCTGACGTGGCGCGCTCCTAATATTGCAAAGTCTGGCTGGAACGCTATGATGGGAGGGTTTGGAGCCGGCTCGAAACAGGAGCATCAGGAAGACCCAGGAGCAAAGCCTCTCTTGCGTATTCTGCCTACCGGTCCTGCTCATACAGTCTTACGCATGTTCCGCAACAGAACTGTGTATTCAAACGTCGTCAATGATGGTATCGTACCGCTGCGGACTAGTTGTCTGTTGTTCCTCGATTGGGGTGGTCTTGGTAAGGTTGACAAGGCACGTCGCGAGAACGGTCTGATAGGTACATTGGCTGAGTTTGGATGGGCTGAGCTTACCGGCGCCAATGCATTGCCCAAAGCGCTCAAAAACAATGGTGTAGGAAGCGGCATTGGGACCGAAGATGAAGGGTCTGGTGCTGATACACCAACTGGAAAACAAGGCGACGATGTTCCTCAGCCGCATACAGAAGCGACGGCAGATGACAATCGAAACTCCACAACATCTGCTACAGAACCCGCAGCAGGGCAATTCTTGAGACCTCACGATCGTGGAAGTGCAGACACTTCGACGCACGCAGCAAACCAAAGTGGCGGACTTCTCAATGGATTCTTCAACTTTTTCCGTCCTGCGCCCTCACCCGAACGCCCATCCTCGAAAACTATAAAGGCAGTGCGCCGTGGCCAGACTGTCGATGTCAGAGCCCACGATGAAACCGATGACGCCACCCTGGATGAAGGACCTCAACGAAGAGCTCGCCGAAACAGTAGAGGTACAACAGACAACCCGACAATGAGGCCAAGTAAGCGTCCAGTGGCAACACGCGGCGGATCTATGAATTCCAATCCCGATACACAAGCACCTCCAAGTACATCCATCTTTGAGGCGGCTAGCGATATTCTTCATCCCCCTATCCCATCGACAACTTGGCTCATTGACCCAGCGTCTCGGGAGCGCACCATATTCCACGACAGAATTTACCACCCCGAGGATATCCCACAGCCACCGGTGAAGCGTCCCAGTAGACTTTCACGCTCATTCTCTTCGGACTCTGCAACGATGAGATCATCGCAATCTCGTGATGACACGGCTTCGGTTGATCTTGGAAACATGAAGGTCGAGGAGAAGATCGCTCGAGCATACCATAAGGATTTGTCCTGGCGCAAGGTCTTGGTGCGTCTTGAGCCTGATGCACACAACAACATGATCGTGCGAAGAATGTTTGCAAATGCTTATGGTTGGCCTGTGGTCAAACATCTTTGTGATACGCATTTCGGAGACACTTTCACCGCTACTACAAGAGACGAAGATGAGCCAGCTGTCGACCGTGCCAAAGATTACTCAAAGGCTGATCATGGAGCTGGTGAAGAAGTTCAAGGGCAGAATGAGCGAAAACCGCTCCAGAGACGTGCTTCAGATATGCGCGAAGCCCGAGACGAGCTGAAACCACTTCAAGAGAGTACCGACGGTGCCCTCAAGCACAAACTCAATCCACAGGGTTCTGCTGTATGGGATGATATCTATTTCGAGGGCAGCGACGATGAAGATGATGAGGACGAAGGATATGCAGCCAAGGTACAGAGGTTTCTACACCTGAATCAGAATGAAGGCGATGGAGCAACTTGGATAGGAGGTGGTGGTGTTCCAAAACAAAGCACCGACAAGACAACTCATCCTGCCAAGAAACGCCAGTCGACTGAGGTGCATCGTGGTCTGGGACCCACCAGAAGCCATGAGCCATATTCTCCTCGCGTCTCTACATCCTCAAATAATGGACCGGTGTTGTCATCTGACTCGGCCAGCGGGGAATTTACAGGCAAGGCGATGACCGAAGAACCGCCCAGTATGAGTGCTGGAGAGAGTATACTAAGTAATGCAAAGCGCAACAGTACGACTGGGGTGGGCTTGCAAAAGCCCATCAAGGAAGTTGTAGCCAAACCGAATGTTGACAATGAGACAGGTGTTGGTGAGGAAGTCGCTCGCAAGGCAAATATAGCATCGTAGGCAGATTCTTGGTTACGTAGTGCTTGGGTCGCTCCTGCTTCCTGATGCTCGTATCTAGATTGGTTCCCATGATGCATCTCTGCTGCCATTTTGACTCTGGTTTGTTGACCTATTCACCGCAATATCAAATATGCCACCTACAAGTATCGATTCCAGAACTCCTCATGAAAACACTACGCCGTCGACATAAACACACCATCTCTCCGAGGCATCGTCCTACAATCTCTGCTTCAACACCACCGCATCACCATACCCGGCGTGCCACAGCAACACCATTCACGAGCGGCCACGAGTGGGAAGACTTGCGCAAAGACTATCCTGCTCAGGAGCATACAACAGTTGCGGCTTACAGATTCAACAAGACGACAGGTCGCAAAGCAAGAACAACAAGATCAGGTTCATCTTCACATCATCCATTGTTCTTGCCGCAAATATTCGTTCCGAAGCCGAAGGATATGCGTACAGAAACAAATCGAAGGAATCTGCATTACGTACTGTTAAGGGCAGATTGATACAGGCTGCGCACGGTTTCGTAACGATCCCAGACCGACTCAACACATCACGAGAGAGCGCAACGAATTTTTGTGTGAAGAGATGGAAAGGTGATGGGTCTTGTTACATCTACTACAAACATCCTAAATCACTAACAACTCACTCCTTACTGCGTCTGCAAATTGCTTGACTGCCCAATCGAAGCTGTCCAGAGGAGCAGTAGCAAAAGTCAAACGAAGCTTGATACCCTTGAGCTGGTCAGGCTCAGCGGCAAACCAGCTTCCCTTACTGATGACCACTCCCTTCTCCATGGAACGGTTGTAGATTCTCTCCTCCAGGTCCAGTAGAGCAGTCTTCTCCTTCTCGATCGAACACTCCGAACAAGACGAGCATGAGATACGAGGTGTTGGTGACTGAAGATGGAGCCAAAGGAACATGCCAGCTTCAGGCACAACCCAAGTGAAAAGATCAGGTGGAAGGTACTTCTCGCATGCCGAAACCAAGGCATCTCGTCGTTGGCGGTATTGGTGCGACAAGAATGCGAGCCAGCGGATGAAGCCTTCATGTCCCCAGGTCACATCCAGCAACTTGTACATGGCGACCTGAGAGAAGCCAGAAGGCGCTACACTGCCCACTTCTGTGTAGTTCATGTATTTTTCAGCAATCTGAGAGCAACATGTCATCCATGCACAACGCAGTCCAGGCGCGAGAATCTTAGATGTAGCATCTAGACGAACAACACGCCCAGAGACGTCCATGGAGAGGTAAGACGGAGGCAGCTGTCGCAAGTACTCGTCGACTGGCATTGGCGAGTCTTCTCCGACCTCTGATCTGGAGTGTAGCTTCAGGAAGTAGTAAGGGTCGTCCTCAATGATGTATATATCATGCTCCTCGGCGACCTGGTAGATCTTTCTCCGTCTCTCAGCCGATTGAGTAGCCCCTGTAGGATTTTGACCGCAAGGGACAATGTACATCACCGATGGTTTTCGTCCCTTAGCCGGGTCCCAAGAGCGCAACTTGGCCTCAAGATCTTCTGGTATGAGACCCTGACCATCCATCTTGATGCCCAAGATATTGATGCCCAGCGGTGTGACAGCTTCAATGGCTCCAGGATACGAGTACTCTTCCGTAATGATCCAGTCTCCTCGATCGCAGAACATACGGAAGACCGTATCCATCGCCGACGTGGTACCACTTGTCAAACAAGTCTCCCAATCATCGTACGGCGGATTATGGATCATTTCAATGTGTTCGGTGATGAACCTCAACAGCTGCGGTGATCCAGCTGCATAGCCATAGTTCAACGCAACCGCAAAGTCAAAATCGTCTTCTCCTCTCGTGCATGGCATCACCACAGCCTCATCAACAGGAGACCCTGTAGCTTGCTTGCCAGAAAGCGCCAACGAGTCCCAGGGAAAGTATTCAGGGATCGGTCGCCCTGCTCCGAGACTGATTTGCCGTTGAGGAATGATGGGAGCGCCATCGAGACCGGGTTTCACACTGCTTGCTGACGCTTTCAAATTGGAAGGTAGTCGGTTGCGGCATTCGGTGCTGAGATGATGGTCCCAATTCTTGGCTCTGGGCTTTGTGCCTGGTCGACACAGTTTGAAGAATTCGGAAGAGGTGAAGGGAGCAGGACCTGAGGGAAGAGGGTCAGATGTGCTCCGGTGTAAGGTGTAGTCGGCAATTGCTTGGGATAACATTGTGGTTTCAATGGAATCTTGAATTCGGACAGAAGAATAAACTATTCTCAAATAAAGTAGTAGTACAATAATTGGTATTGTTTGGATTGAGTTTGAATCGAATAGTAGCTGAAGACACTTCAGGTTTACTTGGGATGAAGCAAATGGCGGAGAAAGAGTAGTATACATATACTCGAGTATGTGATGACCAGGTGGTGTAATCGGACAATTCGGAGTAACAACGTTTTGATGCTTCCTACCTTCGGAGTATACTTTTACGTTTAGCATTCCAACCCCTTGCGTATCATGATGACTTAGGGCACCGCGTGTGCAGATAAGAAGCAAGTCAAGACCGGAATGTGTGGAACGACACCAAAGCAGAAACCCAATCCAAGATAGGGAAGTCGGAAGCCGACGTAACACGAACCGAGATACGGCCTTAAGAAGACAACAACATCAAGAATTTAGGAATTGGCATAGACAAAGAGAAGTATTCACCATGCTTTTGTAAGCCTCCGGAGTGGAAAAAGGATCACATCATCCAAGCATTTGATAGACATATGTAGTACGAAACCGTTGGCATGTTCTGTGACGACTACGTTGCGTGGCCCTGTCGATGTATGTTAGCGACAAAATGGTACTTATAGCTGTTTCGAAAGGTCGATTGGCTGAAATTTTGATCTTGTTGTATTTATATTGTAGTGCCCGCGATGCTCACTTCTTGGACGCTTCGGCTTCTCGAGCTTTCTGATTGTTCAAAAGCTTCAACAAGAGGCCCTGCGCATCTTCTCGCTCCATGAAAACCTCGAGCATCTTTACACCTTCCCCATTGGTGAGTAAGCCACATCCTATCGCTGCCTCTAGTTCACGCCAAGTTCGTGCAGAGAACGTGTTGGTCTCCACCTCTTCTTCAGTGGCGCCGAACATGTTGAGCGCTTGCAGATATCTCCAAGGTGCAATGTCGTTGTATGTTTGCTTGCGTCCATGAATGACACGCTCGATGGTATAGCCGTCGTTGTTGATGACTACAATGATGATATTCAACTTTTCTCTGATCATGGTGCTGATCTCTTGGACAGTCATTTGCAGACTTCCATCGCCGATGAAGAGAACCACTCGGTCTTTGGAGGTATCCTTGCTGCCTGATCTTTTTCTCCAGTTCTCAGAATCGCGCTGGGCAAGTGACGCACCCAAGGCTGCAGGTAGCATGTAGCCAATACTCAACCACGTGACAGCCGTGAAATAATAACTTCCGCTTGGGAGCACAAGATCACGAGTGCCATGAGAGGCTGTGCCAGTTTCGCCCATGACAATATCTCCGGGCTTAAGCATGGGATTAATGACACGGTAGAAGTCCTTTTGAGTGAGTGAGCCAGACGATTCGACAGAAGAGGTTACCTTTGATGGCTTCGACATGGCTTCAGGCTTCGATATCTTGCTATGGTCCAGTTGCTCCAATAGCATTGCTACAAGCTTCTTGTTCGAAACGTCACGAGTAATCTCAGTCGCGATCTTGACATGACGTTCGGAAAATGACACTGAGATTGCTTGCTTCGGAATGGAGGAGAACAAGCCAGTGTTGGTGCTGCTGTAGTGAGGACCAAACACCAAAGCGAGATCTGCTGATTCAAAGTAGGACTTTGCACCTTCGCTGCCTAAGTCGGCACTGTAAATGCCTTGAAAGCTTTCGAGATGCTCATCTACCAAACCTTTGCCGAAGGGCGATGTCCACACAGGCCATCCGGTAGCCTTGACAAGGTCATTGATCTCTTCAAGGATGTCTAAACATCTGCTCTCGCCATCGACAAAAATCAAAGGCTTCTTAGCAGAATGCATCAGCTCAAGAATGCGACCAGACACTTGCGACTCGTTGTCGCCACTTGAGATTGGAGGCAGGGAGATTTTGGATTTTAAACCGGCCGCAGACACCTTCACGTCTACCATGTCGGTCGGAAGCTGAATATATACTGGTCTGCTGTGGATCAGGGCCTGCTGCACAGTCACATCGAACTGCTCGGGAGCAGTACGAGGATCCAAGAGGTTTGTCTGGGCGATAGTCACATGTGTGTGCATAGCCGCAAAGCGATTGAAGTCACCGTCGGCGAATGTGTGGTGTACATTGGTACGGGCCTCTTGCGTAGCTCTGGCTGGAGTGCCGACAATAGAGATGATGGGAGCCTTTTCCGCGTATGCACCAGCAATACCATTGACGGCACTGAGTTCTCCCACGCCAAAAGTGGTGATCAGGGCACTCACACCATGGATTCGAGCGTAGGCATCGGCAGCATATGCGGAGTTCAATTCATTACAATTGCCAACCCAGTGCAAGCCTGCAGGCTCAACGAAGTCCAGCAAGCGAAGATTGTAGTCGCCAGGAACTCCAAAGACAGAGCGAATGCCAAGTTGATGGAGTCTTGCAAAGACGTAATCGGCGAGCGTGATGGTATCTTGTGATGAGGATGACATTGTTAACGTGGTTCGAAGTCCGATGATATGAAACGTGTGCTCGGAAACTATGATATGTCGTTGTCCTCGGAGTGAGCAGAGGCCAGCGGGGCAGGAGCAGCCGCGGCTTGCAGGGCGTCCCCACACCCCTCAATCGCTTTGCCAAGCCGCTCCCATCCGAACTCGCCGATGACTCCTATCGAATCGGAGTAATCTGCCATTTCCTTACTCCGACATACCATAGCAAAAGAAAAATCACAATCCGTGTCAGGAAGCTATGCCACCTCGTGAGGCTGCCTGTGAGCCTTGCAGGAGGTCAAAGTTGGCATGCGATCATGTCCGACCGGTATGCACTCGATGCCTGGGTGCCAATAGGGCCGACGCCTGCGAGTATCGAATATCTCCCTTCAAAAGACGACGAACAGACTTAGGCCCTTCGCCTAGGACAAATATCTCACGGTACAAGAAAGCAGAAGTTTCACAATCTCGTGTCGGTGTTGATTGATCTTGTAGCAATGGAAGCCAGACTCGAGAATCCGAGCCACCACCAACAGCAGCAGCGACGCCAACTATTCGACCTTATCCGAATCCGGGTTTCCAAGGCTCGTTGAGTTCTGCTGCAATCTTCAGTCACATTTCTCCCCGACATCATGAACCGGGCACTGCTCACACTGAACCTGACACTGTACCCGCTGGGGTGTCTGTGCCTGCATTGCTTGACAACGATGATATCGCTTGCAGACAAGGGACATCATTAATAAAGCTACTTCTTGACGAGTACCCACTGGGTACTCTCAAAGACCTGGTTTCATTCTGGCTCGCTAAAGGCATTAGTCTCTCACATGCCGAATCCCTGCTAGATTCGTGCATCGACAGCATGGACGAAGCTCTAAGTTCTGGACAGCCAACAGACACTTGTATGGAGCACTTGACTCGTAATTCGCAGAGTCCATTACTCTTTGGTCCCGAAACAACCTTCGCCGCATACGTGGCTCAATTCTCTGGTCACAATGCCCGTCTGGAGACTCTAGGTATCTTCTTATCAGCAGTGGTCAGAGCCACGAACGATGTACCTTTCTTTCCAACACTATACAAAACGGACGAGGATAAGTTCAGGCTACGGAAGCTGGCTACACGGCTAAGCGATCACGCTCTGGAAGTATGTCTATCGCTCGACTGCCTGAATGACCTTCAACTTGCTTTTCAATACGAGAACTTCATTGTCCATACATTTGTAGATGGAGATCAGAGCTATAGCTCGTGGCGAAGGCTCGGAGATGTCATCGCATCTATGCTTGCTCTTGGCTACCACGAACGTGTCGAGACCCGATCCAGGATTCCAAACTTCTTGGTGGAGCTACGACAAAGTGCATTCGCACGCATATACACTGACGACAAGGAAGTCTCCATCTTTCTTGGTCGACCACCCCGGCTGAGTCGAAGATTCTGCCATTTCCGAATACCAATTGCCTTGGATTCGTTTGAGGCCAATGAATCTGCACCTGGTACCGAGATTATCGGACAAGCCAATGAGATCAAGATTGACTATAGAGCGGGATGCAGTTGGGCAGCCTTGTGCGCGCTGCTCAAAGAAGAAATTCTGGAATTGTTCATCGAGAAAAATCGCGAGCATTGCGTACAACGAGCGAGTGTCATCTGGGCAAAAGCGGAAGCACAATGGAAACAGCTACCCACACACATGCGCTACGACGTCAGTTGTCTCAATGACTACAGAAGGAGCCCTTTCGAGCGCGACTTCCTGATAAGCGCCCGACTGGACCATATACACATCAGATTCCTCTTGCGATTCATCTTGATCAACAGTCTAGCACAGCCAGATGACGAGATGATCCAGATTGCGCATGAGATGCTCACTCTGGTCGTCCAAGCTGTGCTCGCTCGTGATCGCCTCGCAAATTCTGGAAGTGGCCTTGTGTGGAAAGTCATTCTCTATGGCTTGCCAGCTTCAGGCATCATCTTGCTCGCTATCCTGGAACAACGCAACCCTTACCACTTCGGCGGCCTCTCACGCGCAAAGGTCCTGCAGAATTTGAGAATCCTCGTCGCCGAGATACAAATCGGCGCACTGTCGCATCCAAGAGAGCCGAATTTTGCTTTACTCACCAGAGCTGCGCAGACCATTGAGAACTTCCTCGACTCTGAGGAGAGACATGATCATCACCCGAATGGTCAGATCAACACTCATCATGATGCGGCTCCTGGACAAATGGGACCTTGGGCTTCGAATTTGAATCTGGAGGCTTGGGACTTTGATCTCGGGTTTTGGGAAAATCTTGCTGAGCATCCCTTCTTGTCGAACCTCGAGTTCCCGCCGTAAGCCATATTCGATAGCATGTTCTTACTCATCGGTGCTTTTAAAGCCGACTCTACCAACCCTCGTGTCCCTGTAGCCGCCTCTAATGGTAACGCAATCTGTAAAAGTGCACAATTTTTCCCCAAGAATAGCTTTGAGGCCGACCTTGCTCTTAAGTAATAGTCTCACTATACCAATCTCCCCAAGGCAGCCATAAGGGCACCTTCAGCGCTAGAAGTGCACAGATGTTTTCAAATCAGAATCATGACCACTGAGATGCTCTGCATTGTTGCTCTCCCTGTGGTACTCACTTGGTTCGAGCAAGTAATATACATTTCGATAGCTATTCTATGACCGTGTTCAGCACATGAGCGAAGCTCTCCTCCCGTCATTCTCTCTATTCAGCTAGTCTGTAGTTGTGTTTACCCATTTTTTCACACCGGGGTTTGTCTGACTCTTGCTCAAGTCAGAGCCGCTCAGTAGCAGGTGTTAACATTGCCGTCGTAATCTTCCCACAATCCCTCCTCAGGCACGTCATAATTTCTCAGAGGCTCTTCGAAGTATTCCTTGAAATTGTCGTAGTCCTCGTCGTCATCGTACGGCAAAGGCTCTGGGAGTAAACCTCCATGAAAAATGAATTCTCGTGCTTCCGAGCACCATTTTGGAGAGTACTGAGTCACTTCTTCTTCTCCGTCTAACTCGCAGATAGAAACGATCTGAACTCTCTTTAGTGCGGTCATCTGGCACGAGATGCGCCTGATTGCCGAGCTCCAATTTCCAGCGCTCAAAGCGAGGCCGAAGTCCAGCTGCTGCAACGACTGAGAGTGGCGAAGAAGGAAAGAAACCAGAACATCTTCGGTAACAACAATATCATCAAGGAGGACATCACGAAGGGACTCTGAGTTGAGTGCGCTCAACATCGCATCTCCGTTGAACATGTTTCTTCTACGAGGTGGCGCATCTATCCAAAGGGTTTCGAGAGATGTTGCCTTGCCGATTGCTTCTTCGAGATTGAAACCGAACATGGTCTTTGGGTTGTTGGGTAGACGACCGTAGCCAATGCGGACATGCTTGAGATGTTCGAAAGATTTGAAGCTGTCAACCTTGGTGTAGTCTGCACACTTAAAAGGAAGATCGACGATGGTCAAAGAATGCAGGCCCGCATTCTTGTGGTTTGCAGCCGCCAGTACCTCTGCAAGACCGAACTGGAAAGGGTCATGAGATTCAGCATCGACCCATGCAGCTAGGTGCGGATGTATGCTTTTGAACATAGTGAGCAGCTTGAGGATGACATGGCTCGGACCCGACCGCGTAGGACTGATGACGATGTTGACTAGGTTGGGGCACATTTCGAAGGCATAAAAGATAGTGTCCAAGAAGCAACGTTGAAATACTTCGGTAGACTGGTATGTAGCAATCTGACGTTGAGCCTTCCAGTATTGCGCTTGCGACTTCGTCAAAGTCTTGGTGACTTTCTCTACGGCGGCATCAAACTTCTTGTTTGCATTGGACCACTTTGAGCGTGCGGCGAAAGTGTCGAGTAGCGGATCGCCATCCTCGTCGTAGTTGATGTCGTCAGGCTTGAAGTCCCACCAGTCTGGATAGCTGTGTTGAAGATGAGTGTGCTCGTCAACCCACTTCTTGAACGACTTGTGGTTCTTCAAGTTACTGGGGTCGACAACTAGGGTGTTAACGTGCTTGCTGAAGATAGGGTGATCAGCTATCTCGCGCACTTCAGCGCAGCTGTCTCGATGTTTGACGAGGAAGACGCGTGGTAGCAGATAAGGTGCAGCTGCATCAGCGAATTGCTTTGATACGAGGCGGATTGGCTTGAGGAGCTTGGGATTGGCGTGAAGGAAGCTACAGACGCGCTGCTTCAGTTCGAGTGGGAGTTTCTCCATGATGCTGTGCGGTTGATGCTGACGCGGAACATCAACTGGAGTGCGCCTGGTGGCTTCGTGGGATAGGGAATGGGACGTAGAGTGTGAGATGTGACAGTGTGTGTGCGCAGGCTAAAAAGGCGCGTTTGCGCAGAGATTGTTTTGAAGTGAAAGGTTTCAGATGTTTGTTTGAGCTTGAAAACGAAAAGTCCGTGTTGCTTGCCGACTGTTATGTTCGGTCGGGTGTTTGCTCAAGGCAGTCGCGATGGCTTGTTTCGGGCAAAGGCAGCAACCATGCTTTCTCTCCAGTACCGAAGCATAGTCCTGTGCAGCTATAGAAATGCACAACGTTCACACTGTCGTCGAGAACTTAGAGTCAAAGATAGATTAATGCTTTTGGCTTACTATGTAAAAATTGACCTCTCTATCTGCTGTTCTCCTCCCATGTCGGACCAGTGCAGTTGAACCCAACAGAGGAAACATTATCACACAAGTACTGGCTAGGAGCAGTACCGTTGACAGTGTCGAGGATGTCAATGCCGGTAATCTCCTGATCAGTGCAAGGAGATGCAGCTGAGCACTGAATAGCACTGACCACGTCACTAACAGCAGTTCCAGTCCAGTTCTGCAGACGGATGTCGTGGAGATTGAACTCGCTAGTATTGCACCCGCCTTTCGCCGAGTTGTAAGACGTGCATTGAGTCACGGCATAAATACCAGTGTTATTGTTCAGGACAAAATCGGAGAATGTGATATTGGCAGCATAACCCAGACCACCGCCACCACCGTTAGGAGGATAGCCAGTAGAAATTCCAGTCCCTGAGCAAGTCAGCAAGTTTGAAGCAGAGCATAGTAAGGAATTACAAACAGGTCTTGACGTAAGCGCCATATCTCATGTTGTAGGAGCGGATATCACGAGCAGTGACGTTCTCGATGTATTCAAAGGTGTTGTTGTATTGACCAATACTGCCGATTGCGACACCAAGACCCATATAGAAGTCACAATCTTCAATAAGAATGTTGGTGCTGTTGGCCTTCAGAGCAATAGAATCATCTCCATTGGTGACGTTCCAGCGACGGAATGTGATGTTGTTGGCATATACAGTGTCGGCACCGTCAGTATTCAGAGAAGAGAAGTCGAAACCAACAGGCTCGTTGCCAGTGCTGTTCACATAGATGTCTTCGAGGAGAATATTTTCGCTGTGAATGACAGTCATAGTCCACATCTGTGAGTCCAAAAATCGGGTACCCAAGAAGGTGCTGTCCTTGGTTCCAGTAATGGTAATCTGATGAGGTCTGCCAGGGCTATTTTACAATCAGCATGCCACTTGATGGTATAGCGAATGCGAGCACTCACTAGTTGTTGGTTCCATTGACAAAGGTATACCAAGCCTGTCCAGAGCCATTAAGAGTAGCGTATCCATGTCCATCCCAGTTGATGTTCTCTCCACCAAACAACCAAGCCGAAGATTGGTTTTGGTAGCCAACAGGAAGAGAGTGGTTGAGCCAATAAGGAATATTCGTGTCCCAGAGAAGCAAGCCGTTCAAATCGACATCAACGTTCTTCAGACCAGTCGTGTTCATAACACTGTGGATGTTGTAGGTCTCGTTGCGGAAGACAACTTTTCCTCGCGATGGTGCCTCGTTGTGGCCGCATTTCTCGAACGCCTCGATGATGGCGGGAGCAGAGTCACCGCCATTTGCACAAGGCTCGACGATACAGACACGTTCGGGGACAGTGACGACTGTTTGGGCAATCGCAATTGCTGGCACACTGAGTGCCGCGATGAGGGAGGCGTACATGATGACGATCAAAAAGGTGTACTTACGGACAGCGAGACAGAGTCCTGTATATATACTGCGTCTAGAAGCCGGGATTTGGCATCAGGTTACATTGATCAACATCCTCAATTTTCAACACGCCTGCTGATCTCTGCCTCATGGTTGCAGTGACGATCCTCGAGTCGGGGCACAGGTGGTCATGGTGGAGAGAATGATGTCGAGAGACCTGGAGAAAAAGCCGGAGCAGGACGGATTGTTGTCTTGGGCCCCCACATTTTTCTCCACATGTCGGCAACGGACAAGCCATCGGCTTTTGAACGACTACTATGCGCATCTGAGCTGTGGTCTAACTAGTGGTGCGAGATCAGGTTTTGTTTGCAGCAATGCAGGGCAGGGTATGGATAAGAACGGACGAGTGCGAGAATATTACAAGAGTACATCACAGCGCATGTGCCAAGTATTGCTCTTGCAGTTGGTGCGTAAAATCAACAGCGTTTGCTGTTTGCATTATATGTTTATATGGTCATGAATCATGAGTAACTTCTCATGCACCCGGAGGCCACTTCGATGGAGCATCGATGACAGTCCTCGAGAATCGAGCACTAATCTGATCCTGGGCCTTTTGTTTTTGCTTTGCACCAATTCCTGAGCGGTCCAGGACCGGGGTGGCATTCATGATGTTGTCAAAATCATCGTCTTCAGCGCCGCCAACATCTGAGCCTGACTCATCATCTGAGTCGTGGAGAGGCTTAGGTTCAGTCTGTGCAATGCGGCCTGGTTGCGGCTTGTCGTCCGAAACAGCAGGAGCAGGATTTTGGAAAGGCTTCGAGGCAAGAACTCGGCGGCGAAGCTCAGCCATTTCTTCCTCATCGTCGTCCGAGGGTGGCATGCCGTAAGGATCGTGGTCATCCTCCTCTTCTTCATCTTCGTCGTCCTCATCCTTGTTTTCCTTCTCTTCACCATCGCTGTCTTGGTCGCTTCCCTCTTCGTCGGACTCGTCGAGCATGCGAGTACGATTCAAGTTGCCTCCTCTCCATGCGTCATCCTCGTTGGCTTCTCTCTCGGCGCGGTCCTGGACGTACTCGGTCTCAATCTTCTCCAACCAAGCTGCCTCGGCCTTCTTGATACCAGCTTCATCCTCACAGGCAGCGTAGCGTTTGAGGACAGCTTCGTTGATGTCGAGGAAGGCCTGGCCGTAGCTGAAAGTGCTAAGAATGTGTTCGGCCCACTCTTTCTTTCCGCAGATGTAGAAACAGGCAGCAAGAGCCTCAACACAGTTCATTCTCCAAGGCTTTCCGTAGTTTGTTGGGTTTGCAGCGATCAGGTAGGGGAGGAGTCGTTGGTGAGGGCCTCCGATTCTGCTGAAGGGGACTTCTTGAATACGCTTCCAGCTGGCTTCGACAACAGCAGCACCGTACTGCTCGAGAAGTGGGGCATCGGCAGGCGAGATGATGGTCTTTGCATTGGGCGAAACGACAATACCGGCGAACTTCTGGCCAACATGCAATTCACGCATGAGACCCAGACGCATCAAACGCTTGCCGCTGCATCGTTTGGCATCGCAGTGACCGAGGTCCCAGGCGGCAGCCTTGTAAGGGGGGCGCTTGGAGGCAGCAGGATCGATCTCTCCTTCCTCACCGCGGGCAGGAGGTAGAGGGCGAGCAGAACGGCCGCTTGCGAAGCGCTTGCCCTTGTTGGACATGTCCTTCTTGTGGCGGACCATGTTGACTATGGTGTTCTTTTTCTTTGGTGGTGTCGGTATATGAGTGTGGTCTACGCAAAGGCGATGGAAGCGACCGAATGGATGTCTAGAAAAGTTGGCAGAATGAACTCGAGTATGTATATGACGAGATGAGGGGCAGGCAAATTTCGAGATGGATTGGGAAAATCGACGCGAGTCAGGCAGGGCGAGAGGGCTACGTCAATGTCAAGGGCCCGCCAAGAAGCTTAGGAGCAGTTCCACAATACACCACAACGTGGTGCATACCGTTGCCTACGCTCAACTCGTTATCTTTCCAGCATTTTACGAGTACAGTGACAACCTCGTCTCACGCACGTCACAAGTCCCAAAAGACTCTCATTCTCAAACACATTCCACCTCAACATCGCCCATCGTGGAGGCAGCATCGGCGAGATACGCGGCGCGGGACCGCTGGGTTCACGACGGACCTCCTCCCCAAACCCCACTGCAGCGCTACATTCGTCTGTCTACTACACACCCACATACTGAGAGTCTATGAATCTGACATGTACCCTCAGACAATGCCTGTGACCCACAAAACTTCGAGCCAAACCTGGCCCTCAATCTTGAGATCGCCGACCTGATCAATGCTAAGAAGGGCAATGCTCCTCGCGAAGCTGCCGTCGCCATTGTGCAATACGTTAATCACCGCAATCCCAATGTCTCCATGCTCGCCTTGACCCTGCTCGACATCTGTGTCAAGAACTGTGGCTATGCTTTCCACCTTCAGATAAGCACAAAGGACTTCCTGAACGAGCTCGTCCGTCGCTTTCCCGAACGTCCCCCTATGCGCGTCTCTCGTGTTCAAAACCGCATTCTCGAGCTTATCGAAGAATGGCGGTCCACCATCTGCGTTACCTCGAAGTACAGGGAGGATCTGGGCTTCATCCGCGATATGCACCGTCTGCTGAGCTACAAGGGCTACACTTTCCCCGAAGTCAAGAGGGAGGATGCCGCTGTACTCAATCCCACCAATGATCTTAGATCAGCCGAAGAGATGGAAGAGGAGGAACGCGCCGCTCAGTCTGCAAAACTGCAGGAGCTCATCCGCAGGGGTACTCCTCATGATTTGCAGGAGGCCAACAAACTTATGAAGATTATGGCTGGATATGACACTCGCCGCAAGACTGACTACCGCGCAAAGGCCGCTGAGGAGGTTGCTAAGGTTCAGCAAAAGGCAAGGCTGCTAGAGGAAATGTTGCAGGGCTACAAGCCGGGCGACGAGATCAAAGAAGGCGATGTGTTTGAAGTGAGTAATGCCAACAGCTTCATGATGAGATTCGATATTGACAAGGCTAGGAACTCGCAAACGCCTTGGCCAGTGCGCATCCCAAGATCCAGAAGATGTGCGAGGAAGAATCCGAGGACCACGAAGCTGTCGCAAAGCTGTTTGAGATCAACGACAGCATACACCGTACAAGCGAGAGATACAAGCTGATCAAGAAGGGTGATCTCGAGGGCGCCAACAGGATCGCTGCTGGCACTCTGGGCATCAGCGGTGCTGGTGTCAAGAGCGGACCCAACAACGAGTTGTCGCTGATCGATTTCGGTGGTCCAGAAGAAGAAGAGGCTGCTCAGCCTGCTCAATCTCAGCCTTCTCAGGCAGCTCCTCAACCTAAGGGCAATGCTTTGGAAGACGACTTGCTCGGTTTGTCAATGGGTGATTCTGCCTATGGTTCTGGAGGTGCCTTGACCCTTGGCTCTCCTAACAATGGTCTGGCCGGTCTTGCTGGCCCCTCGAGCTCACAACCGACTCCTGCACCCGCACCTACTGCTATTCCTCCTCCCGCTCAACCTCAAGCAGCCAAAGCAAACTACGATCCCTTTGGCATGATTTCTTCTCCTGCACCTGCATCAAATGCTTTCCACCCACCCCAACAACAACAGAAAGCAGCAGATCCATTCGCTGCTCTGTCCGGCAATTCGCGTACCGCATCACCCTTCCAATTCCAGCAATCTGTCAAGCCTCCAGCATCACCTGCAGTCCCGCAATCAGCCGCGTCATTATTGGGTGGTGATGACGAGTGGACTTTCTCGTCTTCTCTCCCTGCGCAGCCACAGCAACCTCAATCCAACACTGTGACTGTCATCGACTCGAGCGTGAGAGCCATCTTCAATATCTCGAGACCAGCAGGTGCAAACGACTATCTTGCCATTGACGCCAGGATATCCAACAAGACTCCTCAACCCATCAGCGATTTTACCCTTCAACTTGCAGTAACAAAGGTACATCCACTCACGGTTTAGCCATTCTCAATATGCAGCAAGCTAACACTACTACTTCCTAGGCATTCTCTCTGCAACTCCAACCACAATCCGGCCGCAACCTATCTCCGAACCAGGTCGACGGTATCAAGCAAGCCATTCGCTTGCAAGGCGTTGCCCCTGGTAAAGGAAGTGCAGTTCGTATGCGTTGGCGTGCCAGCTACGTTATTGGCGGTCAACCGCGCGAGGAGAGCGGTGAAGTTAGCAATTTGGGTGTGCTTTAGAAACTACCCCTTCTTAATAGAAAGCTTCATTCTTTTTCTCTTAACTTATATCGGCCCTTATCGAAACTGCAGAGAAATGGTCTTATGTAGAGCATCTGTGCTTCCTGTTCAGAACCGTAGTAAGTGTGGTCTGATAATGAATCAAGAGGACAAAGATGATCAAGGATTTAAACGAGTCTGCGGTAAGATCGTCGATGCATGTATTCTAAATATCCTACAGCAAGAATCCGCATGTTCAGGTGATGTCGGCAGCTATTCGGTGGTTTTTATCAGAGGCAAACAAGAGGCAACCAACACTCGGTAGAGATCGGAGGAGGGAGGCGAATAGACACTCCTATCTCCTGCAACAAAATGTGCTACTGGGCTGATGAACACGAGTATGATTGATACGGAAAGGAAGGCATGTGGCTCGAGTGAAAAATTGTGATGGGAGAATCATGATACACGCTACTGCTGTTGGGGGCAACGAACTGGTATGCAAGTGAGCTGAGACGCACACCACGTTACGACCCGAAATCGCATCCATACTAGTGGTATCGCCAGTGTCAACTAACGTGTGATGGCCAGAGGAAGGAGTCGTTCGCAGGCTCGGGAGCGGCCGAAGCTAAGGCTTGACTCGCTCGATTTGGCGCTGGTCCAAGCTCCAGTTGATCAGGCATCGTCATCAAGGTCCAACCTTTTTGTTGTGGAGCGTCGTCCGCAAAATGTCTGACTGTGCAACATGTGGAATATCATGAGCTTTCGGAGGACAATGAGATTGCAAGAGAAGTGGAAAGATAGTGATTTGTACGGAGTCGGTCGCACTCTTGAGTAGGGCCGCAGAGAGAATGGCGAGGTCCTGGTGATGGTGTGACTTTTGCTGGTCGGGCCTATCCACGATGTTCCGGTTCGGCCCTGCATCGTCATACCTATTCACTGTCGGGAAGGAGCTCGCTCCAAGGGTGTTCCAGGGAGCAGTCCAACGTTGAAGCTTCTTATGTTCTAGCATTTGGAATATAAACCAACGGAAGCTCCCTGACACAAAACCTCTTCTTTCTCTTTCCATCCTTTCCAAGATCCTACAACAATCACACCCACCCCGCCATGGCTTCTCAAGACATTCGCACAAGCTCGCTCAAGAAGCCCATCACCATTACCGAGTACATCTTTGCTCGTCTGAAGCAATGTGGCGTCAGCTCTGTTCACGGTCTTCCTGGTGACTACAACCTGGTCGCCCTCGATTACCTCGAGAAGGCTGGCCTGAAATGGGTCGGCAACTGCAACGAGCTCAACGCTGGTTACGCCGCTGATGGCTACGCTAGAATCAAGGGTTAGTCAATCGAGTATCTCTAGTGATAGCATAGGCTAACACTCCCTCAGGATTGTCCGCCCTTGTCACCACCTTCGGTGTTGGTGAGCTCTCTGCCATTAACGCCATTGCCGGTGCCTACTCCGAATATGTTCCCATCGTTCACGTCGTCGGTATGCCCTCAACAGCAGCACAGAAAGATGGACTTTTGCTCCACCACACTCTCGGTAACGGCAACTACAATGTCTTCGTCGACATGTTCCGCCCTGTTTCCTGCGCTGTCGCCAACCTCAAGGATCCCAACACTGCCGCAGCTGAGATTGACCACGTCATTCGCGAATGTTACATTCAATCACGCCCCGTCTACATCGGTCTACCTTGCGACATTGTTGAGGACAAGATTGAGGGCGAGAGACTCGATCAGCCCATCGACTTGGCATACCCTCCCAACCCCGAAGAGCAGGAAGATTACGTCGTCGATGTTGTCCTGAAGTACCTACACGCCGCAAAGAACCCCGTCATCCTGGTCGATGGCTGTGCCATCCGTCACCGTGCTCAGAAGGAGACTCACGATTTGGTCGTCAAGTCTGGCCTGCCCACATTCGTTGCTCCTCTTGGTAAGGGATGTGTCGACGAGACTCTCCCCAACTACGGTGGTGTGTACGCTGGTGATGGTTCGAACGAGGGTGTTCGCGACCGTGTTGAGAGCTCCGATCTTGTTCTCAGCATCGGCGCAATCAAGTCCGATTTCAACACTGCAGGCTTCACATTCCGTCAGAGCCAATTGACCACAATCGACTTCCACTCCAACTTCATCCAAGTTCGCTACTCACAATACCCTGGTGTCCGCATGAACGGCGTCCTCCGCAAGGTCGTCGAGAAGATGGGCAAGCTGAACGTCGAGGCTGGTCCCAAGCCCACCAACCGCGTCAGCAGCCAGGAAAACACACAGGTCATTACACAAAAGTACTTCTGGCCTCGTCTTGGTCAATGGCTGCGTGAGCAGGATATTGTCCTCACTGAGACTGGTACCGCCAACTTTGGTATCTGGGAAACTCGCTTCCCTGCCAAGGTTCAGCTCATCTCTCAGGTTCTGTGGGGCTCCATTGGTTACGCTACCGGTTCTGCCCAGGGTGCCGCATTGGCTGCCAAGGAGCTTGAAGAAGAGAAGGGCGAGAAGCACCGCACCATCCTGCTCACAGGTGATGGTTCGTTCCAGTTGACCGCCCAGGAGGTTTCGACCATGATCCGCCGCAAGCTGAAGCCCATCATCTTCCTTATCCAGAACGACGGCTACACGATCGAGCGCATGATCCACGGCATGGAAGCCGAGTATAACGACGTTCAGGAGTGGAAGTACAAGGATCTTGTTCCTGCCTTTGGCGCAAAGGAGGGTGAATACAAGACCTACACAATCAAGACTCGTGAGGAGCTTGACCAGCTCATGGCCGATGACAACTTCAACTCTGCTCCTTACCTGCAGTTCGTTGAGATGTACATGCCCAAGGAGGACGCTCCCGAGGCACTCAAGCTCACTGCTTCGGCAGCCGAGCGCAGAAATGCAAAGGTCCAGAACTAGAAGGCATCCGGATCGACGACAAAATGGGCTTCTCATGTGAATATTATTAACGAATAACTTAATTGGCTTCTCCGCTTATGATGAAAATAGACTTTAGCGTTTTTTGGTTATCAGAATCTACTTCTCTTGTTCCTTTATTTGTTGCCTTGTCTTTGGTCATGTGCTCATAATTCATGCGTCGGTGGTTCAGATCTCTTCTCCAATTCCTCCAGGGGTGATGACTCCTCAATGGATGACCTCTGCTCAACAAGCTCAAAAAAGCTTGATATGAATAGCTTGCGTAGCATAACCTCTTTGACATGGCATCGTTGACCTTGCTGTACTGTATGTTGGGGACAGCCTTGAGCTTTTGTTGGATTTTGCACGTAGCTTGATGTCTTGCGCCGTGCCAGACGGTTGGATTGGGTCGCGAAGAAGCTCTTGCGCCTTGCAGGTGTCCAGAATGATCATTGGTCCATGCCCTCTTTTGGTGTAGGTCCGTGAATGTGTGCGCGACATCCATTGTCGCGATTGGGTGTAAGTTTGTGCGTCCAGGAGATCGTGTGCAATTCAATCAGCCTGTTGAACTCTTGTCCTCCTCAGCCAAAGCCGCCAGTCTAGCCAACACCTCCTTCTGCCTCTTGATCTTATCCTCCAGCATTTTAATCTCTTCCTCTTGCTCCTCGACACCCCTGTGCATATCCGCCAGTCCAGCCAGATCAGCCAACGCTTTTCTGATCCTGCTCTTCAGGAACTGTGCAGCCACAGCCGTGTCTTTGTAGTCTAGTTGCTGGGGCGCTGAGCTGGGGAGAGCAGAAGCTGAAGTCACGGGTGTGTGTGGCGCATTGTTTGGAGGTATAGCGGCGGAGGTGTCGGGGGTATAGACGTTTAAGGAAGGTTCTAGGCGTGAGAGAAGCGCGTGTAGAGGTGGGAGGATGTCGAAGGTTTGAGCGGGCGGTAGTGGTGGTTGTGCTGTTGTGGGAGTTGGGTTTAGAGGTGGTGCGGTTGTTGTGGTTGGTGTTGCGTTTGAAGACATGGTTTCTTTTGTTTGATGGGGTTGTTGAAGAGGTGTGCGAGAGGTTGTTAAGTTGATTGTTTGGTGGTATAGAGTGAATTGTTTGAGGTCTCGGAGTGGAAGATACGTTGAAGTGGTACAAGAGGCTGCGGGGAGCGACTTCCCTTCACATGCAACTCAGACTCTCCTAGGAACGTGCCAGACCTCATATACCGCAACTATGACCAAATCTCATCGCAGAAATACTGTGTCTCTTTTGACAGATCATATTTGGTTGTTCGAAGGAGCTTGACTTCTCCACTCTCACTCCTATGTGCAATCTTGATTCCGCCATCATGAGTGGTCAAGCGCCGTATGCTCTCGCGATCCCTGAGACATTACACGAGGTCTTTGAACACTCGACACACGGTTTCCAAACCCTCTGCTCTGCTAATCGGATTAACAAAGCCCGATCTGAAGAAGGCATCAATATCTTATAGCGCGATCCTGTCGAGGATGGCTCAGAACTTCTCGTGTCACTACCCGAGCATCGCCGCCATTTTTATGCTAACAGAATCCGTTCCTGGATCCTAGACAAAAGCCCACTGCCTGAAGGACCACCAGTAAAGTTTGCGCTGTTAGTTCAGCTTAAAGGGCAGTAGCGAGATGTGCAGCTCTAAGGGCCTATGACCATTTATTACGTAGGCAACTTCCCTTCTGCACAAAGCCTCCTAGCTTCCTCTTTTGGCGAATGAGGCATATCTCCATTGAGACCACAGATCGCATTCCAATACACCACTTGACCCACATAAGCAACTCCAGAGTCCGACCTGATGGCATCTAGGTCTCGCATACCCTCTTCTCCCTCCAGCAACATGACTGTATAACCGGCAGTCTGGCGATACTCTGGGTCTTCTCTTTGACGACGACTGACACGCTCGCTATGGATCTCCCTACCAATGATGGCAAAGTGATTATCCAGCGTATGGCCAGGCTGTAGCCCGATCTCAAACTCGTTCTCTTGAGGGTAAGCCCAAGGACTGTTCATTTCCCTGTCCGTCAAAGGTCGTATAGGCTGCATTTCTCCCTCCGGCATACGTGTCGGCGTGGAAGGTGCGAGTTGTCTTCTAATCTCTTCGTTCGGCCATGCTGGCCAATTAGGATGAAACTCATCCCAAGGCTCAAGTATCAACTCTCTATCTAGATCAGAGTCGAAAATGTACAACATTGGCGTAGGCACAGACAAATTCTGCGGCATCACTTCAACCAGAATGGCGCCTTCAAGTCGCAAAAGCCCGGTGTCTCGTTGAATGAGTTCAACATCGGTCTGGTTTTTGAGATCTGCTATGTATCCATGTTCGTAGCGACGGATGAGGTGAGGACTCAGATCCTTGCCGATGAGATCAAAATGTTCTTGTACTGTGTGGTCGGGTTTCAAAGTGACATTGTAGTGATCGGTATCGCAGCCCAAGGAACGAGGGTCTTTTGACGTTACAAAATACTAGTTAGCTATATGTTCTTTTCTGGATTTTTGCTTTTGACATACGATCAACGTATTTGTCATAAGGGCATGGCAAATCGTCAGAGTGTTTGATGGGCTGTACATCCTCTGGCCTCAGTAACGTGTAGTTGCATAATGCAGCCGAACAGTATGCGAGCAACCAAAGAGCACCCAGCGATAGCTTCATCGCCGGTGACAGCGGTTTTTCAGAACATGAACAACGATTGTTCAGCTAGGTGATTTTGTTGTTGTTGAATTATGTATGTGTCTCGAAGGCGCCAGCTTTCTTTTCAGCGAGCGGCCTGACAATGACTCAAGTCGGTTTCGAACACGTTGTACGAGATTTTTAAATTAAGGATGAAACGGGTGCTTGGTATTTCTGAATGATGTTCATATATGGGGCTCAAGTGAAAGATTTGAATGGCTTGTGAGTGTGATATACGAAGCAATTCTGCTACCATCTTAAATACATACGTGTCTGCCAAGACTCACTACCACATGACCAGTGAAGCCATCATGAGGCAAGTTATAACAGACATCCAACTTGAAATGTCCATATTCATACCATCTGACTTGCTCGCAGTAGCTGTGGTGGCCGTAGTCTCGCGTCCAGTTTCGGTTTCGGCTGTGCTGCTACTACTGACCAATGACTCTGAACCATCCGGAATGGTGGCACTTATTCCACTCGAGCGAGAGGCGGAACCTGTCTTCGAAGCCAAAATGGAAGTAGCAATTCCTTGCCAAATGTAATCGCCCAGACCCTCTGTTGTCGAACTCCCGCCCGACTTGACAACCACAAGACTTCCACTGCTCGCTAAGCTCAATGTCTCGCCATTGACAATGACATTTCCACCTGGATAGAGTGTCTGTGAAGCTACTGCTATACCAGATTTCAATGGTGTGAAAGAAATCTGTTGTGAGTTGGCTGATAAAATGGCAATGCCAGATGCTTGTGCTAAACTCTTTGTTCGCCCGTTCACAACTATGCCGTCTGTTACCGAAGAGGGAAGGCTGTATGTTGTGCCGCTAACTGTGATGGCGGGACCGCCTGGGACAAGAGTCTGTGATGCGATGACCAGTGGTGTCGCAGAAGCAGCAATGGCAGTGAAAGTCTGCGACCCAATAGTGAGTGATGCAGCAGCAGCAGTAGCCACATCCTGGAAAGCAGTGGGTCTTCCGTCGATGAAAACGGTATTTCCGGATGTGGCTAGAGAGTATGTTATTCCTGAAACTTCAATCGCACTGCCATCAGGACTCAAGACTTGAGAAGCCAAAACATAGCCCCCTGCAATCAAGGGAGCAGCAGTGACACTGCCAAAGGTTACAGGCACGGGCGTGGTCACAGCATTGGCGAGGGAGGTGGCTTCCGCCAGGGGCGTAACAGGAGCCGCAGTTTGTATCGCAGTTGGCTTTCCGTCAATGAATACTGTGTTCCCAGACGCAGCCAGAGAGTATGTCGTCCCTGCAACCTCGACCTCGGTACCCCCTGGGCTCAAGATCTGGCTGGATACGATATATCCACCACCTATGAATGATGCAGCAGTAATACTACCAAAGACCACAGGAGCAGGGGTGCTTGCAGCATTCGCATATGAAGTAGCTCCATTTACCACGATGTTCGCTCCAGACTTTGGCAGAGAATATGTCACACTAGAGATCTCTATTGCTGAGGCGCCAGGAGAGAGTGTTTGTCCAGCAACAACATAATAAGCTCCAGATGACTCAGGAGCCGCCGTCACATCACCAATCACGACTGTTGCTGGCTGTGCGGTGGTCGCTTGCAAAGCAGAAACTGGTGTCGCTTCACCATTGACAACGATATTGTCGCCAGATGGCCCCAACGAATATGTGGTGCCAGATATCTCGATGGCTGACCCTCCGCGACTAAGAGTCTGATCAGCCACAACGTAAGCTCCAGAAGTTACAGGTCTACCCGTCAAATCACCCAACACGATAGGTGCTGCTGATACGACAGGAGACGTTACAGTCGTGATCTGGACATCTTGTCCATTGACCTTGGCAGTACCACCAGACGCATGTATAGAATACATTGTTCCAGAAATCTCAACGGCAGAACCTCCAAAAGCCAGAGTCTGGCTTCCCACGATGTACGCATCAGACGCATACGATGCTGTAACCTGACCAATTGCGACAGGCGGAGGGCCATGGGAAGTCTCTGCGGGCGATGTTCCACTTACAACTGCCGTTTTCTGGATAGTGTTGATGGAGGAGATCTCTTGAGTAGCAGCCTGCGAGTCTACCGGTCTGGTTTCTGGAGGATTTGAGGCTTGCCCCCCACTTGACGTGATTTGAGCTGATTGTTGGTCTCCAATGGACACTTGTTCTCCCGAAGACTGTATCGGAGCCGCCGGAGAATCAGCAGTAGTCTTCTGTGTGACCGGCTGATTCGATGCATCAGAGGTGATTGTGGGCTGTTCGCCAGGTTCCTTCAGCGATGTCTCGGAAGTCGTCGGAGAACCATCTGGGCCCTCGGATGGTGATCCAAGTCCTTGCGAAACTTCTGTTGCAGCATTGAAAGGTGAAGTATTTGGCTGACCTGTCTGACCGGAAGGCTGTTTAGATGGACTCTGAGCGGCCTTGGTGGTCTGAATGGTCGACTGCGTAGTGCTTATAGGGCCAGCTGGAGCAGTCTGGCTAGCAGGAACTGCTGATGTTGTGGTGGCCTTGTTGACGAAGACCGCATTCGTAGTGCTGGTCACGGCGCTTGACGTCGTCAAAAATGAGACACGAATATGAACGTTCGGTGCCCCTCCGCCCGAGACTGGCGAGCAACTCATGATCCTCGGTACTTGAGAGAGAGCCTCTGGATCATTTGCCAGCCACGTAATGAATGACTCCTCAAGTTTCAGGCCTTTTGCACTAGTGTACCATTCGCCTGGCGTTGTTAAGACGGCACTGACATAAGGCGTGGACAGTAGGAAGGAGGTGTGTGAGAAACCGTACATAGGCGGACCCAATGGCTCGAAAAGAGCACCCTCAAACCAGCTCATTGCAACAGATGACACGTCGTATTCGCTGATTGAGGTGGATGATGGTTCATCAAATGTCGTCGTGCTTGATGCTATACACCTCCCTGCATCATTGACCGTGCCAGAAAACACGAAAACAAAGCCGTATTCAATGAATGGCGTTGGGGCTGTCCTGAACGTAATCATCAGCTTGGAGCTCATAGCAGTCTTGCAGCAGCCTACATGGTAGTGTGTCCAACTACAACTTCAGTTCCTGTGAGCATAATTGTCTGATCGTATGGCTGACCGAGACCGGAGGGTTTGTTCATGGCTGTTGGAATACCTGAGAAAGACGGACCGATGCCAGCCGCGTCTGCGCCGACATTATACGTGCCTGTCACATCAGCAGCGGATGAGTTGGTAATTGTGACTGTGGCTGTCGGAAGAACTGTGTTGTTATAGCGCAAGTATTCGGTAACGATAGTTTGGGCGACAGTTTCGAATGCAGCATTTGTATACCACCAGTTCAAAGCAGCTGCCGGAGCATAAACTTGACAACAAAAATCACCAGAAGCGGAAGGATTAGTTGGCGGCTTGGTCGTACCTGACGAGTTCGTGTATTGCGTCGTTCCTGCTTGCCTTGGAACGTGCAAGGCAAGAGCGGTCGAAAAGCATGACATAAAAGACAGGATATACAAAGGCCTTGCCATGATTTCTTTGTCGCAGCGGAACAGCTTCGAGGATATCGCTCAGGAAGCAGCTTGAGCGTAAGCCTTACCTTTAAGAAACTCATTTGCTGCAACACCGCCTCATGGAGAACCAATTACTGTAGGCGAGAAGGATTTGAATAGGCACAGCTGCACATGCATCTCGACCGCGAATCCTGTGCGACAGTCCATAACAAGTATAAGATGGTGAGTCATGCATTCAGAACATGAAGGCAGTGGTCCGGCCTGCTTTGTATTATGTACGAGAGAAATTAGCCAGGTACGCCTGATGGATCAGCAGCCTATCAGGAGGATGAAGTCGTGTCCTAAGAATAGACGAGTCCTGCAGGATGGCGTCCAATAGAGGTCTCCTGCGAGCGGGGGTATCAAGATGTGAATATAAAATCGCGCCACGTTTATTAATTTAATCTACTCACTTTCATTGTGTATAGTAAGCTGCAGACTCGCCAGAGATATCATAGTCTTGTAGATCCAAAAGATGTGGCTCCGAAACGGTGTTTTCCTCCTTGTAGACCTTGAGAGTCTTGTCTGCACACCCTATGATCAGTTGCATTCCTGTCCTATCGAAAGCACTGCAGAGAATCCCTGCCTCAGCATCTAGACTGCCTGAATCGGGTTTATTCTTCTGTTGCAGGAATTTTTGGCCAGTCTTCCGATCCCAGGAAGTGAATAGGCCATCATCACCGCCTGAGAACATAACATTGTCTTTGTTAACTGATAGTGTGTTAATAAGACCATGATGGCCTCTATAATTGTGCATGAGAGCACTTTCAGGACACTTCCACTTCTTGATCATATCCTTAGATGCAGATGCGAAGGTGAACTCTTCGGGATGAAGAGCTAGAGCACATACACCTGCCTTATGATGCGTCAGAACATGCGTTGCTTTACCTGCTCTGAGATCCCACACGCGTATGCTTCGATCCGAAGATGCGGACAAGACTTGTGGGTCGGCCTCCTGGCACTTGACGTCGATCACAGCCTCAGTATGACCATCCAATATACAGACTGCACCTCGAGTACGTATATCCCAGACAGGCACAACTCTATCGCGACCACCCGTACAAAGTACGTCGATCGTAGGGTACAGGGCAAGTGTATAGACACCACTTAGATGGCCATGATACTCGCGGAAGCTTTGATTATGCTCTAGATTCCAACATTTGACCTTCTTATCCTCACCGCAGCTGAACAACAGTGGATGGCGTGGGCTCACATCCAGCCCTCGGATGGTCGAGATATGCCCTGTAAGTGCGACCCTGAGTACGCCAGAAGCAATATCCCAGATCTTGATGGTGCTGTCACCAGCTTTAGAAGCGAACCATTCATTGCTAGGGTCCTCCAACGGGTGTCCCAATACCCTGCATGAAGGATGGACCGTTCATGTTTCAAGAAGATTCAAGAATAGATGAGGCTGACAAGTTGGCGTCCAATGAAGGATCCTTGCGAAAGTGGTGCAGGTTTTGGACATGCAGGGACGTCAACCAGTCAAGCCATGGTGGTGTGGTGTGGTGCCAGTCAAGGCGGTCACATTCTAGATCCACAATGCCGGACGGTCGTCTTGACAGAGGTTTCCAAGCATACGGATTTGTGGCGAGTGTGGGCCAGGTCAACTGCTCATAGATCAACCAGATAGTTTGTCGTTAGCGAAAGAAGGAGGCTGAGCTGGTGACATGCTGATGATGGAGTGCGAGTGTGCCCAGACCTGTTTGCTGCGGGTACCACCCTGGCACATCACCAAGACTCTCAGATCAAGGCGATGATGAGGCAGATCGTTGTAGTTTGCAGTTGCAAGTTATTCTAGGATCTGAACAAATTAAATTGGAGTATATTGGATGAGCTTCCAGGGCTCAAAGTTGTCTAATGTGGTTTGAGACTGATGAAAGTGCTTGAGAGTAGAAAAGAGGTGCAGGGTTGAACAACCCCTACATGAGGATTTCGAGTCATTTAGTTTACAAAACAATAGAGAAACAATAAAGATATAGATTCAAGCGTGCTGATCGATATCGAGGTATCGACACGAAAACATTAGGTATAGAATGCTCAGAAACCTTGACCACTGAGAAGAACAACTGCCCCAGCTACCGGAACCCTGATGCGCCTGATCAACCACCACGCTCACCAAACTCCTTGGCCCAGTCTTCAAACTCTTTCAGTCCAGAGGCTGAGACACTAGGTCGAATATTGACCAAACTCGCCTTAAAGTCCGTGACGTCAATAGGTCTGATGTCGTCCGGAGACATGTGTAGCAGTTTCTCTCCTAGAGAACGCAGAGGTCCCATGGCTGCGTCTTTCGCCAGAGCTGTGATATCACTACCCGAAAAACCTGGAACGTTGTCAGCATCAATTCCTAAAGTGCTCAAAACAGATCGACACACCTTCAGTCAAATACACCAGCTCGTTCAAGTCTTCGTCGCTGATGTTGTGTTTTTGCGCCGCCATCAATGTCGTGAGCTGCAGCTTGCGCACCCAGTCCTCGGGCAAGGGAATATACTGTCTTCTGACAAATCGTCTTCTCGCCGCTTCATCGATCGCCCAAGGCAAGTTTGTAGCTGCCAGTACCAAAACTCTGCTAGCATCACCTCGCTCTTTGTCTTTCTCGCTCGTTTCCTTGCCTGCAGCTGCTTTTGCCAGGTCACTCCATTGAATCAAAAATTCGGTCTTGATCCGACGAGTAGCTTCATGCTCGCTTGATCCACCACGCGCCGAGAGTAGCGAGTCAATTTCGTCAACAAAGATGATTGATGGGGCCAATGCCTTTGCAATGGCAAATAGCGCGCGGACGAGCTTCTCACTCTCGCCAAGGTACTTGCTCGTCAGACTGCTAGCGGAGATGGCGAAGAATGTACTTTTACTCTCCGTGGCTACCGCTCTGGCCAGCATGGTCTTTCCTGTTCCTGGCGGGCCGAAGAGCAACATACCACGTGCTGGTTCACGAAGTCCCATGAATAGATCCGGCCGCAAGAATGGATAGACGACTGTCTCCTTGAGCGCACTCTTCGCGATCTCCAGACCCGCAACATCATCCCAATGTACCTCGTCGCCCTGAATAACGATCTCGTTGAAGATCTGTTTCGCGGCTGCCTCATCTACGCCGCGAGGTAAATTGTTGAGCAGATTCTTGACACGTTCGTCCCACTCAGACAATTCGTTTTGCGGCTCCGTAGGCGCATCGGGATTTTCGGTAACGGATTCGACAATGGGCGCAGGAGCTTCTGCCTCCACTGTAGTGTTTTTCTTTCGTCGTACTCTTGTCGAGTTTTCTCTTCCGCTACTATGTTCGTCCGCGCTGTATCCTGACGAGACGTTTCTGTCGTCTAATTGTTGTCGTGCCTTTGCAGCGTTGACTACACCAACTGCTTTCCTAGGAATCGGCGGTGCTACCTTTGTCTTTGTCTGACTCGTTGCAGCAGGCATCGTAGATGAGACCTGGTTCTCCAGATCCTTCAGAGTCTTAGGTGGCCTGGCGTTTGGAGGATTTTTGTATTTGCTCGGCTGCGCAGGGAGATATTCATTGCGATAGGACGGTAGACTGACGGGTTCAATTCTGCGGACAGGCGATTGCTTCCGTGCCTTGGTAGTGTTAGCGGTAAATGTAGGATTCGATCGTTGGCGGGGTGAAGTTATTGGGGTGGGAGGACCCAGGTGTTCGGAACTACTGGCGTATGCTTGGGATGGTTGTACTGGGTTCAACAAAGAATGATCAGGATATGGTGGACGTTGCGATTCAGACTGAGATCCGTTCGAAACCGATGGCTGGACGAAATAATCTGATGGACTGGGTGGCCGTACGTGCTTCTGAGGAGGTCTAGGCTGTTCTTGAGAAGAACGAGAATTGGATGGGTGGAGCGCAGCTGGAGGAGCAGAAGCAGTGTGAGTAGGCACAGTAGGTCGAGAAGAGTTGGAAGGATCGACGAGTGTTCTTGTGTAGGGATCCCAAACGGTGGCAGAACTAGAGGGGCCGTCCAGATGCCCGTTCGCTTGCTCCAGACTACCGACGCTGGCATTTCGTTGAGTGATGCCCCATGCTTGGGTAGCGGCCTTCGAGGCAGCAGCAGGCTTCCTGAAAGTAGCATTGGCTAGTTTGCCGGATGAAGTCGTCCTCTCCTTCCCACCGGCGCGCAAGGTTCTCAGCATGCCTCCTCTCTTCTCCGGACTAGGGGTGCGCGAGCCTTTCCGCTGGCCAGTTGACGATTGAGGAGCCAGCATGGATGATGAAGATGAAGACGATGGAGCAAAGGCAGAGCTAGTCTGCAAAGGCGACCTGCGAACGGTTGGTACATCGGTCCCAGAACTATATTTCGAAGTATAAGATGGTCGCTTGTTGCGTGTCGGAAGAGCAGGAGGCGTAGGACGCGAGATATCAGAGTAGTTAACCGGAGGGATACTTCCTCCGCCTAGGCCTCCAGCGTGGCTCTGGTCCGCACTTTCCTGAAGTGGAATGCTTGTGCTAGACGATGTTGCCTTTGCTTGTGTTTCTGCCTCCGCAGCTTCCTCGCGACTCTGCCGAAGTGCCTCAAGTAAGTCCACACGCTCTTTGCATTGTAACTCCATCTGTCGCAATGACTCCTGCAGGGCCTTCTCGGTTTCGGAACGTGGGCGCCATCCGGTAGGCATGCGATAGGCGTTGTGATAGTATATTTGGTCCAGTGCGTTGCGCCATGATCGCAGAGCTTCGGCCTCGTTGTTCTGACTCTCCATCAGCTGCTGCTGTACCCGACCACTGTCAACACGAATCCTACCTGTCCCTCAAAATACACAGCAGTCGAGCATGTCAAATAACAATCGTCATATGTCTTCTGCATGGAAGATGCTGGCTTCCCGCGGCCTAACATTGTGTCAACAACGACGGCCTGTCTACATGCGAAATTGGCAGAGCAGTATGCGGTCGAACGTGGTGATTTCGGAGTCGTCGAACGAATGTGCCTAGAGTTGATTCAATTCTTGTCCCTCTGTCCAAGCCTCGCTCTTTGCGCGGCCTCTGATGGACGGTAGCCATGACGTAGAGAAGCGCACCTGCCAAGTCTCGTGCCAATCTAAGTAGTCACATCGCGATCCGCTCGGATACGCAGATCCTGAAAATTGCTTCGAGAAGATTACGAAGAAGATTTGTATTTCTCGACAATTACAAGTAATATACTCTATACAGACTCCGAATGAAATCGCTTGACCGTGAGTAATAACGCCGTCGAGCAGAGTTCCTGTTGAAACACGAAACGATTTTTGCTGTGTTTACTTCTTGCGTGTCATAATCTTGGTGATGGCATGCCTGATGGTCACGCCAGCCTTCTCCGTCTCCTTCTTTGATAGCCCAGTAGTGACACAGACCTTCACGGCAGCTTGAGGTTGCCAGCCCTCGTCGCGAGGTGTGCCGCCAAGTGGTGGAGGCATGCTCTTTAGTCGCGTGATCAAGACGCCATTGGCAAGACACTGTTTATACACGGTCAGTTGAATGATACAGCGCTGTATAGGCGAAAGTCTGGCTTACCTCTTCGACAATGTCTTGCATGATGGTATCTTGCTCTGGTGCACTCAACTGCCTGCTCTCGACCACTTCTTCCTTGAGGACAAGCATCAGGACAGGGTTCTCAACAGCACTTGTGCAAGTAACCCAGTCGCTGCGTGGGTCCAATTGAGCACGCATGGCCCGAATGTTCTCTCTCAATGCGACAAGGATTTCGGGCTGTTCTTGAAGCATCCTGCTAGTCGCGCTAGCAGTTGTTGCAAGCATAGCGGGCAATGCTGCCGAGAAGGTATATGCACTACCAGAAAGGCGTTGATGTTCGACAATTTCCTCGCTACCAGCACAGAAGCCACCACCTCCACAGAGGGAACCAGCGAGCGAGCCAATGATCATGTCGACCTGGCTGGCGTCCACATTTTGTTGCTCGGTGACACCAGCGCCTGTGCGGCCCAGGACACCATATGACCATGTTTCGTCCAAAATAGTGCGGAACTTGTACTTTTGCTTGAGCTCAATGAGCTTGGGGAGATTGACAACGTCGCCTACATTCTCGAACAGGCCCTCGGTGATGATAAAACGGCGAGTCAGGGGTTTGCGGGCATTCTCTTTTACCAATTTTGCAAGCACGCGTTCAAGGTCTTCCATGTCGTTGTGTTCGTACCATCGGATTGTACTGCGCGAAATCTGGATACCTTTACGTATGGCGAAGTTGACAGCCTTGTCGGCAACGATGATGTCGCCGCGCTTGGAGAAGGCAGGAATGACCGAGGAGATAGTACTGAAAGATTGGGCATAGACAATGGCAGCGGGTGTACCTAGGTGGGCGGCAATGTCGGCTTCGAGGGTTTGGTGGACATCCTGCGTACCGTAGAAACCAGGAGGACCGCAGGGACCGACACCGTAGGCACGCAGAGTTTTGACAGCGGCCTCCTTGATGACTTCCGAGTTGATGAAGTTGAAGTGGTTGTAGGTGGCAAGGTTTGTTACGGTTCGGCCATTCGCTAGCTTTGACTTTGGCGCTGAAGGACTGTACTGTGCATTAGCATGTTGCTCACGGTAGTATGAAGTGAGACTGCGCACCCAACAATGACTGGCCTCTTCTCGTTCTCGATCTCCTCAAAAGCTGTCACGGGGGCTGCCAATGGTTCGGGGGTCCAGTCTTCGACAAGCTCATCAATTTCCTGTGTGTCATGTCAGCACACAAGAGATGGTGACTGTGACAGTGGTAGCTGCGACGCACCTCCTCAGTCAGAGGGATCTGCTTCTGCTTCTTTGTCGAGTATGCGGGCGAAACCAGGTAGTAGACGGCGAAGAGGAAGAGGAACAGCTCCATGGCCGAGCGAACGGGATCATTTTGGTAGCTGGAACGGATGTAGCGGATGACTATTGAAGAGCCAGGTATCTTCTGTACTTGATCAAAGGCCTGGTTGACAAGCTCAAGGGCATTGCCCAATGCATCTGGCGGAGGACTTGTTGTATTCATCGTGGGCGCATAGTCTCGAGTGTAGAGAAGTCAAGGTGCGACGGTCATCAAGGCGTTTCGGTGGTTAGTCCCAGACCCCTAATTGCTGTTGTCGGCAACTCGAACCGACTTTCTTTACAATCAATTTAAATCTAAACTCGGCGCGTACCCCTGTCCTCTGTGAATGGTGCTTTGCTGCAGTAAAGGTTCTTCTGAAGAATATCAGCCTCTGTTCTAGGCATGTCATTATGCTAGCTATGTAACGGCCCCTTTATGCAATCCCTCGCCTCGTCATGGACCATGTTTGCCCTGCCCACCCTCGCATAAAATGAAAACTCAAAAGCACGCGAAAAGAACACGAACCGCGTCCAACGAACGCCATGAAACCCCTCCCATCTCGAACCCCTTTACCCGGCGCCATCGAGGCACCACACCTCCTGACCACTGAAAAAAAAACAAAGGAGAATTGATTGAAAGAGATAAAAGAGAAAAGAAAAAGAAAAAGAAACGTGCGGGTATCGATATTGGGTATGCCCCAGGTAGGTCGTGAAATCCAAACGTCTGTCTAGAAATCGTATCATCGTGAAAGGAATGTATACTGAGGCTGAGCTCATTGGAGAAGAGCTCCAAGCTCCAAGCTGCTACTACCGCTCGTGTGCCTTGCAACATCAGGGCTGGAACCTGGTTGCAACAGGCCGTCGAAGTTGAGTTTTCGGTGTGGCTCTCGTGCCGATAGAGGGCTTTTGTTAGCCGCCCAATTGACTTGAGCAGGACTTGGTGTAACGTTGCAGAAGTCGGCGAAATTGAAGTTGTTCGAAGGAGTGCTCAGCGCAAATCCAAAGAGGCCATTGCTTCCCCCTGGCGTGTGCATCATCGACGATGGTAGAGGAGTTGTCTTGGATGGTGGTGTGGACGGAGCAATTACCCGAGCACTGTTGATACCATTTGCCGGAGTAGGCGAGTTCATTAGCCCAAGCATGCCAAGTTCATCGTCCTTGGATGTGCGCGAGAAGCGGTGTTGAGGAGGTGGCGTCTTGGGGGGTGACGATCGAATGTTGTATAGGTCGCCATCGACATTGAATGAGTGCACGGGAAGATCGGTGTCATCGTCCTCGGAGAGTTCAGGCGAGGGAGCGTCGTCGATGAGACTAGAGCCTTCGGATATGAAAGACAACTTTGGGACATGGAGGGTCGAAGGAAAGACGGCGGTTCTGTTGTGGTAGGCCGGAGACGATTCTGGAAGTCTGTGTGATCTCTTCCATGACTGAACAGCGAGAGCACTGCGGGTTTTGCGACCAGTCTGACTGCTCGATGCAGGGTACTTGTGGACGTCGGCAAACCTCGGACGTTTGCTGCTGTGAGTGCTGCCATGGACACTGCTATGAGAGCTGCCTAGCCGAGGCATGTCGTCGGAGAAGATGGGGGCAGTCAAGGGAGATGAGGCCATGCCCCCAATGGAATGGAAGCGGCTTGAGACGCTGGATGAGGTGTCCGAGTAGCTGTCGTTGATGCTCGAGGCGGTGCGTTTACGCTTGAGTTGTTGGTCGATGTGCGGCTCGATGGTGTCGATACTGAGGTTCTCCCAGCCATTCTTGATCTTGACATTGGCCAGTGCCAATCTGTCTTGCAGAGCTCTGGTCATCTGTGATAGACAGTCAGTGACGTAGATAAACAAGCCATCAATATCGAAGCTCATTCATACCTTTGATACCTCGAGCCGGCGCATGACTCTGTTGGCGACATCGCTGCCTGTAGCGTCGGCTTCTGCCATGGCGCTCGAGTGTCTGAAGGGATTGTGGACGAGATGCGCTGCGATGTGGTGAGGTGTATGGGTTTAAGGAGAAAATCCGACAGTTTGGTCAAAGGAGAAAAGAGTGGTCAAAGAGCAATTATGCACGAGGTGTCAAGCATAGAGTGGTGGAATGCATGATCAGTTGCTGGGGCAGTTATACGCTAAGGCTTAAGCGCTGTCAAGTTTGCAAAACTGTGGGACGGAGTCGAGGGGCTGCTTGACCTGAATCAATTCCCATCTCGATCAAACGCTCCAAGTATCGGCAGCGCCTTGGTTCGTTTCGTCACCAACTCCAACCTCTCCGCAACCAGTCTGAGATCTATAGTTGCTTATTCCAGGTACCCGCTCAAACAGGCATATCGATGTCTTTAGTCGTCTAGCAACAGCGCCAACAACAAAGATTGCCTCTTCACAATCGATCTCTAGCATCACTGCCCTTGCTCCCATCCTCCTCGAGTGCTTGATTTATAAGTCGAATAGAAGCAATCTCGAAGAGTAGTTCAATAGAACAAAAAAGTGGATTACATAGAGTCCTTCCCTGGCCCGCACCCTCTGCCTGCCTTGGAAGACAAGGAGAGAGGAGTATTGGCATTGGCACGCGAGTCGGATTTAGTGACTCTGTTTAGCTCGCGAGCTTCGTGCGGATCGGCCAAAGATATGAATAGAAGCAACACTTTGGACGCCGGCGCACGTAGCAGAGCGACAAGGGAGTCGATTTTGATATGCTCAGTCGTGTACATGCCGTCGTGCAGAGGGACACGGCTTGCTGAGTCAAAAGAGGCTCTCGTGCTCGCTGCAACGGATGAGTTCGGATGGTATGCACCGATGGACAAGAGAAGCATAAATCTGATTCGGGTATAGTGGCCGAGGAGGCACATGCAAGCCGCATCAGCACGGCCGGCATGGCGGCGCCAACGAGGCTTGATAGTTGTTAGTGATGCAATGGGCAGTCGGCGGGTTGAGGAACATTCGTGGCAGCAGCCTCTCAACGGACAAGTCCATTCAAGGATCCAGGTCAAGGTTCCAAGTTGGCAGCCATAGTTATCCGCCGAGCCTAGTTCTTCCTCAATGCTGCTTGTCACTTGATCTCTTCTCCTCTTGTCAGACCTGACTGGATCCTCTCGGTGAGAATTGCTTGGCCGGTTTTGAAACGCGTACCTTTGGACAAGGGCTCGATCGACCTCCAGGCTGCTTGTCTATCGGCAGAGTGCAGCATTTCCAGCAACCATCCGCTGTGTCGCGCATATTTGTATCACTCATTGTCGCAGCCCTCGTTCATCTGTTCAGCTGATCCCTCTGTCTGCTGCAAACCAACAAATAGTCGAGAGAAGCGTACCTATACAGCCATCCTCCGCAGCGTCGCACTGAACCACCACTACTGCCATGCCTTCGTTCCTAAAAGAGCTCCGCCGAAGGTCAAAAGCCAGCTTCAAGGCCGACAAGACAAGCTCTGCAAACGACGGCCATTCACATTCTAGCAGCAACGATTCGCGCTCTCAAGATGGCACCACCGTCGATACCGTTCCTGAGATGCCTCGCAACAAGTCGTCCTCAACACTGAACTCTGTCTTTGGAGGAAAGTCTCCGCCGCCTCCTGCCACATCTCCTCCGCTTCCTTCTCTTCCTTCCGTCTCGGGCTCCAATACGAACCTCGCTGCCATGAATGGCAGCAAGACCCCTCCACTTGGCTCCCGACCAGCGCCCTCAAATAACAACAGCAGTCGCTACAGCATTGCTGTGAGTATCCAAAATGGCCATTGCAAGGCCATACACCACTGACAAGCGAGCAGGGTTCGATCAATGGCTCACCGAAACCCACCCAATATACATCTCCGCTTGCACCTCGCGTTCTGTCGGCATCCGAGGGTTCCTGGGTCCACCAAAAAGTCCTTCTCATATACGGCCAGGTCGGTGACCCATCACAGCCCTTAGACGGTGACATTGTCGTCTGTTCGCATCAAGACTGTTTCCCTCCTATGACTTGGCCCGTCAGCGACTCGCATTTTAAGGCACTCGTATACCTGCAACCCGGACCCAACCGGCTCCGCCTCGACTTTATCCCTCGTCAGCGTAGACCTTCGCAAAACCAGCTCAATGGCCAGCCCGCCCATTCTTCCTACTTCCAAATCAATTACCTCCCCATGAACACCTCACCACCTCTCCACCTGGCCATTCTGGTTGCAAAAGATTCACCGAGAACATTCGATGCGGTCCCTGAGCGTATCAAAACCGAGGGCAATGGCCTAGAAACAGCGGTGCGCAAATTCCGTATGGCTGCTTATCTGTGGCAAGCCTTTACAGGCGAGCAGATGAACCGTCATGGTTTCGGCCGTCGCTGCTTCCGCTATGAGGAGGAATGGCAACAGGGTACCTTGACCGGCCGTGATCTTGCAACTGGGCAAATGCGTAACGAGGCCAAGATTCACATCATTACCCTGGATAAGACTGTTGCCGAGATTCAAGATCTCAACATCGCACAACAGTACGAGCCGGCGAAACAAAAAGGCGATCTGTTTTCTTTCGCCATGGACGCTGTCAAAAATCACTTCAAACCTCGACCGGGCCAGAAAGAGTATGTCTCGTGCATGTTCTTGGATACACATTGGGATCCTAAGGTCGGAACGGTGAGAGGTCACGCTGCTCTTGGAGGCGGCGACGAACAGATCAAACTTGCAATTTTCGGTTCTCATTCCCTGCAATCTTATCCCGCGCACCTTGAAGAAGTTGTACCCGCGTTCACTGATTGCACGAAGACTGACACGAAATACGTCGCAAATGATTGCAACGAAAGCGGGAGCAACTGGGAAGCTGCCAACATCGGAATCGGTGCTCACATGCACGAAACCGGCCACTTGTTTGGCTGCCCTCACCAGGAATCTGGCGTCATGCTTCGTGACTATGTTCGTCTGAACCGCACTTTCACCACCAGAGAACCTTACTCAACTCGCACTGAATCACAAGGCATGCGTCTCTGTCTCCAGCAGGATGAATGTGCATGGCACAGGCTGGATGCCTTGAGATTCAGACTACACCCCTGTTTCGCACTGCCTACTGATATGAGCGTTCCTCCGGAAGATAGCATTCAAGTATGGGCTGTTGACAAGGGAGCTGCTCTGGTCACTGCAAGCACGGGCATAGCATTCATCGAGATCTACACCGAGGGCGATGACCTTTGCCGTCACTGGATCGAATATCTAGATCCTAGCAATGGCTCGGTTGCACCTCGCCAAATCACGTTGACAGAAGCAGATCTAAGAACCAGAGTAGGAGAGGCTAACAAGAACAAGAAGCTGAAGATCAAGATCTTCTCTCTTGGCCAGGGCGATCATGAAGTTGCTGATTTTGCTCAGCACGTGAGCAAGGATTCTAAGTTGAAGCTTCCGGACAGCAGAGTTGGCTTCAGAGGTTCAAAGGTCGGATTTTCGCAAATGGATGGAACTCAGCCTCAAGAAGTGCTTCTGCGTTCATCACACGAGAAACGCAAGCTCTTAGTCGCGATTAAAGTTTACCACGGGTTTGCACTTGACGGTCTCGAATTCGTGTATGAGGACGGAGAGAGTCAACTGTTCGGAAAAAGAGGCGGCAAGGCAGGCGGTGATGAGTTCACCTTCAACGCAAGATTCGGCGAAACATTGCTGGGCTTTAATCTGAGAGCTGGTCTCTGGATTGACGGTATCCAGATCCTGACCAGCGGCGGTCGCCGTAGCGAGTGGTATGGCAACAAAGATGGTGGTAGCGGGTAAGTGTGCTTCGAGATGGGAAAAAGATGGTTTTACTAACGCTGTCAACAGGTGCAGTCTGATTCCTCCCAGAGGGTACAGCATTGCTGGTGTGTACGGCACATGTGGACAGTGGCTTGATGGTTTCGGTCTGATCATCACTCGCTGAATCCACATTGCATCGGTTCCTACCCTAAAATTATTCATTTTTAATACTAGATTCTGGCAGAAGAAGACTTACATCATCCTACAAGGTCTATCTGCTACATGTGGGATCAAGGTTCTTTGGCACATTTTCGTATCTTTCACCAGCATCTGTCATATGTCAATTCGCAGCGTTGCGCAGCAGTCTTTCTCTTTTGCCGTCTATCAGAAGCGTTGCATCCTCATCATTCCTTGACCGTTGTTCTTTTGGAGCCATGTTCTATGGATTTTGCTGCATGCACAGGAAACATGGAGGGTGTTAGTCTTTGTCCCATTTCTTTTTCAGTACGAAGGTACTCTTGTCACGCAGGTGCCTTTGCATATGTACCGAGGAGACGCTCCCTCTTAGGTCAAGGACTTTCGTCGACTTCTAGTTGAACATCGGCCACAAAACGCGTCGCCTAACATACATACTTCGTACAACGGATACTCATCATCCATACCACTGACAGTCAAACATTGTTCGAAGTTTTAGCCGACACTGCGTAGCCTTAAACGATTTGTCCGATTATGCATGAACTTTACTCTGAGCCAGCATGTATAGGCGGATTGCATGCCGCCCAACTGCAAGCCACCACGCAACCTACGGGGCCTATTCTCCGCCCGGCAGTCCCGGCTAGCCATTTACTACATACGCACTCAACACCACCTTCCGAACTCTCGAATTTGCCTGGTAGCCTGCCAAACTCACTATAGACTCATCACCGATTCGATTTTCACGTTGAGAGGGCTCGGGTCTTGTTAAGCAGTGTACCTAGTTCAAATGGCGACAGCGCATGAATCAAAACGACGATGATTACTCCTAGACACAGCACTGTGGAGGTTCGGTTACTTGATGATACAGACAGTACACTATAACATCCAGAAGATTCCTACTGCTGTACGTTTTGCATCTCTTTTTGGTCTTTAGAGGATGGCTAGCATAGAAGACAAGCGGAGCGGCATGGAACGATGTGTGGTAAGGTGTTGTAAGACATTTACTATGGTTCGGAGCTTCCTGAACCTCGATTTCATTCCGTCAAATGGTCGTAATCTCGTATCTGGCGATTTGTATATCATGCATATATGTCTTCCCTCCTATCGCTGGTTGTGGCGCACCATATCCTCCCGGGATGATGTGGGTGTCGTTCCTCCACATGTTTCTATTGAACCAAAGTGCGAATGGACACGTGCCTCTGTTGGTTATGGGTCCCATTGATGGCATCGTAGGGCCTAGCTCTGTGAAGCGACGGATATCAGATGTGACGAGTTCCAGAGCAGGTTTGTATCGTTCCGAATGTCGGCAGCTTGGTCTATCTCAGTCTGATCGAGCGTATGAGCTGACGCAAAACCCAGTATCTTGAGATGTCTGCTTGGTCTTTGCTCACATGGCGCTTTGTACAGGCGTGTTGGCGATGCGTTTTTCTTTTGTCGATGTTGCGTAAAGTCTGATTGCTCATGTCCAGTCGGTGGTATACCCGCGATAAGGCGCGTCGTGCTCAGGCATGTTGCCCATTCCGTTTGAGATGGTAGGAATTATCCCTAGCCGGCTGAAACTCATGTGGTCGGTGGAATATTCCTCCGTGCTCATGGGGTCTGCTTTCCTCTTCTCGTATTGTACACTATCAAAAGAGCCGGGCTCCCTGGAACTGCCAGTCGTGAGGTGTCTGGTGCTACACCTCTTGCGGACGCAGGCCTGGAACAGTGGGTGTAGGGTCGCCATACACACTGTGACTATGGCTGTGCCCACTTCGACGATACTAAGGATGGCAAAGTCTTCGTTATGGTTCAAAAGTATGACACCCATTTTATCTCCTGGAAAATATCGGAGTCGAACCAGAGAGATGACACTGGCTCCAACAGCGAGAAAGATCAGGAAGTAGATGCAAAGCAATTCCCCGATCGGCATGCGGCGTAGCTTGGTGACTACAGGAAGACATGCTAGGACAAAGATCCAGTCACACGCGGCGTTCAGTGCGATACTAACATAAAGCAGAGGTTTGACGATATGGATCCAGGAGATGCATTGTCGAGGGGTGCTTGCTCTGGCTGCCATGACCAGGTTTGAGACGGTAGGCACACCGCATTGAAAGGTGCTGACGAAAATGTAGGCTGTTTGATACAAGCAGTAGATAGAGACGGTGACAAAGATGATGTAGCGCTGCCAACGCTCGCAGATTCTCCAGAAGTATGCCGCTACAGAGAGCTTAATCAAGATTTGGTCCGCGGTGAACAAGATACTGTTACCGATGGTAAGCTATATTCGTCAGCACGATGTATCAACTGAGAGCTTGTGGATAGTACCTTGATAATGCTAGGATAGCGTTCCATGACATCTTCACGTGAAAGCCATTCGCCAATGACAATTGCACTTATACACAAGGCCATGAGCAAGACCTACAAGCGTCAGTAAGGAAGTGTACAAGGGAAAGAGATGGCTTACATATGCAGGGATGATGAGCCAATCTTCGACACCGAACGTCTTTGTCATGTAGCCACGGACGTAAACACGCAGAGCGACAGCCACGGAAGTTAAGACCATCATGGGGATGCTGAATGAATACAAGTCTCTTCTGGTGGAGCCACTGAGTGCGCCGACCTGGACAGTCCCACGCTCATCTTCGTAGAAGGCCATTATGCCTTACAGACAAGACCAAAGAACATGTGAGAGGGAAAAAATTGGTCGAAGCAGAGATGTTTGAGAGCTTGAGGCTGAAGCATAAGGTGATTGTATTTGTATATAGATCTCAGATTTGGGATTGAGACAATCATACGTAAATCCAAAACGGTTCTACCGTTCAGCAGCGTTTTTTTGCGGGAATCTGCGCCGTAGATCATAGTAGGCCGAGTTTCCCATGTTCTTCCTCGCGCTGCATGTAAATAGCCCACTGGACTTTGGTGGATGTAATCCAGATATTGGTAGACGATCATGTGGGATAGCGCTTCCGAAGCCCATCGGATTGGGTCATCCCGATGTAAGCATGGATCAGTATAAGAAGAGTTGTAGTCGAATAAAGACGGCTTCTCGGTCAATATTTCATATGCTTTCAACCAGAGATACTGACTGGTAGTCCAGAGTCGGTGCGAGCATGTATAGAAAGCCAAAGTTGGTCGATGAATTCAAATACGGATACGGAGTTGATGCCATCCGCTCCGGCAATGGGAAACTTGAAGCGGGCTTGGCGGAGGGTCACAAACTTGGATTTAACTTATGCAGGATTGTCGTGTTTATACCTGAACAGCAGCGATATCGTGCAAGATTACATCGAGAAGCAACGAGTATAACATCAGGAGCGGGATGAGGGCAGGCGTCAAAACATCAAGAGTTTGGCTACTTGTTGAGGTGAAACGTGTGAAGTGTACAATAACACAGCGTGGCGGAAGTGGCTGGTGGATGGTACTGTAACTGCCTCGGATGCAAGGCTGCAACTGCAACTCGGATGCTGCATACTCATATGGGCCATGTCTCTGGCATCAGACCGAGTAAGTAGCACAGCAACGCGAGCACAAAAGGGTCAGACGAATTGCTCCGAGCCAATTCTTTGTCGAGAGATTATTTGTCGTTCGTGCCCGGGTGGTATTATTGAGCCGAGCGCCGCCCTCTTGATCGTATCACAATCAGCATAGCCAATTTCGCTTTCTCGTCGACATCTTGTTCGCCTTTTTGTCGCTTCTTCGGGGGGTTTTGACGAGGTTTGAACAAGTGTCTTCGAAAAAGTGCTCATGCTCTCTGTCAGGCGACATGGAGGCAGCGCTTTGAGAGCGGATCGACTTTACTTGAAATGATTGCTGGAGACTCGTCGCAGCAGCAGTCCACTGGAGGCCAACAGCACCACCACCCGCAACCACGACCCAGGCCTGCCACCCGAGCGCAGAACGGGCTCATTCTGCAAGACGTGCCCTCATTCGACTCGCGCGACCTTCTACGGCCCACGTCGATCGCTACCACCAATTCACCCTATCCGACCATCCAACCAAGTCCGCGTAGTCCTCGTCCGCGCGCTCGTACCTTTGTCCATGCCAAATATCTGACCGATCCCGAAGACCCTACGAGACGCTCGCTACCCACCGCAATGCCGCCCGCCAACTATCAACCCAACCAGCAGCGCCATGTGTCGGCCACTGCTGCTGAACAGGTCTTGCGCCAGCATCAGCAGCAGCAGTCACAGCAGCAGTATATGCCTCCACCACCCCCCATGTCCAATCCTCCGTCCATGCAGTTTCCCCCGCCTCCACCGCGCCCGCCCACCAGCAACTCACAGCACAATGCCATGATGCTCCCTCCGCCACCTAGCGCTCCACAGTCGGCTCTCAATGCTTGGGCTCTTTGGCATAGACAACAGCAACAGCAGCAGCAACAATCCGCCTATTCGCAGCAGCAGCCTCCATATCCGCAACAGCAATCACAGTACCCTTACTCGTCACAGCAACAGCAACAGTCTCCATATCCTCAACCCCGTGAACCTCGCGCTTACGATCCCACTGCTTACCAGGCCTACACTTCGATGCCTCCACTACCTCCTGATACCCAGCCTCTGGTCTCTGCTACCTATATTCCCGGTGCTGATTCGTTTGGTCCCGGTGTTGGAATCCCTCCACTGCACGCATCGCCTCCCCCACCGCCGCCTTCTGGTACCCCTGGTCGTTCTCAAAACCAGCAACAGTATCACAATGGTTACTCGCAACACCCACCTACTCCTCAGTATCCGCTTGATCCCATGGATGACGGCAGATGGCTTCAGTACAACCAGCCTAGTACCAATCAGTACAATTCGTACTACCAACCATCTCAACCTGTGCAGCAATTGCGATCTCAGCAGAGCAGGGACTATCTCTCCAACGCTCCTCCGACTCCTTCAAACACAAGAGTGGTAGTGCTTCCTGCCAGAGAGACGCAGGAGCATTCATCACCTGCTCCACACATGCTCTCCTTTGCTGATTCCAATTCCACTCCCGTTCCTCAGCCACGCGAGCAGCCACCTCCAGAGGTGCCTGCCTCGCCTCACGACCTGCAATGGCCTCTAGAACGAGTCATCGCTTGGCTTGCTGATAACGGCTTCTCTCACATTTGGCAAGAGGCATTCAAGCATCTCAATATCCAGGGCTCGCAGTTTCTCGAGATTGGCCGATCTCAAGGCAACAAGCCCAATGTCGCTTTCTTGCACAAGACTGTTTATCCCCAGCTGCAAAAGGAATGCGCCAGTGCTGGTATTGTGTGGGATCAAGCAAAAGACCGCGAAGACGGCAAGAAAATTCGAACGCTCATTCGTCGTATTGTCGACTCTGGAGGTAGCAGTGTGAATGGTAGCAGCTCATCAAGCGTGCCTTCACGTCAACGGAGGGAGTCCTCGCAGTTTCCACATAGCGCAGATGCAGACGGTGCCATCGAGAATTCGCCCATGATGACTCGTCACGAGATGACTTTCGGCTCAACACCCACGACTGCTGGGGGTGGTGAAGACAGTCCTGGTTTGCAGATGCCCAATTCGTTCGCTCAACGGAGATACTCATCGCAACGTTCGGTCACGCTTGACTCCTTGAGTATGATGAATAAGCAGCATGACAGCTCAGAAGGCCGAAGCGCATTTTCTCGTACTGCCCTCGCTGAGATCGATATACCTCGGCGGCACAGTCCCAGTGTCTCGACAGAACTCACCGCGAGCTACGCGCAAACCACTTCTCATCTTCGCTCCGACTTTGGTCGTCCAGGCTTTGAGCCAAGCCCACAGCATAGTCCTGCTATGCAACAAGCCCGCCCTGCGAATACTCCGTCTGCATCAGCACATAATCGTTACTTGAGCAACAACCATCATAGGCTCAGTAGTAGTGATTACACAAATCCCAGCGGTCCCGCTTCTAGTCGCATTGGTGCAACTAGTGATGCGAATCATGGCAAAACACCTCCACTAGATTCCCGCAGATATGCTCAAGAGGGGTCTCGCCCACCGCCACCTACAGAGCTTGCTTCTAAAACCAGTGCTGGAGAAGTACCCCACAGTGCTACAGCAAGCGCGAAAGAACATAAGTCAGGTTTTCTTCGTAACTTCATACGCCACAAACAGAAGAATGAGAGAGATCATTCTCGTGACGATCACATGGAATCACCTACAAGTCCAGCGCAGTCTCGATTGCTTACCAAGTCAAGTCTGAATTCCAGCGAAACCTCAATCGACAGGCCCGCTTCTCGCAGATCAGGGCATATCACTGCGGAGGTAGAGAAAGCACAGCATATACCTGAACGAGGAAGGTCTGCAGCCAGAGAATCTGACAAGCGATATGCGTTTGTCACCCCTGATGGATGGAACTATAGATTGATAGATCTGACGAATGTTTCAACGCCCGAGGAGATGCGCGCAACCATATGTTATAATCTCGGCCTTGTGGAAACACCTGATCTGACTCTTCATCAAACTTCGCCTGGAAAGGAGCAGCACGAAGAACCCCTTACAGATTCGTTGTTGTTAGCTGCACGTCATCACATTGCCGACTCGACAGGAAAGCTCAAGCTTTTTGTTCGCTCATCTGCCACCGAGCGCTCGCGTGACCAGATGGTGTCGCCTCTTCGTGCCGGGTCTTTCTCTAAGCTCGCCGACCCCTCGACTTATTCTCGACTCACTGGAGACGACAAGATTGATACGTCCACTCTTAAATCGAATGAGTCAACTTTGGTCCCCAACAAGAAGCGATCGCTGCAAAACCTCGTTAGGGAGATGGCTAGCGAGACCCTACACTCACTAGACCGCGATCTGCCTACTGATCTGTCCGCGCTCTCTGAGTCTGAGCGACTGGCAATACTTGAGATCAAGGCCGAAGAGCATCGAAGGGAGACACAACGCAAGCAACAGGCATATTTGGAGACCAGACAACAGCAAAGACTTCGATTGGAGCATTCGCGCGATCGTCTTGGCAAGGACTTCTCGCCCATTAGGCGCAAAGACATAATTGACTTCGATCAACGACGAAACTCGCCATATGAGGAGAGAAAGCTGCTCGATCAAGAGAAAAAGATGGAGCCCTTGATTCCGCTACGTAAACCACCGCCCCCTCCTGAACCAAGCAGCACTCTATTCAAAGCAGATTCGCTCAGGAAAAAATCGGGACCAGTCTCACGCACCAGTTGGCCTGATCGTGGCGATGCTTCCAAGAGAAGCTCCGCTGAGAGCTTGGATGGAAACAAGCGCAAGACTCGTGTAGGTTCTGGTATCGGGGCTGCTATCGTTGGCGCAGGGAAGTTGGGCGGCATGGTTGGAGCTCCTGGCACTCCTGCTTCAGCTAGAGAAGCCGCGCAAAGCCCTCCGTCTGGTTACAATAGTGGCGTTCCACCAAAGGCGATGCAGACGTTGGGTATCACCGGCATGGGTGAAAATAGAACAGCTCTTACTGGAAATTCACCTATCACGATGTCGAAGGGTGAAGTGCCTTTCAAGATTCCCGCCTATCTTGAAGACAGCATTGAGGATGGCAACAGTTCTCTAGCCGGTAACAGCTTTGCACGACCAGCACTTACTCTCCAAATGCCTAGCAAAGACAAGTCAACAATCTCACCCCCTGCTAAAGACATCCAGAAGCAACCCAGTCCGGGCATTAGTCCTACGACTGCACGTCCGCAAAGCAGCTTGAGTCGCATGAGCAGCCGCAGAAGCTATGGTCCTAGCTTCCATCTGCCAAGTGAGCCTGTTTCGTTTGACAGACCGTCTACAGCTACAATGGACGAAGAGGACGAAGATTCGGACTCGGATGATGGTCTGTTTGCCAGGCCGTTGACGAAGAAAGACTCGAACGACAGTCTGTTCGCCATCCCATTGGGCAACAAAGTCAAGGCGAAGCAATCAAAGACTTCTCTGATACAGGATCACGTCGAAGGCTCTACCTCTCAACAAGAGCAAGCTCTCAAATCCAAGGCTTCTCAACAGAACATGAGATTTACTGCGTCTCCCGACCCTCTAGATGAGAATGAACGACCGCATCCAGAGTCTGCAGTATCCGCAGCTTGGTCAACCGAATCTCCTGAGGATAGCGCTAGGTTCGGTCGTCGTGAGAGCTTCGCTAGTGATCTTTGGGCCAACCGTCCTCCTCCTGAGGCCCTTGTGGAACATCTCGATGACTTCTTCCCGAACGTTGATCTCGATCAGCCAATGATCGAGGAAGAAGGTCAGGAAGGTCAAGCTAACACCCCAAGCGAGACGCCGAGCGTTCAACCCTCTCAGACATCCTCGGCGCCCGCTGTGGAGTCCAAGGCAGAACAAAGCTTCGTACCGGTTCCCGATCTCGAAGCTGACAATGGAACACTGGGTAGCGACGAGTCAACTCTCAAAGAAGACTCTACTCTCAAGCGAGGACACCATATGCCCTCGGTCGCTCAGAGGAACCTCAGGAAGTCTGGCGCTCTGGGACGAACAAAGAGTATTCGTGAAGTCGTGAAAGGCGCGTATCAGCTGCCAGCTCAGAAGTCGCCGAGCCCGTCTATCACTTCTTTTTCATCGAGTCGTGCCCCTAGCGCACAGATCAATCGTAGTGCGTTGAACCGCATGAGTACGCTCAAATACGGCGGTGATATCGTCCGACGCAAGAGCACAAAGATGTTTGGCGCTCGTATTGAGCAAATTAAGCCTCCTCGTGGTAGCCGCCTCATACAGCTGGAAACCATTCCCCAGGACACTTTTGCGCTTCAACATCCCCAGCGGCAGCCAACATTCAAGTGGATGAAGGGTCAATTGATTGGCAAAGGTACCTTTGGCCGAGTTTATCTGGGTATGAACACCACTACTGGTGAACTCTTGGCAGTGAAGCAGGTTGAAGTCAACCCCAAGACCTCGAATGCAGATCCGCAAAAGATCCGTGAAATGGTCAAGGCATTAGACTCTGAGATTGACACCATGCAACACCTGGATCACATGAATATCGTCCAATATCTCGGATGCGAACGCAAAGAATATTCAATCAGTATCTTTCTCGAGTACATTTCTGGTGGCAGTATTGGCAGCTGCCTACGCAAACACGGCAAATTCGAAGAATCAGTCGTCAGCAGTTTAACCCGACAGACCCTTGACGGATTGGCATATCTGCATCGCGAAGGTATTCTGCACCGCGACCTCAAAGCTGACAACATCCTTCTCGACCTTGACGGCACATGCAAGATCTCAGACTTTGGAATCTCCAAGCGCAGCCCTAACCCTTACAACAACGACATCACCAACAGCATGCAAGGCAGTGTGTTCTGGATGGCGCCCGAAGTCATCCGCGCCCAGTCTCAAGGGAGCAGCTCAAGCGGCACTACTGAGTCTCAAGGTTATAGCGCAAAGGTCGATATCTGGTCACTAGGCTGTGTGGTCTTGGAGATGTTTGCTGGTCGCCGTCCTTGGAGCAAGGAAGAGGCTATTGGCGCAATCTTCAAGCTCGGCAGTCTCAATCAAGCCCCACCCATCCCTGAGGATGTAAGCAGTGTTGTTGGACCTGCGGCTTTGAGCTTCATGTATGACTGCTTCACCATCGACCCTGCCGATCGCCCAACAGCCGAGACCTTGCTCCGCGCACCCTTCTGCTTCCACGATCTTCACTACAATTTCTTTGACACAGAACTATACGCTAAGATTCAAGGAGCCTTTGGTCCTTAGATCTGGCTGTCTAATATCTTGTCTTCTCCCTTTGCTACACTATTCTAATATTCGCATTGCGTCTACAAACGCACATCTTGAATCTTTTTCTCGTCTGATACCCACTTTATTGTTTGTTTTTGATGGTTTTTGTATGGTTTTTGAACTGTCGTTGGTGGTTCGGTGTGAAGCAAATTCAATTCTCAAGAAATTGTCACATTTCCGAAAGGATAGAGATTCTCTATGAACATGTCTTTCACTTTCGTCCTACATCATAATGTTGAATGGGTCTTTCTCGAACGATTATGATGAGATTCTCGGGTCGAGGATACCAAAGCACCCACGTGGTAGGGCTCAGTCACCAGACAACGCGTGCGCATGGCAAGACACAGACCAGCTTCGGCTGATACCGTGAGTCAAGGACAACAAGCATGTCTTCTCGGACGGACAGCAGATGAGGACTTGTTTTGTAGTTGCCAGGTTTCTTGCTTCGCACTGACAACGTTTAGTTAAGCACTACAGAGTGACGGTTCGTTCCGTTGCTTCCATGGCAGTGTCCGGCCTGCCCCGCAGGCGCGATGAGCACGGTCTGTGACCGGGCCCGAAGTTCAAGGGAGATTCCGTTTGATATAGACACCTGAAGCTAAGGCACTGACGTAGGCAAACCATGCACCAGTCGTATGAAATAACAACCTCCATGGTCAAATGATGCGACTTTGTAAGGTCAGTACCGCTGTATGAGCGCCAAAGTGAACAGGCGAGGACCGCAGCGGATCATCTTGCTGGCAGAGGAAGGAGGTCGAAGTCAAGCTTTTTGATATTGATTCTCCAGCAGTCAACAACACGCCGAGCTTTGTCCTTCTCGATGCGGCTCACTCCGTGCTGTGTCGGCGCTTACCAACATCGAAGTTTGATAGGCACATCGCTGACCAGATCTGACCATCCGAATTTCGCTCTCGCGTTCACTCCTCACAATTTCGTCGACAGGCCAAGCCGTTGGGTCGCACAGTCACAGTAATCATTTCTTGGGCGCCGAGAAGATGGTGTGTGATAGTCGTGTCTGGATGTTTCGAGCTGTAACCTGAACATATTGTCCTGCATTGGCTGTCACGGCTTGGCCATGTGGCCATTGACCTATGAGTCCAAGTTAGTCAAGCATGCAATTGTTTGGGAAGACAAGCTTGCCGAAGTCGCCGTCCACGCCCCGGCCAAGAAACCGAGTCCCGCAAGATCCAAACACTATCAAAGTCTTGTCGTACGCTGTGCCCCCATATAGAAGAGCTTGGTACGAGATACCAGGTTCAAAAATAGTCTGTGCAGCACCAGGATGGCCTGATCCCCGTTCATTACACTGAGTAAGTTGGGATCTGGTCGATCTCTCGGACGTGTATATAAGGAGCCAGCATGGCCACTTTTGGACGGTCTCTTCTATTGTACTCATACAGCTCTCTTTGTTGTGTTGTTGAGATTGAGCAGTCGCGATGCGTTCGTTGTTGTACCTTCCCCTGATCGCGGGCACTGCCTTCGCTGGCAGCTGCCCATACATGAGTGGTGAAATGGGAAAGCGCGATGACGCTGCCCTTCAAGAAACCACCGAGCAGACCGAAAAGTTCATGGGTCAATTCAAGCTCAATGATGAGCAAGGCTTCTTGACTACTGATTGGGGTACTCCCATTGACGATCTGACCAGCTTAAAGGCTGGTGCTAGAGGCCCTACACTGCTGGAAGATTTCGCTTTCAGACAGAAGATGCAGAGATTTGATCATGAGCGAGTAAGTTCGAGCGCTGCCAATGTCAATGTCAGTGGCACAGTCATAGCTCATCATCTTCTAGATTCCTGAACGCGTTGTCCATGCTCGCGGTGCTGGTGTCCATGGAGTCTTCGAGTCTTACGGCAATTTCAGCAACATCACAGCTGCGAGCTTCCTTTCAGAGGAGGGCAAGAAGACTCCTACTTTCGTGCGCTTTTCGACCGTTATTGGCGAAAGAGGGTAAGCTTCGATGAATCAAAGCAAAACGCCATATACTGACACCCATCAAAGAAGCGGAGATGCTGCTAGAGACGTTAGAGGGTTCGCAACGCGCTTCTACACTGACGCAGGTAACTTGGATATCGTTGGCATAAACCTGCCTATCTTCTTCATCCAGGATGCTATGCAGTTCCCCGACATGGTCCACTCCTTAAAGCCTCAGCCTGACAAGCAGATTCCTCAGGCTGCTACTGCCCACGATACCGCATATGACTTCTTCTCCCAACAGCCCAGCACCTTGAACATGGTCAGTCTATCAAGCCATAATACAAAATTTACACGGTACTGACTATTTCGGCAGCTCATGCTCATCATGTCGGGTTACTCTCTGCCTCGCTCATACCGCCACATGAGCGGCTTCGGTGTTCACACCATGCGCATGGTTACCGAAGAAGGAGACAGTAAGCTCATCAGATGGCATTGGAAGTCCAAGCAAGGCACTGCAAGTCTTTTGTGGGAAGAAGCTCAAGCCATCAACGGAAAGAATCCCGACTACCACCGCAAGGATCTTTGGGATGCTATTGAGAATGGCGCCTACCCTGAGTATGAGCTTGGTGTTCAGATCATGGACGAGGATCAACAATTGGCTCTCGGCTTCGATGTCCTGGACGCCACCAAATGGATTCCTGAGGAACTTGTGCCAGTTACCATTCTCGGAAAGATGACCTTGAATGCTAATCCAACAAACTACTTTGCTGAGACTGAATCTATCGGTTTCCAGCCAGGACACGTCGTGAGAGGCATAGACTTCAGTGAAGATCCTCTGCTTCAAGGTCGTCTGTTCTCCTACCTGGACACTCAGGTCAACAGACAGGGAATCAACTTCGAACAGCTTCCCATCAACCGCCCTCGCATTCCTATCCACAACAATAACCGCGACGGTCGTGGACAACAATACATTCCCACGAACAACTATGCCTACTCTCCCAACTCACTTAACAATGGCTTCCCCAAGCAAGCAAATCAGACCGTTGGCAAGGGCTTCTTCACATCACCCGACCGCCGCTTGACAGGTGCATTCACCCGTGAACTGTCGCCCACCTTCAACGACCACTGGTCGCAGGCACGTACTGTGTGGAACAGTATTACTGCAGCAGAACAGCAGATTGTGGTCAACAGTCTGCGCTTCGAAGTCAGCCAAGTACAATCTCAAGTCGTCAAGCAAAACTTCGTCATCCAACTCAACAGAATCTCGCACGATCTGGCTTCTCGCGTCGCTGCTGCTTTGGTAGATGTCATTGTCCCCGAACCTGACAACACGTTCTACAACTCCAACAGCTCTGCTCACATCTCGATCTTCAATACTACTCTGCCTACCATCAAGGGTCTCAACATGGGCATTTTGGCCTCGACAACTTCCAACGCTTCGATGGCTCAGGCAGCTCAGTTGAGCAAGTCCTTTGCAGCTCAAGGCCTCTTCGTCAGCATTGTTGCAGAGTCTCTTCAGCCCGGGGTCAATGTGACTTACTCTGCTGCCGATGCCCATGCCTTTGACGCTGTCGTTGTCACAGCAGGCGCAGAAGCAATCTTCACGGGCGAAAAGGCTTCACCACTTTACCCTCTCGGCCGCCCCATGGAACTCCTCAAGAATGCTTACGGCTGGGGCAAACCCATCGGTGCTGTGGGTATGGGTAGAGTAGCTCTGGATGTTGCTGGTATTGAGCAGCGTCCTGGTGTCTACTTTGTCAACAGCACTTCTGAGGCTGTAGACGACTTCAAGTGCGGTCTTGCTACTTTTAGATTTTTGGATAGGTTCCCTCAGGATGAGTAGGAAGGATAGTTGGTCGTAGCACGTCTTTCAATTTGACTTTGCTTTTCTCGTGTTCTCCATTTGTCCCATTCTGTGTTTGTTGGTCGGAGTGCTGCTCACATGGCAATGACGATTTGATGTATACGATGCTATCTTTGGGAATGACGGATTGTTCCTTCCGTCTTCTGTCGCGATTTGGTATCCTGCTATGCGCTGAACAGTTTGTCCCATTTGACCGCTCCTTCTTTTCTCATCCCTGGCTGCTCTTTCCCAGTTAAGCATCTGCGATGGTTTGATCGGCTTGCTCTTTCTCATGTCAATCTTTGACCTTAATGCGGTATTCGTACGCCATCTTTTCAAATTCGCACACCTTCTATAGATCTCTAAAGACTCTTGATCACTAATCAAACCATGACCTTGTCACCTTTTGTCTTTGCGATCGATCACTAATGCCTCATCCCAAGTCGAAGGAGCCAGGATCCGGTACTCATACTTTCCTACTTCTCGTACCCGCGGATCCTTGCGGCAAAAGGTAGTTTCCAAAGCGAATGATTTGTACGAAAGAGTTGCTTTTTGGCTCGATTCGCTTCTTTTTGGGTTTGTGAGAGCAAATTGCCAGGACCATAATATCTCCGGATGCGTGCTCGTACTCCAGAATTGCTCGTACAATAAAGAGATCAGAAGGAGGATTTGCAAATAGAAGCGTTAAGAAAGCTACTCAATTCCCGCGATCTACAAAAACGTATGTACATGATAAAAGATCAACAGCAGCACATCACAAACCGATCTTTGGGATCAATGTACGGAATGGAAAGAAAGGTAAGATGCAAGACTGAAGAGATATAATGGTCTATTTTGATTGTGTTTGTTCCCGCCCTATAAAGCTTCGCCGTATAAATGCTATCTGAAGTAACCCGTTGTTGTGTTTGTGGGTAAACAATTGACCGAATGCGCTCTGATGGTGTATCGCGTTTTTGAGCAAACAGGAGGTGGGGAAGGGGGGATAAGACAAGAAAAGAAGACAAAGAACAGGAAACACATTTGGTTGTCGTGAAAACCCCCCGCCCAGATTCATATCAAAAAACGTAGTAGAAGAAACCCCCAACAATAAGCCCCAAGAGTGGAAGAAAATACAAAGAATCTAAAACATGTCCCACTTCTAAACTGTTGTTTAGGACTTTCGTACGTCTATCATTCGCCAATGTGGCGTTCATTTTCGGGTTTCCATGAGCCTGCGAAATCGAGTTAGGAATGATCGGTCTAGTCAGAAGGTTCGGAAAGTATTGAGCGTACCTTCAAAGTTGTGCTTCACGAAGGCCATCGGGTCGTCATCGTCACCAGCGCCCATCTGGCCAACACCAGGGCTGAAACTCGTGATGGGCAAGACAACGACATCACCGACCTTCTTAGCCTGTGTAATGCCAGTGAAGTGCTCCCATGTAATATTGCCTTTACTCGTTGACATGTCGAAGTAATCGGGGTCGTTGAAGAAGGCGAAAACGGCGTCGGTCCAGATGGCAGGACCGGTAAACTCAACAATCGACTCGATGCTTGATTTGGTGAGCTTGCCGGACTCCTTGCGACGCAGAGTTTCTTGGGTGATGGTAGCGACCAAGTCGCGTAGGATAGGATGACCGGGCTTGGATTGGATGGTCCACTGGCAGAATTGGATGCGACGCGAGTACCAATCGTGCCAATCCGGGCGATCAGGGTCGGCTTCGATACCGATGACCATGCCGTAGCTGGAGCGTGGGACGTCAGCGGGAACCCATTCGGTGGCACTCTTCAATGCGCGCGTGTCAATGTCTGAGTAGATGCCTCCTCTTGCCAGCAGAATCAAGTAGCGGAAGAAATCGGCCTTGAGCACGGGAACAGGCATAGCGTCGTAGGCGGCAACAACATCGGGAACGGCGGCGTAAAGGTGACGGATGAGATTGGCAGCGACGTTGTCGGTGATGACCTCGTGCACAAAGGTTGGGTGCAACTCGGTCCAGGCAGCCTCACCAGGGCGGAAGTCTTCTTCAAAGTCGCCAGACGAGGGGCTGGTCTTCCATGTCTGCCAGATGTATGCAGGGAACTTGCTCTCGGGGTCGTAAGGGAATTGGTAGGCCAGCTGCTGGCGTAGCGGCATGGCATGCAGGTCTTGCAGGGATATTTGCGGACGGGCCTTCTTGTAGTTGGCCTTGGGCTTGAGTTCCTCGACGGCGTCCGGCGTCGTTGAGGCTTGTGGTGTAGCCAGTCGCGAAGTAGTGACATCGGCAGGTGGCTGTATTTGGATCTTGCGATTATCTGAGTATGAGCCTGTAGGCTTGGGCGAATTTACGTTGAAAGCGGCTGCTGTCGGTTGCGAATGCGAGTTCTTGAGCAGGATGAAGAAGCCCAGTACCACGACGGCCGTCAACAAGGCCCGTTTGAAGGTAAACATGTTGGAGGATCGAGAGACAGCGAGGGGAGAGGGTGCGGGAGAAAGAGACAAGAACAACGTGGATTAGCAGCAAGCGACGGGCATACCACGTATATGCAGGTCTCTATAAGCTGGTATCAAGTCCGACAAAGCGACTGGCAGAAACAGAGAGCGGTTGGAAAATGCGGGAACTGGGCGACCTTATGGGCCGGAGCAGCTACTTGTATATCTTTTTGAGTGGGGATGTGTCGATCGGGGGACGAACCAGGGCACCGTTGTGGATACTGCGCACAGGGACACGACGACAACCCTGTTCTTTCTGATGCGCCCGCCGCCAGCAACGACCTGCAGCTTGCAGAAAGCAGCGAGAGCCTGTCCTCTCTGCACAACCAACCAAGGGATAAATTGACAGTTGATCCGTTTGATTGTCCAGAAGCTGACTATCACGTCAAAAACTCTAACGACAGGCGTCGACAGCCCACGACTTGAAACGCCGAGATGCAAAGGGGTCGTTGAGTCGCCATAAGACATCAAACAGAGGAACGCGTCATTGGCCCTGCAAGCTTGCAAGCCGACGCAGTCACCAACACATGTCTCGCTTGCCTATATCAATGTCTTTGGCTCTGTAGATTTGATCAATTCATCACCACACGAATCTCAGCTTATCACATGCATGCAACATCCTCGCTCCATCATGCAATGCGTAAGCAGTGTTCAAGGAACTCCTTTGTCGTATCCTTATCTCTGCAGCCGCATCACTGCACTCTGCTGAGATCCTCAAAGGCGCCGCCCCGGCACCGTGCAAGCGACAAGCCACTGCCGCACTTGACCACCTAGACACACCCAAACGGGCCAGATCTCCGGCTCCCAATCATCCAAGACTCCTTCTCAACTTGACCGTTGAAGGCTTCACATTTTCGTGTCCAACGACTTCGATATCTTTAGATTTCCTGTCTCACCAAAATAAATACCCATCTTTGCAACGATCAAAGGAGCCGACGCTGCTCTCCATGTATTTCTGTGCATCTGTAGACTTTCCAGCCTGATCTTGTAATATATGCGATTGACGTAGAGAAACGTCTCAGCCAACATCGTGTTCGTGTTAATAGGATCAGCGTGGAAAGCTTACGAAGCCCGCGCATCCATAAACTGCACACGCTTAAAGTTTGGGGTATACGAGCAAGCCCTCGGTGTATCTACGTGAACAAGACGGGCCTTGCCTCAGAGAACGAACGAACAAGCAAGAGAGACTGTTACAAAACGCCGGCGCGCTGTAGAATTGCACCCACAACGTCCCCTCAGCTCTTCTACTGCTCATCGCTCGAGAATACCATAGACGGAAAAGTCGAAACAAAAACATTTTCTTATCAAAATTTGTTGTTCCCCCCGATCTCCAAGCCCACAAAAACGCATGCAAAGCAGTCCGTTCCCCCCTGTCTGTTCACAATCGAAGGTTCGGACCCCGAAGGAGAGAATGATGCTTTCCATGCTAGCTGCGTTCCTGCCCCTCAACCGCATGTTCGCTCTCCCTTTCCCCAACTCAACCACATCCCTCTCGATGTTTAGCCTTTTGATGCTGTGCCTGCTAAGTGCGTACATATTTCCCGCGTTGCTACAAATGAGCCAATCGCGACTTTCTATCCCATCTAGTATTCTCCGCTCCCGTCTTCCGATCTCTGTAGATGAATAGTCTCCACTGCACTAAAACAATGTCGTCGATGGTTGCAAGGGTCATGCTAGGAACGTGCTTTAGAGAATTGAAACTTTAGCGACCCTGTCCATGTTCTCACATTGTAACACACAATCTATATGATTCTGCACGGCTGTCCGTCCCATGTCACAGTATTATAGACAGTGCTCAAACGTGTAACGGCGGTAACCTGCCAGAGTGTTGTTGTAACATTGAACTGCAGAGAATTGTAGATCATTCATCAACAACCACAATCACACGACATGGAGCCAAGCCACACATTGCCAAGTTGATAACACTTATATGAAGGTAAAAATGCACTTTTTTGCTCTGTCAAATACGATGAAATAGAAGATAAGGGTGGACAGAAGAAGCAGAATACAACGACAGCGACGACGATATCCGACAACATCATCTTGGTCATTGTCTGGGTGACTGTGGACGTCCCCAGAAGTCCAGACTGGCAATGACGTCCTCGCCCATCTCGTCTTCGTATGCATAGAGGATCTGGTTTCGGTCAGCAAGCGCGCCTTGAATGAATGGCACATAGTGTTGGGTCCTACCTCTCTCGAGCTCGAGTGCAGGAAGCGTATGTTCTTGGCAGTCAAGATACAGACCAGCCCTCCAGTCTCTGTTAGCCGCACCTCGATGAACTCTTGCTCGAACGCCAGAATGTACTTGTCGCCCCACGTTGCAAACGCTGTCGGTACACCCTCCCAGATAATCCTCCAATCGTTCCGCGCCCTCCAGCCATTCTTGTTGACGAAGAATGAGAAGTCCGTGTAGCAGAGCAGGAACTCTGATGGCGTACGCTCGATATAGATGGGCTTGACGTTTTCACGACGAACGACAAAGTCGAGTGATGTGTCAGCTTGGTCAAGCAGTGACTGTGTTTCGAGTGTCTCGAGCGATACAATTTCGAAGCCTTTAGCACCACCAACACAGAGCTTCGACCGCAGGAAGTGGATGCTGTTCGACTCCATAGGTATGTAGAACTCTTTGAATGGTCGGAGCACTTCTTGACCACCGGCAAGCATTTTAGCCAGGCCCGATTTCTTCTTGCCCTTCGACATGGCATCCATAGGTTCGTACACTCTGACAGTACTCGATAGAGATGTTGACTTGACACAGCAGACAAGCAATTGACCATTGCACATGCCGGCGTTGAAGTAATTGGCATGACAAATCTTGCGCCCCCGCTTAGAGGGAGATGGCTGACTGTCTTCAGGGTCTAGAGCATCCAAGGGGTATGAGTACATCACCTTATCAGCAAGAACCAACAAGATCTGGTGCTGTTCCAAAACATCAATTTGCGATACTAGCTTGCAATCAAGCATGCGTTTTGGTTTGTGAGAAGCGTCCTTAGGCTTGCGATCTGCCACGAAAACACCAATATCGGTTCCGAGCACCAGTTTCCGGCCACCGTCGATAGGAACACAGCAGTTGACACGGTTACTGGATGCAAAGTAGCCTTGGTTGATATTCGCTTTGGTGAATATGTTGCTGCGCTCACGAAGCTTCTGTTGCTGAGCGTGAATGTTTTCCATCCACTTTTCCTTTTGGATTTGAGTCGAGCAATAAAGAGTAAGCTCGTAGCCACCTTTTCCAAGTCTCTTGAAAGTTAGAGGGTATCCATCTTCTTTCTTGGTCGTAGCGCTTGTGATGGTACGAGCTCCAGGAATCATGCTAGACGAAGGTCTTTTCGTTATCCCTAACTTTGGCAAGACTTCTTCCATCTGTGTGATGACAAGCAACTCTAACGGGATTGGCTTTCGGTACACTTTTTGTTCTTCACGTTTGTTGACCATCTTCTGTCGAACCAGTAGCACTGCGTGGTCGAACAGATATGCTTGAATGTCGACTGTTTCTGCGCTCGCCGTCTTCTTGAGACCGCCTTTGAAGACCATCTGGCGTCCCTCCTCGGTCAATTTCAAATCTTGATAAGGCACGTTAGTCCATTTCAAGTTTTGATTGAGTTGCACAAGTTGTTGGATGTTTTCTGCCTTTCCAGATTCCTCGTTGACCCTGGTAAGAATAGTCTTGATCATGGTAATAGCTCGTGGGAGATCCTCTTTATCCGGGTTGTCGTCCTTCGCTTTTTTGAGCGCTCCTTCTAGAAGCAAGGGGTATCTGGCAAGACGAGTGGTAGGCTTGGTTAGATAGCCGTTCAATTCGAGTTTCCGCGATTCTTTCAAACGTTCTGTCTCCTCGACAAATTTGGCAAAGGCCGGATTGCTCGACTTCTCCTTCTCGAACTCAAACTTGCCGAACAACTGGTTAGCACCATATTTAATGAAAGGAGTAAACTGAGGAACATATTCTAAGAAGATGTCGCCGACATTGCGCACAACCGGGCTCTGCTGCTGCCGTCGAGTCAAAGCACTAGCGAGCCTGACATTGACAGCATGAACTTCTTGGCAGTTAGAGAAAACAGTTCGAATAAACTTCTCACGTCTGTGTTCCGGGATTGGTGAAATGTTAGGGTTTCTCAGGGGCTTGATCCAGAAGTCACGCAGATACTCCAGGTCCTTGACAAAGTCTCGTTCAGTATACATGATTTCAGCAAGGACTTCCTGGCGAGCCTTTTCCTTGTCATCTACACTGTCGGCGATATCCTTGGAAACGGTATTGATCCACAATCTCTGTTCCGCTTCTGGCTCATCTCGCAGACTGGCTTGCGAGCCCTCCCTTTTAAGACCAGGCTGAATCTTCATATTGAGACGCTGCTGTTGTTCGAGTCTCCTTGGGCATGCAATGGAATAACAAAGGTGATCGCGTGTACAAGTAGGCGAATAACACTCTGTCAACAGAGTGAAAACTCCATTGACCTCGGCTGGCTCTTCGATCACGGCTTCCTTGAACTGATAAATCTCGTTGGGAGAGTCACGCAACCTGTGTGCATAAGCAACCTCGTGGAAGAATTTTTGCGCATCCAGGGACCTGCCCAGGAGCAATGCGAGGTTTCTGTCGGATGTTCGGATGATATAAGCAATCAGCTCGACTGCATCGTGGCCAGTAAATGCGTTCTTGTAAACCAAGCCGTCCTTCTCCTTTTCCGCCATTGGGATTCTATCGTAGAAGGCGGCGGCAACCTTGGAGAGAAGTGCGCCGTAAACAAGAGATGGGCGTCTTTGGGCTATCATCTGTCCGTTGCTTTGTTGGATTTGGCTGTTGGAACGAGTGGAAGATGCGGTAATTGAAGGTCGAGGTGACTGCGCGGCGCCGACTGTGGTCTCTGAGTATTCGGAAGGAGGAGCAATAGTAGATGCCATGGACATGGAGCGGGATTGAATACTGCCTTGACTAGGAGTTCTACCCTTAGCGGCAATAAAAGGATCCGGCTGATTCACCTCCGAGTCACCACGTTTGCGCTGAGGGATAACACGACCGCTCATAATCAGACTGTGATCTTGATCGCGAGAATATGAAGACATGGACATGGTTCGCTCGTCAGCAGGACGATCGGGCACGACTCTGCCCTGGGCAGTTGTCCTTGCCAGGTGGTTACTCATGTATGGCTGCTGGCGGAAAGCGTGTGCAGGGGCTATGTTATAGCTAGACTGACTATGCTGCATGGGGAAATTGGGCCTAGAGGTTGCTGCCATGGACTGTGAGCGGTAGCTATCCGAGTTGAGAGCAGGACCTGGGCCGGAAGCCATGGCAGGTCCACCAGTGTAGGTGCGAGCATAGGGCTGCGAGGGCGGCGGACCACGCGGATCAAGGCGCTGAGGAGCGGCATAAGGGCGGCGGTCGGGACGAAGAGGCTGGGGTAGATATTGGGGTTGAGGCTGGCGGTGGGGTTGTGGAGAGGAAGGGTAATTCTGCTGTTGATGATAGTCGCCGTTCATAGTAGGAGGAGAGGGAGTGCCGTAAGACTGTTGGTGATGAGGCATAGGGCGAGGATTGCCTTGCGACGGAGGGTATGCTCGCATGGGAGGAGCGCGTTGCATATAGTCGGACATCTGCGACGACATGGTGGCGGCGCGTTCGGTAGGTGGCCTCATAGGTTGGGAAAGCATGGTTTGCGAGCGACCCTGTTGTTGCTGGGCGGCAGCAGGAGGACCAAAGATGTTGTTGTAGGCAGCCTCGCGCTGCTGCGACGAGGAGCGGCCCTGTTGTTGCGAGTACTGAGCCATTGCGAGCGGCAGGGCTTAGCAACTAATACATCCGGGGGGGAGCAGAGGGCTGCCGACTGCACGAGCGAGTGACGATGGAGGTCGTGGATCCGGTGCCAGTGCCAGTGCCAGAGCTCATGAAACAAGGCGGCCCACGAAGGAAGGGCCTACTCGACCCTCTGCTCAACTCTAAGTCCTTGTCCACGTGTGCCGGCTGTCAAGGCCGCGGGAGACGTCGAATATGAGAATGACAAGACGGTTGACAGAGTGCGCAATTGAGACTATGAAAGTGACAGTCGTCCGAGGCTTCGTACCCGACAGACTGCAAGTTGCTGAAGAACGAGACTGTTGCGATTGCGGTGGCTTGTCTGCCATCGACTTGTGTGACATGCGTCTACAGCGAAACAGCAGTTGAGAATGGTCCGAGCGCCCGCTACCATTGCATCTACCATGTTACTTTTCCTCACCCACGCAGTAGCTATAGTGCTGATACACCATATAGTGGAGCCAGTATGCGTGTTGGTACCCATATGAGTCCCTGATCCCGAGATATCTATGTCCCAAAACTGTGAAGGTGTATTGGTTAGAGTGGTTTGTGTCTGGCAGGTACTAGTCACGTGCAACGTTTCATCAGGAAGGTACGAGTCGGTGCATCATAGCGGACCGACGTTGCTGCCGTGAGCCTGCCAGTCCACGTCCAGTCCAAGGTCGCTCCAACACTTCGTCGACGAACCTCCCTCGCGCTGCTCGCCATATCGTGACTAGCCGCTCCTAGTCCTCTCCTTCTCCATCTTTCTCAACAAGGGCGTCGTCTCGCATTTCTCACACCATGTCCGACTCAGAACTCGCCCCTGCCTTTGCGCCATTCTTTGGCATGGTGTGTATACCTAATCGCCTCGAATGACATGTTAGCTGACCCTCTCCCAGGCTGGCATTGCTTTTGCTGTAAGCTGCTCCTCTTCATTCGCTGACTCGCAAGCCCTCAACTAATGTCTCTGCTTGATTGACAGATGATCTTCGGCTGTACGTTATCTCCCACCCTCACCAAGTCTGCTTGATATACTGATCCTCAATCCAAGGTGTTGGAGCCGCATTTGGCACAGCAAAGTCCGGTATTGGTATCGCTGGTGTCGGTACTTTCAGATCCGACCTGATCATGAAATCGCTCATTCCCGTCGTCATGTCGGGTATTATCGCCGTCTACGCCCTCGTTGTCGCCGTCTTGATTGCTGGTGACATGCGTCCTCCTCCGGGCACCCACTACAGCTTGTTCACAGGCTTCATGCACCTTGCCTGCGGTCTTTCGGTCGGCATGACTGGTCTTGCTGCCGGATACGCTATTGGAATCGTCGGCGATATGGGTGTGAGATCGTACATGCAGCAATCACGAATCTTTGTTGGCATGGTTCTGATTCTCATTTTCGGCGAAGTCTTGGGTCTATACGGGTATTGTTCATTATGCTGCTCTGGCTCATGTCTTTGATGCTGACACTGTTCATAGCTTGATCGTTGCCCTTATCCTCAACACCAAGAGCAGAGGTTGAACGCTTCTCCCCCGTCCGCTACTCTCTCAAAATCACCTCAACGCGCTGTACCATATACCAAATCACATTTGTCCGAATCATATCATCAATAGAAGCTTTTCATAACGAAATATATGCGCATAGCATGCCACAATTCATCAGTAGTCCTGAATTCCCGTCTCACCCTGCTTCTCGCCTTCGCCTACAAATTCGGCTTCCTCTTGTCCAAAATAGCTTTCTTCTCTTTCTCGTCTGTCCCATTCCAGGTCGTCATAGCCCTCGTCTTCATCGACAAGCTTGTAATCAAAGTCTTGGTCTTCGCCTCGAAGGAAACGCATCTCAACGTATTCGCGCCACTTGGCTAACCCCTCTTCTTTTGTCTTTGGCCTATCTTCCTCGTCTTGCTCGACAATTGTGATGGCCCCCGATGCATCTCGTCGGTATACTAAAGGGCTGTTGGGATCTGGGTGGTTCAAGGCCTCGATTTTGGCCTCAGATCGCATCAAGTCGGCTTCGAGTATGCCTGAATAACCTTTATCGCGTCCATCTGCTTCGCGTTCTGCGGCACTCTGGAAGCGCCTGACCATGCGGTCGTATAATAGGGGATCTGTTGCACGGGTTGGTATTGATCAGTCGTACACACGCCACGCGGCAGCACCTGCAAGCTCTAGGCTGGGCGAGTCAAAGTATTCGCCATGTTGTTCCAGATATCTCCGCCTTCGAGTCTTGACACGAATACGTGCAGTACGTGCTACTTCACTTTCCTGGCCATCGGTCGCTTGGCTGGCGGAAGGAAAATGTGGCATCGTCGGAGAGCACTGTGGTGAGAAAGTCGAGATGTGCCGGCGTGGATGTTTCGTGGACGGATGTTGATCAAGCCGAGGCACTTGCGACCGACTGGATGCAACTGCTTGCGACGTGCTTGGTGCTTGGCTTGTGAAGCCACGCGGGCTTTCTCACCGTTCCGCTCGCACCTGCGCAAGGCAGCAGCTTTCAGAGGCGACCTCTTTCCCTTCCTCATATGGCTGCCTTCCACGTAGAATTCTGATAGCTGCAGTAATTGTCCCTCAAATCTCTGCCAAAGATTTCGACATGGGTTCCACGCCTTGATGATTTTCACAAATACCACGCGCCATGGCTTCTCTACGGTATAACCACAATCTCACGCTCCTTTATAACGACACAAAGAGAAAGGCCGCCATCAATGTAGACAAGCAAGAGCCGAGTCCTGCTTCTGCGAGGCTCCACCGCAAGCTTCACGCACAAACCGATCGTCTGGTAACATGGGGTCTGGAATGGGCTGAAGAAACAAACGACAGCATCGACGAGTCCATCGAACGAGCTGGTTTGACCGAAAATGTGACCAATATCCTTGGTAATATCAAGGACATTCTCGAACAAGCCGACAGACTGTCATCATATAATCCTGCATCTGACAAGGTCGTCTTCAACCAAGATAAATACGAGGATCTGCTACGCGATCTGACTTCTTCTGTTGATGTTCTCTATGACCTTTCGGCTTCTCGTAGAGCCATCGCAAGAGGTACATACCCCAATCTGAGCGACCACCCTCACGATATCGCCAAACATGGTCTTCATATGTCAAAAACTCCATTCGATGCCGTCAGCTTTGCTTCTTCGGAAAAGACTCTCGTCAACACGCAGTTCACACGACCCACTCTTTCGCCATATGCTGGACTCCCAGCAAGCATCAACCCGCAGGCTTTGATGCTACCAGTAGAAGGGCCTCCGCCTTACGAATACTTGGGAGTTCCATCGACAGCTAGAATGATGGGTCGCTTGAGTAAGACTCTGGCCCCCGAAAGCGTTCGCAATGTGTTCAGGGACGTCACAGACGAGTATGTGTGGGTCATGGTTGAATTTGAAAACTATGACCCTCTATATCGTGACACAGGCGTGTCCCCACCACTTACACGAGTGGAGAAGCTGGCTTCCTCTCTAAACATGTTATCCAATAGGGGAAACTTGAGGCTGCTCGGCTACGTGGAAGATCCTCAGCAGCCTCGCATAGGGCTGGTCTACGACTATCGTACTATTCAACCGCAACAATCTGCAGAAATTCGCCCCGTCACTCTTATGGGCCTAATCTTAACAGCAACCCAAGCCAAAAGGCCAGTCGATGTTTCCAATGCCACTCCTTTCCTGGAAGACAGATTTCGCATAGCATTGCGTCTTGTGGAGAAATTGAGAGATCTGCACGCCGAGAACTACTTTCATGGAAACATACATAGCGAGAGCGTCGTTTTCCTGCAACAAGGTCATTCTCTGCAACCACGACAAAGCGAGCTGCATCGGCCTGTCCTGTCAGCATTCGATATGTTCTCCAGGAACAGAATCGAGTATGGCGATTCTTCGCCAATTTCCAACGTCACAAAACATCCAGAAGATACAGGAGGTGAGATTGACGATGTTACGGCGATTCGTTATGATCTCTACCAAATAGGTCTCGTTCTGTTGGAGATTGGTCTTTGGAATCCCGTTAATGACTATTTCAAGGAGAAGTACACGCTCAAGGATTTCAAGCTCAGACTGGAGAAGCTTTACATACCAAAGCTTGCAAGCAAATGCGGCTCGCTGTATATGCGCGCAGTACAGACTTGTTTGCGTTGGGCAGACAATGACGACGTTGGACACGTTGGCGTAGAGGCCGTATACGACAGCATTCTTGTCAAACTTCAGCGTTGTGTCTTGCTAGACGAGACAGAACCTCTAGAGATCACTCAAATTCCAGCTGGTTTCTTGCAGGCTCCAAGCGGCCTAGAGGGTTTACAAACAGCGAAGAAGAAGCGCCGTAACATTTCGCCTGGACGTCACATTGCAGACCCTTCAGAGCTCAGAACCGCCGAGAAGGCTTCTGTCGCATCGTATCCATCTGCCATTTCGAGTTCTGTTGGACCACGTTCACCTATCCTTTCGATGCTGAGCGCCAAGTCAAACCGATCAAACTCAACAAGCGCGGACTCAAACAAGCACATTTCCCAATCCGCAACCCATGCCTCGACTACAACCCCAGCCCCTGACCTTGATCGATTTTCTCCTGCACCCGATGCACAGCCAAAGTCTGTGTCTGATCCGTTTCCCTTCTCGTTCCGCGACTATCGTCGTAAAGTTGTGCTGATTCAGTCACGATGGCGTGCGAGAAGAGCCGCTTTACGCCGCGGGGCTCACGAAGAAGCTCAGCCTTCGCAGTCACAGACCGACCATCCACCCGTTGCTCCAGCGAGCAAGTGTCGCTTGTTCCCTATCTCTCTTCCACAGACAATTGTGGACGAGTGGCACTCAGACATCGGCTTCCGTCTTTCTTGCATCATTGAGCGAGCACTGAAAGGCTCTACCGAGTCCTCAAGCATCGATCTTGTCAGTGTTGGCCATGACGCTTTCACGGCGAAGCCTACTATCGTTGTGACGTGCACAAATACAGCAAGAGTCAAAGCCGCACTCAAGCGCAAGTTCCACTATGATCGAACCATGTTCGATCTCAAGGTTCGACAAGGCTGTGTGTCTTTGTCGAGAGGCAAGTCAAGGAGTTATGGCAAAGGAGACATCGCCAAGCGAAGTCATGTAAGAGGCGACGGAAGCGAAAGGTACACATCATGATTCACGATCTTTTTTCTTCTCCCATTCTTTTTTCTTCTGGTTGCCTATCGTTGTCAGGGCGTTTTCTTCCACTGCTCGATACCCAAATATTTCCTTATGATACCCAATTGTTTCACAAAATAAAGCTCAAGACTCGTGTCATGTCATGCTTGAGGCTGACGAATTGTACGTAGTAACATAACACCAATGAACCCTTTCTGGCAGGAGCGTCCTCTCTGCGGTGCATCCATCGGTGCATACTTGCCTGATCACGGTCATCTTGAACCAGTATCGTTTGGCGGTATAGTCAAGGTAGATGACAGAGAATACGGCATGAGCGTGCACCATATGCTGGAACCTCCGACTGATGAAGAAGACTCGGATTCGGATATGGACGATCAGGCCAATCAAGGTACCCAACGATCAAGTGCAAGAGCCCTTAGGTCAACCCCGCCCCACCTTACGACAATAGCAAATCATGATCATGGCTACTTGAGTGATCTTTCTTCAGTTTCGAGTGGTGGTTCTGATGACGACGGCTACGAATCATCAGATTTTGAGAGCGACGTCTCTGAGGACGAAGACGCAGGCGACAGACCCGGTGTAGCAGTGTCATCATTTTACAATGTACAAGTTACCCAGCCAGCATTTGGCGACGCTGTGGCCGAAGACCTTCACGCCGATGACGCTACTACAGAAGAACTAGATGAGGACCACCTGTCCTCTTATAAACTAGGCAAAATCTATGCATCCTCGGGTCTTCGTCGCTTGAACGAAGGGGGAAAACGCTATGAGATTGACTGGGCTCTTCTTGAGCTTGATCCTCCTCGGCTTCAGCCATACAACTTAGTCCAAGGGGGACGGCGGCATTGCAAATCACCTGTATCCTTTATACCCGAGCTCAAAACTCCGGTCTGCAGACGCGATAGTCTGTATACAGCAGAAGAGGACTGGTATCCCACCGAAATCATGCCTGCGTCTAACTTCGCGAACCTGGAAGTTCACTGTCTAGGCAGGACATCAGGTCTCAAGACCGGCATCATTAGTGCAGCACAATCTTTTGTTAAGATCAAAGGACGCAGAAACTTTTCTCTGAGCTGGACAGTGGTAGGGGATTTCGGAATCGGCGGCGACTCGGGTGCATGGATAGTGTCCAACACCACTGGTCAAGTTGCGGGTCATGTCCTCGCTGAACGTACGGGCTTAACATACATGTGCGCTATGCATCTTCTGTTCGACGACATACGACAGACGCTCAAGGCTTGTAGCATAAGCCTTCCTGGCGCCAGTGCGACAATCACTGCAACGGACGAATTCGATACAAGCGCAAGACAAGGAGCCGTGCACACAACCCTTCCGACGAGGGAGAAGATAGCCTTCGCCAGGGATATAAGCTTTCCCTCAGAAGACGCCGACGAAAGGAAAAGGTTCTACGAATCTTCTGCATCAAGAGCGAGGAAAAGTAAAGCCGCCGACACTACAGCGATGAAGTTACGCAGTCAACAACGAATAGTCGGTGGACGCAGATTCTTTCCAATCGAGGATAATACACACCCAACCAAGAAGGAAACGCAGGTCTGACGAGTTTGTCTTGGAGCTTGCTCTGAAGTATTTGGAAACTAGGCGCAAAGACAGTACTTCTCTATTGTCAAGTTGTATGCAAGGGAAGGTCAAGCTGCAAGTTCGATATATTCACTACACACAAATCGTTTATCTTTGCAAAAGGCATGGCTGCACTTCTTCGAGATTTGAGGAATTCAGATTCAATTCAAGGAAGGCAATTGTAGTCCAACAAAGAAATGCAGAGCATGTGATCTGTAGTTCAGGGATCGTGCCCTTTCTGTTCTAACATTTATCATCAAAGCGAAGTCGCTCTCGTGATCTTCCATCTAGGTATTGACCACAGCAAGCTATGACGTCCCATTCATCTTATCATCATGACCGCCTGTAAGCAAAAGGACTCTTTTCACTGACTGGCTTGCAACACAGCATAGAGCGCTCCGAAGTATGAGCAAAGCAGAGCCTTGTTTCCTGATTTCGCGGCTTCTCCCATGCACAGTCTGAGTCGTCTAGCCTCGGGCTGGCCCAGCGCATCAATGCCAAAGTTTGATACCATCTCAGCCATCATACCACCAAACTCTTTCATCAAATCAACTTGTGGGGCTGGGTCGAGCTGTGGTGGGTGGTTCTCGGGTTGCTCAGTGCTGGGGGCAGAGGGTTCTGTGCCGGTCTGCAGAGTGCTGTCCTGCTCGGTCTTGATGGCGGGTTCATCATCCTCGTCGTCAAGGGTAAGGTCGATAATCATGGCTCGACTGCGTGACTTGGCGTAGTGACTTGTTGTCGTGGTGTTCTGCAGGGGGTAATCGGGTTCGTTTGGAGTATCGACCTGCATCAAAGGTTAGTCGGTCGTGATGGGTCAGGTCATTGTACATGTACATACCTTGCCCTGGCCTTCAGCTTCATCTGAGATAACACTTTCTTCATCGACAAGACCGATCTCAGAACTGGCAAATTCGACGGTCGTCTCCTTCGAGACGTCGCCATTGATGTGTTGGAAGCCAAATCTGCCGTGAGATCGATGTCTTAGGAGCGACAGCATGGTGTGGCCTTTGATCTTGAAGACCAATGCGCATAGCTGACAACCATTAGCTCAGGCAGAGACCCCAAGGCCTTTGTTCCTTACGAAGATAGTGGTTCTCCTGTCACGGGTATAGTCCCAGACGTCGACAGGAAAGTACTGCACCAGCATACGATCACAGTTTGGCATGCTCTTACAGGCAGAGCACTGAGCAGTGTACTTGTACTCTTCATCGTGAGGAACCTCACGGCCAATTCGACCCTCGAAGCTGGTCAAGTAGCGTGGGAACTGGTCTTTGTAGCCTTTGGCAAAGTTGTACTGAGCCTTCTCGATGACTGCCTGGAGAGCGATGAAGTGGCGATATGTCTTCTTAGGTTTGTCAAGATAGCCAATCCATACTGTCGGAGATTCGAAGTTGAAAGGACTGCTCTGGAAGTCTTCATGCGAGCCAGCGGGATGGCCGCTTGGGGCGAAGCAAACGCGATGTTGCATGTCGAAGGTAGAAATCAGGCTGTCCCAACAAGGTCAGTTTGCGTAGGGTCATGTAAGCAGGAGTTATTGAGCTGCATACTGCGATTGCTGCTCGAGGTAGAGTGCTCAGGTGGACATTGTCGCGATAAATCTGACGATGTGGAAAAAAGCGTCAACAGAGTTACGTGTCTGACCAGAAAATGGAAGGCGCAATCGGGTTTCTGGGCTGGAACTGTCGTCCTGCCGACCCATCGCAAACGACTCATCGCATTGGTATCCAGTCTATAAACCGGGAAGGTGCTGCTGCCTTTCAAGATATTCGTTCGTAACATACATCATGTATACACGTCTCAAGTTTTGTTACAATCTCAAATGTACTGCAGCTTACTCCTGGGCACCATTAGCTATGAAGATAAGAGAAGGGAGTGGTGTTCAAAAAGGGTATTGTGGTTTTGATGTTGTTTACTACGTGTTACAATATATCAAACGACCATCAACTTGCGGAACCTTGCATATCGCCAAGAACAAGCGCCGGCATGATGCATTAGACTCAAGGACCACAAACAGGTGTTCGACATGTAGAAGGAATGGGTATCTGTACGAGAAAACATTATGTGCTAGAAGTTGAGTACCGACCATCAATGCCTGAGTCATTGTCAAGAATCTTGACTGAATCAGAGTACCTGGACACTCTGTCTTGTGTAGGCGCTGCGGTGGGGGTAGGCGGAAGACAGTCGGCATGCAGCTTAGTACCAAAATCACAACTCTGAGCCTTACTGCAAATGTAATCGAAGCGTTGCCAGATATCGTCTTATCGGATGTATATCCTGGTCATCAGGCACGCTCGATCGACTGGTAATCAGATGCGGCACCTCGAGAAGGCGAACAGCCGTCTTCTCTGTCGGACGTGATAGTAGAGAAGTCACTGAAAGTGTGATTCGACCCATTGAAGACGGTCAGGGACAAGAGCTCCGTCGAAGGCTCTGATTAAGTTGCACCCAAAGTCTGGAGGGCCAATCTCAGTTCCTTGACAGCAGTGTCGACATCCTCAAAGTTCAGAGCTGACATAGCCCACTTGGCGTGCTTCTGAGCCAATGTGATGGAGTCGTCGTCGGTTCGGTAGGTACCTGGAGCCACGGGCTGTACAGGTGGGAGAGGCACCGGTGCTGGGGCTGGCGGCGGTACAGTAGCAGGAGAGCGCATAGGTATTGATGCAGCTGGCTGGGTAGGCTGTGTGTAAAATTGCGATGGCGAGGCTGGTGCATCTGCAGCAGGCGTTGGAATAGAGGGCACAAAAGGCGTGGCTGGGTTGGTGGCAGGCGCGACAGGCGGGGCTGGGTCTGAGGCGAAGGTGGGAGCAGAAGGGAAGTAGCCACCACCTATGGAATTCTGGCGTGGATTTGTAGACTCAACAGGTGAGACAGCATCTTGAACGGTTGGTGGAGGGATGGCGGCGGGCTCAGGTTGAGTGACTGATGCCGGACGAGAAGGATACTGGCTTTCTGGGGCACTCTCGACGGTGGGGGGGTGGTATGTGTCTTGAGCAGGAGCTATTGGGGGCTCTTCTTGGACAGGGTTCGAGGCGTTTGGGTCTTCACCGGCCTTGATGGCTTTGGCGATGCGAACAGCGTGGAACTTTGCGTATTTGGACTTTGCAGTGATGTCTGGATCGATGGGAGCCCAAATGGACATGGACAGCAGGTCGAAGAAGGTTACGGCGGCCTGGAAGGTGTCGATGGTCTGACGCGAGGCCTTGTTGGAGTGAATGGCATCGTCGGCGCGTTGGAACGTGTCAAGAGCGAACTGCTCGATGTATGCCTTTGCGGCGATGTCGTCGACAATGGCATCGTTTCCTGCTTGCTCGGTCTTGGTCTGCTCGAGCTTGTCCATCAGAGTGGTCGTGTATTGCATGCATTCATCGTCGGCCGAGTGCAGACCCTTGGAGAGGATCTGGTCGATGATGTAGTAGTTGCACCAGTACGAGACGATAGGCTTGTGTTTCTCTAGTTGAGCAGCGCGAACTGCAAAAGGCGTGATCTCTTTGATCTTGAGCTTTGCTGGGAGGGAAGCGGCCATCGTGTCGTGAGTTGTCTTGTGACAAGGCAGCTGCGTTAGTTAGAAGGCAGATGCAGGTAGCTGCAGAGGAGGCCAGGGTTGCCTTGGATGTCTTGGTCGGCGCGGGGAAGCCTCGGAGTCGGAGGTGCTCGAGCCACCTGTTCGCCAACCCAAGGTGTCACATAAATACCAAAGGACAGGTTGCCGCTGCGAACGAGGTCGTCGAGGTCGAATCTTTCTGTTTGTTCTTTTGTTGATCCTATCAACCAACATGGTGAACCTTCAATCTTTGACTGTGGCTGCAGCCGGTCTGCTGCTGCTTCCCTCGTCTCAAGCTGCTGGTCTCTATACCAAGAACTCGGGCGTTCTCAACCTCGATGCTAGAAGCTACCGTTCTCTGATCGCCAACTCAAATCACACTTCTGTAAGTTCTCTTTACTGACCACTCTATCTACCTTCTTGCTTACAAAATGATAGATCGTCGAGTAAGTTGTTTTCCTGCAAAACATGGTATTACTCAATCTCATCCATCTCGCAGGTTCTATGCTCCATGGTGTGGTCATTGTCAGAATCTCAAGCCCGCCTATGAAAAGGCTGCCAAATCTCTCGATGGCATTGCCAAAGTCGCTGCTGTCAATTGCGATGAAGAAGAAAACAAGGCTTTCTGTGGTAGCATGGACGTTAAGGGTTTCCCTACCCTGAAGATTGTCCGTCCTGGAAAGAAGGCCGGAAGACCCACTGTCGAAGACTATCAAGGTCCCAGAACCGCAAAGGGCATTGTCGAGTCTGTCAAGGACAAGATTCCCAGCCATGTCAAGAGAGTGACAGACAAGGATCTTGATGACTGGCTGACCGAGAACAACTCTTCTGCCAAGGCTATTCTGTTCAGTGAAAAGGGCGTCACCAGTGCTCTCCTCAAGGCTGTCGCCATTGACTTCTTGGGCTCTATCTCCGTCGCTCAGATCAGAAGCAAGGAAGCAACCGCTGTCTCGCTTTTCGGTGTCACTTCGTATCCCACCCTTGTACTGCTTCCTGGCGGCACTAAGGACCCCGTTGTTTACTCTGGTGAAATGAACAAGGCCGCTATTGTCGAGTTCCTGTCTCAGGCTGCTACACCCAACCCTGATCCCGCTCCTGCTTCCTCCAAGTCAAAGTCAAAGTCAAAGGACGCCAAACAGTCTTCAAAGGCCTCATCCCAGTTTTCGAAGGCGTCGTCTTCTCACCGCTCCGACGAGTCTGCTAGCGCAAAGGCTTCGCAGACTGCGGAGACTCTGGAAGACAACAGCAATCCCACTGAGAGCCCCAACCCTCAAGTCAATACCGATGACACTCAGAAGCCAATTCACGTCCCTGATGTCGCTCCTCAAATCACTACCCTCGACACTCCTGAGTCCCTGCAGCAGAGTTGTTTGACATCCAAGTCTGGTGTTTGCATCTTGCTCCTTGCTCCATCTGCCTTTATTCAGACCACAGACTCGCCCGTGTCCAAGGCCGTTAGTGCTCTGTCCGAGATCCACCACAAGCACACCAAACGTGGCGCCAAGTTATTCCCCTTTTACAATGTCCCTGCATCCGCATCTTCTGAACTGCGCTCGGCCTTGGGTTTGTCTGATGACACTCTCGAAATCGTCGCCGTCAATGCAAAGAAAGCTTGGGTCAAGCGCTACTCGGGCATCTCCGATGTCAGCCACAATGCCATTGACGCCTGGGTAGACTCGATCCGCATGGGCGAAGGCAAGAAGGAAAAGCTTGCCGAGAGTGTCATTGTTGAAGCTGCTCAGAAGCAAACCCCGCCTGCTGCAGAGAAGGCTGAGGAAAAGGTTGATGTTCAGATGGAGGAACTTACTGATGAGCAGTATGAGGCGCTGATGAATGCTCACAAGTTGAAGCCTTTGAAGCCTGAGGACGAGGCTGCGCATGATGAGCTCTAGTTTTCGTGATTGAGAATATTACTAGGTAGTCATCGTTGATCGCTAACAAACTTATGAAGTCTATGTTTTTCCAAGATTCAAGTATGCAGTGGAGTAAGAAGCTGATGCATGTTTCAAAACTAATCAATCACACACAGATTGAACACCTGAGGAGCAAACGGTAAGTAGAAAGGGTAAGCTAAATTTTACATCCTAAACACACCCCATTCAGACTTCTTATCCTCAACACTTCCCGAACAAGCAGCTTGCAAACCCATAGCCAACACCCTTCTCGTGTGCGACGGAGGAATGATCCCATCATCCCACAACCTCGCCGTCGCGAATGTAGACTCGCTTTCCCGTTCAATGCGATCGCGCAGGTTTGGATCTACCTTTTTGCCGACGGCTTCCATGACTGAAGATAGTTGCTCGGCGCCCATGACGCTGGTTTTTGCTGTTGGCCATGCCCAGAGGAAGCGTGGTGAATATGCTCGGCCACTATGAGAAGAGTATTAGTGGTGTGTTTCCAAGGTTGTGGGTTTGATTAGGTGTTTTGTTGACTTACCACATGCCATAATTTCCTGCTCCGGCAGAGCTTCCAAATACGACTGTAAATTTGGGAACATCTGCGCAGGCAACAGCAGTAACAAGCTTAGCACCATTCTTTGCAATGCCTCCCTTTTCAGCATCTTTGCCGACCATAAAGCCAGAGATGTTTTGCAAAAATACCAGAGGGATACGGCGTTTATTGCACAACTGAATGAAATGAGCACCCTTCAATGAAGACTCTGAAAATAGGATTCCGTTATTGGCGACGAAACCGACTTGATGGCCTTGAATGCGTCCGAAGCCTGTGACTAGCGTGCTGCCATATAAAGGTTTGAACTCTGCAAATTCGCTGCCGTCGACAATGCGAGCTATTACTTCGTGGACATCGACTTGGGTCTTGAGATTTGTGCCCATGATGCCATCTAGTTCTGCAGGATCATAGAGAGGTTCTTTCCAAGGTCCTGGTTTCGGTGCTGAGGCAGGATAATTGAGGTTAGCGACACAGCGACGGGCTAACACGAGGGCGTGTGCATCATCGACGGCGAGGTAATCTGTTACACCGCTGGTTTCGCTGTGTAGTCTACCACCACCTAGGTCTTCTGCGCTGACGACTTCTCCAGTAGCAGCCTTGACTAACGGTGGACCTGCGAGGAAGATGTGGCCTTGTTCTTGTACAATGATGCTTTCGTCACTCATAGATGGCACATAAGCACCTCCGGCAGTGCAAGGGCCCATAACGACCGAGAGTTGTGGAATGCCCATTGAAGACATGTTTGCCTGGTTGTAAAAGATGCGTCCAAAGTGGTCGCGGTCAGGGAAGACATCTGCTTGGTGAGGAAGATTGGCGCCGCCGCTGTCGACAAGGTAAATACAAGGTAGTCGATTCTGCTGAGCGATTTCTTGAGCTCGGAGATGCTTTTTGACAGTGATGGGATAGTAGGTGCCTCCCTTAACACTACTGCTGTTAGTACAGGAGAAGCAGAGGTTGCATCTGAAGACTTACGTGCTGTCATTGGCGACGATCATGCACATGGTGCCTTCGACCGTACCAATGCCTGTCACGATACCTCCGGCAGGTACTTCTTCTCCAGGATACACCTCATGTCCGGCCAAAGCTGACAATTCGAGGAACGACGTGCCTGGATCGACCAGAGCAGTGATGCGACTAGAGAGACTAAGCTGCTGGATATATTGATCACATCGATACTCAACTTACTCTCGCACCAACATCTTCCCTTTAGCAATATGTTTCTCGCGTGCCTTTTCGGACCCTCCTAGAGCAGCATTGCGGTGTAATGTTGTGAAGCTATCGAGCAACTCTTGCATTGATTTTTTGTTGTCGACATAGCTAGTCGAGTTGGTATCAATGGCGGTTTGCAGGACTGATATTTGAGCAGCCTGGTGTCTAGATGTGTACGTGGCTGCCGTTCTGGTGCCCGAGCATGCTTGAGCTGGACATGTTGACACGAGACAAGGTTGAAGACGAGCTTGACGATGGGATAGAGCTGATCTCAAGGTAGGAAAGCGCAGCCAACGGGCCGGCGCAGCTGCAGCAAGCATTGTGTATATAGCTACATCATCATCAGAAGGTCGTGGGCGTATTATCATATCCACACAGGTGATGACCCCATACCCCTCGGTTGCTCCCTTGCCCCGCATCAACAACCCCTGCCGAAACAGGGCGTCCAGGGCGCGGAATTTGATCCGCCAAACCTTGCCCCCTCGGTCCTCCGCAATAATACCCCCACACTACCAACCCTCTCTGCAACAAGACCATACGTATCGTTGTATACCATGTCTACTATCATGAAGCCTTCAAGACCCGTTCTCAGAGCACTCGCACAAGTCTCCAAGTTGCAACGCCGAACATTATCCACCACTCAGTCATGTCTTGCCAGAAAGCACCCGAATGGCTACGCCCCACCCGCACGAGAAGATCTAGAGGAACTGCGTGAGAGAACCAGGGAGTTTGCTCGTGTGTCAATATTGCTAAAACTTATAATTTTGCGTTGTCTGATATTGTCTTCCAGTTCGCGAGATTCCTGAAGATGTTGCTGTAAAGACGGACCAGGAGAATGAGTTTCCTAACGACATGTGGCGCAAGATGGGTGAAGCTGGGTACGTTTTGACTAAATGTATACTTCGATCTATGCTAAGTTTTTGCAGGTTACTAGGAATCACCGCTGATGAAGACTATGGCGGTCTTGCCATGGGCTATCAGGCTCATTGCACTGTCATGGAAGAGCTGTCCAGAGCATCAGGTAATCACTCTACCTCTCCATTCCGTCCGATTGCTCACACTACCCAGGCAGCATCGGACTGTCATACGCTGCTCACTCACAACTATGTGTGAATCAGTTGATGTTGAACGGCAACACAGACCAAAAGCAAAGATTTCTACCAGATTTGATTGCTGGTAAGAAGGTCGGTGCTTTGGCAATGTCTGAAGTTTCGGCCGGAAGTGATGTCGTGAGCATGAAGATGACGGCAAAGGAGGTCGATGGCGGTTACCTCTTGAATGGCACAAAATTCTGGATTACCAATGTGAGTTGATCTGATGGACTTCTTGAACGGGTCTGACGTTTGAGTAGGGTCCCGATGCAGATACGATGGTCGTGTACGCAAAGACAACACCTGATGCCGGCTCAAAAGGCATCACTGCCTTCATCGTAGACACAACAACCAAAGGTTTCTCATGCGCTCGCAAACTCGACAAACTCGGAATGAGAGGATCCAACACCGGTGAGATCGTCTTCGAGGACGTTTTTGTTCCTACCGAGAATGTGCTTGGTGAAGTCAACAAAGGTGTCCGAGTGCTCATGGAAGGTCTCGACTTGGAGCGTTTGGTCTTGAGTGCAGGCCCACTCGGACTGATGAAAGCAGCCTTGGATGTGACTCTACCGTACGTCCATGAACGCAAGCAGTTCGGCCAGCCAATCGCAACAAATCAATTTATCCATGGAAAGCTCGCAGACATGTATACGAAGTACAAGGCATCGTCAGCTTTCACATACTCGGTAGCTGCTGCGATCGATAACGATCCAGACAACGCCCAGATCAAGACTCAGGACTGTGCGGGTGCTATCCTCTTTGCCGCAGAGAGAGCTACCGAATGTGGAATGGACGCCATCCAATGCATGGGCGGCATGGGTTATATGAGCGAGATTGCTGCAGGCAGAATCATGCGAGATGCTAAGCTGTATGAGATTGGCGCGGGAACCAGCGAGATCAGAAGGATGGTTATCGGAAGAGCATTTAACAAGGAATACCTCAGGTAAGTAGTTCGCAGCTCAGCTATAGCCACTTTACCTATATGATAGATTCTAAACTCCTCACGCTGTTTGATAATTGGTCATCGCAACCGAGCGTTGCATGATGGAACGTTGAGTCTTGTACTCTAAGCGAGGCTCAACTGTGTCATGGTAATTCGATGCTGCTTGGCCTGCGATGGAGGCGTGCCCGCCGTGGCGTCGTACAGGTAAACAACCTTGTATCAAATCGATCTGTTTCTCTTGCGGGCATCCAACCATTTGTCGTTGTTGATTTGGTTGATTACCATTGCACGGCAACCGCCGTCTAGATAAAAACCGGTGGAGTGCGGCTGAAGGTGTCATGGAGCCTAAACGTATGCGTGGGTTGCTAACGGAGTTTGCCATGGAACATGAGGTGGAGGCGACGTGGTTGGAAAGTGGGCGATACGTACAGATTTGCACTGCAAAAGTCGATGATCGTGAGGAATGAGCGTTTCTCCGGCAGATTGCTCGTAAAGGGCCTCATCTGACGGCATTTACCATTTGCTGCTGCTCTCTGCCAGATCGATGACTTCTTTCTGTATTTTCAAGGAGTTGACACTGATGTGAGACCTTCTGCGGCCAGTGGCACATCGTGGATTCCTGTCATTGACATTCCTAGAACCATCGGTACTTCGATGAATCGTCAATTCGTGTATAGATGAATCTGGAATGTCGATGTCAAGATAAACCTTAAATCTATGATGTTAATCGACGCCAATTTGATTGGTCAGACATACGTCGACGGTTTATACCGACCCCGGCTACGTCATGGAGTCTGCCAAAGTTGCAGTACCAGCTGCTAGCTCCAGCAGTTGAGGGCGGCGATTGTAGAATGCATATATCAATGGCTGCGTCCCTGCCTTGATCTGATTTCCTTATTCTACACTCACATACACAATCATACAAAATGGCACCTTCAGCAACAACACACGCCCCTGACGGCAGACAGAACGGTGACCTTCACCGCGACTACAACGACGACCGCAATGCCACCTCTGAGGACACCCTGTACACTACCAGCAATGGTGTCCCCATGCCTCACCCCTACGAGGTTCAGCGTGTCGGAGAGAACGGTCCTCTTCTCCTCCAGGACTTCCACCTGGTAGACCTTCTTTCTCACTTCGACCGCGAGCGTATTCCCGAGCGTGTCGTTCACGCCAAGGGTGGTGGTGCCCACGGTTACTACCAAACCACCGACCCTCTTGACGACCTGTGTATGGCCGACATTTTCCAGGCCGGCAAGAAGTGCCCCATCACTGTTAGATTCTCCACTGTTGGTGGCGAGTCTGGTTCCCACGACTGTGCCAGAGATCCTCGTGGTTTCTCAGTCAAGTTCCGTACTGACGAGGGTAACTGGGATGTTGTCGCCAACAACACTCCCGTTTTCTTCTTGAGAGATCCCGCCAAGTTCCCTCTCTTCATCCACACCCAGAAGCGCGATCCCGCCACCCACTTGACCCACGCCGATGACTCGACCATGTTCTGGGATTACCTTTCTCAGAACCCCGAGTCCGTCCACCAGGTCATGATTCTCATGGGTGACCGCGGTATTCCTGAGAACTGGCGTAAGATGCACGGATACTACGGACACACCACCAAGCTCGTCAACAAGAAGGGCGAGTGGGTTTATGCTCAGGTCCACTTCAAGTCCAAGCAGGGCACCGGTTTCATCACCCAGGAGGACTCCAACAACTACTCTCCCGATGCCCACCAGAAGGATCTTTACAACGCCATTGAGAACGGTGACTTCCCTGGCTGGGATGTCAAGGTTCAGACCATGACCCCTAAGGAGGCCGAGGACCTCTGGGAGAACCAGAAGATCAACGTTTTCGATCTGACCCACGTCTGGCCCCAGAGTCAATTCCCTCTCCGCAAGGTTGGAGAGTTCTTCTTGAACGAGAACGTCAAGAACTACTTTGCCGAGATTGAGCAGGTTGCCTTCAACCCTGCTCACAACCCTCCCGGTATTGAGCCGTCAGCCGACCCTGTCCTTCAGTCGCGTCTGTTCTCATACCCCGACACCCACCGTCACCGCATCGGTGTCAACTACCAGCAATTGCCTGTTAACGCTCCCCGTGTACCATATCGTATTGGTAATTTCCAGAGGGATGGAAGCATGGCCTTCTACAACCAAGGCTCTCGCCCTCCTTACCTCTCTTCCATTCAGCCTACTCAGTTCCGTGAGCGTACCCTTGACCTCGACAGAACTCATGGCCACTTCTCAGGCAAGGCCATCACCTTCCTGTCTGAGATTCGCGAGGAGGACTTCAACGCCCCTCGTGCCTTGTGGGAGAAGGTCTTTGACGATGGTGCCAAGGAGCGTTTCGTCAAGAATGTCTCTGGTCACATGAGCACCTGCCGCAAGGAGGAGATCATCAAGCGCCAGATTACCATCTTCCGCCACGTCTCGGAGGACCTTGCCAGCCGTTTGGAGAAGGCTACTGGTGTCAAGGGCTACGACAGTATTGAGAATCTTACCTTTAACGGCACCCACAATGGCTTCGCTAAGGACAAGAGCAAGAAGTACGCCAATGGACAGGTCCCTGTAAAGGTTGATTCGAGCATAGCTGAGAACAACGGTGCTCCCAGAGCTGGAACTCACGAGGAGTATTATAAGAAGTAATAGTTACGAGCAGCATTTGTACATAGCTTAATCATGAATGTATGAACTTTTTCCTTTCAAAAATATTTGTTCCGCTTTGTGTTTGAGACAAATTTGTGAGTAGAGATATGGTGGATTCGGACGCCGACGTAACTTTTGTTGACGGTACGACCCTGTCGAACGACTGATCAGTCAAACTTTTCTATTTGCAAGGAGCTTGCAACTACTTAACATGATAACTTGCTCATTAGTAGTCTATTGAAGGCCTGATCATATACACAGCATCTAGGCCCCTAGAAAATGCTTGTGTGCAGACTTGTTTTAATTTCACGTTATTCCAACACTAAATCCCCAAACAGCACATTGAGAAAGAGCTCAATCATCAATCCAAATTTGTTTCCCCAAGGGACCGAAGCTCTCAAATTTGACAGATCTCAAGCTGTAGCTCGATGTATGAAGTGAGTAGTCTATCTCTTGTCTATTCATGCATGTCGACATTTTGTTGCATGATTTCTGTTCCTTCAACGTGTCGAACACGCAATCTACCAGGAGTGAGAGCACTCTCAAACACCGACTCCACCATATTTGAGAATCTGAGGCCCAACATGCTTGCTCAACATGCCCAACATTCACTGCTATCTTTTTCTGAAGGAGGCTCATAAATTCACATGCACCGGAATGACGCAAAAGGGTCCTTTGTTTCTCGGCGGCACTCCGTTGCAGAGAAGGTTGGGTTGACAAGTTTGGCCAAGATCGACGGACGTCATCTTCCAGATTTTTGAACCATCGTCTTTTGTCCAACACCTTTACAACGTCGACCATGGAAGGACACACGTGTTGCTTGGATTGTAATGTTGCAGCATCCAGAAGGTAAGTCGTCGTTGGACGAAGCAAGGTAAGTCGCATTATTTATCATCTCCTTTTGTCAGCACTATCTGCCCAAAGGTCCGATGATTGTATGTATTAGGACCGATACTCGCAATTCCACCGAGTATTGGCCTTGTGCAGCAAGTGATATGATTCAACCTCCTGCGATGATGGTGAAATTTTTCCTGCTCAACGTTGCGGGGAGAGTCTCTATGTCATACTTTTGTTTCTCTGATAAGACCTTTGAGAGTGAGGTGGTGGAAAGTTGCCATCTTACATACCTATCTGTCGCAGCAAGCCATTTCTTTACCGCTTACACCCGTAACACCACATACGCACCATGGGACTTGACAGAGAAGCAGAATTTCTGAACGTGCTCGTGCTGGCAAGCTTGTTCTACAACACTCTCAAGTCATTCGACAACATCCACAGCTCGCTCAATGACTTCAAGGATGAGAAGGTTTACCTTGCTCAGCTCGGCATCGAGCAAGCAAGACTTCTGATCTGGGGCGAGCAGATGGGCATCTTCTCTTTGCCGCCCTCTCTCACCTTCCTCGAGACCGAGGAGGGTAGACAGAACATGACACCTCGCGACCCTCGTCTTGACGACGAAGAAGTCAGAGTCAATCTCGAAGGCTTGATGAACAGCATCATTCACACTCTGAGCAATCCCAACGACAACGATTCCGATCTTGATACCACTGGTCTAAGACCTCTTCCCCGTGGCGGCGCACAAGCACTCGAGCAGCCAGCTGCCGACTTGACCCGCATGAAGAACTTTGAGAACTCGTACAAGCACCTTCTCGAGCTGGGCTCCAACAAGGTGTCAGTCAAGAGACCGAGCTCGCTCGCATCGCAGCAATGGGTTATTCACGATACTCTGCGCTTCTCCAACTTCGTCAAGTCTACCAAGCGTCAGGTTGATACCCTGTTGCTGGCTCTGAACATCAACGACAAAGTCGAGAACATTCTTTTGGGAGATATCCGCGACCTGGGCAAGCATGCTGGCGGCTCCCCTGGCACCAAGCCTTCGCAATTAGCAGTCAAGGATATGGCCAAGCTGAAGCTTCTCATCAGAGCATGCAAGGGTCGCTACCCAGCACTTTTGAACGAGGCTCAGCAGACCTTCAACAACCTCCAGAAGGGCGTCAGTGCCGAGCACGACATGGCCGCCAAGGTGGGCAAGCTTCTCGAACCTGTTCACCCCGACTCAGCAGTCGCCAGCGCAAACAACAGTGGCGCCGCAACACCCGAGAAGAGACCTGGCTTCATCCGCAGATTAAGCACACAGACATGGAACAAGTTGCCCGGAAGAAAGACACCCAGCTCGAGCAGACCTTCGTCTCCCGAGCGTCGCAAGTCATTTGGTGGACGCAAGACACCAGCAGCCAGCAGACCTGCATCACCCATTGGAGAGTAGAAGAGGGTTGCAAGAAGCTGACGAGATTTACGAAACAAAGGACAGAGTATAAGAGAAGGATATGAGCAACAGGAACAGGATATTGACGAGGAACGGATATATCACTCCGCGGGATGGATGTAATTACGAGTAATAATTAGCGATAGACATGCAAAGTGGAATGATTTCTACCGGAGTATACATTAGTGGATGTGATAAGTGATAGACAGGTACAAGTACAGATTGGTTGTGTCAAGGCGGTGTGCAAGATGGCTTCCCCGCATTCGTCGCATTGGATGCCGACGAAGCGCGTCATTGCTGTCAGCCCGAGCCCTGCTGCGCACTGCTAAAATTCATGCTGTTTCGACTTTGAATTGGGCATTGGAATAGCAACGTCGAGATGTGCGGTTCGAGAAAAGAGATCTGGCTTGTCGTCAAGTTGAAGTAGAGGATGGGAATTGCAAAGAGGAGAGGATGGGAGAAGTGAACAGGGCGATGCACTCTAGAGTCTGCAGGAAGGTCAGGTCTGTGCTCGCCCTATCACCAGCCGAGTTTGCAGCACCGTCTTGTCTCTACTCTCTCTAGCTGCCACCGTCCAGCTCCTTTGCCAAACAAACTGCCCTTCTTCTGCTCTTATTCTTCACACATCCCATCACCACATAACTCACAACAATGGTCTCGCCGCGGCGGTCAGGCCGCACTCCCGCCGATCGCAACTCGACATGGCACAACAAATTGTCACCCCGCCAGAAGTCGCCCTCTCCCACAAACCTCTCCGACGACACCATGCACCCTCATTCAGGCTCCTTGAACTCTCCCGAAGAGTCTCGCCAGACCCGCAGAGCTACGAGAGCTCAGCACACACACCCCGACGACGTCGATCAACAGAGCCAGCTCAATGACGCAGACCCCGATGCCGACGGCGACGACGAGATAACCCGCTGCGTCTGTGGTCTGCAAGACTACCCAGGCCCGCCTCTTACCGATGACTTTCCTACCATCACAGATCCCTCACAAGCCGAAGATGCTGGCGGCCTGTTCATCCAGTGCGACAAGTGCCACGTCTGGCAGCACGGTGGCTGCGTCGGCATCATGGACGAAACGAAGAGTCCCGACAACTACTTTTGCGAGCTCTGCGACAAGAAGCTACACAATGTCTTGACTGATTCTAAAGGGTGAGTTCATGTCTCGTACACATTTGCCGTCGGTCTCCTACTGACACACCACGACGCAGACAACGTTACTCGCGCTACCTACCTGTCATGAAGCCTGAACCCAAGAGTGCTCGAAAAGCCTCCCTCACAAAAGAATCGGAGTCCGCAAAGGCCCGTCGAGAGCAGCGAGAAAGCCAAAACAGAGCCAGTGTTGAATCCTCAACAGGCAAGAGGAGGTCTACTATGAACAGCCGCCAGGCCTATGACGACGAAGAGACATTACGCCGAATCATCGAAGAGACAAAGGACGATGGCGAGTCAACCCCAGCAGTGCGCAAGGGCAAGCGCGGACGAGACGACAGCGAAGAGTCAGTGAAGAATCTGCTCATCACAACAAATAACCATCTAACAAGTCTCGACAGCTCTAGACACGAAATTAAGCGCCAACGAACGGGCTCAGAATCTCCCAACCCTCCGTCAACGCTCAACACAGGCTCGCTAGACGCAGACTCAGATGACGACGGCATACACCCCAAGTCGAATAAGAAAGCACGAAGCGCAGCTGCCGAGGTCCTGCGACAAAGAGAAGCTAGAGAACGAGAACGTATGCGTGACGAGAAGCGCAAAGAGGCCGCTGGAAGGCGTAGCGAAAGAGCTGGACGAAGGAGAGCAGATGGTACGCTGGACCAACATGATCAGATGAGACCAATTGACCTGACTATTCGCGCAGAGTCAGACCCACTTGACGAGACACCGAAACCCATGGGCACACCCAACTTGCCTGCATCACAACCTCCCAGTCCACCTGGTTCAGCGCCGCCGATGGCCCCAGGAAGCTCACACAAGAAGGGCACAGCCAAGAAGCAGAAACGACTAGGCCGCAACCAATACACAGCTGCGAAAGCCACTTCGCATCCCGCAGAAGCTGCTTCAGTCAACCCCAATGGCAGCAGTGGCGACGACCCGACAACCAACAGCACATCCGACTCCAAAAACAGCCCAAGCAGCAACAACGAAACTCCCGCCGTAGCAACATCCGCCCCTCCTCCCACAAAACCCAAAGGCAAATGGGGCGGCGGAAGAGCCAAAAACCCACGACAAGCCGCCATCCAACAAGAAGCCGAGATTGCCGCGACAAAAGACACGCGCGACACAAAGAGTCAAATGACCATAACCGACATGAAGAAACGCACAGGCATGATGATGGACTACATTGCAAAAGCACAGGTGGATATGGCGGGCGATCGTACACCATTAAACACCATCTCGATCCCACAAGAAGCCGACAAGTCTGCAGAGTTCAAAGAGCTCAGCAGTAGGGAAATGATGGATGTCTTGACTAGACATATCATGACATGGCAAAAGGAGTATGCTAACGAGGCTGCTTCTACGACTGCCTCTTCTCTTGTCGCATGATCAATGGATGATTCCAGGCTTACATACTATTTTCACGAGCGGCGTTTTTGCGAATGGAACAATGACTACTACTACTACTACTACAACTATATGGGATGGGGGCTAAGGATCGGATTTGACCCCAAGGGGCATTCTTGGGTTGGACTATTTTCTTCTTTCTCTTCTTCTTCTTCTTTGCTTCTCTTTTTTTGCTTTTGGCTTTCCTCAGAAAAGCACTATACAGACAGTACTTTGGTTTTACTTTACAAGACATGTATTTGCTACGTTTTGCGCAGACGAGATTAATGTTTTACTGGAGTTCTTCGCAGTCTTGACTCTGGCGCTTTGATTTCTTGAGAACACGAGAGAGACTTGATCCATGGAGTCAATTGTGGATCCTTTTCCATGAGAGATTCAAAAAGCATTTTAGTTCATCATGATGTACATGCCTAAACACCTTCCTCCAAACACTCCTTGTGCTTCCTTCAACATATCTCTTTTGCTTAGCGCATGGTAGGCATGACACTTTCAGCCTTTGTAGCAATAGCATCCTCACTTCTCCACAAGCTCGTCACAGTCTTTGTCTGAGTGAAGAAGGCAAGACCAGGCTTGCCGTAGAAAGTGCTGGCACCACCGCCGGCAACCGACTTCTTGTTTCCGGTAAAGGAGAACATGGGGAGAGGGACGGGGATGGGCACGTTGATGCCGACTTGGCCAGCTTCAATGTCGCGTTGGAAGCGTGCAGCTGTGGATCCCGAGTTTGTGAAGATGGCAACACCCTGCATGAGAAATGTATGGTTAGTATTGTTGTAGCTTTAGAGAAGGTTAGGTCAAAACTTACGTTTCCGTATTCGTTGGCGTTGATCAGATCCACAGCCTCCTCGAGGGTGTCGACAGAGAGACAAACAAGCACGGGACCGAAGATCTCTTCCTTGTAGCAAGTCATATCTTTTGTGACGTTTGTGATGATGGTTGGACCGACAAAGTTGCCGTTGGGGTACTTCTCGGGCTTGTAGCCACGACCATCAAGAACAATGGTGGCACCTTCCTTCTCGGCGCTGGCGATCATGGACTCGATTCTCTCCTTTGCCTGGGGGCTGATGACGGGACCGAGTTCGGCATCCTTCTCGAAACCTCCGTTGACGTTGAGGGCCTTAGCACGGTCGGCAATATCATCGACCCAGTTCTTGGTGTCGCCGACAAAGACGACAGTGGACAGAGCCATGCATCGCTGACCAGCAGCACCGAAAGCGGCACCTGCAATGGCGTTGATGGTGGCATTTCTGTTGCAGTCGGGAAGGACAGCAGCATGGTTCTTAGCGCCCAGGTTGGCCTGGACACGCTTTCCGTTGGCAGAACCGCGAGTGAAGATGTATTCACCAGCCTTGTTGCTACCAACGAAGCTGATTGCCTTGATGGCGGGTTCGTCGATCATGAAGTCGACAGTCTTTGCAGCACCGTGAACAACGTTGATGACACCAGGAGGGAAACCAGCCTTCTCTGCAAGCTCACAGAGGATCATCATGGCACCAGGGTCGCGCTCGGAAGGCTTGACGACAATGGTGTTACCGGTAATGGTAGCGGTAGGGATGACCCACAGAGGAATCATGGCAGGGAAGTTGAAGGGGCAGATGGCACCAACAACACCCAGAGGCTCCTTGTATGATCTTGTCTCCATGTCCTTGGCGACCTCGAGGACCTCGCCAGTCAATTGAGTTGTAATGCCGCATGCTGTCTCAGCGACCTGAAGACCACGGAGGACATCACCCTTGGCATCAGCAAAGGTCTTGCCCTGCTCCAAAGTGATTGAGGAAGCCAGACGGTCCCAGTGCTCTCTGATCAGATGAACGAACTTGAACATGATTTGTTGTCTGGCCAGCAAGCTAGTAGCCTTCCATGCAGGGAAGGCCTTCTCGGCAGATGCCACTGCTGCCTTGAGCTCTTCATCGGTGGACTGAGGGACGCGAGTGACGAGGTTGTTGGTAGCAGGGTCATGGAGATCAATCCATTGCGTGGCGTTGGAAGCTACGAACTTGTTGTCGAGGAAGTTCTGTGTGTCGGTGGGCTGCTGGATCTGGTCGTGAGTGGTAGGGTAGTCGGTAGCGGTGGTCGAGAGGGCTGATGCAGCAGCAGGCTTCAGCTGTCTGGCAGAAACATGAAGCTTTCTGCCTCCGAGCTTGCATGTGTTTGCTGTTTGGCCGAGCCGTAATGTTGTTGCGAATGCTGGTCGGTTGACCCCGGATTGGACATAGACGCTCTGTAGAGCACGACGTGCTACCGCTCGTCGACCTGCCATTGTACGAGTATGTAAAGACTCTTCTGATTGCTCTTGGAATCTCTGACAAGGACAAGAACAGGAACTTGTGAAGAAGGAGCAACCTGGTTAGACGGACGGCAATTGCGGCCAATGCGGCCAGCCCCAGGGTGGAGCTCTTTCCTTATCACCACGCCTATCAATTGCGGGGTCTCTTGCCGAGGTCGGGGAATGGGGTCGATCCTGGTCTGGGACGCCCTACTCAACCCCGAGTCTACTTGCCGACTAATAATCATCTTCGTCTTGCTTGATCCACGAAAAGCCATCGGTTCACATCCTGAAGCAAATCTGCAGGGGCGAGTCATGTTTATATTAGTGCAAATAGACAAACGCTTTCGTTATAAACTCGTAAACTTCTATTTCCTTCTCGTCTTCTTCATGCTTGCATCATCATTTCAACTTCACTCACGCATTTAGAGCTCGTCTCTAACTCTGGCACTGACTGATTCAGCCACGCTGCTCGCTGATGATGCAGCCTCCTGAGCAGCTTCTACCACTTTCGATACAGACTCATCGGTTGCCTTGCTTGCAGTCTCGCCAAATTCAGCCAGTCTGCTAGATGCACTAGCCATGGCAACGGACAGTCTGCTCTGAGCGCTCTCGAAAGCGCCCTTCTCGGACCCATAGATGGCGCTGCTGGCAGCTGACGTAGCTGCCTCGTACTGCTCGACAGCCTTTGAAACCACAGCATCACGGTTTTCCGATGCAACCGATGCGATCGATGTGTAAATGCTGGCTGCCGCAGCAGTGGCAGAGGGAGTTCCAAATAAGGCTTCGCTGATAGCTTGCTGGGCAGACGAAGCAGCATCTGCGATTTGGCTCTGAGCTGCTTCAGCATAACCAGTAGTGGTTCCATAGACAGCTTCACTGGCGCGAGATGCAGCATCATTGTATGCGCTGCCAACAGCTTCAGTCATCTGCTCCATGTTACCCTTTGTAGTGCCGTAGATCTGGGCCGAAACGGCGTCGACTGCAGAATTAATCTGCTCGTTGACGTTGTCCAGAAGAGCCTCGACGGTTGGTGGGGGAGTGAAGGCCGATTCATAGAATGAAGATGCGCTGGCGTAAACGTCTTGAGCATAGCTCGATGCACTAGATGCGATGGCAGGAGCACCGGTAGAATATGCAGATTGAAGGCGGCTCCAAACACTTTCGGTGAACTCTGGCTCGCGTCCATTGACGAGCTCGTCGAAGAGGGCAGAGACTGCGGCGTACTGTTCCACCACAGCAACGGTAGCTTGAGAAGCGTACTCACTGGCCTGAGAGAAGAAGGGTGTAGGAGAACCGTAAACTTGTTCACTGGCCTTGGAGACCAGCATCTCCCAGTTTTGACTTGCCTGCGAAGCAGCGGCTTCCGTCCATGGTGTCTCACTTCCATAGATAGCAGTGCTAGCAGCGCTGGCGATTGACTCGGCAGAACCTGTCGATGTACCATAGATTGCCTCACTCGCCATGACGGTTGCCTTTGAGTACTGCTCACCAGCAGCAGACACTGCTAGCTCGTACTGTTCGAACGCAGTGTCGAAACCGGCCCCAGCAGTAGAGCTCGCCGAATCAAGAATATTGTTCAGGGTGGAGCTTGCAGCGCTGTAAGCGGCATCATACTGACTTTGAGCAGAGGCAAGAAGGTTTTCGTACATAGCAGGCTGAGTGCCATAGATAGCTTCGCTAGCCTTGGATGAAGCAAGTACGAGGTACGAGGAGGCACTCGAAGTCGCGGCGTCATACTGGCTTGATGCTTGGTCAATCAAGCTCTGAGCTGGAGACTGAGTGGTGCCACTGACAACAGAACGTGCCGATGACAGGATGCTGTCCATGTTTTTTGAAGCGGCGTCAACGGCACTGCTGTACTGGCTCTGGGCAGCAGCGAGGACGTCGGAATATCCCGAGGTAGATGTAGGGCGTGCCGCAACCATGTCTCTACCAGCTGACTCGAAGGCTGAGTAACGGTCATAAGCATAACCCACCATCTCGTAGTATCTGCGTTGAGCATCCGCCAGAACACCTTGTTGGACTGGTGTTGGTGAAGCACCGATAGCGCTCTTGGCATGTTCGAACTGAGCGCTTGCGGATGAAAGACCTTCCTGGAGTCTTGAAGATGCTATCGACGAGATTGAAGACAGAGCTGACTGCACCGGATCCGCGATGGAACTGGTGTAAACAGATTGCATCGGGTCTGCGATAGAGTTCGAGTAGACAGACTGAGCCTCAGTGTAGATCGAGCCAGCCGACGACTGGAAAGAGTCCATGTTGCTACTAGCGCCGGCGGTGACAGAAGCTGCGACCGAGGCAACTTGAGAAGCAATAGACTTGGTGGCAGGAATAGGTTCACCATAGATAGCACTCGATGCAGCAGAAACTGCAGAGGCATATCTGTCACTGGCGACACTCGACAGGGACTCTCCAACACCTTGTTCGGTGCCGAAGATGACGCTGCTTGCTGCAGATAGAGCCCGTTCATACTGCTCACTGGCAAGAGAAGTGACCGACTCGACGCTGCCCTGGGTAGGGGCAGGCTTCATAGCATCCTGAACTGCTTGAGTGAGCTGACTTGCCTGGCTGCCAGCCTTTCCAAGGATGTCCTGGAGCTTGCTTGAGTACGTGTACTCATCGTCGACAATGTCGTCGTCAAGGACGATGGAACGTTCTGAAGGAACTGCTTGAGCCATAGCTCCGCCCCAGACCTTCTTAGAAGCCTGCTCAGAGGCATTGGATACACTCTCGGACACTTGAGATGCCACAGATGACGCACTCGATGATCCTTGCTGGGCAACTGAGCTAATGCTCGAAGATGCCTCAGAAACGATTGATGGAGCTGATGCACTGGACACAACTGAAGCAATGCTCGAAGATGCTTCGGACACGATTGACGGAGCTGACACGCTGGATACGACCGAGGCAATGCTAGAAGATGCTTCAGACACAATTGACGGAGCCGAGACACTTGAGACAATCGAGGCAACGCTGGAAGAAGCTTGGCTAGCAGCAGAAGATGCGCCAGACTTTGCAGCATTCAGGCTGTTTGCTATCTCAGCATCAAGGGACTGGTCGGCAACTCGCGAACTGACTGAGCTGGCTGCAGAAGAGATACTCTCGATCACGGGTGTATCACGACCGACTACAGCCTCAGATACCTTGGTGGCGGCCTGTTCTGCGACACCAGGCTGAGTGCCCAGAACAGATTCTGAGGCGACAGTGGCTGCACTTTTAGCGCTCTCGGAAACAACGGAAGCAATGCTCTCGACAGTAGGTTGCTCGGAACCGAGAACCTTCTCTGACGCCTTAGATGCGGCACTTTCCACAGAGCCAGTGCTTGTTCCCAGGATGGCCTCAGATGCACTGGACGCCATTCGGGAGCCTTCTGAAGAAATGCTCGAGGCCGCTTGCGATCCTTGGGCGGACATGCTGGAGGCAACCTGAGAGCCTTGAGAGGACAATACTGATGTTGCTGACTCGACAGTACCTTGAGAGCTTCCGACGATGGCCTCTTTGGCATCGGCCATCTTCTCGGCGACTTGTTGCTTGACTCTAGCAGCGGCAGCTGGTGCGTATTTTGTGTCAAAGTCATCGGACGAATCTCTAGCCTCGAGCTTCCACTGCGAAACACTCTTGAGTCTGGCGAGCTCTTTGGCAGCGTCTTCAGCAATAGCCATGGCTCTTTCCTCGATTGCGTGAGCGCCCTTCTTGGCTTCAGTGAGCTCTTTCGAGGTGGCGAGAGCGGCAACCTCGTCACGGCCCTTGCTCGAGGCTTTCTTGAGGTCGTTGTACTTAGTCCAGTCCCTGTGGGTGATAGCAGCGTTGGAAGCCCAACGTCTTCCAATCTCCTGCAGACGAAGGTCACGGATGTTATCAATAGTTTCAAGAGTGGAGTTGGCGGCAGCCTCGATGAGACGGGTGATGTCTTGATCAAAGGTTTGCTTCCAATCACGGACATTCTGGGCCTTTTGTTTGATAGTCTGACCAGCCTTCTTGACTTCCTTGTTGATAGAGTCCTGAGCAGATGAGATATCAGACTCTGAAGGCTCCTCGGGGAGATGTTCAATAACAGTTTCAACTCTGGCCTTGAGGCTTCTGAATGCCGACGAGGAGCCTTCTTCCATCTGGACGATCAGAGCTTGGCCTACACCATTGGTCTGGGTCTCGACTTGGCGGTCGCAAATCTCCTGGATACGTTCGCGCAGATGGTCAAGTCCCTCGCGCACAGCAATGGAGACATGCTCTTCCCAGACCTTCAAATCCTGGGAGAATTGTTCGGCAGCACTAGGCTCTTCCTCAGTAAGTGCCATTGAAGGCGAGGCAGCGACAACGCTAGATGCCTTGGTCATGATGGACTCAACAACGGAACTAGCGCTCGAGACCACGGCTGAGGGCGAGCTAGCGACAACGGTAGAGGAAGCGGATGCGGCTGACGAGATGGAAGAGGACGAAGAAGACGCGGAACTCTCGGCGGACTCGACGGCGGCTTCAATCTTCTTTTCGTCGCGGTAACGACCAAGTCTTTGGGTGATCTTGAAGATTTGAGGCTCAACATTCTCTCCGTAAAGGACCTGGATTCTTGGCCAAATCTGTCGGCGAACGAAAGTGAAAGTCAAGTCGGTGCCCCAACGAGCGTAAGGCAGAGCAGTGTTGACGGAGAAGCGATGGGCTTGGCCGTAGAACTTCTTTGCGTAGGGAGCAGTGTGCTTGTAGGCGGGTAGCAACTCGAGTTCGTAAAAGTCAGTGGCCAAGGCCTTGACGTTCGTGTAGTAGGGGGAGATGGCGTCTTGAACTTTTTGAACGTGAGGGCCCAAGGTAGAGTCGTACTGCTTCAGGGCGTGCTTGCGAGCGACGTCCAGCTGAGGACGGACTGATCGCTTCCATTCATTGGTGGCATACTTCTGAATCTGGGCGGCACGAGGGGCACCATGCTTCTGAGCAAAGGCAGCAGCGGGAACATAGGCCTGTTCTCTGACGCGGTCAAAGTAGGGTTGGACTTGTTGAACATAAGGCGAGGCATAGGTATCATAATAGGGTTGGAGGTGAGGAACGGCAAAGTCCCTTAGTTGGAAGTAAGGCTCGCAAACATTGGGAGAGTCTTTGGTGAGTTGTTTGGGCGACGACGGGCAGCGGAAGACGACCGTGAGGAGCGTGTACCATATGGACAACCTGCAGCAGAGTTAGCAAAAAATGACAGGGCTCAGTGGCCAGATTAGATCAGATCAGAGGCATACCTCAGAGCTATGCTGATGAGTCGCGAGAAAAAGCCCCGTCTCTTAACCTGGCGGCCTCTTGTTGATGATGTTGAGATGGAGCCGTTCGGCGCCTTCTCGTTTCGAATGGCCATGGTGACAACAGACAGAGGTTAGACCTGCATGAAGCTTGTCGGAGAGAGGAAGAAGATGCGGATGACAGAAGGCGAACTTGTCTTAATACCACAAGCCTGTTGTGCTTGTCAGGGGAGATTGACAAGCAAACCGGGCAGCTTGTGCTTGTGCTCCAACTTGGTTCTGCGCTTCCTGCTCGCGTGCAAATGCGGCTTGATGTCATTATGGCTGAACTCTGCTTCGTCAGGGTCGCTCCCAGTCTTCACTTGTCGCTATCGCATACAATTATACATCTTTTACACCGACTTCTGCTTGCATGCACGCAAAACATCAAATACTGTGAATCTGATCAAGTAACTAGAAGATAGATGCTGAACCTTGAGACGTCTTGTCGTGAGCATAATAGCTACCTTCTGAAGAGCATCTGTCCGATCCGTGTTCTTGGCGCTTTCACGTGTGTCCGGATCCATCCCGAGTAGGTCCCTGACGGACGGTGATCGTTTACAGTCGGTGTTTCATTCTACTTTATCTTGTTGTGTACGAGAGCACCCACCTACAAACCTTGCAACAACACTGTCGTCCGCTACCTATCAGCTTCGACTCTTTCACCTTAGATGTCGCCTTGAAGATCCGCCTCCGCCTTGACGGCCTTCCCTAAGCTCTTCGCTTCCTCATTGACGCCATCACAAAATGTCGGCCACAGACCCCGCGTCCTCGCCGGACATCATGAACGATCCGCAGTTCGACCCTACCGAAGCCAACGACAAGTCGCCTTCCGAGGGCGATACATGCAGGATATGTCGTAGCGAGGGTTCTGCTGCCGAACCACTCTTCTACCCCTGCAAGTGCAGTGGCAGCATCAAGTTCGTCCATCAGGACTGCTTGATGGAGTGGCTATCGCATTCCAACAAGAAGCACTGCGAGCTCTGCAAGACTCCCTTCCGCTTTACAAAACTTTACGACTCGCACATGCCTCAAACCCTGCCGCTGCCCATTTTCGCAAAGAAAGCCTGTCTTCACACCTTGAACTACCTCTTGACATGGGCTCGCGCTCTTACCGTTGCTCTTGTCTGGCTCGTCGTGCTGCCATGGTGTATTCGTTGGTCATGGAGAGGTCTCTTCTGGATCTTGGATGCAGGTTGGGCAAGAGACCCCTGGTTAGCCAAGATGGCTCATGCTGCTGGACAATACGATAACTCGACCTCTGCTAGCGGCACTTCCCCCGACAAGGAGCCTTTCGGCCTGAGTCTGGGAAAGTTCCTAGTGAGCACCCTGTTCTACCCGTTAAAGCCCCTCAGCCAACCCGCCCTCTATTCCTCGTTACACACACAATCCGAAACCTCATTCGTACCGCCCTATTCTAGCTTGTTATCCGACGTCAAAGCTGTAAATAATTTGACCTCTCACATCTGGCTCAACCGTTTCATCCTCGATGTGCTCGAGGGCGACATAATCACCATCAATGTCGTGGTTGCTTTCATCCTTGTTTTTCTGATCCGCGAGTGGGTTGTCCAACAACAACCAATAATCAATGCCGCCGCACATATCCGCGATGCAGAAATGCAACTGGATGTTGCCGAACGAGCTGCTCAACGCTTGCATGATCTCGAGGCGGCCGCATTGGAAGATGAGAACCTTCGGCCTGCAGTAGAGCGGTATCGGCATATCTTTGAGCAGCTTCCTCGCGAAGGTGAAGCCTCTGAAGATGATGACAATCAGGGCACTGAGTTCATCGGTTGGTACGCCATGGAAACCCTCATGGACAATGCAGGAGTGCCCCATCAATTCGAGGGTGAAGATCATGAGGAGTTCATGGAAGGATTCGAGGAGGCTACCGAGGAGCTGCTCGAACAAATCAAACTTGCTGAGGATTCTGGTATATCTCGGCCTGAGATTGCACGGAATTTATGGGCTATTCTGGACAATCTAGGCCCAACCGAAGGAGATCTCTGGCGCGAATTCCTGCTTAACGAAGACCAAACCAAATACATGTTGTTCAGCAATCTTCCTGAGGACAAGATTGCCTTGTCCGACGACGAGAACCCTGGAGCAGGTCCTGCGCCTTCTGGATCCGAGATTGAACACCGTACAGATGATGACATTCCTAGCGAGTTACGAAGACGACCGACAATGCCTCCGAGAGACGCATCATCACACGCACAGAGGGTCATACAGTCACTTGAAGAGTCCTCAAATGAGTTTGAAAGCAGTATCCACCAGGATGCTGAAGTTGATGGCAATAGCAGCCGCGGAAGTTGGCAATCCATCACGGCTTCCTCCTCAGAACCATCGAATACTACAGCAACTTCGCAGTCAACCCAACTCAACACGGACCATCAGCAAGACAACCAGGACACGAATGATGTCATCACAACAGCGCCAAACCATTTGACAGAGTCTCAGTCTGAGACTGCCGCCATAGAAATAGATCAGAGCTCCACCAACGAAGTCACGTCGCATGATTCACATGGAGCAGTCGAACAAATCTTGGGAGAAGGATCTTCAGCTGCCGTACCGCGGGCAGCAGAGAGTCCTGATGAGGCGCCAACCGAACCAGAGCAAAACCTCGTATCTCAACCGACACAACCTGATGAACCACACAAAGGCCCAGTTGCTAGATTGTTTGACTGGTTTTGGGCTGATATCGTCATTGAAGAGGAAACCGATCCTTTGCCTGGTGTTTTCGACGAAGAGATCGTCCGCAATGAAGCAGAAGAACCACCATTCGTCCACATCCATGGTGGTGAGCATGTCCACATGCCTGAAAATGCGCAGGATCCTGAGGTTCTCCAAGCTGCAGCCGACGCTGGCTTGGATGCCGAAGCTATTGAAGATGCTGAAGACCTCGAAGGTGTCCTTGAGCTGATCGGCATGCAGGGTCCTCTAGCTGGGTTGGCACAGACAGCTGTGTTCTGTGGTTTCCTAATCACGGCTACCCTTTGGCTCGCGATTGGCGTACCATACTTCTTCGGAAAGATTGCGTTACTCTTCCTCGGCGATCCAATCTCATCCATGGTAATGACCCCTCTGCGCATTGTTTCGGCTTTCGCAGATACCATTGTCGACGTGACTGTCTATGTTGGTGGTGCCGCTACGTACTTTGGATCTCAAATTGTAACACAATTGCTCTCACTCTTGTTAGGTTCTGTCTTTTCAAAACTTGGCCTTGGATATGTGGATATATTGGCAAAACGCGCACACAACGCAGCCAATGGCGCTGGCGCACGTCTTGCGGAATTATTTGACGGTGACGGACCAGTGGAGCTGGGGCCTTTGATGGTATCCATGCAGGCACATCAGTCTCTCCTGAATCTGAAGTCAGAAATTGCGCAGGTTGGAAGATTCATCTTCAGTTGCGTATCAGGCATCTCGTATCATCTGCAGAACTCGACAGCCTCGGACATGCTCAGTATAGTCAACAAGACAGCCACGAGAACACTGCAGCATACGACAACGAGCTACACCTGGGTCCGTACGATGCTGCGAGAAGGACTATTGGAAGCTGTAACTGATGGTACCTTTACCTTCACTGTCAAGCACAATGACAGCTCTCTAGATCCCTCTCTGGCTGTCTGGACAAACGAAGATCGTTGCTTGGCCGTTTTGGCTGGATACATTCTTCTCGCCATGATCGGAACCATGTATCTACTCCGCAAAGAGTCGCTCTTCAGCTCGCCCGGTCTACAGCAGATCGAGAAGAGCTTCGCTGATCTTCTCAAGCAAGCGGGTGGCGTACTCAAAGTCATCTTGATCATAAGCATCGAAATGCTTGTGTTTCCACTGTACTGCGGCATGCTCTTGGATTGTGCTTTGCTTCCGCTCTTTGAGAATGCATCAGTCGCTTCTCGTCTTGCTTTCGCCAACCGATCGCCATGGCTATTTGTGTTCTTGCATTGGTTCATTGGCACTTGCTACATGTTCCACTTCGCTCTCTTCGTATCCATGTGCCGCAGAGTCTTGCGCAGTGGTGTTCTCTACTTCATCAGAGATCCTGACGACCCAACCTTCCACCCTGTCCGTGACGTCTTGGAGCGCAGTGTCACAACTCAACTTCGCAAGATCGCATTCAGTGGCCTTGTGTATGGTGGATTGGTGATTGTTTGTCTCGGTGGTGCTATCTGGGGAACTTCCAGATTTGGAGTGTTCCCTATTCGATGGGCCAGACCAGAGGCGGATTTAGAGTTCCCTATCGACTTCCTAGGATATAATCTCCTTGCTCCCGTCGTGGCACTTTACCTTTTCCCTTCTAAAGGAATGGAAAAAGTCTTTGGCAGATGGCTCAAGCTTTGTGCACGTTCACTACGCCTCTCTCAATTCCTCTTTGGTGAAAGACGAGAAATCGAGGAAGGGCATCTAAAAGGAGAATCGTGGCTCAGCAAACTCAACCCCTGGAAGGATCAGGGCACCGTTGTAAAGTCTGGGAACTTCATCAAGGACGGAAAATACGTTCGAGCACCAGCCACCGACCAGGTTAGGATCCCTCGGGGCGAGAGAGTGTTCCTCGAGGTCGACGAGAGCGATCAACGAGTAGATGGCACAAATTCAAGCAACGGCATACACGGGCGACAACCTGAGAACTTCATTCAGGTGTACATTCCGCCATGGTTCCGCTTACGAATTTTCACCTTCATATCGTGCTTGTGGATGTTCGCCATCGCTATGGGCTTTGGCGTCACTGTTGTTCCTATGATCTTTGGACGACAGATCATGTCAATTCTGTCCCCCGACCATATCGCACCCAATGATCTTTACAACTTCGCCATCGGCATTACTGCTTTGGGAATAGTGCTTCAATCTCTATTCAATGGACGAAAGGCACTCAAGAATCTCAAAAACATGACCTCACGACAAAATATGGCTGCTGTCTGCGCCAGCATCAGCAAGCAAACATGGCGTTCAGTCCGTACCGCTTATGTGTATGGATTTGCTGTTGTGATCGTGCCGTCTCTCTTTGCGCTTGTCCTGGAGCTGTACATCATTTTGCCTCTTCGCACCTACATGGGACCAGCAGCTATGATGCAGAAGAGTGACAGTACCGCTTTGAACAACGTGCCGGGAGCTCAGGTCAGCCTTAACAACGCAACATACACAGACTTCACAGAGACCCAGACCGCGCAAGTGGCAGTGGCGTCGCATACTTTCCATGTTCTTCAAGATTGGACCCTCGGATTCATCTACGGGAGAGTGGTATTACGCCTGCTGCTCTTGTCACGTAATTCCCGACCAGCTGCGGCATTCCGTATGATTACCCGGGATGGATTCACCAACCCTAACGCTAGATTGGCGACTCGTGCATTCGTTTTGCCAACACTGCTGCTGTTCTCAATCGTCCTGATTTGTCCTCCGCTGATCGCTTCTGTGTTGGACCTCACGAACGTAATATCCGCTAGTGTCCGCACTAAGGTTTATCGCTACAGCTATCCAATTTGCGCAAGTCAGATGTTGGGATTGTGGTGTACGTGGGAATTAAGCGAGGGAATGCGTCGGTGGAGAGGCCGTATCAAGGATGAAGTATATCTCATCGGAGAAAGGCTTCACAATCTGGGCGAGAGAAGACCACCGGAGGGTAGTAAGAGCGTTGTTCGCAGACACAGCTAGCTGGCTTGAGACACCGTAACAGGCCGCCTTGGGTCATGATGAGAGACGAGTATGGCAACATTCTTTGACGTAATATTTTTGTACAAAACCTGGGGCCAACCAAGGCCAAACGCCGCCCTATGCATAGAGTATACAGAAAGTGATAAAAAATGGCCTAGAAACCAGGAGGGTTGACGCGCTGTGAGACTCTGGTCCACTTGGGAAGCTCTGAAAGAAGACGATCAGCAAAACTGTAATGCCCGCACTTGTAAGTGGACAACTCACTGTGAATTCCCTTTCTGTACTTCTTCTCCTTGCGGTCGAACATAGTGTATTTATCTCTTGGCAGCATCTCAGCCTCGGTGGGCATGTCGGCCTTCCATCGCTCGAGAAGCTTGATTGTGCCCATTTTCCTTGCTTGATCGCCGGTCATAGTAACAGTGCCCGTGGGCAAGCTACCGCTGAGAATGTCACCCTGCCTCGGGCCTCTGCCATGTCTGAGCTCGTTCAGAGGGGCATTGGTCTCTGCGTTCATCAAGCGCTGGCCTTGGGCTGTTTGAGAGAGCTCTCCGGTTGTGGCCTGGGTGGCGCCGATGCCCTTGGTAGCAGTAGTAGCTGGTTGTGACTGGACCTGTCTCTGGAGTGCGCTATCGAGGACCGAGACAATGTTGTCGACACGACGAAGGCGACGACGCTGGCGCAGCTTCTGCGGTGCCGAAAGTCGCCATGGAATTTTCCTGCAGTCGCGTGTTAGTGGTTTCAGCTGGTGCGATCCGTACAGGGTGAGGCGCATACCAGAGCAGACCTCCTGATAGAGCCGAGGTGGGTTTGAATGCGCCAAACATGATGGTCTAGTCGTGTATGCAATGCGCCTGGCCGCAATCTTCAAAAGATTCGTAGTCGTCGCTGACGCTTCGGTGGTGCCAAGACATTTCCCCGATCAATCGTGACTTCCGCTCCACCACTAACAACAAGGGGAAGCGCTCCGTTTCCATCAGACCCTTAAGTCTGTTTTCTATCAGACAGCCTTCAATCTCGAATTTCTTGCTCACACAACCAACGCAATGTCATACTATTTCACCATCATCGGCACAAGAGACAATCCTCTTTTCGAACATGAATTTGGCACTTCCAAGGCTGGAGGAGACGGCATTGCTCGCTTCCGTGATGAGGCCAGACACATGAACCAATTCATCGTTCACAGCAGTCTCGACATCGTCGAAGAAGTACAGTGGGGAAACAACGGACTGTGTGTAGACTTCTATGTTTCTGCTCTTACCACTTCCCGTCTGAACTGACTTTGAATAAAAGCTATCTCAAGAACGTTGACCGCTTTCAAAACAACCACATACACTGCTTCATAACTGGCGGCAATGTTAAATTCATGTTACTCATGAATCCAGATCCTTCCTCTACTACCTACTCTACCTACCCAGCTGCTGCACCGCAAAGACAACATCCTTCAATCACTGCTAGACAGAGCACATTACTGGCCAACAACCCGACTAGTGCCCAAACCGAAGAAGCTGTCAGGCAATTCATGACCGACGTATACGAAGCTTGGATCAAATGTATCATGAATCCATTTTATGTCGTCAATGGTCCCGTGACCAGTCCGGTCTTCAGGGGTCGTGTAGCCGCTGCTGCGAAAAAGTATCTCTGAGCGGCTCAAACAGACGACATTTTTCCATTCTGATCCGACTTGAACATTATTGAGGTTACCTGAACTCTCATGTCACGGTCTCGCCATATCAATCATGGTTTTTGGCATCACGTGCACAGGCCTCAATTGTCGCGTCGAGGGAGCAACCCTGATCCTCACTATCGGATTCGATACCAAGAACACTTTGTGGACCCATTTCAAGATGGATCTCAGAAAATCCTACCGCCCTGTCGCTGACTTCTAGAAGGGAGCGAGAACATCTTGTCAAATCAGGGACCGCATCTCGTCAAGATCACATATCAGAAGCAGACGCCAATCTCTTAGCTGCTGGTGATAGCTGCTGATACTAGACGCCATGGTAGAGCAATCCCAGCCGTGATCTGCTTTGCGGCAGTCTCGATCGGACGGAACTGAGATGATCGACAGACGAGGTTAGAGCGCTCGTTGTAATCATCAAGAGATCAACGATGACCGATCACGGTTCGTTTCATTAAGTTCAGCCGGCGAATGGTATAGGACCCGTGGCTGGAACCCATGAATACCTCTATCTATGCGCAAGGGACGCTGATTCAAATTTATCCTTACTTGAGCTTCATCCTAACTTTTGTCCTGACAGTTGTTGTTTCGACTTACTGTCTAATCTCTTTGCTAACAGTTCTCATACACTGGCAATTTCGTAGCTATACGAGCAATTGGAAATGCTCGTGAGTTGCAATGATCACTTAGCATTAGTACGTGCTCAGGTCCTCAGAATTGCATTTGCACGTGAGCCACCATAAGCTTAAGCGTAAAAATTGGCTTCTTGACACAGCTCACTGGTGAGCGCCACGAAATGAAGTCTATCTGCCTCCACTATTCCTACAGTAATGTCAAGTCTGGATACGAACCGATAGCAACTCCTAGGAGATCCGCTGCTTCGGGCTGACCGAAACATGTTTGATTTTGAGCGCCCTTGGCAAGTTATGCGCGAACTTCGGCGTCACTTGTCTTGAGCCGCGTAACCAATCCACAACATCAACGGCATACACACGGCAGTCGACTTTGTGCCTGGGAAGCAGTTACTGTACGATGGAAGCTGGAGACTTGTAGTTGATGTCCAATTGTCTAGACACGAGGACTATGGCTTGCTCAAGTCACTGCTCACACAAATCAAACTCCCTGGGGGAATGAGACAATTCAGAGGCCATGGCGCAAGTGGCTGCGTTGTATAACCCGCCGTATGCCCTATAAGGTACTAAAGCACGAAGTGGAGGTCGCGGCATTGGACCCTCATCTATTGCAGATCCCCTATACAATTCCTTCGCGCAGCCACATGTAAACGGTACAGGACCGAGCAACGCCGTCGAATGTGACGGCCACGGGACAGGCAGCTATTGGACGTGTATGGAGTCGCTTATAGCTAGTGGCCGTTTTGCTGCTGGACTGTGTCAGACATTATCCGGCCAAGCCGTGGTGTGGGGAACCTCAACCTCACACGGTATAGCAAGTCACACCACCACAATTACCACCACTGACCTCGCCACAACGACTTTTGTTCCTCCAAGAGATCTTTGGATCGAAACTGCCTTGGCTATCAGCCACAATGACGAGCATCTCATCTTGCAATGGACCTGCATATCGTGGAACCAAACACCTGGGACAGATGTGGATCTGACGTAACATTATAACGACAACACACGATGGTATGCAACCTATTCTCCCCGAAATTGAGCCAATTCTACAGCAATAGCGATTCTATCAAACTCACCCCAGACTTCTGGAATATACTTTCACAGACACAACCTTCGCAGTTCCCCGCATCAGTCAAGCCTCTAGTAAAAAGCCCATCTGTATAGCGCAACCTGAGGTGGAATTCTATTTCCATCCAACTGCCACAAGAGGTCAAGTGTGGGATTAACCGTTCGAGAATCGCCATGCTCTCCTTCGTAAACGCTTCCTTTGCCGGACCACATATCGTCATCTTGTGCCGGATTTCTACCTATCCGGCAGCAGGGTCCGCTAGCGTTATGGCGTTTGTCTAATATAGAGTTCGCTTTGACATCGATCGGCATTGCTGCTAATCATACAGGGTCTGAAGAGCCACCCCTTCGCGAGACACCTGTCTCCCCGCTTCGAGGCCCTTGTGCCTAGTGTGTCGATAGTACTTTTACGGTGACATTCCGAATGAGGGCATTGTTACCTCAGGCCTTGTGCCTAATGTGGCCACGAAGCACATCTGGCACAGCTTTCAGCCACGACCCGCAGGCATGGGCCGTGACATCTTCCAAGACCCGGCCTTGTGATTGCTTGGAAAGTGGGATCGAGAAAGCGTCGTTGAGGATTCTGATCATTCCTTCCGCCATTGTTTCTCCCTACTGCATGTTCAGTATGATTGCCATCAATTTCCTTGAGATGTCTTACTGTGTTAACGGTGGTGATAACCAATGATTGCACCGTATATCGATACCTGCTTCATAAATTATAGCCATGTAAGGTCCACCGTCTGAAACAATCTAATGAACGAGTCGATAGTCATAACGAAACCTCCGCAGATCACTACGAAGACGGCGTTGATGGAGTCTGGAGATTGGATCACAACATGGTGGACCAGCACTGTGAGATGGGTATATCAAGAGAGTTGTTTCCCCGACGAATGCTCTATTCTCATCAACAAGCGACCCATCTCTTCTACCGGGTGACGAACCCCTTTCTTCTATACTCTTTCTTCTTCTTCGACCAGCAAGATGCGTTTCGCCGGCTTCTCGGCGCTCGCGCTGCTTCTGGCCAGCTCTTCGGCCATACCTACCAAGAGACAGGCTCTCATTGACAGCATTGGAGGCTCCAGCCTTGATGATGTGATTGCTGAGATCAAGAACAATGGCAACATTAACTTGCTTGGTGATCTCATCGAGGTTGCTGTTGATGCTTTGTCCACAGAAGCATCAGCTGTTGCTGAGTGTTTCAACCCTTCTGCTTCCAATGCCCTGGGCTCTGGCTCAGTCGGCGCTGGTGCCGGTGCTGGCGCTGGCGTGGGAGTAGGTGGATCGGGAGCAAGCTCGCCATCTGCTTCTGCTGTAGCTTCTGAGCTCTCCAGCCTTCTCAGCTCTGTTGCATCTGCAGCCACTGCTGGCCCAGACGCTGCAGCTGCTGCTTCATCAGCATTGAACTTCCTCTCCACTGCAGGCCCTGCTGCCTCAGTCGCTCCTGCCATCTCATCTTTGTTGAGCTCTATCGCAGACAACACAGCTGCCCTCCCCACAGGTGCAGCCTCTTCACTTGCCGGCGCAGCATCAGGCGCGCCTGCCGAACTTTCTTCTTTCCTCGGCTCTCTGGCAACTGAGGTTGCCGCCCAGGCCACTTCTGCTCCCAATGCCGCTGGACAAGCTGCTGCCAACGCTGCTTCCTCTGCCCTTGGCTTCCTTTCCACAGCAAACCCTGCTGCCTCAGTGGCACCCGCAATCTCGAGCCTCTTGAGCTCGATCGCTGCCGACCCCTCTGCAACCATCCCCGCCAATGTTGCTTCTTCTTTGGCCAATGCTGCCTCATCTGTGGCTGCTAACCTTCCTGGCGTCACCGCTGGCGCTGGAGTTGGAGTTGGCATTGGAGGCTCTGTCGGAGGCTCTCCTAACCCAGCTCTCTCCTCCTTCGCATCATCTCTGCTCTCGGACCCTGCTGTCACTGGCGCCCCTGCTTTGAGCTCTGCAATTGGCGGTCTGACTAACCCTGGTGCATCTGTTGGCCCTGCTTTGTCTTCAGCTTTGTCCTCGATTTTGGCCAACCCATCCGTATCGCTCCCTACTGGCGTAGTCAGCTCGCTAGTGAGTGCCATCTCGTCCGCTGCGAACAACGGAGGAGGTATTGCTTCGCCAGTCACAAACACCCGTGCAAGCGGCTCTTCCGCAGCATCTTCCTCGTCTACTCCGATTGCTTGTCCATTCGCCAGCAAGTCGACATACTCCGTCTTGGGCTCTCAATTCACCCGTTACTGCAACCAGTTCTACGGTGGTGATGTTTTGAACTTGGGCAACGCAGTCCTGAAGAGACAAGCTGGAGGCTCTCTTAACACCTGCGCTTCCATTTGCGGACCTGATGCCCGCTGTCTCGGAACTCAGTACAACCCTTCGACCGGTTCCTGCACTTTCTACAGCTCTTTGACCAATGGCGTTACTCGCAACGGTGTTCAGTTTGCTGTTCGCTCATCTGCAGCTTCCTCTATTCTGCCTCCTGTTTCTGCTGGCGTCACCGCATCAGCTGGTGTCTCGGCTGGCATCCCTAGCGGTGCTCTCTCCAGCCTTGCTTCCGAAGCCTCCACTGCCACTGGAGCTCTTGGTAGCGAGCTTTCCTCCCTGATCTCGCAGCTGTCCACTGCCACCGCCATCAACACAGGTGCCTTGAGCTCTCTGATCTCGGAGCTGCCTACCGCAACCTCAATTCCCGGTGGTCTGATCTCGTCTATCGTCGACCCTGCATTCACAAGCAGAAGACCCTCTCTTCCAGGACTCTCAAGCGTCCCCTCGCAAGTCTCATCTATTGTCGGAGGCTTGTCTAGTGCAGCATCTCTTGGATCTAGCGCACTCAGCTCGCTCGCCAGTCAAATCACTGGACTTCCTACCGAGATTTTGCCTACCAATGTAGCTTCTTCGTTGGCATCTGAAATCAGCGGCATCAGCACTGCAGTTGACCCCTCTAGCGTCCTTTCTTCTATTGCAAGCCAGATCACAGACCCCGCAAGCTCGATTCTCTCGGGTGCATCTAGCGAGATTGCCTCGATCACAAGCGGTGTGACTCCTTCTGCTGTCACAACTAGCTGCGGAGGCGGCTTGGTCGACCTGTGTGCTACTATTGGTCTTGTGGACGGTGTCTCAGTCAATCTTGGCCTTGGCGGTATTGGAGGAGCTACTCCTACCAGATACTCCGGTGCTAGTGGTCTGTACACAGCAACTTCGACTAAATGTAGTGGACTTGTCTGCCTCGCCGTGGGTTTGGGACCCTCAGTGACAGCAACTTTGGGCGCTCTTCAGACTGACGGCACTATTCTTGACCTTGGAGCTGGTGTCGGCGGTGCAGTTTCCGGTATTACCTCTGGACTTAGCTTGCCTACCACGCTCCCAGGAGGAGACGTCATTACGAGCACCTCCACCTCCTGCAGCGGAGCAGTCTGTCTGGCCATTGGCTTAGGACCCTCGGCCACTGTGACTCTGGGTGCCCTTAACACTGACGGCAGTATCATCAATATTGGCGCGGGTATCACCCCTGCTATCCCTACCGCTAGCACCCCCACCACACTTCCTGATGGAGATGTCATCACGAGCACCTCCGCCTCCTGCAACGGACTAGTCTGTCTGGCCATTGGCTTAGGGCCCTCGGCCACCGTGACCCTGGGTGCCCTGAACACCGACGGCAGTATTGTTTCCCTTGGCGCAGGTGTTGGCGGTTCCCCCACCGTAACTACGCCTCCAACCACTGCCGGCGCGTCTGTCTCGATTCCCGATGTTACTTCCCTATCGGTCTCTTGCAGTGATGCCGTGTGCGTCACGCTCGGCCTTGGTCCTCTGGCCACTGTGAGCCTTGGTGCTATTGGATCGAATGGTTTGATTGGAGCCAGTGTAGGAGCGCTCGCGACCCCCACAACTGTCTCCGGAGCTGAAATCACCGCGGTCTCCACTACTTGCGACGGTCTCGTCTGCCTGTCTCTCGGCCTCGGACCTCTCGCGACAGTGACTCTGGGCTTGATTGGTGCCGGTGGCCTTGTAGGAGCAAGTGTTGGTGTTGGTGGCGCAGCCACGACCCCTGCCGTTACCGCACCTGCGGTCATTCCTACCAGCACAGAAATCGATGGTAGCACTATCACTGCTATCTCTCAGTCGTGTGGCGTCGGTGGTGTCGTTGATGCATGTGTCTCACTCGGCCTTGGTCCTCTTGGAACCATCACTCTCGGTGCTGATGCCCTCAACCCCAGCGGAGGTCTTGTTAGCGCAGGTGTTAGCGCTACCCTTCTCCCTGGTGTGTCGCTCACTAACGGTGAGGTCGTACCCACCAGCACAGTCATCAATGGAAACACCATCACTGCCGTCTCTGCATCGTGCAGTGGAGCTGCTGTTGATGCTTGTGTCACCGTGGGCCTAGGTAGTCTCGGAACGATCGCACTCAACGCTGGCGTTCTTCCCACTAGCGGAGGACTCGCTGGCGTCAGTGCTGGTGCTTCTGTAGCAGGAATTGGAGCTACCATCACCGCACCTGCGGTCATTCCTACCAGCACAGTCATTAACGGCAACACTGTCACTGCCATCTCTCAGTCGTGTGGCGTCGGTGGTGTCGTTGATGCATGCGTCTCACTCGGCCTTGGTCCTCTTGGAACTATCACTCTCGGTGCTGATGCTCTCAACCCCACTGGAGGTGTCGTTAGCGCAGGTGTCAGCGCTACCCTTCTCCCTTCGCTCACAAACGGACAGGTTGTGCCCACTAGCATGGTGACTAATGGCAACACCATTACTGCCGTCTCCAAAACTTGCAGTGGGGCTCTCCTGAATGTTTGTGCCACCGTTGGTCTTGGCAATCTCGCAACAGTCACCCTCAACGCTGGAGTTCTTCCCAGCGGAGGTCTCGCGAGTGTCTCAGGAGGAGTCGGCGTTCTTAATGGCCGTGAGGTCGCCACCACTCTTGCCACGGTCGTCCGCAAGTAAAGATATGATTAACAACAACTGATGACGGCGTTCTTTCATAATGTTTTGCTGGGATGATGACGATAATGTGCTTCCCTCTTCCTCTCCCTTTTCTAACCATTTCGTATGTTATATCTTTCTATGCTGTATAGTAGTATTTCTGTAACTTTTACCTATAACTACAAGTACTGTTTATTATATCTTTACTCTTTATTACTCTTTCATATCTTGAATGTGACAAATCGATCTTGGTGAAATACTATGCATTACTATAGCTCATCTGTAGCAGTCTCTACTACATGGGACCAGCAATAACGTCTATTGATCTACGACCTTCGTCCATCTCTATCTAGCTCCACTTTCTACCTCTTGATCCATTGTTTTCTGACCCCTTGCAGTACCGTATGGATGACATGTCTGCCATCCCAGATCGGATACACAACGACAGCCATCATAGCGGCAAAGTGCCAGAGAATTGACATAACGATCCAACCTTTGAAGAAAGGCACCGTGAAGATATAATCTCGGTACATAGGTACCGGCCACAGCACGACCGTGACTAGCAAATTGACAACAAAGTATCCAGAAGCATAGGTCCTCCACTTCTTGATGTGGCGAATGGTTTGTTCGCTAAATGGGTGGGAAATATCGTCAAGACTGCCAGTTCTTGCGGAGAACGATGAAGCAGGGCTGACGAGCCCGGCCTTTGATTCTGAATCGATGGCGATTTGGTCTTTCTCGGTGAGAGGTTGTTGGACCGCTCGAGGAGCTGTTAAAATCTTGTTGATATCTTCTTTGCTATCTTGAGGCGAAGGCAGAGAAGTGCTGGGTTGACTGTTGTCTTCAATCAGATCGATCTTCAGGAACACCCTCCAGTCGAATTTACTAGGTCGTGCCAGGGAAATGATGACTGAAAATAGTGCTGGCGAGAAGAATGATACCAGTGCACCGTATAGACCAGGCAGTTGTTCTTGAGTTGTCTGGATGTTGATCGTGCCTCCCCAAACATATGACAGACTCAACCATGTCGCAATACCTGCTGCAAGTCCTAAGACAGGTGATAAGATGGCGGCTGCCTTTGTTTGTCGCGACCAGAGAAGTGTCAACATAAGAGGGAAGATACCAGGACAAGCGACAATGGGTCTAAAGTATGTCGACCAGTTGTTCGTGGCGCCAGCATACTGCAGCATGATTGCGAAACCTGCCATGAAGCATCCATGACCGACGACGCCAAAATGACTGACCTTCAGGATTTTGCGATCAGAAGCTTTTGGGTTGATGTAAGAGCGGTAAAAGTCCTGTGATATGATACTCGAGACAGCGATAACAGACGATGAGACTGTAGATGTAATGGCCATGAAGATCAATACCAAGAGACCGCTCGTTGCGCCTTTGCCGAGGAGGGAACGGACGACATAAGGCATGACCAATCCAGAATTGACTTGTTTTTCTGTCAGAAGATTCGGGTAATCGAACCAGATGGGCGTTTTCTCAATCGCTCTTGCCGAAAGCCCAATGATGGTACCCGTACACCAAGGAACGGCAAGGATGACGACAGAGACTAGATCGTAGGCGGGTACGACCGATTCGACCTCTGAAGCAAAACTCTTTTGCCAGAATGCAGTATCCATGAGAACCAGAGCTAAGTTACCAAGTTTCAGGACAAGTCCAAAAAGCACGGCTGGATCATATCAGTATGTTGCAGTGAGCGTGGACAGGTTAAATGACATACCTGGTTTCGACTTCATGGTCAACAAGGAGCCCATGTAGTTTCCTTTGATATAGTCATCTGTCGCTTTGACTTTATGGTAGAGGCCTGAGATACCTCCGATATGTTCATTGGTGAGAACAGACAGAGAGAAGTAAATCAGGAGGATAAGAGCAATCGCAGTGTGGAGGTAATCCGTGATGAATGTTGCTTTGAGACCACCGACGGCAGTGTAGATGACGACTGATTGCTAATCAGTATGATAACTTCAATATCGGCGTTGAGGTGACTAACCACCAGCAGGTATCAAAATACAAGCAGCAACGATGTGCATGCCTGTAATGCCAGTAACTAACTGAGCACCAGCCAAGATCATACTACCACACCCGAAGATGTTGTTGATGAGGTTCAGAACAATAAAGATCCAGTGAGCGTATCTGCCGTATCGTATCCGCATGAATTCGAGTGATGTATGTGCGTATGGGACACGAAGTTTAGCGACTATACCAAGTACAGCCATCAAAGCGATTTGGAAGGAAAGACCCGATGCCCACCAAACTGGTAGTGCAACGCCCCATTTGTAGGTATAAGCAGCGCAGATAACGCTCTCGTTGATCCACATCCTGGATTCTGGTTCAGTATCTACTCTCCGTCGAAAAGCTCTGGGAGTTCACAACGTACCAGCTTGAAAAGACGGCAGATGCAGTCAAGCCTGTTCCAACGGAACGATTGGCAACCATGAACATCTCAGACTGCTCACTATCCTCGGACAGATATCGTTTCTGCACACGAACAGCCGCGAGAATGATCAAGCAGAATAAGATGGATAAACCAATGATGATGCCATAGCCGTGTGCTTGGTTGAGTAAAACTTCAGCCATCTTGATTGTGAGTTCTCTATGCTATTGATCTTTTGCATGCAGCATGGGAGTGTCTAGATAATATACATGTTTCTTGGACTGCTCACTGAGTCAAGATACTATAGTGAATCTACTGCCGAATCTGACGTGCGAAAGATCGCAATGGGATCATCCTCAACGCGGCATATACGTGATAAACCTTGACATGTGCACATGCAGAGTATTCAACGAAGATACTCTATCTCGGAAACTTGAAAATAGGCAATGCATCGCGACAAAGGTTAGCTAGCTTATCTGGCATGCTAAGCTTTGCCATTCGTCCTTGAGGTGATGTGATTACTTGGGACGATGGCGTTATACAGCATATCAGGCTGTGTGGAGCAGGTTTTGCAAGACGTTCACCACAAAAGGTATAGCCTAATTGCAAAATGGTAAGCGCTCTGTCCTAGTGCATTGTAACTGCCGAAAAGAACAGCTTTTGCCGTGTGCCAGAAACCATCACATCCTGATCCCAGCATATACAGTGAGCCTCAGAATTGAGGCTCAGAGACTTATGTGTTGGCATTACTTTTGCCAAAGCTCTATTTTGAATGTTGACTTTAAATTATGATAGCTGCCAAATTCAATATGTACAATGGGAATATCTTGTAGCTTAAATTGCTTTCCAATGGAAAGCCGCCGCAGGATGATCCTGAGGAGGACGAGCCAGTCCTTCCTTGCCGTACAAGTTCTCTCTATAGGTACCACCAGGCACAGCATAGTCTTCCCAGAACAATCCTCGCTTCCGGAGCACTGGCAACAAGTGCTCGATGACCTCCTCAAACGTCCTTGGATAAACATGGTACGCGATATTGAAGCCATCAACATCGGCCTCATGAACCCATCGTTCTAATTCATCCGCGATAAACTCTGGTGTGCCAACTACAGTAGCTCCCAGACCACCGACCTTGATATGGTTAGCGACAGTATGCTTCGTCCACTTGGCGACACCAGGCGTAGCCTTTGACCATCCCTCTACAGCCGATCTGACAGCATTCGATTGCACATGGCGAAGCTCTTCATCATCGCCGTATTGGGCAAGGTCGATGCCAGTCCAGCCTCCGAAAAGAGCAGAAGCACCATCTTCTGAACCATAACTAAGATATTCTTTGTACTTTGCGTCTGCTTCTTCCTGCGTTTTGCCGATGATGGGGCAGAGTAAAGCAAGAAACTTGATGCTCTTGGGATCGCGGCCAAATTTCTCCTTTGCCAGAGTTCGAATCTCAGAGATATTTTTCGCGACGACAGACGGATTGTGACCGGCTACAAAGATAGCTTCTGCGTTCTTTGCACCAAATTCTTTACCAGCTTTGGAGGTGCCTGCCTGCAGTATAACTGGCGTTCTCTGAGGAGAAGGCTGGCAAATATGAGGGCCAGGAACATTGTAATATTTGCCTACGTGGTCGATCGTTCTGACCAGAGCTGGGTCAGTGTAGATGATCTTTTCACGGTCGAGCTTGACTGCATCGTCTCTCCAGGATGATTGCCATAATTTGTACATCACTTCGATGTATTCTTCGGCCATCGCATAGCGGTCATCGTGTTCGGGTTGTTCGGTGCGACCAAGGTTTCTGGCTGCCGAATCAAGATAGCCAGTGACGACCTATCGTGGTTGTATCAGTGTCTGGTTCTGTTCAATGGTACGATGTCGAGACCTACGTTCCAACCCACACGACCACCAGACAAGTGGTCAACTGTACTCAGGCGTCTAGCAAGATGATAAGGCTAGAAAAGGTAGTCAGACGGTCATGTCCTTATGGTAACACTGATGCTCGATTTGACTTGCCTGCTCGTAAGTAGTTGCAACTGTGACGCCGAAGCCGATATTTTCTGTCGCGGCTGCCATTGCAGGCACGGTCGCTAACGGCTCATTGACGGGCCATTGGGCACCAGAGATGATTGCTGGGTTAGGATTCTTGGGTCCTTTGTAGACATCATAAGGGCCCTGTGATGAATGATCACATCAGTACGCAGTCTCTTTGCTCAACCATGTCGTTGCACTTACCAGAACATCAGCGATGAAGATGCCATGAAATTTGCCCTTCTCAAGCAGTTGAGCCAGCTTGACCCAATGTTGAATCTTATTGAACCCCGAAGACTGATCATCTGGGTGCCTCCAGAGGCCAGGAGATTGATGTCCGCTGCCTGAATGATGTTAGGTGATGTCTGTTCAAACGGCAGGCTTGACTAACATGACTCTACGAAAGCATTCAGAATTAGCTGCTTTTTTGGCGCGCTACCATTCGTGATCGCTTCAGTCATTGTGTTTGCTTGAATGTGTCTGTTTGCTCGGAAGAGGGTGTTGCGAGGTCTCCAGAAACAACCAGGTATTTAGCAATATATTTGAACATTTTGGAAGCCAAATTCTGTCACCCACCTTGATGAAAATGTAAACAAGACCGCTCACGGCGACCCCTCAATCACGCAACACTTCGAAACATAGCGTAATGTCATGCGGGGTCATACATGCCATGATCGACCAGTCGTTGAGGATGATCTCTGCAAAGGAAGGAGCTCAGGAAGCTTGTTTCCGCTATCTTGAAGATGTGATAGCACGTGCATTTTGTAGAGATGGCGTGCTCGCGTCAATCGAATTATTGGAAAAAACACCCGGTCTTTATGGACTGCAGGGAGCAAACACCCTTTTCCCCAGCGGAAGGAGCAGCCAGAGGAAGATGAATCAAACACAACGCAAAAGCCCGGCTGTCCATCTCGAGCAGTGAATGTCTTGGCTCCTGCTTGTACCATTGTTCTGGTTGACAGGCATTTGAGCCCATGTATCAAAATGGTGTTTCTATGAGTCTAGCTAATGGATGTTTTCTCGAAGCCACGAAAGATCAAGCATTCAACGTAGCCCTTGGGATAAAAGCGCGTGCAACGACGAACTGACAACTCATCTTGCAGCGTGTCGTTGACGTTGCAACTACAGATCCCACCAGCGCTCATGCAAGTCCCTCAAGTCCAGCTCCTCAGGTAGTCTCAGATAAGATGTCATATCGCTCTCGAGGTCAAACTCTTTCTTGGTAACACCGTTACCCCAGTATGCAAATATGTTGCCCGGATCGATATAGGTGTATTCATAGTCTTCCCAGCGCGGGTCCCTTCTGACGTTGGTCAAATGCGCAGCGCTTCCTGGCCATAAACCGTGGATCCTACCGCCAGGACGACGGCCGTTCGCCCAGCTGCTGCACTTTCTGGATAGATTGGTTCGAGGGAAGAAAGCATCGCAGTACTCGACAAAAGCATCGGCGGAATCTTTTTTAGGCACGATGCTTGCGATGCCTTGACTGCTGACTTTGCGCAAGACTTTAGCGATATATGTGGCTTGTGTTTCAACCGAATGTGGGACGGTTCCTGAGGATCCATAGCCATTGGGACCTGAGGAGAATTAGCACAAGTTTTTGTTGTCAAACATGATTGCCTACCATGTAGTTGCAACAAGTTAGGAAGACCAGGTGTTGCAACACCCATGTAAGTGTAGGGGAAACCAAACTTCCCTTCTGGGCGCCAATCGCGAGACAAGTCATATTCACCAGCGACAATAGGGAAGGGAGGCGCAAAGTCGACATTTGCACCCGTTGAACAGATGATCGCATCGACAGGACGATGCACTCCATCTTTAGTCACAATCCCGTCTTTCGTGAAATGCGAGATAGGTGTCTGGATGAAGGTAAGATTCTCTTTTGTCAAGGCTTCAAGATATCCAGGGCCGGGTGTGAGTCGACGACAGTGTGGAGGAAAGTCAGGCACTATCTGTTCAAGCAACTCAGGCTTATCGGCCAGTCTCGAACGCATCAACTCTTTGAAGTTTTTGGCGGAGGTCTTGCTGGTCTCAGAGTCTCTGAGCTGAGCATCGAAGTTTCTCCAGAAAGACCCTTCTAACTTCTTGCGATACTCGAGGTAGACTCTGGGGTCAGAGAACGACTCTTGCTGCTCCTTAGGAATATACATGGGCGTAGCTTGCCTGTCCTTCGCATTGGGATTGAAGGAACCAGCGATCCAAGTTCGACTCCGGGCATAGTGGTCGATGTGACTAGCGACCTTCTGCAGCTCTGGAGTGATTTGGATACCCGATGCTCCATTGCCAATGGTGGCTATGCGCTTGCCTCTTGGGTCAAAATTGGGATCCCAGTTCGATGAATGTCTTAGGTGACCTTGAAAATCGTTGATGCCTGGAATATCTGGCAATCTCCATTCATTGAAGTGTCCGATGGCGGGAATCAGAAAATCAAAGCGTTCAACCTTTTCCTCACCACTCTTAAGGTTTCTTGTTTCGACTCTCCATTGCGATCGTTCTGGTTCCCAGTAAGCCCCTAGAACCTTGGTCTGCAGCTTGACCTTGGAGTAGACGTCGTGCTTTTTGGCTACGTTTTGCCAGTAGTTGCGGATCTCTGAGCCTTGAGCGTACTCCTCACTCCACTCGGTGTTTGGAGAAAATGTCGCCTGGTAAACATGGGCAGGGATGTCGCAGCGAACTCCCGGGTACGTGTTCTCGTACCATGTTCCGCCCTTTATATTCGAATTAGTTGAGATAATGATAATGAGCCACGTCGACATTTAACTTACCAAATCCGCATTCTTTTCGAGAATGGTTAGTTTTATACCTGGCACCTTCGCAGGTAAAAGCGCACCTGCAATTATGCCCGCAAGACCGGCACCAATGACAGCCACCTTGAGCTCACGGATTTCGTCAAGTGGGTGCTCATGTATCTTGAACTTGGTTGGATAAGGATACACCCAGTCGTCCTGGGAGGTGTTCAACTCTATCAAAGCTGGCGACTTTTCGGCTACAGTCTTGTGATTGATTTCCGTCCCGCCGGGTTGGAGAACAGTGATGGCAGACATTCTTGTTCACGTTGCTAGGGAACAATTCACGAGACGAACAAGAGATGATATACATTCATGGTACATGTAGATCGTGTGTATGGATATACTGGCGCTCAGGCGACTGACCCTCGTTGAGCTTGTGAGGCACCACAAGAATGGCGTGCAATCTCGAGATAGCGTTCGTCCGCAGCTTGTCCTATGGCGTGCGAGCTCGCAATATTTGTCTACATGGTGGGGGTCGAATGGAAAGCTTGCATCAGCGAATTGCGACCGGCACAAAATCGCAACACACCGCGCGTTTTTGGGGTCATCTTTGGCGAGTAATGTTGGCAAATCAGCAGTGCGTGGGACCGTACTGAACTTGGAGAAATTGTGCCAACTTTCGAAGATTATCGCTCTCCAGAGGAAAAAGTAGCGAGGGGGAGGCCGTCGCGTCGTGGATGAACGGGCGCTTGTCTTGCCTGTGTTTGTCTAGTTTGCTTTGCTAATCACACCTCATTCCTCCTTCCTTTTAGGTTTCGACTTTCCAAACACGATGACACCAATATCTACAAGAGTCTTTATATCGAGACAACCAATCGGCGACCAGAGATCTCGCCGCGTCGCATTCTGTCCAATGCAGCGTTGATACCGCTCAGCCCTCCCTCTGCGTATTCGACCTCGGGAAGTGCGAGCGCTCCACTTTCCAAAGCTCTTTCCAGCCAAACCATCAAGGCAAGGCCAATTGAGGGTACTTCGTGAAACAGCTTGATCGGTACTGAATGGAAGACCACGCCATCGATCTTGTCCTTCGGTACACCGGTAAGTCCCACCAGATGAGCTCTCTTACCTTCTGGCGCGTCCGCTTGCAACATATGCACTAAGTGTCCTGCTGTCTCTTTGCCGACCGTGTCGACCGCAAATCTAAGCTTTCCTTTCGTAATGGACTGTACAATTTTGATCGCTCTGGCGGGATCGTGGCTGTCGACAAGAATGCTTCCTTGCCGCTCACTGAGTCGTCCACCATGTTTCACGCCATCGGCAAGGAGAATGACTTTGAGCCCTGCCAATCTTGCAATCTCGGAGATGAATAGCGCGCTTGTTGAAGAGCCTCCATATATGGCGATCCAGTCACCAGGCTGGGGACGTTCGGCATTTTCGATCCCGGACAGACACTCTTCCATGATGTCTGCAGGGATTGAGCTGACAGGAACTTGACGGACTGCTTCCCAGAGATCGATCTCATCTCGATCAGCTAGACTTTGCAGCCTCAATCCAAGACTGATGCCCAGAGCGAGCGCTGCGGCCACATATGCTACGCCGATTGATGCGGCTTGTGTGGTTGGAACATTCCTCGGTATCCTTGCCACATTGTGGTGTGTCGAGATTGCGTACTCTTGGAAAGCTGACTTCCTAATGTCTCGATAATCTGTCGATGGACTGAGGACCTGACAGGGGTGTCAGCTTTGGTTCTATCGGATCGGCGATTTATCTGCTTACCAGGTCGCCAACTCGAAGGCGACTTGAAGCAGCGGGCGCCTTGACAACAACTCCAGCAAAATCGCGACCTGCGATGTATGGCAATTGAGGAATGGCGAAGTTGTAGTCACTGAATCTGTCATCAGCCGGGTCCAGCTTGTCGTTCAGAGAGATGCGTACATAGATTTCCAGTCCACTGGATTCAGTCCAATTGCTCTGATTTCTACGACCAGTTCGTCGTCTTTGGTTGGACAAGGCACCGGACAAGCTTGGGTCAGAACGAGTCGTTCGCGAGCTGCATGCAAAAGCGCTACGTTCTGTTGAAGTGGCAGTTCACTCTCCAATGGTGAATCTGCTCTGCGAGCCTTGTCATGAGCTGTATTCACGCTCGTTGCAGTGCTGATAGTCGTCTTTATCTGCGACATCTTGATAGCGTAGGTTTGTAGCGACAGTATTATTATAATAAAAGAAGTCCAGAAAAACAGAAGAAAAGATTCGACGAACAAGTTCAAAAAGTCGCCTTGAAAATACTCTATCAACCTTTGAGATGTACAAAGAGTGGGGGTCCAATGGGATCTGCGCCCACTGCCCATATTTACCCAAACCAAGCCTGGATGGCGCAATAGTAGATGGTGTATTGCTCATCCTCAACAACGATAATCACGAAATGTGATCGAACATGAATTGTTTCATTCGTCTAAACTCTCTCCTCTTGTTTTGATCCTTCGTTCCGAAGTTCGGATGTTTGATTGATTCCTTTCATCCCCTCGTGTCGCAACAACGGAGGTCACACACTCGGCTATCAAGATGTGTTCTTTGACTGCTCCATCCACTTACTTGGCACTTGCCATCCCAAAGCCAATCCATTCGGATCATATGCACGCACATCACATGCTTGCCTGCCATCAACTGCTCCTTTACTTTCGTTTACCCCTTATCATCTCCTCAAATTGAAATTCAAACAAAAAGCGGCGGTGGTCTAGTGGTCAAGACGCTGGATCAATATGTCTTGCAAACACAAGCTCGGCAGTTGCGCCTCCCCTTATACCCTGGTGGACTCACGTCTTCCTGTTTGGCAACATGACGATGCAGAGATCGTGGGTTCGAATCTCACTCGCCGCAATTTTTATGTTTCTCTTTATCACGTCCATCATTGGTGCCCTTGTCCTCCAGATCTAGTAATACATGAGCAATGAAGATGTACTCTACAGCACACTCTACCAAGAATAAAATCTGTCGCTGTTCGTGGATATGAGTACTCATGTAACCTGTGCCTCTTCTCGCCAAAAACATCCAATGCGCGGAAACGATTATCACAGAGATCTACCTTCCCGTGTACTAAAGCAAGTAACTTCCACCGTACTCCACCTGCGGCAACAAGCAAGATTCAGACTACAAAAAGGCATAAGATGTTCTTGGAGAAGAGGCATGTCCACTGAGAGTCGATAGATTGCCACTCCTTGGCGGAGGTCTTCCTGTTCCTCTTAGTAGTGTGCATACACGTCACTTCTTTTAGTACACGGAGAGGTATGAAATCCTACGACATGCTCAATCTGACTCTATCCCGGCTACCCTAATGCCTCCCTGTATGCTAAAGACACTCACAATTTTGCGGCTGACCCTTTCTCCACCTCAAGATATCAGGGCTATCTTAAGCTATCCAAATGCACAGTTATAGGTTGGAAATTAAGTGCTAGCCATTGAGATAGCCTTCAATGGGCCCTCTCTGTGGAAGCCACGTTCTTGTCGCAAGTATTGTGCATTTCTATGGCTACACTGTGACTGTGTTTAGCATATGGGGAAGCGATGCTGGTGGTTCAAGAAATCGCGTGAGATGTTTTCATGTGCATGGCTTAGTGTCGCATCAAAGATGCTTGTTGAATTGCAGACGATCGACGAATAGAAGGCAAACAAGCAGGTCAACAAAACACATGGAGATGATCGAGACTTCTTCGCTGAAACATGAAATGAAAGCATCTTGATGGACAGTGATCTACGTGATTTTGAAGAACAAAAGCGGTGGTACCTCGTTCGAAGAACAAGCTGTTCCCCAGCAACAGACACTCATCTCATCAATCATCCTTGAAACCAGTGCTTACCATGACTGAACTCGCCAACCCAATTCTTCATGATACTAACAGCTTCATCAATGGCAGCCTTAGCTCCAGCATTAACTTTGCCATTTCGTGTTACTAGGTCGCTGGTGTGGAAGCCTCCAGGTACGATCACGACAGGGTTTCGCGTGGAGTTTGCGAGCTTGCCCCCGGGTCTGAAGTCCGAAGATACACCGGCCTCACGCCATGGGTCATAGTCTCCGTTGACGTATAACAAGCCAGGCGAATAGTTGTTCCATCCCTTGTTCTTTGCATTGACTTGTGCTGTAGTGGCACCTCTGTCAAGGCCAACGACTGATGAGTTGGATGGAGGGAACATCAAAGCACATTGGCGAATCCAGTAGTCGGCAGTGCTCAGGCGAGAGACGATCGAAGGACGGTCTTGTGGACTTCCAGTCTGAAAATAGCCAAATGGCTGGTTGCATGTCATATAGACCCATTGTCTGTCGAACTGGTTTGACAAACTTGTATCTGTGTACATGGGGCTTGATGGGTCATAGGTGTCGAAGCATTTGATGTTGCGTTCGCCTTGCCACTCTTCATAGCCATATGACTCACAACTACCAGGCAAGTAAGTCGCGTTGAACCAGTCTGCGTAGCCAGCAAGTGCTTTTTCCAAACCGACACCTTCGGCGCCAGGTATAGTGGTGTTAGTACTGTTAGGTTTGACATTCTCGATGGCATCACAGAAGTCGAAGAATCCAGTGTTCACATAGAACTGATTACCTTGCCAAAGCCAGGGACCATTCTGCAGTGCGGCAGCAAAATCGTCATTGTGTTCCAGGTCCTCAAGACCGAATGATTTCTTGAGCGAGTGAATCTCTGAAGCTGTACCATTGAGCAACACGGAGTCGATGTGGTCGATCACCAAGGAGATATCGGAAGAGCAATTCTTGGGCATTCCTTGCTGGATGGGTACAAAGTATTGCCAGTAGTTGAGTATCGATTGAACGGGCGCACTTGAAGCCCAGTACGTCCAGTAAGTGCCAGGCTGGGTGGAAGCAGTCCAGGCCGCTAGTGCTCCCGAGTATGATCCCCCCACCATCACCCATGGCGCCCGGTTGGGTGCGGACTTTCTGTGATAATCGAAGGGAAGTCGTACATGTTTGGCAAAGTTGGTCAGATCGCTCTGTTGAGATAGTCAGCAATGTGTAACATGACGGATACGGCATGGTCGGCATGAGCACTCACGATTGAGTTCTCGAGGGTCAGGTACTGCAGGTTCTCGGTTGTCAGATCAGCATATGGCGAACTGTAACCCCAGTATCTGTGCTCAATGCCTGGAGATACTTGATTAGCGACTTGTAAACCTGACGAATCGAATCATCGTATACACGTACAAACGATTGCAGCACCGATTTCTTGGGCAAGGACACCAGTGGTCCGGTTGAGTGTCAAGTAGCTCGTATAACTATTGAAGCCGGTCAGAGATCAAGAGACATATCAATGCAAGGGATAATTCACTCACGCGCTGGCGTTGACCTCACCAGGAGTGAACAAGATAACTGGAGAGCCAGGTCCGCCATAGAACTCAGTCGAATAAAAGTAGAACTGCTCGAAAGTTCCGAGGTCCTTGTTGTTGTGATCGATGTATTGTCTAAATGTCGCGTTACCCGTATGGGAAGATGCCATGACAGATGCTAGCGCATGCTCGTTGTCATCCGCGAAGTGAGTGGATCGCCATTTGTTCAATCGCGAGCCTTTGGCCTGCAATGCTTGAGGAGCGTTGTTGAGTGCCTGCGCAAGTGGCACACTACCAAGTAAGAATGAAGAAAAATATGCCCACACGCTCTTCATGATGGCGGTGAGAGATGATTGATATAGATGGGCGAGAGACAGAGAGAATTGAAAAGTATGCGCCCGGCTTCCTTACTTATAGAAATTCGAAGTCTATCAACTCGGGTAGCTGCACTTGACCACTATACACCTTCCATATTGTGATAAGGGAATCTCACGGTCCGGGTGGAAATATGCGAGAGCAGATCTTCTACTGCAATCAGCTTCCTCATTCGGCGATTGTGCCTTGGCGACCCCTCTCCTTGCTCGTATACAGATTGTAGGTTGCATTACGGCCGCGACTTATCAGGCAAACTTTCACAATGGAGTTTGTTTGGACAACGTGGTATACAAGACTTCAGAACTTGATAGCAAGCAAGCACGACAAATGCAAGTGGTGAGACAAAAACAAACCATGAAACATAACGCAGTGGCTGGGCTGACCTGTCTTAGGTAAGCAGGGCTTATCACTGGCAGATCTTCGGTTGGCGGTAGAGCCCCGAAGCTCGGACTCTGTCTTGATGATCACACCTTCCGCTTTTGCGCTACGGTTGCATCCTCGCCATGTGCTAAAGTATGTGACGGGTGTGCTGTAGGAATGCACTATACTAATGAGAATTACAGTAGTGTCCAATGAGAAGCGAACAGTTACACACTCTCTGTGGACATGCCTATGTTTCCAGAAAACATTGTGCCTTTTTACAACGCATACTCTGCTCTCTGCGTAGTCGGAGGACGATGGATCTAGTTGAGAGTTACAGACTTGGGCACCCGAGGACAGTATACCATTCACGCATGACTATCAATGGCTGACGAGTACCTAAAAGATTTGTAGATAAATGTCTCGATTCTGATAATGGACAACAAATGATATCATGTACTTCTTCTACATCTCAATCGTCTAGAAGTATTTCACTTCCACCAGTCTGGTCCTGGCACCAGAAGCTTGTGTCATGCTAAGTCTAACCTGCGTAACACTCGTCGAAGCAAACTGTACATTCGTAATACCATTCGCTACGACAGCACTCTTCTTCAGCCCACCAATATCAACCCAATTGCCATTACTCAACACCTGTATCGAGTACGCCGTGGGTGCCTTGAAGTCATTTCCATTGTCGAAGAAAGCGATTTCGGCGCGCGAGATCTGAGTGGCAGACTGGAAGGTGACAGTGTACCATTGATTAGTTGCAGAATTGACATCAGAGTTCCAGCCATTGGTGAGCTCAGGGAAAAACCAAACACGACCGTCGATAGCATCATGGACATTGTCGACATTAGTGCCAGAAGAAGCATTGCCATGAGGATAGCCGGTACTGCTTTGAAGTTGAATGCTCTTTGCAATTGGTCGTGAGATGCTTATGACGGCTTTTCTCTGGAAAGGAATGACTAGACGCTTAAGAGTGGATGAGGTAGCGATCACTGCACCGTCTCTCTCGATGCGAAGACCAGTTCCTTGACCATAGTGGCTGCCATCAGCATCCCATTGGACAGCAATGTTGCTGCCATGGTAGGGCACCTCTTCAGCACGGAAGTATTTGATGTCACTTGTGATCAAGGGGTTGATCTCCAAGAAGTCATCGGCGCGAGGTCGAATACCAACAAGTCCAGTCATGATCAGATCAATGTAGCCGGAGTGGAAGTAATGAGGCGATCTGGGCAGGCCGACAATAGCACCGCCCTTATCAGGGTCGTAGTCTTCCTGTAGGTTGAGTGTTGCGCCATTGTAATGCAGTTGTGTGTATTGCCTAAGCAATCTGATGTAGTCCGAGTTGCTGACAACATTCTGAGTGTAGTGGTCAAGAAGATTTGACATGCCTAGCAGCGCCTGTGTAGTCTGGAAGGGCCAAGCGGGACCGTTCCACTGGCATTCGCGTCGACCCGTTGCTCCATCATAGCGGTACTGCTTCATGTAGTACTGGTAGCTAGGCTCAACAGTACGCAGACCTTTCGCACCGCCGAGTTCATTGGGGTTCAAGAGGTGTTTCCACGAGGACGCATAATCTGAAGAGTTGTCAGGAAGGTTGAAGGTCCAAGGTAGGACACCAACAAGCTCCCGACCGCGAATCGGGTCCCAGTATTTGACATAGTCATTGCTGACCTGATACCTGTCGATAAAGTGGGTCAAGGTTGAGTTCCACAGACTCTTCTGGACATTGCTCTTGATTGCCATAGCGCGAGAGTTGTAGTCATTGGCAACGCTAGTCTGACCAGCAAGAGTGGCCAAGTTGGCGAGAGCTTTGGCATTAGCATACATGTAGCTGTTGATCGAAGGGCGGAACGCGTTTCCACCAGTGAAACCGTCCTTGCCGCCAGAGGCATCGATAGAGGAAATCGTGTATTCGGTAGCATCAAGGAGAGGTTCGATCTGTCAATTCATCAGACTAACAATCTTGTGGAAGATCAGAGTGTAACCCTACCCAGTACAACCCCTTTGAAGAATCAAAGTGATCACTCCACGAATTGTACAGTTTCTCCATTTGCGAGAGGTACTCTGTCGCGCTGGCAACATCACCATCCACGAGATAAGCTCCATAAACAGAATCCTGAATATAGTCCGTGAAGTGACGGTCATCGCCGCCAGTTAACATATAAGTCAGATAGTCATCCTTGAATCGACGGTCTCTATTCCATCTGCCTTCAGCAACATGGAAGCCAGTAGCATCATTCAACGAAGCGTAAGGCTCAAGCTGCCAACTAACATCGTCCAGGAATTCGGTGGAGATGTAGCCTTTGGCGCCCAAATCTCGCTGATGGGCTCTGAAGATCTTCCAGCGGTAGTAAAAGACATCGGTTATTTGCGAATCGCTGCATTCAAAGTATGCAATTCGATCTTGGTACCAAGGTGCGTCGTTGCCGAAGTACTTCTTTGCGATAGCATTAGTGTCCAGAGCTCGTTTCTCATGGCTAGAGGATGGGGCGGCCAGGGCTCCTCTGATGGAGAGGCTAGATGGCAGAGCTAAAAGAAGTAGAGATGAGTACAACATGCTGGAAATAATGCAGATGTTCAGCTCTAGGTGATTGAAAAGGCCTGGAGAGGCACTGGAAGTACTGTAAGCTGCTGGTGGAAAGATTTCTAGAAGTCATGTCTATGTTATTATATAGCAAAAAGACATCGGCTAATATGAAACAACGCTTGCTGTAGTATGTAGCATGGTAAGGGTGTCATGAGAGAACAAAGGCGAATTCTGCCGACAAGTAGTTGTCGATCCACCAGTGAGAGATCAATGCATACGAATAAGTGAAAACAAGAAGATCTAGGGTTGCATGGCGAAGCATGATTTGATGTATACATGTCCTAAAAGTGGTTAGGGACGTCGATCCCCCGCAGGTGCCCCACAATCTTGTCTACCCCTCCGGGGCATCACGATGTTCCTCTCTTAATCTGCCGAAGCAACCTCGTATAGAGATTTTACCCTACTTCTCTTGTTGTCATCTTGGGACAGGAACAAGTTTGCAAAGAAGAGACGAGGTGACATCTTGCTTGTTTGGCGGACTTGATTGATTAGATGAGGTATGTTGAGCAATCTCAAGCGTGTTTTGCAATCTGCAGCCCCTCCGGGATGCCCGATGGCTCAAACTCGGCCGAACAAGCCAGCAAGAATTCATGAATATATTCGTAACTTCGTCGCTGAACTTTGCTTCATTTACTTCATTCTGACGGCGCCACCGTCGACGATAATAGCCTGTCCAGTAACGAAGCCAGCATTTACCAGGTACTCGACGGCATCGGCAATGTCCTTTGGTCTGCCAGCTCTGTTGGTAGCGTGGTCATCAACATCCTTGTCCTCGTTCTGGTGAACCCACTCAATGCCCTTCTCGTCGCCTTCCTTGGACTCGTGGGCGACCTTGATGCGACCAGGAGCGACAAGATTGCAGCGGATACCCCAGCGGCTCAGACTGATGGCCATACTGTGCATGAGACCGATTTGACCCGACTTGCTGGAGGCGTAGCCTTCCTGGTTGGGGTCGCTCATCTCTGCGCGGAAGGAGCCAATGTGAACGATGCAGGGGCCAGCGTCGGAATCCTCAGCGTGGTGTGAGTCTTTCTTGTCTTCGAGCTTCATGTAGGGAAGGCAGGCTTGCGAGACGGCGAAAGGAGCAGTAAGGTTGGTCTCAATGTAGCTGTGCATGGTCAGCGACTCGATCAGTCAAGAATAGAGCAATGTAACTTACGCTTGCCACTGGTCGAACGTCTCAAAGTTGTCCATTGCCATGCCGTCCTTCCAGGTGGGTGTAGCAATGCCACCATTGTTGACCACCACTTCGATTCGACCACCCAAGAAGTCTGCAGCCTCCTTGACCTTTTCGCGGATCTCGTCGACGGAGCGCAGGTTGCAGACGGCAGAATTGACTTGCTTCTTGTCGTAGTACTGCTTCAGATGGACGGTTGTGGTATGCTTCAGCTCTTCCTCGTCAATGTCGAAAATAAAGACCTTGTATCCTCGCTCAAGGAATCTGCGTACGATGCAGCGGCCAATACCACGAGCTCCGCCGCTGATGATGGCTGTTTTTGCGACTGATTGCTTGGTGTTGTCAATCATGGTTGATGTGTTTTGGACAGCAAAGTTCAAGGAGCGAGAAAGAAGACAAGGGAAAACTTGGCAACTTGTCGCTGGTCATGATTGCGCATTGTGTGAGGATCCTGCATGAGCGCATCGAGCGAGAAAGAAACTGTGACCGTCTCGAACGTCACTGCTCCGCCTTTTTGTCAAAACCTGGGGAAGCTTTCACCAAGCACCTTGATGGGTGGGGTCAAACAACATTGTTCATCCTGCATAGGAACATAGCTCAGCGATCACGGAGAAGAAGAAGAGCCTGTGGACGGAACGTGAAAAACATGAATAAACGTCTATGTACACCTTGCTGATTGGCAAAAAACAATAAAAAGATACCCAACGCCTTCCATACAATCATCAGCGTCTTCACTCGAATCCTTTTAGGAGCCAGGTAAACATGTCCATTGCTCTAGAAGCAGAAGATAAAGAACCAGCAAGTCGTGTTGTTGTTGGAAGAAGAAGAAGAAGAAGCTGCACTGCTAGTGGCGGCAGGTGCAGAGGTGCTTGAGGTCTTGCTGGCGCTTGTGCTGGTTGCACTGCTGCTGGTCGAGGAAGATGCAGACTTGGTGATGGTGCTCAGAGTAGTAGCCGAAGAGCTGGAGGAGCTGGAAGAGCTTGAAGAGCTTGAAGAGCTGGAAGAAGACGAGGTCTTGGAGACAGTGCTCGACGACGAGGAAGACATGGTGGTCGAGGCAACAGAGCTGCTGGAAGAGGAGGTGATAGTTGCTGAAGCACTGCTGGAAGTCTTCGAGACCGACGATGACGATGAGCTAGAAGAGCTGGAAGCAGACGAAGTGGTCGAGACAACGCTGCTAGAGGAGGAAGAGACAGCCTTGCCGGAACGGACACCAGACAGGACGTTGCTTCCAGAGCTGGAGGGATTGCCGAGCTGAGACTTCAACCAGCAAGTGCCTGAAATCGATGTTAGTATGATTGAAGAGTCAGCGGAGAGGAGAACAAGGCTTACCTGAGCCAACACCGTTCTGGCCGCCAACGTAGGTGAAAGCGTTGCATTGAGAGTCGGCATCGCAAGCGTTCATGCAGTCGGTGTAAGAGCTGGTGGCTTGAGTGTTGGAGTACGCTCCCTGAGTGCTGTCGGACGAGTAGTAGATGGTGTAAATGTTACCAGCAACATCAGTGGCCGAAGCAGCTGCAGAGGATGAGCTAGAAGTGGCAGTGGCCTTTGCAGCAAGCTTGGCAGCATAAGCAGCGGCAATGTATCCGTTGGATCCAGCAATGACAACGTTGAAGCCATCACGCATTTGACCGAAGTTGTTGGCGTTGTCAGAAGTAACCGCACCTCCCCAGAACACACACTTGATGTTAGTGGTGCTAGGAGGGTTGTTACAACCAGCGACTGAAGGATCATACTGAGGGTCTCTCTCGAAGTAGATGTTGAACGAGTTGCAACCACTCATGCTGGTGCACTGCTGTCCACATCCAGCAACGTCGTACGAGCTCATCAGAGTGTAGCCGGCGTACTGATCGGCAGAGTTGGAAGCAGTCAGGTTGCTGAAAGTCTGGACATATCCGTTGGGAAGAGCGGCGGTGACGGCCTGAACACCGTACCAAGCATCGGCAGCAAAGCCAGCAGCAGTGTCAGGTACAGAAACGTGGCTGATTCCAAGAGGCTGCTGAACACAAGAGCCATCACGCTTGACTACAGCAGTGGCAGCGGCTGCGGCAGCGCTGGAAGAAGAGGCTGCGGCAACAGAGGCGGAGCTAATAGCAGCAGTGACATCTGCGGGAGAGTCAAAGACGGCAGTAGCACTGGGGTCGCTGCTTGCAGTAGCGGTGCTGGCCAGAGTAGTGGCAGTCAAAGTAGGGGCACCCTCAGCAGTGACATAGACTACAGGAAGGACAAACACAGAGGTAGGAACAGGAACGGTGATTGCGTCCACGTTAATGCTGGTGGATTGAGCACCTGCCAAAGCGGCAAGAGATGCAGCTGCGATGGTGGAGAAGGCGGTACGCATCTTGATAGATTGATAAGAATTGAGGTAGAGTAGAGGTAATGGGGTATCGAAAAGTGGTAGAAGTGTGTTGGTTCAGAGAGTGAATGAGGTAGGTGGTTGTTGTTGGAAGGTCCAAGGAATGACTAGTACCGAAGCACTGGAGGATAGTTGCAAGTCTGCTAAAGAGAGTAGTGAAGTTGGAGCGAGCTGATGGTTCATGGAAAGGTGGCAAGGGAGATGCATTTATATAGTGTTGGTGAACTCGTACGTAGGATTTCCATGTCTCAGCCTTACTCGGTGAATATCCCTCTCATGGTTCCTGAGGCGTAGCAGTAGTAGCCGTTTTGCTTGCGGTATTTGGCATATCCGTGGACGAGGCCTCAGTGGTATTCTTGGAAACAAGAGTCATGGCTAAAAGAGGGTGGGGTTTGGGCGCCAGTTACGAATGAACTGACACAAGCCAAAGGTTAACTTAAAATGCCACAGTGAAGCCCTGGCGTAGAGCAGTCTGGAAAAGGCGTCGAAGACATCGACGTTGGAGGATCTACACCAAGGATCAGACATATCCACTTGCTTGTAACGGTGTTTCAACCGTTGGAGATGCCGAGTCAAGCAGCATGCAAGCATTCGTGGTGCTGCTCTGCAGTGCACAACATTGGCCTCTATGTGGTCACGGAAGCTAACCGTGCCTTGATCCCTTCTGAACAAATCACAAGACGATGTGCGGTCTGGCTATCGAGTAGATGAAGCTCCAATGAAATTGGTAGAGACGTTCGCAGCGTTAACGCCGGTGACGACGTTATGATTATCCAAAGTCAAGCCAAGAAGCTTGTCGCAAGACAGCAATCCTTCACCAAGTTGTCACCTTCCATTCGTAGGTGGCATAGCGGATATATCGCATGGCGGGTATTGAATCTCGTGTTCGCACTCATCGTTCATGTCTTCCGGATCTCGGCGCGCAGAACAAGGTAATCAGAGACAAGAGCAAAGCCAAGTCTCCATCAATCTCCGGGTAGCTGGTGGCTCGATCACCGTCGTGGAGATGGAAACCCACAATGTCTTAGATCTGGAAGTCGAGGTGCTTGCGAGAGTGACGCGTGAATTTCGAAGACACGGAATCTCGGATGTGCACGCGTTTCACCGTTGCCAACAAAGATCAATACTGCCCCAAGTCGGTATGGAAGATACGCAGCGAGATTATTCAGATGTTAGCACCAACACCCTGTCTGAATATTGACAATATGCTCGAGCAGCCACCATGAAATATGATGTTGATACGAAACCTTTCTCAGGATTTTGCAAACAGACAAATGCTCCATATAAACATTCGTATCATCATAAAATGGCTCGCCGAGTACGATGAACAAAAGTTGATTTCGTTTCGTATGTCTCAACTCGAAAGGCAATGAGCTATTGCACCAAGTTGACTGGTTAATCACGCGTTCGCTACACGATCGTGCAAGTTTCAAATTCCACCAATTATGCCGTGTTTTAGCAACATGAACATATCACCAAAGTCTTGGGTGGAATTGCATAATCACACGTATCTTGGACGGCATACAGGAGATCACACCACCTCATCACTTGCTAACCACAAGTATACTGTGATTACCTCCATTGATCCCAAAAACCAAGCCGTTCTTCCTGTCAACACTTTTGTTCTTGAAACTCTTTCCATCGATCGTGATCTTACCCGTCTTACCAGAAGGTAATGGAGGCAGTGTAATATCACCAGCAGTTCCCTCAGGCACCTTCCACCACAAAGAATATGCCCGCCCACCATCCGTGATGTTCCAGCCAGCACTGAACTTTCCCAACGAAGTCACGAATCCTGCCTGAGCATACTCCAAATCAGCAAATTGCGGCTTCAATGTCCACGTGGACCCTACTCGGCCAGTAACAGATAAGCCAACAATGTAGTTGGTCAAGGCGGATGTGGGGCCTGCTGACCAGCCATGACTGTGCGAGACGTAACTTGCATCATAGCTATACCCTCGCGAATTGCGATAGGCAAAGCTCCCGTTTGTGAGGTAGCCTTCGATGACAGTACTCCCGGTTCCGTTGGGATGATGCAGATACCAGCCCCAACTGCGGCGTATCAGATCTAGTGCCCGTTCACTCTGGCCAGCGACCAGATGTGCTTGGATCTCAAAGGACGAAATAAATGGTGAGATATTGTTTGGGAGCTCGGGAGCTTCGGGACCGATGGGTGTCCAATTGTCTGTGAGTCTGGAAGAGATACTTTGAGCAGATGAAGATAAGGCAGGGACTACACCAAAGTAGATCGCCATGCTATTGGCATCTTGAGGGTGTAGACTTGTGTCTGTAGCGTTGTCTTTGAAAGCTCCAAATAATGTGTCCCAGCAATATTTGTTGATTGCAGTGCTGAGGTTAGCAGCGCGAGCAGTATATGTGTCAGCCAGGCCAGTTGTGTCTCCATGCCAGGTTGCGAGCTCGGCACCTGTTACAAGTGTATGATACAAGATCATGTTGGCTTCGCTGTTGTTGAAACCTTGTTGCCATCGGGCCCAGTCGCGCGTTCCCGTCACATTTAGCAGTCCAGACGGCTGATGCACCTTGCCGTAAATGTACTCCATGGCGTGTAAATAACGATCCCAATTCTTGTCCAGGAAAGCAGTGTCGTTGGTATAGAGCAAGTAGTTGTAGGTCCCTATCATACTCCACATATGATAAGTATCCGAGCCCTGCTGCAACAAAGGAGGTCCAGCTTCCGGGAAAGATCCGTCTTTATTCTGATGATCATACATAGTCTGTAGAGCATTTGCGACACTTTCCAGATCTCCAATACTGACAAACGTAGCTGGTACTGCAATGCCCATGTCTCCTGGCCACACTGCTCGGTCTCTCTTGGCTCCGTCCACAATGACTGTAGACCCATTTGCGAGAGCGCCACTATTGTTCCAGCCGCTTGAGACAAAGTTACGGCCAGTGTCCACCGGTACTGAATTAGTCTGCAAGGTGTATGCACCGCTGTACCAGATCTTGTTCAGATCGTCATCACTACAGTGGAAATAGCCAGAATAGGCACGTAGATTGCTCCAAGTGGGTTGAAAGCCGATCTCGAGTGTGATATCATTGATATCAATAGACGACATAGTTTCGTTGGTAATCAAGAACAAAGTCAGGTAGCGGAAGCCTCCACGAAGGCGGACTTTATCCATTGTATAGCTGTAGTTGCCAGAAGCACTGAAGTTTGAGTAGATGGCTCCATCCCCTGCTTGAAACTTTCCATTGGACGAGTCAGACCACAAGCCGATCCAGTTCTTTGCTTCACTGAAGGCTAGACCCAAAGCACCAATACCATGCGCTGTGTAGGATATCGTGGCCAACCCTCCCACCTCTTTTCCAAAGTCGAAGACGAGTGCTGATCCATTACCAGTGATGTGAGCAGGACCAGGCCATTTTGAGATGATTGAAGCATTCGCGAGAGACAAGATTGAGGTTGGGGAGACGGCGCGAGAAGCAGGCGCAAAGATGTTTGCTTCCCATTCACCTGGAAATGCAGTCTCGAGTGGACCAGAGCAGGTCAAGTTTTCCCAGCACGTTTGAGCCTGAACCGTAAGTCCAAGCCCAAGAAGGGTAAGCAGATGAGAGACAAGCATATTCGAGTGCTTGGAGAAGGTGCTGAGATCAGAGCCATAGCGTGGGCCAGAAAGCTTGATATTACTTGGTCCTGAAGGATTGTTCGCGATATCTCAACCCGAACAGACGGAAAAACAGCGTGCAGCATCACCAGCCTTCCTCATGCATTCTGTAGATCAGTCTAATACGAGCGGGGAAATGAGGGGAAGATCTAAAGACCAACCTTGATCTGGTGGTATACAATACTGTACCTCAGCAAGCGAGATACTGCGATAGTCTGTTGAAGACTAGAGCAATGATTACATGAAGGTCAAGTATTATGTGATGCCCTGCATGCAAGGTCTGCTGCTTCGGTCGCGCGGATCTCGAACATACGCGTCCACATACTAAGCCGTGAGGAGATGTCAGGAGAAGCATACATTATTGATTCAAGTGTGTAGAGAGTGAAAGAGTCATCTGCAATGTAGCCTTCCCAGTGGGTAATACACGTTGTGCAGAGATGCGAGTGGATGGAAGGCGCACAAGATCGCGTTTCGGTGAAGCTCACGCGTTATGCCAAAGTGGACTGTGCACGCTCATCTCGTTCGACAACTTGACATCACTCTCGGATGCACAGATGCCACCGACTTTCTCCATCGATCTTCTGATCATCTCAAAAAAAAAAAAGCGATGATAGAAAGAATCTATATGTGGTGTACGCAGTACAAATATAAAGAAAGATTCCAGGCATACCAGCTGCCCCGAGCCCACTACCAAGATGGGACCATCGTCCATGCTAATAGCATTGTATCTCACTGCGACAGTGAGTGTCATGCTTACTGACTAAGCTTCCCAGCACCAGCATTAGCAATGACATAAGACTTCGTTCCAGAAGCAGATTTAGCAGCAGCAACAACCGCACCCGAAAACTTGCTCAAGAAATCAGTGTTACTCTCACTAAAACTGCCAGAACCACTCAGAGAATTAGCTTCGCAAGAACGACCAAGTGCAGAACTGCAAGCCGAGCCAGAGTCTGCAGTGAACAGTTCTCCGGCATATGAGGACGCTTCCAAAGGAGCCTTGACATCTTCAAAGACATTGCCTTCAGCGAGGACGTAGCCGCCTTTGCCGATTTCGAAGGCATGACCACTGTTGTCGTTCCAGTAGTTGTTGACGGCGTGAAGTAGAGTGTTACTCTGGACTTTGGGGGCGCGACCGCTGGTTTGGTAGATGTAGTTGTTCTTGAAGGTTACTTTGTCGTCAGAGCCGTCGAAGTAAAGAGCCCAGTATTGATGACCATCGCAGGTGGCGCTGTAATCGCCAGAGCCATCGATGTATGAATTTGAGATGGTGACGTTGCCAGAGGCTTCAGTGCCCAGGACGATGTGCTGTCTTGCGATGTTCGAAGTCTGATTAAAGGTCAGTGATTGTTCTTGACACGATGGTTGTGGAAAACATACAGTGACGTGATCGATCCAGACATTTTCTGTACCATCCAAGGTGATAGCGTCTCCACCCCAGACATATTCTGGGTTGATATCGGTGATGGCTACATTCTGGATGATGACATTGGTGGCACCATTTACGATACGTAGACCCTTGCCTTTGATGACACCCTTAGATCCATCCCCGACAATTGACTTGTCGGAAGCAACAGTGATACCAAGAGTACCGGCAGCATCATAGGTGATGCTAGAAACCTTGGGTGCATCTGGCTCGTAGTTCTCGCACCATTGGTGCTTGTCGATGGCCTGTATACTGTTAGCCATATACGTCCTAGACTTGATCGGAAACTAATCATGGTCCTACAGTTTGGCATCCAGCACCAGTACCCCAGGGAGCACAGCCCGAACTGGTAGTGGTACCCTCAGTACCACTGAAGTCAAAGGTCTTGGTCAACACAATGACACGAGCAGTATCATCACCGAGATAAGAGACCAGCTCATCGGTAGTGGAGGGATAAACAGCAGTTGCGTCACCCCCACCAGTAGTGGAAGAAGCAAAGCCTTCAGGTTTGCCAGTAACACCAGTGACAGCGGCAGAAGCAACACCAACCATCAAGGCGGTCGCCGAAGCTGCGATACCAGAGTACTTCATTGCAAGAAGAAAATCGGCAAAGAATGTGGATAGTTGGATATGGAAAGGAAGAGTGGAAACGAATGCACCACACAGCTTATGGTAAACCTACATATATACTCTAGAAGGAATCGCTTGAGATGTCCATATCGAGAGTCGTCTGCAGGTCTTAGATGTCACAGCTTATAGGGCTAGACAGTAATGCTTGCTGAACATCAGAGTTGTTGTTGAATGTGCGACATTGCTTCGCTGACGACTACCGTGAGAGAGACGACGATCCTAATGATCTATTCAAGCATGTTAAGCAATAAAAGCCTGTCCCATCAGCTCATGTTTTGGGGCTATTCTGTTCGAAACTCAACTGGTCGGTGCGTGTTTCGGAAGCATCAAATGATCGGCAAGTCTCGGAAACCATTCCAGACCTCGAAACTTACATAGGGCAAGACAACACCACCTGATTCATCTATCGAAAATCGATTGTGATCTTTGATACCTTGTACTGGACATATCAGTTGTGTTTAGGGCTGTGGTGTACTCTCAATCAATGGCCGTCTTCTCTCAACGAAACAACCTACGTCGGTGCGTCAGCCGAGTTGGTGGCATTGTAAACTCTGACTGCAGAGATGACGTTCGGACTGCTAGAAGGGTAGTCCAACATCTCTGACTTCAGCCAATATGTCCCTTCACAGCTGATGTCAGTACTGAAGACTCAAGATTGAGTGGGATTCAGATTACCTGAACCTGAACCTCCGGTACCTCAAACGGAGGTGAATCCAACACAGGCAATGTTTGAGTCACGAGCACTCATACAATCGAGATGACTGCTGATAGCCTAGGTATTGGTGTAAGAGCCTCGATCGTTATCTGCAGAGCACGTCACCAAGTATCCAGCTCCATTGTTGCCGTAGACAGTGCGGCCATTGGCAGTAGGGCACAAGCTAGACGAGGGAACAGTTGGTTGTGCATGAACAAGGCCAAGACCTGCAAAGAGACCAATAAAGAACGTAATGCCAATCATGACGAAGTTGTCGCTTGCTATGCTTCGAATATTGCATGCTGAAAGGAGACCTGGCTACATAGCTAGTCGAGGTGAGGCTCAGCTGTGAGTAAATGTTTGGATAGTAGGTATGAGAATGCTCGTCTAGAATCAATGCTGGTCAGAAATTGATGCTTTAGAATGTCAGCTCATACATCTCTTCGTGTTGACAGGCAAGGAAAGCTGTTCAAGTTCTACCATCGGTACCGACAGAGCAGGTGTTGGGAGATGATTTCATGCGTAGGAAAGAGTAAATGAGTCTTTCCCTCCATGAACAACAAGGGATCTGCCAAGCATCTGCTGATTCGGACGAAGCGGAATGTTTGATTAGAAGCAAGGGCAGGTGAAGTCTTGCTCAAGATTGTAAGGCAAGAACAATGCGGAACGTACGATACGCGTCAACATTGAGACTCGGCTCCAGAAGCCCTCAATGCTCCTTCTCCTCCAATATTCTCAAAGCATACTCATACCCACCCCCACCGCCATCACCGCCATGCACCCCACCAACCAACTACTCCCCCTCAACCCCCCAGCACCACCCTGATAAACAGCCTCATTATCCTTCCCCACCTTCGTAGTATTAACCCGGTTACAAACTGGCGTAACACCCCAACTCCCCGACAGAAAAATAGCATGCAATCTCTCATCTTCCCTCTCATAATAACTCGAATTGCCTGCTGAGAAAACCTGAGAGCTGTAGTATGAGATTTCCACGGGAGAGTACATGTATTGGATCAGTCCTCTAGTGTCATTGCTTGACACGTAAGGACTGACGAGTTCTAGAATAACGGTCAGTTCTTAACCACTAATTGCTGACGAGAGCATAGAGAGAAGAGAAAGAAACACACTTACCTATTCCCCCTAACCCGCCATCTCCGAACCTCTCGCTACAACTCTTGGGCATCCAAGATAAATCGCAAGTAATCGAATTGGTAAACGACGAAAGATCCACTTTTTTCAAATCTTGCATACACTTGCTTCCGAACGCGTTGCTGCAATCCCCATTATCTTCCTCCTTGTAGCCATTTGTAGCTTCCCTTGTCATCGGTCCCAACGGCACGGTCAAACACATCGTCGGAACACCTTCTCCACTCCCAGTGGTTACCGCATCTCTGATACTCTGGTTTAAACTACCTCCACCCTCCCAGAGCAAGTTGTAAAACGCAGCTGCTTGGCGGGGGTTTGGAACGAAGTTGTAGCCTGTAGGTATAAGTTCTGCGACATTGACTTGGAAGGTGAAGTTTTTGGTGCCGAGCGTAAAAGGGACGGAGGATGTGGCGTTGGGGTGGGCGTTTGCTTCCATGGCGTAGGTTTCGTTCCAGTAGCCTAGGCCATAGACGCCTGCGTCGTATGCTTGGGCTGAACTAAAGGCAAGTGCAGAAAGCAGGAATGGTAGTTTTGAGGGCATTGTAAAGTTGGTATATTGTTGTTGTTTTTTTTTTACTGTTAGACGGGGTTCCTCGTTAGAACTTGAAAGATGTGCTACGAGTAGTGTAGTAAGGATAACACCTAGATGCCAGCAGCTTGGTCTACTTATAGGACATCGCGACCGGCGATCTATAGTGGCCGCAGCAGCGGCGCAGCTTGAATCACCTGGTATGTTACTATTAGGGTCGATCAGCAAACTGCCACTTCCCCCAGTCGATCCTATATACTTTTGGCCGCGGAAGGATTTCTAGTCTTGCTTGGCGGCCGGGGCTTGGAACAAGCATGATTAAGTTATTGGACTATCATCGCAAAAGGATCCGAAGCACCGTCATCTGAAGGAATCTTGAGGCTTCGCAGAGCTTGGCAAGGATGCCTGATCAAAGAACGCAATGACAGCATTTCTCGTATTAAGGTCTTCCTTCGAGGTGGTACGGACTGTCACGAAACGCGAATCCAGAATGAAAGGAAGAATGCCAACTATCGCGGGCATGGCGCTGTATATCGTACATATATATACATTATATCTTTACATCATGAGCAAAACAGCTTCTCAGAGGAGAACGTCTCAACTATCTTGCTTCTTCAGAGATGGCTGGTCAGCAAGGTCATTTTGGACATCCGCAGCAGGATGATCAGCTGGTTTTTGGGCTTCACCCAATGCGCGCTGATCAGCAGCACGCTCCTCGAGTACGCTATCGACCTTATCCTCGTCCAGAGCCATACGCCAATACGCATCTACGACATCCTCGGAAGCAGCGTCAGCCTTGGTCGGAACAGCAACATCCTCATCGAACACTTCGACTTCCTCAGGCTCTGCTTTTGTCTCTGGAAGCTGTGGTGGAGGTCCCTTTGGTGTGCTAGGCGCAGACTTTCTGGACTGCGTAGGCTTGAGAATTTGGGCCGCAGGCCACTCGATTGATTCAGGGGCAAGGAAGCGATATCCAGCTTGAGCGTAAGCAAGGAAAGTGACGTGACCGCTATGCTGAAGATTGATCAATCTTTGCGTTCTATAGACGTTGGTCACTCGGGCAAAGATGACAGTGTGGTCTCCAACCTCGAGTGATTTTCCAGGCAGGAGCTCGCATGTAAAGCGCGCGGGAATGTCCTTCCCCGAGATAACTGGTGGAGCAGGATCGCCATCTTTGGCCCAGATCTTAGCCAGGTTTAAATTTTGGACAGCATGGAAAGGCTGTGAAGGATTATCGTGAGGCTTTGAGAAAATGTCGGCAATTCGCGCGCCTACAGAGTGGGTACTTAGGAAATTGACGGCGAAAGGGCGGCCAGCGGTGATACAATCGAGTGTACGACTAGGACCACGAATACTGAAGGAAATGATGGGTTCTGGTTCAAGAGTGACAGAAGTCAAAGAAGAGACAGTCATACCACGGAACAATTCCATGTCAGAAGTTGAAGGCGAGACACTAGTGGTCAAGACGACAACGCTGGAAGGGACGCTGCGCATGATGGATTTGTATACTTCCTGCTTGGTGAGGGGCTTCTTTTTCGGTTCCGAGCTCACAGGAGATGGCTGGGGTGGTGTCTCGAGCGATTTGTTTGATTGTTGTTTCCCGTGTCCTGATGACAGATCCAATTCATAATGCAGAGAAGTTATAAAGTCTTTGGCGAGGTTCACATCTTTACGCGCACCGACTATTGCGATGGTACGCATACCGTCATTGGTGACGCCGTCCTGCTCAGGTACGAGGTCGAGCTGTACAGAGAAAGTGTCTTGTATACGCAGCTTCAATTCATCGGCATTATCCTGGAGTAAGGTGGCTGTTTCGGTTGGTAGGTCGAATTTCAAGTCGATGGTGGCATTCTGAACATTCTGAGTGGTTTCGGCACTGTTGTCCTTGTTGAAGACAGTATTGTCAAGAGTGCGCGAATCATCATTTCGGCGCATGAGAAGATTCCTGACATAGCGGCAGAGCCTTGTCGAAGGAGCTTGTATACGAACGAGGCGAGAGCCGTCGTTGTCTGGGCCACCATCAGGCTGGATAGTGGCGTCTAGTGCAGCGTGCATCCTTTGCAAGAAGTCGGGGTGTTGCTGTATGCGTTCAAAACGGGCCTGCGGAATTCTGACTCTGGTCGTCGGACGCCTCGACCGTGGTGCTTGAGGGGTTTCGGAATGTGATGATTTGTCGACATTGGCCTCATATAGTGAGCCATTCGAAACGAAGCATCGTCGTTGTTGATGCGTAACGTTGCCGAGTCTGGACCAAGCATGGAAGGCCCTGAAGAAGCGACCAGTCGCAGGGCCTCGGACTGCCGCTGCCATGGTGAAGAATGCAGCTTGAGGAAGTTCCCAATGGTTATTTGAGCTTCCTGCCGTATGAGGTAGCGAAGCGACAGCGGAACATCTTGGCACTGCTGCAGCGGAGCGGAGCGGAATCCCGACTCCCGCAAAATTGATATCCAATGATGAGCCGTCCAAGTCGCATACCGACGCTCAGATACCCAGCATTTGCGCAAACTTCGAGACTTCACGCCTTGCAACCACCGCCATGCTGCTCAATCAGACCCCCCGCGCAAGTCTGCGCATCGCCTCTTCCTCGACGCAACAAGTCCGCCATGCATCATTGATGCGCCGCCCCAAGCGACCATACACCTTCACCCAGCTCGTCACTCTGTCTGACGGCAGCACCTTCGTCCAGCGCACCACCAGCCCGCAGCCCGTCTACCGCAGCACAAAGGATGTCCGCAACAACCCACTCTGGAACCCCAGCAGTCAGAAGCTGTTGAACATCGAAGAGGACGAGGCTGGTCGTTTGAAGAGATTCAGAGGTCGTTTCGGTCGTGGTTGGGATGCTGAGGCCGTTGCTGGTTCTGAGGAGGTACGTTTGTTGTGTTTGCTTCTGAGAGACGTTTGTTTGCTCACACATACACCAGGCAAGAGATGGCGAGGAAGCTCTCGCTCCCGAACAAGCAGAAGACTCTCTGCTCGACCTCATCTCCAACTACGGCAACGAAGCAGAGGCCGAAGGCAAGGCTGCTGGCAAGAAGGAGGAGGCCAAGTCAAGCGGCAAGGGCAAGGGTGGCCAAAAGTAACCTACCCAAGACATGTTTGTGCTTTTGGTCATCAATGCATAGTAGCGGGCGTTTCTGGGTCGAATTACATGTACAAAAAGCTGGGGGTTGGGATTGACAAGGGTCGGTATATTGATACCCTTTGTGTATTCTACAAGTACAGAGGTTGTCTCAAGACAACAGGTTTGGGTATCTTCTATCATATCAAAACATTTACAATTACACCACCTCGATCTCGTTGGCTTCGAGCGCTTCAGATCCGAGAGGTCGGAATGGCCACTCAATATATGCTTTGGTCAGAGCAACCAGTTGCTCCCGTGTGATGTCTTTGGTCAACATATGCTTTGGGTCCATTCTTCCACCTTGAGTGACATCACTGAACTCAGGCCCGAGTATATCGCGAGCTCCAGGTCCAAGTCTATCGATCGACTCCAGGAGAGGGGCTGAAGGGTGCGTGAACATTGCTTTGAGCAGGCCACGTCTAACATGATTGGCTTCGGTTGAGTTCATCAAGTCATCTCCAAGCGCTTCTGTCCGTGGCTTGAGGTCGACCAGTCGCATAGGGAAGCGAGGCCAGAATTCCTCGTCAGCTGCCGTCATAGGCTCAAAAGGTCGTCTGTCCCATTCCATCAACGGCTTAGGTCTACACAACGCGAACAGCTCGTCGATGAGAACGCCCATCTGTTTGCCCACGTCTTTGCTGAACATCTTCTCTTGGATGGACGAAAGCTTCTTGTCGGTCGCAAGAATCCTCGTTTGCAATTTGGCCCGTACCTCTTCAGGCAGCTTGTCCTTGGTCGCACTGTACTCGTGTTCAAGGGCAATTTGTAAACCCCAAGAATCGAACCAAAGTCTACAGCTGGGCTGATCGAAAATCTTGATGTACTCCTGGCTGGCACTTGTGAGTTTGAACCTCGCGTCGGGTGGTGTGAGATGTTTTCGTTTCACTCTGGGAATTGCTGCGAGTTCTGCCAACTCGTTGAGATTCTTCTCATGATGGTCGACAGCTGCTTGCAAGGATTTATCTTTAGGCAAGTGTATCGGATCGTAATCTGAGAGGCTTTCGTCGTCGGTGTCGAGGGCCTTTTGGTGCACCTCTGGTCGGCGGTGCTCAGGAATGGCCATGCCCTTGGACTGCATGCGCTTGAGGACTCTTCGTGCACTCCAAACATCAAGTTGATCTTGTCGTTGGCGATGGATAGTCTTCTTGTTGATATCAGTGCGAGACAGCTGTGAGCGATCACTACCTACAACTTCGGCGATATTAAAAGCCGACTCGAGATTGATGGAGTAGCCTGTTCTATGTAGAACGGAGTCAGGCAAGATGCTGGATTTGGTCTCATCGGGAACCCAGAGAAGCACGCGCACCAGACCGTAGCGTTGGAACATGATGTTGGTCTGGGCAGCCTCAGCCAGATGATGTAGAATCAAATTTGGGAAAGCAACGGCGTTGCTGCCTGTACGAATATCGGGGTAGCGGCGGACGAGGCTACCAATAACCAGCAAGGAATGATTAGGTTCACGAAGGCGTGGATCTTGTTCAGGAAGGGCATCCCTCGCTGGTAGAAGGTGGTCATCGAAGATCTTATCGTAAGTGTCGAAGTAGCCCTTTGGAGCAGCACCGGAAAGGGTTGTGTGGCGATAGGCCGAATCTTTTTGGTTCAAGAGGGGCTTAATGAAAGGGTCCAGGTAGCGTTCGTCAGGCTCGAGAAGGAGATGGCGACGGGGTTTGAGATGTTGATGAATCTTTTGCGACCACAAACAAGAACCTGGGTGGAGATCGATGATATCGCAGCCCTTGTGCTTGTCCAAATCAGGACCAATATAATCAATGATTTGATCGCATAACGACTCGCTCACGACGTCGACATTGTCTGGGAACTTTTCCTTTTGGGTGGCACCGAGATTCCTTTCGGTGAAGATGTTGCTGAGAGTGTTGCTCAAGGGATAGTCTTGATGGGCATAGTATGTAAAGAGGTTCCGGTACGAGGCGAGATTCTTGTAGCGAGCAGTTTCCGAGACGTCTGGAACAGAGCGACCATCTGTTCCTGCCAATATCGAAGGCGTAGAAGGAGTTTTTGGTTTGGCAGATTCCGCTTTCTTCTTTGACTTTTTGGCCTTCTTCAGCTGCGAGACAGCTGCGGCCAATTCGCCCTTGTTGACCTTTGTCGCAGTCTTTTCGGCCGCCCTCGCAGCGCTCGCGATCCTAGACGCAATCCTGGCCGCTTGTGTCAGGGGCGGTGGCATGGTCGTTGTCGCATCCACGTCAAGAGGACGGCCGAGCGACAAGCGCAACCATCAACGTCTTTTTGTCCCCTCAAGCTTCGTCATTGCTGCCTCCTACACCCCACAACCTCCGCCATGCCCATAGCACCACCAACGACAACAAGCACACATCACCATCCACAATGACTGCGCCCAAGAGCGTCGAGCAGATTGTCGCCGAGGCATCCAACTTCGACCATGCAGCCAACATCCCCCTCAACATGGCCCTGCGCACCGCCCAGAACATGACCAGCCAAGTGAGATGATGGTACCTACACTCTCGACCCGCCGCCCCGTCCTAATCGAGAGCCCACCAGGCTGCCAACTACGAGCGCGATGCCAACCTCCAAGAAGCCTATTACTTCCTCTACCGCCATGCCGACTTCTTCTTTACTCACATCTCAAAACACCCGGATGCGAAGAAGCCAGAGTACAAGGCCCAAATGGCCCGCACCCGCGACCATGTCAAGGCTGATCTGTCGCGTATGGAGGCCTTGAAGCCTGAGATCACATCCCGCTACCAAAAGTACCAGGATGTTGTCAAGAGAAGGAACCAACTCAAGTCGCAGACAGACACACCTGCCGCCTCGCAAGAGTCGTTCGTGCTCAGTGCTGCCGAACACAAAGACGTCGCTCTGCAACTGGCCAATCGCGAACTCCGGAGAAGGGCAAAGGACTCTCGCGACGACAATGCTGTCATGGACGACCTAAGCCGTGGCATTCAAGATTTAGGCCGATGCATAGATACCCCTCGCGATTCATCTCGCAACACATCAACTTCACAGACTTCGTCCCCATACCACTACCCATCAGTACCGTCTCACGCCTCCATTGTTCCGTCTTCACCATCACTCGCACCCAGCCGACCGCCCAAGGACGAGCTATCCAGTCACAAGGCACCTCCACCACTCCCTTCGAAACCAGTTCAGTCCCTCAATTCTCCTCCACCACTACCCTCAAAGGCCGGCGGGCCGGCACGACCACCCAAACAAGACATATCGCCCACCCAGTCCTACCAATTCCAACCAGCCGCCTACACCGAAAACGGCACTCCACTACGAACCCTCTTCCTGCCCACCTCCCTACGCACCTCCTTCGTCTCCCTCGCAGCCACCAACACCTCTTCCAACCTCGAAACCTGCGGTATACTCTGCGGCACACTAATCTCCAACGCTTTGTTTATATCACACCTAGTGATTCCAGACCAAACAGCCACCTCCGACACTTGTGAAACCACCGATCAGGGAGAAACAGATCTTTTCGACTATGTAGATCATGAGGGCTTGATGGTTTGTGGTTGGATACATACACATCCAACTCAGACTTGTTTCTTGAGCTCGAGGGATTTGCATACTAGTGTGGGATATCAGGTCATGTTGCCTGAAAGTGTGGCTATTGTTTGTGCGCCCAGTAAATCGCCTGAGTGAGTGTTTGCTTCCATTATCAGAGGAGAATTTTGCTAACACACAGAACAACAGTCATGGTATCTTCCGCCTTACGGATCCTCCAGGCAAACAAGCGATTTTGAACTGTCATAAACCTGGTCTTTTCCATCCTCATGATGTGGATAATCTATACACTGATGCCACAAGACCTGGCCATGTCTCTGAACTATCGGGTTTACAATTCCAAGTCGTGGACTTGAGAAAAGGCAAGAAGTAGAATGAATAGAAACATCGATATACCCATACATGAAATTCGAAGACATAGCATCACAGAGTTTGAGGGGATTGTGCATTTGAAAAGTGTTCTGTCACAACATTTAGCAAGAAGAAAAAGAGAAAATGTCCCGACACTCATCTAAAACCTCCAAAACACCACTTCCAGCCACTTGAAAAAAAAAAAAGACTGACATGGTGTCGTTGAATAGGAGTCAACAGAGTGTCGCATATCCAGCTCTATCCATCAATGCCTCTCCGAACAAGATACCTCGGTGGGTTCTGTTGGATATAGAGTCTGACTTGCCATGCAAGGCTGGACAATTAACGAGGGGACGTTTTAATGTACCGCGTGGAATACTGAGCAAGGATCATGGCTCTTGAAGATATCAATGCTCCACCTTGCAACGCGGGGTTTGGTCACTTGTGTTCAAAAGAAAAAGCAGAATGGAGAGAGAAAAGGAAACAGTACAAAAAGTGGTACAGACCTTCTTTGGGTCTTGAGGGTATTTGTTATCGTGATTCTAGAAGAGGGGAAAGAACAAAGATGTTGGGTATAATCGTCCAAACCACGGACCTTTTCTCTCTCTCCTTGGTTCCAGCATTCTATCCTTTGGCTCCATATGTGATCCTGCCATGTCAGTAGATTCTAACCGGCAAATCCGACTCGTTTTTTGTTTGCGAATCCGTTGGTTTTGCTGCTCATGCCGTCGAGTAGACGATCCATACCACCAAGATCCAGTTCTCCGCGTTCCAGTAATTGTTGGTCGAATATGCTGGGTCCATTGCTTACTCCAGCTGTTGCTTGTGCAAACAGTGACTTGGAGGGTGTTTGTGGTCGCACTGACTGAATGACGACAAGACGATACTCACCAGTGACTATAAAGTCGCGTTGGGAGATGGGACCAAGATTAATTGCAGTGGAGCGGATGGGAATCTGGGCGACGCCATTCAGAATCTCGCCAGAGAGGTCCAATCCTTCAATGTGAGATATGCCTGGTCCATAGAGGGATCCGATGTCCTTGCCACTGCTGTTGAGGCTGCGCTGCCAAAGAGATGCCAGGCTCGAGATGTGGTATGCTTCACTACCATACCACAAAACAATCGAGTCATCGACCGAGCCATGGCTGCCAGCCGTTGCAACAGCGCATACACCGCCTCTAGCTGTGGTTGTTGCTGGCGCAGCAGGCTTTGGAGCGCCGAAGAGAGATTCCTGTCGTTGCTGACGAGTATTGGGTGTCGATGGTGCAAGTCCCTGTGTAGATCTAGATTTGAGTTCCGAAGCAGGTGCAGCATCGGGACTACCGATGAAGCCTTGTATAGCGAATGTATTCATCTTCTTTTGTGTCACGGCATCAATATCCCAGACACCCCATTCACCACGATCTAACAAGACCAAGGCAGCTCTGGCTCCAGAAACCCAAGCGACGTCTACAATCTTTCTCCTGTGAGCAAGGCCAGGATAGTTGCTTGTAGCTCCCTTGGGCATTTGGAATGCAGTATTGAAAGCCGAAACCCAGGTACCAGTTTCAACAGACGTACTGTCAGCGGGACCACGAGATGAAGGACGGTGTTTTGGTGCCAAGGGGTCATAGATCTTCAATGTTCCTTTTACATCGGCAATAAGGAGACGTGAGTGTTGGCGTAAAGGATATTGAGCAGTGCTGAAGCGGAGGCACTGCGCAGACGATGACAGCGGCACGACGTGGAAAGGAGCAACGGTAGCTGGGATTTTGCCACCCGTCAAATCATTGAAGGCGATGGGAATGCGGTAGAAGGTGAGAGTTTCGAGGTGAGCTGAGGTGGAAGTAGCGACAAGCAGGTCAAGCTTCTGATCATTTGCGGTGTCTTGTGGTTGCGGGTTGTCGAGGTCCATTTGATCCTCGCTGGCAGACAGACTTGAGCTGCTCGTCCATGTCAGAGCGACATCTCTCGCCATAGCCAAGGATGGCGCAGATGGACTAAGCTCGCAAATCTGAGCACCCAGGCGACCATTCCTCTTAGCAGATGCTGATGGGGGTGTGAGAGGGAGTGTGATCAGGCGCAACGAGGCATCGGCACATGCGACAGCCAGGACGATTCGTTGCCTAACTATGAGTGGGACTTTGGCTTTTGTTTGCAGAGAGGAAGAAGCTTGTGGGATGTTTGGCAGGGCCAGATGGAGAACGGGACTGCCGAAAGACAGCTTCAGCTCTTGTGTAAAGGATGGATATGGCTCGTCTTCGTCCAACTCTTCGTCTTGGGCGTCATAGCGTGGCTTGTCCTTGTCGGGAATGTCTTCGGTGACTGGAGATGTGCGAATCGAGATGGGTTGGTTCCACTCAGTGTGTTGGATTCTTGTGTTTGAGAAGTCCTTTACGCGCTCGGTCACAGTACGTGATGCATTCGAAAGGGGTCTGCCACCTCTCCAGAGAATGTGAAGACCATCGTCATGCCCGGAGATGATGATGTCGGCGCTTCGCGGGCTCTGTACAGGGTAGATCTTTGAAACGTTCAATCGGTGTGGGCAGTCATAGCTATACACTTTTGTTATGCGTTGCGACAGAGCGTAGTGAGGGAAGCGCATACCTCAAGTGCATGCGCTTTCCATGACGGGAGACGCGAGGCTTCTGCAGCTTCTCAGAAGAATCATAGGCGACAGTTTCCATGGTTGTTGCGAGAATTGGATGTGCAAAGAAAGATGGTCGACTTGTTGCTGCTTGAGACGAGGAAGCTGTTGACGCGCGCGCGGGGAAAGTGCAGCCGAGCCAGCGCGTCGTCCACGAACGAAACATTCGAGACATCAACCACCGTATCTTCTCTCGCAACATTCAATTCTTTATCTGCGTCTTCCTCGGAATCTTAGAGGCTAACCACTCGTAGAGACGCTCTGTCTTGGGACCATTTGCCGTGTCTTGAGAAGAGCTTTCTCGTCCTTCTGGCTAATGGACTTTCTGTAAACACCAAACATCCGACAATAATGTGTGCACCTTCGGCCACATTACTTTCTGATTCATGGCCGACTTTGTCTCACTGGGCATACATCGCCCTTCAGCTTTGCCCTATTTGATCTCTGAATCTATTTTGACCGAAAATCACTCTCCAAAGGATTACATCTGGAAAGTCTACCCTGGCCCCTCGGATGATTCTGAAGATGAAGTTTTATATACATCAAGTTGCATAGTTTGGTCGCAAGACGGTCATGTGCGGAAAGTCTTCAACTTCGACTCGGCAAAGCAACCTGTCAGCCATGCCCTGATAACTCGATTTCGCAACGATCCACTCGCAAAGACTGGCTCTACTGCATCGAGATCTGCGAACCATGTCAACTCTTATGCCTCAAACCCATATGCTTCGAGATGGGGTACAAAGTCTCAGCGCGATCCCAGAAATCTCCTGTCAATGAAGACCGGCGATTCAGAAGGCTTCAATCGCGCTTTGGTCATCATCTTGAAGTCTGAGATGCACATCCACTATCTTTCTGGTTCAAACCATGTACTAAACGTTCCGTTCGATATCGAGAAGGCCTTCCCTGCTATCGACGGTCTTGTAGTACAGAGGAAGGCTACAATCTTCTCCAAGGAACCTCCTACTCCTACCATTCCTGCCCCACCTCCAAACTCATTCACCTCCTCTCAGCCATACTTGTTCTCCCAACCACGGTCTCCTGAGCTGAGAGCTAATCGTTACCGTCCAAGCGTTTTGCCCCCGAGCCCATCAGCTCACTTCAATCTGGATGCTTTATATCAGGATCTCACCAAAGGCCCTGACCCGCACATGACTGATGAGTTGCCTCGATTCTATTCATTGGAGAATCCGCTGTCAGATCTAGCGCCTGTTTCGCACGCGACTGTTTGTCGCCAACCTCGATTTCCACGCCCCGGAGCTCCTAGTGGTCCCATTGTCGAATATGACATGCTTGACCCTGCGGAAGAGCTTGTTTACGTGTCCGCTCATGACGAACTTTCTGAGACTGCAGAAGACGGCGATGCCCCCCTTTTTTTACTGGTCACTGTGAACAGAGAATTGGGTCAGATTACAGTGTGGCAAGCGTGGTACTTACAACCTCCTAAGCTCTCGGACTTACTATCACAACGTGCAGCACACCAAGCAGCTAAGGCTAAGCGCCCTAGCTCTGTGATGACTAGTCGTACAGCTGGTGCATCCACGCCTGCTTTGAAGCCGCGCGATCATCGCGATAGGGTGCGTGAAAGCTTTGCTGCTTCTACGAGGTTGTCAATTGCTTCAACCACAAGACCTTCACAAGATGACGAAGAAGTCATGGCATCGCAAATGGATCCCGAGTATCTGCATAAAAAGCCCTCTGGCGGTACCAGACGAGTCAGTTCCATTCTCTCTCGTGGTGATGTTGGCAACTCAGATCCGTCCATCAAACAGACCGCACTTGGCGCTAGCTTTAGTGGCGCTGGGCGTCGATACCCTTCGATGAGTAGCTTTACAGATCGTGATCGTCGAAGTTTTGGAGGCAATCAGGGCCTTCGCAAGAGTCGTGCGTCAACACCAGGGAGCATCTTCAGCAAGAGCATTGGACCAGATGATGAGACTGAGGTCGAAAGTCGAATGCAAGATTACAATGATGAGTCTGAGAGTGCTGAAAGACTGATCGGAGCTACTTACAGATCCGCTGGTACTGAATCTGTTCTGGGCTCCTCACCTGATGGACTTCGAAAAGAGCTTGTTATCCGCAAGCTTGATGTCTTCATGACTGATATATCGAATTTTGGTTCGACCGCGATTGAAGATCTCATCAAAGTCTTTCCACTGGTTCATCCGCCTCAGCCAGAGCAAAATAGTTGTCTGATCTCACTTTATATTCTTGACGCTTCATCGAAATCCATGACAACCGTCAAACTGCGTGTGCAGCACAAGAATGAGTCGAGGTCTCGACCAGGTCAAGACAAATTGGCCGGATACATGCCTATACCCTTCTTGTGTGACCGCAACATAACACACAACATTGTCGATATAGCTAAGCTTCAGGACGGTCGGGTTACAGCTATTGCCTACCTTTCGGCCAAATCCCAGGAAGTTGGGATAATACCTGCGCGAGGCGTGACATGGTCACTTCCTATCTCACGGCATGTACGCTTGTCACATCCCTCTGGTGTTGCGGGTATTTTGCACTCGTCTGAAGAGAGTATGCAGAGGCTGGCACCACTCCAATGGCCTTGCAAGTTACAGTATTCTGGGAATCATGGCAAGATCACTATAGCTTCATCAGACGGCCTTCAGAATCGATTCCAGATACGACTCAGTCCTAAATCTGCATCCGTGCGACGAATTCTAGAACTGTGTCAGTTGGTGCTGCCAGCGAAAGAAGGTGGTTCGATTGCAGCCATTTGGTGCAACGTACACCATCGATTTGCAGCTGATGAGATGCAGCTTGCTAACGGTCTCGATGTTGAGTGGGAGGCGATGATCATAACCATTTTTGCGTTTGCGGCTGGTTCGATCGGAAGAACGCTACGGGGCAACCACAGAAGTAAGTCAACAATGGCTGATGGGACACGACTGGGTGCCTATGGAAGCCAGTTGCGAACTCGTAATCTGAAGTCAGACCTTGACAAACTCGTGTCACCTGCCTACAGCTGGCTTGAGAAGCCTGCCATGAACGCAAAGCTCAGTACCATCACCCCAAGATCGAGGCTTCGAACTCCCCGCAGCACTCAAAAGACAAAGAAGCATCAATTCTCGTTAATAGAATACGAGACAATGGCTCGTCACTTGTTGCATGATATCGCTGTGGATGACTTGGACTGGCTAGTGTCCTCCGAAGCTGCCACCTCACGATATCTCTGTTGCACCAAGATCATGCTTGTGCTATATCTCTTCAGGGAAGAGCAAAAACTCAACTCACTTCCAGACGACGCCGAGGGAATCGTCGCTGATTCTCTTGGTGCCATTATCGCTCAATTTGGGCAGTGGCTATCACATGATATGTGGAGTTTCAGAACTGGCTCTTACCTTGAGGCAGATCGTGGCATCGGCGATTGGGAGTTGTCTTCGTCCATGATGAACACGACAGTCAAAGCTTTGCAAAACAGATGCCCACCACCGCAATCTGTCTTCGCTTGGGCTGAGAAGAACTTCGTCCAGGGAGTGTTCGAGCAATTTTTGAGCATCGAAACGATCGCTTCGCTCTGGACAGATACTCCACCTACTATAACTTCCAAATTCGCGGGTGAAATCCTTCCTCGACTGACGTCTCTACAGTCATTGGCTGCACGCTTCTCTGCTATCAGAACCTCACCAAGCGCTTTGGTAGAAACGATGAAAGACGCAAACCTCAGATCTGGCGTGTTTGAGACTCTACCTGAGGGTATACTTGCTCCACTTCGCGAAGCCATCAGTCGTTGTCAGACAGCACCTTCGACAACGTGGTCCCCAGCTCTTCTAGAGTTCGTCTCACGTGAGGATCTGATCGGCTTATCGCAATTGAACAAGGATGCCAGCCGTCCATCTAGTCGAGGTGGACCCTCTAACGTGCTAGTCCCTCATGACGTGCAGACGATTTACAGTTCTGCTGATCGTGCTCCTCTCACTGCTAAGACACATGAAGCGGAAAGACATGCGGTAATCTCGCTCATCTTTTCTGAGGATCGTCGCTTCGTTGATGCGGCTCAGTTGATGAACCCAACTGCAGTTCAGGTCGCTGAATGTCCACCACAACCCGAATGGTCCGAAGCCGAGCATTTGGAACAACAGAAGCGAGTCATGCAATGGGTGATGGTCCGGACACTTGCACTCTCGCCTGGAGACGGCATGATTCACTTCGAAAGTCAACGACCTCTTCTCTCGGAAAAGTTCCATATCAAGGGCTTCAGTACGTCATGTCAGATGAAGCCAATGGACAATACTATCAGCGCGGACCGAAGTGGATTCACCGAGGAGAAGTTTGCCTGGACTTTTTTCCACGCTGGTGTCTCTGCAGGACTGAGCATTTCGCGAAACGCTACCGGCATCGACACTTCATGGATTGTCTTCAATAAACCTACAGAACTCAACAACCGCCACGCTGGATTTCTGCTTGCTCTTGGTATCAACGGCCATCTGCGAACCCTTGCTAAATGGCTTGCATTCAAGTATCTAACCCCGAAACACAACATGACTTCAATAGGTCTTCTGCTGGGACTATCAGCATCATACCTCGGTACCATGGACACGCTGCTAACTCGCATGTTGTCCGTGCATATCACGAGAATGCTTCCTCATGGTGCTGCTGAACTCAATGTTTCACCGAGCACACAGACTGCTGGACTGATGGGTATTGGCCTGGTCTACTATGATACACAGCATCGACGAATGAGTGAAATCATGCTCTCAGAGGTTGAACATCGTGAAATTGAGGATCCTGGGAGCACAATGGACCAGTTGCGCGATGAATCATATCGACTTGCTGCAGGATTCGCTCTTGGTTACATTAACATCGGGAAAGGTCGTGATCTGCGTGGACTTCATGGCATGAATCTTCTGGAGCGTCTGTTGACTGTTGCTGTCGGCCCCAGACCAGTCGAACTCGTTCATGTCGTTGACAAAGCCACTGCTGGCGCAGTCATTGCAATCACTCTAATCTACATGAAGACTGGAGATCAGTCAGTGGCTCGCAAGATAGACATACCTGACACTATAGCCCAGCTTGAGCATTGCCGTCCAGATATACTACTTCTGAGGACTGTTGCAAGCCATCTCATTATGTGGGACGAGATTACTGATGAGCCTGATTGGATTCGCAAGAACCTCCCCATCGAGTATGCACACCGCTACTATGGTCAAGGTTCGAAGAGTTCAATCGAAATGACCACCCTTCCTCAGCTCCGCAGTAAGGACGTACCAATTTTCAACATTCTGACTGGTCTTGCTTGGAGTCTTGCACTGAGGTTCGCTGGTAGTGGTAATCAACGAGCCAGAGACCAAGTGATTGCGATTCTCAGGGCGTTCATTGCAGTATCCAAGCAGGATGCTTTCTTCTACGATGCCAAACTTGCGAGAGCGACTGTCAAGCGGTGTATCGATGTTTTGGCGCTTGCTATGGCCACTATCATGGCAGGCACTGGTGACCTTCAGAGCTTCCGGTTCCTACGTTCATTGCATGGTCGAGTTGACCCAGAGACAACATACGGATCACACCTCGCAGCTCACCTTGCAATCGGCACATTGTTCCTAGGTGGTGGTACCTACACTTTTGGAACGTCCAACTTTGCGATTGCATCTCTGCTGTGCGCATTCTATCCTCTCTTCCCAAGCGATGTTCTTGACAACCGCGTACATTTGCAAGCTCTCAGACACTTCTGGGTTTTCGCTGCGGAGCCTCGTTGCATTGTCGTGCAAGACATTGACACCAAGCGACCCATTCACGTCAAGCTTCGCGTCGTTACTCGGGACGGCAAACAGCACCAAATGACATCTCCCTGCCTATTGCCAGAACTGGACACAATCTCATACATCAGCACAGACGATCCCACTTACTGGCAAGTCACTCTTGATTTTGCCGCCAACCCGAAGCATCTCGCCACATTTCGTCGTTCACAGACAGTCTACGTGCGTCGTTGTCCACCGGGAGAAGCATCAAACAGTGTCTTTAGTACCACTTTGTCAGCTCTAATCGATGCCCAATCCAGTATCGGGGGCCGTCAAATGTGGGAGTGGATTTTGAATCTTCCTGCATTCAGAGACTTTGATCAAGCCGACTTTGGCCTCGTATTGCCTTCTGACCATCGTAGCGCAACGCACTTAGACGAGAAGTTGACATCTGTGGACAGTAGATTGGCCCTGACTCGAAGCGTGGATTCTGCCAATGCGGATGCACAATGGAGTTTGAGATTGCTGTTTGCATGGGCGCAAGATGCTAGGGATAATGGAGATGGCAGGTTGAGGTGGATAGGCAAACATGTAGTTGACATGCTGCGGAAGAGGGTTGCGGAAAGAACAGACTTCTCGTAGTCGTTGGACTGCATCGAGATCACCTCGATTCATACCTTGCTTCATACATATCCCATGCATTGCAATCTTCTCGATTGACTGAGCATATATCCAGCTGTTCTGTGTGCAAGCAACGGCTTTTGTCTTTTGTGTGATATGTACAGTAGAAGTGCTCTTGACAATAGGACAGACAGGAATCAGACAGCCCTATACTACGAACATTCAAGTTCGTTCGAGGCGACTGATTATTGTGTACTGGTTGTGTACCCGTTCTGCATGATGCTGCCGCTTGCTTCCGACCCCTTGGGCTCCAAGACTTGGTTGAGTGCTGCAGCGATGCTTCGAAAGCTTTGTCATTCCTTCATATCTTCCAGCCACTGCAAGTGTCCCTTGCTCAGCTTTCCTATTCTCTTTCTGACCGATGGAAGATCTCGGGGCGTAGGGGTGAGAAGGCATTGATACGTCTCTTCTTTTTCTTAAAATTGACGTAATCAGTCGGAGGTCTTGCCTTCAGCCTTTTCCTTTCTGCGCATGCCAACGTCCCAGTTGTAGACACGAGCAGTAGCGACCTCGAGTGTCTGTAAGAAACATCATCGTTAGCTCCTGTCTCATCCAATATGCGTAACCCAGGCCAGAGTAGAACACTCACCGTGATCTGCTCTCTCAAGAAATCCATATCCTCCTCTGCATTCTCCAATCCACTCTTCGCAGCCTGCAACTTGCCCTCCAAAAGCTCTTCCGCCTCCTCCATAGGATACGCCAACATAACATTCGCACCCAACCACAAATACACCTCCTCCGTCTTTGGCACCTTGGCCTTAGCAAACAGCGTATCATTGAGCTCAAAATAACTCTCCAACTCTTCCGCATCTTCACCTCTACTCTTGAGGAAGCGCACCGTGTCTAACGTCTTTGAGATGTCGGGAATCTTTTCGCGCAGGCCAGCGGCGCGTCGCGATGTGTTTACCTCCATGAATTGGTACTTTTGAATCATTTCGGAGAAGGACTTTAGGGTTGGTTCGACTTCTGCGCGGGTGGTGCAGTAGTCGGATACATTGTCGACGAAGGGGGCGTAAGGGATGCCGCGGGGGTTTGTGAATGCGTCGGGTTTTCTGCTGTGTTGGTGCTTTGTTAGAGCCATAGGTTTGGTAGGAAGAGGTTTGGTGGTGAAGAGGGTGGGAGCTGTGAAGTGCGATGGTGAAAGTGCGATGGTAAGGGTGCGCACCTTGTTGTTGCCATGGTTGTGGATCGTTGCTGGAGAGAATACCGGTTGTTCTGTTGGTGTGAAGCGCCTTTGTGTGATTACGAGCTTGAGCAGTTGCGCATGTGAATGTTGCTTCTGAATGTGGAAGTTACGTCGTGTTTGGAAGCTGTTTGCTCTTGCTTGCACAGCACTTTATCCAATGTTGTGCAGGATCTATACATCAACATGATGTCTGCATACTCTCGGCATAAGCAATGCATTCTTCCAGCACAAAATATGCTCACCTGTTCATGCAGGTCGCTTACTTTACCTTAAAAGCACAGACCTCACCAGCCAACCTCACCTGCTTACATCAAGACCTCACCCAAAAGTTGATGATGCGTTCATTCGGCACACCCCAACCGCCATATTCCCACATCTTATTCAAATGCAGTCCACTCTGGAATATCTCCGAGCGCATATCCTGATCATCAGCCCATCAATATCTACAGTATGCGCATCAACGAAGCAATAACCCAATTGAGGAGTAAAAGCACGAGATCCGCATACTGTTATTGAGGCTGTGGAGTCGTCGAAGGAGGTTGCTTTGGTAACTTTAGTGCTGACATGCACTCAAATTAGCTGAGTCAAACATCCGGGGTCATCCTTCTGCACGAAAAGAGCGAGCGCAGCGAGATACGCCCCTATCACGTCCTCGGTTGGTCCTTCATTGTTATTCCCTTGTCTTCTTGCGCCTTTTCAATCGTGTGCGGAACGAGCTCAACTGTTTTCTTTCACATGTTAGCTCATGTTGATGGCTGGCAACCTCAAATCCGGCCGTAAACAGATAACGGTGAAGCTTGGTGCGATTAAACTACACTATCCCTGGTGGTCCGACTCTTTTACGTGGATATTGCATAGATTTGTCTCCAAACTTTCCTGGTGGAGGTTCCTCCGTACTTACGCGGCGCCCCTAATGTCCCTGTTTACTCTTGCTTTGCTCGTGTTCCAGTAACCTTTGCATGTCCGCGAGAGTTGTGTCTCTAGAATTATACCTTTTGTCTTCGACCAGCCACATCTTTAGTTAGTGATGAGTATACGTACTCATAGCTCTAGGCCACCGTTGGGAGTATTCAAGTTTGAAATCTGTCATCCAACCTTGAAGAGAGTCACTGTGACGGCTGGGATTCAATATCTTGTCTCCCAGCCGCGGAAGTTTCGCGGTGTGCGTTAGAGTTCACAAGAGTACTATAGATTTGGATGCTTGTCGATGTATATGCAGGACAGTAGAGATTCAGTATATACGCGGTACGCGATGGTGGTGTTGATCAAGGGAGTATTCTCGAACCCTCGGTCGTCGGGGGGTTGAAGAAGGATCGGACCCTGAACCCAGTCTGCAAGGAGATACATGGGTACAGCGAGCGTAAATTGTGTTCAGTGATGCAGTTGCTAATGATCGCAGCATGATTTGAGTGATGCAACGAACACTATGATGTTGTGGAGGTGTAAGTAAGGCCGCGAAGAATTGACGCTCCGTGGAGTTTCAGAGTCAGAACTGGTATGGTAGCATGTTGCAAAGTGGAAAGAACTAGTTGTTGTTCAGAGAGAATGTACAGCACGCAAAGCAAATTGAGAAAGTGCAACTTCAGATTACTAGACCGAAGTCGTAAAGCAGAAGTCAAAGAGGAAAGGAGCTAGTCACATTGAAACGACAAATAGGGGGAGATTTAGAGAAAAAAATCATCTGAGGTTGAAACACTATGTATAGCTAAATGAGAAACTGGTTGGCCTGTCGTACTGTAAAGTCCAAATTCATAAGGAACTAAGCCATGATCATGAGCCTCTCCAGGAGAATATTAAAAAAGCAAACGAAAGTCATCCGTCTAGCTAGCCGACACCTGTATCGTTGCAAGCAAGTCGCGAAACATGAGCAATGGAAAGAGGAAGGAAAAAAGAAAGCCACACAAGGCGGAAGAGTGAAAGAAGAGAACAAGATACAAGAGTCAGCAACAAGACCTTCACTCAGCCCAAGCAAGAGCCATGTCTCTCACTCTGTGATGATGTCCTCCTCATCTCAGGAATAGGGTGTGGGAGCCGCAATTGACCTCAGCCCAAGGCAACCACTGCCTCTCAGCATCCTAGCATGAGCACCCTTCCGCTGCTTTTTTTGCAATTTTGTTATTGTTTAGATCTGAAGACCTTCTTGGATGAGCTTGCCAAGTTCCTGTGCATGAGGCTCCTTCATCATGGTGAAGTGGTTGCCGCCCATAACGCCAAACTTCATCTCATTGCCGCAAAGCTGAGCCCAACCGTTGTCAGCAAAGTCGGTGCGGTGGTTCAAGAGCCAGGTCATTGGTGCAGGGTCCTCCTCCTCAGCTGGTGGGGGGCGAGGGTCACCAGGGTTACCAGCAACACCATCACGGCACCAGATAGCGTAGGTCTTGATAGGCTTCAACGAGGGTTGAGGATCGTAGTCAGAGAGCGAACGAATGGCGGCGCTGAAGTGAGGAAGCAGCCACTTGGGAGTCTTGGACGGGTCACCGGTACCAAGGAGTCCAATCTCGTTGAAGAAGACGTGGAGACGCTGGGGAAGAGGTGCAAGGTTGACGGGGCAAGGAGAGTCAAGAAGAAGCAGGCGCTCGACTTCTTCACCGTTGGCGAGCAGAGCCTGAGCGACAGCGTAGGCGATGACACCACCAGCAGACCAACCACCGATGATGTAGGGCCCTTGAGGCTGGCGTCTCTTAATCTCAGCAAGGTAGAGGAGAGAGACAGTCTCAATACCACAAGTCCAGTCGGTGGGGTTCTTCATGAAAGGGCAGTTGAGTCCAAAGGCAGCGACATCAGGACCGATGTTAGGGATGCTGACATAGGATGTAGCAGAACCGGAACCGTCGGGCAGGAAGAAGATCTTCTTGGTGGCAATCTTAGCATTGCCCTGGAGGAGAACTGAGGTTGCGGCGGGGAACTTGGAAAGATCGGTAAGCTTGGCGTTGACTTTGTCAAGTTGAGGCGAGGTCTGCTTTGCGGCCTTTGGGGGAGCAGGAGCAGCCTTGGCCTTGGGCTTTGGGCGCATACCGAGAGCATTCTCAATGTCCAAGATGGTAGAGTTGGTGGAGAGGAAGGTTGAGGGAAGATCAATACCAGTCTTCTCGCGAAGTTCACTGAGAATGGTCAAGCTCATCAAAGAGTCCATACCAAGCTCAGAGAGGTCTGCCTCGTCAGTAAGCTCGGAGCTATCAATGCCCATCTCCTGGACAATGATGTGGCGAGCCAGGCTGACTTCACCGACCTCGGAGTCAGGTATCTCACGAGTAGGAGAGTCAATGTCGGGCTTTCCTGCATCACTGGGAGCAGTGCTAGGTGCAGAGCTGGCGGGAGTGCTGAGGTCATCCTCGTAAGGAGTGGCGATGTCTGAAGGCTCAGACTCATCCTCAGAGTCGTCCTCAACCGGGCCGACATTTCCATCGAACTGGGAGAAGTACTTCTTCATCTCACCAACGGTAGGGTAGTCGGTGAAAAGAGTAGAGCTGATCTCCATGTCAAGGTCCTCTCTGAACTTGGCAGAGATGGTCAAGGACATGAGGGAGTCGACACCGAGGTTCTCGAATGCAGCCTCGTCCACAAGCTCGGATTGCTCAACATCGGTCTCGGTAGCAATGATTTGCATAACACGAGAAGTAATGGTAGCACCCTGAGGCTTCTTGGCGGCGACCTTCTTGGGAGCCTTGGCAGCCTTGACGACAGGCTTGGGGGCCTGAGCCTTGGGAGCGGCAGCCTTAGGGGCAGCAACTGCCTTAGGTGCGGCAGCGGGAGCAGCAGGGGCAGCAGCCTTGGCGGGTGCGCCAGCCTTCTGAGGAGGCAAGAAGACGTTCAAGACACGGCGAGGGATCTGCTGGAACTTGAGACCACCGCAGACGGCAACGATGTCATCTCCCTCCATGATGTAGACATCACCTTGGTAGATGTTGCCAGGCTTGGGAAGCATGCGAACGTAAGAGCGGTAGTTGCCCTCAGGAGTCAGCTGCTTGGAGATTCTCATAGAACCCCAGCCGTGAGAGATGCAGACGTTGTTGTCAGAGTCGATCAGGTCAGTAGCGTTGACAATGAAACCTGAGATGTGGCACATGCTGTCAATCTGGTAAGGTGCTTGGTACCAGTCGCCGTCGTTGGGGCCATTCTGGAACTTGACGGATGCAGTAGCCTCAGTGGTCTGGCTGTTGACAATGACCTCTTCCATACCGCGGTACTTCTCGTTGTAGTTGACAAAGCACTTGAACAGCTTGTAAGCCATACCGCGCTGCATGACGTGGGCCTCCTGAGTCTTGGTCTTAGCCTTGAGGACATCGACTTGAGACTTGACCATGAAGTTGATACGCTCCCAGTCCTCGTTCCAGGAGTTGATGTCCTCGAACTTGACAAGACAGTGAGCATGGTCCTGGATGAGCTTGCCATCGGGAGTGACACTTCTGAACTTCAGGTGAGCGACACCCTCGTCGAGGTCAGCCTTGGCCTCGAGTTGGATGTGCTGACCTTCAGCAGGCTGCTCCATCTTTGCGATGAATGGCTTGGGGACCTCCATCTCGCAAACATTCATGCCAATCTTGGGAGCAGAGGGTCTGAGCTGCTTGTAGAGGTAGTCGCAGACAGTCAATGCCATGTCGGCGTACAGGGACGAGGGGCACAGAGCAGTGTCGTTGACCTGGTGACCAATGACAGCCTGGAAGAGCTTGGGCTCGGCAACGTTGGACTGGATGACAACGGTACCAGAGTTGGCCTCAAATTCCTCGTGGACGACTTTCTGGCACGAAGTGGAGAGACGCTTAACAGGCTTCTCGACGGCAGGGGCAGCTTGAGGAGCAGCCTCAATGGTCTTCTGAACCTCGCGAGGAGCCTCGCCCTTGGTAAGCGTCCAGTTGTTGTGGTAGTCGAGCCAGTACTTCTTGTTGTCGAAAGAG